CTGAGCCTGCGCAATAATATTGCGGATGACAGTCTCACTAGTAGCAAGCTGCAAGTCCCACACATCACCCAGAGTAAGCGAGACAAGGGAGAATCGCTTTCCGGGCTTCAGGGACTTGTAGATCTTCTGCCAATGACGTTCTTTGACGGCCTCCGACTTCATATCCGAGAGGAGAGAGTTGACCTTCAGCAGCTGACGCAAGACATTCTGGATATGTTCGAACGCAGCATACTGTCTCATTCGGCTGGGCATCTCCTTGGTCATCTTGATAAGGCCATCAAGAGCCTGTCGGAGTTTCCTGGGTTGCACACTAGTCCACAGGCCCTCACGCAAGTCATTCAGGCTCTTCCAAATCGTAGACAGCGCCGCCCAGACGGACATGAAGTCCTGAACCTCTTCGAGAATTGCAGGGAGGGAAGAGTCGGAGCTGGTAGGAAGGTCGAGTGCTTCCTTGGCCTTGGAGACCATTTCGAACTCAGACTGGAGGGATTCGAGGCGTGACTGGAAGGAGCTCAGAGTGCGAGATGCCTCATCGGGAGGAATGGTGCCGGAAACCGGCTTTTCATCATTCCACTGCGCAATGACTTCCGCGATCTTGTCACTGATGACACGGTCCTCAGCAGTGATCTTGGCACGAAGGGCATCAGTCTGATCCTGAACAATCTTGCTCTTGCGGGCAAGCAGCTCATTCAGGGCCGTCCATTCACCATCGACATTCTCAACGTGGAGCCAGTCATTGGGGAAGGCATATCGCTGGCGAGAGAGGGTAGTTTGACCCTGACGGAAGAGATCAACCTCTGGCTCCCAGACACGAGTCTTACGCTTGCATTGCTGAACAATGGTGATGAAGGAGACGGCATGTGCGGTAGACGATGCTTCCAAAGTCTGACCTTCGAGATCACGGCGGGCAGATGCAATCTCGGAGTGGACCTCTCTAACACGGCCTCCGAGCTTGGCTCCGAATTTGAGGAGAATCTCGTGTTGCCACTGGTCGTACTTGGCGTTCACCTTGGTCTGAACCTGCTCGTAGTCGATGCGGATATTGCCGAAGGAACGGCTGACTTCGGAAGTATCGAAAGTAGCACGGCTCTTGCGGATCTCCTGAAGGAGTTGCAACCACTGAGACAGATCATCACCCAGGATATCGTACACCTGCTCAGATTGCAAGTCCCAAAGCGACTGGAATTGTAGCCACTTGTCAACATACTCTGACACATCCTTCAACCGGCTCTCAACAACACCATAGACCTGGTTAAGCTCTTCGGTGCAGCGCTGGGGGAGGTCTGCGAAGCACGCCTCTGACTGACGAACGGTCTGCACATCGATGGAGATCTGGTACCGAGAGGCCTTGATCTTCTCGAGGTTACAGATGACCCCCAACCAGGAGTCAAACTGTGAGAACCAGCTCGCGCGAGCAAACTGCAAAGGAGGATCGAGGTGGAGAACCTGATTTTTCATGGAAATCTCATGGAACAGCTCGGGAAAGGAGAGGTTGTACGTCACGGCGTCGGATTCACCTGATGGCAGAGTAATTGTCTGCCCATTACGAGATTCTTGGAAGGTGCTGATCCACTCGCGAATAGCACGATGAAGGCGTTCACTGAGAATAGTCTCGATCTTGGCATTCAGTTCCGAAACCCAATACCCGAGGTTGACGTAGTTCTCGAGGTTGAGCTTATCCACCGCAACTTGAATAACGTCCAAGCGTTGCTTGAACGCCGCTGCATCGTAAGCGCATGTCTTGAGCTCGTGGATGGATTTCTGGATGCTTTCGTTGATGGACGACAGAACTGCGGTCTTTGATTGAAGGACGGATGCGGAGCCAGCGAATTCGCGGACAAATTGAACGTGCTTGCTCTCGGTCCGATTGGGCATGGCAGTGTCGATGGCACCATTTGCAAGAGCTGATTGCTTAACATGGAGCTCGTAAGAGTGAACGAAAGACTCCCATCTCAATGGAATGCCCTTGTTCACCATGGCTTGAGAGTCATTCACGTAGCCGTTGAGGAGAATCGCGACGTCGGACATTGAGGCAATTGTACGGTAGGTTTGAAGCAATGTTCGCACACTTTCCATCAGACTAATAGCATATGGATACACACGCTTCGCCTCCTTCGAGATATTACTAACAGCATGGGGAACCTGAAAGTTCAGCCAGATGAGGTTGCGCACCTCCTTGAACAAGGCAATGATTTGAGCGTCGAAGTTGACCGTGAGCTCCAACTTGTTTCCGGCAGCACGATTGCGGACAATATTGAACAGTCGCCCGGAGATGGTAATATGCCGTCTTTGCACATCATAGAGCCAAGACTCAAAGACAGGACGGGTATCGAGCTTCTTACGGAACAGGTTACCCTCCGCTTGGAGCTTCTGGCCTTCGGAGTGAAGATGCCAGTCCTCGCCAAGGACGTTCTCCACCTTGCGCATGTAACCATCAAGTTGCCGCTCAATCTGTCGGGCCCAAATGATCGCACCGGAGACTGGTGGAAGATCGCGCAATTGGGCCATGGCATGGGCCTCGGAATGGCCATACTGCTGCTTAAAGCGCTCATGGAGGGCGGAGATATCGCGCTTCACATTATCAATCAGCTGTGTCTGATACTCGCCAATGGCACCGCGGATCTTCGGGCGGACAAGCAAAGCGTTGAACTTGGAGAAGACACGGAACATTTCGTTGGCATTCTTGGCGGTAGCAAGGCGATCACGCAGGCGAGCAATAATGGAGTTTTCAACCCGAGAGGTACGCTCACTGTAGCCAATCTCGGCCTGTTCCCAAGCGCGTGATCCTTCTGGCGAGACATCCAGCACGTCCACATTCTTCAAAGCATCGTAGGCGTGGGTGACCTCTTCGACGGCATCGACGTCGCCGATTTCCTCCACGATAACCGTCTCCTCAGAGTCAACGCCAGCGCCGGTCTCTGTAGGTGAAGCATTCTTTGGTCCAAGAACATTGATAATGGTCTTTTGAAGCTGCTCGTGGTTGACGCGGAATGTATCAATGTACTTCAGCCGCTCGCGGGTCTTTTCATGCCGAGCATTGATCTTGATGGGGATAAACTTCTCGTTTCGGCGTCTTGTCGACTCACGGGCTACATTAGTGAACTCCTTCAGGTTCTCGTCCCATGAGCGCCAAATTGCCTGCGTGATCTTCATCAAAGACCGGAACTCTCGGTACTCCAGGTGGAGGATCTCACGACCTTGAATCAGATCGTGAATCTTCTTGTCCAAATCACCAGATATAGCTTCCACGAGAGAAAGGGCACGCTTGATAGGATACGGACAGATCTTCAGCTTCTTATTGAGATGGTTGAAGATCAAACCCAGAGACTCCTGCACTTTCTGCAGGGAGGTGGCAGACAGGAGCTCGTCCAGCGGGAAATCACGCATCAGTTGATTGTACTTCTGGACCAACTCGGTGGCATCTTTCAGCCCAGTATCAGCCACGAAACTCAGGGTCGGCTGGTATCGCTTGGCGTGGCGAAGAATATCCATGGTCAGTCGAACTCCTTCGCTTGCTAGCTGGTTCTCGATTCCCTCCAACGCAGTCTCCATTGACAGCCAGAAGTTCACCTCTGGGGAGGCTGACTCGCTGTCGGGGTCTCGAGACATCTTCGTAATCGTTTGAATAGAGCGGATCCACCCATTCACCGTGTTCTGAATGCTGTTCGTGAATGCACTGCTATCCAGAACGGCGGATGGGATCAGTTCGACGGTCGGTTTGATGCCTCTAGCCTCGGCTTCCTTGAGCGCAGCCTGCACCACCTCATGGAGCGGGAGGCTCAATGCAGGAATCTCCACATTCTGCTGCAAGTGCATAAGACCCAACTCCAGTTCCGCGAACTTCTTCTTTGTGCCAGGAATACCAGTCTTCGCCTCGGTATCGGTTCTCGATTTCGTGCCAGCGGCGGCTTCTTGATTACGAGTGTAGGCTTCGAAGTACGGACTCAGTCCATGGTGAAGTAGCAGGTGTAAGATCTGATACGGCGACATGGAGTTTCCCTGTTGTGTCTGGGCATTGTTCAGAGACGCGAGACCGGGCAGGTTCATGACCTGGATCTGCGAGGCGATCGGGAGAGCAGGATCAATCGGAGCGGGACGTTTGATAAAGGCTACCGATGCGACAGTAGTCGAGGTGGAGGAGATCTCGGAGGACAGGTTGTAGGAATACTGTACAATCGGCTCTTCATACATTTCGTTAGCTCGAACGGGGAAATCGAGTCGGCTGGGAAGCTCGTAGACTTACCTGCGCCTTCAGCATCGCCATTTGTTTCCTCTGCCGCCGAAATATCCTTTTGCACGTAGAGCGCAACTTGTGACTCCGAGGCGAATCGCATGCATCTTTGTGCGGTCTCATGGTACCTAGCATCCGAGAGCAAGCTCCCGGCGCTCTCCAGCTCGGATTTCAGAGCACCCAGTGTCACCTGGAGCACTTCCGTTAGGTACTGGATGACCGCACCAGAGTCCACCGAAGACGCCGCATCTGGCGTGGATACGCCATTCGACACTCCCGGTGTGGCAACCTCCATCGTATTTCCAACTCTATTGCAACGAGCTCGTAGGGGTCATCGATGAGTGGCAACTGGAGGAGCGCGATCGGAGCGGGAGAATTAAATGTTGACAAGGGTTCGCGTCTTGTCGGAGAAGGCGGAGTGCGGGGCAACAGCCTGCGAGAGGGATTCGGAAGGTAATGAGCAATAGATCTAAATTAAAAATACTTCTCGGAGAAAACAGTCACGGTCTAGCAAGAAGAGAAAAGTGTCGGTCGATGGAGATAACAGATCCGCGGTGTTTGTTCGTTGTACTTCAGGGGATGCACCTTTCCAAATCAGGTTAGGCGTGTCACGCCCAACCATGTGACGGCCCCCGGGTTCCTGAGCCGTTCCACTATACCTGGAACTCCTGTATACTCTACTAGGTCCTCATAACTTATAATCATACACGTTTGATTGGATTAACTAATGTCTGCAGTCTTGAAAATCATACAAGCAATGTTGCGCTAATCAAGGTACCCTCGTCCTGCTCTCTTTCTGATCAGACTGTAGATCGAGAAGGCTCTGTTCCTTCATCTTGGTCTCCTTCTCTGAATTGGTATCTGTCGATTGACAGTTACAGCGATATTTGAGGCGGAAGTCGACGGGTAGTAGCATCTTGATAGCCTCTATGGCTTTCTCACTGGCTCTGATCTTGGCATACCGACTTGAAGTTCTAACTGCATCTCCAATGCATTGCCCATGTACTATCACAGCAGCGAGCATCTCCGGCTGTTCGGAGTCTGAATCAGGGAGCTGGCCAACTTTGAGACAGACATCTTTGCATTCGTAGACAGTCGATAGCTGGTGAAACAGGAAAGTCTGCAGTCCGGTCAGTCTTCGTCCAATGATAACTCTTTGAGAAGGGAAAATGTCTTACTGTCGGCTGCCTGTTAGCGAATGTGTCATACAAAGAAATGTCCACAAAGTATGGCTGGATGTGTGTGTCGAAGAACTTCTCGACCACAGTGTAGTCAAACTCTGAGTCCACGAAGATAGCCGCGATGTATGCTTCGAGCATATCGGGAAGGCACTATATTTGCGTTAGCATCAGCTTCGTAAAAATCATGATGTATATGGCAGAGCACACTTGCCTTGGGAGAATCCGTGGTATGTAGCCAGTAGTCCATCGCACCGTCGCTTTGAGCCTCTGCGATCTGCATTTCTTCCGCATAGCGAGTGATTTGTCCCTGGATGGGGCCGTCGGCATATTGGAGATGTCGATGGAGTCCAAGATGCACCACGAGAGCACCCAAGAACTTGTTTGACACGATCGCCATCTTGAATCCTATATCAGAAACTGTCATTTTCTTCGGAAACTTGTTGGTCACTCACTTTGTGCTCCGTGAGCCACTGGGGGTCCTTGTCGGGAAACCGATGGAACAGGCGCTCGACACACACCATGTCAAGAAGCGCATCACCTAGAAACTCCAGACGCTGATAGCACGGCACAATGGCCATTCGACGTGGGAGAGATGAATGTGTGAATGCAGACCGAAGCAATGCGGGATAATTGAACTGGTAGCCAAGCTTCTTGGATATTTGCTGCGCAAGGTCCAACTCGTACCCGTTCGGCACATTGTCTTGCCATTTGGGCTTTGTGTAAGACTGGTAGTAGTCAGCCCAAGATGTTGCAGTATGGCTCACTGTGGCCGTGTCATTTTTGACAAAGCGCGTCACAGCCTTAACGGCCATATCGAAGCGATGATTCGTGCCCCCGGAAAGGAGTGCAGCCGCAATCAGAGCCTCACAGACATCGGCAATCGTCTTCTTTGCAAGATCATGACTACTTTCGGCCAGGAAATTCCTTGCAAAGTTACGACCTTGAAGGAGACGGAGGCCTGGAGGGAACCATGTATGACTATGATCCATGTCAGTAACCACTCCGAGGAAAGATAATAGGCCAAAACATACCGAGAAAATCCACGACTCCGGATGTACTCATAAAGCTTGATGTCAACTGCGGCTTCGAATAGGTTCTTGTTGCAGATGAGACACATTCGGTAAACATGATAGTCGTACTCATTGTCATCCGGTCTCTTGCAGTACAGAGCAATTGATGTAGCCATCTTAAGAAAGCTATCGCCCAAGAACTCCAGACGCTCATAGTTCTTGCCCATGCCTCGTTGCACGTGTGTCTGTTCCTCACGATGCTCCTCGGTGTTGTCAGAGTCTTTGGTAAATGCTTCCAGGGCATAATCAAGCTTGATATCAAGGCCTATATGCTCGCATCCTTCCAGCACAATCAGATATGACTCCAGTCTGCTAATGATAGCAGGAAAGGCCAAGCATGATGACACCGTTGGCAAAGGAATCTAGAGTAAAGGTCAGAATGACTTGTACATGTTTTCTTGGGAACGGATGCAGAACCTACCGCAGAGAGCATCACCGCTTCAGGGCATAGAACACACAAGGCTTTCTCTGATCTCTCGGACTCATTTGCTCTATCCAAGAAATTTCTGCGAAGACAAACCATCTCTGCTTGCACGACCGGCTGGTTCCAGTTGCAACGTTGCAAGAAAAGGTCCCGTGACTTTCTGCCCAAGCTCGAGGAATAATTCATGATGTTCTTCATGTTGATGTCTCGACGGCGCGGGGCGTAGGAAGGCGGAGCGTCCGATGGTCGCAGATTAGGGTCAATCCTGAGTGGGAAATAGCGAAACTTTCCACTCCAGGGGTCATACATGAACCGATTGAGAAGGGATTCAGGGTCCATGTTTTCCGACCACTTCCACTCACGGTGCTCGTGACCGAAGCTCAAGACTTCCCAGTCAATGATTTCATTTGGCAACTCGGTGGGATTTCCAATATCTGCGTTTAAGTGCGCTGGGGCCAGCCAATACGGGAATGCCTCTGGTTTCGATTCAAAGACCTTGTGGAATACGTCACAGAAGACGGAGACTGTGAAGTCTGTAAAGTAACCCAGCTCTTGAGAGCTGACGGTAAGGGGGCTCTCCACGCACAGTGTTTGAACCGTGGTCTCTATGTCATCATCCAGGAAAATAGGGAAACGAGGGAAGCTTGGGAGCTTTGTACGGGTAAGTAGTATCAGGGGAGCATGCTCACGGGCCAGCGGCTTTAGAGGGTTGAACCGGATTAACGTGGCATAGAGCTCTGTTGGAATGGTCCCAATCTGATGGCTCCAGTGGGAAGGCTTACAGCGCCGGTCATATTTTTCCTGCTTCTTCGACGCAATTGCCAGCTTAGCATTTCGCATAGCAGGTAAGCGTCGATGGAAGATCGGCCTGAAATGGCCATCTAGCAGATTGCTCTTCCGGAGCACCAGGCAAGTGTCAAATGCCGCCGACCCTTTAGCCAGGGCTTTACTTGATTCCGAGGTGCCTAGCACGCCCCTGATAGGAGAATTGTCGGGAAGCGTGACCTCGCAGCTAAATTTCTCTCCCTCGGAGTGCATCAAGTAACTCACATAAGTGCCTATGTCAGCTTGAATTTGATTCTGATTATGATTAACGTCTTCCTCCTGATACTGCAGTGATGCTGCATAGCGGGCCAGAACGTCAATTGCATGCCCATATGTCAGCGTTGCTCCTGTGGATTCAATTTTGTAAGTTCTCAGTCCCTTTTTTCTTGCTAGCACTGCTTTCAGGTCGATATCATAGTCATTTCCACAAAGCAGCCGATCCTTGGGGAGTGCCTCGCAGAAGGATCTCATGAGAACTTCTGCTTCACGCACTTCTTGCACCTTCCTTTTCTGGGTCTCATTCTGATCTTCGACCATGGTTACATATGTCGATTCGGCGTGCCGTGCACGTCCGCGGCTCTGAATGTACTGGATGAGCGTGTCGTAGAGATCGAATCTCACGACGAAATTACAATCAGGGATATCGAGTCCTTCTTCTGCAACCGCTGTTGCAAACAGACAGTTGACCGTTCCATCGTGAAACTGGCCTCTAACCTCAAACTGGCGACGAAATGTAACATTCCCCGTGATATCAGACTTGCGAACGCCGACCAGGATTCCGGGGCGAAGATTTCGAATCTTCATTACCTCGCAAAGGCGCAGCAAGACCTTGGCTGTATTCCGTCGCTCGGTAAAGACGATACACTTCTTGTCATCCGATGAATCAAAGTGCATTGATAATCTCGCGATAAGAAGTCGGACTTTTGAGCTCAGCTGGCCTTCGTCGAGCGGATTCCGAAACTCGTGATTCTTCACCATCTCGCAAGCCTCTCTAGCACTCATGAGATCTTTCCGGATCTGATCAGTCTCACAAGGATCTAGCTCGGGATGTTTCCCAGTGCTGCTCTCAAGACGAGGTATCACGTCCTCTCTCAGAGCTTGGATCCACACTTGATCCGCACACCATTCACCCAGCTCTGAGCTAATAGCCCAAGCAAACCTGAAGACAGGCTCAAGTGATTTCTCCTTTCCAAAACTCTCTTGTAGTTGAGTGTACATTTTCGTTGCAAAAGGTGGGTTGAGCTTCGAATAGGTCCACGTTTCCTGATAGGGTCGGTTCACGATCTGGCGAAGTGCCTCCATATTTCCGGTGGTGGCAATCCGGCTCCCAAGGAGGACTTCGAGCTGACTACAAACATTGGTTAGTTAGTGTGATTCAATCTTTCACTAATGAGAAATAGTATTACGCTGCTGCTTCAGCCATTTTGGTCTTTCCATCGACAGGGGAGGCCGTCATCCCAAAAATTCTGGGGCGTTTGGACATGGGTGCTTTGAGATAGGACTCGCGGATAATGCTATTGATTGTCAGATATTCAATCGGAGTCCAATATGATACTTGGAGAGCTCACCGTGCATAAGGGTGATCTTTCTTCGCGTGGTGGGCTTCATCGAAGACCAAGATGTTGATCTGACTCATCTTGATGAAGCCATTGAGCAGGCATTGGTTGAGGATCTCCCCTGTGCAAACGATTACCATGTTTTTGGCAAAGTATTCATTCCAGACCTTTTGGTCCCAAAGGTCTGGGCCCATCGCACCGAAAATGTGAGCCACATTCTGATCCAGGTTATTTTGTAGCACAGCCGACTGCTGAAATACAAGAGTCACACTATGAGCCTATTTCTTGTCAGCGGTTGGCCATTATACAGAAGCTCTCAATCATCATACCAGGAAAAAGGCAATCCGAGGAGTCTTGCCATCAGCGCGGTCTCTCAGCTCTTGCTGTAAGATATGCTTGAGCAAAAGAACTGCAATCAGGGTTTTTCCCGATCCTAGAAAAATGGTTAATTTCCTGTATCCCATCAAAAAGACGGATATCCAAACCTGTGTCTAGAACCGCGATCGTGTTCTCGGCCTTTGCTCGCTCGAATAGCTCGATTTGGTACTCACGAGGATTAAGATCCCCGCGACCAATCTCTTGTCGTTTGAGTAACTGGGCAATGTTAAGATGCTCACGTGAATTGTCTGAGCCCCCAAGTCTGTGGGGATTCTTGGTCGTGCCGTGGTCTCGATTTGCGTGTTGCGCGAGTCTGCTAACTAGTTAGACGTAAGTGTAATAATTACCTTCTGTTGAAAACTTACAGGGATTGAAAATGGGCCTCTTGAAGTCGTTGTCGATGAGAGCGTCTCATCTGGGCAAGTTTTCTCTCAGTCTCGCCATCAGACTCATCTGAGGAGCTGGCCGGTGGCTCTTCATCAACCTGAAGAGGCGACATGGTTGATTTCTGTAGCATTTAGCGAAACGTGTGGTCAGGATAATTGTTTCAGAGGGAGTATCTGAGAAGGAGTATTTGAGGGTAGGCAGTATTTGAGTAAAGGGTATTTGAGTAGAAAGTATATGAAGAGGTAGAGGATATCTGAATTGAGGGTATCTGAGTTGAGATTTTTGTAAAGAGTAGATCTTTGTGTCGTCTCCAGGTCGTATTTAGGTAAGGAAGTATCGCTTGGATAGATGTGAGGGAGAGAGAGAGAAAGAACTAGAAATATATAAAAGAGGATGTGTAACTGCTTGTGGGTTTGCTGGTATATACCTTTTAAAGAAAGCTGGCTGAGTGACTAATGAGTCAACCTAGATGAGAGCCTAATGAGAAAACCATTCCTCTCAATTGAACTAGAGATCAACTATCCGAGTCTTGTAGTTGAATACACCATTCCAGCTCACTTAGAGATCATTTACTTTTCTAGCGATAAGAGAGAGCTCCCCACTTATCGCGCCTTATCGCCTCGCCAAAACTCCCGCCAGAATCGCGGGGACACAAGAGCCACGCCGAGATTATTTCATTCTCCTTCGTCAAGCTTCATCAACCGTCATGGAGGAATCCCAAAGTCTCCGGTCGCTATTCGCATCTGCAAAGGATGCGAAGACAGCGCTAGAATCAAGGGGAGATACCAACACCGAGAGCTACCGGGACGCAGTCAATGCGGCGATCGCCAAGTTTCACGAATGCCAGCGACAAGTCAGCATTTTGTCGCTATTCAGTTCGAATGAGTCGCTAGACGATGTATCAACGGGAGATATTCAGTGAGATTCTCGGAAATCTGTCAACTTGCCTGTCAATGGGCTAATCCTCCCCTGTTAGGTACATGACGTTGGAGTACCATCTTGCCGAACTCACACAACGAGGTCCTACTGCTGATCGCGAAGCTACCCTTCGGAGCGCCCTGGAACAATACGAAAGATTTATTACACGGCTTGACGAATACGAGTTACTATCTGCGGGGGACAAGAAGCTGTTGGAACAATACATGGCCAGCCCATCAACCTTCACACTCGCACCCTTAAACGATGCCGCAGCTCGGCGAGATGTCAAAGTGAGGCGCTTTAGGGAGGAGAAGGAGCTTAAGCAAAAACTGGAGGTCCGTTAAATATATTCCTGAATCATAGCTGGCTTACAGACTGACACGATGTGAAGTACCTTGCTCGCAACGAAGCTCGACTCCAAAGCGACGATGACGATACTCGACGACTTTACTTAGCAGAGCTGCAGCTCTATATACACCAGAGCTTCCAAGCCCTAGACCTGTTGATCCAAGAACTATCAATGCTATCTGCCATGCGCAATGCCCCCGCACCCTCACAACCGACCCCCGATGACCCGAGACAACGAAGTAGCCTGGGAGGCGCAAACTTCTCAGACCGCTTGGACCCGTCCCTGTCACAACTCTTGGGCCGGGGAAGAGGTGGACCGCTCTTGAACAGCAAAGGCAAGCCGATGCAGCCCTTCACATTGCTGGATCGTCGCACGCAGCTGCAGCAAGGTGTGTTCCGGTCTGGTCATAATCTTCCAACCATGACGATTGAGGAGTATCTGGACGAAGAGCACCGCAGGGGAAATGTACTCCAGGGTGGCGAGCAGTCGGGCATGAAACCGGAGGTTGACGAGGATGATATGGACAAGGCGGATCAAGAAACCATGAAAGCCCGTGCGTGGGATGAATACGTGGAGGCGAACCCTAAGGGGTCGGGCAATACCTTGAATCGCGGTTAAAAATGTATATCTGCTGCGAATTATGAGGTTCCGATGTGGGTTTTCTCATTCATGGATGGATGTCATGGTATAGATGGTATTGTCGGAGTAGAGTAAACCTCTCCAATACATGATTCATAAATTATTCTCACGGGCCTGTTTCCAAGTATACCACAAAATTCAAGTAACCGTACGCCGAATCATAAAATTCGTTAATTTATTCATTTTAAGCAGGGTATCGACCATATGCTATACATGGGTTGAGTCTATCAGAATATTTTTGTTTAGCTGGAGACATTCTCCTTGACCACCTTGTTGCGCTGGATCTCCTCCAAAATCGCGCCCGCACCGTCTTCCACCAAAGCCTTGGCCACGGTGACACCGAAAGCTTCTGCACTTTCGGTGGAATCAACATCGCCATCAACTTCGACCTGGGCGCATTGCTGACCGTCGACACTAACAACAACGGAGCGCATCCGCAGCTTCTTGGATCCATCCGCAGTTTGCACCCACTCAGTCTCGACACCCAGTGGCGCACTGCAGCCACCCTCAAGGGTTCGCAACAGACTGCGCTCGGCGAGACAGGCGTAGGTGGTTTCCGAGTGGCCAATCTTGCTCAACATCTCCTGCATGAAGGTATCCTCCTTCCGGATTTCGATACCCAAGGCACCTTGTCCAACGGCATAAAGCATTCCACTGCTCTTCGAGTCTAGGTACTGTGTGATACGATCTCCTAGATCTAGGCGCAACAGACCAGCAGCTGCGAGGATGATACAGGTGTAAGGGCTGTCTTCCGCATCCAGCTTGGCCAGACGGGTACCGATATTGCCGCGAACATCGAGAACCTTGAGGTGAGGGTATTTACGGGCCAATTGGGCGGTTCGGCGGATGGAGGAGGTTCCAACGATGGAGCCAGCGGGAATTTCCGCCAAGCTCTTGTATGACAGCCCTTGCTTCACGACGAGAACATCTCTGCTGTCTTCGCGGGGCATCATCGGGCCCAGTGTGCAGGTGGCGGGGAGGACGGTGGGGACATCTAATGAAATTGGGAAAAAAGTATGAGCGCATTGAACCAGACCAGTCAGAACGATTTGATAAAAGTAGGAATCCCCTCACCTTTGAGAGAGTGGACAATAAAGTCGACCTGTCCATCGATCATCAATTCCTCAAGCTCCTCAGTCCACAAATTCTTGGTCGTAAAATCACGCAGCGCAATTTTCGTGTTGAGATCGCCCGCAGTCTCCTTGGAGAAGATGTTGAACTCATAGTCGGGGTGTGTCTTCTTGAGAGCGGCGGCTACCAGCTCTGTCTGCTCGAGTGCAAGCTTGGATTTGCGCGTGCCAATGGTGAAGGAAGTCTTGGTGGCGGGGGTGGGGGCAGCCATCTTGGAATGGAGCAGGAGGAGGGTTAATGGAGGGATATGAAGAAGTAATGATCTGACGAATCACGTCACTTGTGCCAATGAGGAGAACAAAGACTCGTGAAAGGGAAAGCAAGCCGAGGAGTTTTGGCCGAGGAAAACGCGAAGGCGAGACGGAGGGGCGGAAGGAGGGTATAATTCCGTAGAGGGACCGATCACGGGACACGGCCGCAGCCGCTGAGAATCACGCCAGACGGACCAACATGCCAACATGATTCTGTGAGATGCGGGGTGAGGGGGGGGGGGAGGGGATATACGTTTATGCCTCATCTATAGAGATAGAGATAGCGTTACTGCAATCTACTATCCATTTACCGTACAATACTATGCACAGTCACCTACAATACTGTACCCTTTCCCCAGTGGATCCGCACGTCTGACGTACTTACTGGAACCTCGGCTTCGGGACGTGGAGACTGCGAGACATGCGACTCGCTCTTATCGCCTTCCCTCCCCCGGACTTCTCCCCCAAAGCCAATTAACTCGGCTTGCAGTAGGTTCTGGAACCACCTTCCTCGGCCATCTCCTCTTCTTCCCTTCCCCATCCCATTCTTCTCCCACCTCCCCCCTGATCACTACTCTGTGATAATTCAACTCGCCTACCACTCTCTCACTCACACACACACTCACACACCGCTCTCCTCTACATCCGCTTGCGAGGCCCTATCGCTGTATTTCGCCACCGTTTGATTCCTGAGGGCTATTCAAGATGGGATCCAACAGCGGTAGAGCCACTAAGCTTCCTCTGGTGCCTCTGGCCAAGGGCTCCGTTCTACTTCCCGGTGTCACCCTACGCATCCCGGTCTCTAATCGTCCCGATCTCACCAACCTGTTGTCGTCTCTGGTGGACCGGCCTTCAAAGCGTGACGGCAATTCGATCACCTTCGGATGTATTCCCTTGAGCTCGCCATTCCTCAGTCGCGATGGACAACAACTCCTAGAGGGTGAGGAGTCGGAGGATGATAGAAAGGAGGATTACGATTCAATCGACGCTGGCCAGGCACGCAAGGACGACCTCTTCCGTTATGGTACGGTTGGTAAGGTGATCGGGGTTCAGCGCCGGGCTTATGCCGAGCCATACCTGCTCGTCCAAGGCTCCCAGCGATTCACCATTAAGAAGGTCTTGAAGGATCGTCCATTCTTCGAGGCGGAGGTGTATCTCCATGACGAGAGCAGTAAGTTCCCCTCTTGAGCTGTACACGTCGATGAGTCAACAAGCAGATTACTGACCCTTCATCATCCGCCAGCTTCATCTATTCACGGCGATCCCGAGGCCGCTGAATTGTTCCAACAATTGCGACAGCTCTCTCGTGAGCTTCTTACCCTCCTGCGTCTATCCTCACTACTCTCTGCCGCCTCCACTCGCTTGTCGCCACTCGTGGCACGGAAGTTTGAACTTTATATCTCCAAGTCGGAATTAGGCCAGGCAGGAAAGCTCGCCGACTTTATGGCCGACGTATCCGATGCAAGCTTCGAAGAGAAGTTGCGGATATTGGCCTCATTTGATGTGAAGTTGCGATTGGAGCGCGTGGTGGAGATACTGACTCGCCAAGCTCAGCATATTAAGAGCAGCGTGAAGGTGACATCTATTACCACAACCTCCTTCCCCCTAACTCGAATGTTGATATTAGCCAGATCGATCCACGAGAGCGCGAGATTTTGGCAAGACGTGCGATGCAGGGATTGTCAGGTCTCACGCCGCCTGGACCGGCTGGCGGCCGTGGTAACGATAATGAAGAGAAGGAACCGAATGAGATTGATGAGTTGGCTCAAAAGCTCAAGGATGCACAGCTCAGCCCAGAAGCTCAGAAGGTTGCGGACAAAGAACTTAAGCGTCTGCGCAAGATGAACCCGGCCAACGCCGAATATGGTGTTTGTCGGACATACTTGGAGAACCTGGCTGAGATCCCATGGGCCAAGGTCACTGAAGACCAGCTCGGCCCTGATACACTTCAAAGGGCTCGTAAGCAGCTCGATGAAGATCACTACGGCTTGGAGCGGATTAAGAAGAGACTGTTGGAGTACCTGGCTGTGCTTCGGTTGAAGCAGAACACCAACCAGGATGTGGAGCGGCAGATCACTGGCCTCACGAAGGATCTGGATGCGGCCTCCCACGGAGACCTAGAGAACGATGTTCCTTTGATCTCGGAGGCTGATCGGGTTGCGCTTGAAGCTCGCCTGGAGATCTTGAAGTCTAAGCGTACGACGGACAAGTCTCCCATTCTGCTCCTCGTCGGTCCCCCTGGAACTGGCAAGACTAGCTTGGCTAGGTCTGTTGCTGCGTCACTTGGCCGCAAGTTCCACCGGATTTCTCTTGGTGGTGTTCGTGACGAAGCAGAGATTCGCGGTCACCGGCGGACTTATGTCGCCGCCATGCCCGGTCTCATTGTCAATGGCCTGAAGAAGGTTGGTGTCGCCAATCCGGTGTTCTTGCTCGACGAGATCGACAAGATTGGTGGTGCCAACTTCCAGGGCGATCCTTCTGCAGCCATGCTGGAGGTCTTGGACCCGGAACAGAACCACACCTTTACCGATCATTACATCAATATTCCCATCGATTTGAGCAAGGTTCTCTTCCTCGCCACTGCCAACTCCTTGGATACCATTCCGGCACCTCTGCTCGACCGTATGGAGACCATCTCACTCTCGGGGTACACTACTGTCGAGAAGCGGCACATCGCTAAGCGCCACCTGATTCCCAAGCAGGTCCGCGCCAACGGGTTGGCCGATAGTCAGATCAACCTGTCCGATGAGGTCATTGACAAGACCATCACATCGTACACTCGTGAATCGGGTGTGCGTAACCTGGAGCGTGAGCTTGGCTCGATCTGCCGTTACAAGGCTGTTCAGTTCGCCGATGCCGGCGACACTGATCGCCTGGAGGAGTATAACCCGACCGTAACCTTGGAGGATCTGGAGGAAATTTTAGGCATCGAGCGCTTCGAGGAGGAGATTGCCGAGAAGCACGGCCGTCCTGGTGTGGTCACCGGCCTCGTTGCCTACTCTAGCGGTGGCCAGGGCAGCATCCTCTTCATTGAAGTGGCTGACATGCCTGGTAACGGACGCGTCCAGCTCACCGGCAAGCTCGGTGATGTCCTCAAGGAGTCCGTCGAGGTGGCTCTCACCTGGGTGAAGGCCCATTCGTTCGAGTTGGGCCTTACTCACGACCCCAACGAGGATATCATGAAGAGCCGTAGCCTGCACGTCCACTGCCCGTCTGGTGCCATCCCCAAGGATGGTCCTTCGGCCGGTATTGCTCACACCGTTGCGCTCATCTCTTTGTTCACCAACAAGGCTGTGCCTCCGCAGATTGCCATGACTGGCGAGATCTCACTGCGGGGTCGTGTGATGCCTGTTGGTGGTATCAAGGAGAAGCTCATCGGTGCTCTGCGTGCAGGCGTGAAGACTGTGTTGCTGCCCTACCCTAACCGGAAGGATGTCAAGGATGTCCCTCGGGAGGTGAGCGAGGGCCTGGAGATTATTTATGTCCAGTAAGTTATATCCGTGCCTTTCCTCTGATTCAAACCAAGTCTAACATTTCCTCGCAGACACATCTGGGAAGCTCTTCGCCACATCTGGCCTGATGCGCACTGGCCTGGCCAGCACCAGATGAACTTTGTTGAGAGTCGCTTGTAGACCCCTCGGTCTTGACACAAAGTTCACTGTACCGTGCGTCGCAGATATCGCGTCGTTTTTTTTGTCGCCGTTCTTCCAGCCCCTCCCGCCTCCGGTCTTTTTTGCATAGCGTGGTTGACCCTTGTGGCCACCGTTGACTGTAATTAATCTTTGTGGCGATGCTATTAGGTCGTCAGGTTTTGTCATGTCAATATCCATCAATTCAATTCTCTGTTTAGATATACAACAATATGACAACATAACTACTATTGTTTGCATAATTTGAACTACAATAGCAATTGCCTCGCAGAAGAAAAAAAAAGACGGACTCAGATATTGAGACCTATAGAATGCGACCTCAAGATGATATAATACAAGATGTGCCCCATGAGAGAGTATGGAAAAAATACAGAAACAACCCATTTTCAATAGAAAAGAGCCAAACACCCAAAGTCAAGGCCCCAATGACTATTTCGCCATCCACTTCGGAGCAGCGGAACTCTTCCCTGTCCTAGTGAACTCCTTATGCGCAAAGTCCCAACCCAACACCTTTGACGATGACCGCCACTCCGCGGGATTCTTCTTAATCTCCTTCGCCTGCTCCTCGAAGGCCTTGCGCACATCAGTATCAGGCTCCTCGGCCTTGTGAGGTTTATCCTGCATCTGCTTTTGCATCTTCTTCTGCCACTTTTCGCTGGCGTCCCAAGAGCTCTTCTCCCATCTGTTTGAAATACAACACATTAGCAATGAACTCGATACTGAAGGCCGCGTGTGCAAGTTGATCACCGATCATGCACAACACCGAAAAAGTAGGGATAATGGGGGAAAACGTACGGGCTGAGATCCTTGGGCTCCTCGGGGTAGACGAAGGGCTCGCGCAGTTCCACGGTCATCCGCTTCTGTGCCTGCGGCCGCCGCCATGCACCAACGTTGCGTCCATCCCGCGTCATACGGGTGATGGGCTGCTGCTCGATGTAGCTGCGGACGCTGACTACGCCCACGCCGTACAGGTTCTGGAGGTAGTCGCGGAGATCGAGCTTGTTGAAGTTGAGGGGGACGCGGAATTGGGCATAGCGGGGAGAGAGGAAGGGTGTTCGGACGAGGGCGATGACGAATTCAGGCCTGCAGGTTACAGTAGTGTTAGCATTGGCTAAGTATGAAGGGCGGAGTCGTAAAATTGACGATGCTCGCTTGAGGCCCTCGGAGATCTGAAATTTGATGCGCGGCTTTTGGGGGAGTGTCGGGATGGGGTTGAACGTACAGGAAGACCTGTTTCCGTTGGGCAGGCGGCACGAAGGCGTTCTTCGCTGCCTTGGGAATTGCGACTGCTCTGCGCACCATTGTGAGGATGTGAGGATGTGGATGGTTAAACGGTGTCGGAGCACTGGAGGAGTATCTTTTGCGGGTGTCCAAATTGCGCGAATGGCCGCCCCGCCGACCGTACCCTTTCTTGCCAAGAGATTCTATACAGCAGAGTTTCAAGATCATCTCCGTCAGTCATGCTTAGAAAGATAAATCGCGGGATATTCCTTAGGCCTTCTAGAAAGGAAATTCAAAGACATTCGGAAAGATGTTTAGAAATGGGCCGAGGAGGTTGAAGCGTGTCTCGGTAGGCCTTTTCTTCCATCTCTTGTTCAAGAAATGAACTACTACTACAACGTACGATTAATCTTCGCCCACACTCCGAATAGGCACTTTTACGGTAACTAGAGAACAGTGGGTTGCTCGAATCGATATGTATTCAATTTCGGGACGAGAAGATTCATTTCGTGACGGGGTCCGCCAAAGAGACGGCTGGCAAAACCAGTCAGGCTGCGCAGCACGATTCGTGGACAGGCTAGCAAGCTGCCCATGGACTCCAGCGGACGGCCTCTTACTATGGCACTTTCGAAAAAGGCGTGCTCGCTAATATGCGAGGAGCTGGAGAGCCGATCGAGGCCCTCCTGAGACAGACAAGATGGCGACGCTGCGAAGCGAGCCATATGGCAAGGAGGGATTTGGGAGGGAGCTCGAACTTAGACTCGGACATAGAGTCGGAGAAGAACATCAATGCGAACGTCAATGACAGCCGCGGCGCCGCGTGGATAGGCAACGTTGAATGTGGTCATCATCATTCATGATCATTAGAGCACAAGCTCGGATCGCGCTCAGGGCGCTGATGACTCGGAGACCTGAAGCTTCTCTAGCCGTTCAGAGCTCTCATCCACTTCTGTGCTGCTCTGTCCAGGTTGTTCATCCTCTTCTTCTTCTTCTTCTTCTTCCTCCTCCTCTTCTGAGCTCTCCTCTTCATCATCCTCATCCTCATCGAGGTCATCACGAGCAGCGCCGGCATCACCATCTGCACCGACCTCCTTCATATAAGTCTCCAGCTCGCGAGCCATCTTCCTCGAGAATCCAGATGCCTCGACCTCAACGTCCAGTCTCTTGCCAGGGTTCTTCAGGAAGTTCTTCTTGGCATCGGCAAAGAATGGACCAGGTACGTCACTGACGAAATGGAACTTTCTTTGGAAGTATCGCTTGATACAATTGACATCTCGATCAAAGTACATCTCGGCATTGACATGATCGATGGAAACCATCTGTGGGAAATCGATGATCACCGGTTCCAGCCGGACGTTCTCATCAGAATCTTCAGCGTCCGCATCTGCGGAAGCCTTTCCCTTTCCCTTGCCGGTAGGGTCCACAATCTCCTTGATCAAGATGTTGAACTCGTTGAAGTCACCGTGAATAAGGCCGAATCGTGCCAGTTCCAGAATAATATCCATCAACTCCGAGTATAGTGCTTCGGGATGGGGAACCTTGGAAATCTGACGGAGTGGGAAAGCATCGATCAGCTCCATGACAATGGTGTGTCGGTTCTGAGCGATGGGCTCGGGGACATTGAATCCGTTTTCCCGGAGCGCCTTCATGAATGCGAATTCCTTCATGGCTGCCAGTCGAGACATGTACATCCAGGATCCTGTGTTTCGGTGTCGGAGGTAATCGCGGTTGGTCTTGACGGTTCGGAAGGAAATACGGCCCAGACGGTGAATCTTAAGGATGCGCTGAGATCCGCTGCTGTGTGCGACCACGACGATATCTGATTCCTTGCCCACGCCAATCTGGTTGCCGACCGAGTAGACAACTTTTTGTTTCTGGTGCGCGTTCAGTGCCAAGTAGTCGAGACCGCCGTAAGTGAGTCGATACCCATCGTCTGCAGATTGAGTAGGGGAAAATTAGTTTCTGATGCATGAAATCAATGCGATGTGGTAAGATAATGGCGTACACTTCGCATTCTTGACCTTTGCGATCAGGTTCGTCTTGGCCAGGTTCGAGATAGACCGATGCACGCCACTGCCTCCACGAAGCCCCGATAGCTGAGAAATGAGAGGGGTGGGAACGACTTCATGGTTACGACTTCCAGCTTCCACCTAGTAGAGAGATTCTGGTTAGCTGACTGGACTATCATCGTAGACCCGTTGGCGGGAGCCCATGGCGGGGTGGAGGGGTTGATAAGTACCCCTTGAAGCACTCTGAAGTCCTCCGAGGTGAGATAACGAAGAGCCTTGGCGTCGAGCTTCATCTTCGAATGGCCTCAAATCAGTGTTAAACTCTGGATTGGGACTGTCAAGGAAAATGCGTCGGGCTTGAACATGCAAGAAAGATGCGGAGATGGAAAAAAGTGATAAGCTCATAGCCCTAAGCCCTATTTCCTATCTGGGACGGATTCTAGATATCTTCATGAGGACCCTGGTCGAACCTCATTCCATCAGTCCAAAGGAGATGAGATGAAGGAGATTTATTTAGCGACATTACATGGAAATTAACAACTATCGGCTTATAATGTAACGTACATCTTTAAGCCAGAATAATAAAGGCACAAGTCCCCAACGATCGAAAGACTAGTCTACACAAGAATTCCTAAAGGACGCAGCCTGTCCCAACCGGCCGATATACCGATAAAATCAAATGCAAGAGGGGTAAAATTCCATGCTATTCCTCAGTCGTTCTGAATACATTAGATCCGACAATAACCCGACTACTATACTGGTCCCGCTGGTGGCGGGTGATGAAGATAGATCGGGAAACATCTCATTTAGTTTATTCGGGGACTTCCCAGTCGGGGTTCTGAGATATCTCATTAGTGCGATGGCCACAAAATATAATGAAAAGGACATCAACTTACCTTGCGCAGAATGACCAAGCCCTCCAGCGTGCTGCTGAGAGGAAGGTACTGCTCGTCCTCCAGCTCAGCTCTCTCACCGTATGAAAGGAGAACTGGCGTGCTCTGGGTCTGCCAGCCAGTGATAGTCTTGGGACGACCAGCTTGGCCAACAACATCAACGGCCTGACCCACTCGGACGTTGACAGTGACGGGTTGCAGGTCTTCGTCCAGGGTGACGAGGAATCGAGGGAACATAGCGGTGATGAGGAAGTAGAGAAGGTAGTGGTGCTCGGCGAGGATGAATTGCTTAGCGTCAATCAAGGACACCAGAACAGTGAGCAAACCGGCGGCCGATACCCGTGATAGAACCTGGCGTTCGGTGTGGAAGGGGTTGAGGGTCATGGTACCCTTACCCATGTGGAGGAGACCCTGGGCGATGCGCACCATGAACAGAGAGTTCTGGTCTCGGTGGTAGTAGCTTGCCAATTGCCTCAGAAGCTGAGCCAGGCGGGCATTGTTGGTACCAGCGCCGCAGAGACCCATGGCGAAGATGGCGTTAATAGCAACATCATTGTCATTGTCGTGGCTGTACCGAGACAAAGTATCGTAAACCTTCATCTGGGGGTTGCTAGGACTGATAAGACCCATAGCGAGAGGGACGGCCCGACGAATGTTGCTGGAGCCGTAGTGCATGAGGTGGCCGAACTGGCGGAGAATCATATCTTGGCCAACATCCTCACCCATGGCAATGAGGGAGAGACCCAAAACAGCGTACGACTGAACGAGCTCGTCGCCCTTGTTCTCCTCCTTCTCTTCAATGATGTCATTGCAAATGTGCAGAAGTTCCTGGAGCTTGAGGACGGTGCCGGTGCCGGCCCAGGCGCAAACTGAGGCAAGAACGGAAGTGGGCTTGGCCATGGGGTGGTCAACAGCCTTCAGGATGTCTAGAATAACATCGACTTCCTCCTGACGACCAAAGTACAGCAGTGCCAGACCCAGTGCCATAAAACGAGTCCACTTGTCCTTGAGCTGCTTCTGACGCTCCTCATCCATCAGGGTCGTAGCAATGGCCTCGCTGACCTGGTGGTTTGATGATCCAACGAAGATAAGACCCAGAGAAACTGCTGCCATGGCAGAAAGCTGCATGTCCAGCGAGGCGTCTTCCACAATTGGTAGAAGGATCTCCAGGAGCTCTTCCTTGTTGGAGCCGGCATAAGCTAGACCAAGACCCATGATGGAAGCGACCCGCATTGGTACGTTCTTAGCGTCCAGGTTGTCGGGATCGCTCAGGAGGGCAAGGGCAGGGTCAGAGTCGAGACGAACACCGGAGTTCAAGATACCAATTGCAAGCAGAGCACCGGCTTTAACCTGATCCTCCTGAGCATATGTGAACTTATCAATCTTATCGAGTCCGTCCTCAACGTCTCGGTGCAGCAGCATACCCAAGGACGCAGTCGTCGAGAGCATACCGTCATCCTTGGTCTTCCACACCCATGGGCCCTTCTCTCCCTCAACGAGCATCATCTTATCGTTGCCGAAACCGGCGTTGACGAACGAATTGACGAAGGCACTAGCCAGGTTGTGTCGTGCCGAATCGAGGTTTGTGAGACCGGCACCGCGACTGTTTTCAAGATGTGTCTTGTAAATGTCTTCGGGCATTTTCGGGTCCAAGATGTTGAGCTCCTTCCCGAGGGACTTGAAGTGCTTCGGAATAGAGGTGTTGTTCAGGCAGTCGTTGAGAGCCTCGTCATCCTCATCCTCGATAGGCAAATCAAGCCAGATCTGCTGCCGTGAAACCAGGAATGCCATCTGCTTCTTAAGAGCCTTGTCATCAGTAGCGTTGATGTCACTCTTGATGAGGTCGATGTCGTTCAGTCGGATAGCGAGCACGATGGCTTGGGAGAGTTTGTTGTAGCGAACATAGATCTCGTGGGCAGTGCGGAGGAACTGCTGGTCCTCGGGATAGGTGAGAAGATTGACCATGCTGACCATGTACAAGCAGACACGGGAATATGTGTTCTCGTCCACGAATCGCGGAATCTCCTCGATCATCTCCATTTCGCTCAGCAGATCAACGGCATCGGCCTCGGCGTTGTGGCTCAGGAAGTAGGGGACTAGCGAAAGCGCAAGGTCCAGCAGATCCTGTGTTTCCTTCTCGGCGTTCAATCGGTTCTGATATTCTTGCCCAATCTCCAACGCCAAGTGGCGAATATATTCGTGGCCCCATGAGCCAAGGTCCTCGGATTTGGCCAACAGGCGGTACTTGAGTGTCTCTAGCTTCTCCTCATCACCGTAAGTCATACCAAGTACAGACAACATATCGGCGAGCGAGTCCTAGAAGAATCAAGTGAACCCGTTAGCATTTTCTGTCCGTGAATGTGATCGAAACTGCTTGAATATACCTTGACGGAACCCGCTGCCCACTTCTCGTACAGCTCTGCAAGCTCATCATAATGCGGTCGAAGGAATTTGAGAGGCTTGGGAACGGCGGTCATGGAGGATGTTGAGGTCTTGATGAAGTTCTTGATGGCGTCCAAAGCAGGTCCGTAAAGGGAGGTATCCGGCTCCTATCACGAGCGGTTGTTAGCACAAACGTCATCGCGAGCGTCCCGCTGGGGCATGGGAACCATCGTACCTTTAACCGCTCAACAAGCATCTCCAGCTCATCTTTGAGTTGTTGGTCTTCTTCACTGAGCTCATCTTGAGAACAATTAGCATTTGTTCCGAATAGCAAGGGATTGCAACCGAGGCCACATGCTCTCTGCTCGGAAACCCGGTGGTACAACGTGCTTGTCAGGACCTACCTTCTGGGAGCTCTCCATCCTTCTTCTTGTCTTCAGCAGGGGCCTTCTCGTCCTTCTGGGGCTTCTTGCCGTTCAACTCGCGAACATCTTCAGCTTTGCCCTTGCCCTTGTCGGCGGAGGTTGGCCGTTCGCCCTCGTTCGCCATCTCTGACGGTATCAGGCGACCAGGTCGGTGTGGAATTAGAGGAATGCAACGAAGGCTCGGGTTTAAAGCAGCGATGTATGCAGTGACTCAATGAGAGAAAGGGATAGAGTCCTGCAGATGGCGGGTGGTGCGGTGGATTGTAAGCTGGTTGATGGAAGCGCAGAGAGCTCGGGCTGCGTGGTGCAGCTTCCGGATTATGTAATTCTGCCAAGCCCTCGTCATTGTTTTGTCTCGATCCAGTCTCCGCCTCGAGCTGACCGAGATCCCAACATCGTCTTGAACAAATGAGATTTGAATTCTACGGATATAAATGTCATAGGCATATGGAATTTCAGGTTGGCCTTCAACTCAGAATTTCAATAACATTCAAATTTACTGTAAAAAGTCCTGCTTCTATACGATAACGCTAACTTGTAGGATAGACAGATCCTCCAAATATCAACAGATCATACATTGAGACAGAACAGATGTGCAGAAGGGTCATCGCCAAAGTCTTCACCGTGAGAACAAGTTCCATATCGAGTCCTGAATTCTTTGGCATAGTCCATGGTCTGCTTCAGAAACATTTCTTCTGTTAACCGCTCTGCATCATAGGACAGCAAAGGAACCGACTCAAGGAGAGACTGCCCGAGTTCGAACGTGTCGAGCAGAGGCATGATGGTATGCGCACGGTCAAGCGGATTTTCTGCCGACAGTCCTCCAATACCGTTGGGCTGTTTGGGGTCTGCTCCATGCGCGAACTCCTCTGGAGGATGATACAAGTCCGTATGTACTGTGGCCAGAGGTGAGGCCGTACGTCCGGGAAATGAGGGATAAATCATATAGTATCCTTTGGCTCTTATCATCTCCAGTAGATATTCCATAAAGGCGGGATATTTAGTGGAGATGAGCTTGTCTCGCGAGGCAATACCGGCAGTTGCCTCTGGGATAGCCAAACGACTAGAAACAAACGAGTGCAACTCGGCCCATTTGTCTCCGAAGTAGAGTGCCGCATTGCTGTTAGGCATCTGCCAGAGGAAAGATGGAATGTTTTCTTGCTTGGGATCTCGAGTCGAATCAGAAGACCGCTGCACTGGTGGAGTGAATGACTCGCTCTCGGAAGTTGGCTTCACAGATGGCAGTTCTAGTGAAATGCCTAAGAGTCTCGATGCCCCTTGTTGTGCACGAGCAGACTGCTTGTAAAACAGTATGCTATATTTAAGATAATGATAGAATGACGGGGCCAGCTCCGTCTGGGGAGACAACATGAGTAAGTGTGACACTCTCGGGTTTAGAGGGTAAAAGCTTTCCACAGTGCGAAGGGAAGACTCGACCGGGTCCATGTCGTGGGGTTGGATGCGTCGCCGCAGGGTGATGCGTCCTTTCAATTGAGACAACCCATCCAGATTTTGCAAGCTTTCTAGCAAATCAGTGTCGGTCCAGGGAGGTAGCTCGATAGTCAAGCTGGGCTCAGTACCCAGATAATCGGCAGCATCCAATGACCGTATTAGTCGAATTAGGGAGCTTGATGATTCAGAAGCATGGACTAACATATCGACATGGACATCGTTCCAGGCTTGTAGAGAGTCAGTATTGCGAAAAGATTGTAGTCGTGATAACAAGAGACTTGCCTCGAAGAGCGGTGCTCTCAATATGCGCCATCCACATGAGATTGATCGAAGGGGCAGGAAGTGCAATATGAGGAGTGTCCGACGCCTTCTTATGTGTTTGAAGACCATTCCAGAAAAAAGATTCTTCCCAGTCTCGACTTTGCGTGATGATAACTTCCGGGGCGATGAACGCTTGGAGGATCTCAAACCCTCCTGCCACCGACATTTCTAGACGGGCATGCGTAGAGTCGGGTGCACGGTCTGGTCGGCTGTCTGTTTAAAGGTATCAGTATCTAGGATATAAAGGATTCTTGTTGAGTGATGAATAGCGTACCATGCCAGGTTATTGGGCATTCGGGGTCGCGAATCCCGTTCACCTGTTTAATGCCATCAATCGACACCTCCTCCTTCCCCATCAAGACAAAATGTACGTGAGTCAACCGCTTGGAAGCCATCCTGCAGGCTAGTGGCAGCATATCTGACACACTATGAAGACTGGCTGCGGCAAATAATACTACCTCGCTAGCCAACGTCGCAGGCCGTGGTTTGCGAGGGAGCGATTGGGCCAGTTCGTAGAAATGGATCTTTCCATCGTAAGCCCGTTCCGCTTGTTCCTTGTGGTCTATGTTTATCTCTGGTGATATATGGACCTTTGGCGGCGTGGGCGACTGTACCGATTCTAGAGGTGTGGGGTTCTGGTGTTTAAGCGCCGCGATCTTCGGATTGTATCGTTCGGCCGCGGGTGCTAAGTCTGTGGGCATGTGCTTGAAAAACTCATAAAGAAGAAAAAGTGTAACCAGCACTGCTATAAGACGTCGGGGACGAGGAATTCTCGACTTTTGAAGGGGACGGAATCGCGTTGGGTCGGACATTCGGTGATCATCATCCTTCTTGCCCTGCTCTTCATCAGCCCGTAAAGGCATCTTTGTAGGCGCCATAGTATGTACACGCAGACGGCGTAATACCACGTGCCCCTGAATATGGCATTGAAAGCAAAGAATTCCCGATTCAATGCTCAGGATTACTTCCAGGTTGAGCTGGCCGAGAGATTTGGGGAGGTCTAATGAAGTGAAGGGATCCACCAACAATGATATCAGCAGCGCTTATCGGCTTATCGGCTTATCGGCTTATCGCTTCGTCGCCGTTCGCGTTTCCTCTCCACGCCTCGACGCCAACACGCGACGCACTGTTTAGCTCAACATGGAGGGCGAGATGGATGTCGATACACCCGAGCAGAGGGGCACAAAGCGTCCGGTGGAGGAGAATGATGTTTCTGGACCTCCTAAACCGAAGCGGATCAAGGTGCGAGAAAGCGGCTGATTACGCTGCCATCACTTCATTCGAATCATTGTTGAGCTAACGGAGCTATAAAGGCCCTAGACCCCGACGTGGTCAATAAAATTGCCGCTGGTGAAATCATCGTCGCGCCTATGCACGCACTCAAGGAGCTGATCGAAAACGCTGTGGATGCGGGATCCACATCGATCGAAGTTCTCGTCAAGGATGGTGGGCTGAAGCTACTACAAATTACGGACAATGGACATGGCATTGATGTAGGTTGGCCAGGACATGATATGCTGGATGTAAGAGAGAGAATATAGATGCTGACAATGTCTAGCGTGATGATCTTCCCATTCTCTGTGAGCGATTTACAACGTCCAAACTGAAAGAATTCGAGGACCTTTCTTCTATCGGGACATACGGTTTCCGCGGCGAAGCGTTGGCAAGTATCAGTCATATTGCCCACTTGACAGTTACAACGAAGACCGCAGGATCCAGCTGTGCCTGGCGAGCGCACTATGGTGATGGCAAGCTGGTCCCGGCCAAACCAGGCCAACCTGCTGCGCCGAAGGCTACCGCCGGACGAGGAGGAACACAGATAACCGTGAGTATTGGCCGTACTAACTAGGAGAGAAATAACTGGTCCTAACAAATATACTAGGTGGAGGATTTGTTCTACAATGTGCCCACTCGCCGTCGCGCCTTTCGATCAGCAAGTGAAGAGTATGCCAAGATCCTCGACGTGGTAGGCAGGTATGCGGTACATTGTGCCGGAGTCGCTTTCTCATGCCGCAAGCATGGTGATTCAGGCGTTAGCGTTTCGACCCCGTCGGCTGCCAGTACGATTGACCGGATTCGCCAAATTCATGGCAGCGCGGTTGCCAACGAGCTAGTCGAGTTCAAGGTCTCTGATGATAAGCTTGGTTTTCGTGCCTCGGGACTTGCGACAAATGCCAACTACCATGTCAAGAAAACTACCATCCTACTCTTCATCAACCACCGTGCCGTTGAATCGACCGCTATCAAACGAGCCGTGGAACAGACATACTCTGCCTACTTGCCCAAAGGCGGCCATCCTTTCCTGTATCTCGACCTGGAGATCGAGCCCAACCGCGTCGATGTCAATGTCCACCCGACAAAGAGGGAGGTCAACTTTTTGAACGAAGATGAGATCATCGAGATGGTCTGCGACGAGATCAGGTCCAAACTAGCTCAAGTCGACTCGAGTCGAACCTTCCTCACTCAAAGTCTTCTGCCGGGTGTACAGACCATTGAAACACTTCAACCATCATCCAAAGATGACGCCGCGGATGGGAAAGCAGCAGCTACTCCCAAGACACCCGCACCAACGAAACGTCCATACGAAAACAATCTGGTTCGAACGGACTCCAAAATCCGCAAAATCACCTCTATGCTCACTCCAGCTCCTATCCCCTCACCTTCTGGTCAGGGTACATCTACCGAGCCCGGCATTCTACCACCTCCCATTCAAGACGACGGACTACAGTACGAAATCACAGATCGTCAGCCACTCCGCATCGCCCTAACATCCGTCAAAAATCTCCGCAGTGCCGTTCGCGCCACAATGCACAACACATTAACCGAGATGTTCGCATCGCACACATACGTCGGTCTGGTGGACGAGCGACGCCGTCTCGTAGCCATTCAATCCGGCGTGAAACTCTACCTGGTAGACTATGGGCTCGCATGCAACGAATTCTTCTACCAAGTCGGACTAACAGATTTTGGAAATTTCGGTGTGATCAAGCTAGATCCACCGCCAAAGCTGGTCGATCTATTGCAAATCGCAGTCGATGCCGAGAAAGAGGAACAAGCCGATGGGAATAACCCGGAAGCTGCCAGTATTCTGGCCAATGCTGCGGAGTTGATCTCTCGGACCCTGGTCGAGCGACGGGAGATGCTCGACGAGTACTTTTCAATGAAGGTCAGTGAAGACGGGGAGTTGCTTACCCTCCCGCTTTTGTTGAAGGGGTATGTTCCATCGCTGGCGAAGCTACCGCGCTTCCTACTTCGTCTTGGTCCGTATGTGGACTGGACGGGTGAGGAGGAGTGCTTCCGCACGTTCTTGCGTGAGCTGGCTGCTTTTTATACACCGGAGCAACTCCCAGTTCTCCCGTCACCGCCGTCAAGGGATCTTTCAGCAAATCCCATCACGGAGGTCGGGCAAGAACGGGCCCAAACCAGTGCAGAGGGTGCAATGGAAGGGAACGAGGACCCAATGATCCAGGCGCGCCGTGCGCAGATGATGAGAATGTTAGAGTACGCTGTCTTCCCGGCGATTCGCTCGCGATTGGTAGCTACGTCCCGTATGCTCAAGGGGGTAGTCGAGGTCGCCGATCTAAAGGGTCTTTACAGAGTATTTGAGCGATGTTGAGCATCCCAAACAACCCGACACGCACCAGAATTACCAGTTACGAATATAAGATACTAGTCGAAGAGACAAAGTAAAACTCCAGACCCCTGGATAGCATTCAAAATAAGATACTGTAGATCCCGTAGTCCTGGTGATTGACCACGCCCGTCCTTGCCCATACTCTGTAACACATGTCCCTGGTCCAGTACAGCCTAAAGGTATAACAAAATGAGAAGTGAAAAGAAAATGCGGTGTCGCTTTGGCACATAGGATCCATGAACCACGAAAAACTGCCCGCAAAACCCGTGTCAATATGGATGATCACCCGATATTCTTAACCTCGGAGAGGATGATGTAGAATAAGGAACATAAAGCTCCATGATCCGCAGCCTGATGGTGTAGAAAACGATGAATCGGAAAATCCTCGGAAGAAATGAAGAGGTAACAAGGAGCGGGTAGCCCAGCGACATGGTACTGTAGAAATGAAAATTGCCCTGCCGTGGTTGCAAAGTCGAAACGGAAAGTATGGTGGGAAAGTGTCAAAGTAAAGAGTAGCGTTGCATCGTCAATCCATGTGGTTGGATCCATCGTTTCTTCTGGTAAAATCCTCGCAACGCCCAGCGCCAAACTCAAATACAAATCAATCAACAAGTCATCCCTCGTTCACAAAGTCGTGTGTCAAATCGTTCAAACATAATCGAAAGGGATCAAAGATCCTGCATGGCCGTGGAAGAATCGAAAGGAAAAAGGTATAATGAAAATCGGCCATGCGCAAAGGTGACAGTGAGAATCACCAAAGGTAAACGAACAAAGATTAAGGATATCGAGGGCGAGCATATCAAGTCGGAGTTTCGAGTAGTGTATGCAAAGCTCTGAAGGAGGGGTTGACGGTATGAGGGTAGTATTGTGCCGTGAATCAGGTTCTCGAGTACGGTTTGTTCAGGAGAGCGATCTCACGCGAGACGGTTGCCCATTCTAACTCGCGTTTCGAAGGAATGCCACGCTTTTGCTTTTGCAGTTGTTCCCACTGTAGAAGCTCGTAGCTTTGGATTTTCGTCAGCAACGAGGAAGCGAAGAGTGGGAGCTAGATGACTTACACAAATCGAAGATGAGGCTGAATGATGACGTTCAACCGTCTAGCTCGGACAAAGCAACTGGGTGGAAGCGAGGTCAGATGAGAAGCTCTTGACAAAAAAGAAAAGGAAGGGCTGACATACTAGGCACGAGGGAAGGACAGGCCCTGCGAGGCCATCACCTCGGCGATGCAAATACTAGCGGATCTAGAAACACCCACGCGACAATGGACCAGGGTTGCGGTTCCGTCGCTCTTTCCCTTGCCTGTGACGTTGTCAGTGATTAAACACCCAAAACAAATGCCCAAATAGGGCAAGTCGCAGAACGTCGAGAAAACAATGTCAACTCACCGATGAACTCCAGACACCGATCAATCTCCTCTGATAATGGGTCAATGCCATTATCCTGCACATTGTGAATAAACATCAAGTTGTCGCCACCCCATTTGGAACGTTCCTCGGGACTCCAATTAACAGCCTCGCCGATGCTCAAAACACGTCGGATGCCGAGCTCCCGCAACAAGTCTGGGTTGTTCGCATGGTTGAGGTTCCCCAGATACAGATACGGCAAAATCCGACTGGGGAGAGATCCATCCATCTTCAAAAACCAGTCAGGATCCCAAATACACGACGTGTCTATGGACTGCGAGGACGGGCTCTCTTGCAACAGACGCGGCTGAATGTGGCTCAGGAATGCAACGTCCGTCGGGTACGTAAAGAAGTTGCGCTTTTTATTACAATGAAGCTGAAGCCAAGCCTCCGGGGCAGGAACTCCCTCGGCGAACATGTAATATGCGACGGCGAGCAGCGAGCTTTCGGTATACCCATCGGCACAGTGAATCAACACTCGGCGGGGCTTCTTTCCAGCTTCAGTCATGGCGACGTCTCCTTCGTGGTCAACTACCTCGGCAGGCTGTTCTGGGTTTGCCAGGTAATAGATCCAACGGATCGTGTTGACGATATCTTCCACTTCACGGGTATTGCCAGAGGGAAGAACGATCGAACCCGATGAGGGGAACTCCATCCGCTGGGTGCCACCTTCGAGTTGCTTGTCAATCATGCCCAGCAGTCGAGGGCCGGGGATGTTAGCCAAATCGCTGGCCTCGATCAAAAGATCATAGGCCTCCTCTTTGGGCGGCTGACAAGTGCCAGGTCTCAGGATATACTCTGGGGTAGGTCCAAGGAAAACATTGGCGGAGATTTCTGATGCTCGCGACATGCTGCACATCTCGATTCGCTCCCATTGGACTAACAGATGGTAAGTATGTGACTTTTATGAGTTCTTGTTGTAGAAGGAAAACTTACAGAAGTCCATGACTTGGCCCGTGGTATGGCCATGAGAGTCGATCGCCACCATATTGGGGCATTTCTTTTCGAACTCGGCAAAGCTACCTAAATTGGGTGTGAGTTGAAGGATGTTCTTCGACTACGGAAGCAGGGAAACTCACTAGTCAGGACAAAGGTGTTGTATGCCGGACGCTCCTGGGCGGGGTCATGCTTCAGTCTCCAGGCTTGCTGGGCCGTTGCGAAATCCTCCGCCAATGCAAGTAACTCGGATCTACTAGCACCATCTTCGGCATAGACCACAATATCCGACATCGCAGCCAACTTGGCCGTCTGAATCTGGAAGTTCCGAACGGAAAATCCCTCAGGTGGATCGGACATTAAGAAGCGTGCCGAGGGAGTGATCACCTCTTGGGCACTCACGGTGCCCTTGATGCGTGCCTTACTCAAGTCTCCACCCAGCTTGACCACAGTGATGCCCCGCCAGCATTTCGGGGATCGGCGTAGCGAGCGTTTACGACCGGAGAAGAAGCCCAACTGCAGGGGATTGTCCGGATGCAGACCGTGCAGCCAGGGGAACATTTGCGATGGATCTGGCAGAGGCTGTGCCGCCTGGTGATTCAAGGCGGCAGCCAGTGTTTCACCATCGAGGGCATATACCGTTGGCGAGGGCGGGCGCGAAAGACGCACGAAGCTCTCTGGGGGATACAAGAGAGAGGATGTCTGGTCATTGGCCGATCGGAGCCCCGAGGACTCCTGGGAGGCAGGCTCCGACGGGGAGGGCCCAGTTGGGCAGACGGGCAGATGCTTATTTGGGATTGGGCTGGCTCGGCGGGGGATAGCGAGCGCAGTGGGAATGGGTGAAGGCGGCGGGTTTGAATGCTGCAGCGCATGCTGCTGCTGAACGACGACGGTCGCCATGACGAATGGGCTGAGGGCGCACAGTGGATGATCGCACGTAGGTGGGGGAGTCTCGTTGTATTGGGATTCGGCAGCCAGAGATCAGGTGGATCACCGATCACATCTCTTGTGAATACTGGGTCTTGCGAGGGTGAACGAGTGGGAGAGAGATAATGCGCTCCGTTGAATGGCACGAAAGGGGGTTAAATCTGCGATGGGACGTTGTTAGGTGGGTGAGCTGGATTTTGGAAGTACAGAGAGGAGGAGGGATTGTGTGAGAATGTGAAGGGAGGGTGGTCAATTACAGTCCACCGTCATACGACGTTGAGAGATAAGGGACGGGCCAGCAAGGGGGGGAGGAATGGATCGGAAGGCGAGTACAATGAGGAGAGGACAAGAGGGAGGAATATTAGGGGGAAAGAAAGCACTTACAGAGAAGGTGATGGATTTAATAGTATCGAAGAGAGGGAGAGAAGAGGAGAGGAGAGGAGGATAGCAAGATGGTAAGGTGCAAGAGAAGTGTGTGATGAGGTACCAAGATACACGCGCGGGATGTACCTCCAAAGTCAAACTGCAGTTGGAGATGATAATACCTGCCAGTGTATATTACATGCCAATACTATCGGTCATACAGAGTTAAGGTCCAATCATTTTCCACAATCTCCTAGATTGAATTACTTACTTGTGTAGCTCCTAAGTTTAGCTGATTATCTCCTCTCTCTCTCTCTGTGATTATCATCATCATCATCGTCGTCATCGTCTATCCCCGGGTCCCGCCCATGGCTCCATTCGGAGGTCCCCACTCCTCTCCACATACTCTATCAGTCTTACATAGTGCATACTGTGCTACATACTAACAGTATGTACTGCTGTAATAGTACTGTCGCTAGCTATAGTTCCTGAAGGATAAGATACTAAGAATACATTACTATTTAAACAATAGTACAGCCTTGACAAGATCGATCGGTATAGTAGCCAATAGTACGGTATACTTAGTTCAATACTCTTCTCTGTGGGACTCGGACCAAAAGTACCCTCCTCCTTCTTCTTCTCCCCCCTCTGTCCATGGACCAAACTCCCCCCGGCTTGGCCAATCATCCCAAGCCAACCATCTGCTCTCCCTTTCCGATGACGCTGAGATTGCTAACTTCCGGCCTTTCTCCCTCTTCCCCCGATCCAGTCCCTATCTTTCCCCCCCTCCTTCGTTCTCGGCCCTGCTGGTCCCGTCTGTGCGTCCCACTACTCCAGCCTGCCTCCACTTTTCCCTCTCCTCCTCCTCCTCTTCTTCTTAGTCAACTCGTGGCGCCAACAAAGGAAAGAGCCCCCCCCCCCCCGCACAACTGCTAGCCTCGCGCTAGGTTCTGCCACTAGCCTTGGTCACTGCATACTGTACAGACATTCGACTGTACTCTCCAGCGGACATACTTTCCCCCCCGAGACCCGTGGATAGAAGTTGAAACTCAATTTACGCTCGTCCTCTCTGATTCACCGGATAACAACGGCGATAACGAATATGATATCTGGATACCATACCGATAATGGATTGGGTGGATATACATTTCTCGTAGGTTATGCTTCCTGCGACCGGGGAAATGGGATGGAAATACTCCCGCCGTTACGACAGACCATGACCATCAAAGGCAAAACGCAAAACCCTCGTAACTCAAACTCCACACTGGGATCGAGTCCGGTTTCCAAGATGGCCCAAGGAGCTGGGTCTTCCTCACCCCGGATCGCCGATGCGATCCACACTCCCCCCCCCCAAGTGGGGGTCGTGATATGCGGGAAATTATTTCAACGTCTGTCGTGTCTTCCGACCGGGTGTTTCGACCTGACAAGGTCGATCTTGGAGGCTACGGGAGGGTACAGTAGAATAAGCGACCCTCGTCTGATGAGGATATTCGCAGCAAGATCCTCGGTCACTAAGAATAGGGCGATATGCGACGAGGAAGTGTCGAGTGGTGCCCAAAGTTAATCCCACAGCTGTCTTCTCCAGTGGCACTGTAGGAGGGGCTTATCGGACCAACCTTGAACCAGAATACGATTTACTATGTACGACACCCGGTCAACTCTGGCATATGTAAGGATCCTTCCTAGTGTTAGGTAATGATCCTTCTATCATTCTTCCTCGTAGCCCCTCACATAACGCTTCTATCCAACCCATACTTCAGGTACTCTCTCGAGCCCTGCCAAGTCAACCATTACCACTCCCTTTCGTCCTCCCCTCATCCAAATCACCCATGCTCCAAAGATGTGTTAAATTCCCCAGATTCATTGGCCGGCTCATTATAACCCCTGCGCCATCACACACAAAAAGCGGGCCTTGCCTGGTTGAGGCCTGTCAGCAACCTGGCAACCCCGCTGCCGATCCTCGGTTAGAGTACGGCCAGAGCATGGCATGTACGGAGTTGATCCCGGTGATGTATACCGCGTTTGCTCGCATATACCTGTAACCCGTTAGCAACGGGATATAGAGCCCGTCTCTCGTATCCGACTAGACAGAAGATCCTGGCCGCATCACGTAGAACCGAACTATCCAGTCTCGGGCGGCTATTGCATCCTGGACTTGTTGACTGATCAACAATATTTTCTTTGTCTTTGACAAGGGAGGTGGCGATGGTTGATCTATTCCGAATCCATGATTGGAGAGGATGCTAGCGAATGGTAGTGAGACTACTAACTAATGTAGCGGCGAACTATGCCATCTTCCCTCTACGACCAAGTACAATAATTGCGAACCACAAGTTCTTCCCTTTCAGATTTATTGCATTGCATGTCTTTGCGGGCCGCTGGGTGGCTGCTTCGCCGAGATCGATCCAAGGCCCCAACGGCCACTTGCATGAACCTCGTCCAAATGGCGTCAAGAATCTTTGCTTTTGCACGTATGGCCTGTAGATTGAAAGCTCATCTAGTCGAATTAGACGGAGTCCTTATCTTGACAACACCCTGGTACATACATGCCCGGCTCTTGTTTGCACCCACGGCATGTCTGGCCCGGTCGTGTGATAGCGGGTAGCTGCCGTGTCGCCCGTCTTACCCAACCTATGATGTTCTCGGCGTATTTCTTTCATTTCAAAGTCCTAGACTAATTGGCTACAGGTCTATATCCTCCTCGAATCATGTCTTCTTTTTATTGTAGAATACGAAAAGCGGATTCGGATCCTTCGTTCCCGTGGCAGGAGCATCTGATCACTTTCTGTCGTGCAAGCGACGTGGCCGCTAATTAACTGGATTGTCATGGGCCAGTAATGGCGCTCATATGTATGATAGTACGTATCGCATTTAGGCTATATAGCCCTCATGACTTGAATGACTTCAGATGGTTGTTCGTATTTGGTATCATGATTTCCATGCTACCAGAGTCCAGGGAGCGAGCTGTCATATCTCCATCTTCCGGCTCGATTATGGTCAGTCTTTGCCAATCACAGTCCAGGTAGTCCAAAGATCAGAGCCAATCAACTTAAGACCATATTATTCCCGGTTATCATTCGCTATTCAAGTCAGCGCGTGAACCGGGACGACGTTGGCTTTGGATTTGCCTCCGCACCTCCGCATACAAGTATCAATACTGAAACACCCTAAGCGAAACGTCAGCGGCGCCGTACCTGAAACATGACTGGGGAAATAGACCCGATTTTAATGCCAGGCATGCTCACTGGTGTAACCAACAGTTGTCGAGAGAAGGTGCCCTAGCATGGTCAGTGTGGAAATAGAGGCGACCGTCTTCGTCGCGTATTGAAGATGGGATGGTATGTCATGTTTGGGTGGAGATATCACGTAAGGCGTGTCACGCGATTATATGAGAACATCGCATAATTTGATGTGATAGGGTGAGGATATATGTCTTCTATGGTGATAGTATCTGTTCATTACGGTCGCCATGACTTTTGAGGGAATTGTCAGTAGTTACTCGGACCTAACGCTAAGAAGCTTGTTCGCAGAGTATCGCTCAGATTTACTAGGCTAATGGTAACGCCGGTTCTGGCTATTTATCGAGAGGCGCATGCCCAGACAAATTCGAGATAGCACCTTTTCCAACCTGTTAAATCGTATATCAAGCCGCAGCTCATGGGTATAGACTTTCTCTAATCAACCCTGAGACCACATGGATCATTCATTTGATAGCCTAGGGCGTCGAATATGATTTCTCACCGTCTTTAGGTCAGTCGAGCCCGTACTGCATCTCTACAATGGTTCGGCGGATTCTCCACTGCAATACATTCGCCGAAATTCTTGCCGTTAGGGCTTACTCCCGGATATTACATACTTCCAAGTGACACAGCTACAGATAAGTGAACTAGGCATATAATAATGTCAAGTTTAGGGATAGGTGCACCGTTACCGCGCAGGATAATAGTCGATAGCCCTAATTCATTACAAAATCAACCTCTCAGAGACGAACCCATTGCTTCTGCATCACAATGCTTTTTACAACCATATGGAAGACGTGCCATCATGCAATTCTAGTATGTCTCTACCGCTTCCTGAGTTTCCAGGTATCTGGTGAAACATGACTCAGCAGTGATTAGATCCCTTTGACGCTTTTTTCATTGCGGTACGCTGATGGACGCTGCAGTAAGAGCGACGATAAGGCGAAGCGATAAGGAAATTGGAGGCGGTGGAGAATCAAGGTGTGGCCCAAGCGCCTCGGCCAACTCGCTTGCGACGACGAAGGTTCTTTCTCCAAACACCCTCTACTCCTGTATTCTCCGTGTCCTCGCTGCGCCTAGTCCCGAAACCCTGTGAGCGATGCTACGCATGCATCGGCGACGGGCGACCGACTCCTAGCTGGCACAGCGACCAATCTCCCCGTTGCGCTTCCTCCAAGCGGGGTACGGTACACCCCCTCAGCGGCTCTTATATCTAAACCCTGGCGACACCACGCCTATCAGCCAAGATGGCGATGAATTTTGTTACCTTCAACCAGGACTACAGCTATCTCGCTGTTGGTGAGTACCCCGACCGGCCCTTCAAGTGAGCGCAACGTGCGAGCTTCGGGCCTTTCACTGACGTCAGCCAGCCACCTCCAAGGGTTTCCGCATATTCACGACCGACCCCTTCGCCAAGAGCTATGAAACGAAAGAAGGGAATATCGCCGTGATTGAGATGCTCTTCTCGACCTCCCTCGTCGCCCTTATCCTGTCCCCTCGACGATTACAGATCACGAACACCAAGGTTCGTTCGGAGCCTGCGTCCGCAAGGCACCTACCATAAGTACCATGTGGAAGAAAAGCTTGGATCAGCCAGTCTGATATATTTTGTCTCTTGAGCAGCGTCAAAGCACGATATGTGAATTGACATTCCCAACCACAGTTTTGTCTGTGAAGCTAAATCGAAAACGCCTGGTCATCGTGCTCGAGGATCAAATCTACCTCTATGACATTCAGACGATGGGACTATTGTCCACGATTGATACCTCTCCGAACCCGCATGGTATGCTAACCCTCGAAATATTTATCAGTACATGCTTGTTAATGCGCAGTAGCTATCTGTGCCTTGGCGCCTTCATCGGATAATTGCTACATGGCATACCCTCTGCCTCAGAAGGCCCCCGCCACGGTCAAACAACCTGCGCATGCTCCCCCGGGCACATCGCATGTCTCTCCCACCACTGGAGATGTCCTTATATTCGATGCAGTAAAGCTAGAAGCGATCAACGTAATCGAAGCGCATCGTTCCCCACTCGCCTGCATCACTCTGAACAGCGATGGTACACTGCTCGCAACTGCCTCAGACAAAGGCACTATCATTCGTGTCTTCTCCGTCCCGGATGGCCACAAGTTATACCAATTTAGGCGTGGATCTATGCCTTCCCGCATCTATAGCATGTCCTTCAACACTACGTCCACATTGCTCTGCGTCTCCTCATCTACTGAGACTATCCATCTGTTCAAGCTGACCCAACAAGGTCCTTCTTCAGATGGCTCATCCGCGCATTCTCCAGTCGGTCGCGACTCTCATTCCGGAACTTTTGGACAGCAGGACGAGGATGAGTACGGTGGCGAGAGCAACTCCGATTTGGGAGCTAGAAAGCACAACGGCACGATAATGGGCATGCTTCGCCGGACATCCCAAAACGTTGGCGGAGCCGTTGCTGCAAGAATGGGTGGATATCTCCCAAAGGGAGTTAGCGAAATGTGGGAGCCCACACGAGACTTTGCCTGGTTCAAGCTGCCTCGTTCAAATCAGAGTGCAGGTGGAAATGGCAATACCGGTCCGCTTAGGAGTGTCGTTGCTATGAGTAGCAATACACCTCAGGTTATGGTTGTCACCAGTGATGGAAACTTTTACGTTTTCAACATCGACTTGTCTAAAGGTGGAGAGGGAACTCTCACCAAGCAATACTCGTAAGTTCCCCATACCACCGTTTGATCGAGTTACATCATACTAATTTTGAACACAGAGTTATCGATTCAAACGACAGACTGGGTTACCCTGCGGTGGATTATTGAGCACGGGAGTTTTCACCTCAAATATGCACCTACTTTTGTTCAATCCTCTTCCTCCCATGGATCACGAAGCACCATTCATCCATGCATCGCTCCGACTCTCTGCTCTTACTCTCATTTACGGACCTTATTCCCCTCGTTGCAAGCGCTAGCGTTCTATATTCTCTATTTTGGCGTCATCAATCCTGCTTTTTGATTTTCTAGTATCTGGCCGTTGGCGGTCGCATGTTTACTTTGAGGCTGGCAGCGTTACTTTACTGATATCCAATACCTCGAATGAATTGGGGATTTAAGTGTGCTTGTGCAGAGGTTGACGTCCTATTCTAAAACGGATCGAGTGCCATTAAAGGTACGATCTAGATACTTGGTCTTAGTCCTTGAAGACAGGGATGTACCCTTAAGCCACAAACAGATAACCTGTGCAGTTCCACATTCTATTGGATCAATTGGGATGGGAACTGAGATTCTACTACTAAGGATTGGACAATCATCGGTGTCCTGAGTTGAAAAGTTAGTGAAATGTCTATATTCTATTTCTATCATTGAATTCGGTAAGAACCACTAATGCAGCTGCGATGCCTTCATGAAAACAACCGTTGTTGAGATTCAACAGCCTCCCGCAAAACGTTGCAGACAGTCCTCAGCTCCTCCTCGGTAATAATAAAAGGTGGTGCAATCATCAGATGGTCACCCTTTTTACCATCCACCGTTCCACCGCAAGGGTAGAGCGCAACTCCTTTTTCGAACGCAGCCTGTTGAACACGCCCTCCAAAGTGAATACTCGGCTCGAATGTCTCCTTCGTCTGCTTATTCTTGACAAATTCAACACTCCAAAATAGTCCCCTTCCGCGGATGTCTCCAACGGACCAGCAATCCCGCAGCTCGGTGCGAAGCATCGATTCCAAGATCTTTCCCATGGCTGCGCATCTAGCAATCAGTCCATCTCTCACGACAATTTTCTGGACTGCCAATGCAGCTGCACAAGAGGTGGGGTGGGCTTGATATGTATGGCCATGGTTAAAAGCCTTTGATCCGTGGCGGAGGACATCGACGATTCGTTTGTGGACAAGAACACCTGAGATTGGAGCGTATCCACCTCCGAGGCCCTTCGCAATGGTCATGATATCGGGGACAGCATCCCCTTCTTGTTCGAAGGCGAAGAACGTGCCGGTGCGGCCTACACCACACATAATCTCGTCGAATATAAGCAAGATACCGTACTTGTCACACAAGCGGCGAACTCCGGCGAGATAACCGGTAGGTGGAGTAACACTGCCAATGCCAGATCCAGCCACTGGCTCCGCGATAAAGGCCATAACTTTGTGAGGGCCCACGCGAAGGAACTCGTCGTCAAGCTCTTGAAGAAGGCGTGCGGTATATTCAACTTCTGTTTCACCCTCTTGCATATACCGATAAGCAAAAGCGGGTGAGACTTGCGATGTATGCGGGTATGAAAAGCCTTCGAACGGGACCTTACGGGCCAGGTTTCCAGAAATCGACATGGTGGTCATAGTGTTGCCATGATAACCTTGGCGCCGCGAGACGATGTGTAGCCTTTCCGGCTCATTCTTTTCAAAATAATATTGGCGTGCAAGCTTCAACGCGGATTCGACAGCTTCACTGCCACTTCCAACGAAGAAGGCCTTTTCAAGACCGTGTGGACTCCCTCGCAGGATGAGATTTGCAAGATCTTCCGCGGACTGGGTAGTGTATGACTGTGTATGAACGTAGCTGACTTTTTGTAGTTGGTTGACGATGGCTTGATGAACTTCTTTGTTTCCATGTCCAATTAGGGCTACCGCTGCGCCTGCGCAAGCGTCGATGATTTTCCTTCCATCGGAAAGGAATAGGTTCACACCCTCGGCTCGTTCAACCAGGGCTGGTGGCTCGATGAAGGAGCGATGAAGCAAGTGGTCTTTATCGCTTGGATCAAGAAGTGATTCGTTGTCTGGGCAATTTGTTGACGGCAAATGTGTGATATCAATTTTGGAAGGTGCCATTTTGAGGGTCTTGAGAATCAACAAAAAAGGATAGTTTTATACAATCAGACAAAAACAGCGGATACTCTAGACATGTTTTAAATATTTCTTCTTCTAGATCTTATCTTTAACTGCCCCTTGTAGTGGAGAACAACAGGTGGTCATTTCCGATAGAGCAAGCCAGTCGGGTTTGAAGTTAAAAGGGCTCAGAACCGATACCCGATAATCACGGACAGACTCGAAGATCCACAATTGTTCGACTTGGTCCTCGCTTGACTATCAGATCAATCTTGATCATAGAAATATGGCAGGTCGGGCTTATTTACAGTACTTACCAGTAGTCTACTTCCTGTAAATATGAGGTTCTTCATAAATTGACCCATTCGAATTTAGCTTGCCTGTTCCAGCGTTGGACCCTAGTTGGATGAGTCAGCACGCCGGCCTGTGCCCGGAATGGATAGATGGAAGGTCCACTCCCCACAGCAGATTCATTCCCGACGAGTTCCGAGACTCGTTATGCTAATTGATTGATTGCTCGAGAGAAGCACGCAAGCAAGGGTCGGTCTGCGGTATAGGTAATCTACATCATGCGGTCGAGTCTTTCATGTGAATTCTGCCGGTAAGATTTGCTTCTTCCACACGGCTCGAAAAGTCCACTAAATCTTTTTTTCTGATCTTAGGCGATCAAAAATCAAATGCGTTAACACGGGCAAAGCGCCTTGTCGAAAATGCCAAAGAAGTGGCATCCCAGACTGCAATCTGAGCAGGCCTCAGAGCAGGACTCTCAAGAACTCTGTTCGTCGAGTTGTCCAGAGGGTGGACCCTCTAGCATCCAACCCTCAACCCGCCACTGGACATGAGTTCGCGAGATCTGCCCTTCCAGTACAACATTCGGAAGCGCCTTTATCTTCACCACGTCATGTCTCCATATACGGTGAAGATAGGGCCAATATTGACAGCCACCTTGCAAGCCTCTCGCCGACTATTGTTCTGAAAGCTTTGAACATTTTCACGAACAAGTTCCCTGAGCTAGGAATTCTCCATCTGCCCAGTTTTATGCAAGAGTTCCAAACTTCATGCCATAATGATACCAAAACGTTACTGGCAGCTATTCTGTCCGTGACTCAATGTTATTACTCTCGCTCTAGCTTCACTGGCCTGGAAACATTATTGTCAAGGGATCAATATGCGTCCTATGCACGGGAAATGCTGTCACAGAGTTCATTTCAAGCCCCAAAGCTTCAAGTCGCCCAAGCTCTTCTTGTTATGGGACTCTTTGAATGGGGTTCACGCGAATTTCATCGAGCCTGGATCTACTGTGGTACGATTTGTACGTTCAGAATTATTTGGACTTCTTGGACTGACGGTCTACAGGAATTGCAATTCGAATCATGCAGGCAATTAATAGCCTTCAGATTGCTCCATATCCAGCTGATCCGCTAGCCTCTGGCAGTCAAGATACGAGCCAAGACGCCATTACCACGGCAGTTCAAAATCGAACTATGTGGGCATGCTTTATCATGGAACGATTAATTAGTTCAGGGACGTATAACCCACCAATGCTTCCGCTGTCGGAAATGGAAAAGATCAAAGTACTTCGTCCATTCTCTGCTGTCGAGTTTGCTTTCGGTACAGATCCGGCATCACAAAGGAGCAGCATGGAGCAAAGCCTGGCCACTTTGCCAAATAGGAACTCCAACCTCTTGGACATTACTCAGGCATTTGAGGTCTTGGTCGCAGGATTCGATATTTGGACACACGTCATGACATTTGTGCTCAATGACGGACGGCGAGCGCCGGAAATGTGTGCACCCAGAAATTGCCCTTGGGTGCCTGGGTCACCCTGGTCAAATACCAGGAGCCGACTCGAGGCATGGCGGGCAAATCAACATCACAGGCTTCACTACCCGGAGAATTCTGTTGTGGCTCACATAGCTCTTGCGTATGGGGAGTCTTTCACATACATCAATTTGATATATTACCTTAGGTAGGCCTGCATCCCCGGAAGGAAGTAAGTTCAAAATACTAACTCTGTCCCATGCAGCACTCTTATGCTTCACCGCGAATATTTCCCGTTTTTGCCAACGTCAGAGACTATTCCCAGGGGCCCAGTTGATCACCCTCAGCTGCAAGCAGAGGCCCCTCCCGGTTGGTGGGATGCAAGTGCACTCGAAATGTTTAGTGCAACCGAACATATTGCTCGAATCCTACATGAGTCTTCCGAGTGCGGCGCGGAAATGTTAACGCCATTCGTTGGATTTTGCGCCTTTTCTGCTGCATACATGAACCTATATGTCTCTCATTTTCCTCAGATGAATTTGGGTCGCAGTCCTCGCGCAGAAGAAAATTTGAACTACTGCCTTACATACCTGGAAGGATTCCGACAAGAATGGAAGCTCGGGGAAAGCTGGGTAAGTCGAACTTCTTTCCACCCAGCCAAAGACCTCGCTCTGTTATGCTAATCTATCCGCACAAAGATGACCACCATCAAGCATGCATCTCTTCTTTACCAGCGAGCCAGCTCTGATAAAGCGCGATACCAAGGAAAGTCCAGAAAGGACTTTGATATCTTGCATCAATCCATCCATGAGTTCCGAGTCGTGGACAGGTCACATCAATACATTCAGGAGATTGAAGGGGCGGAGCGTGGCACAGGTCCCTTGGCATCTGAAGATACCCCGGCGACAACTGCTGCTTCAGAATCACTAGATCTCGACGCCCCACTTAACGATTTACTGAATGAGGTCAGCACATATGCCCACGAGCAGGGCATGTGGTCTCATTGGTGGCCTTCGTTGGAAGAGATGAATCTTGCGCTGTTCTCTGATAATGTATCATGATTTGATTTTGCTATGTACAATATGACCACAGATTTACCACCTGGTAATCTGGCACGAAGGGTATTTTTATCATCAGATTTCACCGAATCCTCCTTATGACGCCGCCTCCTGTAACTTGAGCGTATCAACTGCTCACGATTTTGGTAGACCCACTAGGTTTCAAGACTTCCTGCTACCTGCCATATACCACTTCAATCGGAATACGCAAGTTCATAGTAGATTTACAGATCGCCGATGGCACCTGGTATGAGAGGGCGAGATCAATGGCATAGGTGCGAGACACGAGACATGAGTGAAACGTGGGCACGAGGGCATGCTCGTCCGGTAAATTGATCGGGACAGTGACAGAAACGGTGTATGAATGCCCCGGCGATGTCCCAGATGAGCTGACAGAATACTCTGAAGCCGAGTCTGCCGATTTCACTTTCGCTGAATAGAACGAAGGAAGTTTTTCCCATTGCATCGATGTCAAGTCCAAAGACTGAAGAGGAGTTGTCGTGACGTATGCCTCGCGATCAGTACCGGTGCATTCCATTTCTTCTGTCGTCGGGTAGTCTTCCCATGGACTCGTGCCATAGTATGTAGCTACCTCGAGTTTTGATCGAAGCTTGCATAATTGGGGTGGCAGTGTGTTTGTCGTGGGGTCGAAAGTAAAATGGAGTTGAACCGCAGAAGTTGAACCGGTGTTAATGCCAGTACTCGTGGATGAAATTTGAATCTGCCTTGGCTCTTCAGCGGCGACCTGGAGATTTCCCAGGTTTCTTCCCAGAGAGCGACATTCGGATTGCTTCTCATGGACCAGATAATGAAGCGGGCAGTCGAGGGCTTTTGTCATTTTCGCAGCTGGCATGATTCGTAGAGAGCGGGAAACATCACAGAGTTTGCTTCTAGGCGTACTGGTAGTGGTCTGAGACTTCTCTGAAAGCACGACTCGGATTTTGTAGGAAATTCTGCACGCCTTTGGGGCCCAGCCTCCCGCGGTAGATTGCCAGAATTTAGATGAACGGCTTTCAAACGTGGGCGGTAGTTGTGTGTGCGCCTGTTCCACCTCCGCGTCTTTGGTTGAATGGTCGCATTGTTGTGAGCTGATGCTCTCGGGAACTTCAAAAGAGAAGGGAAATCTGTATGATTGCCCAGGTACTAGATGTGTTTCCTGAATGTGATCGATCGGTTGTCTGAGGCGAAGGAACTTGTGTGAAGCCTTTCTCCGGCCTGGCACAAATGATACTGCCCGACTGGCGGATGTTGTAGAGGTACCTTGAAGCCGTTAGCAGATAGTTCAATACCAAGTTATGGACAGGCATTAATTTACCTTCAAGCGTAATATCAACATGACCGAGATCAGTTTCCCGAGTCACCGTTACAATCGCAGTACCCTCTATAAGATCCAGTGTCGAGAATGTTCTCTTCTCTCCATCTTTCTCTCCGTTGATCTCAATTATAACTTGAGGCACATGTTTGGCAGGTAATTGATAGCTTGGAAGGTTGCGAATCGCACAGGGCATCGGTAGACCTGACGACATGGTTCAGAGTTTAAGTTACCTTTCGAATGTCAGCAAATCCAAACTCAATTTGATCCCAAAGTTGTTCTTCATACCTAAAACGGTAGACAGTAAAGACAGTTCCGTGCAAGTATAAGCTTTTGTGGCGGTACCTCGTCGTAGTCCACGACACTTTTATCTTGTTTCCAGCGAATTGACGTTATACGAAAGAAAAATCAACTTCAAGTGAAAGGATAATTAATTTCTTTGAGGCTAGGAAAATTTTCACGCGCGCCATTGATTCCGATACTGGTGCTACGTGATTCCCGATTTCTTCACAATCCGAGACCCGAAGGTTGGCCCACCCACATTATACTTGCCGAGAGTTTTTTTAGTCGGCTTTCAACCGGAAAGCCGAAACCCGATCACCCATTCTAAATGTGACAAACTTTGATAAACAGTCGTCGAGCGATCAGATGAGCGAGCTTGAACATCAAACAACTTCTCTGGGCTCTAAAAGGGACGATGGTAAATTTTGCAACCGTTTTGAGATGGTCTCCATGATGAACACAGGTGATCAACTTTGAGCCTCATGGACCATTTTTGGGAGAAAGTTGACTTTAGAGACTGTCGGTATTTATCACTATTGCTGAGTAAATCGACACCAGCAAGTAGAAGTTGTCTTTTATTTCATGGCAAGTAGCCTTGTATCTTTTGGTTTGACATAGCAAAGTTTTTCCGATAATGCCAGATACTCACTTACTACGTTACCTTGAGTCGTAGGAAAAGATCGTTGTCTTTCGTGAATGGACAAACCAGGTTTTTTTTTAGGCGGCCACACTTGTGATTTTATGTGTGTACTGCTCTCCCCTGAATATCTTTCTGGCTCAATAATGTTGAAGCTGATGGTTGGCTATTCAGTAGGTTACTTGAAACAGACTAGCATTGGATATCTTCAGTAAGGCAAAGTGTCCCACACGGGGTATGTGGGTTGTTCTTCTATATACAGATCTATATGCAAGTCTATGTAACGCTGACGCTATCTATGTATGTCTATGTGCTGTCGGTCCTTCATGTGCAGTTTTTGATCTCTCAATCTCAGGGGCCGCCTCCGGGCGATAAGCAGGCCGTTCTTACGGCGAACTCCGCGTCTCGGTCCAAAGTGGGTCAACAAAGTACACCAGGCCGTGTCCGATAGCAGCCGCGAGTGGTCCAACCTATATCAAATCAGCAAAGGTCTGATAAGCAACGCCATCATCTGTAAACGGTGGCTGTCATAGAACCAACTCACCCAGTGGATCCAATGATAAGTGGGAAATGAGGACGCCACATAAGCTCCCAAGCATCGTGCCGGATTAAGGCCTGCAGAAAGGAGTTAATTATTAAACTCACCCGCATCCCCAGCATTGATATGATCTGAGTCCTCTGACTTGTTACTTACTGGCTCCGATATAGCCCTCCCGGGTAAAAGCGGTTCCCCAGCTAACAATCAAAAGGGTGACGCCCACCAACCAGGGTGACGTCGCATGGCCAAATACCTTGGCCTGTCGAGGATCTAAAGCCACGCCAAATGCCAGGAAAATGAGAACCAGGCACGCCAGAAATTCAATGACCAGACCGTCCTTGGCGGGCACCAGGGTCGAATCAATATGGCATCCGCCTACGGTAAACTCTCGATTGCCGTAGGCACTGTTCAAGGCAAAGCCAGCCAATGCACCACCCAGTGTTTGCCCTCCTACGTATAGTACCATGCGTGGGAAGGAGATAATCCGGGCGAAGAAAGTGGCCAAGGTAATGGTCGGGCTAATATGACCTCCGCTGGATGGGGCGAAGGTGTAGATCAAGAGCGGAGTCAACAGGAGATTGGTGATACCGCCGAATAGAGGGGAGAAAAAGGTGACGGTGGCATAGACTCCGGCCTCGGTAGTCGGAGAAGTAGTCTTGGAAAGAGGATGTGTGGTGACCCAGCATGAAATGAAGACATTCATCAAACTAGCTGTATATGGAAAGAATGTTAGAGGCTTTCGTCGGAATCAGACAAACTCTGCACCCCCTCCAAGTGGCACGGAGACGGTAGATTCAACTCGATGCGTTACTTACCAACACATTCCAGCATCGCAAACTTCCATAGATCTAGACTCGCAAAGCCCCGGAGATCGAAGATCTCGGCCAACGTCATGCAGGGTGCCGCATCGGGCACCTGCTCCAGGACTTCCAGATTTTTCGGGTCATTCCGATCCACGATAAAGTCCTGATTGCCTCCAAGCCGGCCGGCAAATGGAGCAATTGCCGGTTTTAGGTATAGATGATCTTCCTTGGCATCAAGCTCGTGCTGTGGTAGATAAGCTATGACCATGGTGGACGATTTTTGAGTTTCAGGCACACGGTTAGGCAAGGGTGAGACACAATCCTTGGCTGTCTGAATCTGCAAAAACGTAACAAGCTGCATGGTCATTGGCTCAAAGTGCTGACTCAGTCAGGCAAAGTTTTCCTCGTGGTGAAGTGGCGCCGAGTTTAGTTGGCCGAACCAATCAGCATCGAGTTTACTTGACTTCTCGGTGGCCGAGATGGTAACTTGACCAAGTTATGTATTGTAGAGATGGGTGTTTTTCATGCTACACACCTCATTCTGCTACATATCTTTCAATGTTCATGAATAGTACTCTTACTCATACTATAGATCCATGTTCATGAGTAGTTTGCAGACTAATTATTCATCAGATACGGAAAGAACCACTAATCAAGGATCGTGATAACACAGATAAGCATCCTTACCCAATCCCATTGCTCATACTGCAGAGGAATCATCCCCTATACATCCCTCTTTTTCGAGATCCACCATACCAATCTGTGCTACTCCAAATATTTCATTCTCATTATGGGTTCTTATTACCTCTACAGTGTCCACTGTAGTTACACCCCACATATTACGTGAAGAGCTTCCCCACTACGTGAGTTACCCCAGTTAACTATTAGTCAAGGAAACCCCATTCTCAGAACGGGCTTGCCCGTGTAATTACTATCCAGTGGTGGTCAATGAGAAAGTGTAGGTATCCAGCGAATCTTTGAATTGTCTCGCCTCGAAGGTATGGATGAGGCAATACATGTGTACATATCTTGGCGGGCTCCGGCCACGCGACAGGATATACATCGACAACTCCCGCCCGAGTAAACGCTAAATTCACGCAATTCCACTTCACATTTACCCACCAACCAGAACTATAGTGAAAGAAATTTTTATTTTGAGTAACACTCAATATCTTTCTGATGGATTGGATCAGGTATAGCGTGGCTATTGTTTTGAGCCCACTGGAGATAAGCTCACATACACACTTGTCATGCAAAGATTTGCTCTGGAATGCGCTACCACCAGGATATGCGCAGACTGGAAACCTTCTGAATGAACTGGGCTCAAGACCAAAAATTTCTGAAGATCCGACAAGAAATTGCCGCGCAAATCAGGCTCATTCACCAGAGTCAAGTGCATGTTTGTATCAATCTTGATTGTTTACCTAAGTTTTCCCACCCAACCAATCCAGCCGCCGCGACTAGGATGCGCAGTATGTTTCCGCCCGAGTTGATCCAGGCTACCTGCCTTGACGCCGCCTAGTAAACCTACCGTAGGAGTAATTTTTGCTGAACAGGTCTTTGCGCTGCCATAAATAGCCGGGTCCGACGTATTTGTCAACCTGGATGCCCAGACTACGAAAGAGACTACCTAAGCAGGGGATGGCCTCCGAACGGAGCGAGGTTCAAATTCTAGCTGTTGACCAACACGACGTTGCCAACACGCCGTCGAACGAGCCGTGAAACGCGCGACACATCAACACGCATGAACCTGATGCGAACGAGTTTTGTGTTCGACATCCAGCTGCCCGATTTTAAAGGCAACCGCAATGTGGGTTGATCACCGTCTGGTGAGTATTGCAATCTGCGAGGGGTGGAGACCATTGACATCAATGACTAGATCGCGGCGATTAGCGCCACGCTGGTTACATATCATTAGAGAAGGTAGAAGGCATCCCAGATATCCTGCCCGGGTAGCTTCAACTCGAGTAATCGTCAGCAGCCAATAGAACATAACACGTCACCAGACCCAACAGGACAGTGTCTATTTACATGGACAAGAAACGAACAGAACACAAAATCAACCAAAGGCTAAACGGCACGGCGGAATTTGGAAGGGATGTTGGCTTCAACAACCTGCGTATCCTCCAGCTTCTCAAGTCGCAACTGAGCTGCCTCCATCTCGTCGTGGAGACGGAAATGTTCAATATCCTCGGGGTGGTTCAATTCCTCCTCAGTAGCATCATCGCCGTGGAATTTCTCGAAGTGGTGAATCTCGTATTCATACTCAAGGTCACCATGGTGGCCAGGCCCGAAGCCGAGGTCGGGCAACCGTGTCCCAGAGGCAATAGTCTTCAACCAGGCGTCGCGGCTGATAGTGCCTGTGTTCGTTGGGTCGAAAAGGTCGAACACCGCGCGAATGGCGGACTCCTTGCTAGACTCGCTTGCGCCCCTGTTGGATTCATCGTCGAGACCGTATGTTTTGCGTACTTCTTCCGGAGTCCATGCGCCGGAGGCGTCGTAGTCGTGCAGCGTGAAGAAAGAGAGCGCATCGAAGCCTTCAATATGGTGCTCCTCTATGTAATGTGTTAGTACTTGCGCGAACCAATGCACTCTTTTGAGCGCTGTCTGCCACACTTACCCATCATGTGTCTCGTGGCCCAGTCGTTGGAGGGGGGTTGCCCATCGTTTGAATGTGAGCCATGGGCGCTGGCAAGACCGCTACTCAAAGCGATTGCGCCGGCAACAGCGAGGATTAAACGTGATATCATTGTAGAAAATAGAAAGTGAAAAGAAGAGAAACAAGCCAGCGTATCCCCAACTCTCGATGGGGAACAATAGGAGACGCAACCGGGGAGACTTGAGCTTGTTTGCAATGTTTGCACCGGAAGATTTGGGCCGCGCCGGAATTTCACGATATCCTTTCGGATCGTCTGATTTCAACATTGTCAACCGAACCCTGCCCCATCGGACTCCGTGGGGAGTCCAATTGCTCTTTCTTCGATATCAATCTCCCTCGAGCCGTTCGAAAGCGATGTCCCGATAATGCAAAGCATGTGGTCCCGCGCCGCCCCGACGCAGTCAAGCTGCCGGTGCGTCTCGTGTTTGAGTACGGTTGCCAATGGCGTCACTTCACGATCAGCGACGGCTGCCAGCAAAAAGAAATTGAGGATAGGGAACTCGGTCACTGCACTCTACACGAGTATCTTTGCGGCCGCTGCCCTCGCGGACGCGAAGGCCAAGACCAAGCGCCGACATGATCTCGAAGAGAAAATTGCGGCAGTCAAGGCCGAGGTGAACGAGCTCGTGGATGAAGAGCACCGGATCCTTGAGTCTCTACAGTCACGAAGGAAAAACCGGGGGATAAACCGATTGCTGCAAGAGAGAGGCTTCGGCACCATCGCTGCCTCCCGAACTCGCCAACGAATCACACCAAGCCAGCCAACAAGGTCCTTTCACACGGAACGTCGGCTGTATGGTACTCAGGATGCGCAGATTGACGATTATTTGCCCACGGAAGAATTCGGGCATCTTGATCTCCAGGAAGCCGAAGCTAGTGCACTGCGCGCTGCTATGAACGAAGCATTGCCGGACTGGGTCGTTGGAGATACTGCTCGTATCAAGGCCGTCCAAAGACTCGCATTGAAGCAATTTGCGATTCGAATTCTACTAAGACCGACTATCGCACACAAATACTCAGGCGTCCCTATGAACTACGGGGCAGATTTTGATGTACCCCAGATCGATGTGAACAACTTGTTGAATGAGTTGAATGTCGTACGACGCCAGATAAACACGCTGTTGCATAAGAAAGATGTGGACCTCACTGACGTGATTGCCGATTTTGATGCCATGCGTTCTGAAGAAGGAAGGGAAGATGACCGGAGACTCGATGATGAACTTCGGGAGTACATCCAGTTGTTCACGAGCCAGCAGATGTCCTTGCAGGAATTCCTCCTCCGGGTCTCTAGCAACTTGATCAAATCGGCCGATCCGGATCGCACCACAGCCTTCCGAGAATTACTCATTGTTTTCACACAAACTCGCCAGAACGACTTGAACGATCTGTTTTTGCAGTCGTTATTGCCCAATCGGTTCTATCTGAGCACCTCTCTTATCGTCACTATCCTCTCCTTTTTCCGAAAGTCTAAAAACCTTAAGGACTTTGATTTGTTTTTGCAAATGCTCAGTGGCGAAGGCTACACAGTCAACCTGGGAGCCATTGGTCTTTTCCGACGTCGAAAGATCAATGGGCTGGATACGGTCGTTCCACCCTTGTATGGCAGCAGCACCGTCATCTATACGGAGCTCATCTCGGCCGCTTTGCGATTTAATCAGCCTGACCGAGCAGATGCTTGGCTTCAGGCTGCACGCAAATCAGGCTTTTTCGACAACTTCAACACCCTATTTAACTACATCCGATTTTACAGCATTCGTCAAGACTGGGAAAAGGGAATCCATGCCTTGAAGCGAGCTGTCACTTACCTCGTATCGTCGACTGATCTCTCACCAAGACTCGTGGACCGATTAATCCTATACATGGTACATCTCTGCGACTCTTGCTGCCAGAAAGAAGTGTCCCAAAGTTTGATTTCCGCCGCCGTGCATAGTGGCTTCAACCCGAACATTCCGTCGCAGCAGGACGATATTGCACCCATTGTGGATCAAGAAGGTCAGCGATGGAAAAAGGCCGCCGAAACGACGCCGGGAGAGAACTTGACCCGTCCCCTCTGGCAAAAGTGCTACGAATTTGCAAATGTATTTGGACAACAACTGAGCAGGCTCGAAGTGCCCGAAGATCAAGTAATGTCCCGGAAGCTCGATCGCCTTGCTGCTGTGCATGCAACCGATGCATTGTCCGCCACCCTTTCCCGATATACGGAGCAGGAAAGATCCTCACCAGCGATCTCGGACCGTGCAGGTGCTACGCAGAGCACCCAAAGTGAAGATATTGCCGCTTTGAAAGACGAAGTCTCCCAACTTCGCCAGCTAGTCTTTGAATTACGCAAGCACCATATTGAGGCCTCTTTCAAAGAGGACATCCACCATGACCTCGAGTACGAGGATTCACTCTCCGAACCAACCCCACCCTCACACGACCCGCACACACAACCTCAAGAATCCTCCATGAGCGTCGAATTTGAACGGATACCGAGCCCGATAGAGTGCAAGGAGCATGACCACTCTCATTCGAACCTTTCCTTCCGCCCTGCGCAAGCAATGATGGGTCCCGCTATGGTACAAGACCATTCCATTGGTACACCTGAGAATCAGGCCCCGCGACAAGCTCGGGGCCAGCCGAAGAACTCGAATCGGTCTCGGAAGAAGGGAAAGAAAGTTGCCGTTGCGTCTTCTCAGCGCACTGCTGGCCAGGCATGAGAGTATCTCTTTCGCTTTTTGTGACAACAGAACATTATTTGTATATTATGATATAGTTGCCCTCTTGCACACAGAGGATGAAATGCCAATAGATGGGATGTCTGCATCCAGCCTTCAATACCTGTCGTGGCCTGCTCTGTAGACGTTTCATGGACAGTCTTGTAGAGAGGGGGAGGCCCCTTAACCTTGGAACTCCACCACGCTGTTTGCACGCTTTGTCTAGGGTCTATTTTATGGTACCTGGCCCATTAGCTATAGGGCTCCAGGAACACACCCGACGGTAGAAGTTCGGAAGAAGTGGGAGTACGGAGAAAACCGATTAAGAGAAGGAAAACTTCAGGTAAAAGCACGCATATATACCCTATCCAATGCAAGGTAGCTTCTATTTTTGAGCACGGTCATTAGACCCGCAAAAAGGGAATCTAAACAAAATATGGACCCATGAAATTCTAAACCGAAAAAAACCATCTACCGACGCTTTTCAGCGCGCATCTTCTCCTTGCGTGCGAGTCTGTCTTTGGCACGGAGCAGGGCAGACTGCATATCACCCTTGGGGAAGGAAGAGGGCTCGTAGTATGTAGGTGCAATGTCCTGGTTTAAATTAGCAATTGTATTAATGGAAAAGAGGATAAGCAAGTGAACGTACCAAAAGCCATTCGGGCTTGACTGCGGTCACGGTACGGATGTAGTTCTTGGTCGTAAGGACGAACTCGTTGTACAAGACCCACTCTGCATCATGGGCAAGTACAGTGGAGGGATGCAGCAAGACGTTCTGATTATCCTTGATGGTGGTGTAAACGCTCTTGCCCTGTGACTCCTTCTTGGCAACCTGCATGAAGAATCCAGCACAGAGAGCACGGCGGATGTTCTCATAGTACTTCTTGTCCTCGAAAGGAGTGGAAATCATCTCAAGTTCGGAGCGCTCCATGATCCGCAGCAGTTGCCTGCGGACATCATCGGCCGACTGGAGAGATCGCAAGGAGAGGAAATGGTCGTGGCACCATTGCTTGGGGTTGGCCTGGGCTTCAGGGCTCTTGAAAGCGTGGTAGACGTTCAGCATCGTAAGGTGATCGCCGTCTTGGTGAGCAAACAGGTTCTTCATCTCATCCGCACGCTTGCGCTGAGAGTTGGGGCGAACGAATAGCTGCGGGACGGACAGCAGAGCTGTGATAGACAGAATCTCGTTGGAGCAGTAGAACTCGGGAGAGCTGATCAGCATCACGGCAAGGGCAGGGTCAAGAGGGAAGTCCGACGCCAGACGACCGAGTTGGGTCAGATTGCCGTCGTCATCCAAACAAGCCAGGTAGTTGAGCTCCTCAAGAGCTCGCATGAGGGTCTCAGGCGCGGGAGGATCCATCAAATCGAAATGAACAAGATCGTCAATTCCCAGCTTCTTCAACTCAAGCACAGTCGATGACAAGTTTGATCGGAGGATCTCGGGGTATGTCTGCTCAATCAATTCCTTCTTGAAAGCCTCCTCAGTATACAGACGGAAGCACTTTCCGGGGCGTGTACGACCGGCACGACCAGCTCGCTGTTGGGCAGAAGCCTTGGAGATGGGAGAGACCAGAAGAGACTCCACACGGATACGGGGATTGTAGATCTTCTGCTTCGAGAATCCAGGATCCACCACATAGACGATACCGTCAATGGTCAGAGAGGTTTCGGCAATGTTGGTGGAGATGATGACTTTCCGACCGGGTCGGCCACCCTTGCGGATAGGAGGCGGCGCGGGATCGAAGATGCGCTGTTGCATATGGGGTGGTAGACTACCGTATAGCGGGTAAACCTTGAGCGGGCCGGCGTCGGCCTCCCGGACCATTTCGTCGCCCTCCATCGCGATTTTTCGTGCCGCATCCTCAATCTCCTCCTCACCAGTCAAGAAAACAAGGATATCTCCTTCATCTTCCGTCGCATGGATCTGCAGAACGGTCCGAATAGCAGCCTCGACATAGTCTTGCTCCGGCTCGGGGGTGTAGAAGACTTCGACAGGGTGGGTACGTCCGGGAACAGCGAGAAGGGGCGCATCCATGAAGTACCGCTGGAACTTTTGCGCATCCAGAGTAGCAGACATGATAATAATCTTCAAATCCGGCCGGCGCAGCACAACCTCCTTCAGCAGACCCATCAAGACATCAGTGGCCATTGTTCTCTCGTGAGCCTCGTCAAGCATGATCGTGCTGTAGCGGGATAGGTTGTGATCGTGCATCGCCTCTCGCAAGAGCATACCATCGGTCATATACTTCAAGATGGTCTTCGGACTCGTCTTATCCTCGAAACGAATGCTGTAACCGACTTCTTCTCCAAGCTTCACATCCATTTCCTCTGCGACACGCTGGGCGACGGACATGGCGGCCACACGACGGGGCTGTGTACAAGCAACCATTTTACGCTGGGTCTGGGGCAGGTCATCGAACAGGACGAATTGCGGAATTTGCGTGGTCTTTCCGGAACCGGTCTCACCAACAAAGACCAGGATTTGAGACTGCTGGTAGAGCTGCAGGAACTCATCGCTAAAGGAGAACGGGGCATTAGCATACCATGTCGGGCGCAAAAAGAAATGATCAGACTTACCGTTGCGCGTGCACAGGAAGGTCCCGACGAGACTTCAGGATGGAGAGATATTTGGTGGAAAAGGGCTTGCCACTGAATGGGTTGACCTCGCCATCTTCAGCCTTCTTGGCCATTGCTGCCGTTGTCTGGTGGCGCTTGAACTTGGCCAGGGCCGAGTTGTTGTCTGCGCCGTTTGTATCCTCGTACATGTGGGCCAAGTACGGATTGTCCTTGGGGTCACCAGCGTCCATCTTCTGGCGCTTTGCGCGGACGCCATCTTCCGAGTCTGAGCGACGGTCAACCATGCTGGATGAGGTGGTTGAGAGGGTTGAGAGAGTTGGAGAGTGCAAAACTCGGCGGTCGATAAAAAAACTCGGATAGGCAAATCGAGCGGCGATCCCCCGATCTCACCTACTGCAGACCCAAAGCCCTTAGTCAGCAATTTTGCCGGCAGAATTTCGATTTCGGCCATTCTGGCTGCCACACAATCTACTACACAATCTATATATCTCCTACATCACTTATCGAAAAAGCGATTGAAATCAATTCGAATTAACTAACTAATAAGATTAATAGAGTTAAAAGCTAAAAGAATCTCAAGACCAGTCTCATGGCCAATCTCAAGGCCAATCTTATAGTTAATCCTATAGCTAATCCCATAACTAATCTTACAGTAATCTTATATTATATACAAAATACATAGTTTTTTAGTTTTCCTAATGACAAATCTCGAGTCACGGAAGTATACGTCTCCACTTTTCCAGAACATATACTTATGCCTTAGACAAGCCTTCTATTTACAACGTATAGATACCCTATATCAGACGCGTTAGCATATATGATAGTAGTAAATAACGCTATATGTTGGGCTAATTACGTTTTAGTGACGAGCTTGCAGTGAGTTACATAAATATTGGTGTGATTTACTGCATCTGTACAAGAGGATTTGGGTGATACCTGGTTACAGCGCATAGGGCGGTAGAAGAAGCGGTGAAGGCACCCCGGCGCCTGTTGTCAGTCGTACTCACCGCCCACAGTATTCTGCCGGATCCCCACAAAGGGATCGAGGGGGAACGCGGTCGCGAGCACGAAGGGGTGTTCCTGGGCGCGCCTATCCTGGGTTTGAGTGTTGGGTATACCGTCAGTGGCCACTTGCTACCCTAGTAGTTGTGTGCTTCTTTGTGGTGCTAATACCGCATCTTGCCTGGAACCAGCCCTCCATCTCTCCTCTTGACCCCCACCACTCCGACAAAAAAGGTGCTCCGTGTCAACATGGATAACTACAGTGCCGCCGACGATCCTGGGGTGACCTTCTGCATTGGCCATCATGAGCCGAACCGGACGCTGATGGTGACGCCTCAGGTGGTCAGTCGGGCACATGAGAGTAATGTCAGTTCTGTTGTCTCCATCGACGTCAATTGCTTTTTCAATGGCTGACTTGTATGTCCAATAATAGTATGATATGTTGACCGTCCCAATTACTACCACCCATTTCCACTCTAGGGTGCTGGGACTGTTGTCTTCTTATCTCTCTAACCTGCAGTCGCCATCATTCGATCGAATTGGTACCATGGCCACCTCGCAAAACACACGGCCGTTGACCATTCCACCACTGACCAAACTGGACTCAAATCTCACTCCCAATGACGCAACGAGCCAGCTGGTTGGTGTCACTAGCAGCTGGATTGACCTTTGCTCCCCTGATCCGTTAATTGCGGATCTGTCTCGTCAGGTTCTAATGCTAGAAGTAGCATACGCTGCTTTCTGTGGTATTGGATATCTTTTGATTCCTATCCCTAAATTGCATCACGGAGGTATGCATTCGGAAGGTGTTGTCTACTATGCCAGGGCTATTCAGGATGCGTTGAATCTCGGTCCCTACATCCAGTTCCATATTTGGTTGCGGATGGTGGACAACTCTGAGCTGGAGGTTGATAGCATGGGTGATTTGGCCCCACTGGCCCGGGAAGAGTACCTACAGCTTGAAGCAGGTAGTTTGCCAAAAGTCGACCCATTCGGAACCTGGGATGCCTGGGATTTGATAAGAAAGACATGCAAATACCATACACGGCTGTTTGTGGGTGAGTTGAACCCTCTGTCGTTATCTTAATTCTCATTCACTGACTTGAATGACAGCCCTGGCCATGCCTAAGCAGCTGCCTGCTCTTTCCGTTCAATCTCGCTGGCACTCGGAGCCTGTGCATCTCCTTACGATCGATTCTTCATCGTTCTTGAAGAACCCGAAAGGATACCCCGTTTTGTCAAAGGCCCACCAAGCCTTGATCGCGAAACTGATGCGCCTTCGCACTCCTCCATGGATTCTGCTTTGCAATGTTGGGCCTATTCCGGGCCTTGAGAACGCAGAAGGAATTGAAGCCACCCAGTCTCAATTGTCCAGCTCTGATTATCCGAGCCTGAGTGCCTCCAAAAAGCATCATGATCCTACTCCGCATCTTTCCTATATTCGGAATCTGCAGCAGCGGCAACCCCCGCGTACCCCCATCGAAAGATTTGGCACGGGCTATCAAGACTACCTCCAGGCTCCTCTCCAGCCACTGACTGTCAACTTGGAGAGCATCACCTACGAGGTTTTTGAGAAAGATCCCATTAAATATGAGTGGTATGAGCGCGCGATTACCAAGGCTCTGAGAGACTGGGCAGATCAGAAGAAGCCTACGTCTCACCCTGATGGGAAGGTGATTCTGGCGGTTGTTGGCGCGGGCCGCGGTCCTCTCGTGACTCGGGCGTTGAGGGCTAGTGCCGAAGCCGGAGTGGAGATTGATCTGTGGGCTGTCGAAAAGAACCAAAATGCATTTGTTTTGCTGCAACGTCATAACGAGACTATCTGGGATGGCAAAGTCACCCTCGTCCAATCTGACATGCGGAGCTGGAAAGGCCCTCGAGTGCGGCGACAGGCAACCGAGAGCGGAGCCCAGGACCCAGTCGGTGAATCGCTAGGTATTGAAGATTCCTTGCTTTACACACCAACAAAAAGCACCAATGACCCCGGCCGGGCGTCCGATTTCTCTGCCCCCATCGCATCCGGTAGCACTCACACTTATGTTGACATTGTGGTGTCAGAGCTACTCGGCTCTTTCGCTGACAATGAACTATCTCCGGAGTGCCTGGATGGTATCAATGATCTAATCAATCCTGTGCACGGAATCTCAATTCCAGCATCATACTCGGCACACCTGACGCCCATTTCTGCTCCAAAGCTGCACAGCGATGTTGTGAATCAGACCATCTCTAACCCTGCAGCGCCGGAGACCCCATATGTCGTGATGCTTCACGCTATTGATTTTCTGTCTACCGCGGACTCTACTGGGAATACGGAAACTCTCAATCAGAACACAACAAACCGTGCCTCTGGAAGCTCGGGGCCAACTCTCGCCACCGAGTTCCCAACGCCTTTCGTTCAGACCGCATGGTCTTTCTCTCACCCGAACCGAAATATTCCACCTCCATCCCCAATGCAGTCCACCATTTCCAATTCGCACAATGTGCGCCAAACTCGTCTCTCCTTCCCTACACAGAACCGGGGCGTGTGCCACGGCTTGGCTGGGTACTTTGAAACAGTCCTTTACGGTGATGTCGAGCTCTCAACCAATCCAGTGACAATGGATGCAAAGAGCGCCACCATGATCAGCTGGTTCCCTATCTACTTCCCTCTCAAGGTATGTCATGACCGGAAAGGTTAAAGCCGCGGAGGCCGCATCTTCCTTTAATTCAAACGTTAATTTCAATCCCGCTAGACTCCTCTCAATGTTCCCGACAATGGCGAAGTCGTCATCACCATGTACCGTCAGACTGATGATCGTAAAGTCTGGTATGAATGGATGGTGGAGGTGTATGCCCTTGAACGCACCTCTGCTCCGACAACGAAGCTCACTACCCCTGCCGTGACTGGTATCCGTTCAGGATCTCCCAGCGTGGACAGCCTGAAGGGCAAGGAAAACACCCCAAGACCACAAGGTGGCAGTTCAAACCAGACAGGGTATCGTCGCGTGCGCGTGGGAATGAGTGAAATGCATTCAAGCATTAAGGAAGGCTGCTTAATGTAATGGAGGTAGTTGAAGTTAAAAAAAACGAAGCTGGAAGGGCCAAAGTTGATCAATGGTACGAGTCAGCGGAGCCAAGAAATCGATTATTGGTTGGACGTTAGAACAGACTAAATTGGGGTATCTTCCGGAGTGCACAACGATATCCTCTCTCATAGAAAGACATCAAGATGACATATCGCTTTCATTGGCCAATGCGAGGGTGACGCGATTAGAGGAGTAAATTTCAAGTGCATCCACCCGGGCATAATTGTTCTAAATCTGTAGGTGGCACAACATTGCGGGGCTGGCAGCTCATATGTCGACAATTGGAGGTACCTTCACGCCATGAGTTGCTTATCGATGTTGTTCTACCTTTTCTCGATGCTCTATATAAGCGTGCCGGCCTTGTCTTTGGAATGTGTTGATAACAGATCAATTTCATCGCCATTGATTTTGCATTTTCCAAAGGTTCAGCACCATCACTGCATATAATGGCCCCTCGCTACCGCAATATTGCTGTTATAGGCGCTGGGCCCTCGGGCATTTCAGCTGTCAAAGCGCTACAGGAGGAGAACATCTTTGACAGAATCCGGATATTTGAGCGACGTGATAAGCCCGGGGGTATCTGGCACTATGATTCTACCCCAGACTTATTCCCAACCGCAAGGAACTTGGCCGAGTCGCGGAATGCAATTCCCAAGAAGCTACCTCAATTCGCATCTCCGAGTCCCGAGGATACAACTGCACGGACTGGGATTTACGACAGCCTTGACAGCAATGTGGGCTCCAAGGCCATGGCTTTCACACACAAGCCTTTTCCAAACATAAATTCTGCACTTTCTGTCAAACAATTTGGACATTCCAATCCAACCCATCCCTTTCGCATTATTGCGGGGTATTTGGAGGACCTTTTCAAGGATTACCACCACCTCGCCAGCTTCAATACTACTGTCGAAAAAATCGAGAAACAGGAAGGAAAATGGATTTTGACTCTCCGTCAGTCCGGCCATATCCGTGATGATGAGCTAAGGGACTATTGGTGGCAGGAGGAATTTGATGCTGTGATCGTAGCTTCTGGCCACTACAGTGTCCCTTTGGTTCCTGATATCCCGGGACTAGACGTTGCCTTCAAAGCTTATCCAACAAAATTTGAGCATTCCAAGGCCTATCGCTCTCAGAATGATTATGTGGATAAGAAGGTTGTTGTAGTTGGAGGGAACATCTCATCTGCAGATCTTATCGTTGACCTGCATCCTATCGTCAAAGGGCCTTTATATCTCTCCCAGAGAGGACATAATGAGGCGCTGCAATCGGCATGGGACTTGCCCAACGTTCAAGCAAAACCTGTAATCTCGAGCATCGAAAGTACTTCCCATGGAGTTAATGTGAAGTTCGCGGATGGTACAACAGTCGCGGACGTGGACAAGGTCATATTTGCAACTGGCTACAAGCTCTCCTACCCATTTGTCACTCCTGATCCTGTGACACCTAACAACCGGGTCGCGGGCTTTTATCAACATATATTCAAGATCGGCGACCCGTCTCTAGCTCTTGTGGGACAAATTCGGGCCGCGATCAGCTTTCGCGCCTATGAGTACCAGGCCGTTGCCGTGGCACGATACTTCGCGGGAAGAAATAGCCAGCCATTGCCCAGTCCCCAGCAGCAGGATCTGTGGGAAATCGAAAGACTGAAGTACAAAGGCCCCACAGCTCTTTTCCACGAGATCAAACCCGATTTCAAGGAGTATTTCGATTTTCTGCGTGCTTTGGCAGGGCCACCTGCGGAAAATAGTGATGCTTATGAATTGCCAGCCTGGAAAGATCGATGGGCCGAGCAAGCGTTTGAAGTCTTACAGTTGAAAGACAAATACTGGAAGTCTTTGAAAAGGGTCGCAGACAGCTCAAGCCACACGAAGGCAAAGCTGTAGTTTATTCTGGCTTGACCGATCGGTGACACGTATGAGCCTGATCTATTCGCAAAAGCAAAGGAAGGGTTGGGCGATCGTGTGAATACAATTTTATTGTTTAGCAAGTGTGACCACACTCATCAGTTTCATATTCGTTTTGCTCTGTATTTTGAAGACGACCGTAGAGAATGTAAGAGAAGGGAGAAGAAAATCCTGGCAGAAATGAGGTATGGAGTCCAAGATTGCGATAGCGAAGATAACTAGGATGTTCCAAAGTCAGATAGTGATGAAGAGAGAGCAAACTGTCAAATAATGCTACAAGAAATGACCACGAAATACGTTCAAGATCAGGTCATTCGGATTCCACTGTAGCAAACACTTCGGCAGTTCCGAGGCAAGTCTTTGAACCTTGAGCCACATGGAAATGACGCACCGAGAATTTAACCTCAATGTCAAGCATATACGTGCGAACAGCCGACACGTGTCTATCTGCGATGATCACAACCCATTGTGTATTCCAGTATATATTATTAACTCTTCTTTCGCACGAAGAGGGCGTGACGATCTCTTCTTTACATTCCACCAGTGGAGTAGGGCCAAGCCCCGATCGGCAGAAATTAAATCAAGAGCGATGGGCACCATCTAGGAGAACCAGAAAATACGAGGACTGTATAATCGTTATTTTGCCGAAAACTCGTCGTTCCTCAACAGTGTGAGGCCTAAATATATAGGCTAGGGAGCGAACTAGTCAGGTTGACCAGGGTATCTTGCTGCAGGATTTACGCCCAAGTTCGGGTGGCGCCGTCGCAAGAACGCCACCAACGCTAGGCTTCAACTAGCCCAAATTTGAGGGACTGACCATCCTACTTCGGACATGATTGACTGACGATCACATATGACCAGTCGTCTTGTGAAACCCCAATTTTTTGGCTCGCCCTAGTCAGGGTCGTCTTTTGGTGGCTTAAAAAATGCAGGAACTAGGTGATACTATGGTTCCTTGCTTTTTGCGAGTTGACAGATAGGGTAGATGGTAACTAGATATAAGAGGCTTTGCTGGCGTGGCCATGGAGCACGTACGCCGAGTAAAATCTTTAGAAAGAGCCTCTCTACGGTTACTATGCATTTCTCGCTTTTAACTCTTCTCTCCACCGTGACAGCCCTGGGAAATGCTGCTCCGAGCGGACTACATACTCGTGGTATGACCTATAATGTCCGATAAGGATCCTGGCTAATTCGCTAAGAAGCTCATCTTTCTTCCAGATATTCCGCCTGCTGAGCTAGCGCAGTTCGAATTCTGGGTCCAGTACGCAGCCGCTGCATACTGCCATGACAACTATGCCTCTATGGCAGGCCATAAGTTGACATGCTGGGCTGGAAACTGTCCACAGGTTGAGGCCGCTGACACCTCTATTGTCTACGACTTCTCAAAGTGAGTTTCTGTGCTATGCACATACATGAGCATAGAGTGATCTGATCCTGGCTTAGTACAACCGCTACCGACACCTCGGGCTATATTGTTTTAGACAATACAAACAAGGCCATCATCTTGGCTTTTCGAGGGTCATACTCCGTTCGTAACTGGATTGCCGATGTCGAATTTCCCTATACCGACCCCAAATTGTGTGACGGTTGTGAGGCAGAGCTAGGCTTCTGGAGCTCCTGGGAACTAGTTCGCGATGAGATCATGAAGTACCTAACCGCCACTGTTAATGCCAACCCTACTTACGAACTTGTCGTTGTTGGCCACAGCTTGGGTGCTGCTGTCGCAAGTCTCGCTGCTGCTGATATCCGTGGGAAGGGCCATCTGTCTGCGAAATTGTACGCCTTCGCGTCTCCTCGTGTGGCCAACCCTGCTTTGGCCCAATATATCACCGCTCAGTCCAACAACTATCGCTTCACGCACACCAATGATCCTGTGCCCAAACTACCATTGTTATCCATGGGATATGTTCACATTAGCCCGGAATACTACATTACTGCTCCGAACAACTCCACCGTTTCTGCGAACCATGTGCAAGTGTTGGAGGGTGAGGTCAATTGGAATGGTAACACTGGAACTGGTTTGCCTTCCTTAATTGACTTCCCAGCTCACCATTGGTACTTTGAGGAAGCAGATGGGTGTAAGGGACCTGGCCTTCCATTTAAGTTCTAATTATGGCCAGGCTTCCTTCAAATTCTATCAAACAGCTTTTGATGAATGAGGCACCAAGGGTACCGAGTATATAGGATGTGAGAACAGAGGGAGCCTGATAACCTTGTTTGAGATGGAATGAAGAAAGAAATCTAGTATGTGTAGAGAGGGAGTCAACAATGGCAGCCAACAAGGATAGTGCTAGAAACATGCAGAGGTGGTCTTTGACAACCTAGCTGATTATATAGTATGCCAGCACCGGTTATACATACAGAAGGGTGCAATGGAATGTTCTATAGAAAATAGAATGACTAACAACATGTCAAATACCCTGATCGTGTCCAGTCCAATCCACTTCGAATGGGAACATAGAATCGCTTATCACCATCGACGAAACCGCCACGCAAAATCCTCATGTCATCAATACCTCGCTTTAAATCTTCTGATTCTTCATCAATCTCTGAATCCCAAAGCCTCCATCCATCCTTGTGTGGTATCTTCCATCGAATCACCACAGGAGAGGGCACATGAGAAGTTTCCTGCTCGCCGACGTCCGTCGGGTGAGAAGCGGAGTTCTTCTCGGTCAGAGCTAGAAACAGTTCATGATCCTTTGATGAAGACCTATGCCTGTAGAGAAGTACTGGATTTGAGACTATAGCCGAAGAGGGAAAGTAGATAGGAGTTCGTAGTGTCTCAGCACTCCAGAGTGTATCGGGTCCACTGTTAGATGGTCGAGAAAGACCAAATTTCACTATTTTCGGCTCGCACGTCAGTGGTGGCAGTGCAACGACGACTTCGCTATCACTCCAGTGCACAAGAACGAGATTTGCCGGGAGACTGTCAATGGGTTCCTTCATCTTATATGTGATCTGTTGATGGATGCGTGGTTCATCCAACGAACTGCTACCTGCTTCGTTCGTAGTGAATCGACTTGTTGATAGCGACAATGCACACTCCGCATGGCCTTCCTGTTCACGGAAGCATGCCTGTAAAGAATAGAGAAACTGCCCGCACGAAGAGAAGTGGATCTCGGAGGCTACAGATGTTAGACCATCGAACAAGGTGTCGGGCGATAAAAATGGCAAGAGCTTACCTTGGCAACCCTTTCCGTCTAACAGGAAAGAGTCAGTTTCAGTACTCCAGATACCAGTGCCCATGTTGGCAATTAGGACATGGCCATTAAGATCTTTCAACACAACGAAAGGCAAAGACGGATGGACCGCAAATGGAATTTCTTTGCGGGCCCCCTTATTGAGAGCGATTGGAATCCACAAAGGTTGGGACGATTCCCATATTATAATCGCACACTCATTGGGTAGTTGTTCCACTGATCTGGGTTTTGATTTGGCAGAGGAACCTTCTTCGTATCCAGAGTCATAGTGGGAGTCAACGATGGTGCCATCGTCTGACTCAGACTCTGAACTGGAGTCGGAGCAAGAATCGCTATCCGAGTCAGACGAATCTGAATCGTCGTGCTTTGGATTGACTGACTGATGTGTGTTCCGGACAACGTGGAAGAGGGTGAGTTTTCCGTGGGGTGTATTGCGATTACACTTCGATCTCAATTGCCAACTTTGACTTGGAACGGCTGCTTTCCAAGCGCCTGGCGCTGAAAATTTCTGGGATATACCATCCAACGATCGCTCAAGCTGAAGGCGAGACCCGTCAAACTTTAATAACCGGACCTGGGAATCATTGCGCACAAGTTGGAAATCTGTGTCAATACTGTCCAAGTCCGTTAAAGGAGTTCCTTTATCGAAAGTGCCATGGATCTTTGTTCCCTTGGAAAAGACGGAAACGCGGTGGTAGTGAATACGTCCAGGGGGATCGGATAGATACTTGCAAACTAACTCAGCCAAGAGCTTAGCACCAGAAAGAGAGATAGAAGAGACTCGCAATTGCGCGGCATTTGCGGGGTCTATCTTGTCATTCAATCTCCAGACTTTGATTCCTTCCGATTGATGAAGATGATTTCCAAGTCTTGATTGCATATTGCTCAGCGGCACACATTGGTCCAACGTACCAGGTCGGGATGCAAGAGCCTCATGCCAGTCACTCACAAATGAACAAAAGTCTTGATCTAGTAGTTTTCCATACGGGTACTGCCCAAGCCAATTAGGTAGAGGGACAGCAAAGCAGTCGGCCTTACTCCAATCAGCCCGGCGAACCCCCATTTGGTATTTTTTGGCCCCTGTGCGTGCATAACGGCCAAAGTTGTAAGGTACAATGTAGCTCTGAAGAGCAACGCAGGTCCAAAAACTGGCGCTTTCCATGAATGCTCGAACTTCCTCAAAGATCTCTTCGGAATGATGCTCGGTGTCCATAAAGTGTAGAAACCAGAATGCTGCGGCATATTTCAGGAACGCATTTTCGGTGCTGTCGTCGTCCAGAATTGCTTTCGCTGCAGAAAATGATTTGTATCGACGATATTGCAAAAGAGTCATACAAGTTAACCCAAATTTCACGGAGCCTTCCGAAGGTTGGACGAAGAATTTCTTCATCTCTTTGAGTCTGAACTCCTCAACATGACTGAATGACTTGTCGATGGGTAGATCTCGGGGATCCTGGAGTAGGAAGTCCTGAATTGTTTTATGAAACAGTTTTACCTTGGCATTAGTCTTGTTCTGCTCCGAGGAACGGTCAAATAGCAGCAGTGAGCCGCATAGATCGTGTATTGCGTCCTCCTTTGGCACAGAGTCGGGCGAGTAATCCCGAGCACCTGGTCTAATCGCGAGAGCATTGCGAAGCTCATTCCAAGTGATAGATTGAACAGCTGTGACGAGGATCGTGAAAAGTCTCCTGGAGAGAATTTAGAATCCTATCCAAATATTAGGACTTGTCAGAAACCTTACCGCACAAGATCACGCTCAGGTGGACTGCGATAAGACAGCCTCAACAAACTGCGCATATAATATCCCGTTAAAGTTTGAGGAAACTCATGAAGAGCCGCCTTGATGTCGGTGTCGCACGTAACACCCTTTCCATTCAGGGTATCGATTAGAAACTTCGAGTAAAGAAAGCTTCCTTCGCTGTACTCGACATAATCGTCGATCTGCTCCAACGATTTTGCGATTGAGCGCAAACCGTCTGCCAGGAATAGCTTGATCTCTGCAGCAAGTGTTGACCGGGCTGGAGACAAGAATACTGCGTTCAGATTCTCCATCATACTATGGATCTGCCCCTCCTTCCGACTGGTGAAGAACCACCTCACAGTTCCATATACCGGAGCTGAGATGATGGAGCTCAATGTAGCTCGCATATTCTCGTCATCGAGGCTCTCATCTAACCCATCGACTAAAATGTAGATGAGAGGGCATTGCTTCAACAACGCATGTAAGATTTCAATCACATGCCCTCGGAGTCGTAGATGTCTCGCATTGTGCGCCATTTCTTGTCGGTACAGCTCAACAACTCGGTCGGGTATGCCTGTTTTCAAGATATTCAGTATTTGAAGCGTCAAGGCTTTCAGACCCGTGAGAGGGTTGCGCTTGGTGAAATCGCTGAACGAGTAGAAAAAGTATGCAGAAGGTAGACCTCGCTCAGACAGATGCTGGACCACTGCGGATGACAGAACAGTCTTTCCTGAACCCGGAGGTGCATTATACCAGAGAATGGGATCCGAAGTACTGTCACGCCAGTGGAGAAACTTCTTGTCTTCAAATATCCAGGAGCATGTTGTGCCATGCCTCCGCTCAGAGTGAAACTCAAGGTCGCAGCGAACGTCAAGGTCATCACCCGCACTGATCCAGTCGCGAATACCATTCTTCAATTTCTCTATGGACCGCATTTTTGAATTAATATTTGCTTGCAGAGAAGGATAGGGGCGTATTGGGGAATATATTTACCTTCATGCTCTGCTTTCAATCTCTTCCTGTCTTCGTTGGCGCGCACAGCTTCTTCAGCATGGGCTATTGATTCTACCCTGCTGCAATCTCGACGTAGAGAGTCTAGTGTACCCTGAATCTCATCTGCGAGTGGGTTTAGGATGTTCTTGAGCGTCCCAATAATGACTGTACGGCATTAGCAGGAGGAGAAAAATGTCTAATTGATAGACAGAGGAACGTACGGTTCTGGTCGAGGAGCTTCGTTGCTGTGGCCCAAAACTTCACGATGTTTTTGTATGAGGCCACGAGCCGCTCGCGAACTTCGTCAGATGTCTCATATGCCACCGCGAACTTGCCATAGCACTTGAGAGAAGCACCAATCTCGGCCATCGCTTCGGTTATGACATCGAGCGCCTTGCCCATTTTCTGCGCCAGCTATAGAGAGGTAAGATCCATTAGCTTATAGTGGTCGCAAATTGCGTATTCACGACTTACCCTTAAGACAAGTTGTGCGCCAGTAAACACCACGCCGACTGCGAATGGACTTGCTTGTATCATAGTCTGGCAAGCCGACATCAGGTTCTGTAGCCCATCCATGAAAGGGCCGATCGCCAGCAGGACTCTGGTAGTCTTTGAGGAATGTCCTCGCTGCTCGATCTGTTTGACAAATTCTGTCAATTTCCCCGCGCATTCGTTCACTCCTTTTTGTCCCTCGGAAACCGCCATGACAGCTCTGGAGTTTAGGACTTCCTCGTAGAAACGGCCCTTTCGGTCGCGAGCCTTCATTTCCTCTAGAAACTCGTCAATAGCCTCAGCCAGAGGGCTGCATGGCTTTGATGGGAACCGCATAATGGTCGTTTGTGTCGGAGAATTTTGGTATGCCATACACGGTAATGAGGGGTGAGAAGGCTTATCCAATTTATGTGGCCACGAGTTGCACTGACATGGCATCAGCAGGTTGATCAAGCGCCCAATCACCCACAACGGAGGATCATAAATGGGTTCCTGCTCCAAGCTATGCCCTCTGCAGATAGTCGCAGTTCGTTATGATAGGCGCATAGTGTTTTCCATAAGAGCACAGCCCGGCTAGGTGCTCCAAATCTAGCACCGCCACGGATTTTAAAGTCCGCTTAGAGCCTGTTCAGATTGGGCGTTTGGTAAGCTGCCGTCACATAGCTAAGGGCCCAGGCACGCTAATCATGCAGGATGGCAGTGGGGGCGGTAATAATGCATCGTGACAGGCGCTCTCGTAAAATCGGCTGACGATCAAAAGACAAGCTTAGTGGGGTCCAAATAGTGAGGCAACTAAGGCTGTGCAGATAGTGCTGTCCTGTCCTGTTGAGCCCCAAGTTGCAGATGAGGCTCTTATCCCACTTATAAAGGCCCAAGCAACCCGAGAATTCTCACACTCTCTTGGTCAACTCGAGACTGATAATCTAACCGTCAGGCTACAATACTGCAAGAAAAAGCCCGATTATATTGAAAATGGCTACTACCACGGACCCTAGCCTCGTCGGCGAAAAATGCGAGTTTAAAGTATACCGCCATAATACAAAGAAAGAAGGCAAACGAGCCGTTGAAGTTCTTTCCAAGCCCTTCGATGATCAGACTCTCGACGAGCTCGACAGCCCATATGCTCTTGTCATCAATCGGTACTTTGGCGATAAGAGTCAACTTGAGAAGACGACTCTGGACATCAATTCGAGTTGGCTTGTCAGGGTTTTCAGAGAAGTCATTGGCTCCTACCCTACAGTGCCTGCCGATTTTTGCACGCCCTTCCAACTTGAAAGTCCATTCCAAATCCTGCTTCACCACTGGGAAGATCTGGATGAGCGCCGCCAAGCTACCCAGAATGCTGAGGAACGTATGCATCTGAATCTATTGTTCGATTTTCTGGTGAATGAGCTTGGCTCCGAGAGAGAGCGTTTACTGGGCATGATGAGAAAGAATCAGATTACATTCAAAACCGCATGGTCTATATTCCGCCCGGGAGAGTTGGTCTACACGTCCTTCATGGGACATCCCTGGCTTTTGAGATGCCAGAAAACAGCCTATGAGCAAACTGTGAAAAGGGGTCCGTATCTGGAGGTCCATTGCATTTTCTGCGATCATAATGGTACCGTCGAAGGACAGGCCAAAAAGGTCTTCAAGATATACCAGAAAGAGAGCTTTGGAGCTGAAAATCCCGCAACCATCACTGAACTTTCCGTTTATGCGCGGAGGTTTGTTCAGGGTCAGGAAGGACTAGAAGAGCGACTTATCAAGCGCGGTCGGAAATTCCTTTCCTTGACAGGAATGTCAGTCAAATCATATGACGGGCCAGCTAAATATCTCAAGGAGCCATATCACCGCTTTTATGATCCAGGCATGGCGGACTGGCCTGGAGTTTGGCTGCCATACACCGAGCTCGGACGAGTTGTTGTCGACCGCAAGACGTTCCAGCAAGAACAAATTTCGAATGCAGTCAGTGTCCAGGCACAAGAAGTAGATCCCCTACTATGCCCTCCTTATGAGTACGGCTTTTCTTTGGCTCGAAAAGAGTGGGCTAAGTTCATGATTGATTGTATCGACGAGATCACCTGGGCCGAGAATGTTTGGGATTCATTGATTGTTGGTGATCGCCAAAAATTGGTGCTTCAGTCTTTAGTCACTTCACACTTGTATCCCGACGATGCTCGCGATCAAATGAGACAAAAGGGCAAGGGCTTGGTTGTTTTGCTCTACGGGACTCCAGGCTCTGGAAAGACATTGACAGCCGAGACTGCAGCCGAAGGCACCCGAAAGGCCTTGATAATGACTTCCCTGGGGGAGCTCAACAAGGAAGACAGGTAATTTCATTTCTTCCAACATTGACATTGGATCTAATCCATCTCTCTTTTCATAGCGCCTGGGCCTTCGAAACCCGCTTGCGACTCCTACTGAGATATGCTACCTTATGGAAAGCGGTCGTCCTGATGGATGAAGCGGATGTATTCCTCGAGGCAAGAGATGACCACGGTGACAGCAACACACGGAACGCTCTTGTAGCTGGTTCGTTATAATCTCACAGTGAATTGAAGTGTTTCAGCTGACATATGACTCCCTCAGTTTTCTTGAAAGAACTCGAATATTTCAGCGGAGTCGTATTCCTGACTACCAATAGGATTAAATCATTCGACCGAGCCATGAAGTCTCGGATTCACCTTGCTCTCGAGTATACACCACCTGGCATTGAAACACGCCAACAACTTTGGGAGCAGATTCTCAAGTCTATCCCTCCAGAAGAGATTGATATTGACCCCGAGGATGCGATTGATCATTTTGTGGCAGCTAAGATCAACGGTAGAGAGATTGCGAATACTGTAAACACTGCAAGAACCATTGCCAGATTCGAAAAGAAGGCTCTTCAACTGAAGCATATCGAACTGGTGCTTGGTGTGTGGAGAGAATTCGATGACAGCTTAAAGCAGACTGCCCAGAAATCGGGTCAAGCTATGGAGAAAGGCAGCCGCATGATTGATCGCACAAATTCTATCATTGAAGAGGAAGATGACGGCTTCAAAACCTGAGCGACCGGGCATTCTTGATTGTTGCCCTAATAGATGAATGTGATACTTGAATAAATCTTTGAAGTGAATCCCATCGCATATTATTCTAGTTATGTTGGGGTTGTTCTCTTTGCTGAGTCAACTGAAGATACTCTTCCCTCTAGGTAACTAGGCCCCATAGCCTTGCGTATTCGATTCCAGATACTCACTAATCTTCTGATACCTCAACAACAATCTTCTTTGCCGAGACACCCTTTGCAAGAAGATCAATGCCATCCTGGATTTTCTCAAGACCCCCACCGATGATGAATGGGTCTGGTTTGACCTGAAATTGACCTGTTGCCAATACCGTGGGAATATATTCACCCCAAATCGCATTTCCAACATCAAGGTTGACCAAACCCGGGTCTCCTCCGTTGACTATATTCAAATTAGTTTACGATTTTACCGTATCACCTGCCCATTTTGAACATACCAAAGACTGCTTTGACATTGTCTGGGAAATTCCCATCGGGAAATCTCATTACTGGCAGCTTGCCTCCTCCAATTCTGCTCAGAACTTCACCGCACTGAGCTTGCGTTTCTGGACTGCTAATACAGTCGACGACAAAATCATTTTCGTTCAATATGTTGACAAGATCATCGATAATTTTCGGGCTCTTGTAGTCAAGGACTTGGGCGGCCCCGAGGCTCTTCACCAACGCATGGTTAGCCTCGCTGGCGGTAGTCACGACCTCAAGACCCGACGCGACAGCGAGTTGAATAGTTGAGCAACCAACGGAAGAGCTTCCGCCCCAAAGTAAGATCTTCTTCCCAAGTGGGCGAGGTGAGAAAGATGGTAGCGGGAGTTGGAGCTGGACATAGAGCGAACTGGCTGCAGTGGAGATCGAAAGAGGAAGAACAACCGCGCTGGAGAAAGGGAGAGAGTCTGGGATGGCGGCGACCAAAATCTCTAAACAGGCGCTATAAAGCTGGAAGCCACTGTTGGCAGCTTTTCCGCTGAGGAGACCGTGGCAGTGTCTATTGGATTTGGTCAGACAGTGCTCCAATTTTGACACTGGGTGTGTAACATACCCGATCACTCTCTGGCCAACCTTGAGGGTATTGACGTTAGAACCGACTTCAACAATGGTTCCTGCAACATCCTGTCCGAGGACAAAAGGATACGGGAGCTGAAAATTTGGGCTTGCTTGCATCTGGAGACCTTTTTAGCCAATTGGATCCTTCATCGCGGTTGTCTTTTGTCATACCCCGTAGTCTACCAGATTAATAGCAGTGTAGGCGACCTTGATAACAACCTCTGTCGGCAATGGACTAGGTTTTGGTGCTGGCCCAACTTGTAGAGGCGTCGCCTTAGCATAAGGAAGCCAGGCAGCTTGGTTCTGGATATCCGCCATTGTTGTAATACTGTAGTTTCAAATCGTCTTGCATGATCCAAATCAGAGCATTTGGCCGCGGGGAACACTCTAATATATGCCAACAAATTTAAAGATTAAGAAGACGATTTGAAATGCGCGAGTAATCACTTTTGTTTCAACACAGTGATATGTAATTGGGCGTGACTGATTTCTAAGCCAATCCCACAGCCTCGTAGCCCCCCCCCCCCATCTGTGCATTTCGCTTGGCAGCCTTACATATGAGAGAATGCGATAGAAACTCAACGTACTGAGGGCAAAACAGTCTAGGAGAATTAAGGCAACTCAAAATGTCCTGAATCTAGTCAGTAGACTTTCCAATGGTCGCATTTCATTGCCTGGCATGAAATTCAGGGCACTCAGGCCAGTGGGCTGGTGGAGGAGAGAGAGCCTAGAGCCTCATCATGAGCCAATCATGAGGCTTGCGAAGACTGCCACTTACACCCCACTCAATTTTCAACTCCACGGCCAGTCAATTTCTTGTGCATAACATAAATTTGTGGTTGGAATGACATAGGCAAGTAATAGACAGAGTGAAAACTTAAGAGTCAAGGTGAAAGTGAAACAATGCCATGATTTTACCCAAATAGTATCGGGGGCTTTGACCGCGATCTATGCCCGCGATGACATTTTCTAGATACGTGTTAATCGTCTTCTTCTGGTCATCGCCTTGAAACATATCTTAATGTTCCATACTCCCTATATGGGGTTTACAGCTTTGGGTTATCTTTACGATGGCTACGTCTCATAATCCATTTATAGGGGCCGTCATGAATCTTAGCAGGTCCGAATAAAATTCCGGCAGTATAAAGAGCCGCTCGGGCAAAAGGAGAACTGGCATAACTCACAGGAGCTGTAGCCAGAAAGAGGCACGAGAGATGCTGTTCTCATGAAACATGGAGCTAACGACGGTTTACCCCGTAACTTGGAGGGTCTTTCGAGGGAGTGGTGGCTTAGAAAGGGCCTTTAGGGAGAGTAAAGGAACTAACGTAATGTGGCGAGGCTTCTACTTATAGTGCTGTTAGTGTGCAGATGAGAGATAGAATCTACCCGGCAAGTGGGCCCCTTGGATTCACTAAGATAAGAAATGTTTTTAAGGTCCATGAGGGGATTCCGACAAGACAGATAGTTCAACCTGTTTGCTTTTACTATAAATAGAGGGAGCCGAGGTTCTCTCATTCACATACCGAGGACTGGCATCACAAACCTGTATTCATATTTGTTCAAGGGCAAGGCACCTGGATACTTTTCTATGTTCGGTACCAAGCTTGCCCAGGCTTGGGTGAGTGAGTTGCGTCGTGGCAAGTGGGTCAGTCTCAACAATCGCCGTGAACTGGTGGATTGAATATGGACCTCATCGAATACTTAATTTTTTGAGATTTCACAACGTTCTTGACTTTCTCCGCTACTGCGACCGGTATACGTCAGGTGTTTCCATCACCACCCCTAACGGATTGGCCTCGTAAGGTGTTCTGATCGGCTTTATACGGCTCGGTGAAGAGTGCCGCAACGGGGAAAAAGTTTCACACGGGTGTACGTAGTCGGCCGGCTAGATCCGTCATAGTAAGGAACCAACCACGCAAGCGCTGCCGTCATCAACCAACCCAAGCTTTTTTAGTGGAGCCACCATTTGTTGACTGAACTACGTTTCATTGCGTTTGTGTATCTTTTCCAGGCTGAGCCCATCCATAATTGCTGCCATTGAGCCAATCGTGCCCTCTCACTCGTTTAACCACCTGATTCATTGTCCTTGACAGTGGGAATGCTGCCCTAAAGCTGGGGCAATATGGCGTACTAAATCCACGACAAATGGATCAAGCTAATATAAATAGATGAACCCGCTTGTTGTCTTTCGCGGCCCCAGCCCCATACATTCGCTTGGATCTATAACATTGGTGGTTGCTCCCATTGTCTCGTTAACTTGTTTCATCCATTTGGAAGTCACATTCGTTGGGATCATTGTTTCTTTTACGATCCATCACTACCAATTTTCAATCCAAGATGGCCGTCTCTTCATACCTCAAGTGGGCTGCGCTCACTTTGGCCACCGCTCAGCTCGGTGCTGCCCAGACCTACACCAGCTGTAATCCACTCAATGGTAAGTCTATTCCATGAAATTCAATCATGGGATGCCTGAGATCACAATTGCTAACTGGAAGTATATAGCAACCTGTCCTGCCGATACCGGTCTTGCCAAGTGGGAGTTTAACACCGACTTCACCACGGGCTCGTCGGCATTCAGCAAGTGGAACACCACTTCTGGAACTGTTGAAAGCACCTCTCTTGGTGCCAAGTTCACTATCTCTGAGCAGGGCGATGCTCCCACCATTGAGAGTGACTTTTACATCTTCTTCGGCCGGGTCGAGGTTAAGATGAGAGCTGCCAACGGCACTGGTATCATCAGCACTACTGTGATGGAATCTGATGACCTGGACGAGATCGACTGGGTGAGCTTTATCCTCAACTCGGTGAAATAGCCAAACTTGATCACCTCTGACTTTTAGCAGGAGCAAATTAGTACTTACGACTACTCTATCGAAACCGACTACTTCGGCAAGGGCAACACCACCTCCTACGACCGCGCCACTACCGTGAATGTGACAACACCAGAGGAGACCTTCCATACGTATACTGTTGATTGGACTTCCAGCCGCATTGAGTGGATTCTGGACGGCGAGGTCGTCCGCACCCTGGAGTATGCCGATGCCCTGAACGGCGAGAACTACCCGCAGACTCCCATGCGTATCAAGATCGGTATTTGGGCCGGTGGTGATCCTGACAACGGCGAGGGTACCATTGAGTGGGCTGGCGGCGAAACTGACTACACTGCTGGCCCCTTCAGCATGTATGTCGAGTCCGTCAAGATCATCAACTACAACCCTGCCTCCGCCTACAAGTACACCGACAAGACTGGTGCCTATACCAGCATCAAGGCCACCAACGGCACTACGTCGACCAACTTGGCTTCCAGTTCTAGCTCCGCCCAGGCTGCTTCTTCTTCCAGCTCTTCGTCTTCCAAGTCCTCGGCCTCCAGCTCTGCCAGTGCTTCTGCCTCTGCGAGCGTCTCTTCTGCCGGTTGGATCGCGCCGTACTCCGCATTTGCAACCATCATGGCTACTTTGATTGCGAGCGTTTTCCTACTGTAATTGACTGTATATTATGAAATGTACGAAGGTTCCTAGATTTCACCAGAACAGGAGCTCAGGATATAACTAACTAAATACACCGACCAATTCCGTTCCTTTCCCATTGTTTGTTAGATTAGATTGATCACCATAGTTAGATGAGAACCATAGGATCGGGCAAGATACTGATCTTCCGTTCTTGAAGATCTTGAAACAGCAAGCTTTGTGACTTGATGAAAGCCTCGGTCATTCCCAAGATGAGTAGCGAAACTAAGTAGACCTTTAAGATTATCGGAGAATTCCAACCTTGGTCGTCGGAGCCAGAGACATCTCACATACGCGTATCCTTTCAACCCAAGAGACCGCTTACATCTTAATCAGCAAGCAGTTGACGGCTTTGGTGATCATGGTACATCAAGCTCCCTACAAAGGCTAGAGAGCTTCTCCTAGCCTGAGAACAAATCGGAAATTGCTCTCGATTCCTCGCCCCCGTCATTGACCTGCCTTAAGAACTACATATCTTTAGCGAAAAATGAAAAAAAAAATTCAGTTGCATCACTACCTGTCGTAAAGAAATTATTGGTCTTTTTATCTTACCCAGAGGTACGGATGTGCAGTGTATCGTGTTTCACTTCTCTTCTGCATCAACTCGGAATACCAGTCCGCTTAGTTTAGCGAGCATATTCATCATCCAAAATAGGAGACCCGATGGTGAAGGAACTGATTTGCGTGTAGGGCTCGAGATAGTGAAGAATACTTTCAAGGATGAGAATAGTCGACTTGGAGATGGAATTCTGCGCAGGGCGCGAGCAGAAATTGACTTGGACACTTTGGATGCGAGTACCCCGTACTGATTAGACTAAAATTAGATAGAAACCGCTCGATTGGCCGAGCACGAGAAACATAGTGGTCTTCATGGAAGTCATTGCAACACCGCACTGCGCGAGTCATTCTTCCTGAGCTCAGGTGGCATGGCTGCTTTTTTGCGAAGGCTCCCTCTTGCCTCTGGCATTTTACCTCAGATACTGAGCATTATGATTCTAAATAAGATGGGTGCATTCGTATCTCCTTTAGGACCAGACGGTTTTCATCCCATATCCCAGGGAAAAGGAAAGCCTCTAACCGAGTCTTTAGCCGAGTCAGGTTTTCAACAATAAACTAGTTATTATAGGGAAGTTATAAACTCTTGAACTAGTGTAGATTAGAAGCGGCCAAGAGTGGATTCCATTACGCTTTGAATGTTCTTGGCTGTGTTGAAAATTTCTTTTCCGACCAAGCCTGTTGAAAGCGACCGGACACGGAGCTAGTTCCAAAAGCATGAGGTAGGCTCGTTAAAATTGATTAGCAATATGTTTTTCTAGACTGAGGCACCACGTGGCCATTATAAGATGACACAAAGAAACCCTGAATTCTATGCAGTGGTAAAATTCGACCCTGCTCAGACAACAAACGGCGTCTGACTAATAGTGTAGAGAAATTGTTTGCCGGCATACGAGCGTATGATTCCCGATCCTTGACATGAGATATCAGTATCAGGCACGCAACAGGGATTATATGTTAATCGGATTCGTCAGATGCGCCACTTGACCAGGGCAAGTCGCGAACCCTGGTCTGTTCAAGCCATCGTGCGAGTAGCTACATGCCTTTTCTTCTCCGAAGCCCAGGGCTGTGACGAAGTAACCGACCTGAGGAGAAAAGGGTTAGTAATAATGGATCACAGTCCTGCAACAGACAAAGTTCAACCCCCATGAACCATAATGAAACGGCAACACCGGTAGTAAATTGTGTAGTATTAGGCTGATCTCGAGTTAATGAAGTGAATTTGTATTAAACTTTTTACGTTTTGAAAGGGAACCAAGAATTGCGACTGCCCTGAGGTGATCGTCTGATTGGTTTTGTTTCGATGGATAATGTGCTTAAAGCGCTAGAGATCATGTTGCATAGGACTGTCTTGGCAAGATCCTTCGACCTGAGCAGTTCGAAAACAGTTCAAAGGGACTCGTCGGGGCTCGCTCTGTATCAAAAGTCCGAGCATCCGGGGTCCCACTTCGCAAGCGTAGGATTGTCGCTACATAGAATTGGATTTTGCACAGGCTTGGAGTAGCCCCGAAATGATTTGCCGAGACAAATTTTTGAACTCTTTGTTGCAGAGAGGTAACCGCGCGTTGTTCACTGTCGAGGAAAAATGACTCGAATTAATGCAGGAATCAGAAAATACCGCATTGTCTGCTTTGTGGAACTGGAGGATAATCTGGATGGGAACAGGGATCGCCCGGCTTCGGCCCGGTGGGGCAGTGGGCCATATCCAATAAAAGATAGCATCCAGGGATCAGTTATTCAGCCAAGGCGAAGGATGATCGGTTCTCAGGCCCCCAATTGGCCATTAAACCTGCATTGTGCATTCAGTGAATACTTGGAACCAACCATTCGAGGCCAAGTCTGTACGGAGGATGCACTGAAATGAGCTGAAGCTGCGAGGTACCTACTGTGGTTAGTCCTTCCCTGAATCATGGTTACAATACAAATGACCATCAAACGAGCCACTAATTGCAATTTTGTCCAGAAGGGTGCCCAAGGCTAGGTCCACGGTTCTACCGGAGAACCACCTAGCGCGATAGAAAACAGTAGTATGCTCGTGCCCTTGGGCCTCTGGTTTTCTATAGTCTTCGGATTCTTGTCACATATGTCGTCGACGATACTTCCCGGCCGTCTTGATTCCGACCTTTGGGCACGATGAAGCCAGAGTTGCGAGAGACCTGGACTCCTGCCATCAACGTTCTCACATGGTTCATGCTGGTGACTTCCATTCTGAGTGTATTTACTCGATTAGGTACAAAGTACTGGATATTTCGCAAATTAACCGTCGACGATGTCCTGAGCATCGCTGCTCTAATGGCCTGTGTTGGTCAATCCATTGCAGTGTCCTTGGCTACCGAAGCTGGGCTCGGCCAGCATTTTCTTCCATTGGATTCATCTGATTTGAAAAACATGATGAAGGTGAGACCTAGACAGAAAGTTCAGTTTTGATGTCGACTGGAACGGATACTAAAGATAATTTTCTGATGCCTAGTCTCAATACACCGCGAATATGCTCTTTGTTATCAGCATGTGTTGTTCCAAACTCGCCCTGATGATGTTTATACGCAACCTATCACCTGCCTCTCTCGATCGGCAATTTGCTCTTGGGCTGGGGATATTCATCGTCGTCTGGGCAATTACGGGTGTTTTCACGGCAGCTTTCCAGTGTCATGTCCCTGCTACTTGGGATTACATAAATGGCAAATGCTTTGACTTGGTGGGCGATACTATATGCATAACGATAAGCGAGAGACAGCACTGATAGATACTTAGGTTGCATGGTGGAATTATCTCGGAGCCACCAACATCTTATCTGAGGGAGGTATCATCGTCCAAGCACTGTTGGTAATCATTCGAGTCCAGGCGGATATTCACAAGAAGATCGTTCTATCCAGCGTCTTTCTATTTCGAGTGGTGTATGTGATCCACAATGGCTCTTGGCTTCTTGAGAATTTGAACTAACGACACTTTTACAGTGTGGTTATTGCGATCATCTGTCAGTTGGCTTACGCGAAGGATACAAAAGGATCGGATGACCCAACATGGGATACATGGACCGTGGTGGTTTCTACACAGATGACCCAGGCATTGAGCATCGTCACTGCCTGTTCGCCCCAGTTCAAACCGTTCCTTGACAGCCTTCGGTCATCGGGAATGAGTTTGGGAGGAACAAGCTATGGGAGCCGACAGAGAACCTATGCTGGAACTACCTACAAGGTGTCGCGTGGTCATCGCACTGGAGATACCCCCAGTGAAACGCATGAGCTTGTCACCATGCCAGGAGACACTGTCAACCAGACTATCGTGACATCCTCGCCGGATTGTGACGCCGAAAGCCAAACGAGTCAGTCGCGAATTATTCGCGAGGTTCGAACATGGACTGTAACAGAGACCCGACGTGATTACGGCTAGAATAGGTATCTGTTTACTTAATTTCTGGCAAATTTGATTAGAATTGTACGTAATGATTCACTATGAAAAAGGGGTTGGAAGGATGCGACTACAAGTACGTAATGCTGGTGCTAGATGAGCTACTAAATAGTATACTGAAACAATATAAGCCTAGGAGAAAGACGAGATAACACTAAGAATACCACCTACTCAAAGCGGTCAAGTGGGTCTATCATAGTCCGCTTCAAGGCATCGGGTTGTACAAAAGTTAATGATCTCGCGAGGTCAACCGAGAGTGGAGCTGATATTTAGTGTTGCAACACAAGACAATGGACATCCACCAAAGAAAAGTGATCAAAGTTTAGACTCGGGGGTGGAGACACCACTAACTATGAAGTGGCAAGGCCCTGTCTCCGCTAGGGGTGTTCCAGATTCGAAGTGGAAAGGACCAACAGGCGCCCCCAATTGACTTGACCCCCCTTGCCAGATTGTATTATTCTTTCGCTTCACAGCTGACGACCAATGCTGAAATTTGGCGCTACGCTTTGAAAAAGGAATAACGCCTTCGGTCGCTTCCGCCCTCTGAGTCCACTTTTATATATTGAGAGATAGTAAATAATAATTTCTCTGTTCACCTAGCGCCTTAGCGTAAGTGGGTAATCACAAGGAAGTGTCTGAAAATGCGATTGTCCTGGCATTGGCTGCATTAGCTCTTCGCATCCCCTCTGTCCTCCGTTGAATCAAAACAGAGGTACTTCCCCCTCGATCATTCCGGTGCTCAGATTTTTTCCCTCGTTGTTCTTCCATCTGCCGCTCAATATGTCTTCTCATCAGGCGAAGCAGATAAGCACAACTGGTATGCACGAGATCGGTAACCCCTCCAGCATTGAGCTCGACGATGCCAATCTGGCACGTATGGGGAAACGGCCAGTCCTGAAGGTAAATTCCAGCCTGGGCACTATGATCAAAGTATCCCAAAATGAATGATTCATTAACTTTACCTAGCGAAATTTTGGATTGATGTCGATGTTGGGGTTTAGTTGTACTATTCTGATTACTTGGGAGGGAATTGTTGTGTGAGCAGTGCTCGCGACCGAAACTCGTATTCATTCTATTACTGACTATTCATTGCTCTGCAGGTTGTTCCTCCAGGCATACTCAAAGTATGACATTTTCTTAAGCCCGCCTTTCCCTTTATTGGGGTGAAACTAACGAACACTGTACAGTGGCGGCCCTGCTGGTGCAGTTTACGGCTTTATCTTTGTCTGGGTCGGCGTTGCGTCGACTTTCGTCGTCCTTTCAGAGTTGGCCTCGATGTATGGATTCTTTCCCCTAGCCTTTCAAATCGACTTTTTCGACTAATCAACCAAAAGGGCTCCAACTTCTGGCGGCCAGTACCACTGGTGCTCGATGCTTGCCCCGCGATCCGTCATGAAGCTCTTTAGCTATCTAACTGGTAAGGATTGATGACCCGGGAAAAAGTTGTTTTGCTCAACAGCAACTGATTATCCATTTCCAGGTTGGCTTACCGTTATCGGATGGCAAGCAACATATGCAACCTCTTGCTTTCTATGTGGAACCCTTATCCAGGGCTTGATTGTTCTCACACGGAGCAGCTACGAACCAAAGAATTGGCACACAACACTGTTGTTCTGGGCTGTCGCATTGTTCTCTGTTGGTATCAACTCAGTCGGTGGGAAACTACTACCAAGATTCGAGGGATTCATCCTCATTCTACACATCCTCGGATTCTTCGCCATCCTTATTCCCCTTACTTACATGGCGGACCATGGATCGGCGCATGACGTTTTCACACAATTTTTGAACATGGGCGAATTCCCGTCTCAGGGCCTTTCTTTCTTCGTCGGCATGGTTGGGTGTATATTTGCATTTGCTGGTGGCGATGCCGCAGTGCACGTAAGTTGATAGTTTATGGTGACCATATCGTGCTCGAGGAAGACTAATAATATTCTGTCCCACCAGATGTCCGAGGAAATTACCAACGCGGCAACGGCAGTTCCGACATCAATTATGCTCAGTGTTTTGATCAATGGATCTCTGGGGTTCGGCATGCTGCTGGCGATGCTTTTCTGCCTAGGGGACATCGAGGCCGCACTCGGGTCGCCCACTGGCTACCCTTTCATGGCAATTTTCTTGCAGGCGACAGGTTCCGTTCCTGGAACCGCAGTCATGTCCTCAATTGTCACCACAATGGGTATCACTACCTCTGTCGGCATGTTGGCTTCTGCATCGCGCCAGTTTTGGTCTTTCGCTCGCGATCGAGGTATTCCGGGTTGGCGAATTTGGAGCCAGGTATGTATTATTTATTTCCAACACATCAATTATTTTAATTTTTAGATTCTCATTTTCAATAGGTTCACGGAGGCACCGGTGTCCCCATCTACTCTGTCCTTCTTACAACTTGTGTTGTCTGCCTCCTTGCTCTTATCCCCATCGGGTCCTCGGTCGCCTTCAATGACCTCGTCGCCATGTCTATTTCCGGTCTTTACCTTTCGTACATGGTCGTCGCTGGTCTACTCCTCTATCGACGCTGCACTGGTGGCATCAGCAATGCCCGCAGCAGCGACTCAGCAGTTGTTAACACCGTCGGCGCGAAGCTTGTGTGGGGCCCATTCCATCTGCCAGGTATTTGGGGCATCTTGGTCAATGCGTTTGCTCTGGTCTACATGACTATTGCGGTTTTCTTCAGTTTCTGGCCTCCATCTTGGGTTGTTAAAGTTCAGACTATGAATTTCAGCGTGGTAGGAACCGCTGGTGTGATCGTTCTCAGCCTTGTCTACTACGCCCTTCGAGCAAGAAAGGTGTACGACGGCCCGATCGTGGAAATTGAGTAAATGTTGGAGAGAGCAAGGATGCACTTAGTTTGGGTGGCTGTATAATAGTTTTATTATTGATATCCTGAAATTCAGAATTGGACCAGTATATATCTAATTAATTCAAATGGGGGTTGAAAGCAATGCCATGTGGGATGCTCCTTTTCTATTAAGCCCCCGGGGTTTTGATCTTTGCTCTGCGTCATTTCCTAGGTTGGCACGACGTCTGCAATCTATTTACAAGGGTGCAAATAAAAGCTCATTTTCCATTCTCCGATCTCATTTAAGTAGTAAGTTTATCTTGCTTTTCTCTAGTCTCGCCTGCACTCATTGTCTCAACATCGGCGGGATCAAAATAGGGCAAGCAATCCACTTGGTGCGTTTTGTAGGGTACCTGTGCCTATTCACTTCATTGCAGTTTAACACATTTTGTTGAACGGATTTTATTTAAACCATAATGATTCCAAGATAATTTTCTCGTGAGCATACAGATGGGCTTATGAGCTGTTCATTCCTATAGTTGCCTCTTGGATCCTTCCAAGTGAAAAGGAAACAGAGCGTTGACAGGTCCGAAATATATTCTGAGCCCATCTCGAGTACATCTTCCGGGCGTATTACGACGTACTACGCTATCTCTCCTCTTTTATTCCCCTCAAGGTAAACCGAAAATAAGTATGTGTAACTAAATCCAACAAAAAAATACCTGGATACTTCGGCTCTGAATTCCTGGCCCGTCGTTTCAACACCTTGCAAGCGTTGCGGTGATCGACACCGGGGCAACAACTTACCTATTTTGAGACCGAGACTGGATCAAACATAGTCTAACCCAACAGGTGGAACTTTGAAAAGCTTTACAGCCGCTTTGTAATTTCAACGGACTAGGAAGCTAAGATCTGGCCCTAGGGATCTACTAGCTCCTAATTGCTCACAACTCATCGGTGAAACTTAAACTCCGGTGTTGGGAGCGAGCTGGATCTAAGCTGAGGACTTACTACTGTGGGGCAGTTCTATTTTTACAAGTATATAGTTGAAACTGTGGCCCTGATTCAACAAATGTGAAAATAGTACAAAGCTTGGGCATTTACTGTGGACCCCACGAATGAAAGACCGGAAACTGAAGGACAACACGGAAAATATGAATGTATTATGCCAGAGCCACAGATAGTAGGAAGAAAGCACTGATACGGAATTCAATATATTTGAAAATATGTCAGAGCTAGGGACTCTGGTCTCCAGCTGGACGGCATTCTGCCTGATATGTCTGTACATTAGGAAACATATGACCATTACCGGAAGACCAAGCAGGATAAGTAGTGTCATTGCTAAAGATCTGTATACAAATTAGTACCATTTCGGTTCCGCGTTATTATAATAGGAGATGATCTTACATACCACAGGATTTAGCGGGGGTAGATTAGGGTCAATATTGTCATCCCAGAAAGACGCGCTCATTGATCCTTCAGTTTGCGGGGGTGGGGACATGGATTGTGGAGGTTTAGTGAAGACCTCGGGTCGAAGCATATTCCTCATGTAATTCTCAATAACCGATTCGAACTGCGCCGAGGGAAACGGTGTGTTTGGGCCGTGGGTTGCAAGGAGCCCCGAGGCACTCGAGACAGCGCAGATGGGACTGCAGTTCACCGAATTTGAATAATTGTTGAAATATGTACCATGCGCTTCACAATGTTGGTTATTTTGGCAACCGATGTACTGTGAGCAGGGCATTGTGGGTTGACCGGTTATTCTAGATATCCCGTCCCCACAGCTTTCAACGGATTGGAAATTATTTGGAATCGGCGACTTTGCTATATGGGTCTGAGAGGGTGAAGGGCTGGATAGGGAATATGCCGCCAGCTCTGTCTTGATCAATCTGGTGTGCCTTTTTTGTGGTGAAATGGGCTCCCCGCCACTACAAGATAATACAGTTAGTTTGAAAGTTCAACTTGGTAGAGATCGTCAAAGACCTACTGCCGTGCCATATGCTGTGCCAGATAGTCTGCGCGGTGAAATGACTTGTGGCATCCAATATATGTGCAGGTATGGGATTTCTTGTTTTTGTGACTCAGTTCATGGCGTCGCCTATGCTCGGCTCGGGTGAAGATCTGATAAATTTAGAGTTAGAAAGTACAGGGAGTTGAGAGGCGCAGGTGTTCTTGACGAACTTTAGAGCATCCTGGGTATTCGCAAGCATGCACGCGCTTTCCTTTCTTAGCCTTGCTGACCCGGCTCTCGGTGCATGATGAGGACGGTGGAGAGGATGTGATGCTTCGACCACTTTTGCACTTAGATTCAGCATGTTGAAGGCTATCAAAGAATGTGCTCGAAGGCAAAGCTTGGGGAAGATGCTGTGTTTGTGATGGCGGCGAACTCAAATAGGATGGCATAGAGGCCATGAAGTGATTCGGAAACTGGGGTAGACTGCAGCTGATAGACATTTTTGAGTAACCGACCGGGAGCTTTGTATTAGATGATGGAGGACACGGGAGGATGACAGTCGGTTCTTGTTGTAGAGGCGCCAAATGTATGCCCGGCGAAAAAAGTTGTGAATATCGTGCAAGATTGGTCTAGGACAAAGCATATGCTTCTGTGAAGTGGCTGGCAAACATGATCAGAGTCTCCACGGCGCTTTGACTGGGTCGGGGGCTTCTATAAATCCCCCGCGGAGTTAGGTGGGTCAATAACGATGGGCTGATTTGCGAGAAGGAAATTTAACAAGGGACAGACCGTAATGGGGCTGGCCGAAGGGAAGGAAAATATAGAAATTCGAAATTTGGAATAATAATAATAAAAGCAAAGATGAAACACGCAAGGCACATCGACTAAATATTAGCGTCGGGCTGGGGGAGATGCTAGTTGATCAACTGCATCCACAACCCCCCAGAGGCCTGTTCTATCTCTGCTCTAACACGAGTAACTGATTCAAACATGGCTCTCAAAGAACTTGACAATCCTCGAGAATCTTTCTAGCTCGATTTCACTGTAAATTTCATGAGCTCTACAATATGTCGGGCACTCTATGTTGCTGGATGATCACCGGAAGGAAGCGCCGTTGGATTCCCCACGCCCCAGTCGATGCAAGCAGTGCTCAGGCACAAAGCTTATCGGATCAGCCGGTGACTGGACATGAGAATGGGCAACCACGGGGAGACATATTACTAGTGATATCGTTTGAGAAGCTCTTCGAACAGGCCAACGTCCTTGATTACATCTAAAAGAATCTTCCAATTTCCCTGGTCGATGCAAGAGGCTTCGATTTGGGCAATCAAGACGACAAGCGGATCGCTCTGGTTCAACACAGGGACGAACCGGACCAACTTTCCCTCGAATGGGGCACAGTGGGGCGATTGATCCTCACGAGCATGCGGGAGGGCAAACGACCCTGGATGGCAATCAAAGCATTGCTGACCTGAAAAAAGGCACCCGGTAGTGTGATGCGGGCAAGCTACCACGGCGTGGTCCAATGTATGGATATTCAATATGCAGGGCAATTCGGATGTCACGACATGCTCTCAAGCAAGTACTGTTGTATCGTAAACCATCCACATGGCAAGCCGTTGGGGGGTGAGGGTGGAATGTGCCTGTACAACTTGATACCCCCGGGCTTGCAGATTAGTTCTCGAACGTAGCCAACCACAGACTAGGCGGCGGAGAAGCGCTCAAGCTAAGGGCAATTTTTGACTGTGCTCCGGTTAGCGTGAGCTGCTGGCGTATGTAGATGCATAGTGGAGACCATTCTAGAGTGCTCCTGATTGGCTATCCAGGTGGACCCTTTTCGTTCCTCGACGGTGATCTGCGACGGCTCGGATGCTGGCAGCATTGACCATCGACCATCAAGCACTACTAGGACTGGTTTTGAATTAGCCCACATCGGGGGGGGGGGGGGGGGGGGGCGATAGCGAAGCGCGACGCTAGGATAAGCGAGTGCGCCCATGGGGCAAGAAAGTTGTAATCTGATTTGCAAGTTACAGCGGCGTTCCTGGTTGCAGCGCCGCCTGCTTGATTCGTGTCTGTGACTCGGTTACCCCTGAAACTTGATGGCTAATGAGAAATCCCAAGGTTGGTGGGAGGCTTTCTTTCCCTCTCTCTCCACTTTTGCCTTTTCTCGAGCACCCTCGGAGGCTCAAGACGTCAGTGCTATCGAAATACCGCGTGCTCATGACAGTCTGCTTTAAATCTGTGAACCCTGGGCTTTCTTCCGAGTCCCCATGAGCATGACAACAAGGAACTAGACTTGCGAAGACTGTTCCGTATCCTTTAGGGTAGGATACCATGGGTAGTGATGATCATTCCTGCTTTTGAAATGTTGGACTCAAAGTTATTAATAATATTCCAGCCCGTGGGCTGTTTGTGCCCACGCTTCGAAGCTTGGCCCCTTCAGCTGTCATTGTACGTTTCTTCACGATCGGCCTTCGAACTGGAGGTGGAGCTTTGCCGCTTGGTAGAAGAACCATAAATTACACACCGACGGGCGACAACGAGAGTCTGCCTTGCGAGCCTTGTAGATATTGGTATTCTGGCCCTAGTGAATATGGCGGGGTTATGTATTCAGAGTTGAGACTATTCCATAGCACTGTTTTAGCCCTATTATTGTCAAGTTGCATCCCGACTTTCCGCAATTGGCTTCAATGGACTAACATATAAGCTATACAAAGCACTCAATCGCTTCATGCTCTTGCCTCTTCGTATAGTTAGTGGAGAAGAAGACCAGGTAAACCACTCAGCGCGCAAGTCAGTCAGTGAACGATTCTCTATGAGAAGGATAGGCAAGGATCCGCGTCCTTCCGCTGTTACGCTCTTTTGGGGGCTGGGCACAGCCCATGGGGGCCTTTGTCCTTCGCGGGAAGAGACTGGGAAAGTGATTGTCAGTGTCATTTCAAGAATTTTAATTGCTGATTTTTGACAAAAATAGCTCTTGTGGTAGATCCCGTTGAAGGCTGTGTCCATGGTAGTTGCCGCTGTGTCAAAGGTGGGAAAGGTTAATGCTTGATCTGGCAAGCTACCAAGCAAGGCACAATCATTCGCCCCGCAAAGTCTTCTTTTCTGCGTATCCTCTTACTCTGCCTCTTTCACTGAGGCTGTAAAATGACGGACTGTGGCCTTGGAATTTCCGAAACGGGACAAGACATCCCTAAAGCCCCTCTAGGTCCATCCTCCACCAGGTGTTACTGTAAACTGAGGGGAACAGCAATGAGCATCGTCGCGTCAATGGGGCGGCTCTGGAGCGGTACTCAATCTTAGTCATTGTCAACAAAACAGGGAGCAGCTTTTCGATCGCACTACATGGCAAATTGCTACGTGGGGGCAAAGGAATGGCCGCTTGAACAGGGTTATCTGGAAGACCCGTTAAATCACTAAATTCTTCTAGGCTGGGTTGAGGAAACCATTCTTTTACCCAATTTCGATTTCCAAGGACACTTAAGGCCGTACAACGAAGAGCCGTGATCTTCATCAAAATGGAAAGAGAGGAGGCCTTACCAGGTATTCATCCTTCTGGGCTTTGACCGAACGGTCAGATTACTTCACGTCTAGCTATGGAATGCTTATTCGCAACTCTGTCTAATCCTTCCACGTGTACCATGACCATCCTGCTGTAGCCGTGGACTGATTACTATTTCATAGCGTAGATACACCGACTTCCGGAACAGCGGGCAATATCCGTAACTAGAAAATCTACCGCGTGGAATGCCGACTTCAGCAATAGTAATACGATGAAAGAACCAAAACTGATTACTTTTCGGAAAATCCAGAAATTTTACGCTCATCGAATCAGTGATGTTTACCTTTAAAGTTTAATATTGTGAAGCATCAACCCCTAGGAAACATCAATTTATTGTTTATTGAACAAGATCCGACATGTCTGAGATTGCCGATATGGAGGGACCCCAGCTAAGAGTACGCTAATTCAATCTTATAAGGTCCAAATGAAAGCTTGCCGCGCCGTAAAGCTCTTCCTACGAGTCATGATTTCTCGGGGCACAAAACACCTCAGGAAAGCCCTCGCTTCATGCAACCCCAATGGCTATAGGCCATAGCTTGATTGTTGCCTTTGTAATGTCGCATTGATGTCTCTCATATCTGATGAGGCCCCTTCGGGCGTTGAGGTCAACAGAACTAGGACGAGCACCATTTGAATTTTTCGTTCGGTGAGCATTGGCGTCTTGATCAGGAAGTTCGGGTCGGGCGGTTCTGATCGTTATTTTCCCTCTTCTAGCTTGGCCCTCATTCCTAAGATCAACTGAAACCCCAATCTAACATCTCAATAACCGCTACAACCATTGCCTACAAGCTTCATCACTTTGATGAGTTAGTTGGCTGGGGGTTCGGATCCAACTGTTGCCAAGAAGACAAGAAGCGCCCTTCCTGGTGTGAAGGAGACACAGAACTAAGTTTCGTCTTTCACGCACACCCTGTGTTTCTTAACGCTGCACTTCAGTTTTGGCCTTCCGACAAGAATAATCTGGGTAGGAACCATAGCCTGGACTCCACAACCATCCATTTGACCATCAGATGATATATTCACAGCTGTTACAGTTGGTGTGGTTCCCCTCTTTTAACAAAATGATGTGATCTCCATTGACCAAGATGTCATTCCCCCTAAGAAAAGCCTTTCTCCTCAAAGGGTCCTTATCGGCCCAATCTGAGCAAGCCAAATGAGATGCCCTAAATGGATTGGCAATCATACCATGCTTGGCCAGATGGTGTCAATCGACGGCAAGCAATTTTCACAATGAGATTGCAGTCGATGTATGCCGACGTGAGTGTAAGTTTGCTGAAGAGAAAATGTATAAATTGTACTTTGAATTCAGGACCTACGGAAATGTACTAAGATATATTTCAGAATTCTTACTGTGTCGTTTGTCCAAAATGCCTACTGTGATTTCTGACTCGTTCTCCAAGAAGACAGCCGATTTTTCGGTTTCTTCTGTTCTTCATGAAACAGATACCTCCGACACTGACATTCCACCACTTGGAAAGCCTCAGAACGAGCGACGGTTCTGGTTTCAGCGTACAAGAAACTATGATCCAGATGAGATTGCTACCCTCCCATCTGTTTATGACGACCCAGATACTACGAAGGAATACCAGCCTCGAGCCGACTGGGAGAATCTTCATCGGTTTGACCCTAATGCACGATGGACATATGGTGAAGAGTACGCTCTGATTCGCAAGATCGATTGGAGAATCATGGTGTTTGCCTGTTTGATGTTTATGGCTTTGGAGCTAGACCGTTCCAATCTTCAGCAGGCTCTGACCGACAACTTTCTCAAGGACCTGCACATGAATACCAATGGTAACTCCATATATACTGAAAATTTTTACTCTCATGGCCCTTTTAACACTTATTAGACTATAACCTCGGAAATACAGTCTTTAAACTTGCATTCCTCTGCGCTGAGCTGCCCTCTCAACTGGTGAGCAAATGGGTTGGACCAGACAGATGGATCCCTACCCAAATGGTTCTTTGGTCCGCCGTGGCGATGGGTCAGTATGGTCTACGTGGTAAAACAGGGTTCCTCGTCTGTCGAGCTCTTCTCGGTATCCTGCAAGGTGGATTCATTCCAGACGTAAGTAGCGTAGCCCACCCCGTTAGAAAGGAAGTCATGCTCATCACAACTATGAAGGTCATCCTTTATCTCTCTTACTTTTACAAGCACCATGAATTATCCCTGAGACTGGGATTCTTTTGGACTGCTATGAATATTGCTGATATAATTGCGGGCTTCCTGGCCTTTGGTCTTTTGCACCTACGTGGTGTACAAGGCCAATCCGGTTGGCGATGGCTATTTTTAATTGAGGTAAATTACTACTAGCCTTGAGATTGAGGCGCTCTCCAAGCTGACATTCAGCCAAATCAGGGTCTCATCACTCTCATTGTTGGATTTTCCGCTTACATTTTAATGCCTCCGGGGCCCTGTCAAACCGCAAACTGGGCTCGCGGGAAAAAAGGATGGTTCACGCCTCGGTAAAGACACCCAATAAGTATCTGCTGTTAAACTTCAGCTCATCTTGAATCAGGGAGGAAACAATCATTGTTAACCGCGTCATCCGCGACGACCCTAGTAAGGGTACTATGCATAATCGGCAGCCAATCACTCCGAAGCTACTTTGGAAGAGTCTCTGCGACTTTGATCTCTGGCCTCTATACATCATTGGCTTGACTTTCGAGACACCTATGATAACGCCTAAGCAGTATCTGACTCTGACCTTGCGAAACATGGGCTTCAATACTTTTGTTTCAAATTTGCTTGCCATCCCTAATACGGTCATTTCGATCATCCTCATGCTTTCTATCACATATCTAGCAGAGGTCACTGGGCAGTTAACTTGGGTGTCCATTCTCGGCCAGATATGGACACTGCCGTTCGTGGTATATCTGTACGCTGTTGATACTACTACTGCAAACAAATGGGTTGTTTGGGCAATAGTTAGCTTGCTACTAGGTTTTCCGAACGGTAAGTACATCGAAAATGGCGAAATTGTGTCTATTCTGATGGGAAGTAAAGCACATGCAATCCAAGTCGGTTGGAATTCTCGTAATTCCAACACAGTCCGATCTCGGACTGTCTCGGCCGCCATGTATAACATGTGTGTCCAGGCATCTGGAATTATTGCGTCCAACATCTATCGTGCCGGTTTGTGAACCAATTAAGGGAATCGAGTCTCTTCTTTATTACTAACCCTTTCAAGATGATGCTCCCCGGTACCGACGAGGGAACCGAGTGCTTGTGGCCCTTGTGGTAACAAATATTGCCATCTATGTCTTAACAAAGGCATACTATGTCTGGCGCAATAACAGTCGCGATAAGAAGTGGAATGCGATGTCGCAACAAGAGAAAGTACACTACTTGGCGACTACCAAGGATGAGGGGAGTGGCCGACTAGATTTCCGGTTTGCACACTGATAAGAATTTAAATGAGGGTATATTTTGCCCGAGCTAGCTTGGAGATCTATGGATCTGGTTGCGTACGCCAGCTTTGTTAGTGTCTGGGCTCGTTGGTCGGGGACCGGCTCTCGCCTATAGCTTCAATGACATTGGTCTAGAATACTCATTGCGTGCTTAACAATCAAAATATCGACGCGGGGTACTGATAGGAAGATAACCACCGCAAATATAATCCAATTACATGAAAATGCTGTGCTTGTATTCGACTCTTGGACATTTCATTCGCAATCAACGGTACCCGTTGCGCAACCACCCGCATATATTGAACCATAACCCCGCAAGCGCCAAGCCGGACCCTGAATGACTAGATCTGGCACAATAACCGACGTCAATTGCGAACTAAGAGTTTCTGTACAATGCATCATGATTGCTTCATTTGATCAAGCTCGATTCGTGCTTACGCACCGTACATGCGACATCGGGTTATACTTTAGGACACGAATTTGTGTTGGCACGTATGGACTCACGACCGGATAATCGGCATTGTCATCTTGACAGTACTAGTATAAATACTATAAGATATCACTCCATCAAGTCAAATTCAAGATCAAGATCATCTACAAGATTACTCAATATTACGCAGACCACTGTTACAACCATGGCCCCATCGCTTGTCGAAACCACAACTGATCCTGTAGTTCCTATCGTGGAAGACAAGCTCACCCTTAAGGGTCCAGAGAGGACACCGCTAAAGCCAAGCGGTGCTCTTGATGCTTTCGAATCCTTCGACGTCACGCCAGTGATTGGACATGAATTTCCCAATGCAAGCTTGAAGGACTTCTTGCGCGCTCCGAATTCGGATGAGCTGCTTCGGGACCTTGCTATTACCAGTAAGGCTCCATTCTCAAATCTCTAATTATGAGTATATATTCATTTTATCATAGTCTCGCAACGAGGCGTCGTGTTCTTCCGAAAGCAGGATGGTCTAGACGACGAGCTGCAAAAGGAACTTGTCCAGAGACTAGGGGAGCTTTCGGGAAAGCCAAAGACTTCTGGACTACACATTCACCCAGTTGCCAACTCTGGTCGTGAACATAGTGTTGCAGATGATGAGATCAGTATTATTAGCTCCCGGCAGCGCAAGACTTTGTACAGTCATCGCAACGAGCGGAAGCAAAGCGCTCGCGCTGAGTGGCACAGTGATATTACCTTTGAACCTATCCCTAGTGACTACACTATTCTTCGTTTGACAGAACTGCCTAAGACCGGTGGAGGTATGTGTTTCTTCACTGCTTTTCTCCATCAACATCATTAATCTAATACCCCGTGGCAGACACTCTCTGGGCTTCCGGCTACGAAGTGTACGATCGCCTGTCGGAGCCTTACCAGAAATTCCTTGAAGGCCTTACTGCAACATATGCCCAACCTCGCTTCAATGAGGTTGCCAAGAACAACAACTTCAAGATTCACCCGGGCCCACGCGGCGCTCCCGAGAACGTGGGAGAGGAGCTTCGCGCTGAGCACCCTGTTGTCCGCACCAACCCGGTCACAGGTTGGAAGAGTATATTCGCGGTTGGATCGCACGTCCAGAAAGTCAACGGAGTTACGCAAGAGGAGAGTGACCACTTGCTGAAGTGGTTCGTGAATCTTATTGTCGAGAATCACGACTTGCAAGTGCGCCTCCGATGGCAGAACCCGAATGATCTTGGTGAGAATCCCAGTGTTTCAGGACAGTTCGGATAGAAATGCTAACATTGAGAATAGCTATCTGGGATAACCGCTCGGTATATCATGCCGCGACTTGGGACTATGAAGAGATCGGTTCTCGAACGGGTCACCGCGTAGTTGGGCTTGGAGAGCGGCCATATTTGGATCCCAAGAGCATCAGCAGAAGACAGGCACTGGCAGAGAGCGAATAGGCAATTTGAATAGTTGAATTAATGGTCCTTTGCACCGAAGCTACACCTACAGCTCTGGTATATCATGGAGTGTTTGATATCTGCCTACGGAAGATCCCACTCAGCTTTAAAGGATAGAGTGTCTGGGATGGGTTGATTTCCCTTTGAGCAACACTAATATTATTTTCAATACCGTGTATCTGATATATTACTGCTTGCTGTCCCTAACTACAAAGCACAAATAGTATGGCGAGCCTTCTATGAAGTCTTCAACGACGAGTCAAACTCACAGACTAACCCGGATCTCCTGCAGATAGTTATATGTTAATCAACGTGTTTTTCAGTTCCTTCCTTACTTTCTCGGTGACCCGAGACCCTCAACTCCATATATTACACGACAATGAACATCTCTCGTGGAGGTTTCCATGGAGATACCGCGATACCCAAAGAGACTGGCGTGCCTGCCAAAACGGGCATATTCTGCACGTTCACCATTTCTCGCCCGCTGAGATGCTTCATGTTTCTCTCCTCTTCGCGTCCCTTCTCTGCTTCACCTTTCTCTTTTTCCGTCGCTCCTTCGCTCCGTCGCCTTGCCTCCTCTCTCTCTCCACCAAAGGCACTTTTCAGCAACGTGGTTTTATCCCACGAGCCTGTCAAGATGCCTTGGCTCCCTCCGGAGATCCTCACAATGATCACTTCTTATATCCTCGACCCTGCTACGCTGGTGTCACTGAGGCTCGTCAACAGGGATTGGGCGGCCGCTGCAGACTGGCAGCTGGATCACGTTTTCCTGCTTCTGAATATGAACAAGCTAACCCAGGATACCATTGAAAAGAAACGCAAAGACGGTCGTGCCCTTGCTCGGGTTCGGTGTGTAATCGTGAACCACCCTGATGACGACTACTGGAGTGTAAGTAAGCAAGCTCTGTCCTCAAATACAATCCACAGCCCAGAGGCTCTGCTTCTAATAACTGGCAGGGATTACCGGAGAACGATGGTTCGATAAAGATCGATAGGCGATTCAAAAATTTCCAACGTCTGGCCTTCTATCTGAGATCCAAGGTTGGCCAGTTTCCTAACTTGGAGTATTTTGCCTTGCACTTTCGCCCACCGCGTGACCACGCTCCTATTCCCAATTCTTCTTCCGATAAAGAAGACATACTTGAGGACGCAGTGGTTGACTTGTTCAAGGCTCTCAAAAAGCTAAGCACGACCAAGTCCAAATATGGGAAGAACTTGGAGGAACTGTCCATTCAATGTCTGCCGGTCCAAGTTCGCTTCCCTGGGGACCCAGTTTGGGAGCTGGAGCGGTATAAGAGGGCAATCACAAAACTTCGCTTGAAGACTCTGAAGGTGGGCTTAGTGGGCTCAACTGTTTGGAACCACGCCCTTGATTGGGTAAGTTGAATAACATCTCCTTCCTCGCAGACTTACTGATCAGGAATGATCAGACCTCAGCAGATCAGCAAATCGGCGACGCACCATGGAACTGGGTCCAGCCAGCAATGCGGACCCTGCGAAATCTGTCTATCACTTGCTGGGGATTCTACATAAAAAACATTGCGGGGGCAGGTTGCCATACCGGGCTGTTCTTTCCATTTCTGGAATCCCTTGAGCTGCGTGGTTGTGTGTTCACGTCGGATTTCCAGCTGAGTTGGATCAACAGACACGGTCGAACTCTGAATTCCTTGAAGCTCGATGACTGTGCAATCGCGGACCGTTTCGTTCTGTGGCCAATGCCCGGAGGTGGGATCAAGATCGATTGTTGCCACGGATCTCTACGGGTTGTTGATAACGGGCGTAGTGGAAAGGTTCGCTTGTACAACACTCGGTGGGCCTATTACTTTGACAAGATGAGGGAGAACCTACCGCAACTCAAGCACTTTGAGATTGGGAGTAGCCGGGTTCGCGCCCCGGGAGAAGAAGGACCCTTCTTCCAATCAGAAAGGCACGATGGACCCCCGTTCAACATACCGCCACGGGTTCTCTTCGGCCTCTTTCCAGACCGTTATCTGAAGATGAGCGAAAATGCTGGATGCTCATGTTGTTCCTGGTTGCTCCGAAATGAAGATCAGCAGCGGCCAAAACGGCAGGGACTCCTCTTGGACAATCCGGATCGCGATGCCCTACGCCGACTACTCCAGAAGATTGGGCAGGTTGTAAAGGAAGACGCCGACTCAGATCATGCGGGATATGTCCGGAAATTGATGGGTCGTGTGAAAGCGGACAAATCCCAGTCGTTGGAGGATGCAAGCTCTGAAGAAACATCTAGCTCTAGTACTGAGTGGGACTCATCCGATTCGGATGAATTCGACTTCAGCTCTCCAAGCGACTACAGTTTCTGAAATGTAAGCTTTCCATCGAGGGCGAAGACTTGAGAAGGTGATGATGTGATACTCTCTGTATGAATACTGTCATTGTCTAGATATTTAGGGCTCTATCGTTCAAATACAGCGCTTAAGTTTTAATAAGTCGGTTAGATCTACTGGTACGAAAGGAAATTTGGCCACTGGCGCTTCGATCATATCTACGAGCTCTTGTTAATTCTTACAAGACTGGGCCTTTTCCTAGTCATTTTGTCCCAAACAATTGAGATACAGACAGGCCTGTCCAAGCTTCCAACAATAACTTGGGATTAGATTAGGAATATTGCATATGAGACATTCTCAGTCGGGTGGCTCCGTTGTCTGCCTTTGTTTTGAACGTTGCAGGCTTTCCATGCTGTTGGCTCTGTGATCCTTGTTAGGGCTGTCTTGCCTTATCATGGATGCATGATGCAAACGGATCCGAAGCTTTACAATATATGAAGGCTAATAGTTCTTAATGAACCGTCATCTGTACCAAGCGAAGCTATTTTACAAATCTTATATCTCTAACGATAGAGCCTGATCAGTGCACATTTTGATCGATCATTCGTCTACATCTTTACAAACCGACCAACTATCTAGGCAAGTACGTCTATATCGATAAACTACAGATCTCCCAACATTTTCAATTGTGCCTTTTTCGCACGCCCAAATGCCGTATAGTCACGGCCGTTCTGTTTCCCTTTGTTTATTCTCTATAATTGCTTCTCTTTCTCTCTTCCTCTTCTTCGACTTCACCTTTCTCCTCGGCCAGCAATTCCCCTTTGTGAACCCATCTTGGGAGACCGCAGCCGACATCATGGCTCCGTACCTCCCTTTCGAACTCATCAGAATGATAGTATCCTACATATTTGATGTCGAAACTCTGCTTGCCCTACGTTTGGTGAATGGAATCTGGCGCGCCGCGGTCGATGAGTTTCCCGATCATCGTCTGTACGTGGATGTTCTGAATAGGAACCTGGACCGCTTCGACCATGTCTCCCAGACTCAGAGTCTCAGAGAAAGAGTCCGAACACTCGTCTGGAATCTCCCCGATCGGCCAGCTGTCAATGTAAGTTCTGAAGATTCTATATAGTGATGCATCATACTCAGTGAAGTGGCAATCTCTGACATCGAATCATATAGTTGATCCCCAATTCAAATCAACCGACCTTTGATGAGGGATTCCTCGGGGGAATCCAACGTATGAGAACGCTTACGACTGTTCTCAGGAGGTTCACCTTGAACAATGGGGCTTTCCTCTTTCCTAACTTGGCTCACGTAGCCATCCACTTCCGCCCTCCCCCAATTCCTCAAGGTCGTCGGTTCACTTGTTCGGCCCTGGAGAGGCTTGTTCATCTTGGAGATGTCTTTGAGTGCGCTTTCATGGGTCTGAATGGACTGAGCGGCCTGGATGAGATGTCGATTCTGAATATTCCCGTTGGATTCTTTCTTCCGTTGTCAATTCCTGGCGAAACTGTCTCCCAATGGTTGTCCTTGGGGCGAGTTAGCAGCCTTTTCCGTCTGAAATCCTTGCGTTTGGGCTTTGTCGGGCCAGAGACATGGCCACGCAGCAATGGGATGGTAAGTAACATCTGAAAGCTATTTTCGGAGCGAATTTCGATATCAGACTGACGATTATAAAATCCTTCAGTGTCAAGATATCCGGCCAGTTGGAGGATTCGACCTCTTGATCTACCCCGTCCGACACACGCTTCGACACTTGTCTATCTCTAACTGGGGATTCTACATGAAGAACCCTCCAAGGTCCATTGCGGGGGAATTGCTTCTTCCCGTTCTAGAAAGTCTGGAGCTTCGCAGCTGTGGATTTGCAAGCGATTATACCTTATCATGGATCCTACGGCACGCATCTACATTGCGATCATTGAAACTCGATGATTGTGCCATCATCTTCTCCATGGAGCTGGGTCCAACTGGCCCAGCCGAGACCGAAACTGCCCACGTGGTTATCGACCTCAAGGCAGGCAGGGTGAATCAGGCCTATCGGCTCTTATGGGCAACATGGTTCCAGGTGATCGCGAATGGTTTGCCCCATCTACACCAATTCGAATTTGGCAGTAGCAGAGTCCGCGCACCCGGCGAAATTGGCCCAAAGTTTCGATCTGAGATTTCCGAGGGTCCGACATTCGGTCATACCGACCAATTCCTCTTTGGGATTTTCCCTGACCGATACCTCGAAATGAAAGATGGCGATGGGAATACCCCATGGGTTCTACGCCGGAAATCGCGAAGCAAGTGCATGGCCCGCCCCGCAGCTGATGAAGGTGATCTTGCGGCACTGCGCAGTCTTCTTGAACGTATCGGCCAGGTTGTACGTGAGAATGATGCTTCGAGTCATGCTGCCAACGTGAACAACCTGATCGGGTCAGTCGACACCAATTCAGAATACTGACGACGTTGAACACGTTCAACACAAAGGACGGGTTATAACGGTCATGTCACAAAGCACGTATCACAGAAAGTGAAAACTTTCTGATGGTTCAATGTTCAGCATATCAAAGGATCTACGGTGAATTAGTCTAGTCAATCATGGTCATTCCATGAATGTTGTATGAAACCAATATCCTTCGGCTATTTCGAGCCAATGAAAACCGTTTCTAGTGTACTTCCGCAACCTCGCTTAGAGTAGATCGTTCCCTAAAAGCGCCTCTTGCTGACGCCATCTCTAGATTTAATTCCTCAAGACGGCATTGATCATCCGTTGTGACCCTGAATTGTGATCCACATGCACATTTGTGCTCAGGCACAACACGCTGAAGACACTCATGTCATGCCGCGATCGTCTCGCGCCATTATGACAGGTGAAAACATCACTTGTAGACTGAAATATTTAAACTCCAAGGAAAGCAACCCTGGCTGAACTACTCTCTATGGGATACTGTCAGATTTCCTTTTTCTACTTTGTGCCTCGCTTCCCCGCCATGAGATTCTTCTCCCGCCATCAACGCCAGGGCCTTCTCACCCACCTGCTTGCTGCCCTGGCAGTTAGCACAAATGCTGCGTTAGATGGGAACCCGCTAGCAACATCGGATCAGGAGACCCTCGATGCGTTTGCAATCAAGATCAACCAGGATGACAACTTCACCGTGTTGAAGGCCGAGGCCAAAGCCGCTTACAAGACAGCCCATGGCCTTCCCATCAGCGATGAAGCCTCGTCCAGTATCGATGCAGCCATTGACGAGTTGGCTTTTAGCTCAGTTCAAAAGGCTGTCAACAGCGACACCTACTTCCCCAAGGTCTACTGGCTCGATGCCGGTCCGCGGAATTGGTTTGGCCTGGATGTTCCCGGTGGAAGATATTCGTACGATAACCCGGACTGTATCTATCGAACGATTCCCATCGACAGCAGTCTCAGTTATGTCATCACAGGCTATCGACACACACCCGGACCAGCTGATGTGACCTTTTCGCTGATCAGCGATCCAAACTCCCAAAATACCGTTGCCTATCTGTCGGGCAGTGATTTGGTGATTGATTCTGATGGCTCATATACCATCACAGTCAACAGCACCTCGGCCGACAACCAAACAAATCATATCCAGTCAACCACTTCAGCTAAACAGCTTCTCATTCGTAATAACCTCGGAAACTGGGGAACGCAGAAGCCCGACAATCTGACCGTGGAGCTTGTTGACGACAACTCGAGCGAATCCGCTCTCACTGAGGCAGAGATCATTCTCACCGCGACATGGAACTTGCAAGAATCTATCGTGGACTACGGTGTAGGCGCGTTGGGAATCAAGACATCCCTCAACAAAGTCAACACCCTCTCGACGCCGAGTCAATCGAGTACCCTTGGTACATTGACTACTCAAGCCAGCTCCTTCGGTCACTTCAATCTAAGCGATGACGAGGCTCTCGTTGCGACCGTCACGCAGGGTGATGCGGATTACTTCGTGTTCCCATTGACGAACCCGTGGATGATCACGACAGATCCGGCCAGCCAAGTCAGTTTGAACAACGAGCAAGCTGTCGCAAATGCCAACGGCACTTACACTTTTGTGGTTTCTCTGGAGGATCCGGGAGTCTATAACTGGCTGAACACGACTGGTCTTCACGAGGGGGCGATTATGGTTCGCTGGCAAGGACTGCCGACCTCTTCGTCTTCGTCTACATCGTCCACGGCCTCGCCTGCTGTTGATGTTCAAGTCGTTGCTTTCTCTGATCTTGCCTCTGTTCTTCCGAGTGAGACACGATACGTGACTGCGGAAGAGCGTGCATCGCTTCTTGCTCAGCGTATTGCAGCATATTCCCAACGAACGACGCTATAGATATCGAGTAGAAAGCCGGTATAATGGGATCTTGTCTGCTTACAAATCCTCGCTTCTCATGGAGACTGTATGGTCAATACCTTGAGAAAGCTAGGTGGAGGGTGCGTGTTACCTGGACACTCATGGTAGATGTCAATTTACGAGGATTCTATAGCATCCTGAAGGAATTTCGATGTTAACCAAATGGAACTTTGCCCAGTTAGAGACAGAAGAGACTACTTGATGTTATCTAAACTTGAATCTCTGCTGGATGTAAGCAGATCCACTGGATCAACGCAAAATGGTAATCTCCACAAGATGAAGCAAGAGTATCTCAAAATCCGCTAGACAAATCTCGTCCATCATAATACAATATCCAATCTGACCCACTCTACTCGTCCTCTCATGGCTTGACACGACCCAGCAAATTCTCAACATACCCGGCATGGTCAGAAGTAGAGTTCTCATCTGCATGCTGTTTGGTATACTTGAGAAGTAGCCGAAGAGCCACAAGATCAGCCTTGTCACACTGCGGGCGTTTCTTGTGGGTCTCCGCAGGCGGGTCCAAAATCCACGGGGCCTCTTCCAGATTCTGCTTCATCTCCAGATATCGATCCGGAAAGAGTCCAAGCAGAAACTTCGCCTTCTGGCCGAAACGGGGACCCTTCACACGCTCAGACTCAAAAACAGGACCTTCTTCTCCGGGTTCACGAATCCGACTACTTCCAAATTGAAAATTCGTCAAGTTCGGTAGCCCGGCCCGAAACTTGTGGAACCACTCCTGCCATCGAAGTTGACAAAGTCCCATCTTCAGCCCATGTTTAATCTCCACTTTTTTAGCAAGGGTTTGGGAGATGAAAGGATTGTCGGGGGAAGTTTGTAGACAGTGGAGAATCGCACAGTCATCAAACTTGAGTGAGTAGAGGGTGCTTTTGTGTGCCAGGATCCATTTGAATCCGACGTCGCTCGTGAAAGTGCACGCACGCAACTCCAGACTTTCCAAGTTTGGGATGTGGAAGTCGGGTCCGTCGGGACCAAATCTAGTCCACTCCACGATGTAGAAGCCCCAGGACGAGATTGATAGATGGCGAAGCGTGTCTTTGACAGGGGAAATCCATAGATTCGCCGGTCCGTATGTTTTCCAAATCGGGGCCTAAGGGAACGTGTTGTTAGCGGGTATCACAAAGCTTGTCTACAATAGAGGGCAGACAACGGATGTTATCAGTTCGGCAGCAAGGAATATATCTCGCAAGGCCACTTTAATCATACATTCCAATTCACTTACATTAGACGGTGGCCACACGCCAGGACCAACCCACGCAAGTTTCAACGACTTCAAGTTCAGGTCCTGCAAAAATTCCAGGGCCTCTGCATATTGCTGGGGGTGCGAATCGGGACTAGAACCAGGAATCATCGCATGAACCGGAAGGCACTCGAGAAAGAGTTCATCCAATCCTTTGTAAAACTGGCTCAGAGTAGAGAAAAGATCTTCCACCATGTGGTAGATCCAGTGTTCCTGGGAAAAAGCAGAGGCCTGGTGGGGGCCCAGTGCTTTCGGTGGTGGGCGAAAGTGCACCGCCATGTGGATGAGATTTTCAAATCGGGGCAGTTCGTCCAAAAGTAATCTTCTTAGTCTTTCTTGGTGCTCAGAGTTGGAGGAGGAGGAGAGTGTGCCGGGTTGGCATGGATCTCTGAACTAGATAGGGTTGAGGGTTTATTAGTAGGTTCACGGACAAAATGCTGGATTGAGTGGGAAGCGAGATGAAGGACTCACGTAGAAATGGTCACTGTTGGGTAGACAGACCACAATTCCCTTGGTGGACAGTCTGGTTTTCCTGTTGCTCACCCTCTTTTCGGTATCATCCAGCGACCCTGGCTCGACAGAGAGGTAGGCAACATGCTTGAGTTGCTTGGAAGCAATGTCATCCCACGCATGATTGACCAGTCGGAAAGCAAGGAGGGAACTAGGGTCGAAAATGTTCTTAATAATCTTGATCCACAGCTCTACTGGAAGCCAGGCCACAACCATTTTGTCGTCGAAGATGAGTAAAATGACCTCGTGGGGTGGAAGATGGTGGCGGAGCAGAAGAAGGCCCGCTCAGGTAGAGGTGGAGGTGGCAACAAACATAGAAGTAGAGGATGTTTATACAGGGTTGAGAGCTGGAAACTTCCATCTCCGTAAGTCTCAGTCATGCTGAGAAACAATGTTCATCAAAGCTTCCATATGCACCGTGCCGTGTGCACAGCCCTACAAACGAGACACATGAGTGTTGAAACAGACTGGAAGGCCCGATACAGTTATAGACATGAAATGCATTAACGTATGTACTGACAAAACGAGTCTGTCGAAAGAGTTATGGGCGGGAAAATAATCAAAGCGCAAGCCTCCCAGATCCAAGCCCAGGACCAACACAAAAGCCGCCTGATTGGGGGGGGGGGGGGGGGGGAACAGTAAAGACGTATGCACGATGTCTAAAGATTGACAGCCGGATCCGGGTTCGGGGCGGTGGTGTTGGGTTTCACCTGCTCAAGGACCGGCACGCGAATGGCAGCCTTGTCAGCGACTGGCGCCGGGAGAGGCGAGGGGCCAGGCGTGCGCTCGCCCTTGTTTTGGCGTTGAATGAGACCGTTGGTAATACCGAGGACGGAGTCGACAATAACGGCATCAATGCCCTCTGCGACTTGATACTGTGATGGGGTTAGAGGGGTGATTTCAAAATGGAGGAGTATTGGCAAAGAGAGTTAAAACTTACGTCCACATTTGCGCCGTCATTGTTAAGCGAACCATAGGATACGCAAACAAGACCAGACTCCTTGACGATGCGCACAAGGCGAGGGCAGAGAACCAGTGGCTCTGCCTGGGTGACGATACCGAGCAGATTCCACCGCGAGGCAAATCGGATAGCCTCCTGCAGACTGCTCGCGCGAATATCACCGACAGGGGAGGCACCGGCGTCAGTCAGGAAAAGTACAGGAATGGAGGGCTGCTTGAAGGACAGAAGGAGGCAGATGTCCGGGTTGAAACTGGAGAATAGCACGTCACGGCCACGGCCCAGGTCATAGACCTTGGTGAGGACCGTGTCGACGAACGAGTTCAATTCAACGGCGTAGGTATCCATCTCCTCCTCCTCGCTCTCGTGGAGCATGGGGTACTCTGGCGATCTTGGTTAGATCGTCTAAATGTAGCTGTTCTTTGGGAAGCTGCGATTACTCACTCAGTTCAATGTTGAAGCCGACAGGCTTGGGAATCTTCTTGAACAATTCCTCCAGGGTAGCGAACGGGGCTTGAATGTGCTCGCCACGGGTGTTACCCTTGAATCCCTTCTTCTTAAAGTCGCGAGTATGTTTGATTCTCTCGGTCAATTCGGCTGGGTCATACTCGGAGCCACCAACAGACATAGACCGTTGGCGAGGACCGAGGGTAGTCGCTCCATGAACGTCTACACTCTGGGGTAAAACATTCCTGTGTCGGCCTTTGCCCAGTTCCAGGAACTGGTCAAGAGTGAGGGTATGCACTGGGGCATCAATGCCAGTCTCACTGACCAAGAAGTCATGGTAAATGACCGGAACATGGTCCTTGGTAAGCTGGACGTCAAACTCGACATAGGAAGCACCCAAGTTGGCCGCAGCAATGAACGACTGGACAGTGTTTTCGCCAAGCTGGAGAGACCTGCGGCTGGCCATATTCTTGCCCAGGCCACGGTGACCAATGACCATTGTGGAGCTCATGGATCGCCAGTAGGTCTGGTTGCCGGTGATCGACATGTTTGGGTGCTTGAAAGGGGTAATAACGAGAAAGTTAAATGTCACTGAGCCAATAACTTCCAGGGTATTGGCAGCAACTATAGGAACAGTGGAGTCACCCTTCAGATTGATACGATGGGAACCCACTTCCTGCTTGATGCTGGACAAAAGGGCAACACCGCGGCCAAAAATCCGATCCTTCGATCCTGAGTAGGTAGGCACCAGGTCAAAAAGAAGACGGACCTTACTCATGTCGGTGGTGTGAAAGACGATCGGCTCAGTCGAGATGTTGTCTTGCACGGGCAAGTCAATGACTTCCGGCTCGCCATGCGCACCGCTGGCAGTGACCACCATAGACAAAGCAGTGTCCAGCTGGGTCGCGTGCGCATCCTCCATGGGAATGCGATCCAGGTTTACGGTTTCCAAGGGCTTCCTCATGTCCATCGTGCCCAGACTGACCAAGATCATGGTCTCATCGGTAAGATACCGATGTCCAAAGGTCTTGATAGGTTCAGAGTTACGGACATAATTTCCTGATGTAGGGCCGGGGGTATTTGACCGCCGATCAATCAAGGATGACTGGCCCGGCGGCGACGAAGCCGGTGGGGAAGTCCTGTCGGTGGGAACAGGAATTGGTTCAGGTTCAGTTGCGGGAGGTCCGGGGCTGACCTCAGCAAGACACCGAGCGATAGCTAGATGGCCACGCAGGGCAGCATGTTCCTTTGCCGTCCAGCCAGACGAGTCAAAGCGCTCCAAATCAGCGCCAGCCTCCACCAGCAGCTTAGCCACGCTCAGAGTGCCGTCGACACAGGAGATGAACAAGGGAGTCCACGCATAGGTGTTTTCGGTAAGTTCCGTGTTGGCCTTTTGATCCACGGTGCCTTTCAGAAGGATTCGGGCACATTCATCATGACCAAAGCGGGCTGCAACGTGCAACGCAGTCTCTCCCTGTTCATCCTGGTAGTTGATGTCGACGCCAGCATCCACCAGCAGTTGAACGATATCCACAAAGTTGGCCTTGGTAGCAAGTGCAAGCACCGCGGAAGACTTGGACACCTGCTTTCGGACCCGGTCACCAGGTCTGTGGGTTTCTTTCCAATTTTCAGCGTCCAGAAGGCAATGGGTAGTCTTGGGGTGTCCTCCCACCACACTGAGATGCAGCGGAGCCCGACCGTCATTGTCTTGCCACAGAGCACCGTCAATTCCCTCGCTAACATCAAACATTTCCCACGCTTTGAGATGCTCAATTATCACCTCACAGACATCCTTGAACCCATACTGGGCAGCATAGTGCAGCGTCGTGCGTCCAGAAAGATCCTTGGCCATCAACGCTTCACGCTGATTGGGCCGCAGTCCATCAAGCAGGTACTGCAAGAAAGCTACTGCTGGGTCATCGCAGCCGAGCTGCTGAGGCAAATTCGACTCATTGATCACGGACCGCGGAGGTTGCAGAGTCGGAGGTGCCGCCGGAGTGATGTAGCGGGTTGTCTCTAGAGGAAAGTCTAGTACCAAAGACGCCGAGGACTCTGAGTCGCCGGTCGATTGCACCCGGCCCATTGAGATGACCAGACGGTGCAAGCAGTTGCGTCGGTTAATATCATCGTCCTCCTCGAGAGTGTCGACCTGTGGCAAAAGTGCGGACAAACACAGCCGAGCACGGTGGAGAATAGCTCGCTGGATGAGGGTCTTGAGCACTTTGGGAAAGAGTCCTTCGCCTGCCTCATTCGCGGCAGCCTTCAATTCCTCAAGAAGTTCGAGTAAAACGTGAATGTCATCCTTTCGCAAAGCATCGTCCACTGCCGTCACGACGCTCGTGGGCAAGTTCAGGTAAGGCCGAGTGGGACCGCGCTTCAGCGACAAAGAAGAGTGGGCCGAGCTAGTATCGTCCGTCACCTTGTCCTCCACCTTGGACTGTTCCGTGATGACCGCCATCCACGAATTGATGCGGTCCTGAGCCTTGACTGCCCGTGCATTGGAGGCAAACGGAGCCGGGTCCACCTTGGTCTCCAGATAGCGCTTCTGGGCCTGAGCCCCGACCTTTTTGTCCAATTTCTTGGTAATCTTGACAAAGCCACGGCGATTGACCTCTCCATACCATTGTAAGCGTCGCAGATGATAACGCAGATCTAGGAGAGCCTCGCGGAGGTCATGCCGGTCCTCGGGTTCCAACGGATGGTGACCTTCCATTGAATAGCCATATCGATCCTCCAGCAGCTTCAAACGGCGGGCATACTCGGCATACTTCTTGTTGTAGAAGTAATCAACATCCTCGACATTTCGGTCAAGGGAGTAGAAGAAGCCTAATCATACGGAAGGAGGGATCTTGGTTAGAAAAGTGATCGAGAAGGCGACAATCGCCAGGAACATTTCACAACGCCAAGGTTATCGCACTTACCAGCCAGATCAGCCTCTTGGCCAGCCTTCACTTTCTCGGCCGCAGACTTGATGAGCTTCTTCAGAGCCTTATACTTGATATACGAGGCGCTCCATTCGGGCACGGTGAATTGGGGCAAATTGCGGCCAAACTTCATATTGGCGATGCTGGACTAATCGCGTCCAGGCGAATTGATCCTTTCCAAGATTCAAAATATGATCGTGTGTCGTGTTTCGTGGTCTCGATAATCCACCGCCCGGAGATTATTTTGCCACCGAGGCACAGAGAGTCCCCACACCGACGTCGATGCGATGTATTCCTTGTCAGGACTTATCGGGGAGGGATCAAGTGAGTGGACGCACACAGGCGAAGAAGGATAAAGGCGCCATAGGGAAGGAGAAATGGAATTGGTGAGTGGTGAAAAAGAGAAAAGGTAGAAAGAAATAAAGGTATAGAGATATTCGAGAGCTCGACTGTGCCTGGTTGAAGTGGGGCGGGCGGGCTACACAGTGGAGCGGTGAAGATCAAATGAGGTGAACGATTGATGGAGTCGAGTAAATTTCTGAATGCCAGAGAGAGCAGAGGTGATGAGCACGAGGAGGTGAAAGAGGCAAGTCAGTCGAGGAAAAAGTGGTCCCGATATTGATGGAGAAAAGGTGAATCAGCAAGGGGAGCAATAGGAAGAGAAGCACGAGGTCGAACGGGAGCGAGGTGTGCGTGCTGCACCGGCGTTGATTTGTCGATCCGCGGGGGGGAGCTCCATGGTTCTGGCCTGCTTTTTATACCCGCCTTATAATAGTGATCGTTTCCTACATTGTTATTCGGTACTTCAAGGAACCTACAGATCATGCCCACCTAGTCTGGCATACTATTGGTAGTAGACAAGTCCCATTCTTTTTCCATTTTCATCTTTCTGAATATGCTTCCGAATCCTTTGTGTTAGGGCCAATAGCGCATTCCCTTTTTTAACGTTCTGGCGCATCGTCTCCCAGTGGTTAGGAAGCATCATCAAAGCAAAACAGAAGGGGAAAAGAATAAAGGAGGAAAAGAAAAGATTGAAGAGAGGGGACAAGGGCCCGACTTAAGGAGGGGCGAACAACTCATTCCTGCCCAAAGGACTAAAAGACCGTCGGGGTATACTTCAGCCCAAGTACGGAGTACATACTCCGAGGGCTCCCTACATACAATGGATACAATAGGAATATCCTACAACTCTGAAGTCTTAAAGCAGAGTGAACTTTGTTTATAGCTCATAAGACCAGAATGTATCTGGCGGTTCATACTCTCTATGGCTGCCATAATGGATAAAGACAAGTGCATGTCGCACAACCACCAAATTTCCAACGCCCCCTAATCCGGAGTAATTCCGGAGAGATCAAAAGAAATCATAAGAAAATAATCAAGAAAAACAGAACAACGGAAGAAGAAACCAATCGCTAAACTCGGTAATGGTGCTCGTGATCAAAACAGCAGGGATAGGTAACGAACCCCCCGAAAAGCAAAAAAAAGAAAACACAGCAAAGAATCGATTAACTCCAACGGGCGTTCCCTTAACCCGAGCCCGAATTCCGAATTCCCCGTGTATGCGAATTGTCAATGTAAATGCTGGCGCTTTCAACGCTCTGCCAGAGAGCCTCCAGTGCAAGAAGAAAAAGATACTGGTGTGGAGGAGTCATTACGCCTGCGGTTGCACGAGCGGCTTCAATGCCTCCACGCCGGTCTGCAACACTGCCGGGTTGGACGTTTTCTTGAGGCACGAAGTCAAAACATCAATACCCCCGGCAGCTTGAACCGCGGCTTTGGCGCGAGCTCCAATGTCACCGGAGGCCGTAGTGAGGTTGTGCACGCAAACAACACCCCGGTGAACCAGAGCGTCATCCTCCTCCTGGCACAGACCCAGCAACAATTCCACTCCACGCGGTCGCTCCAACACTGCCGCCACTGCCGCATCGTACTCGGTGAGCATGGCGATCGCACCGCCTGCTGCTCGTCGGGTGGCCATGTCGTCCGCATCGGTAAGTGCGAGCATAATGTGCAGTCGCTGCGAGGCCCGCTTGGTAGCATCGGCGAATTTGATGATGCCTGATTCACAGGTCATCAAATTGCAAACCAGTTCGCAGGCAGCCCGCTGCACACGAGAGTTACTAGCCAGGAGGAGTTCTTCGATGACCGACCAGCCTTCCCGCACGATCAATTCGGCCGGGGAATCATCCCGTGGATAGGAAGCAAGGTTAGTCAGAGCAAGCAAGCTCTCAAACACGGGCAGGAGGTCGCGGGGTTGGTCCACAGAGATCGTAGCACCCTCTGGAGAGGCCAGGAGCGAAAGCAAAGGGCGTACGGGAGAGGTCGCCTGAGGGAACCCAGTCGACGGGAAGACATGTGAAGGGTCGACTGAGATAAGGATCCGGGCCAGCGCATGCGACGCATTCTGAGTTGTCTCGGTGTGGCCGACAGACTGGCCCTGTTTAGGGATCGACAGACCCAGCAGGAGTTTAACGGCACCCTGTTGGGCCAGAGTTCCTCGTGACTTTGGCCGCCGTGCCAGGGCCAACAGTATCTTAGCAGTGAGGTCGTTGGTCGAAGGTAAAGCAACTCGGCCACAGTCCACCAGGAGGGCCATAATTCCCGCATCAATAACAATACCGCAGCGCTCCAATACTGCGTCATCTGCGTCTCGGGGGTCGGTAGGAGCTCGCGCCTTGCCGGCAGAAGCGTCCGCGTAGTTCTTCAGCTGTGACATCTTCTTTTGCTCGTCGGAAAGATTGGGAAGGAATTTGGTGAGGTTCAGGATGATCATTAAGCCGCCGTAGAGCACGGAGGAGTCGGCTTTGTGTTGTTTCAAAACGCTAATTAGATCGCGCATAAACGTAGGGTCCTTGGCTAGCTGCTCCTTGACGGAAGGCTGCACCGACGAGTAGGCCAAGCCCTCAATGGCATGCGAAATATTTTCAACCTTGGATTCAGACATTAGTCCCTTGAATCGTTGCACCAAGTCGGTGACTCCCGTATTCTCCTCCTGGGCCTCACCGTTCTTGGTAGAGGACTGGATGGTTTCCGAAGTACGAATCTTCGCCAAAACCACCGCTGCCAGCTCTGATCCTTCGTCACTGCCGTTGGTCAAGGTGTGCGAAAGCCATTCAGAGAACTTTTTGGTAACCGCTTCCCGACAAGGACGATTGATGCATGCTGCGTTCAGCAGCTCCAATATAGAAACCTCCACCTTCTTGCGTGTCGCATCTCGGGTCGCGAGCGGAGTCAACGCATTCATAAAATCGTCAGATAAGAATATGCTCACTGCTGCCGTGGGAACTACTGGGAAGACAGCAGCTACCGCAGAGAACGCAATGATCAGATCGTTCAAACGACCCTTGCCGATCATTGCAGTGATCAGTGCCGAGAATTGCTTCTCGCCAGTTTCCTTCGAGACCTCGAGGTATTTCGCGGTTGCCAAAGTAGCTTGGCTACGCAGCTCGAGCGGGAGTCGATTGTCGAGCGACGTCAGGATGACTTCGAATCCTTCGTCATCAACCAGGTGTTGCAGGCTTCCCGCATCGACCGCGAGTAATCGGGTGATGCCTTTCAAAGCACGACCATCCAGGTCATGGCCAGACTCCATCAGCTTGGCCAAGAAAAGCTGGAAGAGCTCACTCTCGCAGTGTGAACGGGTGTCCTCGGACGGCCACACGTTGGGGTCCAAAACCACCGTGTCCAGGCATACAGCTGCACCATCACCACGGTCGTAGATCTCGTCAAAGAAAGTCGTCACGGAAATCTGAAGCTGATTGGAAAAGTATTGGCGCACGCTGGCGTTCTGGCGTACGAGCCCCGAAATGATTTCATCCTGAAGCTCTGACAGGGCATGCGCCCGCTGGTCCAACAGCAATTTCAGCGACTCTAGCGCCACATTCTCTGGAGGCTTCAAGCCATCTGTACGGAGGTATGCGGCGGCCTCCTTTCCAGCAGTCTCATCCTTGCGGGTTGTGTAACGGCGGCAGAGGTCGAGGAGCGGGTGGCCACTTTCTTCTTCTTGTTGGATTTTAAGAAAAGCGGCTTTCACGTCGGGGTTGTCCTTCGTAATGGAGAGCGCTTCTCGGAGATTGCGAGAAGCAGCCTAATAGAGAGTTACATCATTAGCCTCGTTGATTTCTGGAATCGCGTAGTATCGAATAAACTGTATTACTTACCTCGCGGTGGCCAGCGTCAAATAGCTCGACAGCCTCCCGTGCCAGGTGAACAGCGCGCTCTTCGCCCGTTGCTTGAACCATTGCAGGGATGCCGGAGAGCAGCACGCTGCAGAGGGCAAGTGATAAATTCCGAGTGTCGAAGGGTTGATTATCGAGTATGTAGAGAGGGGGAAGCGAAAGCCGGCGGTGGGAGCTTTTTTTCTTTTTTGGAGTGGAGGGGGGCACGGCGGATAGGCGGAGCAGCAAGCGGAGGGAAGGAGATAAGTGGGAGGACCGCGGATTTATCAGATCCACGGCGCAACGAGTACCGAATTAAAATATGAGAGTGTAAGAGCCACGTCAACTAAATGAGGAGAAGGAAAAAGCAAGAGGAGTTGTGGAGGCTCCCGGCGATCATTGAATTATTTGCTCTTGGCCAGCTTGGCTTGGAAGTGCAGAAAGTAGAGTAGAGTATGGATGTTGCTCTATACGGTATTCCCGTTACCATTGATTACCGGCGTGTCGTCCCCCACTACTCTCCGCGGGGCAAAATGCCAGGGTATCCAGGGCTTATCCCGCGTATCAGCGTAATACTCCCTGCGTAACGCCATTTCGGCCACGAATGCTCATTATCAATCGTCCTGATAAGACCAACCACAGCGACGAATGCCATCACGTTGCTGATAACGCTGAATCTGACGCTTGCAGAGACTCGTTTTTGCCAATGGGCATTGATGCAGCTGCCCTTTTCCGTTTCAAAGTTACCGGACTATCAATAGATCAAGGGGGGCGTGCCAAAAGGGGGTCGTCGAGATTCTGCATCCCAACAGGATGAACTAAACGCGGTACAAATCCCGGGAATCTACGATGTCCGAGCATGTGGGACATATCTATCTGTTATTTTGCTCCTGATTCGAGGAAGCTTGGAGCGAAGCGCTATCCGTGAATCCAGTCTCTTGCATACTGAGTATACGCTATCATAGCTAGGGTGGGTTCCCGAGATCATCGCCGCCCACTCCGGGAGATCCTAGAGGCTCGGGGAAAGTAAAAGGTGGGCTTATGGGCTATGTATAACATGTCAGCGGCGCATGTACGGATTATCGTTATCAGACCGGGTGAAAGACGGGATTATTGTCAAGCTCAACCCATGTCAACGGAAGAAATACATACTTCGAAGGATGTAAGACGCTATGACCACCACAAAAAGCTACCAACCTTGGAAGCTTGCCTAGAGATACGACGAGGGGGGCATTCGCGATGTAGCATACCTAGGTAGTTATCCATCTAATAATGGACTGACACTGTCGTACTTTAGCTTAAATTTGGAAGCGGATCACCGTACACACGACAAAGCAACCAACAACAAGCATTTCGAGGATACCCCGGGTTTCTGGCCTACGATCGGCGTTATCACCACGTGACTAGTCTTATCGCGGAGCTGGTTCTTTGTCGCCCAGCTGCTTCACGGATTCCACTCTCCAGGATCCCCAGTCGAGGGTTCAACAAGCCTACAGAAACATTCTTTCTTTACTCATTTGAACACTCACTGGGTCCTCAACGGTCTTGGCCCCCTCATCATGAACTTCCGCCCTCATTGATCCACCTAGCACCATGAATTCCGTCGATGCCTCCGAGCATTACGAGCTCGGCGCAACAGGTCTGTTCTTGTCGCAGCTATCTCTCCGCCTGAGCTCATAGGCTAACAAATCACTCAGATCTCGCACCCTCTCTCCTCACCGTCGTCCTCGATACGAACCCGCATGCCTGGGCAGCACTAGAAAACTCTCTCCCACTTTCAAAAGCCGTCGCGAACATCCTCGTCTTCATCAACGCTCACCTCGCATGTAACTACGCCAACGAGGTCGCCGTGGTCGCTTCCCACACTACAAAAGCAACATGGCTATATCCCGTCCACAATGACACGACCCCACAAGCATCCGCAGACCTAGACGGAGACGTCTCAATGAATGGAGACAGCGGAGCAGCAACACAGACGAACAAATACCGCCCATTCCGCATGGTGGAGGAGCAAGTCACGAGGAAACTAAAAGAACTCATGGACTCGACAACTAGCGATGACCTCCGCAGCAATACATCAACCATGCTCGCCGGTGCTCTGACATTAGCACTGAGCAACATCAACCGGCGAACCATCGCCTGGGCCGAGGAACACGGCGGCGCAGACTTGGAAGACGCTGCCGGCGATGGCGGCAGTGGGGCCGCAGGCGCTGCAGCAGGAACCGGACCAGGCCGGTACTCCGCTTCAAACGACGACGAGCGCCTTCAGAGTCGAATTCTGATCGTCTCGGTTAGTGGCTCCAGCGACTCGGCACACCAATATATTCCCGTCATGAACAGTATCTTCGCCTGCCAGCGTCTGCACATCCCCATCGATGTGTGTAAACTCAGTGGCGATGCGGTATTCCTACAGCAGGCCTGCGACGCTACCAAGGGCGTGTACATGGCTCTCTCCGAGCCGCGCGGGCTCCTGCAGTATCTGATGATGGCCTTTTTGCCCGACCAGCGCTCACGCAGGCACCTGGTTCTTCCGACACGGGTAGATGTGGATTTCCGCGCGGCCTGCTTCTGTCACCGGCGCGTGGTGGATATCGGTTACGTCTGCTCCATCTGTCTCAGTATCTTCTGCGAGCCACCTCCCGGGAACGAGTGTTTGACCTGCGGTACTCCCCTCGACGTGGGTGACTTTGCCTCCAAGCCGGCTCTTATCCCGAGAAAGAAGAAAAAGAAGAAGCGGGCTAACGGGACTTCGACCGTTGGGACTCCCATGTCAACGGGGACGCCGACGCCAGGTCCTGGATCATGAAAATAGGATCTGCCTAGAATCTAAAGAAGAAAAAAAACATAATTTAAGTAGCTGCCATTCTCGCTGGACTCGAGATGTCAAATATACGCTGCAATACGATAACAAGACTTTGCCTGAGCAGATGAATTGAATTTTCTAGAGTATCTAGGAAATCAAAGCAATATTGACCTAACGCTAAGAGCCCCCTAAAATTGATACACAAACACACTAGCCATCAGCGTGCATATTCACTGTCTGCAAAGGGAAGGCGAAACGAGAATGGACCAGGACATGAGCAAGGCAAAGAAAGGACAATGCCACCGATGCAAAAGGGTCGATCCTAGTCGCTATGCAGGGAGAAAACGCCGAGAACGCCGAGAGGCCAAAACGCAAAGAAAACTCAATGGGATGAAGTGCGGGCAATAGTCAGATCTGCCAGGCAATTGTCAAAGCACTGAATGTAGCGTACGTATGCAAGAGACACCATTTGCATTGGAGATCCAGCAGGGGTGCTTGCGATGGTTGACTTTCAAACACTCTAGGTGTCTCTATCCACCTTTCGCTTTCGCTTCTTGTCCTCGCGGTTGTCGGTCGATCTGGTTGGTAATAAAGAGGCAATATCAGTAGCCACAGCGAAAGTGAAAAGTGGCGCAGACATAGCCTACTTCCGAGGTCGAATCATGACTCCTCCCTGGGCGACAGTGCCACGACGAGGGCTGCGAGACATGAGACAGGAGGGTGCTTCGTCGTGACAGGACATCGATCCGATAGCCTGGAATGAAAGATTAGTTGTATATTCACGTGTAGGGATGTCCATGACAACTCACAAAGGACTCGGTGTTGTGAGCGAAGTGGAATGCGATGCTGTCTACAGTCTTCTTGGCACACAAGATACCAATTGAGCCGGTGAACTCGCTGTTGACCACAGCAGGGTGTTCTGGAAATAATCCAATCAGTGCCCATCCCGGCAATATAACATGTTATCGAAAGGCTACTTACCTGCAAATTCATTCTTGATCATCATGCTGATGGCCTCTTCGTCGCTCACATCGGTGAGACTGCCGGCATGATCCCTCTGCTGGCTGTAGTAGACACGGTTGGCACAGGTACTGGCGCCGAAGGTGGAGGCAATGTGCTCGCCAGTTCCAGAAGTGACAGCAGCCACGGTTGTCCCTTCGGGATCGGTTGGATCGACTGGGATGACATGAGTGCCGATACCGATGAGTGCTGCAGGTCCCACTCTGCCTTGATGCTTCATACCAATACCTCCAGACGAGGATCCCGCGGCGATGTTCCCGAACATGTCAATGGCAATGGCGCCCACGGTATCTGTGATCATATCTTGGTCCTCGCGAGGGTCATCCATAGGTTCATCCGCGTCTTGGGAGGGTGCATCGAAGGTTCCGGCGGGCGCCGATTGATCAAGGCCGATGGAACCAAATTTGTTGGACATGGAACCCGCCTGCGAGGCAGCATCAGACTGCGGGATCGAGCGAGAGCCGTCCAAATCCAACAGAGTTCCAACTTTCAGCGGGTTGGAAACTTCGGGATTCTTGCTAGGTCCAGAAGCAGTGCGCAGTGGGCCATTGATCTGAGCCTCTAGATCCATTTCAATTTGAGCGAGACGAGTCGCCTTGGAGGCCTCTGGACTACGAATCCAGGCACCAAATGGGTCTTTGGCAGCTTCCTCGGGGCACTCCTTTTCCCATTCAACAATCTCCTTGCACCAAGACTCCCAGCGGGCCTTTGCACTTGGCGAAATGAGATGCTCATCCGGAACAAGAACGAGCCCATTGGTCCAGGCAAAGTCTGCAGCCCCTTCTCCGGCAAGGAGATTTGGTGGGACACGTTGCAAGCCAGGAGCCTTGTACGCCTGGTCATAGATCTTGCGAGCAAGCATGATTGGGTTCTTGATGGCTATATAAAAGAGTCAGTCAAGGTCGAATTCCTTCGTGTAGAGTAAAAGATTCTTACATGGAACAGCTCCGCAAGCACCACTGCGACCAAAATGGTCAACGATAGAGGCGTCACACTCAACTGTACCCTTGGCATTCAGATTACTGCCGTAGCCAGCGTTGGTGATAATCGCATTCTCCATCATCGCGATGGCCACCTCCACGGCATCCACGGCGGTTCCACCACTACGCAGGAAATTCATTCCCGCCAGAGCAGCACTGTGTAAAATATCAGTTAATTTCAAGCCTGTCAGAGATAGAATTTGGATAAAACATACAAGCGACAGGCATCGAGGTGCTTAGCCTCGTGCTCGCGGGAGTGGTAACCAGCACCAGCATGCACAAAGATGGCATACATGCCTTTTTCCTGCTGCTCGTCCTCCATTTTGATGGGTTACCGAGCGATTGAGTCTTCAGATCGTATTCAGGAGTCAGTATTGGGAAGAATGTTTCCGGTCAACGAAGCAGGCCGGCAGAGCCAAGTGAGGACAATCGTCTGGGCGAGTTGAACAACACCAGTTACGTGACTTGAAGAGCGATTGACCAACCTGGAGAGCGATTGGGCACGATTGAGGGGTGTTGTGAAGATGTGTGGCTCTGTTGTACTAGGAACCCAGTACTGCAGAGACACGAGGGTCTTGGTAGAGGGGGTTGAAGCGAGAGAAAAGATCCGACGAAAGGGAGGGGCGTTTGCGATGGGAAATAAGGATACAAGAGGAGCAGGAGTAACAAATAGGGAATAAAGAACGTGTCATAGGAAGCTCTCCATAAGAATAGAAGAGTTTGCCATCGCAGAGATTGAAGCTAATTGGTATTTCCGGAATCTTCCAACCAATATATTTCTCGTGTGCTGCCGACTGCACCTTCCACTTTTATTGTATCAACGTTAAGGTTGACATGGGACGCCGCGGCAACAGTACGGGGGTAACCGTGTGAGAGGCACTGTATTGTAGATTATTCTTTCTATACACGGGAATCGATGCAATTGTACACCAAATTACCGTAGATCGTATGGAATGTATAGTTCCTCTATCAAACTCCAGATTTGGCATGGCACATGATCTGGGACGTGGTGACTGGGGCTTACGTAAATCACCTCCCCGCCTTGTCTGCCTGAGCTCCGCCACGGTTGACCTCATCCCCCCCCTTCTAAAGTAACCGGTATACACTCTCTTTGTGACCGGGCATTGCGATCCAGTATTCGCCATGGCGTCCCAAACTCCCGCCGTTGTCATGGACAAGTAAGTTGTGCCAACATCCCAGAATTGACTCTCTGCTAACCACACACCCTCCTCCATAGCGGTACCGGTTACTCCAAGCTTGGTAGGTGTCTCACGCGGGAGCCTGTTATCATGATATTAGGACCGGTCCCTGTAGCAGGAAACTAACCATTTCCCTGTCTCCAACTCTAGGTTTTGCCGGTAACGATTCACCCTCCTTCGTCTTCCCCACTGCAATTGCGACCAAGGCTGGTGCTGGGAGCGCTGGAAGCTCCGCCGGTTCGCGGCCTGCTGTTGCGAACAAGCCATCTTTCCTCGGTGGCAGCGGTGGTGCAAGCTCACACTTGTCCGCGAAGCGTGGTACGGAGGATCTGGACTTCTTCATCGGTGATGAGGCTCTGGCTGCGGGCAACGGACCTGGCTATGGTGTCAACTACCCCATCCGTCATGGTCAGATTGAGAACTGGGACCACATGGAGCGATTCTGGTCAAACTCAATTTTCAAATACCTCCGTGTTGAGCCTGAAGACCACTATTTCCTCCTGACTGAGCCGGTAAGAATGGATTGTTTATTTGCGGCATTCCCCGCATATGGTACACAAATAAAGGCAGAGCCGCTAACATGAAATGGAATATAGCCATTGAATCCCCCCGAGAACCGTGAAAATACCGCTGAGATCATGTTCGAATCCTTCAACTGCGCTGGTCTTTACATTGCCGTGCAAGCCGTACTTGCTCTCGCCGCATCATGGACGTCCTCCAAGGTCACCGATCGATCGCTTACCGGTACTGTGATTGATTCTGGTGACGGTGTCACCCACGTTATCCCCGTGGCCGAGGGCTACGTCATTGGATCTTCTATCAAGAGTATCCCCATTGCCGGTCGAGACATCACATACTTCGTGCAAAGCTTGTTGCGTGACCGCGGCGAGCCCGACAGCAGCTTGAAGACCGCCGAGAAGGTCAAGGAGGAGTACTGCTACGTTAGCCCGGATATTGTCAAGGAATTTGCGCGCTACGACCGCGAGCCCGATCGTTTCCTGAAGCACACCGTCACCTCGCCAAATGGCCGTAGTGTGTCCATCGACGTCGGCTACGAGCGATTCCTGGCCCCCGAGATCTTCTTCAACCCCGAAATCTACTCGTCCGATTTCCTGACTCCGCTCCCTAACGTTGTCGATGGCGTTATTCAGTCCTCCCCCATTGATGTGCGACGAGGTCTCTACAAGAATATTGTGCTGTCTGGTGGCTCCACCCTGTACAAGGACTTTGGCCGTCGTCTACAGCGTGATATCCGTCATCTGGTGGATGCCCGTATTCGTGCGTCCGAAGCTCGCAGTGGTGGTGCTCGCAGTGGTGGTTTGGACGTTGCAGTCGTCACGCACAAGCGCCAGCGGCACGGTCCCTGGTTCGGAGGCAGCCTGCTGGGTCAGACGCCCGAGTTCCGGAGCTACTGCCACACCAAGGCCGAGTACGACGAGATTGGTCCTAGTATCGTGCGGAGATTCGCTCTGCTCGGTGGGCCCGGAAGCTCGTAGGGTGGGTATGGCAGTCTCCTCTTTTTTTATCATGTTCTTTGTCAGCCGGTGTAGCTGGACGCTCTTGTTCATAGTCCGTTAGTTCTTCATTTCTTTTTCCTCTACGTGCTTTTCTTTGGTGCTTCTTCTCCTTTCCTTTTTGTATCCAAAGCGGGCGGCATGGCGCTGGGTCCTCAGCTTGCTATATCTGGTTCCCAAGTAGATAGAAGGAGATTGGCTGTTGAATTCTTTGATATTATCAGAAGCGTATTTGAAAAAAAAATGCAAAAATCTCCTTCGCCCAACATTGCTTTTTTGGTATTTGCCTTCGTATCCAACGCCAGGAACAATATGCAGTATCAGACAAGTACAAACAAATTGAGAGCCAACCCCGTAACCACGGAAAAGAAATAATTATATCCAACCCTCCGATATCAAACGGAATCCTTCTTAGGGAAAGAAGTACGGTTCAAGATAGCCACACCCTCTACATGACCTGTCTGAGGGAAGAAATCGAATCCGCGAATGCTCTCAATCTCATATCGCACATCTTGCTTCTCGTCACCTTGCACCATGACGGCCACATCCCGAGCTTGGGTGTGCACATTGCAACTAACGTAGACAACACGACGAGGCTTGAACGCAAGAAGTTGCTGGAGGAAGTCCTCCGAGCAGCCCTTGCGAGGCGGATCAATGACAAGCAGAGTCTGGTCAGGCGGGTAAGGCACGTCCTTGAAAAGAACGGCTGCATCCGCGGCGGCAAAGCCCGTGTTGGGCAGGTTGTTAGCCTTGGCGTTCTCGCGAGCGGAGACGATTGAGTCGCCAGCAACATCGACACCGAGACTGGACTTGAAGATCGTTGACAGGGTGATTGTGAATAGACCGGAGCCCGAGTAGGCGTCGAGGAGGTACTTGATGGGGGTAGGGTCTTGGTCATTGTTGGGAGGAAGAGCGTGGGAACGGATGAACTCGGTAAATCCAGAGAGAATGGAGTTGTTGTTCTGGAAGAAGGCACCGGCCTTGTTGCTGAAAATGAAATCATCGACGTACTCGACCGTCGTAGCGTTGTTGTCGGTAATACAGCGCTTTTCCTCGATAAAGCTCCCGCGATCAGTGCGAATCACATCACCCGTGTCGGCACCAGGGGTTGAGGTAAGACCATTCATGTCTTTAACATCAGTCTCGGCCCCAGATTCATCCTTGGCAATGCGAGAGGTGGATTCCCGCATCAAGAGAGTTGCGCCCTTCTTATAGGAACGAATGTTCTCAGCAACACGTTTCCGCTCGCTCTTGAGACCGCGCCGCACAATATCCGTACCCAATGGGCAGTCTTCGATATCCATATCTGTTCTGCGATTCTTGTAGCAGAAGCCAATTGGTGGCACCTTGACTTCCTGCGATTCTTCTGAATCGGCATTTGACTTCTTCCTCGCACCTCCCTGGGCGAAGTGCGGCGTAAGCTTCGTGCGATATCCGAATTGCAGAGGTGAAGGGAATGTTTCGCCGATAGAAGGAACCAGCTCTGGGATCAAGCCAGAGAAGTTGGCGTAGGCCTTCTCCACAATGCGCCGCTTATGCGCCAGCTGGTCCTCGTACGACATCATTTGCAATTGACACCCGGAACACTTTGCAAAGTATTGGCACTTGATAAGCGCATCATTTCGTTTCGGTCCTGGCTCAATCACGCTCAGAAAATCGGTGATAGTGTAGGACTGCGCGGGACAGTGTCGGATGACCTTCACGCGCACCTTGTCGCCAGGAACTGTAAAGGGCACAACGTAGACATGGTCCTTATTCTCGGAGAGCGCGAGACCATCTCCAGTCGAGGAAAGATCAGATACCGTCAATTCGATCTCGGTGAAAGTCTCGGGAAGCGTGGGAGGCGGGGTGTCGTTGTCGCTATTGGACTGGTCTTCTTCGGGGCGATTGCGCTTGATCAATTCGTCAACATCCGCTAGCAGGACCTCATCATGTTCACTGCTCTTCTTCTTCTTGTCAAACTTGGCTTTCTTGCGAAAATTGCCACCAAACTGCTTCTTTGGATTGTTCGGCATTGTTGCAGCGGGCGTAGTCGCAGTGATTGAATAGCGCTGAAAGGAGGCGATTGATGTGGGCTGGGCTCGACAATAAGGACGAGCCAAGACAGGCCAGATACAGTACAATCGATTAACTGGCGACCGCACTGCAAACATGTAAATTCGGAACGAAAAGTGACGACGAGTTCGCGAAAGTTGGAGACTCGAAATTCTGGAAATTTATTAGAAACGCATCTGCAGAGTCGCTGATTGGCTCCATGCTGACCGCCCGGCGAGCAAGAAATTCCTCCCGAAAGTTGACCTCCGCCCGTTTCTTCGCCAGCGTCGTTGTGCTCGTCAGTTTGTTGATTTCGTTCCTTTCTTTGCAGAGCTCGTGGCTAGCAGAACTGCTGGTCAACGAGCCAATTTCTCTTTCACAATGAGTCTTGCCAGGCCAGCAAGATGCCTGTTCTGCAGCTTCTCCCGTGCTGCCACGCAAAGCACGCGAGTGCCTCGTCGCCAATTCCACCCATCGCCAGCGCAGTTGACGAACCGGAAACCCAAGTTCCCAAATATCAAGGCTCCCGAGGCTTCCAGTCTATCGGGGCCTAAGCCAGAGGACTTCAAGCCATACACGGAGGAGGAGAAGGCCCACCTGGCCAAGGAGTACTCGGCCGCCCAGTTGGAAGCCGTCAAGGCCGGCGAGGCTGCCATTGACCCCAAGGATCTGGCTGCGCAGTTGAACGAACGTGACGACCCTTTGAAATTCAACTACGTTGATGACTTTTCCGTCATTGAGCCCGGTATCGACCGAAACGTGCGCGCCCCCGAGTCGAACTCGGACTATAATTTCAAGCTCAAGAGCGAGGATGACTTTGTCAAGGACTTTGGCCGTTTCTTCGCGGAGATGCCGGAGGATGCGACGGCTGCAGACTTTGTTCGGTTTGCGGACGAGCTGCGCTTGACACATGGCAAGGAGGAGAACGAGCTGAACCCTCACAGTGCTCTCGTTCCCGATCTCTTCGGCCCTGGAGAGACCATTGACGAGCCCCGTGTGGAGGAGCGGAAGACTGCCGCTGAGAAGGGCGAGAAGGAACGTTCCCTGCAGGCTGAGGAGATGACCGATGCTCTGAAGAGCTTGCTCCTCGCCACGGGTTATACTGCCAATCAGATTCGCGACTTCCGCCTGAAGACTCTGGTTTCCCACTCGGTCGTGAACCAGACTCGTCTGGGTAAGGTCCGTCGTGCGTACCGTCTGTCTATCGCTGGTAACGGTAATGGTCTGTTGGGTATTGGCGAGGGCAAGTCCGACGAAGCCGCCGATGCGAAGACCCAGTCCCAGTACCGCGCCATCCGCAACATGCAGCCAATTCCCCGATATGAGAACCGGACCATCTTTGGTGATGTGAGCGGCAAGGTTGGAGCTGTGGAGTTGCAGTTGATGCACCGTCCTCCAGGTATGTTTGAGTCACCTCTGTTGTCTATCCGACTCAACACTAACAAAATGCTAGGCTTCGGTCTCCGTGTCCAGTACCTGATCTACGAAATGTGCCGTGCCGCCGGTATCCACGACCTTGCTGCACGAGTCAGCCGCTCTCGCAACAAGATGAACACTGTTAAGGCTGCCTACGAGGCACTCATGAGCCAGCGTGATCCCGAGGAAGTTGCCCGTGCTCGTGGCCGCAAGATGGTCGACGTGCGCAAGGTCTACTACGCTGGCAAGGTCTAGACGTGTGTCTTGACAACTGATCGAGCCGTGCATTTTCTCTCGGCGTGTATATAATGGGTGTCTTTTTTCCTTTCTCTTCTCATTGTGTCTTTTGCATGTATTTGTATCTGTACTCCTATCCTCATCTTTCAAAAGGATCAATCAAACAATTCTCTCATCAATCAAGCATTTAGCTTGTCCTATGTAGAAAATACTTTACAAAGGTAGCCATCTTGACAAGGCAATATAGTAAGGGCCACAGGCTCAACAGTAGATGTTGGAACATAATCCTTGAACCCCGAATTTCTATCATTCTCCCAACACCAGTCCCACCCTAAATCTTCAATATCGCGCCAATCCATAAAAACGCAATAAACATGGGTATATGTATCAAACAAAAAAGAAAACTAAAGAAACCTCGGGCCAATTTCAAGGCCTCAGCAGAACACAGAAGCAGAAGGAAACTCATCATCATGACCCTAGGAACAATCACTGGAAGGTCACATCACCCTCCCCCCTCATAACCCCCACCGTGCTGATACTCCTGATCCTGGAACTGCTGCTCTTGCTCATTCTGCTGCTGCTGCTGCTGTTCCTCACTCTCATTCCAGATCTGCTGCTGCAACACAATGCTATACACACTAGCCTTGAGCAACGTGCATACAGTCGCAGTTTTCCGCTCAAGCAAACGCATACCATCAAGGGTCATTGAGGCGGGGGATCCAGCAAGATCGCCAATCTTCTCGGAGAGCTAGACATGTAGCAGGGTAAATTAGTCTCTGGTTGAAAAGACGCGTCGTGATAAGGTTGGGGTGTTTTTTTTTTTTGCTGCGCGAAGCGTGGGTCACGAATCCAGCCGACTAACCTGGTTCACGTTCCGGAGTAATCGAGAATACTCGTCTAGCACTTCCTGCTCCAGCTCGGAGACGAGTGGGTTGTCATCGCCTAGTAAGGGATTGTTGGAGCGGCTGCGGGCGTGGGAGGTTTCGGGGTCGGCGCTCATTGATTGCGATGGGGGGCCGATGGGAGGGGTGCTGGTCGTATGGTCGGGCTCCATGTAAGAGTAGTCGAGGGCATCGGGGTCATCCGAGGCTGCGAAGGCGGACATATTGTGGGACTTGGCTTAGGAATTGCTGGAGGTGGTAGAGAAGCCGAGGGGAAGTGCGGAGTTGAACGCGGTGGTTTGTGATTTGGCGGGGCGCATGTTTTTTTGGGCGGAAGTGTCCCACTTCTATGACGACTAAGGAACTACGTTCTGTACGATGCGCCATTGACTTGACTATACTTCAATTTATTGGGATGAAACGATAACAAGTTTCGAGGAATATACTATACTCCCAATTCGCCTTTGTTTGGAAATAGTGCCGGGCTCGGCGTATTAACAAGCGTAAAGCCTGGAGCATACACAGCATACAAAGATCAAAATGGAACCGAGCTTCGTTAAGTAGATAGTACCGCGCCATGAACCAAAAGAAACATGAATGACAAACACTGGTTAGTTGCAAAAGAGGAATGTTTGAAGAGCCAATGAATTCAGAAAGTGCCAAAAGCCCCCAAAGCACACAAGACAGAAGAACCATGAACGCCGCCCGCTGCAAAGAAGAGGAAATGAACCGAATGTATATCGCACGAACGAGTAACAAGAAGCGCGCATTGTGGATCGTGGCGTAAGGAGTGATACACGCAAAGAAGAAGAAAGCACTCGTGCAATGAACTCGAGGGGTGATTCAAGGCCTTCAGCGAATGATGGAGAATGCAAAATGCAAGCATGAGATGACCAAGTCAAAACGCAATAACCTGTATCGAGCAGAAGCATACAAAAATTTGGTACAAGAGGCCTTGAAACTTTCCGTACACCAGGTGTGCGGATTGTGATGGAGTGTTGAGAAAAAAAAAACAATCGAAATGCAGTCGTCAATGCATCATAGTCGTCAACGAGCCGATGCCCAAGCGGCTGCCTCCCTCGTATATAGGGAGAGGAACGGAAGAAGAAAAGGAGGAAGTTAACAAAAATACAAGTTGGGCAGAGCTGAGAAAAGCACAGTTTTAGTGATCGCCCTCGTGGTGGAGAGTGACGCTGTTGAACTCCTCGAAAGGATCGTTCAATTCGCCATTGGGGGTGGCCAGCCCGGAGTCCATTGGAACCCCCTTCATCTTGTTCGGGTTGGTGCCACCAATATCCACACTGGCGCTCTCCTTGACATTGCGGAAGTTCACAGTGTCGGTGCCCGCACGACCCTGGTGGGGGATCATGGGCGGCTTCATGTGGCGGATGAGCGCCCACTGGGTCGTCCGGAAGAAGGGATGAGTCTTGACATCCGATGCGCCTGCACGAGCTCCAAGGCGTTTCGTTTCGTCCTTGATCAAAAGCTTGCGAATCAAAGACTTGCACATGTTGGAAGTCTGCTGAGCACCAGAGTGCTCCGGGAATGACACCTCATCCCGCAAGATGCTAGCAAAAGTTGCATTGCGGTTCTTGCCCTTGAACGGGGTAGTTCCGTGAAGCATCTCGTAGATCAGGATACCAAGCGTCCACCAATCGACCGCACTGGTGTGACCGCATCCCTTAATCACCTCGGGGGCGATGTACTCCTCGGTTCCTACGAACGAGTTGGTACGGAAATCGGCAATGCAAGACTTGGTATCAATAGTCGGGAGGGCTGCCATGGAGGTACCCCCACTTCGCCCGGGAATCATAGTCGGAGCACCACCAGGTCCAGACTGCTTAGACAAATCAAAGTCCGAGAGCATGATATGACCAGATTGGTGAAGAAGAATATCTAGCGATGGTACGTTAATGCTCTATCCACCGCGACAAGTGGTTCAATTGCGATCTGCTGGAATACATACTCTCTGGTTTGAGGTCTCGGTAGATGAAGCCCATCAGGTGAAGGTACTCCAAAGCAGCAGTCACTTCGGCAGCATAGAAGCGGGCAGCATCCTCAGAAATGCATTTCCCTGGTCGGGTTTGCAATGCTGTAATTAGTGAGCAATTAGCGGGAGCCAGTAACCAGAGTTTGGTAAAGCGAGTACGTACTTCGGAAGAATTCACCACCACTGCAGTATTCCATGCACAGGTACAGGTAGTCCTCAGACTGGAAGGAGTGGTAAAGAGTAACGATGAATGGGTGGTTGCTGGTGGCCAAAATTTCCTGCTCGGCCAGAGCGCGCTTGATCTTGTTACGCTTAATCATTTCCTTCTTACTCAGGACTGATAGCCAAGTCAGTATCTTGCAATTGAACCACAGGCATGGTAAACTCACCCTTCATGGCATAGAGACGACTTGACTTCTTCTCGCGAACCAAGTAAACCTTACCCACATCACCTTTACCAATCAACTTGATCTTGTCAAAGCTGGCAGGGCCAACTTCCACGTTGCGAACCTTGATCGAATTGGAGCTATATGTGCGACGGAAGGAGGCATTACTGCTATCGACATTGTTGCCAATACCAATCGAAGGCACTGAAAGCGCGGAGTCTTTTTCAGTCACAGAGCTTGCTAGACCCACCGACCCATCGGGGCCAGGAACCTCCACAAGAGGCTCTTTACCCATTTCAGCGGTCTGGGGACGACCGCCACCCTGCCCGTTGGAGAATAGACCTTGGGCATTGGGAGCCGATGCCACACGGCGGAGTTTTCGAGCAAGCTCCTCCTTATTGACAGTCGTGGCCTGTTCCACAGCAGAGACCCCGGTGACCTGCAACTCGGGGGTATCGGGAGGAGATGAGGGAACGGACCCGTCATTCCGATGTCGCAATGCAGGCTGGCCCTGGTGGGCAAAGTAAGGGTTGGCAGAGGCGGTCGGAGAGACACCATCGTCTAGAGGGTTGCCTTCACTTGCAACAGTTGTGGAACGGTTACGACCGATCGTGGGGAGGAATCGAGATTGTCGGAAGGGGGTCTTTTCATTCTTCGCGGAGTTGTCCTTCTCGCGCTCACGGTCATTGCTAACCGGGCTCCCGCCATGGGACGAGGAGTGACTGCTGGAGCTGTTGATCCGGAAAAAGTTCTTGATCTTCGTGGGTAGGTGGCCTGAATCGTTGGAGTGTTTTCGGGACGGCAACGACAAGCTGGGGAAATTGCCACGCTTCTCGGTATTTGTCATGGCCGACGGACTGGACGCAAAGAGCTGCGTCATGTCTGAAGAGATTGAGAGAGTTGAATTGGCGAGTGAATTCTTCTACGCGGAGAAGAATTGGCTTCCTTTAGGGGGAAGACAGTTGCGCAAAGAAAGGCGAAGGCGGTGGCGGGGCGTGTAAGGCCCAGTGATATCGATGGAGTTGGGAACCGCGGGGAGGGGATGAGGAGTGATTAGCAAGCAATCAGGATTCAACAAACGAGGGCTATCCACCCAGAAAGAAGTGAAAGACAAAGATGACGATAGCAGTGTTTATTGAAGTATCTGCATCGTCGAAAAATCCAACGAAAAAAAGAGAGGCGGGGGCTTTTTTGTTTCGGGAATATCCAGGCCAGGTTGGAGAAGAGCGAAGGGAGACGAAGGGGAGTCGGACCGGCGAGTGGAGAAGGGCGAGGAGGCCACGCTTAGTCAGGGCGGCCCCGATAGGTCGCATTTCTCGTTACTCCAAGAACTATCAGAGCGACTATCAAGACTACTGCGAATAATTATAATAATAGTAAGGAAGAAAGCGATGGGAGGACTATCAAAAATAGCATAGGAGATTGATGTGTTCTGCTTTGGGGCACAGAATAAGTATAGGCAGGGTCTCAACTATAAGTGTAGGACTGCAAGTTTACTCCCATCTATAGGAAATGTCACTCGACCCAAGAAACTCCCGGCTCTAGATTTTTCAGGAACGGTGGCGGATTTCCAAGGGCGAGACTGCACCCCGTAGATTTCACGCGCGCACCCCCTCCTTAGGTCTCTGCCTGAGATAATAACACGTAAGAGACTATATAGTTAGTGGAGTTTTACGGTAGGTTCAGAATCTAGACTAAAGTTCAAAATCGTCTGATTGGTTATACCTAGTTACCTAGTTAGATCGAGAGATAGTATGTGGGTTATCCGGAAAGATATCTCAAAAGACCTTATACTAATGCTCATGACGGGCTAAGCAAGATTTAGCCCGTCAGGCAGAGATCGAGGGGGTACGCGCGGGAAATCCCCGGGGGTGGCAGCAGTCTCGCCCATTTTCAATACTCGGAAATCCCTAGTTTGATTTCCATTGGTGCAGCAGTACAGACACTAGTATTCGGGACTTGGTTGGACTCCGCCGGTTATCCGTTTAGTGAGAACCTGTGGAAGCCATCCCATTGGATCCACGTGACAAGCCAACCTTATCGATCTCGGAAGGATCGCGTTCAACTACGACAACCAGAAACCATTGCAACCACAATCAGTAGTTACACAACAAATTGGGAATCGGGGGCTTTCATATTTGGTCGGGGCTGCTAATCATACAATCATTACTCGAAACTCCCCCAGACCACAACCCCCCAATTCAAGCCCGCATCCGGGCCAGCGTCGTCTCGACATCCGACAATTTGCCCTTGTCGGCATGGGCATGGCTGCGGCTCACGGCCGCCGTGGTCTTGGTCGGGGTGAGCACCAACTTGTTGAGACAGTTTGAGACTGCCTCCGAGCCCTCGGCCTTCTGCTGGGCGAAAAAAGCCTCGCGCTCAGCGATCAACTCCCTATCAAATCTCATTAGCTTTCTCTTCAAACTATTTGGAAGCTATTCTCATTCTTACCTCAAGTATCCGGGGACGACAAGCTGCTTGCCCTTTGTATCGACCAGTACCAGCTGCGACGAGGATTCGCCACCACCACCGGCCTCCAGGCCATCCTCACCTGGTCCCCGAGCAGGCTGGCTGTCAGTCAGTGAAGACTGAGAGGACCCGCTGTTGATGAGGGGGCCAGGTTCAGTGCAGATCACCACCGAGTCTTCCGCCTGGCTGATGGTGCCGGCGGGGCCATCTCCCAGTGCCGAAATGTCGCTAGAGTCTGCGAACTCCAAATGCTCCGCATGTCCCAGAGCTTCGTCGTCGCTAGACGCCACGTCCTCTTCGTCCTGCTGACAGTCATCCACCTCAGATGGCACGTCACTCTTGTCGTAACGGGCAGGAACGTGATGTGCCGCCTCGTGCAGACGACCAACGTCCCTACGCACATGACCAACATCCTCGCGCATACGACAAAGCAAGGCCGCCCCAATCACGCTACACCAGATCGGGTGGCGGTTCATGTAAAAGCGGACGATTTCCAACGCCTCCTCAAGCTGTTTGATGGCTCCCGTCACAGAGGCCCTCTTGTTCACGTACAACACCCGCTCAGCTGTGAGGCCGGGATCGGGACCTGGCAGAGACGCCCGGCGATAGTCCACCGTCGCAATCAGATTGTCGAACAATTGGCAATGGTACCTGAGCCATTCCGTGGCGTGAAGCAAGATGAAAATCTCATATGAATCTTCCGGCCACTTGACAAGCCGTACCAGATGGCCCAGATTGATGAAATAGTCGTGTTGGGCTTGAGGATAACCCTCGTTGGTCACACGGAAGATCATCCTGAGGAGAGCCCAATACATGCCATTGGGGCCAATATCTTCCGGACGACGAAGACAAGCCCCATAGAAGACAACGGGGATGGGCTGGTTTGGCCGGAAACCCAGAGCTGGATTCCCATGCCAGAGATAGTCTTGCGGTAGGTCGTACGCTTGAACAGGCCATACGATGAATTGCTTTGCGAGCTGCATTTGGACCACCAAGAAGTTTTCAAAGTCGCCTTCCTGCATATTGGACCGAGCAAAAGGTGGCCAAATATCAACCCAGTACCAAGGTACTTGGGCCGCCTCCGCACGGATGTTCTCCCAAACCTTGTTCTTTGCTCTCTGATCGCGCTCGGCGTTGATGCGAGCTACATAGGGGGGATCTCACGGCGACGGGGTACAAAAGCAGGAGCCTCGGGATTCCAAGATGATGCAGCGGGTGCAGGAGCAGGGGCAGGTGCACGAGCAGGTGCACAAGCAGGTGCACAAGCAGGTTTGAATGCAGGTAATAGACCAGCGGGTACAGGTGCATTTTTAGGTGCATCAGGTGCGTTTGCCATTACATCTGCAAGTGCATCGTGTGCATCGTGTGCCTCACCATAGTCGGTTACCTTGATCTCTGGAACCTTTCCAGGAATTTTGGCTTTGCCATGCTTCTCGCCAGGCCTCGGATGGTTTGCTGGAGTCACCAGTGGGATGATCTGAGCTCCAGCTGTGACTTGGTACTGAGGGACCATTGGGACAATACGACCTCCAGCTGTGACTCGCTGGTGAGTGGGTGAAGAATGTTCTTGCAAAAAGCGAGCAAAGCCCGCATCCATCGGCGTGGAAGAGATCTTCGAAGGTGTATGTATGGTCGTTCTTGGTCGACAGTGCGACTTGGATTTGGAGCGACCGTCTTTGCCTGTCTGTTGGGCTACAGCCGAGCTGACAGCGGCAATGTTTGGACAATTCTCCCTGAGTATCGGTCTCTTGCTCAGATCGGGATGAAGCAGATTGCCTACATACAATGTTAGCATCTCTGAAGGTGTTTTCGATAATGTGAACACAATGCATGAGGTGTGTGAAATACACCAGAGGAGGTCCTGGAACAACAACATTTTGTTTCGAAATGGATGCATGGTTCCCAGTCCAGGATGGATGATTGAAAACCCGAGCATCAGAGGAATGGACCATCTGAACTCGTGAAACGCATCGGTCGGGCCTTTAGAGCTGTGTTAAGACTCCGTCCATGCTCAACGAGCAAGTACAGAGTACAGGAACACTCTCTGCAAGGCCCAACTGATGACCGTGGTTGAACGGGGAGAAAATATGATGACAGGGGACAAGAAAGACGCGCTCTTCTTCGCGTTCTTCTCGCGTCTAGGTGCGGGGCAATGAAATACTCACAGTCTCGAGCGTTGGGAGTCCAGTTACAGACAACGTCCGTTACCTGGCTCAAAGCCATCAGCGTTGGAATGGTGTACTTCATCTTGATGAGCGGACGATGGAGAACTTACCGAAACGAAAGGACGAAGGGCTTGGAGGAGATGAGAAAGCTCTCGGCAATGTCGAGATGTATCTGACGGAAAGGACGATGGGAAAAAGGAAAAGAAATGGAAATGGAAAAAGAGGAGTGACAGAATGACGGAATGACGGGAGATGGGAAGGCGAAGCTGGTGGGCAGGAAGTCGAAGCTTTTCGGCAGGATCTCGGACCTTCCTGTGCCATAAATCCAGCAGGCACGATACCTCCTATCGAATCTGGACGGGGACCTCTAGAATAAGGGCAATTACCCTATGAGATCTATCAAGGACAAGGAATGAGTGAGAAAACAAATTGATTATTCGCCCTCTTATCAATTGCTACCAGCAAGATATCAGACACTCTCCCGGATCTTCACAGGTTGAAGGCCGCTATGGATGCGCCATTCGTCTTCGTTTTCATCCTCGAGAGTCGACATGTGACGGTGACTCGCCGACTCGACATCGTCAATCTCCTTCTTCTGCTGGCCCATCTCCCAGCTACCCAATCTCTCGTGTCCACGCACGACAACACCGCCAGCGATGTCATCGTTCTGCTCCGCATGTGCAGACTTGGAAGCGTCCCACATAGGGCTTCTGAACGTGACATCAGTGTCACTCGCAAGCTTGCCAGTTCCCTTGAACCCTCCAAGGCTTGGTTTGTGGTTACCCTGACGCTTGCGCCTACTCCAGATGAAGAATCCCAAGGCGGCGAGCAACCCGATAACCGCGAGAGTTACCACAGCCCCAATTACACCAGCCACGGCTGGAGCCATTCCTTTCTTCTTCTTGGAGGAGTTGGATCCACTGTTATCCAAGACCCCCGTGCAGAAGACAGCTGCCGAATTGCACCGGAGACACCACTCTTGCGTTGACTGTACGGCAAACGTTTCTACCTCAGACCGGAAATCCGAGTATGGGATGTATTCGTGGCTGGGGCCGTATCCAAGCATTGGATACGACGTAAAATCGGTGTCGTTGGTGCCATTGTGCATAAAGAAACGCACATACAAGTTGTCAATGCCCGGGTACGTCGGATACACTTCGTCAGCCTCATAGCTATACAGCTCAAAGACCAACGAGGCGCCGCGAACTGGACGGGAATAGAAGTTGGGCCGTTGCTCTGACGCTAAACCCAGCAAGGACGCTAGGGCTACAGCGGGCTCATCACCGCCGAACAAGAGGGTCATCTTCTGTCCCGTCCCGAATTCCTCGATGTTCAGATCAAAGGCTCGCAGAATGCTGGTTGCCAAGGTTTGGCCTGCAATAGGATTGGCGGCACTAATTGTCGATTGGCTGCTGGAATCACTCTGACCATTCGTCGCGTAGGTATAGTGGTCGGCCCACCAGCGTGCCTGTCTGATCTCGTCCTCGGTAAGTTGAGTTTGGACAGTGCTGTTGTGCACCACCTCGTACTCGATGTAGTCGGAGATATCGACCGCATTACTGTAGGTAGCCGATGATTCGGCATAGACTCCAGATAGAACTTCATGCCAGAGCCTCACGTAGAATGCATCCGTTATTTCTGTGATCTCCCGTGCATAGTCCCCGGTTCGGTACTCGGATTCGGCCACTTGATGCATGCTACAATCCGCTTGCCCTGCCACCATGACAGACTGCGGATCACCATTCCCGAGCGTAACAATCTGAGGATACTGGTATCCGTCAAGTGGGGACACGTCAGAAGAGCTATTGCCCCCGGTATCCGAGGGAGCCATTCCCGATTGCCCAAGTGGCGGGTATAGACCTTGCATGAACGCTTGCGTCGATGCAATGACGAATTGGTCCGTCGTCGAGAATATACTGACATCCTTCGAGTCTAGAACACTTGCAGAGATGTATTGAATCGCGGAATCGGAGACATTGATGCTTCCACCAGACGACAAGTAGCGGTCACGAAAGGCTGCCCCGGCGGCCGCAAGCTGATTCGCTCCATAGTCTGATAGGAATCTGGGGCGAGCCTCTGCTAGAACATTGGGGGTACTATCTCCATGTATAGTGTACGCAAACACTCCCCAGACTTTCTCCGTATACTCCTGGGCTGTTACAGGCAGGGAAGCCTGTAGCCAGAGCGGGATCAAGGCGAGATAGCGGCGATTGAGCATGACGGCGTATGAGATATCGAAGCTCGTAAAGCTCCGAGCGAGGACTGATTGAAATGTGCCCTATAGAGCCCCTTCAAGAACAGCAGGCTATTTTGACGAGCAATACAAGCTACGGAAGATTCGGAGGGGCAGGTCGCAATTAAAGGGGACTCATGGGCTCCAATTCTGGATCCTAGAGTAGGTCCAATACATGGGCCAGACCCCTGGCGCATGTTCACTGAATTCAGGGATGCCAGGGAATCTACCCAGAGAAATGGCTGCTTTCGGAAACCTGTCATGCTAGAGAAGAGCAGGACTCGTATGAAATGTATGGCAATGATAGCCGGTTTAAACTTAAGAGTTGCTAGGGCTCGGATCCACCGGCGAACAAGCTGGAAGACAGGTCACAACCTTGAGACAATCCATGGATATCCCAAGCTTATAACCGGTCGTCAAGTTTTGAGCTCCTCTATGAGAGTTATTACTCGCCCATAATTAGATCTAGCTTGTCAAAGACGAGCAGGGGTGGAAGCTGAGGCGTCTACGCTGGGTTAGGTAACTCTGGTCTCTCAAGCTAAGGATTACCATTCAACAAAACCGTCGTACTTTGAGAGAACGTCGATCCATTTTTTATGGTAGATCGTTTTTTTCAGGGTCACTCCCGTCTCTACGTCCCAAACGTATCTGGGAGGTTACACGCATTGAGAGGGGCAATTCCAGAAATCAGAAGGTCGATGACGCGCACAATATATGTATATGCTATGCTTCTGTCGCGATGGTTTAAAGGGCTGGGTACAACTACTACCACGTCGGTAATATTATACTATGTCTGACCCACTATCTGTCGTAATCCTAAAGTCGATCTAGTGATTTCCCCCTGGCGAATATATACTTCAAGTCTGTACTTGGTGATCTGCCCAAAGCGGGAAGGGGAAACTGGGGAAAGATATGTTGGCCTCAGGCAGCAAAAACGGTCGCCGTGGAGCCCCGCAGGAGTTTGAGTCAAGGCCAATTGAGGCTACAAGAACATAAAGCGTTGAAACACCTTAGAGAGCCTCCTTGGTAAGTCTGAGATATGCTAGTCTCACAAACAATGTCTTAAAATCCCAACAATCGTAGGCAATCGGTCTTTGATGCGATCTTGATGCTGGTTCGAAGAAAGGCGGTGCTCTATCCTGACCAATCACGGCCAAGGCCCCTCGGCAGAAAAATCCTCCAGCCGGGGCTAATTCTCTCACCTCCAGCAAAGCCCTACACTTGCGCCCTACCCCTAAGCCCTCATTTCTGCTCTTGGAAGTTGACAGGCCAGCTCGACCCTCCATCTTGCGCCCTAGATGGCCGAATCTCGAGATGAGCGCCCGTCTTTTGACGAGGCCTCTGCTCTTCCTTCTTTCCCCGACGATGGAAGTCCCTTTGGTGAGTTTTCGCAAATCCGGTCCTGTCGTTCTGTCTTGTTGCCGCGGCCAGCAGCGACCCGCAACAAGCTTCGCAACGAAAGCCAAGACTCGGCAATACTCTCAAACTTGCTGAAGTAGCTACTAACATGGCTTAATTATAACTGCGGTAGATGAAAAGCCTGCCCATCTACTCGACGAGGATGAGCATGGCTCTCCTCCTGCTGCGAAAAAGCGCCGGACGGACGCTGCCGCCCCCGACGAGGAGATCTCGATCGATCCTCAATTCCCTGGCTCTGACCAGCATGGCCCGGGCCATAAGATTGAAGAAGAGCTTGCAAATGCTCTGGCTGAGAGCAATGCCAATGATCTGCCACCGACAAACGGTACTGATGAGAACCTCGGATCGGATCTCTCGGCAACTTCCGCGGTCGTTCAACACTCGACTTCTACCTCCAACCCCGACGTGAATTCGATGATCACAGACATTCTTGACCATACCGACCGCCAGGAGGAAACTGTCGCGATGGGCCCCCAGGAAATCCCTCCATCCGGAGACTTCCCGGGTGCCAAGGGCTACGCGTTTTTGAATCTCAAGGCCAACTCTCATTTGAAGATTCAGAGTCTGCCTATCTTGGACAATCTGGTATGCGCGACCTGTATCATGTTTATCATTTTCTGTTCTGACCTTGAAATTCTTCTAGTCTACCCAAATCCTCTCCTTCCTGTCGAAGAATAGCTACCAAGACCTCACTGCGATGGTGTCCGAACCCGACTCCGAAAATGGCCAGGCTTATGCCACCATGCGCTCTTTGTTTGATCACACGAAAAGAGTCTACACCATTAAGCGCTCTTTCCTCCAACCTACTGATATCGAGGTCACCGATTCGTCCCAATTGGATGTTATTCGCAAGGCGAACCTGGCATCCTTTGTGTCAAGCATCTTTGGTTCTCAGGAAATTGGGTTCGCGGAGTTGAATGAGCATTTTTTGGACGTCTTCGTCCCAGAAGGTGGCCGTTTGTTGAAGGTTCAGGCCGCTTTGTACCTCGAGCTGAAGACCCAGGCATTCATCGCTGCCATGAACACCAAGACGCGCACTCGCACCCAGCTTTTGTACGAACTGTTCCCAGATGATATGGAGCAGCGATTGCTAGCAAGACGCCCCGGTACTCGTCAACTGGCACCCAGTGAAACTGATTTTGTCAATCGTCTTACCTCTCGTCGGGACATTCTCCTCAATGACATTAACAACGAGGAAGCCTTAAAGGCACTCCCGGACAAGTATCACTGGGAGGATTTCCTCCGGGATCTGAGTTCTTACATTGCGAAGAACTTTGACGCGATCAATACCCAACAGGTTCGTTTTGCACCACCCCGGCTCAAATTTGGCACCGTTGCTAATGGTTTTCCTAGGGAAAGAAGCCTGTCAAGGGTCGTCAGCCTTCCAGCTCCAATGGCGATGCACAGGAGACTCCAAGCACTACCCATCAGAGTCAATTCCCTGTCAATCAGCCGGTCGAGGTCCCCGTAGACCGCAATATGCACGGTGATCTGGTCGCCCGTGCTGCTCGTGCTGCCCAGATTGCTCTCCAGGGCCATGGCCTTCGACGCTCCCAACAACAATCGCAGATGCAACATCAACATCAACAGCCTCAGCCTCAATCTCAGGCAAGCCCATCACCTTCCCAGCCCCCGGCTCTGCCAACCCACCAGCAGCAGCAGCAGCAACCACAACAACACCAACACCAACAACCTCCTCAGCCTCAACCTCAGGCCCAGCCTCAGCATACTCCTCAGGGTGATAACCAGTATCTTCACGGATATACTGCCGCGCAGCAAACTGGACAGGCTCCTCCCCAACAGCAGCAGTATCATCATAGCCCTACCCCACCGGGAGGATACCAACAGCCCCATGGGGGCTTGTCGTTCCAGCAGAGTCCACTGCAGGCCAATTTTCAGCAGTACAATCCTAATGCCGCACAGGTCATGCAGGCGCGTGCCAATGGGATGTCACCTGGTAATCATGGATACATGCCCGGGATCCCCCACTATTCTCAATCCCAACCCACTCAAGTTCTCTATGAGAGAGCTCGCATGGCGGCATCTGCAAAGTCCTCCCCCACTAGTCGGAAAACTGGCCTGCCCAGTCAGCGCCGCCCTTGGACCACCGAGGAAGAAAATGCCTTGATGGCGGGTCTGGACCGCGTGAAAGGTCCCCATTGGAGCCAGATCTTGGCCATGTTCGGCCCCGGAGGAACCATCAGCGAAGCTTTGAAGGACCGCAATCAGGTCCAACTCAAGGACAAGGCTCGCAACCTGAAGCTTTTCTTTTTGAAGAGCGGGATCGAGGTGCCCTACTATCTCAAGTTTGTTACTGGCGAGCTCAAGACTCGGGCTCCTGCCCAAGCTGCCAAGCGTGAGGCCCGTGAGCGACAGAAGAAGCAAGGCGAGGAGGACAAGGCTCACGTTGAGGGTATCAAGGGCATGATGGCCCTGGCTGGGGCTCACGCATCGCCCGTTGGAGGTCATGAGATGTCTGCTTCGCCCAGCTTGCCTCCGGATGCCAACGCCCAGTCCATGTTTGACCAGACCGCTGAGCAGAATCTCATGCAGACTCTGAGCCAGGAGGTCCATGGCAGCCAATACCCCCAGCAGCACCCTCCACCCACTCAGGACCACCACATTGATCCCCACATGCAACTGGGACAGTAGATACGAAGACGTCTACTCCGTACGTGCGGTTGACCATACATTCTTGTCTCATAGCACTTTTTTTTTTTGTTTTACATGGACGGAGTTTAGCCGGATTTGCTTTGCCTATTCTTCTGATGTTTCTTTGCGCCATTCTGCTCGGAGTCCAGGGTTTGTACTATGGAATTTGCAAATATGGGGATGGCTGAGTTCCAAAAGCACGATCTGATTACGGAGGATTTTCCTCGCAACTGTATGAGTACATAGCTGAAATGAAATTTTCTGTATGAATGTCAAGATGCGATGGATTGTAATGAGCCATTTAGTAGCAAGATATATGATTCAACCGAGTTCATAACTCCCATCATTCCAGAAGTATACAACTGTCATGCCAGTGTGGTCCGTGCACCGAAACCTCCGCGTGTGACTGGCTCCCAAGAGCTTGACCTCTCCCCTCGATAATCCGACCAATTCAATCCTCCTTCCCCCCCAAAACCGCAGTGATTGGACCTTCCTTGTCACACTTACCTGCAGCCCAATCCATTTTCAGACCAACGAATCTCGGCAGAATAGTAATAAAGCCGTGCCTTTTAATGACTTGCCCAACATGACCGAACCTCAACCTTCCACCTCTCAGCAACCCGCAAACGCGAACGGCTCACAAGACCAACAATCTTCAATCCCTCCACCCTCTACACAACCACAGACATCTACACAAACGACAGATACGGTTATCAAGCCCGAGCCAGATTTGGACGCCTCCATCGAGCAGGATATCGATATGAGCGCTGAACAATCTGGCGCGGGTGCCGATGAGAGCGGCGCCGGCGCACTTGCGACGGAGGTTGATCAGCTCGCCGAGTCGTCCCAGCCTAGCAAGAAAGAGACGAGCTTGCGCGAGTTCCTGGGAAAAATGGATGAATATGCGCCGATTGTACGTGATCCCTGGGTTTCGTCTCTTTGACCTCTTTTTTTTTGCTTCTTTTTATCACGTCAAACAAGCTGTTTGCGCCACCTTCACTCCTACAGCCTCGGCTTGGGAGGGATATGATAATCGCAAACATACTAAAGAGATCTAAACCCGCTTCGATGGTCGATGAAAACACAGAGCTAACTGAATCTTCCAGATCCCCGACGCTGTCACCGCACATTACCTCACTCTCGCCGGCTTACCACCTCCCGGCACGGGTCCCAACCAAACACCCCCTCACCTCGCCCGCCTTCTCGCCCTCGCAACTCAAAAGTTTGTTTCTGATATTGCTGCCGACTCATATCAGTTTGCTCGTATCCGGGCCTCGAACAGCTCCTCCGCCAATAATCCCATGGGCAGTTTGACCACCGCCGTGGGTGGTCCGGCCGGTGCAGGCGCCGCGCCTGGTGGTGTTGCCGGTGGCGACGGTGCTAAGGGTAATAAGGGCAATACCCATCTTGGTATCCAGCGTCCTGGCTTTGGTGGTGGTGGCTCTGGCGGTTCGGGTCAAGGACGGACTGTGCTTACCATGGAGGATTTGGGCATGGCTGTTTCCGAATATGGAGTTACCGTGAAGCGGGGAGAATTCTATCGGTGATAATTTGGATGGGGATTGGAAGTACTGAGCTTGAATGCTCGATGACCTTGGTTTTTATGGGTATTTTCGACAATTTTCTTTTTGGAGTTGGGCTTTTGGCGCTGGGCGTACCATGACAGATACAAGAGGCTCTTGTGCACATATCCAAATGGGTTGGGAGGGAGTATTTTTTTTCTCCAAAGAATGGAAGTTTCCATTACGATCTTTTTGTTCTTGCATGGTTTTTTCAAAGTAGGCATGGGGTTGATCGAGTGCCATGGACGACCGTCTCCCCATTCAACCATACCACTTGCAGTCTAGGCGAGAAGTGACTTGAGTATTGTCGAAGACTAGTTATGAATGATATTGAAATAAATTCCATGGCTAACTCCATCCCACACGTAGCTAATGTCACAAGGGAAAACCACTAATGTATCTGTACACGGCAACAGGGCCAAATCAAACGGGGGTTATAAATGCTTCAACAGAAGCACGGGGCATATCCTCGACTACCTCACCTCTCCAGGGTATCCGCAGACCTATCCGCAACCCCATCCCAGATCGCCCACGGATCGAGGACCAGGATGTAGAAGACAGGTATCTGCCGGAGAGATAATCGCAAAGGGAACAAGTCGAGGACACCCCAACCGGATTGAACGATATCAACGAAGATACAACCCCCCAGTCCAATCCAGTCCGTATCGAAAACGCATTCACATGATCCGACTATTTGTTCTTAGACTGCTTATAGGTGAAACGCTTGCGAGTCCTGTCGTAACATCACAGTATTAGCATCCATCCCTCCATTCATCCCGGTGATCCAGCGATCCGCATAGAAACGATTCACATACGCAACGTATTCCCCAAGTTTCCGACCAACCATCTCCTCGGTGATCTGAATCTCCTGATAGGTCTTGCCGTTGTGCACGGCGAAGCGCAGACCGACGAAGTTGGGCAGAATAGTTGCGGCGCGCTTCTGCGTCCGGATTGGCGGCGTGTTGGCGGGGGGAGGGAACGTCCGTGGAAGGGGGAGACTAGAATCCAAGGTAATCAGTATTTCCATGCTTGTGGTAAATAGCTTTCTCAGACAGAGAGACTGGGGCGTAGGGGTTTGTGCTTGGCTTCAAGGCGGATTTCACGTACGGGACGATGTTGGGGCCTGTGATGGCTTGTTAGCGACAGTTCTTTTTCCAATTGATGGCAAGATTGTGCCTGGGAGTAGCGTAGGAGCTTACCTTTCCAGACCGAGCGGCCTAGCAGGGCGCGCGTGGGAAACATGATGGCTTGCGACTTTCTGAAGCTTTCGTTCGGGGAAGTTGAAAAGTGGATGGGCCGGCGTTTGGTGGCTGAGTCAGCATTTGTATGTGGCAGCCCCGGGGCTGCGGGCGTACCTGGGCATCATAGAGTTGATGGATATACTGCATTACAAGTCAAATAGGTGCCAAATTATTGATAATTGACGATCTATATTAAACCAGATCGGGCTATTTATTGTGAATATTTACAGGACGTTACCAGGAAAGGATGATATTCGCAGTTAAGATATGAAAGGTTGTAAATGCATTGAGCAGGCTAATTCAGGCTGAATCGTGACTATGAAGTGTGGCCTGACTAGAGAGCCATGACATGGAAGAAACTCAGCCTGGGTAGTTGCCAGCAACTACCTTGAGGCTCACAATGGTAATGACCATAGAGATGGATCTATTCCGGTTCCTGGCTCATGCAGCCAGTTCCTGGAAGATTTTGATCAGACTTCGGATACCCATGAGAACATTCTCATCTGGGCCCGCGCCTGGCGTCCATGTAGCATGGGCAAAGTCAATCAGACGGAGGTCATGGACCTTGGGGGCATCTTCCTCGTCCTCGTCCTCGTCCCCAAGGGCCGGGAATTGTGCCGTTGACGGGTCGATGCTGATATTGATGGCTTTTTGGGGAAGCCCGTCCCCTAATTGAACATCAACGAGCTCAAGAGATTCCTCGGCGATCTCAAATTCCACTTCGTCGTCCTCATCGTCTTCTTCGTCACCGTCTTGATCCCTCGGATCGGGGATCTTCTTTTCCTCCTCTAGAGCATGTTCCATTGCCTCCGGATCACCTTCATAGACAATCAACACACTCGAGGAATACATCCGACTCTCCTCGGACTCGAGTACTTGTTGTACATTTCGTAATTCCTCCACAAGCCGCTGGGCAATCATCCTCGAACGGTCAACCTTGCCCGCCTTGGCGCCGGCGAGAAAGGTCTCGAATCCCTGTTTGACGCTCTCGTCTGTGAAAGATCGCCCGTACCACTTGTCGTAACGACGATAGCCGTCCTTCTCAATCACCTCGCCCTTTGCACCCTCTTTGCCTTCGTGTTTGGTGGCATAGGGATCCGTGAGGGAGCCTTCATCCGCATCGCCGTTCCTGCCCGTCCATACTTTCATTCCAGCAATGCGGTAGCCCAAGCTTGAGCTGGTCGTCTCTTTAGCCACAGCATCCAGTTTGTTGCGCTTCGCGGGTGGCGCATCATCCGCCCAGAGTCGCGCGCCGAGCTTGACGTCCAAGACGTTTGGTCGCCGAAACCCAGAAGCGACATTTTCAAGCACAATAGACAGTCCCGTGTCTAGCTTCTTCCCACCGGATGGCACCCATGCAGATTCCGCCGGTTTGGCAGGCTCTTCTTCGCAGGGCACATTGCTTGTTTGTGAAGTTGGTGCCTCCTGGGCGGGGGTCGTCGTAGTCGCGTCTCCGAGTGCAGGCAGAAAAACCGCCCCGGACTGTTGAGCGGCAGCAATCGCCAGCGGTTGCTGTTGCTCGGCAGATGAGAGAGAACCGATGAACAAGGGCATAAACTCCTGGAAACCCGGGTGGAGAGCGCTCGATTCGTAGAATTCGACTTCCTGTCGCGTACAAGGTTTGGCGATCAGTGAGCCGGACAGGGTACATCGGACCCCGTCGCTAAAGAGTAGCGCATGATTGTCAGCGACATTCCGAAGCCCATGGGGTCAGAATATGCTCGTGTCCCCCTTTGATCCACCCCCCACGCGACCACCTGCAGAAATGCGCCCCGACGCGCTCTGCGCAGGGAAGCCCACGAGGGAAAGGAACCTTTGGGCAGGAGGGAGAACACTTACTGTCCTGCGGCGACATGATCAAAGGGAACTAGGTCATCGCTGCCTAGTTGTGGCGTTTTCCGAGTATCGGATCTGGAGGAGGGCATTGTTGATTGGGAGAAATTGGTGTGGGCTGCGCAGTCGGGTTATCGCTCAGAGCATTCCGGATGACTCAACGAGGAAAAACCGATCTAACACCAATGAATGGCAATGAGGGCCGAGTCCAAGAGGGAGCTCGGGGGGTTTTTGGGGCTTTGAGAGAGGAAGGAGAGGAAAATAAGGAAAAAAAAAACCGGGGTAGGAAAAAGGAAAGCAGGGGAAGGGGAAAGGGTCCGGAGGGCAAATAACATCATGATCGGCGGAGTCGGGTTGACCGTGTCGGTGCAGGGGCCAGCTGGAGCCAGCAAAGCTCCAAGCCAACTGGACCAGAAAACTGGGGCCAATTTTGAAGGGTGGAGTTAACCGGATGGAAGTTAACAAAGTACTGTAGCCTAAGCTAGAGTTGAACTGAATTGCCTTGAATAATAGCTCTATGCTCTAACTAGGTAACTAGTTAGACCCTGGAGTTTATTTAACCCTTAAACCTTAAAAGTCAAAACGGTCAACCATGATCATCTGCTAGTTCTAGTACTATTAACTTACTAGTACTAAGTACTGCTAGTACTAAGTACTGTGGTGGTAGAGTAGATCGCTATACTTCCCAAAAAGGTAATTTCCTCTCCTTCCTTTCTCCTTACAGAGGAATCTACCTCCTATCCTTCTTCACTCTTTCACATCACTTCCTTCCTTAATCCATCTTCTCATCTTCCAAATCAACTCTTCATCAGTTCAACTCACCATGAATTCGAATCCACCACATCACTCTACAGCCATCTCGGGAGACCTTCCCATCCGCTCCAGCAAGCCGATGAGGCCTCCAACCCTAGCAGAGACTGAGAATCCCCCCTGCGAAGATGCAAAACCCCCAACCATGTCGGCAACGATCGAAGAAGTCCCAGAAGACAGCCCACCCAAACCCAACCCTCGGGTTGGCGCTCCTCAAACCAAACTGGATGATGAGGTCGCCCTTAGAGCGGGTGAGATCATGGCATCCGTAATCCACAAACCCAGACGCAGAAAGCCAAAGAGCAAGCGTGGACTCGGAAAGCCCACTGGATTCGAAGAGTATTATGCCGATGGTCCCATGACGCCGGCAGAGCATGAAGAATCTCGCCAGACTTATGACCCGTACGTACCCTTCCTGTACACGTCGCCCAGCAGAATAACTGACCACTCTTTTCTAGGTCTTACCCATTTGAACAGTGAGTATTGACATGTTACCCGTCTTGGAGTTAGACTGCCGACGCTAACCATTCCTTGTTCAAGGCGTATACAGGAAGCTCTCACCCGGTTTCAATGGAAGCGCCGCATGGAAAATGACAGACGTGCCATTTTCTTCAAGTACCTGCAGTACGGCGGCGTAGACGCCAGCCAGAATTATGGAACCGGAGTTTCTCCCAAGGAGTTGAAGCAAATGTCGAATGATGAAGCGCGCCAAGCTCGTAGTCAGACTATGATTCCACGGGACCGGCAGGAACAAGAGGTCAACTTTGAAGAGGTGGCTCGAGGCTTCTTGTATGTATAGGAAATGAGCCTTTGCAGGAAACTTGGCTAATTCATTGTGGCAGAAGCTCATATTACGCCAACCACTACAATCCAGACAGTCAAGAAAGCATCAATATTGCGACTAGCACTATCCGAAACCTCCTCACATATCTGCTATACCATGAGGTCTGCCCCGAGTACAAGGACAACATCCTCAAGGCACGGCGGATCTGCGATATCGCGTCGGTAGAGCTTTGGAAGAATGTCCAACTGGTTCAAGACGGGCCTGGAAAGTTCAACGAAAGCTGCTCAATGCTGTTCGGTGGTAGATATCATGGAAGTGGCCAAGACACCAATTGTTGGATCCCAGCACAGTGTTGTTCCGACGGCAATCTCACCCCCGACGCTGCCCGCAAGGTCGTCAAGTTTGCGATTGCAGGCACCGCGTCTCACGAACAGGCTTGCCGGTTCCAGGCGTTGGTGACCAAGGGCAACCTCTCCGCCAAACAAATCCTGGATATTGACGGCTTTGAGGTGACCTCCATTAACCAGCCCGACGATGATATCCGTGACTTTCACCATGAATTTGCTCCAGACTTGCCCGTTGTTGGAAAAATCAAGGCCAAATCGTTCCGCAACCCTGCCAAGCCGGATATTGATATGACCCCTGCAGAGCGTAAATCTTGGCAAGAGGGCAAGGCACCAAAGTATGACTTTGAGTTCTTCCTCGAGGAAGAGCTTCTGCAGAATTGTTACCCGGGTTTGAGAATCACTTCTGATATCTGGGAGATCAATTGCGGAGTGTATTACTTTGATGAGATCATCTCGGCGTATCCTTCATTCCACAAAGTTCTTGCGAATGACCTGATGATGCGCTGGAAGACTCCCAGAGAAATTGTTGAAGAGAAGCCAAACATTCTGGAGATGCAGGTGGAGGATGTGCCTCGGTTGGAGGCGGATGATGACCCGGAGGAGGACAAGAAGCCGGATCACATCACAGAAGCTGTCAAGGAAGCTTTGCGAGCCACTGGTCTTGAAAATGAGGCAGATGAGGTTGACAAGGAGTGAGCTGGTCAGTTTCCTGCTCCAAGGTTTCTCGCCCTTTATTTTACGCGATCATGATTCGGAGATGGGTTTATGGGTTGCGCACAAATGGTTTACCATGTAGTCAAACGATCAATGCATGGCATTTCGCCGCAGATATAATCAAGTTATTCGATAAAGTAGTCGTAAACTTCGAACTATGTACTCGTTCCCACTTCCACGCCTGATCTAAGGCTTCAGAAGAGGCTTACCCATGGTCTTGCGACCTTCCAAGTCCTGTTACTCTAGTGTTAGCAAATTGAACCAGAAAGCTAGATGGAAATATGATGCTCACCTTGTGGACCTGAGCGATGTCCTCCAGAGGATAGATCTTGTGAATCTTAGTCTTCAACTGGCCAGACTTGAGCAGACTGAACAGCTCGTTGGTGTAGTATTCAAACTCCTCGCGGGTCTCAATGTATCCAAAGAGAGTCGGGCGAGCAATCTTGACACACTTGGGGGAGAGTTTGCTATAACATATCAGTCAGTCTGTTGATCCAACGCACTTGAAGAGAGGTATACATACGGCAGAGGAATAGGAGGTACGGGGCCACTGGCATTACCAAACCAGACAATAGTACCCTTGCGCTTGACTGCCTCCAAGCTCCCCTCCCAGGTATCCTTGCCAACAGAGTCATAAACGACATCAACGCCCTTGCCACCGGTAGCCTCCTTGACCAACTTGACCCAATCCTTACCCTCCTCACTCCGATAATCAATAACCACATCCGCGCCCAAACTCTTCACGAGCGCACACTTCTCCGCACCACCGGCGGTACCAATAACCTTGGCCCCAATCGACTTGAGAATCTGCGTCATCAAGAAGCCCGCCCCACCAGCCGCCGCATGCAAAAGTACCCAATCCCCCTTCTGCACGGAATACGTCTCCTTGGCAAACGACAGAACGGTCATACCACTCAAGAACGACGCCATCACGTCCTCGTCACTGACTCCATCGGGGATCTTGACGGTCTTGTCAGCCGGCACGGCAGTGTACTCTGCATACCCGCCCGTAGCGAGCCAGGCGACGCGATCCCCGACTTGGAAGCCGGTGGTGTTGGGTCCCACGGCTGCGACGATACCGGCGCCCTCGCGGCCGAGAATCTCAGGCTTGGGGGCGGCGTAGAGTCCCGTGCGGAAGTAGGTGTCGATGTAGTTGACGCCGGAGATGTTGTTGTGGACGAGGAGTTGGCCTTCCTTCGGGGTGGGGACTGGGTGGTCTGTTTTGAATTGGAGGACTTCGGGGCCGCCGGTTTGTTCGATTATGACGGCTTTCATGGTGGTTGGGGGGGGACATGGTGTGGAGCTGGGAGTGGGAGGGGGAGTGGAAGGGGATTGAGCGGGGATTGGTAGGAAGATGAGGATTGGTGATGTGGTTGCGTAGAGATGCAAGACGGAGAGTCGTTCGACGGAGAGTTGGGAGGGACATGGAAGTTCTTTTCGAAGGAGAGGAGAAGCTGGTCAAATATGAAGAGTTCAACCTTCTCCGATGTTTAATTTGTCATCGCATTCCCCGCATTGTCCGATGGGCGGAACCATGTTTATCCCACTTTTACAGTAGTTGATACAGTAATTTAGTTGACACTTTAGTAGACTACCTTACTATTATCTTCTTCAATATTCTCTACAGTTCTATATCTTTATGCTTTTTTTTTCTCTTCAATACCTCCATTCCTTCTATTTTCTCACGGATTCCATGCCGACTCGCTCGGGACCATCCGAGTGTGGGGGGTGACGCCATTCCGTCGGGTCGACAAACCCGTCGGAGCTGTGCCGAACTATCTCTCTTCTGGCATTGATTCCTCAATCCATACTCCGTACAGGACACGCATACTGCGACTGATGATGTCTCAAGATCACATTCAAATGCAGCGAAGCGCCCAAAATAATTGACAGCACGGCGCTTGGCAAGACTTATCCTTATTATCAAAATGCCCCGCGCTACTATCGAGGCGTCCATCATCACATCAACAAAGCATCTCCAACCATCACAGCCGCTGAAAACATCTTCAAACAATAACGGACCCATCATGTACAGGGCAAACGTGGCTCTCTTTGCCCTGTTTGGTTGCCCGGTAGCCAGAGCTGACGCCTGCATTGACAGTTGAGCCGCCCCTTCACGACAACAAGACCAGTCCATGCAAGGCCACTCCACAAGACTGGTCCCCCTCTGGGCAGAATCGAGACTAGGGCCCTGCATGCTGCGATGTCCTTTGGGCCAAGAAACAGAGTGGCGCTTTTCTGCATGCATTTGCTGACCACCAAAAGGCCGAGAATCATTGCGGCTGTCTCCAGTTGACACACTGCAGTGGCCCACAGTTGGCCTTTGGTCGATCATCCGCCCGAGGATCCTCAAACAATATCCAAGAGGAAGTCAATAGTCAACATGAACTATCTGGTTATCCTCTTCAAGGGCGTCATTTTTGGTTGACTACAAGTTAGACCTGTACGGTCGCTGAAAATACATGCTGAAACAAAGAGACTATGCGCCCCATCCGACCTTTGTATGCCCAACCGTCCAATGGTCGACCAAGGGCTCCCCTGCATCCTCCAAGCCACGTCCATCGACTCTCGTGCTTTTTTTTTGTTCAAGTGGCGTGGTATTGTATGGCCCCTCACAATTCCAGACCAGTCCCCTGACTGCATCCCCTGGTTTCAATGACGTGGGGCTCTCGTGATTTTGGTTGTTTTGGGCCTGATGCTATTCTGGGGACCGGGGTGATTCGTCCCTTCTTCGCCCAAAGCCCCCCCATGGCGGCCCTATCAGAAGTGTCGGGTCTCCAGGATGATGCCCGATTGACCAACAGTTATATACCCTGCCTCCCGGTTACGCGCACACCCCTTGGCCTGCTGCATATCTTTGTTGACTCGATTGAGGAAAAATTTTCACTGGAGACTCATTGTACGACAGTCTTCTTGCTTCTTTTCTTTTTGACTGCCTAACGGTGTCTTCTTTATTTAAGACTATGAGCCATTCGCCTCGACAATCTTCACCACGAGACGTCATTGCCGCCGGCTAGCATACTGAATTACAACTACCAAAAAAAACACAGATTGACTGTGCATGAGATCACAGATCTCACCAACACAATGCCGTCTACCGGGTCGTTGCGAACCATGCGGTCCCGGTATCCGCCACCACCTTGTGTCGAAGACGAGCCAGCCTCGCTCGCTCGAGAGTTGCACGGCCTCTCGAACTTGAGTGAAAAGCCCGGTGTTGAGGGTGCTCGCGTGAGAGGCACCGTCGACCAGTACCCGGTCATTACGAATATGAATTCGTCTCAACCCGAGGCCCCTCCGAGTGTCAACAACATGCCGGGCATGGGGAACTTTTCTTCGGACGATAGTAGTGGACCTGCCACACCTCCCCCCAGAATGGCGGAGCCTAGTGGTCGCGGTCGCCCAAGATCTGAATCTCAAGCCACTGTTCGCCCTGGACCTCCCCCATCATCCGTGCCGGTCTCTTCGAGTAGGCATCGAGAACGGCCACTACCCTCAGTCCAGCCACAGCCAACTCGAGAGACTGCCGCACCCCGACAGCCTCGTCCACGATCTCTAGCACGAGATGATGACGTACCTGTCCGTGGTCGCGGCCGATCATATTCGGAAGTATACCCTCCCCAGCCTATGCGTGAGATGAGAACCGTTCGTCAGTCTCGTCCGCCGTCAATCACGCGGGATGAGAACCGCAGAGGCCGTGATCGGACATCAGTGGATGTCTCTCAGCCTTCTGTGCGTGAGACAAGAGCACCACGACAGCCATCACGTCCACCTTCGCCAGTACGTGATGATCATCTGCGAGCTTCGAGCAGGCCTCGTGGTCGACTACAGCCACCACAGATCTTCCAGCAACCCGCCCGGGAACTGGTTGCTCCTGAACATCCTCGTCCATCTTCGCATTCACCACAACGTGCCGAGCCCATCAGACACGAGGGTCCTGTGCATATCATCCCTCATAGCTCCTATAGCATGCGCTCGGCACGGTCTCGCTCTCGAGGCCCCGGCTATGATAGAGACTATGAGACGCCAAAGACCTCCATTTCCCGGTCGAACAGCGCAAAGTATGTTACTTCACGGCCTATTCGGCCCCGCCCACGCCAGCCATCACCACCGGGCTATCAATCAGATACCGTGACTGCTCGTCCCCGGCCAGCCTCTTATGCGCCCCCCTCTCTTGCACCGGGAAAAGCCCCCATTGGGAACGCTGCAAACGGCCGAACACTTGCCGAGAGAATCGAAGAGAAGTTGCGTCAACGCCAGGAGCTTCGCGAGGCAGCCTCCCTGTCTGATACCGAGACACGTCTGAAGACGGAAAAGTTGAGGCCTCTCAGCACGACTTTAAACCCATCAGTTCCATCGTCAGTACCTCATTCTCCTTCAAAAGAGGTTCATCGCACCCTGAGACACCGGTCTCGTGAACCGTCTGTGGCTCCCACGAACCCACGAACATCGGCGCCCACCCTCGTCCCCGCTCTGGTATCATCTTTGGCTCGGTCGAAATCCAAGACCCGTGGCCACTCGAGATCTATCTCGTCTGACGATGCCAGACCCTCACGGCCCGTGGCCTCTGTCAAGTGGCAAGATCAACCCGAGGAAAGACAAAGTCCTTCCAGAGCCCCCGCTACCAAACAGACCAATCTGTCACAGCGACCCTCCAACCCTTCTGGACTATGCATCACTTCATGCCCACGGTCCACCCCTGTGGCTGGTCTCAACGACTGGTACACACTTAAGGGTCTGACACACCTGGACATCTGCCCTAGCTGCATGAAGCAGATTGGACACTCGCGCTTCCGCGACTTCTTCATCCCCAGCTTAGCCAAACCTCCAACCCAGAAAACCCGCTGCGCTTTCAGCTATGCCTGGCCCCGGCTCGCCTGGACCCAGATGATCAAACAACAACACGACAGCCTCGAGATGCTCTACCAGATGACCCGTCCACCCCCAGGAACCCGTCCCTGCTCTGGCCGGGCCGCCTCAGAACAAACCTGGTACCGCATCGTCAACCCAGACACAGGCTCATACCTCCCCAGCTTCCACATCTGCGGCAGCTGCACACGCAACGTCCGCGTCCTCATGCCCGCACACCGGGATACCTTCCAACACAGCCCAGAAGTCCAAGAGCGCGCATGCGACCTCGTCACCAGCAGCCCCCGCTTCGCCAAATACATCGACCTGCTCGACGACGCCTCATCCCGCGCAGACTCAGACCCCTCCCGCCGTCCGGACCCACGCGAGTTCCTCGCCTACGCAAAGCGCAAAGTCGTGCTCCGCGACTGTCTCCGCGACAGACCCGTCCTCAGCAGCTGGCACTACATGCCCGAACTACCCGAACTAAGCGTCTGTGAAGACTGCTACGACGAAGTCGTCTGGCCCCTCGCAAAAGCACACCATCCACTTGCCCGATCCTTTTCAACCTCTATGCGGTATTTACCCGGTGACGGGCCGAATCGCTGCCGCGAGGCGAGTTGCCAGTTATACTCGGGTCGGATGCGTGCGCGGTTTAGGGATGCGGTTGTCAAGGATGATTTCCCTGGTTTAAGGGATTTTGCGTTGCGCAGGTTTGAGGCTGAGAGGCGGTTCCGGGATCGGAGGGATGAGCTGCTTGTTGCTGAGGGGAAAGGGTACGATTGTGATGTTGAGATGAAGAAGGCTGTTGAGGAGTGGAGGCGGTGGGAGTGAGGAGGGATGGGTGGTGTGTTGTAGGTGTAAAAATGTGTTTGTATTGATGGATTTGAGGGAGTTTAGAGTAGTTCCTTCATTGGGTGTTTTATACCTTTGTATTCTGGATGTGTTTATACGATCATGTCTTGAGTTATAGCAGTCCTTTGTTTTGAATAGATTGTCTGATATATCCCGCGTTCTCGAACATAGATAAATCCTTAGACCCGACCACACTTGGGTAAATGTGCCAAAGTCTCATGTTATGGCAAAAAATGGCATTCTCTTTGAATACTACCAGACATGGTAGCCTGGTCGACCTTAGATCGAGGTAACTGACCTTTGACCTTCAACGTCTACAGACATTTACCACCTCCCCGTGATGATTCGGTTACGTGAGAGATGTTGGCCAAACAAGACCGGCAGTTGAATCAAGAAGTAGGTATGTTTGATGCTCTTGATACGAATAGGCGACTAGGTATTCGTTATCCTAACGACGTGTGGGCCCGTATTGCGTTCCATATTCTGTACCATACGTCAAGACTGTTCAAAACATAGATGATTTACAACTTAGCCGAGCCTAGCCTAGGCAGTTTGACTATTGTCTTCGAATGATCTTCTAAGATGAAGAAGCCTCTAGGTTGACTCTTGAAACACATGTATTGACTGGCCCTTTCCCGCAAAACGACGAAAAAGAGGTAGAAAAGTAAAGTCTACGCTGAGATACAGCGCAGATTTACGTATAAAAGCCCCAAATTTTAGCGTGCACAGTCGTTCCATCTCTAAGTACTCTGAAGCTAGGCCCTTTGTGCACAATATCCTTCGCATGATCCTTCTCCCATTGCTCCCTCTCTTCCTCGTTCTGCCTGGTGAGATTGTTTCGAGAGTGCTGCCATGTAGGATCGTGAAGCACCAGGGCTGCCATAATTTGCGAGTACATCACCACGCCGTAGTATCGATGACTGTCGTAACCCTTGGCCAGCACCCCCTCTTGCACTCTTCTGGTGAACTCACGGAGCCCTCTGAGGCACTCCTCGCCATTTCCTTTGACGTAATAGATGTTGGTATCCTCGGCAGTGTAGCCGGCATCGTCACGCGCAGCGGTGGTATAAGAAGCCCAGTCTTGATCCCACTCCTTTGACACGTTGCTTGGAAAGCTCATCTCGGCCACTGCATCGCCGACGAAGAGTGGTACGCCAAGGATGATGTAGTACTGCTCACTGTTCATCCAGATGCGTACACCTCTCACATCGTAATCGCGATCGTCAAGCTCCAGACAATCAACAGTTGCAATTCGCCAGCCTTCATAATCGCCAGTCCGCGGGTCCGAGTGGCGTGATGCCCCCATGATGCAAAAAGTTAAGGCGAGATGAGAATGGTGGGGTTTTCAATAGAGGAATGAATCAAAGGTATAGGACGTTCTCTGGATTTGAAAGGAGCTTGGAGGTTAAGAAGATCTGATGTGAAAAGAATGGGACCCTCTGACGGAGGCAGCCTCTCTTATATGTAGTTGGCAGACCTAATAGCGTGGCATTCTAGGCTAAGCAGTGACCTAGTATGGCCTCGTAGTGGACACCCTAGTCTCCCGTTGTTGACTATTTGGCCAAAAGAATACGATCTGTGACGAAAATGCCGCTTCTGATCTGCTGATTGTAAGCTCAATAGGCATAGCTTCGGATTCTGGTTCTCTTGGCCCTGACACTTAGCTGAAACGCCACGATTCGAGTACTCCATAGCTCTGCATCATAGCGACGAAGCTATACCATTTTGATGCAAGATCGGAATACCTTTACTCACTGATGATGGGCATCGGTACTCATCATTAGCTGGTTGAGCTTGAACGGTGGGGTTAGATGTAGCCGAGCCGATTTCAGCTGAGCCCAGTGAAGGATCCACTCGTCAGGACTTAGCTGAGTAGGAGATCTTAGATCTGCACCAATACTGAATATCACTTACTTTCTAGTGATTGACGGCCAATTCCCTTATTCGGATAAGATTGCCATTGTAGTGTAGATTCAAGGGGTGTGTAGGTATTAGGAAAAATGCTCGTGATGTGAAATGGAGCCTGTTATCTAACCAAATCATGTTCAGTAAACACCCTACTTCTTTACAAAACGTAATGAATTGATTATCATAATAATTTCTTTTTCAAACCCCGCCTTTCTTAGACAGCCATTGTTTAATCAACAACTGCAAGCTCTTCATCCTGGTTCAAACACGCAAACTCTTTATAATCCAGCAGTTCAGTTCGGCGTAAGTAAACTCCCAGTCGTTACACAGACCATTGAGAGGCCGCACAAAACACTCAATGAACGCAAATCGTCGGAGTATAATCGGAAAATTGTGTTCAAATTCTCTTCGTGGGAATCGCCTACCCTGAAGTATCCTTTCATTGCTAGGCGGCAGAACAGCTGACGAGCGATAAACTGACCTCGCATGTTATCCTCGTCTAGTATGGCATCATTACGCTATAATGTCGCCTATAGTATATATATCGGTCATATAGCATTACTAGCAACTTCGAATACGAGTAAAGGGATTCTGTGGTGCTTGCCCGGTATCATCGTCGATATAAAACTATTATGTTGTGTACTAAGCAGAAGCTAACACCGGCCCGATGGCGGACCGACCCACTCGCGGGAGGGCCCGAACCCCCTCCCATAAACACCTAAGAAAGCATCACCAGTTTCGTAGTTAGGATTTCTAGCCTCGAGTATCGATCAACGCGGTCATATCATGAGAAAAAGAAGGAGAAATATTGAGGTTTACATACTTATCTAAGGCATAGGTTGGATCACTACTAGAGAGGTTGTCAACATGTGTATATACGATGCCCCGCACTTAGCGTGGAAATACGACTGCACGCATAACCCTTCAGACCAATCAGAGAAGATATCTGATATACCATCAACATCGTAGCGCTCTGCCGGATATGTAGTATCATACATCTAATAGCTCCAGAGCTTATGCGAATATATACGCTTAGTGCGGAGTATCGCACGTACATATGTTGACAAATCTTCATAGTACCAGCAGCGTCACCCATTAATAGTGGTTCATCTATTAAGGTATCTATAACGTCTGTGACTTCTTTAGTTTAGTGATTCTCTAGGGGTCTTTTACATTCATCTTCTTGATAGCTAATTTAGGCCACTTTTCTCTATGCATCAATCAGATAGATATTTATAGATAGTAGTATTATATAGTAGTCCAAAGTCTAGTCCAAAGTCTAGCATATTCTGCATTCCCATGGAAAATTCCGCTGCTATGAGTCGCCCATACAGCTAGGAGATATGACATCATTCGATAGATATGGTCGTACCCGGTTAAATTGAGCATTGGTCAGTAAGTATCGTTTAGTGTTGTTTGAAATGTGAACTGATCTACGAGGCTGCATAAGCCCTGGATCTCGAGATAGCGCAAAAAATTGGATTTCGCCAGGGGATAGTAATTCTAGTAGGATGTTTGCAGCTACTATAGCACCTAATCTATATATAGAGTTTTATCTTATATCTATACAGATTCTAAGAGAAAGGATAGTTAACGAGATAACGATTGACTTGTAACCGCTTATGAAAACTAGCTCGAATATGCAGACCTGTCCCCTCCGATGAAAAGCCCCATAACGCCAACCCCAGAAGCCAGGGCTCCTCAATGCAAAACAAGGTGATAGCCTCCTCTGATCCACAGTGAAAAAAAATCAACCGACCAACCCAACAACCTCGGTTGGCCAACGCTTAGCCCAGATCATGGCTCGTGGCGGGAGTCTCCCGCCGACGGGAGCAAGAACTCTGATCTTCCCCTTCTCGGCATCAACATCCGCAACGTAGAGGAAACCCATGATACTCGCATCGCGGACCTGGGCAGGTGAAGCGGTGGTCGAAGCGTGGGTAACTGCAATCAAGGTATTCGCCAGAGCCGAGGGTGCAGGTGGCAGGACCTTCTTGAGCGGGACGTTACTCGAGGCATTGGAGACAGTGTGATTATGTACATCATTCGAGAGACCGATAATACCCGGTAGCGGTGCGGCGCGATCTGGTTCTTGATGTTGAGTCGTGGAATCGTCTGTACCCGTGGGTAGGAATGAGCCGCCCATTCCGAGTGTGGAAGGGTCGTATTCATCCTCGTCTTCGTCTTCGGTTGAGATGACAGTGTAGTTGAAGATTGATAGTGAGGCAAAGTCCATTACTTGTGCGTGTGGTGAGAGAGTCACGCCGGATGTGGATGCTGAAAGGGAGAGAGCCGCTGATACGGTGGCAGGCATGGGATTGCCGAAGAAATAAGAACGGATTTGTGATTCGCGTGTAGCCTTGCGGAAGGCTTCGTCGCGGTCAACGCAGCCTCCTGATTTGGATAGTTTCAGGACGGAGATGCGCTCGTCGAAGATGGTGGCTGAGGCGCTGGCGCTGGGCTTGTTGTCGTATTGTTTGACCATCGTGCTGTAGAGCCGCTCAGATCCGAGGACGACAATAGTTGTAATGGCGAATTCAGTCACAATGTGGTTGATCAGCTCTAAACTACCCGGTTTGCCGGAGCTGAGAATGCCCGGGGTATCAACGATGATGCCCGTTTCGCGGGCTTCTTCGTCCTCGGCCAAGCGGCCTGTTACTGAAAGGGCTAGACGTGATACGATTGGTCGATAGACTGAGGCCTCGGCATCCAGAGGGTTGGCAAGTGGGTAGCTGTAGACTAACGGAAGCTTCACGGGGACTGGACTCGGGCCGGACATGGGACTGCTGCCCCAGCCATCCTCGACGTCCAGCATCGTTCGAAAGGCGGTGGCAGTGAGAGTGCCTGGTACACTGAGCATGGCCTCGGTCGGGTCCAGGTTCACGACCAATGGCTGCCGGCCACTCTTCGTCGCATAGGCCGTCAAGATCTTTGCCAGGCTCGTCTTGCCCGCATCGTCAGACCCCAGCAATAAGACGCGAGGTCCATCCTTCCCGGAACCTTGCGCCTCCTGACGCATTGTCTCTAGCGCAAAGTGAAGATTGGCATATTCGATCATGGGCGTCTCTTCCGCGGTGTACTCGCTCTGACAGCCACCTGCGCCATGACCAGCCACGGGGGTCACACCATCGGAGGTAACGGCACCAGTTTCACCAGCGCTGACCTCCAATTCACATCCATACCATGTGTAGATTGCCGCCTTGGTGCCGGAGAAAGTATACGTTTGCGATTCGGCGAGCTCAGTGCCGAACAGCTCGGCGGTGCCGGTGAGAAGCTAGCAAGATTCAAGTTAGCAATCCCATATTCGCCCGAATTTGCCCGCATTCGCAAGTATTAGGCTACAAAGACATCACATACCTTGACCCTCACGATATGACCGAAAGCAACTTCAAAGCGCCATTCAGAGCCAGCCTTCAAGGTGATTTGCGACGGCGGAGCGACAGCCAAGTGCCTCTCCTCGGAGGGCTGCGTCAGCTCCAAGCCCGGGAGAGACATTTTCACACCAAAATCTCCTTGCGCGAACTGAACAAAGAGTCAAAGAGGTAGTGAAAGTAAGAAATTGGCCTCAATTGGAATTGCGGAGAGATGCACAAAGATCATGGAGCTCTCATGGCGGACTCCGCTGTGTTTTGACTGTTTGCACTAGCGGTCGCAAAGCTGGTCTCCACATGTTCCAAGTCAGGTGCTTCGTTTGCTACTCAGGCAGCACTTCTAGATTTATTGATTGTTCCAGTTGAGCCTACGTTGAGTCTAAAATACGATGACTATTGATTGGACATGATTGTCTTTGAACAAACTTCAAAAGCTATAAAAAGGCTAACAGTTCTTGACTACAGCCGCATTGATAGACAGCCTAAAGACAAACAGCACAGGCTTTGATCAGGGATATCGTGGGAGTCACTAGTCGGATATTGTAGGGCAGGGGGGTCAACAGACACAGAGACTGAATTGTGTAGTTCTCTTGTGTATTTCAGGTGGTTTCAAGGGAGGATCGGGTTTTCGCCGGGCACGTGGAGGGATTAGGAAATGTAATGGGCTCTGGACTAGTATAATCCATCATGACTAGAAAGGAGTATATTTTCATAACGACAAGGGGAATGAAAAGGAAAATCTGGAACAGGGAAATTTGGGAAACGAAAAAGGGTTGCTGGTCAGCGCATAGCGAGCAGAACAAGCGGGGAAATGGTACGGATGAATGCGAGCTGCATCTCCGAATTCAGAAGACGAGATTCAACGATTCATCGCAAGACAACGCAGGTGAAGTCGGAACTCGAAAAAGAAATGGGAATATTCAAGACTGGAAGCTCGAGAAAGGGTAGTTAAAGCAAACCGGCTGATCCAGGCCGGAGGGGTACATGATAGATCTATTGATCTAGAAGAAATAAGGAATGGATGCACTAAATGCCTGGTTAGCAAACGAATTGTTCAGTCAATGGGTTAGAGGACTCAACACATACGCAAGAGCAAAGGCTGCCGAGACACCAAAGAGAGCGCGGTTGCGCACACGCTCGCGCTTCAACTTCTCCTCTAGCACCTTGGCCTTCTTGGCCCGTTGAGCAGCCTCGGCTGCGGTCTCCTCGTCCTCATCTTCTTCAACGGGCTTGCGCTTCTTGGTCACCTTGACTGATGATGACTCTGGTGCTGTGCCGTCGGCCTGGCTCATGATGGCATCCTCCACCATTTCCTTGGCCTTGGCGATCATTTCCTGGGTCTCGGCCGCCGATGGCACCTCTGGAAGAAGGATGGGCATATCGAGAGTAAGAGTGGTCTTTGGGGTGTCGTCCGTAACCGGGGCAGCAGGCGAGACTTCAATCTCCGTCTCTGCCTTGGTGTCCTTCTTTTTCTTCTCGGTCTTCTCAGTCTTCTTCTTCTCCTTCTTTTCAGCCTTCTTCTTGTCCTTCTGGTCCTCTTCTTCCTCTTCCTTGGCCTCCTCAGTCTCCGCGGCGGCCTTCTTAGACTTGCGTCCCTTCTTCTTCTCCGGTGATCCTTGCACCGTGACTTCCTTCACTTCAACCTCTTCGACCGCAACAGGACGAATAGGGCTGTTCGTAGTAGCCTCCATTGAAGCGGTGATCTCAAGAGCCTCTTGTAGGTTGCTGTTGGCAGCGGCTGTGGAGGGTGTGCTCAAGACGTCCTTGGCAGAGCGGGCTGTCCGGGACTTGCGAGGAGAAGTAGACTTCTTGCTCGGTGAGACTGACCGGCGGCTCCGGCGGAGCGAAGTTGGCTCATCCATGGGCAGTTCGAACTTTGGTGGAGGAGTGATCTGCTTCTTCGCGCTCGTGGGGCTCTGGACGATATCGGTAGGATCCAACAAGGCCCGGACCCAATCGTACATCTTGTATTCCCTGGAAAGCTCCAGCGCTGAAAGGGGAAAAAGTCAATTAGAGAGATGTGTGACGGCTGATGACGTGCAGATCAGCTTACCAAATTCAGGAGAAATCCAGACATTGCCAGCAACCTCTTCCTGGCTTGTGTACTCGCGCGACTTCAGATACTCTCTCTCATTCTTCTCCTCTTCAGTCTTGGCCCAAGGGAATGCGATCTTGAACATTCCCGTTGCGCTAACGAAGCCATCCTTACTCCTCCGCTATACCCCCCAGACGAAATGTTAGCAAACGGCGTTGCTTGCGACTCGGCATGGGCGAACGAGGCGCTTCTTACCATCAAAAAGTAAGTCTCGGGGTGCTGTGCGGGAGTGTGTGATGGGAAGATCTCCGAGCCCTGCAAGTCCTTAGGCAGAGGCGCCCGGAGGTGGGCGTACTCGAACAGCCCTAGGTTTTCGGGCTTGGTCGCATTCGAGGTGCCGATTTGGGTAGGCTTGACGGAAAGGTTGGTCTTGCCGAGACGACGGCGCGCAAGAAGATCCTCATCTGCAGTCGCAAGCAACAAAAGGAGATGGATTAGCGACTGTGGTGACGGGGTTTCGGGTGCACGACAGGACGGGGCTAATGGGTACATGCGCGGTCGCGCGACCACACGCGCCTCTGGTTGAAACTTACATGGCGGAGCCGCATCGGTGAGGATCAGCGGGTTGTTCTTCTTTGGTAGAGATCGCGACATGATGAACAGAATGAAAACAGTTTAATCAGATTTTGGGGAGGTGGGAGGTGGCAGGTGGGATGCGGACAAGGACGAGATTATGCGCCCACGGCGGCCACGTAGCAGGCGCGTCGCTGGAGGAGGGGAATTTGGATGGGTCGGAGCTGTCGACCGAGGGGGACAAATAGATGCGGGAGGCCGTGAGATCAATGCGCCACGACCAACTCGAGTAATGAGATGACCGAGACACTAGAAAAGATCACGATAACGGGATAAAGAAGAGAGGATAATAATCAGGGGAGAGAAAAGGCGCTCTTCGCGACGGGGGGAACGGGAATGGAGGAGCGCTTTCTCCAGCGGTATTGGCCCTTGGCTGCTTCCGGTAAGGGCCAGTTCGAGGATGGTTCGAGTATTGTATTTGGGGTAATTTAGAGTTATGATTGGGCAATGCAGCCCATCCCGCGTATTCCCATTTCCAGTCTTGTTGGGCGGGCGTTGGCCCCGTGACCCGTGATTTGAATTCCTCATTCCTCAGGCATCAGACCACTAATTTCAGGCAGAAACATGTCCTCGGAGTGAGTAGCAAATAATCAACGGTTGTACTACTAACTATGTACAGTAATCAGTTGCCTCAACATATGTGTCAGGATATAGTCCACACTAGAGATATATTTATTAGTAGAATACTCGGGCTGAAGGGCAAATTGAACACGTTATGGTAGTTATATTGTCCAGCCACCATATGACTATTTACTTCAAACGATCTTGCGGTATGTCTCTTTCTTTGCGCCCCTCTCTGTCTCGCTGCGCCCAAGTGGAGCCATTGGCCATAATCCAATAACCACGATCGAGTCTAGGTAAATCCCAAAAATTGGTGGTCTTGGAGGCCTAGATCGGGGTGGCAGGCAACACCTACGTGTACAGTCGGGATGATAGGGTGTATATTGTGGTACTGTTCCTTGTTATGGAGCCCTTTTTCCAACGGGGTTATAGTCCTAGTATAGTATAGAGGGGCATTTTCAGAGAAAGTCTGACCTTGATATCTCCTCATAGTCCATAATCTATGATAGATCCGAGTATAGTCGAAATAACCTCGCATAGTAAGCAAGGTTACCCTGCATCGCCTCGTTCTCCGGTATCTGCATATCGGTACATGAACGCCTACTTCGTAAAGTTCCACCGTCAAAGTCACGACGATCCGAATAGCCTCGCCCCTCTTTCTTCCCTCCACCGCCTTTCCAATTGACCCCACCAACGCAATCAGGAGACAAGCCTCCCTAAACGGTCTTTCTTTTTTCTTTTCCCCTCATAGTTTGTTTTTCTTCCTCTTCATCATTCCTCTTTTCCATCCTCTTCCGCTGCCCAATTCTCTCTGTTGACAGCCAATCTCCCCTCTTCTCCCCCCTTATCTCTCTCCGCATTCTTTGTTTGGGTCCATACCCCGCCCCCTCTATCAATCCTAAAAATGACCGACCACCACGACGACGATCTCGCCGCCCAGAAGACCGAGGGCTTCAAGGTTGGCGAGAAGAAGACTCTTCAGGAGTACCAGGAGCTCGGTAAGTCGTGCTCTCCAATTGCCCTAAGCGATCGGACCAGAGACCCGGCCCCCGGCACTAACACCCATCTCCTCTCCCTCTAGACAAGGACGATGAAGCCATGAACCGCTGGAAGGCCTCTCTGGGCCTGAACTCCGGTGACCCCATCGGTCAGCCCAACGACCCCAAGTGCGTGATCAAGTCTCTGGCCTTGGTCACCCAGGGCCGCCCCGACGTCGTGATCGAGCTGTCTACTCCCGAGGCCGTCAACAGCCTCAAGGACAAGCCCTTCACTATCAAGGAGGGTGCCAAGTTCCACATCAAGGTCGTTTTCCAGGTCCATCACGATGTCCTCAGTGGCCTCAAGTACATCCAGGCCGTCAAGCGCAAGGGTATCCGTGTTAGCAAGGACCAGGAGATGCTCGGCAGCTATGCTCCCAACACAACCCACAAGCCTTCCTACACCAAGGAGTGTAAGTAACCCAGATGTGATTTTCCCTGATTAGCACTGGGTATCACGCTAACTTCCTTATTCTAGTCAACGAGGAAGAGGCCCCCTCCGGCATGCTTGCCCGCGGTCACTACAATGCCGTCTCCAAGTTCGTCGACGACGATGACCACACTCACCTGCTGTTCGAGTGGTCTTTCGATATCGCCAAGGATTGGTAAATCAGGACCTTTCATCTCCATCTCTTGGAATGTTAAACTGCGTTTGAGTTCTTGAGCGGCCCATTGTTTTTTCCAAGCGTGACGAATTTCCTTGATACCAAAAGCCTGGTAGAGATGGCCTAGAGCTCGACGGGCCTTGTCTTTGATACTGCACAGTTTTCTGTTTAAAATCAAACACTCTAATCCCTGCAACGTGTCGGGCTGGATTTCTCTTCTTGTTCTATGTCTGTTTTCATTTTTGCGATTATGTCATATCCGAGATCTGACATGTCTCCCTGACATCTTCCATGTTTACTTCAAATATGAAATAGCGAAGTCTTGACATCTGTCAGCGTGCAGGCAATCAAATTTTCTATTTCCCCCAAACTCCTGTACGGTGCAAACAAAACCCATATGTAGCCAAGCAGAACAAAAAATGACAAAACGAAATAAGAAAAACCCTGGGGTATCACAAGAAATAGTCAATCACCGGCTGAGAATCCCTGCTCTGCTGTGCCTGTTGCTCACTGCGGTGAATATCATTCTCCGGGGCCGCATCAAAGATATTAAAGAAACGCTCCATGTTATCGCCCACCTCGAGTACACTGGCCAAATTACCACAGCGGTAGCAGTAATTAGGTGCACTCCAGACCGTACTCAGACGGTCATCAAATAGGACTTGGTACCCCTCGTTACAGAGCTGGTGAGCCCGCAGGATATGCGACATGTTGTTGACCTCCAAGAATTTGCGAACAACTTGTGCTCCGAAAGTATATCCAGCGCCTCGAGGGGATAGTGAGAATTCATCACGCTCGGGATCCGGGTCAGACCAGACCAAGTCGGCCATGGGTCCCTCGTGGGGGATTTCACGGAACCGATCGATAATCTTGATTTGATCGATAGAGTGGATGGAAGGGGAGAGTCCACCGTGTACACAGAAGATCTCGTCGTTAATCACCACGCTAAGTGTCAGGTAATCGAACATATCGGTGAAGTAATGCCATACGTTGGCATTGCCGTACTTGCGGGCACACTCTGTATAGAAGCCGTAGGACTGTGTGACACCCCGAGATTCGTGGTTACCGCGTATAAGATGAACTCGGTCCGGGTATCGGAGCTTCAAACAGACGAGGAGGGATATAGTTTCGACACTGAAAAGACCGCGGTCCACATAGTCTCCTATACACGGATGTCTGTTAGCATTCTCACCAAACACTTTCAACCAACGAACGGTATGTAGGGCCATGAACACTAACCAAGGAAAAGATAATTTGTATCAGGGCAAAATCCACCAATCCGGAATATCTCTAGCAAATCAAAGAACTGGCCATGAATGTCTCCAACAACGGTTACCGGAGCTTTGATATGAACCACATTGCTCTCCTTCATCAAGAGCTCCTTCGTCTTGGCGCAAACAGCCTCGATAACCGACTCGGCAAGCAATTCTTTCCGATAAAGTCGTGAAATACACTCGTCCAGGTCAATACTAGCTGAGAACAAAGTCAGAATCCATAATCTCATAACCTCGGGCCGGTTCCGCATTGCTCCCCTCCGGCGCACTTACTAGGTAGACCGGGCATTGTGGCGGGGTGCTAAACGCACAACCCAAACAAATATTCAAATGAACGGGAACTTAGCCCCGGGGCCAGACTCGTCAAGCCAAACGGGAGGGCTTCCAGAATGTAGTAGCAAAGATGAACGAATCAGGCGGATACTCTGCCGAGCCGAAGAGAGGGGAGGTCGAACAGAGACGAAACGGGAGATCGTAAAGAGCGGGATCAACGAGAGATAGATGTGAACGGATGGTGGACAGCATGCATCATGGCCACGGAGCAAATTCCACCACTGCAACAATTGCGCTAAATCTGCTCTGATCAAACAAGTCGTCAACATGTTGGCGGCCCTCCGCGCTGAGCGTCTGGCGAGTTCTGCCGCAGAGTACCGCCTTTATTACTCAGGTACCTTACACGTGATCGGCTTCCTATTCCATAGTTCCTGTCTAGATCCAACTCGAGATGAAGATGCAAGAAAGAGCGAGGATCATATATGAAATTCACCTTGGATATTACACACGCATTTACAAACGTCAATGTTCTATTATGAGTGTAAAGGTTAAGTCCCTCACATCATCTTTGTATTAAGATACAAAGCACCTAGTCAAAGGCCTAGGAAGGGTAGGAAAGTACGGCGGACGATAGAGGGGACTTCCCCAAAACCCTTAGTTAGCGATTTTTAAACTAATCTCAAGACCTAAAATCGTATAGCTAATCTCCTAAATCGCCACATTAGTAAATATAAGACTAGTAAATAGGGCTATAGATAACGCTTTATTATTGAGCTGTGTAGACGTACGTACCTAGCTAGGTAAAAGGATTTTGGGATATTCGGGTAGAGCGTATAGGACGGTGGAAGAAGCGGTAAAGGCACTTAGTAGGATTTAGGAGTTTTGGGGAATCCCCCTCTATGGTCCGCCGTAGGAAAGTTGGTTCACAAATATGTCAAATATGTGGGACATTTTTCAAGATCTAGGTATAATATCGAGTCTAATGCATCCAAATCAACCCAACAAAGACCACTGCTATGCACCAAGAAATCAAAATCCCCCCAGGTTAGGTGCTTGGCCCAGCCTAACCAAGCAGCTGCTGAGCCTCCTTATGCACGGCTTCGGTCTCGGAATCAGTTTCCTCTTCTTCCGAGTCCTCCTCGTCATCCTCTGAGCCGTCCTCCTCCGAATCTTCTTCAGAGTCCTCTTCAGAATCAGTCTCTTCCTCTGAGGCGGTCTCGCCTTCTGTCTCAGACTCGGATTCGGTCTCCTCTTCCTCCTCGTCCAGCCACTGGTCCAGAGTCTTCTTGCCAGACGCCCCTGCTGCAGCGGCCGCGCCATTCCTCCGCGGTGGTACGATAGTCTCGTGTTCACGGAGCGCCTTGTCAAGTCGAGCACCGGCAGTCATTGAGCTCTGGAGGGTCGTGGTTTCTGGCTTGATATCTTCGGTTCTAAGGCTGGCACTGGGCTCTTGGCCGAACTCAACCCAGTCGGGAAGGTTGGCGTAGCCTCGGAGGCCATGGTAGCCCGCATCTTGACCGACAACAAGTGTGGCACTTCCGATGAGTAGATCCTTGCGTGTTTCTGAGGGGCTCGGGGCATGTGGGACGGGCTTAGGAGCCAAGAGTAGCAGGTTGGCTAGCTGGGTAGAAGATGGGGTGGCGAGAAGCGCCTTGTACAAACGGGCGCGATCGCGCAGGTCGTATGAGGTGTCGTACCGTGCGAGAAGCAGGATGTAGCGCCAAAGAAGAGTGATACGGTCTTCACTTTCTTCCTTGGCATCCTCGGGCTGCTGGGGCTCGTCCGAGCTCTTTTTCTCTTCGTTTTGTTCCTCCGTCCACTCATTGTGAATTGCCTGTCCCAGAGTGACTGCAGCTTCCGGGTTCGAGGAAATATGTTCTAATGATTCCGGAGGGGAGTTTTGGAGTAGATGGTGAAGGTACACCTTTGCACCGAGGAGCACAATCTGTTGCTTGACAACCTCGGTCTCGTCGGCGAATCCCTGGATCAAGATGCGGAGCACATCGGGTGCAATGTTATGTCCCGGATCAGCACCTGCAAATTCTCCCACCAGCCAGATGATAGTAGCTCGAGCGTCGGGATTGGTTGTTGTGCCAAGATGTGTGACGAGTCTAATGACGGTCTGTTTATGCGAGGGTGGATCTTGCTGGATGAGGTGACGGATCACCGTGAGAGACTCGGAAACCAGATTACCATCCAGACTGGAGATCTGGTTGAGGAGAATGCGCAGACACATGTCTGCTGTGGTGGCGTCTCCTTGGGCACAGCGTCCAATGGCCCGCACACTTTCTCGAACGAGTTCTGGGTCGGTGCCTTTAGAGAAATGCTCCAGTTCGCTGATAACAACGCCCTTCCAATGCTTGCCACAGTACGGGAAGATAATAGTCAAAATTTCCAGTTTCAAACGCCAAATATGGGGTGGGTCATTTGCGTGGACCAGGAAACGGGCGATATACTTGGTAAACGGTTTAGGATCCCTCAGTGCAACCGTCACAATGTTATAGAGAGCGATGAGTTGCATATCCTGGGGGCTTCTGAGAAGAGCCACCAGGGGACCGATGGCTGAATTGAGGTATTCAGGCGTTGCGAGGTAAAAGAAACAGCGTACGACGCTGACAATGACGGCAGAATTGCGATTTTGCAGGAGTAGCTTGCACGCCCGTAGAAGAAGCTCGAGATCAGGGTCAACGATCTGGACTTCGTACTCGGGCCGGTCGCCTTGGTCGGTCTTGTCTTGCTCCTCATCATCGTAGAATGATTTGCTGGTGACGGCCTGTTTGATCTTTTGGGTCCGACGAGGGAAGCATTTACGTGCATAGATGGTTAGGAGACGCAGCGTCGCAAGTTGACCCCATTCATCCATATCCACAAGTTTCTTGACCAAGCTCCGGTAGTGCTTGTGGATCAAGTCGATTTGCTCGGGACAGACTTCCAAAAATGCAGAGACCGCGGGGCCTACAACAAAATACTGAGGGTCTCCTAGAAGAATGGAAATGTATCCTGTCAACTGCGGCAGCGTGTTCGGATCTAAACGGTAGCATTTGGGAATAGCCAACGCTGCTGCCTTCCGTACATGTGGACTCATGTCGCCGCATCCTCGCTTGATAGCCAGTGAGACGATTTGGCTGATGACTGGAACTCGAATGCCCGACATGGTCCGCAAGGCCATGGTTCGTACTTGTGGGTTCTGGTCCGTCAGCGACTTCTGAATCGCGTTAATGGATAGCAACGCCAGGTCCGGCTCGGCCTCCGCATGGTGAACTAGGTAAATGTACACCAATTTTTTGACTTCGAGGTTGGCGCTGGCGGCATTTTTGACCACGGCGGAGAAGAACGTCAGGGAAGGTTCGGAGCGGTACATCAACTAGAATATTGCCGAGATTATTGTGTTAGCCAGTGCGTCCTCATGCTAGTGTCCCCCCGATCACCATCACCATCATACCGAAATGACCCGTCGCATCCCATCCAGCACCTCCCTCTCATGGCGACTGTCCAGGAGCTTCTTGATATGAGGCACGCTGTAAGTGCGTGAATTATAATCGATAGGTGCGCTGCGATTGCTTGCGGCGGACTGGGCAGCCTCTAGGGTGAGCTCTCGAGCTATGCGCACAGTAACGTGCCACGGTCAGCTCTCCGGTTCAGCGACAGACGCTTGGGATGGTAACAGGCTAGACTCACCTGTTTCCAGCATCGAGGATATTCTGGAAATAGTCTCCATTCTGATTTTAGCCTCTGAGGGACCCAGTCCCAACGATGCGAGAATTGGCTGGGTGGTGTTGGAGAAGAGAGGTGGGGGAATCCAAAGGCGGAGGAGAGCATGACCTCCGCGGCACGGAGACTAGACTCAGTCTTGCCGATCACCTTCTAAGTCACTCAGCCAACTTAGTCCACACACGAGGGTACTTCTATATGGCTGCGGATATCAGCAAGCCATGATTCTGGGCCGGGAGGGTCCCTTCTTGAGACCGGTGACTGCGCGTGCGACCTGCGGATTCTCGCCAACCTGCCATAGCTGATACGTCACGTCATGGGCTCGACGCGATCCGTCGCTTCTTGCGGCTTGGTGACCGATCTACTTCAACAACTCCTCGATATTGGCGCATATACTCGCCTGATCGTCTGTGGGACCAAAACTGAGTTTCTCATACAATTATCCTGCGCTATACAGTCACAGCGTGCCGATCCAAATGTCGCACCTCATCATGATCTGCTCACCAAGACTATCGGACTACTAGCAAACTCCAGCAAAATTCAGCTAGCCTTCTGTCCATCTCTGGAGAGTCTTCGAGCGTATCTTGCAGTTCTCAGACCGATTGATACGAAGACCGATGGACCCGAACCCGCAGGTCGCCGACACAACCCGATGCTTGTCATTCTGGATCTGGTAGCCTTGCACGTTCCTACTACAGAGTTCTCTGCGCAGGGACTATCGCGAACGTTTGCTGCTTCCGCCGAGTCTGCTTCACGGGCTAAAATGGACCTGATGCTCTGCGAATGTACCAATGCCGTGGACACTATGAGCGCCGACTGGGGAGGCAGACTATGGGATGCGCAAGTACCTCTACTGAACGGCTCAGTCCGGATACGCGGCGAAGAAGGGAACTGGGGTGGACGTGGTGTATCAATAAAGCAAGTTGCCCAACGCTGGTTTGAATTTGACGAAGGGAGGTATGCTTGAAGAAGACATCATATAGATTAATGAGGACAAAAATACAAGCCAAAACTGCAAGTGTGATGAAACTCCATGAAAAAAAAAGAATGAATCTGCACTATCCGGGTATCTCCTGGTGCCAACCGCTGAACTCCTGATCCATACATAAACGCTGCGAAAAGTTGAGGCCTCACAACGATTTCTCCATCTCGGTGATGTAGAGCTTGATGTGGGACTCCAGCTTGAGATACTGGTCGTGGGCCGCTTGAATCTCGCTCTCGATGTTCTCCTTGAGATCAACCATCTAGAAAATATGTCAGTACGTAACACTCATCTGCCGCTGTGTATTCGAGACTCACCTTCTTCTCTGTTTGCTCAATCCGAATGCGTCTCCGTTCCATATCCCGTTGCTTCTCCGCACGCTCTTCTCGAAGCTGTTTCTGCACATTTCGAAGCTCCTCCATCCGAATCTGCGCCACCTCTGCTTTCTCCTGTGCCGTCTTGCGCAGCGCTTCAATTCGTTCCTGCCATCGTACCAATTGACGCTGCAGTAGCTTTTCTGTCTGCTCGACTTCTCGTACGGTATTCCCCTTATCCGAGATAGCATCTTTGTTGCGCGCCGCACGAGCTTCTTCTTCCTCCTCTTTCTGTAGCTCGGTAGAAATATCCTCTAGCAGCTTGACGCATGCCTGCACGTCGTTGGAAACAACGGTGAACGTATCTGAGGATGTCTGTAAAGCTCGAGAGCGCCGTTCCATGGCGTCAATCTGTGCTTTCTCACGCATCAAATTCTCGGCCAGCTCAGTCAGGGAAGACTGCAAGGTGGCGGGCGATTCGAGAACGTAGGGTCGTAGCTTTTCTGCTTCTTGTCGACTCCTCACCGTCCTCTCGGTCTTCTCTTCCAACTGCTGTTGCCGCCGCGCCCTGTCACCCTTCACTCGATCGAGTGTCTCAGCAACTCGTGACTGCTCGGCTCCCAATTCCCTCAGCCGTGCCTTGAGTGCATCATTCCGGGCGACTTTCTCTCGCACTTGAATCTCATTGGCCTGTTGACCTCGTCGCATCTCGGCCAAGCGTTGCTCCATCTCTTGGTTCTCTGCCAGCAGCTGATCGATTCGCGCTTTAGTTTTCTCGGTCTTGTTGAAGTGTTCGTCGATTACCGGGGTTTGAGACTCGCGGAAACGGACAAAGTTGATAAGGTAAGAGAAGATTTTGACGAGTCGATCGTGAGTCGGTCTTGTCAAATCGGTGAAAGTAAAGTCATTAACTCCACACTAAACGAAATCATGTACGGTTAGTTATGTGTGTGCCTTCTGGATAAAGGATTGACCAGTTACCTCCGCCAGTAACGTCCGAATGCTCATGAAAAATCCCATGAGGTTGCGCGTGTCGTTGGGAATAATATCGGGGTAGTCGCCGCATAGATCCTCGGCTGCTGCGTGCATCGCCGGTTCTACCGTCTCGCGCGTAATGTTCATGAGAAGCTCTGCGAACCATTCGAACACCATCTGAATTTGTTGGGCATTAGGCTTCATCAGGTCGGCCGCGGTGAAGGGAATTCCGATATCGTTGATACATCCTGCAATCTCTTTATCGGGCTATTCCATCATCAGTAATAGCCCAGTAATCAAATATTCCGACTCGGCATCGAGATCAAGTGCCAAACTTACCAGGCGCATCAATGCGTCATTATCGTCTTCCTTCTTGCGGGATCGATTGTGGTGCTGTTGAGAGCCAGCCATGCTCATGCGATTATTGTACGCCATAGTATCACGAGACCACAGCGGTCGGTATACCCTTGTAAGGAGAAGGCCGTCCAGAAGTAACGTCGTGAGGTGTCGAGGCTGAGCGATGTTATGATTTGCGACCGATTGTTTACTTTGGAGACGAGCCCGCACACCCGACCGCTTTGGGTTAGTGCAACGCTGAGGGGCACAAAGCAAACAAGACAAACACCACCCATCATCCAAAGAAATCGTGACTCTTTCACGACTCGACTCATTCCATAGCTCTGCGCAACATCATGGCGACGACTACAGAGGGGACGGCTGCGGCCGGCTCGAAGCCATTTGAGTAAGTATTTTAGCTACGCGAGATCCCAAGACTTCCCGCTGACCCTATCGTCCCCAGCATCGTTGCGACGTATAATGAGCTCCTACGCTCCGACCCGGACATCACCATGCCCATCGCCGCTATTGAAGCACTGGTGCATGTCCTCACGCACTCCCCTTCCTCTACGATTTCCGAAACTCTAGATCTGCTAGAAAAGTCCACTGCCCACCTGAAACGCTCGATTCCCAACCCTATTGGTCTTTCAGCCGGTACCGATCTCTTCCAGCGCTACTTGATTACTACACTACAACGGCCGGGCCAACTGGGTCCTGCTGGAGACTTTAAGGCCATTCGTACACACCTTTTGTCAAATGGCCGATTATTCATCCGGCGTGCGAAGGAGAGCCGACAGAAGATTGCTGCTTTCGGCCGCGGCTTCATTCGCGATGGCTGCACGGTACTCACTAACGGTGGTTCCAGAGCGGTTGCATCGCTACTTCAGAAGGCGGCAGATGAGGAGGGCGGTCCCTCTGCAGTTCGTTTCCGGGTGATTTATGTCTTGTCTTCGATTAGCCAGAACATCGAGGAGCCGTCTGGAGAACCCGAGGGTATGGAGACGGTACGCGCCTTGCGAGCCAAGGGTGTACCAGTCTCCACCATCCCGGAGTCGGCGGTAGCATATGCCCTTGGAAAGGCTGATATGGTCATCGTTGGTGCAGAAGGTGTCGTTGAGAATGGAGGAATTGTGTCCCGTATGGGCACTTATCAGATTGGCCTTCTTGCCAAGGCGATTGGAAAGCCGTTCTATGTAGTGGCTGAGAGCCACAAGTTCGTGCGTCTTTTCCCACTGGGACAGTACGACCTTCCTATTGAACAGCACGTTGTTGATTTCAAGTCCGCGGACGACATTGCCGAGGATAAGAAGAAGCAGCAGAACCCTTCGGGTGATGCCAATGGAGACAAGCCTATTGAGCTACCACTCTCCGATTCGGTGGATTTCACACCACCGCACTTGATCTCCGCTCTGATCACTGATAGTGGTGTCCTGACTCCCAGCGCTGTCAGCGAGGAGTTGATCAAGATCTGGTTCTAAACGAGAAAAAAAAGTTATGTATTTGGAGCGCCGTTTCCAAAGGAGTTGCATTCGCCCCTGCCTGTCTGCGGGGCATGCTGTTCGATTTTTTGTGCGTTTCTAGATTTAGGCTCACAGTCTTCACGAAGTTGATGAAATGATGGAAATCACCCTCAAGCCCAGGCTCAGGCTCGTTGGATGGATCCCGCTTGGTCGTAGGTTGTTCTGATTCACCCGACACTGATCGAGGTTGCCCTATGAACTGCTCGGGGTCTACCATCTCAGTTGTGGTTAGGTTGATACTGCCATCACTCGAATCAAACAACCTACTGGCAGGGAAGGAAGTTCCTCTCCTTGCCTTACATCTGCATCCATAGAGTTACATCTCGAGACCATGACGATTAGCTCGCCCCTTCTATCGCCCCATTTGATAGACCCAATTCAAACAATGAAAATGAGAATGAGATCTGTTTCGAATTCGTAGTTTAGACATGGGTAGCATATTCTACTTGTTCGAGTCGTCTCTTTTACGATTGCACAGCAAAATGTGAGTGGACAGCGTCGAGTTATAGAGCCGCGCTCGGCTCAATAAAGGCCCTTGAAAATGCGATAGGAGAAATTTTGTCATTCTTTGGGACTTTCTCTGATAAACACTTGGTGCCATAGACCGCATTTCTTGTCCAGTTAAAGCGAGGGCAGTTGTACCATTCAACAAGACCCGGCTCGATTCCAAAATCACGGACCTAGCGAGCAGACCAAATAATTCAATATTCGTAAGGTATAATCGAGACATTTGTTTGGGTATCGTAAAATCAAATCGTCATAACTCATAAGTGAAAGGTTCCGACCACGTCGAGAATCCTCGTCAACGGGGCCCGGTTCTGGGGATAGATACGCAATCCACCGGCATATAGACCAAGCTCTTCATTGCTTTGCTTGTAGAATTCATCTCTGTCCCTCACACCCGGTTCGTGACAGCGCTTCTTCGCCCACCAGAGCCTATTCAAGGCCTCGAACTTTCATCAGGGTGATAATCGGTTCGCGACGAGAAGGCGCCATTCTTGCGTTTGCAGTGTAGCAAAGGCATAGAGAAGTAGGTATCCGAGGGCAACGAATACCCACAATGCGGCCATATCCAATTCAGCAGATTTGTGTTGTTTTTTTCGGCGAGTCGCAATGTCACTCAACCTGCAGAATGTCGGTGTAGACACAGACTTGATGTGTGGGAACGGCGGGGATAGGTAGTGGAGTGGGCGGAAGTATATATTGGAGCGATGTCGAGGAGAAAAGTCAGAATTTGCCGACAAATCAAAAGTTTTCCGAGCAAGCAATACTCGTTTTTTAAATCTTCGAGAAATGTAGGACAGTACCAGACTACCATCAGCAGTGCATTGAGTAGGAAAGATCGATGCGAGAGATAAAAAAGATCCCGGCGCATTCCATGCGAAGCGATTCTATCCGGGGGTTTAAAAATCAACCAGACCGACAAGTCGAGACCCCAAGTGACAGGTCTGGAGGACCATCATATCCGAGATGTTCCACCCAATCGAGAAGAACAGATAATGCGCCAGGTGTCCTGCCCAGCAATTGTGCGCTCCCAAAATTCCGAGTCATGCGGGGTTTTCGAGCATGGGGACCTGCTTCTGTGCTTTTTCTGCTACCCTCATCGGGCCTCCGCGTGTCTCGTCTAGGGCATAGATTGGAAAGTTTACCGTGGAGAGCAACCATTTGTTTGGATGGGCTATAAGTAAGCGATGTGTAAAAGGCCGTTTCGACTGGGGTATAGATCGCCTCCCCCGCGGTCGGTCGCGTGAGGTGCGATCATTTTGGGCGGGGGTAAATAAAAGCTCCGTCAATCAGGGTCTGGAGTATTGTCAATATGAAACGAGGACGAAGACCGGCTGTCATGGTCTGTACCAAGTGAAAATGATCGATGAGCCAGCCTTTATACGTCTTCTCTCGGTGAAGTTGCGTGTATCTTTTCCAAGAGCGGCAGTCCGTTGCTCGCAAGCTGGATAGACCCCTCAATGACTCCAGTTGAGGGTGAAAACATGGCCATTTGAACTACTTGCTACCGTTGTAGCTTTCATTAAGACATGGGCTATACTATTGTTTACCCTGACTCACGCTCATTATTATGAAGAAGAATTTAGGAGGATCCACCATAATGGAAGGGTGTCCAAATCCCGAAAATTTACAATATAGCAAGGCGAGGAAGCCATTCCACGAAAATCAATATTGTTCCATCAGTCTTCCTTAGACTTTGGTCTCCTTCCTAGGTACCATCTATAATAAAATTTTGCCTTCCACCACCAGAAAGCAAAACGAGAGGTCCCGTAAGTCCCATCCATGAGGACAGCTTCAGGCCACCCCAGGTGAAACACAATGCTTATTAACCAGCGCGTGCTCACGAGCCAGTAGACGATCCCATGCCAACTTTTCTTCACACTTCGGAAAATTGTGTAGACTTGCAGGCCTGTAAATCCTTAGAAAGGTATGAAGATAGTGAACTATGAGATGGTAACTTCGGCCGCCACGAGGAGAGGAAAAGCTCCTTTACATATACGAAGGACCGTCTTCTACCGTCTACGGGATGGCTGATTTACCGAGACAGGTCTTCCAAGTCTATTTCCGTTCTAGAAGGTGGCGGCTCAAGAAGCATGTGCTCGGCTGATGCTGCCATGACGGCGAGAATCGTGCGACGTCCTCGTGCGTACCAACTAAGTCGAAAACAAAAGGTCCAAGTTGAATCATTACCAACTCTACCCTGGGAGGATATCTGGCACGAATAGCTTTGCAGGAGCTATGAGATCATCCTCCCATTTGTCCACCCGGAATAGGGCTCACAGACTGGCAGGTACAGTCCAAAGGAGCTGTAGCTGTGGTAAACCGTCAGGGTGAACCTGGCAGGTTGAATATGTGTAAATAAATCGTACTTCAAGTGGTAAAGTATCGAGACACGGAAAAAGAACATCGTTATCCAAGTCTCCAAAGTACCGGACTAAGGATAACTATAGATGGCCATAGTTATAATCTCTCATCACTTCGATGACTAGAAGAAAAACCAGAAGTAATGAATGATTTGGTTCAGCTAGAAATTGATCACCTTTAGTTATTTCAAGGCTATAACAACCTCTGCAGGGCACAGGCTGAGAGACCAGGATCCCGCAGGTAGCTACAAAGCACCTGACCAAGACTCATGACCTCGAGCAGCCGCAGTATTCCGCAAGAATTCAGAGATGGAATCTGGCATGAACTCTCCAACCTGACTCGAGGAACGGCACTCCTCATGAGCCCCACCATTTCAACCCCGCTCCCCAGTTCCTGATCCAACTATCTCCGAGAACCAAGAGTAACGTAGTAGTCTACAGTACGGAGTACTCCTGTCAACATCGGATCTGCCAACCATACTCAAGCGAGAACGGAACATCAGAGCAAATATAACTCTTACCAGTACCCAAGACACAGGGTCTTATCTCCTCAACGCCATCAAAACCGTATCGAGACCGTTCTTTGGACCTATAACCTCATCCTCCATAATACCCTACATCTACAGGATCACATACCCTGTACAAGCCATCCAGCAATATCGCATCATCCCCAGCAGCGAACGTATCCGAGACATCCTCCCTGCCTCCCCGCCTCACCGCACCCCCCATCAGCACCATGGATGCCCAACCACTCACCAGGTCGACCCTCCCCCGCTCCAACTCACCGACCGCCCTTCATACACCCCACGAGCAAGCCTCGCATTTTTCCGAGCCCGAACCCCAACCCCAAATCCGCCGGTCGTGGTCGCTCAAGAGGTTGCTTAGCGGGCGCGGGAGCCGCCGATATCGTGTGTTGGAGCGGGAGCCGAATCGGTTGAGGAAACGTGTTGCTGCGTGAGGGAGGTGGATAGGGATGAGGACGGGATGCAAGTTGGCTTGCGGTAATGGCGGGAGGTGTGAGGGAGATAGGCTATATGCCGAGTCTTGCTGGATGAACTGGGTCTATTATAGCTTCATTGGGAGGGAGGTATATGGGATATACCACCGTCTGCGGGTTAGCTGAAATGCGTGGGCACTATCGGCTGTGTCGGTCCTATCGGATGGGGGTCATTTGTGGAGGATGAAGGGTAAGCTAAGAGGGGGTTATTGGAATTTGGCATGGTGGCTTGCTTTGCTTTGCTTTTCTCTTCCGTTGACTTTGGATTTCAGTGAATGGTTCGTTGGCTTGGTATCCATCATATCCGTCGTCGACGGAATTGCATACTGTACGGCGTTTCTATTTAGAGGGCTTCGAGGCGGGGTGGTTTAAGCGATGGCCATTTGTGAATAGTTATCTCTCTCCAATCTAAGCATATACTAGGTTTCTGTACAAGCAACTCAACTTTATTCTACCTCCGGGGGTACTGTAGACCATCCTCTTATTGTTGATAGCCAAAAAAACATCAAACCTCAAGAACACAAACAATCATGACCGCCAATTCTTGGCTCCTCCACCAACTCGACCACCTCGGCATCCCACATCCACCAACCATCGTGGCAAACGCCCTATGGCTTAGGATTCCACAATCCCTGTCCACGCAGCCCATGATTCGCGATCTGGAAAACGGGATCATGCATTGGGCTGCCGATCAGAACGCCCCCGTTTGTCCACGTCCGACCCTGTCTGCACTCTGCACCCTGTTCCGGACATACTGAAAGTTTGTAACGGTCGATTTGCCTCCCCCGCGACATGATAAGATAGCTTATTTGGGGGAACGGTCGGTGAGTCTCGGCGCTATTGACGCCATTGCTTGAATAGGTTAGGGGAACGGCGTGTCGGGTACTTCGGCACAGATGGGGTACTCCGTACTGAACGCAATACTGCACACCGCGATGTCGAAGGTTTCTTGTCGGTAGATCAGATGAAATGATAGACGTGGGGGTTTGTACTTTGTAGAGGGACAATACAGTAAGAATTGGGGATAATTGTACGGTGGAACGGGTTCTTTTTTAGAAGACAAGAAACCTTGCCAATGGATTTGCAGATCCGATGAGACTAGCTACAGAAATGTCTCGTTTTAGCCGTACAAACGCTCAGATGGGAAGTTGGAGGGGTCCCTGAGAGCCTTTCCGCATCGTGGCGGTGTCCATCAAAGACTCGTGGTCAACTTGTCCCTAGGAAGGCTGCAGTAGGAATGCTACAAAATGTACTATTAGACAGTTCGATTTTGAATCGATCAGGGCGAGGGTATTTACACCCCTACTAGTAGTGCGCGGCCATTTGAAATTGCCGACGGACAGGCCAATCGGTCCCCAGTCGCAATCTACGTAGTTCTGTTCTCCGTAGAAACTGTCGCGTTAGCTACTTAATTTCGCTTTGGTGGCGGCAAGAAGTATTTCCTCCTTCAAGCCACGGGTTAGTTTTGCCGCTCGTAGATTGCCTTCATCTCGGCTGGCTTTCATTATTATGCCGAGTCAATATCTTGATAAATCTTGATCTCCTTCGCATTGTACTGTACCAAAACCTTGAATCGAAGGTTTTTTTTTTGCCGATCTCACTGCACGATGATCTGCTGTGGACTACTCGATATATACGGCCAGTCAATCTTGACGGAGAAGATGTTCCGCTCTCAATGATTGAAATGACCGACGAAAGTGGAGGGGAGCAATAACACACAGACCATTCCGACGACTCACCATCATCACTAGCCCGCCCGTTAGCTTTGACCAAAGTGGCCAATTTTCGCTGATCGGGTTCCACTTTGCAACGACCGGCCTCTCAAGTTGCCATACAACCCCCCCCGTCCCTGCAGGATCCCAGCGGGACGCTGGCTTTGCAGTAGTCAGGTCAGTCCTGTAAGTGCCTGCAGATTGTAGCAACTCGGCCCCAAACTTGGGACCTGGAAGTTGATGCTGTCGTTAACATCATCAGGTCCAGTTATCGGAATACACCCGAACTGAAATATCCAAATATACCAAGCCCCGTTGAGTGGTCACCCTCCTGGCTCTCTCCCACGGTACGGACTCCCGCTCTGAACCGTCTCGGCGGGTAGAGACAGGTACCCAGTGGCAGTTTTATTGGGGGGCATGCGTAAGATCGACTCCATTCCCGCGTGTCAACCCACGGAATGCGGGCTTCTGGACTGGCGATGGAACTTTACACAAGAGGACCAGGGCTCCACCGGGCGCCCAACGGTGTGGCCTTGGCCGTCACAGAGGGCACGCGCGCATGGCACGAGATTCAACCCAGCCCACCTTTGAACGGGGGCCACGGCCCCGGAGTGGTAAAAAGGCGGGCGCCTGAAGAGTCAAGAGACAATGACGGAGGGATGTAATCTCCATCGGGAGGAAGAAGCGGAACCGAGGATTAAAGGTGCAGTGCAGGTTTCTGGTATAGTTGCAGACCTGAGAGCTTCGAGCTTCGATCGGATCGGCCCTGGTTGATCGGAGTTGGATCCGATACTGCTGTTCCTTTTTTTTCCTTTCCTTTTTGCGGTCTGCAAGATATTATCTGCATAGGGGGTCAGTTATTGACCACTAATGCTAACGGAAAACAGCGAGGGGCCCATCAAATCAATGTGAATGGTGAATAGTGACTGGATGTGTCTTGGGAGTGGATATCCCCCACAGCAAGAAAATAATGGGTCCTGGAGACCGCAAATTTCCCATGATGTCGACGGTGATTCTCTGGCCGGTCATGCTCTTTTTTTGATTTCATGGAACCAGTAACGGTCATAGCCGCGTTCCCGTAGTAGCCTGGTCCCGTTTGATATCACGAGTCGCGGGAGGAGAGATGTATCGAAGAGGCATTGATTCAGAGCAGGTACCAGGTACCCGACCAAGAGGCCAATCTGATATAGATGACGGAGTACGGAGTACTGTACTTGGACTCTGTGTGGATGAATAATTGGTTGTTTGGGTTTGTGTGGGAAGAATGAGCCCAAGTGGGTTTATTTTTAGGGAAAAACCAAAACAAGATGGTCTGGCCACTGATGGACTGGGAATAATAATAATATTATAATATTATTATTTGATTCACTTCCATCACCGAATCCAATCATCTTAGGATCTGATCATTGTTCTTTCCTTCTACCCTTCTCCTCTTCTCCTCTTGTCTTTTTTGCCTTCTCCCTCTTTGCCACCATTCCTACCCAACTTGGTAGTGAGTTTGGCCGCCACTCATTCCATTTTTTCAAAGCCAATAAGGCTTATTCGACTCCTACATACCGCTTCTTCTTTGTTATTTCTTCTTTCGTTTCTCCTCTTTCATACTTTTTTTAAACTTTCTTCTATCGAATCCTGCTAGTTTCTCCTCCCACCCCCCCAGGTAGTACAGACTATCACCCAACTAGTACCTCTCTCCCCCCCTACGACTAGACTCCAGTCATCACACCGTCTACGATCGCTGCTTTTTTCGCCCTTTTCACTCTCTCCAACCCCAGCTTGAAACCCACTGATGACGCCGGTGGCTCTGCATCTGCTGCTCTGCCACCCCATTTATTCTGCACCTCCCACAATCCACTAAACTGCCCTCGGGCCCGCTCTACTCCCCTCGTGTCCTCGATGAATCCCGCCCGTCTGCACGATCTCTCCGACCGACATCGATCCCGCGACTGCGATCATTAGTTCGCCCTGCGGCCGCGAGCTGCACCACCTCGCGTCATGGCGATTTGGCCGTTTGGTCGCAAGAATAAGCGCCACACCATCCAGGTGAGCGCCGACGAGGCCAGCGTGCTCCAGCATGCTCTGGATGAGCACGAGCACGACCAGGATTCACCCGCTCCCGTCGCCGAACCAACCTTGGGCCGTAAACCTTCCCGCCGGGGTTCCAAACGCCACAGCAGACGCTGGTCGCGTAGTGGTGATGGCTCTGATAGCCAGGGGCAGACGAGCTCAACGCAGCGACCGATCTCCTCGATCGATCACCGCCGCTTGTCCGAGGTAGAACACGACCGCGCCGGACCAGAACAGACCTATCCGCGACCGTTGTCACGGACAGGGTCGCTATTGAAGAGACGACAGAATCAAAATGGACCCAACAAGCTTCGCAAAAGCAAGCGACAGACCCATGAGATCCTACGCGAACGCGAGATTAAACTGTTGTCGTCGACCCCCATCGATATCCCCCGCCGATCAACTCAGCCCGTGGGCAGCGACTATGGGCTGGAAAACCGACGACGCAGGGCAAATGGACGCGCTGATCGCTACATGTCAGATCTTAGTCTCTCGATTCGGGACTCGGCTGCGTCCTCCATCTCGGACGTTTCCGATCCTTTCACCTACAAGGTCAACGCGTTTGCTGCGTTGACACCTCGTCCCGTCGTACGTTATGTTGAAACACCGCGGTTACCCGCTGTGCGAAGCAACAATACCTCGACAGCCGCTAGCCGACCGGATGGTCATAGACAGCCGACTCGGACTGCCTCTGGGGACGATTTGTACTACTCTAAGCGACGTGTGAATGAACTGGCGGACTCTTTGGATGCTAGTACTCTGCGTGAATTGCTCGAGCGAGACCGTCGTCGCCGGGAAAAGAAACAGATCGAAGACCAAGAAAAGTTACGTCGCAAGCTGCAGGAACGTGCCGATGCGCAAGCCGCGGAAGAGCGTCAGCAAGCGATCGAAGAGACTCGGCAGACCCAGGAGGTTGAGCCCGAAGTCGCTCCCGCCGTCGAGGCTCCTGATGTAGTTGAGCCTCGGGATGTCATTATGGAGGAGCCCATCACCGAGGAGCCCATAGCCGAAGAGTCCGAAGATGCAGCACCCGCAGAACAGTCTGGTACATGGCTGCAGGACGAATCCAAGGAGAGTGAGGATGCCGGGCGCGAGTCGCTTGAAAGCGTCCACGTTATTGGAAACATTGATGATAGCTCGATTCGTGAGCCCCAGCTGGCCGCTCGACCTAGCTTTGCTCCCTCGCATGAGATGGGCATGTCTCGAACTACCCTCTCTCCATCTCAATCATCCCTTCGACATGGAATCAGCAGCCCTAGTCACTCACAAACATTTGGCGTTGGTTCTACCTCCGACATCTCCGAGCGCCGACCATCCGATACTAGTGGTCGCCGAGGAGGCAACACCATCACCTCTCTTTTCCGACGTGGTTCTTCCCGTATCAAGCGACGGTATAAGGAGCGTTTCCAAGACTCCAGTCCTGATGTCTCCAACGCTTCGCATGAATCTTTCTATCGGATTCAAACTCAGTCTTCGCCTCCACCACCCTCTATTGCTCCTCCTCGAGCTTTCATTGCCACTGGTACTGTTAAACGCGCGCATTCCAAGTTCACAGAGCACTTTGGCGACGAACCCATGTCTCCTCCAGACTCGCGCCTCCAGTCTCCCGATATCCCCGAGGAAGTACCGGAGTCCTCGCTTGAGAATGAAGAAGGCAGCACTTTCCTGCACGGCCCAACCCCTACCTTTGTGGGCGTTGATATCGTGAACCCGAAGAATCGCCGCCATCTCTCTTCCGGTGATAGCTTCGACGCCGAATCCGACAATGTCCCCCTTTCTCAGTCTTTGGCATCTATCGATTCAGAAGGATCATGGATGTCGGGCCAATTCTTCCGCCGGATGTCCCAGAAGGCCCCCAGCAGTCCTGTCCGCACCATGACCTCGTTCAGCGCCGCAATGGACAGCCCCGTCGAGACGCACGATGACATGCGCGACTCCATCGACTCTCGTAGAACTGGCAGCAATATCATGGGCGAACCGGAGCTACTGGACAACGAGGATGTTTCGGCGACTGATGCCACCAAGACCGCGGAGACCTGGCACCACAGCGAGGTCGGCCGCCGGCCAGTCCTAGTCAACCCCGTTTCTCGCCCTAAGTCCACGGCCGGCATGCTCAAGAACTTCCCCTCGTTGTCTCCCATCTCTGCCGAGGAGGATTATATGGAGGAGGATGAAGACGAGCACAACGCGGTGACTAACCGACCTCAACCGCAGCGCGTGGCTAGTGTCCACGGTATTATCTGCAATGCCGAGGATGATTGATTTCCATGATTATTTTGGATCTATTTCCCTCCACTTGGAGATCCGGGTCTTTGAGCCCACCAATTTTGCATGCCTCGTGCATAGCTTCCACTCCTTTAGTCATTTTACTTGTTGATTTTCTTTGTTCCAAGACTATTACGGCTCTGTGATATGATCCCGGCGCAGCGACCGCCATTATCTACGACGCGACGCCGAGTTCATCGATCACGTTCCCCCCTGTTCTTGTGATAGATCCCTCCCACTGCACTTCCCCCTCCATCTCCCCATTTGACGTGCCGAGCTCGTCTGCACCGTTGCTGTTACCATTACACTTCGATTTTTGTTGATACCCCCAACTTGCCCCCCTGTTTGTTCCGCTTCGAGTCTGTACCAGATGCATGAATCCAATCTTCCCTGTTTCCATAGCCCCAGGATGCGCCGGTCGTTGGTTGACGGCTGCGTCCACTTGTTCTTTCTGCCTTCCCGGATGATCTTGATTGTTGCTTGTATGCACATGGCTTGATCTAGCATAGCCTGCGTGTTTTGATTGACGGGCGGTGTCTCTCCTCCGCTCGTGTCTATACTATTGGCCCCGGTTGGTGATGTTTTTAATAAACTGTTTTATCTGGATTGGATTGCAGATTTGCTGGACGAGTCCTCGGTTTGTTTGTACCTAGGCAGAGCATCATAGATATTGTTCCTGTTTCATACTTCGTGTTAGATCCGGTGTAGACATGGCGATATTAGTTTGGTAGTGCCACTCCACCACTTCAATTTATAACTGAACCAACAGCCTTCCGTACTGCTAGAACAAATAATGATGCAGTTTCCTCCCTTCTGTCTCAGTGTCTCAGTAGTCTCCATTCCGTCTTCTTGGGTTTCAGACTAAGTCTCCTTTCCTGTCGGCTAGATGGTTTTTGTTTAGATAGCCGATGGCTATATAGATATCTCCTGTTTTCCTGTTTTCCTTCGGGTCCAGAGATCGATAGGTTGATAAGATTTTGCTCTTTCAAATTTGCTTGCTTCACTTGCGTCAAGGCCCTCTCAAATATCTTTTTTCCTGTTCTTGTAGCCGCCGTCTGCAGCCCGTTTCGTTGGTTTATGCCCCTCCTTGGCTAGCGATTAGCGCCGTCCAACTGGCCCCAGTTAGCCTGGCGAGGCAGTGCGACTTGGGCGGCTAAGCCAAAAATTCCAAACACAAGATGAGCACTATTCTCTCTTCCCACGAAGGGGCCTTTCAGTCCCTCGTTACATCCCCTCTATACATCAAGGACCAGAACCATGGCTGATCCCTTCTCCACCGCCAGCGGCGCAATCGGAGTAATCTCCCTCGGCCTGCAAGTAACCCAACAACTAATAACATACTGCCAAGCCTACCGAAGCTACGACGAAGATGCGCAAAGGATGGAATCCAAAGCCGAAAGTCTCCGTAGACCGCTTCGCGCCCTGCGCGAGATCATTGAGGATGCGCAGGTATTCAACCCAGAGCTTGCGGCTGATCTTTCGGAGAAGACGTTGGGGTTGCAGAGGATGGTTGATAGGCTTAAGATGGCGATTGATAGGTATTTGCCTGCTATCCCGGAGAAGTTTCCGGGGAGGATTAAGGGGCAGTTGAAGAAGGTTGTTTATCCTTTTCGGAAGGATGGGCTTAGGGAGATGTTTGAGGATTTGGATGGGATTCAGAATGCTTTGCACACTACGTTGAGCATGTGAGTGTTTTATAAACGTTGCTGTGTGATGGTGGGATATGGACTAATCGTGCTCTATAGACATTCGACGCTGAAGATGAATAAGTTGGGGTTGATGCAGGAGGCTATTCTTGAAGAAGTGCAGCAGATTGTATGATTATCTACCCCGGCGTTCTGGGTACGGTATGATGCTGATTGGATCTATAGCGCGTTACCCTGCAAGAGTATCCCGAGGGAATGCCACCACCGGCCCTACTCAAATCATGGTGTGACAGTCAATTTGGTTATGCAAACAAGTCAGTGACGGAGACCCAGATTACAACACGGACATCAGGCTCAGAACTCGCTATCACGACATCCTCTGGATTCTCTGACCTCGCAATCTCACCTTATAAGACAAAATCCAACGATAAAGAAGAAGCCACTGCAAAGTCATTCAGATACCTTAGCTCTCTACTTAGAGTTGCCGTTACTGCGTCTTTCTCACTGTCGAAAGGGGCCGGCGGATTCTCCATAGCACCCTCCTTAAGTGTACAGACCATTCTGAAGTATAACGGGAGCATGCTTGAATTACAATTTCGTCGACATTTGAACATGGGAAAGAGGACGACTGCTGGGTTCAATGAGGTAGTCGACAATTGCATTCGCCATCTCCAACATGAGTTTTCTGCTGGGAAGTCAAAGCCGTCGGATATTTTCTATTTCGATGACGGTCCGCGGGAGTATAGCATGACATCTTATGTGGATGTAGACACGAGCTCACACTTTTTATCGGAATCACGCTAATTATTTATAGGGGCTGGTAGTATTTGCTACAGCAAATACCCGGAATCAGCTTCCAGGCTTGATTAAGCTTACGAAATTCCTCATCGACAATGGCGCCAGGCCAAACAATACTTTCAGTCAAGGAGCCCTGAGGGGGTTGCTTCGCTTTGCAAGATTTCAAGAAGAAGAGTACGCACTGGCTTCATATCTTGTTGATCACGGGGGTCCCTGTACCCTGGACGATGGAACTCTGAACCATATCGAGCGATATAATGTAAAGTATATCCTCGCTAGAGACAAAGAGCGTACGTATCCTGACGCACTCATTGCCTTGATTCTCACTGGCCCGAAGGCTGATCTGGTCTCCAGTTATCATTGTCCCAGAAATTGTAAAGATCATATTCCAAGAATCGGAGCAGAAATTGCTTTCCGGCCTACAGTCTGGCCTCATCCTTCCTAATGACAAATTTTGCGGACGTTCTTTACTCCATATAGCATTTGGATGGCCAGGAGGTATGAAGATCCTTTTGGATGCCGGTGCGACTATTGGTGGGGGAACCTTGATATCATTCTGGGGTTGCCCCAGTTCCGTCACCGAGGAAAACATAGAGTTTGATGGGTTTTACTATTCGAACAAGCTCCTCTTGGAAAGAGGTTGTGGATTGAAGGTCACCGACTTGTATATTGCTGCATCGCCAAAGTTACTATCACTTTTTGGTAATGAGCTTGCCAAGCGACGATGGAGACTTTGGAAACTGGCCGAATCGTGTCTTCCTGAAGATGAATTGCCCGTCCTCGATGCACCCGAAACGGCAGTCTCTGACATGAATGCCGCCCGAATTTGCGCGGCGCTAACTGCCCGTGACAAAATTGTTGATCCTCCGCTTATGGTCAAGAGCTCCTATGTCTCTGTCTATCATGATATGGAATTTCGATTTAGAGTGATGGAGGAGTTGTTGAAAGTGGGATTCAAGAACTTCGATACCCCAAATGAATTTGGCGTAACACCCTTGATGGAAGTTTATAACTCACTCAACGACGGATGGCAGGGCGTTGAGAGAATGTTGTGGCTGCTCTCCAAGGGAGCAGATATCACTCGCGACTTACCTCTGTCAAACGCGAAGACTGCACATCTAATTACGGTTCAAATCGTCGGTTTTCTTCTCGGTATATTGGGATTTCGAGCGCCCGAAGATATTCCTACTTGGTGGGCACGCTGGGAAAATAAAGTTTCCAGCCACAGAAAGGAACTCTTTCCTTATCCTTCTATCATTGACGGCTGTCAATGTGCTTGCTGCCCTCACGGATGCTCTATTATCTCGGTGGCTTTACGACAAGTGCTTGGCTGGGACTACTGGTTTCGGGTTTCAGAGCCATCGTATTGGCTTCGACGATTGCTATGTTTCATTATCGGATGGGTAGATATAGGCCCGATCATGAGCCGGAGTGTCATCAGAAGTCTAACTTTTGATGCGCTGGGTCTCAAACACACGTGTTGTATTGAGATCGATGGTGTAGCTTGGCTCAGCGACAGAAAGACGGCAGATGAAATGGAGGGTCGAGAAGAGGATGAAATTGCGGAGATCCGAGAAGAGAGCGTGAGAGGGATTGAAGAGCTTGAACAGCTCGTGCTTGACTTGGAAGCAGCATTTGCTCGGCTTGGCCTTCCTTTAATCGAGTTCCTCGAGGGCTACTGGCATACTCGCATGGTTGAACATCTCCTCAAGCGTGATCCTTATAATGAGGAACACGACCGAGAGGCAAGAAATCTAGGGGTGATCTTGCAGGTGCAAGATGGGGAAGACTTGGACAGAGTTTCTCTGCTGATTGGTGCTCAAGTTAAGGAGATTGTGGAATGAGCTCGACGATGGCATCAAGTTTGAGTCATGATGCAGAAATAATAGGAAATTCAGCATAATAGGAAATTAAATACTTATAACCACCTAACTCGTAGGTACCTACTAGTTAGGTGGTTAGTATTGATAATCTATAGATCAGTCATCCGATCCGCGCCCAGAACCGATCCAATTCGTAAGCAAGCACGCCATCACCACATTCTGCCACTCTCACCCGCCCAACCTCCTTTCTCCTCCGACCCTCAAACAGCACGTCAATTGGACAAATTGATACGAAAAGGTGCATCAGACCGTGACAAATCCAGCATGCTTTTTGTGAGTTTATACACACCGCCCAAATTTCCCTATCAAAGATGCCCTGGACGCTACTAGATGGCTCCAGGGGGCGGTTTATTCATCCGCGCCTGGCTCTTAGCTAAGCTAGGTTGGCCCGGCCAGTGGGAACGTCATCACCCTATAAAATCCGAACGCCCCTCCATCGGCTTGCCCCTCTTTCAATTTTAAAGCTCACAGTACCTTCTCTCTTACAGAAGCCTTCCACCTTGACTCGCCTTTCGGCTCCTCTATCTCGCTTCTCTGTCGCTCAGCGTACCTTTTCATCTACTCCAATTTCCCGCTTCTCAAATTCATCCTTCAAAATGGGCGTTACTCTGATCAAGTCGTGAGTTTTCCTCCGTTAGCCCAAATGAGAACCTCGTCAATTTCTGGCTTCAAACCGAGCTTCAGGTGGAAGTTGTGCTGACCTATAATCTTCTTGTGTATAGTGAGAAAGAGTGGGAGGAGCTCGTCGAGAAGAGCAATGAGCCCGTCGTCGTCGATTTCTTCGCCACCTGGTGCGGTCCCTGCAAGGCCGTCGCTCCCATGGTCGAGAAGATGAGCGACAGCCACACCTCGGTCAAGTTCTACAAGGTCGACGTTGACGAGCTCAGCGAGGTCGCCGGGAACAACGGCATCTCCGCCATGCCCACCTTCCTGTTCTACAAGGATGGCCAGAGGATCGATGACCTGACCGTTCGCGGCGCTCAACCCAAAGCTATCGAGCAGGCTGTCCTTAGTATTTCCGCTTAACTTCGGATATGAAATAATTCGACCTTTTCTAATTTGCTCGATATGGAGAAATAAAAGAAATGATATCCGGCCTGGGGCCTTCTTTTTGTATCCTAAAGATTTCTCAATTTATATTTATAGATGTTGATCATACTTGGTTTTCTGGGTTCTTCTTAAGGCAACTAATCGTAGACTGATCGGAATGATTAGAATTGGTATAGTTGCCTCTACGCGAATCATTGCGTCGCACAGGCGATGGCTTGCATCCTGCAGGCGGAGATCACAATCCCCACCGGATCTTTTTGACATGTTCTCCGCATATTCTGTGTCAACCTTGGCAGTGGACAAAGTTCGTTGAGTTAGTTACTCAGTAGTACGATGACATGTGTCTCCAGCGCATAGATTATGAGCTATCGAATAAGCTTACATCCAATGACGACATGGAGCTTAGGATTGCCACGAGATTAAAATTTCCGAGTCACCTCGAGTCTAGGGCTGCATAGTTGCCTTGATTTTGACAGAGGCAAGGTACGAGGGCTTCTCGAATTACACTTTGACCGTTTTCTGTCTGATGTATGGCATGCACCCGATCTACAGACACATGGCGACATGGCAGTTTGATGATGCATGATACTACGAGTACCGCATATAGTGATAATCACGGGAATCACACACTTGTGGAGGAATACCAGGCCTAATAAAGGAATAGGTTCTAAAGATAGATCTTGTCTACACCAAGTATCTTCTCTGGTAAAGCGAACGGAGTAGAACTAAAGCCCGAGTTGAGACCGAATCGGGGAGACAGAAACCCTTAGATAGGGTAACTAGATAGGGTAAAAACATCCAAGAGACTGCAAAAGCAAAAGTGGCCGACCTACACCCGTAGAGCAATTGCCAGCGCTCGGTGAGATCCCAATTGATGATCTATCAAGTAAGAATCTGACGAAATCTTCGGTGGCGGTTCCTATTTTGGACTATTCTGCAGACAAAAGCACCAGCCACTGATCGCGTGTTCTTAAGAAAGAGCCAAGAGATTCAATCCTGCACTTGACATATCTAAAGGGTTTCAACCAAGTCCCGCAGGAGTGAACATCGTGGAGCAAGTCCACCCGAGAGTCAGTTGCCATGTGGTTGACACGCCGGCGTCTCTCGCTTCCACTCATCCACATCCCCACCTCTGCCTTGGCGGAGATTCTACGTATCGACAGCCTTGACTCTGCCACTCCGGAGAGCGGAACGCGCTTGAAAAGGAAACCACGGACATCTAAAACCGCCCGAAGACCCGACAGGTCGCGAACTTGTGAATTTGCGACCCGGTTGAGTGGGTTTTGGGATTTCGGCTTGAGCCGAGCGAACATGTTCGGTCCATGGACTTGATCAACCTCAAAGTTAGAAGGATTCGTTTGCTCAGAAGGGCAGCCCAACGAGGCCATGCACGATGGATCAGATCCGATCAATCCAGCTTATTCCATCACGGATTGATAAAATGGGAAACCAAGCCCGAACTATTGGGCGTCAAGCCATGGACCAGCCAAAACATCCTCCTCCACCACAACCTCAGCCAGTCCCCGCTCGCGAGGTGAGATCGATGGCATCAAGAAAAAAAAAGAAGAGAACCCTGCGCCACCAGAAGTGGCCCTATCAGGCTTTGTGGATGGGAAAGACTTTGAAAGTTTGAGTGGATAGCCCACAGGGCTAACCGATTGCCGGGTAAACTGATTGAAGGGACCTGATTGACCAAGGGCTTGCGCGTGAAAATCTGCTTTTCTTGTGCTAATGAATTGACCGAGGCATGACCGAGACTACGTCTGTCAGTGGATTCCCAAAATTTGGTAACGCTTCTCGATTCGCGCCCGTTATTGTACGACTTTGGGGGCTCTGCCGGTCGGAAGGCTTCCACGCTCAGGAAGAAAATTCCCGATCGACATGTTCCATTTCCAGCCAGTTTGGACACGCTAAACGGGAGCTTTACCCTCGTTGTGACTGATCGTCGCGGGCAGCCTTGACTTGCATATCCGGATGAACGGTGCAGGCGATAGAGAACGACAAATGGGCGCATCATCATTGCCAGGAATCCAGTCTTCTCATTCGGCATCTTTGAGTGGATCCGCTCTGTATCGACGCCATGAGCGATTGGGAGCACGGCGCAGCTGAAGCTGAGGTGTTAGTCCCTTCGTTGCCCCCGACAAGCCGCCCCAATTAATCAATTCATCGGAGGGGCCGGAAACACGGCCACAGTGTCCGCTATTCCCTGCTCATCGCTTAGGAGTCAATACAAAAACAAACCATCTCATCAAAAGGAAATCCCTGCTAGCTCGCGCTACCTGGTGTATTTGAGTTTGCAGGAGCTCCCAAATGCAACAATCACATTATGGCGCCGGAGACCCCTCTCTCGTCAAATGGCCGACGATGCACAGACACTGCATCTTGAGCACTGGGTCCATTTTAATACCGTGGAGAGTTCTGATACGCTCCTTCATCAGGCCCCGCCCCATCGTTCCTTACCCGCTACGATCCGATCTAGATCAATTCCCATTTCAGTTCAGCGAATGATAGACTGCCTCATGCACGACCGAAGTCGTCCTCGGGTGGAAAATCCCCTCTGATTTCTTCCTTTCTAAACCCCTCCTCCTCCAGAGGTCCTAAAAGACCCTTTTCCTTGGCCCGTGTTAAACGATATCCTTCTGGGATGGGAGATCACATCGATCAATCTGAAACTTTGTTGCCCTTTCGTTCCACCGGCCACACCTCTGGAAGGTGCCCGGTGGACAGCCCTCGGTACTCCACCGACAAGACAAGCACGACAGGCATGTGTGGATAATACTATACATGCGTCGGTACTTCCGTAGTTCCACGCGAAAAAGAGTCTCACGGGGACGCTGTATGCACCAACCAAAATGTGGAGACCTATCTGCATTCTAGATCGGATATCGTTGGCCCACGGTGTAAGAAGTTATTTGTCCGAGTATTGCATTGTACTAGCTTTGACTTTTGGCGCTGGGTCCAGGCTTGCGATGCGAGATAACCCCGGTCAGCCTAGTAGTGGAGGCCTGCTTTGAGGAGTGTGTTTCCAAGTCAATTTATTTTATAAGATACCACCGGCCAGCCTGTTTGGGTCGAAAATTAACCCGTCTTTATGGTGCTGCACGCTCGTCGCTCCTTTCCTTGATTTCTACTGATCTTCCACTATCATTACTATCTTTTGATATTTCGCTGCGATTTATCTCCTTCATGTTTTAGCATAATTTCCCCCCTCTCTCTCTCCCCCACAGTCGACTGCGACTATTTCCCCTCCTTGTCTCGCCGCAGCAAGGTCGACCCTCTTCAGCCAATGCTCGCCTTGTAGCTCGTTTATCTACGCCGGTATCCAATATGTCGAGTCATAATGCGACCCCTATGCACGTCTCGTACCTGGCAGGGTATATCTTCCTGTCATACGTGATTAGTTCGATGGGATGCGCGACGACACTGGAGCTTCTGCATCGAAGGACGTCCAGATCGGGTTTCTATAACTGGTATGATATGTCTCGCTTTCGGATAAATTATTTGGCATAGCTGACAGCAATGGAAGGTATCTACTATTAACCTCATCTATTACAATGGGCGGTATTGGAATCTGGTGCATGCATTTCATCGGAAACAGAGCCATTGTCCTCGGTAATGGATCGCAGGAAATTCAGATTCTCTACAATGTCGCCTTCACCGGAACGTCGTTCGTACTTCCAGTCATCGTGCTTCTGACGGCATTTTACTCCGTCGGCGTCGAAGAGAAAGCCGGTTATCTGCGTATCTTGCTGGGTGGATTGTTGACTGGAAGTTCCGTGTGCGGCATGCATTATGTGGGACAACTGGGTATCGCCAACTACAAGTGCTCCTATGCTGTCGCCAACGTGGTCGGGTCTGCCATCATTGCTGTTTTCTCCAGTACTGTGGCTTTGGGCATCTTTTTCCGATGGAGGGCGACTTGGACGGATAGCTGGTGGCGACGAGGGATCTGCGCTTGTTTCCTTTCGGCTGCCGTGTCGGGAATGCATTGGACAGCCGCGGTAGGAACTTCCTATCGAGAGCGCGATGTGTCGATTCAGCATGGCACTCAATTGTCCCGCAGTCAGGTTGTTATCATCTGCGCTGTGCTGGTGAGTCTCAATGCATCTAACTGAAGGAGTAGGCATGAATGGCAACTAACAGTCTTTATAAGGCCTGCGTCTCTTGCGTGATTCTGTCCGCCTGTGCCATCGTTGCCGGTGGCAATCGACGACGATCGACTACTCGTGCACACCAACTCGTCCTCGCCTGTGCTTACTTCGATCCAGCGGGACGTGTGATGGTTACACCACAAGCTCTTCTACCGACACGAAAGATTGTCGATCACTACATTGGCCGAGTATGCTTTCAACTTTCTTAGGCTGCAATAATATCCATCTAACGTGATTCCAGACCTTCAAAGATGACGACCTCACTCGCACTCATCCTACCTTTCTATGGGCTTTCAGGGCTAGCCGTAACTGGCCTGTCGTAAAAGACCTGATCCCCTTCATGCGAAACCGACTCGAATCCGAAGAACAAGCCATCCAAAAACACGTCTTATCCCGTGGAGTTGTCATGGACAAGGAGACCGAATTACAAACGGATTTTGATACACTCTTCAAGCAGCTCTTCTGTGTAACCGCCCAGGAACTTTCAGACGAACTTCGCCAGCCGCTTTCTGATCTGGGAACCCTTTATGACAATGTGCTGTCCACCGCCATCCCCGTCTCTCGACTATCCCGCGCTATGGGCCGCTCATCGCTGCGAACTGGTAAAGGTCAATTGATATTTAGTGTTCGACAGCTACAGAAACATGAAGCCAGTCGCTTCTCCTCGCTGGGATTCCGATTCGCAACTATCGAACACGTTACATCGACGTTGTCCCGCCGTATTCACGTTCCCGAAGCGAGTCTCGTAGAGCACCTCCGTGATATGCGCGATTATGCCAGCTCGAGCCGTGGCTTTGGAGAAGGTGTGCATCTCATCTCTTATGTGATGCGACCTACGGTTCAAGATCACTTTGAAATTCTCACCACCAAGGGAACTGGAAACCCACTCCCTTCTGCAACGCTTCCAATGAAGCGTCTCTCTGTTCAACATCTCGACCTTATTTCCCATATGGAAGGCTGGTCCATGATTACATGTCTGAAATACCTGCAATCAAAAGCCGCCCAACAAACCGATAGAAACATGGAAACATTCCGCGAGAACTTGGTGCACGGCATCATGACGCTCGCCAAATCATTCCCAGACGAGATGCGCTCAGCTGCTACATTCTCGTCTAGACCTCTTCTCGCCCCCTGCCGCACTGCCCTTCGACGATCCGAAGAGAGCCAGCACGCTCCCCAATGTACCCTCCTTACATTCTGCGTTGTTGCCCCTCTCGACACCCAAGTACCAAACCCCGACTTCACCTTCACCCCATTCCGTCTCTTCCGCGTACAGCAGCAAGTCAACGACGTTATCGCCGATCGAGACGGGTTCTCTCGCGAGCTAAACCAGGAATTCTTCTGCACGGATGTCCGCTCGAATTCCTCCGTCACCGAATCAGACGTAATGTCGACAACGCGCTCGGCTATTCTAAAACTCTGGCCCTCGCGTAAACACGTTGCACCTCCTGCTTCGGGTCACTCCCAGGAATCACTCGTCGAAGCCACCGTTCTGGGCGATATCACCGTCCAGAAAGAGGTTCGCGTCGATGTCACTCGGATCAATGAGAATGCTGCGCAGAACATGGGCCATTCCCATGATGCAGTCATTGCTGCTGGAGACGCTATTACTACTCCCGCGACGTATGTCGATGAATTGTATAGTCTTTGCTATGCGCCGGGTATCCGCCTGCGGCCAGATCCGTCATTGCACGCAATGGCCGCGGCTCGTATCTCTGAAACGTCATGATTCTACATCTCCTATTTTGATTTCTTTTACTGGCGTTGGTGGGTGGGAAATGCCCAGGTTGATTGGATATAGCCTGCTACTTTGGTTTTCTTATGTCGTTACGGTACGCATTCTGTTTGCGCAATTGGCCTGTCTATTGGAATGGAAGGCCTTGTATATAATACCAATTTCCTCTTTGTATATGATTAATTACCTTGAGCTCTGAGATCTTGATGTATGAGTAATATACTGTGATTACAACTGTCTCTTTAGTGATACACAACCTCTTCTCAATTAGCCGCGTACAACAACGATCATTACTGCCCCGCGTCTCCACATGCACACCAAAACCAGACCAAAAAAGTTAAGAAGAAAAAAAATCAAATGCCAATCGCTCAATGCAAAAATCATATACTCCTGAAACACAGCCACATGCAAGGCACCCCCCACAAGCAGGGATGTCGATCCCGAAACGGGCAGGATGGGCGGGTCTTTCAGCCGCGCCCACGCATCGCACTTAATATACTCGGCTCAGCTCGGCTCACACGCGTTGCGCAGATTACGTCGCATTGGGGTCCGCGCGCTCCAAGAACGTGGGATCCATATCAATGCGTCGCTCGAATTTGGTCCACCAATCCCGGAAGCTTTTCAAAGGGACCACCTCGTGGCCCTTGTGAGCAGGATCGCTCTCGGCAAAGCTGGCGAGGAAATTGAATGCGCTGCCGATGATCCGCTGCGCTAGCATCTTGGTTGAGATCTGCTTTTGTTGGCGCTGTTCGGGGGTTTGGAGGGTTAGCGCGGTGGAGGTGGATGCGCGCTCTGCTTCTAGCGCTGAGAGCTGAGGCGCGATGTTCTGGATGGGCTCGATTGAGATTCCTAGCGTTGCGATGCCGTTTGAAGGGATTGTGTTGCCTGCGGAGCCTTCGTCGAGCATCGCGTCTTCTTGTTCGGCTTCGCTGCGGCTGAGGCCATTGTTTGCTTGTGAAGGTGCTTGGATCTTGAAGATGCCGGAGGGTTTCTCGTTTGCTAGCGCGCCGATGAAACGGAAGTCGGTTGGGTTGCCCGTGTTTGGGTCTGGCAGCTGGATGTAGATCGCAGCGCCGGTGTTTGGTGGGAGGACTGTGCCGGGGAGGAGGAAGACAACGAGTTCGGCGAAGGATGGGCTGAGAGGGAGTGTGAAGGCAAACTTGGTTGCTTGGCCGTTTGGTTGGCTGTCGACGGCGACAATGTCTGTCAGACACGGCCGGCCGGGGATGACGACGGAGAACATGGGTGGCAGGTCAATTTTATGGGTGATATAGAGCTGTATAGTAGGTATCAAGACGGATTGGTGAGGCCTTGGGAGGTATAGCAAGGCCCTCTTTCTAGCAGGTTCGAACAAAGGGCTTCGGCGGAATGCAGATTGGATGATGCCGGTGACATAAGGAGGGGGAAAGCTGCCCTTATCGCGACGATAAGGGCTTGGCATCGGCGGACGGAGATTCTCCGCTGTCTACCCCTCGGACCTTCTTGCATACAGTACATACAGGCCCTGTAGAAGATTGAGAAGATGGCCAAGTCCAACCTGGATCTGATTCGCGAATGCGATAAGTACTGAACCCATCTTTATATCTACCCTGCTGCCGATCTCTTGTCTTATACAACGCCCAGCTTCCCCTATTACGAGGATAACCGCGTCGCTTACACCGAGAACCTCAAGAAATACCATGCGTTCCGCGTCTCTGGTTACGATGTCACACTGGGATATATCCTGAACACAGTTGTGGAAAAGTTCCCCTGGTCAAAGGAGATCTGGGAAGTCGACTCTGCAGCCCAGACAGTCACCCTCCTCACGTCGGCAGACGCCGACCCCGCACATCGCAGCGAGCTCGTTGCCCAGAGTATCGCTGAGGCTGTCAAAGCGGATTGCTTCGAGGTTCTCAGAGGATGGCGTAATGAGAAGTACCCCGTCTATGGACCCGGTGGTGAATACCTGCTGGAGATGGAGCGAAGCGCGACACCGCTGTTCGGTATTGTCTCCTACGGCGCCCATATGACCGGATACGTTGAGGATGCGACAGGCTTGAGGTTCTGGATCCCCCGACGTGCAAAGAACAAGCAGACATATCCCAGTATGCTGGACAACACCGTCGCGGGAGGAATGTGTACCGGCGAGAAGCCATTCGAATGTATCGTTCGTGAGGCCATGGAGGAAGCCTCCCTCCCCGAGTCGGTTGTACGCGCTTCCATTGTCCCAGTGGGTTGCGTAACATATACTCATGTGCGGGACCCTCGTGCTGGCGGAGAAATTGGCCTCCTGCACCCAGAGGTGGAATACGTCTACGACCTGAAGCTCGATCCTTCGGTTATTCCCAAGCCATGTGATAACGAGGTCGAGGAATTCAACCTGCTTTCGGTGGATGAGGTCAAGGAGGCAATGGCTCGCGGTGAGTTCAAGCCAAACTGCGCGATCATCATCCTTGATTTCTTCATTCGCCATGGTATTTTGACCGCCGAGAATGAGCCGGATTATCTGGACATTATGGCGCGCTTACATCGTCGTATGGAACACCCAACGGCATCACATTGCATGAAATAGAGTATGGACATAAGCCCGGTCTTGTAATTTACCCCGATTTGGCGCATGAGCTAGGCACTCTCAAGCGCCTTGAAATATTGCATGATGACTTGTTACGTATAGTTGCTGTACAAAGTCAGACCCAGCATTCAAGATTTCTAGGTCAAATGCATATTACCAAGAAACAAAGACATCATGTCTTTAAGAGTTGGTAGAGTCTCCAGAAAATTTCTATAGAATTTACTTCCCTGTACATGGTATGTTAATGTCGCCCTAGGTCAGCACTCTTCGTGTGGTATGGATGCTGGATCAGGCGCAGCACTTAAGTACGGTGCAGGAAGTACGCTTCAAAGCTGTCAATATGGAGCAATGAGCCTCATAATAAGCTATCCCGGGCACAGTGTGTCACCTACCATAAAGTCAATACTGGGTAGAACTGCAGCCAGTAGTCCAGGGTATCACTCTTTTTAACAAAGATCCACTCAGTAAACAAGCAATTCACTTTGGCTACCCTGCAGAATCCTATTCGTCCTCTGTGATAGAATATCGCAAAAGAGGGAAAGAGCCACCATGTGATTTCGTTTGTACATTCCTGGAATTTCCCTTCATCGTTTATACTTGAACCTCTCTCCCCCGCAACCTTCCTCCGTGGTTCGCCATCTCTCACTTCCTCGACTTTCCTCTCCTCTCTCTAAGACACGGTGCCCACAGGCTCTGCAAATAAACCCTTCACTCTCAGACTTCAAGTGTCTGAAAAGAAACTTGGGAAAATGGAAAGGTCTGAGGGTCGTGCAAAAATGCCAGTATCATCCTTTCAAAGCTTTGGCTATTTCTAACGAGGTATGAAGTCGTGACCGTCTGGAAGTTGCTTGGAGGGATGTGGAGGAGGCCACAAAAATTGCAAATTCTCCGTCCATTTCTGTCGGAATCATCCATGGCCCTGACAAGACACCAATCTTTCGAAAGAGCTACGGCCTTCGGAACTGTGAAGCCAAACTCGAAGCCGACGAAGACACTTCCTATGTTATTGGCAGCTGCTCGAAAATGATCACCTGCACGGCTATCGGTATCCTAGTCGCAGACAATCGACTGGCGTGGGATGACCTGATTCGCAAACACCTTCCTACCTTTGACCCTGTCGGAGATCCAACGATTGGAGAGAAAGCAACCATAATCGACGTATGCCGGCACTCTACTGGCCTTGGTAATGCCTCCGCAATTCTCGCGGGCCCTGGAGGCACGATCTGCAACAAGGCCGATGACCACATTGCTCTCGTCAATGCTCTTCCTACCGAGAATAAGTCTGGTCAGAGATTCCAAAAGGACTGGTGGTACAGCAACGTTGCTTTCGGGTTGCTGGCACAAATCATCGAGAAGGTTTCTGAGATGCCGTTTTCTGAGTTCTTACAGAAGCGAATCTTCCGGCCACTGCGAATGTCCCACACAAACGTCATGGAAAATGATTCAGAAACTGACGCAAATATCGCCTTGCCCTACGTTCGCCTGTCCGATAGTACATGGTCTAAGGTAGAGACCTGCAAGACATCAAAAGATCACGGGCCGGTACTAGCCAGTTTCGCAATGCGCAGCTCAGTCAACGATATGCTTGCCTTCATGGCGGCTGTCCTGAATCAGTACAACGAGGAGCGCCAGTTGGATGTCCTGCAGCCTCTTGTCAACGCCAGATCTACAAATCCACTGCGGCAGATTGGACCCATGTGGAACTACTGGTGGACAAGACCGGTAGACGACGGCTATGAGAATAACTCTGCTTACACCTTGGGCTGGTACCGTACCACGATGCCCACTGCTGCCCTGGGCATCTGGTCCTACAACCGATCCGGAGACATCAACAGGTCTTACCTTAATGCGAGCACTATTCTCGGCAAAGAGTCCACAAAGCGCACTCTGTACGGCCATAATGGCAATACCAACGGCTTCGTCGCAACAGCTTACGTTTTCCCCGATGATCGAACCGCTATTGTTGCTCTGAGCAATGCTGTCAGTGCGGGAGATGCAGCGGAAACAGCGTCTCGAATCATGTTACAGGCTCTGTTCAACCTCAGGCCTCGAGTCAGTTCAATTCAGCCATTGCGAGACTATCGGGATCGCTCGCTTCGGACTCACGCATGGATGATAGGTGACTGGCGGCGGGGTCGTGATACATCGCGACTCACTGGCGCTTTAAAGGACTTCATCGGGACATACGTCGGCCTGAATACGGTACGCATCAGTATCTTAGCTACCCAGAGTGACGACAGTACCAACAAGCCCGTCCAGCTGGCTGTGATATTTGGCGACAATCCTGCCTCGCAATGTGCGTTAGAGCCTTACAATGCTGATATGTTGAGCTTTCTGCCTATGGATCGGGACACTTTGCTTTCCCTGAGGTATGCTTGCTTGGCACCATTGCAAAATGGGTATCTTTGAATTTGTTAGAGATGAGGACGATGGAACAGTAGCTGGGTTCTATTGGCAATGGGATTCGTACGAGTACCCGTCATTGTGGGTGAGAGACCAGGCGGGCATGGGTCCACAGCAGATTCAGGAGGTGCTTGACAAGTTTGGTCAGTTTCGTGTAGGAAACTAGACCTCGTCGAATGCCCTATGAGCTTGGAGTAGTGAACCCCCGTGAGATCTGGTATCTGTCAAGTTAATATCATGTTATGCGATAGTTTTACAACAATATGAATCATATCTCAAAGCCTGAATTCCTCCGCAGCAAAGCCGGGCAAGAACGAATAGGCAAGTAATACTCTATTCTGACACCAACGCCTAAAGAATTATATTGCGCACTGGAAGTGATAAATTCTTTCAGGGCCTCAGAGAGGAGTTCTTGAACCCGTATCTAATGTGATCCTAGAAAATAAGAGAGGTGATTAGAATAACATTTAGGAATGTCTCTAAAAAGAGAGAAAGTCCTAATTTAGCTTACCAGATTGGTTCTCAGCTCAGGCCTTTGTATATATACTTCTGAACTGTCGCTGTAGAAGCGACGCGCAATCTCGTATTCAGAGTTCAAGCGATCGCTTAACAGAGGCAAGCTTCGCAATATCCGTTTGATTGGGCCTGCCTGGCAATTAATATGAGAGTTATCATTTAGTCAAGGTATGCGACTGATATTGTGTTGTTAGTAGTCTGAGCCCTGAAAAGATAACATAGGTGATTGGTGGTATTTTTGGGCTTTAGCAAGCCTTACCTATGTGGGCTTATAATCAAAGAGTCTGACCTCTAACCTTTTCACATCAAGTGACGCTCCGAGAAGGGCGTAGCCTACTCAAGGCCTTTGGATTGCTGCTACGGCTCCTTTTACTGTATAAATCAAGGCCCCGCCGTGGAATTGAGAGCCGCATCCTGAACCGTTCGTTCGATTCATATACACTATCAACATGTTCGCGATCAAGTCGACGTCACTGTTGACGGCGCTGATCAGTGCTTCGGTTAGCGACGCTCTAGTACAGGTACCAACATCTATGGAGGTTGACATTGTATTCCCTCGCCCTAATGGACGCTATGCAAGAACGGACCATTTCCCATTTCCCCGTTGTTCTCGCGATCCAGAACACAGCTGCTGCGTTCGAATTCGGTTACGGTTTCTCGTGGCTTATAGTCCCTGCCGATCCGGATGCGTTCGGTATTGAAGGTCAAGGAGACATCTTTGTCGTGGAGGAGACTTCGCCACCATCAGCAAATTCTTATATCCAAACCAACTACACAGCCGGGCTGGACGTCGGGCAATGGAATCTGTCTTGGGCCTTGACTAACGCCAGAACTTGTGTGGATGCTAGCATGTTTGTGGATGAGACTTTTTTCACGACGATCAATAATGGATCCTTCGCGTTTACTATTGCGGATGGTGCTCCAAGCCCCAGTCCACTTGGCGTTGTCAGTTACAGCACCGTTGAGACTTACTCTGTCGTCAGTGGGTACAATATTTGTCTAGTGACTGCGTCCGTTGCCCCGTCGCCGAGTCCTTGCAGGGTTACAATCGACGATGCGCAAGAGAACAGTATATACAAAACGCTGGATCTCTCTGTCATCATTGCTGCCACAACGACATCTTCGAGCTTGAGTACGACGCAAACTGCGACGTACAAAGTGGCAACCACATCGCAGAAAAGCAGCATGACTGCTACTTCAGCTAGCTCTACACTGCAATGATCAGCCTCTACCTCCAAGCCAAATATCGGTACTATCAAATCATCCTCGATAGGATTCCTCATAGCAATGGCTTTTGGTGTGGTGATGGGCTTGGTAGTGGTATGACTTGGACTCTTTTATATTCAAAGTTCTCGGGAGAGCAACCTTACTTTATGCCCGTCAAACAGTCTTAGAGCAGGAATTTCAAGTCGTATAATATGTATCATTCCGAGGGATGAATGCTGCTGACTCCCAGTTTAAATCATCAATCCGTTCAGACCCCAAAGCCTAAACACCTAAAGGCTCATTAGAGCAAGTCTTGATACCCATAACCATCGTTCAAAATTTGAACAATTGTGATACTCAAGTGAAGATCGAATTTTATTCACGATCATCTATTGGTACACCCAAATCAGAATGCAAAAAAAAACGCCAGCGCTGCACAACCCGATAAAGAGATAAATAACAGAAGAAAATCTGCCCCAGATTGAGTAAATCTCAGAAATTTTCCTTTGATCTCGAGGATAAAATAACTCGAGACTCAGCAGCCTCTCACCAATGCAATAAAGACGAAAAAGGCGACCACCGCTCGCTTATTTCTTCAGGAGCAGGTAGACGTGATCGATCCGCAGGGGGTTGGTCTTGTTGTAAGGTCCGACCAGGTAGAGAAGAAGACCACCGAATGAGGCAAAGACAGCCCTAAATAGCAGTTGTCAGTACTTTCTTGCGAATCAAATATCATTTCCGGAATGAACCCACATTGTATCCTTCTCTTGGCCCTCCGCAAACCGGTAGACCTTGCCGTGGCAGACATAGTCGTAGTCATCGGCGAGACTAGGCTCGCCATTGCTGACCTCGCGCCAGCTTGTGCGGTTGTCCTCCTTGCCGTCGAGGGAAAGAGTAGAGGCAATAGCCATAGACACCGATTCACCAACGGCGCATGGGTAGAGCTCGGTGTTCACATCGAGGGTGAAAGTGATAGAATTGTCACGGTTCTCACATTCAAGACGCGAGACGCGATCGTATTTTTGGGCGTTGATCGAGTTGATCGTGAAAGTGTCTTCGAACAGGACTGGGTCGGACATTTTGAGGGTTTAATGCGCCGCGGCGGGTTGTCAAACGGTAAAAGGGGGGATGCTCGTTTCGCGGTGAGAAGAACTGCAAGATCCTGGTGACTTGAAGGTCTGCAGTGGGCGAATTGGGGCTGGGAGGTTGGTAGTTGAAGGAGTGGAGAGGAATCGGTCGAGTTGCGGCGGAGTTTGAAGCTTTTCTTTTTTTCTGCCGCTTTTGGTTCCCCGCCGATAACGATTTCCACTGCGGCGGAGCTTCCTCAATTTCATACGATTTACAGTCTCGTCGCACTTTTATATTTGAAACATCATGTCCTTTCGCAAGCGAAATATTGGCCTGTCTGCAGGTGTCGACCGTGCAGCGGTTCCCAATGCCTCTCAGCCAGCTCCACCCGAAACCAGTCCAGGCATACGCCCCTCCCCAGACGATGGACGGCCAACCACCTCTACAGGAGCGCCATCGCTCGACAATCTGCTTGCTGGCCATGCAGGCCTTCCTATGGGGAAAATACTATTGATCGAGGAAAATGGGACTACGGATTTTGCTGGCGCATTGCTCCGATACTATGCAGCAGAGGGAGTTGTTCAAGAGCAAAAGATTCATGTGGTCGGAGTTCCTGAGCAGTGGGGTCGAAGTCTGCCAGGCTTGATCGGTACAGCGGAATCATTGGAAGAAAAGAGATCAGATAGACGCAAAGATGAGAAGATGAAGATTGCGTGGCGATACGAACGGCTAGGCGAGTTTGGTGCGGGTGTCGCAGGTTCGCGAGATGGTAAGTAACTCTGTCTTGAGGTATGACTATAGTTTCCAGAATGCTCATGAAATACAGCGCCAACCCCTACTTCAGCTGGTGAGAAGGATGTCACTGCGAAGCCAGCCTTTTGCCATGCCTTTGACCTCACAAAGCGTCTTACCCACCCCGCCATCACCAACATGTCCTTTATCCCACTTGTGCCCTCGCGAGATTCGCCATTCACCTCAATTTTGAAGCAGCTTCAGACCACGATCAGCTCGAGTGCCTCGAATACCATCCACCGCATTGTGATTCCATCCTTGCTTAATCCCACCATGTACCCGCCAAACGCCTGCCAACCCGAATATGTGTTGCAATTCTTCCACTCATTGAAGGCATTGATGAGCGCATATGCCACGCGAGTGACAGCCATGATCACCCTCCCTCTTTCATTGTTCCCACGTTCGTCGGGTCTGGTCCGCTGGATCGAGCTGCTGAGTGACGGCGTGATCGAGCTTTGCCCATTCCCTCATTCGGCGGACGCGGTAGCTACCTCGGGCGCGGCGACATCTGTGGAGGAGCCTCCACAAGGCATGCTGAAAACGCATAGACTTCCAGTATTGCATGAACGTGGTGGTGGGAGCGACCAGAATGTGGGACAAGACTGGGCATTTATTCTTAGCCGTCGGCGGTTCGAGATCAAGCCGTTCAGCTTGCCGCCCGCCGAAGGTGACACCGAAGCGCAAGAGGCATCGGCATCCAGCGGCATGCCCAAGAAGTCAGACCTTGAGTTCTAAAAAGTTGATTGCTTGGTTGAATCTGTAATCAATCCTCCTCGTCAAAGTGACGACGAGTTCCTGGTTCGGCTAGCATGTCGTCGAGTTCGATTTGCTCTGACATTGCGGCCCCGGAGTTGGCCATGGTTCGAAGATAGCTCTGTCCATACGTATCGAAGTCGGGCCGCACCGAAAGCCTACCGCCTCGAGAGCGAAGGCGGTTTCCTAGACAAGAGGAAGCTGCCAGCCATGCTGAGAGATATGTCAGCTACCATACTCGTCATAGAAGCATAGTCTTTGCAGTGATAAGGGATCTGAGAGCATGAATCTCACCAACGAAAAGCAGCAATGGCGCGAAGAAGACCAAGAACAGCAAGAGCAGGAAGTTCATATCGATGATGACGACTGGAAGCAGCGCTAGAATGGACGTTTGGCCGCGTCTTCCCGCAGAAAGCGGAGGAACGCCAAGACCGTTTCCCAAAAGGGTTAAGCGCGGGCCGAGCTCTTTTCATAAAATTCGCTTCTTTCTTTTTTCTTTCCTCTTTGGCTTTCTTCCCACTTTCCGAGTCTCTGGCTTTGCTGGTCAAACCCACAGGCTCGCCTTTTTTTAATGGTAAGCTTTCCCTCGCATTCGTCTACTTCCCACTTCCATCTTGCATGATTATATATCTACAAATCTGTCAATCCCCTGAAGCTCGATTAATATCTCAAAAAGAGCACCGGTGACTGAGAAACGTATTGAAAATGACTTGCCTTGAAATTTTTTTTGAAAATTTTCCACTTTGATCAGTTTTTCCACTGTTCTTGAGCCATGGCTAACAAAATGCCTTTCTTCAGCTTCACATGAATCGAATGAATCCTTGACCATGGAGTCCACACCTACTCTTCCCATCCCGATCTCTTATGTATCTGGTAGATACCTGCTGTTCTCCATTGACGCAGTCACTTATCTGCGACGCGAGCACAATATCTGCGGCGTGTTGATCGGGACCCTCCCTCAAATCCCGCAGCAGAATGTGTTCCTGGGTCTGCCACTGGAATTGATGCCCGAGGAGGCACGGGTGTTGGTGGACAAGGGTGTAGCTTGCATTGTAGACGAAGCCAAAGCACACGATGGCATGCGATCACTCCTAGAGGAGGATCGTCGACAGTATCTCCGCGACCTAGAATCCCAAGGCCAGCTCGCTACGCGTATCTTGGCAGATCGCAAGGATCAGCTAAGAGAACAATCCTTGAAGGAGATAGACGAGAAGAAAGCCAAGGGTCTGGCTGCCAAAGCCGCCAAGGCTGCACAGGCCGCCGCCGATGCTCAAATCGCCGCTTCATCAGCCCCTGCTTCGACTGAGAAAGATGAATCGAGCTCGATCTTTGCCGCAGAGGATGAGATGTCGTCTCTATCTCGCACAACTGGCACAAGCACACCGGCACCTCAGCAAACCATGGGCATCACACCTACTACTTCCTATCCGCCGCTACCTCATCCCGTCTCCTCGTCCGGTCAATATCTCCCTAAGCCCAAAGTGCCTTTATCCTATCCTCTCTTTGCCCACCTACATTCACGAGGCTACTTCCTGTCGCCCGGTCTACGATTCGGATGTCAATACGTTGCATACCCAGGAGATCCTCTTCGATTCCATTCTCATTTCGTCGTCGTCTCCGCGGAGTGGGATCAGGAAATGGATTTGATGGATATCGTCAATGGTGGTCGACTGGGAACCGGTGTCAAGAAGGGTTTCCTCCTAGGTGGACCCCAAAAGAGAAGGGATGAGGTCGAGTCTGAGGCCGATCGCATCGAGACTGTCCGCACCTTCAGTATCGAATGGGCCGGCATGTGAGCAATCTCGAGGAAAGTGCCCATCAACTTCGTTGGGCCTATCCGCCTTATTGATTCAATTCGACCGGTATTACGACCACTCAATCACTGCGCACACGCTGCTCGAATCTTCGCGACTGCAAGTTCTGCGAGTGCAAGTTCTGTCATACAGTCGACGCTCTTGTCATGGCGAATACAAATCACCTCGCCAGCTTCACCTAGAGCTAGCCGCCCTGTCAACGGCTAATGCTTAAGAGCCCTAGGCCTTACGCCCCTGTGCCCATGGACCAATACGGCCATTTGCCATACCGGCATACACAACCCTCGACGACGGGCAATGCCCTGTTGTCTGGGTGAAATCAGCAACCGGTCCGCTGACCACATATCGTGGCTGAAAAATGCCATGCTGTAACTGCGTGACGTCGGATACCATCATCTACATCAGATATCTATATCTACATCCCAAATTCAACATCTGCAATCTTCCCTTCACCACGCTTTGGCCGTAGCTGTAATACACAAGCAAGAATCTCGATGCTATCATACTATCCTCGAGCTTCCAACTTTCAAAGGCTTCACCTAACTAAGTCATGTCATTGATGCTACGCAAATTATGAATTCATGAGTCATGTTGATTGAACGATATAGGCCTGCCTATACATAGTCGATATTCCTCCACTTGAATTTCTTGTTCGCCCGATCAACAGGTCGATTCTCGAACTGGCTTCCATGCAGCTCAAAGACCAGTGGTTTCGGACCTTCCGGTGTAGACTTTTCCTGGTTGTCTTCTTTACCCTCTGCCTCAGCTTCTGGTGCGCCTGGCAGAGGTACCGTAAACCGGAAAACAGTATGCTCCTTGGGTATCGCTGCGAAACGAATTATCAGCTTCAACATTCTCCATCCGCTCATAGACACAGTTACAACTCACTCTTCACCTCATCCTTCTCCGTAACAACCACAAACGTAAACTTCGTATCCCGCACCACAATCCCCTTCATACCAACCCGACTCGCACACTGACTCCGAACAACCTCCACCTCCGCACCGTGATAATCCGCACTAACCAGCTTCGCCCCATGCGACGCGGGCGTAACCAGAACACTCCGCCCACTAACCTTAAGGTCTAGTATCTCCTGCATATACCCAACCCACAGCGCATGCAAGCCCTTGAAAATAGCGTGCTTGCATTCCTCCTTGGGTAAATCGTACAGACCCGTGGAGCGCTTCTTGCGCGCGGACAGCGGCTGCGGGCGCTGGTGTTTCAAGAAGTATTCTTTCTTGCGGAGGCGCTGGTGGCGTCGGCGAGAGCGGTTGTCGGCTGCGGAGGGGGATGTTGGGCGGAGGAAGAGTGGTTTTTGTTTGATGCGCTCGGTGAATTGTTGGGAGGCCGTGTCTGGGGAATGGGCGCGTGCGAGGAGGGTGTGGGCTATATGGTTTGTTGGAGCGGGTGAAGATGTCATTTTGATGGTTTCTGTGCCCGTAGGCTAACGCGAGAGGAGGGTGTTGGTGGTTGCGAGAGCTCTTGGAGTGGGTGAAGTTGAGATTGGAGGAGTTGGAGTTGAGAAAAATTGATGTCACCCGCGCTGATAAGATAGGGCCACTACTGACGAGAGCTAACTATAGAGACGAATAGCATATACAATGGAATTCGTAAGACATGACTAAATGGCTCAAATCTCTAGGTCTAATTCTAATTTAAGACTCAAAGTCGTGCAAGTGGCCCGTCTGATCGAACAATTCCAAGACTCGAGGAGCTAATCTCAGATACCGACTTGCATCCCGCCAACTGCATGCATCGTTTGAATTCGTTATAGAGGATTTCAAGCATCAACTCAACGCCTTTCTGGCCATTGTACTTGAAAATAACACATTAGCCATTGCCCATGTATAAAAAACAGAATACTCACTGCTAAGCCCCAAAGCGTAGGTCGACCGACCCAGCAGCATTCCGCTCCCAACGCCAACGCTTTGAAGATATCAGTGCCAGACCTGATACCTCCATCGATATGAATTTTGATTCGGCCTCTGGCAGCCTTTGCACACGCGGGAAGAGCATCGATAGTTGCAGGTGTTTCATCAAGTTGTCGTCCCCCGTGGTTGCTGATAATCACCCCGTCGCAGCCATATTCAATCGCAGTCTCGACGTCTTCAGGTGTCAAGACCCCTTTGATCCAAATCTCCATCTTCGTGATACTCCGAAGCCAAGGAATCTCCTTTGCCCAAGAGTGTGAGTCCGAGCTAAAAGAGCTGAAGCCATCATCATGCGATTCCCGTTGAATCTGTTCAGACGTTTTCTCGATCATAGGATACCCCAATCGCGGCGGTGGTTGAAAGCCATTCCTCCATTCGTTATATCGAACCCCTAGCACGGGACTATCAGCAGTAAGAAAAATCGCTTTACAACCGGAGGCTTCTGCGCGGCGAACGATGCGCGCCTCTTTCTCGCGGTCGGTCATGGAGTATAATTGCATGACATGATGAATAGGCCCGACGTCTGTCCCGACCGAGGTGATTTGTTCGACAGAGTGATTGGCATAAGATGATACACCCATGTTGATGCTCATACTGGCACATGCTCTGCTCGTTGCTAGCTCCCCGTCTGGATGGGCCATGCCTTGGAGACCCGCAGGAGAGACGCATAAAGGAAACTTTATGTCTCGGTTAAATAGATTGATCGTGGTGTCAACTTTGGAGACATCTTTCAGGACACGAGGTAGGATGCGATACTTGTTGTACGCTGTGGAGTTTTCACGAACTGTGACTTGGTTTGTTGCGCCTGAATTGAAGAAATCTGTAGATTGTGTTACCCCTCACTGGACCTAGACGAGATTGACCTGGTGAGAGGGGGCTTATTTACCTCGAGTCGAAGCTGGGAGGATCTTTGAAGCTGCTGCTTCAAGATCTGCTATACACAGAATCTTCTCGGCCGCCATTCTGAACTGCTGTATTAGGTCAAAGAGTGGTTGTTGAGAGGATCTCGCTATGTATCTCCAAATCCTGAGCGGGGTTAGTCTCCACTGGAGGTGTGCGCCCTGCGCCTTACAGGTGATCTTGCGAGCATTTCTACAGATCTATAGAGTAATAACGTGTTCTAGAGACTTTACTCTCTTATGTTATCATCTACCCAACATAGCATACTTAGCCTATGGACCTAACGTTTCTAAATATATGGATGATATGTGACTAGATCATAGAAGCAGAAGCGTGAGATCGGAGCCTATCGAGATGTAACTGTGTAACAGAATATCATAAACAGCGTCTTCATCTCTCCATTTGTCAAGGAACGTCTCGCTCGGATGTTGAATTGCGTCCGACCATCGAACTTTGGGCTTGGTCTATCCCTCGGCTCACAACTGCTTCCCCGCATGAGAATATCGCCACAGGTGTAGGATATGTAACCGAAATTTCATTGTAGATTTCCACCTTTGCCTTCAATCTTTGACCTGGAAAACGTATTATCTTATCTTATCTACGTCCTCCAAACATGGATGCCCAAGATAACTTCGCCGATATCGTCAATAATTTCCCCGGACTCCCACCTTTCCCGGACGACGTCCCCATTGCACCACTTCTTCGGCTATCGTTAGGCAAGCTGTTGGCCGGTGATAAAGCCGAGCTCGAACGGCTTTATGAAGCATCAGTGGATATTGGGTTCTTTTACCTTGATCTCCAAGACTGTGAACATGGGGAATCGCTCCTCGGTGACGCAGATGGTCTGTTCCAGGTTGGCGAAAGCCTCTTCAAATTGAGTCTGGAAGAGAAGAAGAAGTACGACTTTAGTGCGCAGAACTCCTATTTTGGGTACAAGGGTCAAGGGGTTGCCGTGGTTGATAAGCAAGGAAACCTGGACAGAAATGAATTCTACAATGTGAGTGCCTAGTATACCCCCAAGTCGACAACTCGAGACATGCAGGGACTAACAAGACCCTCTTAGATATCCAAGGACGACATCATGGGAATAAGCGATCCGCTTCCAGCACCGGAAGTTTTGCACCAAAGCCGTGACCTGACAAAATCCTTTATGCAAGGCTCCCACGCAATCGTTAGCCTAATATTGAAAATCCTGAACGACAAGTTATCCCTGCCTGAGGGGACACTGTCCAACCTCCATCGACTCCAAGCCGTCAGCGGCGACCAAGTGCGCTTTATCAAGGCGCCGCCCCAACCAGTAGATGACCGCCGCACTGCACTAGGGCAGCATACCGATTTCGGCAGCGTGACAGTCCTCTTCAACCGCCTGGGAGGATTACAGGTGCTTCCTCCCGGCGCTGATGCAGAATGGGTATACGTTCGACCACTACCAGGCCATGCGATTGTCAATCTCGGCGATGCAATGGTTAAATTTACTAATGGCCTGTTCCGATCTAATATCCATCGAGTTGCGGCACCACCGGGGATTCAGGGGGATTCTACAAGATATAGTTTGGTGTATTTTGCGCGGCCGGAGGATAATGTTATGCTGCGAAGACTAGATGGGTCGGAGCTTATTTCTCCTATTGAGGACGACCAGGTCGAGGAAGAGATTAATAGCAAGGACTGGATTATTCGTCGGGCTTTGGGACGTCGTGTGGATCTTGTCAAGGATATCGATTATGAGAAATCTGCTGGGACAGAGCAGATGAGCCGAAGGATCAAGGTTTGAAGGAAGTGGAAGAGGGAAATCTAAGTGTAGGGACCAATATCAAATTCAAGTTCCTCTGAACCACAATGGGCTTAATAAAGACTTGATTTGCTGGCATGTAAATGCTACGTATGTCGACTGGGTGTTTACCCTGAGAGCATTTGAGCAATTGCGTGGTTCAGGTGAACAACGACCGAAGATGGAAAATCCGTCTTGGCATATTCTAAGGGAAGGCGTGTATAATGGCCATCCATAATAACACAGGCCTTAGTGATTAGATGATATGAGGGCTATTCAATGCTCTACGTTATTCAATGGTGGCCCCGAAGACTGAGGATCGAGGCGCCTCACCAGGGCTGTATATTCAACGCGCACAGTTAACCTGAATGGTAGAGTAAAATATTACAATACAGAGATTTCCGAGCATCCTGACCGAGCTATTTCAGGGTCTAGACTCAAGTCCACAATAGACCGATATTAGTTACACTTCCGAGGCATCCGACACATGCAGAGGCCTTGAATTTCCCTCGACATTCCCAGCCTCGGGAAGCTACCCTCGTTCCAATGTGATGTTTGCTCATTACAATTAGTATGTACATGTCACATATCCCGAGCGAATTCTTGATCCTCCACCAGATCCACTGTTTACGATGAATCCGGTTGATCGCCGGTATCAGCGGCTGTCAGACCCACAACTTTAACCCCCTTCACTTTACCTATTCTAGTAGGAGAGTCTTCTCACTAGTAGCTCCCTACGGCGCGCGCTAATGTGTTAAACTCTAATGAAGTGAAGGTGAGTAGCTAACCTCTGCGAACTGACTGTTAAAGCTCCCCGCTTGATAGATCCAATTCTCGGATCCAGCTGTTTGGTTCAATAGTCCGTGCCCCCGCGCATCTGAATTCTAGACAAGGCATCTTGATGCTACGATTCATTGCAATAATTCCGTCGGCCGTAGGAATTTCATGTAGCGGGCCTCCGAGGGAAGAATCCTAGTGGATTCCAAAATCATGGGTTGACGTGCCAAGCTCTGCGAGGAGCTGGCGACTTGTAAAAACTGGCGTCACGGGTGGCTGAGTCTTAGGTGGTTAAAAGTACATACTCGATTATTAAAAAATTATCTGACGCGCCAATCGGAGATACCACGTTTGCAGAATGATCTTATTTGAGGGTCTATTGCAGATATGCAAGCGGCTAGATTCAAGGGGTGGTCCGATTGCCTGGAAGCATCGTGGATAAGTTCCGCATCTATTGTCAAACAGGCCGCAACCACGGGCTAGCATCACAGTAAGTACATACCGAGTAAGCGAAATACCAAATCCAACGACTCGAAACCTTTTCACTCAGCTCCTGACTCGAAGGGATCTCGCTGGGACTAGTGGAGCATATTCAAGCTAGAATAGACCCATGTCGAATCCCCTCAATTAGGTTAGTCGACCGTTAGGACCCATCGATATTGGTCCTCCCCGGAGCCTGGAAGGACCCTCCTGTCAGCCGTCAAAGAAACAAAAATACTTTCAAGATATCAGTCACAATCCCAGCCATAATTGCAATCCGGGCTGACCAACCGGATATCAAGAAAATTCCCAGCGTTCCGGAACGGTCCTGCTCCCCCTTGCGCTATAGCCTACAACGACCCTTGCAAGGCGTCTGGCGCTATTCGAGCTTAAGTAGAATAGAGCAGGGAGAGATGCCGGATGGCACTCGATGTACCGAAAGTGTAGCAGCATAGCTACCGAAGGGATATAGTTTACGAGGTATACATAGTAAAGCAAAAAGAGATAGCTAAAACATAGCATATTACAGTACATTTTCAATGTGGATAACTTCGGACCCGTCCCGTCAGTGTATTCCACCACCACAGCGACCCGCGCCCTTGGATCCTTTAGTCTGCAGGGGTTCACGTTGTGAATTTTGACAGAGGGATATCCTTGAGGTTGACATCCCGGGGCGTTTTCTAGGGGGAGGCTATCAATGCATACAGCGGTATGGGATGCAGTAGTGATGTAGTATAGACATAAACGAGAATATAGTGCAAGGCAAAGACAAGGATCAGGAGGGGATATGTGTTCTTTTGTGCAACTAGCCACGGGCCAATTCAGAAGATACGACAGCAGCATCATGTCATCTTCACAGACCAAGGTACTACTAGAATTGACCGACTATTGCACGACTAATACACTCTGACATTTACACCATAAGCAACTAAATCCGACATTCAATATCCTACCCTGCCATATATCTCCAACCACCAGCAACACGAATCGGAACCCAAATCCGCATATCGCCCCGCCCAAAGAACTTTGTTAGAAGTAGAACCGCGTCAAGCCCTCCCACGCACCAGCCCGCATACTCTCCACCAGATCTATACCAAAAGAGGCAACAGTCTCTTCGAGGCCAAAGCGCCGGTACCCAAACTGTCGGGACTGGTGAATGGGCAAATACCAGCGAGACGGGTATTGACTCCTATCCAATGAATAATGTGGAACTGCACTGTCACTGTCAATGCTATTGTGTGCCGACTCCACTTTAATACGGTATTGCTTTGATGTTTGTTTTTTTCCCTGTCTGTCGGGTCTGTTTGGAACCGTACGGGATTTGTTACAAGATGTGGTACTGCGTACTGTGTATACTGTAGTACAGTTGTATACGGTTGTTACCACTTATGCAGCTCCTGATTCAAGTCACTTTAAGAGTGGCAACTATACCGAATCATGTTGTCTATCCATGGAACAATGAAAAATCTAATCTCTTTTATCTTGTTTCCTTTCAATTTTTGTCGTTATAGCTTCACTGGGTCCAACCAGCCCACATTTTCAAACGGCTCGGTCCGTCCTATTCCCGCAATGGCACTCGACTCCGACGGTGGGGAGTTTATTCATTGAGGCCACGTACAGTTTACCATTGTGTTCCATAGCCTATATTTTACAAAGAAAGTAACAATTCTGACGTAGTTCATCATTTTGCGTATCATTATAGCTATTATGTATAGCTTGCTTTTTTTCCCGCCTGGTCGGCTCCGTTTACTTTTGATAGGGTAGGTATACCTACACTATGTGATAGCGCGTAGAAGTTAAACCGAGCTACAACCCCACGAAAATATCGGTCGCAGCCTGACAAGATAGGAAATGAATTAGAGACAGGAGTTCGTCCGGCCCGCTGTGGGCATCTACACCGTTGGAAAGTGGGGAAGCCATCCGATCAGGAGGACGTACATACTGTACTTTACATCAAAAGTGGCACCGACCGGATTCATATCTGAATTCTAGCCTACCATTTCCGTAGCTGGAGAGCAATTTACCTAAGGTTCAATGTGGGAATGTGATCATCACGCAGTGACCACCCGGAGACCATGGAGACCTGGTGGATATACCGGAACTGAGTTCCCCCCGGGTGTGGATCTTGAGATTCCTGCCTTGTTGGGAATACGCGCCGGGGTAGTTGGAAGCTAGCTGGTGTCCGGCCGGAACGAGGTGGGTAAGATTGAGTAAGTCTGGCCTTTTGACGAGTGATACGCTCGAGGATATCTAGATCGTCCCGTCGGAGTAACGCATGGAAATGTAACTTGGAACGGGGATGATTTTGAGTAACACGGTCAAGAAGGTGATAACATCGGGTGTACAGAGTAGTACCTTAGGAATGTATACTGATGAGGTCGAGATCGGAGCCACATATGAAATATTTCATCATGGCCATACGGAAAACAGACTGAAGGTCAGGAGAAGCGGAATAGTATCATTTCCAAAGGTAGTAGGGAGTATAAACGATATATGAAATTGATTTGCACGGGCATTAAAGGCGCTGTACAAGAAAAAGACATCACTCTGAAATCTTCAAGGATGCTATCTTCTCTTCAACGCTCCGAACGACGTCGGGGTTCGGTTCTCGTTTAATCTTCTTCGGCCTGCAACAACACAGTCAGCATAAATAATTACATAGAACTGGAAGAAACGGGTAAAACTTACGGAATCCGTATAGTTTCCGCACACTTGGCCTGTCCACACTTCCCACACAAATTCGCTCCCTCATTGTAATCCGTTTTACAAACGTGACAAATGTAATGCACCCTCTGTCGTGGTCTCCTATACGTCCGCTCGGGCTTGACTCTCGGGGGTTCCACGTCCCCGGGATATCCATCAGGATACTTGTCCGGCTTATGCGGATCGCGCGGACATTTCTTGCACCGCACATGGCTGCAGGACGAGCACACCTTGGAACCAGGTGCAAACATCGTCTCGCACGAGTGGCACCGTCTGCGAACTCGCTGGACAACCTGTTTCCGAACGAGATCCTGTCCGCCCGTGCGCGAGGGCATAACCAGCGGTGCGGCAGGGTTGCCCGTCAACTTGAGATGCGGCGTAATAGGGAGCGTACCCGGTTGCCGGGCGCGAATCTCGGCGACGCGAGGCCGGGGCACGCGCGGGTGCTCATCGTCGTCTGTCTCGCGGGTTGGTGGGAAGCGAGGACATTTCTTGCATCGGGGGTGTTGACAGTTGACGCAGACCTTTTCTGGGCCAAAGGTTGTTTCGCAGCGGTGGCAGGTGCGATGGACACGCATGCGGATTGGTTTGGTGACTCGGGCGAATTGGATGTCCGTTGGGGATTTCCATTCGCCGGGTTCAAGGGTGAGGCCGTATTTGGCGAAGATGGCGCGCGCTTTCTCTTGTTGGATTGCGCTGTAGTCGGTGGCCATGGCTGGTTCCGCGGGGACATCGGGTTCGGGTTGAGATGTGGGCGCAGCTGTAGTTGGTGGACTGTTGCAATTGAAGGAGATTATAGTTAGTTCACTGTGTCTCGTTTGGGTATCTCCATATCAAGAATGTTGAAGTGAGAGTGGTGGAGAGGTATGAACATACGCTGGTGTACTTGATGATGCCTCGGCGGATTCGGGGACGGCCACCAGGGATTGGCGCTTCGAACTCGAGCGCGCGCGCAGAACCGTCTTCATGCGCTTGATATACTTGGACAAGCCCTCCGGCTTGTCTTCACCGGGGCGGCCGGCAGTGTCTTGCGGTGACATGACGGGAGGGGAACTTGGGGCCCGGCTTTAATGCGATTTGCGAGTGGCGCAAGAATGCACTGGCGAAATGCTCGGTCGCAGATCGATGTCAAAGTCGATTTGGTGGTTGGGCGATCAGATCATTCCATCCAGAACATTCAGAACCGTCGAGAGTTTTGCGAGGAGGTCGAATTGGGGGGGGTTATATGGGAAATGAGAATCGGTATTGGAGCCGTCAGAAAGACCCGAGCCGTGGAGTTGGGATTTGGACCCGGCGTGGGGGGTTCTGTTGTTACAGGGAACACCCGGGTTAGTTGAGTGTGAGGAGTCGAAGTTTTGGAGGGATGGGGAAAAAAGAAAGAGTAGGGAAGGTGGAGATTGAATCTTAGAAAAAGGAAGAGGGAGGAATAATATAAGAATCCGAATTGAAAGTCGAACAGGCCACGACCAGAACTGTCTGGAGGCAACCGAAGGGAAGATTACAATACGAGTATGCGAATAGTATGAGAGGATGCTTTTAAATTCGAATTTCCCAGGACCCGAGCACATGGTAGGGGTTAGAATAGTAATTAATAGTATTAATAGTATTAATGGTATACGGTATACACTGTAACTGCTAAAGTTCGGCCAAACCCGACAGTTTGGGTCCCAAAAGTGGGCTGGTATGTGTCCCCAGCGTAAGGAGGACGGAGACATGGGACGATCCTATATTCCGTAGAATGGCAATAATCTTGATATGGTCGTACTTGTACCTTTGTAAAGGACTATTAGTCGTACTTTAGCCTCTTATTCTAGTATCATGCTCATCTACCTGGGCAATGCCCATACAATTGTATAGCATATACAGTACGGAGTATAGACTAACCACTTGTATGCACTGTATCGACCAATCTGCAGGAGAGTTACCGACCACCAGGTAACATCCCTCTCGAAATACCGTACGATCAGATACCCAAACGCATCACTTTAGCATCGCTTCAGAGCAGCATCGGTGGTAACTCCTCCCTCTGGCAGGTGGGTCCAATGATGACCATCCCCCATTTGACTCTTTCCCTCTCCCCACTCCTACTCCTCCTGGAACCAACCCCGAGCTCGATATGGTCCGTCCGTCGTGGTCGGCCCTTTGGGTTGGGCTAGTTAACGATGGACGATTTATCATGGAATATTCATAGGTTCTTTTGGATGTGATGTGACCACTGCGGTAACTAAATACCGGGTTAAACTATCCTTCTCCTATCAACGCCATTCGCACTGCCGATAGATAGCTACCCATTCGGAACACCTCCTGAAGAGACTCCTGCCCAGTTTGTCCATCACAGCCTCCCCAACATTCATACCCCCCCCCCTATGGAAGTATACCTCTTTGGCTGTGCCAGCTTACTGGGGCGAAAAGTCTCCCAGATCTTTGGGACCAATCCGTATGGAGTCGTCCCCAATGCCTTGGGCTTCTCGAGGGGGTTGGAAAGGGTCAGCGTCTCAGCTTTGCGATTGGTTCCCGAGTAGCTTTTCTCAGCGCGTCCTGGTACACACTTTCAGCAGGAAGCGGTGCGGAACATATTCACGGACTTTGAAGGGCTAGCTGTGCTGGGCCGTCTCTTCCAGCCAACATTGCCCTTTCTACTCCAATGTCTACTGTATATCCACTATCCTCTGGAGCTGGTCTTAATCGATCGCCCGATGGCGGGATGGGGGTGGAGTGCCTCCTCAGCGGGCCAGCGGTCTGAACCACACGGATGTACCCGCTCATTACTCGGGTGCGTTTCCAGAAATGGGTACTTTCTATAGGAGGCGGATCGAGAACTGGAGAAGGGGGACTTAGTTAGTGGAGATGCTGAGGATTTGAGGACGTAGCTGGACCTTGGGCTTCATGAAACGGGGCGATGGCGACGATCAGCCTCGAGAAGGAAAAGGAGCCGAGTGGGTTCATTAGCGATTTGCCGAAGAGATGGACATCGATGATCTTTCATCGTCGGGTGGGTAGTGTCTTTTTTTCTTCGATATCCCCCTTATTATCACCGTAGTACAGACTGGATATCGTTTTGGAAACTTGAAGGTTTCTTCAGGGAAGTTTAAAACAATCCCATTATTGTATTCGGACCCGAGTAATGATTTCCTCGGACCCAAACCACTTGCCAAGGGGACTTCGGTGCCGAAACCTCGGCGTTGAATCGTGTTGAGTTCATGTTAAAAGGCCGAGACTTTGCATTTGACTTTCCTTTGACTCAAAATATCCGCGGTCTTCACGAGGGGCCGTCAACTAGATGTACTTTCTGCATGTGCCTACAGAATATACCTATGGAGCATCGTGTTTAATTGACAATGAGGTCCCTTTGTAACTACCTGCAATTCCCACTGTTGTTAAGCGCTTGCAGGGAAAATACCCTCTCCTGGATTGTCCGGAGGAATCAATCGCAGCCACGTCTTCATGTTCCAGCAATTCATACCATGAGATTATGAGCAGGGAACAGCGCTAAGCCTACCAAAAGACAAGCCTCTCCTCATAAACAGTGGCAAAGAGCATAACCTCCGAAACGCCAATAAAACCCCCTCAACCACAATCACGCAACCACCCCCAAGCAACCACCTCCAAGTCCACCGTCCATGCATCATGCATGACACGGTCGGGGGCGACATAAAGGCGTTCATCCACCGGCGCATCCATCCTCCCTAATGCACTGCCTAATGTAGAAGACACTGGCAATTCAAAGTTCTACCATGCTTTTTAGTACATCGTTCTAGTATGATAAGGGTATAGCCCCGACTGGCCCCAAACCAAACCGAGTCCGGGCTAGCGGTGAAGGCAAAGTCCCATGCAGAGCGTGATCCCTGGAGGCCGAGGAGGTTGCTATTTGGCAGACGGATCGATCGGTGGGATCTGACTTTGGCCGGTGGTAGGAACTACTGCAGAGCTAAGAGGGGTGCCCTCCGCGGAGTGTGGGATGGAGATGGTGATGATCTTTCCTGCTATTGTACTCTGTGGATTTGGGGGATAGGTATATAAGTACGGCTGTTGTTGTTGTTGCCCAAAGGTGTCACTACGTGCTGCGTGGTGCATGTTAGTGGGATTTATTATCCGAATACCTCAAGAGGGAGAGTACTGTACGGAAGTCATCCTGCATGAATTGTCTTGTAGCGATCGATGACAGCAGTGGTGATGTTTTCTTCTGGCCTCGCTTGACGGGCACCCCTGCCATTCCCTCTGCAAATGGAGTGGGGACTCGTGGTAGCGTAACCGTCACGCACCTAAAACGAAGCCCAAATGACAATGGCCCTGATAGGCGTGTGGCAAGGTGATTTGAGATAATGACTTTGGTGGCTAACAAGGATTCGATGCGCTGTCGGCCTGTCGGCCGTCGGGGGTGGTATCCAACTCATCGTGGATGAGGAGAACGTATTTCCCTAGTACTCGGTACAGTACGTCGCGAAACCGGTGCAATAACTCTACTCTCCGATAAACTTTCCTGCCACTTGCACCAAGACACACTAGTCTCTACTTGGAGTTCTTCCGGGTGTTGCGCATGTATTCGTTCGTACGTAGTTTACATAATTATTTCAGGCATGTATTTCTCTTGTAAATTTAATACATCTGATACCTCTATGCCCCTCCTCCGATATAGCATTCCTCGCGAGGCACTATTTCACAAACAATCCCGAGTGGTCCAACCAACGATGGCTCCAAACCTAGCTCCTTCTAAGCATGAGCTTATCTATGACATGATCCACAGTAGCGAACTATCTATAAATTAGATGGCACAGGCCGCTGGTTGCAATAAGAGCACCATCTCGAGAATCTAGTCTAATATAAGAACGTTTGGCACCGTCAAAGCACCGTCAATTAGAGGCGGACGACCCCGTAATATCACTCCAGTCATACTCGAGGCTTTGTGCGACCATCTGGTTGAAAAGCGTACCCTATTTTTGTCATTCAAGACTTGAGTACAGAGTATTATATCTCCATGGGTATGTTGATGAGTTTTTTTGAAATATGCCAGTGAGCTAGAAAGACTATTACTATCATGTACCCTTGATTGACTGTTTTAAAATCATCTGGTTGTTCAGATATGAAGTTGTGATTTTTTGTATTTAGTATGGGGTTTTGGGGCGTTCCGCTTGGTTGTGTGCATTCGCTTGTGAACTACGTTATTTTACTTTATACCTCCTTATACGAACCCTGCGCTAAGCGATTAGGTATGGATCTCCGATCAATGTGAGATCTACGGTGAATATTAGTGGTGGCTATGTGTAAACATCACGAACGCCCGGATATTTTGATCGAGTCAAGATCCCATCATCAACTGAAGCGATTTAGCTAATTGGTCATACTTAAGCACACTGCTTTGGCCTAAGGCGACATTCAAGTAAGCCTCGCTATTAATTTGGTCAAGCCTGAGTTATTCTGGGTTGGAATTTAATAGGATATGCAAACGCTAAGAGACTGCGGTTTCAGCTAGATCGAGGCGAACCAAGAACGATACATCTGAGTTCAGTGAAGGTGAGAGGGGTCAGTACGTAACCGCCGCACTCATAGTTCACCTGGCTGTTGCGGTACATAGAAGCGGCGATTAGCCATTTTTTACCAGATGGCCACGATCAACCGGTCATTTGATCTAGTTTTGTTAGGTAAGACCTAATTGCTCTGTTGCCATCGCGCGACCGAGGGTGAGGCTAGGTGATAATCACAGTCTATCGAGCGACGCAATTACCGTCTTAATTAGACCGCTTACGCGGCTGGCTCATCTTGATCCGACCGAAACACTTAATCCCTTTGTGCATCTGTATACAATATTTAGCCAAGTGGAACATATTTTCTAGAACAGAACATTATTGCGATGCTTCGAGGTGCTGAGACGCGATTTATGTCACGGATTCGTTAAGAGTCGTGCACGTCCAGAGAGTTCCGATTTTCTTAGCGCACGAGTTACGACGGGAGGCGCCGCGCCAACCTAACCTAAGGAATGACTTAAAATCTTCTTGCATTGAGCCAGCTATGTTGCGAGGCGGCCCCCTGTTCGCTGGCTGTCGTCCGTAGTGAAAACCCCTTGAATCTTAGCTAGAGAGGAATATGTAAGCTAGCCAAGTGAGGCTGCCTTACCTTCCTTAGCTTACCTAGAGAGGAATGTGGAGGCTAGCCGAGCTAGGCTGTATTAACTTCCTTAGCGTATATAGTCTAGAATCTTGTGTTCTGTAATTGCCAAGTTAGGAGTTTGCATAGCTCTAAATTGTTAAACCTCACATATATCAAAAACTTTATATAAGTCTCCTATACACCTGTTATCCTGAATCGAAAAAGCATTGTTAGTGATAATCTTTTGTCGCAACCCTTAAAACTTGCTGTTTGTCTATTCAGATATCAATCCGAGACTATAAGTCAATATGATTGTTCCTAAGACCCTGGTCATTCTCGCCACGGTCCTTACTGCCACCGCAACCAGGGTCCATAACCAAATAGGTGGAGATGCCTGGATCCAGGACAATCAGGGTCACGACTACGCTTTTAAGCGCGGAAAGACTGTCACTATTGATGGCGGATGGGCCTTTATCTGGAGAGATAAATCAATTTATTGCCCTGAGAGTTCAGCGGCCTTCGGCTGGCCATCTGGCTATGGCGGTATGTCCCTATGATGCGCGCTCTCTATCTTAATAATAAGTCTGCGATCCGTACTGACATATTCTTCAGACGTCTATCTAAAGGATGATGGCCACCTTTATGATTCTTCAAGTAAGTATCCTACTTACTAAGCTAGTGAATAAGATACGTTACTGACTATGTTTCAGATAATATGCTTTCTGACGGAGCGTGGATCTGCCCTTGGTCGTGAATGGGGAGAAGTGGTAGCGATGAGGTTGGCCCGATGTTTGACTGAGATAGTACGAACCCAGAACGCTAGTCAGTACCAGCACGTCTGGATACTGTGATAATAATCAAGTGTCCCCATACTTAATCAATCAACACTCTTTTAACCTAAGGCAACCTAACCAGTGGTGTAACGGTTATACAGGCTCTTCCTCCGGCGGAAGCAAGAGTGATCCGCACACTCGACCCGCGCATAAACAGTAAATATATAGAGAAATGGCGCATTGCCATATAAATAGCCTAGAAATTTGCGCAATCTTGAAGAGAGGAGGGAGCTCGCTGCGGTTTCCCCAGCAGTGTCAGGTTGCTAGGTTCTCTGAGGCAATCCCTAGATCTCGTGTTTGACATGTTTGGATTTCTATGGAAAATTCTAGTTTCCTTAGGTCGCCAGTACAGTTACGAGACAAGGTACCGTATTAAATGAAATTAAATTATAGTATCGACGCTGGTACAGGAATATCAATATTCCGGGGCTATTCCTAATACGTTCTTTTGGCGGTAGGTCTGGAGAATCACTCAAAGAGTGGAGGCGGTTTCGCAACGTACTGTAGAACAGCAAAGTATAAGTAGAGTAACCACTTAATTATGCGAGGTTGAATTGGGTGGACTTCACCGCCCAACATGCAACCTTCAGCAGACCCGATCCATTGGAATCCCAGAACCTAAAACGGATGGCAGGATGGTTCGTTCAAAGTTCCAAGCAGAGACAACCCAAAAAAACAAGGTGGTCAGTGCGTGTACCAGATCACCGGGATCCGACCCCTTTCAATTTCACCCCAAACCTTCTGTAAGTTTGAGATGATGAAAGGCAAAAAAAAAAAAAAAAAAAAAAAAGCTGCGGATGTAGACTTCCCGCGCTGGCTCCTGGGGAGTCGATCGCCGGGATCCAAGCGGCGGGGCTCAGGATTCGATGCTCCCCACTCAGTGGAACCTCGTGCGAGGCGTTGATTGCCCCGTTTGACAAGCTGGCGAAGGAAAGTTTTGCTGGCCTGATCCTAGTGGAGCCCCTGAGGAGGGCGTTCCGTCTGTTGCACAAGTAGGGGGGTACGCGATACGATGACATAGGAGGAGATGGGCTGATGATCGGGTATGCGCATACCATAAGGAGCGATGACTGGTGGTCCGATGACTCGGTGATTTTCTTCAGCGTAGATGTACTTTGGCTTTGTTTTGACTGTAATGGCACCGTTTACGATGGCGATTCGTGATCAGCATTATTGAAGCTTGGATCATCGCCTCGTGTAGATTGATCGTGTGAGGCGATCGATGTATGCTTTATCAATTTCAATTCGAGGCCTTACAGTACAATTATCTTGATTGTGAATAGCTTTTCATCGTGAAAATAGATGAGCTATAGGGGTTATTAGAGATTAGCTAAGAGACTCTGTATCGTGTAAGACTACCCTGTCCTAGGATACCGAGGACATCATTCCCCCCTCGTGGGGGATACATTGAATATAATTAGAAATCACATTTCATATTCGAGTACTCCTAACGCGACTGGTGGATCAAAAAATCAGCCCCAATCCAGCCTATATGTTATTCTACTCATGTTCCATCCATGTTCCAATGTCAATTCCCCTCTATTCCAAATACTCCCTAATCAACCCAAGCGACGCCACCATATTCTCGCTTATGTTGACTTCTGCGTGCCACCAGCGATGACAGGGGCGTTGGATATTGAGAATGAAGCCACAAGTGACCAACAGAGACCAACTAACTGCACATACAGACAGAGTATGGGCTGGGTCGCCATGCAGACCATGTGTCTTATATTCGGCAATCGGCATCTCACGTTACCACTCAATCTATCACCTACAGGTTCCGGTTTCTTATTGTTTCGTGCTCCTCAGTCGGATACGGCTTTTCCACACCTGGGTAGAAACTAGATTTGATAGGTGTCTTACTATTAAACCGGAAGGCTCTTGACGGTGTTGGTTGGCAGAGCCCCCTCCGGCGAAATCCGTGTTCAGGTCGTGTTATGTTGTCTGGGCTGGCTGGGGTGTTGGATCAGCTGCTTCGATCATCGGGGTGACAATGAGCAGGCTAAGCTATAGGTTCACAAAATCAGGAGAGAGGATCAGCTTCGAAAATGATCAGAGCGTGATCCATAACTAATACGTAGATCAATTTCGTAGAACATAATAATGGTCTGCTGAGCGAATCAGACAAATACATCCGATAGGATCTACCTGCACTTCGTACATCACGGAAGAAGAGATCCTGAGCCGATGATAGGCAAACCCGGGAAACATCCACGCCCGGCAGAGTGGATGACCATTTGTTCAGCGGGAGGACGTCCCGAGATGCAGCCTATAGTTCTCCAGATCTAACAACCACATAGTCGGGTTCAGCTGAGAAACGATGTTACGGATCGTATGGGGGCTACGGGGCTCCCTGAGCCAGTCTTCGTGGATTCAAGTTCGGGAAATGTAAGAACTAGTGGGATGTTTACTTTTGAAGAGATCCGAAAGGGGTAGGAGAGGAGCAGCTGTCACGGCACTTGTACGATAATTGATCGTTTAGATGACAGACTTGATCGGATTAGGTAGGAGTCATGCAAAGATCGCTCGGTAGAAGATATAGAATCCAATTTTGGGCTGTCAAGACTTGCAAGTTCCGGGGGCTGGGGGCCCCGAGGACCGAGAAGGCTGCAGGAGGCGCCGTTGTAAATCATGTTTGTGATAGATCGCATCGGAAGGGATCCGTCTCCCAAGCCGCCAGCAAAAAAAAGCAAGTTTCCTGGGATCGCCTCATGGCAAAATTTCGAATTTCAGGTTATTCAGCTATCATGTCTGTGCGCTTAATTGATCATATCGCATTCCATTCCATAAGTTACTGTCGTGAATGTTCTCTGTCAAACGCCCGCCTCTATGCAAGACTCCCTCCGTCCTCAACATATTCCTGATATATACTGTCCAATAAGAGAGAATATTCACCCAAATTCAGCAAAGACTGATATTCGTTATAGACCTTACTCGTCGCCAGCCAGCTTCGACGCGATGGAGATGACATCGTCTTCACTCTCGACGGGGATGAGTCGGTTGACTCCCGCCGTGGTGCGCATCAACTCCACCGCGTTGGCGTACTGATACATAGTGTCGGTCTTGCAGTTCTCGGGCTTGTAGTAAAGGAGGACATAAGGGACAGAGAGACGACCGTCCTTCTATAAGCAGACCTCTGCGTTAGCACAGTGCATGGAGGTCCCGTTTGATCGACGGGGACGACTCACCAGGGTCAACGGGTGGCTGAGGACGATGAACTGCGGCGTGGTCTCGGGCAGGTCGTCGGCCACGTCCATCATGTTTGTGTATGTCTCATCGTTCTTGGGACGAATCTCTCCGGTGTTCTTATCGATCTCATCTGTTGAGCACATCGTTAGCACCAGGATCAATCGCTCGGGCACAACAGTATTGAGACATTGGTCGCATGAGCATGGCAGTGATATGGTATCCATAAATCATCGAAAAAGATGAAAGATGCCGTGTCGACAGGAAATAGGGAGGATGTATTCGGGTAACGCGTTGGGACCGTACAGATCTGGGCTTGGGGATCCTTGGCTCGCGACGAGCTCAGACGGAACTTGCGTAGCTTCTCCGTCGTCTCCGGAGAGAACGAGTATAGACCGGGCTGCAACAGAATGAATATCAGCTATACAGATCCCAAGTTGAGTCGCGTTTGGTTGGACCCGATCTGTGGTCCACGTGGAGACTGGGGCTATCTCACCATGACGGAATATCTGTGCGGACAACGGCGCACAACGGGATTCGCAGATGAAATACACTGAAAGACAACGGGTCCTGCTCTGTTAATACCCTCGCGATTCAAATATCACTGGCGCGCAGGTCGAAGCGAAGTCGGGGCGCAAGAAGAAATGCGGGAAAGACGTGATGTGCTTGGAAATAATGCGGGCGGAGTAGTCTTTCCCCCTCTCCCCCACTTTCACCGCGATCCCCCCCCTTCGATCTCCAGACAAAGCTGCTTTTTGCTGTTTCACCTCCCCTTTTCCTCTCCCTCCATTGCCGACTTCTTCATGCTCAGCCGACTCAATCTTCTAACCCGCCATATAGCTCGTCCTTTCGGTTCTATCCATTCCTCTAATCCGACTCTTTCAACCTCGTCCCTGAGCCGGTGCTCCGGTCCGTCCGTTATGACATCAGCCGCGAACTTGAAGCCTATTCACACGGCGGCATGCCTGATTATTGGTGATGAGGTGCTCGGTGGGAAGGTTAGCATATCCCCTGCTAGCTTAGGAGCTATGGCAATAGCGCTAACTATAGTTTTACCCCGGATTCACAGACCATCGACACCAATTCTCCCTTCCTGGCCAAGTTCTGCTTCGGTCTGGGCATCCAGTTGAAGCGTGTGGAGGTCATCCCCGACGATGAAGAGGATATCATAGAGGCAGTGCGCCGTATGAGTGCCCGCTATGACTTTGTCGTTACCAGTGGAGGCATTGGTCCAACGTTAGTACTCCCCTGCTCTGCCTGATACTTGTCTACCTTCTCGACAAGGTCCTTGGGATTGATTCTATGCATCTACCCATAGCCTTACACAATTTCCCATGACTACAATGCAAATGCTAACGCTCTCTCCCTTGCAACAGCCACGACGATATCACCTACCAATCCATCGCCAAAGCCTTCAACCTAAACCTCAAACTCCACGAACCCGCCTTCGAACGCATGAAACGCCTCTCCAAACCCCACCCTATGCAACCAAAATTCGACTGGGACACCCCTTCCCCAAGTCTAACCGCCAAACTGCGCATGGTAGAGCTCCCCTACGACCCCAACCGCTCTGACGAGTCCCAAGCCATCTTCGTCGCAGACGACATGTGGGTGCCCATCGCCGTGGTAAATGGAAACGTACACATTCTCCCCGGCGTACCGCGTCTCTTCGAGCGCCTCCTGCTAAACCTGAAGCCGCATCTCGTTCCGCGCTTGTCGGACCCGGAGGGTAAGGGTACGTTCCGGTTTTTGTTTAGTACGCCGATGCCGGAGAGTGCGGTTGCGCCGTATTTGACGGAGTTGGCGGCCAAGGTTGAGCCCAAGGGCGTCAAGGTGGGAAGTTATCCGCGCTGGGGGAAGAAGAGGAATACGGTTACCCTTGTGGGAGCTGATAAGGCGTATTTGGAGTCGTTGGTTGCGGAAGTTGAGGTTGGTGTGGAGGGGAAGTTGGTTGTTAAGGAGGATGAGTTGGATCCTCCTTCGGATACGGAGCATGTTTTCAGCCAGTAGAGTAGACGTTGGATGTTGAAATCCGGGGTTCAATGGCTTGTATAGTTTGTATCATAGCCATTGGGTCGAGCGAGCATGCCATGTGATCTCTACCCTCTTACCTAGAGAGCAATATATACTCTTGTAACTCTACACCATATGCTTGTCTCGTGGTTTGGCCCGGAAGCCCGATCATGTATACATCAGGCTTCGACTGCTGGGCATCTCTTCGTGTGAATCACAAAATCCTGGATTTACCGCTATCAAGGCACAAGTCACTGGTACGTACGTTGTGTCGATCCAATCCATACCTGACCACATGGAATGAGAACATGGAGAAATGCTTAGAAAATCAAAGCAGAAACCCCCTTCGGTTGAGGAATATATATTGACAGATCATGTCGTCCCGCACTCCGAGACCAAAACAAGATGGATAAAAAGAGTTTAAAAAACATGATGGACCAGAGGAGAGAAAAAAGCAGTTCTTTCGCGGGGCAATAATGAGAAAAAAAAAACAAGAGATGATGGACAAATCAGAGGTTAAACACGCAATCGGAGAGAATGATAACAAAAAAAAACAAAAGGGGAATCAATATGTTCATGAGACGAGGTTGGCGTCAAGGGGAGGGGGGATTCGGCAAGTCATCATGCGATGGCGAATAAGTATAAACCCTCCAAAGCCTCGGTCGAGGGCGAAAAACGGAAGCCCAGGGCACGAAATGAAAAGCCGCAGCACAAAATCAACAGCCCACTCTGTTTTAAACCTTTTTCTCTTCCTCTTTGGTGAGAATCTTCCCATGCTCTCCCATTTTCCCGTCCGTCCAGTCCGTTCCTTCTTCCATAAAGAGTCAAAAGCGAGCTGGAGAGGAACCAAACTCCAGCTCCCTCGACACCTGCACAAGAAAATACCTCTAACAATTCCCATTACCCGTTCGTATGAACTCCTTTTCTGACATGTGCTGTGCGGCCCTCCCGAACCCTTGGACGCCCTCTGTATCGTATTGCGAGGGGAAAAGATGCCGTGGTTTGATGATTGGCGTGTGTGGTGTGTAGTTGTATTAATTTTTCTTTTCTTTTTTTTTCTTCTTCTCTTGTGGAGCTGGAACAGAGGTCGTCACGCGTGGGCTTTGTAGAAAAAGGGCCCGTTTACATGATGACACACTTGGAGCAGCAGCCAGCGCTCTCGCCGGGCTCGGCCACGTCCATCTTGTTGTCTGGGGCGCGGGCACCGAAGGCTCCGGAGCCGGAGGGGTAGGATGACATCTCCTTGTTGTAGCGGCGGATCTCGCGGACGAGGTCGTAGAAAGCGTCTTCGACGTGCATGCGGGACTTGGCGGAGGTCTCGATGAACTTGCAGCCAAACTGTCGGGCCAGGGCTTCACCCTCTATATGCGGGGAAAAGAACATTGGTCAGTTTGGAACACTTTTAAGGCGTGTTTGTAGTGATTTGACGGGAGGCCTAGGCCTGGGCCGGATGAGAAGGAATGGTAGTTTATGTACCTTGCTCCGAGACGACGCGGTCCTTCTCCAAATCGCACTTGTTACCGACAACAATGATGGGGAAATAGTCCTTGTCCTTGACGCGGAGAATCTGCTGTTGGAAGGTCATGATTTCTTCGAAGGATTGACGCGATGTGATGGAGTAGATGAGCAAGAAGCCCTCGCCGGTGCGCATGTACTGTTCCCGCATTGCCGAATACTCCTCCTGGCCTGCCGTATCAAGAACGTCCAAGAGAGCGACCTCTTCGTCGATAATACACTGCTTGCGGTAGGAGTCTGGAAATAGAGAATGACGGGTGATGAGCGATTTGATCCGGGGTTGCTAGCTCGGGAACTCGTCCGGCTGGGACGGGATATCCGCAGCTCACCTTCAATTGTCGGGTCGTACTCGTCCACGAAGTGGCTCTGGATCAGCTGGATCGTCAAGCACGATTTTCCGACACCACCACCACCGACAACCACCAACTTATACTCTCGCAGGAACTAGGGTGAAGGACGAGCGTTAGCCATTGAAATTGATCTCTCGTGTAATCTCGTCAGCGCAGACGCAGGGCCGGCGGTTGGAAGGAGGTCTATGTCTCCATAACCTCAAACCATAGCGGAGCTTTTTTGATGTAACGATCCGGAGGGGGCTGGCTGGGAAGGGGACCTGGCGGTCAGGAACAGGCAACACGTTGGCTCACCTTGGAAGCCATTCTGGCGAGCAATCGAAGCGAGTCACGGAAAGAAACCGAAGATCGATGAGAGGGATGAATTCACAGACGAGGATCGGAGGATCGAGAGGGGTTTGCGATCCGAGTTATGTTTTGCGATCGCAGGGGTTCAGGAGGAACCGAAAATTGTGCCGGGGACCAGCCAAGGGGAAAAAAAAGCGGTAGGGAAGGTAGGGAGAGGGAGAGAGACTGCGGTAATCGTAGAGTTTAGCAATTTAGGGGGGCGGGCCCTATGCAGTCAAAAATTGTGGAAGAGTAGAAAAAAAGCTTGGGGAAGAGGAGGAGAGTTGAAGGTTGAGGGGAGGGAGGATCGAGTGCAGAGAGGGTCGATTAGGGGCAGTTCGACGGGAACCAAATGGAGGGAGCTTCTTTGCCGGGGTGGAGTCCTCCAATGAACCTGGACTTGGGCTTACTCGATCTTTTTTTGAGTTATCTGGGTTCGCATATTAATTTATTCGCATTTTGATTATGAATAGATTACTGGATCAATCAGAGCTGCCCGACCATTTAAATTAATTCCAGTCGGAGCCATAGACTATCTACGCCGTATAAGGGGAATACTCCTCGTCTATCCACCAAACACGGGATAGACCCTCTATACTCGACTTGAAGAACTAGGGCAAGCTAGGGAAAAGAAAAAACAGACCCAGCAGAGGCGATCATCTTTATGATTATATTCTCCCAGTGCTTAGCAATAGAGAGAGAGAGAAAAAAAAAGAAGGGGGGAGAGTCGCGGTCAATTCAGGAGATTGTAAAGGGTAGTGGAGCCCTTTCAACTTAAGGGAAAGTGATTATTGGGCCGAAAAAGGGGAGGGGAACAGAAGGTTCTCTTCCATTTCCTCGACATGTCTCGGGGATGTGTGTTCTATCAGATGATTCTATCCGCTAGCCATGGAGTCTATGGACTGATGATGGTTTTCTTTTTGCTTCTTCTCTCGTGTTCCCAGGCGAGCTTCTTAATAGAAGAAAGCCCGCCGCTTTATTTATTTCCCCCCTTCCCGTCAGAGCCAAAAGGTGCTAACTGCGAAAGAGTAGCGCGGAAGAGGAGAGTGCTAATATATCGCGAGGTTTGGTACGCTACTTCCTCCTCGACGGGTTGATTGGCCCCAGCCTTGGTTTTTCCCCCCTCCGTTGGGAACGGACCAGGCGATATTAGTTCTTTATGATTGGGGCCCTCCGAACTATCCCTCGGTAATAATCAACCAAAACACACACACACGACCGCCTTGGCTGTTGAAAAGGAATGGATATAGTTCAGAGTTCAAGATGATGGGAGAACAAACTACTAATCGCAGTGTCTAGCCTTGACTCCATATTTCCTCTTTCTCCTGCCCCTCCGCTTGGAATCCTTCCTCCAGACTTTGGTGGAGCACCTCCTGGTGGGGGCTGCGAGGCGCTTTAGGGTATCGGGTTTAGTTCGCACGCCTAGCGCCGTGATGTTGTGACGGGGGCACACACACAGTCCAGAATCCGCTGGCTCGGAGGATCCGAGTGTACTGGTGTGGAGGTAAGTCGCTAACTTGGGATAGGTGATTCGTGAGCTGCAAGTCAATACTGTGATGTAGATGGAGGAGATGTATATAGCACTCTATGGAGTAACAGTACATTCTATACTAACTTGTGAAATACCAACAGCATTCTCGGGGAGACCCACTACCAGGCAATCATTGAACAACTGAACAATTCGAGGTTATCATCATCGAACCATCCAGTCACTTGGCTTTCTATTGCGAATGGCTTGCAGGTGTCAACCTTGCGGTCCGATTGCATCATTCCGAAGTGACGGTCTGTCAACTAGTTAGCGTAGCTTTCTTTTTTTCTTCCCTCCGCGTTGGAACCCTTCCATCTTCCTAGGTATATCATCATCATACCCCGAACCCCTACTTCCCCCCAAATGCATCAACTCAACAACCTACTCTGCAGAATGAATCGGAGATTTCCGTCATCTGCAGTCAAATCCATTTCCCCGAGATGATCACCCTATCACTTGAAACCCGGATCACGCCGTGATATCTGCACAATTGTGCAGATCAGCAAGTTGGAACTCGATTCATCCCACTTTTTTTCAAACTTTCCCATCTCCGCCTCCACATTTCCCGCAGCTCGCAGGGATTAATCACTCCGATGGAAAGCAAGTACGAACACAGGACTTACTACTGTACACGAAAAGAGGACGGATTGTAGAAATGTTAACAATGCACGTTCGTCATCCGATAGTCAATGATGGAGCTGTTCTACTGTTGATCTCTCTGGCTTGCAGGGCAGCCACCCCGCCTGCACGTCTACGACTCGCTGGGATTTCGGGGATTCTCGCTGCGTGCAGAGTCACATTCAGGATTTACCTCTGCATCGAGTATTTTCCATCCCTTCTAACTGGATATTCGGAATACTCCCTCGTAATCCATCCGGCCGGGTAACAATAATGATCACCCTGCAGCGGGGAATTTCCGTTATCCCCCTCCACTTTCTTCAGTTTACTCATTTCCACCATTTTCCATGATATAGTTTTGATACATAACTATATCGCTCGTGTAGGTTTCCCCCCGTGGTCGGGTGGTTGATTGTGGAATCGTTTGAAATTACGAGGGATCGACTGGGCCCGTTACTCGAATAAAGACTGATGAAGATCCAAGGTTTCCCCCTTCTCGGGCACGATGCCCCTCTCATCCTAGACTCGCTCTTAACGAGGGGACAAAGCGGCTACTTTTCCATGGACGTTGGAAAGTCAATTCTTTGTGTTGCCCGCATTCTGGAAGTTCCACGGCCCGGCAAGAATTACCTTATCTTTGCCTTGTTGTTTAATTATTTGGTGATGCATATTGGTTGCTTTGTCTGGGGACCCGGTCGGCTACGTCGTTAATTTGCCCTGCCCTGTCCTGCACGGGAATTTGCATACCGCGACTGCAGTAGAGATGCTCAGCCTTGCAGAGTGGGCGGGCGTATGTATGTACAGCAGATCGCCCTCCTTGATATGATCGATCAAACACCCGACAAGCCACATTAGACGCACGGTCGGTGACACCTCACGCTCCTGCGGGTGTCGGAATACGGTAGTGAACCCCGTTCGCCCGGGAGTTACGGTAGCTCAACGGGCACCGATATGTTTGATTTTACGATTGACCGTGAGAGGGACCCTGGGATGTTTATGCTACACTGGTAGAATCATGAATTTAATGGCAGAAACTCAGGCGCCTTGATTAACTTGCAAGCATATACACTTAATCTGTTGTTCAACTAGTATATACTCATGCCCACCGCCCTGAATTCGAGAGCCATTTAATTGTCTGCCACATAAACCTACAAACTTGGAAATACATCGAACCCACATCGTACTTCATAGGCAGATACGATCGATCAACCTCAAGTGTGGCTAACTAGCGGTCTGGATCCTTCAAGCTCCGCTCTAAGCAAACTTGCCACCATTCAGGCATCTATGCGCCATCCAGAGACTACCGCCAGGTTCAATTTTGAACAAATTGTTAATTCATCCTCCCATGGAGACTCACGCGGCTAAGTCAGGCAACCGACATGCTCTAGAGCATCTATCCAATTGTGACCCTAGACTACCTACCACGTCAAGACCGTTCGACGAGGCTACATTTCAAACCGAGGCGCGAATACCGCAGTCATAACCCATTTGTTATTGTGGGCCCTTTTTGCATAGCCAATGTCCATTAAAATTGTTTTTCTGTCGAGTTGATAGATATATGACAATCTCGGCAGACCTTGAAATGCCTGCAGGGCCAGGCAGCCATTTCAACATCACTCATAGCCGCTGCTTGCATAAGTGGTAGCATCAATATTGTGACTTGAGTTTCAAGCGATATAAAGCCCAGCGATATGGTAATGATACTACCGTGACAAATTACCAATGCACGGGGACCTGAGGGTCTATCTGCAGAGAATTCATGATTCTCGGTATCGACTCAGCATTGTGGAAACAGGTCACCCACTAACATCGCTCCAGATTTGCCAACTCATGCTTCGGAAAATGCCCGACATGCAACTGAAGCCCTGCCTCACCTGCACGTTCTCCGACGCATGCAGGTACAGCACAGCAGCATCACCATCGTCAACGTGGACAGTCGAAAGCAAGGATTCTTTTTGGAACATGAGGTGGCCACCAGTCAAAATTCGAACACACTTGCCTCGTCAGACACAAGGCTGCAAGACAAAGCAGAAAGATTCGAACGCCTTTGTGGAATAGCTTAAACGCATATGGCTTTCCCTTGATCCACTTGTCCCACGTGGCGATGCTTTCTTGGAGGTGATAACTACTTGAGCCAAGGTCGGTCAAATCCCGAGGATGACGCTTGTCTGTGGGGGCAATCCCTAAACCTTGAATCAATTACCTCCTGTGTCCTAAAGGCGACAGTAGTGCATTCCACCTGCTTGGTGTCGAGATGAGTGAATGTTAACATATACTGACTTCCATTTGTTCTGGTTCATTTGGACGCGTTCCTACATTAGATTCAACAGACATTTGGTAGCGAATATAGACCCGATGACTGCAATATATGCTGCTAAGATAGAAGATACTCATACCTAGCTAAAATTTACTTCAATTCTATCATATAATGGCAGTAGTTTACAACCCGAGTGAGACGAGGTCTTAATTCTTAGGTAAATTCATATATTGTGTAACCATATACAATAATGGATGCTGTCTATTTGTATCATCTCCTCCTCCAAGCACGGGATATTTATTAGGACTTGCGGTGCATGACACCAGCGGCGGCCTGTCAAATTTGTTAGCTAAAGCAACCCTTCCATCAGCGATGCGGGACTGGTACATACCTGGTGGCTAGGGAAGACTAGGGTATCGGCAATAACGACGTTCTCGCGACGACCAGCGGCGAAGACGACAACCTCGGCGATATCGTCACCAGTAAGAGGCTCGACACCCCTGGAAGTTATAGGTCAGCCTTGCTCGGGGAATTTCGAATCGATGTAATTATGGGAAACTTACTTGTAGACGGCATCGGCCTTCGACTTGTCGCCGTAGAATCGCACAACGGAGAACTCCTAAGCTTGAATTAGCGGCTGCTTAAAGTGTGAAAAACAAGAGGGAGAGAGTATGCGTACAGTCTCGACTTGACCGGGGTCGATCTCGATAACGCGGATTCTCGTCGCGATAAGCTCCTTGCGCAGGGCATCGGTGAAAGAACGAACGGCAGCCTTGGTAGCGCAGTAGATACTACCACCAGCGTAGGGCTCCCGACCAGCAATACTTCCAATGTTAATGATATCGCCACGGCCGCCCTCGTCACGCTTCTTGAAGATGGGCAAGATAGCCTGGGTCATGTTGATAAGACCGGTGACATTGGTGTTGAACATGACGCTCAGATCCTCGGGCGCAATCTCCGGAGCCTGCGCGACACCCTTGACAAGACCACTGCATACATAGCGATTATCAGCATCTCGACTCTCTAGCTTCAACTCCTCTAGCCCCACTCTTTGGGCATGTGACTCACGCATTGTTAACAAGCACATCAATCTCCTTGAACTCGGCGGGCAAAGAGGGAACAAAGTTCTTGATCTCCTCTGGGTTGCTGACATCCAACTTCACGGGCAGAACCTTGACACCTTCGCCGACTTCAGCCTTGATCTCAGCCGCGAGCTCATTGAGAGCCTCGAGACGGCGCGCAGTCACGATAATCTTGAGGTTGTTGGGCGAGGTGCGCGCAAACTCCTTGGCAGTGCTCTTGCCGATACCGGAAGAGGCACCAGTAACGAGGATAGTCTTGCCTTCGAGGCGCTTGGCCATTGCGGACGCCATTGTTCGTCGGGTAATCGTAGGGTGAACGGCAAGATTGAAGGGGTTGTTGGGTCTTGCTGAGGTTGCCGGTGTGGAGCGGGGGCGAGAGAGCTGTCGGAGGAATTGAATTGATCTACCGCACGTTCGGAATAGGCTCATGGATGTCAATAATCAAGCCAGGGCGAATTGCAAAGAAAACAGAAGAAGATACCCCCGCGGCGTGCGGGGATGGCGCTCGCGCAATATCGGGTTATGTAAGCGGCTAAACGTTGCGGCGGGTTTTCGGTCTTCATGCCGAACTGCTCGGTATTGCACCGTTGCTTCTTTCCAAGATTGATAAAAACAGATAAGAACAGTAATTGTAACAACGAGGTTGATGGAGGTTTCCGGGTCCCTATGGAGCTTTCCAGGACCAGGCCGTTTGCTGCTTGGGGGGTCTCTACAAGAGCCCTGCCCTGCCCCTGCTATCTTTCCCCTTGTCTCTCGCGGGGTTCGATAGTCGCTCAATCTACTACGTTGCTCTCTCTCCCTGTGCTCTCTGTGCATTGAGGTCTACGATATTTCCAAGGGGAATTATACTATAGTTGTTCGAAACATCTTTAAACACGCTCGACAATTCCCTGACAAAGAAGAATGCATTGTGTTAAAGTTTGGCCCCTCGATTTATCGGGTTCAATGTGACTTGTTCAAGGGAATATAAAGCCCATTCTCTCTATGAAAGGTGAAACAAAGATGAACTGAAAATACTGCCCATCAATATCTTTGTCGTTCTCCCTGGGCAATAAAGAGCTTTCTAGTGCTATTGTTGTGTCAGGTTTGGACGACAACATGGACTAACAATAGATCATGTGGACAAGTATAAATTGCACGCCTTCGGCTCTCGAGACGGAATTCTCCAGAGTTTCGTAACATTGCGATTTTGTGGTCAATCTGGTTCTTCCAAGACCACCTTCAAACTCCACCCATTCCCAAAGAGGTTTGTCAATTCTGCATTACTGCCTTTACTCCGGTCTCACAGCCGCGCTTCCCCTAACCTCCTTCCCTACCCGCAACTCTCTCATCGACGATAAACCACAATGCCTGCATCAGAGTCCGTTACTTCCTCAACGGAGGAATTTCATTTTGATTTTGACTGGGCGGAGGATGTCGAAGATGAGCTCCGACGACAAGAATCCCACGGTTGGGACCTATGCCACGATGCCAAGGGATACTCAAGTGGTGAAATTCTAGAAGCTACCGGCAACAGCTTCCATGACATTGATTTTGAGAGAGATGTTGAGTATATCACGGAAGATGACATTGTTGACCATGATACAAACATTGTGAGCATTCCATTGACGGAGGAAGTATCCCCCACGCAACGGCTGCGTCGTGGCGTCGTGCAGGAATTTCGTGGACGTGACTCCGCAGTGTCTCACGACGAAAAAATTCACCACTTCAACTGGCTCGGAAACCCAGTCTATCAGCCTAGCTCGACAACCCCTGCCGAGTCCCTTGCTATCATTTTCAGTGGCCCCAAAGTCCCAAAAGAGAACGACAAGCTCCGGGTCGCGAGTATTCTTCGTCGAGCCTATCAATACCTTGACCCCGTGGTGGTAAGTTTTGAGAGAATCAAAAAACGTTTTTTCAAGCATCGAGGCTTCAGCTTACAAAATGCAGCAGAGGGCCACGTCTTCAAGTTCTACACTCCTCACGGCCAGTGGATGGTAGATTCACACGTCCTCGACTCCGAGTTGATATTGAGGGACGCAGGTACCCAGGACGTTTACCTCAGTTCTAAATTCTCAATTGGAAATGGCTTCAAGAGCTCCAGCTTGATTCCCACTAGGTCGACCTGGTCCTCAACTCAACGTAAGATTCTTCGATCTCGGCAGCGCTCGTCGCCCAGGAAGAACAACTGGTCCCCGCCTCCACCATCTCCCCTTCAACAGAACAGTCTATTATTTTATCCGAAACAGTCACAAAGAATTCACGCGAAACCTCTTTGACGGGCAGGCCCAAAGACTTTATGCCTGTTCGACACCGCCCTCGAGTGTTTGAACCGTCAGCCACCCCTTTTGCTGAGCCCCAAAGCACAAACAGAAGCCAGCAGTCGATCATCTACCGTTCAGTGCTTCCACTCGAGTTGGATCAAATCCGACAGCGGCGTAGGGAATACATGACGAACACAGCTAACAAGACTTGGAACTCAGTTTCAAACAGTTTTCGGTCCCCCAAGTGAGGTTTGTAGCCTTCTTTTTGGCACTTCTTTTGTTCAATCCTGTTTCTGTTGCACATTTTTCTGCATTCAGTATTGATGTTCATGCCAGCTCCTCAAAGTCTTCATAACATGAGTCAATTTAAAGTTTTTGAAATCTTTCTTCTTGGTGCTTTTGTAAACCATCGAGAAATTAGTTGTAATTAAGTAATACTACGTAAATAGCAAGATTGGGACGAAAAGTTTGAATCCTGATGCGAAGTCAGATACGTGCCACCTAGAGGCTATCCTCGTATAGTAAGAAACAAAACCAAAAGTCTGGCGATTTGCCAGGTAGGTGAGAAAGGGCCTATTTTGGGGCTGTAAGTCAAATACACAGAGAAATGGAGAATATACTTTGCTCTGCTGACACGGTTTTTTGTTTCTTTTCTTAGGATCCGGTCTCCCCGCACGAACAGAGAAACAATATTTGCAAGGATAGTTGCTCTAGATGCATTCCCCACGCTAAGGATTACAATTCGAAATAAAATAACCTCTATCCAGCACTAATTCCGAGCTTGATCACGATCTGGGGCTAGAGTGGACTACCCCGGAATAAACTCCGTCCCTTACCATTGAATCTCGGCGGCATATGTGGGGTCAAACTTCTACCCCGGGGAGGAGCTTTTGTTTAAAGACAGGGGTTTTACCCGGGACATTAGGACTAATCGAGCACACTGAGCTTAATCTTCAATTAGACGCAGTCGAAAATGGCCCATATTCAATTTAACCCTTCGCTGCTTGGAGCTTTGTCCGACAAAGTCGTGGTCCTAACGGGAGGCGCGACTGGTATCGGCCGAGCAACCATTCAACAACTATGCAGTGAGTGACGAATTATCATTATGGCATTGTTCAAACTAACCTTGAAACAGAGAACGGCGCCCATGTGGTATTCGGGGATGTTGTAGAAGCTGCATCACGAGAACTCGAAGTCGAACTGAGCCCCAGTGCTCAATTCGTGAAATGCGATTCATCAAACTACTCCGATCAACTAAATTTATTCAAAACTGCATTTGACAAATATGGCCGGGTGGATATCGTCATCGCAAACGCGGGCATCTCAATCCCTCAAGATATTTTTGACCCGGCTAGCGATTTCACCCAAGAACCCTCGATGAAAGAAGTCGACATCAATCTCGTGGGATCCATCTTTAGCGCGCGTATCGGCATGCATTACCTCCGTCGGAGTGGGGGTGGAGACCTCGTTCTCGTGAGCAGCATCGCCGGGTGGAAGGAATGTGGGGGCTTGGTCACTTATACGGCGAGTAAGCACGGTGTCGTGGGGATTATGCGGGGCCTCCATTTGACAGCGACCCCGGAGAATATCAGGGTCAATGTTGTTTGTCCCTGGATGACGAGTAAGTTGATTCTCATTGTGTGGTGGCGTTTATTCTCTAATGCTGATCGTGAGTAGGAACGCGCATGGTTCTCGGAATTGAAAAGGGCTGGTATGAGCAGAACCTGCCTGTCAATGAACCAGAAGATGTCGCTCGATCAATCATAATTTGCGCTACTGCGAATAGAGGCAGTGACGGTCAGACTCATGCAGGTGCTCGTCTACCCTTTGCTGGAAAGATGTTGCATGTGGCTGGCGGGGAGAGTTACGAAATCGAGGACGAGATGAAGAATCTGGAACCATCTTGGCTGGGAACTGAGAATAGCAAGATACTCGAAAAGGGACAGGCATACTTGGCTTCCGAAGGAACGAGCTGGGATACGACAAAGTCTAGTTAACCATCAAGTCTCAAAAGGAATTTCTGCGCACTCTTCGATAGGGACCGATTGGACGAGTTTACAATATGAAATGAACATATACTACCTTGCTGGCTATTGTTACCATCTATTTTTGTCCAGCTGGCCCGAGAGATGACGTGTTGTTCTAGCACCCCTGTCGTGTCGGTTCAGTCACTATTCTAAAATGCCTCGGACTCCTTCGGCGCTTGAACCGGAACGGTTTATGCTTATTCCAGAAACAAGGCTAGATAACCGAGACTGAGTAATCCAAGGCTCGCCTTAAATAGTTCAGTACGCCCTTTCATCTGAATGAAAACGTCTCAATTTCGCCAAATAGTCTGCATCATGTTGGGTTATCTTCGTCTTAAGATGTCGGCGTCGCTCGTCCGCCTTATCTTCCGGTTGAAATCTGGCAGCATTTATGCCAAACCAGATGAGGTTCTTCATTTGCCAAGCCGCGACTCTGGACGAACCATCAAAGTGAACTTCTATCGGTCGAAATCGAAAAAGCCAGCTCCTCTGCTCATCAACTTTCATGGAAGTGGATTCATGATCCCCTGGCATGGTACTGATGACGAATTTGCTCGTTGTGTCGTTCAAAGCACTGAACATGCCGTGCTGGACGCTGCCTACCGACTTGGCCCAGAACATCGTTCCCTGCCGCGATTCATGATGTCGAAGACGTAGTAAAATCAAGATCAGAGCAACAACAATTCTCCGCAGAGCTAGCAGCAATGGCATATACATTGAACATGCTAGCAGAATTGAAAGATTATAGGGTCACGCTTATCACGAGCAACAAAGAGGCCGTCCTGACGATAAGAAACGCTCGAAAACAGTCATGCCAGGAGTTTGTCTGCCATACTCATAATCTGATGAAAAGGATGCGGAGAAACGGGAACCACATTAATATTCTGTGAGTTCCTACCAGCAAGGACAGTAACCTGCTAGGTCTGGCCAAATAGCACGCCAGAACCGCGAACCAGACGGATGCTACCCCACAAGAATCAATCCCCAGAATGAAGTCGACAATACTGGATATCGCTCGGCCCAAGAAGTTACTGACAATGACTTCCCATAGAATCTATGGAGACAGGTGAAACGAGTGGATGCAGCACTCCCTGGGAAACACACCCAGCAGCTACATAACCAATTTATCGTGGAAAGAAGCAAACATGTTAGCTCAGCTGCGGACTAGCATAGTAAAACTAAATAGATATCTCTTTCGAATTAACAAAGTGACGCTCGAGACATCTCTTTATCCATGGAAGTAACTACTTGGAAATGACTGCTGCACCACACGGCCGACTAAATCGACATATTCCGAGCAAGAAAGAAAAGTGCCAGTAACAATATCGTCGGGATAAACTCTAATGACAATAGCATGCGAATATAGCAAGATGTGCGATGCAGATGTCTGTCTGGGTATACGTCCGTGAGATAAGCCAAGTATGTATATATATACATTTTCGACGGATGCATTAGGAATTTAGGCCTTTCTTAGCTCTCAGCTAGTACGTCGCCAATACTATTTAATGGAAATTTCACTAATATCTACGGACTTCATATTATCCAACCCCGACGCGCCAGGGACGGATCGAGAGCTCGATGTAGTTTGACGAGTATACACAATTCTGGGATGCTACGTAAAAATCAAGGGAGAAAATTCTCGAAACTCAAGGACCAGAGAGCACGTTACAACCCTAATATCTGCACCATGGCAGGCTTTTTTTTTTCTAAGTATAGCGTCCCCCAACGCACTTCTTAGATGAGCCCTATTATACCTTGAATCATCTCGTGTGTTGCGAATGGGCATGATCGGGGATAAGTCTAACTAATCAACTGGCTAGCATGGTTTGTTTGACGATATGCCTCAGGCAGCGAGGAGGATAAAGGGAGATCCTGGCCTGTAGATAGATCCTCCTCTTCTTCTTTTTCCCTCCTTAGCTTTAGTTTCTTCGTGAATTACACTGATTAAGACCTCGTCTATCGCTTAGCACGTAACATCGTGGGAGAGACTCCCCTAATAGAGGATAAAGCTGTAGCCTTCCTTCTCGTGCTTACTCATAATTTCTTAACATGATACAGTATCCAACTACATCATGCGGTAAGCTATATTAGTCGAAACGTTATGTAAATTCCATCTGGTAGCGAGAGGCATCTGCTTAATTTTTCCACATGCCCTTCACGGTATGTTAGACCTCGTGGTTCTGCAACTCTACCAAAAACACCGTGGCCTATCCAGGGATACAATAAGGGTTTAAATCTACTTCGATAATTAGAGTAGAGGTTTTAGTTTCACGGATTCACTGTACCGAAGCCCTTGAGAAAGCGAGTCAAATTTAGTGGACCACGGTTTCCCCCATCTTTAAGCTATCACAAATAAGGCTGCTTCATTACAGCGCAGACCGCGATTTTCCCTTCCAAGCTCTCACAGGCCTACTGCCCTGGATGCTTCAGTTTATACGATGGACAATAGTTTCTCCTTCTTCCCCTCAACCTTCAAGCTGTCTTAGATAGCTTCCCTCCTTCGAAACAAAAGGGTCATGATTTTCCCTCGCTTCAAGCTATCCTAAGTAGCTCTATCTCTCTTATCCCAGGGACGTGCATGGCCGATGTATGGCTTATGGAGTTGCATAGAGAGCATCATGGCGAGATAAAGGATATGGCTCGTGGGGCCGAAAGGGAGTGAAAGGAGATAGCGGGGTGATGCGAAATACACGTGACGCGTGTCCAGCCGTGATAATTCCGTGCCCTCCAACAGCGGCTTTCTGGGCCCAGAAAGCCAACTTTGTTTTGTGCCGGCCGCCATTCGTTCGCTTTTCACCCTCTTCGCTTGTGCAATGCTTAGCACGAAAACAGACCAACCGAGTTGATTTCCGACCCCTCCGTGAAAGCGACATAATGAGCTCGTCTAGGGTAGGAGCCCATCTTCCTGTCGAACTTATCCTTCTTTCCGCCGAATATCTTATGCCTGTTGACCTGCTGTCTCTTTTATGTGCGGCTCCTGGACTCGCACAGGTCCTAACTTTTCAGCATACCACCCTTCAGGACGAAGGAGGGAGATCGATTCTACATTTACTCGCGAGCGGGGGGGAGGGCAGATTGATGAAGCTACTGCTCGCAAACGCTAGTATCAGGCCAGACCCGAAGGACAATTATGGCCGGACGCCGTTATCCTATGCGGCTGGACGTGGAGGAGGTGGATATGAAGCAGTAGTCATGTTACTGCTGGGCCGACAGGATGTCAAGGCGGACTCGAAGGATAACGATGGGTTAAGTCCCTTATCCTATGCGGCTCGAGGTGGACATGAAGCAGTGGTCAGGCTCCTACTGGGCCGACAAGATATCGAGGCGGACTCAATGAACAACGATGGGCTGACTTCGTTATCTTTTGCGGCTGAGGGCGGACATGAAGCGGTAGTCAGGCTACTGCTGGACCGACACGATGTTGAGGCGGACTCGAAGGATAACTTGGGTCGGACACCGTTGCTGTATGCGGCCTGGCGCGGACATGAAGCGGTAGTCAGGCTACTGCTGGACCGACACGATGTTGAGGCGGACTCAAAGGCTAACTGGGGCCAGACACCGTTATCTTTTGCAGCTGGAGGTGGCCACGAAGCGGTAGTCAGGCTACTGCTAGACCGACACGATGTTGAGGCGGACTCGAAGGACAACTTGGGTCGGACACCGTTGCTGTATGCGGCCTGGCGCGGACATGAAGCGGTAGTCAGGCTACTGCTGGACCGACACGATGTTGAGGCGGACTCGCAGGCTAACTGGGGTCGGACACCGGTATCCTGTGCGGCTGAAGGTGGACATGAAGCAGTGGTCAGGCTCCTGCTGGACCGACAAGCTGTCGAGGCGGACTCGAAGGATAATTGCTGAAGAGGGAAGTGCTCGATGGCAGCTTGAGCGGGTCGAAATAGCTGAAGAATCGCATAATTCTGTAGCGCTCAGCACCGAGGATACAGCAGGAGATCTGAAAAGAAGGCCATAGTGTTTGAAAAATCAACTTTGTGGTCTCTGGATGGGCGAGTTTTGCCCTAGGAGGGTTGGAAAGCCCTAGCCGGCCACGAGCTCCTGCCTCGACATGGTGCCCGCTTGGAGTTCTTAGGGAAACAGTTTGGCTGTCTCTGAGCGCCAGGAGGAGCTCAACGGCGCGATTACCCCCGTTTCCACGACGTGCCAACGCGGCGAAACCGAGCCTCCCATTCACGAAACACTAACCATCACGACTCTAGTACGTGAGAGAAGTTCGTGTCCCCTTCACGTACGCTAAATGACGGAAAGCGGAGCTTGCCCCATCATTCATCCTACCCGACAATCGTTTACGGCGTCAGAGCTCCACGAATGCACCATATAGACGTGAAGCCTAACACAATACAATATTGCTAACGTGATTCCCGGCCGATCTCGCTATCCAGTCGTGCTGGCCACCCTAAAACGCCAAGATGTGGAATATTGATTCCTCTATATTTCAACCACCACATATTTATTTCGGTCAGAATTCTAGGATAAACATCCGTATAGGTATAGGAAGAACTCTCATAGATTTTAAGACTATTATTCAAACGCTTTAACATAAAATACAGCGTAATTTTGATGTTTCAAATTCAAATATACATATCTCCCTAATTAATCAAATGTATCTTTTCTTAATATACGAGTAGGCTATTTATGCTCTCAAGTCTCTGTATCCTTCATATTTTATCTAAACTATGTATGTTTGTTTAAATATGACGTAATTTACCCCATTTAACTAGTAACTTATGATGTTTTGGAGTGGCCAGCACGACCAGGACCGGGAGATCGGTCGGGAAGTACGTTAAGTTTCGAAGTCGATTATCTCCATCAAAATTCATCGAATTTACTGCTACTGGCAACTGTCACATCGATTGATCTTATGGCCAATCCCCCCATATCCACTACACCTGGACGGGGCCCTATATATCAGGAACGGACAATGCGACATATTGTTTTCTACTGTGCGTATGATCAAGAGTCTATGAGTTGTTCTCGATGATCTCATAGGATCTGGCTGGACGACGGGGAATATCAATGTTAAAACTCCGATGTAACGTTATCGGTAGTTACCTGAGACAAAAGTCCCACGGGTATGGTACTTCAACGCGCAACAGCCGTCCATAATGGAGGTTCAAGATCATTAGACACCACTGACAAAAAAAGTTGCGAGATGTAAGAAAACAAACACTTGAACTTTGAATATCCATCGCAATTGCGGATTGACATCAGATTGCCTGGTTGGCTGTCCAGGGTTTGGGGCTATGTCGCCCCGCTTGATGCAATCCAAGACGGCATTCAGCTTGGACAGCCGTGGGATATACCACATCAGGTAATCTTCAGCGACCATGTTTGGAAAAAAACCTCCAATGATTTGCTGTTTATGGTCGCGTCTTGAAAACATCGAGGGCCATTTTCTATCCTGGGTTTAGCCCCGCCGACGCACGTCCGTGGACGTGGAGAATCTGGGGGCTGTAAACACCTTGGATGAAGCACTAGTCCCTGGCAGGACAAGAATTAAATCATAATGTAACAGAGGATAAGTGTAGCTTTAGGGAGGGAAGCGCAGGTGATGATCTGCGTTGTGACCATTAATGCTATGCTATATAAAGGGTACTGTAGCCCCTTGATCGGCCTTCTTGGAGACCCTGACAAAGGCAACCTCGCGTTTCAAATTTCATCGTCGGACATCACTGGACTGAAATGGCTTCCGCTCTACTGTATACCGCTGCTTCGGCATTTATTATCAACAAGTTTGCCATCGCGCAACCAACTCGTGCGATCGATGCGGATTTCCCTGACCCTTGCGTTATCCAAGGCAGCGATGGATACTATGCGTTTGCTACTGGTGGCAATGGTGTGAATGTTCAAGTTGCTACTTCTCCTGACCTCGCGACGTGGGAGCGCTTGTCCGGCACCGATGCATTGCCTGGGCCTTTCCCAGCGTGGGTCGCTGGGTCCCCTGCGATTTGGGCTCCCGATGTCATTCAACGCGTAAGCTTACCACGATCCATGATTTTTGGTAAAAAAGATGCTCATATCTATTAGGACGATGGAACATTCGTGATGTACTTCTCCGCCTCTACCAGTCAGGATACCAGCAAACATTGCGTCGGGGCTGCTACCTCATCTAGCATTACTGGGCCCTATACACCCGAGCAGAATCCACTTGCCTGTCCTCTTGACCAGGGCGGTGCGATCGACGCCGACAGCTACAAGGATGCAGACACCTTCTATGTCGTATACAAAGTGGACGGCAACAGCCTTGATGGAGACGGCACAACCCATTCAACTCCCATCATGCTGCAGGGCCTGAACTCAGATGCCATCACCCCTAATGGTGGCGCGACCCAGCTTCTTGACCGCGACGACAACGATGGCCCACTCATCGAGGCACCGAGTATTGCTAAAGTTGGAGATACCTACTATCTTTCCTTCTCTTCTAACATGTATGACACCACCAATTATGATGTCAGCTTTGCAACCGCCGGTGCAATTGCTGGACCCTACACAAAGGCCCATGCCCCGGATGCCCCTCTGCTCGTGACTGGATCGTCGAGCAACGTTGGCGACTTGAGTGGCCCCGGTGGTGCGGATTTCAACAGTGATGGTTCCAAGATTGTTTTCCACGCTTTTGCGAATGGCAAGGATATTTCGAATGGACGGGCGATGTATGTTGCTGATATTGCGGCATCTAACAATGTATTGAGTGTGCTGTGATATATTACTCTTGCGAGAGACTGGATGAATCTGACCGTGATATGAGTTTGGGACATTCATGCACCAGTAGTGGGATGTCTGATAAGGTCAAATTTATATGAAAAGGGCTTCAAAATAACGAAGCTAATGGTGCCAACAGGGTCGCCCTTTTTTTAACAGACCTTAATAAGGTTAGGCAACCGTGTACTTCATCTTCTGTTCTCAAATGATCACGTAGATGACATGACAAGCCTCAAAGTCTATATATGCCCCCAACCCAATGCTTTACCTTTCATAATATTCATCTCACTACTCGCTACTCGAGTAGGCCTTGCCTGTAAGGCTTTTTAATATTGACGTCCTCTTCGTTCAAGCCCACCTTTCGAACCTTTCATCGATCCTCGACCAAGTCTCTTTCAAACCCTTACATCCTCTTGAACAATTCTTCCAAGGTCGGTCGCCTGAGTCAACGATGAAAAATGCCCCTGAATATACAATTATTGGCCTTGAATTTGACCGTCTGAAAAACATCAGGGAAGATTTCTTTCAACGAAGACCTTCTAGCGTTTGTCGACAAGGCCCGTTCGTCACTTCAGTCACGAAAAAGCTTGAAACGACGAGATTGCTTCAAGTGATCTCTCTTTCATTACGCTGCCATGGGTGGCTGTACAACTAAGGAATTGACGCCAAAACGATCATCTATGGGCCAGGACCAGCCGTCTTTTCTGGTCTCCACCCGTTATCTGGGACTCCCCCTAACCGCCGGGAGCACTGGCCCAACCTCGGGAAGGCCTTTTGCCACGCACTGTTGATATTCACCCACCCACAGGTATATATAAAGTGCTCACCTTTCACGCTGCCATGCCCCTTTATCCACACTCCGTCATGGCACCCAGAATCTTTTCTAAACTATTCAAGGGCAAGAAAAAAGATGAACCCAAATTCACACTGAAAGAAAATTCTCCAGTCGCAATAGGAATTTCAGATTCTACCTGTGAGATCAATGGCGATATATTTAATCGATGGAAGCTTCCAATTCCACCACCAGAAGACCGCCTGCGCATGCTTGGTGCAGCTATGAGGAAGCATCAGCAATTCTTTATGAGACAAATGTCTTCGCGATGAATAAGGCCATGGACACTCCGTTTCTTATGTCGCGACTCTTATCACCGCGCTGTGCATCTCTGATCACTGCTATGGACATCTCATTTTCTGTGGATATCTGTAGACCAGATCAATACGAGAGCGATTGGATGGCAACTTATGTGGCGCTCTTCAAGTTATTCGAGCAAAAATTTTCATGATATGCATCAGCTACGCTTGGAACTTCGAATCCTGACCTGGGAGGTTTTGTCCGAGTTCTTCAACGATCAGAGACTGAGAAAACTTCTTGCGCCACTTGAAAGACTTTCAAAAGGCCGCAAGTGGACTCGACTACAAGTTTGTGTTCCATATAATTGGCATGCTCAGTTCCAACAATTTAAAGCAACTATGCCCTGTCAAGCGGAGTGGGAGCTTACAGAGACTGTATGGACGGACCCCTTGGTGATGGAAAGACCCATGCTAGGGTGAATATATACTACCAATCAGATTATTTGAGGAGTCATTCCTACCAGCTATCTTGACATTCTATCCCCCAATTGTTTACGATGTTGGTTTCGACGCTTGGGGAATTCAGCCATTCCAACCCCGAGTCCCGCAAGAATAGCAGCGACAGAAATGGATATGGACTTGGCAGTCGAGCGAAAATTATCAAAGAAAGGGTCAGAGACTGGAAATGGGACGATGACCTCAGCCGTTAATACTGAGGTTTCTAAATGAGACTCAATCGCTATCCTTAATGACTTGAGCATCCCCGAAAGGGATTCATCAATGTGATTGTGACCACATAGCCAAAGCGGCAAGTAGCCGCGAAATGATGGCCAGCCCATTGTGGTCAGTGTGTTAGGGGCATTGTAAGCATAGTCCTTCAGGACGTCCGCTGTGCGCATTCGTTGCGTGTAGGCGGGGTTGCCTTCGATCATGGTAACCGGCACATGGGAGCCATTACCGAACCGAATATTCGCCACACTATTTGGCAGCAGCCTTTGGTAGGACATCATGTCCCAATAAAATTTCCGGCTGAATACTAGTTTCCAGTCGCACACTGCTGCTGTTAATTTTGTATCCCAAAAAACATCTATCAGAAATCATTGCAACTGCCAACTTTCTAAAGTGATGAACAAGACCGGAGGAAGACAATATCCGATGTATATTTTGTGAAAAGCATTTCTTCCACCATATTGCCAGTATCACACATATATTATAAAGAAAGCTCGCTTCCCGACACGACTGCCTTTATCACAATCTGAACCCCCCTGAAAGTCTCTATCAGCCTGCATTTGAAGGTTTTTACTGCCCCTGTCTGAAGCGTACCGCTTGCAATGATAAGTTCAAGGCGCTGCAGACACTTGAAGCTTTCTAGCACTATTTTCACCCATTCGGCATTGGTATCAAGAAGCCTCGAACCACCCTCTATTAATTGACCTTCGATCGTCAGGCTCATTTCCTGTAACCCGGTGCATTTTGGCACTACCGCAGCCGCCAGCATTGAGCATACAGCAACCCATTCAGAAGTGGTTCGGCAACTGCCACTTTCGTTGATAAGACTGCTCTCAACAGTCCGCAAACTCAACCTTTGAATTGAACACAACTGCCATCGACGTAGTCTCTGGAGAAAAATTCTACAAGAATGAACCCCAGTAACACCCCAATTGTGGAAATCGAATCGGTGAAGTTGAAAGGCCAGAACACGAGTCTCCGCATACACTTGGCGGTTCACGAGGAGGATGTTCAACGTAATCTGATGCTTGGGTATATAAAAGGCGTGCGTATTGCGACATGGACATGTCCCGAATACTAGTACGTATATTTTCAAACGCAACTCGATTGGGAGGCGAAGCAACATTTTGGCTCATACCTGCAACATTGCAATTTTCATGTATGAATCAAGTAGGAGGGGTTGATTCTTGATAGTTATCACTTAAAATAAGTTACGTGAAGTTTATCCTCATTAAATTCAGGTCCAACCTGATCTGCGAGCCGGGTCAGATTCTCCGATCTTGCTTTCAAACTAGCCAATAATAGACCGCGCTTGGTCAGGAATAATTTTACTCCGGCCCCGCTCACCGTGTTAATTAATACTCCGGTATTAATTGACACGGTGAGCGGGGCGCCAGAAACGGCTCCCGTCCCACTGCCTACCCTAATCCGTAGCCCCTCTACCACTTTGGGTATAGCGCCCATACCTTAGTCCCGCTTTAGTTTAGCGCCCTCCTACGCCGCTTTTACTAGGGGCTTCTTTACAGACCTGTTGAAATCCGATTGGTGCACCTAGATGAGCTTAGTAACCCATTTCCGATAACTAGTTAACTAACTAACGTAATTCACAAGCCAGCCGTACACCCAAGCGAGCCGTACACCCCAAACACCATAGTAAATACGATATTTCACAACTTGATATTTCAACGCTCAAGACTTGGAATTGAATCTTCGGATATCCTAGCACTTAATATGTCAATCCATACATCATTATCATGCGCAGAAGTTTTTAGAGGCAACCCAATGTTGGTATATATATATGCGTCGGTCGCTGCCAGCGTATTTTTGGTAATGCATGTAAATAATCATTTATTATACATCTCAGTTAAGCCATTCTATTTTTTACGTTAAAAGAATCTATAATATCAAGAATAAAGTAAAAACAACTTCTCGTTGTTGATATCTAAGGGCCTGAAAAATCGTATTTACTATGGTGTTTGGGGTGTACGGCTCGCTTGGGTGTACGGCTGGCTTGTGAATTACGTTAACTTAGTTAGTTAACTAACTAACTAACTACTTCCGCCCTAATTTAGCAATACGTAAACACGGCAGCTCCCTTTTCTTTCCTTTCTCCCCAAGATTGATGTAAGTAGTTCGTGGCCTAGTTAGATTGAATCAAATTGCCTTTAGCCCTTCACACTAGTAGGCTATAAAGCTTATAATATCTAGCGTATCTAGATACCTACTATATAGCAAATGAGTCACCGTAATAATACCGTAATGTTTCATGGAAACTCGCTCGATCTGGTAGGATCGTCTAGCTTACTCACTCCCTTCTAGCCTCTCCCACTCGTTCTTGCCTAACTCGTCCTGCCAGGAATGTCTTAGAAGGCTGCGCTTATGCTGTAGAGAGCTAACCCTGGTAGGCAAAGATGTATCTCTATTCTGATTTCTGATGGCTTATGATACCTTTTGCGAAATTCATTTACTGCTAGCCCGCCGTTGAAACGTGGTTCTAATAATAAGTTGCTTGCTATGCAAAGTCCGCATCACAGGCCTCCCTGCCTTATGTCATCTTTTCCTGCACATATTTGATCATCCTTGAAACTCAAGAGAGAGAATGGAACATTCACTATCGCCATATACTACCTCGTCTCCTCCATCATCCTTAGCAATCGCCCCGTCCTGACCGACGCCCTCCGAGATGAAGACCTAGGAGCTAGCGCAGATTGAGCTCCAGGACCGGTTAAAACTCCATAGTATCAAGGAAGACATGACAGCACAACTGGTGACTGATAAAGAGGTTCATTCATTCCATCGCAATGTGAACATAATTAGTATGTACTATTTTATGATCATTGCCAAGGCGTTTGCAACCTTTGTCCCTCTCGCCAACTGGCTAGGGGACACGGGCATCGACCAGTTGACCACAAAATACATTCCTACTATCCTTTACGAACTCATGCGCCGTCTTATTGATGGCCAGAGCGATGATTGATCCTGGCTGTCGAAGCATGAAGCCACAGTATACGCTATTCTGGCCGTTAGTTATAGAACTAGGGTCTGGTTGACATAATGGCACGATGGTAGTTAGTTAACTAGTTATCGCTCGTGCCACTACGTGACCAATACACACTAGTCCTAATGAGGAATAATACTCTCCCATCACCAAATGGGACACAGTTGTGTTGGAGAGGTGGAATATGGCGGCGTTGGCGGGGCCGCGGAAGATGGGTTTACAGTCTTCGCCATCAGACTCCGGTGTTTGCGACTTGGACTTGATGCCCTGGCCACATTTCTTGGGAGGCGAAGTGGTGGTTTCCTCTACTGATAGGTGACGCCCACATTCTTGAACAGCTTCGTGGTTTCCAATTCCTTGTCTTTCGCCTCTGTGAGCAAGAACAAATCATACAGATCGCTCGCCTAAAACCCCTCGCGCTGTTGCGGATCATGTGTGATCTTGTCAAGTGATGGCGTCGTCCGCTTCAAGCGCTAATTGCTGGTGGCTAAGCGGCCCCCACTCAACGTACATATGGCCCCCTGTAAAGCGCGAACATCCCTGCTTAGTTTGATCAAATGCCTGAGGGGAAATTGAGGCGGAGCACAATTCGCGGACAGTGGGCACTGCTGATTTGTAAAATATCCACATCAAGGACGATGCATGCGGAGCCAATTTAGCTGCTAAATGTGCGTCGGACCCCGGGAATGATTTGACTTCGCTTTTTCTCCCCTTCCCTAACTTTCACAGATTTCTGGAGGGAGTGATGAAAAATGAACAGCGCTATGGATATCCAGAATCTTGCGATATCGTCTGACCTCGTAGTAGACACTAAGATCAAAGTTTCTATCCACGAAGGTTTTACGATACGCCATATATCCCAGTCAGCCAGCTACTCAGGACAATATGTCGCGCGACAAGAAACCAAAGAATACTGGAAGCCAGTCAAAGACCTTGGGACAGGGGGTTTCGGAAGCGTTACGTTGCATGAAAGAGTCACTAAGGGCATGCCGCGGGAATTACAGGCCATCAAGGTAATGGATAAAGAACGTCTTTCGTCCGTGGGGCTGAAGTACGCCGATGAATTGCAAGCAATTGCAAAATTCTCCCAGGACAAGGTATGCCACTCTGTATAAGGAACATCTCAGGCCTCTTGTCACTAATGCACTCCAGTATGGTGGCTCATTCGTTAAATTTATGGGCTGGTACGAGAGTGATGAAGATGTATACATCGCCATGGAGTATATTGAGGGGGGGCGACCTTCAACGCCATATCAAGAAGCCACTGCCTGAGGATGAAGTCAGGATCATCACACATCAAGTGGCTGAAGGGCTCGACTTTTTACACAAGAATGGCTATGTTCACCGCGATCTCAAGCCGCAAGTAAGCGACCGACGTCGGATGACACAATCCAAGAAGACATGCTAATCGTTATAGAATATTTTTGTTGTCCAGGCGCAACCGGTTTGGCGGGTCAAAATCGGCGACTTTGGAATCAGCAGGCGCGTCACTGGAATCGCTGATCTTCGCTCCGTAGTGGGCACCAATGGATATCTTGCACCAGAACTACATTTTGCCATGAATTCCGACAAAAATGAAACCGAGTTACCGTATACGGAAAAGGTCGACATGTGGGCGCTCGGTGTGACCGTCCTCTACATGGCTTTCAAGAAGTATCCCCTCGGTCATGAAAAATTAAAAGAATATTTAAAAGGCTCCCCGTTTCCATTTCCAAGATCGAGCCCAAACGAACTCAGCAAGGAGTTCTATACCTTTGTCGAAGCTCTGATGCACGTTGAAGCTTCTGAAAGGATATGCGCGACAACGGCGCTGCAACATGAATGGATGGGACCCCTTCTTGGTCAGGTTACTCGAATGACTCATTTGCAGACCGCTGGGATGATGACTGGGCTCTCAAAGCAACTGAGAGGTGATGGGTACACTTTATTGTCCACCGTTAGCGAACAGGGCTATGCATCCTGGGACACTAACAAGCCAACAGCCCCAAATGTCTCGCCCAAAAGGGCCAGCGATGTCAACATGAAGGGCCCCCCTCCCCCACTTCCACCGCGACCATCACAGGTGATCTATTCGCGATCGAACTCCGCGCCAACTGGAGAAGCATCAAGTGTCTCCCAGAACAGCTTTAAAGCTCAGAGCGCGAGCATGCCTTCCAGAAAAGACGTCCCTTTCAGAAAATCTGTCCCTGCCAGGAAAGAGGTCGAATCCCAATCGAGCTTTACATCATCTGCCCCTTCAGTCTTTTCTGCCCCGGAACTACCGTCAACTTCAAGCACCCTAAAGTCCGTGAACGAGCATTCCTTCGATGGACTCCAGTATCTCCATGATCAAGGAGTTAAGCTGGTGACTAGAAAGGAGTACAACAAGGCGGAGGCAATGTTCCATGAAGCGGCTGAGGGCCGCAAGGCGGCACTTGGACTGAACAATACAGAAACGATTGAATCATTTCATCGCTTGGGGCAGGTTTACGGCATGCAGCAGAGGTATCATGAAGCACGAGCCGTGGGGGAGCTCGTGGTGAGCGCAAAGCAGACGGTGTTTGGGCCAAATCACCAGTCTACTCTGGATTCACAGAGCTGGCTAGATCTAATGATGATGCTGCAAGCCAATACTGCAGGTCATGATCCCACAGCAAAGTCAGAGCAAGCGGCCTCAAGCAGCTTTGTTGGATCTTATTCCTCCACGAGCTCACCGCCAGCATCTTCATACCAGGCACGAAGCCTTGAGAAATCACCTGGGCAAGGGTCAATCACTTCTCCCCAATTAAGCCTGAACTCACTTGATAACAGCGGGACGGCGTTTGAGGATGGCCAGGGACTTTATCAGAGAAAAGAATACAAGCGAGCCAAAGCTCTCTTCACCATTGCTGTTGTGGAAAGGCAACAGAGATTCGGCATGACACATGAGCATGGACTAGAAGCTACGTACTGGCTTGGACTTTGCCAGTTTGAGCTAAACCAGCTTGATGATGCGGAGGGTTCATTCAGCCTCGCAATGCACGGATATGAGAAAATACTTGGTGCGGCTGATCCACGAACATTGCTCTCAGAGCACTGGCTAGGGCGTACCCATTTCTCTCTAGAGAACTATGAAACAGCAGAGGGTATCTTCCGCCATGGCTTCGAAACGGAGGACAGAGTCCATGGACCACTCTCCCCGAGCACTCTTACTGCCGCATTTTGGGTTGGAAGAGCGCTTTTCCAGAAGCAAAAATACGAGGAAGCCAAGACCCTCTTCTCTCGCGCGTCCGACGGTTGGAAGAAAGTTGTTGGATCATCTTTTGAAGAAACTCTTAACGTTACCTTCTGGCTAGCTAAAACGCTCTTTGAGAAAGAGGAGTTAAAAGAGGCCGCAGATCTTGCCCGCCAGAATTTCAATTCACAGAAGGCTACCCTTGGTCCTGACCATGCCAGCACACTAGAATCGTCCCACCTTCTTGCAAAGATACTGAACGCTCAAGAGAAGCAGAAGGATGCCCTTGAGATTATTCGACAGACTCTCAACGCACAAAATGCTACGCTAGGACCAAACCATGCAAGCACGTTAGAGTCGTCTTATCTCCTCGCACAAATTCTTTACGACAAGAATGAGGACCAAGAGGCGGAAACAATCATACGACAAACTTGCAACGCGCAGACAGTTACCCTTGGACCAAATCATCCAAGCACATTACAATCATCTATCCTCCTTTCACAGATATTGTATATGAAGGATGACTTCTATGCAGCCGAGCAAATGATGCGCCAGACGATCAATGTGCAGAAAGTTACTCTTGGACCGAATCATCCGAGCACTTTGGAATCATCTCTCACGTTTGCAAATATGCTTGCCATGGCTGGAAACGATGACGAGGCCGAAGGAATCATCCGACAGTCAATTGAGCAGCTGAGAATTGCCCACGGGCCGAACTACAGCGGCACCTTATATGGAGAGTACCTTCTTGGGAAATTGCTGCTCGATAAGAAGCTTTTCAATCAGGCCGAAGAAACTCTCCGTTCTACCTTTGATAGAATGAGCGATACACTTGGCGAAATGGATCACAGAACATTGCTGACATCGTATCTCCTTGGCCTGGCACTCTTGGGACTGGAAATATACCCAGATGCCGAGTGGTTTCTTCGCCAGTCATTCACAAGGCAGCAAATTACTCTAGGCGATCTTGATGATGCGACACTAGACACGGCACAGGCGCTAGGAATTGCGCTTTACGAACTGGATAACAACGAAGAAGCGGCAAGAATCCTACGTCAGACATATGAAAGACAGCGAGTCACATATACGGACCTGGACTCCAAGATTACGAAGACATCTCGGTATCTTGGCATGGCCCTATTCAACCTGAAGAACTATAGTGACGCGGAACCAATTTTGCGCCGCGCATACGAAGAGTATGAGGAGGATGAAGACTCTTGGAAATCATCTCAATGCTTAGGAAGGCTGCTCTATGACCAGGGCAAGTATGGGGAAGCAGAAGAGGTCTTGCATCAAACGCTGTTCATGCAAGATGAAGGCGACGAGCCTGGAGAACAGGATCTTGCCAGAGCCCGGACAAAGCAATGGTTAGGTAATACCTACCTAAAGTTGGAGAGCTATGGCGAAGCAGAAGATATGTTGCAGAAAGCAATCAAGGACTTCAAAGAGATACTTGGTCCGACCAACCCTGACACCCTCTTGAGCCTGGAAAAATATGCAGAGGCTCTTCATGCTCAAGAGAAATACACATTGGAAGAGCCCGTGCTGAAAGAAGTGTTGGATGGTATGGATCCGTTCGATCCACGCGCAGACTCCGTGAGCTCGAAATTGGAGATGCTGCAGGAAGCAATACTGCCGTCGCTGCGAGATCGAAAGTCAAAAAGCAGGGTGGACTTTTCATCCTCAAGTCCCTACCGCGCGTCACAGCAGAATTTCGGGGCGGGCTATTCTCCTCCTTATGGCGAGTCGGACTACTCTCTTCCATGGGGTACAGAGTCGCGAACACACATGAAGAAGCCGAGTCTATGGAAGAGGCTCAAGAACCTATGAGATGACTAAGGGGAATTAAATACCTTTTTTTCGTGCGTATGTTTGTGAATTAGTGCATGATCCCATTCTAGGTTGATTCTGAAGCCCCGCACCATTTAAGAACTCTTTTGCCTAATAAATTCGTTTCCTCGCTTGCTCCAACAGGGGGTGATCTCAATAGCAAGATTAAGTAAAGATCCAAGTCAATGTCGTGCAATGCCCGAATAGCTTTCATTCAATTCCGACTCACTGCCCATGCGACAGTAAGTAGTACGGGCGAAAGATTCAAGCCATATATCATGAGTCAAAACCAGCGCCCCTATCTATTGAATCAGATACCTCATACCCCAGTCAGTAAGTTGTGGAAGCGCAATAATCCAAGATCTAAGACCCAAAGTCCCGAGTGCAACCCATGAGGAAATGCAAAAGAGAGACCATTCCCAGGTCCAAGTCGAAATCGATCTTGCAAACAGCATTCAATTCTATCTGATCATACCCATCCGGTACCCTATTCCCCGCCGTGGTATCACGATAGAACAACTCCAGCAGTGACGTACCCTGGCCCGGACATACTGGATAGCAAAACCAAATTAGCCCAATTGACCATTGAGAACTAAGAACCTAATGGAATCCAAACTTACCCAACCATCCACCCCACCTCTCACTATCCACGTCCAACTCCCCGTCCAGTGGAAGTAAAATTAGTGAAAAAAAATATATTAAAATTGACGTGCCTAGTTCTCTTCCGGAAAATAGGTCTTACATGTTTACCCGAGTTGTGGGGCGAAGTCAGATAGACTAAAGCGTCTTCTCCCACGGCCATAAGATAATTAAGTCTTAGGTTCATCGTTAAGTAGAACGAACTACGACTCAATCATTTAAGCCAGCATAGAAAAGCTTTTATCTTCGCGGAAGCCAATAACCCTAGAGACAGGTTCCAAATTACTGGGCTCGCATCGTGTAGTGAAGCTACAAATAATGGCAGTGCAGCAATATTCTTCTGACATCCTCAAAGCGAAAGACTCTCGCCGGTAAATAACCGTCAGGAAAGCTCAAAAGGAAAAAAGCCGGTGGCCGACAGAATCTGACTAAAGTGCTTAGAGCTTCTCGTAGAGGCATACCAGGCTTCGGGAAAGCAAAAAGCTAGAAAAATTATGAAAGATCTAAAGTCTCGTAGAATTTGGAGTAGCTAAGGGATAGCGTAATCTAGATAACGAGTCAGATTGACTAGCTTAAGGCTCAGGAGACCTTGGCGGTGTGCACTCCAGGCAAGAAAATATGAAGAGGCGGAAGCGATGCATCGATGAGCCCTGGAATGGAGTGAGAAGGTGCTCGGCTGTGGGCATCCTCATACGCTCACCAGTGTCAATAACCTTGGCTCAGTGCTCGCCAGCCAATGGAAATCTGTACGCACGGAAGCGATGTATTGACTGGCGCTAGAAGCGGGGACATAAGATGTTGTATTATTATAATACTATATTTTACGTTCTTTTCTCTAATTTTTACAAAACCTATCTTCTTTAGCTAAAATCTATATAAAACTACTTATATTTTACTTTACTCGAGGTATATTACTAAAATTTAATAAAAAAGTATTAAGATTTAATAAAAATCTAATAAAAAAATATAGGAAATATATAGGTTTCCGCTACGTGAAATTTTTAACGAGGGAAAAAGGATAAGAGGTTCAAGGGATAGCAGGTAGGGTATATAGTGTCTAGCAAACAAAGAAACTACCCGTTTTAGTAAGGTCACGCGTTACGCGGTAAGAAAGGAAGGCGGTTTTCACGTGACCAAGGGCCCTTGCCAGCTGTAAACACCCTCATCCGATAGTTTGATCGATTCATGCCTCAGGCATACAAAAACATGTCCCGCCATCCCACTTTCCTCTCTCCATCCAAAACAACAGAGCTGAAGACATACTAAAACCATCATATCATCATGGCTGCACCCCCTAGAGATGCATTAGAATTTCCCGAGGCAGACAGGGTCTTCCTGGAGCCACAACTACCACCACGCGATGGGACGACTCCACGCGCTGACATGCCCTTCACGACTCTGACTTTCGCGACATCACTCGATTCTTCGCTTGCGCTGTCCCCTGGAACACGCACCGCACTATCGGGGCCTCAGTCAAAAGCAATGACTCATTACTTACGATCTCGTCATGATGGCATTCTCATTGGCGTCGGCACGGCGTTGGCCGATGACCCAGGCCTGAATTGCCGCATTGTCGGAGTTGGAGGGTACGGCGGCGAGGGTTTAGAGTCTCAGCCACGACCCATTGTCATTGACCCTTCGTTAAGATGGGACTTTTCTGATGATAGCAAGTTATTTCAACTTTGCAGAGAGGGCCGTGGTCGTGCGCCATGGATTGTGACTACCGTTCGGGAGCCCCCGGCCGAGAAAGATGCCCTGCTCAAGAAGTACGGGGGTCAATTCATTTCGCTCAACATACCGACTTCAGAGTCTGGTAATCACCGGATTGACTGGAAAGAATTACTTATTACTCTCCGCTCGAACGGTCTTCGGAGCGTTATGATTGAAGGAGGTGGTCATGTCATCAACTCATTGTTGGAACCGCCTTATATGGCTTTGATTGATCGAGTGATCATGACGATTGCACCGACGTGGCTCGGGCAAGGGGGTGTGGTTGTGTCTCCAGCGAGAAGGTTTGACGGAGAGGGAAATCCGATGTCTGCTGCGAGGTTGAAGAACGTTCAGTGGTATCCCTTTGGAGAAGACGTTGTTCTATGTGGCCAAGTCAATGTCTAGGCAGGAGAAGCAATTTGTTAAATAGAGTCCCGGCCTTGCCACATCGCAGAAAGCCATATGATTCATAAATTGGCATATATCAACAGTATTCAATCAGGGTCGGACTATCGGTCGGGTGCTGGGTCGAATAGGTATTTGCATAACCTGACCTGTTATTCCCAGAACTGTTCGTTTCGGGAGCAACGAGTCCATGCCGCTGATTCCAAGGCACATGTATGCAAGCTAAATAGCATTTGTGGATATTCATTCGCGGCTATTGATTCGGGCCGAGTCAATTAGGGATGATGTGCCCCGAACTGATCTACAAATCTCATACATCACAGCTTTGTCGCAATACTTTCCTAAGAAGACCTGGGCCCACTGTTTCAGGGTAAGCAGCTGCAATGATTGTCCATCCGGCTGATGATAATTGAAATCCCTGCATGCACCGTCATCGACAGCGCTAGCATGACTAGCACGAGGCCTAGAGGCTGATAAGTATGCCTCACTGGCTCTTTCTGCTTCGTCGGGCAGGAATCAGCATCGTTGACATGATTTCTCGCTAGGTACAATCCGATCGACGGGTTCCACCGCGTAGCCGCACTGTGGAGACGCGATCGTCCGCAAGGAACCTCAAAGTACCATCAAGAGAGCAAATCTGGAATCAGGTCTAGCAAAAACCATCGCGAAGTTCTTCCGAGAGCTGCCAACCGTTTCTTATCGCAGGGCAGCGGCCTTATTTTCGCCATTTAACCGGAGCTCCACTCTTCTCCACCTCTCACACCTCCACTGGCCTTAGATCATCGACAAAATATTTTGTCCTTTCGCCACGATGGTGTGCGCCCCCACGACTGGGGGTTTTATCACCCGAGAAATCTGCTGTATATATTCTTCCTTCCCTCGAAAATTCCAAGATCACTTCAAATTTCTCTCTACCACCTTGGGCGTACTCTCAAGGATACGGTCACGATGCCAGTTGGGCAGCCGAATTCGATTCCGGAGGACGGAGGTCCTCCGCAAGCCCCTCCACAAATTTTAACAAGTTCAATTTTGACGAGCCAAACGGGCCTTGAGGGGTCTTCTCAAATAGTGGGAGACTCAGCTCCTACGTCGAGTCGGTCATCCTTTGACTATGCCAGAACCTATTCCACTCCAGCGACCGGCTCGCAAACCCCAGATCCTCTTCTGGGAAATAAGAATGTTTTCGATAAGCAAGCGCTAAAGGTATCGCAAACAATCACCAGTTTGAGTCAAGCTGTCGATGATGGTCATGAACTCAACTCTCTCGGCCATCGCTTAACTAACCGAAAACCCTCGGTATCCCGAGGCCGCGATGAAGCCGATGAGTCGGCATCGCCAACTCGAAAGAAGCAAGGTGTTCCGCCTGAGCTTTCGAGTTTCACTGCCGAAATTGTGCTCATCATGGTCTGTTCTGCGGGCTTGATGTTATTCTCCTTCCTTCTGGGAGATATGCTTGCTCCACAGGAGCAATTAAAGCGTGCCCTCGGCATCAACAACACCCAGCTGCCGTGGATTGTGGGTGCTTTCAACACTGCGAACGGCCTGTCCGTGGTGATCTCTGGGTCCCTATCCGACCTGGCTCCTCCAAAGAGTCTTATGGTGGGCGCCTTTGCCTGGCTATCGGTGTGGAACATTGTCGGAGCTTTCTCGCTGCAGCCTTCGCGCTATGTTCTGTTTTTTGTCATGCGAGCGATGCAAGGACTGGCAATTGGTGTCCTCGTGTCAGGAAGCATGAGTATCCTCGGGCGGGTATATAAGCCAGGGATTCGCAAGAATCGAGTATTCTCTGCCATGGCTGCAACAGCGCCATTTGGGTTTTCGCTTGGTGCGCTTCAGGGAGGTGGGTTGAATGGCCATCTCGAGTGGATCTTCGGAACCAACGCGATCATATGTGCCTTGTGCTGTGTGGCTGCATACTTTAGTATCCCAAAGCTGCGACCCGTGGCTGATGTTGCGGGCACTGAAGCCCCAACGCTACGACAGTTCGATTACATCGGAGGAGGCTGTGCGGCCGGTGGCTGCGTTTGCTTACTGTTTGGCTTGACGCAGGGACCCGTCACAGAGTGGTCTCCGTACACGTATGCCCTCATCATTGTCGGGTTGCTTCTATTAGTTGGGCTCTTCTTCGCTGAAAGAGCAGCTATTCGCCCACTGATCCCCAATCGACTGTGGCGAACGCCCGGATTCACTCCTCTGATGGTAGCCTACTTCTTGGGCTTCGGGTCGTTCTTCGGTGCCTGGCAATTCTATGCCATCCAGTTCTGGCTTCGTATCCAGGGTGCCACGCCACTCGATGTGGCCCTTTATCACATCCCGAATGCCGTCGTAGGTGTTCTCGCGACCTGGGTTGTGAGCCGAACCATTCACATTGTACCTGGGCACTATATTTATGCCGTATCCATGATGGCTTTCACGCTCGGTCCAGCGTTCTTCATCCCGCAGACAGCCACGACGATGTATTGGAAGCTCTCCTTTCCTGGTGTTGCTCTCGTCACGTTCGGTCCTGACCTGGCCTTTGCTGCTGCCTCCATCTTTATCACCAGCAACGTCGCTCGTTCATACCAAGGCAGCGCTGGCAGTCTCTTGGTCACCAACCAGAACCTTTCTTCGGCAATCATGACCAGCATTGCCGATGCGATTGGCACACGGGTTGACAGAGGACCGGATGGACAAATAGGCCTTGAAGGGCTTCGGGCTATCTGGTGGTTTGCTCTCGCCGCACAGTTGACTGCCGCTCTTGTCACGATTGTTTGGGTTAGAATTCCGAAGGAAGAGGAGAAGGAGCACGTCACCTAATAGAGAGACGTTTGTTTGTTGATAGACTACGATGTGACATAGAATAGAGCTAATGGATCTTAAGCCTGGTGACTGCCCTTTGCGTGAAACGCTGGACTGACACGAGATTCTCCTTTAACCTACTGCCTCCAAAACACTCTTTTTATCTGTTTTTCTCAGCATCTCCAAGCTTTCTCCCTTCTACTCTTTTCGACCCGCAGTTTTCAGCCATAAAGTTCTCACTTGGCGACAGGCTTCCTGCTTCTCACTTCATCATTTCTGATCTCATTCTCATCGGCCTTTTTCTTCAGCAATCCTACTCGACAAAGTCTTCGCTCTCAACCTGAAAGATGCCTTTGAAGCTATGTGGACCGCCCTCAACCCAACCGGACCGTGACAAGGCCATGCCTACAAGGGCCCCCAGGCCTCTGCCGAATCCCCCGCCTCAGAGACCTAAGATCATCGGTCTTTTTAGCCTTTCTGGAGCTGGGACAACATTCTTGGTCAACCAATTAAAGAAAGAAATCGGAGAAGACGAGTTTGCATTTTATGACGCCAACCAAGCTCTCGAAGGGGTTTGCCCCGGTGGACTGTTGGCATACAATCCCCTCGATTTCGACCAGGGGCAGCAATACCGCGATGTCACTATTAATGCTTTTCAGGAGGAGTGTGCGAAGAAGGATGTCATGGGAGTGGTGGTTCGCTACTTGACACTCTGGGATGAAGACAACCAATGCGTCTCTCTCGCCCCATCAGCAGACGTGAAAGCGCATACCCACATCCTGTACCTGGAACTGCCATTTGCACAATATTCCCACAACTCGGAACACTCCTTGGAAAAGTCCTCTCAAGATGAGGTAGAGCAAGCGAAACTCAAGGACTGGGACTGCTGGCAGAAAAGAGACATATCTTACTTGCGCCGCTTCTGTCATAGGTATGACATTACCTTCACAGTCCTGACACCTCATCTGGGCACCGTACCCAAGGTATCCAGCCTTATCAAGGACCTTCAGGTGTTTAGCCAGGCCCACAACAGAAGAGCGGCCAAGGAACAGTTGATGCGTATCATGGAAACTCCTCGCGCAGAGTTTGTGGAAACTGTTTTACTGTTCGACGCAGACGGAACTCTTTCACCCCAGGACAGCGAGTACCTGCTCTGGTGCCAAGTTCCTTGTCAACTTATGCCGGTGGGACTGGAGAATATTCCTTCGAAAGCAACATTGAGCCATATTAGTTCTTCGTACAAGGACTATCTCCAGACAGTGTTGCTGCATGAGGAAGTTTTCGATGACCAGACATTTGCTGATGTTTGCCAGGAGGTCGCAGCAGCTATCAAGATGTACCCCGATATGCTAGCTCTCTTGCGCCAGGCTATTGAGACACCTCACACATTGCCGATAATAGTCACTGGGGGCCCGCGTCTGGTCTGGGAGATCGTCCTGAAAAGGGTAGGGCTGTTTGAAACTGTCCATGTGATTGGAAGTGGTCGTCACAAGGACCACGCTATGATGACCCCCGAAGTCAAGGGATTGCTAGTTGCTCTCCTTCAAGGGAAATGGAATGCAGACGTCTGGGCATTTGGCAGCAATCTGGTAGATGCGGTCATGTTTCTGAAAGCCGACAAATCTGTTTTCGTCACCGATTCAGAGACCTGGCTTATTGACGACACAGGCCCAGTCTGGAAAGAGCATCTTCAAGAAACCTGTCCTCAATTGCAGGATGTGCTTCTTTCCACCAACAGCACCATGGCTCCCCAATATCAACCTCAAAAGATGCACCTGCTAGGCAAGAGCTTGGTCAACAAAATCTTTTCCCGTCGTCTTCGAATCTTCTATATCACCAGAGACAAACCATCTACGATTCTCATGTCTTTCGAGCCCGAGTGCAGTCCCACATACCCAATCTGGAGATCTGCTCATCATGAAATCGGAGCATTACTCGCAAACCGCTTCTTGAAGGACAACCTCGTTGACGAGAACCCTCTCTCAGATGACAATTATATGTTCCCACGGAACCTGACCATCCTGGCAGCGACACCGGGCAGCATGCCAATGGCGCTTGGCATCCACAACGAGTATTTTGGTGCCAATTTCTTGACTCCCGACACTCTAACAGATCTTGGCAACGACGGCAGCGACATATTGACGGCAACACGTGTGTTGGTCCTCGTAAAATCCGTGATCATCAATGAAAGTTTCTTGATGGATCTCTTGAAAAAGTACAGCGTGGCGATTGAATCCTTGGTGAAAGTTGTCATTGTTGCTGGGGTCATTCGCTCATCGCTCATGACAAATACTAAGCTCGCTCGACTTTTTGGTCAGAGGCCGAATGTCAATTTTGTCACATTGCATTTTACGGATGATTCGGGCAGCCCTGACGATGCTCCTGAGCTTGAGAATGTCTAAGGCTGTTAGGTTGCGTTGGTCATTTGTGTTTGAACTCTGCTACAATCTACTCAAATACATGTACTAATCTTATGCAATGGAAAGGAATTATGTTGAGATTTGCCCTTTTAAATTCATGTTCAAACTGGTAAGCTGTGTGTAGGAAATTGAATTGAGTTGGGGGGAAAGCATTTTTGATGTATACCGCCAACAATTATAAATATAGAGGCCAATCCAATCTGCCAGTGACAGCTTGGAAGTCCCGAGACTTTTAAAGGATCGCAAACTTTCCCACTTGCAGGGTTACGGGCGGTGCTGAATATCTGGCCGCCAAGGTCCATCTTCAGATACGTCTTCCCGTTGCAAGTGGACCCTAAGACTACTTGACCATGTTCGCCCAAACTTCTGGGTGTCCAGATTGTACTAGCCCATGATACACCTTGGGGTATCAAAGGATATACCAGAATGGTATTTTCTCGGGAGAGCTGGAATCTCTAGTTAAGTTAACGCCATGGATGGATGCTACGAGGTGGCACTAGTTTTACATAGTACTTACCGGCGTCCAAGCTCAGAATACCTATCGTCCAATTGAATAGCCATAATTATGGCATACATTCTAATTATGACCTTTTACAAGTGCCCAGGCTAGATCTATGACAAATGTCTGGGGAAATCATCCACGCCCAGGCAATTCGATATGGTAAAACGCCACACGATTCTAGTGCCTGGGCTTAATCTAGTCGATTCGCATTACCTATATTATTATTGAGTGGAAGTTACGAGACCATGCCCCTCAAATTCTGCCGATAATTTACTCGGCAATGAGTGCTTACCGGGATCTCCAAGAGGGGCGTTAACTAGTGCAACAACATCACCAAGGGACCAAGGCGGCTCAAGTCCGACTTCACATATAGTGTATAAAAGCAGGCACATTCAAGCAAGGGCGAAGACTTTTTGACTATTTTGACCGGGGCACCCCAAATAAACTTCCTACTGTAGACGGTGGAGTTGATTTCAAAATTATTTTCGCCTTCTGTGAAGTCTCTTACGTTCAAAATTCCTAGAACAGTACCCGATTCCTCCTTCGCATGTGCGCGGAGCCTCCAGTGATGGATCTCCGTTGTGGAGAATCTGAGGGCATTATTGGATGCCGGTGGCAATTCTCTGTGGGGGCTGTTGACAGGGGCGGACTACCAACGTGGCCAGGGTGGCGCTGCTTACTGTAGAAACGCCATTTGTGATCGTCAACGCTTGTCCTCAGTTGGCCTAGGAACAAATCAATAGTGTGTAGCCATTGTCTCCGTACATAAGGCAGAGGAGTGCCTCTCACAACTTCACGAGGGCATTTGGTGAAATGATCGGCCCCTTGACGAGTCAGGGGGCTGCGGATACCCCTGGGCATGGCCTCGAATAGGAAGCGATCCTCGCGATGATCTCGGATTTCGAGCGGTCAGGGTTGACATCCGAGGACCCTGGAAGGTACAAACGCATTCTCCTATGGTTATGTGAATGCATAGCTTGTGCATACCTGCAGCGAAGGGGCTTCTAGAAAGAAATTGCAAGTGGTTCAGCCCGTGTCTGCAGGGAGCCGAAGAAAAATGCTGCCGCCCATCAAGCGAGCCCGGAGACGGAGTAAGCGGAGAACAGCCTTATGCAGCATAACAAACTCTCGGGCAGTGCATCAATCAGTCACAGGTCTGCAACATCAATCACAGTAGTCACGCAGATTGCAACATCGTATTCTGGCAAGTGGGTCATTCAAGATCCGTAACCTGTTGTCAGTTGGCGTCTATACTTGACAGGGGAAGTTGAGAAGACAGTCCCAATTAGTCCATGGATAATCAGCAGCCATCTGTCAATCTTTGCTATACCGGTGCCTGGCAGTAAGGCAAACCCTGGGTTTCATGTGCTAGAGGACCCACTATAGTTGACGATGACTGTGGGGGTATAAACGACCGGCTCCGCGCTAAAGGCTTCGATTCTGGTCACTTCGGTGCATAGAGTCGTGTCATGCATGGAACCCTTCTCCATGTGGGATCCACATGGCGCATTCTCAAGCCCAAATAGTCAAGCTAGAAGCCAGCAGCGGACTGCTGATCTCGAGATCGCTGCTCGTTCATGCACTATTTGGGAGACTATTCAAAGTCTCCGAAGATCATCCCCAGGCTAACCCAACGAATGTGGACAGGGATCTTCTGAATAATGTGGTGCATGAACGCACAGTAACTCCGCAAACCACTGCATTTACCCCAATTCTTAGACCGAGTTCAAAAGCAACACCCCCGCTCATCCCGCCATCCCTCTGGGCTACAAAGTTTTCTTCCTCCTAAGTCCAGACCTTCACCAATTTGAGGGGCAGTCCAGTCGCTAAAGGCAAAAGGGTCTGTTGGGCACCAACCACATCGATATGAACTGTTGACCTACTCATATACACTCCTTTTTGACGACATTGATCGCATCCACTCCTTTACACCCCATATACTTCTACGTCAGATCATCAACCATGGAGCACGTTTTGCATGAACTCTTGCCTCGAGGGGAGGACAATGGATATTCCCGCGGCCGGCGAGCTCTGGTCGTCACGGCCGTGTTGACGAGTATTGCTGCGCTCATTGTTGGCATGCGCTTATTCGCTCGCCTCGGTTTAATGAAAGTCAACGGACGTGAAGACTGGGCAATTTTGGTCTCTCTGGTACGTACACTTGATCCCATGTTGTGTCAATGTCTAAACTAATTGAAATAATTGCTAGACTTTCTCCATTATATACCTTTCCCTCGTCGGTGCTCGTATGTCTTTTACTCCCAAATGTTGCCAAGGAGAAAAAAAACACCTATATTGACGAAAAATGTAGAATTTTATTTTGGAATGGGCATTCACTCAGATCAGCTGTCGACTGCCACATTACAGTCCCAACTGAAGGTATGACTAGAGGCATCCCATGATCGAACAACTGCTGACTACATTTACAGTGTCTTTGGGCGGCTATCCCCATGTACAACGCTAGCCTGGCATTCACCAAGTTCTCCATTCTTTTTCAATATCTTCGTATCTTCCCCGCACGCTCTTTCCGACTCGCATGCTACGTCATGATGGCTGTTGTCGCAACCTATTCATCCTGGGCCATCGTTACCGGCTACGTAAACTGCGTGCCAGTGGCCAAGTTCTGGAATCATGATTTGCCCGGTGGCTGCCTCAGCTTCGAGGCAGTATGGTTCTTCAATGCATCGATGAACATCGCAACAGATGTGACACTGCTGCTGATGCCAATGCCATTGCTTATCAAGCTGCAATTGCCGAAAATGCAAAAGCTTGCCTTGGTAGGCGTTTTCGCGATGGGTATCCTGTATGTGCACGCTCAGATCTTGAGGGATTTCTCGAGTACTAACTTGCTTCGAAGTGTTGTGATCACGAGTATCCTGCGTCTATCAAGTCTCCGCATTGTCGCTAAAAGCGCAGACACATCTTGTACGTTTCAAGTGCAGATTTCTTTAATTCTAACGCAACTACTGACAAGTTTCACAGACAGTAACGTCGACGCTGCGTATTGGACCGCAGCAGAGTGCAATGTGGCCATTATCTGCGCCTGTCTGCCCTTCCTCCGACCCATCGTCAGCTGCATCTTCCCCAAACTTCTTTCCACCAACAGTTACAATCGATACACTACGAATCCCGGGCGTAGCACTGCCCGCAACATCACCGCTGCTCGCTCACCACAGGTCGAATTGTTCAGCCAGAACATGGACAAAGATTTCGATATGTATTCGATCAATGTCAAGCCAGGTGATCGGTCCAGTCGGAGCACCTTTGGTGGCATTGAAGTCACAACGGAAATGACCGTCATGCAAGAGACCAAGCATGATGAGACTGTCAGCGAGCGGCGTCTCGTGATGGACCATTCATGATCTTATCTACAGCCATTCTTTCTTCCTCAATTTCTTCATTTATTCTAGGTGATACATGCAAACACCTTTACCTTATGATTGCATTGCGACGGCACGCGTTCTTTTAGATTCTATGTTTTTGACCGGAGTTTGGGTGGCTTGGGGGTGAATCGGTGTATATGGGCGGTTCCATCTTGATTTCAAGCTCTAAGCACAATCGAAGCCACAAGTATATCAATGACATATACTCTTCATTTTGTGGAATTCTAGCTTATACCGAGAAGATGCTGGACTAGCTCTATGAATTGCCTGACAGCTCTTTTCATATGCTATAGCATATAAGAGAATACATAGTGTATTCCATCCTACTCCGTAATTGGAAATAACTAAACCATAACCTCGGTGATACTTCGTTCCCAAGGCCATGATGCGTGTCGATCCGGCGCGATAACTTCCCAAAATGTCTTAGCGTGGCGCGTCCCGCGTCAGATTTTGCGGATTGTATATGAGGTGATGGCATACTCCTAGTTAAATACTTCTGTCTGTTACGCCACGTATGTAGCGGTGTAATCGGAATACTATGCTCTGATAGGTTATGCCCCTGCAGCCGCAACTAACCACAGAGAAAATGTGGCGATCATTGAACCCCATTGGGATCCCACTGACACGAATTAGATCATTTGGAGCTTCGGTAGATGCGATGTTACGGCTCCAATCGTAGGAGAGATACGTCACTCCAGTAGTTTTCGAAATCAGTTATACCTCAAAACTCTCAGGACTTTATTCCCAGCAGGATAGATCCGAAGTGCGCTAAACCTGTTTTAAGGTCCCCGCTCTATTGGCTTGGCAGATATATGGTAGTAATAACCATACATACCACTTCAATAGCAGTATTGTAATGGCTCTATAATGATACATCGGTTTCTTAAATTCCATTGGTAGATCTGGAGATCTGGCAAGGTCGTCTGCTCGCTTTTCCACCCTCCCATCAGTCCAGGGTTGCACTTCCCATCATTCTTCATACATATGTACATCACAGCCTTCATGCATCTCTATACGCGCGCTTCGTGGTCATACGCTCCGGGTTGTGGCGCACGTGTTAAATTGTCGGATCGGTACACGCTCCAGGCGCAATGTCCACATCTGTAGCCCCCTCGCAACGCGCTTGACACACATTGCCGTATGTGGTAGCATTGAAACACACTGGTGCAAATTCTTCTGTACAAATGCAATCATCGGCATGCACCATCCTGGTTGCGAGAAACGCAAAGAAGATCGCAGGAAGAAGTTGCATTGTTCTTGTTCCTTATGATGGTACTCCTGTCAGCCGTAAAGTCCAAATGTGACAGTGGTTGTGGGAACGAACGGAGAGGTGATGTCAGTACTTGAAACCGCTAAAAGGAAACCTGTTTGTGAAGACGTGGAAGGACTTGGACACGAAGGGATATAAATAATTTTACAAAGTTAGATTGAAATAGATCGCTTTCCGCGTGACCCTTAAAAGAGAACCTTTACTAGTATTGCACTGAAGAAAGATAGCACAATCCAAATCTAGGTCGCGTTCGAAGAATTCGATGGAGCCTTACCGCTATGATCGGCGGCAGAGGAACCAATAAGAGGAGATCCACATCAATAATTCTTCATAGTCTGCACTCTCTGGCCACATATTGCCTTGCCTGATAAAAATCTTTAGCGCCCTTTTGACCCACCCGTATTGTATATACAAGAGCTTTTCAGTATACATCACATTTAACTTCCAAAAGCCCTCGAGGTCACTAGAAATCAGTGAGATTCGCCTAATTACCTAGTTCTACCCTTTCAAAGGAGCTCAGTCAAAGACAACGCTGATCATCCCGTAATAGGAGCCTTGCTAAGTCGACCCACTCTTAGCAATAAAGGCTGTCTAAATTGGAATGCTAGAGGTTGCAACCATAGTCTGAAACTCGTCCCAGATATATATATATATATATATATATATATCTCTCTCTCTCTCGTTGATGTACGACCAGGTTTCTCCCGTGGATGCTCACAGAGGGCTTCAGCCGTTCACCTAGGCGTACCTTAGTTCGTTTCCGACACACGGCTTTAAGGGTCGCATATCCTTCCTAATTGTCGTACATTCTGCGGATGCTGATGATGGTCAGCTTGTTATACTCAGCTGTTCCGCAATTTCAGATGATTATTAGATCGTCAGATAAAGCTCGATCGTTGCTGCCAACTAGGCAGTTAGCTATGACCGTGGGTCAATGGCCGAGCTGGACCGCGCAGTCTCCGCCTATGCTATTGTGGTCTCCTTGTTTGGTATGATCTCAATCTTCGAAAATGCCGGGCTCGCGGCCCGCCACGGCGGCAGTGGGGTTACATAACTGGACATATCCTCCAGGGAGCCTACATTCCAAATATATCTAACCCTTGTCTCTACAAGGGAGATGTAGTACGGAAGGTTTAGCTGAGGATGATCCGGAGAGGCTGGCGGATACGATCGTAGCTTTATCTGGCGGGCCACTAATCTTGAGAGCCATTCGCAAGGACAGGGTCAGTTGAATGACTTAGGGATGTCTTTAACTCATGCATAACTATGCAAAGGTACGACAGATGCAAGAAAGTATCCTTAGCCAACCAGGAGAAGGGCTAGAGGTTGATTTTGACAATGTTGACCACGCGCTGGCAATTCACCTACTGCAAATCCACTGGAATAACATTGACATCCCGTCTCTTGTCACCTATCTACCAACATTCATTGGGGGCTTGATTTCCGGCGAGAATGTCTATATGAATAAGATTCTTCTGAACGCGGTCTTTTTCTCAAGTTCGCTTTACAGCGACCGAACAATCCGTCGTTCGGATTCGGCATCCCGGCACTCGGTGGGTGCATTTTTCAATCGCATATTTCAGGGGCTGCTTTCTCGCCCCGATGTCCAGCCCAGCATTGCAAGTGTAATGGGTATTGTCATATGTGCAGGCTCTCTTCTGAGCCGTGGATATGGTTACCACGCTGTGGAGCTTCGCAAAAAGGCATGGCACATGCTCGCGACACTCGAGATTCAAAAGTTTAATTCAGAGGGAGTAGAAAGCTCGAACCCCTTGGCCCTAGCATATGAAGTTGAAAAAGAGGTCTGCATTCGTGTACGGCTAGGAATATTCGCTCTCGATACCCTACTTATGCTATATCTTGGAGAACCTATTGCATGCCACCTTCCGACCCTTCCTATGGGAAAAATGAGGGATGACTTTGAGGAAGAACAGGATTGGACTCTATATGTTGATCCTACAGGTAATTCGGGCTTTACCAAGCTTTGCCCACAGCGCGCCCGTACTATCACAACGTACGAGGCCCAAATCGCAACGTACGAAGTCTTCGCGAAGATAATCCATACTTTTTTCCTCGACAAAAGCGTGAAAACTGACGAAGAGATTCAAGATATGTGGAGAACAAAGCGCCAGTTCGAGGGTGAACTCTACAGTATGCGATTAAAGTACAAATCTTGCCAGGAACCCCTTTTTAGCCTGGACCGTCCGTCTGCACCCCATATTGTCGCTCTTGTGTAAATCCTTCGTGATCCCATCCCCACATCGTGCCGACGAAAGCTTACCAACAACCCTAACAGAGTATGGAATTATGCTGCGGAAATACTTCTGCAGATACCTTTCCTCGAGCAGGCACGGTTCGAAAATGTTGGCCGCGGGAAATATGTTGGAACCCAGAGGCTTTGCAGATCAAAGGCTTTCGAGATATGCGGATTGATGTCAGAGTATAAAAAATGGTATTCGCTTCGCTGGGTTTCATTGATGACTTCCTTCTCTATTTACCTCGCCTACATGGCCTCGTCTGAATCTCTCTTCGGCGTCCCGGACCCCATCCTTCTTTGCAAACTTGAGCGTATGGTTGATCAACTTGAACGAGGCTCTAATCCGGGGTTGCGAGCCATGATGATGAAGCCGGGCTGGCAGCCGCCACATTCAGAGACAGCCGTGAAGGATTATCTTCACGACGCGAGCATCAAGGTGTACCGCGACTGGTCGCTTGGGAAACCAAATGATATTTGGGCGCCCTATGTACCGCGTGACGACCACAACATTGGACACAGAGACAAGTATCTGAACTTTGGTACTGAAAGCGAAATGACAACCGTGGCATATTTCGTGAACACATGGTGCCCGGATGATATGCCTGGATCGCCTGCATGGCTTCGAGATGCCATGCGTTTGATCATGACCAAACCTCTCATATGCCAGGCCCTCAAGCTCGTCTCGGGGCTACAGTCAGCTGGAGCAACTGAAGGCTCGTCTATCGTGACCAAGGGTCGTGTGCTCTATACCAACCTCGTGGTCTCCATTCAGAAACGACTTCGAGCTGAGCCTGCCGAAACATCGATCGAATTACTCATTGCCGTTAGTCTTCTCGCAATGCTTGAGGTATGAAGTGCTTGCCACTATCCTTTCCCTTGCTCAAGAGTTCCATTGACCTGATAATCACAAATTTACAGCGTCACCAATCTAGCTTAGTCACATCATGGGGATTGACGAAGGAGCATTGGGCAACGTCCCTGGAGTTACTCGAGTGCAGAACGGGCATTTTCCATCGAGACGGCATTGCTCACGAACTATTTTTGGATATGAGGTATCACTCTGTACGTGATCCAATTTGATGACTGATGCCTTGGAAGATTTGCTTACACTCGGTGCTTAGGCAATACATTTCTTAACCGCCCAAAGATCCAGTTTCCCATCGTCCTTTGGTTGGAAGAACGACCCGTGGAAGGATCCAAAGCAAGAGGACTCACTTCAACAGCTGATTGATATTGCGTTCGAAGTTGCAGGCGCCCAGCGCGAAGACGACGACGACGAGGATGATGGGCCCCGGCTCCGAGCCGGCCCCTTGCAGCCATACCATGATGAATTATTGCGTTGGAAACTCCGATTCGCCCCTGACTTCCCTTTCAGCATTGAATACCGAGCGCCTCCCACGTTCATCCCCAACCTGATATTCCGCGACTGGAACATCGAAGGGACGGCCATCGTGGAGAGAGATCCTATTCTCTATCCGAATCCTTCCCTTGCCTTGCCTTGGCTCTCTGCCTCACAGCACAATCTGGCTAAAGCTTTTCGGCATGAAGTCTAGAAAGACTGCTTATGAAAAACGCGAGGCGTACGAGGTTGCCACCTGGATTGCTCGCAGCATTGCATATTTCTTCCAGGGCCGACCAAATCCCATGGTTGTGAAGCTCATGGGTCCATTGTCCGCGGCGTATGCGCAATTCGAAGGGGGTCTTGTGGAGAGAGAGAGTTCATCATAGCAGCAATCCGACTCATTAAGGAGACTCATCATGTGAACATGGCTATGAAGCCAGGGGACACTGAGCCTGCCCCCGGTCAGCCTCCAGCTATCGAGCCTCTTTCAGAGCATTCAAACCGTTTGGCATAGTTCTGGATGCTCATCCTACGCTTGTACTTTTAAAATTGGATGTTGAGGGCTGCTATTGCTAGAGAACAACACTTCTGCTAGCCTCGAGAATGCTTCGTCCAGGATAAGTCGGCAACCCTAGAGCTGTTGACGATTCGTATATGCTTTAAAACGCTCGTAACTTCCTAATCAAGAACACTCGCTTTAAAGATGGTCGAACCGCCTCCAATGGCTTCTCCAGAATCAAACAGTTCAATTCGGAGTTTCTATAGACCTACCCATCAATATCAACAACAATCTGCCCCTGATCCCCAGCCTCCTCTCTTACCTTAGTCCCCAACTCCAGACTAAGCTCCTCAATCCTCTCCCTAGCCCACGCATGATCCCTATCCCCAACATCCAGCAACATAGCCCTGAAATTCTCAACCCTCGTCGGAAAAATCTCCAATCGATCAAGCACGACTCCTCCCCTCCCACCCCCATCACCCTCCTCCTTCTCCACCTGTTTAACAACAACCCTCCACACAGCCCCAAGATCATTCCTAAACTCCCTATTCAATGCATAATCGTCTACAAAATCCCCACACCCATACACAATTACCCGTCCCCGATAAACCTCCACCCCCTGCACATGATGCGACGAATGTCCATGCACAATATCAACGCCACACTCGTCAATCAAGAAATGCGCCAACGACCGGATCCTATCCGCCGGGTGCCAGCGGTAATTAGGGCCCCAGTGCACAGAGAATATCTTCAGTGCGGGCCGTGACTCCGGAGTCGGAGCGGGATTGTGGTGATGGTGTGCGCGGTGGTGGTAGACGTCTGATTCTTCTTCGGAGTCGTGTTCGGAGTCTGCTTTTGGTGGTGGGTGATCCGTTCTTGACCCGTTTGATAGGAGGAGGGTGCGGAGACGGGTTCGTGTTGCGGGCGAGTAATCTAGGATATGGAATGCTGGGATTGAGGCCCAGTCTCTTGGGTGGTCTGCGGCGGAGTAGACGTGGACGAGATAGCCCGTTTCTTTGGCGTTGGTGGTTTTTTCTTTTGTGGGAATCGTTTTTGCGCCGTCTACGCGTCTGGATTGGATTTCTTGGGTTTGGCGGGGGAGATATAGGACGGCTGGTTTGAAGGCTTGATCTGGGGACTCGCCCGCACCTGTGAATGCGATGCCGGCGTTGCGGAGGGTCCAGGCTGTCTCGATGAGTCCGTCATTCCCGAAGTCCAGGGTATGATTATTGGCGAGACTGGCGTAGTCTACGTGTGCGGCGTGTAATATCGGGGCAAGATTGGATGGGTGCATGCGGTAATTGAATACTTTGTTGGGCCAGGGCTCTGGGGTTGTTGTGACGGATGTTTCCAGGTTGATGAGGAAGAGGTCTGAGGCGCGGAGGAGGGGGAGAGTCGTTCCCCATGGCGAAGAGGGGGTGTAATTGCCATCCCCGAGGATGGATGGATATCTTTTCCTAAAGTGGTCGGCATTGTGGCGGTCGTTCTCGCTGTGGACATGTTCGGGGAAGAACTGGTCGATGAGACGACCGAGCATTACATCGCCGACGAAAGATAGGGTGAATGCAGCGGGTTCTGTCATGGCTTCGTTAATATCAGAGATGTCGAGGTTAGAGTGCAGGGTCGTTGTCGATGTCAGGACGGAGAGAGAATGGATATCAAGTCATCATGACATCGAAACTCTCGGATCTTCCCGAGGAGCCCCAACTACTTCAATACCAATCTATAAAACAAGGACACAATGTTATTAAGATAAGCAATTCCATTATTGTAGAATACAGTTCATCTTCGCGAAGTTTTTGTAACTCTGAAAATAAGGGAAATAGTAGCACAGTCAGGTAGATGAAATCCCAGCAAAAGAGTCAGTGGTATCATGCGCAAATCTCCGAGTATTTGCGCCGTGTATCAATATGGAGAACCTCTCTCCATCGCGAAAAAAAAAACGAAAAGAAAAGAAAAGACCAAAAAAAGGTAAGAAATCTTTGTGGTTTTAATTTCATTACTGTCGTCACAACTTGGACTCATTTTTGGAGAAAGGTTGAGAAAAGATCGAGGGAAGAGAAATTAACGGCCCATTGCAGCAAGTTCCCGTTCCTTGGCTCGCAATGCCTCACGCATCTGCTCGGCTTCGCGTTCCAGTTGGGCACGACGCTCGGCTGCGGGATCCGAGAAGGAGGAGATGCTGGGGAGTTGCTGCGATTGGTGTGGTGCAGGCTGCATGGGGGGTTGAAAGGCCTGGGGACGGCCCAGAGGGGACTCGTTGCGAGGATCCGCTTGATTGAGAATAGAAGAGATTGAACTGAGACGGCCGGGAGGCGAGGGGTTGGCCGAGGTCATAATAGGCGGCAACTGATTGGAGCCCGATTCCAGAGTTGTGGGAATAGGAAGGGCTTCCGCGGCAGTCTCGGCCAGTGTGCGTTTCTTCGGTAGGGAATTGGGAGACACGGATCGGCGGCCGTATTGAGATACCGGTGAATGACCCAAACGATCGGGATTGAGAAGCTTTGGCAGTCCGTGGTGATGCAAGGGGGCGGCACTGATGTGGAAGCCGGTAAAGTCTACGGGAGGCGGTGCAAATGGCAACTGCCGAGGGCCATCCATAGGTTCGTTGCTCATGTATCGATGGTGATCGTGGGCCAGGCCAGCAGGAGATGCTTCGGGAGAGGCAGAGGAGCCATTAGATGAATGAGTAGCAGCCGTGGGAGATTGATCGCGGAGAGCGGGCACAACACGTTTGCGGCGCTTAATGATGGACTTTTTCATGGTGGTAGGACGATAGCAGCCGTGAAGCTTGTAATACAGACCTATTTTCTTTTGTTAGCGATGGACAAGTAAGAGCAAGCGCGAGGGAATAACGTACCACAGGCATTGCAGATGGGGTGCCCATGCTCATCCCGCCGCCAGAGCGGAGTGACCGTTGTCCCGCAATTCTGACAAGCAACGAGAGTTGAGGACGCCCCATCAGAAGGTGTAGGTTTAGCCGGTGTCTCGGCTTCTTGAGGTGCGGATGCAGGTTCGGTATCAGGAGCAGAAGTCCGGCCCCAGGAGCCCTGCACAACAGCGCCCGGACCGCGGTTTGCAGCCTTGTAGATACGATTGTTGTAAGCCGGGCATCCATCGCATCCCTCCGCACCACCTGTACCGTTACAACTTCCGCCTCCCGGGCAAGAACCCTTGCAACCGCCGCCTGAGCCAGTCGTGGTTTCGGGACGAGAGGGAACCGGAGTATTTGGTTTATCGGCACCATCTGCACTTTGTTGGGTCCGATTTCGTTTCGTGGGACGAGCGACATTGCGAGCTTTCAAGTAGAGGCCACAGGCGTTGCAAATCATGGCACCCGTTGGTGACCGACGCCAGAGGGGAGTGTGTTGTGTTCCGCAGTTGCTATACACCGTTCACGTTAGTTCAGTCCGGGGTAATTAGTAAAATTGAAGAGGATGTGCTCACCTGCAGGAGTGTCCGAGAAACGAGGTATCCTTCTGAGTCTTTGGAGAGGATCCATCCAGCTGGCCATTGGAACGGTTATCCGTGAATTGGCTCGGTGTGGGGGACGGTCCATGATTATTCGGAGGAGGACTTCCCGATACTTTGATCCCAGGACCATTCCCATATTGTGCCAGATGATCGCGACCCGCCTGCGCAGACGAAATGAGCTGCTGTGCAGCGTCCAAATCCTCCGCCGAGGGATGTCTCGAGGGAGCACTGGGGTCCCGGGGGAAAGAGCGTACCGTTTCCATTGGTGGAATGGATGCTAACATAACCAACTCGTCGTCAGGCCAGGGAATGTTGATCGGCCGAGTATCGGACAGGGAGTGCCCTGGAGAGGCGTAGAGAAGAGGAGGAGGAGGAGGAGGAGGAGGAGGAGGAGGAGGAGGAGGAAGTGGTGGAGGAGAAGGTGTGGAGAGGTTGAGAGATATAGTCTGATGGCAGAGAGGAGAATCGCTCTTCAAACACAAAGTATCCAGGAACGAAACGGCGGAAGCGAGGAGAAAGGGGAGAATGCTTGGTGCGATGTGAGGGCGATGTCGCACCACGGTCGAAAGCTGAATTCACCGTATCACCCACGCCACGAAAGGACCAAATATCCAAATGTCGGTCAGGGCCCTGTGGGAAGGCGGCAGACCAGGCAGAGATCACTGCAGGGCCAGGCGAGCAGGCGGATGGTTATCAAAGGGGGGGGGTCGAAAGACGAGACGGGGTCCGGGGGACTGGGGTGGACGGGGATGGCAAGCGCAGGAGGCTGCGACGGAGTGACAAGCAGATAATCACGGCGATCGGATCGGACGTCTGGAAAAGAGACCACCACACGGGAATGATATCAAAAAAAAGAGTGTGGCGAGTGGCCTGGGACGGTCAGGTGATGGACGCGACAGCTGACAGCTCAACAGGAACGCCTCGTTAGACTCTCGGAGTGGAGGGCGCTTTTCGGGATTGCTGCGCTGGCCGGCAGAGCTAAATGGGACTGGGACTGGAGCCAAGTGCACTAGGGGCCTGCAGGGGGATGATCACAGTGGAGGAGGAATGAGGAGAGGAAAATGGAGAGCGGAAGGTGGAGGAGAAAGAGGAAGAGAAAGATCGAGGGAGATAAGGAGCCGAGGAGGTGGGCAGATGGCGTGGTCTGAGGTGATGTGCTTTAGCCAAGATCTTTAGTGAGGAGGAGGTGAAGACTAAGAAGACGCCAGGAAGAATGAGGACATTCGCTTATCGAGCACGTCAAAGAAGAAAAAAAGAGCAAAGGGATGACGGGGGAAGGTTATCGATCTACGAAGGGGGGAGAGATCGACGAGGCTATCAATCTATCGGGTTTCTAATCGCAGTGCCGAGGATCGCTATCTCATCTAATCTCTTGGGTTTTTGTCTCGCTGGCCTTTTGGTCTCTCCGGTCCCCATCAGGCTATGCTTTCTATACAAACTATATTCTTTTTTGCTTTTTCGAGGTGGATGATCGGGCTATCATATTCCGGTAGTTCAGATGTCCCGAAAAATCTCTGTTGGCGATCAAGGCAGTTTTTTTTTTTTATTATTCACTTCCCCCAGATCACAGTGTTTCGCGGGCCCACCGTAGACCTGATGAAGTTTAGGGGCGAATCAGAAGGAAACCACCTTCCCAAGAGAGTCGGTGGGGGGGGCCTTTGTGTAGGCAAGCAGATTTGCCGGTGGAGTGATTGGTGGATGAAGCCCATTGAAGCCGGTCAGCAACAATCATTCGCCTCTCGTTGGGCGGAAGTGGCGGGCCTCTAGGATTAGTCATCCGGGACTGGTCACGTTACTTTTAGTAATAGGACCCCTGTTAGTCGTTCCTGTAATCCGCTCGAGCCTCTCACGGCTGTCGGGAATGTCACTACTCCGTATTCTTGGGACGGAGCCCTCCGTAAAGCCCGAAAGAAGCAAAGAGAGGGAAAAGGAAAAAAGTGACAAACTTTACATCTACATCAATCTAGACCAACTGGACAACACATCAGATGATTAGTACGGGTTGCCTGCTCGATCCTAGTCCTACCAACGTAGTACTTTCTATCAGGCAATTCATCCTGCCTGGATGCAAATAGCATTACCTCACTACAACGATCATGGCCCTTATTGCTTTGTCATGATCATTATGCGAGAGCCAATCACAGACCGAGAATTCTCCATTCATAGAACACGTTGCCTTTCATGCTCCAGGTCAGGTCGAGGTGACCCTTCCAAAGAAAACTTATAGTACAGATTCTGTCCATGACCTCTCATCCACAGGTATCACAAGAAAAGGGAAATGAAGAAAATTCATATCAAAAAAAGAAAAAGGAAAAATCGGAAAGGAGGCAAAAAAAATCTCAACTTGTTGCGATGACGTGCAGGGCCATCGAACTTTGGTCCAGGTGAAACTTGGCCAAGGCACCCAGGCGGCCCCAAGGCATTCAGGCACCATTGACTAGTCACCAGCCACCATTCAACCAGCCCTCCCACGTCATAGCTCTCTGAGTCCGTCATATATCGCATTGCAAAAGAAAAGAGTATTCATGCGCAAATCAGGCATCACGAATAAGGCCAAGACAGGCACAAGGCCATCTCTTGCATCACACATGGTCCAATCAGTATGAGTTCTGATACGTTACTCGGAGGCTCGCCCGCTCGGGTGCGCCACCAATCAGATCAGATCATATCAGATAAAGATCCTTTAGACCTGCTCGGCACCCCAGCCCTGGTCGGACTCGCGCATGTTGGAGGGGGGCTCAATGGAAGGAATGAACTCCAGGACCAAGTAACCGATACCGGTGATGCCGACAATCGAGGCGGCAATCTCGCGCAGGACGTGACCGTGCAGCAGAATGCAGCCGACAAAGATGTAGACTGGAAAACGGGTCAGCTGACAGGCTAGGCAACAATGCGCGAAGCATCCAATTGAAATCCACTGCTCGGGTTCAGATATGACTTACAGATACCACGGCCCAGGAAGGAGAAGAGGAACGAAGCGTAGCGGTAGACGTAGTCGGGAACGTTGGGGAGGAACTCCAGACCGGCAACAACTGGAAAGCAAGGTGAGCAGCTTGGTCAAAAGCATTCGAGGGGACGTAAAACTTACCCAGACCGAAGACAATCACGTATGCGCCGACGATGATGGAGCTCATGGAGGCCGGAAAGAACTGGCTGATACCGCCCAGCACCATGACCACACCCACCGCGATGTTAACGAGGCGGCTAGACACATGAGTTAGTCCGAGCTCATCACCTCTGTTTGCGGGATCCGGGGCGAATATGCGGTGCGGTAACCACGGTGGAAACATACAAGATATTAGAGAAGTCCATTTTGATGATCTTCGACGTTGTTTCGACTCGATTCAAGCAATTATTAGGGTCTCGAGGTCAAAGGAGTCGTCCTAGCCACTAGGCAACAAGCAACGGAGGAGAGGAGGGGCGTAGGAATCGGGTAGTTCGTAGCAGGATCACTAGTTTCCTCGTTAGTCTACTCGGCACTCTCGCGATAACGGTCTGATTTTAATTGCGCGGCGATAGTCCCAGCTCTTGATAGTAGCTGTGGATTCGAGATCCGGGGGGGGGGGGGGGGGAACGGATTGCCAGGAGACCTTGGCCCGTCCCAGCTGGTTGTGGGGGCGAACAGAACATGAGGAAACCACGTACAGGATGTCTGATATCTCACAGATAAGCCAAGAAGCAATGCGCTCGTGAGAAGACTTGGTATCGAAGCAGAACAGGGGGTTGATGGAGAGAGAAATGAAAGCGTTGGAGCGCGAGCGAGCTGCTTCGTTGTCGCAAGCAGCGGGTCTGCCAAGCCACAATTTGGCTGAATCAGCAGGCTTTTTGGACGAGCCAACGACGCCGCTGACGTGTCACGTGAGGGGCTGGGCCATGAGGCTGAAAGGGGATGCTAAGCCGCTTTGGGACATGGTTGGCGTGGCCGAGCTCCAAAAAGGGAAGAAGATGGACATTCCATTTGCCGGAGGCTCTGAGGAGAACTACTGATTGATATGATGGTAGCGTTCTAAGAATAGAGTGATAGTACATATAGAAGTGGGTTTTATTCTTTGTCTGTAACATTTGATCCACACTGTTATGTACAGGTGATTTCTCTTTTCTATCCTTGTAATATGCAAGGAGCTTTCCAAGATAGATATCTCACATCTCTTCAATCTCATGCTGCTTGTGCTCCAATCGAATCTCCGACAATCCATTGGCAAACATACTCATCCTCATAGGGTCCTTCTGTAGATGGTCGTATATCGCCTCTACGTCATTTCCCAATCCAATTTCCTCCGCTGTATGAAGACTCCGTGAATCTACAAACGGAGCCATGGATGGCCAGACACTTTGAACATTGTCCAGGAATAATTCTACCCCCAAGTCCCCAACTCCTTTGATCTCCTTTATTCGAGCTCGGACTTGCTCGCGATCATCATGGGCAGCCTCGAGCAGATTGTTGAGATCGCCATCTAAGGTTCGAGGTCAGTACTTGGGTCTCTGGGCAAGGCGTAGACATAAAATCTTCGTACCATATTTAACCAAAACAAAATCAGAAAGATTGCCTAGATTTGTAGCACACTGTTCACGATACCGATTATACCCGACTTGTCTCAGGAGATCAGTTCGTTCTTCCCACGAAGTTCCCGAAAGCTTGTCAATGTTGTGATAGTCGTACTCCACAAGTCCAGCGACTGTCGATTGGGACAACTCATGTGAAATAGGTCTTGACTTGACCAATGCGTCTATTACCATGGCAAGTACGGTATCTGGGGTTGGCTTCGTCCTCAGCGCCTCATCCATTGGCGTGTGGGATAGAGGTAGACTCCCGTAGGCATGGGTGACCATCTCGATCTCGTCGTCGAAATTCTGTTGGCGGTATTCAGGCATTTTGTTTGGGTGGTGTGTTAATGCTGGTATAATGGGTCAAAATGAATATGTTAAAGAGATCATTGAGATTGATAAGGCGCCAGTGGGCAAATTGATATTCGCCCAGGGTCATTGTGACGTCACATTTCCAGAATCAGTCAGCCAATGAGCTTGGTTTTTGATATCGTGTACAAAGCAGTATGCGGACAATAACATACTATTCGTGTAGAGCTGATATCTATGTACATGCATTGGCCGCTTGATGGTGTGGATGCAACGTCCCTTCAGCTCATTCAGAGCTTAGCCCGAGTCTTGTTCCGCAACACCTCCTTAACCAAAGAAACCGCAGTTTCAGCACATCCAAACGAGGCCTGATATCCAAACCCGCCATGACCGTAGTTGTGCACGATCTTGACTCCGGCAACCTCATCCTTCTCAACCCGGGGGCCACCCTCCCGCAGAGGTCGTAGGCCAACGCCGTGCCGAATAATATCCAGACCCTCGATCCCTTCGCCCTCCTTGACGAGCTGGGGCGCGATCGCGATCGCGCGTTTCATGATCCGATTAGCAAGGTTCGGGTCCGGTAGAGGGTCCCAGTTGTTCTTTTGGTACGAGCCACCGAGGATCGTGCCACCACCTAGAGAGTGTGAGCTGGGCTTCTTGTGCTATATCTGGGGATGGGTCTTACCTGCAGCACGTGTCATCATATACAATGCCTCGTCCTCTCCGTCGTCCGTCCCAGAAAGACCAATCATGGGACCCGGGTCGTTGCGAACGACGACAATCTGGCCTCGGGCGGGGAGAAGGTTCTCATCAAGAACTCCACCCAGGAACTTGGACGAAAGGCCCGTACAGTTCACGATGACATCGGCCTTTTCACCGGAGTGGTGTGCATCTGCGGCGTCGGCGATGTGCTTGAAAACGGCTCGCTTAAAGACTGCGCCGTTTTTGGTGCATTGGCCGACCAGCCATGGGAGGTAAACGGCAGTGTTGATGCAGACAGAGGTGAAGATTTGGCCGTTATCGATTTCAGGAGTCAGTTCGCTCTCCGGGAGGGTTTTGAACTGGTCAATTGTTGTCAATTTGGATACTCATGGGGATGGATCTGAATTAAGCATACGTCGGGTACCACGTCCTTGTACCAGGGATTCGGCTGCACCAATTCCGAGAACCACTTGCCAGTCGCCGTTTCCTGGTCTTTCTTTCGGTTGTAGATAAGAGCATCTGAAGAGATTGTTAGAGGAAGTTGTTCGAGTTATTGCATGATGTCAAAAACATACCGAGGAAGTGAATGCCCGCCTCGGGGTATTTCTCGGTGATCTCCTTCAGTGCGGGCCAAGTGTCTCGTTCCCATGCGTGGTGGTTACTGCCCTGCTTGCCAACCCTAGGAAAACAAAGAGTTTAGTTGATTGTCACGAAAACGATACTTGGATATTGACCATACGGCATGTAGTTGGCTCCTGCCCATGGGGAGGCATATTCAATGTCATAGTCGCCTGGCATGTGCTTCGCAAGCACTGTGATTCGATTTTCGGGATCCTGAGACAGCATGTAGGCAGTTGTCAGGCCTGAGACCCCAGCTCTGAGACGCGTTAGTTCGAGATCTAGACATGGAGATATTCGCTTTGCCTCGGCAACATTGGTGGATGTTTCTTACCCTATAACGACAATGTTGTTAGGCATGGTTGGTTTGATTATCCTTCTTTTGGCAACAGAGTGATCTTGAAAATAGATTGGAGAAGGTTCCACGCTTAATCGAGCACAGTGGAATTTGGATGACTCAAGGAGTAGTGAGAGCAAAGTACGGAGTACAAGTAGGGAGCGGGGTGAGGAGTAGATAGACTCCGCAACCGTTATCCACAATCTATTTGATAAGAGAAATGGAGTATTGGAGAGGAGTCGGGGTAAAAGCCACCATCCTGTGCAGACCCTCGCTTGGAGCTATTGATCTTGTTTTGATCAAACGCTAAGGGTTTTAATAAATTGTCAGATGAACTGTGTCAATCTAATGTATTGCTATTTCCTCCTATGCCTTCTAGCTTGAAGAATTGGATTTTTCATTACTGCTCATTATGCTGTGGGAACTGTGAATTCCAACTGTAGTTGCGTGTTTTTTACCGTGAAATTTGTGCAGACTACCTGAGTATTCTCCAGTATATTCCTATTTCATCCATACAAAGCACTTCATAGCCAAATTTCCTCGAATCTGAGATCAGGACTCGAAAACTTCCCTCGTCGAGAAACTAATGTACGGGGTCTGTATCTTAACTGCTAATTCAGGTGGCGGCCGGTGAGGCGGTGTGGAGCCAAGCCAATAAAAGCCATTAGAAACAAGAAACGCGCCAAAGTTTTTCTGGTGGAGACGCGGAGGAAAACAGGGCAAAACCGAATTTCGATACGCCTCCGCATTCTGGAGGTACGTAGCATGGATAAACGGAGCGAAAGTAGACTCTAGTTGATACATTTAGACCTAGATCAGACTTTGATCTTTCTATATCCTATATAGATCTACCTATGAAGCTCAAAATCTCCCAATTGCAGCCGGGGAAAGTTGTTTTGCAAAGGACCTTCTCCGTAAAGTCCCGCGGGTATCCATCAAGGGGTCCACCGTATCCCTAGAAATCAATGAATCACATCTTCAAAGTGATGGCTCAAAAGAGGTGGTTTTCAGGGATTGCCTAGTGAATATGGTAAATTAATCATCTTTAGAACCGATTTAAGAGTTCAAAAATCTTTCACCAAGAAAGTTGGTGCAATTGAGACGGATGAAAGAAGTTCTTTGTGGGCTCAAGTCAGCGATGTCATAGTAGGCAAAGGCTCACGTGTGACCCAATCACCGCAAGGCAGCTGCTTCACCGCCCGAACTCGGCAGTCAACTCTGGACAATTGCTGGAATTCCTTTTTCAATTCCCCCATCGCACCCGCAGGGCTTCCTTCACTCTGCGGGCTGTTTGTTGCCTGTTCCTTTTGGTTTTTGCCTATCTTGCTACTCGACTTCTGCCTGAGTTTTTCACATATCGTACTGAGCTTTTTTTAATGACGAACTCGACCCGAGCAGGGCTTTCTTTTCCATCATGTCTACCCTCACACACGGTGGCAGAATTGTGCCCATACTTACGAGTCACGAACAACACCAACAACTCGACTCCACCACCCCATCCCCCGACATGCTACTAGAACCCAATTTCCCTCAATCAACAATTGATCAACCCCCGCTGCTGGATCAGCGGGTTGACTCTGAACCCATGCGTCGGAAGAATACCCTTGATCTCTCCTGTTTGGAGATGCCTTGCTTGAAGGAACGCGGTCTCTTTGCTTTCCCAACCCAAGGAGATGGTAAGCCAAAACATTTCAAGTTGTTTGCAGTTTATTCCTGTCACAATCAAGCTGTTTCAACCCAATTCATGGCAAATCTGACGCGTCGTTTCACAGGAAATTGTCTCTACTATTCACTCTCCGATCAATTGTACGGCAACTTCGATCATGGTGACGAGATCCGCCACCATCTGGCTGACCACATGGCCAACAACAAAACGTATTTCATGCAATTTGTTGTTGCTCAAGGTGGGGAGCGTCGCCGTCCCAAGCGGGCTGCCGTCTCCGCATACGCAACTCGTTCTGCCGAAGTTGCAGCTGCGTCAGAGGAGGACAAAGAACGCCGTTTCACAGAAATGGTGGCTGCAACTCGAAAGAATGGCGAGTGGGGAAGTTCGGAGCATCTGCAGGCATTTTGCCAAGTCTATCGCGCAGACATCAATGTCTACACCATGGGTGGTATTCAGGCTTTCAGAGATGTGAATGCCTCCAGTGATGAACACCGAGATGTGGTTCATGTTGCCTTTCACGTATGCTCATTATATCTTCATTTTTATGATGAAATCTGAGACTAATCAAATGCAGGACTTCAAACATTATTCGTCTGTGCGGCCATTGGACGGCACCCACAAGGGGCTCTTTGCTAAGCCGCAGCCACAAGCCCTCGATCAGACTCCCTTGGAACCCACTGAGGTCAAACAGGACATCAAAACACACATTCTCCCTGATATTAAAGATCAGGTTACCGACACCAAGCTAATGACGCCTCCCTCATCATCCTCACCATCATCAACCCCCGAAAACCCTGAAACCCTTAACCCCGTTTCCGACACCGAGTCTTCTACCGATGGCCTTACCACCAAGGCCGCCGACCTGGCCGTTGATGTTTTCCCTCCTTGGGATATCCAGTCCATCCAGGACGGCCTTGGTGGTCGGTATGACCGGGATACCATCGTGGACATGCTGCAGAAATGCCGCGGTGACATTGACCGGGCATTCGCCGCTCTCCTCGGTGAGAACAATGACGGACAAGAGAAACCGTCAATTCCCGGCCCAAACTTCAAACCCAGTCTCCAGGCATCACGGGAATCATCTCCCTTCAGCACTGGTAGCAAGCGGTCTGCGGACGATAGTGACGACTCCGAGGACCAACCCCCGACTTCCCGACGAGGGCGTCCAAAGAAGCGGATCGTCTCTAATCTGACGCTGGGTGTCGGGATCTCTTTCCGGGACGACCAGAATGAGGTCGTCTCGCTTAATCTGCGGATGGAGGCAGATGCCGAGAAGGCAAAGAAGGCGGAGAAGGCCCAAGCCACTCCAGTCAAGGACACGGCTAGCCCCGAACCATCCGCGGCAGCCGTCACCAAGGGTCCTCGACGGAGTGGCCGGCTTTCAAAGCCCCGGCCTGCTTGAAAGAGAGAGAACAAGCTCTCACCTTTCATTTGATTTCACTTCTTTCATGCGTTCTGTGTGGATTTCTGTCTGTGTTTTCAGCGATCAACTCGTGCATTGTGATGGCGTTGGCATGGAAGCATCTGGCATATGGGATCTTTGTTTTTGTTGCTGTGGCGTATGCATGGCCTACACGGAAAACTACGGTCCGGATGGCTTGGTGGGGGCGTTTTTACTTATCTGCATGGAAGGCAGTGCCTGGTGCACTCCTTTGAATGGGCTCATGGAATGCATTTGTGGCGAAGAGTGGGAGGGTCTTTGTTCATTAGCTTAGATTAATGGTTGGTGTTGGTGCATCGGTTCTACCATTGTGTGAGCACGCTTGCTATCTTATGCTTGATGATAGCTGAATCTAATCCAGCGTCCCACCTCAGGGTGGTCGGATTGCTCTCGAATCTATTCATGTGTATCTTGTAGATTTTACCGAGTAATCCATTCATCGAGTAGGAAGCCAGAGCTACGATAATCGGTTAGTTGTAGTAGTGTATCTCCACTTCCAGGGGCTGGGTTATAGCTTTGTACGTCAGATTCCTCGTATATGTGAAAGTAACAGGTATGTATCAATCTTTCTCCACTTCCTCTTCGTTCATCTTTCAAATGCAAGGCCTATTTACGCAGCCTCCGCAAGAGCTAATCCACCCTCGCCCATTAATCTTCCAGTAGAAAGTTGAGAAAGGTCGCTCCGATAGAAACACCATCGTGTTCATTTCCAACCCTGCTCAGGGCCTCCTGCGCTTGATCTTCACTGAATACGCCCGCCTTGGTCCGATTCTTAATGATTTCGATCTCAATCTCCTCATTGAATTCGGGATGTCCTTGGACCGTTATAAAGCGACGGGGCGAGTACATGCCCTGGACAGCGCAACGTGGTGAGGATCCGAGGAGAGTCACTCCTGAGGGACACTCGGAGACAATATCCTGATGCATTTGCTGGATGTGCTGTGATTAGACAAACAGTTAGGTTGCGGCCTTTGTTTTTGACATCCCTCCAGCTTCGACCCAGCTATATACTTACGAGCTTGTCCCTTCCAAATAACTCTTTCCCCTTGACTGTCAAGTCCACTTCGCAGACAGCAGTCTCCCAGCCTTGATCACTAGGACCGACTTTCACACCGAGTGCGCGGCCCACGATCTGGTGGCCGAAGCAGATTCCGAGTAGACGGACGCGACCTTGTGCTAGGATTGACTGGGTGAATTCCACGAGTCGGTTGGTCCACGGCACGTCTTCATATGAATTATACCCTGTGATATTCTAGTATAAGCCTTCTTTCTTTTATTTAATGGATTAAACATCCCCCGGGTATGACCAACTTGAGCCACTCAGAAGCACTGCATCGATATCCTCTAGCTTCGGGTATTCCATCCTGCTCATGATGTCCCATCTTGAGATGTGGAGATCAGCTTCAGGGTCAAGACGGTCGCCATCATTAAATGTCTTCGCGCTGGATTTCAGAAGAGCCGTGAAGACTCCTCCGTATCCATGATAGCGACTGTCGGTCTCGGGGAGCGGGGTATCGCATTCTAAGACCGCGATCCGTAGTGGAGGACGCATAGTGTCGAAAGGTATATACTTGATCTATGGGCTTTAAAAATGGTACAGTACTTTAAAGGTACATGCAAAAGTAAGCAGTCGTTCACAGAACGCTGGATAGATTGAAAATTCAAATTCAAATCGCAACTGCAAGCTAAATAGACCGAAGGGCGAAGCTGACGGAGGGCGTCATGCTAGCGGTGATCCACACCAACTTTGTAACCGTATCGCCCAGGGCGCCGACCTTTTCTTTTGCCTTTTGCCACTTGCAGATTGCCGAAATCCTATTGACATGTCGGGTTAGTCGATACACCTGCATCTTGATCATTGTACATTTGCATGAATTTTGACGGCCGATCGATCCTTCATCTACCTCTCCGATCTCGCGCCTCTGCATGGAATGGTGGGGTCGACTCGGTACTTTTAGTGTTGGAAAGAGTCATTTCTCGCTCACCCGCAATTTTCTCATTTCTTCTACTCGTCACGCTTCTGATTTATTAAGGAAGGACGAGCAGCGAATCACCTACCTGCTAGGATCCCTGCATCGCTGTTACCGTCTCTACATATCGGACTTATACAGCCGCCAGCCAATCTACCCCGACTATCGGCGTTGAGGAGGCAAGAGACATGTCGGGATCGCATGCCTCGGAGGGAACTCCGCTTCTACGAGAATCCTCAACCTACCAAAGCACATCCTATCGCAGCGTGATCAACCACTCGAATGATGTGGAAACAGGTTTATCAAGTATCGAGGCCGAGAATGAAATTACTTTCCCGGTCCTGACTCAAGTCAGTTCGGCACAGCCGAGTCTGGACATCGAGCCGAGCTTGGAGCGATATCCGTCCGCAGGTTCGAGGAGAAAAAGCAATGTCTCTGCTCAAGATACACACTTGCCTTCTAAAAAGGAATCGGAATATGCCTCCCAATTCATCGGCGTATCACCCTCGCAATTCTGGGTGATTTTCTCCGGCATCTTGCTAGGCTACGTGATCGGGTTCTTCGACTCCACCTTAATTGCGTCAAGCTATCCGGTGATCACGTCGTATTTCCATGCAGCAAATTCAGCCTCTTGGCTGTCAACAGCGTTTCTTCTCACGTCCACGGCATTTATGCCCCTGTTCGGGCGAATCTCGGATGCTTTGGGCCGGAAACCAGTCTATCTGTTTTCCATTTTTATGTTCTTCGTGACTACAGCATGGTGTGGTTTGGCTCAAAGTATCGGTGGTTTCATCGCCGCTCGGGCTTTCTGTGGCCTGGGTGCTGGTGGTGTCTTCTCGATGGGCCAGGTCATTTCAAGTGATCTTGTGCGCCTCGAATATCGTGGGGTCTACCAATCATACATCAACTTGTGTCTCGGCATCGGAAGCTGTACCGGTCTCGCCTTCGGTGGTCTTCTATGTGACCGGATTGGCTGGCGGGGTGCATTTCTCATCCAATTACCTTTCATCTTTGTATACTTCATCGTTGCTGCTATGACCGTCCCGGCAGAACTTGGGATCAAATTGGTCGGGTCGGAGCGCATGACAGTGCGCCAAGTGATCCGCAACGTCGACTTGACTGGATCGTTCTTCTTGGTCTCAGCAGTCACCGCGTTGATTATGGGTTTGAACCTGGGTGGAAACATTTTCCCCTGGACTCATCCTCTGGTGATAAGCTCTCTGGTCGCGGCCGTTGTCTTGGCCATCATACTTGTGCGATATGAGCGCCATGTGCCTCTCGCAGTGCTTCCCGTGGAGCTTCTTACCAGGGAACCTCGAGCTAGTATTATCTTCGGCAACTTCTTTGGTTCGGTCTCGGTCAACACGGTGATGTTCAATGCCCCTTTGTATTTCCAAGCCGTCAAGCTTGCTACTCCCACCGACTCGGGCCTACGTCTTCTGGCTGCCTCAATTGCTGTGACTGCCTCTAGCGTGGGTACTGGATTCTTAATTACCTGGTCGAAACGTCTGAAGCCGACCATCATAATCGGCGGTATCAGCATGGTGATCGGAGGACTTTTCGCCGCTTCTATGGGTATCACCACTCCCGATGCTCTTGCCATGATCTGCGTCTCATTCTCCAGTCTCGGTCAAGGGTTCGCCTTCCCGAGCTTGATGGTCTCGATTCTGGCAACTAGTGAGCAAGACGAGCAGGCTGTCACTACCACTACCCTGGGATTGGCGCGTAATCTGGGCTCCGTGATGGGTGTGTCAATCAGCAGCTGGATTTTGCAAAATACCCTACTCTACGAACTTGAAGATAAGGTGACGGGCTCGGAAAAGGCAGAAATCATCGGTCTTGTGCGCAAGTCCATCCGTGCTATTGCTGACCTAGATCCGCTCCATCAACAACAAGGTGAGTTTATTGCTATAAGTAACCCCTGCCATCAAACTAGAAGGCTAATGATTGAACAGTCGTCGGAGCATATGCTTTGGCTCTCCGTGTAACCTTTCTTTCTGCGGCTGTTTGGGGCACTATCATGTTAGTGCTGCACTCACGGCTTCGCCTACCCAGACTGGGAAGTAAGACTTCCGAAAGTTAGAGACATATATAGACTGTATTTACCTATATTTTGTGCCTAGCATGTTGTTCGACCTTTTCTGCATTCGGTTTGGATAGAAGGGCACTGAGATGTATGTAACGTTTCAAGTTTATCACAAGGATTTTATTTGGAGATTGTGAAATACACAGTGGATATGAGGGTTCTAGTCAAGTCGAGAACGCACATATAATATCGATAGATACAATATCGACAATCCTTGCAATAATAAGGACTTTCTAATCGCTAGGTTTCTAGGTTTCTTTCTTTCAGGTGACCCACATTTTTCCCTCTTTAAACTCCGCGTTTTGATCCACCGGGTTATCGCTGGACTTCTTTAACAGCCACTGCCCCAGACTGGCATCTGTCAGATCGTGAAATTGCTGATTCATTGAAGCAATGGGCTGATAGGCTGCATCTTCTGGACTTCAAATCTCACGCCCTAACACCGCCCACCACCAGACCCCGGCCGATCTTCCTGCCTTCTCGTCGCCGGCCTGTGCGCCCTGCCGAAAAGCGAGCCAATCCCTCCCCCGGTCGCAAATTCTCTGGACTTTGCCTCATCCTCTTTAGACGCCTGTCAGTATACACATCTGGATTGTCGCCCAGAAACACCACACGCTGGAATCGAACATGGCCATTCGAGGAAATCGGTCAAGGAGATTTTGCGTACACCAAACCCCTCGATCGGCTCGGACGCCGACCACACCAATCGGCGCCGGCGACTAGATAGAGACAAAGACGGTGGTGGGAATTGTTGAAACGGGCGAGATCCCACTACGAAGACCGAGATGAATCTCACGACTCGATCGCAAGCGAAGTCACAATCGCAAGCTGCCCCCAACCCGAATGCGAAACCTTCGACACCAAGGCAGAAGACCAATTCACCCCGCCAATCAAGCGCAAACCGCAAGAAGTCCTCGGAAATAGCAGATACCAAGGCCAAACGGGTCCGGACGGGATGTTTGACCTGTCGCGAAAGGCACCTCAAGTGTGACGAGGCCTTGGGTCGGTGCCTTAATTGTCGCAAGTCGGACCGGATATGCAGACGAGGCATTCGCCTAAATTTCATCGACATTCAAACCGTTGCACCTCCACATATCATCGATCGGCCTCGAGGTACCAAGGTCACGTTTCGGGACGACTCGAGATTTATTGCATCCGAGTACGTTGGGGGCTTCGAGAGATATCCCCCGCCACAGCCAGACAGCCCCGTTGAAGAAAGGCGACAATTGCACCATGATGCTTTCAATCTTATGGGGCATGATCAGTTGGCGAGCTTGTTCCAATCGGTCGCTCACTCATTCGACCCCTCTGCCTTTGACCTCTCTCATGCAGCGGCTGTAGACTTTCTTGGTGGACAAGATGCCTGGCATCACCATGAGCCTCACCTCATGCCAGGTGACGAATTGTTACCGCACGGGACGTCTAATTTTGCACGGAAACTGGCGATGAAACAGTATAATCCATCTTCCTTGGTTGATCCTGAGCAAGTCTATCTGTTGCAGGTTTTCGTTGATGAAGTAGGATGTTGGATGGACTCACTAGATTCAATGCGATATGTAAGACCAGATATGCGTTGAAACGACGGAACGGAACTGACCGATATTTAGTTCACACAAATCTTACCATTACATGCCATCGATGAGCCGCTGTTACTCAAGGCTTTCTTTGCGTGTGGCGCTCGACATCTTTCGCTGGTCAATTCCTCGTTTGATAAAGCGAAAGCTGCGAATTACTACGACGAGGCAACTCAGGATTTGTTGAATGCTATGCATGATCCAAACCGCGATTCCGTTCTTTGTACAACAGCCGCACTGGTCCTCAGCATCTACGAGATCATGGCTCCACAACAAACACCAGGTGCGAATCATATTGCCGGTTCCAGAGCCTTGATTCGTGAATGCGGCTGGACGGCAAAAACACCCGGCCTTGGAGGAGCATCTTTCTGGATCAGTGTGGGCATGGAGCTGCTGAGCTCTCTACACTATAAATGGACACTATCTTGGAACCCCGATACATGGGGAGTAGATATGGATATGCATCAACATCCGCATCAGGTACAGCTGTTTGGGAAGACTGAAGAGCTATGGCTCCACAGGATCGTCTACATCTGTGCCAAGATTGCCAATTTCCGCATCGCTGCGCAGTCCCTGCAATCGGTGAATGGTTCTATGAATTACGCCAATGAACTTAGCGACATTTTTACGGAGTGGAGCCACTATGAGGCACTGTGTCAACAGTGGTATGAGAATGCTCCCAGATCTTTGAAACCTCTAGGCAATGTACCGCAATGGCAGACTGAGCCAAGGTCTTCGTTCTCGAGAATTTGGTAAGCTTGCATCTTCCATTTTGTCAGCTGGCCTTCACCAAGCTAATTAATCTCCACTCTAGGCTTCACAAGCGGATCGCGATTGTATCTCAACTCTTTTATCATACAGCTTGCCTACTGCTGGGCAAAGCCCATCCCTTGCAAGCCGAATTCCATCGCAAAATGCAACAGACCCACGCCCATGACATCTGCGGCATTGTCGCAAACACAAAAGACAAGGGTGTCATCAACGTATCAATACGTTGTCTTGCCATTGCTGCCGAGTGTCTAGACACCGAAGACGCACAAAAAGAAGCCCTTGCGATATTTGATGCCATTGTGAAAGATACCAGCTGGCACGCTGAGCCGATTCAGGATGAACTGAAGCAACTCTGGGGTTGGAACATTTCCCAGCCTGAAACTGTGGATCCTACCCAGATGCACAATCATCATTATGGGCTAGACCCGGCTCTACCGATTCCCAAGGGTCCGGAGTTCCCGCCTGGACTATCCAATCCCCTTCTGGACGTGGGTGACTTTTCGATGGAGAATCATCCGTACCAGGAGCACTACGTAGCTCCTCATCATCATGGGTTGGATCATCACCTGTACGGGTCTTATCTAATCTGATTCGCCGAGTCCTACCAAAGCTAGTGTTTATGTTTTGGCAAAAGTCTTCTCTTTGCAAGGTTGCGGTGTAGTTTTCATTGTGTACACGTTTATATACCCCGATACGAAATGAATGATAGTATGATCAAGAAATTAACGCGAAGCTCCCACGTCCCATGAACCCGCCAGTGTAACACCTTATCAAGGATATACCACGTCAATAAGTCTAGGACTGATCTTTCTACGGTGAATGAGGATGTGATCTACTTTGACGGGGTCAATGTGCATGGTAATTCTGGGCCGGAAAGGCCAACGGCCCGGAGTTTAGCAATTAACACCGACCGCATGTATTAAGACCGTTATGTCCACAGCGAGGATCTCAAGAGTGAGCCAAGATTCCTCATATTGCATGTTGAGATTGAAGAGACTGTAAAAGGATAGATTTTCCCCGTCATGTTTGTTGGGGAGGGCATCGATTCATTATATGGACCGCAGACAGACCCCGAGTTGAGTTAAATGTAACGCCTTTTACTATCTCAGAAGCATACCGACATCCAGCTATAATCATCAATCCACATCCCACCCCTCTTTATGATTCAAAACGATTCATCATGGCAAGCAAGTATGCAAGTAGTCAGCCCGAGGGATTCACCAACAGAATTGAAAAAGTGGCCATTGTTGGGGTACGTCAATCCTCTTTCTTAGACAATCCATAAGCCACAACTCATGCTCAAGTTCAATACAGGCAGGTGGTTCAATAGGAAAGCACCTTACAGAGGCATTAATCAAGACCGGCAAGCACACGATTACCGCCATCGCACGTCCAAAGAGCACGAGCAAACTTCCAGAAGGCCTTAACATCGTCCATGTCGATTACAGCGGCGACGACGATGCCGCGCTAGTCGAAGCACTACAGGGACAACAAGCGCTAATAATCACAATGTCTGTAACTGCCTCAAGAGGAACAGTCAACAAACTCGTGTGCGCCGCAGCAAAGGCTGGTGTACCTTACATTCTGCCTAACTGGTTCGGCCACGACGACGCCAACAACTCGCTATGTGACGATAGCATGCTCAGCGCCAACCGCGACAGCATCCTTGCCGAGTTCAGTGCCCTGAAGTCAATCTCCTATATCTTCTTGGTGTGCAATTTCTGGTACGAATTTAGTCTGGGCGGGGGACCTGATCGATTCGGCTTCGATTTTAAAAATCGCTCCTTCATACAATTCGATGAACACGACGTGGTCTTTAATACAACTACATGGCCCCAGTGTGGTCGAGCTATCGCTAGTCTTCTCAGTCTGAAGGAGTTTCCTGATGATGAAAGTGATAAGTCGCCTACACTCTCGCAGTTTGCTAATAGTTCCGTTTACATTTCGAGTTTCCGGGTGAGCCAGCGTGATATGTGGGAAAGCGTTAAGCGTGTTACTGATACTACCGATTCTGACTGGACCATTACGCATGAATCTGTAATACAGCGCTGGAAGGAGAGTCGTGCTGCCGTGGAAAAGGGTGATTTTGCTGTGTTTCCCAGGATGTTATACAGTCGCATGTTCTTTCCTACTGCCGATGGTGATTATCAATCGCGTCTTGAGTTGCATAATGACTTGCTTGGTCTGCCGATTGAGGATTTGGATGAGTTTACAGCTATTGCGATGAAAATGGGAATGAATTATGAGGTTGTGAAAGGGCATTAGACAAGGGACGAGAGATATTTAGACGATTGCAGGGAACAAGCTACAGGGGATGCCTAGGACTTTCCTGTTGAGACGTTTTTATGACAATTTTACTCCTTTGAACCTTATATGATATGTTATAGACGTAATTTAGGAAGGCTATTGATGCTATTAGAGGCATTAGACGATGTAGTCTGGTATCTCATTCTATCTTTTTTGGTCTGATACGTGGTTATCTAACATTCTGGTTCAATATGCATAAAATCCCCTCCAGCCAATAGCAAGCCGGGCTTATGGTCTAGTTGGTATGATACTCCCTTCGCATGGACATCCAGTCTGAATGAGATTGGGAGTGGCCCGGGGTTCGATTCCCCGTGAGTCCACTGACTTTTTGCCCCTGTCATAGGGTCTAAAGTGGGGGCTTTTGGTATGTCGAGTCTGGTATAGGTTGCAGGTGAATCAGGTTAGGATTTATTTCTGTTTATAGGTTGATGAGGACATAGATAGGTTGTTCATAAACTATTAACTGTGAATCACAGCGACATAAGAAACTAATTGATTGTTACTGTTTATTAACAGTTTGGGTGACGTTTAGGCGGTGCGGAGTCTTCCCGCGGCTTGCCTAGAACCTAGAAGGTATTTCCTCTCCATCAGGTACATCGTGCCAAACATACACATTCCGCCTCAAAGACAGACAGCCTCGCCGGGTATGGCTAGCACATCTAGTCAGGTCCAGCAGTCTCCGGCTACCCCAATTTACATTTTACGGGGACATGCTGCCCCAATCCATGCATTACACGTCTTCGAGGCGAACCTGCGACTGGTGTCTGGAGATGCTGATGGCTGGGTGGTCATCTGGGATCTGGTTACCAAACGACCTGTGACCGTCTGGAAAGCGCACGCGGGGGCTGTACTGGAAGTGAAAGGCTTCAGTCTTAGCACTGGTGTGACAGAGATTTATACGTAAGATCTTGGGACCGGTGGGATTTAGCAAGGCCAGCAAGCTAACGTGACAGATAGGCATGGTCGGGACCACAAACTCTGTGTCTGGAAGATTCGAACAGAAGACGAGGCCTTTCTTGATAAGACTCTCCCAGTTGACCTTGCGCAGTCGACTGCCTCCGAGAAAGGGACGCAGCCATGGCTGCTCCATTCTCTGTCTGTGAATGCGCTCAACTTTTGCGCTTTCTCAATGACATTCATCGAGACGCCTGAGATCAAGCCCTCAGAAAGCGCTCAAGAATCAATAAGTGCTACTCGACAGAATGTTCTTTTTGCCGTGCCCAATGCGCTCGACTCTGGAGGAATCGATATTTTCCACCTCCCGTCCGAGCGTCGCTTGACTACGATCAAATCAGATCCCTCGGTCAAAACTGGAATGCTGATGGCAGTCAGTATCTTTATTTCCCCGTCTGGGGATATCTTCGTTGCATCCGCGTTTGAAGACGGGCAAGTCATGGTATTCATGCACAAAGGCCCTCTCAACGCAGCCAGCTCCGAGCTCGGCAATATCAACTCCAACCCATGGAAGTGGAATAAACTCTACGCCAGTCGCCCTCATAGCCAACCGGTTCTATCACTTGACGTGTCTCCGTTGCATGACTATTTTATCTCCTCGTCTGCCGATGCCCTGCTCATCAAACACCCAATTCCTAGCACCGGCTCCGCGGGTTTTATCCCCGCTGGAAATTATACAGAAGAAAAAGCTTTAAAAACAGTGAATACAAAACATTCGGGTCAGCAGGGACTTCGGATTCGGAGTGATGGGAAGGTCTTTGCGACTGCTGGCTGGGACAGCAGGGTGAGAGTTTACTCTGGCAAGACGATGAAGGAGCTGGCCGTGCTTAAATGGCATAAGGAAGGATGCTACGCTGTTGCTTTCGGGGAGGTAGACCCTCCAATCTCTGACTCCGCATCTCAGACCGTCAAGGAACGCTCGAGTGGTCAAGAAGAAGTACCGAAAAGATCAATCGCGGCTGTGCACCAGCAGCGATTCCAAAAGATACAACAAACTCATTGGCTCGTGGCAGGTTCCAAGGATGGCAAGATTTCATTATGGGATATCTACTGAAACAAATGCTAATGCTCTTGTACAATGATAATAATGCATCGCCTAGCAAAGAAAGAATAAACAATTATAAAAATCAAGCCAGGTTAAATTCACTGGCACCACCACCCATATGCTCCTTCATCTTGGCCCTCATCTTGCGAGCAGCCTCACGTGCAGCTTCGTCCATGTTAGAGGCCGCTGTAGAATCATCTCCAGCCTTCCTCTTGCCCAAAGCGGCACCACGGCCGGCCTTGAAGTCCTTCTTCGTCTCTTCCTTTCCAGGACGAAGACCGGGAACATTGATCTTTCCAGGCCGGTCGCGCAGAGCGAAACTCTTCGCAAGATGGCCCAGATGAAGCTCTTTGATGTTGAACATGCTCCGCTCGGCGGCAATGTGAGTTGCATAGGCGCGGACGTGCGATTGGAAGGCACGGCGGGCCATTTCAAGGTATTCTGGATTCTCCAGAGCCCAACGTTCAACATCCATTTGCCAATCAGTGGCCTTTTCTTCCCAGTTCTTCGAGCTGGATTCGGAATTTCCACCGAAGCCGCGCTTCAAGATCTCAGTCGCATCTGTTCGGGTGAGAGCCTTGCCACCGTCGCGATAGCCACGCTTGAGAACCTCGACGTAGTTCTCTTCGCAGCCGGGCTGGAGGAAAATCAGAGCTCGTCCGTCACGTCCTAGACGTGCGGTACGACCGATACGATGTGTGTGGTCGTCGGCACTGAAGGCGGGGTCATACTCGATGACCAAGTCGACATTGGGCAAGTCCAAACCACGAGCAGCCACATCAGTACAGACCATGACCGAAGCAGTTTTGCTGTTGGCGAATGAGTTGAGGGTGAATGTTCGAATATGTTGAGGCAGAGAGCCGTGGAGTCGGTGGAGAGTGACTGGGTTCGCTGGGTTCGAGAAGGCCGATCCAGGAGCGATAGTACCGTGTGGTGATAGTTCTGCCCGTTCCTTTTCTTTCTCCTTTTTCACTTCATCGTCCTCTTCATCCTCATTCTCATCGTCACCATCATCATCCTTTTTGTGTCCTCTTTCACCGTGCTTCCTTGAGAAAACTTCGAAGAGGAAGTCGACCTCGTCTGCACAAGAGACAAAAACAATAGCTTTCATCACAGAGCCCTTGCGAATGAAGGTCCGCTTAAGATATGCTGTCAACGATACTAGACGCAACTTGGCGGCCACGATCGCGTATGACTGCTTCAGCTGAGCGGGTACGCGGAATGAGTCTTCTTCGTCCTTGTTCGCATTCCGAGCTTTCTCGTCTTCGTCCTCGGGGTCGGCCTTGATATGCACAGCATCCTTCAAACTAATCTCTCCCAATCGCTGCACATTCATCTTCAGTGTCGCAGAGCACAGAATTGTCGTTCTCCTCGTCGGCACATTGGGCACACGGCTCGGTCGTTGTCTCGCGTCTAGTTTCTGGACAATGCCTTGTAGTTCCTCCTCGAAACCCATATCCATCAAGCGATCACCTTCGTCCAAAACCAGCCATCGAACATTGCTCACATCCAGGGCTTGAGTATTATCCAAGTGATCCACCAAGCGACCGGGTGTGGCCACGAGGATATTCAAACCTTTACGCAGGCGTGCCTTTTCTGACTTTTTCTTCTCACCACCGATGACGGTACCAGCTACAAGCCAGGTGGCACAGCGGAGAAGGTTTTCCAACACGACCGAGATCTGCTTGCACAGCTCACGAGTAGGGGCGAGCACAATTGCAAACAAACCACTGTCACGACTGACGCCAGCCTCCTTGGTGGCCTTGGAAAGGGCCATGATCCTTTGTACCAGGGGGAGAAGGTAGGCCAAGGTTTTGCCTGAACCGGTCTCGGCTTGAATAAAAGCATCACTTTCTTCCTTGAGTAGTTGTGTGACCGAGGCTTTCTGGATCGCTGTGGGTGCCTTAAGTTCGAGCTTGGTGAGCAGATGGGCGGCCAGACTCGGCGACAAGCCCAAGTTCGTAAACGTATCGATCCCATCGATCAGGGGCGCATTGGTAGGTTTCGCTTCCTCGATGGGCTCTTCATTTCGAGGCTCTTCGGCATTTTGTGGTTCCGGGTTGCTGGTGAAAAGAGACGATACAAAGTGGCGGGGATCTCGCTGGGACGGTTGCTGCTGGGATCGGGGTCGACGGTCGCGACCGCCAGCATCTTCAAAATCGCCGGAGTCGGTCCTTTGTCGCTTCGCAGGCCTCGTGCCAGAAATCGCAATCTTGTTCGGGTTCTTCGATTCGTGATTCTTGCTGCTACCATCACCAGGCTTGGGACGGTGTTGAGAGCGCTTTTTCGCTGAGAGACGGTCCCGCCATGTCCCTCCTTTGAACTTCGCCTCCGGTTTGATCACGGAGTCGTTGATGGCGAAATTCAAAAGCATGCCATCATCAGCCATGGCGATAGATATTCCCGGCGAGCGGGTGAGATTTCAAGAAAGATAAAATACTTGAGATCTTTGTTTGGTTGCTTGAGAGACGGAGCTTTGCGATCGAGACTTTTTTTTTCTCCGCCGCCAAGAGACCCGCCTGGAATTTTTTCGGGGTAAGGCTGTTCCCCCCATCATATTTCCCTGTCGCACCCTAAATATTGGATAGATTTAACCATTTTAGACTAATTAGGCTGTTATAGAAGAAGATTATATCGTTAATAAACTTAATATATCCTGCCTAGTACCTAGTTTACTATATAAATCGTGACGCGCGAAATTTCCCACGTGATATTCTAGCTTGCTTACTTAGCCATATCTTAGGTAACTAAGTTAACTAACGTAATTCCCGCCCGTTCCGAACACCTAACCCCATTAGACTACTTCAAAATCGATTATCTCAACCAACTCCTATTGATTTAACTAGATATAGCGATTTTTACATACGTTGATTCTGTGACCAATCTCCCTGCACCCACTACACCTAGGCGGAGCCCTAGCTGCTGGCCTAGTTGGCTGACTAGGCAATTCGACCTCTGCATGCGAATCTACCCCATCATCTTCCTCTGGCTGGTTTAGCTGCTTAGCTAGCTGTATAGCCTCTTTAATGGTTAAACCCTCTGCGCAGGGTATCCTCCTAGTTGACCGATTGCGCTTTTTGATCATCTTCTCACTCGCTATACGTAGATTCGCATTATCCTCTGCTAGTAAAGCACCGCTGTGTAGCGCTAGCTGGAATCCCTTGATCATCTGGTCTAAGATCTTTTTTGATGGGCTCGGAGGGCTATTTGACCGCCGTTTCAGTAGATCTTTTAACATAGAAGCTTGCTTGAATAGCTGAGCGGCGGTTCTAGGCGTTTGTGGTGTGAATTCGCTAGATCTACTGCTTGGACGGCTGCTTGGTGGTGTCGGTGTTCGTAGAGAGATATTAAGCTTGTTAAGCACTCTCTCGGCATCTAATGGTACTAGACCACTAGCTGCGAAGCTATTCTTGATAGTGGGATTGGCTGATTGGAAGGCTTCTAGCCGTGCGTGTTGGTAATCCACTAAGAAATCGTGCTTGTCGATATGGTTATATCCTCTACGCGCAAGATCGCTAACGAAGCGACCGTACGCGCGCTTAACCACTGCAAAACACCCAACATCTAGTGGTTGTAGTAGATGCGATGAATGCGCAGGCATATAAAGAGGTATAATATCGTTTTCTGTGCAGATTTGGTCGAATTGGGGCGTGAGATGGCTACCATAACCATCAAGAATCAATAGTCGAAATCGCCCACGTACACGCGAATTCGTATGGGGGATAAAGTGCTTTTGTAACCAGCGTAGACCAATCTCATCGGTAGTCCAGCCATTCTTTGAGACCTCGATTCGCCAGTCTTTCGGTAGGGTTTCGTTAAACCATCCTTCAATAGCTACTTTGCCTTTAAAGATAATACATAGCGGTAGCGAATAGCCATCTGAGCAGATTGCTTCGATCGCAGTAACCCATTCGCGATTTCCTGGTTGTAGAAGAGATCTCCGACCGTAGTATTCAGCCCTTGTGACTACTTTCTGCGAAGATATAAGGCCCATTGCAAAGCCTATCTCATCAAAGTTGTAGATATCCTCCGGTTGTATACCGTTCTCATTAATCACGCTTTGTACGGTCGCGAACCACTGCCGAATTGATTTCGGGTCTTCGTTTAGGGCTCTTTGGTAATCGTATCTTCGCGAGAAGCGTGTACGAAGCTCAGGGCGGCAGTTAATAAAGGTAGATAGCCAATTCTTACCAACGGTAGTTGGTAGCTAGTTACCACGCGCAGCCAGTAGGATATTAGCCATTTCTCCCACAGTTGCTGGTCTAGGCGCTACTCCACGTGAATCCATAGAGATTATCCATTCAACAAGCGAATTCTCTTCCAATTCGGTCAGTTTATGGCCTGATGGACGAGAATCAACGCGAGATAATTGGCCGTGTACGCGGTGGTGTAGGGTAGTAAGCGGAATTTCGTATAGCTTCGCTGCTGCGCGTAGAGATTTGATTCGGCCATTTTGAAGATCACTAAGGGCTAATAAGATCTTGCCCTCTTGATTGGCTAATTTCTGCCTAGATTCAGGGCGTATTGGTGTCATGGTAGGTGGTTGAATTAGGTAGATGGGTAGAGGGACGCGATTTTGAAAAGGGTGTTCGGAACGGGCGGGTGTTCGGGACGGGCGGGAATTACGTTAACGTAATTCACGGCCGACCGGGTCACACGGGCGTTCGGGTCACCCAAAAACATATACTAAATTGGATAAATTACATCTTTATATCTCAACAACAATATATATTAAAGATAACATATTAAGGATATATAAACTGGAGAGTATAAATAGACTACTTATAGAGTAAGAAAAGCTAAATTTAAGTAGTGCGAGACATATATATATTTGAATCTGAAACATCAAAATTACGCTGTATTTTATGGTAAAGCATTAAAATAATAGTGTGAACGGCCTAAGATTCTATATACTATATTCTTATGCCTATAATAAGATATATTCTAAAAATTAGTAATACTGAATTAGTGGTGGTTAAAATATAGAGGAATCAAAATATAGCATATTCTATGTATTCTGGGGTGACCCGGACGGCCGTGGGACCTGGACGGCCGTGAATTACGTTAACTAGGTTAGTTAGTTAACTAACTTAACTAACTTAGTTACACTAACTACCACACCCTCTGAGACGAAAAGGTTATCTACGTACCGGATTTTCTATGCCACGGCTTAGCCTACCCGTTCCGTTTTAGTGCTCAGACCCTCGCCACTTTTGCTCACTGAGTAGAAGTGAGCATGCCTCTGATCTCACTGATCTGCTCACTGAGCGCTCTGATTTGCTCACTGAGTACAACCTGAGCGTCAGGAACCTCAATAAAACGCAACATGCTAGCGCCATCCACGTGAAACCCTCGTTCTTTAGTTTACCCCTACTCTCCCATCCAAAAAGCATTGGCATCAATAACTTGACGTTTCATTTTGGTATATTGCTGGTATTCATTGTGTCTCGATAGAGCCTAATAGCTAATCACTCAATCAGCTCATTAATTAAACTGTATGCTCCAGGGAACCCTTGCCTGCTGATTCTATGGTCTCTTGGATAGGCATGGAGGGAGTGCCAATTCTAGGACTACCGGGAGACCTAAAATCTTACCCTGAGTAAGGCTCTACTAAGAAAATAATATTCTGTATATAATGGCGCAGTATAGCTTCTCTCTATATCAAGCACGCGCACCGGGACGTACATTTGACGAACCGCCAGATCCCCTAGGCCGAGAAGCCCCTAAAAGAGATTACTCCTAGGTACCTACAGGATAATTGATTGATTAATCTATTAATTTGTAGATTGTTCTACCCGGGGAATCCACTGGATATTCCTGGGAGCCTATCGGACTACATACTATTCTGTGGACGCGTGTAAGCTGTCTTCACCAATTCGCTCACAATCATAATTATCTAGATTTCTAGGAGCCTGAAACGTAGGTGGTACTCCTGTCTCAATGGACCGTTCTCAAAGTCCACACATTTCAGAGACTGTTGTCTTTTCTCATTTCACCAGGTCGAAAACCCCAGGTACGGTGTTCGTTCGATGTCGTTAGCACTTATGGAAGATGCACTCCGTTCATTGTATAAGATGGTTGCGATACTTAATACTGTAACTAGGTTTTTCTTTTCTTTCATTCTATTTGCTATAGGCCGGACGAATGATTGCGAGCTTACTTGTGGTAGTGAAGTATCTTCGGCTCAAAGAGCCGTTGCTTTCGCAGTGGCTCTCTATTTCGGGATCAAAGTTCAACTGTCGCCTGGTGCTAAATTTTGATCTGAGTGACTGAGATTGGAGACTGTTCCTTCATAAAGCAGCCCCTCCTCCCCCACCCCCTTCCCCTTATAAAAAGCAAACTTTTCCCGCAACTGCACATAGCAGAACAGATCAGAAATGTTTACACCCTTGAATATGTCTCAACAGTACCCAGAAATACCGCCCCATCGATCATTTCCATTCATCCCTCCATACATACCTCTATCATTCGCAATCCGGAAACGATAATTCGGTGTTGACGCGACTCAGCCAGGGCCAAAGCGATTAAAATATATCCCCATCATGCTCCCCAAGCGGAGATTCTGGCGAATAGTAATGGGTCTGGAATGGGAAGGCTTGAGGCTCCTGTCCAGACGATCGAATCCATGCTTGGCTTAAATAGCGATTCCAAGGGTGATCGAGGCTATAATGTACACAAAATGCAGCGTGCGATTCAAGATACATGCAGCATGCTCGCGGTCCTGTGTGTACATGCTATGTGCTTGAACAATCACAATTCTCGATGATTTTGAGTAGGTGCAAACAGCGCCGGTCGCTCGCAGAAGACTGTAATCGTGTGGAACCGGCGGTATCACAAGCAAGTCCAACGGCTGAGTTTGATTTATTAGATTCTAGTCAGCTTCAGTCGACGATCAAATACTTGCCATTCAACACTACAGTACCGAGAATCCAGTCCTCTCTCAGAGGCAGATGAAGGCTTTTCTTTATCGTCATATCAATATGAAAAGGTAGATGGAACCAGAGCAGGCTTCTGGGAATTTCCGATTCGGTGACTTGAAACCAGAATGAAATGTTTCGTGATTTTGATCGTGCATTTATGATCAAATGAAGGAATATGCATACGCTCAAGTTGAGCTGTGCTCAAAGCTGTAAACTTGCATTTTCATTTCTTTTTATTTAAAATCACAAAACAGTATCAATTTAGGTTAGCATCAAAAGGTAAAGTAGAAAAGGACAGAGTAAGTTTGAAATCAGATCCAGATCAGAGTGCCCAAATCGATCCATAAAGCCACCCTTCAGAGCATGTTGGAATCGCCTTGGCTAGGCCTTCCCCCTTCCCCCCACTTACAGATGAATGCGGACCATTAGCATGTCTTGATTGGCTCAGCTGGAGCACCATCAGCAACAATACTTGCGCGATAGAGAGCTTGGGAAAAGTAGAACGACTTACGGCAGCCGTGGGGCTTAAACTCCTGCTTGGCCCATCCTTTCGGAGTTTTGTACCAGTCCCTTTTGAATCTGGTCAGCGCAAGTTTTTACGTTTTGAAGTCCATGTCGCTCACTTATGTTTGCAGAGAGACTGGAATTGATCTCCAGACTGAGCTTTCTCAAGACGACGGCTGAAACGAGTCGGGTGTTTGTAGTAGAAGAATGGCTTGGAGATCTTGCAGTCAGAGCCACCAGCGCCTGCGCCAGCGCCAGCGCCAGAGCCACCACCAGCAGCGGCTGAAGCGGCGGCGGCAGCGACTTCCTTTCCGCCTTTACCAGCAGAAGCGGCGGCGGCAGCGGCAGCCGCAGCCGCATTTCCTCCGCTACCAGAGGCAGAAGCAGCCGCTGCAGCAGCCGCTGCGACGTCCTTACCACTACCACCCGCAGTAGCGACTGAAACAGCAACAGAGACGGTGACAACTTCCCCTCCACTGCCACCAGCAGACGCGGCGGCAGCGGCAGCGACAGCAGCAGCAGCTCCTCCGTTTCCTCCAGCTGAAGCGGCAGCGGCGGCGGCGGCAGCGACAGCTCCTCCGTCACCTCCAGAGGAGGCAGCAGCAGCAGCAGCGGCGGCGGCGGCTACATTCGCTCCACTACCCCCAGCAGTGGCGGCAGCGGCAGCGGCAGCAGCGGCGGCACCCCCTCCCTTACCTCCACCAGAGGCGGCGGCAGCAGCAGCAGCAGCGGCAGCAGCATCCTTTGCAGTACCACCAGAAGCGGCGACGGCAGCAGCGGCAGCAGCAACACTGCCCGGCACCCCCGGAATAGACGTAGGGGCAGGGTTCTTCATTCTCTCTTCCAGAGAAAGGTCGGTACCTGGGGTTACCTCAATTGGGGCTGCTACTGCTAAGTGCGTAGCAACTTGGAGCAGCACAGTGAGGATATAGAGCACACACTTCATATTGAAAGATGCAGGTGTTATGCAAAGATGATTCGATAAAACCTTTGCTTTTTCGAATCCAAATCGACACAGAAAGATTATCTGCGCAGCTTTTATGTTGGCTAGTGGCGATATTTCTTAGCTCTGCGCCGCTAGTTTCGATCGCAAGGTTTCTATCGCCCGATGCACAGAACCAAAAAAGATTCTAAAATAAGATCGCTGCGACATCCAGTGAGTTCTTGGCTTCGAACATGACATTCAATACAGATGCCTCGTGAACTTGAAGGCTCCTCTGGGGTTCTGAGCCATAGGTCATGTTTCTAAGAAAGATACTTGTTTCAACAGATTCTAGCCCTTAGAATTGTTATGGGGCTCACGTTATACCACAAACAGTAATTAGTGGCGTCTGGGTCGAAGACAGAAAATATCTATTTATATCAATCTGAACTCTAGGTTTACAAAACACATCAAGCCATCAGCGAACATCTCGTTTTCGCTTCAAAAATGTCCAATATATGATGACCAGACAGCAAAGGCCCGGCCTAGGTGGCTTTTCGCGGCTGAGATCAATTCCATGGGCTAGTGAGGCTGGGGGGGTTGGACAGTAGGCTTGAATCAATCCATACCTTCTACTCATGAGCCCCCCGGGAATTCCAGCACATTTGTATGCATTAGGAATATCGAGACTGGACTGGAATACTCCGACTTTGGCCAATACGATCACGCATATGATGCACCAAACCCCGCAAATGCCAATGTGTTTGATTTGGTTAATGATCCTAGAGGCCGATCTATATCATGGAAGCTCAATCATGAGTGCAGCTGAGCGGGTGCTCCCATGGTGCCGCGCCGCGGGGTGTAAGTTCATCAAGAAGTTTCAATCCTATTTTTAGTGATATTCGCCAGTTGATCTATCTGGCTTGGAATTTCCCGGACACCCATAAGTGGGCATGGCGACTAGTAAGTAGCCCCCTGAGAGTAGAAAGGAGGTAGCCCTGATTAGCAGGTCGCCAGTGTGGTCGGGACCTCCACTGTGCGGGCTCTATAGTGCGGGAATACAGAATCATAATGAGACGTGGATCATAAGTCGGCTCATGGTGAAGTCGATTGTGGCAATCCGCCGATCAGTCTAGATCGGATTGAACTTTGCCAAGCCTTCTTCTTTGGGGAAGTGGGTTAAGTGAACTCCGGTTCGAGCTTCATCAGATCATGTTGGCGTTTGGCAAGTCTTGGCATGATCTTTCTCACTTTCTAACCCAACATACCATGAACGTTCTGCAATTAACACCTTTATCAGAGGGCTTCTTAATTTAGAAAAAAAGGAAATCCTGATTCCTACAAATTTTAGACAGTGAGAAATCTATGGAACCACGGGCTATGAAAGATCTGAGCCCTAATACGATTTAACAGTAGTTCTGTGCAGTAGTCACGGCCGGCGTGGTGGAGCCAAAATTAAGAGCATAGCCCGTCAGCTTCAAGGCTACATAGACATCGCCTGGACCATTTGGTGTACTTTATTTGCGCTGGTCCTGCGGGTGTCACTATAATTAAGTTGAATTAACGGAATAGGAAATGCTGCAGTCATGTGACTTACCGCCCGTTATTCCCTTTCTCTTTGCTTCCATAGCCTAAATACTAGTAGCTTCTTCATCGGTGTTACGCGGTGCCTGCAGGTGGTACTAGCAGATACGACACCGACAACTTCCGCCATGTCAAATTATAGTGATATCGGTTTCCTTTGAGTCAGGAGGAGAGAAGAGGGCGGGGAGAAGCTCACTCTTTTTCAGTGACGCGTGGGCGAAGAGGATACAAAGGCAAGTGTCACGCAAGAAACAGTCATATATCAAAAATTAATCTAGTGTGTACATATGCTATCTTCCAGATTTGGCGTCTTGAAACAACCACTGTCGGCAATTTTATTCAATATTACAGTATCCAGGGGGCTAGATGCACCCTTTCCATTCTGCAAAACGCATCAGGACCGAGAAGGAAAATAGCAGTATGAGTAGTGTGAGCGTTTCAAACACGGCTATGCTTGTCTCCAAGAGGGTTAGGGTATGTTTAAAAATTTATGGGCATTATTATTTCAAAATGTGCTATCTCTGACGGCTTTATCTTAAATCTCATGGCCCGCTCTTGCTGATCAAATAGCTGCTGGCCAAGCATCAATCCCATCTAATATCACCATACCCATGCCTGATGAGAGGTGTGTCTCCATGTGACAGTGCAAGAGAAACGCCCCTGGGTTCTCCACATGATAACGGATCGCGATCCATGCCTCGCCACTAGGTGATGTGACAAAAGTGTCTCGATAAAGGGGTGTCTGCAAAAAGCTTTCAGGCGATTCCTTCGAAGCATCTTCAATGGAGCTCCACACAAACTTGCCGTGATCTGCTCCAATCAAAAAGGCCTTGTTGGAATGTTTATGGATTGGGTGGGGAGGCTGAAGAAGTGTTGGTGGTGGTATCGCCAGCTGGAAGACGATATCGACCCAGGTGTCATTTTTTGTGGTGATCTTGAGTGACGGTGCCAGATCAGGTGAACCCGGATCATAAAGAGCTGGTTTCATAGCCGATAGCGTAGCCGGAAGGAAGGTCGTACCATCTAATGTCCATTCCCAGGATGAGTTCAGCCTCCCAAGAGTTAGAAGATGAAACTCATCAGCGACTTCCGCAGGCAGTATTGGGGGATATGGTGGCAGATGTGTGGTGTTAAGAACAATGACAGAATCAGTCGTGTTGATGCCTCCATAGTCAATATAAGGAACTGACTGGTATGAATTCTGCTCGCTTCCATGATAGGACAAGGTTGCGAAGCCGGAAATGACTTGATTGCCATTACCAGCGACACGCATTGTGTAATTCGCCAAGCGCTGATCTAATCTGACCAAGGCTGAGTACCGCTCCCCATTGTATATCGGGAACTCATGGGCCAATTGAGGCTCAATATAACGACCATCCACCTCGTATATGTAGAGAGGGTGTTCATCAATAGATACAGCCAGTGCCTTGATACTCGCCGCACTGATGAAGTTGAAACTTGCCCATTTTGCGTCACGGTCAACTTGGAATATGGTTGTATCACCTTGACTCGGGACGCACCCAGAGTTGAGGCCCCCAGGAAGTGCTGCAGGATTGTGTTTCCAATCTCCCTGCAGAGTGACCAGGAATGGATTGCATCTTGGAGAATGGTCAGTTATATCACTGCAAGGATTCATCGAGGAACAGATCATGGAAATACCCTTTATCAGTCAAACTTTCATTGACCACTTGTCTAATCTGCGGTGGTTGTAGCGCCGTCAACTCCTCCGGATCCTTGCAGTAGACAGACCCACTACCATTGATAAGGACACTGTCGGAGCAGCTGGTTTAGTTAGCATCTAGCCTTTAATAGGCCCTGACAGTGTCTTACAAGATATCATATCCTGATTCTCTCATGGCCTGCATATAAGCGTCCGAGGTCAAATGATCCCAATCAGAAAGCACGACGAGTTGTGGGTTCGATGCCGCTGTTTTCATTGCCTCGATTTCAGCTGGATCGCTTGAGATCATTGAGAAAGGCGATTCACGGTTTGCTGTAGGCCTGGAAACATGTTAGTCTCTCAATTTCCCGCCAAAAGAAGAGCACTCACCGAATAAATATTGCGCCGTATAGCCCATCCATTATTCTGGACCTATCATGGGAGTGGTACCAATAGGTTCCATACTGGGTAGCTTTCCACTTGTAAACATGTCTGGCACCTGGAAGAATAGCCCATTGCGATAGACCAGATACACCATCACTCCAAGGTGTATTTCGCTGTCTTCATAGAGCAATTGATGTTAGCTGAGTATTTCAATGCAGTTTGTTCATTTGAAATAGTCAATCATACTCGATTCCATGAAAATGAATTGATGTATTAAAAGGGAGATGATTGGTCACTTCTATCTTCTCGGGTCAACACATTTTTTGAATGGATCCAGATATCTCGGTGCTCACTGTCACATCATCTCCCTCGTCGAGATACAAGGATGGACCCGGAAAAACATCGTTCACAAAAATCATTTCTCGTGTGAAGCCATTAGGTGATCCATTTTGCCAGGTAAGTTCCAATGAAAAATTGACCTGTGCTGCCTGGCTAAATAGGACGTGTCTTACTAGCATCAATGTAAAGCATATTTGAAGTGCCATTCCTCCAAATGAAATGATTGGAAGATCAAGATAGTAGCTGGCAAAAATAATCAATCCTGCAGTGTTAGGAAAGGGTCGTCCGGGTTTTTGAATATGGATTTTGTGTCCTCGAAGCATTCTTTCTTTCTCCTACATTCCTACCAGGCAAACATTGGCCCTGGAATGTGCCAGCTAAACAAATGAAACAACCCTTGGTAATATTATGCATGCGCAAATCACGATTGTCCTGTTTGCCCTCATCGGCGTTCATTTTGAAGCTTTCTAATATTTTCAAGATTCGGTGGTCAAGGTACAATTTTTATACTCTGTTGCGCAATCACTTTATGAGCTCGAGCGATCCCGTCGTAGAGTTTTAACAGAGAAAATTTAGACAGGCTCTAGTAATCCCCAGAGATGTGGAGTCACCCTCTTGTTACTGACCAGATAGAAGAGTGCTCCCTCTAGTACTTCCATACATCGCCTGTCAATGTATGCAGAACGAAATGCAAAATGAGATATTTGGATTTAGAGGTGCCATGCCTCACTTCCGTTTCATTCGAGGAAGCAACGGTCGGAAAGGTGAGAATAAAAATGGCTTGAAGGGAAGCCAGATCTTGACCGGATTATTCGTAACGACCAAACCTCAGAAATATGAGCAGTAAGCCTCGGCACCCACCGTCGATCGAGGCAACGGAATCGGGAGAAGGGGCGAAAGAGTAGGAGGAGGGTGTTGAAAGACCCCAGAATAAAGGACGGGGGAGCATCTAATAGGCGCTCGACCAGGCTGGGCAAAAAGGAAGGGAGCCTGGGTTGGGATGCAGAGGGAGCCATTCTCAGGGTCGTTTTGTTCGCCAGTAGAAAGAGGGGAACCAATCGTCGATGTCAAATGTTAACATCAGGACAGGAGGATTATGACTAATAGTGCTGGCTGGGTGCAGAATAGGGGGCAGTACCAAGAAGTGGGCGGTCAAGTGGCGGCTTGCCCGTCGGGGCATTGCTGAGCAAAATCTTTTGAACACACATCAATCTGAACAACGGGCCGCGCAGGCGAAAAATGGTCTTGTCATTTTTGCAGACAGCCAGGAGGCATTAAAGGCGCTTCACCAACCAAGGATGTCGTCAGGACAGATTTATCTGGAAGGGTGCCACGACCTGATAAGGCGGTATGAAGCCAATGGCATCCGAAGAGAGCTCAGGTGGATACCAGCTCATCAAGGAGTCGCTGGCAACGAACTTACCGACCGGCACGCAAAGGAGGCGGTCCAGGAACCGCAAGGGCCATAGAATACCAACAATCAACAGGCCTGACAGCACTCCCGCATAGCAGCATATACTAGAGCGAGCTACATTGGGCAAATGAATTCACCATAATCATCATCACACACATCAATATGCACTTGTCGCGGCCGGCGGATCTGACTGTGTTATCAATCCTGATGTCGTTACAGTGCAGGAAAGAACAACAGGAGCATTTCCCATGACCGTATCCCTCGCTCGATCACCAAGGCTTGCAAACGCGGCAAGGTGTATCGCAAAGGATTGTGCAAACTGGATTTGTCAGCCTCCGATCCAACACGACCTGGTGATCGTTGACATACATTAGGAGAGGCTGTCCATCAGCGATATATGTGGGATCGATCAGGAAATAGCTACGAGAGATAGAAACTTGAGTATTGATTATCTGGATTTTGGACTTCACTCACCTGAATATTAGCGTGCAAGAGACTTGAAGACGCAGGCATTGTGTTGGAAGCGAAGAAACAGGACAAAATCGAGAGGAATAGCTAGGAAACAAACTAATAATTGGATTTAAAATGAATAAACAAAAAACTCTCGGGAATGAGGTGACCACCTCCTGAAACTATGGGGATATGAATAGGTAAACACAAATTTATAGGCACTTTTGGGTAGTCTCCACCCATGCACCTCAGGTTTTCCAGCACGCTATTAGAGGGAAAAATGTCTGTCATACTGTGCTGTACTGTAGCACGGGAGGGAGTGCAAAGGTGGGAGTGTAGCACTACGTAACTTCTGAAAGAATAAAGGCAAGCCAAATCTCAAACGAAGTGTTAGATTTAGTTAAGTGTTATTGTCCCACAGCTTTTGAATGGGGAGAACATCTTTCTAAAGCTCTAGCAGAGGGGGTAGCCAATTATTCTAGGCATATGACCCACTCACGATGTTGAAAGTTTTTGGCATTTGTGGCATACGACGTGAAAGATGGTTCAATTCTCCTCCGGGGGCGCGCGTATTACCAAACAAGGAGTAGTTGAGGACATTCTCACCCGAAAGAAATTCTCTTCAAACATCTTTAATCGACTGGGTCTCAATAGATGCCTCTGATGAATATCTGAGTAATGAGTGATAGCTCAGTGAGTCTGATTTCCGGACTGAAATTTACTCAGTGAGTCTGACTCTGAGCGCCCTCATAAAAGCGACGGCAGCTAAAATAGGAAAGCCCCATATTGCATAGGAAAAATTTTACGTATAGTGACATATAGGATGAGTGCCCAAGGCTAGAGACTTTCTGACATAAGTAGCACTACCGGAGAAACGTAACTTAGTTAATATTTAATATTTAATATTTAATAATCTGGCGCAGAATACCGCTACTCATATTATAAGCCTTGGCAGAAATCAAGCAAATTCAGGCAGAAACCAGGCACCAGGTGGTGTGTGTCAATAGCCTCACCCTAAATATAACTATAGGCCTAAGATAGAGCTAGCCTTTTAGAGATATAATAATTCTTTATAGTCAGATATATCTTTTAATCTTATATAAACACGATTAATATAGTTACTAGATATAGGACTTTCTCCTACTAGCTTTTATTTATCGTAATCAGCCCATATATAATTATAATTAAACTTATAGATGGTAAACCAGTAATAGATATACTTCTTAAGATATATAACGAAGTAAACACCAGCGAACCTTATTGACGGCATCCATTGACTCAATAGATTTATTTTTTGTTTTACCAGGCCTAACGATTCTGGCTTGTATACAACCCAGAGGGCTGTAGACTCAAATTGTGACGGTACGTGTTACGGTTCGTGCCCGGGCGCACTAACCAAACAAGCCAAAAGACTAAATATGTTAGAACGCTATGTTCTAGCATGCCCGGGACCGATATAAGTAGCGCACAACGTTAGGCCTACTGGAGGGGCACAACGCCTAGGTCCTAACAAACAGCCTCGCCCTTTTTTCGGCCCGAGCCCTACAGACATGCCCTACATACTGTTTGGAAGTAATGTCAAAGCAGGAAGATCCGGTTATCTGGGTTGTCAACTCGTTGTAAATAATCTAAATTTGATGATTTGCTGTGCTTTTTACGCTAAATGAGAAGCAGGTGTATATATACAAATGTCATCATGCAGTTGGTTTCCCCGTTAAGCCTGAGGCTGGAGGATCATGTTGTCAATCAACCGTACGGGAACCTTTCCATCTCCCAAACCGCAATCCTCGCCGGGCTTAGTCTCCTCTAGAGGGGCCATCTTAAACGCAGTGCTTAGAACAGCTCCCCTTTTGAGATCGACGAGGTCGAGCTCCTCCAAACTCTCGGGATCAGCGAGGGAGATGTAGTCAACTTCGTACAGTGCCCGCTCCGACGGAGAAAGCGACTGCTGCTCGGACAGTACACGCTCAGCAACAGTGCGGGCAGCCCCCAAAATATCATCACGGGAGGTCTTGCCTGCCTTGTATGCCTCCGCTGCGGCACTCAGGGCTTTGTAAAGGGTGAGTCCCACGGTCCGCCTGCGAGCACCAAGATAGACATTCCGAGAGCTCAACGCCAGGCCGTCAGCCTCGCGGGCAGTTGCAACGATCCGAACCTCAGTATCGATAAGGAAGTCTTTGACCATCCGTTTGATGATCACTGTTTGTTGCACGTCCTTCTGTCCAAAGTAGACCCGATCGGGCGTGGTCGCATTGAATAGCTTCATGCAGACTGTCGCAACGCCGCGGAAGAATACCGGGCGAGAAACACCTTCAAGCTTTCTCGCAAGAGGTGTGATGGTGACGAATGAGCCGTGGCCGTCGATTTCCGACGAAGGTGGTAAGGTAGGGTACATGACCTTCGAGGTCGGGGCGAAGATGGCAGTAATTCGTCCCGTGCCAGCACCCAAATTACCGAGCTCTTCGTTGAGCTTCTCCAATTTCTCGACATCACTATCCCAAGTACGAGGATAACTTGAAAGGTCTTCGTTGACGCCAAATTGAGTCGGGTTAACGTAGATGCTCACGAAGACGTCAGTGTTCTCCCGGGCGGCCTCTCGAATCAACGACAGGTGACCTTCGTGAAGGGCACCCATTGTGGGCACGAATCCCATAGTGCGATCATTTTGAATCAATTTCCGTCGCAATTGGCGAAGTTCGGGGACGTCACGGAAGACTTGGAACGAGGTCGGTTGACGAGCGGATCGTGCAGCAGCCGCAGAAGCGTCGGCAAGCAGCGAGGAGGCCGCAGCTAGGGAATTGAGGAGAAGAGGTAAGCTTCGAATCAGCCTAGACAACGAAGCTGTAACATACTGGAGAAGGACTTGACACCGTTCACCAAGCGGGACATGGTGATGTGATCGAAATGGGGGGGGAATGCCTCTAATTATCTGGAGCCCACTAGCTTCGAAACGTCCGCGGCAAAGCGGAGATGCACGACTTACCCGTCCCGAACACGTGACTTGCGCCGAGGCTAATGAGAGAATCTGGGGGGTAACCCGTGATTGAAGTATATTCCGGGGTCGATCGTCGGTTTTGTTGGGACTTTGGAGCTATGGGCCTGTCCCGCACTTCATCTCTCGTCTCCTGGGTCGACCTTGCCTTCTATTCCAACCTATATCTGTCAATGACCCCCGGTGCTCCTCCTACCTATGACCCTACAGCGACTCTGACCCCCCGAAGGACCTCCCCCCCCACTCCCCATCCTTGTGGCTTGTACCCACAATGGCGCCCCCCAAAGCAGCCATCAGCGATGAGCATTCAGCTCCGGACCTAGAAATTGTCGGCAAGCAGGTCACCATCCATCCCTCTGGCTTTACGGGCGGGCCCGACTCTCAACATGACACGATTACCGAACGAAACCTCGTGCGCCATATGGCGCGATTCCGCGCAAACCCCCTTGAATTCCTTCGCGAAGTGAGCTTGTATATGTCGGGTACTGGCTGGCGCGCATATGATGATGTGATTGGACAACCTGTCTTCTACTCGGGCTTCGGCGAGAGGATGAAGTCTGCCATCCTGGCTAGTCCAATGTTGCAGGACAAGGTCAGAGAGCTGGCCAATACTCGGCTTTCCGTAGAGGAAAAGGAAGGCCTGGTTGCGATCAAAGAAGGAGCGAATATGGACGAGAAGCGGGCGCGACGCCGACATGAGCTCGAAAGCGGCCTTCGCGAGGTGGTGGACACTATGATGGACAATATGATTTGCAAGATGGAAAGCAAGACGTTCATTCGAGGCGCGTACTACATGTGCACTCAACTCCTGACTCGAGCCTATCACCAGGGTATCCACGTATCCAGTGAGGAGGTTCTGCGTCTACGATCCGTAGCGGAGACTGCGGCGAAGAACAAGCAATCTATTGTGTTTCTCCCGTGCCACAAGTCTCATGTGGACTATGTCTCTCTACAGCTCATCTGCTACCGCCTGGGGATTGGTCTGCCGGTTGTTGTCGCAGGCGACAATCTCAACATTCCTCTATTGGGCCCATTCTTGCAGCATGCAGGTTAGTACATGCCTGCTGATGTTCGACCGTCCTCCAACGATATACTTACGTCTGTTTTAGGTGCCATGTGGATTCGACGCAGCTTTGGAAATGACCCGCTCTATCATACTGTCGTTCAGGCTTACATTGACACTCTTCTTCAACAAGGGTTCAATTTTGAATGCTTTATTGAAGGCGGCCGATCCCGGACAGGAAAGCTTCTTTCACCCAAATTTGGTATCTTGAACTTCATCGTTGAAAGCGTGTTGTCTGGTCGCGTCAAGGACACCATAATTTGCCCTGTCAGTACGCAGTACGACAAGGTCATTGAGACAGAGTATGAACATCACTGCATGCTGTCGTCCGAACTTAGTACTGACCCTGAATAGATCCTATATTAGCGAACTTCTAGGCCAACCCAAGCAGAAAGAGAATCTGGCGGATCTCTTGTCATCTTCCTCTGTATTGTCCTTGAAACTGGGTCGAGTCGATGTTCGGTTCCACGAACCCTGGAGTTTGCGAGAATTTTTGTGCCAACAGCTTTCCCGACTCAACCTCTCGGGTATAGGCAGCGATCTAAACCTTGCCCATACCGAACGCGGTCGGATCCTCAGAACGTTAGGATATCGCGTCCTGTCCGAAATCAATGATGTTTCAGTAATGATGCCACCCGCGCTTGTCGGAACTGTTCTTTTAACGCTTCGGGGTCGTGGTGTTGGTAAGGGCGAATTGGTGAGACGATTGGATTGGCTTTGTGACCGCGTGCGAGCTAAAGGTGGTCGGGTTGCCCACTTCTACCGCTCACCGACAGAAATGGTGGTTGATCGTGCCCTCGATGTACTTGGACCTAAGCTAGTCGGTGTGATCTCAGGATTGGTGGAACCCACCTACTATGCCGTTGATCGCTTCCAACTATCTTTCTATCGCAACATGCTCATTCATCTCTTCATTACCGAGGCCTTGGTCTCTGTTGCGATGTACACGAAGATCAAGCAAGGCGGCGGGCCTACTAACCAGCGAATCACATTTGAAGCGCTAAAGGCCCAAGTCTCATTCCTTTCGCAGGTACGTCTATCCAACAACGGCTAAATTTTGGAGCATTTCACTAATAAGATACAGCTCTTCCGTGGTGAATTTATCTTTCCTCCCGAGGGCTTAATCACCAATTTGGAAAAGACGTTGCACAGCCTGGAGGCGGATGATGTTATTAGCATTACCCGTGACAGTGCTGGTGTTCCGCAATACGTAGAGCTGAGCGATGCTGAGCGAACATGCGGTCGAGAGAACTACGATTTCTATTGCTTCTTGATCTGGCCTTTCATTGAAGCATCGTGGCTCGGTGCAGTGTCTCTCGTGGGGCTCACTCCTCCTTCGGATGGTCCTCGAGATATCTGGATAGATAACAAGAAGGCACAGGACAGTGCCCAACTGGTAAGTTTCCGAGCCTTCAGTTTAAACATTTCGATTATGCAGGATGCTAAGTCTTAGTGCAGCTTGGCAAAACTCTCTATCACCAGGGAGATCTTTCATATTTCGAAGCTGTCAACAAGGAAACCCTCAAGAACTCTTATCAACGCTTCGAGGAAGAGGGGATCATTCTTGTATCCAAGAACAAGGAGTCTCGCGCTGGCCCATCACTGAGACTCGCCCCAGAGTGGACACCAGAGCGAGATCCAGATACTGGAAAGGTCCTTCCTCGCGGGCGTCTATGGGACTTTACCGAGTTGATCGCCCAATCACGTCGCGAAGGGTAAGTTAAGCCTTTGAAGGCCTACAATTCGGGGCTACGCTAATTTTGACTCTAGTAAAAATCGCCGTGATGGTGCGACAGTCTCGTCGCGTGTTTTGACCATGTCAGACGCTGTTGGGCGTGAGCTGTTCTTTATCGCTGCGGCCCCAGCACCCGCCGATGTATCTTCTCGACAAATGCGTCGCAAGGCAATTGGCACTGAGTCGAAACTTTAGGAGTTCTTCCTTCTATGCGAACTTCCACACGACTGTGCTTTTGTTTGACCCCCGGCGGGAACTACCACGGAAGTGCCCCCTGTCCTATTACTATACCCTCCACTACTCCGTCGTCTGTATTAATCCAATACTTGTACATACATGAATGCAATTTCGAGGAACGGAGTCTTGTCTTTGCTTATTGGCTTCATTTGATATGTCTGTATCCACTAGATCATAACATGAAAACTTATTGCATTGAAAGGAACTAGCAGCCCTGCCCAATAGTGACAGTAGCAGATCTCTCGCCATCATTAACACCACCCACAGCCTCGACGACAATCTGATCCTTGCTTGACAGACCATCCACGAGAATAGTAGTCTCAAAGCCGTTCCGTGTGGCAGTCTTCTTCACTTGAGAACCAGAGTACACCTTCCACGACTGTACATCAGTTGCTCCATTCCAACTCACATACACAGCCGTCTTCCCACTCTTGCTAGACGGGCAAGCAACCACACTAGGCTTGGTGGAGGGCCGGCCAACCCAGGGATACCGGTAAGCGCGGTAGGTCTGCATGGTATTATCGTAACCGAAACGAGCACGCATCACGATCCGACCATTCTCATCATACTCCTCAATCTTGGGTGTAGCACCGTGATCTTGAAGAACGTGTCCGTTTCCAAGAACCTGGTAACTACCTTGCGACTGAGCGTATACCGGCTCATCGGCATCCCACATTCGACTCTTGAGGGTCACCTGCTTGGATCCCTGCAGCTCGACGTCCAGGACAAGGCCGGTAGTGAGGGCTGTTGCACCAGTGAAATCGGTGTTATCATTGTTGTGCATGCTCAAAGTCACACGTTCGGGTGTTTGCGACTCGAACCGGACATCGTGCTGGTAGCAGAAGCTGGTCCCGAGGCCCAGATGGAAATCACCGCCGGTTCGGCCCTAGGAAATTTTATTAGTTCATGGAAGTAATTACAAGCTCATGAGTATTCGACCGAAACTTACATGAAGGTGCCAGTTGAGGGTACCGTTGGGAGCAATGAAGAAAACACTGCACATATATCGCGAGGACACGAGATAGTCGTCGCCATACTTGTAGACAGCGTTGAGATGAGGATATCCATAGGGATCGGTCTTATTACCACCGGAGCCCTCAAGTGGAGCATAGACCTCGCTCAAAGGAGCCTCGTCAAGATGTTCATGCGTACTCCAACGGAACAAAATCTCGTTGGTCTTGATATCGATTTCATAGATAAGACCATCCTGAATCCAACCATCTTTAGGTCCACCGACTGAGCTCAAATCAGCCTGTGTGACATTCACTGCAGTGACCAATATAGTGCCGCTGTCGGTAAACTGGCTTTCATGGATATCGATGCAAGAGTCAAACTCCATTGATTCAAAGACGGTGACAAAGTTCTGTTCCTTGCAGCTCAGGGTGACCCGGTGGATCTCGTCGTATGAACTGTTTAGAATGCTGATGTGCCCAAATCCAAAGCCTTGACCGGCATACCCGGTCCACAGAGCAATAACGGGCTCACCGTCCAGCATCTGTGGCTGGAGGGCTGAGTAGCTCGCATTGGGCCCTTGCCAGACCAATTGGCCGTCATCAGAGTATATCGCCGGGTAACCGTCACCACGAATTATATCCTCGGGGGTGAAGAAGAGATATCCTGGTTCCGTCTGGCCCATCTTTGTGACATTCATAACGGGCGTCTGGATTGAAGAGCTCTTATAAGTTTGAAGTGGCCATAAGTCCTCAGCGGAAGATTGAGCTGCAGAAACACTAAGACAGCCCGCAAAAAGGGCAAGTGCCTGAGGAAGGCGACTCATCAAGGACCGGCTCATGTTGGTTGGGGAACTGCAGATAGTCTGCTTTTCTTTTGGATCTGCTTCACAATACCCTAGTCGAGGCAATTCGACTCAATTTATACCTTATTGCTCGATGCTGGTCAGGGTAAACTGGAGCTATGGGCCCTCATCTCCCCGCATTGTATTTCCTGTATGGAAGGAGGGCATTCCCTCGGCAGTCAGAAATTCTCTAACATCCGAGTTTTCTAGCACAAGATCCTGCGTGCGGATGCCTTCACGCGGAAAGCATCCGACGGTGATCCCCACACTAGAGGGGGATTGGTGGGAGGGAACTTTAGCTTGGCTCGATAAACCTACGAGCTCTAATTCTAGTACGCCACATATCACATGTCATAATATCCCATGTAGAATCGATACATTATAACGAGCTAGACGAGTATTCTTGTGAGTGTACGATGAGCAAATTGAGTGATTTGCGAATATCATAAATCACTATCTAGATACTGAAGATGGCTTAAGCTTAACCTAGGGCTCTTTTTCAGAATAGAAATCTATGACCGATCCAACGAAGTTGACACACGAGGGATCAACATTCACAGATACTGTTTTGGGGTAGACACAGGGACATAAAGCTATCTTTAATGGGATGGGGTCGGCAGTTGCAAGCATTTAAGCGAGGCCGGATTTCGCCGATCCGATGTGGACATGAATTGTCCTTGTAGCCATTCTCCCTGATGACCTACAGTTAACCGTAAGATGGCATCTTTTTCAGCGGATATAGTCCTGGTACTGAGACTGTGTGCGGAATTGACCTCAAAAGGCTGTTGCAATGGAAGTTGTTGTCCGAAGGTATTCAAACTTGTGAGAGAAACTTTACGTTGGAGACATTTTCGGAATGGCACCCGGAGTCTCAAATGCGGAGATGGAGGCTGGTGGGGTATGCGCCCCGGATTCCCCTCCACGATATAGACTCCTTGATGGTGATGCATTCATCTGGGGGTTTTGCGTGGAGAACGCAATTGCCGAGCTCCAGACACTTACCTGACAAGGGTCTGACAAGTTACGAAAACTCACAATTCACTATCAATCTAGATATATCTTTTACCATTCGCTTCTCACGGTGTGAGTATGCCTATTCAGTTCGGATATCGCTGTGGGACCTGGTGTTCGAGATGGCGTCCTTTGTCCCACATTCTCCATGGTTGTGGCGGAAGCTTGGGCCCAGGGGATACCCGACGACCTTGGCAGCCCTAGCAAGGAATACATGCAGAATGAGTAGGAAAAGAGCCATTCTCATAGGGCGCTGTGTGTGTAGTGAAATACGTTGGGGACTGCTAGTTCCCACTATCGGGGGCTATCTGGGGTAATCGGCAATGCTGTCGGCAATTCGTGGTCGGGGTAATGACGCAGGAATCCTTTGAGGGGCAGATCTAGAATTTTGGGTGTGCATTCAAGAAGAAAGACAGAGCGACGGCATTAAGTGATATCAGGGAGCCGTTGAAAATGAAGTGGCGGGACCGTCTTCAGTGTTCTTGTTGTACTCATTCCAAGAAAGGGTCCATTTCCCCAGCCGGTAGCCGATCTAGGACGCACGATCGATCATGTCCCGCAGGCCTCAACACGTCTGTGAAACCCCCGGAACGAGATCCGGGTCCTATACTATTATTTCGGTAGTTAAACAAACTCAGACCCCTCAAAACACGAGGTCTGAGCCATAAAACCCTCGACGACTCCGCGTTTGGGTAGTCTTGAGTGCGGAAAGTTGCCGGTATTATGAGTATTAATCAAAATTAAGATCCGAAGACGACCACGACGAATCAGCTTTACTTCTTTGAGTTTCCTCTCTATCTAGGAAGTCTGAACACAAGTCTAGCTAGACATGCTATAGCTTCTGCTCTTTCGCAAAATCTTTTCTAAAGATCATTTGAACTGTCTTCCTGGGTGGCCTTCAAAACTATCTCTCAGGCTATCTACGAGTCTATGATCAACCAATTGTTTTGGGAAATTGGGTCGGAAAATACTAGAGTAGAGCAGGATCTATCCTAATTCGACCAAGTTGGTCATGCGAGTAACAAGAATCTTTAAGCAAGGCATGACATTGATCTTTTGGGAATTGATGCTTCCTCATCCTAACCTAGCTGTCTTGGATCTCCCTGGACAAATTCTACCATTCTCCCATCATTTCCAGTATCTCTTTGCGACATATATCAACCGTTCGTGTGATGAATATTTTTAAGCTCACTTCGCACAGATACTAACATCGAGACTATATATTTTCATCCCGAATACCGAACTAGACGTCTTGATCTTAGAGAATGAAGAATTTCACTCGAGGCGGTATCCTTTCAAAAAAAGCTCATCATCGAGTTGAAAACAGCTAAGAATTCAGGGGCATGCGATGCTTGTGGGAAGATCTCCAGACAAATGCATGTGTAGTAAATAGTAAAGCACTCACCTGCCTTCTAGGTACACACTCCTCCTAACCATCCCCACCAAATCCTATTTGATCTTTCCTCTGTTACCTACCCACCCTATCATCACAAGTCATCTCCAGCTACCCTCGATCTATACGCCAAGATCTAACCCCCAAAGCACGTGTAATACCAAGCCCACCGCCAAGAAACCCACGCCTGATAAGACCTCCCTTGATAAGAGGAGCCTAAACCCCAGATGGCTGTCGGATCCGGGGTGATCACAACGGGGAAACGTGGTTGGCCGGACCTTATCAGAGCAGTTCCGACTGATCGCATCCTTATCAACGTTCGCCTCTGCTTTATCGCATGGAGCTCTTCGCGAGCAAAGTTGACACACACTTAGCATGGATTCCTTAACGCGGTGGCCCTTTTATCCTCGTTTCAGGTCGTGGAAAGCGAGTGTGGGGTTCTTGGCTGTCTGAGGGTAGATAAGGGGATTTGGTAATAGGTAGGGGATTATCGTGGTTTGAGATGGGGATAGTTCGGGGTGTTTATGTATATCTTGAGCTTGGCCCTGGGTTTATGGATCATTGTCAAGCTTGTCTTTCTTGCGTGAAGTGATTTATTCAATAGATTCTGAAGTTGCTTGCCCAGGCTTTATCTTCCTTTCATTACTTATTTAGGCCATTGTGAACATCACCAGGGCCAGTCATGGCCGATACTGTAGGTACCTTCATCAATTCGTCCTTACGTGGATATTAACCCAGTGCATACAGCCTGTATACAATGCCTCCGAGCCCAGTGGCGGCGACCCCTTAAAGGTCAACGTGAACACCCAATTCGAAGGCTTCGAGTGGAACTATACCTACATTGTCTTTTGCGGATTCATCGTCTGGTTAATTATCCCCGGCATTGGTTTGCTCTACAGCGGCCTAGCTCGGAGGAAATCCGCCTTGGCATTGCTTTTCCAATCTCTCATGATAGTAGCCGTGTACGTTTGGTTTGCTCTTGTATGTGATCGAGGATTCATTTGCTGATGCCACAGGCTAGAACAACCTTCCAATGGATATTCTGGGGGTATTCGCTGGCATATTCCCGTGATGCTAGTCCCTTTATCGGCACTCTCAAGAATTTCGGCTTGAAAGATGTCATGGCTGCTCCATCGCCAGGGTCCGCAGTGTTGCCGGAGATTGTGTTCTGCTTCTATCAACTTCTGTTCTGTGCATGCACAGTAAGTCAACGTTTGAAGATCAAAGACGACAGTGGGCTAATCGGCGGCACTCCCAGGTAATGATCGTGGTAGGCGGAGCATTTGAACGAGGAAATATGCTTCCGTCGCTGGTCTTTAGCTTCTGCTGGGCGACCGTGGTCTACTGCCCCGTGGCTTGCTGGACTTGGAACAGTAATGGATGGCTGTACAATTTGCCCTCTCTCGATTTTGCTGGTGGAGGCCCTGTTCACATCGCGTCAGGCTGGTCTGCGCTTGCCTACGCGCTGGTTTTAGGAAAGCGAAAGCATGTCGATGAAACCTCTCATGGAAAGCCTCATAACACTACGCTGGTTTTCCTTGGGACAACCTTGATTTGGTTTGGATGGTTCGGATTCAACGTAAGTCATATGTTTTCCCTCTGGTCTAAGACTAGTAGATAAGCCGTGTCTCACATTTGTTGCGTTTCATAGGGAGGTTCGGCCCTTAATGCGAGTGTCAGAGCTATGTTAGCAGCCTTCAACACCAATACGGCAGCGTGCACGGGCGTCTTGGGCTGGGTGTTAGTGGACTCGATCAAGAACCGTGGGAAATTCTCCGTTGTGGGCGCCTGCGAGGGCGCGATTGCTGGATTGGTTGGGATTACCCCAGCCGCCGGCTTTGTGTCCGTGTGGCTTGCAGCGTGCATCGGGTTCCTTACGAGTATCGTCTGCGCGTTACTTCAAGATGTCAACAATTGGTTACATATCGATGAGGGGATGGATGTGTTCAAGCTACACGGTATTGGAGGTATGGTCGGGGCATTTTTGACGGGGATCTTTGCGTCGCAGTCGGTCGCGGCCTTGGATGGCGCGACCGAAGCCACCGGTGGCATCGACGGGAACGGGATGCAGGTTGGGAAACAATTGGCGGAGGTGTGTGCGATATCCGCATATTCATTCACCGTGTCCTGCATTTTGCTCTATATTTTGAAATGGATCCCGGGAATGCATTTGCGGGTTCACGAGGAGGCAGAAATGATTGGCCTGGACCGGGCGCAGTTTGTTGACGAGCAAATTGGGGAGCGTGCCATTCTGGACGAGTTGTTTGTATCTTCGTCATCGACGCCCGCCCATGCGAGTGTGGTGAATGAGTCTCTGGGTATTTCAACGGGGTCCAAGGATCTGAAGATGTAAATCAGAAGTCAGAACAATTCTATGTATTGACAATCACACAGTTGATGGAACGTTGAGGACCGTGGACAATGCCACCTTTTTCCGGAATGGTAGCAATCTAGACGGATCCCGACAATTCGAGTTTCCAAGGTTTTGCAAGCATCGAATGGATTTGAGAGGCTGAAAGGTGGGGGTTTGCGTGGCCAACCGAAGATCGCCGGGCCTCGAGACCCTGAAATGCCCGCTGGACAAGAATAGACTCTCCGTCTGGAGAGTATAATCATCATGCAAATGAAACATAAGCAGTAACCGAGTCCCCTGATTTGTCTAGACTCGAGCACCGATGCTGTAAGCAAAAGTTAACCGCGCGTTCTTTCCTTCTTTTCTTGATCTTCTTGGTTGTTCTCCCCAGGTAGGACGAGTAGTGATCAGGTTGACAGCCGTATACAGAGAGGATGCAAAAGATGCCAAGCCGTCCATCTTGCGGGCACGACGTATCAGGATGCAGGGTATTGCAGGGTGGACGGGCCCCATTGCCCCGGGGAAGATATGAGCTGACGTACACTGACGCACGATGGTGACCCCCAAACCCCTGCTAGGTTGGCTTAGCGCGGGTTGCGGCGTTCCCTGTGGAAGGGCGGGATCAACACGAATCAACCATAGATGTAACGAAATGTCACACCGCGGGGACTGCATTCCGGGGTGACGACGAATCCATGGAAATGACTTCCGCGAGTTTCCCTTGCCAATTTAGAAGAGAGGAAAAGGAAGAAAAACCGCTGAGAGAATTGGCCGCGGAGGGTGGAGGGAAACAATAATTAAAGACCCAGCAGGTTTAGTGGAGAAGTCTCTCGACGGGACACGACGTCAAGCGGAAAGGGAAAAAAGTGGAATCGAAAAAATAAAAAAAGTCCAAGGCCAACAGGGCCGAAGAGCCTAAATTACGCCGCCCGGTCATGCATTGTCACTGTATTGTACCTTGCCATATGCGGCTGTCCTGGACCCCACCCTTTCACGCCTTGTGTCAGGCCAGCCACCCAGCCGACGATGGTCTCGCCCCTCGTCACGTATTGTATTTGCCTCCCGCTGTCGCGTCGCCGTTTTGAGACTCTCAGACAACTCCTTATCTCTCTACTCTCTTCTCTCTCTCCACGCCTTCCCCCCCCCCCCCGTACTTTCCTCTCGAAGACCCTTCTCCCTGTCACTCGTTCAACTGCAACTTTATCTTCCTGCTTTCTCCATCCGCGCGCTTGACAAGACCCTTTTTGTGTCCCTTCACAACCCCCCCATTCGCTCTTATCTGGTCGCCAGCTGGTCATGCTCTGTGGATAGTCTCGAGTCCAAATGGGCAAGTGTACGTTTCGCTCCAGTCTTACTTCGAGTTCGAATCGCAACGGAATACCCCCAGATACTAACATTGAATCATGTAGGGCGTTATGGCGTCGTCCTAGACGCTGGATCGTCTGTACGTCGAATCCGATCCCCAAGAATCACCCCCCGACTCCCAACCCTCTCGTTATCAGCCACTGATCTACAATCGCATAGGGGACTCGTGTACACGTTTATCGTTGGCTGCGCAATGCGTCAGCTCGCAAGAAGGCCGATGTGAATGACTTGAAATCGCTTCCCGAGATCAAAACAAAGGAGGAATGGGTGAAGAAGATCCATCCCGGTAAGGAATCACCGGCTGTGAATGGCTTTTGAGCAATGCATGAAATACTGACCCTGCACTCTTCTCAAAGGCGTCTCTTCCTTTGCCGATCGACCCGAGTCCGTCGGAACCGAGCATTTGGCGGAACTGCTGGATCATGCGAAGAGCATTGTTCCTGAGGAGGATGCCAGAGATACCCCGATTTTCCTACTGGCCACGGCTGGCATGCGACTCCTCGGAAACCTTGAGCGACAACTTCTCCTCGATCAAATTTGCAGCTATGCCCGCGCCAATAGCGACTTTCTACTCCCCGACTGCGGCGTGCATATCCAGGTCATCCCCGGTGTAACGGAAGGATTGTATGGATGGATTGCGACAAATTATCTGATGGAAGCTTTCGACGCGCCGGAGAAACACGACCATGGCAAAGGACATTACACATATGGATTCTTGGATATGGGAGGTGCTTCGGCTCAGATCGCATTTGCGCCAAACACAACGGAGACGGAGAAGCACGCCAATGACCTGACTCTTCTACGCCTCAGGAACATTGATGGCTCGGTTCAAGAACATCGGGTCTTTGTTACCTCGTGGTTGGAGTTTGGAGTGCACGAAGCTCGACGTCGGTACGTAGAGGCGTTGCAGGCCGCGGCGGGGCCCGAGGTCCTAGAGTTGCCAGACCCCTGTCTGCCAGAGGGGTTGCGCACTACGTTGGACGGCAAGGATGTTGTGCCCACCACTGCTGCGGGGCCTTCTTTGCTCGGTACTGGCAGGTTCGACGAGTGCCTGCGGCAGACTTATCCTCTCCTGGACAAGGATGCACCTTGCTCGGATCATCCTTGTCTTCTTCACGGCATTCATGTCCCGGCTATCGACTTTGACGTGAACCACTTTATCGGCATCAGTGAGTACTGGCACACAACTCATGAGATTTTCGAAATGGGATACAAGGACAAGGCCTACGACTTCAACACATATCAAGAGCGGGTCAAGACCTTCTGTTCGCAGGATTGGGCGTCAATTAAGGACGGCCTCCATGAACATAAGTGGGGAAAGAAGGTCGACCTACAGAAGGCCAACGAGGTGTGCTTCAAGGCATCGTGGATAATCAATATGTTGCACGATGGTATCGGGGTACCTCGAGTTGGCCTCGAAGATACATCGGGCTCGCTTCACAACGGTACTAAGGAAGTCCTGGCTCACACTAAAGAGAAAGGCTATTTGGATGCCTTCCAAGCAGTGAACAAGATCGACTCGACCGAAGTGAGCTGGACATTGGGCAAGATCGTTCTCTATGCATCATCGCAAGTTCCCGCTGAGGTTGAGGAGGCCGCTTTGCCCGTTGGGTTTGGCAGCAATGTTCCTGGCATTCCCCCAGACTTCCAGTACCCCAGTGTAGAGTTGCTTCCTGATTCCGAGGGATTCCACAGTGAACACTGGCATGATGCACTGTTTGATGGAGACTCCCCACGCCGAATTCCCGGGATTCTTTTGTTCCTCCTCATCATTATCGTGGCTGGCTTCTTCCTATGCGGCCGTAGCCGACGGTCTCGCATCTATCTGAAGATCAACAATTTGCTCCGTCGGGGTGGACCATCTCACCCTAACCACCCGAAGAAGCGCAAGGGATTTGGGGCGATGTTGCCATTCTTAAATCGGAACGGTGCTACTTACGAGCGTGTCATGGAAGAGGGCGCGCAAGATTTTGAGCTCGGTGTGACCGACTCCGACAACAGTGATACGGACCCTGGCCGGCCTTCCGAGGGTGATTCAATGGGGATGCGGCCGCCAAAGCGAGCATCTAGTTGGGGAAGCAGCAGCAACCCGCCCAGCTTGAAATATACACTCGACAATACCTCATCGGGCACTATCGGCTTAGGGATTAGCGGTGGCTCCGGGATTGCCATGGATCGGGCTGGCTTGGTGGTCAGGACTGAAAGCCGAGATCATCTAGCTCCCATCGCGTTGGGGCCCACCACTAATGGCCGTCGATCGAGAGCTACCAGTCCCACGCGGTCTCACCATCAAAAATCCCCCAGCATGAGTCCCCTTGCCGATGATTAATGTCACTGATGTATCTTGAACTGAATAATGCTTCTTGATTTTCGACATGTTTTTTTGTCTTTTCCTGCGTTTGCATCGCATTATCAACTGGAGTTGACTGATTGGAACGCGAGTGCTGGTGTTTGATTCTGGCGCAACACTTTTTTTTGCCTTTTCCCTTCCTTTTACGGGGGACTTTTGCCGTTCAGGGTGTTGCTGTGTTGTGAGCAGCATACACTTTCCATTCTTGGTCCCATATTCAACCGTGTGTGCTCTGGAGTACTTTTCTTGTCTTGGTGCTTGCGATCTGATCCGGGTGATTTCGATGTACTGGCAGTGTACCACTAGCACTCTGCTACAGATGTTTTTAATGAATATAGACTAATACATTGCTCAACTGAAAGAGTTCTTTGTCCTCAAATGTAGAATAGTCCATCCAAATTCCTTGTTAATGGTAAACTAGAGTAGATACTGCTGGGATGGAAGCGGACAAGGTAACCATAGCTATCACGTGCACTCCTGACATGATCCCGACCGCCCGGCAGAAAGGGCTGCGGTTGGAGGTGCTTTCTGGAGAAACTGCGACAGGTCTTCTCACATCCATTGCAGCTTTGTTTTAACTCGGGGCTTTCTTGTTTTTCATTTTCTTCGCGCTCATCATATGCACCACCGATAGAGTCACTTACCCGGACCCCTGCCCGCTCTTCGAACCTCGACCGCAGCCACCGCCGCCATGCGCTTGACCGTCGAGCTCATCCAGAATTCCCTCTCATACATTAATCCGCTCAAAGACCGTGAGCTGGATCTCCGAGGTGCGTTTGACTGCTATACCACCCACCTGAAAAGAACAGGTACTACATCTTGAAATAAGAGCTGGATTGATATCGTCTTTGTGCGTCGCGTGTAGGGCACAAGATCCCCGCAATTGAGAACTTGGGTATTGCCAAGGTGAGTGATGTATTCTCCGGGACTTGCTATGAGCTTGATCCGCCTATTCTGCCAAGTTGGAGGCTGCTGGCTCTGCGGTCGCCCTTTCGAGACTGTATGCTAAGCGCCTTACAGGACCAAGATGCTATTGATTTCACGGACAACGACCTCTCTTCCCTCGGGAACTTTCCTTTCTTCCCTCGCCTTCGTACCCTCCTCCTTGCGCGCAACCGAATCAATCACATCCAACCAAACTTGGGGTCGTCAATCCCGTCTCTGACTTCCCTGGTGCTGACGTCGAATAACCTGTCTGAATTGGCGGATGTCGAATCGTTGCGCTCTCTACCCAAACTCACACATCTGGTCCTGTTGGAGAACCCTATCACACGGAAGGAGGTAGGCAAATCCATCTATTGATAAGGAATTTCTGGTTTCTGGCCTGTTGGATGGTCTAACCCTCATTTTAGAATTACCGGTACTGGATTATCTGGCTGGCACCTTCGGTGCGATTCCTCGACTACCAAAAAGTGAAGGATGTGGAGCGCCAAAAGGCCAAGGAGCTATTCGGAACGGTAGAGCAGCCCTCTGCCCTCGCCTCAAAGATCATGGGCATCAAGTCCCGGGCGTTCGATGCTTCCAGCGCTGCCGGCACCACCGGCGCAACCGACAAGGCTATCCGTGTGAAGCTCACCGACGCCGAGAGAAAGCGCGTGGAGAAGATGATCCGTGAGGCGAAGAGCTTGCAAGAGATCACACGACTGGAGAAGGAATTGAACGAGGGACGGATACCCGGCGGAGCCTTCGGTGCTAGCGACGCCGATGGCGATGAGAAGATGCAAATGTGAGGGGGTTTCACGTTTTGCGGGAGATATTTTTTCCCCTTGAACATATCATGCTTGTCTTGTTTTTTCTTCAACCTGCTTTTCCGGGCTCGGCTTTCTTTTTCGTCATGGTCGTTGGGATTCTCATATTATACCTTGCTTTTCCACTTGCGGGTTGTGTGTGTATCATTCTGGGAGATCTTTTTTCATTGCTTGCCATAGGTGCTTATGTGGTTTGTTCACGCTTCGAGAAATAGCATTATGGGGGCAGAGCTCCATACCCCAAAAAGCCTTTTATTATGCTTGGTGTTTTGTAGTATCTGTCGTAATGGTGATACTTTTCGAGTCAGAAACACTACATGTAAGTCGTCAGTATGTTGGAGCCCTTCACCTCGTTAGTCGTCTTAAATCAAAGTAGTTGCCGGTTGATGATGGCACACATCGCCATTAGAAAGATTTATTACAGGTACCCATAAAACAAAACATCAAGTCATTGGTTAGAGGAAGATACTACCGGAACTGCCAGGCTTGTGGTCAACTGGCTGATACCTCCCCTAGAAACCATGTGCTAAGCACACCATCTTGTCGATCAACCCGAGTGGAAACTCGCGGTATGGATCACGGAAATCAAGCTCGTGGTCCGAGGGTTGTATGACATTGTAGAAATGTACCTAACATCTAAACTAGGAGACCAGAACTCCGCTTACATATATGGAGCCCACCAAAATATCCAGCCACAACTACTAGAATAACCTTTTTACTCTACAAATTTGGATTTGGGGACAGCCAAGTTACTTTCGAAGGAAGTTTGTCTAGAACTCCGAATACCCCCTGACCCACCTCCGCATCTCCGAAGTGGACGAATGTGGTCAACAACCTTCATATTATTATGTACTATACTTCAGTACAGACAGGGGGCATCGCGGTTACCAGGCCGGGAGATAGAAACCCCGCCAATGGTACTCACACGGCACAACTCATCTAAACGCGATCTCGCTAGGGTATAACAAGCGACCCGGCAAAAGCAAATTTCCACAACTCGTATCCCAGCAGGTCCAGAGGGAAAGCCACCACAAGCTAAAGGGAAAAACCAAAGGTCACGTTGTGGAAAGGCAAACAAGAGGGCGCCAACAGAAACGCGTTCGGAGAAAGAAGCCGAAATCGAAACGCTCGATTGGATCCGCCTTAAAACTCTTGATTCCCGCTTCTCAAGAGGCCCGAGCCATTTCTTCATGCTTCGAAATGACCATCGAGAACGTTCGGCAGAAAATCGGGATGAATCGCCATCGAGTTCGCCACCAGGTACGACATTTAGGGGGGAGGCGATAGTTATGCTTGCATTTTGTACAGTGGAGACTTGGGCTTGTCGGAACTCCCCTAGCGGAGAACGCGGGCTACAGAATGCCCCTACCAGGTGCATAGTAGGGTTCGTGGCGCGAGCATCCCTGCCATATTGAGCAAGGAGATATGAGCTGTGTTAGCCTTGGGAATCCCAGAAAACAAGTGTTGATTTCCAAGCGTCCCTTGAAGAAGATCAATACGATAACAATGATGCTGCTAGTTGGAGCACCCTGCTATACTCTAAGCAGTCAATTCCCCGTTGTTCGTCTCACATCGTTCATGCTGATGTTGCGACTCAATTTTGGGCATACAGTAATCCGCCCTATCGCCTCCTCGCTGATGCGCAGGACGGTGCATGTCCGCGTTTGATGGACAAGCGCCCGCCCTTGACTGAGGGGCAATCTGCACAATTAGTACGGTAAAATTTTCGAACCCATATTCCCAAAATATACATAATGTACACACAGACCTTGCCCGAAATTCTGGTCCAGAGTTCTGCTGGATCCCCAAGTGGAGCCGATTTGGACGTCCCCACGAAGTCGGAGTACTAGTCAATGCACTAGATGTAATCCGTCTTGTATAGTAGTAACGAAGAGGAAATTAAAAATGCGAAGTCCTAAACATTCTCTTTGAAAGTTCAATAATGTTAGAGACCAGGTAACTTTGTACTATTTGTGCAAAACTCTTATAGTTCCCATCCCACCTTGGGGAGTCAATGACGGACTTGACATCTCGGCAACCAGAAACTCTGTTTTTCAGTCTCCGCAAAAGACGAAGCGGAGATTCCGACAATCTGGGTGAAGCTTTTCCCCTTATATAACCAAGAATACATTACCTCCATTATTCCCGCTCTCTCTCCCCGTTTCCTCTGAGGAATCACCAACCCTTGTGCAACTTCCCCCCGACGGATGGGCTGCGGTCCCGACTAAGCCGCCACCATGGCTAATGATACAATCACACCAGTAATGTCGCCGCCAGCTGGGCAGACTTCTAATTTCGTCAATCCGGATTATATCGGCGCAAAATTTGTGGCTGTCAATTGCGTCTTTCTGCCATTGGCTGTAATTGCGCTGGGAGTGCGAACATGGACGCGATTGTTCGTTGTGCGAAGCTTCCGCGTGGATGACTGTGAGTAGAAGCGAAAGCCTTGCTTGTGTGGGGTCAATTACTAAACTTTGGCAGATTTGATGATTTTCGCTGCTGTACGTGGCTCTGCAATGGCTATGGATAAGGTATATCGCAATTCTTTTGCTAACAGAAGCCATGGCATTTACAGATATTATCTTGCGTTCTTACTGGAGTAACCCTGGACAGTAAGTAGTCACTACCTTCAAAAGGGCTGCACAAGGAATGTACCCTAACAAGTACAGTGCTTAATTACGGATTGGGAAAGCACATGTGGGATGTGTCACTGGCTCGGTTCTCGCCAATGTTCTCTCTGGTTTGCAACTCCAACTACTGTCCAGTTAAACTAGCTAGCTAACATGTAAACTCGCATGTAGCTGAACCTCATTGCCGCCATCATTTACTGCGCCGCAACTGGCTTCACCAAGGTCTCCGTTCTCGTGTTCTATCTCCGCATTTTCCCAAGTCGCAACTTCCATATCGCAGTTTGGTCAATCGTCTTTATCGCCGCTGGTTACAGTTTCGCTAGTATACTTGCGAATATTTTCAGCTGCAATCCAATCGCTAAATCCTGGGACTCGTCCATCACAACTGGGTCTTGTATGAACAGGCCGGTATTTTACTTTGCCAATGCAGGATTGGGTATTTTCACGGACTTTGCGACTGTCGCTGTCCCAATGTATGTTGCTCTCTGTCAGACTCAAAATGGGAGTGTCGCTAACATAGCACCTACTCAAAGACCATGGCTTCGTCGACTACAAATGCCTATTCGTCAGAAGATTGCCGTTGGTGGTATCTTGGCCATGGGATGCTTGTAAGTGGCGGTCATTCCAATGCAACTATGCTACTACCCAGTCCTAACACCAGCCAATATAGTGTCGGAATCGTTAGCTGCATTCGTCTCGGCAGTCTTTACACTCTCTTAACAAGCAGCGATCTCACCTGTAAGATCCACGCCTACCTACGTAGATTTTTCCCGTGGCTTCCAATTCCTAACCTACTCTCTAGGGACGACTACCGACGCGCTCATGTGGTGTGTTATCGAGCTCAATCTCGGAATTTTCGGTGGCTGCGTCACAGCCATCAGACCATTCGTTCGCAAATACTTCCCCCGCCTCCTGGGCCTTTCCTCTGCAGGTGGATACTACTCTTCTCAATCGCGATCTCGCAAGCACGGACATCCTCTCGGGTCGATCCCTCATAGCGACCGAGTCAACTTTTCTAATCAAGACAATCAATACACGACGACACTCACTACACTAAGAGGTGCACCCGACAACGGCAGTGAAGAGCATATTCTAGGCTCTCAGCCCAACGGCCACACTAAGGATGCCGATGGGGCGACCGGTATCATTCGGACCGTTGAGTTTGATGTGGAAAACAGCTCCACTGCCGCAGCATGAGCGATCTCATGCTTCTTTATGCCCTAATTTTCTTATATCTAGCCAGGAGTCTCTTGAGATATATACCTGGTGATCAATAAATAATACATATGACGACTAATAAATGTGCAAATAGTTCTCGATCGGCTATCTTTTCCGATGTAAATAAACTATCGTCAGATTATTCATCACAGTGAGAACCTTCTAAAGTGGATCCAGCTTACTTCCAGCCCTCTCGGCAAACCCGTCTACCCCTGAGTGGCAGGGAGAACAACCCTCGTTGCGATAATGAAAGAAACCTACCGAAGTTATGAATTGACCCATGTGCAGAAGGAAAGATAGCAGGGATAATAATGAATAATGCACGCAGTTCTTCCTCTAACTATCTGAATCAGTATTGACTTTATTAGCAAGGAACATTCTATGGTCGCCATGTTCATCACAATTTCCCGCGCTTGTTACACCATACCTCGCACCAAGTGGAGACTCCCCACGCAGCTAAGCCCTCCACTTATCCCAATTGATCCCAGCCCATCCCCAACACCGGAGCTAAGCCGGCTCAAGAGGACGACCGGATAGATTGGCAAAGGACGACTAGGCGAGGATACCAATTGCAGTAATCCCCGTGCTTTCCATGGTGAGGTAATTATTCTGTCGCCTGGGGGGTACTTATCGACCTTTTTTTCTCTTCTTCAGTGCTTTGCTCCCTCTGACAACCTCCCCTATAAGTCAAGACAATCATGCGTGTAGCTTCAGTCGCACTGCCTCTGGCAGGCCTTGCTGTGTCGGCTGCCGCTAGTTCTAGCAGCGTTGGGTGCAATGCACTGAAGGGGCCGGTGGCCAACTCGTTGTTCTTCACCGGTAGCACGGTCTATCAGTATGAGACTAAAAACTTCTGGTCGAACACCGAGCTTATGGCTCCTGGTTGTGTGTTCCGTCCCCAGTCCAGCAGTCAGTTGGCCAAGGGTTTGACTGCTCTCGTCGACGCTGAGGCTAAGTTTGCGGTTCGTGGTGGCGGCCACATGGGGATCCGAGTAAGTTTGAATATCTGATAGAAGTATCCGATCGCGAAACTGATTAATTGCAGGGCTCTAACAACATCGATAACGGTGTTTTGGTCGTCATGTCAAACCTGACTACCCTAGAACTGAACAAGGACAAGTCCGTGCTGTCGCTTGGTCCCGGTTACCGGTAAGTCCTGCATTCTGTACCTCTATTAAGAGACAATCATGGGACTAATTCTTGCTAGATGGGGCGATGTCTATGAGTATCTCTCTACCTACGACCTCACCGTTCCAGGTGGTCGTCTCGGCCCCGTTGGTGTGCCTGGTCTGCTCCTTGCTGGCGGTGTCAACTTCTACGGCAACCAGGTCGGCTTCGCTTGCAACAGTGTTATCAACTACGAGGTTGTTCTGGCCAATGGCACCGTTGTTCACGCAAACAAAACTTCCAACTCGGATCTGTTCTGGGCTCTGAAGGGTGGTAGCAGCAACTTTGGTATCGTGACCCGCTTTGACATTGAGACTATCAAGTCGCCCATGGTCTGGGCTGGTGCCCATACCGTCGAGGCCCAATACGTGGACCAGTTCCTTGCTGTAAGTGTCTTCTTCGGACTATTTTACTTATCCCGAATGTGTTGTTGACCGTAAATACCAGGCTATCGCTCAATATGCGGCCAACATTTCTGACCCCAAGACTCACATCGTGCCCGCTCTGGTCCCTGGAGACTCGACTCTGGCCTCGGCGATCCTGTTCTACGACAGTGACAGCCTCAGCTTCCCTGACATCTTGAAGATTTTCACCGATATTCCTTCTGTGAGCAGCACCGTCGGCTTCAAGACCGTTGCCGAGTTTGCCGCTGAGCTGGGTGAGATGGTTGTGCCCGGCATCAAGTAAGACCGAGACGTGGAATCCTGAGTTTCTAATAATGAAGCTAACCATATGCTATAGCGACGTGTTCGTTGCCGGAACCGTCAAGGGAACTACCTATGAGGAGCTCTACCAGGGTATCAGCATCATCAACACTACCTTCTTCAACGAGCTCCCCAAGCTGTACAAGCAGATCCCCAGCGCCAACATCTCCACCATCCAGCTGGACTGGCAGCCCATCGGCGCTGACTGGATCAAGGCCTCTAACGCTCGCGGCGGTAACGCCCTGGGACTGGACGCTTCTCAGGTCTACCTCTGCTACGCTGAGGTTGTGGAGTGGATCGGCTCGGCCTATGATGATATCGTTGCCCAGTGGGTGGAGGATACTACCTATGCTATCAACAATGCTACCCAGAAGGCTGGCCTCTATGATGCTTTCAACTACATGGGTGATGCTGCTGGTTTCCAGTCGATCTTCCCCGGTTACGGTGCCACCAACCAGAAGCGTCTGATCAACATCGCGGAGAAGTACGACCCTGAGCGTGTCTTCCAGACCTTGATGCCTGGTGGCTTCAAGGTTTACTAAGCTGGCTGGCCAGGTTCTAAGCGTCGGTTCAGCTCAGGCACTTACGTGCGACATCTGACGGTTGCCAAGTTAATAATATTGAACTAGTATGTAAATATCAGCAAATAGAACCAATGACCGGGTGTTATTCATATTATTTTCTCAAGAGATGCTTCTCGAACGATGTACATATGTTCCTCAGTATTTAATACTAGGTCTCTACGGGATCCACATAGTCCAGCTAAAATTCTGTAAGACTTTTCTCACTTTACGATTGCAGGGTCATTTCGACTGCTAGCGCATGCGCATATCATAGATCAATTCACAAATCTACTTTCTAGCAGTATAATCTATCCTGAAAGAACCTCACGTTTCAAGGCTCGATTCAATGGCTGTCAACATGAATGAGAAAACTAACCGTTGGCCGGCATTCTATGAACTCAAATGTCTAGTTTAACAACTGTAACGTATAATGGGTCTCTCTAGAAGTTAGATAGTACATTTTCTCGGCCTTGGGGCTTTAATCGACATTTCTGCCCGCTCGCCGGCAGCCAACACTGTGCGATGACTATAACTTTGTTAGCTACGATCATACGGGATGTGTTCGACCTTGAACACCAGGCCACGTTTTATCCACTAATCATGGTAAAAACTCCATATGGAAGGCTCTTCTGGCTTATCAAAAATGTGTTGCACAAGCACTGTTTGCTGCTTTCAATCTTGACCAAGTTTGTTAGGCCGGCTCACAGTTCAGTGCTGGTCGGGTTGTCAATCGCAGTCAATTTCGTCGTAGATAACTCATACAATTCCCACTGGAGTACTAAAGCAGAATTATATCGAGAGCTAGAAGCCCTTGAGCTGCTTCAATGTCTCGAACCTCTATCACGCACTAAAGTTATTATCTCCCTTGAAATAAATGCGGGGTCAGATAAGGGTGCAACTACCCGAGCCAGATTGCCGACCCTCCCACATGGCCACCGGCATCCACCGGCGAATGGCACACGCTTAGCCCCACAGAACAGTGTCAAACAAGCTTGATATTGCATGTCTTGTCGGTAATTTGACACCTTACTCTTACGCCCGGAATCAAGTCAACAATCTACTCATGGACCCAACTGCCGCAGCGCGGAGGAGAAGACGTCGGCGGGTTGCCGAAGAGAATCGAAAACGAGCTGCTCGAGCGTACGTATACTTCCTGCCTGCTGGCACTGATCATAGTCTTACTTACCTATTTGCAAAGGTGCGATCGCTGCAAAGCTCGTAAAAGCAAGTGTGTGGAGTCGCGCTTCGGACAATGTCAAAGATGCTTGACAGGAAATCTAGATTGCAAATTCGAGAAGTAAGGCTAGTCTTCTTTTCCTCCGACAATCCCTCGGCTTGCTTACTGGCTTTAGAGAAAAATCTCCACTGAACGAGGACTCTCCAACCTTGCAATCTCAGGCGACCGCACGAGGCGCCTCAGCTAGCCATGCCAGGGACAGCCCTCGAGACAACATCTCGACTGAAAGCCATGAGTTGTTGTCGCCAGAATCTGCATTGTCGCAAGGCCTTGTCAAGCATGTCGTTGTCGATAACTCGAAGCGAGTTCAGTGGCCCAATATTCTTTCACGTCTCCGCGAAGCGTTCTCCCTGGATCCTCAGGCAGCCCCGGAAGAGCGCGACATGGTCGCCATGCAAGCAGTTCGTACATCGTCCTCATGTTTTTGAAGGCTTAGCTCATCCAGTTTGAAAGCGCATGATTAAACCCAAGGCATTGCACCCTTACGAATTGACAAGACTTCGGGCAGCGATAGACGCTTTTCCCCCACAACCCGTTGCCGATTTCCTTCTTTCAGTATTCACAAAGCACGCAACAGACACATTCTTTTACTTTGATCAGGCCCAACTTATAGGCGAGATTGAAGAGTTTTACGCAACTCCAACCACCAGCCTAAGGTCTGATCCAAGCTTTATCGGCCTGGCAATGGCTACCTTCGCTCTCGCAAGCCAGTGGACAACGCTAGAGCGACCGGAAGGATCCGATATTATTCGCAACCGAGAAAGTTCTGATCTTGGAAGGTTATTCCACTATCATGCTAAAACTCTGATGCCCGACATACTAGATCGATCGTGTTTGAGGTCTATCCAGGCCCCATTTGTCTTGGGTGTATATCTCATGCCGGCAAGTGCAATTGGTTCATCTTATGTCTATATGGGCATGGCTCTTCGAAAAGCTTTGACTTTCGATCTCCATCTGAACGTGGAGGACCAGGGAATGGATGAGCGAGAGAAGGAGGTCCGGCGTCGTCTCTGGTGGTCCATATACTCCCTCGAGCGGTAAGGCACAAGCTTCATGTACTGCTTCTTGTCACTAAACGACTTTAACAGTTGCACTACAGTGAAACTCAACAGGCCACGTTCCATCAGCGCCGACATAATTACAGCTCTACCTCCTTCGCCGTACCCTCCTCTGGACCGCCTTCAAACCTATGATAATATTCACTTCCAAATAGCATACAGCCGCTTGATCAAGATACTTGATCAAGTAGCTGACCTCGGGTACGTTTAACTTTGAAATGGCTTGGATCTACTCTAACAGTTATCAGGGACGGCCAAATGAACGCAGAGCAGCTATTGCGTTGTTCAAAATGGGAGGCAGATCTCAAAGAGTGGAAGAGATCTTTACCTCAGAACTTCAAGCTAGATCGTATCGATCCAAAAGCTCCGAGCTATCGCACAGTCTTCCATCTCTACTTGAATTATTACTATTCATGGATTACCATGGGCAAAGTCTCACTCGTGACTGTGGCCCGGTCCAGGCTTCGGCAATATCTCCTTCCCGAGCATCACGCACCCCAAATTTGTGACACCGTGAGACGGCTTTCCGATTCCTGCACAAAAGCTGCCAGAAAGCTTTTGCAACTATTCGAAAATTTGACGAATACCCAAAACATAACACGTTTCTCTTTCACCGACTTTCAGGGTTGCAGTATCGCAACTATAGTGACCCTAGTTGCTGGTATCCTAGAACGTGATTCAGGGTACGAAGCTCGGGTAGCATTCGGGCTGGATTGTCTCGGAAGAATGGCCGCAGGTAATATGACTGCTCAAATGGGCGTCAGATTTGTCGAGGCTGTTCGTTCCATTACAAACGAGGCCGCAGAGAAGCTTCATTGTGCCAGCTCTCGCAGGAAAAGGCATGATGAGGACGTGGACTCTAGATCAACCTCCGCTTACAACCAATGGGCTGAGTGGCTTACGATACAAGAACAAGAGGATACATCTTGCCGCACTCTCACTGAACCGGGACAATTGCAGACATCTTCAACTTCGCATCCTGTTGTTGGTCCATGGCCACCGTGGCAAGCTATCGACGATGAAATCTTTCAAAATACGTCTTCCATACCGCAGCAGGGTATCAGAGAGGCAAGAGACCACCAATGGCTAGAAGCTACAGATCAGGATTTATTTTCGGGCCTCCACGGTGATGAGCAGACTTTATTGATGGGCCTCACTGGGCTAGATGCTCTGGACTTTTCAGGATTGACAGACCAATTGTAACAATGTCGAGTGTATCGCTCCACACAACTGCCATTTTTCAAAATCAATTCGTGATCTTCAGGTTCACTTCGATGATACATATCTAGCCAAATTCTTGGATTCAATCAGAAAACCTTCTAAATGTCTTTCGGGACTTATTTCTAGGAAATCTCTGGACCCTTCGCGAAGATCTGGAAGGTTATCTATTTATCTGGAACAAGATTTGTATCTCATCGTATACCGCATACGAGAACAACACTCAGCTCTCCAGGATTTCGCTTGTGTTAAGGCGTGGCGGGAGTGCCTTACTGAGGCTCTCGAAGTAAATTGTCACGCCACAGTTTTGATTCTTTTTCTTTTCTACCAATTCCTCACAGTCGTTAGCGCCAGGCGGGAGGCTAATTGGTGGCTCATTAGCCTTCAACCATATCCCCCATGCTGGAATCCACTTTCGCCGACTAGTTGTCGCCAAAGAGCGCTGTCTTACGGTATCAACCTTCCCAATAGGGCTAACGCTAACGCTAGACATGACAACGAAGCTGATGAAGAACAACACTTTTGTAGCTTCCACAAAAATTAGATATAACACACGTCTAGGGACTACCATTCCAACTCCGACAAGAAGAACACCGACCGACCAGGTTAAATCGAGCGCAGGCACCAGTCCACCACTACTACATACAAGATGACCTATCACTAGTGGTCAAAGAAGGTGGCGGAACATTGGAACGTGGAGCATACGCATATCTGATTTACGCCCGTCCTAGTCTAGCCCAGTAAGGCTAAAGCTTTCCCTAAACGCACTACTACAGTACTTCTACTCTAGCTCAAACCCTCAGTGGTCAATACTATTTATACGGGTATAACGTGCATCGGCTACGGCGGACGATAGAGGGGACTTCCCCAAAACTCCTAAATCCTACTAAGTACCTTTACCGCTTCTTCCTCCGTCCTATACGCTCTACCCGAATATCCCAAAATCATCTTACCTAGGCAGGTACTTACGTCTAGCTATATAGATTATATCATAAATCACATAGCTCGTAACTAAAAAGTTATCTATAGCCCTATTTACTAGTCTTATATATTCTAAGGTGGGTGATTTAGGAGATTAGCTATAAGATTCTAGGTCTTAAGATTAGCCTTAAGATTAGTCTTGAGATTTTCGTCTTGAGATTCGTCTTGAGATTCGTCTTGAGATTCGTCTTGAGATTCGTCTTGAGATTCGTCTTTTCGTCTTGAGATTCGTCTTGAGGTTCGTCTTGAGATTCGTCTTGAGATTATAGATTATATTTAAATTTGAGCTTAAGTAATCTTATTGGTTAGTTACTTTAAATCTATTTTCATCAGTTTCCTGTGGTAAAATCGCTTTTCTATAGGGTATATAGGAAATGCATAGATTATACAGGGCAAAGAATAGCTGAAATCGAGATCCTGCCGGGTTGAAAATCGCTAACTAAGAGTTTTGGGGGAGTCCCCTCTATCGTCCGTCGTAATGGGCCCGATATCTTATACTATAAGGTCTTAGACATAAGTATAAGTGAGTACGAGAGCAAACAGTTATTTAAGTTAGACTTACTGCTGGAGGGCATCCGGCAAGTCATATTCATTAGTATAATCTTCATCAATTAATGAACTAGTAGTCTTTTGTAGGAATTATTAGAGGTCATAGTATTCTGTAAGGGTACTGTCGCCGATTTTTCCGCTAGTGATAACGATGAGCCCTGATTGCGTCTCCAAAAGAAATCTTAGTATCTGGACTTGAATTTGATCTACTGCAAATTACTCCGGATTGTTAACACTTAGTGATTCTGCATATGTACACTTTCCTGCAGGAGTACAGGAACCATCAGCGCCTCTCCCTCGATGGAGAACATGATACTAGTCACACTCAACCGTGGACATGGACATTTCAAGGTTTTCTGGCCAAATCAAACTTCATTTGACTGAAGATATAGACATACGGTGGAGACACTGTATGGATAGGTATAGAATTCTGGGATTATTATATACTTCTCTCACTTCCTTGCAATATCTTTGGTGAACTCTGATACTGAAGTGATTGCTTTTGCTCTTGAATGAGCTTTGGGATATGATAGTGAATTCATCAACTCTATTACTATCGTCTATTACTATCGTCTATTACTATCGCTGTTCTCTTCACCTGCTCTGAAAATAAAGTTCCTCCTTATGGCCAGGTCGTCGTGCCTTCCACTTTGGGTAATCACCTTCTCGTGACTCGACTGTCGCTGTCGCCCACCTTTTTTTCCAATATGGCTGAAGCCCTTGAAACCCCCCAACCTGATTCTTCTCTAACTTCTCTTCTTCATCCTCCTCCTCACCTCTCACCCGCCCTCCCCCCGCTCAGCAAGAAAGTCTCCCCCCGTCAACCTTTTTTTTTACTTTTTTTTTTTAAAAAAAAAAAATACAAGTCGACATGGCCGGCGGTCCTGTGACCGTCGTTTCCTCGCCTGCTGGCCAATCCAGCAAGGCCGGCTCTGCCTCCGGCGCTGGGGGCGAGAAGAAGGGTGGGGGGTGACCCCCCAAGAAGCCCAACTCGGGCGTCGAGGTAAGCACGTACTGCTCAGTATGATTCTTCTTCTTCTTCTTCTTCTTCTTCTTCTTCTTCTTCTTCTTCTTCTTCTTCTTCTTCTTCTTCTTCTTCTTCTTCTTCTTCTTCTTCTTCTTCTTCTTCTTCTTCTTCTTCTCTCTCGACTTGTCGAACATGGTTCATGACACTGGTTGATGGCATCCGGGCGATGACACTCGTCTGCTTGATGAGACTGGTCGAGGACACTCCTCTGGTCGATGACATCTCCAGTCGATGACACTCCTCTGGTTGATGACACCTCTGGTCGAGAGCACCAGTCTGCTTGATGAGAGTGGTGTGTATTATCTACGGATGAAAATGATGCTGATAAATGTGAATAGAAGAACGAGGTCGTCTGCCCGGTTTGCGGTGTGGTCGGGCACGATGCCCAGCACTGCCCTACGGCAATGTTCGCGTATTTCTATGCGCGGACACTTGCCGCCGGGGTAGATCCCAATTCGGTATGCGAACCTGAGAGTACACGATGGATAGAAGGGAGACTAATTCCACTTGTCAGTTTGGTCACCCCCACCAGTCCCGCCGTCGTCGCCGCCGCCGTCGTCGCCAAGGGGCACGGCACCCCACGGGCGACAACAATGCGTAAGTGCTCACTTTCTTGGATCAGCTTCTTGGAATTTTCTCCCCTTCATCATGTTCACCCACACAATTTATGCTGTCAGCATTGGAGATCACGCTTGTCATCCCTCCAGTGGAAGTGTTGGTCACTCCATTCGAACTATGTTGTGCCAATTCAATGGCTCTCGCAGTTGATCTCGCATGACCATTGACCCTGTCACCTTTCACCTTCCATTTCCTCTTATCCTGTCCTCTGTGGCCAGCCATTTGGAGGTTCAATGGATTTGGGGTACAATTGGCTAGGCTGAGCTGCTTCCATGGCGGTGTTGAGGCCGACATTGTTACTCTGTATTCATTGGCACTGATCTTGCTGCCAATTGTTGTCTACCGTTGCTCCAAATGATTCCTTCATTTACACTCTTCATTTCACTGGCCCCCCAAATCACTGGAGATTGCGCATTCCCACGTTACCAACCTACTGACATAGTAAAATTTCATAGCGCCGAAAATAATGACACCCCTGCCGATGAAGATGGGGAGGAGTAAGGAGGAAGTGTCCGGAGTCTTTTGTGGTGGTTTTTTTTTTTTTTTTTTTCTTCTTTTTCTTTTTTCGGAGTTCAAAATTCGCTCCACGGGAGCTTGATATCCTAGCACAATATCTTAAATTCAACATTCATTATTCACCCTCTTGACATAGTTACTCGTCATGCATTTTCTTGTTATTCCCCCTCCCCTCTTTCTTGAGGAAAGATAATGTAAGATAGGACCGCGTGATACATTCTCAGTCATTCTAGTCATTCTAGCGAGAAAATAACTGGCACGAGTAATGAGATTGATTCTCTACTAGTCTCTGTATCGTATTAAGTGTCTTGGCCATCAGCAGCCTAGGTTGGGGTTCTCAACAGAGATTGAGAAATGCATATCGTGCTGCTTCACCCAAGAGGAGCCGCCTTTTTGCAGTTGGCACCCTTTGCAAGCAGATAAGTCGAAATAGAAAATGGAGAGGAATAAAGTCCCATAAAAGAAGGCAGAAAGACAGAAAGATACCAAAAAATATGTTGAACAGCCATATCGTATGGGGCGGACATCTAGTTCAAGTGATTGAGGAGAATATCGGAGGACGGTAAGTGTCCCTCTTTTGACTCGGGTTTTACCTCTTCAGAGGCTCACTCTTCAAGGATAATTTGGGACTCGAAGTCCGCAATCCTACGCGTCAAAATGCCCACCGAAGGCCACGACCTTGCGCAAACTTGGATCCAACATTCCGTTTTCCTCACATGGATGACCAAAACCAACTCAATTTCTCCAGACGAGGCTTCACTTCTCCAAACCCAGATCGGAACAACATTAGGACTTCCAACTTAGTCAGGCCGCAAGGTATTGGAGTTAGAGAGAATACCGAGGGAAGATTTTCGAAAGGTCTGCAAGATTCATGTTAAAGGACCCATAGGGAGTGGAAAGTTAATCACTTGATAGGTGTTATTATCGCTGTCCTCCTGCGTAGGCGGCTTCGGGGTCGGGGTTGGCGTCCGTTCCAACCTGATCTCCAAGCACGACTAGGCTAGCCCAGAAAAGGGAACGCTCGGCCTTCATCTTCTCGTCGGCTTTGGGAGCGATTTTGAAACCGTGTTGTGCAGCGGCTTTGAGGCCGACAAAGGCGTAGTAGCGCTTCCAGACCGGGGCGGTAGTGGTCGTCCAGTCGGGGCGCGGGATCCTGGGGAACGCAGTTTGCGCGGACGTGCCCGTTGCCATCCCAGACGCCCTTGAATCGCGCACGTTGGCTCATCGTCGTCTCTTTCATGGCGGCGTACACCAGCTCGTCGCTGAGCATGGCGTTCGCGTCGGCTGGGAGCAGGAGGGTACCGTCGTCGAGACGGTCGAACTTGACGTAGAGGGGGAAGGTGTCAAGCTCGCGCTGCGTTGGGTGCTTCCCTGTACAAATAGTCATTGTATAAATTACTTGTTACCATTCCTTAAATCCCTCAATGTAGATTCCAGAACATCGTGTAGAGAAATGAAGGCTTAAGTACTTACACACCGTTATCTTTGATTGACTGCTGCCTTGGTGTCCTGGTTAGACCTAATATATAAGACAATTATATCCACTGGTGTACATCATGAAAAATTAAGGCCAAGGAAAGCTAAACAAGAATAAGAAAGCGGGCGCGCAGTACAGAGGGGATTGACTAATCCTCAGGGGGGATAGAAAATCAGCGTCATTCCATTATACCCCCAGAAGGGGTAGAAAGGCCCTTTTATATAAGTAAAATACTAGGCCAAAAAAGGGTTTTAATTAACCTCGTTGAAATCTGCTAAGACTAATAATTGACAAGACGTGTTAAAGAAGGTGTCGAGAGAAGGTGTCGAGAGAGGTGTCGAAGGAGATAGACATTTCTCTATATCAAAAGGAAGATCCTTAGTAACAGTGATTCACCCTCGATATGGATATTTAGGGGAAGAATGTCTATAAGGCGAACGAAAAGATATAAAAACAGTATAAGATGGATGGTCAGTTCATTAATTTCTACCCCCTCTGTACTGTAACTCGTAAGAAAGCATCAAGCATTCCATTCAGAAACTACATTCATTCATCTATGTGTGATGCGCAGATCTTATAAAATGCTTCAAAATTCAAATAAACCCTTGACATTGTTTGGCGTCATCCATGGAAAACACACCTTGGTGTCGCTTACAGCTCTGATGTCCAAATATATACATTGATCATCGTTCTATATAGTGATCATCATACACACACAACTAACTACGTGTAAGATTCTGCTACTTTCTTTTGCTAATGTCTATCCTTTCCCTACCTATTACCCCTAAGATTGCTTTTCGAATACTGCTCTACGTTTTGAGAAGTCCCTCAGTGCTACTAACCCGTTAGTTTGCCCGGTTTGGCTTGGTATCATTCCTCCACAACGTCGAATTAGATTTGATAATCAGTGGATATTGTAGGTTCTAGTATTAAATAAGGCTTTAGACTTCTAAGTACGGTATTAAAATCCATGTTTAGTCATGGGCTAAAGTCTGGAATCATAATAGGCTCGGGGAGGAGACGGAATGCGCTCTAGTGCTGAACAACCACGGAAGCTTTTCGACCCACACTTAGCCATTTTCTTATGCAAAGCTATGCTAAAAGAGCCGTAATTAGACTATTCTAAAGTCTCTACTAATATATGGTCACTCAAATCAAGATTAGCCATGTTAGGCATAGATCCATCCAATATAAAGTGTATCATTTTTGGTTTACACCATTAATCTTTATTTTTTTGGACTATTCAACGAAGCACCGGTAGCTCAGGGGTTAGAGTATGGGATTGCAGATCCTAGGGTCGGGCGTTCAAATCGCCCTCGGTGCTCATTACTTTTTGAACATTTTGCGGATTTTTCTTATATTTTTGTGGATTTTGTCTTATTTCCGCAGAATAGGGCTTTGAATATGAAACTAGCAACTATTACGCCCCTATTATATTAGAAACTATCTTAATTTAAAGGCATATCATACTACTAGGTCTAATAAAAGCGGTTGTCGCTGGGCAGAGTTTCATGTTGCGACCAGGTACATCTTTCGGGTAGGGTTTAGCCCCTATTTTGACTCTACCGTATTACATAACACTCTAACCACACGTGACCTCATGTACATGCCCCGTATGTCATCTATTCCTCAAAGAAATGGCATCATCAGGGACAGAAACGTCAAGTCAGTTCCTCGAATCGGGCCTGGTCCTAATAGGAATTTCTGCACAATTATTGTACGTAGAAATTTTAGATTTCATGACAATGATAACCTCTATCACGTATTCAAGAAATTAGTTCACTCATGAAGTTAAATAAATCACCTGGTTCTAATAATAAGCACTTGATATCGGATAGCTCCCAACAGCATTTTTGAAGCAAAGCCTGCCCATTTCCCACCCCAGTAATATCGTTACATGATTATGAGCTATGCCATGTTTGCTAAGAAAAGCTTGGAAACCCGAGCCGTAGATTGCAAGTCCTTCAATCGGTTGCTCAAAGTGGTTGTTCAAATTCTTTTTGACCCTAAGTTTTTCATTTTCGGATTCAAGGCACTGCAGTGAGTTTGTTGCTTCCATGGACCATGATAATTGAATTCATTCTTCAATGGTACATTTCTCTCTGATGAACCTACAGGCCGGCTTTTTCATAGTAATCGACCTTCAATTGATTTGTTAGATTATATGATAATCCACTAACCATTCCATGATCAATATATAATGCAACCATACATACAATCAAGTAAGATGGTTTTACCAAGTAAATACCTCCTCAGTGAGACCAGTCTCATCGCCTTCCCTGTTGTAGCGTACTTTGATCCGCTTTTGCTCATCAAACTGAGGCGACAAAGATCGGACCCGAGAAGACAATAGGATATCAGAAGGATGATACTCCGTGCCAGGTGAAATATTTGCCGCAGTTTCTTCAATCCTCACAATGCGATTAGCGATGCGCCCTGCCAGATCGGAGTCCCAAAGTCCCTCCCGCCTCTGGCAGTAAGAAAGCAGAAATAGGGCCTGGTGGCGTGTGGAAGACTCGCGACAGCGAGTGGCACATATATACAGTGGTGTGACGATACCGAGCGATAGGGAAAATGTTGAAGATACCGACTTGGCAGGTTTGGGGCGAAGAGGAGGAAGAGAGGTTGGCTTGCTGGTTGGCAAAGGCGGAGGCTCATCTGGCGATGGTGTTCCTGGCGAAGAAGAGCGCATGAAAAGAGTAGTCGCCGAAATTCCAAACATTTCTGCGATAAGAGACGTAATGGAGGCGAAGTCGACAGTAAACCTGTCCCAGCTGAGCTCCGAAGGTGGCCATTCTAGACGAATAAGGATGCCGATAGTTGCTCTCCAGACTTTGAGTATTGATACCAAGAAGCTGTTATCATCCTTGTGCAATTTGGGCCGATTCACCCAATCGTCAAAAATGGCGACCCAGGTTTTCAAATCCGATAGGATTTGGAAGAATTCAGTTTGGATGTATTGAACCTGGGCAACAAATTCAAATGCTTGGTCCCTCGTAGAGTCTTCAAGCATCTCACAAACAGCTTCAAAGCGAGTGAACCGATTATAGAGAACTTGAAATGACGCGAGAAATTCTTGAACGTTTGAAGGTGGTCGCGAGGAGTCAATAGCATAATGTTGAAATGAGGATAGAATGGCTGGACGCAGTTCACTCTCAAGTATTTCGTCACCATGTATTTCCAGTATCTGATTCTCTAGGATACCAAAGAGCAGAGTAATGGTTTCTGGTGGCATGTATCTGGATAAAGTAGATCCATCTGACAATAGCTGCTGCTGCTTGATAATCTTGAGACCAGAAATTGCATGTCGAAATGCCGACTTGTAGTTACTTTGAAGACATTCAAAGCAGAAGAAAAGTATGCAAGCAATGAGGAAGGTATCGTTTGTTTGAGAAGAAGTTTGGGGGTTAACAGCAACGAGCTGGCGGATTGCTTTATTGTAATTGAGCAGGGTAAATTGAGTTGCCTCGCGAGACGCTGTCAACCCCTGTTGATCAAATACAAAAGTACGATGGAGGGAGCCGATGGCGATGGCAACAGTCCGAATGATTGGCTCGTTGTATGTTGCTTGGAGCAAGAAGGTGCCGATTTGAGAGCCAAAACAGTTCTTGGTATGAAGCTGGAAGAACTCCAATGCACGGTATTCAGCCTCGTGAACCAATTCAGGGGATTGTGGAACCTGCCACATCCGAGTCGGCTGTAAAATTCCGGGGACGTGTTGAATAATTCGAAGGGCATCCCCAGGGGTCGGGCTCCCGGGCCTTGAGGGGCCCTGAGGGTCTGGATAGCCGCCACAAGCTCGACCAGTCGAGACGCACTTGAGGCAAGCAGGTTTTTTTTCATCACATTTGACACGACGGATTCTGTGGCGGTCATTAATACCTTAGCTAGTGTAGATTCACACGCCGTGCTTGCATCGTATCATTTTAACGACGAGGCCTAGGACCGACCCATGGTGACTTTGAAGACATACTTGCAGGTGACGCACCCAGTGCGGGATCTACCCTTTGAAACTCTGCGACTGGATCCGGTCATGCTGGAAAGTGGGATTTGGAGACAGCCCTACGGCTCGCTTCTAGCGAAAGAAGCCAGCAGAACTCAACCCCAATTCCTTTTGTCGGTGACATTTGGCCCCCAGACGATGAGACACAGCCCCGATGATGACTGGATGCCAGCTGGTCAAGCTATTCCTATTCTGTCTAGCGCAACCGAGAGCACTTCACTGAATGGTGAGCATATCATAGGCTGACGTTGGTAGTGAAGAAGCATAAATGAGGCTAACGCACTGCCCTCCACCCTCATCCTAGCAGCCCTATAATTAAAGGTTCCACCGACCTAGATTGATCCATATTCATCTCCTCTCGGATGGTGTAGACGAGATATCCAGTAGTTGGGGATTTACCGGTGATAGTTAGTGCTGAGAGGCTGACATTGTGGGGGCCGAAAGAAAAGGGGGATTCCATTTTGACAATGGGATGTATAGGATGAGGCTGAGAGTACGGAGCACGCTTCTAAACAAATGCTGGAAATATGGGTATAAAACAAATGAAATTCTTCGTGCTCAAGTCAAGTTTCTGTTCCACATTCATTTTTTTTCTGTTTCGAACAACCTCATCTCCAGTATTCGATGTTGTCAAAATCTATCCTTCTCGGAGCCTTCGGGCTAATCCCGATGTCTTTGGCGGTGCCTCACTCTGTGCCTGCCCGAATTGATCTGAATCATCGGGTAGCTCCCAATATGAAGCCCAGGCATGTCGTGGAGACACTTTCGGAGGCTAACGTAAGTTGGCATCAGTATCGCTTATTTAGAAATCTCGAGGACTAACGAACCTATAGCGATTCTGGTTCGGAAGTTTCGATGTTGGGAATTCCAAGAACTTGACTCTTCTCATTGACACCGGCTCATCTGACATAATCGTCAACCCCGGACTTTACAAGAGAGGACCTCAGTCTGTCGATATTCACTCGAACTTTACGAATACTTATGGCACCACAGAGGACGATGGCTCCGGAACTGGAACCGTACGCATGCATATAACCCATCGAATACTCTGGAGATAGGCTGACCACACGGACTATAACAGGTTACAGGTACATTATACAACGATACCGTCAAGTTTGGTGCTGTTAGTGCGCATCAGACCATTGGATCCGCACAAGCTGGGGCCAATGGCGAGGCTTTGATACCTGCCGACGGTATCGTAGGCTTCGCAGGCCTAGAGGTATCTGCATTCAACGGTGCATCCCCTTTCTTTCATAGCCTGTGCGAGCAAGGGGAGGTGTCTCCGTGCCGATTTGGTATCACTCTAGGAAATGGGAAGGGTACTCAGGTGCTAGGTGCCCTGGACGAGACACTGTTCAAAGGGGAGTTGAGTACAACTTCCATCATTCAAGAGTGGGCGCTTTATGCCGATATCGCTCTTGATGGCAAGATCATCAAGAGGGATGCATTGGTAGAGTTGGACACGGGAACTGCAACAGTGATTGGGTAGGTATTGATTGCCCACGAGGACATGAAAGTTGCTAATACTCCCTTAGTCCAATAGATGATGTGATCGCAATCTTCAAAGCTGCATCCATTCAATACGTGGTTCAAACTTCCCAGGATGCTGGTACTTCCGTCACTGGGTACTTCCCCTGTGACCGACCACCCACCTTGGGTTTATCAATCCCTTCCCAGAGCAACGCGACCACTGCTACAAGACAAAAGTCAAAGCTTGTCAGCCATCGGAGCTCGATTTTCAATATTGCACCAGACCAGTGGATTGCTGCGGACAATGGAAGCAACAACTGTACAGCCATTCTCTCTGGGACAGACGCCTTCCCTCTTCCCGATTTATGGGTAGTCGGCCAACGTGAGTTTTCCTCAGCCAGCATCTGGAATGGGATTGATAAACTAACACCTTTACTCAGCGTTTTTCCACGGCACTTACGTCGACCACAATCTTGAGGACCGCACCCTGGGCTTTGCCGCCGCAAGATGTGCAAACTGAATTTCATTCGTGCTAGTGGTTGTGAGGAGAGGAAAGTAGGGGGATCTTTAACACCCATGTAATATTAGTATGTTCTGTGAATATAGAGATGCGAATTTATATCAGACATTTTCTAGTGCGGACAACTTTAATTCAATGCTCAAGGAACCTCCTAAACCGGATGACTTCTATTTGAATACCCGGCACTGCTTTTCAAATAGAATACCTGAAAGCCTTGTCCTGCTTATCTGTCAAGTCAGTCTTGGGCAAACCGTTTTCATCCAAATCAAAATCTTCCATCACATCGAGGGTGCCAGCAGAAGCATGTGCATCACGCTTCTTGTTATCTGCCACACAAAAGAGACGGTAGATAATGACAGCCACAAATAGTAGACACCACGTCACGATTGACGTAATAACACCTTCAGTATAGCGTGGTTTGTGGGTCCATAGCTGAGGGGCGCCAATGCAACCAGCACAGTATCCGATGAAAAACATGGTGTTGACAACGGCTCTTTTAGTGTTGCCTTTGACATTTGAAGCGGAAAGGGAGAGGAGAATTGACATGGTTGCTGTGACACAGGAAGCCTTGAGTAAACCGAGTCAGCCCAAAGGTTCATGCGATTTTGTTGGATTGAACTTACCAGCCAGGAAGCCACAATCAGGCCCCATCCTGCGCTCGTATCAAGTTTATAAAGAAACAACGTTCCAATAAATGGCGGGATGATAAGAATCAAGATGACAATAGTGCGCTGACGCGGGAGGAAGAAGACAAGTGCGGTCCCAATCCACAATAAGGTAACTTGAACCGCCCCAGAAGGCGCAGTATATAGCATAGTGTCCAGTTTGCTATAGCCGATGGACTGAATCATGAGCGATGCAAAGGTCAACACTGGAGATTGCATAGTCACAAGTACGCCAAACCAGAAAACCATCCACGCTTTGGGGTCCATGAGTGTTTCTTTCAGTTGCGATATGGAAAACGATGTTTTGTCGCCACCATCGCGATCCTCGGCCATGCGAAGGGATAAAATCTCCTTTTCACGCGCATTGAGAAACCATGCATCTTTTGGTCCGTTGGGCATCAGTAAAAAGAAGCCGATGCCAGCCACAATGGTCAAAGCACCGCAGATGAGAAATAGGACGCGCCAGGGGGCGATTGAGAGGGACGTATTTTTGCCAATGCCGTACATTAGCAAGCACCCAATGACTTGAGCTATTCCGTTCATTGTGATCCATATAGCTGTTCGGAGAGTATGTTCCTTCTTGCGGTACCAGATACTGGTGATGGTGACGAAAGAAGGAGATACGGCTCCCTCGCTGAAGCCTAAAAGAAAGCGAACGGTAGCAAAGCCAGCGAAGTTCTGAGGAGCCGCTAGGCACATGCAAACTATTCCCCAGATAATGCTATGCTTGCCTGATCAGTAAACTGTCCAAGGGAATGCAGATGAAACAAGGACATAATTTCAACTCACACTGTCGCGCCGACAAACTTGGTGAGTGGCAGCCGACTCATCAAGTAAATGAAGGGATATTCCGAGACAAGCTGACCAACGTAGAAGATGGAGCTGGACCAAGAATATTGCGAGTTGGTCATGTTAAGGTCCTGGGTGAGACCGAATACAGCAGCATAGCTCAAGCTTTGTTTGTCAAGATACTGCAGAAAGAAGACAAAACACATCTACATCGCGGTCGCATTAGGTTCACAAACTGTGGATATTAGGGAGGACTTTGCTCTCACAAATGGTAAAATGACCCTGTCGATTTTGCGAAGAACTGCCTTCTCTTCCTCTAGGGTATATTGGTCGCATATTCCAATGATCTCTCCATCTTTTTGAGGGTCTTCTTTCTTCGTCGAGTCGGAATTCTTGGAGCCAGCCATGGCTAAAAAATTCACCGGGCTTCGCCTATAACTTCAAAACAACGTGTTGAGAGGGCCTATCGACACGCAGGTTCCAGCCGACAAAACTGCCCAGAATTGAACAATCAAGACCTATTGACGAGTGCTTATGCTCCTGAGAGAGGGAGGAAAGAGAGGAGAAGGGAAGTTTATATGCCGGCATAACACCGAGTCACCCCAGATTTCTCCCCAGATATCAGTGGATCACTCTCCTATCTCCAGCGAATGTGGAAGGGATCAACCAGCCGAGTCCACAGATACAAGTGGTGGTGCATCGGCCCGGTGACAATAATGCGTCGGGAATGTGGCCTTCGACGTCCAACTTGCCGATGCTTACTCCACTCTCTGTGCGACCGTATCTCAACAGTTATCAATCACCTTGAGCAACTCAGTATTTAGAGCGAGAAATCCTAATTGTCTGGAACGTCTATCTTTTTCTCTCATACCTTATCATTCGCTCTTTGTTATCATGTCCGACCGTGACCAAGTGCCAGGCTCCGACATCAAGCCTTGGGCCCGCCCAGAAGCCCAAGGCTATTGTTTCACAAATGCCAATGTTGTCGACGTGCAAGCGGGGAAGCTCTTGGAAGGCGCCACTGTCATCACCCGCCAGGGCAAGATTGAATCAGTAGCACTTTCTTCTCCCGACCCTCTGCCGACCGATGTCACAATAATCGATTGTGAGGGGCGCTATCTTTGTCCAGGTCTCTTCGATGCCCATGTGCACCTCTGTGCTGTTCCAGGATTCAAAGATCTATCAAAGGCATTTGGAAACCCAAACGATGTTCACTTGCTTCGACAACCATATACAGCGGCTCAAATGCTGCATCGAGGATTCACCAGTATTCGCGACTGCGGTGGTGCCCAGCTCGCGATTAAAGAAGCCATCGAAGATGGCGTCTTCCCTGGGCCTCGGATCTTCATCTCTGGTCACGCATTGTCTCAATTTGGAGGACATGGTGATCTTCGTGGATCGCATGAGCCCACCGAATGCTGTGGTGGTACCCATAGCAACAACCATCTAGGCCGACTTTGCAACGGCATACCGGAATGTATGGCTGCCGTGCGCGAGGAAATCCGCTGCGGCGCTGACTTTATCAAAATCATGGGTTCGGGAGGCGTGGCATCTCCTACCGATAAGCTAGAGCACCTCCAATTCACTTCTGCCGAGATTCAGGCGATGGTGGAATGTGCTGATAACGCTGGGACTTTCGTCACAGCCCACGCCTATACAGTCAAAGCCATTAGGCACTGTATCGAGAACGGTGTGAGGGGAATTGAACATGGAAATTTTGTTGACCCTCCCACTGCCAAGATGATGGTGGAGAAGGGTGTCTATCTCACGCCCACCCTCATCGCCTATGCCCAAATGGCATCGGAACGCTGGAAGGGATACTTGCCCCCAGAGTCCCAGGCTAAGAATTCTCAAGTCTTGAAATCTGGTCTCGAAGCCCTCAAGATTGCTTCTGATGCAGGTGTCAAAATGTGTTATGGCTCTGACTTGCTCGGTCCATTGGGTTCTGCTCAAACACAGGAGTTTTCGCTTCGATCGCAAGTCTTGACTCCGCTTGAGGTTTTACAAAGTGCAACAATCAACCCGGCAAAGATGATGAGCTGTGAGGATTCGATCGGGCAGATCAAGGAAGGGTTCCAGGCGGATGTCGTTGTCTTGAGTCAGAACCCTTTTGAGGATGTGACTATCTTTGATAATCCTGATAAGTATGTGCTTGGTGTGATGAAAGATGGTCGGGTCTATAAGAGTCGCTGGAGTACCCTGCCTGAGGACTGGGAAATCCCAGTGAGAGTAAAGTATAACTAAGCATCATTATGGACCGACCATCACGGGCACGCTTTTCTCAGAGTAATGGGGTGGGTTCATATTGTGGGATTGCAACGTTCCCTTTAGCTTAACATAAAAATGACGTACAAGTGTTGATCTAACGCGAATAAACTACGAAGCCCGTGTTGACCGTGACGCCAGGGAAAGCCCTCTTAAGGTTTCGATAGGCGACGTCAAGTAATGGCAGCAAAGTTGTTGCGGTATTTGAGCAGAAGGGGAAAGGGAGGGAGAGAGGGAGATATAGAGATGCATTATACTTGAGTACAGCTCCCAACAGGACTCAAGTCGTTGACGGCCAACAGGCCGTCCGGTGCCATATCAAATATACATTGTCTTGTTTCATATTTACCCATCCTTCTGACTTTGTCAAGTCTTAGTCTCACAGTGCTTCAGGTTCCCGTCTCATCGGCCCGTTCCTCATTACCCGTTATACGACTTCATAGATCTCGTAGGCGGCCATAGAAGGTGTATTTTAAAGTGCTTTCTGCTTTCTCAGAGAGGGGACGATTACTCTTGCTCAATCTCCAACTTCCACCGACCTATTAGTTCGCATCGGTATCATGTAGTGAATATCTAGTGAAACCGGCGGCTTCTTCCTATGGGGGAGGAGGATTAAGAGTATAGTAGATTAGGATAGGTTATGGGTTACTATTATAAGTATATCGACATGGTTTGGTCTGATACCGTCTGTGGACATGAGGCGGATGCGGCTGGAATGTGCGTATTTCTGATCCTGGATGATGATAGCCTTGATCTCGGCCGCGATAGATACGTCTAGGATACTTTTAGCTAGAGTACCTGAGCTGCCAGAGTATGCGATTGCTAAGTATACGCTGAGGTCGGATAGGTCTAACCTTAGACCGGCAGGTAGCCTCCATTATTTCACCACCGTCTAATACTTAAAGTGGTAATGTTAGACAGACCCAGTAAAACCGTTGCAATTACAGAGTGCCATTGTTGAGAAACAAGTTGTACATCTTCATTTATTGTGTCTGTGTTCTCGACTACCGTAGGGATGTTAGTTAATGAACTTCGTATAACTAGTCGGCGTTCAAAAGTATTTGGAACATGCTCACTTATTATTCTGCCAATTAAATTGCCTAGTTCATTTAATATATTAATGACTAGTATGTCAACTTCTGTATTTAACAACCTCCTCTACACGACGAGGTATTGCCTTAGCTAGATTGATATAACTGCCAGGACTTTAAGAGAATCTACTGCATTCGATCGCTTACATAAGGACACATGTGACTACTATTAGGAGGCGGTGTACAAAAGCGGTAGAGGCGGGAAGTACTCCATGCTATGTTCTAAACATGTACTTTTGAACGGCCACTGTAGGTTTCTTCTAGAACTGGTTATATTTTTCAAAAATCAAGTTATTCTAAAAATAGCACCGGTAGCTCAGGGGTAGAGTATGGGATTGCAGATCCTAGGGTCAGGCGTTCAAATCGCCTTCGGTGCTCATAACTTTTTGCAGATTTTTGATGATTGAATCTTGGGGGATTTTCTTACATTACATTCTTATGGATTTTTGTCCTATTTTCGTAGAATAGACCTCTGCATAGCAAACTAGCAATCATTCTCCTCCTCTAATATTAGAAATTATCTTAATATAAAGGCATATCATACTACTAGGTCTAATAATAGAAGCGATTATGACTAGGCACATGGTTATCGCTGGATACGAAAATCCAGGACCTACATATCAGATACTCTGCAAATAGTATTAAAATTCATAATGATTGATGTTTACGTCTCAAAATAAGGGGTTTACATACACTCTAATCACACCTCAAACACCGTCCCGAGTCCTTCGCCGACGACTTCTTCAAGTGGATCGGCCCAATCCCGACCCACACCCCAAGGCCGAAAGTCTCTTCTAACGGGCCGGAAGAAATTTTAGCACAAGGAGGCGATGCCTATCTAAGGACATTGTTCCTATCGGAGCCACTTTTTTGTCTTGTACTCGGCATCTGATTCTGATGACGTGCCGGTTTGTCAGACAGTAGCCTCCACGATGTCGAGTTTTAGTTTTCGCAGTAGAATTCTATCAAGCTCTGCCGCAGAGCGTTGTCTTCATAATCTAAACTCTTTTTTTACGTTAGAGGTGACGAGGTCTGTACAGGGCTATGGAGGAGGACAAATCAACCCTCAAGCGGGCATCATCGGCGCCCTCCATCGCGCAGACTTTCTCACCATGCCGTGAAGCCCTCTTCATCACGGTAGTCTGCATGGCACAATTCATGACACAAACAAACGTTGGTGTCTGTCTATCAAATCTCGACATCCTCGGCGATAGTTTTGGAGTTGCCGACTCCGGCATCTTGAGCTGGTTCCTGGCCGGGTACTCGCTGACCGTCGGCACATTCATCTTGATATTCGGGCGATGCGGCGATCTCTTCGGCTATCGACGTATATTCCTATCGGGCTTTATTTGGATTGCGGTCTGGTCCTTAGTCGCCGGATTGAGCGTATACTCGAATCATATCTTGTTTATTCTCGCGCGGGTCCTGCAGGGTATCGGGGCTGCGATGGTGTTGCCTAACGGCCTGGCCATTTTGGGTGCAACTTACCCACCGGGTAAAAAGAAGGCGATGATTTTTGCGCTGTTTGGTGCCGTGGCGCCGAATAGCGCGGTATTGGGCGCAGTTTTTAGTGCGATCTTCTCGCAGTTAGCGTGGTGGCCGTGGACGTTTTGGATGCAGTCTATAGTCGCGGTCGCATGTGCTGGGCTGGGTCTGTTGGTGGTTCCTTCTATTCACCATGATACCTCTCCCGATACGAGCACTTGGGTCAACCTATTCAAAGCGCTCGATGCCCTTGGCGCGCTCTGCGGTATCGGTGGACTGGTGCTTGTCAATATCGCGTGGAACCAGGCCCCCGTCGCAGGCTGGAGTACTCCATACGTCTATGTGTTGCTGATCATCGGGTTACTGCTGATCGCGGGATTTTTCGTGGTGGAGTTTCGATTCGCAGAACACCCTTTGATTCCATTCCACGCTTTCAGTCGGGACGTCTCATTCGTGTTGGGCTGTATAGCGTGTGGATGGGGCGCGTTCGGAACGTGGATCTGGTATTTCTGGCGCTTCCAAATGGAGTATCGACACACGAGCCCTTTGCTAGCATCAGCGGAGTTCGTGCCCGCAGCGCCAATAGGTATCATTGCCTGCTTTGTTACTGGCTTGCTGATTGCACGAGTCCGGCCCGGGTGGATCATGGTGATGTCTATGACGGCTTTTACGCTTGGGAATATCTTCACGGCAATCGCGCCTGTGCACCAGACGTATTGGGCTTTGACCTTTGTGTGCCTGCTGGTAATTCCCTGGGGGATGGACATGTCGTTTCCGGCGGCGACGCTGATGTTGTCGAACTCCGTGGAGCGGAAACATCAGGGTATTGCAGCATCGCTGGTGACTACTGTTGTCAATTATAGTATCTCGTTGAGCTTGGGCTTTGCGGGGACGGTGGAGGTTCATGTCAACAGTGGTGGGAAAACGCCCGAGGACGTGCTGAAAGGGTATCGGGGAGCATTATACTTTGCTACGGGACTTGGTGGGTTGGGCATCCTTCTCAGTGTGGTGTTTACGCTGAAATGCTATTGGGAAGAGCATCGGTCACGGGCCGTTAATGATACAGCAACTGAAGAGGGATCTATCAGCACGTTAGCCGAAGATTAATGGCCGTGTTCCGCTGCAAGATATTAGACTCGTTAGACATAATCAATATAGAGAGCTAGGCTTTTACATTTGCCTGCCCATTGCCATCAATATCAGACATAAGAATAAGGTAGTTGTTATGTAGTACCCATTTCACCCCGAGCGTAGTTCAGGTTTAGATCGAGAGTCGTTTGGGTTGACGTTTTATGTTATTCACTATGTCACGGAAGGCATCCTCGCACGTTCCTCGCCAGAGCTTGCCCAAAAGTATCCGAAATTCCCGCAAATGGTAAAATAGAGTTTACTAGCGAGACGTGGACCGTAACCTTCGAACAAACCTCGGACCAGCGCAATTTTATCGATCATATCCATCATATCAATCAGATAATCTCGTCTATCTCACCGAGAGAACCAGTTAATGATCCCGTGGTGGGACGAGAGAAGGTAATAGAAAAGTCCATGAATCAGGCTAATTAAGAAGATAAGTAGGCAGCAATAATAAATTTCCCACCACGTGCGAACTGCAGGAGAGTGATTGGTGTGGTTCCACTACGGAAGACGACCCTCCATATAGAAGGTGAAGGGTGAAGGGTGGCACCATATGGAGTACGGAGTATGTACTCCGTATACTTCGTACGATGAAGGGGTCCATCGACTGCCTAAAGTCCTCCGTAATCGTATGGGTGTCCAAATGCACAGACTCGGACTGTCAAAAGTCTTGGATTTATTCTATCCTGCGGGTCTTGCGGGGGCTGTGATTAATGGATTTTCTCCGTATTATTTGACTTTCCGCCTGTCTATGGTTCACATGCCGTTATCTTCCGTCGTTCTCTGTAACTCGGAGAAGTAGTCACGATGTTGCTGCAGCGCAATGGCCGCTGTTGATGATCTTGATCGTTCATGGGCCATCGCTCGTAACATTTTGCTTTTCCTGTGCCTCCTCCCTCCACTTTACAGCCCACATAAAACGGACCCAGCCTCGCAGACACGAGCATGTGTGCACTGGGCCGCACTGGTGGACGATTGAGTTTATTGGAGTGGAGTTGCTGCCCACGAGACCGAGTAATGCAACGCAGGGATCCTCGGACTTTGATCAGATACCGGACGGGGTGGGGCCTGGTCCTGAGCATATCGCGCTAGTAATTTTCACTTTGGCCGGGTTGGACGGGGACTAACAAACTCACACGGGCCCTTATCAATCAGTTTGCGCCCCCCTTGAGTTGATCTTCTTTTTTCATTTCGTGGTCTCGGACTGGATATTATCTCCCGCGTGCACATTGAACTGACCAACCCAACCCGACATTGTCAGTTTCAAGATGGGCAATAATCCAGTCTTTGCCGTCACGGGTATGAGATCCTTAAAGTGGTGAAATACAAGGAGGGCAAGTTTGGCTAACTCCAATTGCGACCGTGCAGTCTTCTTCATTCTTTTCCGAGAATGTCTCGAGACAACAGTGGTTGTCTCGGTCTTGTTGGCCTTCTTGAAGCAAACGCTGGGAGGCGAACAGGACAAGAAGACGTATAAAAAGCTAGTGAAACAGGCAAGTCTTTTCTGCTATGATACTACACAGAACACCCGAAGAATGTACTTACTAACCCCGCACTAGGTCTGGCTTGGATGTGGATTAGGTGTGGCAATTTGTCTGGCTGTTGGTGCTGGTATGATCGGTGCCTTCTACGGCCTGGGAACAGATACTTTCTCCGCCACGGAGGATATCTGGGAAGGTGTGCTGGGAATTCTTGCCTCGCTCATTATCACTATCATGGGTGCTGCCCTGCTCCGTGTATCGAAGCTGCAGGATAAGTGGCGAATCAAGCTTGCAAAGGCACTGGAGCACGAGCACAGCCCAAATGAGACGCGCAAGGGCCGGTTCAAGCGCTGGACGGAGAAGTATGTGATGTTCATGCTCCCCTTCATCACCGTGCTCCGTGAGGGTCTCGAGGCCGTCATCTACGTCGGTGGTGTGGGCCTCGGATTGCCAGCTTCGTCCTTCCCTCTCGCCGTCTTCTGCGGTCTGCTCGCTGGATTTGTTGTTGGCTATATCATCTACCGGTATGGTTTACTACCCCAAGTATCATTGGCACGCAGACACTAACATGACTCCTTTAATCCAGCGGTGGACGTGAGACGTCTATGCAAATCTTCCTCATCATCTCAACCTGCTTCCTCTATCTAGTCGCCGGCGGTCTCTTCTCGCGCGGTGTCTGGTACTTTGAGAACAACACCTGGAACCACGAGGTCGGCAGTGACACTGCCGAGGTAGGCTCGGGCCCAGGATCGTACGACATCAGCCAGAGCGTATGGCATGTCAACTGCTGCAACCCTCTCATCGGCGGTGGTGGTGGCTGGGGTATCTTCAACGCTCTTTTCGGGTGGACTAACTCGGCCACTGTGGGTTCGGTCCTTGCATACAACTTCTACTGGATCTGTGTGATGGTTGGTTATGGATTGATGATGTGGCGGGAGCGTAATGGACCCTTGCCTTACCTAGACCCGGCCGCGAAGAAGTTTGCTAAGGCTAAGGGTCGGGCAAAGGCATTTGTGTTCCGCACTACATGGGATGAGCCTTACTCGGATGAGCCCACGACTGCTGGCCCTGTCCATGCGAGCGGTGCGAACCTGGAAGCAGGTGTGCTACAGACTGAGAAGGGTGCCGAGTCTGGGGTGTCTACAGTTGCGCGACACCCTTCGGCTTAGCCTGTGGTTGACGGTAGCAAAAGTTTCCTTGTTTACATCATGTACATGCATATTGTGATATAGATTTAGCGGTGAATATTCTCGATACCCAGGAAGTATAGAAAGCACATGAACTAGTGTAGGGCAGACAGAGACAGAGATTGCCTAATTTCAATTTCCCACAAACAATCTTCCATTGTTGAGTTTTTTTTTTTTTTCTTTCTTTCTTTCTCTCTCCCCTTGGTTGTATTTTGCAAAATAGTAAATTTCCACGAAACGCCAAGGTGGTATAAGCTAAATCGTTTAATTTGCCCAAATCCAACGCATGATTCGCGCGCTAGTAGCGCCAGGCTTAGCAAAGCTTAGCGGCGAGGTCACTCCAGCCGTCTGATTGGTAGACCCACTGCTTTCGTCCCAAGGTTGTTTTTCATTTCTCTCAATTTACACATCCCGCGCCCTCCAATCGACTTCCTAACGGGCATCAGATTATCGTCTGGAATGCAAGCCACCGTATTTTGTGTCTCGGCCGTCTCGGCTAATCAATCAAATCAATCAGATACGCACGCACACACACGAACCTGATCATGATGTGCATTCTTGCTTAAAAGATGAACAAATGAGCACACCCATATGCAGTTCCAACGCTAAGCTCCTCGCCAAGGTCTCAGGGTCTTCTGGGCATGCCCCCCGCAGTCCACAGTGCTCAGCTGAATCCTGACACGATGATGGGGCACGTGGGTGCATACGAGACCAAACAGCAAAAAAAGAAGCAAAAAAAGAGACTGGTACAATGGGCCCACCTCCTCAATTCTCCTTGGCTCACCCTCTCAAGCCATCCAAGGGGCCCGAGCGAACCCATCGACTTGTTGTGGAATTTGCAGTTCTTGGGCACTGTTTTTTGTAAAAAAAAAAACAGATGTTTTGCTTTTACGCCCCACGCCCAAACTCTGCGCATGCCACGGCAAGATCGATAATCTTATCATGGCCAGTTTTGTCCGGTTGTGCGAAAACCTAACGGGGTTGGCGTTAGTCACGGACCGGCGTGGGAAATGTGGTTCGAGCTCCAGCTTCATGGTGCGCTTCTGGTCTCTCTTCTCTTCTTCCTCGTCCCCCCCTTCGTCTTCATTACTTCTCCCCCGGTGCCGCAGACACGGGCTCTGAATTCTCCATCGCCATGGTGACTTCAGTAGGTAGCCTGTTGGTGCGCCTCGTGGCGGCACTGTGTCTTTTCCAGTACGTCCAGGCAAAGACCGTCACATATGATTTCAATGTCACTTGGGTTACTGCCAACCCGGATGGCCTATACGATCGAAAGGTCGTCGGTATCAACAACCAGTGGCCTTTGCCAGTGATTGAAGTGGACAAGGGCGACCAGCTCGTTGTGAACATGTACAATGGCCTCGGCACGCACAGCACGTCAATTCATTTCCATGGCATGTTCCAAAACGGCACCAGCGATATGGACGGCCCGTCCATGGTGACCCAATGCCCTGTCGTTCCGGGTGCTTCAATCACCTATAACTTCACGGTCAATCAGAACGGAACCTACTGGTACCACTGTCATACCGATTACTGCTACCCGGATGGCTATCGCCAGGCATTGATTGTGCACGACAATAGCTCTTACTTCAATGAGATGTATGACGAGGAGTATACTATCACGATGAGTGACTGGTACCACGAAATGGTGGAGGACATTAAATTTATCGACAAGACCAACCCAACCGGCGCTGAGCCCGTTCCTAATGCCTTCCTGTTCAACGACACTATGAACACCAGCCTCTCGGTAGAGCCAGGCAAGACATATTTGCTACGACTCGCCAATGTGGGTGCATTTGTTGCGCAGTATTTCTATATCGAAGATCACACGTTCAAAATCGTTGAAATTGACGGTGTGTATACGGATCCCACCGAAGCGGAGATTCTCTATATCGCTGTTGCACAGCGATATGCCGTTCTTGTAACGGCCAAGAACTCGACAGAAAAGAATTACCCTATTGTGACCGTTGCAGACTCTGAGCTGCTAGACACCATCCCCTCGAATCTACAGCTCAACCACACCAACTGGCTCGAATATAACAAAGATGCCGATCACCCACAAGCCACTATCACGGTAGAGACTGCATCTGATCTCGACCCATTCGATGATATGAGTCTTGTGCCCTATGATCACATGGAAATTCTTCCCGACGCTGATCTAGTCCTCAATCTGACCGTCTCTATGATGAACCTGGACGATGGCGCCGGCTACGCTTTCCTGAACGACATCTCATACACCAAACCGAAGGTTCCCACCCTATATACAGTTCTGTCCGCCGGCAATCTGGCCACCGACGCCGAAGTCTATGGAGACTTTACCCACTCCGTGGTCCTAGACCGCAACCAAGTCGTGGAGATCATCCTCAACAACGGCGATGGAGGCTCGCATCCCTTCCACTTCCACGGGCACAACTTCCAGATGCTCGATCGCGCCCCTTCATACGGTAGACACTTCTACGACTACGCTGATGGAGACCCGCTTACTTACGACCCGAACAATCACACCGCATTCCCTAAGTACCCAGCTCGCCGTGACACACTCGTGCTCCCGCCGCAGGGTTACTTCGTGGTGCGCTTCGTCGCCGATAACCCTGGTGTCTGGTTGTTCCACTGCCACATTGACTGGCATCTGCAGCAAGGACTGGCCATGACTTTCGTCGAGGCACCCCTCCAACTGCAGGAGCAATTGACTGTCCCGCAGAATCACTACGATGTCTGTGACGCGGCAGGCGTCCAGTACAAGGGTAACGCCGCAGGTAATACGGAAGACTATCTTGATTTGTCAGGTCAGAATAAGCAGCTTGGCTGGCTCCCTGCTGGATTCACGGCCAAGGGAATTGTCGCGATGGTGTTTTCGTGCGTATCCGCGTTCCTCGGTATGGCGTTTATCTCGGTCTATGGTGCGTCGGGTATCAAGACCGCGAATAATAAGAAGCCGGAGACGGAGCAGACTGAAGGGGACGGCACTGCGTCGAGCGATAGTTGATTTGAAGATATTCTGAGTAGATGTTTTTTTTTTCATGTGCATATGCGTTGGCAATGTTAAAATTCCTTTTTTGTTCACCATGTTGGATTTGTGTATCATTTGTAGCGTGGTGTCCATTGACTCCATTGTTCGATACCGCTCATTAGGTACTCCAGGCCTTTGATGTACTTGGCCATATCGGGTCTCAGCGTGTCGCCATTCTGTCGTTTAATCTCCTCGCCAGACTGCTTGAGAAGAAGCTCTAGCTCTCGGCAATAAGAGTAGAGCAATCTCTTACAAGCCTCGAATGACAACCCCGTCTCTTGGGCTAAAATGTAAACAGCCGAGAAAGGCCGAGTGCCGTCCGTGGGATCCTCTTGGTAGACTTTCCATTCGCGGTCCCAGCTGTAAATATCATTCAGCACACCCATGAATCGGAATGCGTAACTTTCCAGCGCAGTCGTCTGTGCCAGTTCGGCCGAACTGAGATGAAGCTTTGCACCGTATCGGATGAGCGCGGCGTAGAATCTGATATCTATATTTAGCCTTATGATATAATTTAGTGGATTTGGAATGGTAGACTCACGTTCTGCCCACGTCTACCTCACGAGCTGTGAGGTAGGGCCCCAAATGTGCTACAGTCAAACGTTCCTCGGCTGTCTGTGCCCGCAGTAACGTGCAGAACCCCTTGATGAAATCATTCGCGAGAATCTCGTCGGTATTTCGGATGAATTGGAGCGTATCTGACAGCATCCACTCGATACAAATGTCCCGATCTGGTGATTCTTCACCATGCGCAATGCGGATGACTCGCTCGCGGTAAGACAACATATCCGATAGACTCATCTTCTCCAGTTGATCTTTACCCAGTCAGTATGGAAATAAAAAAAAGATTCTCACTCTTCGCTAACTCACCATCAATCAGCAATGCCAGATAATGCATCTTACAAGTTCCCTCCACCCGTTCATTCAGCGTAAGTGGGAAAAACTGACTAAACGCTTGTGAAAATCCAACCGCGAGGAACCCTTGCTTTGCCTTTTCGCTGGAGAATTTCCAATTTTTTGCAAAGTAGGGCTCGACTTGCGCTTGGATAGTTTGCCATCCTAGTGGATGCGATTTGGAGTCCAAGCGGGTTTGGGGGATTCCATGGGGTTGGGAAGGGCGGTCGGATGATGTAGAGATTAGGCGAGGTTTGGTCAATTGCGAACAATATTGCACCGGCTGATAGTTTTTATCAAGTCTTTGTATGAACCGTCTTGCGCTTGGAGCTATTCGCCTGGCAAGGCTGTGGAAGGGCCGCATTGTCAAAAGCAAGTGAGCATGGAAAGGGGTAGGTCAGTTGTCTTCTGTGCTCTCGCCCTCACACTGATTTTGAGCACGTCTACCAATGATGACTCTCTCGAAGATAAAAAGCTCCACCATATGCCAATATGCAACGATTTCCTTGTCCAATTGACCGATTGCGCTGATTTCAAAAGTTTGTTGACAATCGCCATCCATCGACGAGATAAAGTAGATAAGATCAATGCACGGACCACCTCGACGGCTGATGTCACCGATAGTCACAAAGGAAGGAGCCCGCTTAACTTGACGACAACCAACAGCTCGTTCTTGGTGAGTGACACAATTCAAGCCGTACACTGCCGCTGACTGACTTCTCACGCTCTTTCAGGGCTGCAAGCTACCTCCATCGCAGCCATTCAAATTGACCAGCGCACCGGAGACCCTTACAACCCCGCCGAGCTCGATTGTAACGTTCCGTCCACAGCTCAAACCTGGAAGCTATGCCCTCGTCATAGCTTACCTATGCCATCATCAGTTCTCTAAAAAGGCTTAAATACCCAATTGATTCAGTCCCATCTTCTCCGCATATCCAAGACCTACTGCCAGCATCGATTCCGGACCACAAATACTCAAACCGTCAACGCCCCGCCAACACACCCCACAATGTCCCTTTCCATAAGCAAGGACCGCGCCCCCTGGCGCAACCTTCTCGACTCGCATCTCAAACAAACCAATGGCTACGAGTTCACTATCGCAACCGTTGGCTATGATTCTCAAGAGCGTCTGGTCCCTCGCGTCCGGACCTGCGGTTTCCGCGGCTTCTTCCCGGAGTTAGAGCTTCATCCGAGTGGGCAGAAGGATATGGATCAGCAAGTAGAGGATGGTGGAAATCCGTATCTCTTCGAAAGTGACCTGTTGACATTCACCACGGATGTGCGGATGGAAAAGCTGGAGCAGTTGGAATCGACGGGCAACCATATCGAGGCCATGTTCTGGTTGAAGGAGGTGATGGTGCAGTGGAGGATCAAGGGCAAAGCCTATTCCATTGGTAGCCCTAATCCGGAGTCAGAAAGCGAGTGTGGTCTTCGACCAGAATTGTTCGAGGCTCTCCGGGTCAAAGAAGACTATCGTGGTGATCTTAGTGGTGATGCCGATAAGTGGACGTGGGAGAAGGCTGTAACCAAGTATTTTGCGAATCACTCGCCTGTCATGCGTGGTAAGTTGTGTTTGCCTCCTAGGCTGGTTACTGGCTCTTTCCAGGGCTCGCACGCTAAGGTGTTTGCTGTCTTTGTTTATGGTGGCGGATGGTGGAGGTTGCAATTGCCTTGGCCCTCAGTTTCCCTTGTTGCCGCTGCCTGTGCACTTGTTATCAGGCCCACTTCAGCCTGCCTTTTCTCTTCCCCGAGCTGAGCTAACCAATTGACCAGGCTCCTTCAGAAACCCACCTCCAGGTCAGCCTAGGTCTCAACTGCCTAGCAATCCAGACTTGAGGCTGGGTCAGAAGGTCACCAACCTTCATGATCCCGTTGCTCGCAAGAACTTTAGAGTTGTGCTTATTCTTCCTGAGGAAGTCGAGTCACTAGATCTTTCAGACTTGGATGATGTTCGTAGGCGGAAGTGGACGCTAGTTATGGACGAAGATGATGAGGATGGGCCTCATGGAAAATGGGAAGAAACCGAGATTTGGCCGTGATTGCCATATTCCACCTGCTGCCATGTGAAACAATGTGATTGTCCTCCATTCTCAGTACACTTCCCTGCCTACCTTCAGTGTTTGTTGTTCATGTCGCTGCCTCAAGATCTTGGAACCTGGATATGATTGTTCACCTTCGTTTTGGGAAATCAGGCACTGCCTGTCCCAATTTTTTCACCCAGTCCACCACCGCAGCCTTGAAGCTATACACATCCAGGCACCAGGCACCGAATCACCCTGCCGTGTACTCGTCTGCCTGGCTTGGGAAACATTTAAATATCTCCTCACCAACGTCGATTTGCAACCTTTTCCTCCTCGCGCTCTCCTCCCTCCACAAACGAGATCCCCAATTCTCGTTTGCTCAGAATGGCCCCCAAGAAGGGTGTTTCCAGTAAGTACCCACCTCAAGCATCTCCTCTAACTCTCCTACTTCAATCAGATACTGACATCAAGCTTCTTCAAAGCCTCGCTGGCCGAGGTGAAGAAAAGAAAGTCGGCGTGCGCGGAGTGCCGGAGAAGGAAGAAGCGATGCGGGCACCGCGTCGACCTTCCTTCGGTCTCCGAGGCCGTTGTTCCCCCCGCCGTCGCCGCCGACGCTGCCAATGCCGCCAACGTCCCCGACGTCCCGGCGGCCGCCGCCCAAGTCGATGCACCGATCGACGACATCACCGCGGCAAGAATCCTCATTTCCATGAGGAATAGCTCCTCCGCACAGGAGCCGGCCCTGGAGCGTGACCAGGTTAGTATCATACTCGACCCTTCTTCCACTCCCCCTTCAAATCAAATCAATACTAACCTCCATACCAAGGGCCGTATAAATATACCTTCGGCCTCCGGCGCCGAATCCTCTGCTGCCGCCCCCGGAACCCTGCTGACATCCCCAGCAGGCGTTCCCAGACGCGGTTCAGGATTTGTGCGCCGCGCCGGAGCCCCCGTCCACGGGCCGTGGACAACGCCACCATGATGGCGTTAAACACCAGCTTCTCCCGGCAAATGGCCAAGAAGCTGGAGGACTTTGAGGCCAAGTACCAGGCCTCCATGGCTGCGCACCAGGCGGTCATGGAGGCTGGGAAGGCCGTTAAGGACCTGTCGGACTGGTGGCTGGACACCTGGCGTGCCCAACAAGATTAGTCGGCGGGAGGAAGTTGGGCGGGGAGGAGAGGGGGAAGGGAGGAAGGGGGAAGGAAGTGCTGAGCTGGTCTCGTATTTCCTGTCCCTGTAGATAGTTAATGGCACTTCGTTGTGTGGCCGAACATCAAGATTCACAGTAGATTGTGCTTGTGTAGTGTCTAGCTCAGTTGTGTATAGCTATAGGTCGTGAGACTTGTTGGGGAGTAAGTCGGTTTCATCTTCAATTTCTGTCAGTGGTCATCAATATTCACTTGGGGGTTTGTTCAAATAATGATTAGTTTCACATGAGTTTAGTCTCTATTCTAGCCCTTCCGAGTCCCATAATTGCCTTTTTCAAGTTGAAGTAGTATTCGTAGACTCTGGGCGGTAAGTAGCATAAGTAGCAATGTAAACAGTTCATCTTGGGGCTGCCGCTATTACATCGGCATGCACGGTTGATTTGATACTGGCCAAAAATAGTGCGAATATCAAGGAGATAGATTACCAGTTTGTAGCTGTATCTACTGCCGCTGTTAGGTCATACTTAAAAAGAGCGAGTCGCTCATATCATCCATAGTGCGGCAGCCTATACTTGCTTATATCAAACCCGACAATTGAACCATAGAATGACCTAGGGCTGTATATCTAGGGGTTCCTTTCAATGCCGAACTACCTTCTGCCACTATCGTAGCCCAGAATTATAGCTCATGGCTCCGCTGAAATAGCACTACAAGGAGGAACTCATAACATCAAGTCCATTTATTTGTAGATGAAAATTCGGGCCATTCAATTCCCCCCGCAGAGTCTAATTGTTGACACCAATAACGATGGCAAGTATGTCAACTTCCAATCCTCTCTGGAGACAAAGTTAACACCGCTATATCATCGGGTAGTACTGTTGGGGTGTAAAATAGGGTTTCAAAATTATGTTGTCGCAGAGTGTTTTAGTATGCGTTACGAAGTGCAAAGCGAGGGCGTCATTTATCGCAAGCTTTGACAAGAGCATAATAGTCATGTGGCTACGATCCGGAATCCATTCTCAGGGAGATGTCTGAATCCCAAAATCCAAATGCGTGGAAATGTTCAACTCTGGTGAAGAACATCTTGTTAAGCACCCGGAAACCCCTGAACAGTACAATTGCGTCTTGGATATAGCCCATTTGGGCATTCCACCGGACTTGAGGAACTTATCTCGAATTCAAACCTGTCACAAGTCAGGGAAAATGGTAGTCCTAATCAGGATATACCATTGACAACATTCGGTCATGACATAAACCACCGAATTCCATCTAGACTGGCACCATCACAAGGCTTGGATGATGCTTGTTGATGATCACTTGCAATTGCAATGTTGGATCAAGACTGTCGACAGGAAAGCAGTTCCTATACCTCGTCTTGCGTCTTGTATCCGTTTTCCGGATAACCGCTGGCACTGCCGTCTGTGCGGCACGATTTCGGTTTGTCGCAATCTCGCAATTCGATATTCCGTTCGAACCTGCACCGTTTCGAGGGGGTGTACTTGAATTGCTGAGTAGGGATATGAGCCTTCCAAACCGGAACATCATTTAATCCTGTGTTTTATCCTGGATCATATCGTTAATCTGGCCATCACGTGAAGATGATGCACGTGCGAGTTATTCTCGACTGCATTGCAGCTTCTTCGACAGTTCTTCTCTGGCTTCAAGTCTTCCAATCTGAAGAAGATCCTTCGTTCTCCCATTAGATCAAGTCCGTCGGGATCCAGTCTGAATCAAAACCGCCCTGCACGGGCGCGTTCATCGTTCTGCAACGATATCCCAACACTTTGAAGGAAAGTGGCATGACAAGAATATTTCATGGACGGACTGATCATCTAGTCTGCGATTATACGAGGATGACAACACATTATTTCATCTCTTTCGACGTCTTGGCCTGGATCCAACGGACAAGGAATGTGATAGCACCACAAAGGATGACCCCGCTCTAGCGCGGTTACGATACCAAACCAGCCGCCCACGCTTTTTAGAGGAACCTTCGATCCATTGTGATCCGCGAATCAGAAGTTTCGATCGATGCGACGGGGCCACCCGTCGTCCAACCCACGGCCTCTCCCCGTCTTCCGCGTCGAGGGATCGTCCGGCACCTGGGGGATCCATACAAAACAAGCAAAGCTCTTTGTTGCACACGTCTGGACAGATTATTATTATTACCATAACCAGCGAAACAAGGAGTTTCCAAAGTGGACCAGGAGGGCCGATCGAGCTCCCCTCCCATGATCTCCGAATCCCCGATGGCAGTTAGAGTACGTTATTTATTGACAACTTGACAGGCAAGCGACCGTTACGTGTCATGTCCACCTTGGGAAAGGTACCCGCTCTCCGTGGAGTGATTTCTGCTCCATTCCAAGCCCCATTCTGGGATTATCCCAAGTCTCGTTGGCCAAAGAGTGACTGCACGACAGCCGCGCTACTGCTGGGCATCCGAATCATCTTCTTGGTGCCGCAGCGATCTGCCCACCATCCCTCAAGTTGATGAGCGGGTACCCGGCTTAGCGAGGGCGAGGAATGAACGGGAAAAGAGTCACAAACACGACAATACGGGTTGGTCTATCTCCGGATGAGGGTCTTCGAACGTTGTTTCCTTTCTTTTTTTTGGGTCCCCAGGGCGAACGGGCCATGGCACTATGTAATTTCCATGACTCGGCCGGGGTCAGGAGATGTCCTCATCACAAACAAGGAGTGTTTACCTCTTTCCCGCTATTGACAACGTTACTTTTTATCATCGTCGGGCCGGGTCAAACACGAGCTGCATGGACTGTCTTCTCACCGCTCCTTGCGGAGGTTTGTATAGCACGATCATCACGAGCCATAGAGATGGGAACCCTGTTCACTACAAGGCCAATCATTCTTGCTACAGTCGTACAAACCGTAGGGCCACACAGCAGTGCAGTTGGCCTTGATATCCTTGTCTGGGCAACTGGCGTACATTCTAGCGGATCAACCGACAGTAGCATCGACAGTAGCACATCCACCAACAGGGTGGTGATTACTCCGTACCTATTATATGCTATGATTATTACTCCGTTGAAACTAGCCTTGCGGTAGGGATCCTCTGCGTCACGCTAGTCGTAGTTAACGACAGGGAAATCGACGGTGCATCATGTTTTGGTCGAATCTCGGCCGTGTTTCCATACCGAAACCGCCCGATTCCCATACAAATCCGTGACAAAAGTACTTACCATACCGTGACGATACGCCCACTCCTTTCCCCCTCTGCGCTCTTTTCTCGATCCTTCTTTCCCCATCTTTTGGGCCTTTTTCTTTCCTCAACCCCTCCCCAGACTGCCATCTCGACCTTCGCCGTCTCTTGATTCGACTCCATTTTCATCGCACGCCTTCCGAAATTATTGGACGCATAATTACTAAAGTCTGCGCCCATCCTGAACCACGACCAAACCCGCCCTTCTTACTGCAAACACCCCCCCAACATTCGACTAGCGGGTCCAGACTCACGACGAAACGACGGAACGAAACAGCCCTTTCGACACTCACACTCCCCGCGTTATATCTACTACTTTGCCCGACTCTATACTCGACCTCCTTCTCTCGGTCGCGCCGAGTTTTACTCGTTAAATCCCCGGAATCTATTGGACTAAAAACGCGATAGTAACTGGGCATGGCTTTGGCATCCATGGATGCTCTGGGAGCCTTCTCCCACCTTCAAAACAACCTGCCCTCTTGGATCACTCGCGTCTCGGAACTGGCTGCACACACCTCTGCCAAACACGCCGAATATACCGCAGCATACCGGCGACATACCACATACAAACCCCGGCGCCGAAGAAACAGCTCCGTATGCTCCATCCGCACCGATGATCTCGTCCCGATCGCACAACAGCAGGGCCCGACCTCGGAAGCCATCGAAGCAGCTACTACCACAACATCCGAAAACGATGCGCCAGTGCCAGTGCAAGTCGCTGGGCGTAAGCGCGGCACGGATGAAGCCCCATCGATCGACTCAAGTGAACGATACGCCTTCGTCAGCATTCGACATAATGTTATTATCGAGTATGATGGCCACACGCAAAAGGCCCTGGAGGAGATTGTTCGAGACATTGGAATTGCCAGGAACAATATCCGACGGGGAAAGATGGGTATGATGCCTCGTGGAAGTCTTCGATCAGCTCTACTCCACAAGACTTCTGTGGGTGGTGGCCAGCCAGGTGAAAATGGGTCGCCATTATCCGCACTGTCTTATGTTCGCAGCACGAGGACCGGCGGCGGTGTCGTCGGTGTGACTGGTTCTTCGGGACTTCGTAAGGAATCTCCCTTTGACTTTGCCGACAAGCAGCTAGAGCTAGCCCACGGACTCTGCGAGACCGCCGCGTCCCAGGCCCTCCGATCGGGTGACTGCGGTACCGAACTTGACGGTGTAGAGGAGAAGTTCAAAATGCTACTGGAAATGGCCAACAACGAAGTAAAGCGCCTCGAGGACGAAAAGAAACAACAGGAGGAAGAAGCCAAAGCACAGGCGGAATCGCAATCAGAATCGGTCGAAGAGGACGCGCCCGCGAAACCACCCATGACCCCGACCGCGGCACGACTCGCTCGATTAGCCGCCCTCGCAGCGAGCAAGCCGACGACGACTGCGGTCGGCACCATCGAAGTCGACGACGCCTCCTCGATATCGGCCGAATCCATCGACCTGTCTGCATTCCGGTCCTCCCGGATCCGAGTGTAGAGTGATCACGAAACCCCATTTTGAACTTCCTCTCGGCCGTCTATTAGCGATTTAGCGTGTGTGTTGAAGCCATTTCCGACCAAAAGGACAAAAAGCATTGCCCATCGGTTGACAACATCGATATCCAATTTCTTTGAGATACCATTTCCTTCATTTTGGATCTTTTGCACATTCATCGTGCCATTCTTACCCTACGGTTCGCGCGTATCGCGCCTTGATCAACACCGATTTATCTCTCTTTGACTACCACCATTTCTTATTTTTTTTCCTTGCCGGGCTTTGTTCTGGGAAGCCCTATCGCTGGTCTTTCTATTTCCTATCTTTTATCTGCATCGGTTCATGCCCGGAGAGCATGGAGTTGGCGTTCTTTTGGGTTTGTTTTGTTTTATCGGTTTACGGCCTGGCCTGGCCTGGTATCAGGCTCTTAGGAAGTTGGTTCGTTCTTTGACCAGACTGTCCAGTATTTATCTTTTTTACTATCTCGTCTAGAGATTGAGTTTATTTCATTGAGGATGTCTCCCAACTTGTCTATTTGCTGAGTAGTCTCATCTCACCGTAGAGAGACTCATGATGCAACCTCGGACAGTTCCAAACGACTAGCAACGGTTGTGTTGCGCGGGCGTCCATCCTTACAGGGAAATCAAAGCGAAAACTCACCGATAATTATGTACAATATATTCAATTCAATCCTTTCTATTCATCATCATTGGTGTTTGACCCCGTTGTAACCGACACTCGGTATTGAAACCACCAACACGAAAGCCTACGCAGTCTTACCCTCCCATGCATAGCTGTTGTCACCGTCTTTCTGTCAGATCTCCTCAGAAACAGTAAAAAGCAGCACAGATAACAATTCGCCCCCGCGCCCGAAGGATTCAACGAACGTGCAGATGGTATCACGCTTGGGCCAATTGTTGGCACGCCCGCTGGGGGCGTCCAAGACGAAAAGTTTCTCTCTTGGTACAATAATATAAACGGTTGGTACCCAACATCCCCCCTCTTGTATGGACAAGAGGGATAATCAAGTTGAGATATGCACAAGGTGCAGGGAAAGCAACCAGGGTGGTTTCTCATGCATTGAGAGTGTATTTTTGCAGGGGTATTGTAGATTGTTAATGGCATTGTTCTCGGATGCGTCTGCGTCTCGTTTGAGAGATTGATGGGGTGCCGGGGCGTTGCGTTGCCTCGTTACACTTTGGTACTTTATTTTCCTCCGCTATCGAGGCAACATTGTGGCTTCTATTACAGATGTGAAACTGGTGAAGCCAGAGAGTCGGGTCCAAAGTATATTAGAGATGGGGGTAGGTCTGTAGTTCTGGTCATAATTGTTGGGATTGTTACGAACTACCTGTTAGTGGGTGAAAAACTACAGAGTACATCAAGACGGTGGACGCATCCTCGTATAATGTGTTTCTTACTGCATATTCGAAGAGATAACAGGGATCTACCCATTAACGCAACCATCGCAGGTCGCAGGCCGGTCGACATACCTAGTGTAGTCTTCATGGGAAGCATGTCACTAAGAGGCAAATCTGGTTTCTAGGCACGCCGCCATGCCATACCATAGACCCTGTCTGGACCCAAGATGTGGTACTTTAGAGGTATTCATGGTGGAGATGGCAAAAGCACGGAGGCAGCTGAACTCATTTCCTATCCACCTGTTAGGGCGAAGGAACAGGGAACTGGCGACTATGAAGATTACCTGTGCGGGTGGCGCACTAGCTATTGTAAGGCGAGCTCGAGGACAGCGGCGAAGCTTGTGGAGAAACTATCCTGTAAAGCTTTAACTATGGACTATCAATTATAGCTATCTATAGGTTTACGAATACGTTGATTTGACGATCCCCATATCTTGATGTGCCGGGTATAAACTCTCATTCTTCTGCCTTTATCCCAAAATTACAAGGTATTAGCCCTCGTCCATACCTCGATACATACCAAGTGAGTAATGTACAGCGTATGTAATTCCAAACAAGTACTTTCTGAACAACTCAACCTGGTCCCAGCCCCACTGATCCGCCCTCCCGGGACCCGCTCGTACCGCTGAATGGCCAGGGGCAGCGGAGTCGCAATCAATTGCCCTTTTGAGAAATCCGGGAAGATGCTTCCAAACGCGTTTTACGGAGGACAGAAGTACGATGCAGCTGCGAAGGAGGGAGGGGGTGAAAAGAGGATGGGGGGGGGGAAGGATTTTTTGGGCTGGGAGGAAGAATTGAAGGGCAATCTGTTGTGTGATGTGAGTCGTGACGGGGTGGTTGGATATTGGCTCAAGGTTTTTCTTTAGCTTTTGGAATCGATGTGGAGAGGGATAGGGTTGGAGGGATAAGCTATTGGGGAAGAAAGGCTCGATGGAAGTAAGCGTCATACTTTTCGATCGATTAGCTGTCGAGAAGACAAGGTTATGTGGAGTGCGGAGTACGGAGTTCCCGATGAAGTAGATGTATGTTGCTCACGTATGTTGGGAACAATAGCCAGGATTCCTTCCTGCATGTCGCTTTGTTTTTTACGATGAAGGGTGTCACCCACCTGGGCTCCCCTTTCTGAGCTCACTGTAGTCAGAGGACTTTACAGCATAACAATCCCTTGTTGAAAAATCGTGTGGAGCGTTCTACGTCTAATCTTCTCCTTCCTCGGTTAAAGGTTAATGCAGGCGAACTGCGAGTTTATACTAGGCAGCCCTGAACCAACGTTTATCCTTTGATTACCCTCGCTAGCTAATATCGAAAGCGACGGCTGTACCCCGTAACGCCGAATTTGAATTGCTGGCGCCGAAATATAATTGTTTCGATTTCCTTTTAGTTGAAACAATAATCAGATAGCTTATCTAGACATTGAGGCTAAGGTTACAGCGCACATCGAATCGGTGCTCTTGTTTAAACAATGTCTTTTTTAACTAATCGGGCGGTATTGTTAGGAACATGCACGAGTACCTTTATCCATAACAACAGAGCCAGCGGGGATATAATTAACCCTATGGATGTGGTATTATCTTCAGTAGCAAACGGCGAGATTTGGGTGCAATGTTAAACCGGTCCTCCATATCCATGTCATCACTCTTCATCTCTTTGCTTACCACGAGGGTAAACCCTCCTCGCATCACTGCATCAACGGCAAGATACAGCTCTTCCCACGCAAGATTCTGCCCAATGCAGTTACGTCTTCCCACACTGAAGGGCGTCAGGGAAAGGTCCATCGCCTTCGTGCTATTTAGCCACCGCTCCGGCCTAAACAAGTCGGGATGCGGGAAAACGCTAGGATCACGGTGATGGACGTAGTTTTGCATTCCAATCACCGTGCCCACAGGTAGAGTCATATGCTCAATGGGGAACTCCTCAGTGACGATCCGCGGTAGTGTAGAGATGATGGTAGGGTATAGGCGAAAGGTCTCCTTAATCACTGCGTTGATATAAAGGTTGTTCCGAAGCGCGAGTGTGTCACCCACCGGGAGACTCAGTACCTCGTCTCGAAGCCTGGTCTGAATTGCCGCATTCTCTGGCCGCGATATGGCATACAAGAGGTAGGTCAATGTGGTAGATGTTGTTCCGCTACCAGCAAACATGATTCCCATTGCCTCCTCAACGAGCTCGTCTTTCGTTAAACCGCGGCCCAGGAATGAATCAACCCCGTCCAATAAAGGTGCTAGTAAATTCTTTTCGGTGGATTCTCCTCCCCCCGCTATCACTCTTATAAGATGATCAACCATCTTGCGGGACTGTGCTTCCCAGAACACCAGCTGCCGAAAAGGATGCCCCAGAGGACCCGGAAGCATGAGTGCGAGCTTGGTAGAGCGCAGCCACGGCATTATAGATGTAAGCGGGAGTGCTTTTGCACTATCATCCATCGCCTTCATCAGAAGGCTGGTTGTATCCTCTGTAGCTTCGGTGGACAGATCCATGGCAAAAGCAGCCTGACATATAACCTCAAGGCTATAGCGGCTACAGAGTTCAAAAACATCGACCGTTTTAGCAGGTGAGTGGTTCGCACCAAGTATAATTTTAGCAGCCAAATCCTCGGCCTTTTTGCGTACTAGTGGATTAAGGACTGTGACTGATTGCAAAGAATATGGTACAGCGCTGAGTCGCCTTCTCGCAGAATGCTGACGAGGATTCCTGTCCAGAAATGAGGTTATCAGCAAAATAGGTAAGAAAATGTGGTAGAGGGATTGATTAGACCAACGTCATCTGAAAGATATTGTCCTTGCCCACAAAAGTAGCCGCAGCGTAGAAGTGATGGTCTTTCACAATTGACTTTGAATCACTATAGATGGACCGATAGTATCGATGATCTCCAATAGACACTTCGTTAGGCCCGATACGCACGACCGAGCCATACTGCTGGTGAAGGTTATGTATTTTCTGAGAAGAAACAATACCAGTAAGCTATGGGAATAGTAAGAAGAGCTGAGAGTGCTCACATGGGCACGCTGTCCTTTGATTGTTGCTGCAGAAATAGGAAGGGAGGTCATGCGAGCCCAAAATGGACCTGGTACAGAACGCAATGGACTTGCGAGAACGGCAAATAGTATCTATAACGCTGATTGTTAATTTTCTTGTTGCCTGCTCATTACTATAAGGAGCATTGAAAGTACCTTGTATGCGGTAAATACAATATAAAAGACGATGAAGTAGACCAGGACCTGTGGGGGACTCTGTAGCCCCAACTTTTCAATAGCAAAATCTCGTGCCATTTCGGAACTTCGACTAATTATTCAGAGAAAAATATGGCTAAGAGCTGTAGCACGGGATTATGTTCGATATTAAAGAAGCTCGCTGCTGCAGCCAAATATTCAATGTGGAGCCGGAAATGCCGGTTACCGAAGCGCCTGCTCTATGCCGCCTGCTCTATGCCACCTGCTCCAAACTCTAGCCCTGACCTCGAAGGTCGATGCGGGGAATTCGGAACCTGCGGGGTCAACTTGAGAAACCTGGTCAAGAACAGCTTTATACCTCCGCCTCGGTCACAAACCGGAGGAGGGCGACTCCACAGTTGGATTTGCAAAATACTCATCAATGACATCGAGAGAGCTGGCTTTCGAAGCCGATTCGATAACTGCAACGAGGCCGTGATAGACGGATAGATTTGGGAGGCTTGTAGACGGTGGAACAAACATGTCCGACATTATGAGTTAAACGATTCTAGAGGCCAAGATTGCAAAAACGCTCATAAGCCTGGATTTCGGGTTTAAGGGCCATAATGTTGTCAATAGTACGCTTTCAGTCCCGATAAAGAGGGAGCACACCATTTTTACATATGTTAGCTCTAGTAGGAGGTATTCCAGGCCATATCTGAATCGAAGTTGCAGCTCCTTTTTACTGATCAAGGAGTTAGCCAGTATCATTTGATGAATGGCGCTGTGTGGTTAGCTAATGTAATCAGGCCCAGCAATGGGCAATAACCACCGGGATACGACTACCGTTCCAGAACCAGAACTCGCTTGTCAGCTTTTGCAAGGTATGCAGCGTTAATGAGTCCATTGTGCCCTGAACCGATGACGAGTACGTCCCAAGTCAGGGTTCGAAGATGAATGGACACCAAGCTAAGAGTAATCACAAACCGTTTGTGGAGAATCGAGCGAGGTTTAACCGATTTGCAAATAGGTATCGATTTTCAAAGCATGTTAGGAACCTCCCCTCTCCCCTCTCCCCCAAATTTGAATACCGTATGCAGATGTGATACAGATCAAGCTCAAGCCAGAATTCCAACACTGGTCGGAACTGCGGTAACGTCCAAGCTGCCACCCCGCATCGGAATGTGTGGGGTAGCAGGGAAGCTTCTCGGAAGAGCGGAAAAGTTGCTTTGATCCAACTTTGCTCTGCAGAGTACCGAGTGGTAAAACTGGTATTTACCTTGGGTAGACAAGGAGGAATGATATCGGATACACAGCGACCACTTGAGCCGCACCATAAATCATGCGAGCGTTGTACGTATACCAGAAATCTTTTTAATCGTGGAATAATCTCACTAAACAGGACAGTGCTACGTAAATCGTCACCACAAGACACAAACGCACCCTTCGAAAATTTTGCCATCTAAATTTGTAATCGACTTTCAGCAAAACAACGATATTTTTTAAGAATGAGACTCGCCGAAAAGGAATCCTTTATTTTAGAACTCTAACGTTGCATGACAAAGGCTGAGTGTAACTGTCCCCAGATCGGCTTTAATGCGTTAGAGTAATCAGCTCTGCACCAAATATAACACAATTTATACCCAGTTGACTGGAGAGACACGGAGCTGCGTGGTTCGGCGCTCGGAAAGGGACAGTATTGTCCACCTCCCGAGCTCATATATTGCCACCTTCTCATTTACCAGGCGAAGACCATAAGTTTTGTTGAACCACCGCGGTTGCTTGGTGGGGACGGAAATGCGGGGTATAAAACCGCAGCTTTCTCGTGCCTGCATCATCCCTGTCACAAGCAATAAAATCAAGTCTCCGCCTCCTATTCCGAGCGCTTTCTTCTCTTCCTCCCTGAATGACCTTGAGATAACCCGTCTAGCTCTATGTGGAGCCGAACTACTCCGCATGCCAAACTCGTGTGTTGATTGCGGCGCTGCGTTTGCCAGAAGCGAGCACCTTCAGCGACATCGCCGAAGACATCTCGGCTTACGACCTTTCACGTGCGAAGAATGCGGATCCACCTTCTCTCGAAAGTGAGACGCGTGAGAAACTTGCATAATCAAGGATGTGAGCTAACACATAGCGATAGGGATACTCTCAGCCGACATATGCTAGCGCACGACCCTCTAGAGCATGCACGTAAACGTCGAAAACATCCCTATATCTCCAAGGCATGCATGTGCTGCGTGAAGTCCAAGCAGCGCTGTAACGGTGAGCTGCCATGTGCAAGATGCTTCTCGAAGCAATTGAGTTGCTCCTATACTGTGTCAAGAAATGAACCCAGGTCATTACCTAGCCCTGGCTCACCGCGAAGCACCCACGGCGGCAAGACTTCACATAATGGCTCTTCTGGTCAAGATACAATGTCTATTGCTGGCTCGTCATTATATGACAATGATCACAGCAGAGATCTTTCCTTATTGGAAATCACGACAGGGATGGGACTTGAGGCAGACACCAACTGTGTTTTTCCAGTTGTATCACAGTCTTCAGACAAGCAAAGTTCCGGTACAGAACCTCCGCGTCAGCCATCCATGGCATCCATGGCCACAGGGCATTATATCGACGACTTATCCGCAATGGCAGAGGATAATAACCTCGGAGATTGGGGCTGGGGTAGTGTTGGCATTCCATGGAGTCAAGATCGGGGTTTGCTGTTTGAGGATGGCTATTCGAGCTTCCCATCACCTGTAACAGCCTTTCTAGATGCTTCAGCTAAATCATCCAACCTATCAACTGTTTTTAATCTAACTTCGCCTGCATGGAGCGAACCAGCAGCCCAGGAATTCGAGTTTGAAGCTCCTGCCCCCAGCTTTACCCAGACAATAAAAACCAGCGGTCTCGACGTTTCGAAGGAAACCAACACGTCTTTGAGAAGCCAAAAGGTATCGACACCACCGATCAGCGGCCAAGACCTCGAGTTATGGATGGCAGAAGACTATGGCCATGTGCCTTGCCTGGCCCCCGATACCTACGCCATTATGACTTCCGCTTTCACTCGGCTCAACTGCGACAGCGAATGTTGCGTTCCTTTTACCAACAGAGACTTTCCCCTTCTAAAACATATGCAAATATACATACAAGTCTACTTCGAGGAGTTTCACCCCGTGTTCCCCTTGTTACATAAGGCAACTTTCTCTCCTAGCAACGACAAATGGGTGCTCAGCCTCGCAGTTGCTGCAGTTGGCTGTCTTTTCTCTCAGAATTTGCGATCAGTGGAGAACTTTTATATTCTGCATGAGTTCCTACGCCGTGCAATTCATATCCAGGTGATTATCTGTCTATAAACTTCAAGAATAGTATGCTCATGGTCAATCGAAACAGTTGGAGCGAACTCAGAGTTCTCCGCCCGACATTTGCATCGTGCAAGCTGCTGTCCTAAACCAGGTCGGAATGATGTTTTCTGGAGACATGAGATTCGCTGAAATCTCGCAGACTACAATGGCAATGGTTGCAACTATGTGCCGGAAGATGGCCTACTATCATGTTGGACCCGGTATGCCAGCAGAAAGCGATCCCTCTGTTTGTCAAACCTGGTCGGAATGGATTAAGAAGGAAAGTAGATTGCGGCTCTTCTACTGTTCTTGGGTAAGTCTCTCCAAAGCATAGCTCTATTGAGACGTCACGGGATCAGGTACTCATATCTTAACTTCGATTTAGCTGCTAGACTGCCAGCATAACTGGTTTTTCGCCCTCCCTATCACGCTTCCTATTGAGTTCCTTCAATTTCCGATGCCATCACATGAGTCTGCCTGGGATGCGTCTTCTTCAGATCAATGGCAACATAGTCTCAGAAATAGTATGGGCCAACATCTCGGAGCGAAAGCTATCGCTAATTGTATTCTCAGATCCAAATTCACACCCCTCTGCTCCTCTCCGCAAGAGGCTTTTGGATCTCTACCGCGTCCAAGCGCCATTACAGCTAGGGGCATTCAATACTCTTCTTCTGGTTATGGGTGTATACCGTGACGCTCCACGGCTACGTCGTACCACCTTATACATGAATATCCTCCAGCAATATGCTGAAACCTTACCGCCATCGAATCTTACGCATGCTGTTTTAGATCACATTCACCTGGCGTCAGTATTTCTTTACATACCATGCACAGAGCTTTTCGCTTTTTCGGGATGGCGTGTGACGGAGGCCCAGCAAGCTAGAACTGCCACGAAGCTCCAAAGATGGATGCAAAACCAGAGTGAGGCAAGGACTGTACTCATGCATGCGTGTCATGTATGGTCAGCGATCCGAATGCGGCGCGCCGCAGCACAGCATGAAAGCATGGGGTTCTTACTCGCTTCAATAACAATATGGGCCTTGATCGAGCTTCAGAACAAGCCTAGTTCTAATGAGATAGATGCTTTGCCAACGGTGCGATTAGACAGGAATAGCGATGATGTGATGAGATGGGCGGCAAGCACCGAGGCAAAACGCCTATACCTGGGGGGCGTAGGGTGCTTGTGGGGTGAGGCCGCTATTGCGAGGTTGGTAAGAGTGACTGTAGAGATACTCGATGGAGGCATAGCTTGGCCACGGGCCAAGGCCACGGCTCCAGTCCTGCGACAGCATTATCTTTCATGGCAACACATCCGTCGGAGAACAGCAATGCTAGGTCAATCATGAGATGACATTATAAAAAGACATTCACAAAGCGATAGGTCTGGGAAATAGAACACAACTGTCTGTTAATCCTACTAGGGAAGAGATCGACACGTACCTTGCGCAATATCGATCGGTCGATATTGGCTCTGCAGGTGTGAGGAGCCTCTTTCTTATTGGAAGATACCGACTCTCTCTATGGGCGGTGCTACTTATCACTGCAACACCGTTCCATCTCTTGTATTTACACCTTGGTCAATCTAATATGGTTTCACATGTACTGATATGAACAGATATAATTCTCTGATATTCCAATCCTTAGGCGTTAACGACTTTGGTATGTTCATCAGACCAAGAGATTTTAAATCTACGAAGATCTGGAGCCTCAATACCCGGTCTAGAGAAATGCTTTTGACTATCCTGTCATTGAAGCGTTAAGATACCTTTACAATAGCATGGTTTTGCTTCAGAGATTTCGCAAGCCAACTATGATATTCTCATTCGCCAGGAGTGCTTAAATTATAGGCACCAGGCTGCTGACAAGTAAGGCATTAGGTCGCTTGTCCTACTTGCGGATAATCTGACTATGCAGGATGGTGGCGACGCTACCATCTTACGAGTGACAAAAGAGTCCATGCATTCGGCTGGTGAATATCGCTTCCTCCCGGAGACAGGGATAGTTAAAAGGCATTCTATTCCTGAATGAAACGTCCGATTTCCAAGGACATTCACAGATACGCAATACAGATACAGGGGGCCAAGCACATAGTTAAAGGTGACAGCTACCTCAAGCTATGGGTTTCATTTTCCCTGTTTTCATATCTCTGATCATTATGAGTCTGTTGGTAGTCTCTGTGGTTGCAATGTCGTCCAGGAGGCTCAAGTCAGCAATGCCGTTGGCAGGAACTTGTAGCGCTGCTTGTCATCCGCCACAGAATGAAAACCTGGACACTATAGCTCTAGGACTGGTGAAATGGGGCGAGACACCTGAGCAGTCCACTTGGATGCGAAAGCTGAATCACATCTGTGGGGTTGATGAACGGAAGGGACAGAGCAGCTTCACTTCTTTTGAGGCGGTGGAACCTTCCTTGACTACGCTGTATTCTTAGAATAACCCAACGAGAGAGACGTGCATATAAGCTAAACATACCAAGTACAAGGAAAATCAAGTTTATGAGAAGAAAATTTATTATACATTTGCCATAGCATACTCGACATCATAACGTATCGTAATATCAAGGAGCTCAGATCTTTCATGGCAACGTTCTCAAACATTATAGGTGACATGACACGAACATCAGCCGCATATTACGAACAAAACGATCAAACGATAGGAAATGGGAAGACGAGTCCGCGGCACGGAGCCATCCCAGAGAGAGGAAGACACGTCTTCCCATGGAACGGGGAGGTATTTCCAAATATACCCCCTTTCCCAAAAAAGACCAAAAGAATCAAACAAAACAAGCCCAGATCAGGGTCGACCCACTTAAAAGTAAGCGGGACCGACTGGGTATCAAAAGACCTCGGGGAAGGTCGAGTCAGATCTGGACTCTATTACCGTAGTACATACGTTGGGTACATTTGCCAACAGGAGGGACGGGGGCAAGTAGTGCCCAAGACCAGCTTAGTAGGAGGGCTTCTCCTCGTAGATGGGCGGCTGGCCCTTGTCGACGTCCCAGGAGATCTTGCCCTTGGCGTCGAGCCAAGCGTCCTCGTCGGTGATGGGGATAACACGGGAAGTGTGGGCGACCTCCTGTCGGCTGACACCGGCGGGATCACGGGGAATCCAGAGAAGAGGGACCTGGGAGTTGACGGCCGGGTGGCAGTAGGCGTCACGCTCGACCTCGGGGTTATAAGTGGGGAGTTCCAGCGGGCTAGGGACGAGGCGACGGAGAGTCTCGTAGTTGTGATACTTGTCCGGGCGCAGCCACTTGACGACAGCGTTCGGCGGCTTCTCCTGTCCGGCGGGAAGAGGGCCGTCGGCGAGGCCCTTCTCGGCATCGGCAGAATCAACGGCACCGACACCAGAGTCCACATTGGACACGCCGTTGTTCTCGGCCTTGGCGGTGGAGGTGCCAGCCAGACCGTCCGAAGAACCATCGAGGTGCTTGCGCTCCTGGGCGAGGAGAGCTTCCTCCTCGTGCTCGAGGTTCTTAGGAAGGTAGTTAAGGAGCGGCTCCATGGCGGTGTTCATGGAAAGGTGGTAGAGGATGGTGAAGACCAGGAAGATTATCATGATAACCAGAGGGCCCAGTGCCATGCGGCTGGCGCCAGTGGCCATCGCAAACAGGCCGATCAGGCAGACCATGAGCAGGTAGCAGCCAACGGTGAGGTGCTGCAGAGCGCGGGTGTAGCCGCGACCCTGGCAGTCAATGGTGGCGTTGGAGACGTACAGCATGTTGTACCGGTAGGCGAAGTAGAAGAGATACAGACCGACGGTGGCAAAGCCCATGACAAGAGGAGCAATGCAAGAGTAGATGATACCGATGACGGTCAACAGTGTGAAGACCGGGTAGACGGTACCCCAGCCAAGACCGGCCAGGTTGGACCAGCGGGTGTACATCTTACGGGGGGTGCTGTCGAGGAACTTGCCCAGAATCTTGCCGAGAATGAGACCAACAATCTGGAGCAGGGCACCAGCACTGAAGGACAGACCCTGCAGAACGATGTAGGAGACGTAGAAGTTCGCGGCCTGAGGGATCTTGTTAGCCAGCAAGCTGGCAGCAGACGAAGGGTCGTTAATGATAGAAGTGACGACGCTAGTGGCAGCGGAGGCGACTGTAACGACCAGGAAGACCTGGACGACCTGGAAAGCGAAGTACATGTTCTGGACAGTCATCTCAACGGCGGCGAGACTAGGGTCACCTCCCCACTTGGCCATGAGGCGGAGAATGATAGGGACCAAGGCCATCAGGACGGACATGAGGATAGTGGGCAGAAGACCGGTGATGACACCAAGGATCCAGCTGGGGACGTCCAGGATGAAACGCAGGAAGGGGACCATGTCGGTCAGGGAATCGATGTTGGAGATGGCACCCACGACGGCGGTGGGGATGGCCCAGAAGATAATCATGGCAGTGACAAAGGCGATGGTAGCACCGTGGCGGATTATGCGCTCCCACCACTTGATGCGCAGGTTAGCCCAGATGACTTGGGTAGGGTCGAGACCGATGTAGCGAGGAGACATGTGAAGAGGCAGGTTGTGAGCAACGGACTGGAACGCAGCCTGGGCATCAGCCTGCTGGAAGAATTCGACAAAGACGGAGGAGACGAGCTTGACATCGTGAGCACGATGCTTGGCCTGCAGCTCCTCAACCTCGGGGTTGAGGCGCTCGAGCTCGGAACGAGCCCAGTTGATAGTGTCGACCTTCTTGCCAATCAGGAACTTGAGACGGTGGGTGGGACGGTCCTTGGCCTGGACCCAGCGAGCAGCCACGGAGCCGGACTCGTCGTCGAATTGGCCGGCACCCTCCTCCTCTTCGGCGTTGCCGTTCTCCAGAGCACCCTCCTTCTTCAATTGCTTGTTGCGAGCCTTGTTGGCCATCTTGATGAGCTTGGTCTCAGCACCCTCCAGCTTCATAGCAGCGCTGTCGCGCTCCTTGAGCTTGTCCTCCAGCTCAGCAGTGTCAGTGGCAAGCCAAACGTTCTTCACCTTCTCGCGGCCGAACATGGAGAGGATCTTCTCCTTGCTCAGGTAGTCCTGAGTAACGGCGGTGAAGAGAACAGTGCGCGAAGAAATGCGGCTGGCGTACGCGGGCGAGTAGAGATAAGCCTGGCGCAGGTTGATGTAGAACAGGTGCTCACGAGTGATGGTGAAGAACACAATTCCTGTAAAAATGACAATTAGCCCTCTGCTTCGTAGTCTACCTTTGATTCGACTCCAAAATGAAATTCTAGGTTTCGGGGGAAAGTTCAGTTCCAATTCAAGACTTACCGACAAAGATCACCGCCAGGAAGCAGTGAGCGTAGTAACGGCCATACTGAGAATCACTGATGTTGGAAATACTGAGCATGTTCAATTGCTGACCGCCACCGCCGCCAGTCGCATTGACTGGGAACAGGATAGGCCAGGTGACGATGCAGCCGACAAACATCAGGCCCGAGACCAGCTTGAGGAAGCGTAGCAGCAGATACGCGTCCATCGAGTGGTGCTGCAGGACGTAGGTGTCGGGTAGCTTGTACATAGCGGAGATCCAGTTCCATAGGCCAGTGGGGGTATCCGGGGTGCGCTGCCAGTGCTTCAGGCTGCCGATGTAGGTACGAGGCATATACATTCTGCGGTTGCTACGGCGCAGAATGATGAAGAGAACGACCATGACTGCGAAGGCGATCAAGGACGGGATCAAGGTGGTCAGGAACGCGGACGCCGAGCTAGATGCCGACGAGACATCCTCCTATCGGGAAATGTTAGCATCGCGAACAGAATAATCAATGCGCTCCATCTCCTCATCACAGCGAGTGGAGGTCGTACACTGGTAGTCCGGGCAGACAGCTGGTGCCATGCACCAGCCTGGTCCGCCATAGTTGAAAGTCGCTGTAAGGCGAGATTCGGAAGTCGAGAAAGCGTCTCGGGCGTGGAGAGACGATTTGCTGCACGTGGAGTGAAGTCGACAAGTGGTCGAAGAGGTTGTAAAAGGGAAAAAAGGAGAGATCAAAAAAACAGAAGAGGAAAAAAAGAAGGCAGAAGGGTCAAGCTTTAGAAGGGGAGGGGCATCGGTGGGTGACTGATCGGTGATCTTGGGTCTACGTAATTCCCTGCTTTTTTCTTTTTCTCTTTTTTCTTTTTTTTTTTTTTTCTTTTCCTCGCGATCACTGGTTAGATTCGAGTGGCTTTTACAGGGGGGTGTCTTTTTGCAGAGCTCCCCTGCTCGTTAGCGCTCTGATTTAATTACTCTTTCCTCGGTCCCCCTTTAAGCTCCACTTGGTGGCTGGTGGCGAGTGAGCGATCGATCCAGATTTGCACCCGCGCTGGTTATTCCCCCGTTTCCTTGCGATCGTCGCCTTTCCTTTGGTTCACTCTGGGTCAATGACTCGATGAGATATCTCACTACGTCCATACTGACTACGAGCTATAGGGGATAGAGACCATTGACAATGTCACATTTCAAATCTACCCTGGCGAGATGCAACTACTGCACAACCTCGGGATTTATTTACCAGCAGCAAGGGAAGCTCGGACAAGCCCGACCATTGAAGCACCGCCACACTAGCCACACGAGTCTCAGCCGAGGGATCCTCGTCGAATGTCAATGGCGAATGGGCCACTCTGGTTGATGGCAAGGGATGCATATCGGCCAAAATGCCAAAACATCAGTCAGTGGACCACTGCCAATCTTCAAACCTGCAGCAAGTAATGTACCAAAGTCACCTCGTCCAAGCGCCTGCATGGTCGAACCCCAGACCAGCTTTCGGACAGCTTTGGTACTTACGGAATCCAGGAAGGGGGGGGGGGTTGGTTTCGCCACCGCATCACCATTGGATCATTCGTGTATCAGGTAGCGGCAAAACAAAAACAAAAGGACAAGATACGGAGCCACAGCTGTCCAGCACATAGCTGCCTATGGCGTGGTCCTTCCAAGCAAGTCCATTATTGCCGAGCGTCGAAGCCTGACAATTCCTGGATCAGTGATCACCCATGTGACGACTATCTAGCAGATCCTTCTTTCAACTGACGATCAAATGTGTATATGAGCAGGCAACCCGCCATTGCCAGTCCATCAACGGGTGAAGGTTTCAATGGTGCAGCCAGGATCACCATCGCTAGACACAAAGACGCGCACCAAAAGGATCGCCGACGAGGGGGCTTCCCCCTGGTCGAGGTTGAGGATATTTTTGCCCTAGGATCAAATAGGCTTGTTACTATGAGCATGCGCCGCTGTGTTGGACCCAATCGATCGGGCGCGCTAGCAGGACTACCAGCTGCTAGTGGACTGCACTATTCAATCTACCCATGGATTTGTGGCTGGGCCATCGGAAAACCAAGTCGAATTGGAAGATATGGCCCGGTCGGAAGATAACCACCATTTTTTTTTTCGCTGAACTCCTCTCGTGGGAAATTCCATGCAGTGGACTACTCAGCGCAGAGTCCATCGTTTGCACTTTGTCCTCCAATTCTCCGGACTACTGCAGCTAATCGAACTAGGGAGCATTGGATGGCCACAGGAATGAAGTGCAAGAGCCTACGGACCAGCCGATGCAGTCCTGTCGTCGACTCGTCAGGCTAACTCAACTCATGGAACGATCGGCGATCTTTTTTGCTAATTTCGTCCAATGAATGGGATCTCATCTCCTCCCCATTCCACGGATTCCCCAATCGTTCATGGGAATCATATGTCCGTGGCTCATGGCTGATCGCTTAATTTAAGTGATAAAGTGAGCCGTGGGCATCTTGCTATGGAGACAGTAGCCCACGATTTCGTGATAGCGCCAAACACGGCGGTACAGAAGAGATACACACGTTCAGGAACTTCAGGTACCTTGAGGTACCCAACCATACAGCTCCAAGCGAAAAGTAACCTCGGAGAACATTTCCCTGTCGGCTCCGAGTCTCCACAAGTTCAATTCTCGCGAACTTCTGACCGCAATTGCACCCACTAAGGCTGACCAGTGGATAAGCCACGAAATTGCCCTATTCTATTTTTTCTCCATACTCCTTTCTGATATCAGTTTTTCTTTTCTTTTTTTTCTTCTTCTCTCAAACTATGGAGTACTGTGAACCAAACCTAGCATGTACAGCTGTCTTCGACAGGTTTTGGCTGGTCTCCACGCTCGATGACGCTCACACTCGCTGTGTCCAGGTTCTCGGGCCCTGCCAAGCCCGGTTCACGTTGTCGGGACTTTCGAGGTACACTACAAAACCTCGTGCCTGATGCGACGAATTGCCGTTTGCATCGGGTGGATCGTATGAGATGTCGAATGAATTTGCATGGCGTCCTGACTTGTCATGAGCTGTTTACGTAGATGTCCATATGTAGAAGATAGGGCAATTTGTCGTCGTCAGACCGCTCATGAGTCGATATATATTCACACACTTCCTGGCGGCTGAGTGTTAACACATCCATTTAATGTCGATCGTTAACCATATGGCATAGGTATACGCGGCTACTTAGGGTTGTTATTTCCTGGTAGAGACCATCCAGAGAGCAGTCAAGGACAGAAAGCCCTCCACGCTCTGTGGATATCCTGCGATCATCAAGGTTTCATCCATGGATGAACCTCTTGTTGGAAGTCCTCAAACGTGAGGTACCATGGACTGGCTGCCATAGTCGGGCATACCTGCTTTTAAATAGTTAGATCTTGGCTGTTCACTCAGCCTCAAGGAAGCATCCTCGTTGAAAAATCCATATCGCCTACTTCCATCCACTTGACGGTACCGCACTTCAGGGCAAAAAAAAATCCAGAATCTGTCTAATTAGGTGCAAGTGTAGGTCAAATGTGGACGACTCGGCCAATATATGTATGCCTAGGGCCGAACGGTGATAGTGCAAGTCAAACCAAAGAGATAAGCGTTGATGGTAATAACAAATCGAAATAATTTCATTGGTGCAAAGTACCGCTACTACTACCATCAAGACTAGCTTTGAGGTCAGCCTCAAATACACCAATGCCTCGAATGGGCGGCCGTAGCGACAAAAAGGTCATCAAAAGCTCATTGAAATAAAACTGCAGATCCGGCCGCAGCTGCCTATGTGCCCGGAGTAGTTCACCGGTTGACCATGGCCGTTCAGCGTCCCGCAAGTCTGCATCGCACGCTTGCTCCAGTAATAGCCATAGTAGCGTCTCGCAAGCAGGGTGTCGGTCGAGCTGGTGCTGCTCGACCAGCGAGGTCAGGTATACGAGGAATCGATGAGTCTGGCTGATCGAATCCTTAAAGTCCCACAATGCGGCGGTGATGTAGATAAGCGAGGCCGACCGGCTGACCTCCTGGGTCTGCGCGTCGCGGACCACGTACATTCGTGATGCCTGTGGTACCTGCGAGGGCCGGGGTCCGCTGGAGAGGAGGGAGAATAGTGGGCTTTCCATCTGGAACGCGGTGCGTCGATGCGATGATTGGGGTTGATATTGGGGAGCGCTGTGCCTTTGCATAAGGTCTTGTGCTCCATGGAGGAATGTAACCAGCCAGCGTTGGTCAGCGGGGGATAGGGTTGGAGATTGTGATGGCAAAATGTACCGCACGTATTGGACGAAGACTTCGACGGGAGGGTTCGATCCAGGATGTCGGCGCATGAGTTGAACGGCATGTTCAAGGAATGCGTGGGCATCTTGGCTGCTTCCGAATCGCTCCTCTGACAGGGCCATGCCTGCCAGAGCCATGGCTAATTGGTCGTCGTGTACTTGCAACAGGCCCGTCGTAGCGTCTTCGATATTCTTTCTAACCTGTCCGACATGTCGTTGGACTTCCTTGGAGTCGGGTTGCCCATACAGCTGGGCTTTCCATCTTGCACAATATACAAGAATCACGGCTTGGAAGGAAAAGGGATGCTCCATGGCCGTTCGAAAGATTTGGTTTTTCACGTAAGGGTTCTGACCGGACCAGTAGGTCAATTTGGTCGTCCAGTAATCCACCAATTCCATATCTTCCGGGTTATGAGCTATCGGTAAGCTGGAGAAGGGATCTCTTCGCGATGCATCGAGCATCGTCATGGGTGATTCCATTTGTAAGGGTACCGTTTCTCGGGCATATGGCTTCACAGTCGAAAACCGGATCTGAAGCTTGAGGAATTCACCTTGTCAGTATATTGATCCTTAACCTCCTTGTGGAAACATAAGCAGATGAAACGAGGAGACAGAAATGCCATACCGATGATTCCTGCTCAACAGCAGGCCCCGACACGCCTGTTATAGCCGCCTCCTTGGGATTGTCCGTGTCGTACCCTGAATCAGTCTTGACTGGCCAGACAGTTGGCTCTGGGGCTTGTTCTGGCTGCAAGCTTCCATGTGAAAGTTTTCGGTGTTTCCTTTTCTCCTGAACATGATGTCGCATCACATGTGCCCGCTTCTCCTTCGAGGACGAGGTTGAGTCGACAAAATAGAATGACTGGTTCTTGGGTTGAGATTCCGGGCCAGCGCCGCGCCGGCGCCGTCTCGACTTTGCATTTGGATCGCCACTGCTGGAGGGTCCTACAAAAAGACTGGAATATGAGCTGCCATGGCCACCGGAGGTAGATTGTGTTGAGCGGTCTGATGTGGAGGGGAAGCTATCACGTACCCGGAACATCCGGTTTCGACGACGCCGAGGACCCAATGGTTGGAGGGGTCCACGTCGAATCCACCGGCCTTTGTCCGTTGCTAGACATGATTGCGAGATAGAAGCCAGTGGTGATCTCGACGCAATTCAGCGATTACAGCTGCATACCGCGTCGGCAATCATCAATATTCCTCCAGCCTGTGTCGGGATTTGGACAGAACCATCGCAGGCCTCTGATGCGACCAGTCAGACAAGGCGAGGGGGCCGGAATCAATTTGCTGGTGCCCCAGGCAGGGTGATAGGAGGGGAAAGGTGACGTTAGATTAGGCAGATGACAATTATAATCAACCCGCAATGCAAGGCGAAAACAGCCGATCATAGGTTGAATCGTCTTCGTCCTCACCCGCCTGTCCGAAGAATTGGGGAGGAATGGGCGAGACAGAGAAACCCTCAGACCAGCTCAATACCCTGCTCAAAGAGAGAGAGAGAGAGAGAGGGAGGGAGAGAGGGGTGGAGAGAGGGTTGGCATTCAGGAGTTGATATGTAGAGTTCGTCCACCGAGAAAACGAGGCGTGCTGGGTGCTTTAGGTATTACCCAAACCGGCTGAAGGGCCTAATGAAAGTGGTTAAACCCCGGAGGAAAGTGGAGCGCCCCATCTCGGGCTTTACAGTAGTGCGACCATTTGTTTTTTTTTTTCTTTCTCAACAAGGCACAAGGGTGAGGGTGAGGGCGAGGGGAAGGGGGGGCAATGAAAGAGTCATCCCGAAGATGTGACTGGCCAGAAGTCGTAGATGGGGGGGGGATAGAACCCTAAACGAGCCACCGGGAGTCAAGGGGAGTTCGAATGGTCGGCGTTCAGAGGGAAGGCAAAACCTTGGGAGACTCGACGGACTGAGCGCTGAACCTTTGACCAACTTTGGCCAAGTTGGTGGCCACCTTTGACCAGTTTCGACAGGAGCCTCTGCAAGTGGCTGCGAGTGGCTGCGAGTCACCTGCAATGGAAGGGGAGACTAATGCCTCGATCGGGTTTAGCGTCGACTGGCTGCCGTGACCAGTCAGGATGATGTAATCTACTCATGCCTGTTTGGGATTAGCGCGTTATCTCCCGAGGTCTCCGAGTCATGAATTGCTGAGTCAGGGAACAAAACCAACTTAACGCGTCTCTCGTCGGATAATTTATTGTTCCAGAGACGCGTCTCGCGTGTTCGTGTCTCTGCGAAAAAAGAGCCCCCCTTTGTGTATTGCCATCTCTGTCCGATCACCAAATCTCGATCAACCCACCCCCTCCTCCCTCTTGGTATCCGTGAGAGCCCATTTTTTCTAGTACGGCCAATTTTTCGGCCTGAAGCTCTCGATACCATGTCTAGTCTCGTCGATGCCGTTCTCCAGTCTGAGCTGGGAGGCTCAGGGTCTGGCGCCCGTGACAACATCCGTTCCGATAATCTACCGAGTTCTCGACGTTCGGAGAGCAATGGTCCCATGAGTGATATGAATGCCTTCCCCGATGACCGCGTCGTCGGGGCCAGTACATCCGCTGTCAATCGGCTACGGAATCCCTACGCCCCGGGACCTGCTCCCGTGGTGGATGAGGCTGGAGAAAGAGTGCGAGCCGAGTTTGAGGAGCTGCTGGAAACATTCATTATGGATCCCTCCTCATCAGCACCACCCTCGTCGGGTGAGATGCTGAGCGACAAGTACTACATTGCCCAAATCAAGGGCTTGAAGAAGTTTGAGCTCTCCACGCTCTACGTGGATTTCAACCACCTGGCCAAGTGGCACAACCCCATTCTGGCCGATGCCATTGCCGAGCAATACTATCGATTCCTCCCCTTCCTCACCAAGGGTCTCCACAACCTGGTTGCCAAGTATGAGCCTGAATACTTCGTTTCCCACCGACTCGCCTCGAGCGCTTCCTCCCAACCTAGTACCTCGGTCGCATCCGCCTACGCCAGTGTAAACGACAACCCCGACCTTGAACGCCAGATCCGTGAGAAGACCCGCCATCAGCAGACCGATAAGCTGTTCGCGCTTGCTTTCTACAACCTGCCGCTGGTGTCTCGACTCCGCCAGTTGCGTACCAAACAGATCGGTCGGCTACTCTCCGTCTCTGGCACCGTCACACGAACCTCCGAAATCCGGCCCGAGCTGTCGCTGGGAACATTCATTTGCGAGGGCTGCAGAACGGTTGTGCCCAATGTTGAGCAGACTTTCAAGTACACCGAGCCCACCGAATGCCCCAACGCAGTCTGCGGTAACCGCTTTGGCTGGCGTCTGGATATCGGCAAGAGCACCTTCGTCGATTGGCAGAAGGTCAAGCTTCAGGAGTCTTCTCATGAGATTCCTACCGGCAGCATGCCCCGTACGATGGATATCATCCTGCGTGGTGAGATGGTTGACCGTGCCAAGGCTGGCGAGCGATGCATTTTCACCGGTACTTTGATCGTCGTTCCTGATGTCAGCCAGCTGGGTCTGCCTGGTGTGCGCCCTGAAGCCGTTCGGGACAACACCTCTTTCCGTGGCAGCGAGGTTGGTGGTGGCGGCGTGTCCGGTTTGAAGGCTCTCGGTGTCCGTGATCTGACCTACCGTCTTGCTTTCCTGTCATGCATGGTTACCCCTGATACCACGACACCTGGCCAAAAGCCAGAGCAGCAACTCAGCGGACAGGCCAACAACATCTTGGCTTCGTTGAACCAGAATTTGGACCCGGATATGAATGATGAGAAGGCCCAAGAGGCGTTCTTGAACAGCTTGACCGCAACCGAGGTCGAGGACTTGAAGAGACTGGTGCACTCAGAGTACATTTATGGACGACTGGTGGACTCGATTGCCCCTATGATTTGGGGTCATCGCCAGGTCAAAAAGGGTCTGCTGTTGCAATTGGTTGGTGGTGTCAGCAAAAGGACTCAGCAGGAAAGCCTGCAGCTGCGTGGTGATATCAACTTGTGTATCGTTGGCGATCCATCCACCAGTAAGAGTCAGTTCTTGAAGTGAGTGAAAACCATGTATCTGCATGCCTCGGGTCCGACTTGCTAACAATTTCTTCCCCAGGTACATTTGCTCCCTTCACCCACGTGCAGTCTACACCAGCGGTAAGGCTTCGTCTGCTGCCGGTTTGACTGCCTCGGTCGTCAAGGATGCCGAGACGGGCGAATTCACCATCGAGGCCGGTGCTTTGATGCTTGCTGTACGTATTTCTTCTCCCTTGTCTGAATTTTTCACTAACAGCCTTTCTAGAACGGGGGTGGTATTTGCGCTATCGACGAGTTCGACAAGATGGACATTGCAGACCAAGTTGCCATCCACGAAGCAATGGAACAGCAAACCATCTCTATCGCCAAGGCTGGCATCCACACAACCCTCAATGCCCGTGCCTCCATCCTCGCTGCGGCCAACCCCATCGGTGGCCGTTACAACCCCAAGTTGACCCTCCGACAGAACTTGAACTTCAGTGCACCCATTATGAGTCGTTTCGATGTGTTCTTCATCATTCGCGACGACCCCAAGGAGAACGTTGACCGCAAGCTAGCGGATCACATTATCAACGTCCACATGAACCGTGACGAGGCTGTCCAGCCAGAGCTCAGCACTGAACAGCTGCAGCGCTACATCCAGTTCGCCCGGACATTCAAGCCGACGTTCACCGAGGAGGCGAAGGCGCTGCTTGTCCAGAGATACAAGGAGCTCCGTGCGAACGACGCGCAGGGAGGCATTGGTCGCAGCTCATACCGTATCACCGTTCGTCAGCTGGAGTCACTGATCCGTCTGTCCGAGGCCGTGGCTAAGGTGAACTGCGTGGAGGAAGTCACTCCCAAGTTTGTCAACGAGGCCTACGACCTTCTGAAGCAGAGTATCGTGACTGTTGAGAAGGATGACGTTGAGTTTGACGATGATGTCGTTCCTACTTCTCGCCACAATGCCGACGAGGATGAGGAGATGGCCGATCGCGACCGTGAGGGTGACAGCCCCATGCGTGATGAGGGCGAAGAGGCACCGCCCGTTGAGAAGCCCGAGCGCCAGAAGACCAAGATCACCTACGAGAAGTACGCAAAGATTCTCAACTTTGTCGTGCAGCGCATCAGAGAGGATGAGGTCAACCAGGGTGAAGGTGTTGAGCAGGAAGACCTTATCATCTGGTACCTGGAGCAGATTGAGGCTGAGCTTGATACCCAAGAGGATTTGGCTCGCGAGCGCGATCTGTGCACCAAGGTTATCAAGCGTATGGTCCGTGAGGGTATGCTTCTGCGCATCACGTCTAGCCTTGAAGACGAGGCTTCGACCCAACAGGACGGCGAGGGCGACAAGGTTCTTTACGTGCTGCACCCGAACATTGCCTTTGAGGAGCTGTAAGGAGTGAATTGTTTAATGTTCGTCTTGTTTGTAGGATTCAGTCCTTGCTTAGCATTTTCAGGGTGGATTTCTGGAGCATGGGGTTTACGAGTGATGATATCCGTTTTGTACTTGCGGCTTTTAACCATGTCATCGTACTTTCAGAACATGAATGTATACTTTCAGAATTAAATATTGAGATTGCACTCATCAAGTAATTATTACCATAGCTGAGATTGTGAGCGATCCCGATAGTTCTCAGAAGCTTCTTACTAACGAGACTGAGGGATCTCAGTCCATTATCTTGTTCTCGTACTCGTGCCTGGCACATCTGGCTCACTATACTGTAGGAATCCGTACCGACCGTCAGGAAGGAACATGTCAAACTCAAATGAGATAGATTGCAATTCAGAAATCCATGATATACCTGACTCAAAGCACCATGTAATCGCCATTAAGTCCATGTTCCATTTGCAGGCCCAAAGAATCCTGCATCCGGCATAGCTTTATATGCCACACCCTGGCCATCCGCAGTGTTCAAATAAACAGTGTTCCCCCACCAATCCGGGAAAGTTGCTCCGGGATATGAGACGCAGAAAAAGATAACAATACCACTCAGCGCGAGGCCGGTGTCCAGTGCAGCAGCCAGGACATAATTGTACTTGGTCCACCAAGCAAAGAAGCGGCGCTTCAGGACGTGATTGAAGACGAAGTTGACCAATGCCCAGCTAGAGTAATTGATACCGGTTGCTAAATAGAACATGAGTTAGTTAATGACTAAAGTGAATAGTCGGGATTGAGCACATACCGGGAGGGACATTGTATGTGCCAACGAAAATCAGAGGCCAGTTGATCAACTTCCAGAAGCGCTTTCTAGTATAGCGATACAAAGCCCAGGTAATAACCGGCGCGATAGCTCCGATCCAGAAGAAGTGTAGTAGCGGAGAGTATATCTCGCCTGCCGAGTAGAGTCTACGCGGTCCAACCAGACCCCAAATCACGGACGACGAGTATACAGTCCGGCCATTGGGACAAGAGAACCCATCCGCCTGGTCCGACTCACAAATCCCATCGATATTACCCAACATCCACAGAGTCACGCCCGCCTGCGTCAGTGCACCCAAGACAGTCGCAATACCCTGCGCGACGAAAGTAGTCCGCGGTGGTACTTTGAGATAATGCGCTAGTTTCATGTCCATGGCGAAATAAACACCCTGGCCAACGACATCGGTTGACAGAATCTTGAAGATCATGTTTGCCAGCGGTTTACCCTCGAACATGTATCCTCCGATGAACTCAGAGAGCACGTTGAGTTGATTCGCGTCAACGTTGGTAATACCCTGGACGATACCGCAGGGAACCATGTAGATGGCTGGAATGATTAAACCCAGGAACACGCCGTATACGGGGAGCTTGGTCTCGTAGACTTCTACCATTGCAATAGCCATGGCCATGATAATCACAATGATGGTGGTATACCAGTACCAGGGTGTCTTGCGGTACGAGGCACGGATCAGACGAGCGTGGATGTCGAGCTTGTTGCGACCTTTCATGGCGGCCCACAGATCGCGAGCATGCCAGATGCCAATATGTGAGAGCACAGAGGTGATGGAAGCGAAAGACAGACCGTACACGAATGCAAAGGTTGCGCCCAGATAAGGGGGTGAGTACTTGCGGTATGCTGCGACGTCCAGGGTATTGTCTGCTCCCACGACACGGGACGTGTTATAGACGGCGCCTGTGTTGTCGTATACATCACTGGTCATCATGGGTAGATAGGCCGTGAACCAGGTATTCGTGTAGTAGAGGATTGGAGTGATGATCCAAAAGAAGAATGCGAATCCGAAAAACACATTGATCGCTGCCCATGATGGCGATAACAGCGGGTTCGTGTTATAAGCAATCTGGCTCCAGTCGAAGGTAATCGGACTCAGGCCGAGTCCAGTTTGCATGCCAAAAAGCTGATTGACCACGATATTCTTCGGCGCAATCCAACAAACCCAAGTAAAGTATGACAGCGCGGTGAAAATCAGGCCAGGGAACCAATACCACACGAATGCGCCGCCCATAACGTACATAAAGAAGCGCAGGCGAGAGATGCGCCAACCGTTAGCAATAGAGTTGGCCCGAGAATGGAGTGTCTCCAGCATAGCACAGTTGGAGAGCACACCTGGCCAGATGATTCTTGCCGGCTCAACCAGCCACGGCGCCGCGAGTCCAGCTACACCGAAACCTAGAAGCTGGGCGCACAACACGATCATCACGTAGAAGCCAGGCTTTAGGTGAAAGTTGTAGAAGGACTTGCTCGCAGCTTGAATGATGTTGGTAGCATCGGCAGTAGCAAAGCCGAAGGAGACATTGCTCATGATCACGATGAGCGCATGTTCTTTGATATTGAATTGACGATCCGGATTAATCGTGAAGGAACCCAGACGTCCGAGGCTGATGGTAGAAAGTGGGAGTGTCTTTGCGAGGAATACACCGAGTGGATATGCGAGTAGCTCTGCGACTAGCGCTACGATGTGCACCGATGGGTATCGTAGGGAGAAGAATTGGTTGATGCCAGAGCCCAGGATGGTGAACACAATGCCCAGCATCCACATGCGCACAGTATTGACGGGCATGGTAGGATCGTCGGTCTCGGGGACAACAGCTCTGACTGTAGAATTGTCAGATCATTCTATAACTATAGGCCTGGGAAGGAAGACCATCGTTGTTCTCACGAACCTTCTGGAAAAGGTGACCGATCCGATTCATAGCTATACTCCTCATTCTTGTTGTCGGTGACCTCCGGCTCTAGCTCGGTATTTCCGACACCCACATCTACCTCCTCATCGGTCTTTTCAAAGGTAGATTTGGCTGTCTCAGCCTTGATTTCCTCCATGATGGGCGAAGGAGGAGAATTGGATCAGTTTCTAGACCCGGGGCGCAAGACTTGGAAAACACAGGCCGCGCAGACCTTACGCGGGCAGGTCTCTTTTAATTACTCCCCTCTTCGCCATGGCCGACCGGCGTGCACGATAGCGCAATGAGCGCGGGGAAGAGTATAGATAAGGCTAAGCCGACGACAAGGCCGTTGATCTTTCTAAAAGTGGAGTCGGCATGGTTAGTGCATGATAGGAAGGTCGAACCCCGCTTTCGTTCGGACGGAAGATTAAAAGAATAATAGCAGTCATTTCCAGAGATCAAGGGGTTTATTCTTTATTTTTGCGCCTGTAAGAATTCGTTGATCCCCAGCGTCGAGAGAGGTGCACAATGCAGGGCCATCAGAAGTTGGATAGAGTTGAATATAGATCGGTGGCGTGAGCAGATACGACGATATCGTTATCAGTTGCGGTACCAAGTTTGCCGACGGCAAGTGTAACGCTTATTGAGATAAGGAGTGACTAGTGAATGTGCCTCCTGACCGGATTGCGAGCGGGCTGGGGGCGATTTTGAAAGGTTTGCGGTTTCCACCAGATGCTGACAGTTGGGACTCCATCTGGCCCCCGGCATTTAACCTATAGCTCCGTATATACAGTGCCGACCGTTATTGCCTTCCATACCCTAATCATATGATACGTTAAAACCAATATGGATTGAGCGTCAATTACTCGTTTTTGTAGCTACACTGTAATACTGGAAGACGCGCGCATCAACCCTGAAACGATGAAAATGAGGGGAATAGCGACTGTTATTGCCTTCCACGTGGGGCGGGCCAGAGGTGTTCTTTCCTCCTCTTATCACTTTTCTACATAGACAAGGTGGTCAGACTGGAGGTCTGGAATATGGTGAAAGTATGCGTCCCGAAGGTCTGTGTTGCAATCTCAGGCTTTAAAGCGGGTAGCCTGTTTTGACCAGGCTTTGGACGGAAGGCCAGGACTGATGCTTAATTCCGTGGCGAGAAGAATTCGTCTCCCAGAAAAACCGCCATCTTGTCGAGGTATAAGGTGAAAATTTCGAGTAGTGATCGAATAAAGCCTCGATCGAGCATGACTGGAGTGATGCTACGGGGATGTCCGCCTTTATTGGGCGGTGCTTCAACCCGTAAATGCCCCCGAGTGCAAGCGTAAATTTACGACACTTGAAAGCCTGGAGCAGCACAGACGTGATGTCTATCATTGGAGATGTGGACATTACAACGGGCAGTTCTCTAGCCTTCAAGCGCTAAACCGACACAGAAGATCTACTAGCCACTGCTATTGTCGGTCGTGTAATCAATTCTTCGGATCGCCTAAGGAGTTACACCATCAAAATGCACTAGGTCATGTGGATCAATTTCGATGCTGTGAATACAACCGAGATTTTGTCAACGAGACCGCTCTTGGGCAACACCTAAGGGATAAAAAGAAGCATACCACTCGGCCACGCGAAAAAGGTCATGTATGTGATAAATGCAATCGAAAGTTTCTCAACGATTCTGCATTAAAGCAACATAAAGTCTCACTGGTCCATATTGCTATCAGTGACTTGAAATGCATTGAAGCGCACTACAATAAGCACTTTAAAAGTCCTTCATCGCTTTTATATTACCTTGAAAGTGGCACCTACGATAAATGAATTCTAATTTATGTCCGATTTTTCATGTCCATTCTCAAGATATTAGGATACGGAGGCTGAATAAGATACACCCAAGAATTTTAAAGCCCACTCCAAGAAAGCTGTGGGGTGAAGGGCCGTTTTCTAATCCCTGGGAATGGCCAGTTTTTATTTTGGCTATTATGGATGCGATCAGCATGTCGAGTAGATCAATTCTACTTGATAGAAGATCCCCTTGAAGAATACAAAAGACCCTAGATGGTATACGACGAGGGATAACATATGCCATATTGTCATATTGGGGCTCGGGAGCATATATTACTTTGACAGTTATATTCTTAGAGTTATGTAAAGACAGTGAAGCAAATCAGACATAACAAACGAACAATCCCCTCAACCCCTCAAGCAGCTACCCTGGTAGACAGCATAATCATTAACAGACAAGCCAACATCTCCACTTAACAACCCTGAACATCCCAAGCTGCCATGGGCTGAGAAAGAGTATGCTGCCAATCCTCAGTAGCAATGCCAATTTGGCCAGTGCAATCACTGTTCTTGTAGAGGCGGAGCACGCAGTATTTGATCCAAGTCGGGTTGCTCCAATCGATGGTAGTGCCAGTGCCGCAGGCTGCCTGGCTACAGCCTCGGTTCTCGGTGCTGTCGGCCTGGCCGGCGCAGGTTTGGAAAATCCAGGCGTTTGCCATAGGGAGGAGAGCGACCAGAGTTGTGATAGCAGTGGTAGTAACCTTCATTTTGAAGAGTTGAGATGTCTCGAGGAAGAGAGAGAGAATGGATATGAAGATTGCGTAAGATTGTTAGGTTTATCGAGCTTTGTTTGTTGTTGAATAGATCGAAGAGTGAATGGTCTCGTCTTTATACTTCATCTCGAGGTGTAGTCCGGCAAGGCTATGAATCTGGGGTAGTATTCATCGCATCGTCGGCGTTCGTATTATTCGTATTCTAGGGCTGAATATAGTTCACTGCGGATGATCGAAGTGCAGAAAGGCTAATTCTGAGTTGATATGCCCAATTACGGAATCTGGAATGTACGGGAGCGAATATAGTAGTTCATATGAGCGATCCAGCTTAGCTAGATGTAATATAGCAGGCAGCTAGATTCATACCTTCGTGCCGGGCTGAGACTTCGTGTAATGGGGCTAAATTGGGGCATTGGGGATCAACGTATCACTCGTGTGGACATGAATAGCTCTGCCTGCAAATCGAGAAACGGAGTAGACATATGCGTCGAAGATTGAGATATAACAGGAGCAAATAATATCTAGATACAAATCAGGGACAACATATAGCTGGAATCTAATTGAAAACGATTTGATATGGAGATATGAAAGCTGAGATGACAAAGTATGTTGGTGCGATATCCGGCTCCAGAGACCCGACCCTGAATCTAGCTAAGGTCATTTCCATGGTATATCGAATGTCCAGTAATCTGACTGTATCTTGACCTGGTTCATACGAGCTCAAATTTTGGCTCTTGGGATGTTACTTCGGCCAGGCCGATATCTATAGAACTTCGATGTAGGGTCTGGCTGTGGGACGCCTTGTAGAGGAACGCCTGAGCCGAGGCTTGACCTGTTGGGCCATTCCACAATAGGTCATTTCTGTTCATTACTCGAAAGGGACACATTCGGCGATGAGACCTGCAATTTATCTTTCCATGTATGACATCCCTTATAGTAAGAGGTGGAAGTATAAAAAAGCCAAGTTAATAAGCATGGATGTAGCGCAGGTAAGCACCAGGTATGTAAGCAGATATATTCACCGAGGTGCGCATGAAGATGCCCAAACCCCAAGACAAGCCTGTCTACCTACAACTTAGTATTTCCTCCATATATTCGAGTTTAAATGAACTAAAGTACCACACCCAAAGCAAATTCCCTCCTTCGAAAATCCAGGGCCAACTGCTGGGGCGACCAAATTCACCGCCAGTTCCTACATCTACCCAACAAGCCAGCGGTGACCGTTTAACACACAAAGAGAGGCCCAATAATTTAGATCCCCCACACCGTTTAATCGAACAAAGACTTATCCCTGTCATCTCTTAATGCTGCCAACCCAGTCTCTTACCCTTCTCATGTGCAATCGGATATTGCTGACCCTGTACACCCATCACCCCAGTCCCCAGTCCAAACCTCAACTTCAGACACCTATAGGTCCCCTCCACCGCTCATTCACAACCAACCATTTCCATAGGAATGGCTGCCACAGCGGCTAGTTTGCAGTTTGTACTGTAGTTTGCAAGATATTAAATGTACCGTGCTATAGATACGGACACACATGGAAATGCGGTCGCGGGACCATCGTCACCTTAGCCAAATGCAATAGGCCGTTAAGTCAAGAAGATCGAAAAAGGCGGAGGCGCTTTGGCAAATAAAGAGATCAAACAACATATAGAGAGGGAAGGACCAAAGAAGACTACGGAAGATGCATCGTCCGCTGGATTATCAACAGTAACCAGGCTCACGGCAGATCGCGGGCGCATACATGCCGAATGCATTTACTGCGCCGAAGCGTTCGAGAAACGGATGTTGGTTGCTTTGATCGGCGTGTGATGGTTACTCGACAGCGACCATACTTGAGATATGACTATAGGGGTCCAAGCTAGATTTGAGTCTTGGATAGATTGGAGGATACGGACTTTGGGCGTTGACTGGAGGTGGGTTGGTTGGATTGGATTTCTTTGTTTGTTTAGCGGCGTGCGCGGTCATGGTGGCGAGCGACATGACATTCCTTGGTCGCAAGTGAAAGTGGGCGCCATAGCCCGATCTAAATGTTAATCGAATGAGTTGTAAATCCTAGTCAGATCGAATAAGCTAATAAAAACAACAAAGTCCACGGTCGCTCGTGATATGCAAGACTGACTCTTGTCGATGAACGAATGAACTACACAACAAAGAGTCGTCGTAAAGCATGAGCGATCGAGGGCCTTGCCCGATCCAATCGTATTTGAAAGACAGGCCTACCTAATAAGTAGATCATCCAAGTCCAAGCATCATTGACTGAACACGCTGAAAGAGCAAGAGGTCTGAGGTCAGACTGCTACAGTACCATCTAGCCTATAGCACCACTCATACCTCACCTTCCTTCTCCCCTTCCTCCCCCTAGTGTGAGTCAGGGGTGGCGACAACCCCGTGTTATGTATGAGTTGATGGACGATAGGGCGATGGTATGCCCCTCGATCCAGCCCTGTCCTGCACCATCACAATCCCATCGATCCGATCGAGAAACTTAAACCCTCTCTCCCCGCAACACGTCTCGGGATACGCGAAGGGACGCGACCGTCACAGCTGGAAATAGCCCCGTGCGGACCGCGGATGCAGTTCCGGACGGGCTTAAGGTTACTCACACTGCCAGGACTTTTCTTCAGGATTCGTACTACTGTCGCTGTCCTGTCGCTGTATAGTGTAGGGGACAGAGCGCTTGTGTAATGACTTGTGCGGCTGGCCGTGTGTCACATTCTCTCGAGTGGAGATGGGATCTGGGCCTCTGATCCCCCACGGGGGTGCCGGAGCTATGTTCCATGGTTCGGTCTATGAATTTGCTTCTGCAGAGTGCGGAGGGGATCAAAGCTCCTTTTTATTTGTTTTGACACAGAGTCTGGCTCTAGACCTTGTGCTTTGGCCTTTAGGTATGCCGAACGGTATGGAGGAGAAGTACGGAGTACTCTGGACTGGAATTTGTCATTGTGAGAAAAAGGCGGTGCTCGATCTAGAGCTGTGCAGCTGTGGCAAATGCAAGTCTAAGCCTGGGGGACGTGTGGCAGCGAGCTATCGAGTGGCGGTGATAAAGAGGCGTCCGGGGAGTCGGGATCGTGTCAATGCATACATAGTCCATAGCTGTCATCGACTATACAGGTCTTGCAGAGGCTGGAAATAGTAAGGAGCTGGCTGGTGAATCGGTGATGAATCCCAATGTACAAAGTACTGTATTTCTGTCTCTCGACGATGGTCCCAGCCGAAGGGGTCGGAGCCCGGAAGTCAAATGCGTCCTTGCTTATCATGATTTGAATTAGAGATCTTGCATATGAGATGCAGATGGAGATGCAAGAAGGCCCGGGGAGGTTGATGGGACCAAGCGGTTGGGAAGAGAAAAACGTACTGCCATATTCAAGGGTAAATAGTTTGAAATTGGAGAGCACTGATTTGCCTATCGAATTTGAATCGATCGCAAGTATATCTATCCATCTGTACAGCTAGTACACAGTTATCTACGGAATATATCCTTGACAGACCAGTCCAGAAACCCGGGGTTTACATTGCTATACTAGTTCTCGGTAAACAACATCTTGATCATACCCGACGTAGGGAGTAGATAGATAGAACCTGACTAGGTGATTGCCTGCTTTTCATAATAATCCTCCGGTCGCTGTAGAGATGGATGAGAAATTACCCGTTCCATCGCATGAAGCGGCAAAAGCGACCTGCCGGATTTGGAGCTCTCTCAAATTTTCAAATCCTTCAGCCCCCCATTTCCCTTGACTGTGCCCACCTCCCGAAACCCTCATTAAACCACTGTACTCCATAGTTAGGCAGGAACTACATATAAGTAATAATCCACAAGTACAAAATACTACAGTGTGTTCCTGACTATCCACACTAGATCATCACAAGGCACCCAGGAAATTGGTAGCAGGGACTAGCTAAGAAGCTAATGAAACACCGAGGCGCTGGGATTAGGGAAAAAGGGGCGCGGCCACGATCACGACGTGCTGCTGATCGATGGACCGATGGGCCGCGGCCCGTCCCCAGGGAGCCGGCCCAGAGACTGAAGTACGGAGAAAACAATAATAATGTTATGAACTTGTGTTGCACTTTCAAAAGGTACCGAGGAACATGTCAAATGGATATGAAAGATGACAGCCCGTTTTATTTCCTGATTAGGCTCATCGCCAGACTTTATTGTCCACTCTGTCCAAGGCCCAGGCCAGCCTCTACGCTTACGACTTAAGTTGCAAGTTAATGGTGTACGTAGTGGTGTAAAAGCACCTCCCGCTTTCCCCGACGGGAAGATTAAGAGGCAGAGGTGTATATGCATCTGATGTCTAATAATGTTTAAATGTGATGGGTTTCCTGGACCCCGGGACCAAAGCATGTGCAGGGTCATCAATATGATTTCTTTTTTACCCAGCGATCATCTTTGATCATAAAGTGACCTGTCGAACCCAGCCGGATGGAGTACCTTTTGTTCAAGGGGGGAATTGTTTTATGGTGTACCCGCGACAATGGCTCGGATCCACTTGGGGGCGTCGGGGAAGAGAATGTGCGTGTGCCGCTGGCGGAAACGCTAAGCTCTGAATGTAAATCTGTTCATCTGTGCCCTATCGAGAAGCAAGTCTCCGGGCGATGTGTCGGATGTCTAAAATACCAATATTGTAGTAGGGTGCAAAGGTACGAAGGGGAGAGAGGTTTCTGATGTGTTCCTGACATATGCGACAGTTTCAAAGGAATAAGCCACCATTCAGAATGAAAATCAACTGACTCGTATTGTAGCTAGTAGTTAACAGTTCTCGTTAACTCGAGTGTTCAAAGGGACTCGGTCCGGACTCCGCGATCTAGACTCGGGAGGATAGTCAGTCGTAGACTAGATCTGGTTAGACTACCAGACAAAGAACGAAGAAGCCTACTGTACAGTCGCTGGACGGGTAAATAGGGCAAGTTCTTGTCATGAATGTTATGATTGGTGCAATAACCTCGGCCGCAACTCTTCCGCCCATTTCCATCTTCCATAATCCCTGGAAAGTCATGGGCCGTTCGACCTCGGGTTAATTCTTAACGATCGCTTGACACCCGCCGGCTATGATTTGCGGCTTTAGGAGGAACCGGTGAAATTCCTTAAGCTACCCTTGTCCCTCTTGACTCCTCCCCGTGTCTCCGCGAGGACACTCCGGCGGACCATTTCATTCATTGTTTGTTCTCCCTTTGCGTCTCATTTTTGAGTTGGAAGGGGGATAGACGGTGGTTGATGGGTTTAGGAATTTGGAATATAGTCTAACCCATGTTGTGTACTACAAAGAACAGTACACATCTTTCTTTGATGCTCATCTCAAGCCTCATGATGTGATAGCCATATTATTGAGACGGTCGGTGGTTATTTGATTCTTAGGATCCGGCTATTTGTCCGGTTCAACGCTCAACCCTCCGCTCCTCCGTGTGGAGAAAGACGGGGAAGTGCCCGACGCGGAAACCGTTACTATTACCGTAGCCTATTATTTAGAATTCCTTTTCTCTTCCAATCAGAATTTCTCGTCGAGGCCACAAATTAGGATTTGACGGATTCAAACGGATTTCCTCTCCAGCAACGGACCCGGCCGTTTTCTTCTTCCCACGGTGCCTACTATTGTACGGAGTATGTATTAGACTATTTAGGCGCGGGAATAGAGAATAGGAGAGAGTGTCAAGTAACAATCTAATTTGTTTATTTATTATTTTTTTCATCAACTAGCGTGCCTCGTGCCTCTCTAGAGAAGTTCCAGAGGCCAGTTCGTGGATCGGGGAGACCCTCTCTTGGGCACCAGCAAATAATAAACGACCCCACGGGCTCTGGGCCAGACTTTCTCTTCCCGAGAACTGGATCCGGTGTCGGGACGAGGACGGAAGAACTCGTTCAGTTCATAGCGGAGAATCTCCATTCTGTGGAACTGGGGAAAGTTTTCGAGATCCCTCGGCTTTTGAATACTGTAATGTGTAGTGAGATTCCGGAAAGATGGGGGAGTCATAAACTCATAAAAGAAGTCGTTTCGTCTTCCGGTCGCGCGCGCCCGATATTTCTTTAATGTGATTATTCCTATCTCTATCCAACGCTACTGCAGACTTCAACTGGAACTATCGATCTTGACTCGACTATCTCCCGTCTACTGTACTTTGGACATCCCGTCTACACTATCCCGTCCACATCAAAGAAACGGTGTCGACGTGTTTGCTCCAATCTTCAATCGATACATCCTCGATTGCCCTACAATCGTCTATCATCCCTAGGTACCCTCCGAAGCGGTGAATTCCGGTGGTTAACCGATTGACATCGAGGCTGGGGTACATTCCAACCCTTCACCGCAAGAAGACAATCTGATTTACTGGCGGATCAGATTCCCCGCTGCAACTCATTTCGTTCCGCCCTTTCGGGGAACCTTTTTTACTCTCCAAGTGCAACAGATCGTTGGGGTTTGACCGCAAGGGATGCACATATTCCTGGGGATCTCCAGCATTCCTCGGAAATCCGAAAAAAAGGACCACAGATCCAAGATCATTGATCTAGGATCAATATTATGATCTTGGGAATCCCTCGGAGATTCCTCATCGACAAGAGTACTATCTACTACTACATAGTAGTACTGTAGTAGTACTTTGTTTTGATTCTGATCTCTCGACTGGCAGGATTAAACAATTGTCATCCGATCTTCCCCGCGGACACCGCGAGATTCCGATACATTGTTCTAAGGGCGGCTGTCAAATAATCCCAGTTCTTATTTCTTCTTTTCCCAGTGGGCCAGTCCGATTTGTTGATCCGTTCACGTTGATTGACGGATCGTCCGCCTCACTGCACGGAAGCTGCTTCCGCCTGATTGTCGGGTCCTTTTGGCTGAAAAGGGAAAAATAGAAATTAAGAAATTAAGAAATTCAGGAATTCATTTATTGAATTTCTATTTTTCTTATTTTCTTTTCTTTTATTTTCTGTCTCAGTCGGGAACTGCAAGGGTACGGCGGCAGTCTAGAAGGCCTTTCCCCGGCTTTGATCTTCAGATGTACACCGTCTCTGATAAACTTCCTCGACTCATCCACTTTATTTCTTCTTACCTGTCACCGTCTCTTTAACCCTGACTCCCACACTCACCCTTTTATATCCTCTCTCCTCTCCACTCCTCTATCCACAACCCATCTCTACAATACTCACCTCCTCGACATACTCAACTATCACACTCACCACCACAATGATCCCTATCCAGTCGCGCATACGCGACATGGCTCTGGCCAAGGCCAGCGCCGTGGCTCCCGTGGCCAGCACCGATCCAGCACAAGTTTGCTTCTCCTGGAGTGGCAGCTCCTTTGAATGCTCGCCTCTCTCTAACCCATCTGCTCCTCCTCCCACACCAACCGACTCTCTCCTCGACATCCACCCACGCAAGTCTTCATTCTCTAGCGAGTATGGTATGGGAGCCGCCTGTGCTTTCCCATCCTGGCCCAAAGGACCTTCTCTCTCAACGGACGACTCTCACGATACCTTGACCAACGCCTATCTCTCCGACGAAGACCTGCTCTGGATGCCCGAGAACGCCGGTGTCGAGCCCCCCGAGCTCGATGAGGAAGCCACCAAGACCCACGAGATGGTCTCTTCCATGACTATGGAGCAACAGTTGGCGCGCATGCGAGCCGTCGCCGAGGAAGAAGATCGCCTTCGCTTCCTCGCCAAGGTCGAGGCCCACGCCCGCGCCACCCAGGCTCTCCGACAGACCAAGTTGGCTATGCACGATCGCGACACTACCCCCTCCAAGCGCAAGAAGCGTCGCGTCGTTCCAACTCCCAAGCGACGTGCTCACTCGTCCTCGGCCAAGGTATCGATGGGAACGCACTGAACGTGATCGCACCCTGATGTATTATCTCGGTGCGGCGCGGGCGCTTCTCCGATCCTTAATGACTTCGCTTCTTGGGACTTATTGCGCGAGCGCGATAGCCTCCTTGTCTTTCAACATTACTTTTTTTATCCTCCCTTTTACTTCGCTTCACTTGCTATCAACCAGCAAACACTATGACCACCACCCCCACGTCTCTTTTACCCCTCCTATGCGGAGCCTGGAGACAGCCCCCCATCGGGCTCCGAGTTGTTTATCGTGCACCCGTGATACTCCGCGCGCCCCCAACGAATCATATCACGGGGCGTAGGCAGCTGCGAGATCCGTCAGCAGCTGCCGATCGCATGGGCCATTTCTGCCATAAGGCCAAGTTCCTCGGAGCCCAAGATGACGCCTTATCCAAGGCGATCTACCCCCGCGCTTACCTAATTTCTCTACGCTGTCGGCGCTTCCAGAAATCCTGGCCCCAGTGTACTCTGCAAAGTACTCTACCACGGAGTACTCTACTACGAAGCTACTGCTCTTTCACCGCTGGTTGCCCCCCCTTTGACTCATACTTCGTTTTACTTTTTCGTCGATTCCCTCCGACACTTTCTCGCATGGAGTTTGCAGCGTCCTTGATTTTTGTTTTCCCTGATGATTTTCTTCTCTCGATCGCATTCCATTTTCCGCATTATTCCCTGGGTCGTCTGACTCTTGCATCCCCGAAACGGCCCCGGTGTTTTCTTTTCTTTTTTTATTATTAGCCTTGCTTTCCTGCCTACTTCATATTGATTCCCCCCGATTATGTACTTCCCATTATCATGTCTGCCCCGTTATAGCGCTATTGTCATGTCCCTTAGATACCCAACTGTGTATGTAGCTAGTTTTACTTTTTTCGTGTCATGCATATATTCATTTTATCCATCTACTTCCTGTCCCTCCTAGTTATTTTCGTCTCTTAGTATCCTTATTTTGTATTTTATCCGCTCCCGCGCACTGCGCTATCGGGGGGTGATTTCCCATCGCCCTGCGCACGCCACACGCCACCACTTCACCTGTTTATGTGTTCCCCCTCCCCCTCACCCCTGCACCCGTTCATCCCGCCATGGGAGATCCGCGAGCCGCGACTGTCGGTGTGAGCTGGCTGATGGCCGTCGCGTGAGAGATGAGGACTTGGACACGGTACTTATTACCGTTGGGCACGCAGTTCTGGTGCTATGATCTTGTTTTTTTATCGGTCGGGTTTTCTTGTTAAGTCGCCTAGCTTTACTTTAGTCTAGATCTCGCAATCTGATTAAATTTTCATTTTGAAATAAAAATTTTTATTTTAGAGTATGACACATTCTTATTGTCGTACTTGACTATTGTAGATGTAGATGTAGATGTATAATGCTTACTGGAGTAGGTGTTAGCACCGCCCGTATACAACACAACACACGAGCACCCCCGTGTCCCGCGATAAAAATGGAACAGGCCCCCCTCGAATAGTAAATCATCGTACATACTCGATCATTAACGCAGCCTAACCTAGACTAATATGGATAATTTTCGCCTTCAGCCCTGTCTCGCCTTGTCCGTCTTACCCTGCTCTCGCCTCGTGTGTAGATACAACGTGGTAGTCGCTTATCCCTTATCGGGTATTACGACTGGCACCTAAACCGGGCCTTGAATATTCTTCATTTTGGATAGTGGAGAGGTGACTGTGACTCGCGTCTGACGGATGGGGCTGCAGATGACATGCAACGGTGAGATCTTGAAGTTGGTGGGGGTTTGGGAGAGTTTGACGTAGTGGATGCTAGGTGGGGGTTGGGGATGTGATGTGATTGATAATTACGTGAATGGATTATTAGTATTAGGATGGATGGGTTGGGTACTTTCTAGGCAGTGTTGGATTAGAGTATGATTTGTATAGACAGGTAGTAACCTGGATGATATGAATAATCGCAAGATGTAACCAGACACAAATCATCCACTCGCGATCCGAGTCCTCGATCTAGAATTGGAATGTACAACAGCTACTGTATGCCGTAACCTAGGAAATCCGATTTCAAATCCCAAGTCACGCTCACGCAACGCTGGCAAATCTGACTCTAACTCCCATTCCAACCAAGATACGGCAACACGAAAGAATATCTGACGTTGGCACTGGGTGTCATTGCATTTGTGTCACCGGGGGAGAGGGGGGATACATCTACTTATAGCCCCCCCTCGTATACTCATCTTTTACTAGGAACGGCGACTCCGACCGTCATCTGATACGGGTTTTCGCCCCAACGCTGGATGTACCATTATGTACCGTGAAGAGTCGGTGAATTGGACAAAAGTCCCATAAGATTGGAAGATCTGTCAAGGAGGACTTGGGCCTGATAATAATGCAGTTCGTTGTATGCATGAAAGGAAGTACCGCGCATATCTGGTACGCCAACGCCATGCAGAATGTGTATAGCGCCACTACAGTATTAGATCTTGAATAATCCCATGGTCTTAGTTAGGTAAGGCTGTCTCAGGATAAATGTGTAGCCCCGGTTAAATACTATTTCTCCTTAACATAGTATACTCCATACTCCACTCCATAGTCTATTCTAGATCCCCCCCAACCTTCAATCAAAAAACAAGAAAAGGCCCATTATCACCCTCATTCTCCCTCGCATAAGGAATCCACCCCCCAACCCGATGATACTCCCCCCTCCCCCAAAAAGCCTTCAAAAACCTCAACGCCGAAAAATTACACCAAATCCCCATCGCCGCTAACAACTCCCTAAACCGTCCCTCCACAGCCTCCTGTCTACCCTGGTCAACCCAGCATTCCGTCCCGGCAATGAAAAGCGGTACGAAAATATCATGCGAGAAGCTATGTACCGGGCCGGCGGTTAGGAATTCGATTTCCGCTAGTAAGATCGGGAGGGAGGTCCCTATTTCGGCGGTTGCTTCGGGGAGAGGGGCGAGCGATTGGTAGGCATAGATTAGACTGGCGTGGTAGACGGCGCGGACGATTGAGTGCATCCATTTCTGCGTGTTGGTGCCGTGCGTTGTGATTAGGCGGGTTGTATCGGCTGAGGCTCGGGCGTGGGCTAGATCGACTTTTGCGCGCCAGGGGGCCATGTCGATTGGTGCAGGGGACGGGGGTTGTGATTGGTTTGCATTTTCTTGGGCTTGGACTTTTTGGGAGAGGGTATATCGGCGTCTTTCTTCGGCGGTGATTTCGCGGAAGACGCCCGTGAAGGTGTGGAAGTAGTCGTCTAGTAGGATTGATTTTGAGCGGGGGTGGAGGGCGTCCGTTATAAAGGGTTGTTCGATGGAAAAAGCGCCGATGTTGCGGAAGACTTCTATGTCGGCGACTTCCCGGATGATAAAGTCGATTGCGGCGTTGGGATGTGTGCTGTGTCTGTTGCGCCAGGTGTATCGCTCGATGAGGACGCGACAGGCGTGGAGGTGGAGATTCCAGTCTGTTGAGTGCGGGATGAGCATTTCTCCGTAGCAAAGAACTAATGTCGTTGCTAGGATTTCGATCAAGGTTGAGTCCCGGGAGAGGTGGTCGGTGGTTGAGTGGTAGTTTGCTAGCTCGGTGTTGATCTTTTGGTTTAGCATGTGGAGACTTGCATCACGGAGGCGGTGGTTGATGCTTTGAGGTGTAGCTGTTGCAGAGGGGATATTTGATGATGTGAATGATAAATGGGCTGCTGCGACACTGAGGATTGAGAGACCAAGACATCGTGAACGCTGTGCGAGAGGTGCGATGACTTTGCGCCATGGATGGTCCGGTCGGTCAACCCATGTCAATCGGGGAGCGACTTTGATGTTGAAATGAGTGAACAGATTCCGCGATAGAATGGCTGATGTATAGCTATCAACCAAGGGCCTGTCGATTGTCGGCGATGGTGTTCTTGTTATTGATATTGGAGAGTTCTGATCCATCCTGGGGACAATATCTCGTCCAGGAGAAACTCCAACTCTGGGAACTAGAGCAGCACTCGATATATCTGCATCATTGGTGTTGGTGCTAGATTGACTGGTCGATGACCTTTCGGACGGCTTCTGTATCCTAGTGACACCAAGACCCCATTTGAGTTGAATCGCATCATACCCGGGGCATTGAAACTCGCGAATGGTACATTTGCGGCATCGTGGAGTACTCCGGTCGCATTTAATGCGGCGCTTGATGCATCGCCGGCAATCTAGAAAGGGTCAGACAGGGTAATGAACAGGGGACATCCGGGACGAGCCTACCTTTGGCCGCGGTCTGCCGATCCGGGGGTAAAGAGGAGATGCGAACGTTGAGCATTTTATTAACCGAGCTCAGTCCGAGGACCTAGACCTATGGCTGGAGTAGGGTATGGTGAGACATGGCCCTATAATCAGGTACCGCATCAACTGGGGCGTTGAGGTCTCTCGATCCCGATCTGCTTCTGATTTGGATGGTCGGTCGTTGGTCTTTTTCCGTTGCGAGGCGAATTTCTCCTTTTACCGACCCCGCAAAATGGAACGTGGGAAATCTGGTGGATCTTGCAACGGCCAATGAGATTGGGATGATAAGTTACCAATGTGAACTCTATTTCTCCAGTATTTTTCCATTGATTCACATGGTCCTTAAATTTGCTGATCAAAGGAAGGAGAGAGCAGTCTGTATGATATTTTGGAAATGCTGTATGGTAGAAATAGTCAAGACTTCTCGTACATCAAAATATCTGCCCTAGCTCCGTAGAAACTCTCTTACGGCATCTGCCCATTTCTCCCCATTTTTGTAAGTGAACATTTCACGTACACTTCCATTCTCAAGCCCATCTATAGCCTGCGCAAGATCTTCGCCACTGCCTTCGGCTTTAATTTCTTGAATTGGGTAGAGATAAGTGTGAAAAGCAAAGACAATGGCTCCGGACTTCGGGAGACGGTGAAGGGTTTGGCGCTCGCATCGCAAGAATGTCTGCATACAAACATGTCTTAATTATGACACCAATACATTTAAATGGATGGGAACATACCTTATCCAGATCCAGGTCCTCCACGGATAACTTCTTCAACTTCCCTTCGAATGCTGGTGCACTCTTATCAAAATTTGAGAACAGCTCCTCATCTACAGTAAGACCCCAATTGACCCGTTTCACGTAGCGACCTGGCTCGAGTCGAGCGAAGAACCGATCCATACTTTTCTGCAACTTCTCCTTATACCCAGGTACCGGACCATGGATATCAGCTAACTTTTTGCCGATTTTCTCCTTGGGCTGGAATCCGGACGGGAAGCATGCGGCGTAAGCTTCGAGAAAGTAAATATCTTCGCTGTTGTCGCCTTGCTTTCGAGGAAAGAGAATGAAAAAGTCTTCATCAACGTTCTGTGCGATCGTTTTCAAGGCGATGTGCAAAGGTGTTGAATCTGACATGGTCATCGGCAGAGCTTGCCGCGTTAACAAGTTCTCTAACATACAGCGAGAGTTGTTTTTGTCCTCATATTTCTTGAATACAGTCGGATAGCGGACGGGAAGATAAGTCTGGAAGAGGTAATCGTATAGCTCTTGCACCGCAAGTCGAATCTTTGCGTCTGATTCATTCGTAATTCCGACAATATCATCGAAATATTGTTGAAGAAGTGATTCTCGAAGATGCAGACGCTCCGAGTATGTCTGGTCGAACAGCAACCAATCGTTGCGGTCCAATGTCTCAATGCCTGGGAGTTTCACGTAAGATGCGCAGCTTTTGTCTGTGAATCGGGTTAACTTCAAACATACCCATGGTCAAATGATACTTTGGCTTGAACGGTCGAAAGACAGGAGGAATGGTGGAGCCTAGGTCGAAGTTTTCGATCGGTTCAATCTTGGTGAGATCTTTGGCTGCAACCTTGCTGATGACTGAAGCCTTTGTGCTATACCTGGAGCTTTGATAAATCCGCACTGAAAATAGAAGTACCGCGATTATCAAAGCCCACCAGAGGATCGAAACTGAAACGGGCCCGAGAGAACCTTTTGGTTGGATGATCACGGGCCATTCCGAAGTGCTAGCCAAGCCGAAGAGCCCAGCGTCCATCTCGTCTGGGTCAGAGTGACTCAGTCAGTGAAAACGCACAGAGCAGCTCGATCTGAAGACCTAGGCGTTGAATATTGCGATGGGATGTTGGAAGTGATTCATTGTGAACCCTCGGGTGAGAGTTACTCATCCGATGTCGGGATTGTGGGGTAGCCGCTCAGTACAGTGAGCGTTCTCAGCGTAGTTTTCATGATTGGGATAAGAATATGGAGATAATGAGGTAGATATGCCCAGGCAAACTCTGTTCGCATTTATCATTGGCAGTTCAAGCAAGAGGGGGAGATATACTCCACTTTCCATGTCATTATCTCATAAAAGTTACCGTCTTGGGATTAGCCGACTTGCCATATCCAATCAGACCAATTAACAATTACCCGCTCAGAGTTGCAAGCTAAATAACGCCCAAATAATGTATCAGAATGGTTGAAGAGTTTAAGGGTTCAGCGAAATCATAGATGACTCGATGCTGATTTAAATTAACATCATATTCATGGTGTTGGCGATGAATGTCCATATAGAACGATATGGATGGCATCTTCTTTTTATGAGTTGGTCTTGTAAATGACCACTACTTTCTAAGCTGGGCCATGGCCTTATTTTTGGATCGACATGCCATGCGATGGCTATCACTCACCTTCTACACGGGGTTATTTGCCCATGCTCAAGAACAATGGCCAATAAACTTCTCCGCGTCACCTCTTCACTACATTCAGAAATGTCTTTTGAAACAAGTGAGTATGCATTCCAACAAATGTGTGATGATTAAGGACGTAGGCTATATACTTGTGACTTATAATATCCATTGAGACTTGGTGAAAACTCTGGAAGAATGTACGAAACGAAATATCATCAGTCACCGATGCTGGGCAAGCCCACTATCACTGGGCTTGCGAATAATCAACGTGCGTCCTACAAGACCATTAAGGAACCATGAGGATCCCACAGAGTGAGATACAAAGATTGTATCTCAGCAAAGCAGACACTATGAGCGCCAGCCCATCCACCGTTGAATGTTTATCATTTAACATGAGATGCAAGGAAGCTAGCAGCATCACCAGCATTCGCACCATAAGTCAGATGCGCTGCAGTGATGAACAAAGTTCCATCACAGACCAAATCACCTACTGCACAGTAAACCTTGGTTTGATCCTTCGGGTATCCAGGAATTCTGCCTGCATCCTGGAGATTGCGGGTGAATCCGAACAGAACCACTGCTTTGACCTTATCCCTCACGTCCGAGGATAGCTTTTGAATTGCGTTATCGATGACAGCACTCCCCTGACTATGAAGCTCGTTAGATAATAGTTCGTTGATGGTGATTGGGTTTGACATACCTATAACCACCGGCGACAATCTTCGCGTTGGGGCATTTGGTATTGCACTCGTTGAACACATCCACGGCAGCTTGAATGTCTTGCGGTGCGGTGTTTTGAGGGAGGAAGTTTTCTCCCAGACCGGCTGTGTAGGCACCACCGATACCTTGACAGCCAACGTTGCCTCCCAGCTGGAGAGCTAAATCGTCACAGACTTCGGGACCAACGACGGTGCCCTAAAACGTTAGCGAGGCTTTTCTTTTTCCAACGAGTTCCAGTCTTACCATATTGCCGACTTCAGTCGATCCTCGAGCAAAGAGAAACATAACATCTTTGCAATTTCCCGACGTCAGGTCATTAGCGGAGATGTATTGACGGGGGTCCAATTGGGTGGGTGATGCCGCAATCAAGGGAGCCAGCAGTAACGGAAGGAAAGCCTGGAGAAACATTATACAGATTTAAAAAGAGATACGCTTTCGAGACTTCTGCTCTTGTTGAATGTACTCAGAGAGGTCTATGAAGAAGATTAAATAATTTTGGAGTGCCCATAGTATTACACATGGCTGGAATGAGTAGAGACCGAAAATTGAGACTTCGGGTAGACCCTCCCAGGAAACAGTGTCTCAGGCATCCCCAAAAACGAATGATCTCTGATTATTTGGCTGGACAAGCATTTAGATTAATATATCTATGATTGCGATTATCCGCCGATATTTGGTCCAATCGAAACAGTACAGGCCTCGGTAAAAGCCTCGGTCTCAATCGTAGCCTGGTGAAGCCCACCCTCTGCCAGGAATCCTAGATACAGGTGCTATCGGTAAGAAAGCTACTAATGCTGACATAACAGTGTGATAAGGAGTTTGGAGTTATTGTGAGAGATACATGAAAATAGGAAATTCCAGGGCCGTGGTTGAGAAACTGCTAGCGATTAATGCCCAAGATACCATACTAGTATCTAGTTTGTGGCAGCCAATAAGCATGTTTCAACAATGCACGGTTGTATACTTGAGTAAACATTGTAGTATTCCATGGTTCCTCAGCTCACATAGTCTATCGTAATATCTCTTCTTCGAGTATGATGAGGACCGTCTTCTTTGCGACCTTGGTAGCTTTACAGCAATTCCGGTAGGGACCCTCTTTTCGCGCTCTGGACAACGCGCTCTTATCTAAAAGCATCCAGACAATTGCGACATACTGCCCTGAATTTCATTTCTAATGGCCTTCAGAAGATGAATCTGGGAAAAGAGCTCGAGGGCCCGATCGGGTTGCTGATAGATACGCCTAATTGGCGCAGGGGCCTCGCGAATGTGCCTCGTAGTCTGATGGCAGAGTGCAGTGCTTGAGAACTAGAACTTTGTATCTCTCGTGATGTAGTCTACAAATCTCGACATACACTAAGTACAGTGCATAAAGTCAATTAATTACCGGGAATCATGTATGTCAACGCAGAAATCTAAAGACCTTTACCAAACAATTCCTCCCCAACCTCCTTCAACAACGGCTCCTTCTGCAAAGCCGGAATCTTAACTTTAGCAGCAACAGTCTCTCCCACACTCATCGCACGGCAAAGATCAATCAACATCCCATCAACGGGTGCCTCATAAACGAACAGGCCTAGAGCAAATAAAAGACCATGCAGCGCTTCGGGACTTTGATCCTCCCGCGAAACGGCTTCCAACAAGGACGCAGTCAATTCGACCTGGTCCTCTTCCGGGAGGCGATCGGGATGTCCATCGAAACGGGCATTATGATTGAATGCAGCGAGATTATACGCGAATGAAGCAGCGACCACGCGGAGGTTAGATTGCGAGTCGAGAAGGGAGTTTGTCGCGAGACGGAGGCAGGTTTCCCGCAGGGCAGAGGAAGGTGAGGCGAGTTGGTCTGGGTAGAGTGGGGTGCTGAATAGGTTGCAAGCGAGTTGGAGCGCGACTATGCGGAGGTTGTAGGGGCATGAGGATAGGTCTTCTTGGGAGAGGGGTGCAAGGAGAGTGAGGAGCGTGGTGTGGTTGGTTTCCTCGGCAAAGTAGCCGCTCACGCGGGGGTCGAGGAATAGGAGGCGGATAAGATCAACGACTGCGAAGTGGCTGTCGCTGGGAAGAGTGGCGTAGATTGCTTGTAAAGTCGTAGCGAAGGCGTGGAGATCTGGCACCCGGATATCTGCTGCGGGCGTATTATCGTTGCTTGCGGAATGGCGAAGCTTGACAAATTCTATGACTGGCCCGACAGTCGGCGACTCTTTGAATGCCGCTGGAAGCTTTTGCACGAGCTTCTCCAAAGGCGGGACCTTTTTGTACATGACGAAATTGGTAATGTTGCGCTGGAGACTGGGAAGTCGTAAATTTCTATGCGGGTGCGGTGGATTTGCCTGCTCAAGAAGCATTCGCACCCTGCCCTTAAGCTGGGCTGGATTAGCACCGCTCCATTGATCCTGTTTCTGGCCCTTGAGGAAGGTCATGAAAGTGGGCGTCGCGCGCACGTTGTACTTCCTGCTCACGTCGTAGGCTGAGCCGACATCCACCTTGATGAGCCTTCCATGTTCACCGACCTCCTCTGCGAGCTCGTCATATGTTGGATAGACGATTTTGCAGGGTGGGCACGTCGATGAAGTAAAGAAAATCACGGCGCAAGAGTTTGATGCAGCTCTCAAGTGGTTTTCTAGCTGTGACAAATTGCTGACATTGTGAACTCTGCCGACTATCGGAGGAGCTGGTGCCATGGATGGAGGCGTCACAGGAGCCTGAGAAGGCCTTGCTGCTGTGGGTTGAGCGCTTGGTCCAGGAACCGGACCCAGACCGGAGCCCTGGGTCACGCCTTTTAGAGCTGCCTCGATCTGCGGCTTCATCATTTGGCCGAAGGGGGTCTCTAAGAAAGTGCGAGGCAGATTCCTGATATGATCGGGAATGCTCTTGCCCACTAGAAACATGGCGAAATCTTGCGTAAAGTTATTGCAGTTGTGCAGGAATAGGTCGTAGGACTGTAACGGGTCAGAGTCAGATACTCATAAACTCGGTGATTTCAGGTAGTGACAGACCTCCGGAGTATAGATGGCGGCTAGAGAGCCAAGATATTCTTCAATCACCTCACTGGGGAGCTCAGTCTTCCCCATATGGACCCTTTCAATTGGCTGTCCATGGTGAGTACTACCCGGGGCGGCAGTCTGAATGCCTTGACCAAAGTAGTACTCAACCCCACTGATGACCAGTGAGGTGTGATAGATGGCATCTATTTGTGTCCCTGTCAAGGGTTGAGAGTACTGATCATCATATCATGTCAGAACGGGCATTTCTTTGGCGGATACTTTATTTCGCGATACGCTGGAATATGACTTACCACTCGCGCAAGACCCTGTAGATTAATTAGTTACTCTGCGCTCAATCAGAGAAAAGGGAGTACTCACTTTAGACAGGTCGTAGACGTAGAGCTCAACATCCATGGTGACGGTGTATTCGAAATCGAGACAACGAGAATCAAGGCCCGTCCACGCGTTGATATGCGCCAGCTCTGGGCAGGCACCAGGCGGATCACGTCAGCACCACAAGGGCCCTTCGGAGGCTTTCGACCGACTTCTCCTCTTTGAGCCTCGGAATCACCAACGGGGAAGACCTAAATTTCTCGTGATCGGCACTGGATCTAGAAGTATATGCATGCTTATTTTTGAAAAGAATACTAGAGCACTTACGTTTTGAAAAGAAGGATTTTGCCCGTCGCGAGAGCTACTATAAGCTTCCATCTCAATCAACGTCATTGATCAGCGACACGAGAGACAAGAAAAACAGTCTAGTCTTTTAGATTTGTGAGTTAATCTTAGGTAGAGTTCATGATAAGAATCTATGCAATATCTCAGTAGACAGAATATTATTATGAAGACAAAGTAGGAACTGGAAGCTGTCCATACTGTATAAACCTTCGGCCAATCCGCACCTCCGCACATCCCCAACTTCGCAATCGCGATCTCCATCTCGCATTCCACCTACACTTCCACCAGCTCCAACCCCAACCACAAGCTGCGCAACCCTCTCCTGGGCTAGAGTCATGGTATTCCCATCCACCAACATATCCCATCACAAATCAAACAACCTCCAACTAACACCCTCCTCCCCACAGCCGCCCAAGAGGCGCGGAGCTCCCACCAGCTCCTCCACCACCGCCACCGCAGCCCCCAGGCGCGCACGCTCCAAACTCGCAAAAGAGAACGACATCACCGCCGAAGAAGAAAACGAAATAAAAGAAGTCTTCCAACTCTTCGCCGACGCAAACGAGGACTTCCCCACCGAGAAAGATGGCGTCATGCCGCGCGAGGACGTGCGCAAAGCTATGGTGTACGCTCCATCCCACCGCTCTCTTGAAAGAACCCTAGAATCACGATCTACAATCATGACCCAGACCTCCATATACCCATTCCTCACAATACTGACCCCGCTGTCTCCGCAGAGCCCTCGGCGTCCCACCAACAGACTCAACCGAACTCGCCGACATCCTCTCCGCCGTCGACCCAACCTCCACGGGCTCCGTCCCCTACAGCGCCTTCGTCTCCGCCGTCGCCGCAAAGCTACGCTCCCAAGATGACGATGCCCGAGCCGCCGAAGTAGACACCGCGTACCAGCTATTCACGCGCGGCTCGGACGGACCGATCTCGCTGAGCCATTTGCGGCGCATCGCGCGCGAGCTCAAGGAGGACTCTGTTGATGACAATTTGCTTAAGGATATGATTATCGAGGCGAATGGGGGTGCTGGGTTGAGTTCTGGCGTGACGCTGGAACAGTTTCATGATGTTATGATTCGGGCGGGGGTTTTTAAGATGTGATATTGGATTTGGCGGTGGGTCAGACGAGGGGGTTTGTTTCTGAAATTCTTGTTTCTGTTCGTGTACATCAATCATGGGTGTATTTCGGTTTGCGTGGGTTTTTATTTTGGATGTGATATATGGGCTACTTGTGGCGTTGGTGACTTGGAAAGGCGTTGATAATTGCATAGCGCTGAGAATACAATTCCTGCTTCATCTTGAGACATTATTTGAAGATTGCTGCCATTCCAAAGGGAAATGATAACTAACAAGGGGGAATCTTTCCGAAGGGGGTGTCCACGAATCTCTACAAGATGTTGCAGGCATAGCCCATTGGATAACTGCTGTTGCATTGTAGATACGTGCTGTCCTCTGTGCGAATAATCATGCGGTAGAGAGAAAAATAGGAATTAGGTCTGGTAATCAAGAAAGAAAAAGCCCCAGGGAAAAAAGCACTTCATGAGAATAACAAGAAAAAAGAAGGGGAGGACAGCAGAAGATAAGACCCGCGCATCAACTATCAAATTCCTCCGAATAAAACCCTGCAATCGATATCATGTTCAAGGGGGGCAGTAGCGATTGGGAATAGAAATCATGGTATGTGGATTGTTACATTTACTGAGAAAAAGTTAGTACATGAAGCAGCCTCATGAGCTAGCAAAGGACTTACGGAGATCTCGGCCATGCCGGTGTCCTCGCCGTTGGCAACCTGAGGAGCAGCGGTGACGGGGGCATTGCCCTGGGCGGGCGCATTCTCGTTGCTGAAGTAGTCGACCATCTCGGCATCGAGCTCCTCCACAGTCTTGGGCTTACCACGGCCCGCATTGCGGCCACGGCCGCCACGAGCAGCACCACGGCCGCCACGAGCCTTAGCCTTGTTGTTAGCGGGCTTGGGAGCAGTTGCGGGCTTGGGCTGAGACTTCTGACTGTCGAGGGGTTAGATTGAGTTCTTGAAGAATTGCCATTGAAGAAGAGACTTACACAACACGCTCAGCCAGAGGCTTGGGGGCGGGAACGGCCGGGGCGTGGGAGGCGTCGAAGACAACCTCGATCTGTTCCAATTGTTAGTATACGTTCAAAGTACTAAGGAGCAACTATCAGTCTCACCTTCATGGGACGGCCGTCAACGTGGAGTCCATTGAGCTCCTTGGCAGCCTTCAGGGCGGTGTCGGCCTTGCTGAAGATGATCGAAGCAATGCCACGGCTAGTGCCGTTCTGGTTGTAGGTGAGCATCACCTTCTTGACGGGACCTGCAGACTTGGCAAAGTATTCCTATAGCGAGAACAGGGAGGATCAGTATTTTGCCTGGAATTTCGAGCTTAGAGTCAAATGTGGTCGGGTGGTCGAGTGAAACAACGGCGACAGCGCGGAACCAAGACGAAGGGCAATCCAGAAGCGAAAGAGCATCAGCGAGCACGCAGCGGCGATAGAGCATCATGTCGAGTAAAATCCTCCCCAAAACGTGAACACCAGCACCATAGGTAACAAAAGGACAAAAGTAAATCTAGCCTCGCCCACAAAATTGTATCCCAAATCCCATTTTGCAGCAAAGTATCTTTCGGAATGCTACCACAGCACTCAATCACCAGCGGAGCGATAAGTCTTCGAACGAGGCAACGTAGGTCCGGAAAGCTTCGCTAATGCATGCCCACAAATTTTGCATTGCAGCTGACACGGGTACCCGTCAAAAGTTCTCGTAGTCACTCTCGAGGTGTGTTCACCCTCGTCGCGGGTGAGACGTTTTTCATGCCGATTGCCCGGCCTCACTGGGACGGGGTATCACCCCCTGAAGCAGTGGAATGGAATCCCTCGTCAATATTCTCGAGGAAACGTCTTTGCACTTATTGAAGTGCCTTTGCCGCTGCAAATAAAAACCCACTGGGGTGCTGATGCGCGCTCGCTGATGCTCGTCCAAAGCTCACAACACCAAGAAGGAATGGGTGAGAGAGAGAGAGATCTCAAAATACATTTGGCGAGGAGGTGTAATTCCAACCTCCAAACCTGGGCTCAATACAGAGGGTGTCATGCAGGTGAATCTCCCACAGTCAAGTAGGCATGGTCACAAGCAGGGGACATCTCACCGCGGTGTAAGGACAGAGCTCAACTTCCCGCTTCTGGAATGCCAGCCAGCAAGAATTTTTTATCTCTTCGCAGAAGCATTGGGAAGGAGCATCTTTGTCCGAGCCGGAAACACCGAGTGAATACCACACCAGGGGGTGGGGGTATGAGGAAGGAGATAAGAGTCGTGTACGCATGTCGACGTTGTTGGCACCTCGAGGGGTTCGAAACAAAGATGGCGATCAAAGCCAAGGCGCAAGCCTGTAGCTCAACATACCTTGATATTGGCCTCAGATACATCGGCAGGCTGACGATAGAGTTAGTAAATGCGCGATCGAATACAAGGAGGGTAAGAACAGGAGAACAACGTACCAGTCCGCTCACGATGATCTTGCTCGAAGCAGTCGGAGCAACGGGGGTGGGGTGAACGACCTTGGCCGTAGCCTTGGTGGCCTTGGAAGACTTCTTAACACCGCCAACGGAAGGCTTTGCGGGAGCGCGGCGACCAGCGCCACGGCGACGAGCGTTCTGGCGACGGTTGCCGACGAGATCGTCGAGAGACTTGTCCAGGTTGGCAGACATTCTGATAAGCTTGTGTAGTTGAAAGAGATAAGCAAAGCTGGCGATTTGCGATCACAAGCTGACAAGTCGCGACAAGAACGCGTAGTCGATGGCTACGAGATGTGTCACGGGCTGAGAGTGTTGAGATGTGAAGAAAGTGTGGTGATGGAAATTGATCGAGAGGTTGTCCCGGAGGAGAAGGGGAAAACCAGGAGGTGGGAGAGAGATGATGGGGGAAAGAGAGAGAGATGGAGGCGCGGGAAAGGATGGAAGCGGAGGGAAAGGGAGAGGAGGAGCGATGGGTCAGAGGGCACTAGTCTACTTTGGGAAGTCGGGCATCACCCGGGTTTTGCCTGTTTGCATCGAGGCTCTGGGGTTAATATTAAGATCGTCTTTGTTCATGATCTGAAACAATATACCATATGACTCGCCAATTCCCTCGATGCTGCCTACACGCTCTGTTACTCTTGGATTGATTGGATAGGTGGCAATCTTTCAAACTGGCGGATACATTTCAGCCCCCAGGCTACATAGCCCCCAAATCGCTGCCTGCTTGCGGCCCAGGTCAACATCGAGGTCAATAATAACGACGAACTTTCATAGAACCGGGGTAGAATTATTAGTTTCATTCTATGTAGGCGGCGAACAAAGACTATGGAATGACATCCCGCCAACTCCGTCCCAATAATAGAAAGGCTCAATGCCAATGGCAAACGCCATGTATGTGGCTGCAAAATCGAAATGACGCTTTCAAACAAACACCTGCAGACATGGAACATGAACAAGAAATAAGAAACACTAGCTCTTGAGAGCCTCCAGGCGGTCGCGCATCTGCGAAAGAGTCGCCTCTTGGTCCTCGAACTCCTCCTCGGGCTCGGCAGCGACGGGGGTTTCGTCAATGGGCTGAGTAACAGGGTTGGCAGGGGCCTGGGAGAGCTTGCCCTGTAGGATCTCTTGCAGGATCTTGTCCACTTCCTCCTCCGCCTCGTCGAGTTCATCTTCGAGTAACGAATTATCGGGCAAGGCGTCGTCCACGTATTCCTCAATGATTCCGGCTTTGACAAGCTCCGTCGAGAGTTGATGCATCGTAGACGTAAGTTCTGGCATGCGTACCAGCATGTTGACGTCCTTCATGATCGCCGTTGACTTTTGGAGACTGCCTTGAATCTTCCGAACCTGGAATGCTTCATTGACCTGCATGCCAACACTTTGTAGCTGGGCCCGACTCGTAGATAGACGAGTGGTCTGTTTCCGAATCCGCACGAGTTCCCTCGCAAATGTCTTGGTCTCGCTTATCGCTTGTTTGGCTTGCGACGGGTTGCGTTGTGCACGGCGGGAGGCATTGATGATATACTGGCGGGTCTTGCCATCTAAAGCTTTGAGTTGCATGAGGTCGCGATCAAGTTGCCGTGTATTTTGGCGAATAAGAGCATTGCATTTCCTCATCTAGACATTGCTAGTCAGAGGGGGGACTGGGACTTCACCTTGGGTGGGGTGGTTGGTGGGGGAATGCCTTACCTGGGCCTGAGGGTCTGGCCCAAAGAAGACAGCCTTGAGTGTTTCCATGATTATGAGTGTCGCTGGATTGTTTAATGCAACAGACGGGTATTGAGGGTAATTCAGTCGGTTGGGTGGTGATGGCAAGTGCTTCAACTGGGAATCAGGATGAGGACTGGCGTTGGGTGATGAGATGAATAGGTGTGAGCATTCTTTGGGTGGCAGTAGTAAAACAACTGTGATGTCTATCTTAGAGACGATTGTTGAGACCGGGAGCAAGACAAGGTGCCCTTGAGTCCCTGACTGCTCACTTGCATCTTATCAGTAGTATCGCGATGCCTGCAGCAAGAGAGGGGACTTTCGCTTAGTCAGATCAGTGACGTCCACTGCCCGGGCCCGTTCCACCGTCCCTCCTTACAGCCTCAGGCCACACACAGACAAACCAGGCAAACCACGGGGTTCCAGTACATTCTAACAGGTGATTGCGGACCAAGACGCTGCAGCGCGAGCTACTCCTCCCTCTCCCTACCCACGCTAACTTCTTCATCTCTTCGCTTCTTCTCTTTACTCCATCTTCCACTTTCCCCGCTTTACCTCCCATTTTTCCTTTCCTATAGGCAACATGTCCAACACCGTGCACCCCGAAGGTAAGTTGTGGTCAGCTCGACTTCCCCGCTCCAGCCCCAAACACTCCACCATGCACATTTTGCAACGGATTGCGACGCCAGTTCCGGATCCCCTGGGTCCAGATATACTGCGACCTCGCTCAATTCATAGATGATCGATTTTCGAACCATATCGCTAACTAGAGGTGTTTCTGGATTTTCAGTCACATGGGCTCAGCGCTCCTCCGACTCCGAGCCGGAGCGGAACTACCTCTACGTTAACCTCAAGACCCCCGATGTCCCCAAGGCCGATGCCAAGCTGAGCATTACTCCTTCCAATGTCTCTTTCACCGGTGCCTCTGGAAAGGGTGTCACGTACTCCGTCTCCCTCGACCTTTACGCCGAGATCGACCCCGAGAACAGCAAGGTCAACCACACCGACCGTGAGGTTGAGCTGGTCCTGCGCAAGAAGGAGCTCAAGATCGAGTACTGGCCCCGTCTCCTTAAGGACTCTAAGAAGGTCCACTTCTTGAAGACCGACTTCGACAAGGTACGCTTTTTTTCTCTCTTATTTTTTTTTCTGTTGCCTCGGCCTGGTGTTGGTGGGGGCGGGATGACGCTCAGCTCACTAACTGGGATACAGTGGGTCGACGAGGACGAGCAGGATGAGGCTGCTGAGGACGACTATGCCAACAACTTCGGTGGCTTCGGCGGTGACGAGGGTGGTGGTCTGAGCAACATTGACTTCTCCAAGCTCGGCGGCATGGGCGCCGGTGGCATGCCCGACCTGAGCGCCCTTGCCGGTGCTGCTGGCGGCGCTGAGGGTGCCGAGGGTGATGAGGAAGACGACGTAAGTGACGAGCATGCTGGTATAGCATTTGGCTTGCATAGATTTGACACTAACATTGGAACAACAGGATGAGCTTCCCGAGCTTGAGGAGGCCGATGGCAAGTCCAAGATCCAGGAGGTTTCTTAAATTATTTGAGCTATTATTACCCTTTTCTACGGAATCTTTGATGACCAGAAATGAAAAATCTGGGTGCTGCTGATGCGCCTGCGAACTGATATGCCGGAGATCTACTGGATTTTTGCTGGGGAGTTCCCCCCTTGTTTGTAGAGCGAAGCAACACAGCCCAGCTTGTTGAGCCATTTGTACCTCGTTGGCATGCTTGATCCACGAGGCATAATTTTAGGGAGCCATTTGATGAATGAATGCAGTGGTTATGAATCTTAATTGGAGTAAACAAGCCCTAGAGAACACACAATACGTAAGCCTGGTCATGTAGTAGAGCACACCATGCTAGGTAAATTACCGTATACTCCTCCAAGGAATTGCCTCCAGGATTTCCAATGCACTTCAAGAATTCTTCACGTATTATGATACCGACTAACCAGCAAATTTCGGGACATTGCTAGTCAACCGCGTGGCCAGCAAGAGTCTCGTTAAGAGCCTGGCGATGACGCAAAGTGTCGCTCCTCAGCCGAAGACAGCACAAAAATCGATAATAGAGTGGAGCATGTGTGACATATTGAAAGGAATACTGCCAGACCACTTGATCTCCAGAACCATTTGATACTCTCATTTATTTAAATAGTAGTTCACTTAGTTCTCCAGCGTATAGTCAAGCCTACTGTCGAGCGTTTGGGTATACTTGGCGGGCAACGGGCCGTCATTGGCTGATCAAAGATTGTGCCGCCACACTCACCCCTCGAATTTGTGGAGGGCTTCATCTTTCAACTCTTTCTCTCTCTCTCAACCCTACCTTTTCAACGTCCTAATCTCCTCCCCCCCCCCTTCTTCAAGTACCCCCGTCCACCATCCGGGATTTCCCTGTCTTTCTTTCAGGTTGCATCAGCGTTTCTTTCTCTCGCCTCGACTCAACCATCCCCGCGATCGGGCACATCTCACATTTTTATCCCACCACGAGCCTGTCCGGCGTGACCAACCACAACCGCCAACATGCCGCCCAAGAAGGCCGATGCGCCTAAGAAGAAGAAGGCCACTGTCGAGGACAAGGTATGTCATGTCTCCAATCGAAGCAATCTGCATAGACCAGCCTGCTAACCCTCCAATCTCAAAAACAGACTTTTGGCATGAAGAACGTACGTCAATTCCGGGAACGCCTTTTCGCGCACCGGAAATCACCCCGCCTCCTAAACGACAATCACTAATCTCGACCAACAGAAAAAAGGTGGTGCCGCCAAGAAACAGATCCAGCAGCTGCAGGCCATGGCCAAGTCCAACAAGGATCCCGATGCCAAGCGCAAAGAAGCCGAGAAGGAGAAGCGCGAGGCCGAGAAGAAGGCCGCCGAGTTGGCAAAGAAGGAGGCTGCAGACCTGTTCAAGCCCATCCAGGTACAGAAGGTTCCCTTCGGTGTTGACCCGAAGACTGTACTGTGCATGTTCCACAAGAAGGGTGGCTGTGAGAAGGGCAAGAAGTGCAAGTTCAGTCACGACTTGAACATTGAGCGCAAGGCGGCCAAGAAGGATCTTTACACCGACTCGCGTGACGCCGAAGAAGGCGAGGAGAAGAAGAAGGCCGATACTATGGATAACTGGGACGAGGAGAAGCTGCGCAGTGTCGTGCTTAGCAAGCACGGTAACCCACGGACGACGACCGATAAGGTGTGCAAGTACTTTATCGAGGCGGTTGAGAACCAGAAGTATGGTTGGTTCTGGGTCTGTCCGAACGGAGGCGATAAGTGCATGTATAAGCACAGCTTGCCGCCAGGGTATGTGGTTCACTCGGTGCTCTCTACAGTTGTGAATTTTCGAATACTAATACCTTGAATAGATTCGTTCTCAAGACTAAGGAGCAGAAGGCCGCTGAAAAGGCCCTCATGGATAAGTCGCCATTGAATACTCTTACGTTGGAGGATTGGCTGGAGTCGGAGCGGCACAAGCTGAATGGCACCTTGACGCCAGTCAACCCAGAGACCTTCGCCAAATGGAAGAAGGAGCGCCTGGACAAGAAGGCCGCCGAGGCGGAGGCACAGAAGGCCAAGGAGGCCACTGGTCGTGCGATGTTTGAGAGCGGAGACTGGAAGGACGAGGAGGATAGCAGTGAGGACGAGGACGAGGACGATGATGACCTCTGGAACTTGGCGGCCCTGCGGAATGAGACTGAGAGACTGCGTGAGCAAAAGGAGGAGGAGCGCTTGGCCAAGCTCTCTGGGGTGGAGATCCCTCTATCAAATGATGATGCTATTGCGCAGGAGGCTGCTGGTTGAGCTCCCTGAGCCCTCTCGCGAAATTAGTTTCGTGGGTCTCTAGGATCTGTTTCCTTTCAGGTCTTCCAGGAATCGACTTCACTGGTACGATTCCTCTGTCCAATGGGATCGGATATCCATGACGAGTGATCGCTGCTACGGCGTGTCACCCGTTCCTGCATCTTGAGATGTACAGACGGACGCTCGCTCTGAGTGACCTCGTTGTGCTCCTAGAGGCCCGGCCTACACTCTGGCTCAATTCTCTTTCTCCATGTCGGGTATTTGAAAGATCCGAAATGTGGATAGAGAAGGTGAATCAGCTGTTGGTAAAATATGGCAGGGTTGTGGAGGATCCTGTGTTTATGAGACGGAAGATTTAACGACTGATATCATTATATGGCAGCTTGCTTTTGGTAGCAAAAAGTCCGTTCATTCCCAGTATTGTTCGATTTCAATAGCAAATGATTCCTACCGACTCTCAAACCATTATTATCTAAGTAGCTTACTGGGGTTTGCAGTTTCTGCAAGGCCTGCAAACTCGAACAATATTGTGAGAGCTACGCTTTCTTAACGAGGGCTCACAATTTAGTTTGGTGGAAAACGTTTCCGACTTTGATTGTCGCTAGTCTACCCATTCTCAACTGTCCAATCTAATTCCCTGCCTAGCTATATACCTCCCACAACTCACCCATTCTACATCTCAACCCTATTTCCCTTCATATCCAATCGCCGCAGGCTTATCAGTAGCACTCTCATCACTATCAAACTTCTCACCCGAGTCCTCATGAACGACACTTTCGCGACGAACGCTCTCCCGACGAATAGCTTCCTCGAGATACTCAGGTTTAAGCTGACCGTGCTTATCATAGCGGTAGGGCTCCTTGATAGATATTTGCACAACGTCGAAGATGTTGGAAGACTTCTTGAAGATGGCGTCCATTTCCTCTAGGGATCGGTAGCGGGTTTCGGGGAAGAAGAAGTATACAGCCGGGAACATGAAGAAGTTGCTGTGATGCAGTTAGTTATTTTGAGTCGAGACTTCAGATTGGGAGAGAATGGTAGAGGGGTTATCTTACATCACGGCGAAAATGATATAGGTTTTATATTTGATGGTGTCGAATGCGACTGGGGTGACCATCACGACCATGAAGTTGAAGATCCAGTTGGCACTAGTGAGTATGTTGTTAGATCATAGTCCACGACTCCCGTGGGGGATATATGGCCTTACCTAGTGGCTAGTGCATTTGTCGGAGCACGAATACGCAGTGGCACGATCTCTGCTGGATATAGCCATGTCATACCAAGCCAACCGATGGCAAAGAATGTGTTGAAGACGAAAAGGAACACTGCTTGGCCGACACCGGCACCACTCTCGTTATAATGAGTCAGGCGATAGTTGGTGCCGGCGAGAATTGCCATGGAAATCGACATGCCAGCAGCCTATAGATCAAATTTTAATTAACAATCGATCCCCAGACCAGTGAGAAAGGATAAGGTACTTACGCCGAAAAGCATCAGTGGCCGACGTCCGACCTTCTCGATAATAAAGATGGGAATAAAGGAGGCCATGAAGTATTCTGTGCCATTACAGGCAGCCAATAGCTTGGGAAGATTACCTTCTCCAAGTCCGATTTGCTTATACAGCGAGGGTGCCTGAATCCATTGTATTAGCTCAAGTCTCGAAAGACAGTACTCCCAAGGAACTCACATAGTATGTAATAAGATTGATTCCAGAGATTTGCTGGAACATCTGGTTGACGTAGGCAAGAACCACACGATGGAATTCACGATACTCGCTCATCTTGAATAGACTTCTGAACGAACCCTTGTTCATTTCTTTAACCGTTTCTTGAATGGCGATGAGCTCATTCACGATGTAGGGGTCATCTCGGGGCTTCTCATTCAAGGCTTCGAGGATTTCCAAAGCTTCGTCTTCTCGACCTTGCATCACAAGCCAGCGAGGTGACTCAGGCAAATGAAGGATGGAGAAGAAAATTACGATGGCGAAGAGGATTTGGAATGCTAGCGGGAAACGCCATGCTACCTCCTTTTCACCGATAAAGGAAAAGCCTGTTTCGAATGATCAGCCCTGTATTTAATACTTTATGGAATGAATAAACTCTCACCGTAATTAATCCAGTAGCTAAGGCAAATGCCTCCCGTAATAAGCGAACCTTCAATCATGACCATCTTGCCACGATCGTGTGCCTTTGATGATTCTGACTGCCATGTTGGAACGGTACTCGTGTTCAGACCATTGCCAATGCCTGTGACAATGCGAGCAATGATAAATTGAGGCAATTGGAAGGAAGTCGATTGCAGCAATGCTCCAGTAGCCATTGTCATGCAGCCGCACAGAATAGTCTTGCGTCGGCCGAGTGGATTACCGATGAAGATACATAAGATGGAACCGACGAAGCATCCTAAATTATAGGACGCAACCGCAATACCTTGGTTCGTAGCACGCTGAGATCGTACGGCATCTGAAACCGTTTGATCAAGATTGTCGATATCGGGGAAGTACTTGATGAAGGACGGCAGGTCTAGTAGACCACCTGTGATACCTTGATCATAACCGAAAAGCCTTTTGTATGTACCAGTTAGCTATTGGGTTCGGCACTATCAGCGCCACTAGTGTCGCCAAGTGAGGAAAGTAAACAGTATCATACAAGAAATCAAGACTACCCAGGGAACTGATGGCCAAGTTTAACGACCGGCCCCGGAAGCCAAAGAACCTCGGAATACCAAACATCACGTCTTAGCAGCGCAAAGAAGTGAAGATCGCTCAAAAGCATCGAAAACCAAAAGAAATCAAGACATGATAGTTAACAGATTATATAGCATCCACATTTCCCCAGTCTACCTCCGGATGAACAAAAAGAGTAACCCGAGCTGTCCGGCCTCTATGGGGGGACCGTGAATGGGGTCGGCCAAGGTACGGGGAAAAGACGTGTGTGGCGGGGGACTGGGGGTAGTTGGGCAATTCCAGCCCACGGTAATGAGCATTTGGGGGCGGCTCGTCGGTCAAAATGTAACTGGTTCAATGACTCTTAACGACGCACGAAACATCTTGGCAATCGTATGGAAATAACTGGATGGTGATATAGCATCTCTTGGCGAGGGGTGTGGAATATCTTGGCAGCGGCATGGCACTCCTTGGCGTCTGCCTCGAAGGAACGGGCTAATGCACTGGCCGTTTGAATTTCTATTCCGTACTTTGCCGAAGGGGTCCCATATAGTAGGAAGAGTCCGAAATTACCATGTCAAGGCTCCACTTATGGCCCATCGCTTGCAATGAGGATTCCACCCCGGGGAACAAACTTGGAGAAACAGTGTGGGTCAAGGCATCCAACGGTGGCCCAACACCAGCGTGTGAAAGAGTTAGGCCATCTCATGTTGGAGATCTCGCATCGATAAGAATAGCTCAAATAAGTATCACAATTCCAATGTTGGAACAAGATAAACATGTTGGTAGATATGCGCCAAAAACGCCATGCCGCACGTGGATTCGAGCGATTGACCCAGCCAAGACGTTACAATGCAAGCCCTGGCAAGCCTCCCCTCGATCAGACACACGGGAGGCCGTGCAAAGAACGCCTTTTCTTGGCTTATCCAGGGTGGCTTGCCTTGGCTGAGCTCACAGAAACCGAGAGCCGGGAAAACATCACTAAGCAACTACGACCCGACATTGACTGATCCGAGTAAATGGGTAACTAACCCGAACAGATCCTGGAGGGCCTTATCCGCTTTCGGTATTGCGGGCAGATGGGTCGAGCAAATCAAAGGATGTTCACGGAATTCCGAAGTCTATCCATTAGGAAAGACTCCATGAGCACCAGTGATACGTGGTCGTAAACCTTTTCGAGGATCAGCCCATGCTGACACTTAATCGCGAGCCTTGCTAGGTGAGGCTGAGCTGGAGTACCCTTAACAAAGCAAAGCGAACGCCGCCCACACACATTGCTTTTTTGAGACATGAAAGGCCCTGACTTTATTATGTACTGCCTCTTAAGTAGATGAGGTTAAGTATGCTGGGATTACATATCTTCGATTGCCATTCTGAAACATGACTGAAACTTGTTTTTGTTTGTTCTTTCCTATGGAGAAACATATACACATTGTATATTCATGATGCCACCTGCAGTCGTTCTCATAACAAGTTTATGCCCTCAAAGTGGAGTCAGCTCTCAAATATAATGTTTGTCCCCATTGATTCCTATCGCCTACGAGAGAAGAAATACAGTTATTTCATGCTTGTGATTATAGAGATTTTCCGTATGATCTTGTTGTCATAAATGTAAAATAATTCCAACCTGTGCCCTGAAGCTTTATTGACAAAGTCAAGACAGATTTAGCTCTTGAAGAAACTACGACTACAAGCTCATAACAACTACAGGGGTGGGTCCGTTCTCATCTGGCGCGAAGAAGAATAAAGAATAAAGTGATTTATGCAGCATGCGGAGCAGCAGAAACTGATCATGCTGACTAGTGGATTCTCTAAAGCGAGACGCTCCATAGTCTATTCATGATAAGCTTTGGTCTTTCAGCCACTTTCGACGAACAGGAACGTTTTACGTTTCTTTTCAGCCTAATTGCTTGGCTCAATGATGACTGTAGAGTATATATCTCGTAACTACACTTGACTTTATTCATTCACTCATTGTCCAGTTTCGATAATCACTCTTTAAGATCAACCCGCTTCTGCAACATTGTATTTAACTATGCAATCGAGTATCTTTCTCATATATCATTACACTACTAGTCTGATGGGTGGAACAGAAAGATGGTTTAATGTGTCCTAGTCCTCAATGTAACAGTGCCACTCTTATTCTAGAATTTATGCACTCAAGCAAAAATAGCCTATTGTGAGCCTTCGGTGATGGAGTTCACAACTTTCTATAGTCGAAAACCACAAGCGCCAAATTTTCTCGTGATAGTTTCACTCCCTTTTGACGGCGCAAGGGGCTTCCAGGTTCAAAGAGTAGCATGAGAAAAAGATCCTAATCTATTTGAGACACAGTGGGCAGGACTGCATATTATGATAATGGCTGCTATTATTATATAGTTCAGGTGGTTAGAACTGGCTCCAGTTTCGATACAATACTCATAGAAGTTGCTTCGTGAATGAATGGGCTGGCATTCTTGTGCACCAAGTTTGCCGTTTATGAAAAACCTGCATCGAAGAAGTGGATCAATTGTCTCTATGTACCCATACAATTAAACATTAATAGGAGATAAAATGTTCACTCAAAATTGACTAGTCCTCAAAGCGCTGACTCCCAAGCTCCCGGGAGATTGAAGTCACCAAGTCCAGTGCACTCAGCCTTGTCATCACATAGAATATCGTGCGGAAGCACTTCGGATAGACACCTAGTGCCTGATCCAACGTCAAAATAGAGACTTGTATTGACCTCAACGAATCAATAAAGCTCACAGCGTTGGAGCCATCTTTCAAAGACGCCAAGGCCCCACTCAACTGAACTGTAATATCAGCAATAGCCTTGGAAAAGAAATTATTGAAAACAGATGAAGAAATAGCAAGGCCGACAAGACCACCGAACATGCGGATAGTCAAAAACAGCCCGATAGCCAAGCCCGTGTCATCGACATTCTTCACACCGGCTTGCATAGGAAGAATGTTAAGACATAAAAGGGCAACAACTTGACCCCATAGAATAGGAAGCCCGTAGCGCATAGATGTAGAGGTCCCTACGTTGAAGAGGGCTAGTAACCCGCATACTAGCGTTAGGATGACCCATGAAAGTCGTAGAAGCCACACATAGCCTCGGAACAAGGGTACCATCATCATTGAGACGGCGGCTACTGCCACACTAATGATAGTGGTAGGCATTAAAGAGACAGTGTATGAGATTGCACTTTGGAGCTCCACAGCTTGGTAGAGTAAAGGCAAGTATTGTAAAAGGACCCCGCCGTGGAGACAGCCACCTGCCAGGGTCACATTTCCCGTCTTTGTATGGAAAATGTGATGTGGAGCGATGAGATTCGCTGGCTTTGCCTCGTAGAAACCAAAAACTACCAGCACCCCAACTCCCAAGAACATTGGAAGAAGAGTCTGCCAAGAGGGCCACAGGTATAAAGAGCCTGTCCAACTCATCGGAATCACGAAAGTCAAAATTCCAATAATAGGAAGCGCCATTCAAACCTAGTCAAGGTGCTTTAAATTGCTAGCCAACGTGGTGTCGAGTGCGACAGGTCGAAGTTTGAGAAAGAGGATAACCAACGGTGTCTCGATTCCGAGCCACAGCAGGTTAATCCATCCCGATTCACCTCCAGGAGGCATACGTGAACAATAGAGCTCCGACGGTAGGACCCATGATATTACCGATAGCAGAAGGTATAGCCATTAAGCCTAGATATTGTGAACGTTCCTCTAGGGTTTTCATATCCGCGAGGATGACCTCTGCCAAGAAGTCAACTCCTCCACCACCGAGACCGAGACCTTGTAGGACCCGGCCAGTGATGATGGTGTTCATATTCTGCGCCGTGCCAAAAATGATGGAATAAATGAAGAATAATCCCATTGACACGTAGTGAGGGGGTTTCCGGCGGAATGCGTTGGAGATGCTCGCCCAGACTGGCTGCATAACCAAACCGCAAAGAGTGTAGGCCAGGTTCGCCCAGAATGACTCTAAACTTGGGGCCTTCAAATCACCAGCAATGGTCTAGCATTGGGGATGAGGATTTGTGTAGTAGGTATATCAGGAAAGTGGGAGAACTCACTGGGAGGGCGATGCCTAAACACGTTGCATCCAGTTGGAACACGAAAAGCCTCGCTGGGAGCCCTATGAAGGCGAGCTTAAAGGAAAGTGATTTTTTGGTCGCCTCCCCAAACTCGGCCACACATTCCACCTCCTTCTTTTTCTCCAAGTTCTGTTCCAAGCCGGGCATAGCAGAGATTTCGGCAGCTTGGCTGGAGGGCCTATCGCACTTCGTGAAGACCGAAATAGGACGGCGAAGATGCGTAGGAAGATGGTGGATTTACTTAGCTGATCGGCAAATGGCCAGTGTTGGCAGACAAAAGAGGTCTTTTGGAACTATTAGAGCTGGGAACTTTTGCTAGCAGCCCCTGCTGAACGCGCTTGGCCCACTGACCTGGCTGGTAGCCTTCCAGTAGCTGCGAGATACTCTAACACCAAGCTTCAACCGATAAGCCTGAATTGATCCAATTTTTTAAACAATATTCGTCCATCATATGGACAATTCTATTGGCAATTCTATTTGACCTTCATAGAGCACGGAAGTGGCTATATTGATCAGAAATGTACTCCCCTCTCAGGGTGGCCCACATTGTATGGACAATAGATCCTGCACGGACCACTTGCATAGTAAAAAGATGCCCCAGGAAAATTTTCTGTACACTTTAAGGAATGCTCACAAAATTCCCACCCAAATGTGGTCGGAGAGTATATAGAGGGTGGTGGGTCACGGCCATGCAAATATCCACAAGCCGTAAACATAACTCTACCAATGCCACCGGTAATGTGCCAATTATCTACAAAGTTGCTCTGGCCTGGACCCGCAACAGTCCACTCTCCAACATCAGGGCCGTCGCATCCTCCGCAACACCCCGGGATAGTTCGAATCCACGGCCACCGGCGCCATAGGCGTGCACGATATTCTTCCCGTCGCCGACTTGCTCCACCTCGATCCGCATCCCGCCTTCTCGGGCGGGTCGGCGCCCCACGATGTCGCGGATGACGTCGAATTGGCCCCCGCTCTCTGGGGTGAAGGGGAACCATTTCGAGGCGTTGGTGAGGAGTTGGGTTCGGATTTCGGGGGACGGATTCGGGTCCCAGTCGTGGGGTTGTTTGGTGCCGCCGATGACTGTGCCGCCGTCTAGGGGGCGTGGGATGCAGAAGGACCAGGTTCCGTCTTCGTTTTGGCGGGTGATTGTTGCGGAGACGGGGTTGCGAACTAGACAGGTTTGGCCTGGGTCGACATTAGCAATGGACTCGAGTGTCTGAGAGTATGGGCAAAGTGGAACCAATATCCAACTGCCCCTGTCGGTGATAAGCTTACCTCTGATAATAAAGGACTTTGGGTCCCCGAACCCAGTGCCGGAGCAATTCACCACCGTCTTCACATTATCGGCGAGAGCAAATGCCTCGTTAATATTCACGAATGTGTACTTTTGGGTTCTGCCTCCCTTGACGATGAATTTGCGCAGCATGTGTGCGCAATATACCGGAGAGTTGATCACGTATGTACCATATTCAACTCCCCATTTGACACCCGCAGGGACCTCTTCGGCCTCGAGGGAACGAAAGTCCTCAAAATGGTAGACATTTGACACGCTCTGGCTGTCCAGGTATTCTGGCGGCGGTGCTTCCAGGTGCTCAATGCCTTGGACTAATTTGATGCCAGCTGCCGGCTCCTCAGTAGCGACTTTCTTGATATAGTTGAATGTCCGTAGTGCCTGATTGGCTTCTCGTAGTGCTTGTGGTGAAGACCCGGGCACTGGACGATAATGCGCTCCGGCCCAGGGTGAGGCGTAGTTGATGGAGGTGTCCGAGGGGAAGTCCCTGGCTACAAGAAGCACGGATTGTGTGCTGCTCAAATGCTCTTGAATCGACAGGGCAGTTGAGAGGCCAATCACACCTGCTCTGTTCATAACGTTAGCCATCCGGCCTAGTGTAGGGCAGTACGTCTCTGGCGATATGGTGGTGGTGTGCTTACCCTATCACGACGATGGTTTCCGTGCCGGACATGACTGAGGATGATCACAAGGACGATGGATGAGAGTAGTTGTAGGTAGCTGGATGCCAGGATTTCAGGAGTCCGTCCGCTCCATTAAGAATGGTTGTTCGGAGTGAGGCTCTAGCCGGGAAAATGACAAGACCCCGCGATCAGATGATAAGCGGCCGCGGTGGCTGTGGACATCGCTTGAGATGACCAGAATTGGATTTACGAGTCTGCCTGACGAGTCGTAAAGGGACTAAATGGTTGGAGGCTGAATTAGTAAAGCCATAGTTAACAAATACATAGCTAGATGACGTTAAAAAACATAGCTGGTAGCTATAGCTCATAGCTAGCTATATACCCTGAACTGTAGGCTGTGGATCACCTGCTCGGTCCCTCCGCAGCTTCGCCGACCGCCCTCGGATCTTTCCTTCCCGAGGTTCTCCCACCTGATCAGATCAATGCCATCCTCCAGCAAACTCCTTTTGTTTGTGCAACCTCCAGCTTCCGGCAATTGCCGTCGTCCAAGCTCGATTGGAAAACTCTTTTGTGCAAACTTTGCACATCAACCGATGCCATCACAGGGGGCCCAAGCTCCTGCGAGGAACGCCCGATACTATGTGCTTCGTGTGCATGAAAAAGCGGCCTCCCCGGCTTGAAGCACAGATCACATCACAACCCTTTCCAAAGCATCCGAATTCGGAGAGCTTCCCATGCGATCAACGGGGAAAAGAAAACAAACACCAAATTACCGATTGACCAATTCGAGGCCAGAAACAACTATGAAACTCGAGAGGACTCGAACGACTCGAACGGGCTACTAATTCTCCGTTCTCTAACGGCTCTTCATGCCTTCCTATAGGTCCACTGACTGGCCTCTCATCAGGGACCACTCGCCTCACTACTTTCCCTCCTGTCCCGGTCGGAGCGTGGTATCATGGACTTCTGGGATCTGATTGGCTGCACCGATGTGCTGGAGGCGCCGAGGGATCAGCAGTGACGAGATCTGATTGGCGGGCGAGGTGATGAAGTGTGCAGATTGACACTCCTGCACACCTGCACGGATCCTCATCACATCGTGTCTCAGAACACAACATGCTTTGCGACTCGACCGTTCACGGTTTCCTGCAGCCTTGCTCGGCCAGAGGACCCTCGTGGAAGGCTGGAAGCAAGTCACTTTCTATAACGCCTTTTCCTTGCGGGTCACGGATAGCCCATCCCAATTACGGACTTGCCACCATGTTGAGACTCTTCGAGTACCTCTGGTTTACGATGATCTATACAACCGTGACTTCTGCTGACCGGATCTTAGATAGACCACACGGACAACCCAACCATGGATCGACGTCCCGTTTCTCCGCTTGATTACTCTTTTTATTATTATTTCCTTCTCCAGATGCGCCCGCTTAGCAGAGACCCACATTTATTTTGGTCTTGAGCATAATGATGATTTTCCGTCTGTGATTCGGGAGCCTCCTGCATCGATCTAAGCCCGTAACTTCTTCTACGCCCGCGTTTCTGCATGCTCGTTGGTGCAAGTCCGCACGACCAGAGCCACGCCTCCTCCAGCCACCAAAAAGGCTCGATCTCACCGTCTCCGCTAATGATGTGATGCTCTGCTGGTCTCCGATCCTGGGACTATGGGAAACACGGGGCGGTGGAGTACCTAGTCACTCCCTTCAAGCACACTGTATGGTCGGTCGTGAAATGAAGCGCCCTGCTGCTTTTGCCTACTGCTGGCCCGGCGTCAACCCCGATTGCTCCATGGCTCGAAATTCTGATCGCCTGTCTGCGCCCCTCTCCCTTTTTTACTAAAGGGGACATGCGACTTTAGCTTATTCTCAACCAGTAAACCACTAGACCGTTTCTCCCCCCTGTCCTACTGGAGCCAAGCGTATATCTCATATCCTGACCCAGCAGGGTAGCGCCAGCTTTTATATATCGCGTATAGATATACATATGGCGCCGAGGGCCCTTTCACACCCCTGCTCCTACCCACCCCGCGCCTTGTCACAAACTCAAGCCCCTCCACCCACGCTAGAGCTTTGGGATGTGATGAAAGTGGACAAGCGAGCCCTTTTCCTCCCAAAGTACACTATCCTTGTCATCTTTCTACGTCTCTGATCTTTTCGTACTGCACCTTCTCCCACATCTAATATTCAACAACCCTCCGGTCGGTCTGCAAAACCCGACTGTGCCAGTCTCGTCAACCCGCATATAGTGATCCCGAGCACACTTGTCGATAGTCACCATTATAATCCCAGGCCTGCATCACTGCGTCGCTACTGCCAGCCACGCTGCATCGCTTTGCTGGCTAGCCTGTAAGGCACTAACCTCTCGGAGTTTCCCCATCCCAAATGCCTGGCGCTATCTTGTCGCTTTGCATTCCTGTGCGTTGAGCGGTACTCAGGGTCGTGGAAAATCGATTAGTAACCTCCCCCCTGGTTCAAGTCGGTCAGGTCAGTGACTTTATTTCTCTTTCTTCACTTTTCTTCCTAATCCTGGTGGGCTCCGTGGGGAAGTTCCAGAGCAATCTCGTGGAGACGCGAGATCCGGGCAAGCAAGCGGTGCGGAGAAAGTGTCGTCTTGGCTTACCACTCCAATTCCGGCCTCGTCAAGATATATTTGGGATTGCATAGCACAAAGCACATTTACAATGCCGGCTAACGTAATGTGGAGCAGGAGTCTGGTGTCAGAATCGCGACCCTCAAAGTCCGTCAAAGCAATGGCACCACAGTCCCAGGTCCCGGAGTCCCGCTTCGAGCCTTGCGCCTCCACGGCCTCGTTATTCCTCTATGCTCAGGGTCCGGTCATTCTATGCTTGCACCATGATACTTTGGCCGTGGAACGTCGCTTTACAAGTCACCAGGATAATATCGATTTCATCTCGGTGGATAATGTGAGCGAGCGCGGGGCGGGGAGGCTGGTTGTCAGTTACGATGTAGGCCAAACTGCAATTGTCTGGGACATTTTTACGGGCACCGAGATCGCGCGATTTGCATCCTTCGAGCATTTGAGAGTCGCATCGTGGATGCGCAATGGAAATGTTGCATTTGGTACGAATAATAGACCTGAAAGAACTTGGAGTTCCATGGATTACTGACAGAGCTACTATTAGGCAACGGCAAGGGCGAAGTAATTCTTTTTGAACCCCCGACATCAGAGCATATTTCAGCGCGCACGATATTTGATCCAATTACAGCTCTTGCGCCAGCAACAGATTGTCGCACATATGCCATTGGGTAGGTAAAGACTTACGAGCCAAGGAATCAACCGTACTAATATATCTCACAGTTATCAGAATGGATCTATCTTGATCGCAAATCTTCTTCCACAATTTACCATCCTCCATACATTGACTACTTCTCGTGGGCCATCGCCAATTCTCTCTCTAGCCTGGCATGCCTCGTCATCAAAGCAAAAATCGGACATGTTGGCTACACAGGCTTCTGATGGCGATCTACGAGTTTGGAGTGTAGCAAAACCACCTGGGAAAGAGTCACCACGTGTAATTCGAGTGCTAAAAAGATCCGATTCGACATCATCAGATCCAAAGTGGATGGCATGGTCCAAAAATGGAAGAATTGTGCAATATTTGGAGGGGTAGGTTACTAGGTCCTTGAAGTACGACAAATTTCCACTGATAATGATATTTCTAGGGAAACGTGGTCTTGGGATGTTCGAACAAAGCACGTAACGTATGAGCCAATCCCTACGATCCAGGGTGTGCGAGGCATGGCGAGCTATGGTCCGACGGCAACTCTTTTCACAATTGGTCCTCAGGATACAGTACAGCAATACGACCTTGAAACCTCAGCCATGGTTGCCAATGTTCAACATCTTGCAGTTGGATCTCGATCAACGGCGTCCGAAGGCAGCCGATCAAGAACAATGTCCCCGCGTCGCCTACAAGATCCTCCCGAAATTCGAGAGAAAGCAGCTGGCAGACGGACGCCATTTGATACGAATGGTGCGGAGAGTGCGAAGCAAGCGAGAGCCGATCTCATCAGCCCCGCGTCTTCACGAAGCCGAACCGAATCTGTCAGCTCGAAAGCTTCTTCTGGAAAGTATAAGGTGGAACGGCCATTTTCACCACCCACTCGATCTGCCCAGAGTGGGACATCGTTTTCTATGAGTGGCCGAGACACCCCACAACCTTCGGCATCTTACGCTTACGCCTCATCCATCTCCATGTCGTCCGCAAAAAGCTCTCGTGCTGGATCTCGACTTCGGAATGAAGTTCACTTGAGTCCAGCCGAACGAAATATAGTCGATCTCTTTCCGTTTACTCGTGCACGATTGAACGATGTACCATATAGACAGACGCCGCCTCTCGATGAGACCCATCTAACCCCAGATGATTTACGACAGCAGATGCTTAGTGTAGTATTTGGGTGGGATGGTGATATTCAGGATTTGTTGAGAGACGAGCGTAAGTTTATATAGTTATTCACTCGTTGATACCCGCTAACAAATTCCACAGTGAGCCGCCACAAGGAAGGAAGCCAGAGCGCTATTCTACTAACCCGATGGCTGAATGAGAACGATTCTGATCATATGGCAGCAATGCTCGGACCTGGCCAAGTTACGATGGCAGACTGGATGATATTGGCAATGAGCCAGATGAGTGGACAGGCACAGGCGAACAAGGTTGGACAAGCTTTTGTGCAAAAATTGCTCGAAATTGGAGACATCCACACCGCCGCCTCTATTCTCCTCGGAATCGGCGATTGCAATGACGCAATTGAGGTTTACGTTTCTCGCAACCATTTTATGGAAGCCATTCTCATGACTTGTCTGCTCATGCCCACGGACTGGCAGCGCCAATCATATCTCGTTCGTCGCTGGGGAGAACATGTGGTCTCGAATTCTCAGCAGCAACTTGCCATCCGATGTTTTATGTGTACTGGGGCTGAACCGACTGAACCGTGGACGTCACCGGCTGCTCAACAGGCCGCCTCTTTTGCGGAAATGATCCGAGGAAAGTCACCATTGGCGTCTCCAGAGCCCATGCAACCTCTCGGTGCTAGTCTGATGCCGCCTCCAAACCGGCCAAAGTCTGGATCAAGTCAACGACCGGCTGGAAAGACTCCTGCGCTGAAACTTATTACATCCTTTGACAATCAGCCGAACCAGCGTTACCGATTCCCCGGGTTGAAATCTGATGATCGCACGCCAACCAACGCCCCCGGTGTTACGCCAATCGCAGAATCCGCCGTCGCTGACTCGGCCTTGTCTCCTGGTGGCTTTGGATCATACAAGCTCAACAATATCCAGAGTTTAAGCCAGGCAATGACTTCTCGAACCAACACCCCGGCATTTAATCGCCGTCGCTTACCCTCGATCGGAGAGACTCCGGTAGATGTACACCCTCCGGCATTCTCACGAAACCACTCCCACAACACTAGCAACTATGGTTCAACGTCAGAGAACGACGATGCCAGTGGTCACGAGCAAAGCCAGGATGAAAAACCTGCAGACATCGGTCTGTTGACACTGTCTTCGGCACGCTATAATCCATCCCAGGATAGTCAATCCATGAAACCCAGCCCTCAAACCGCCGTTCAGGCTGCCCCCGACCAATTCGCTTCCTTCAAGGGATTGCCATCTCCAGCACCAGGCTTCATCGAAGCACTTAGAGAGCATTCTGATATCCGAAACGGCTCACGGGATCGAAAACCAGATGGGCTGCAGATTGACCTAGTGCAGACAGAAGAGGCTCCACTTAACTCTCAAGGACTCTTGCCCAGCGCCAACAGTACGACTTCAACTCTGAACAGCTACACCTCAGCTAAGAGCCCGAGTGTGAGTAGCCGCAGCATTGACCAGTACATCAGCAGTCTCGATGAGGCAAACTACCACGCCAGAAAACAGAATGGTCGTCGTACACCTGGTCGGGGTCGACGGAATACGGATGAAACAAGCAGCCAACAAGGTTCTCGCGTGCACAACTCTCGCGAGGTATCCCAGGAGACTCGTGGCCGCAATGAGAGGCGGTATATACAGCCTGCTAAGCGATCCCCTTCGTCACCGGTGCCAATGTCGCCTGAGGAATTAGCTCGATACCACACTGGAGAAGCTGAAAAACCACGGGAATCACGCAAGAAGGGATCTTCTCGGGCCAGAAGTGGAAGTAAGATGAGGAAAGCTGGATCGCGAAGCCGACAGCGCTCGTCCAGCCGGCACACGGCAAACCGCCATGGAGGAGATAAAGTAGACCCGTCTTCTCGGGGTCGCAGTGTCGATCGTACAGGATCTGCTGTCAGATCGCCATCGTCGCCTTTGCCCATGTCTCTGCCTACACAAGGTGTCCCTGGCCCAGATGATATAGAAGATCCGCTTAGGCTTGTCTCTGGAGATCGCGAACGCCTGCGCTCCCGTCACCGTAGTGCTAGCCGTCGCCGAGCTGAGCGAAGAGCCAGTTCGAAGCGAGATGCATCGCCGGAGTCCAGGCATAGGCCTTCTCACAGTGTGCCCGAGGTTCGACAGGCACCCGAGCCAGAAGTTTCCGTTCCGGCTGGTGGGCTTGAGCAACTGAGTGCCAAAGTGTTTGGCCAAGAGAACGTGTTCCTCAATGGAAGCACCTATAAGCCAGAGCCGGTATCTGATGATGCTCAAGAGATGGTCTCTCCAACAACGCCTTTTGTCAGTCTCGCTGAGAAGAAGAGAAGAGAGCTTGCAGCCGCTGAGCTCGAAGCCCGCCGTCTTTCGCTTGCTCGCAACCCGTCTGCCCCGAATATCCCATTCCCAGGCGAACTGCACAATGCTCGAAGCCCAGTGGAAGGGCATCCTCCAGCCGCTGGATCGTACTTCCCTCGAGCACCATCTCGAAACAAGATCCCTCCCAGCAAGAACTCTCCAGAATACCAAAGCAGCTCCGACTCGGGCTCTTCCCGGTCTGGTGTTCCTCTAGGGCTGCCTGCAACACCAAGGGCGATGAGACACCCCAAGTACGGTGCCAATGGGCATGAAGTAGAGCGACCTCCTTCGGTTCCAACTATCCCGACAGATTACTCGAATGGTCTCCTCCTGTCCGACGCCCGATATCAAGGCGAGGCTGAGAGAATCGAACGCTCCATGTCTGTCCCCGTGGTAGAAGCCCAAGCCAACCACGCCTCCGTTCCCTCCGATATCCCCATGCATCCGAGATTCAATCCCAATCTCCCACGCAGCCGCTCCAATAGCCGCAGTCGAAATCTGGGCCACCGACGCACTAGTTCTGGGGGATATGCCTCAGGTACATCCCCCCACGTAACGATTAGCATCGAGGAGACGATCGAGAACGCCATGCAACGAAGGCCCTCCGGCGTACAAGTTGAAATGATTCCACCTCCACCACCGCCACCTATCCTCCCGGAGCTGCAGCATCTCAACACACCCCCGCCTCCACCTCCAATCCCGCTCTCCAACGAAGCAACCTCGCCTCGGGAGTCTTCTGCCACGATTGATATCGCCATTGACCACGTTAACATGGGCCGTTTGCTTCCTCGCGCCATGACAGCTGCTCCGGCTTTGAGTGGACCTGATACTCGCCAGAATGCGAGTCGAAGGATGTCCTTCGAGCACCGGCGAAATCGAAGCTCGAATGAGAGTTTTGCGAATAAGTTGCGCAGTCTGACTCGGATGCGGAGCAATAGTCGCAGCGTGGAGCCGTGGGGAAATACTGAGGCTGAATGGCCATATGAGACCCTGCCGCCAGTGGCGCATGGTCAGAGCAATGGTTATTAAGAGTCGTCTCGGTTTCTTTTTTTTGCATTTTCGTTGATTTGATTTGTTTTGCTGTCATTTTTTGGAGTTTATATTCATTACCCTCACTCACGTCTATTAGTTTTTTTTGTACCTCGTTTCGTTCCATGATTCCTTCGACGTTATTGATGTTTGTTTAGCGAACCACCCAGTTTTGCTCCCAATTGCCCGTACCTTCCCACTCTTATACCCCCTACACTCGCCCTTCTGTTGTCGTTCCTATCAATTCTTTCTAGTCTTTTACTTTTTGCAGCCGTTTTTGAATTTGCACCAATCTCTCCTATCACTTCGACCGTATACATGAAACGAATCTCCTACTTGTCCAGTTTCACGACCATGCCTCCTTTTTCAAGACTGCGCGCCATATTCATGGCTTAGCAATTTTTGCTTTGGGTTCATTATCAAATTGGGCTTTCGTATCTAAACCAATCTGCCTGCAAAGGCCAATGAAGGTGTCAGGTGTTACTTGTCTCCTAGTCTTCAGAGTAGCGAGCCAATACTCGATGCTAAAATTTGTAGATAGATGGTTATTGTACATGAGAAAAGCATAGCCAGCTCCAATTGACAAAATCATGATCACCAACCCCGGTTCTGCGACGATCCATTGTGAGAAGCATTTCTCTCTGCTTCCATCATGCGGTCAAAATCAGCCTGCGCCTGCTCCTTCTCGCGGCTTCTATTCGAGTCGTATTGATCTCGATCACCGGCGGGTGTATAACTTGGTGAATTAGGAGAATCTTGCTGCTGACCCCATTGCGGCCTAGCTTGCTGGGGCGAGGGAGCCCGTGAGCTTTGTCCGGCGTTTTGTCGACGCAGACGATCCCAGGCACTCCCGGCAGGCGAACCATCAGGATTCGTATATCTGTATTCCGGAGCCGTGGGGCTGGCATCGTCGTCCTTGCCGCCGAAGAAATAATCAGAGTCCGCAGAAGACTCGCCAGATGCTCCCTGCTGGGATGCGGCCTGGCCACCGTAGCCCCACGACCTGCGTGGAGCTTCCGCCACAGAGCGTTGTTGGCCAGCCGAGGCACTCTGCTGGTCGTTTTCCGAGCTGTTGTATGTCATATCGCTACCAGAGGGAGTGCTCTCGTACACGTAAGAGTCTTGATCGGTTTGCTCCGGGTGGGAACCGGGATGTTGCAGTTCCTCAACAATGTAGCCCTCAATATCCTTCTCGCCGCCGCGCATGCGACGTATCCGTTCGCTAGCGGCCTTGAGCTTACGCTGTCGCACTTCCTCGGGCTTCTGGCCCCTCATGTCCTCCACAAAGCCCCTCAGTCGGGGATCCACAATCACATTCGTGGTCTCTGAGTATAGGGCAGCGAATCCGGAAACAAGGGCGCCCGTTGTCGTGATGAAGAGCATTTTGAAAGCGTTTGCAGCAACCATGGACCGGAACCCAGCTTTATCGACCCGGGCTTGATTGCGGAGGAAGGTAAAAACTGAGGCTGGACTAGCATTGGACGGCAAACCAGCGTCCTTGCGTACTTTGTAGTAGAGATATGCCGTTCCCAGGAAAGATGAAAGAGGTACACCCATGCGCCGGTAGTACAGGGTCCGTGTCGAGTAGGTAGTGAACGCGTCCAACTCGTCCTGTGTAAGAGCGCGGCCCGTGAGAAGCCACGAATTCTCCACGCGCTCCATCATCGTGTATGCCACGCTTCGCTGCCAGTTCCTGCGCCCGAAGAATCCGAAGGTCATCGTAAACAGGTCAGGCTTCACCACTAGCTCCGGCCGCACCTGCAAGTGGAAGTTGCCAGCCATTGCGGGGTTGGGGCCTAGTGATTGTTCGGTTTGGGGGCTGGCTCGGGTATGATTGTCGGGGTAGCCCCCTGCCTGTGGTGAGGCATCATCAATGGCCATGGCGACACTTCTCGAGTTGGTTGTGGGTTGGATGGATGAAGCTTTGCGAAGTTGAGCCCTTTGATCGGGAAGCTCCAGTCGCATGACGTTATGCGCTGACTCAGCGGGATGTTAGTAAGCGATAGAGATGGCCGCCTTCCTAATTAGGAAGAGTACAAGAGAGTATGAGACATGATAATCGCACCGGTCTAGTATATTGTACAACATGCATACTGTCTATTTTCCTATAGGCCACCCTATAATCACATTTAAATCAAAAGGCAAAATATTTGACTAAAATTTCTATGTAAACCACCATCGCCGTGAACTAGCTTGCTTTGTTGTCTCCAAAATCCTTCGGCAATTCAGGACCCCAAACAGACAGCGGGCCAACCGGTTCTCTGCGAGTCGCATTGTCCTGATTTACTACATCTCCATCGGCATAATGTTCAATCTTGAACTTGGAACTATCATACCAGTAATCAAAGATTTGGCTCCCCAGAATGTGCCTTCCCACTCCCCAGACACTTTTCCATCCCTTCTTAGCAAGGAAGTGATGGCCCATCAACTGCGTATCAAAGTCAGCCACCTCAAATGAAGTGTGGTGAACATATGTTTCTCGCACTGTTGGCGAAGCGCGTTGCAGGAAGAGCGTATGATGGTCCGTATACTCCTCGCCTAAATCAAGATGCATGAATGTCATGACATCCAATTGAGGAAACTGGGGGAGGTATAGAATGTCTGAATGGACGAAATTGAAGTTCCCAGTGTAGAACTCTAGCTCCGATTCGAATTCCTTGCACACATATCCATAGTGGCCAAGCTTGTGCACCAGAGCAGGTCCATCACGATATCTCTGGAACTGCCCTTTCCGTGGCTTTTCAAAAGGTGTATTAAATGGACCCTGGGAGTCGTGCGTCGCAGTTGGTATGTTCGTACCGTTCAAGTCGCGCTCAGTTTGACCGTATAACACATGGAAGTAAGTTCCATTGGAGCGTGCAAACGTGATCATCTCGCCGCCGCCGGGGGCATCATCTAACGACTTGCGTGTAGCTCCTGATAGCTTTGCGGCCTTATTGAAGTTTTCCAGATCTTTTGCCACGAAAGCTGCGCCCATAAACTGTGATCTCCGTGTAGCGCTTTGATGAGCCACATATATATAGGGGTCTCTGCCGTATCCGCGGTAGTAAATAGTTTTTCCCTTGCGCTCGGCCTCGATGAAGCCAAAATCTTGGGCAAACCTGCTGAACGCTTCCAGATCATAGTGCTCAAAATAAACGTGAGCTATGCGACTCAACTGGACCTTGGACGGGTCATTTTGCACGGTTGGGATGCTCGATGGAGGTAGTACCCAGTCTTGCCATTTTTGGGGGAGAAGTGCAATCACGTCAAGCATCCAAGAAGACATCTTTTGCTTTCTTTTCCCGTCTGGTGAATAAGGGGTTTCAAGAACCCTAGTAACTTGGGTGAATGAATAGTGACAAGTGGACAGGTGATAGAAAGTGGCTAATTTGAAATGTCTAGTAGCTGTGCGGCAACTCGTTCTTTATGAACCCCATTTGATATGTGTCTCTACATATAAGCCCCACTGATTGAGCCACTCAGTTTCCCGCAAGGTCCATTCCTACGCTCGGAATATCTACAGTCTTACTTTGCGGAGGGTCTTCGGCCCAGACATGATATGGCGGCTAATAGCCCCTTTACATCTGCGGGGTCGGCCAGATCTTCTAAGCTTTGAATGCTTGGGTCGGAGCAAGATCATCCGCGGAGGAACTTTGGCTATAATCGAGCACACCTGCCTAGGCAGGAAAAGATATTGATGTGTCCACCTCTCGCAGAAATTGAACTGTGCAGATTTAATTTCCATCTCTAATCACCCTTTTATAATCTGGCTTGTTCAAGATCCGCTTGTTTTCAAGGTCGCCTTCCTTGACTTCTTGCCTGCTGTGTTTGTCTGTTTGCGCAAGTTTCACAATGGACAATTTCAAATACATTTTCCAATTTCAGACCGACAGCCGGGAGAGATTCTGGGCAAAATGCGATTCACCTGAACCCGTCCTTGGAATATCGGTCACAGCTTACCCAGCCTTCGAGGATTTGGTGGAAAACAGGCATTCAACGACAGCGATTGTAGGAAACGTATGGCGGTTGTCGTACACGATACACTTTCAACTCGAAGCTGATTCCACTTTTTGATAGCTGCTTCCACCCCTCCCCCAAATGAACCTGCCGATCTACTGTGTCGGGCTCAATTATAGGAGCCACGCAAAAGAAGCCAGTGTATGATACTCGATATGTGACAGCTAGCTATTCATTTTCTAACACAGGGCCAGTTATCTATCCCAGCACATCCCCCGGTATGGACCAAGCCAGCAGCAGCACTATCTGCTCCGAATGAGAGCATTCCTGTCAGTCGATTTTGCGCCTCGCATCTTCCAGATTGGGAGGTAAGTCTCACGATACCGGCTTGTCAAACTGGATTAGTATTGACAAAGCACCGACAGGGTGAACTAGTATTCGTAACGTCACGCGAGTGCCGTGATATTACACCCGAAGAAGCCTCGTCGTACATCCTTGGATACACAGTTGGCAACGACCTTTCTTGTCGCTTCTTTCAGCTTCCCGAACAGTCCGGTGGCCAGTTTTTCTACGCAAAGGCATTTGACAAATTTGCTCCCATCGGACCAGTTCTTGTGAGCCCGGATACTTTCAATGAAGGGAAAGCAACGGCTAGTTTGGTAACCCGCATCAATGGAGAAGTGAAGCAAAATACCATCATCCAGAAGGATATGGTCTTTTCTCCTGAGCAGGTACTGAGCTGGATGAGTCAAAGTGAGTCTGATACTCCGGCTGTTCTTCTTGTATCAGCTTCCAGTGTTTAACACACAATGCAGGCACCACTATCCCGGCACACACCGTGGTGATGACTGGAACCCCGGCAGGAGTCGGAATTTTTCAGAAGCCGCGTCAACTTCTGAAAGACGGCGATGAAATTGAAGTCGAGATCTCTGGACTGGGTACACTGAGGAATGAAGTCATATTTGAGGATGGTCAGGATTCGATAATGTAAGAATTGGCAACTTTGTCCCTGGAGCTCTAAATCACAGACCTAGGTCTGCGTCTTAGGTGATGAGGCTGAATGCTCATTTAGATATGATTGAATTGGCGGCTTAGATCCCTAGCCTGGGAGCTAGTGAAAGCGAAACTCTGGTACAAATTTAGTCTTTGGCTGATGACCTTCTGCTGAGACTTTATGAGTATCCATGCGAGCAAAGATTTCTCTTCGTATTCGCTTTGAGCATGAAGAAATATTGCATAAGCTTTGTACCATTACTGGAGAAGTCGATTTGGTCCCACCAGTAGCGAAAGATAAATATTGATAAACTTGGTTTTGGGGAAGACTATGAGGTGTGATATATTTGAAAGAGGAGTATAAATTCAGTTGGCCTTTCTGGGAATGCTATTGATAGTCTGCTAGAACTGTGTTGGCAGATGAGAGAAATTGTAACCATCGGGGATGTAAGGGTGCCTCAAAGCGCGACAGTATCAGAGCAATGTGGCGATAGGAGAGCGGACCCGACACTGATTGACTAAAGCTCTCAAAGGACACTGTGCTTCTATTAGTTCAATTCACTCTCAATAAGTGTGCTCTGATGACATACGCTTGAGAAGCCTTGGCAGAGTCCAAATCTTAGCAAAATGCTGCAATTGGAGATGTAGTACGGTGATGTGGTGATCAATATCGGAGCTATGATTGTGCTCCACCATGATGGTAGTTTTTTTATGAAGATCTAGGAAGATCATAGCCGTGAATATGGTGAATGAAATTGCCGGGTCGATAGCGAGGCAGAATGAGCTATCCCATTGATCTGCGATAGATGCGATATCCTGGCATGTCTCGAGAACATGTTGCCAGCTTAGCAACCATTCATTGCCTTGTCGAAGACCAGGATCCGCAATCGACAGAAGCAACTGTGCCATCCGTAGATGAAGGACAGTGATTGTTCGTGCGTGGTGATCAGCATGGGATTCATTAGAGAATGCATTGCGTCTTGGGTTCAGCCAGCCTGGAGGGAGAGCTAAGCGAATCGTAGCAAGCTGTCGCTCGACTTTGGCAACTTGCGAAACTATTCCTTCTTGTGATCGTAGCAAGTTCAAGCGAATGACAAGCCCGGCCTGGCGCAGGATAGCAATTGTGATGTTGTGAACATTTCTCAACAACGTCTCTGGGCTTGAAGAGGTGGCAAGAAGAACTTTCGATAAATCTTCTGAATTGGGTGGTAGAAAGAGCTCCGGATAGGCGTTCGTGATGGCTGCTGTGTGGCTTTGAATAAATGAGGTGCGTATAACGGTGTCATCAATCAGATATGGCGTCCCGGAAGAGAGATTAGAGTATGCGTCCAGACGGTAAAGACACCACCAGAGGGATCTCCATTCTTGAAGATCCTCCTGACCAACGGTATTCCAGTCGGGATAGAGTGTGCGGATATGGTCTAGACGGTCAAGACCGATGCGGTAGGCCATGCGTGTCACTCTTCCCACTCGTAGCCAAGCCTGATGTCCAGGGAATTGATGAAATTCATAGAACGCCAGAAGGTAGGCCTTTCGGAACTGATCAAGCGATAGGACGTCACCAATTAGATCGTCTTCCAATATACTCGAGCTGAGTATATGATCCAAACGGGTGTCCAAACTGAGTGGGTCATCTTTGTTCACAGTGAAACCGGTAAGCTTTGCAGTAATGACCAATATTGTTGAGATTAGATCTTCACTACACTGGGAGCTTCGGTAGCGATGGAAGAATAGCTCTTTAGAGAAGATGGGATTCGCATCTTGAACAATATCGAAGTAACTCTCAAGGCTAGATGGACCACGTTAGTTTCAGTATAGACACAAATAAGACGGGGTATCACATACAGATACTCGGTCTGCTCAGGAATAAAATGTAATTGGGTAGCAATTTGGGAGACCTTGGTCGCTGTCTGGTTGGTAGTGGCCACAGAGGGCGAGAATCTCAATGGGTCCTGTAAGATACGACCTTCCAAAGCGGGGGCAGATTCGTCACCAGACAGACCCTCCCTTGGAGGGCCGTTGCAGCGCTTGTGGGCTAAATGGGTCACACTGGTTGTCAGCATACCATATTCAGGCTAGATAACTTCAAGAACTAGTAGGAAACTTGGTTACCTAGAGACCTGCGAGGTTTTGATGGATTGGATGTGTAGTGGGACCCAATAGGAGGGCCAGGTTTACGCTTCACTGAAGTATAGCTGCACGTCTCTCCGAGCTCAAAGCAACGAGAGCAAGTTGGTCGTGCCTGGTTACCTGTTTCGATTCAGCGGGCGGACCAGTGCCTTCGGATAGCGTGGAAACATACACCTAACCTTCTTGCTGCAGTGGGTCTTAGCCAGAGTCTTCAGCGTGGAGGCGGAATAACATACCGAATGCACCTATCGCAAACTCTCAAAGGCATGGGGCTGGAATTTGGACTAGTCATGGCAATTGCGGGACACTGCGTAAGTGCTTGCTGATGGAGCTCGCTTTGCCCGGAGGAACTTGGTGTGATATCGACGAAGGTTCAAAAATCTCTTTGTGAGGCGAGCCGCTCAAGACACACAATAGCTATGTGGGTTTGCAGAAGACAGATTAACTCCTCGGAGGAATTTTATCCTTGGACAACAATCTCTACCGCAATCTGCTCTTCTCGGTCAAATTGGTGATGTCAGGCGTAATTGTGGGGAAGCTGCGAGATATCGTGCCATGATTGGCTCATCATAGAGCCAACAACACGCCAAGTTCCTCCGCGGAGGATCTTTTCCCTAACACAAGTGGGGCTTCATCAAGCCATAGTTAACTTTTCTTTGGTTAGGTAAGAAGATTGGGATAGAAATCTCGCAATAGAAAAAGCCGAGATGAAGGCCTTGGTACGAATGTAAAGCTATCACAGGTTTACTAATGGAGTCGAATACTTCCATCTTCTCGAGCAAGTGTTAGAACAAGCTAGATCCGTTTAGATCTTTAGTATACATTCCTGCGAATATGATCAAACAGAACCCTAGAGTTGAACGAATAGCCTTCATATCAGATCAGGTCCTTCATTGGATACAGCCAGCTTATCATCCCTTTCATCGGCTCTTCCTTTGCGACATAATCCAGAACTTGTCCCTTGCGAAACTCGGGCGCCATAACGTAGCGCATAACCAAGCTCTCCGTCCAGCTAGGAATAACTAGATACCGAGACAGAATATAGTACCACGTATTATGCCAGCTATGCATACGGGTCTCAACCCCAGATTTCCAGACATCGCCCTTGAGTGAGCATTCGGAGCTCATTCGAACTGCCTTGTACTTCTCAAAAGTCTCAGTGAGGGCACCTGTACTCGGGTTCCCGTTAGGAGCCGCATTGAGAATCTTTCGAAGACTATTGCAGAGTACCACTATATCTTGGACTCCATTGTTGAATCCGAGTCCCAGATGCGTGGTCATCTTGTGGCATGCATCACCAACAAGGACGACTCTTCCCAGGCTCCAGTGTTCCACGATTCCCTCGTCCAGATTCGTCAGACCTGCGGCTAACATCCGTGACCAAACGTCTTTCACCTTCACGGTTCTTGTCAGCGGGAATTCTAAGAACTCCTGAGCGACATCCTCAATGTCTTTGTCGGTGTAATTTGTGCGCTCTTGCGTGGGCCTTGGAAGCTTCTTGTACAAGAAGAACCAGCCGCGGTCTGGACCGCTAAAGTACATGATAGACTTGTCCTTTGCCTGGATATCATACCCAAAGCCCGATGCAGATGGTGACGGAAATGAACCGTATAGGAGCTGATATGTTGCTGCATAGGGTTGCTCAGAGTCCCAGGATCGTGTAGGGTTTGTCTTGAGGGCGAGCTTGCGCATTAACTGGCGAGTCTTGCTGTGAACACCATCGGCACCGATCACAATCGATCCTTCGAAAGTACTGCCATCTGCGCAGCTCACTCTGACGCCTTCTGGCTTCGTCTTGATGTCGACTAGCTTCTTGTCTGTTAAGACTCTTTCTCTAGCGGCCAGCGGAAGATCGTTGTACATAATCTCAATCAATTCGGAGCGGTGGAATGCAACCGGCCCATAACCGTGACTGTCTGGGTCAGAACATGCACAAATGTGAAAAATATGCGCGGAGTCAATATAAAGACACCTGTTGTACGGATTGAACTCACTTCTGGCGTATTTGGGCATATTGAGTACCCTCCTTGAAAACGTATCCTTCGGCAGTAAAAGACAAATGATGGTGCAGCTCGGCTCCCCGAGGGAGCAACTTCTCTAGTACACCGAATTGATGAAGAACCCGTAGGGTATGAGGATGAACAATGAGGCTGGCGCCTTTATCTTCCACGATGGCAGGCCTGCGCTCCAGGACCAGGAAATCAATGCCAGCCAGGTGAAGGGCATGGGCAGCTGCGAGTCCTACCGGGCCTCCGCCCACAACGATCACTTTGAAGTTACTGTCTCGAGTACTCATGTCGATGTTCATATTATGAGAGTCAATGCATCGGATCGTTTTTGCATATAAAAGTGATGGGACAGCTTGATACTTTGTACTCATGGTCGCTCCATATCCGTGGGTGTCTACTATGCCGATCAGGCCGAGAGACGCACGACCGTTTTTCATTAATGAGGTTCTAGAGCACTGAAATTAGGTTTTACAACCATGGAAATACCGTCTGATCTACTGTTGGGCCAGGTATATGTTATGCGCACCTTTGAGGCTCATTATAAACATGGAGGATCCAAAATGTTCCTCCGAAAGTTCCTCCGACCGGGACCACATGGAATCATCCCATCGAATGAAGATCCGAGGTAACGGTCGGACCGAGCCACTATTTCCTTTCAGGCTTAACATTAAATTAGAGTACTTCACTAATGGCGTAGCTTTTACCCCTGGGCCATGAGGGAGGGGGGCCACTAGGCTTGAATAATATTTAATTATCAGCAAAGTCCATCCGACGAAGCTTCCTTTTTAACCCCTCCCGAATTTCATACTCTTCAAGGAAATGGCATCCAAGCGTGTTTCCGTAGTAGTCATTGGGGCCTCCCATGCAGGTCTAGGGGTCAGTCACAAACTACTCCGACAAGCGCCAGAAGCATCAGTCACACTGATCGACCCATCGGACGAATATTACTTCAACATCGCTACTCCCCGATTCCTCGTGAAGCCTGGAAGTTTGCCATCAAGCAAATACCTCTATGATATCCGTGAAACCTTCAACGACTATCCCAGTCGCTCTTTCACTTTTGTCCGGGGACTTGTCAGAAGCATCGATTATTCGAAGAAGTCGGTGTCAGTCACTACGGGCGAAAGTTCCTCCACCGAGAGCAATGCTATCTCAGTCGCGTTCGATTATCTGGTGATTGCATCTGGTAGCACGACACCTGCTACGCTTGGACAGGGCAGTCTGAAGCTTCCTTTCAAGGCAACTGCATTTGAAGATACTAGGAAGGCTATTTCCGAGGCACAGGCGAAGCTACTCAAAGCTACGAGGATTGTTATTGGTGGTGGTGGTCCACTGGGAGTCGAACTTGCCGGAGAACTCGCTGAAGCACCGGGCTCAGTCAAGAACATCACTCTAGTTTCAAAGACTGGCTCATTGTTGGAAGGGGCAACGGAAACTGTGCAAAGAACCGCCGAGTCAATCCTACGACGCAAGAATGTCGAGATCCTGAAGGATGTCACCGTCGACCAAGTGACCCAGGATCCAAAAACTGAGATCTGGACTGTAACACTGTCCACTGGTCAAACCATTACGGCAGATGAATACATCTCCACAACAGGGGTGATCCCAAACAACGAGTTCATCCCGAAGAGCTTCCTCAACCAGGATGGATGGGTGAATGTCGATGAACAACTTCGAGTCGTGGAATACGGAAACAGCCGCAGCGACACTTATGCACTCGGCGATATTACCTGTCATCCATATCGACTCCTCTCCAGAGTCGCAGTTCAAGCGACGACTGTTGCGTCGAATATTGCTGCGAGTGTCAGGAAAAACACTCGCATTGCCAAGTATTCTGCCAAAGCCCAGAAGATGATGATGGTTGTCCCTGTGGGACAGTCGACGGGGACAGGACACTTGGGTGGATGGACACTCTGGGGCTGTCTCGTGTGGTTCTTCAAGGGCAAGGACTTTTTGACTTATGAGGCACCGAAGTTCCTGCGAGGAAAGGTGCAGTGATTTACATTGCTACTTTACATTTGTTGATAGAATAATTCTCTGGTCTTTGTATTTAATTGTAATATTTAACCGACAGGGTGCTTGGAATAATTTGTGTTGTAGCTTAGGACCAAAGTAAAGAGGCCGAGATGCTCTTATGCTAGCATTCAACCCTACGGTCCTTAGCAGAGTAATAGCTATTTGTCTACCACTTCTCGATATAAGGTCGCAAATCCAACTCAAACGCAAATGTGGTCCGCGGTTGAGTATGTAGATACCAATACGAGTCCGCAATCTAAACCAGTCAGCATACAGTTAAAGCACTGGCAACTATGTTGAGACTTACCGAATCAGGGCTCAATTTAGCATCTTCATGAGGAAGAACCCACTGCTTCGTGCGTGGGATATCGATAATACCATCGATGATAGTATGCGACACATGAATACCCTGCGGGCCAAACTCACGGGCCAGTGATTGAGCCAAAGCACGAAGAGCGAACTTGCCGCTTGCAAAGGCAGCGAATTGGGCAGAACCCTTGATACTAGCTGTTGCACCCGTGAAGATGAGAGTCGGCGGGTGGGGAGATGACTCTTTGGCCTTTAATAGGAGGGGCAAAGAGCGCTGGGCGAAGTAGAATGCGCCTTTCCTATTCATGGAATTAGATGTTGTGGTAGTACCTCTCACTAGGTAGATAATACGTACGCTTGAGAGTCAAGTGCCCCCGCGTAATCTTCATTAGTCAGTTCCAAAAAGGGCTTCTTCACAAAACCACCAGCAGGATTGAAGATAGATGCAGCCAACGGCGAGTCCGGGAATTGCTTCTCGATCTCATCAAAGGCCGACTTGACACTGTTAGGATCCGAGACGTCGGTGCTGATGCCAATCGCCTTCCCACCGTTCGAATTGATTTCCTGGACAAGTGGCTCGAAGTTACCCGGCGTACGAGATAGGAGAACGACTGAATATAATTTGGCAAAGCGTCGGGCAATGGAGGCACCCTGCGGGGTTTGTTAGCTTATTGCTATCTCCACTTCCATGGGCAAGGGCGATGATGTATACCGTGCCAGGGCCGACGCCGGCGATAATTGCAAGTCCCTTTGAAGCCATAGCGTAGAAATAGTTATTTGGAGAAATGATTCAAAAATATTCAGTTCAAGAATTATCAGACACCGGCGAGGATAATAGCGACTTAAGTAGACGTCTCGGCGTCCCAGCTATCGCCGACGCTTAGAAATGCTGCGGGGATTGATCATCAACCACATGGATGATATCATCTTGAGGGAATAGGACTGGCGGTTGATGTTGACAAACCATCCGATGATAATATCATCCGAAGTAGTCTTGGATTCTGCAATTTCATGCAATTAATCATCTATCATTGCTCATAGTCTCCACGATGTTTTTAGCAGTCTGGGACCTTAGCAACACCGAAGACCATTTGCCGCCTTAGGCCGCTATCGATAAGCCGCGCTCAAATTTCCGGAGCTTCACTTTATCAAAGTCGCATCGCATCACTTTTCAACAAACCAAAATGGACCCCTCAGACCCTCTGCTCAGTGAGCTCTGCTCAATATGGTGAGTAATATACCCTCTGCTGTCTCCAAACTATACCTTCTCATCTAACCCACCCCTGTTGCTAGCCATGTCAACCCCCCAAAATACCGCTGTCCGCGCTGCTCAACACGCACCTGCTCCCTCCCCTGCACACGCCGCCATAAACTCTGGTCCCAATGCTCCGGTGTCCGCGATCCAGCCGCATACCTCAAGCGAAGCGAACTCGCCAGCGAAGCCGCGTTTGACCGGGACTTTAACTTTATCACGGGTATTGAGCGCTCGCTGGAGCGCGCGGAGAGAGATGTGGAAAATCGAGGGATTGAGTTGGCGCGCGGACAGGCCGTGCCAGGCGAGGAGGGAACGGATGATGCCAGTGCTGGTGCCGCTTCTGGCGCCGGGCGTAAGAGGAAATATCCTACGCAGGGCCTGGTGAAGGGTGAAGCTGGGTTCTTGCGTGGTGCGGAGGCGGGTCGGGTGAAGGTTCTGAGGGCGCCGAGGGGGATGTCGAGGAATAAGCAGAATACGTCGCGGTGGCATCCTAAGTGAGTTGATACGTCTGTGGTTTGTTGATGGTTTGGTATTAATCTTTGGGGTTTTTTTCAGGCACAAGTGTCTCAGCTGGACGGTGGAATGGATATCCGCGGCTGGGGAGAAGACTATTCGCAATGCATTGGAGACATACCCCATCTCCGAGGCTTATGACCGGGCTTTCCCAGTTCCCAGGGAAGACCGGCCGAGTACGGATAAGAAAGAGAAAGAAGTCTCCCAGGAGAATACCGCTACAGAGCAGGCATCTACAACCACCGAGAAGCCCGATGGCTCAATGCCTACAGCAACAACTACACCCGCGGAACCCAAAGACCCAGAAACAAACCCAGAGACAACCGAAACTCCAACTGCACAAGCAGAGGGAACAGAACAAGATCTCCCTCTGACACCACACCGCAACCTCTACTTCTACCTGCACCGCCCAAGAACAACGACCAAAAAACCAGTGCTTGCCCCCCTCCCACCCTCCGCAAAACTAGCAGCAGTACTACGTGACCGTACAGTCCTCGAATTCCCTACAGTCTACGCGCTCCCAGATTCCCCCGAGAAAATGCTGGCGTCGAAGGAGACATCTCCGTTTATTCTGGAAGAGGAGTATCTACGGACTGCTACGCCGGAGGAAGTAGGTGATAAATCTACCGATGGGGAGCAGGAGGGGACGATGGGAGAGGGGGGTGTGGATTTGAAGGATGTGGATGAAGAGAAGGTTATGGAGGTGTTGAAGCAGGATTTGTTTGAGAGTGTGTGATTATTGGGCATCTGTATATAGGGCTGCCATATAATACAAAAAGGCGATAATGGGAAGCGAGTGCCTATTTCAAGGGAAGATGTCAGTAATGTACAGAACCAATGTATAGGTCTAGTCAGATGATGTTCAAACTCAGTAAAGGTCTATAAGGTTGAGCAGGATTGCGTTGGGTTACTAGAGTCGGTGTGTCAGTGCTGCATAGGGCTATTTGAGTGGCGTCCAAAACAATATCGTGAATCAAGACAAAGTCCATGTCTGACGCCCACCAAGCGGATCGACGACCATCGGATCAATAAGATATACCAGGCTCGGCAGATCAATCTCAAAGACGAGGGCCAGGACTAATCGGTCCGAAGGACGGATAGGATGGACGAGGTTAGACAAGGTTTCAAAGCACTCGGTCGATGGGACAAGAAGACCTGTGCCATCGAGGAGTTAATCAATTGATCGTAACGATCACAATAACTCCAAAAAGGACCCAAACAGCCGGGATTCGTAAAGACAGCCCAGGGGGTATTGAACTAAATCACAAAAATTGATCCCGAAAAGATCAATATCAAAAAACATAAACTCCAATAAAAACTCCAAGAAATGCTCCCACAAATCGCTGCAAGATGCAATATAATCCCAAAGTCCCACAAGATCCCATCAAATATAATATAAAACTCCAATGCTGAATGCAATACTTATGTGCATAAACCCAAACCTGAGAATGTTTCTCGTGGCCGACAGCAGCGGGACACGACGGTATATACCCAAGGGGTATATGACCAGGGAAGACCAGTGTTCACCACCTGCGCAGCAAGGCTGTTCAAGAAGTTGAACTATCTGCCTCAGAGGCAGTTTCCGGCAAATCCGGAACGGAAGCAGACTTACTGCTGTCCAATGAATGGATAGGCTGCGTGGGTACCGTGTTGGGCACGGTAGGCACCACGTCTTCCTGAGCGATGGGCTCGGAAGTCTTTCCACCGAATGGATGGCTAGCCTTTGAATCTGTGGGAGACATGTTGAGCTTTTCGGATCGACTGGGCTTAAGCTTCAGACGACCCTGCTCAAGGGCCCGCAACACGGTGCCAATGTCTTGGGGGTCGATCGCCCGGAGTTTGCTCATAGCATCATCCGAGACGTCGGCGAAGGGGTTCCACCCCAACTTGTCGAATTCTTCAGAGGTTGAAGACTTCGACTCAACGGAGGGACCGCCGGTGACCAGGCGGTGTAAGAATGTGTCGGAGACACTGGGACGACGGGGGATCTTCACGGGCTTAGACTTGTTACTGGTGCTTGTCGAAGCCACGTCCTCCTGCTGACGCTTTGGAGGACGTGCGGTGATGGGACCATGTGGTCCTTCACCGACCTCGTTACGAATCTTATAGTAGATCAGACCTAGAGTGGCAGCCAGGGCCTGGTGTGCAGCCTCGGGATACCGACGGACAGCTTCCGCGCGAGTGATGCTACAAGAGCCATCACTGGAGCTGCTGGAATCACTGTCGTCGGCAAACATGTCGGTAGGATGCATGCGGCACCAATCCTGGTAATCACCCAGTTGGTAGAATTCTGCGAGTTCAACCAAACGATGAACTAAATGGGGAAGTTTTGTTAGAATTGGGGTCAGGGAGCGGACTTATTATCTTGTCATTACTGAAGCTTACCTCGGCTTCGTTTCTTGAGGCACCAGAATCTCCACACGGTACGTGGGAAATATTGGGGCCATTCGAGGGCCCCGTCATCCGTAATCACCGGGACGGGGCTGATGGGAGCGTGAACCGTATGAGCCAGAGAGTTGAACCGGACTCGATCGGCATACTTCATCTGTGATTCAATTGAATCCATCCGCGAGTTCAAGGCATTATATTGACGGGAGATCTTGTGGTCCAGAGTCATCAGATCTGTACGGAGCTGATTGGAGGCCGTCTGCAATTTGCTGATATCAATCCGCGTGGCACAAGCCTCGCCCTTGATCGATTCAATGTCGACTTGCAACTGGTCAATGGTCTTTTGCAAACGATCCACGTCGCCGCGTAAGTAAACCGTCTCGGTACCGGATTGACCGATACTGGACTTGAGTTGAAAGATACTCGTCTTGATCTGGTCGACATCGGTACGAAGAGCCACGACATTGAGATCGATGCGTTGGGAGATAGCGCGATGGCATTCGAATTCACGGCGAATATGTTCATCTTCACGGTTCCGGCGGTCGACATAGCCCTCTTTGGTCAAAACGGTGGAGCGTAATTCCAAGACGCGCGAGTCGAGTTGGTTCATTCGGTCATGCAGATGGATAAGCGAGAGTTCGGAGCCGGGTGTGGTGTCATGTAAAACGGAGAGACGCGGACTAGACATGGAGAGCGAAGTGCTGGAGGTACAGGAGTGACTCCTTTCGAGAGTGGTCATAGTGGACATGGTGGCTATAGTATAGATCGGAGTGGTTGTCGTTCTGAAAGGAATTTCGAGAGCATCTAGATCAGAGAATCGTCCATTTTGTCGAGTATAGAGGGTGTAGCGTATAGACAAAATGGACGAGTATGTGGGTAGCGTAAGGTTGGGGAGGGTTGTAGTGTTGCTATTCTGGGGGGAGGCCGTAGGGTAAAAAGGGCGACAAAGAAGGGGGGATCGGGTCGCACAGCCAATTTTTGCCTTTCCGGATTGTCCGTTCGGTGCTGGTCTGCAGGTCAGACGCTGGACTCTTGCACGAGAATAGACCGATACTCCGTGACTGATCCTTGGAATATGACTCTTCTTTTAGAATATAGTGAATACTATTGGTTTCCGATCATGATTCCCTCCTCTCTGAATCATTTCGAGTCTTTTCCCCCTTGACAAAAGACCATTGAGTCGCTCGAATTGTTGGAATGATGATATATTACCAGCCATGACCATACCAATACACGGGCATGTATGCGTTGTGGGCTCCTCTTGGCGTGCATTAGCGTGCATTAGTGCGACGCAGCGCACCCGATATTTCCAACCGGAGCGGTAAGGTCTACGCTCATTGGCTCCTCGCTGGCTGCTGACCTCTCGACCGCCCCTTTGCCCCCCGTTCCCAGCCCTACGACCAATCACCATCGGGTCTGCAACTCGAGTTTGCAGGCGCCACCTGCAGGTGCTGATTGGATGGGCCTGGTTAATCGTCACTTTATTGGCTGCGTAGCCTCGCATCGCCCCCGTCCTCACGGTCAAACTTATCAGGCCAGGCTCCCTCAACACGACGCATCCGGTCTCATGATGACATCGACGTATCTTTCATACCCTCTTGTGACACGAGGCCCTCGTGGTATTCAATCGGCTGAGATGAGGCTGGACAACTGGAGGGTACTCCATACAATAACCATAAGAAGGACGAGAAAGCAGTCCGGTGTGATGAATCAGAGTGACTATTATTCGCCACAGCCCAAGATGAGCCCAATAAAGAACTACTTCCTGAAGGAAAATAACCGCCGCGCATGATTCGAGTGATTCGAGTCACGGGTATACCCAATCAGGAAGCCATGAAGCCCTAACTGACTGCCATTGACCACGATCGCAACTGCCTCTCGTGTAGCCAGAAGGACTCGCCTCGCACCCAAACAATGTATACCATTCCATTTCTACCCTTGTATTGGTCTCTCTCACTCTCGTGTCGCCCCAGCTGACCACCATGAAGCCAGGCGCCCTATCATCAGTCATCCTGGGACTCGCTATACTCAGCGCCAGTCTGACGAGTGCCTCCAGCTCGGATCCTCTTCTGGAAATCTCGGAGAAGCCTCGTCGTAAGAAGGATCCCCGAGAATGCGACTGTTTCACCGTGACTGGTCCAGATCCGGGCTATTTCCAGCACTACAAGCTCTGGGACTTTCGCTCCGTTCCATTGGCCAGGCAGGCTCATGCGGAGATCTTGGACTCACAGGATGACGAAGTAGAACAGTTGGCAGACTGGGACGAGGAAGACGATGAAGAGGACGATGTCGATGGGAATGAAAATGACCACCGGGGTGACCAGGACGAGACCAAAGACGCCCATGCAGCAGCAGGACAGCCCGATACTCTCTGGTTCTTCGAAACCGCCTTCGACAAGGACTGGATCAGCCAGAAATGGCAGCGCCCTCGCACCGACGAGGCTCCAATTCCCATGGTCAACTCCAAACACAACGTCTTCTTCACCAGAAACCGGCAAGAGCTAGACGACGTCGTGACATTCCTAGTCCTCCGCACTACCCGTCACTGGGACTATACATCGACCTCCGAGATCGAAACCAAAGTCCGCAATATCTTCCACTGTTCGCTTCGCGTCCGGCTTCGCATTCTACCGCACAACTTGGTCTTGTCACAGCCTGAAAGCTCTCCGGTCTGGGATAACCAAAGCGTCGTCTTGAATGAAACAGCCAGTTCCGCAGAGTCCAAGCCACACCCCGGTGCCTGTGTCGGCATATTCACGTATCGCGCCCAGAACTGCGAATCGGACATTGAAATCCTAACAAAGGACCCCCCTTACCGGGTACACTACGCCAACCAACCGGATTATGATTGGATCAAAGACGCAATGATCCCCGGTGCAAGCACGATCGCGGATCTCCCCGTACACTGGACGACTTGGTCTACCCACCGTCTCGACTGGCTTTCGAATATCTCTCGCTGGTGGGTGAACAACAAACCCCAGGATGCCAAAACGTATCGCGTGCCCGATCAACCCAGCAGACTGGTGATTAACCTCTGGAGCGACGGCGGCTCGTGGACGGGTGATATGCGACGCGGCGAGAGTGTCCTGATGGCCATTGATTATATCGAGCTGGCATACAACATCTCTTCCGGTGACTCGCAGGGCTTCGAGATCCCTCCTTCCGAACGACACGGTGGACATCAAATTCCTGCAGGAAATACCTCTTCATCCGACGTCGACAGCTGGCTAGATGACTCTTGGGAACCAGGAGCGGAAATTATCGATGGATCCTCGATGAAGAAATGCAAAAAGGCTCGAAAGGGTCGGAAATGCAGAAAGGGTCGCAAGGGTCGCAAGGGTCGCAAGAAGCATGGCAAGAGACCCAAACGTCCTCATCATAGAGAGCCATCTCCGTGGTGTGAGCATGCTTGTAACATTGATGACCTGCGCTTTGCGAATGGTGGGCTGCGTGGTTGAGGGCTCCACTTATCCTTATGGAATTCGTCCTGTCTCTTGTCAGGAGATGCGTTGGTGAGAGGCATGGGCGTGTATTTTTATAGATCCGAATGGATACTTGCTCTTTGCACCATGAGTCTGTCTGTGTGTCGTTCTCGGCATCGACAATATATAGTTTGTGTAAGGCAGCACGATAGAGTACTATTACTATACCGGGATTACTTTTCATAAGCCAACATCTGTCCAAGTAAATCTCGACTCGCCATGAAAGCAGAACCTTATTGCATTTTGGACTAGGTTGTAATGGCTGGGCTAGGTATGGACATTGCGCGTAGGGTATACCTTCGGACGGTCCCTTCCATGACTGAACCCTAACTGAAAGCCCCAACCAACATCATAACCAGTGACGAAAGAAACAAAAGCATACTTGTTCAAATCGAGATGCAAAACATACGATTTCTGTGTAATCATTGAGGGTCTAGGACTGGATGTAGGCTGCTTCATGACATCGAAGGACTTGATTTGTCGGCAACCACCTTATCGCAATGGATATCTGTCTCTAGGTTGGAGTGCGAATTTTCTATTCTATTCTCTATTTTAGACGAGCCAGCTAGCTACTCGGTATTCATTTTTGAGACTGCTACTATGAATGCAGTGAACTCAATCCACTAGAAAAGCCTAGCGATCAAGGTGAATAGTTAGTCGTGTTTACTTCAACATAAAATCTACGCAGACTAGAACTATGTATTCCATTCAAGACTACCTCATACAAGCTTTTTAACATTACATCATCCACCAACAATAATGGGGGGGTATCATTCGAGTTTCGTTCAGACCATAAAACAACAAAACGTAGAAACATTAACAATAACTCAGTAAAACATCACGGTCCCGTCCAGAAAAAAGGCCCCTGTTGGCCAATCCCCTACTTCGCCAACCCATTTTCTAAAGTCGCCATGTGCGCCGGAAAGAATGTAGATGGATGTCCGGAAAAAAAAGAAAACGCCTGGGTGACGATGATGCATATGCTGAAGTATTGGTATATGAGGGTGCTGGTCCTCAGTAATAACGTCCGGAAGGATCAATCGCAGACTGGGGGAAATAGTTCCCAGCTCCGTAGTGCTCCTCCCATAAGATAAGTTGTGAGCATCTCGAAAGTTTTCTCTGGACGGTTTGCTCTTAGAGCAAGGTTTGGCCCATTTTGTCCACTGGACAGAAATGACCATGTAACCCGCCATTCATGAGTTCTGCGACGATTTTCATTCGCAAGTCAACCGTATCACGTGCTCCGAATGCTGTAGGTTCAATGCCGAGGGCGATAGCTTTGGCATTGATGAGAAGGAACACGCCACAGTCGCTCATGTTGTCCTGTTGAGAGGAGACGGAAGGTAAGAAAGTCCATTCTTCCTCGTCAAACTTGTCTCCCAGTTCTCCACGAAGCCACTTTTTCATAACCTCTACCTCCCGCGCGCCACGAGCGCCCAGTGAGTCAAAGTATTCGATCGTCCGGTCCATTGGTCGTACAACCATAAGAGTCCAGTGACTTGCCTGATGCACAGGAATAAACACAGTGTCAACATCTAACAGAGCCTCACCGCCAATCTTTGCGCGGTTGGCCCAGCGACGAACACCTTGATATCCTTTGTCTCGAAGAGTGGAGTAGAAGAAGGTATTGAAAGCGTGGAATTTGGGGCGCTCATTCGGGGCAGTGTTGCCAGTCGACTGTCGGAGGTATTGAACGAGGACGGTTAGATATGCGTTGATGATTTCATCGTTGAGCCATGCCAGTGGCTTGATACACGTAGCGATGTCCCTTTGATACAAGTCATCGCCCGAGGGAGACCTGGCAACTGCATATCCCTGAAGCGTTCGCATAGCCTCTGAAACTTTCATCATCCAGTCCCTCGACAATGGCCGCACAGCTGGTCCACGTGGAATAACTCGGGCGGGACGACCTGCCAAGCCCTCCAAGGCCCTCCTCTCTTTTTCCCGCCGTTCCCATTCGGGCGCAAGTATGGACGCGACGCGATTATCCGGGAGGGGTTTTTGTTTGGGGTAGAAGAGCGATACGGCAGATACCGGCCTACCAAAGGGCAGTTTCTCAAATGCTCTGTATTGTTGGCTGTACGGGTCATCGATGGCCAGATCATCTTGGAAGCGCGGTCTCCGGATTGGCTTTGAAGTAGCGGTTTCAGGGGGTCGGAAGCGCTGCGGGGAAGGTGTGTATTTCGGTCTCCTGGGGTGTAAATATGACCCAAGATCCGTATGAAGTTGTGGGGCAGTCGAGACATCGACTTCAATTTCCTGCGCGGTGTCCACAGGCACAAACTCCTCCTGTAATTGCTCATCGCGTGGCGCAAGACGCGGGGATACTGATGGCGATGGCGGGAATGCGCCTGGAATCGGGAGAGAGAAAAGGTCTACCACAAGTCTTAGTCACTACATAATCTGATCTCGTGTCGTTGGCGCCGATACCTTCATTCTTCTGGATCTCCTCAGCGACCTTGGAGCTTCTCAGAGGGTCCAAAGCTCCCGTTGACAAGACATCATCTTGTACAGGTTCATGTTCGGACCTGCGACGAATCCACGAGAGAAACCGTTTCATTGTGAGGATATGAGTTGTCGAGCGAGGGAGGAGGGTTGAGAGGTGGTGGTCCTCTTGGCTGGAGGAGGCGCGGGAAAGAGAAGCAAGGGCAAGGTTAAGACGAATTGGAGAAGTGTGGCATCAAGGTTATCGAGATGAGGAAAGAAATCGGGCAAACCCCAGTATCCATCATTGAAAGGGCCAACTCCGGGAAAAGTCCAGAGGCCCTGTCGCGGAGTTGCTTTGGGGACAATAGACTGCGCTGCCGTCACTTTCATCATGGGGCGGCTGACTGATCCGCACTAACCCGTTTAGGAGATCTGCAGGTGCACGCACGCGAACTATAACTGCCGAGGTAGAATAATGGATTACTACTTCAAAGATATTGAATTAAATACGATTAATACAATCTAGGTCATTCGAGATTCATACCAAAGTTAGTCAAGAATTGAAAGTGCTTTATATAATCATAATCTTATACGTCGGGCCCAGGATAGGCCAATGGAGACTGTAAGGATACAGATCGCGGTATGTACATGCGCGCCTGGCCTTTGTTCCTGAGAGGTCCCCCTTCCAGCACAGCCCGCTGGACTGGAGCAGACCCCAGAAAAAATCGAGAGCTGTTGATCGGAAAGCAAGGATGAACTCCGCTACTAAGAGGGAACTCCGAGTCCAATCATTTCAAAAACGGGGGGCGCCACGTTGATGACAACCCATGGAATCCCTATATGATCGAGGTCAGCCTCAGGTCTGTAGAACAATAATCGAAAGATTACTTTGTCATACCTGCATATACAACCAGCTTGGTAACAACCTCTACGTCGTACCGTACCCGAGGCTTCTTAATTTGAGAGAAGACCTCCTTCTCATCCGTTCGGCGAATTCCACCATATTCTGGAGGTGGAAGCGGCGATGAGCGAGGGATATTGGAATCATCCTCGACCATGGATGAGTTGGGACTTCCGGTACCCATCATGTGCTCGTATTGGTCCAGTTTGGATGGCTTCCTGGACAATACTGGTCCACCATTAGGTCTACCGTTCTCATCGGCGGGGGAGTCACGGTTGCTTCCTGATAGACTCTCACGTCGTCGCTTCTCCCGGTAAGCGAGAGTCTCATATGCGTCGGCTTCGGACTGAGGACCGATGGAGATTGCACGACGGCGAGGATGGCGGATAGTGGTGATGATGGAAGGAATATCCGAGAAGTTGGGGAACACTTCGTTGTCCTTCAAATTAGTGGGAACGGTGGTATACCGGCTGCAAACATAGTCAGCCAATGGGTCTAAAAAGAGATTGCACCGTGTCAAAACTTACGATGCGGTGGTGAAAAAGCGACGGGGCAAAAGTAGGCCAACTTTCTCAAGACTGCGGAAGATGGGAGGGAGGATGCGCAACAGAGTTGGTTTCGTGATCTCTCTCCAGGCAAAAACACACAGCACACCAACAACCAGGCGGAACACAGTTTTAATCAATCCAATGCTCTCATAGTTATATGGGATCGTGCCCGGGAGAGGGTCAGCCCAGGCCAGGCTGGAGGTGGTAAAATACCAGGAGCCCACATCCACGCCAAGCGTCACACCAGCGAACGCGACACTGTCATCGAAACAAGGGCAATCATCCGCTGGCTCTGGATGAATACGCACGAGAATCAGAATGACAATGGGAATGACCAAGATTTCCTTTAGCGTTGCAGACAGAATATACTCGTCAAAAGCCGGGCCGTAACTAAACTGAACCAAGCCGATCAACGCGCCTAGAATGCAACCAACAATCACATCGAAGAATCCATGCATGCCGCAGTATAGCCGACCCAGCACAATTGATGTCACGTAGAGGTATGTAATTGCCTGGAGAATAAAGTTGGTTTGCGCGGGGACCGTCGAATCAGGCGAATTGAGCAGCGCGATAGCGTAGACGGCGACCGAGACAGCGTTGGTAGAATGCGTCGAGGGGAATCCGTATTCGAGTGCAGCAGAACCGGACATGGTGATCCGCTGTAGCGGGGGAGATAAGGGCCGAGGCAGACATAGCAAGTCCTTGATGAAACCGCTGAAGAAGACGCCGGACGCGAGAATATGCACGAGTCTGTATATCGACCATCTTAGTTATGCCATCCTATCATCCTGCAATTGTATAACCCAATATTATAGACATACCCTCGACCTAGACTGGTATGGCCGCACCAAAACAGAAAGGGCAAAAAGACCATGAAAAACGTGTGTGTGCCGAGGTTCGCCGTGAACGCAAAGTACGAGTCTAGCGTTGGGGTGCGGACTTTCTCCTGCACCCAGGCTAAGTATGGCGTCTCATATCGGACGAGAGGAATCAGCTTCTGTCGTGGCCAGTAGCGCCAGAGTGGCAGTTGGGTTGCATCTATCGCAGAGAGTAAGCGTTAGCGGCGACAGCACCTTGTCCTCGGAGGGAACATGCGGGGAGCAAGAATCGCGCAACGAGGGGGTTATCATACAGTGGTCCAGACTCCTCAACCCAGCGTCAGGCTGATCCTTTGCGCCGTTCGTCTTGCCCATTGTGCGGTGCTATCGATGCGGATGCGATTGGGAGCGGGTCTCCATACAGGACAGGCGCCTGGTGCCTGCCGCTAGGAATTCGGGAGGACGCGATTCAGCAAGGGGACATAAGGAGTGTGGGTAGTTGGATTGCAGAACCGGAACCGGGAAGGAAGACCGGAAACTGAGTAGGGAGGATTTGGTTTTTTTAGGGTGGAGTTGACAGCGTCAACAAGATTGAAGATCGCTGTCGCATCCGCGGCTGTTCCCCTGATGGAGCCATGTGTGGGCTTAGTCACCCGGCCGAGTACTTCAAGTTTAAAGAAGAGTGTAGGAACTCGTATATCATAAATAGATTATTATGGATAGTAAATGAAATTCAATGATAATGTCTAAGAGAACAAATTCTCGTCCGAACCGTCGCTTCATTCACTCTTGAACGGATTCCCGTTCGGCGCTTCCTAGCCAGGTTTTAGCATGGATGATCGGGTATATCCAGCCGATCTATTTGAGCCGTGAGACTCGAAACTAGTTTGGGAGACTCCACAGCTTAAACGTCGCAAGCTTTGTGAACCGGATTACACAAAACAGATCATTGTTGGCAATGATAAGCGGCTATGGTGGTACACTCTGTATCCACTTGGTGCCGACATTGTCGTACGTCAAGATCCCAGTGTGCCTGGACATGGACTTGGATTCGAATCAAATGCCTTGTTTGAGCACGGGGATCTCCATCTCCACCCTAGTGTGGCTCTAGAAGTTGTTCCCCTCTTGATATAATATATAACTACATACTCTATTCGGGTATTCTATTGCAGAACCTATTTAGAGCGGTCGAAGTATGCGCGCCATACTCGCAGCGCATATCACATGATATCGGAGTTGCCGCCCGTGGCTGGCAGCGTGAACCGTTCAACATCAAAAGTTCAAGCCATCTGCTGAAGAGGAGCTGAACAGTGGGGTATGAGGGCCATAAAAAGAGGGGCAGGAGGAGGCCCCGGTAGGACCAAAAAAGAACCTGGGATCGGAAAGATCGCATCAAGTTGAAACTGACAGGCGAATCGAGGAGAGCGGAGTCCTGGCGTCATTGCGGCGCGGCGCGTTGCCATGGCACCCGCCCGTGTAAACACTGCCCACGGGTCTCGCCAGCGACCCCAAGAGACCCTCACTTCCCATATCTTCCATATCGCTAGTCGATCCCTAGATCTCCATTCGATCACCTCTTTTTTCTTTCCCTTTTCTTACTCCTACTCCTCTCATCTTACACCTCTCATCCTACACCTCTCATCCTTTCTTCAACCATCCCCCGAGTTTTTACGACATATCCTACCAACGCCCTTTCCATATCCTTTCGGCAGATAGCCGTCTTCACCACTCGACGACCCGCATTTCTTAACCAAAGGGGCTCCATTCCTCCCGCACCACGATGAGTCAAATGTATGATGACCAGTACTATGCGGCTTCGCGCCGCCGCTCTGTGGCGACGCCTCCTCCCAGCATGACCCCACGACACAGCCGCACTCGCTCTCAAAGCGTCCGAGTGAGCAACGGCACCGCCAGCACACATACCAGTTTCTCCAGTGGACAAATGTCGGAAGCCACCAATATCACTCAACCCCCCTCCTACTCTAAAAAGTTCGTCGTCGTTGGAGATGGTGGGTGTGGCAAGACTTGCTTGTTGATTAGCTACTCGCAAGGCTACTTTCCAGAGGTGAGACTCGAATGACTGGAGTTATGCCCTTGTCTGAACCATCAATGCTAACATGTCTTACAGAAATATGTCCCAACTGTGTTTGAAAATTACATCACCCAGACTACCCACCGAGCATCCGGGAAGACGGTTGAACTCGCGCTGTGGGATACTGCCGGCCAGGAAGAATATGATCGTTTGCGCCCATTGTCCTACCCCGAGACCGACCTTCTATTTGTCTGCTTTGCTATCGATTGCCCTGCATCCCTAGAGAACGTTGTGGATAAGGTAAGCTTCCAACAAGCCGTCCCACCATGCCATTTTTCATGACACTAACTTCCTCCAGTGGTATCCCGAGGTTCTACACTTTTGCCCCACAACCCCAATCATCTTAGTTGGCTTGAAATCAGATCTGCGCAACAAGCGAACATGCATCGAGCTCCTCAAGACACAAGGCCTGACTCCCATCACGCCAGAACAAGGCCGGGGTGTGGCCCAGCGAATGGGCGCAACCTACGTGGAGTGCAGTAGTAAGGAGATGCGTGGTGTTGATGAGGTCTTTGCCAAGGCTGTGGATACCGTCATTGAGATTGAGGAAGAAGGCTACGTCGCCCAACCAACGAACAATCGCAACAGCGGCAAGCCCTCTGGTGGTGGTGGAGGAGGAGTCCGACCCGGGAAGAAGATCAAGAAGCGCACCTGCAAGATCCTATAACCGACCCACCCTCTCCTTTCTCAACCGTCTCTCTTCTTGACCATTGTTACCCTTCCCTTCTCCTCCTGTTCCGATCAAATGCCTGGTTGCTTTATCGGCTTGCTTGCCTGCTCCTGTGGATGTGCCATGTCACCGCAAGCTGGACATGAACTGCAAAAAATGACTTTTGGTGTCTTGGATCGCTGTGCGCCCCCCTTGACCGATCTCTGGCGGTTTTCTTTCCCAATTCGACAGATATCCCGGGATAACTGTATGCTGTTTGATTCTCTTTCTTTCCTGTCTACTCATGACCACTGTGCTTTTTCTTCTCCCTTTGACTCTCATGACTCGAGTCTTTGCCACTTTGGCATGCATGGGACTGGTGTTTTCGTTTATGTTACCTGATATGCTCCGTTGGCGAAAGCGACCTTCCTATGTTACTGAAACAATACATTCTGATATTTGATGTTTAATGAGGATGTTGTAACGTAAATCTTTTCAAAGTAGACATAATTTTGTTCGTAAATGGTAGCCCAACGTAAAATAAACATGGTATCATGAAAATATAAACAGCAATGCAAGGCCGGTACCAAAATGCAACCAGTCCAGCTCCAGTCCAGTCTAGACGGAAGAAACCCTACTGGCTGGCCATTGAATCACCTTCACCTTCATGCTGTGTTCCTGCATTGCCCTGTCCCTCGCTCTCTCCACTAACTGCCCGCTTCCCCTGGCCAGCCTCCTCGAGTTCCTCCTCCGGTCGACCCATGAAGTTCTCAAACTGGGACCAGAGAGCTTCTACAGAGCTGAACTCATTTCCCACCTGGTAAAATTAGCCAAAGATACAGACTGGACAAGTCAAAGGGGGTAGATAGAGCGTACTGTGATGATACTCTCCAAATTCCGGTTTAGACGGTTGATGTTTTGGAGGACTTGTTCCATGCCCTATCGCAGATTATAGATTAACAAATGTTCAATTCATTGAGCTTTTTTTTATTCATGTAAAATGTGTTTAAAAGAGGGATTTCACTTACAACGGCAATCTCCCGAACCAATTCTTCGCGTTGTTGCTCAAAGACAGTTGGCGATGCGGCGCGACCACCAGAGCCGGGGGTGGAATTTATCCAAGCCATGATCGGAGATTAGAACGTTGTGCAGGATCAGTAAAGTCGATGCGTAGAGATTTTGACTATCCCGATAGCTCCTGTTATCCTAGGCTAGGCCGTGTCTGACGCGATGGTGGGTGGTTGATGCGTCCCGCCGGGTTTGAGAGGGCCCGCGTCAGAGTCTAGTTCAACGTCGGACCGAGTATTCAACGGGGCTAGGACTGCGGATGGAATTGGATTGAGCACTGAAGCTGTATCCGGAAGTGACTTTGTGTTGCGTTGTGCTGTTGTGTCTTGCTGGGAGTCGCGCGGTGGGAGGTTGATGGGGAGAAAGTCGCGGTTGGTGGGGCAGTTTTGTTGATAAGAGATCCGATTGGAGATAAACCATAACAGTAGACGAGATCATATGTATATGGTCTTTTGATTTGATTAACCTGGTATGGATCATAGTAACAATGTCAATCTTCCTAGATCAATTAGAGGCGGAATCTTCGCTTTGCAATTATCTTCCCGCACATCTTTCATTTTCGCTCCCTCCACCAAAAATACGATCTTACAATTGCTGCACAAAGCCCTGAACATCAGCCCCCATCGACAGTACAAAGTCCCGGGCTGCTTCATTTACCTACTGAGATTTTATCGCGGGTCGCATCATTTTTGCCAAATCGAGATCTCAAATCCTTGCGCTTGGCAAGCAAACAACTAGTCGAGACGACGCCATTCTCGCGCGTGTTTCTTTCAGCCAATTCTCTGGATATCAAGGTCTTGCGCTCTGTATATAATTTGGAACCTGAATCTACTCGACCACACGTCGGTATGCAGGAGCTTCAGGAATAAGGAATTTGTCAACCTTGGTAATAGATATCTGGATCAAAAGAAACACGGCCATTTCTAATAACTTCCATTCTTCCTTCCAACAAAGACTTATTCCTGAACCACTACGAGAATATGAAACAGCTGTCAATACAGAAAGTAATATTTTGCAGGGTTATCTTTGACCCTACGCAGTCAAGCCACAATAACGCAAACATACTCGTCCGCTTGCAGACCGGTGCAGTCGGTCTTGGCCGCCGGGTTCTAGGCGTAGAAAGAAGAAGTTGAGATGCCGTATTCATTTGCGATATCGAAGCCCCATTTATCGATAATAACCTTGTAGAACTTATTGTGTATGGCAACCGTCTGAATGGGGTATGGTGTTGTGGCACCGGATTGAGGAGTGGTCGACTTCACACCTATGCAGACGTCTCAGCTAACTCCTAAGATGAAAGAAGGCATACTTGATATCTCTCTGTACGGTTGGACACATACTTAGGACAAATAAATTAGGAATAGCTGATCTTGTCAAGTTAGAGAGATTGGGCCAGCGTTTAACTAGATATAAAGTGAAAGATATAGACCAAGTTTGTAAAACACATGGTTGGGTTGGGGAGGGGATCCGTTCCGCCCCCGCGCAGCCTCTCGATAGAATTATTTGAACATGGTAAGACCTTTAGCTCTTCTCATTTGATATTTACATAGTCAGACTCATACAAGTGTTTGCGAGGCTCCAGCATTAGTAGCTTCTATTGGAACCTCCCACTCTTGTAGGTCCTTCAAGGCAGCAATTGTCTCCGGATGCCGAGGACCCCAACATTTTAACAAATCTTCTGCACACTCTGCCATTAGTTGCCGAGCTTCCTCAACTCTCTGTTTTCTGTAATAAACTCTTGCTAGGTTGGCCCCATAGCGTGCTCGGTAAGCATTCATCTGCCCAAATGCTTTTGTGGCACTCTCCCGGGCATCTACGGAGAGAGCTTCAGCGACGTCAAGTCTCGAGTGAACGAAGCAAATGTTGGCAAGAGTGCCCATGACCTGCATTCTGTGGCGGTCGTTTCCTCTCATGTCTTTCATGCTCCCAACTGTCATTCTCAAGTATTCTTCTGCCCTTTCCGTCTCCCCTTTGTTGAAGTAGGTTTGAACAAGACTGACTCTAGCCCAGTTGCCCATGTCCCGATGCTCTTGGAAGTGCTGTAGCTTCTCAGAACTTTCCACAATCTGCGATAAAAGCCTCTCCTTCTCTTCATCATTATCGGTTTGGTGACTGCTCATTGCTTCAATATGCATGGTCCATAAAGTGATCGGATGATCTTCTCCCAAGGCCCGACTCGAAATTTCTCTCAATCGCGACACAAGCTCGTCCGATTGGTCGATTTTTCCCAGTTGACGGTATGTCCGGGCAAGGCAGTTCATAAAGTTTAGGCTGATTTCGCTATTCATGCCTAGGTGCTTCGTGCTTATTTGTACACCCAACTCGAACACTTTTTCTGCCTCGTGCAATCGTGACTGCTCGATAAGCATCTGCCCCTTAAGGATTATGCTTCCTATGGTGGATTCATGCCCAGGCCCCAGTATTCTTTGTTTGATATCCAACAATTCCTCCAAAAACGGTTCCAGATCGTCCAATCGCCATTGATCCCAATAAATGAAGGCAACGGTATCCATGCACGCAATAGTATGAGGGTTCTCAGGACCAAGGTCTTTCCGAGAATTCTCTAATGCAGCAAGTGCATGAGTTTCCATTTTCCGGAGAACGTCTGAGCTATTCAAGGAATTGGTCGCTTCGGTATCGTCTGACTCATTTTTTATGCCTTCTGATGTATCGTTCATCGCCTCTACTGGAATTTCGTCCAGTAAGCGATCATTGGTGAGAGAGCGGAGACCAGAGGTCGAGCTCTCAACCACGGAAGCCTTGCTGTCGGCGTAAATAGAGTCGAGTGATCCTCTGTCTTCCAAATCCGTCATGAAAGCTTGTCGAGACTCATCCGACTCTTCCTCGCGCAACGCTGACTCTTCATCATCGGTTTCTCTTCGAGGAAGAACGAAGAGGGCAAGTTGTTGCAGATGCTGAGCTAGATGCTGTTGGAATCGACTCGAGCTGGTAATGGGAGGCTTGGTGCAAAGTGGACATTGCTGTGCTAACGTGGAAGGTTTTGACTGATTTTTCATTTCTTGTCGTTGTTCTTTGGGGGTGTCTGCGTGATCATCTTCGAGGTGAGAAAGTAAAGCGCATTTATCTGCGGATGTGTATGGACAAAGAGTGCAGAACCACTCTCTTCTATGGAATTGTCGTTCGTGAGCGCTCCACTCTGTGAAGCTATCGTATAGCTGATTTTCTTTGACACAACCGCCGAAGGTACAGATATAAGGCCGCAAGTCACTGTATACATGGTAGATCCAGTCCTCATCATTTTCTACCTGAACGGTTTGATGACAGTATGGACAGATGAAGGGATGACGTCTTGTGACACTTGATCCTCTTGGAGGTGGCGGGATCAAGTTTTGAACCTGATCGCCTGCGGTGGAACTCGTGGCAGAAAACCTTGTTCGTCCAGAGTCTGATGCAACATCATTATCCTGGTATATTGTTGAAACCATGGTGTCTTGCGTCCATTGAGTGGAAATCGTGGGAGGCCTTCGTTGATGCTCGCTTTGTAGTTCAATACTCACTGGAAGTTGAGGCACTGGCACGGCTTTGCTTATAGCAACGTTGACGTATTTAGAGATTTTGTCAGAGTGGTCTTTGTAGTAAGCTAGTAACTGACGACGTTTGGTGTTTGCTTTTCCTAGGCGCTGAGCGAGTGCGCTGTCCGGTGTGAGGTTGAATTTATCACATACGTGATTGATGTCATAGAATTCGAAATGGTGTAGGTCTATACGAGAGGCTTGGATAGACCGATCACGATGTGCTGGGTTCTGGAGAGATAGAGATAGCTTGTACCTGTAGAATCACCATATTCATTAGAACCTAGAGGGCGCAAACTCTCTAAGGTAGTACTGGGACAGAATACTCACAAACTTGTCACCGTATGACTTAGATCCTCAATGTATATATCAATAGGCGACCGATGGGATGCCTCGGTTCTGATCTGTTCCCAGAAGCCATCTGAGTCTGAGCTTTCAGAATCCGAGTCCTCTCTATCTACCAGATTTGCGTCATCCGTAGATCCGGGGCTTGTCAAAAGATAAGCACTTGCTAAACAAGATATGAGCGACTAAACCAACAGACAACAGTAATTCAGTGACCATACCTTCTTCGATCGTCTTAGAAATGTCTGCAAGGTGATTCCTGACACCTTTGTGTAAATCCGGGGCCTCTCTGAGTCGGTGGTCCAAGGACAGCCGGTCTGTTTGCTTGCGATGGGCACCAAAGTTGCCTACCCAGACTCTGAGTCGACCAAGTTCTTCGCTGACTTTTGATCTGGCGGGGGATTGCTCCTCTTGTGTTGATAATGCATCTATAAGACTCTGGAAATCTCCGAAACACCTCAAAACAAGCGATGATATAGATACGGCCGTGTTCACTGCATCTATCGTCTCTCGAGCATCGCCTCCAGGCTGTGAGGCTGAGGGTAATACTTGATGTGTTTGCAGTTGGTCAGCCATGCCTGGTTCCGTGTGTGGTCAGGTAGTAGAAACGTCTCCAGACAGGAAGAACTGAGAGAAATATCTGTCGAGCCTCTGAACCTCCTAGTAGTGATTAGAGAGAGAATTTCTGTTGAGAGTTCCTTCTTTGAGTCTCTCGTTAACCGCCCGGGATGCGCCTCAAGCGGGGTAGATGCATTAGCATCAAAACAGCAACGAGTCTCAGCCGCACTCCCACCTCCCAGACAATCATGTGGATTCCCCTAGACTACTTATGAGTCACTGTCTGCATTCTCTCGAGACATTTTCTGGTTTCCGCAATAAGCTGGCAAGATGCCTACTGGATTCGAGATCGCTGGTCTAGCTCTTGCCATCTTCCCGATTATTATCGAGGGGATTAAATTCTACGCGAATGAGAAGGACGCTGTGAGCGACATATTAAACTATCAGCGACTTCTCACCCGTATTGCTCGAGATTTGGATCGTGAACAAATCATTTTCCGGAACTCATGCCAACGGTTCTTGGAAGATATTGCTGCACACTGTAGCGTTGGAGAAGATGAGCTGTCTGGGATGGTTCAGAACCCGAAAGACCCCCGATGGACGCAGGGACTTTTAGTCAGGGAAGAAGTTTTTCACCGGGCTTCTGTCCAGCAGTATCTTCACGCTGTTGAGGATATGCACGAAGAGTTATCAAAGGTCAAAGAACTCATCGGGATACAAAGTGGAAGCGGGCAGGTAATTTAAGCTTATCGACGATTGAGTTTCCGGCCGTCTACTTACCAAGACTTTATCTTTAGCCAGCACTTCTCGATAAAAAGACACGCCGGCGGCAGTGGAAGAAGATTATCCTCGTGCTCAAGAAAGATTCAATCACCGACCACCTAGCCAAAGCCGAGAAGCTCAATTCATTTCTCGCCCGACTGACCGAGCAAAATCAACCAACAGCGACCAATCGTCATGCTTCTCGGAGAAGCACAAAACACTATAAACGCATTCGATCTCATGCGATCGATCTCTACAATATTCTCAAGGCTCAATTCCCCGCCCATCCAGCCTGCGAATGCGCCCTACAGCCGCATCATGTCAATATGAGATTAGAGTTTCGCAGTGCACAGAGCACAGCAAAGGGACTATATTTCCATACAATCTTCACCTCGGAAACTGCCTTCAACTCTTCATCGAACTGGCGCGAGATCGAAAGCGAGCCGTGGGGAACGAATCCTGCCGATCTCTGTCAGGATACTATACACAGCGCTCAAGTTCAATTCGTCGTCACCCCACCGGTATCATCTCAGGGAAGCTCTGTATCTACCAATGAACCCGAAATATCAAATCTCTGCGCAGTGATCACCGGGCCTGCTTCGAAGGATTGGCTTGGATGCATCGCTAGTCACAAAGGACAACAGCATCGGATCCGTGCAATGGACCATCAAAAACGATTACCAGCATTTGACACTATCGAAACGGTCTCACTAGGGGACGTTCTCGGAGACAATTGCTTTGGCGAAGAACAACGACTTCGACTTGCATTAAAACTAGCATCATCAGTGATGCAACTCCACACAACCGACTGGCTCACAGATTACTGGAGCAAATCCGACATTTCATTCCTCCGGTCTTCATACGGAGTGATCGACTTTGACAACCCTCTAATCGGACGTACTTTTGGCAATACCAGCTACAGTATGACGACACTCTCACAGAACCTCCCGCGACCAATGCTCCATGCATATATCCCTTGCCTCTTCTCATTAGGAATCGTACTTTTGGAATTACGCTATCGAACTTTGTTCGAGGATCTCAAGACGGAGCATGAACGGACCATGGCAAGACCCACTCAGAAAAAGAACAAGCAAAGATCTGACCACCGGTTAAGATACCCGAAATCTCCGATCTTGCGACCGCACGCCGACTATCCTCTGATATGGTCGGCAGTCCTAATTATCGAAATGCCGTCCTGCGCTGTATCTTGGGTCTAGACGCGGCGTATCAGTCTCTGACGGAGGCAAAGTTCCAGGATGAAGTGGAGGATAAGATTGTCTTTTTGCTTGCTGAGGATCTAAAGACTTATTGTGCCAAGGGATCGGTCGAGGCCTGTCTATAGGCTTTTTCACGCTAGTATACCTACGTACTAGCAAAGTTAGAGCTAATGTACATCACATTACCAAAAAGCCTAGACCTGTGGGCACACATTTCAGAGGGGACAAGAAAAGAGTTTAGTGCCTTGTTGAAGGGGGTTTTAAAAGAGGTATTACTTGGTAGTAGTAATTTACCTTCGATACTAGTTGAGGTGGACGATAAGCGCCAATTGCTCAAACCCAATTTTTTAAGGCAGAAAGTCCGGCAGAATTCACATAACCTACAGAAGATAGAAGAGAAAAGACAAGAGAAAAGACAAGGAAGGGGATAGTCAAATCGGTACTACAGTAATAGCGTCGCCCTGGCTTAAAGAAGAAGGCATCAGGGCAAAGGCGACTATGAAAGCGGTCGATATGATGACCAATTATGGGTTTTGAGCACCTGGCGTTTATCGTCCGCCCCAACTAGTATAAGAAGGATCTTTGTAAATTGAAAAGAAAACTGTATAAAATGAATAACCAATTTCTACCCTTCTGAACCGTTACCCGGATAGGGCGGACATTTGGTGCTCAAATGTCTTAAAAATAGTTCTTCGACCTTCGACACTCCGAATGACTCGAAGGGGCCCGCCCACCCGAAAAAGACCAGTCTGGAACACCAATCCAGTAGTGAATCCACCAAACACCCGTTCTTCACAAGCGTTGGAAAATTTTCCGAGACAAATTATTACAAACTATGTACTCCGCAATGGAGTAATGTATTACTACTAGTATGTACTCCGTAGTAGAGACTAGTCTTCCCTTCTAGCATTCCCTATCCTGTCCGTATTCCGTACCACAATCCCCAACGTTGCACTGTCACCAAAAGAACAGCCTCGTCGTGACTCGCCAGGGTCCAGGGGAACAGATCCACCCGGTACCTGAGACCCGACGCCGTACCTCGGTAACACTCACACCCTTGTCCATGGCACACGAAATGACAGCGAAAAAAAAAATGGAGATTAGAGATCCAACCTGGCCTAGAACGGTCGTGGCTCGGCGAGTTTCAGATCTGTTCAGGTACAGAAGTCTGCCAGCAGATTTGTGTTGCATGGATGCGGGGATGTGTATGGTTCGAGGGGCAGGTACCTATATACGGAGTGATGTGTTTGTGCGCCATGCATTTAGGATAAAAGGGAGTATATCGAGGATGTTGATGAGCAGTGGATTTGGTACCTTTGTATAACGGGCGAAATCGGAATTCAAGGGCGTTGAGTGCTGCAGTGGGGGGGGGGGGGGGAGCTTGGGCGATCTATGGAGTACAGCAAGTAGAGAAATGGTAAATTGGCCTGCGTGTGGAAATTAAAGGACAGTTTTCTCGTGTTCGTGTCTACAGGAATATCCTACTGAAAAGAACTGCGTAGTTTGTGGAAACAAGAGGCATGAGTGTACCTCGAATGTCGTATTCATTATTCATCGTCTATACAATCATAGTATTTTTCGTGGATTCTTTCCCATCTAGGGAAACCAAAGGTAAACAGTCATAGGGTATTTAGACTATGTAAACGGGCTCCAATTGATCCAATTCAGTCCAATGAAACCAGGTATTCCTCCGTAGAAGACCATTCCTGTACTAAGACAATAGAATTGAGTCCAAAGAAAAGCATAGCATCGTCATCACATCGTTATCGTGGGGGGTAAAGGCGAGGGGTAAGTAAAGATGAGATCTTTTGCGATCGCAGTCCATCTTTTCAATCCAACCAGTCAAAAGACCAAATGACCCCTCCTCCCAACCGTTTTCCCCTGGGAGACATCAATTCAGTCCGACGGAGATCAATGCTGTCTCTCCTGGTCATCAAGTGCATGCGATGCTGGTGCAATGCTCATACTGTTTGCTGCGTATCGCTATCTGCATGCCCACAGCCTATAGATCCATCCACAAACATTCGTAGCCTCAATTTTAGTGTGTGTTGGGGCTCGTAAGCAAGGAAATTTCCAACCCGGGTCGTGATCCGTAATCGTGTCATTCGTATACGTGCCCGCTCCAAGCGAAGCGCGATGTGTAGGTAGTAGAAGTGGGAGACGGGTGGGAGGTAATGCGGAGAGGAGAGGAGAGGAGAGTAGTATGCGAAAGCCGCGAATGGATCAAGAGGAACGTCGCGGCTGGACTAGCATATTGCTAATTCGCTTCCACCGTTGCGTAGGTGACGTAGAGTTATTCCGGGCAAGATGCGACTTGTCTGCCTTGGTGGATGATTGCGTAGAAGAGCGCGGGCGACTAATAGTCGCCTCGTGATCGGCGAGGACGTCCTCGAGACGAACGTCCGAGTCGGACATGCGCAAGTGCGAGTCCTGTGGATCGAGGATCTCGATGAATTTGGAGGGAGTGTCGCGCATTGTGGCTGGATATTGGTTTGCTTTTCTTTCTTTTTTTTTACTCTCGTGAGGTAAAAATGGAGAATAGTCACGCGGGCGGTTGTATAGTTATATAGTCGGAGTACCCCCGTATTCCCCCGTTTGCACGGATGAGACAAAGAACGAAGCAGGAAGCGCAGTGTTTCACGTTCTTTAAGGAGGCGCAGGATGCAGGATGGACTGCATCGAGGATTTGAAAATAGGTAGAGGATTGCGATCAATCAAAAAGAATAATGCGACACATGTGGAATATGGATAGAACGGAACAATGGGGGAGGGGGAAAGGGGGCTTGGTTATTAAATAAGAAGTCGTGAAATAAAATACAACCTTCACGAAGGAGGGAACCAATCACTCTCTGACTCTACTACGGGGGGGACGGAGTACGGAGTACATAATTTTCCCAAAAAAATTAGTTAAAAATAATGTCTACAAAGTCATCCTCCCAAAATCAAAACGAAATCCTAATTTACACTTGCACTCTCTGTATGGCCGAACCAGTGAGCCACCGTGCGACTGGAGACGACGCCCGCAAATCAGAGCGATGGAAATTTAGGGGAACAAGTTGACCAACTAATGCGGGCGAAGAGTCCAGTCTGGCCAGTCTGAACGGACCAGGCGGAGACTCGATGATCAGGGACGGGGCGAATCCACCAGAAAGAAGCCACCTAGAATTCTTACTCGTTGAAGAAGATCGTTGTTATTATTGGGGTTGGGATGGGGTGGTACTACAGGACTCCGTATAGCCGGAGAAATTGGCACAATTTGGGTCAGGACTTGGGGGTCCTAGGGGGCCAGGAACAAGGGTCTACACTTAGTTGGACAGGTGTTATTTACTAACACGACAGTATGAAAGTATGTACTATCAATGTTTCGAGTAATTATTCAGTGTCCATGTGCTCTGCTTCGCCTTCCTACCAGGTAGCAAGATATACCGAGTATCGTAGCTGAACTAAGAGGCAAATCTGCGAACTGCCTAGCTGGATAGCTCACTCTGATCTGTCATGCTTTCTATCCAGTAACAACTATCTATAGGTATACCTATAGCTATGTATACTCCCTCCGCGCATGGTTCCCCTTGGCGTATCACCTCTAAAGTCTGTACAAGTACATCCTGAACAATCTCACCCTCTCATCCATCTTTCTTCAGAATTCAGGACGCCTTATTCGACATCGAAGAAAAGCCCCCTCCCCCCAGTGCCCACAGCCGTAACTTACTGTACTCCACACACCCTCAATTCCCTCTTTCGGCACCGTCCTGCTGATGCAGCTGCACACACAAACCTCCCGAGGCAAAATCCAAAAAGTGTGTGGCCCGTACAGAGAAGATCAGCACTCACGCACCCAGTTGAATAGACTGGTGGCGCATGGGGGGCGCCGACCACTGACCGTTAGAGGATACGAAACCCGCGGAGTCCATGGTTCGTCCGATCGGCGTGGGTCGCTGGAGTTGGGACTGTGTACTTGCGCGGCCACAGAGGGGACCATATGACATTTTAGCGAAGAATTATTACAATTCGCTTGTGAAGCGGAAGTTTCCCTCGGGAGTCGCCGCTGAGTCAGTTGTTCTTCAGTGTTGATGTTGATGTTCTTGTTTCATGTTAGATAGTACTATATACACTTCTGCCCCCAATCCCACCAGGCACCCAGTATTCTAATTCTCGCACAATTAGTGATCAAGTCTCTCGGAAAGAACACCATTCGCTTCGCTGCAGGGAAGATAACCGATGAAACATCCGCTAATGAAGACCCTGTCGCCCATGTCGCCGAGTCGCCCCCGCGTGCAGCGCCATGACGTCGGGGGCTCAGCCATCGAGCAATCTTATCTGCCTGTCGAGCTCGTGTTCGTAGCGTCGTCTTTGCCAGAGGGACAAAGCAGCGTCAGCGGGTGATCGTCAGCATCATTGGCCCCATCTATAAAAAGATCTCTTTCGGCGGAGGACCGAGTATGTACTGTACCTACCGATGATAGGCGCGGTTTCTTCATGTATACATCAGTAGTCATCAATCGGCATTCTATACTCTGTGGATAAGCATTAAGCATTCCCCTACAGACCCTGTCTCTTCAGCTATCTACCGTATTTGTTAGCTATGTCGAACCTCGAAATGAATAATGACGAAATATTCTTACATTGATACCCACAAGCAATGTACTCCCCCACCACCCGCAGCAGTTCGTCCTGCCCTACAGCCTACAGAAGCAGGAGGCTTGCACCGCCCACCACACTGATGTCAAGCGGGACCTCCGACCTCATCGGTGTTGTCCTTCTCTATGAAGGATTCGAATGCCGGTCATCCGATGGAGGGGTGGATAAACACGGAGCCAATTGCTCTGCGGGATATTAATGATGGCCTGTATCAACAAGGTGACTTGTCCTCCGTCCCCTCTTGATGGCTGTCGGTCGCCACACCCCTCTTAAGCTCTTCGCATTAAGCGTCCAGGGTATGTGCAGTATCTAGGGTGGCTAGGGTGTTGAATGCGCCACTTGACGACAGTGTGCCCCCCCTCTTCCCCATACTAGATACTGTATACCCAATGGTTTTTGGCAGACTGATTACGGGATGACCACTCCGCGTCACGTCTGACGATTGCTATTACGCAGTGACCTACTCAATACAGCAATAGCATGGTATATTCATGGGGGCAGAGGAATTAACATGAGGAGTCAAATGGTGTCAATCATCTGATATGTATTGGCCACCACCAACAAGATACCCGTACGATACGCAGAACAATATTTGCGTGTCAAAAAGACATTGATTCGATTTTGGCCAGTTACCATGCAATATTTCGGAAGAACCATCAAAAACGCCTCGTGAATCGAAAAGTAAAAAGCAAAAGAAAAACACAGCGACAAGGTCCTGGTCTAGCAGAGGACTTCAATAGAATCCCTAGCCAGGTAGCCCCTCGTCGCATCCACTCCCAACACACTCCTGCTGTCTAGTAGTGCTCTTGATCTGTGCAAAGAGGCTCATGTCGCTGCTGGGGTTCTCGGGTCATCACCAAATCCGCGCTAAGAACCCTCGGTGTCGGTCCACCATGGAATCGAATCCGGTCCCGCAACGATGAGGCTAGACATGACAGTCCATCCCACACGTAGTCATCTCACCAACTCGCTTCCATAATTTCACATCCCCTTATTTTAACCCGAGATCCGTCATCTCCACGCTATCCGCCGAGCCCATCCAAAGAATGTTGTTACACCTGCAAAGAACACCCACGTCAGTAAACCAGAAGCTCACATAGTATACATAGGTCAATTCCTATCACAGATTCCCCGAGAGGATGTACGCACCGAATCAGCACCAGACCAAGGGTACCGGTGTGCTTGCCATCAATGTATTCCTCCGTATCGCGCAGCAGGACGTTCATGTAGGAGTCGATGCTCTCAAGGGTGCCCTTGTACTCGGTCTGGCCCCACTTCAGGCGGATAACGAGCTCAGTGCCGACTCTGCAAAGGAAGAAATAAGTCAGTAATGGTTCCATTGACGGGGTATCTCGTGTAGAACGGTAGGATTCACGCTCGAACGAGCTTGGCGATATGAGATCCCGGGGTGCGTGGAGGGGGAATCGCGTACCTAGCCTGCAAGAACGGCCGGGGGTTGACGGGTTGGAACTGCAAGTGTAAATGTTAGCTAGTGCTCTGCGATGCGAATGCCAGGATCTGAGGGGTCTGATCAAGCCGTTTGGGAGCTTGTCGACTGGCGCGGAGGAGGAGCAGGGTGGACTGGACGTACGCTCATCGTGATTAGGGGTATTGGTGGTCTGCGACCGTGCGCGGAACCGGGTATGTGAGAGGGGAGGAGGGATAGAAAGAGCCGAGCGATGAAGCTTGCGGATGCTCGGACTGGTTCGTGATGGTCGTGGAATTGGACGGACTGGATCTCGGAGTCGGTGATCGCGAAAATGTGAGCTGGTCGGGATGGGAGGAGTAGAGCCAATCAGAGCTTTGTATACGCTCACCGCCTTATGTCTTTCACGCGATGCGTTGCTTGATGAAGCTGAGCAAGACTTGGATTCTACAATTGATGAAAAGTATTTTGGTGTCGCTATTGAATTTAACCAATGTTGTAATCGGCGTGATATTCTTGGTCTTCACCGTATAACTGAATACCACAGCACACTTTCCTACCACTAACTCCCTCCAACCCTTCCTCAACCATTCCCATCCGCCCACCACCAGTAGAAATACAATAAGAATTCGTAGAAATTGGGGATCTAGAGTGAGATCGCATTGGAGCTGCATCACTCCAAGGGCAAGCCTATGAGAAGCACACCTCGCTGGTAGATGCATGTAACTTTCTCTTCAAGCACCGCGAGAAACTTATGCCCGGCCAATAGTCCAAGTCAGCTCCTTGATGCTGACCTCCTCCCCAGACTTCTCGTCATAATCATACCACTCCCCCTCACCGAGCTCAATACCAGTGAACGGAGTTGAGGACTCAACACCCTTGGCCTCCCATTCGCCCTATATAGCATGCGTTAGAGCAAAGAAGACAGTGCAATGTTGTAGACAGACTTACGTCAGGCTTGAACTCGGTGAACTCCAGACCACGGCAGTCCATCTCGATGATCTTCTGGCCGGTCTTCTTCTCCTCAGCCTCGTAGGCGTGCGGGCCAGCAGTGATGGAAGCAGAGTGGGTTTTCTATCCGTGATTATTAGCTGCATTCGTGACGAAACAGGGATGATATCGAAGCTCAATGCCAGAGGAGGTAGTCCCAGGCATGAGAGAGAGATTCTGGATATCAACGAGAATGGGCAATCCTACCGTGCACAACCGGCACTTCCACACAAAGTTGGCCTCGCCCCGACTACCGGGGATCTCGTTCAGATCCTACATGCAATCCCAGTTAGTCCAGAATCGAAATGATGCAAAGAGAAGCATGGCGAGGCTTACAAAGCGGTTGAAGCTGACCCAGTTCGGGTGCGTCTCGCGACAGGAAGTACATTGCACCTTGAAGGTGTAGAAATATGGGTTCTCCTCGGTATCAGTGGGCTGCAAGCCAGTGACACTATGCAAGGTTGTTAGTCATTGCCATTTCTCAGGTCCATAATTCATATCAAAACGCGCGGACACCACAGGAGGATTCTTTTGGCGGGGTGAGGGGGTGAGATCTGGGTGCGGGCAAGGACGAGTAATCCGCTCGTGGTTTCTACTCACCCTTCCAGTTCAGCCTTGAGGGTCAGAGTAAGCATATTGGCGGTCTCTGATGTGTTGTGTTTTTGTGGTGGAGGGAAATCGCAGTATGAGCTAGGGTCTTAAGGTGAAGGTTTCTGGTGATGCGGGGTGGAGACAGAAAATATATCAGAGTCTTGGCATGTGACCACCACGACGGACGACTTCATTCGAGTTCCACGAACTACGTAGAAAGACCTATATTTATACATTGGGAGAGAGGTAAGGAGGAAATTTGAATTGAAAATTCTCTATTGATTCAAGAAATAAAGAAAAAGAAAAACAAACGCCAATCATGCACAAAGCAGTCGCTCGACAAGACCGATCAAAACAAGCTATTTACACCAAAAATCTAGAAATATACAAAACATGACGCATCAATCAATCAAGCCAATGGCTTACAGACGGCTGGCCTGAGAGTCCTGACCAAGAGCCTTGGTCGAGAACGAGTTGAAGTACTCGTTGAGAGCATCGACAGTGCCAGAGCCCTCAACCAGCTGCACAGTGCAGGCAACGTGGCTGTCAGGGCGAGTGACAACAACACCACCATTCTCGGCGTCAATACCGAGCTTCTCGTGGGCAGCAAACTTGGCCTGGGGAACGCGGACATCGGGGATGTCATCAGCGTACAGGTGGTGGTGGTAGTCACGGAGGACCTGGGGGATGGAGTCGACATCGACCTCGTTCTTGGCGGAGGCGTAGATGACGGAGATGGTGAAGAGCTTAGAGTGAGGGTTGTGGCGCTCGAAGAAGGAGACGTCGGCAATGTCGGAGCGGCGGTAGACAGAGAGGAAGGAGCGCTCCTTCTCAAGGTTGGCAGCAAAGTCGGCGATCGCCTTCTTGGTCTTGGTCTGGTTACCAGCGAAGACGTAGATGCGGAAGGATCCGTTGACGGGGACCTCCTGCTCCAGCTCGACGAAGTTGGCATCAGCAAGGCGGGTCACCATGGTCGGGGTGAAAGCACGGCCAGCGGTCAGGCGGACACCGGGGAGGTTGAACAGAGGAGACTTGGCGGGGTGGCTAGCATCCCAGTTGAAGACGTTGGGCTTGTAGGCGACTCCGTATCCGCTAGTGAACTCGCAAGAGGACTTGAAGGTCTTGACGAACTCATCCTCCTCTTCCTCGGAACCAGTGGAGACAGCCTTGCTAGCCGAGATCTCGCCAGCGTTGGGGCGGCGCTTGGAGAACAGAGCGGCGTACTTGGCGTCAAAGTTGAGCAGAGTCTCGGCAATGTCCTTGCGCTCGCTCTCGTAGGTGCTCAGAGTGGAACGGTCGGCAAGACCGCTCTCGACGGCGTGGATCTTCCAGGCCATGTTGAGGGCATCGTGGAAGGCAGTGTTCATACCCTGACCGGCCTTGGGGCTGTGGGTGTGGCAGGCGTCACCGCCCATGAAGACGCGCTCATCCAGGGTGTACTTCTCAGCAATACCCTGGCCGATGGGGTAGACGGAGTACCACTCAACACGGTCCCACTCAACCCAGTAGGGCTTCAGAATGTTCTTGGCGGTCTGCTGGACCTCCTCGGCGGTGGCAGTCTTGCGAGGGTTGAAGTCGGGGTCGGTGGAAGAGGCGATCTGGACGTAGAGGCGGACCATGTTGTCCTCACGGGGGATGACCATGATAGAACCGGCGTCGGAGTGAATGGTGCACTTGGTCTCGATATCGGGGAAGTTGGTGCGGACAACACCGTCCATGACACCCCAGACGTAGGCGATGGGGTCCTTGTGGTGGATCTTGATGCCAAGCTGCTCACGGACAAAGCTGCGAGCACCCTCGCCACTGAACAGGTACTTGGTACGGACGTTCTCGATAACATTGGTGTCGAGGCACTTCAGGTTGACTTCGACGGGGTAGTCGGCGGCGCCGTCGTTCTTGAAGCCGACAATGGTCCATGGGCGCTCAACACGGGTTCCAGCCTTCTCGATCTCGTCCAGGAAAACGCGCTCGATCTTGCCCTGGTGGACAAGAGTAGTGAAGGGGTAGCGGGTATCGATGAAGCGAGGGCAGCTAGGCCAGCTACCAGTGCGAGCAATACCGGTACCGTCGCTCTTGGGGTCCCAGAAAGCAACGTCGTAGACCTTGGCGGGCTCGTAGGCCATGATGGCGCGCTTCAAGCCCAAGTTGCGCAGAATCTCGGTAGAACGGGGCTGAATACCGTCGGCGCGACCAGTAGCGGTCGGCACAGGGCGGTTGTCAATGTGCTTCACCTTGTAGCCCCATCGTGACATGCACAGGGAGAGGAGCAGACCGACCGGGCCGGCGCCGACGATGACGATGTCGTAGGATTCTTGGACCATGTTGACAGACAGGGGGTATATGTGTAAAAGGATATCAAATCAAACAGAGGGGGAGAGGATGGTATAGGCGATGCACGGAGATGATCGTCGTAAAGCGTGCAGCAGAAATCAACCAGGGATATGAAGATGTGTTATAGATTTCCCTTGCACGGATGTAACTATCCAAAGAAAGAAAAGATCGAGGGCCATGGCTGGTTCATAAATACTCGCGAGCAAGTCGGGGTAAGCGGGCCGAATGGAGGCTGTTGGAAGTGACGGCGAGCAGCCACGGCATTGAGGATCGGTTGGAATCGTGGGGAGGTGCAGGACGTTAGACCGGGGCGAGCCAATCAGCGGTGGCAGAGTGCGGGTTATGGGCGACAGTCAGCACTGGCAACGCTGACGAGCGTGTGGGGACGGACTCAGAGCGATTTCGACGATTGAATGCCGCCTTTGATTCCGAACTGCAGGGCCCAGTGTCTGGTCATGGAGACGACGTTGAGTGGTTGAAGTCGTGCTGGTTTCTCCACAGGCCCGGGAGCAGCAATCGGCAAGTGGAGAGAAACGCACGTGACCCACTGCTCGGCAGGGCTGGCCGGGACTTTTTGTCGATTTAAGCAGCAGTTTGCTCCTGCCAGTAGTACTATGTATACTTACAGAGGACAGCATATTTCCAGATACGCCCGCAAACTCCGCAGAAGTCCCCCCTCGGCCAATTCACCGGTGTCCCGTTCGGCTTATTGGCCCTTTTCCTCTCCACTATCCTCCGTTTTGCCGACTAGTCTTGGAAGGAGAGGGTGCCGCCCTATCCACCGGGGAGGAATCCTCACACTGAGCCTGGTAGTTTGGCCTGGCAGTTTCTTGCGGAAAACCCGACTCACATTGCCACTTGTAACTGGATGCCGTCGCTATTGCCTCGATGGATTCCACTTCTAATTTCTTTGTCCACCACGCTTGCCAAAATGGTAGCTTATTAGCTAGCTAGCTCCATATCGTTTCCTGATGTAATCCACAGCTAATAATTCATGCCCAGTAAGTATCCAATCACGGTATCGTCCTTTTCTACAGTACGTTATTATGTGCTTGTTAGTTGCATGAGTACAATCTAGTCAACCGTGTCTGAATACATTAGCTCCCCCCGAGGCAATACCCGAAGAAGGTCATACGCCTCGATAGATTACCTCGGGCACCGCATATATTCCCGCTCTCGTCAAAGACAGGGTCTGGGAATTTCAAAGGTGGCAATGCTTTCGGGGATACAACGGGTAAGCCGAGCGTTGAAACTCTATGCTCGGCAGCCACCCCCGGCTGAGCCAGACAACGCCTACGGAAGCTCTAGACTTGCCCAATCTGGTAATCTCTGCAACTTCACTCGCCAAGAGGTGGCACAAAAAGGACGAGGCTGCTGCCACCCCCTATATTTCCCGCGCGCACCCCCTGGGGCCTTAGATCTTGCTAAGTCCGTCATGCGTACAAGACTACTACAGTCTAGTATCTCTCGGAAGGTCTCTTGAGAGATCTTTCCGGATAGCCCACGCAATACCTATATCTCGATCTAAGCAGATAACAATCTTTCAAAGTATGTCTAATGAGATATTTTTGAAGTTTACCTAGTCAATATTCTGAGCTTACCACAAAACTCCACTGTATAGAAGACTACTGCCTGGGACTCCCAGGCTCTCTGTATGTCCTTCCACATGCCCTCCGCCATGGGTAGCCCTAACGTCTGAACAGCCCTAACGCTCCCTCTTCTTCCCAATCGCCCACACACCACACGCCAAGGCAGTCCTGGATCCATGGCTAGAAAATGGCAAACAATTGATTGTTGCTGGCTGGTGTAGGCTACAGCTTGTGGATAATCGAATTGGGAGGAAGTATTTCGCACGTGTCCCCATGACTTCCCAAAGAGGAAAGCATGAAGGTATCCCCAGGCAGACGTGTCATGTGCCACCCCCGGATTTACGAAAACCTTAACCGGATTAAGCATAATTTGCTCACCCCCAACCTCCCATGTGCCCATTATCTTCCCAAATGAAGATTTGGGGGGGCACAAACAATGGGAAGATTGACCACTTCTGCCTTGGTGCTTGCCTCTGGCAAACAAGCCCAGGGCTACAGTCCAACACGCCCAAACTGGTATAGCTTCATGCCCTGGAAAACACATTTATACCTCCTTCCTCCACCGACCATCTCCTTCCTTCTCATATTCCTACTTTGCACTCTCCCACCTGTTCCAACCCAACCTCAAGCTTCACAGCTTACTCCACAAAGTTTCAAACACACCCAACCTTCATACCTCCAAGTCTTTATCATGACCATGGAGCTCAACTGGAAACCCCGCCGTGGTGATGAACGAGACATCCTCGAGCCTTACGCCTACAATCCCGAGACTGGAGTTCACACCAGCATGGTTGATGACACCAAGTATGCAATGACTGGGTAAGTACCTCACCATCAGACACCTTGAGACCCAAAAGGAATATCGACTCATCTCGATCACAGATACGAAGACTACGCCATCATGGCCCTTGAAAACCCCTTTGACATCGGTGGTGAACTCCTCGTGCCCAACATTTACGGTTGCCCTCTTCCTGTGTCTGGTATGAGCGACCTGTTTGACGAAAGTGAACATGAGATCGTCTTCCACGCAATGGACTTGGACCTGGACCCCCTCGACCCCATCAACCATCTCCCCCCTCCTCCTAGCCCCTCCGGCTGCTCCGATGTCTTCGCCCCCTTTGAGGAGTGGATCCAGACACTGATTCCCGAGGGTCTGAACGTGGAGGATGATGTGGACGATTTGCCCTGCCTCCAATTGACTGAGCACGTCGAGGAAGGTCAGATGGTGGCCATGACCCGCCAATTGACCCTGGACCCTTCGGTCGACTCGGGGGCCGCCTCTCCCGCCCAGTCCACCTCGGATCTCTCCGAGATCAATGTTGGCGGCCACAAGCAGAAGCTGCTCTGGGGGGAGAGCGGCCTGCTGGGGCTGAAGGAGGATGTCCCCTCGAGCGGTGCCCGTGGCAAGCCGGGGCTGATCCGGGGAATGACCAAGAAGCTGAAGCACCAGCTTGCAGAGTTTGTGAGTGTTGACTCTTCTCATCTCCATGTCAGGTAACACCTCATTTCTAACATTTTTCTGCAGGTCGACGAATCCAACAAAGGGTTCAAGCGCAAGTCGTCGTTCTCTGCCGCCCCTGCTTATGCGCCTGGAAGCTCGGCCGCCGCCCTCGTCACCTCCCTGGACTCCATGCTCCAGGCCAAGCTTTACTCGGAGCTTGAAGTCATGATTTGCAACACTGCAAATGGCTTCATCCTCCAGCAGTACTACGATGGACGCATCTCCCAGCAATCCATCGACAAGGTCAATGTGGCCTGGAACGCCAAGAACAACCACCATGTGGTTGAGTTCCGCTACGACCAAGCGACCCAGCGCGAGCTCATCGTGACCAACCGTCGCAACATCGAGTTCACCGGCGACTCCTCCCGGTTCCCAATTTGCCTGCAGACCAATCTGCACAATTGGAAGAAGATCGCTCACGAGATGAGCATCCGCACCTTCTGCTTGCCGGATTGCGCGATCCGCAAGCACATCTACGATATTCACAAGATCATCGACATGATGAACCCCTCTCTGGAGACTCTTCATGCCTTCCAAGATGTCACCTCTGAGGCCCAGGTCAAGATGCTCGACAAGGAGACCGCCACCCGCCGCCAGAGCGAGACCCGCATGAAGCGAGGCTTCTAAGCTCTTGTTCTTTACACCGTCTGCATTGAACACCCCCTACAACTGTTCAGGTTTGATGGAAGTACGACGATTCGTACTTCGGTCCGATCTGCCTGGGGATTAGGGCTGAACAGGTGCTGGTGACACGCCTTCCGGGCCATCTGGCTCTGATGATAACGATGGAACGATTCACGACTTCGATACCCCGGGTTTTCTGGTTCTTCTATGTTTTGGGGGATTCCGGTTTTCTAATTTGCTGAGGTTTACGATCTTTCTGTCTTTCCTGGCTTTTTGCTTTGTTTTCCCTGGGATTTCCTGGGATATCTGGTTTTAATAGTTTTTCTGGTGTCTGGGACTTTGCCTTATGCTTAGCCACAGCCCATTCTAATTCTGATTTTCAAATTTATTTTCGTTTCTTCTATTCTGTAGAGTATAAGTTTGGCCGCGCGTTGTTTTGTTGAATAGAGTTGTACAGAAGTGGCACGTGCGGCGACGTCATCGGCTCTCAACACCAGGCAGCTCCCAGCTTTTCCCATTTGCTCATGAAAAGCCCTTCCTACTCTAGCACCTTCAAGCGATCGACTGTGCCCTGTTGGCTATTCCCGAACAACTACTCAAGGGTGATCAGTAACAAAGCTTGGTCATGATACGCAACAACTAGCGATCGGTCTCCAGATCTCGACGAGGCCTGATCCCGACAAGGTCCCTGGCAAAAAAGTGGGACCACGTTGTTCACCATGACGGGCCCATTTCATACCTATGGGCCAACCTGCCTGCTAGTAGATGAAGAACCGGAGCTGTCGAGTCTATTTGCACTCTCCACGCCGCCAGAAATTCGCTCTCACTTTTTCTATGTTTCATCCCTGCCAATCGACGATCCACTGGCTCCGCTCCCGCCGCCAACAAGCGGTCAAGCATCGGAAGATGAAAGACTTCCTCCAAAGCCGTTCTCAGCTAGGGACAACTTAGCTCTGGAGAAAGCCTGGCAGGAGCTTGGGAAGGCCCGAGAAACCCAGCAGGTTGGCAAGATAGGGCCTTTGCCAGAAACGCCGACGGCGCGGTCTGGGATCGCTGTTCCTGGCCAAGGATCCGCCTTCGATGTTGAAGGACGTCGGAAAGCGGCATCCAGAGGAGATACAAGTCTATCAAGCACTGCAAGTACTCCTGTTGAGCAACCTTCGCCTCCAGATGAGCTGCCCTCCCGGAGTGTCAAGGGCCGTTCCGGGCATGCTGCTACCAGCTCTGATGCTCGGCCCGAGAGCTACGCAGAGCGGCGCTTGATGATATCATCTGCGGATGATGACATGAATGATGGCAGTTTTAGTAGGAGTGGCGGTGGTATCTACAAGAAGAGGGATCGATCCACGTCTGTGAACGAATCACTATCAACAAAACGAAGAAGCACCTCACCAATCGATCATGACATGGAGGATACTCATGATGAGGCTACCAGTCTACGTGCCAATCGATCGCGAGATGCAAGCATCAGCGGATCACCTTTCATCAGGGCCCCAATCTCCCAATCACACAGTCCCTTCGGCCGCTCGGTTGAATCATTACCACCGAAGGATGGGCCTCAGGAAGGGCAGACTGAGTTACGGACTCCTGCTACTCCCCGATCCGTACCAAAGCCATCGGGCTTGAGAACCACTGTGAGCTTAGAAGAATTGACAAATGATCCTACGCGTGAGGAAGAGTCTCAGGAGGACTCGCAGATCAAACTCCCAGTTGGTGCATCTCGACTCCACTTGGTCGAGTTGCCAAACTTGAAGGTATGCGTGTCTCCCGGTCATCATGGAACATTGAATCACGCTAATCGAGTGTTCAGATGAAACCTATCTACTGGAATCCGCTCCATGACGTTTCAAACGTTGTTCGAGCCACCTGGTTTTACAAAAACACCATGTTGCCCGTAGAGACGGATCTTGCGAACAAGCTGGAAGAGGGATACGTCTATTTGAGACCGTGGACAGAGACATGGCAAGATGAATTGAACAGTTGCGTTGAGAATGGGGCAGATGCAGAGATGAAGATTGTCCACGAACTCTGGCCCAAGCAAGGGTCGCTTCCCACCAGCCGACCCGGCACAGCACAAGAACCGAACCAGGCGAGCAATGAGCCTGTTCCAAATGAGAGTGCCGAAGCCTTCAAGTTTGAGCCCAATCAAGCTGCCGGCGGGACGGCTAACCGCCCCGAAATAATCAAACCTTATGCCACTTCAAGCGCGATCTATGTGGATGCCCGAAATGCCCAGATCCTGAGACCCAGCCTACTCCCATCCGTTGCACGGGGTAGGCGACCACTGAGTGCTATTCGCAAGGGACGCCAAATTGGTATTCCCGTAGTTCGCGGTTTCAGTCGCAAACGATGGGACCAGCTCCATCCATCAAAGCCAAATCCTGTCGATGTTCGTCAGTATATCCGAAGAAGCCAAAGCCAAAATACGGCTGCTGCGCCCGGTGAAGCTGTATGCTACGCATGCAAGATGGAAGAGATGCGTCCAAATCCATCAGACTTGGTCTTCGTCATTCATGGCATTGGCCAAAAGCTCTCTGAGAGAATGGAAAGCTTCCATTTCACACACGCTATCAACGCCTTCCGTCGCCAGGTAAATATGGAACTGAACAATGAGCCAGTGTGGCCACATGTGCGAAAAGATCATGGTGGGATTATGGTTCTGCCTGTCAACTGGAGGACAACTCTATCCTTGGAAGATCCAGCCCTCGATACTTCAGACGCAGAAGACCCAGCGTCCAACAACTTCTCGCTCGCTGACATCACGCCTGAGACACTTCCTGCGGTGCGCTCTCTGATTAGTGATGTCATGCTCGATATTCCCTACTATCTGTCCCACCATAAACCAAAGATGATCAGGGCCGTTGCAAAAGAAGCCAACCGAATCTATCGCCTGTGGTGTAAGAATAACCCTGGTTTTCAAGAAAATGGCCGCGTTCATCTCCTCGCCCATTCTTTGGGTAGTGTCATGGCTCTCGATATCCTGAGTCACCAGCCGACAAACATTACTCGCTTTGATTTTCCCAACACACCTCTACACAGTGACATCTTTGAGTTTGATACTAGAAACCTGTTTCTCTGTGGAAGCCCTGTTGGGTTCTTCCTGCTTCTTAATAAAGGTATGTTTTGATCAGACGAGGGATGTTCTCGAGATACTGATGTTTCGATTTAGCCAGCCTTCTCCCTCGCAAGGGCAGAGAAAAACCAGGTAGCGAGGGCGAGGATCGACTGCGTGGTGTTGCCGGAGAAGCTGGCAAGTACGGCTGCCTCGCTGTGGACAACCTGTACAACATCATGCATACAACAGACCGTATGCTTTTCTCTCTCCCTACTACATATCCAGTATGTGGAAACTAACAATTTCTTCAGCGATTGCATACCGGGTGAACGCTGCGGTAGATAGCGATCTCGCCAATTCGCTAAAAATTGCTTCCATCCCAAGCTCCACCTCCTCATTCATACAATCCTTCGGCAGCGTCTTCCGATGGAGCTCAGCACCTGGCTTTATCCCAACAACCACGCCGATCCGCCCAGCGGCAGTAGCAAAACTCCCATCAACAGTCGAAATGGAGACCCACGACTTCACCCGTGAAGAGATAGCCGAGAAGCGTATGCTACTGCTCAACGACAATGGCCAGATCGACTACTACCTCTCTGGTGGTGGCGGTCCACTCAGCATTCAGTACCTGAACATGCTTAGTGCGCATAGCAGTTACTGGACTTTGACTGATTTCGTGCGGTTCCTCGTTGTGGAGATTGCTCGTAAGCAGGGGCGGGATGGAACTCTGCTTCCCTTTAGAGCGGAAAAGAAGAAAGAGTGGAAGTACTCAAAGGGTTGATCTGCTGATTATTCTGTCTTCCTTTGGTGCATGGGAGTTTTAAATACATTTGCTCGGTGTTTTTAGCTTCGTCATAGATATCGATGTTCTTAGAAGCCGGACGCAGTTGATACAGGAGATGATACAAATAGAATCTTACTGCTTACTACATCTCAAGGAAACCACTCAGACAAACCGGCGTATATCTTAGGTCCCTGTTGCTTTCATGAAACACACAAACCTGGCCTACCACTATAAAAGTTTACTTGTCCTTGGCATAGGTATGAAGTTTCACATCTATTTCATATTCACACTAAGCTAGACGAACATCGACTAAACTCACAATCACCACTCGAGGACAACACTATCCCACATAAACCCATGCCAAGTAGTGTTCCTCACCATATTAAAGGTAAGCTCATTCCATCCCTCCTTAATCAAATCCTTATCAAACGAGTACTCCAGCAAATGCCACTCGCCGGCGCCCGTCGCAGAACGATACAAGCAAGGATCACTTGGCAGCAACGAAGAACCACTAGTCATGTTACCAACCTGGACTCCATTGGCAAGGATATTGGTGCTAGCCCCCGAGGAGTATCCAGCCAACGAAACGATCAGATTCGGAGCTGCACTCTCGCTAGCAGCCCCGGCCTTGAATCGAACCGTCCAGTTACCTTGGTACGTCTGTCCGAAGCACCAATCGCTCGTCTTGGACTCGCCGATGGTATAGGTCAGGTTTGCAGGGCACGAGGCGACAAGTGCGTGCTGGTGCGGTGCGCCACCGTGCAGGAAGCCGTAACTGTAGCGATCAAAGTCGCCGATCTGGAAAAGTTTCTTCTTCGTTGATACTTCCCACTTGAGGCTGCCGAGATTGGTCTTTGCGGACTTCTTCACGGTAACGTCGTTCTGGAGGAAGGATGTGGTCACGTCTGCGATGGAGCTTCCGTTGGACCAGGCCTGCAGGCCGTACGTGGCAGCGCGGACGTTGGAGAACTCGAAGTTTCCGTTCTTATCGGCGTATGCGGTGTAGTAGTATGTTGAGCCCATGTCGAGAGCGGTTTTGTTGGGGTTGTTGTCGCCCAGGAAGACGGCGGCGTTGCTGGCGGGTCGGCCGTCGGAGAGAACGATCTTGCCTTTCACAACGCCTCGGCTGTGGTAGTCCTCATCGTCTAGCCAGGTGTATGGCCAGGAACTGAATTCTTTGGCGGCCTGCTTGGCTGCGTCTTGCTTGTCGCCGTCGTTCTGGACATAATTTTAGTAGGGATGGATGACTGGGGTGCAAGATTGTGATACATACAAGATACCAGAGCCAAGGTCCCCACATCTTGCCATCTGGGAATACATCGGAAGAAGAGGCCATGAAGTGAGTACCGTGAATCATGTTCAGTTGCACAGCATCTCCGGTAGATGACTCTCGGTGGACCTGAAAGCAAGTTAGTTTTGTCACTTCCCGCAGTCAACACCCCTGGACCTACCATCAGCTCCTGCTTAAGGTGATCACCGTTGTAATAATCCTTCCCAGCATTGATATACCAGCTTCCAAAGCCATCGCCATACACACCGAAGAAATCCTGGTTCCGGGACCAGGCAGTAAAGTCATACTTGGTGATATACCCACTTCCATCAGGCTTCAACCAGGTCTCATCCTGAACCTTGTTCTGTGCCAGATACTCGCTGAGAGGCGGCAATTCCTCGTCCTTGATGTTGGTTCTACCCTTTGTGAAGGTCGAATTATCCAACCGCCAGAGCGTGCGGAATTCACCGAGAGTCGGCAGAGCATGGTTCACGAAATACTGGTAAGCACCAGATAGACCGGAGAAAATGACCCAATGCATGTCTCCCTCTGCAGCAGTGAAAGAGACATCGATATATTGCTTGCCTTGGTAGGTTCCTCGCTTGGTGATAGATGCCGAGGTCCACTGCAGGTTAGACGCTGCGCCGTCTTCAGCGGGGTTAGGGCTTATGAGAACAAAAGAAATGGGATAACTGAGGGAATTTGCACATACTGTAACTAACATAGTGGCCAACAGCTTCTCCAACGCAGTCCTTCTCCTTGTACATCAGCTTGACGCCGTAGATCTGCTCCTGGGTGACGTTCCAGATCTCATTGCCGAGGACCCATGTCGTGTTGTCGACTTGCGTCAAGAATGGCCCGGTGGCAGCCTTAGAAGGAAGCGCATTGGCAGTGCTAAACAGCAATGATGCTGCAGAGAGAAGGAAGCCCTTCATTTTGAACAGTAGCTCCCAACCTGGAAGGGAAAGACCTACTCTGGGATTACTGGGTGGACATGGGGATAATCGAGCTCCAATGCCATCTCATATACTACGAAAAAGTTTTCTTAGCCCAATTGATTCGGTTGAATGAACACCGAGAGGCTTGTGATTCAATACGTTTTATTTCTGAACTTTTGGTCGTAGTGACAGTCCGGATAGTATAAACACTCACGCCACGTGTGGGATGCCCCGCATTCTCTAGATTCCTTGCTGGCCTCTCCACTTCTCCGCAATTGAACTGGACTCCGCAGACTCCACAATACGGTCGTGCTTCTTAAGCGTTCGCTAATAGTACACATGTAAAACCCTCCAATGGTAAGTTAATATCGGTAAAATAAGTCCTGGTCAAAGTATGGCAAGTTTTGAAGGACCATGGCTATCTTGTAGATCAGGTATACTTCAAATACGCACGTTTCGCCTGAAGATTACTTCTCCAAGCCAAGGTCTTTGAATTCAACGTACGCCAAGAGTAACTACCGACCATGCCCAGACCTTTACATTAGATGCATCTTCTAGATTACCATCAACAGGAAAGAATTGTAATAGTCCGGAGGGGGATCATGCGGGGTATTCAGTTGTGAATGATGACATCGATTGGCGGAAGAATTGCCTGAACCTGTTAGCCTAGCGCGACGCTATGAAGCGAAATGAGCGCTGCCAAGACTTGAGGAACAGTGAAAGTTGAGTTTGTCTCAGGGGATTCGGATCTCATTGACCCGATTACCCCATAGATGAGGAAGCGAAGATGTCCCGAGCCTAAATTGACAGGGGGATGTGCATTGCTTTGAGCCGAGCCTCGTCAAAACGTCAGTCATCCGGGCAATTACGTCTCGAAAGAACATGACAGGCAAAGTTTTTTCATGTACCATGTTATATTTCATTTTTTTGCTCATGACCTACTGGCAGTCTAGTGACACTGTATATCATCGGTATGAATCAAGACACGAGAACCGAGAAAGACAACCCAAACCGAAATGTAAAGAGACAAATTGAGAAACAGAATGAAATCTAGGAGATCCAGCCCCGGGTATATCGTTGTCATCAATGTCGCGTAAGTTTAGCAAATAAGGCGGGTGTCGCAGCCATGAACAGGCCCCATCATCAATGCCTCCACAATCTCACCCTTGATGCCGACACCACGTCCAGGATGCAGAACGACCAAAGCGTTCGCCGATGCCAGGCTACCGACCCGCGAACTGCGCTGGCCGGTACCACTGAGTCCAGTGCTGGTGGCGTATAAGCGGCCGTCGGAACGCGAGGCGGTCACAACGGCACGGTGATACTCGGTGCGCTTAGGATCCAGAGGGAAGTGGTGAGTGAGGACAACGGCGACACGAGGAAGACCGAGCTGCGGCGCCATCCAGGGCTTCGAAGCTAGTGCCTGGGAGCTCTCGCCCAGGCCAGAAAGCTTGTGCAGCGAGGGCAAAACGAACAAATTCAGGGTCACCAAGGCAGAGGCCGGGTTTCCAGGAAGAGAGAAGATGATCTTCGATTGACGCTCTTGCTGGGCTCCCTCCGTTGTGCTCGTGGCCTCCTTGAATGGAATGGTAGCAAAGGTGGTCGGCTTGCCGGGCTTCATCGACACGCGACCAAAGTGAATGGTGCCACCAAGGGATCGTTCGATGGTTGGCTTGAGGAGGTCGAGCTCACCCATTGACACACCACCCGTGGTGACAATAACATCGACGCTGGACGAGGCGCGGCCAACACCACGGAGCGAGTCGCGCAGGGCATGTTCAATCTCGCCAGCAGGGGTGTCGCGTGCAATACCGAGATCGACGGTGGGGAAGCCCCAAGCCTGGAGACATGACAGGAGGGATGGGCGGTTGGAGTCACGGATCTGCCCACCAGTGAGGGTCCGGGGATCGTCATGCTCCACCAACTCATCTCCAGTACTCAGAACACCCACTCGGGGCTTCTTGAACACCTTGACCGTCCGAATGCCCGAGGCAGCCAAAAGACCAATCTCGCCACCAACGGGAGAGATTACATCTCCGCGGGAAAGAATTTTGGAGCCAAGGGCAATGTCACTACCAGGCTCGCGGACGTTCTCGCCAGGTCGGATATCGCCGGTCAAGATTTCAACGGTGGCCTCTTCAGTACCGTCCGGTGTCGATGAGGCCAGGACGGTGTCTTCGACCATGACTACGGCATTCGCGTTGGGAGGGAGAGGGGCTCCAGTGGTAATTCTAGCGATGTTACCTGGCTGTAGGGGAACCAGGCCTCCACCGACGTTGGCGTGGGTGACCGATGCTACGGGGAAGATGCCTTTCGTACTAGGCCCGGAGGGGGAGTCTGTTGCGATGACAGCGTAGCCATCGACAATACTAGCCTTGTACGCGGGCACTGCCTCTGCGGCGTAGACATCTTCGGCGATGACTGAACCCACCACAGAGAGGTTCACGGGGGCTTCAATGATGGTGGGCTCGGGGGTATGCTCGCTGATCTGGAGAAGAGCTTCCTCTACGGAAAGCATTGGGTAGGGTGAAGAACGATAGCGCCGATTGGGACCAGCGGATGGGTCGTTGGACTGGGGTCGGTCTGCTGAGGAGGTGTGTGCTTTGGGGACTACATGCCCATGCCCACATCCATGGCCATGGCCGTGATGATGATGGTGGTGGTGATCATGCTGCCGTTGCTCGGAAGTTGAAGAGACCCCTGCTTCGGCCTCCAGCTTCTTGACACCGCCAGCATGCATGACTCGAGAGCTCCCGCCAGCAGTTTGCAAGCAGGCATGCGGCAACAGCTTCACAACGGCATCGAGATTCTCCATGGCTCCTTTGGGGGATCCGGGCAACGTGATAATCAAAGACTTATCACGAACTCCAGCAACTGGACGAGCCATCATGGCAACTAAAACGGGGGGATTAGCGGAATGTAAATAGTCAAGCCAATGCAGAGCCCAGAACGGGCCAACGGCAGAGCTGATGTCATCTCACATGGGGTTACTTTCAATGAAGCGGCGATCATGCCATGGCTGAGGAGATTAGTTGATCGTTAGTGGCTGCACTCGGAACCTTCAATTATCGTGTGCACTACTTACACCAAGCCCGGAGCATGGCGATGGATCAGGGGAGAAACCGCCTAGTGATGTCATTAGCGCGGGGGACAATGTTGACTTGAACCGCGAAATGCCTCACCTCCGGGGTGTTATCTCGCACAGCAAAGCCCGTTCCGCCGCTGAGCAGGACCAGATTGTACCAATTGGGACCATCGGTCCAATCACAAACAGCCTGTTGAATCTGGAATACGTTGTCCGGCACGATCTTGATCGCGGGGGTTTCCCACTTCCCCTCCGCGGCGAGGATGGGAGCGAGGGCATTGGCCGTTTTGTCCGAAGCGGGGTCCTTCGAGGCCGTATCCGAGACGATCAGAATGGCTGCCTTGAGTCTGGGGGTGGCATCGGGGGACTCCATATCGTTGGGGATTGTGGATTTTCTGGGAGGGGGGCTATGCGAGAGAGTGGAGAGAAGAGGGAGGAGAGGTCTTTAAAAGGGAGGTCGATATATGTAAATTCCGGGGTATTCGCGGATCCCCGGTACGTGAAATTGCAACTTTACGCTTAGTGGCCGGTCCGTGCTGCGGCGTTGTTTGGGTGGACGTCGGGATCAGTGGAGACGACTATCATTATTCGAATCCAGTTAATATTATAGAATTGTAACACAAACGTGGAAGGTTTTCCGGAAATGCGGTCTCATTTGGCTACTCATTACTGTACACAGACATGATCTCCCAATGGAGGCAGTTCAGCAAAAAGACCCTCCCCAAAACTTACTTCTACGGTATCGAAATCCAGACGCCCTGATGCTTGTATACATAAAGAGGTTCCCAGGGTGGGAAAACAGTCAAACACGAAATGAAAAGAAAAAGGAAAAGATCCGAGATCATAATGGGGTAGCTAGTACCCCTCTCTTTCTGCTGCCATGGTAGGCAATCATAACCCTCACACCAGTGGAGAGTTTTCCATTTAAGCCGCACCCATGTCCAGGGCCTTACCACCGACCAAAAGGCCAATGATCAGGCCAAAGAGACCCAGGACCGAACTGAAAATCTCGATAACGAGAATGCGGACGAACCTATCGGATCGAAGAGGTAAGCAGGTTATCCAAACCGCCACGCCAACAACCAAAACCCCCGGTGAATCAAGACTTACAAGCTAGGGTCTGCAGCATCTGCAAGAGCAGCACCACTGCCGTTGATACCAACCGAGATACCGCAGATCAGATTGCAGAATCCGACGGTGATACCTCCCCAAAACAGAGCATAGCCCGTGTAGTAGTTGTTCTGAGTGTAGAGCTGGCTCTCGGGGACCGGAGAGAGCTTCGAGGAGAAGATAATGGCAATGATGACACCGTAGATGGCCACGACCTCACAGAAAATGATGGAAATCAAGTTCTTGGTGCGGATTCGGGGTGCCCGCACACCACCACCGACGATCGAAGAGCCCGTAAGGAAGATACCCCTGTGTCAACAACGAAGAGGCAGTCGGTCAGCCATCACGGTCACGGTCTCAAGCCATCCAATTCAAACATACCATGAAGCGCCAATTGTCGAACAACCAATACACAACCCGATACCAATGTTCGCCCAGGCGTAAGGAGATACCTCCTCCAAGAAACGGCCGACCTACGCATCATGTCAACATGCAACGAACGAAAGAAGCTTCGGCAAGGCCGGAAATGGACCACATACGTTGAAAGCTTCACCTTCTCCCTGGAAGAGCATATCTGCATGCAGAAGATCATCGGATTAGCTGTCGGACCTCCCAAGCTTTCGGCGGACGGGGTGCAACATACACAACCCGACCACCACGAAGGTGGTCGTCAAGACACCATAGAGGTACCGAGGATACATGGCAACCTCTGATAACCTGAAGATGAAAGAATGAAAAGGCCTCGGAGTGGGTGGGTGAGAAGAGGCGCCGATAAGGGAGCTGAAGCTCAGATCGGAGTTGGAGGTGGAATGGACTCGGTGGCTCGGTCGGAGCGGATTAACTGCTCCGTTTTGGGGGGGCGGTGGCCTTGTCTGTTTCCCCAGATCCACGGCTCGTGTTCCAACTGCCCGGCCTTGGTCTTGTCGATTGCACTCTCCTACTGCTTTGGTCTTGACAGATCTGCCATTGTAATCCTCTCTGTCTTATTCCTGCGTGACGAGTTCCCGATTCGGTGGCGTCGCGCATTTTTGACCCCGATTTCCCCTGAGTCTCCCCTCCCTCCTCTCGACAACACAACCATCGCCATGGCCTCCAGTTCTGGGGTAGGGTCGTATTCGAACCCTTTGAAGAAGTTCAAGTGAGTGATGCCTATTCTTTGCTGCTGTCTTTACGGGAAGTCCTTACTAACGAGCAACAGGCTGGTCTTCTTGGGAGAACAGAGCGGTATGACTATCCCGAGGCGCAAATGCCACCCATGAACCCTATGGGAAAACACCGAGGCACGAATAGCAATCCTAACCATGAATGCAGTTGGCAAAACTTCCTTGATCACCCGTTTCATGTACGACTCGTTCGACAACACATACCAGGCCACTATCGGCATTGACTTCTTGTCCAAGGTACGATACCTCGAATCTCGCCCCCCGCCTTTGTCCCAGGACTTGTTGCCGGTAGTGCTGTGATGGCCATCAATACTAATACCTACTTTTTTCCTACTTCAGACGATGTACCTGGAAGACCGAACCGTCCGCCTTCAGCTTTGGGATACCGCCGGTCAAGAACGATTCCGCTCCCTAATTCCTTCCTACATTCGAGACTCGAGCGTCGCAGTCGTGGTTTATGATATTTCCAACGCCAAATCCTTCCAAAACACCCGGAAATGGATCGACGACGTCCGTGGAGAGCGCGGCAATGACGTGATTATCGTGCTGGTAGGCAACAAGACCGATTTGAACGACAAGCGCGAAGTCACTACGGCACAGGGTGAGGAGGAGGCAAAGAAGAATGGCCTGATGTTCATCGAAACCAGTGCCAAGGTCGGACACAACGTAAAGCAGCTGTTCCGGAGGATTGCCCAGGCCTTGCCTGGAATGGATGGCGAGGCTAAGCAGGGTGAAAGCACAAGTATGTTGATCTACCGAACCCCGTCAGGACTCCCGTATACTAACCAAGTGGCTGCTACTTCTAGTGATCGATGTCAACATCCACCCCAAGGAAACCACCAACAACGAGGGCTGCGCATGCTAAACGACCTCCCCCGTCTATACCTTTCATTTACACGTTTTCGACCGATGATGACAATCGAGTCCGTCCATGATATTGCCCCGATTCCTTTAAGATGTACATGTTTTCCCCCCACTTTCTCCTTTGCTCGTCAGGTGAATAGCGTGCGTTTAGATCTTTCAGTGTTGAATGCGGCTGTTATGTCCTCAATTTTCCTTTGGTGAGCTCTTGCGCGGAGGGTGGGCGTTTTGATTTCTGTCTACTCCCGCACTACATACTATCTTGTCTCCTTGATCATACTGGAGGATCGCTTCTCTTTATCTCCGGGTTGTCTATGACCACTCTAGTCCTATAAGCTAACATATTTGGTATGGTATAGTCTATGAAGCTGTACAATATAATATCTTCACGGCACTGCAGTGTTCTAATAGTCATAAATAAGTTTCAGCTCTTCTCCCTCATAATTTTCTAAGGTTCCAGATCGAAGAGGAAGAGAAAACCAGGGCTAGTTTGAGAAATTTCATTTCTTAGGTCCTACTACCGTACAAGTGCTGATATAATTAGCCAGTGTTGCCCGATCACAAATATATGTCTGTCTGATCAGACTCGACAAAATCTGGTGTATGTGATTCTGTAAAGCCACACCCATCTAGACCCAATTGGTTTGTTTTTGAATGGAAACCTGAGAGTTACTTCGTGTAGCAATAACCAAGTCTCTTTCTTGAGTACTACAGTAGGTGCTCGGCAAAAAGGCCAATGTAATCACTGGAAGAAGCCAAGATGCCCAGGCATGCATGCATGGATGACTAAAATACGGTAAAAAGCCGAGCCAACCACGTTGAAGTGGACTCTATCACGTTGCTTTTTATAGACTACTTTATTTCGACTATGATTGAGCGTTAGTTTTTGAGTATATTTTACAAAGAATCAACTGTTAGTGCTAATACTACTTAATGGCAAAGGAATTCCCTGACAATGGAGCAATATTCACTGCATTATCCACCTACTCGTCACTATTAATCACTAAGAAATTACTTTTTGTCGGCTATTAACAGCGCAGACTCATAGACATAATTTGGGGGGTATCTCTCAGGCACGTTCCTCTGCCTCGGTTTCGGTAATCTCCTCATCCATATCCACAGCATGCGACTCAGATGCAGGCTCGAAGAAGGGCGCAAACTTGCTCTTCATTCTCAACTTCTTCCCGAAGAAGTAGAATGCCACGGGGATGGGGACTAGACAGACGGCGACACAGCCGAGCAATGTAGAAGCCCACTGGATGCCCATGTTTTCAAACATTTGGCGCGAGAAAAGAGAGGAAACTGGCTGCCACCATTGATCGGCAGAAGGTGTTTGCGGCGATAGCGGAAGCGGCACTGAATGATATCTTGTTAGGAATGGTTCAGCATATTTGAAGTGTCTGTAGGGGGTTACTCACAACATAAGATAAGTATCGATGAGATAGTTGAATAGCTGGATGAAGATGATCAAGAGACCGAATCCAGTAAACAATCCACTGAGCGTGGGCACGATCCAATGGATATTCTTGGTGAATCCGGTCCACCCAAACCAGAAAATTCCTGCAGCGAAGAGTGCACCACCGATAATCACGGGCGGAAGACGCCACTCGGGGACGGGAATACCGCCGTTTTTATCCAACTTGCGGACATAAGATCCGCTGGAGATGATGATGTAGGAGGCAGCAATGAAGAGGCCGACGACCATGCCAAACAGGGGCAAGCCGCTGACTCCAGCGTTCATACCATGAACTTGTTGGAACACGAGGGTGTAAGCAGTCAAGAAACAGTAGAGAAGACCGTAAATAAAGCTCAGGTAGAAGGTCACCGCGAGGATCAATGGCTCGTTGATCAAGAGTCGCAGCGGACGAGAAAAGTTGTTGATCACCAAATCCCGCAGGTCGACTTCGATTTCTTCCTGCTTGGCGTGAATACCCCAGTTCTTAGTGCGGCGGCGCAATTCTGCGGCCTTGTCCACTAGAACGACTGGTGGGTAGGACTCCTTGAGGAAGAACAGGTTCATCACGAAAGCGGCATAGCCCATGAATGCTGGGATATAGGCGGTCCAGCGCCAACCCAAGTAAGACATGTTGATAAATCCTCCGATGAATGGCGCAATGAGAGGGCCCAAGAAGACTGTACTGGAGAAGCATGCAATGGCAATACCACGGGTGCGGTTGTTGTAAATGTCTGAAAAGACAGCTGCGACAACTGCCAGGGGCGAACTACCAAAGACACCACAGAAGAATCGGCAAATCAGGAGGGTTTGCAAATCTTTGGCAACTGCAACGCCTGTATTGAAGATACCAAATCCGAGCATGGCAAAGATAATTGGCGGGCGACGACCCTTCAATTCAGATAGAGGAGCCCAGATCAAAGGCCCAGTGGCATAACCGCAGATATAGAGCGAGCTGGACAGCGTTGAGACTTCGATGCCAACACCAAAGACCCTGGCGACAGCTTTGGTGGAGGAACTGAAAATGGCAGAATCAAATGTTGAGCAGATACTGGTGAACGCGAGCATTGCGCTGATCCAGATTCTAGAAAAGGATACATTGTTAGTAATCTAATCAATAGGTTAGTGTCGATGGACATAAGACCTACTTCGTTTTCAGTGACCAATTCTGCGGGTAAAGAGGATCGTCCGGTCCATCGAACTCTACGACATAATCTTCTCGGCTCGGCAGCTGTGGAGGATAAGGCTTGCCAGCACCGAATGGTGGTAAAGGGAGCTTAGATGGTCGCGACTTGACGCTTTCACCGACGGTCATGGAATGCTGAAGCCGCTGGGTTTCTATCCGGCTCAGCGCCTGGGAAAGTCCGGATCGTCGACGCTCCAGGTCAAGTTCTGTATTCCGCGATTGCAGCCTATGAAAATTCGGGTTGTATTCGACAGAGCTACTGGAACCAGTCGACGACATGCTGGATCCTGAGGTCGAAGGTCGCGCAGCCTCGGCTGAAGGTCGAGCCTTCTCCTGACCCCAGTCCTCAGACTGGTGCTGGGCATTGGCCTCCACCTCGGCGACTTCGAGCTCGTGATCGACGTTGTTGCTCATGATGATCGTGTGATAAGAATGTCTGACGGGGTGAGATGGATAACAGTGAGGGGTCGGGAGGTTAGATTAGCGTCAGCACCCCAGACGCTAACTATGTGGTGGTCACCAGGTGGATAACGGATTGAATGAGAAAAAAAGGAAATTCTCCAGGCAGCGAGTCAAGCCGTCAATATAAACAGAAAGTTACCATTCATTCAGATGGGGCTTGAATAAGAAAATGGGGTTTCGAAATAGACCAAGATCCCGACTTAACCGTCCAGACCCACCATTCGACGGCTTCAACTCGTGAAAGTAACTGCCGATTATAGTTTTAGTATGGAAAATTTTCAGTGTTTGTATTGAATCCAGGCTAGTTTTCACGATTGAGAGGATTGAGATTGGATAATTCTCTCCTAGCGAGAACGATCCCCCGATTTCTTTATTATTAGCATGTTCCTGAAAAGCGAACTATTCAAAATTTTCGATGCAACCATCGCCTCGACGCCTCCGGAGTTGGTGGATCTTGGCCGACGCTAGTGGGAAAAAATATGTGCACCACAGCGGGACTGATGTCATCCATTGGGCCTGATGATTCAGAAATGCCAAAATTGGTGGAGCTCTACTAGTCCTAATATTTTCAGCCTTTACGCCCCCTGTTCATCGAAATTGAAGCCGCCGAGGAGTGGCGTAGTAGCTCCTCCGTCGGGGTGGGTTAGAAATAGACAGCAATCGTGAAAACTCTGGAATGTTCGTGGGGATGTACGGAATGTTCCGCACGTGTGCATACTACTGCGAAGAAGATCAAAAGCGGTTCCTACAGTGGATATGATCTACGCGCAAGCCTTTTCGGAATCTTCCAGGAATCTTGGATCCAAGCACTCCACTGATTCGGGCCGGATCTAGGTACAAGGTACGGAGTCCGCCATATAACGTCATTACGTTTGTTAGGTAGGGAATAACCTCATTAAACTATATTAAACTCGACAAGGTACAAATATACCATGAGCATGATCCCTAGTCACAATCTCTAGCATCAGCGGATAATATGATCAATCCGCGCCATGATAAAAATCAACCCGGAATCGGTACTTCAGCTCCGAGCCATGTGAGAGGCTTATGATGATGGAGCATTTTAGTAGTAACTCATATCTAGCCGATCTAAAGCGATTGATTAAACATGAGCATGGATCTTTTGAATCTAGAGCGACTCGATAAGTGGATTCTACTAATGATAGAGGAATCCATGTAGATTAGCTAGTTGAACCTAGGTACAGCGTAGCTTAAAACGCAACACGTGGAATCTGGCGATGGCTACTACTTAGTCTCTGTCCGTTGGACCTGAAACAAGAAAGTACAGGTTGGAAATATCTATGGACTTGCTAAAGTCTGAAGTACTGGATTTGATATAAAGGCGCCGAAATATCCACTGCGAAGACAGCTCGAGAATTTTAAAGGAGGAAGGTGTAAGCAGATATGCTAGTTCGCCTATTCCCTAGTTAAATTGCTCAAATCATCTATTCCTTAAAGTATAAGAAAAATCAAACATATCTAGTCCACTAGGTGTGGTGACCGAATGCAGTCTCTCATAACACGAGAGCTTACGTTAGCAATCGGTTTCTTATGACCAAAGCTGTGACTCTAGGTCCTAATTTGGTCAAGTACCTCTAAGTAGCAGTTTCGGGTCAATATACAGTCTAGGCCTGTGTTGCAAGGGCAATCACGGTGTGGGTACCATGATGAGGCTAGTACGGTATCACTTTACTGTGTGTGGAGATCACTGCACATGGATTAACTTCCATCATCCATGTTATTGAATGCCAGTAGCCTAGATCTTTCAACTAGATCATCAAGATTGGTATAAAGAAGCATATTCCGTTTGAATAGGTTGTGCTCGCCCTTCGGTCGCAATCAATGCTGATTACCCGGTCCTTTAAGAACCAACGCCGTCCTAAAACGATATATTAACATAAACTCTCGTATCCTGAGTTACTTTGGAAAGTCCTATGATCTTCATATAGGTACTTCCTCTATAATTATCTCAGGCGAGGCGGGCAATGATAGTGCTCGGTAATGGGCATCTTTGAGAGAAATTCCAAGGCATATATGCTCTGCTAATTAGTATTTTTCAGATAATTGTATCTGGCTTGATTGACGAATACATTGCACTAACTAGTCAACTAGAGGACGTTTACTAAACACACGTGTTGGCCACCGTTCGGCTAATAGGTTAGGCTAATAATCACTCGGTCTAAATCCACTCCATAGGTCAGTGGTTTCGATTCAAAGAAGCCAGAAATGAGTTCTCTTGAGACTTCTGAGTGATCATAGACTTTGACTACTATTAGAATACCAATTGAGAGACTATGAACACCTCGAGGTCCGAACTATACATTGTCTACAAATTGACTTTGTAGTTCATTAATCAACCATGGTGGAAAGAAGGGCCGATCTGAGATGGGAATAAGGAACTGATACCAGGATTAGTAGAGCATATATGCTCTTCTCATTCTTTTCTTCATCTTTAATAATTTATCGTATTTCTCGTATAGAAACTGCATAACTCGCCTCGTAATGCAATTTGGTCGTATAAGCGGTCGCAATCGGGCAGGTGATCTGCACGGATCGGCCGGAAACTTGGCGCCCCTGGGGGTTTGGGAAACACTTCACAATCCCAGCCTCAGCCTTTTCTCTTTCCTCCTTCAACTGTTCTGCCTCCGTCCTTCTCGTACTATACCCTCCCTTATCGTCTCCCTCGCCTTTCACATTCTTCGGCCATTCCGGTCACTGCCATCATGGGATTCTCATCCCGGTATCTCCGCATTCCGCGGCCAGAGGTGAGAGAGAGCCTTCGTCGGTCGCAAATCTCGCGATCTTATCCGTGGCCCTAAAGCTAATCACCCCGTGACTTGTTGATGACAGTCCTTTCTCTATGTGATGAGCCTGGAGACTGGCGCATCCTTGATTACCCTGTCGCTACTTCTCAACAAGATCAGTGGCCTGTATGGCCTGCTCGCCCTGTTGACGGGCTACCACCTGTCCCCCGTTCAGTTGTCCATGTACCTTTACTCCCTCATCGCCCTCGCCCTCGCCGCTCTGCTCTTCCCACACATCCGCAAACAATCACCTCTCGAGTGTCTCGCCCTCGCCTGGCTATATCTGCTCGACAGTCTCATCAATGCCGCCTACACGGCCGCCTTTGGTGTGACCTGGTTCCTCGTCGTATCTCAACATTACGACAGTGGCAAGGCTTCCGGCCCAGGCAGTGAAACGATCGCACAGACCGCCGGCTTCACCAGCCCCAAGTACGATGCCGCCTATGTTGAAATTCAGAACACCAAGGAGGGTAACAACTTTATCGCCCATCCTCCTCGCAGCGCCGACCACATCGGCAATGCCGTCTACCAGCCCGAGAGCTTCCAAAGCATAATCTTCATCTGTCTTCTGTGGGTGATGCGCATCTACTTTGTCCTGGTGATGCTCGCTTTCGCTCGTGAGACCCTTCGCCTCTGGGTCGTCATTCCTCGCCACACCCAACTCCCCACCCACAGCCGCAATGTCTCGGTCGCAAGCGTTGCCGACATCGACCGGGAGCCTTTCTCGGCAACCAGCCCCGAGGGCCAGGGTTGGAAAGGCAAGGTTGGCCGTATCATGGTCGGCATCGGTCGCAGCTACTGGCTTGGTGAGGAGGAGGAGGGCAACTGGCTGGGCAATTTGGGTCAAAAATTCCGAAACCGCAGCACCAACAACACCGAGCTTCCCGGTCCTCTGGAGCGTGAACGTAGACGTCGCTCGGGCACTGGTCCTCCTCAACCATCGCAATCGGTCGTCCGAGGCGCTACACTGCAACAAACCATCCACGAGCATGTTCCGGGCATGAATGTCAAGATGCAAGATTGGACGGAGCCTCGTTAATTGATCGTCCGAATTAGCATATTCGTCTGTTGGGATATCGTTGCACGGGCGCAAATATTCGTCCCATTGGGACTCCCTCGTTTCCCGTTGAATCTTACAGTCGCTTCCACCCTCAAACCCCTGGACTCGCCCCCTGTCATTCATACCGTTTCACTTGAGCGCACGAGGCTATCTGTCGCCTTCCAGCAAGTGAATCAGATTTGCGGGTCTAGTTCATCACATCACCCGTCTTCATCCCGCGGAGAAACAATCGCTAGAACTTCACCGGTTGATACGTCTATGCAGCGGGGAGATAAAGTCCCTGCGGCATTCTTATCTCCAACTCAATCATGCTAGATTCATGGGAATCTTCTCGTCAAAAACGCTCGACCTTGCCTCGAGCGCCCCTCCGTCCTTTATGTCGGGGGTCTACGACTTACGGCGTCTCGGTTTTAGGGAGTTGTGGTAGGAGTTGGAACGATTGGCCTACAACCGAGATTTGGGACTTGCTGGTCCTAGCTCTTGATTTGCATTTTTCTTTTTTTGGCGTTCGGATCATGTACGGAGTAAATCGGGGTGACGGCGAAAGAACACAATGGTGCGTGGCATTTTGGGCGGAAATCGTGGTCTTTTCACCTGCCCCGCGTTGAAGCATCAGATACAGTCCTAGCTAAATTAATTTGAGCGCCATTATAGTTGGAAAAGTTGATCATATATCGACGGCACCGGCGCATACATTATAGACAAAAGATATAAAGGTGGTCTAAATTTTCAGCCCCTAATTATCCTTGAATCCTTGCATGTCATTAGAGGCACCTTGCTGCTTTCTGATGTAATTAAACTACCCATCCAGGAGAATGCCTAGGAAACGTCAAACCAAGCGTATTTAGACCAATTACAAATTATTCATCCAACAACTAGATACCTAAAGTAAAAGGCTTCCCGCCGGGCGTGCCCTCCCCTCTCGTGGGCATTGGGCATGCTTGTCTGACCTGGATGCTGTTGTCCTCTCTCGTGCCTAGCGTAATCCCAGACTGGGTTAGGTTTTGCCTGGGTGGAGGATCTAACCTAAATTATGTTATGCAGAAGTCTGACTCCGAAGTAGAAACGGGTTGCTAGTCTATGACGCGTGTGCACGTTATATATCAACATATCTCTCTCCCTTAAGCAAAAGATTCCCTGTACACGCCTTCAAAATATCTATTGTACGGGCCACTGAAATCTCACCATGATTCGACGCACCATCATAACTTTTCGCAATATTTTGCAAATCCGTGATCCACTCTCCGGGGTCGAATCCAAGAATTCCGTGATACTCTGGAGGATCCCACCAGAAGTAGTGGAAATTATCTTTCAGTTTCTCCCTGACCTAGATCAAGCTTGCTTTGCACTGAGCTGTAAAAGGTTACATGCCTCCTATGTCTCATATACCAGACAACGAGGAGTATGTGTACTATCAACATTGCCCAGGACAGAGCTACTTCGCCGCCTTCAAAACAAGCGCTGGATATACTGTAGTGGATGTCAAAATCTCCACCGATACTCTATGTGGCAGCTCCTACAATTTAGGAAGAAATGTGGTCAAAAGCCTTCTATCTTCGACTGTAACGTTTGGTGCTATATCCAACACGCCGGGGAAGTTGCTATTTGTCCATGCTCGAGTATCACATTCCACCAAAAACAACATCCAATTGATTACTTTCGATCTCAACAGAAGGAGTTGAGATGCTCAGCCTATTCGACATCATTTGGGAGTTTTGCACATCTCTGCGCTTTCAAGCATCCTCTAGCTCAGGTATTTGTCAAAACTCGAGCGCGGTTTAACAAGGCGTCCAAGACGTTTCAGGTGGAAAATGAGTTTACTTTTCAGACTTCCAAAGAAAACATTTCATTAAGGCATCCTATATGCATGTACATCTACCTTGACTGGGAACTTGAAACCTGACGTATCATTGTTATTGGCTGCTTTTATGGAATCGGATCAGTTACGATTTTTGAGACTGAAGAACATTGTCCCTAATCAAGTAAATTCTTGATTGTATATCCTTCTATATTTTCCGGAGTAGACAGTCACGGGAGACGGAAGCATCGAGGCAAAATACGGTTATCTAGTTGCCAAAAAAACCCCAGTGTTCAAATGGCCCTGACATTAATATGAAACAGATGTGTCTTAACCCAGTGTCTAGACAGGCTCATTATCTTGAACGATCGAAAAAGGCTATGAAGAACTGTCGAGGAGATTTTGAATTACAGCCTTGATTTTGTTGATAGACGTTTCTACGAAGCTAGTCAGTTCTGCAATAGGAGCTCGGTGGTCCAGATCAATAGCGAACATGCCTCACTAGGGAAAGGATAAGCAGAGGGCGAAAAGCAGTTAGAAGTTGACGCAGCGATGAAGAGGACTTTATAGAAACACGCACGTTGGTGGCAATTGCCAGAGAGGCGCTAAACCCGAACCGGCACAATATACTCTTTTGCGTAATTCACAGTCACCGAATTATACGGAGTACACTGACCTGATATGGAGGTGGGTCTGCTTACTGGCGCCTTGGGTGAGAACATTTTACAGCATCTCTATATGTCTGGACATAGAGGTCCAAAGATTTCATATTGTACACTGTAAGTACCATAGCTATATACCACACAATCCATGCACATCCTCTCATGGCTATCAAATTATCTTTACCGACTCTTAACGTCCACTATACACAACCATATCCATCCCCCTCCCCTCCCGTCCATTTTACTGATGATAGATACCTGTCACAGCGCCCATTTGACAACTATGATCATTATTTACTTCTTTTGAATTGGTCGCGATCGTACTACGCCAAAAGCGCCACTAGATGTGCGTGTGACAGGTATAACCCCTGATTGTGGATGCCATTTGGTACATTTTCACGGGAACCGTGCCCAACGGATGCCCGATATCCTCAAAACTTCGGCCGAGGAACCCCCTGGTGGGGTACAGTTTAGTCTCAAACTGTCCAAGTATGACGAACATCGGAAGACGGATGGTGAATTAGAGTTATGATCTTCGTTCTTGGTAAGTGGCTGAGTAGCCCTCGACTCCTGTAAGGTCTTAACAGTAATCTATTTAGAATGCGTGCGATCCGCTCTGCGATTTTTCGATGCCTTTTCATAACCCCCCTATACCCTCCTATTTTCATAATGTGTACTTCTTATCAATGGTTCCAGGTTGATGGTACGTGTCTCATTCATACCCTGACTTTGCTTTTGCTACCGATTTGAGTACTGATGATTGAAGAAGCTGCCAACGGCTGAGTGGGTTGAGCAAAGACCAAGTTTGTGCAGGATATTCAAGAACAACCATTTCAGGTAAACCATCTCTTGACCACCGTGAATCACCCCAGCCTGCTAGCATCACCATCTAACCAGACAGACGCTGCAGATTTCGGCATCCAATTCGATGCCGCGGGCATCTACCTCGTCGGCACACCGACCGATCAATTCCACGTATCCTTCGAAGAACTAATGTCCTCTACAGGAGGCATAATCGGACTCCTCGAGTATGGGCTCACATGGAAAGTGATACACGCAGTGCTAAGCCGAATTCGACATCGAGTTTGGCAGAATTCGAGAACGTCACTCGATACGCCTCCCCCGCTGTGGATCGACAATTCTGGTCCGGCGTTGTATGAAGTCCGGCATGGACTGCAGTTTATTCGAGTCAGTACTCAGGAACTGGAGAGTTCTCGGTTTGGCAGGGTTATTAAGAAACATTGGGATAGGGGGATGACAGAGCCGAGTACTAAGTGGGTTGTACAAATGGCGTTGGAGGCTTTCTTTATTGGGATTTGGAAGAGTATGCTTCGGAGAATCAGGGTTAGGAGGTTTTGATGATGGAGATTGAATCCTTTTCTGGTATTCAAGCTTGCTTTGCTCGGCGCAGGAGGGTGTTTGTTTTTGCTATCGCTATACTTTGCTAATGGGTTACCTTGCTCCTTTTCTTCAAAGCCTTTGATTGCTATGAACATATTACTGTTGTGAGTTTTGCTGAGGGCTAAGGACTAGGAGGAGATCGTCCTATAGGAAGACGCCTGATACATTGTCTCCATTATTCTTCGTAGCACTCAGTCGTAGCCTCTCGGGCTGTTTGTTTGCCTTTCGAATTCAAAGTGTCTTTCCACCTAGCAGAACTACCTACGAATTCATCCTTGGAGTATTCCCTATATAGAGCTTCCTCAACGTAAGGGATGTAGAAACAACAATTAAGTAGGTTCTAGTCAAACCAACCTAGGTGTTAAGAGTAGCTACGACCTTAATGATAAAGGATATTGAAGGCATAAAAGCTTATAGTGTATTCATTTTAGGGGATACATGAGTACATGAAGAAAAAGGGAGATATCAAACGCGCAAGAGTTCTTGCAGGAGGATAAAGTCCACGAACAAACAATGAATCTAAAGAAGCGAAAAAGACATGAGACAAATATTATTGCAAGAGAAAAGAAAGATTTTTTATCAAATTTCCGTGACGGTCATGACACATTGGACATTTTCCACTGGATCAAATCCCAGGTATTTACTCCTCGTCCTCATCCTCTTCCGCGACCTATAAAAAAAAGTTAGAATCCAAATATACAATGATGGAATGTTCATATGAGACTTACACCGTCGTGGAAGTTCTGTCCGTTGGTGGTGGCCTTGATGATGCCAGCACGAATGCAGAAGTCACCGAAGCGCTCGGGGGTCTCGCCGTCGGTGTTGCGCTCCTGGGCGTAGCGCTTGAGAAGACCCTTCATAATGTCCAGGATCTCATCCTCCTTGATAGAGGAGCGGTACAGCTTGTTCAGGCGCTGGCCGTGGTAACCACCACCCAGGTACATGTTGTAAGCACCATAGGCCTTACCAACGAAGGCCACCTCGGCGAGCCAAGGACGAGCACAACCGTTGGGGCAACCAGTCATACGCATGACAATGCTGTCACGAGCCAGGCCGTTCTCCTCAAGAGTGGACTCAAGCTTGGAAATGAGAACGGGAAGGTAACGCTCAGATTCAGCCATAGCAAGACCGCAAGTGGGGAAAGCAACACAGGCCGAGGAGGACAGACGAAGTCCAGAGAAGGCAGTGTTGTCGAGCTTGTACTTGGCCATAACCTCCTTGACGATGGGAAGGTCCTCGTCGGTGATCCGGGACAGAATCAGGTGCTGGTTACCGGTGAGACGGAACTCACCCTTGTTGAGGGAAGCAATCTCACGCAGACCAGTGCGCATGGCAAAGTCGGCAGTATCCTCGATACGACCGTTCTCAATGAAGAAGGTGAAGTGGTTCAGACCAGTCTCATCCTTGATCCAGCCGAAAGTGTCGACGTTCGATTTGAACTCGAAGGGGCGAGGCTCAGCGAAGCGCAGACCTTCAGGCAGAAGCTCCTCAACCTTGCCACGGAAGACGTCGACACCCATGTCGTCGATGGTGTACTTCAGACGAGCGTGCTTACGGTTCTTACGGTCACCGTTGTCACGCTGAACAAGCATGATCTTCTCGCAGGCAATGTGAACCTTGTCAGCGGGGAAGAATCCGAGCATGCGGCCAGTCTGAGGGTAGGTCTTCTTGTTGTTGTGAGTTGTACCCATACCACCACCGGCGAGGACGTTGAAACCTTCAAGGTGGCCATCAGCACCCTTGATGGCGATCAGACCAATATCGTGAGCGTAGACATCAGTGTCGTTGTGAGGAGGAATGGCAATGGTGATCTTGAACTTGCGGGGCAGGTAAGTAGGGCCGTAGAGAGGCTCGTGGTCAACAACGGCATCACCAGCAACCTGGACCTTGTTGTCGTTCTCATCCTTCAACCAGATCTCGTGGTAAGCGGTGGTGGAAGGAAGGAGGTGTTCACTGATCTTCTGGGACCAAACGTACGTCTCGCGGTGGAAGGCGGACAGCTCCGGCAGGGAACTGCACATAACGTTACGGTTAACGTCACCGCAAGCAGCGATGGTATCCATCAGAGACTTGTTAATGGCCTGCATAGCGCCACGAAGCTTACGCTTGATGACACCGTGGAACTGGAAGGTCTGGCGAGTGGTGAGCTTCATGGTCTCGTTACCGTGGGAGCTGCTGATGGCGTCCATCTGCAGCCATTGAGTAGGGGTAGCAACACCACCGGGGAGACGGCAACGAATCATGAAGCTGTACGCGGGCTCGAGACCCTGAGCCTTGCGCTCATCACGGAGATCACGGTCATCTTGCATGTAGGTACCGTGGAACTTGGTCAGCTGCTGGTCATTGGCGGAGATAGCGCCAGTAGACTCATCCAGAAGACCCTCGGCAATGGTACCGCGCAGGTAGTTGGACTGGATCTTGATATCCTCGTTGGTCATAGGAGCAGGCTCCTCGGGCAGACCCTCGACGTTGTCCACACCCAGAGCCTTCCACAGACGAGGCTCCCACTCAGAGTAGCCAGTCTGGTAAGCATCAGGGTCCTGGTCGTCACCAAGGCCGAGGTCAGTGAGCTTCTGACCGCCCAGGAAGGCAACACGAGCATCAAGGTCCTTAGCAGGCTTGTTGTAGTAGATCTTGTCCTCCTTGCGGGGCCAGTAGTGGCTGTCACCCAGACCGAAGACCGAGTAGTGGATGGAAGAAAGGTCGAGATCTCCAGAGTTCTTGACGTGCTCCCAAAGGCTGCGACCGTTCACGGGGAACTCACCCTGACCAGCAGTGGAGGAGATGAAGACAACATTCTCCTCGGTGGGCAGATCCTCGATGGGATACTCGTCCATGGCGATGACCATGGTCTTGAGACCTCTGGCACGGCCACGGTTACCCAAGCGCTTGGCAATGTTCTGGGCATTACCGCCATCGGAGGCAAAGAGAATAGTCAGAGGAGCACCGAAGAGACCATCCAAGAGCTTTTCGTATGAATCCTTAGCCTTGCGCTTCTGCAGAGCACGGACCTCGGTACCGTACGACTCGGACAGAACGGACGAGTACTTGGGCTGGCGGTTCATCAGCTGGGTGAGCTGGTTATCCCGACGAAGGAACTCCTCAAGCTCGCGCTTGATGCGCTCAGAGTCAAGGGCAAACTTGGGCTCACCCTTCTCCTCGTTAGCGGGGTTCCAGCGGTACAGAGGCCAGTAGCCGAGATCGACTGCCTTCTTGGTCTCCTGGAGAACGGTAAGGGCAGAGTCGTTCTCTTGGTGGTAAGGAAGGTAAGCGACAACGACCGAGGGACCATCGAACTTCTCGGCCTCGGCCATGGCCTGGAGGACCTGAGTGTAGGAGCTGTACACGGCAGTGGAGGCAACGTAGGCGTTACCGAAGTTCATGGCGTAGAGACCAATGTCCTTCTTACGGCGGGTGGGGTCGGCAGCAGTGCGCTCGGAGTAGGGTTGCGAATCAATGATCAACATGTTGACATTGGCACCCGAGGCGAGGACATGGTGCACACCGGAGTTGCCAAGATCGTAAGCCCAGGCATCAGAGCCAATGAGCCACTGAGACTCCTCGTAGAAGAGCTTCTTGGACTGCAGGAGCTCGCGAGACAGCTTGGAGCCATCGTTGGAGAGACGGGCAATAACATCGGGAGCAAGCTTGTTAGCCTTGGCAGCATCTTTGACGTTCAGAGCCCAGCGGGAGAGCCAAGTCTTGGGGGTCTCAGTGGCAAAGGCGGTGGACTTGGAGGCCTCTTCGACTTCACGAATGAAACGCTCACGGTGCTCCTTGCGGGCAAGGAGAGAGCCAAAGCCGTACTCGGGGCTAGCAGCGATGGTCGAAGAAATGCCGGCGTTCTTGGCACCAAGCTGGTTGGCGATGTAGAGGCGCTCACCGAAGAGCTGGTTCAGGATCTTCAGATAGGCATTCTCAATATGAGGCTGCTCGAGAGCTTCCTGGGCGGTGGGGGCCTGGGAGCTGCCAATATCCAGGTTCTGGATGGGAGATGGGGCCTGGAGGTTCTGGATAATGCCACGGAGAGCCTGCACCGCAGTGGAGGGCTCAACGTATCCCAGGCGATAGCCAACAACCCTCAGAGCCTGTCCCCGGACGGAGGAGGGGGTAACGCTAGACAGAATGTCCATGAAGGAGGGGCCCCACTTGGTGGTCTTGCGGACCTGCTCCAGAACGGCAATCTTCTCGACGGAGGTGGGGATAGAGTTCACAATCTGGCCACCGACCCAGGGGCGGTACAGGCGAGCAGTGATGAGACCAATGTTCTCAAGCTCGCTGCCAGCCTCGGCGTGCGACAGAGCATCGACGAAGACACCAGTAGATCCGAAAACGAAGACAGCAGACTGGGCATCAGCGGGACCGGTATACTCGATAGCATTATAGGTGCGACCGGCCTCCCTTGACAGGGCAGTCCAAATCTGACGAGTCCACTCAAAAACGTCGGCCGCGTTGACCGGACGAACGCTGGAGTAGTCGACGGTGGTGGCGGTGGAGCTGGGAGCTTCGCTGCCAGCACTGCTTTCGCGGCGGGAAGAGCCAACGGAAGAGTTATCAACGCTCACCGCCAGAGGAGTCTGGGTTTGAGAAGGAACGGTCAATCCAGCCGACGCCTCACCCTGACCAGCAGGAGCAATCTCCACGTCGGCGGAGACTGTGGCGGCACGGCCAGAGTCGACATACAAAGTCTCGGCTCCGGTCGAGGTGTAAGTAGCAACATTTCCACCCAGGTTCAGGATCTTCTTCACAAGCTCGACGTTCTCGGCGGCAATTGGGGAATCCTTGACAGAGTTCGCGGGGTCAAAGAAGTGAATGACACCCTTTCCAGACTTGAGAGCCAAAGCATGAGCGGTCAGGGCAATATCTTGGGCCTCCTGGATAGTCTCTGAGTGCAGGAATGTGAAGCCGCACTGGCGGATGGAGCTAATGACGGAGTAGTCGGGGAATGGAGAGGACTCGAGGGCGACGTGGATGACGACGGGGAAGTTGGCAAGGCGGTACAGGTGAGGAACGGCAGTGATCAGGACCGAAGAGCCGGTAACGACAGAGACCGACTCGCCTTTGCGCAGAGGGTGGAAAGCAGAGAGGAGGGGGTCCTCATTGTAGCGAACGGCTTGCACCTGGCGGGGTATATCAGCTACCATTGCCTCGCTTGAAACGAATTGACATATTGGAGTTCAAACTCACCACTGGGGTACCTCTTGACAGAGCGCTAGCAGTCTTGTTGCTCTTCAAGGTCTTCAGGGACTTGGAGAATAGAGAGTCCGTCTGGAGGGAGGGCTGCACGGACAGGACGAGATCGCTAGACAAGTAGGCGATTCTCGCAACTAGTGTCGAGACTTGATATTAGCGCATGGCCATCTCGGATTCTCGGGCTAGTAGGGCTCACATACCAGCCTCACCGGCAGTAGTAATGGATGCCATATCTGGCAGATGCTGTGACAGTCACAGCAGCAAGGTGGGATGGGTAAATCACTGGCGATATTGGGGCTTATCAGCACACCCTGCGATCTCCCACACGTTGATGCAGGTCCACCAAGGATGCAGAGCGATTGCAAATCAAGAGTGACACAATTGGTGTCCCTTGTACTTTCTCGTCTGATTTATCAACAACACAAAAAAAAAAAAGTGGCCGAGTCGGTTTTCTCCCCAAGCGTCCAGTCAGTTCTCCGCCATCGGGGTTAGATTATGCGTCGTCTGATTGGCCGTTGATCACGACATCGACAATCTTGAGAGGCAAACATTGCAAACATGCCGCATTGAACGCTGGTGCGGGGGATCCCGTGATATGCTTGCTGAGTCATGGCCGAGCACGTCACCGTCGGCATTTGCTCGGGCAGTTCAGTCCCTCGTTTGAAGTCCCGAGTATTGAGGTGAGGAGGAATTGAACAGCTCAGTATCACGATATACCACTATTTAACGCTGAAGATCAACCCTCCATCATAATGATCCCGAGATAGTCGCACATAGCATATATATGCACTTGTTGGAAATATACTACATGTTATAGTTTGTATCAAGTTGTTCACCGAGCAAATACTACCAATAACGGAGCGGCGATTACCGACTCGGCTCTCGGTCGAGAGAGTGGACGAGTAGTTTCTTCACGGCACATGACGATGGAATAATGTTGGAATATTCGCTGGCTCGCTGGTGTAATGTTCCTGGCCAAATCCTGTCCCATACCACTATTTTCTATTATCTATCATAGTGTTTTGAATCCTAAATACCAAAAAATTGACCCTTCTATATATGAATCAAAAGCAAAAATGATCGACGCAGGGTTCGAACCTGCGATCTCCCGTGTGTAAGACGGGCGCCTTCACCACTGGGCCAGTCGATCGATCAACATGGATGACTAAAGTTTATTGTCCACCTATGTACTACTCATCTGAATTCCCTCCAAGGACGCCCACAAAACATGCCGACCTTTCAATCTCAACCTCTCCTTCCTATCGTTCGTTAATACAAGCTGGCTATTGAATCCGTGCCAAATAGAATGGGTTCCTAGGAACATGAACTGTTTCTAACAAAATGCAAGGCAGCCAAATGCGCGCTAATATGTAGGCTATTGTCTAACGTAACATACACTGGAATGCGTATATATTTCCCCATGTTTCCCTTGACGATCGCTCAGGTTGGATGATCAGGGACCACCTAACTTGACCGGCAACGATGGAATTATCTCCAGGCTAGCTTATAGAGTATAGGTCAGATTGAAAATATTATGCATGATATTGTATGTGCTTTTCTTCCGCTGCGCCAATGCTCAAATCATCAACGTAATATACATGTAGGACATGCCTTCCACAGACATTCCCTGGTAAGAGGAGAAACAAAGTTAAATATACAATCGGTAAAAGACACCGAGATAAAAAGAATCCAGTGTAATAGAACGCCAAGCCATATGCGTCACAGATCATCGACAAAACTCCACTGTTAAAAAACAAATTCTTCAAGAGAAGAAGTACTGGCTGTCACGAATCCGGCTCAGATCCCACGAGCCCTTCGTAGGAACAGGTCGGAAGCGAAGAGGCAGCCAGAGCCAGGTGTGCGGCTTTTGCCTCTTCTTCTGCTTGGTCGCCTGCTTTTCTTCCCCAGCACCACCCTCAGCTGCCATGGTGTCGTCTGCCTCAGCGTCCGCGCTGGAGGACTGAGTGTCCATCATGTCAATCTCAGTGAACAGGCTTTGAATGGCCGGGTCACTAGTATCGACATTGGAGGAAGGCCCCCGCTCAGCAGCGGCCAGATCGTCGGGGACGTGGCCAACGGTGGTTTCACCGAGGGTGCTAGCCATAGCCAAGTGATCGTCCGTGCCACCCATCTTTTCAAAGATGGCAGCGGGGGTTTCCATGGCACGGCCTTCAGCCTGGTCGGCAGGGTCATCCGAGCGTAGCAGAGTCTGTCGGCGATGCTCGTCAATCAGCTCAACCAGTCTTGCGTTGCGCATGTTGGCCTGGCGGCGTTTCCGCAGAGTGCGACCAATTGCACTGTTGGAGTCAACCTTGGCAAGGAACAAGTTCTTGCCGTAACGGACGTTGAACTCTGAGGCAAGGCGTCCGACAATGTCATCGGAGTGCATGTGCACGAATGCGTCGCGGAGGATGCTGTTCATGGAGTCGACATCACCGGCGTGGGTCCAGAACGAATCATGCACGGCAGAGAAGGTAAGGCCGGCATCGTTACAGGCATTGGCAGACATGATCATGTGAGTGGCATCCAGAGAGTGGATGAAGTTAGGCGGGAAGGCTTGGAGCTGCTTCCGACGGGAGACCACGTCCTCGGCGCTAGGGTCCACAATGCTGACGGTCTGAAGCGAGGTCACAACGCGACGGGCCTTGCGGGTGCGGTATGGCTGAACCACGGGCAGGCCGAGAGGAGTAGTCCAGATGACGGTTGACTGGAACTTCTTGGACGGGTCGAACTTGGTGCTAGTACCCTTTTCGGAAGGCTGGGAGGGGGACAAGGCGTCATTTGCCATCGCCTCGATCTGCTCAGGCGTCAAAGATTGAGTGATGCGGGTGGCGCAATCGCCGAGCCAGTATTGAATTTCATGGGCACCGTTGAACATGGAACCCAGGGCCTCGAAAATCTTTCGCGCAATATAGAGCGCGCCGTCCTTCTTCATCTCGTTGGAAAGATCGGGGAAGTGGTCGTTGAGCTGGCGGCGCACCTGTCGCATAGCTCCCATGAATGTCACACCATAGACGTTGGTCATGACGGTCTGCTTGACAACCTTTCGGGTGATCCTTCCATCCAGTACCTGTGCAACCTTGTGGCCCTCAGCAGCATCCTTCGCCACGGACTTCTTCACGAATTCAGAAACACCAGTGTACACGTCGGAAGGTCGGTCAGATGGCTCTAGGTTGACTTGTTGGGCACCAACAGTGTCACCTCCAAGGGCAGCATAATGCTGAAGTCCGTTGCAGGAACCGTCTTGGTGGATCGGGAGACGAGAGGCATATGTCGTAGGATCGGGGAGGGCTAGGGCATTGCGAAGCTCACAGCAGGCAGCCAGACACTGCCATGGGTCCTCGGCCTTCAGCCACCACCGCTTGCCATGAAGACCCTTGTTCGCAGAGTCCAGAACATCTTCGAGGTGATCCATTGCGAATTTTTCACGCTCTGACATGCTAGCCTTGTCAAAGCCAGCTAAGTTGGCGATTTGAATCTTCAACCAGCGCAGTCCACCGGTACCCAGCGGCTTTGCCTTGCTGAATAGAAGCAAGCCGCGAGCATTGTCGGCACCCATTTGGTTGAGATACGGCGGAAGCGGGTAAGCTCGACCACGGAAGTCAATATTGTGAGGAAGATAGAAAGTCTCGTTGCGGAACGCACGGGCAACTTCCAGCTGGAAGTTCTGGAAGCATCGCATTGAGTGGTATCCGGACCGGAGGTTCTCAATATCACGCATTTGTAGCTGCCAGTCTCTCTCGGCGGCGAAGCCCGCGTCGGGTTCTGGCTTTGGCGGAATGGTAAGATCCGGATCAAGTGGTGCCAGACTTGCGATACCTTCTCCAGAGTTCCAGGCCTCGAGCATAACTTCAAACACGTCGCGGTTGATAACCCAGCCAGTGTTTCCGAGCACGTCGAGTCCCTTCCGAATATCCTTGAGACCATCCTTCTCCAAAGCCGCTTTCACGTAGGCTGGCTGCAAAGTCTCGCCGGGCGTGGATCGAACGATGTTGCTTTGGTATAGACGATAACCTCCCTTCTTTGCTCCCGTCCATGACTGCGGCTTGCAGACCATTGGAAGATGGCGGCCGAGAAGATCTGCGGGCGGTTCTCTGCTGATAATGTCGATGATTTCAGGGTTCATATGGAAGAGTCCCAGTCGCTTTCCGAAGTTCATCTCGTAGGCATGCAAGAAAGCCGGGTGCATGGCCGTCGTAACGTTCCCAGTTTTGGGATCCGTAGTTTTGACAGGAGCTTTGGCAACGTCAAACAACAGGCCCATCAGAACAGCCCCAATCCGCACAGAAACACGAGGAGTCCAGGCATATTCTTCATGTTCCTTCTGCATGTTCTCAGACACAGCCTTCCAGTGTAGGCGACCATCCTTGCTCCTGCGGCCAGCAAGCATGTCCTTGACCATTTTAACACGGCGAGAGTCAGGGGTCGTGTTTTTCTTGAGGTAAGCTTCGGCGATCAGCTCATCCTGGACACCTTTTCCGATAGATGCTGCGACGCTCGAAACTTTGGTTCCCTTTTGCATTCCGTGGCGAGTGAAAACATCCATGACAGAGAGGACTGTGACTGCAGCCAAACGGTCCGAGTCCAGAGACTGCAAGTAAACGCCATATTCACAGCGAGCCTTCTGTTCCTCGGTGCGCATTGGCTGGGTCTCAGCTTCCTCAGCAAGCTTGATCTCTTTCTTGATGGCATCTGAAAGGTCTGTATGCCACTGGCTCATGACGGACTTGAGCCTGGATTTACCCGAAGCAACATCCACACCAGATTTGACTCTGCCCTCGAACTCGGCACGCCACCGCTTTGAAGCCGTCCTCATGGTGTCGGATTCGAGTCGCTGTTGTCGAAGCTGAGCATACAGTTCCCTCTTCTCCTCTTCCGTACCCTTGAAACCCTCGGGCAAGGCAATCTGAGGGCCCTCAGAAAATAAGGACAGAGATTCTTTCAAAGAACTTAAACCCAGACCCTTCTGCTCCGCGGCAAGTACCTCGGGGAGATTATCGACTATTTCAGCGGATTGCGTGGAGAATTCTTCGTCGATTTCGGCGGGATCAACCATAGGCGTGAGCAAATCGGAGTAACAGATCTAACAGAGTTGATATAATTAGCGACACTGCAAGGGAACAACAGAGAACGTAGGCTATTGGCAATACTAACCTTGGATAATTCACCAAGATCCAGATCCGTCAGTACCTCGCTAGCCAGAAGATCTTCATGAAGGTCCGCCTGCTTGGCAAGACCCCAGTAACGGCGGACCGATCTCTCACGCTTAGAGCCATGCAGCATACGAAGAGACATGCGAACCATGACCGCAAAAGTAGTGGCATCTGGCCTCACACCACCCGATGGCATGTCAACTTCAAACCATTTCTGCAATGGCAAAACCATTTCGTCCTGCCGAGTGACAATCATGTGCGAGACCATTGCCTTAAGATATTTATTGTGCAAAGCAAGAAACTCGGCAGAATCAACAGGGTAGTAGACCTTCAATCGGCTGATCAAAGCTGCAGCACGATCGAATCGACCCACCCGAAGTGACATGTCAAAGTTGGCCATCATCTCATCCTCGTCACCGCCGATTCCCCGAATCTTCCGCAGAATTTTAGGCTGAGTCTGGGGGATCTCATTCAGGACGATTAAAGACGAAGTATCAAAGGAATCGGACATTTGGAAGGGCGATGGCCGGGTGATACCTGGATATGGAGAGTCGTCTAGCATGTAGGAGGATCCTTGTTCGAGGACGGATGGGTCGGCCGCGGTAGCGAGATTGCGATGCGATTGAAAAGATGGTCTTCGGGGTCGGTCTTGTGTCGATGTGCATTGTGACTTCACGATAGGAGTTGGGCGGCTTGAACTCGAGTGCAGGCGCACTGCTGGAGAGACGCCCAGCGTTCGGATGGCATTCGCCTTTCGCAGGTGGAAGAGCGCATTTTTTTGACGGGCGACTCGGGATAACATGATGCAAAAAGATGTCGCTTTAGATAATCAACAATTAAAGGAGTAGGAAGGTCAATGCCAGCAAAAGATAGAAAGAATTAAGAGTGAAGTATTGAGGCAAAATGATGAAAAAAAAAACAGCGAGAACACAAATAATGCAGGCGAAAAGCAGGAATGCGCAAGACAGCAAAGGGAGACACGGTATTCTCTAGTTTGGTCAGGGCTCTGCTGGATGTATTCCGGTTGCTGCCCTGCAGCCCTCAACCCGAGCGAAAAACGACTTGGAATAAAGAAAGGAATGGGATGAGGATGAATAGGGATGCTGAGCACGAGAGCTGCCGGAGACTCGGCGAAAAAAAGCGTCGCGGAACGCGTGACTGCACGTGACTGCCCCTGATAAGCTCTTGCTGATTGGTGGCGAGATCTACACGGTGGCGATGCCCATTGTATGAGTAGCAAAGTTTCCCATTTGGGACCTATTGTCTATAGACTGGAAGACGAATAGTCCAACAGTATCTAGCCTACTACACGCGATCCAGACATGGAGCACAGTGAATATGATCATGCTCTTATCGGCAGTGTGCCCATTCGCTATCGATAGTACAAGAAACCCGTGGGCCAAGAAATGAACCTCCAGTCTTATGAACGCCAATTTTTTAACCATATGCTCAATCATGATGTGACCTGGTTCAGCTTTCGTCCTCGCTATCTGACGGCCCTTCCATCTGTTTTTGCCGGTTTTGTTTCATCGCCCATCCAGTCAATTCAGGCCGGGCAGGATCAATCCGTGGAGCACTCATGCCATCCAAATAGTCCTCACTGTTAATGGTAGCCTTCAATTGGGGAAGATCGTCAGGCTTCTGGCTCATCATGTAGTTTTCATAAGTGTACCATGAATCCTCGGTCTGGAAAGATGTTCGTATTAGATCATGCGCATTGTTGCAACGGGGAAAATCCAAGGGGGCCACCGCGAGCCGACCGCTTACCTCTGCATCGATCCATTCGAATTTCTTCCACTGTTCTTCTTGCATTTTCTTGAGGAGATCCAGGTTTCCGTGAAGCATGGCGCCTCCGTCTTCCGCACCCTTGACCTTCACGTCGATAGCGCGTGCCTCGGGCTCGGCGGGACGTTCTTCATCTTCCTTCTTGCCCTTCGCGCCTCTTCCCTTGGGCAATTCATCCATTGCGTCGAGATGATGAACCTGGGGCTGTAATTGAACCACGGCGGAGACGGGTGATAGGTGGAGGTTTTCTAAATGCCTTGTTAGTGACGTCCACCAATACCACTCTAGCGGAGAGATGGAGGAATAAACGCACTTCCTTTGAATGTAGCCAGCATATAGACTGGATCACCCTCCTCTGCAGGCTTGATACGCCCACCTAGTGCCTGTGTCCTCAGTAGCGCAGATGGGTCCATGGTCTTCTTGTTGTCCAGCACTTCAATGTCTTCATTGCCCTCTGCCTTGATCCGACCTCCGCCGCCAGGGATTCCACCGGTACTGAAGCCACCAGCCATGCCGTAAGCTCCACCATTGCGTGCAAAGCGGCCCTTCTTCATGGCGTCGCCGTATCGAATACCCTTCTCCACATCGTAGGTGCATCGGGTAAAGATGGGCACTTCAAGCTCTACCAGACCCGAGTCGGGTTTCATGCGCATGACGGTCGGTTTTTGGCCCTTTCTTTCATTGTATGGCTTGGATTGCGGGCGGTCGAGGTATTGGAAGACGTATCGAGAGACCTCGGAGTCAGTGAGGAAAACGTCGTAGGAGGCAATGACGGGATCGTCCTCGGTGGAGGCCATAATGGGTGAGGAGTATATGAGGTGATGAGGGAGTATAAAGGGAGGCCTGAGAATTGGTAGGATCACCGAAGAGTTTGAAAGTGTCCGCGAGCGCCTTTAGTTCAGGTTTTTTTTCTTGCGATAGCTCATCCAGATATCCTAGCGGGCGTGATAAGCGGGGAGTGGCAGAAAAAAGAAAAGCTCGTCTCACCGCTTTTGGGTCACCGCCTTATTCGGAACTATAGCAGCCCGACATACTTCCTCTCTTGGAAGACCTTGTTCCCCTCCCATCGTTGTATGCTTTTCTACCGATGTCGAGATACCAATCTTCAGGCCTCATTGTGCTCGTCATTAAATTGTCCGTGTCTTCCTAGTGTGGGAGAGACACACCCTTACTCGACTCTAACTCCAGCTCCATTGCATTGCGATTGATCGACCATCATCACCCCTCAATGTCCCATGCACGTTTCCCGCGTGGACTCCGAAACTTGCTGCGCGCTCGATGACAGCAAATGATTACGGATTTCTCATAGGTCACTCATATCACACAGCCGGCAAGATCGGGAGATACTAACGTGTCGAAATAAACGCGATTGGGTGACGCGCACCGCGAACGCAGATAGATCGTTGTTCCCAAATTGGTTCAAACCTTATAGACCGTCGTCACAAAATACGAATGTCATCATGACCTCAGCCTTGCCGTCAGCTCGATAGCTGCGGATGAGGCTGAGCAAGGCCCCTTACTCATTGATTGGCCTAAGCGATCCCAAAGTGCAGACCCCATCGACCAATCTCCGCTCCATGAATGGGCTGATTGGGTGGTGAGTTTTGGGTTGAATAGCTTACTTACCCCCACGGTTTAGATGCCACGGACTTGCATTGAACAACGATCGCAACTTTCGCTCCATTCGATAGTCTTCATTCCTCAGGATCACTTGGATTTCTTATCCAGAATTTTAGCGGAGTAGCCACGGTGTCAATTCTTCCCTGAAGATACTCAGAGAGGTATTATATTATGGACTGTTGCCGGTTGGCTTCCAAAGGTTGATGGAGATTGGATGGAGGTGCGTAAAATTATGTAAATTAATTAACGGATTAATTTTTACTTCCTGTTTCGTAATTCTCCTTCTTTCTTTCTAGACGCATATAATCTTAAGCAATTCCGATCCGTCTGAGACCATCTCGTGAGTGGTTGATCCAATTACCTTCCAACTAGGCCATAAACGGAGGCTAAGTGCGAAGATTCATATAAGCGAACCTACTTCGTGGCGGCAAATTTGGGGGCTGAAAAGCAGTAAGGAAGCCTTTTTACAAGCGTGAGGCTGCGAAAGTCAAAATATCTCCTGAATTTCCAGGATTTGGACGGCTTTATTTAACCCCCTTCCTCCCCCCAACCCGAGGAGACTCTATCTCAACTAGTCTTGCTTCATCCAGACAAGAACGAATTCTCTTCAATCAGAAAACTGTTAATTCCTACAATAATAAAATGACTTCATTGATCTTTAACCATGGAGCTTGGCACAGTCCAGAGTGCTGGTCCAAGGTGATTCCTGCCTTTAAGCAACGAGGATATCGCTGCTTCGCCCCGCAATTGGATTTCTGCGGCACAGAGCAGCCCGTCGACTCTCTGGCAAGCACCATTCATCAGATTCAGACACTCATTGCCCAAGAAACTACCCTGGGTAACGATGTTGTATTGATCAACCATTCCTTCGGTGGCTCGGTGGGCTGCAGTTCCGTGAAAGGATTCACTCAGAAAGACCCATCGAGATTGACCCCGAACTCGGGCAAAGTCATCGGAATCATCCAGCTTTGTGCGTTTATGCCACAGTCGGGTTTATCTTTGTACGACATGGTCGATATTACAAAAGTTTTCCACCATAGCGAACCTGATGGCTGGGAGGGAATCCATCAGGACCCGGTAGCGTTGTTCTACAATGACATGTCCCCAGAAGATGCCCGTTACTGGAAGGATTGTCTGCTGAAACACTCGACTGCCGCGTTCAAGGACTCGGTCAATGTTTACCCTGGGTGGGCTGATGTGCCAACTTCGTTTATCTTTTGTTTGAGGGATGGCGCAATTCCGCTCCAGATTCAGGAGGCAATGGTCGAGGCTGCGAAGGGAGCAGGTGCATCTATCACAACGCGGTCCTTGGATACTGGCCATAGCCCTTTTTTCAGTAAACCCGAAGAGACCACCAGTGTGATCTCGGAATCTCTGAAGTCCTTGGAAAGTAAATGAGGAATTAGAACGGTTATGTTTGTCTTCGTCATCCAGAATTCGTGTAGTAGAAGGTCGGTGTCGGGTGTTTTAAGGCGTTTGTGTGTTGAGTACAGGCGTGGAGAGATTAATCGTCTCAAGGGTTATCACCAACTTCCAGTTATTCCAGGTACTCTCCCCCCTCATATGGCTTAGTTGGTAACCAATCCGATGGTGATCAATGGGTGTGCCCCTGTGAAGGAAATTGAGGGGAAAATATGTGACAGGTATCCGATGTCGAGCACCACTCCACGGATGACCGGGCACATCCCTAGGCGGGGAGAGTGGGCGAGCGAGCTGATCCCCCTCGCTCGCCGATTTCTCCTTTTATATTTTCTTTTTTATTTAATATATTATTATATAGTATAGTATCTCCGATATTACGATTCCATCTTTTTACTCGAAAATATGGTACTAGTTAGGGTGTAGAGAGGAAATTTTTAATTGGATCTGGTCCCAGGCCTACCTCTAAAGTATGTACTTCGGCATCGTGAGATCGGGATGGAGCATCGTGATGAAGTACATATGAAACGAGAGGTCGATGGTTCGATCCACAGTTGAAGCGAGCTTTTTTTCAAGTCCACATTTTTGAGAAATGTTTGCTCCAATAGATCGCTTGATATTCCGTTTTTTCACGGTATTTCTGGTTTCATCGTCGCTTTTGCAAACCTGGACTATGAATCCTATATGTTTATGCCCGGTCTTGCTAATTTTGATTTAGAACACGACATCCTTGAGAAAGGGAGGGATTAGGATTTGCCGAATTGAGTTATGAGTTAAGATAATTTCAACAAGCTTGATTATTAAACAATTTAGCACCATTATAAGACAATGCCCACCAGCTGAGGGTCAGCTCAGTACCAGTTTACATCTCCAAAGAAGATCTGGGGAAAAGATGGTCCGGCGTAACGATAAATTTGACGAGTACTGCTCGAAGATTTAGCCCTTTCGCTCGCTGAAAACCAAATGAAGAGGTTGTATTGCTAAGGTAAAAGTGTCCTTGGCATTTTCATCGAAACTCTTCCCATCCTCCCCTGGTGCCAACGAGATATCAAACTCCTGTGCGATCGACCGGATAGCAATACGCATTGACAAATATGCCAGTTGCTTGCCTGCACATGAATAGTGACCTGGGGTAGAGAGGTGAGTACTAGCAATAATGAAAAATCGTGGAACAGGACCCCTTACCTATAGTGAAAGGGAAGAAAGCCTTGTCATCGAATACCATGCCTTGGTCTTTCTCAAGCCATCGTTCCGGGATGAACTCCAAGGGACGAGAAAAGTTGCGTGCGTCTCGTTGTAGCAAATACTGAGGAACAACCACGATCGTATTTCCCGGAATGAAAACCTCATCAATGAAGAGACCCTCTGGAGGTGTGACCCTCATTTGACCACTCGGCACGACTGGCTTTAAGCGGAGGGTTTCGTTGATTACCGCCTCGAGGTACGGCAGGGGATGGGCAATATCTTGGACACCATATGCTTCATCCACCTCCCTTTGCAACTTTTGGTATACTGCTGGGTGAGTAGCAAGATAGTACAAGATGTGCGCGATCGTTGTTGCGGTCGTATCGCTATATGAATTACGAGCGTGTTAGTGTTGATACAGATGAAATAAAACCATTCAACGCACCTTCCAGCAACAATTGCAAGTCTGCCTTCATCATGTAGAGATCGGTTGCTAGGGGAAGCAGAAGCTTCTCCATCATCCTTTGCTTTTAACAGCCAGGAGATGACATCAGTTGGTCTTTTCTCTGTATCCTGGCGCCATTCCTGTCAAAAGTTAGTTGTTAGCCAAGTAAAATTTGTCGATATTCGGTTCTGTCATACATACCGCCTTTCGCTGCTCTACTTGCTGAACGCAGTATTTGTCGAAGATCGCGTACGGGCCAGCGAGTCCAGGGATACGGACGAGCAAATGCAACAGCCATGGCATTGCCCCGAGAAGGCCAATCTGTTCCAGCTGTGCATGCATGGCAGTAATTGCAAAATGCTCAGTACCTTCTTCAAGTTGTCTAAAGTCCTTCTTAAATGTGATCTCTCCCATGACGTCGAATGAATAATATTGAGTCCACTGGGTGATCTCGACATCTTTGTCCTGCCGGTCTTTGAGTTGTTCAATTAAGATGTTGACCTTCTTTTGAATCTGAGGTTGATAGCTGGAAAGCGCTATGCATACAAATTAGCTTCTTGACTCGAGTCAGAGAGAGTTTGGCTCGGCGCAACCTTTTGTTCCAAGACCCCTATCCCATGCTCTGCGACGTCCCCGATGGATCTCATGATCTCTCAAAGCTAGCAGGTTAACTTTGCCGGGATTGTCGGAAATCTGGCTATACCACGGCCCCTTTACACACTTGGATTGTGGGCCGTGAATGATACGCACTGCCGAAGCACGGTTGACAGAAATCTCACGAGGTCCTATCGAGCGGATCAGTCTGGATTGGATTCTTGAAAGGAAATACACGCGAGTGACGAACCTGTTCTAACAAAATCACCAAATTCAGCATGTAACTTCTCCAACTCGTGGTGATACTTGAAGCCAGAGAGTTTAATGGTCAAAACTGTATAGAATCGGCTGATCCTTGCTCCCCACCGGCCAGGAAAATGCCGCAGGCGATGGAAGAATGACCGATAGATAATGGTGCTAGCTCCTAGACCCACTGAGAAAAAAAGGCAAGCGAGCGAGGATTTCGCGATCGCACAGAGAACATCGACGCCCAATACTTTCACGAAAGATGTAGCCAAGCCGGCCCAGGCAAGGAAAACCCCAATGAGCAAGCTACCGACGGCGCTGTCGATCTCGCTGGTGAGTATCAAAAGATGGGACAGGATACCCAGGGTACAAAAGGTCGCAGCGATGTGGGCCTCGTCCGAAACACAACTCAAGAGCAAGGATGTATGCATTTTGATATCTCTTCAGTGCATCAACGAGACAATGAAGATTGTGATGATTGCGAGTCAGTGATGCAGAGACGTGACCGATAGTAAATAAAGACCCAGCTAAGCTTACCCGGCTATCCTCAGCCTCCCCGCATTCGCGACCCTCCACTACAGAGATGCGCTGGCTATTATTTGACATTTGGACGATACATGTGTGACGAGGCCGCAGATAGAATCCTTTTCCGGTTAGTGGCAAGCCAGTGACAGCATGCGATGGGGGCCTAAGGCGGCCGTCATTGCACAGCTCATCAATACAAGTAGAAAGACGCAGCCAAAAAGCTTCTCTGAATTATGACTGGACCAGTAAATGCACGGTCCAACTTTTCAAATCCCAGTTTATTTTCCAAGGCATACTGTATGATACAATTATGTCTGGGCACACGCCACTGATGCAATGGTCGTGGAAAGATGTCAGTAATCCCAAGATGTAAGACCAGTCCTAGCTCATGAAATTTCAGCTGACAAGCGGCTGTGCACGATGGATATTTGGTCGCAACACGAGACTCGATTCTTTGAAGAAAGAATGGTCGAACAATAATTTAGACCTACGCAAGTCCGTCTGGGGGGGGGGGTCATTGGATTCACCTGTAATGTTATGGAGCCTACATAAGTCCCACGAGCTGAGGTTCAAAGCACGCAGATACGAAAGAGTAAAGAGGAGGATAATATATCTTCTGGATAAGATTGCTTGCTACTATGTGTTTGATGGGAGATAATCAAACGCTCCAATTTCGTCTGTGCCCGGAAATCCTCTCAAACCGTGAAATAAATCGTTGCCCCATGATGGATCTTCAAAGAACATTTGAAGTGTAGGATCTACAGCAAGTGACGCTGATGGCATCCCGGCATCTTCTTGTATGAGATCGACTTGGTAATTAGATCGAGTACCGTCAGATATACCTGAGGGGTGCCCTTGTTGCTGAATTTGATCGCGTAGCCTGTGGAGAACAGCCAGGCACCGCATTGCAGCTTTATCTTTTTGGCTCAATGATGCCAAACAGTCACGGGCTCTGGAAACAGATGAAAGCCAAAGGTCTTGGTTTCTATCTTCCAACCCCGACTCGATGGATTGAAGTGATCGAAGGTGATGGATGCTGAGGACAACTGCTGCTTGGAAGAGGAAGTAGGTTGCATACCAACTAAGGCCGGCGTGAACTATGTCGAGATTATCCTGAAGGAATTTGGTGATTTCCTGTATCGTTTCAACTGCCGTGAGATGGCAGATGTTCTGAGCTTCTTCGTGATCAGAAGGCAGATTGCACAGTTTCTGACTTCCCCACCAAAGCATCATGCGAAGGTTCTGCTCCTTCCAAATAATTATGGCACGGGGACCACGAAACCATTCGGGAACCGCATGGGCAGTAAAGTAAGAAGGCAATGAGAGCTTCCAAGCATTGAACTGATGATTAATCGAACGAGAGATCCTCAGGTCCCATGAGGTCTTGTTTGTCGAAGATATGAGCTCCGCAAACACAGCGTTTGCGATTGATGTTAAACGTGACTGTGCAATAATTGCCGAATAGATGGTGGGATAATTTGTTACCGGTGGCAAGATAGATTGCAATGTACAAGCCTGTGAGAGAATTCAGTAAAATACGCCGGATAGGGAACAATTGGTTCATCGCACCGAATCATCAATATTTCGTGGAAGATGAGTCTCGATGAACGAGTCAGAGACCATGATGGGCCTTCCGGTTGTGATGCTAAAGCCCGAGTCAAAGCAATAGACTGTCCACCACACGACTCTTCGCCGCTCATTAGAGAGTGTATCTTCCGTCGCTGCCGTGGGAAGCTCTCGATGAAGACCCAGCCCAAGTGCCATTCGGTGCGCAATCCCAATAAAGTTGTAGCCGGTATTAGGTCGATCTCGTTTTTGGAGGTAGTTGCCCTGCAACACATTAGCTGCACACTTTCTGAAATATGAGAACCCTTATTGGCAAGCCTACCATTAGAAGGCAGGCCTGGACGGTGAGAAGAGTTCCAGACTCTAGCATGCGCATCGACATGCACGAGCGCGCAGCCATGTAGAACCTGGACTGCTCAGCTTCCGACTCTTCCCCGAGAATCCAGTGACCGATTGCAAAGACTAGATGGAATACAATGTGCCAGCTTGACCGTCGATGGACTTGATGGCGATTCTGGAATTTCTCCCGGAAGATCTTCTCGTGTAGGATAGGATATGAAGTGTTATACCATCCAAAATATGCATCAACAAGACCTTCTAGGGTCGTAGCGTCCGCAAGGTTCACAAGTTGTGAGGGGCTAGCAGTTTGGTTACTGTTAGCCGGAGAGTCTTGTGCTTGATCCCTCGAGCCCGAGGTGGTAGTCTCCGGAAGAAGGCCTGAAATCGCGTTGAGCATTGTCGAACCCGAGGTGTTACCTAAGATGACAACTCAGCGTTTGATCAATAAGTTTCCGTGGGGCTTCCAGAAATCTGACCAAGGTATCCTGATTCTGCTCGCTTGTTTGGAAGCACAGCCATCCCATCTGGCGCATCTTTCTGTAAACGCGATGGAGACATCGTCGATGCTTCACTCCATTCAAAGCGATCCAATGAAGGGTCACTCTCAGGATCGGACTCTAAAGCCTCGGGTCTTTCCAGAGATGTAGTGGGCTCGTCCACACCATTCCGTGTCATTGAATCCAGGGCCGCATGAATATCAATATTTGGATCAAGACTCTTAATCAATGATATTAATTTCGCACATCGTAGCTCTGTTGCATCCAGATTTCTATACTGTGTCAGAAAGTGATACGTCCACACCGACGGCCGGAGACTCACTTTCTTGTTAGTGGTGTACGAGTTGGGGGCCGGCCAAAGATGCAGCTCTTATTTGCTCGAGTACAGTATGAGCATGGCAAAGAGCCAGAGCACTGATTTCTTCTTAGTATGGGCCGTTAGAGCAGATTTTCCGTGTGTAGAAGCCATACCTTGCTCTTCCGCTTCTGCAAGATCGCTGGAATCAGTGATGAACAGCACAAGGAATTAGATTGCTTCTTACACGGCACTCAGTACACTATCATAGGTCAGTATCATAATAATCACAATCACAAACGTGAGTAATTACCGCTCGAAGATCATGTGGACCGGACGTTGGACGCCCGACTTTCGGCATTTCGAGGACGATCAGGCCCAGCTCAACCCTTGCTCTAAAACGACCGATCTTAATTCCTCAGCGTGGCATGTAAGGTCAGATCGCGCTTGATCCAATTGCTTCACATTAAAAATTGGAGATAAGATAGATGATGATACAGTTAGGATCTTTGCGGGGCAGCATTCTTTCCTGGTTGATGAGATCATCGGACCGCAGTCGTCCGATCCGATACAAACAGGCGGGAATTGCTTGGAAGCACGCCCACGCCCCGTATTATTGGTCATAGATGAGTGCATTTAGCAACACCTGGGGATATGGTCCTACTTAGATATTTGGTGATACTACTTACTACTTCGTCCTATAATACCTTTGAGATTTCACAACTGCTAAAAGGCCCCGAGAAAAAAGCAAGCATTCAGAACTTTGTTACTATCTACACCTTGAAACGACATGATCTAACTACTAAAACACAGTTGCACCTCCATCAACAAGAATGTCCGTCCCATTCATGTAAGTCCCGGCGGAGCTAGCAAGGAGCACGATTGCTCCTGTCAGCTCAGATGGGCTTCCCATTCGTCCACTTGGGTTACGCTCAGCCCAGATCCGCCTGTGGGCATCTAGTCCCTTGCCTTCGTTCAAGATTGTATCCATATATCCCGGGCTCACACTGTTGGTTCTTATACCGTAACGAGCCCACTCTGCAGCAAGGGAGCTTTTGAGCATCAGCAGAGCAGCCTTGCTAACATTGTACGCCACTTGAGGCTGTGGGTAATTCACGCGATGGGCAGAGATTGATGCCACAAAGGTGATTGAGCCTCCGGTACCTTTCTTGACCATCTCTCGTGCAGCTGCCTGAGCGCAGATAAAGGCTCCAGTAGTATTGATGTCGAGGATCTTCCGCCATTGGGAGACGGGCATCTCGAGGGTTTCGATACAACCCACAACCCCGACAAAGCAAACAAGGGTATCAACCGATCCAAGTAGGCGAACAGTTTCCTCCATTGCCTCGCGAACTGCATCTTCGGCAGTGACATCAACTTGTTGAGTGCAAATCTTAGCGCTGGGAAACTTCGACCTCAATCTTGTAATTTCCTTTCGGCTTGTTGCAGGATTGACATCGAAGATCATGAGGCCTTGGAGGCCATGTTCAAGCAAAGCTTCGCAGGATTGAAGGCCTAGCGTCCCGGAACCTCCCGTAACAACAGCGTTTCCTCGAACGGAGAATCTCTTCTGGGCACTAACAGCAGGGTCGGCCTCGAATGTTGAAGTTGGGGGCGGGGTCATCGAAGCGGGGCTGCCGTCACTGAGGATCATGGATGGAATCGACCTTGCGGCAAGAGCATCGCGGTCGGTCAGCCCATTTGAGGAAGTCATGGCGAGAATAAGAAAATATATATCACAGCCGTGAATGTATAGTTGTGGCAGAAGAATGAACTCGGTAGAATAGCATAAAAAGGTACTCAAATGCTTGAGAGCGATCAAAATCGTGCTTTAAATAGGTACATGCAGGAAGTCGAGTAAGGTCGAGATGCAGATAGTTTTGACTAATAAGGTCAAAAAGCATAAGAACACTCATGTATGTTCGGAAATATGCTCTCCGATACTCAATAATATCGGCCAAACAAAGGCAATGGCAAATCTGGCCTGTGGAACACTTCTAGCTAATGGCCATGGCTTTCGCAACGCATTTGCTTCATTCACGTTCCACTCATGCCGTCATCACGGGGGCCACCGCAGAGGCGGGGAGCGACCAGTAGCAGCGCTAGCGCAACCTTGGAGACGTCGGGCCACAAAACGCCGATGAATGTGGGTCGGATTGGCTTGGGGAAGAGCGACTCACCCCAGAGTCGCCTCGGTTAATTCCCGATGGCGGGGTTTGGTGGAAATAGCCGCTCTTGTACCTGGCCATCAATTCATGATTAGTTGAGATAAAATGTATGTATCTCGAAAGTGACAACTTGAGCTACATAAGTGGATTGATATCTAACTTATCTTCGCCCTTTCTGTTTGAAAGTTGAGGTGACATAAAGGCCCAGGCGCCAAAGGAGAGCTAAGTAAAGCACGAGGGACTGGTATAGCTTTTAGTTATCTCTCCTAGAGGATCAATGGTGTCCTTTTAATTTACCGCCCCGGCGGACAGTATACCGAAAGCGAGTGGGTCACTTCGTTACGCCCTTGGTTATAAAGCCAGTTGGGGGAACCCTTAATTCGAGCATTTCATTGTTGAATTTTCATCACAACAACGATCCCAAAATATACGCCGCAATATGTCTATGTCTATTGAGGACAGCGCCCCGGGACGCGAGGGATTCCCAAGACCTTTCCCTAATACACCTTCCAATGTCTTGGAACAGTTTCGCCTAGACGGCAAAGTTGTTGTCGTTAACGGTGCCGCAGATGGAATTGGCCTAGCGGTAGCACAGGCTATGGCTGAAGCCGGGGCCAATGTCGCCCTGTGGTACAACTCGTAAGTTATTCAATTCTGATTAATCTTGATACTGAACGTACTCACTAAGATACTTGAAGGAATGACGCGGCGATTCAAAAGTCTCAAGAATTGGCTGATCAGCACAAAATCAAGTCAGCTGCTTATAAAGTGGACGGTAAGCCAATGACCATATTTGAAGCCGAAGTTACCTTAAACTGATTTATGATGCAGTCTCCGAGTCTACCCAGGTCTCAGAGACCATGGAAAAGGTTGTTGAAGATTTTGGCAAGATCGATGTTTTCGTTGCGAATGCAGGTGAGTAACACAATGAGAGTCGTGGGACTCGACACAAACTAATTTCTACAGGAATGGCAATTTCCAAGCCTATTTTAGAGCAGACTCTCAGCGAGTATCAAAAGCAGATGTCCGTGAATGGTATGACTTTCTATCCGATATATTGACCATAACTCGTTCCCTAACAAATATCCAGTTGACGGAATTGTTTACTGTGCCAAATACGCCGGCCATGTCTTCCAACGCCAGGGCTTTGGTAACCTCATTATTACATCGAGCATGAGTGCTCATATCGTCAATGTCCCCGTTGATCAGCCTGTATACAACGCCACTAAAGCATTTGTTACCCACTTTGGAAAGTCTCTGGCCCGCGAATGGCGAGAGTTTGCTCGGGTCAACATTGTTTCACCCGGATTTTTCGATACCAAGATGGGGGCTAGCCCCCTTTGCCTCAATGAGGCCTACCGAATGTCCTCTCTGGGAAGACAGGGACACGTGAAGGAGATCAAGGGATTGTATCTTTACCTTGCAAGTGATGCGTCGACTTACATGACGGGAAGTGATGTGCTCATCGACGGTGGCTATGTTTTGCCTTAGGCCTAACCAAGGACGTGCGATTAAGATGGAATAAAATATTTTCAATGAGGTTATTTCAAGCATGATGACCACATTCCCCAAATTCATTTATTAAACATAGGCAAAGGCGTTAATTTCACGGTAAGGCCCCTGGGTCATCAATATTGCTATTACTGGCACAGCCCATATGATTACTTGGAAATTGACCTACTGTTATGGGAAAGATTTACAATCGATCTTGCTCCACTTGAGAGCCTGGGGCTGAGTGATCTGAGCCAACACGCGGCCCCAGGGTCCAAGGTTAACCAGATTGTGCTGTGGGGGCTGGCCCCCACCTATATCAGGTGCGTAATATCGAGGCGTGGATGTCATTAAGAAATAAGAAATAAAAACATGATTGGCCTCGGAGATATAGACCCCTGAATTTCCTTTAATATCAACCCCCAAGGCCACCCACGTGTAGCATTGACCGCGATATAATACCAATTGGGGTAATGCTTCGTTTCTTAGTGAAATTCAAACACGGTGGGATGTGGTATAAATGGGTCGCATCCTCTCTTGATATAAGCTTAAACCGATCGTACTCCTCACAACACCGAGATGAAGCTGGGGACCATTGCTATTGTGCCCCTCTTGATGGGGGCCGCGCTGGCGGCAGACGCAACCTCCAAGCCGAACTTCATCATCATTCTTACTGACGACCAAGATCTCAGAATGGGCTCTATGGATCATTTGCCAAAAGTAAAGAAGTATTTGACAGATGAGGGCATGTATTTCAACCATCATTATGCTACGGTGGCTTTGTGCTGCCCATCGAGAGCTAGCATGTGGACAGGCAAAGCAGCACACAATACAAAAATCACCGATCTGAAACCACCCTACGGTAAGAGAGCTAAAAAAATCACAATAAATCTGTCTTACTAAGGACTTTTAGGCGGATTCCCCAGATTCATCTCAGAGGGATACAACAAAAAGTGGTTACCAGTGTGGCTTCAAGAAACTGGGTACAAGACTTACTTCACGGGCAAGCTGATGAACCAACACAACATCGAAAATTACAAGAATGGCTTGGAAGATATGGGCCTGGACGGGCATGATTTTATGATCGAGCCGGGTAAGACGAATACCATCAGTTAAGGTTGCATGACTGCTAACTTTTTGCAGGGACTTACCAATACGTGAACACCACCATCCAACACAACATGGAAAAGCCTGTATCTCATCCTGGGAAATATGCTACTGATCTACTTGCGGATTTGTCCACGGCCTGGATCGACGATGCTGCCGAGAAAAAATCCCCTTTTTTCCTCGCCATCAACCCGGTGAACCCGCATAGCAATTACGACTGGAATAATGGTAAACCGAGATGGACCAATCCTGTACCGGCAGATCGACACAAAGACGAGTTTCAAGACGCAATCGTTCCGCGTAATACCAAAAACTTCAATCCTGATAGTGTGGGTGCTCCTTCTGCTCGTGTCATTTCTTAAGTCGCAAGCTTACACTTTGAACTAGCCGAGTGGCGCCAGTTGGGTTCACGGACTCGATAAATTGGATGACGCAACACTCAAGGATAATGACATCCACTATCGCCGTCGGCTTCAGGCTCTGCAAGCTGTTGATGATTTGGTTGAGAAGACTATTCAGCGACTTGAGCACCACAAAATGCTTGACAACACTTATATCATTTACACCTCGGACAATGGCTTCCATATCAGCCAGCATCGATTGACTCCTGGTAAACGGTGTCCATATGAAGAAGATGTGCGTAATTTCCACCCATGGTCTTATCTTGATTCCGTAAATTTATTCGAGGACTAAACACTGATAATTCAACAGGTCAATGTTCCCCTCGTTATTCGAGGCCCCAAGGTGCCCAAAGGCAAGACCGTGGATTTCGTCACCTCTCATCTGGATATTGCTCCTACAGTCGTCAACTGGGCCGGAGCAAAAGGACCTGGAGACTTTGACGGCGCGGTGATCCCTGCAGATGGCACACCCGGGTCGCAGGAACCCTGGGAGCACGTCCAAATCGAGCACTGGGGACTTGTCTCAGATAAAGACAACGTTCCCAAGAACTTGATTGGGAAAGTGAACACGTACAAAGCAATCCGAGTAATTGGACCAAAGTACAACCTGTACTATGCGGTTTGGTGTGATGGGGACCATGAGGTCTATGATATGACGGTAAGTAATTATTCAACTTCTGTGTTCCCTTACACTTCAGCTGACGATTCAAAGACCGACCCATACCAGATGAACAACTTGTACAATTCATCTCAGACTATCCTGGGTGCTTCAATGAAGAAGCTCGAGGACAGGCTAGACGCTCTAACGCTCGTCCTGAAAGCATGCGCCGGTGACTCGTGCCGTCAGCCGTGGGAGCAACTACACAAGGGCGGCAAAGTGAAGACGCTTGTTGACGCCCTGAAACCGGAGTATGATGCTTTTTACAAGAATCAAAACAAGGTCAAGTTCAGTCAGTGTGCGAAGTCGTACTTTGTGCAGAATGAGTTGCCAATCAAGTATCATACTTATGGCAGTGATGGTTCGATTCAGGATCGGGATGTGGATTGGTGGATGCAGGCGGGCTGATCTTGAACTTTGGATCTTTCTTTATGATTGAGGATTTGGATTTGAGTGCTCATGGCCAAGTCTGCTTGTATTAGTTGAACATTCTCATTTTACTCACTCCCTTGCCTGTTGGTCGTCCAAGATAAAGGATGCGGCGAAACTCCTAGAAGCCCATATGATGATTTGAATAATGTGGTCATAGTCAATTAAATCTGTACTAAGTACGCATAAAGTCCAGTGGAGAGACCGCAATGGCACGATCCGTGAATTTCACACAAGTCGGTCAAGTATGAAGGAGACTAATAATGGCCCAATCTGGCTCCTGTAAATTTCATGCCAGGAGCACAGACTTTACTGCTTCTTGACAAATTCTACTCCCCTAGCTAACCAACAGCCAATTTTGAAGCCCACAACAGAACCACTCTCGTCGCGGTGGATCACTACAGTCCAGTCACCAGGTGCCGGTGCATCCAAACCACGCGGACAGCTCAGAGCCCAGACATCATCCCCAAGATACCGCATCGACGTCACGATACCTTGTCCGAGATATCCATCAAAGAAACCATACAACATACCCGCTTCTCCAATGCAGTGGAAGGTAGAATCGACTTCTTCTGAATAATAATCGCCCACCAATGCCGTATCCTTGAGAGCGCCCTCACGCGGAGTGAGGCGCCGAGCCTCGAGTTTCCGGTTATCCGACACGCGATGAATGCTAAGGACATCACCGTCAATGGAGCCAGTCATAGTGCGTGCTTTGCCATTCTTTGCGTCGGTCAACTTGAGCGGTGCAGCCTCCAAGTGAGTGTCGTATGTGATTAAGACTTCTCCTACTTGCGAACTCTTGGCGACAGTGATGGCCAATTGAGTGTCCTGGTCGAGGAAAACGCCATACCATTCTGTGGCTGGCTCCACTGATGCATTCTCTGGATTGGGTCGGTTTAATACGCCTCGAAGAATATGGTCGACCGCTGCTGATGCATCGGCCTCGTGGTTGAATAGAACCACGACGGACAGATGCTCCTCTGGCACATGTCTCCGATGCAGCCGGTATCCTCTTAGAGCTCCACCGTGGCCGATCGAGTCGACGCCATTAATATCCACATGATTCAGGCCGTAATGATATCTCGCAGCTGTACCATCGCTAAAGGTTTGTGGCCTTGTCGCAGTGTGATACCAGCTCTGAGGGTCAGCATACAGCCGATCGAGGTATTTCTCATAAGCGATCATGTCATTCAAAGAAGCCACCATTCCGGCATCGCCCGACCATTCCATACGATTGACTGCATCGTAGAATCCATGATCCTCGTTGCCTTCATAGCCGACGCAGGGAGGAGGGTGGTGTGCAGTATTCGGGCAAAGTAGTGCAGTAGTCATCCCCGCCGGCTTGAGAATTCTCTCTTCAAGCAGCTTTCCAAGTGGCTCGCCAGTGACACGCTCAATGATTCGTCCCACTAGGTGGAAATTCACATTCGAGTATGAGTACTCCGTGCCTGGCTCGAAGTGAAGCGACTTGGTCCTGTCCAGCATCGGAGGACAATCCCTATCGACCAAGAACTCGTCATCTGGTTTCACACCCCAAAGGGTAGTCATGGCCCAGTAATCGCGAATGCCGGACTGCATATCACACAAGTTCTGAAGTGTCAGACCCTTCTCCCTCGCCAAGGGGAGCAACTCATGCAGCTTTTCCGTAAATTGACTATGCACGTCGCCCTTAGCTGCCATCGCGGGGGTCGGATTCCGGTGAAGATCCATCATCAAGCCGCACACGAATTGCTTGGTGATTGAGCATATCGGGAATTGGGTGGATGGTTCTACGAGGATACGACGAGATTGATCGGCGTATCCCCAGACGCGTTGGCCGACGACTTCGCCATCTTTGACGACAGCGACCGCACCACCGGGACCCCGGTAGCGAAGTGGAATTTCATTAATGATTTGGTCGATATTTTGCTTTGTGACTGACATTCTGGCTGGTTATTGTTGTGGAGGAGGGAAGAAGAAGAGCTGTTGCCTCGGTCAACTCTGCTTTTATCGCAGAAGTGAGGGGCACAAGCTTATCTTCATGTTACATCCAATAATGTTTTGCATAGCGAAACAACCAGTGCATGAAGATTCAACCCTCCCAGGAATTGAATTCCAATGTTTTGGGGGTGCGTTTCTCTTCCCAATCATGGACCAATTTGATTGGTTTACTTTGAAGAACAACATCGGGCCCCTTGGCAGTGGTAAGGATATGCGCTACACCCGGTTTACCCCAGACTCCCACTGGAATCATCCTTCTCCCCGAGCCCGAACCCGGTATTTAGGCAAAACCCCGGCTGAATGCACTGGTAAACTCAACCAGGAGTTGGGTTAGACTGCAGACTACTCTCTCAGCAGCCTTTCTAGACCTTTTCGGTGGATCATGCGATGATCCCAAAAGCAGGAACCTCGCCTAGTTTCGCGATCGTTCTAAGATCGTTGTACTGGTTGTCACACCCAGGTCTTTGTTGACTCTCGCCGAACTTGCAGTAGTATTATTGGGGGTTATATGCTATGGATTTCAGGAGGATGACGGACAGTCGATGTATTGCTGATGCCGGCAGTTCGGGGTTCGAATGAAATCCCGGCATATAAGGACGTTGGTTCGCCCTCATCCCTGTCCGATCGCTTCGCAGGAAATGACCACCTCCCGATGTGGTTTCATGGCTAATTGCAAAGTCCGTGGCAAATCTTTCGAAATGGTACCTGACATAGGGTAAAGGGGCCTGGAAAGGATATTAGCTTCTCCTTTTCACCATGGAGGCGATGATATGGATATTGGATAGATCTGAATAGACCACGACTGAGATATTTTCAAAATATCTTCAATGTCGACCAGACCCTCGAGGATACTTTGTAAACCTCAAATCCCTTCGGGCCGGTAAAACCTTCCGTGGCCGTAAGCGAAAGGGCTGTACTCCGCAATGCAACACTCCCCGCCCCTTAGAATCCGTTGGATTGGAGGTTTGAGGACACGACCGACCGATTCGTGTTTCTAGCACATATAGTCTTAGTACATACTGCGAGCCTTTTCCTACTTGGTAAAATAATTCCACGCTGGTCCCCTTAAGTTTTCCCTAGTCCACTTTATACCGAGTATACTGTACTCCCGTATAGTTCTCTTCGCTTCCCATCGGACGACGCATTTCGGACCTTTTCACCACGTGCCTTTTCCCCGCCTTCTCCAGATTTTCCCCCTCCGATTCTCCGACTCCTGCTCCTTGAATCATCCCAGCTCCCTGCATTCTTCTGTTTAACGGTCACATTTGGCCTCCTCTCTCTCTCTCTCCATTCCGGCATCCTTCATTCTTGAGGGTAGCAAAACGGTTAAGCTTCCGGCGCTCGGGTCCGGCTGGAAAAAAAAAACCCAGGGTCCACCTCCACCGACCGCGGTCTGGGGTATTTCCTTCCTTCTGACACTAGCCCGGAGATGTCGTTCGACTCCTGACGCTGCTGCAATTCTCTTCCCATCCCGTCGATCGCACAGCTCGAATCCTCCCTCACCCGTCTGACCGAGGGGCGAAAGCCCGGATCTGTCTGATCTGCTTGACTCTATGCCGTTGCAAGTTTAGTTCCGAGGAGAAGCATGTCGGCCACCTCCACCTCTCTCCAATCGTTCGCCAATTCGTACTCTCCCTTCTCGTCCCGATCGCAACCTAATCGAATGGCCCAATCTCAAACCCCCGGGTTGGACACGCTCGCCGAAGGCTCCCAATATGCGCTTGAGCAATTACAGCTGGCGCGGCAAGCCAGCGCGTCCAATCCTCCGACTGATTCCGAGTGCAAGCCCGTCAGCGAACCCGAGGCTTTAGAGTCTCAGCCCTATCACGAACAAAATGGCACACATTCCGGAATCAAATCCTCCTCGCAACCGCATGATCCCCTCGTAGATGCTCGGTCGGCCATTCGCAAGCACTCAACGGCTACGGCGGTGCGCCGAAGGATTAGCCGGGCCTGCGATCAATGCAACCAGTTGCGGACCAAATGCGACGGGCAGCAACCCTGCGCGCATTGCATTGGTAAGCTTTTTATCCCCAGTTCTTTTTTCAGCCTCCGTAGGCTTTCAATCTAATTACCATAATTTCTTTCTAGAATTCGGGCTCAGCTGCGAGTATGCGCGAGAGCGAAAAAAGCGCGGGAAAGCCTCGAAAAAGGATCTTGCGGCAGCCGCTGCCGTCGCCACTTCAAACGGCGACAAGAGTCTCCAAGACGGCGGTTCTGCGCATGGCAACTCCCCCAGTGGCCAGGCCTCACACGAGGTGAATGCGCCCTACGATCAGGCCTTCGACGCGCCTCGCGCCGTACCGGATTCCGCACAGCCACCTCTGCGCAACCATAGCGTTCCGGGGATATCACGGATGCAGCAGAACACTCACTCTGCCCCGGGGCATCCTCAACAATCGGTCGGATCTGGCATCGATAACATCTCACTAAATTATGGAAATGTACCGGATTCGAACCGGCCATCCATGTCGGTACCTGACCTGCGCTCTTTGCAAATGATGCAACAGAATGGAAATCCTCGGTCGCCGGCTGCAATGCTCCACTCTCAAGGATTCGGATCAGGTTATCATGACGGCGCATACTCTTTAATGAACTCGCACGACGCAAACGCGAACTCAATCGGCCAGTTTCGACTCGGAGGCTCCGAACAAAATCCGTCGGCATCGTTCTTGGGATTCTCCCCTCCAGCACAGTCACCCAGCTGGCTTCCTCTTCCGTCGCCATCACCTGCAAACTTCCCGTCCTTTAGCATGGCTCCATTCGCCAGTTCATTAAGATACCCCGTCTTGCAACCAGTTCTCCCCCACATCGCCTCCATCATTCCTCAGTCCCTCGCCTGTGATCTTCTCGACGTCTACTTCACCAGTTCATCTTCTTCGCACCTGTCACCACTCTCACCGTACGTTGTTGGCTTCGTGTTCCGCAAACAATCATTCCTCCATCCCACGAAGCCGAGAGTATGCAGCCCTGGTCTCCTGGCCAGTATGCTCTGGGTAGCCGCTCAGACGAGCGAAGCGGCATTCTTGACCTCTCCCCCATCAGCACGAGGACGTGTCTGTCAGAAGCTACTGGAATTGACTATCGGTTTACTGCGACCTCTCATTCATGGCCCTGCCACGGGGGAAGCCTCGCCGAACTATGCGGCGAACATGGTTATCAACGGTGTTGCTTTGGGCGGATTCGGCGTTTCAATGGATCAGCTAGGCGCACAGAGCAGCGCGACCGGTGCCGTCGACGATGTTGCAACTTATGTTCACCTGGCGACCGTGGTATCGGCGAGCGAGTACAAAGCGGCCAGTATGCGATGGTGGACCGCGGCATGGTCGCTTGCGCGCGAACTGAAGTTGGGCCGTGAATTACCACCTAATGCCAACACGCGTCAAGATGGTGAAATGGAGGGTGAATCCGAGTTGGATTTGAACGGGAACAAGAGGCAACCAACGTCGCTCCTGAATTCGATGGGACACGGGCCTGGAAGCTCTTCGGTCAATCTCACGGAAGAAGAGCGTGAAGAACGTCGCCGTATTTGGTGGCTTCTTTATGTGATGGATCGTCACCTAGCTCTCTGCTACAATCGTCCCTTGACTTTGTTGGACAAGGAATGCGAAGGTCTGCTACAGCCGATGAATGACGATCTTTGGCAAGCGGGCGATTTCTCTGCCTACCGACGTGCAGGCCCTGCCTTTGAATGCACTAGTCACAGCACCTTCGGTTATTTCTTACCGCTCATGTCTATACTTGGAGAAATCGTGGACTTGCAGCATGCTCGAAATCACCCTCGCTTCGGACTTCATTTCCGAAATAGCGGTGAATGGGAAAGCCAGGCCATGGAGATTACTCGACAATTAGACGTGTATGCGCAAAGTCTCAAGGAGTTCGAGGCTCGTTATACCAGCTCTTTGGCTTTGGGTACTGACAACGACACGGCAATGGAAGGCGCACATATCAACCATGTTAGCCCATCCGGTCGATCCAATAGCAGTACGGTCGGATCGCATGTCAGCGAGTCAATCGTCCACACAAGGATGGTTGTCGCCTATGGCACCCACATCATGCACGTTCTTCACATCCTCCTGGCTGGCAAATGGGATCCAATTAATTTGTTGGATGACAATGATCTCTGGATTTCATCTGACTCCTTCATTACGGCCATGGGCCATGCTGTCAGCGCTGCCGAAGCAGCCTCAGACATCCTCGAGTATGATCCAGATTTGAGCTTCATGCCATTCTTCTTTGGTATCTACCTGTTACAGGGTAGTTTCCTCCTACTCTTAACCGCGGACAAGTTGCAGGGCGATGCTAGTCCGAGCGTTGTCAGAGCATGTGAGACCATCGTGCGGGCACATGAAGCATGCGTTGTGACCTTGAACACAGAATATCAGGTACGATACTGAACCCGTAGTTTTCTACCCATCTGAACCACTTTTCTAACGTCCTTCTAGAGAACCTTCCGAAAGGTAATGCGCTCCGCCCTCGCCCAAGTACGAGGACGAGTCCCCGAAGACTTTGGCGAGCAACAACAACGCAGACGCGAAGTCCTTGCCCTGTACCGCTGGAGCGGCGATGGCAGTGGTCTCGCTCTATAGCCTCTCGATTCCCCCCATCGCTGGCCGAGTTCATCATAACACCTTCACATCATTCACAATTTTAATCGATTCGGGTTCCAGTTCTGTCTCCCTGACAGGCTACGAAGCATGTGGTCGGCCCAAAAAACATGAGTTTGGTTCATTTGATGCTTGCTTTTTGTGTATTATATGTTGTTTAAACGAGCATACCCCGAGGCGAGGCGCAAAGGAGCGCAGATGTTTCTTGTCGATTTCTTTTAACTTTTTGTTAATATTTTTGGTACATACCTACGAAATACCCTTTGAGAGCAGTTATATACTTGTTGATCTTATTTCTTTCTTTTTGTCCATGATGTTTATCAAAAAGACAACATCCGTCTTCGCAGTATCCACCTTGGACAAGGTGTTTGGAAGTTACCAGTAATCAAAAATGATACACGGAAACCATTAAATCGCATTGAACGAGCGCCTGTAGAGATAAGATCGGTGTAGAGGATCTATATCAATAGCCTTGCAATATAATGCCTTCTCCGCACTATCGACACTCCACCGTTAGGTAGGTACTAAGAGTTAGTTATGACGTGACCGATGAGATAAGCGATATCAACATCCATCCATTCTCTGCTCCCTTCCACCCAACGTTCTTTCTAACATTTTGTGAAGGACCAGGGCCCAGCGATGTATTATTAAATGACAAACTAAACAAATACACCATGCACATCTTCACTAGACACTCCCATCACATCATTCCCTCATCTTATCTACATATCTTACGCGGCCCTCTCATTCTCAAGCGCTTCATCGGAATCCCCCCAGCATTTCTCCTAGACGATTACACACCTCGATATTACCTCCTTAGCTCAGTTGATGCCTCGAAGAAACGATCTCTGGCATACGCCCACTTACACGAATGCAATCTATGCCCACGAAAATGCGGGGTAAACAGATACGAGACGACGGGGATGTGTCTGATCGGAGCGGAGACAGCTAAAGTTAACGTGATCGCGCCGCATCGCGGGGAAGAGCCGTGTATCCAGGGGTTTCATGGTAGTGGATCTGTCTTCTTCTCGGGGTGTAATCTTCGCTGTGTCTTTTGTCAGAACCATGTATGCCGCTATACGTACTTTTACAGATGATCAGAACTAACAACGTGTGTAGGATATCGCTCACCAGCGCAAGGGCTTTGACCTAACCCCCGAAGAACTCGCAGAATGGTATATCAAGCTTCAAAAAGCTGGCAACGTCCATAATATCAACCTCGTAACCCCCGAACACGTCGTGCCCCAAGTCGTCCTTTCTATCCTAGCCGCACGGGACATGGGCCTACGCATTCCAATAATCTACAACACATCATCATTCGACTCGCTAGACTCCCTTAAACTCCTCGACGGCCTCGTGGACATATACCTCCCCGATTTCAAAGTCTGGCGAACCGAGACATCAAAACGGCTCCTGAAAGCAGACAATTACACCGCCACCGCGATGGAAAGTATCAAAGAGATGCACCGGCAAGTCGGCGATCTGTCATTTACGTCAGATGGTATTGCCAAGAAAGGTGTTCTCCTGCGACACCTCGTTATGCCGGGTAAAGAGGACGAGGGACGGGAGATTATGCGTTGGCTTGCGGAGAATGTCTCGCGGGATCTTTATGTGCATATCATGGAGCAGTATCATCCTGATGCGCATGTTGGGAAGAAGAGGAGAGTTACCAGGAGGGCTCGGATGGGAGATGGAGATGCTGGAGAGGGTGTGGCGAAGGAGCAGGTTCGGTATGCGGAGATTAATCGGGCTGTGCGTGATGATGAAATTAGTTCTGTTAGGGATGCGGCTGTCAAGGCTGGGCTATGGAGGTTTTGCGAGGTTAATGAGCAGAATAGTGCGTTTCATCTATGAAGTTGCGTTTTCTTTTCAACGTGTAGATAGTGTACATATTATAGGCTCTACTAAGATGGGGATACCTTCTTGCGTGGAGTTGACACCCAAGTCATTGATGTTCTTATTTGCTGTGGCAATTTTGCGAGTTGATAACATAACCTCGAGCTTTTCCTTGAAACTCTTCAAATATACTCGTTAGTGAAAAATGGCTTCTACTTTATGCCGACAGAGAGGTAGAAACACTAAAGGGGAATTTTTAGCGCTCGAGATTCCGAGTATATCCATAACAGCTTCAACCCAACTAGAGGAGCAATAACCATCATTTAAATCCAATACAACACTTTTCTTTTGCAAAATAAATTCCAACAGAGGCAGTTGGCATTCGCATTACTGAAGAGTGTCATGATTGGATTGCCCGCCAAGCCCCACTAAAGCTCCACCGATCCCCAGCTTGTCAGCTCGCGTCCGGAAAGTGTTTACCACTCTCCTCAACACCCATCATTTCATTCCTTCGCCACGATGAAGCCAGTTGTCGGCCTCCTTGCGGTCGCTGGCCTCGTCTACCGAGCTTGGGCTCGAAAGTCGCTCACACCGCTGGGTCTCTTTGTCGCCGGAGCGTCGGCGACCGCACACGCCCTCCACCCGTGGTCCACACCATTCGCGCTCCTCGCGGTCTTCTACTACGGTGGGACAAAAGTCACAAAGGTATGCTAGGATCTGGGCTCTGGTTCTATATGTCTAGATCTGAATGAAGCTGACTTCACTTTCTCTACCAGGTCAAGCATGAAATCAAAGCACAAAAGACCCTCTCAGCAACGGGCTCAGAGGGAGGCGAAGGTCCCCGCAACCATCTTCAAGTCCTGGCAAACTCGGTTGTCGCAACGGTTCTAAGCATTGCCCATGCCGTTGTGCTATCAAGAAGCTCCTCTACAGATTCTTGCTTCTCTCTCGGTCAGAGTCCCGCCGATATCCTTATGGTTGGCATCGTGGCGTATGTTCCCCTCTCCGCATCGTGTTACAGTCCCTCTACATGGTCTCCTGTGAAAGATCACTGATTCCGATCTTCCTCATCTCTCTAGAAACTACGCCGCTGTAGCTGCCGATACCTTCTCCTCCGAACTCGGAATCCTATCCAAGTCGAACCCTCGTCTTATCACCTCCCTCACCCTCCGCGAAGTTCCCCCCGGTACAAATGGCGGCGTTACCGCCGCGGGTCTCGGTGCAGGGCTCCTGGGATCATTCACCGTTGCCCTGACATCCGCTCTCGTCCTTCCATTCTGCCCAGGCAAATCCGGGATCCAAGATCGTGCTCTTTGGACCGTTGCGATGACTTTCTGGGGTCTGTTTGGAAGTGTTTTGGACAGTGTCCTTGGCGGGTTACTCCAGGCGAGCGTCGTCGACAAGAGGAGCGGTAAGGTCGTGGAGGGCAGCGGTGGCCGAAAGGTAAGTTGAGAAATACTATTAGATTCCCGCATGGTTCAGCGCCCCGGCTCATCTCATCACACAGGTCCTCATTCACCCGGGCTCCACGAAACGAGCGGGCACTTCTGGTAACGGCCCCTCCGCCGATGTCTCGGGCAGCACGCAGCTCCGTAACACGGAGGCCGTTGCCAACGCGGCTACCTTGCGAGGGAGCCGTGTTACCAGCACCTCTGCAGGAGTCCATGGTGGCCGCCCTCATGATGAGAGCCATGAGAGCAGGCGTCTTGAAACCGGCCGCGACTGGCTGGATAACAACGGAGTGAATCTTCTCATGGCTTTCCTCATGAGTGTGGGAGCTATGGGTATTTCGCAGTGGGTCTGGGGAGTTGATGTGCGAGAATTGTGGGCGTAGAGAATAAAGTACAGCTGTGGCATGTCATGTCATTGCATGAATATAATTCGCCGGATCTTTCGGGTTACTTTTTGTATTTAGTTTAATCCGGGGCGCACTGTATGTCTTCACGAGAACAAGAATGGCTAATGAAAGATCAGAAAAAAAAAAAAAAAAAAAAAAAAAAAGCAAAGCTTGTAGGGCAACTGAAAAGGAAAATAGTAGAGTTTCTCTTGGCAACTTTCCGAAATACCAAGTCGAACCAAAGAGGAAAGGAGAAACGAGAACGAAATCCACATTGGGAACCACTTTGACGAGTCAATTAACTTTGGGCGGAATCACAGCAAACCTTGTTTGAGAAGGCAGTCCTCGGGCAAGGTATAGTCAAATTTTATGGAGCCTATGAGATGTCAGGTCAAGATATCATCTATCAGTGAGAATGATTGATCAGAAAGCCAATGCGAGCGTTAAAGTTCAGGAAAGCTACAAAATTGGCCATTGGATCAAATTCTAGAATGACCAATGGGTAGGGTGCGTATACACCTGACTCGATGCCGGAGACCCTGCTCAGTACCTCCGAATAGTTCGAGAATACGGTACCATTGGGTGATCCCAATAGAGAGCTGGAGACAAGAATTAAAGTGGCCAGACGCATGGACTGACAATCGCGCTTGGCAAGGTCCCCATCAACCCTTGAAACAGTCCAACCATGACGATCGTCTAGATCCCGTGCCGCCCCAGTTTCTATCGGGGGACACGCGACTGTCTCGATGGATCCTCGGGGACAGACAAGTTTGCGGGCGCCTGTGGTCCAACCCGTGGCCCACTTGCGCGTGTGTCAATCTTTTGGGCTGGTGGCAATGCGTGGCAAGTTGCTAAGAGCGGACAGAGCAACTGATTGATAATGGATGATAGATTTGGTTTCATTCATATCCAATCATCCTCTCTTTTTCAACCACGCAATAATCTCAATGCTCGGCTAAGTGCTTGGTCGGTGTTCGCCGAAGGTCCAGCTAGTTGCCCGAGAATATCGGAGCTATTGAGCGCTTACTCGAGCGACTCGGATGCGGTTCCTTCGGGCTTGTAACGGCTGGCTGGCTAGCATTATTATCGTTCACAGCTTCAGACATTCGGTCGTGCCGTGTATCCCGATAGGTTGGTGACAAAGGAATCCCGTGGGCACTAGATCAATGGAAGGATCATCGAAGGAACCATCATTGTAACCACCAGTGCCCTGCGACGTTGCCGACCGGTTTGAGACAAGCGAGTGGGCGCATGCTAGAGGGGAAAGAGTCTAGTGAGACAGCTAATGTCCGTCGCGGGGGCACGCGAGCTTGCCGCTCTTGCCAGCTGCCATTACCGAAGGCGAGGCATGTCACTGGTCTCGGGGCAATGGTCACTGCGTATCATGGTATCTGTCATGCATCATGCATCGATGGCCCGTCAAATCTCAATGACTCGGGGGTTCATGGAGAAATCGGGATCGGGTCAACGCGCTGGAGATGGACTTATTGCTGTTTTGGAGCCATTGCCCGAAAAGAGTAGTTCGCTATGGCTGCAGTCGTAGTCCTTTCCAGCTGGCCTCGTATTGCTTTCTTTTCCTTCTCATCGAGGCAGTTTCCCACGTGCGAGCAGTAACCAGATCACAATCAGACACGCCAAGACCGTAAAGAAACCAGAGAATACTACCTGGCGGGGGGTGGCTTCTAGAACGCCTGGAGGGTTTAGCTGTGCCCGTTAGCTGGAATGACACGAGAAGTCAGGGTGGTTTTCGGAGAAGGTCCCAAAGGTGATGAAGAGACGAGAACCTCTCCTGGGGGCACGTGGGGTGAATGGGCCCGTCTTATAGGAAGCGGTGGTCCGTGTGGCTCGTCTGCCCGGAGCCCCGCCAAGCCCGTTGGTGGGTCTCGGCGAGATCAACTCGCAGCATCAATTCTATAAGAATCCACCTCCGCCCAGCTTTGCCAAGGTCCGCCAAGGTCACCCATTTTGCTTCGGTTTGAATCCCAGCTCGCTCAATATGACTGTTCTCTTTCCTGACTGGTTTTCCATTGCGTGATTATGCCCCGGTACCGACCACTGATTCGCAGCCACCATGGTCTCACGACGAGCCTAGACAATTGCCAAGCTCCTGGTAAACGATGGCTGCGATGCCAATATCGCGAGTCGCTCTCGCACGTGTAGCATAATGCCCTTGAAAATGGCCCGGAAATGGCTATCGGACAGGCTGCAATTCGCCTGTTGCCACGCCGGGGTGTGGGTTTTCGCCCAGAAAGCCTGCTATGCGCGTGCCATGTGCGAAACCCAGACGCTGGGAAATTGGGGGCCACCACCCCCCCAATGCAGAGAGATCGTATCGCAAGCATATTGTATATATAAAGCCCATGTCGCTTTGCTTCAATGCTGGAAAGTTCGTACTGTACCGCTCATCCACCGTCGATCCTCTGACTTGGCCATTGATTCGCCCGTCAAGTGATTCAAGATGTATCTCCACCAGTATGATTATATCTTTGGAATCGGCACGGTGTTTGCCATGCTGGATGCCTACAACAACGGTGCCAGTAAGTATAGACTACTATCTGCTCTGCAATTCCCCTTCCTATCTCTCCTGATTTTCGGTGCTAATGCATATACTTCTCCCCTCCAGACGATGTAGCCAACTCCTGGGCTACCAGTGTCTCCTCCCGGTCCATCTCCTACCGTCAGGCCATGGTTCTCGGCACCATCTTCGAGTTCCTCGGCGCCGTCACGGTCGGCTCCCGAACTGCTGAGACTATCAAGAACGGTATCATTCCTAGCTCGGCCTTCAATGGCAATGCTGGTGTGCAGATGATGGCTTTCACCTGCGCTCTGGCCGCGGCCTCGTCTTGGGTGATGTGGTGCACTCGTCACTCCGCTCACGTTTCCTCGACTTACTCGCTTATCTCGGCTGTTGCTGGTGTCGGTGTTGCGACTGTTGGTGCTTCCAACGTCCAATGGGGCTGGAACAAAGGCAAGGGTATGGGTGCTATCTTCGCCGGTCTGGGAATGGCCCCGATTATCTCGGGTTGCTTCGCTTCCATCATCTTCCTCCTGATCAAGTTCATTGTCCACATGCGCCGTAACCCCGTCCCGTGGTCGGTTTACAGCTCTCCCCTGTGGTTCCTGGTTGCTGGCACTATCTGTGTTCTCTCCATTGTCTACAAGGGTTCTCCTAACCTGGGTCTGAGCAAGAAGCCTGGCTACTGGATTGCTGGTGTGACTGTCGGTTCGGGTGCTGCTCTCTGCCTCCTGTCCGCCCTGTTCTTCGTTCCCTACGTCCACGCCCGTGTCATCAAGAAGGATCACACTCTCAAGTGGTGGATGATTTTCTACGGCCCCCTTCTCTTCAAGCGCCCCGCTCCTACCGATGGTACCGAAGTCGCCATGGTCCCCAACTACGCCGTTGTCCAGGACGAGTACGAGGATGAGGCTTCCACCACCCAGGGCTCCATCAATGAGGAGAAGAACCCTCGCACCGCCACCACCCCCGCCGAGGCCAACGAGCACAGACTGGTCAAGGCCGAGGCCACCCAGCTGACCTACAAGGAGATCATGGCTCAATCCGAGGCCCGTCACCGTGAGAAGCTCCTGAAGAGCCGTGGTCCTCTTGGCTGGGCCATGCGCTTCCTTCGTGACAACCCCATGGGCGCTGGTGAGATCTACGAGTGGCGCAACATTGTGGCCCTGATCAAGCGTATCCCTGCCATCATCACCGTCGGTCTCCTGTACGGTGCCCACTACGATATCCACGGTGCTCAGAGCGGTATTGCCGGTACCCCCGAGGGTGAGCGCATGAAGCGTGTCTACGATGCCGCCGAGAAGTACCCCAACGAGGTCGAGCACACCTACTCCTTCATCCAGATTATCACCGCTTGCACTGCCTCCTTCGCCCACGGTGCCAACGATATTGGTAACTCCGTCGGTCCCTGGGCTGCCATCTACTCTGCCTGGTCTACTGGAAACCCCGCTGCCGCCAAGGCCCCCGTCCCCGTCTGGCAGCTTGCCGTTCTCGCCCTGTGCATTTCCGCCGGTCTGGTCACCTACGGTTACAACATCATGAAGGGTAAGTCCGCTGTCTCTCCTCCCAACACAATTAACGCAATACTAATCCATTCTTCTTCTCAATAGTCATGGGTAACAAGATCACCTACCACTCTCCCAGCCGTGGTTCCTCCATGGAGATGGGCGCCGCCCTCACTGTCCTCGTCTTCTCCCAATACTCCCTCCCCGTCTCTACCTCCATGTGTATCACCGGTGCCACCGTCGGCGTCGGTCTCTGCAACGGTACCCTGAAGGCTGTCAACTTCCAGCGTGTCGGTCTCTTGCTGCTCGCCTGGATCATGACTATCCCCATCGCTGGCACCATTGGTGGATGTCTGATGGGTCTTTTCATTAATGCCCCTCACTTCGCCGCTTAAGCGGATCTGTCTCCGATTGGGACGGTCGCTTCGAGCGCTTGATTTTCTTTTTCTGTCATAATGTTTTCTTATAGAGTAGGATGATATCACTTTGCATTTTTAATACCATGTCACTGTTAGCATGAAAATTCCCTTTTAGCAATTGCAAATTGTCACAATTCTGTCTCCAATAAACATAGGATCCGGTTACTAGCACGATAAAATCGTCCAGCGGTATGACAATTAAATGGAATTTGCTTGGCTTCCTCCCTGTTCAGAAGTCTGAATTTAACCTAGGAAACGTTTTGACTGCCGCTCTTTTGAAGGATCTTTTGGAGGTCTTTCCAAAGGTCTTTTAAACTGTCTCCCAAGATACCTTTGAAGTCGCCCTCAGACTATCTTTCTAAGTTTGATCAATAAGATTCTTGTTACTTTGAGTGGGAGAATATTCCAGATGGTAGAGCAGGTCTATCATGCGAGTTGGCTTTCCGTTCTGCCTACAAGAACCCAAATGGGTATTCTCCAGTCTAGGTATTTCACCGTCATGAGAATGGCAATTGTAAGAATGATTTTATTACTCACGAAAGAACAATATACAAGGCTCACATGGAAAATGAGGCCCAATCGGCATGATTCATGCTGCAATCTCAGCGCTGTACTTCAGTGTGATAATTAGGGGGTATCTATGGAAAAGTCACGGTTGTGCGTGCTCTTTTGTCCCGATAACGTGGCATTCTCGCCCGTTACCGTGCTTTTTCCATCGTGGTATCAACCACCCCATCTATGGCGGCCCACGCCTTACCGTATCGGGCCTCCACTTACTTTCTCTATATCCCTAGTCTAGCACAGTATACCGGCGGCTCTATCATGAGTCTACGACGTGGTTCGCGAGATGTAACATATAAAGACGGGCCCTGTAGCCTACTCGTCGGCTTTACCCTTTAATCACGTTCTTTGCTTATACCTACTATAGCGAGCATTAATCTTCTATGGCTCCCCTTAAGGGTAATACGAAATAGGCGCTAGCTATCGTCGACTGGAATGCCTTCCTGTCAACATGTGGATGTTGTGGGGTCACATGACGAAGGACCCACTCATATAACCCCTCTCTATATCTAGATCTTCTCTATAAGATCTATCAGACTGATCTTCAACGATCTTATATTGAATTGCATACTCGCATTGAATTACCTACCTAGGCAGGAGTCTAATACTCCAATACTCTATCCTTTCTCATGTGATCTTTAACCATGTTTCCAAGATATAAATACTGCTATGTTTCCTAACTAAATTGAATCAAGTTTGACATTGTTGTTGATCAAGGACAGAAATCCTCGGCACTTCTTCTGCCACTACGCCCTGTCTTGGTCGGTCATCCTTCACCTACACGATTGTGGTGCTTTTGCTAGTACGCACTGTCAAGATCCACGACTTTATGGCCACCGCCTGAAGTCCGACAAGTACTATAAAGGGGTAGTAGCGAATATAAGTCCGAGTGTTTATACCATCGTAAGATAGGCTTTTTGCTAATCTATTTCCGTAGGGCATCTCGACGAGTATTCGCGGAATCGCATTATAGGCTATATCTAAGGGAGAACGTTTACTAACTATATCTCGATTATAGATAATACCTAATCGATCTTTATAGAGACGCCGTCCCGAAAGTCCCTAGTTAGCCTCGCGATCTACGAAAGTACCACGCGGGACCCTTTAGCACTATAGTAAGCTACGCCGGCGCAAAAAGCGACGGTATAATTAGACGCTAAACTCGTTAAATAGAAAATAGAATACCGGAGACTACGCGTGGATCTTATTATAGAGTATAGCCGGTTATAGGCTACGCGTAAGCTCGGGGACGAGCGTTCCGTTAAACACAAAAGGTGTAGAACAAGATTAAGTCTCGGCGAAAGAAACTTTGCGATTCGGCGAAGAGTGAGAACCGTGTAGAATTCTTCCGTGAAATTAGTAATCGTATCATCGAGAGTAACTACTTAGGGGAATAGATTAAGTTCACGTAGGATAATAGCCGAATCCTACCGGAGAGAACCGCTCTTACTAAACTTAAATTTCAAAATCGAGACGTCGATAACATCAATAACGCTCTATTAATATAAGATCGGATCTAGTCTCTAGACCTTCGGCTAGAGCTAAACCAGCTTTACGTGCCTCGTGGTCTAAAAGCGTATATTCGGTTCAATGAAACGAAGATCAAGGATTCTTCACGTGAAGGATCAGAGGAGACCGAATCTCACCCCCTTCTCTAATGCCCGGTGTGCTTAGCGCGCCCAGAACTTCATCCGGCCGCCAAGGATTTCTACTACTCTCGAAAGGACGCCCTCTAGACGCATTTCCGGACTCATAAACTACCTACGTTCTTTGACGATCCTGGTCGCTAATATAATATCCCTGGCTGTGTGTATGTGTTCCCCTCACTCAACGGCTATAAGCCCCATTTATCTAAGCACCATAGTATCTCTCTTTGATACTTGCATTTTGTAAAGAAATTTTGAGGCCAGGTACCGCGGAAGATTGGATTATTGGCGAAATGCAAGAAGTTGGATAAAATCTACTCTAGTATTATACTACAGGATCTATGTAAAGTATTGTAATTTTCGGCGCCCGAGGCGACGCTTTAAACGAATTATAGTACAAGATATAAAGCCAATACAGATCAGTGCGCCGCAAAATGTCGCGCGGCTCACGTGGGGGCATCGCTGAAAGTCCCCCTTTCACTCGTTCCTGGTTTCAGGGCATTAAGAATGCGAATGCGAATATTTCACAATGTTACGAATATGTATTCGTGCTGACCCCTGACAAGTTAGCAACGTGAAAATATCTGGCATGCCTGCACGTATATCGTCTATTACCACGCCAAATATTGTCTTCTTACTGTTGATAACGTACGACTCGAAGCATACTCTTGCTGAATCTAATTTTGGGAATGAGAGACTCTAAATCGGTTCCTACTGTCACAACGTACATCTTAAACTAACAGACGTCCATCCTTCTGCACAGCATCACGCCACCACAGCTACAGTAACTCGTGTCAAAGACCGTTGCCAGGTTGTCCGGTAGATAGGTCTCTCCAACAATGCGGTCAGTTCCCAAAGTGACGTTGGTGACCTCAGTGATCCAACAGGGACTGATGTCAAAAGGCGTCGTGTAGGCAGTAATGGTCGTTGGAACAAGATCAAGCACAGGTAAATTGAAGAAGCAAGCCGGAAGAGTGCCAGTTGAAGCCAAATCTGTGACGTCCACCTCCAGAGAACCGAAATACTGGCCTGTAGTGTTCTGGCAAGTATACGAATTGATGATCATCTCTTCCACGTCAATACCGTAGCTGGTGATGCTGTTGATAGTGTCTTCGGTGGCAATTGTTTGGGTGCCCATGCCAGCAATGCACTCTGATGCGCCAGGATAAGCCAGTGTATAACAGCTACCGTCAATGTAGTATTTTGCCGTGTCAGTACAGTCGGCCTCGGTGGTCGATGAATCTCTCAGAATGTAATAGTCGCCATCGCCAAGCGCAGCGCCGACCATGTACATTTTAATTGTGGAATTGAATGTGTTAACCATGTCCACGAAGGTCTCGGAATCCAGCGTGAAGAGAATTTTCGAGTTGTAGAAATAGTTGGAGACCGGGTACATGAAGGGACCATCAATGAGGCTGGACGAAAGACCGCTGGCTTGGTTGGGATCCTTGAAGATAGCCGTGGTAAGATTAGCCATAGCAGTGATAGTTCCCTCGACCAACTCAGTCAAAAGGGTTTCCAGAGCTGTTTCAAGATCTGACTCGTCTGGAAGTGTGAATGAACTGGATGATGACAGGAATCCGACGATGCTCTCAATGTTGCTGACACCCGTGCTGAATGCACCAACAGCAATGTCATCCTCGGGAGCAACACTGGCAGCTATACCCAGTCCGGTAGAAAACCCACTGAGGAAGCTGTCAAAACTTAAGGTTTTTCCTTGTGTTTGAGGTGTGAAAGTAGTAGCAATTGTGGAGACATCTAGTGACGAGATGAAAGTGGCCGCAGTGAAGGCATCGTTCCATTGCAACATGCTGGAATAGAGTCTCTGGGCCAGGAAAGCCGCCCAGAACAGTTCACTTGTGATTTGGCCGTCAGTGCACAGATCTTCACTTAAAGAAACGCACTCGTCCACCGCTGGGAAATCTGAACAAGTTGCACCGCCCGTGCTATAACCACTCGTCATGATCGAGTACCAATCATCGGGATTGCCTATCGTAAAACAGATCAGTTGCCATGTCATTGATTGTATTTTAGGTGTAAGGGAGTTTGCCCTGACCTTTGTACTCATATAGAATTTCATCGATTTTGAGAGCTCCCAGCACCACATACTCCTCAAGCTGTGCAGTGGTGTTATCGCCCTGGATCAGGTTGATGCACGAGAGATTATAATTGACATCGATGTTGTAATCAGAAGCAAGATTCAAGGACGCTGAATAAGCTTTCGATTCAAAAAGCTCTGTTGAAGTGCTAGTAGTGGTGTCACCATTGTCGTCGCTGTAGAAAAAGATTTCATATTCTTCCAAGTCGATCGCCCATTCGCTGGTTCCAGCAAAATTGAAAGTCTTGTAATAGGCAGTGCGCGTGCTCTTCGTGGTGTTGGTCATATAGGCTACCCATTGCGTGTCATTGTATACCAAGATGTCGGAATCATCACCACTGCTGAAGAGCTGTTGAGCATTCGAGTTCTCCGCCAGAATCTGGTTGATCTCTGCGTTGGAGATGTAGCCCGCCGTGTCAGTACATGGTCCGGCCGCTCCGGCCGCATCCCAGGTGCAATCAGAGGTATAGCATCCGGCAGTGGTCATCTCAAATGACCGTCCATAGCTAGTAACACCGACCATGATAGAACTAGTAGCCATGGGCGCTTTAGTGAGCATGGAAAGTGCCCACATGGTTTCGGTCAAGTTTACGTGGCTGAATAAACAATCACCCGCGGCACAACCATCCTGAGCCCATTCATTGTCAAGGTCCCAAGTACCGTGAAGATCATATGTCATGTAGATAATTTAATCCACAACTTCAGCTATCGCGGCAATAGGGAAGGCTTTCAGGTAGTAGTAAGAGGCGGGGGCAGAAATAGAGATGGACTTGTCCGGCAAGGCAGTGCGTAGGGCTTGAAGGAAGGCAAGGTAGTTTGAGCCGTCTTCGTCGCTACCAGCGGGAATGCCAGGAATATCAGGCTCACCAGGATACTCCCAGTCGAAATCGACACCATCGAGGGCATTTGAAGTGACAAATTCCACGACGTTATTGACTAGGGTATCACGGTTGGCAGCGGCGACACCTTCACGGAAGATCATATAAGTATCAACGTTGGTTGAGAAATCCCAGCCACCAAAACTGATAATACGCTTCATACCCACCAACTCCTTAAAGTATTCGAACTGCTGTTCTTGGCCGGCCACACTGATTGAAAAGTTCGAAGTAATGTTTCCGAAAGCGAAATGGACGTGAGTGTATTTTGTCGGATCAATACTGATAGCATCCATATTCAGACACGATCGATCAACGTTGTAGGCTTCGAAGTATCCAACAGCAGCATATGATGCGGGTGCTGTTGCGTTGTTGACAATGTCCGTTCCACAATTGAAGATACAACCATTTGAGCCGGCAGGAGCTGTGCCCGGGGCACCACTAGCAGCCAAAGTATCATTGCAGTAATCAGGAGTAGCTCCGCATTCTCCCCAAATATCACAACATGCATTGAGAGGACAGGGATTCAAGGCGGCCCAGTCGGCCGCGCCATCAGTGCCCGTGAAATTCGTGCCTGGGACCTGCGGCCCACACACGGCGTTCGCAATCGCCAATGGGTAAGGAGCTGTGCCATTGGACAGACACATTGCTTGACCAGCCTGCAAATCATCACAACCATACCATCCCCAGGTGTTGTTGTTGAAGCCGTTGATCTCGTCTACAGTTAGGCTGTATTCAGCAGCGAGTGCGGAGCAAGTGTCCCCCGAACCGACGTTATAGGTGTAACAGGTTCCATTTGCGTAGGCGGATGGTGAAAAGTCAGGGAGGCTACCCGATGAGCAACAGAGGTACTGACCGACAGCAAGAGGACTGGAGCACGCAGTATTGTATTCTTCAAACTCAGCAAGTGTGATGCCACACTCTGCGGCAAGGGTAGTACAAGTATCTCCACCAAAGACTTGTACATAGGAGCATGTTGAACGTCGATGGAGGCTGTGGGAGTGAGAATTTTCGTGATCATGGCTATGATGACGGAAAGACCTCACACTCAAAGTGGTGTTGTTCTTGGGAGAGGAGGATGAAGTTTCGGCAGTGGAAGCCTTGGATGAAAAGAGCGTCATAGGAACAGCTTGGCTTGTAGCGAATCCAGAGACACATTCGCCATCGCTCCACGTTAGAACATATTGCTGAACTGCAGCTAGATCACCATTTAGATCAACCGCAATACCTAATGTATAGTTTGAGCTAGTGCCGCAATACTGCAACACCATACTCTGAGGTGTGTCGGTGCTTTTAAGCATCTTGGTCACTTTTTGCGCAGCGGAATCAATGTTGTCGGCATGTTGAAGACTGCCTCCAACGTAAACACCAACTGCCATCTCTTCAAACTCTGAAAATGCAAAAATTGAAGATTTTTGACAATTTTCAGTCATATATTCCTTGACATGATTTAGCGGAGTCAAATTCAAAGAGCTAGCCGAAGTTGTTGTATCTGCAGCACTCCAAAGTCCAACCTCATAGCTCTCCTCGGAGACTGAGTAGACGCATGGAGGCATGAAGTGCTTGCAGAAAGATCACCAAGACCAGCGGTTGCATTGGCAGTGCAAGCGTATATCGTATGCCGGGTATCACTGTTGTTCAACGGGGTGTGGAGCATGAAGTCCAATAACATGGTCTGGTTGCATCTAGCAACTCTAGAGGTGCTTGAGTACACAAACCACTGCGTAGAGTCGTAGCTGCAATGATCGGGACATCTTGTTGGCTTTTGGACCCTAGCACGAGCAGAGACATTGGCAGGAGAGTTGAACTCAGATTCCAATACAGAGAGACTAGTGGCAAACGTCTCGAGTGCCAGCCATCCAATGAGAACCAAGATGGTAAAAGCCATGCTTCCTTGCGTTTGCGTGGATACAACAAATATTTGGTTGTTGGCGCCTAGCAAGGGTAACAAGAAAGCCGGTAAGAGGTGTGTTCTCGGCAAGAAAAAATCGTAAGGAGAAGAACGAGTGGAAAATAAGTTTAAAATATGAGAAATGAGTGAACAGTGTCTAAAGAGCGACTGAGTCTGTGACTGTAATGAAAAGAGGGAATGGAATAAAAGATCTTCTAATTTATCACCTAGCTGCGTCCGAAGTTATATAGTCATAGATCGAACTAGGCTGAATGCCAAGGTGACCCGCCAATTTTACATCTACGGTCTTCTCCGAGCATGCATGCCATAACTGGTTTTGAAATTCGGTTAGCGGTTAGCTAAAGGACAACGCTTGCTTCCACATCCACTTCAGACGGATTATGGCTAGCATTACAGCCTGTGATAACCAAAGCTTGACACCTATGTTCTGGGAGTCTCTACAGCGGCCAAATTGAATTCATACCTAAATGCTCGATACAAGCGCACAATCACAAAAAAACAGTGTTCTCAAGAGATGAGATGCGCCCTTTGTCTCGAGATTAGTATCATAGAGCCGACTCGTGGAATGCCGGTGAAGGAGATTCACAGGCTTCTTCTTGTGGATAAGTGTAGTTCGAACATACGTGCTAATGTACTGGCTGCACTAAGATCACGCTATAGAGCTTAGCTTCTGTGGCCGCACTGTATGTCTCAGCTGGTTATTTAGTGTGTCTGCCTGGGCTCACGGTCCCTTCCAATAGTAGGATAGATCAATTGAGCCCCCTGAGACCTACTGTGAACATCCGCGGGATTTCACGAAGAAATAAAATGTCAGGTAATTTTCTTAGTGAGCACGCATTAGACCACCGGACTATATGGCCTACTCCAATTTCAGACTATCGGTACCCTTGAATTTAGATGCAGTGATCTAGCTAATTCATACACTTCATCATCTCATCTCCGTAACTAGGTGTTTCGTTCAAGAAAGGGAACCAGAATCTGCGAGACGAGCCGAGCCCGGAAAGCTTGTGGACACACTCCTTGTGATTTGAAAAGCTGGCTCAACCTTCCCGCGAGCGACTTTGAAACTCCACTTAAAGTCACACATAATGCGACACTTTAGCTCTAGGACTAGACACAAATCAGGTCTAAGATCGAACTTAGAATCTTTGTAGTCTCGGAAAGGCACCCTATTCGTGGTATCGCTTATTCCGAGTAATGCTCGGCAAGCGTTCAAGCGTAAACGAACCGTGGGTTTTACCATTTCGTAAAGCTGCTCTGCGGACTTGCTTGGCAGTTTGATGGTAGAGATGCTTGGGCTGAAATTCTCGAGGAGTGATCTCTGTGATAACCGCGGCTCGCAAATGCGAGATGTATGTACCTAGTTTACCTAAAGTTGCTCAAAATCGCTTCGCAGGCAGCATTGTTAATAAAGGCTGTTAATTACCCTTCCAGTTTTCTGCCTGCACTTCCTACTGTTTACTGTAGGTATCTCGGAAATCTTGCGCACTAGTATACTATCTCCGAGATCAGCGTTGGCCCACTCCGTTCGGCTGCTTCCGCCCGGCACTGTGGATCACAAGGTGTACGTACGCGGTCGAGAAGCTATGCCTATTTCGAAACCGTAGATTCCTCATTCGTCCTGACATCGGCAAAATGGCCACGAGCAGGTCAACTGAACTCCCCCAAAATCGCAACCGAACCTCACACCACTTGATCCATCTCAATCCGGTGCGGTAGAACGTCGGACACCCCGCAAAGCTAAGACCTGTGGAGGAAAGCTTGGTAAATGACTGGCGCTTGTGTGGCGCTACCAAATTGCTTCAGTGGAAGACCAATGAAGGCACCTGCGGGTCCCTGGAGCTCTTTCCCCTGCATTTACCGTGCCCCAATTCAAACCAATTCTGGCTGTTTGCCCCGATAGCAGCGAGGGACCCTCGGGACCCCCGAGACTCTTGGCTTTAATAATCCGAAGTGAGCCCTTCCTGGTCCCTGAAGATTCGGTCCCTGCAAGAGAGCTCAAAGCAAGATGCGTGGGTTTCAGACAGCTTGGTTTTTGCTTTTTGGCATAGTTATCACTGTAGCCGCTACTTCAACGGGGGACAGTCCTGCTATTCTCAACTTTCGCCCCTCTAATGTGACCCTGAGCAGTCTTTATTATTGGGTTGGATCGTAAGTCGATTTCTCATAACCACTAGATGCAAGAACAATACTCATCAAACATATATAGGTATTTTAATGGCACGACCCATTTTGAATTCTCTCCCTATGGCGAACTAGCAGCTTCGGAAACCGGGGGCTGCCCAGCTCTTCGCAACAAAACGATTACGAAAGACTACAAGACACTACTAGCGCTCACAGAGCCTAGTACATATAATACAGCCAATGACCCAGTCAATGCTTTTCTCACGCTCTGGCCTCTTGGTTTCGATTTCGGTACACTCCCTGACGAGATCTCATTCGAGATATCGGATTCACTAGACTATGCAGTCTATTCGTCTGAGTAAGTTTTATCAGAAGACCATCATAAGTCATCTTACTAATTTATCTAGCCCGATATTTAACAATTATAGCTCGAAGATCACTCCGAATAACTTCATCTGGTCGCTAGAGAAAACCCAGGTCCCCCCATATAATCTCTCTAGCGTCCTAACGGATTATCGCGGCGTTCTATCCACACAAGATGGAGCCGATAATTCCTTACAAGTCAACAGCACAATAGCCAATTGCAGCGGGACCGAAGTTTTCAGTTGGCAATTTGCACCACTGTCCTACAATACCACTTACAACGGAACCAATTTCGCGAACCCGGTTATGAATCTCCAGTTTGATGGTCAGACTGCGAACTTGTCCATGAAGGGATACTTTAGTGCGATCTCTGAGTACAGGACAGAGTCGGTATACCAGGAAGGATCTGTGACTTTTACGGGCGAATTCACCATGACCTTTGCAGGGGTTATCGATCTCTACCATTCGGATATACTTAGGAACGATACGGCCACTCCTACATGGTTGCGCACTGTTGGCTATCAGAATAATTCGTTGAATGTTGGCTACACATCTGGGTCAGCGGGTGGTCAGCTGGTTGGACCTTGGTCACTGGCTATGATCATGGTTCTGTCGCACGTGTTGCTATTTTTCTATTGATCGACGAGTCTTAGTCCACCCAATCTCTAAGGGCGAAGAAAATTGAAAAGGGGTATTGAATGTCATCTTATCTTTGTATCGATTTCAATGTTGTTTGAGCAATGGGGCGTGAATCTATTTTCTGTATTTTCATCTCCTAATGTGTCATTGCCAATGAACTGGTATATTATCACCAGATAGATAGAGGACATCTTTATCTTGTCCGGGGTCTGAAAATTTATTGTAATAGCCCAACATTGCTTCGGTATCTCGTTCTTTCGCCTTGATCTTACCAATTGCTGAGCCCACAATGCGTTTCGTTTGAGGCAAGGCATGCCCCCCCTACGCAACAGCTCAAAACCAGTCTGCCTTCTGTTTTCCTAATCCATAGGGTATTATGGCTGGATTATCTCCGAATATCCCGCGGGGGGTGGGGGGAGGATGTGAAATTAGGGAGACCAGCAGCGACGCCCACCAGTAGTCCAAGCCATAAGTTCGGAAAAAAGTGCTTTATGTGGCTAGCGAGACTCCGGTAGATTAGATCTTGTATATAGCCCATCGACAAGCATGTATTTCGAGGGTACTAATATACTGGATTTGCTAGCTTGGATTACCATAGAAGTAAAATTGGGTCAGCACATTCGGAAGAACAGCTACTCGCATTGTGCATATCACTTGACTTTAACTCGTACGTAGATTACTGGATGTTATCCTGCTCTTCCCTATCTGTGTTGTCGACTTCGTCAAAGTTTTGAGCTCGAAGACGTCGAACTTCAGAGGTCAACTTATCGCACATGTTTTGAAGCCTTTCTTTCTCTTCCTCGAGCTTCTGGTAGTGATCGTCCAACGTCCTAGCAATAGATTCATTCCTCTGTATCTAGTAGGGACACTATGAGTGATCAGATTCTAGGTTATCGTAGTCTCTTTAAACGCTTACTAATTTTCCACGAGTTTCTACGAGTTCAGATCTAAGCCTTTTATTTAAATCCGTAGTAGTGTCGATTAAATAGTCGTATAGCTAGTAGCCCTCGATTGTTCTATCGGACTCCTAGTAGAGTTCGCTTATTTTCTATAAGGGAACTAACGATAAAATGCCTAACTCACTAAAAGAATTATATTAATTTTAGGTTAGAGACGTCATCTCTTGACTTATCGAGGTAAAGCCGTCGGACTCCGAGTGGATATAGTTAGATTTAGCATAATATTAACGTAGCTAGGAGATAGAGAGTATAGCCACGATAGGAGGGATATCTTTAGAAGGAGAAGCTTTTTCAAACGCTTAACTAGTAGTAAAGCTAGCGGTATTTAAAAGCGGCTTCACGCTTTGATTTTCTAGCCCCTAACCTATGGAAATATGATTCGACATCTAAAGCCTAGCGGGGTGCTCAGAGGCTAGTCACTTGGCTAAAGCGGCGTATGAGAAAAAGGAATAATAAAGGATGCCCCACTCGTCGTTGCACTCGATTTTCTCTTAATGCCTCTAGGACGCAACTGCCGGCGGGTTCATCCAATCCAAAAGAGGCTTTTAGCGCCGTTGGTGACAATAGTCATTTGTTAGCACCTAGCCCTCAAGGCCTAGTCGTCAGTTGTGCTCGTACTTGTGAAAGGATGTGAGGCGAGAGCAAGGAAGAACAAGGTTGTAAAAAGAATGACCAGACTGGGGTTCGATCCCAGGACCTTGTCGGTGTTAACGACACGTGATAACCAACTACACCATCCGGCCCGTTGTATATATTGGACTGCATTATTTTGCATGCATAAATAATTAACAATTTTCTTCCTACAAACTGATCTTTCCTCGCTATTTCTTAGTACAGAATCCGTTTTTCTATCATTGGTAAGTCCTTAATCACCTTGGAGATAATCGTCCAGATGATCCTTCCAAGACTGAGGGTAAAGGATCCCAAGTATAATGCACCACTATCGTCGGCTTTTCCCTTTAGGTGAAATACCCACTAAATCAGTGACACGATATTCCATATCGCATAACCAACCCTACTGCAGCACTCGGCCAATCATACCTCATGCCTGAAGCAGTAGACTAGATAACAACCTTCAGCTATCTATTCGTTACCTACTCAGAAATATAAGATAGGCAAGGCAGTTTTGTACAGTAGACGTGGTAAAGCGAACGACAAAGTGAAAGTTAACCGTCGAGCCTCTTTATCAGTACTTCGTACTACATATGCAGTAATATACTAGGGGGAAATTCAAACGAGTTGGTAATGGCTGTGGCATAGCCTGCGCGCCTGCTTTTACTCAACCCTCTTATCCCTTCAGCATCTATTTTACGAAAGTCGAACGTATGTCTATTATGTTGCTCCTTTCGCCTCATCAAAGGAAACACCTAGGAATAACTGCAGAAATTCATTCTGCTGTGGAAGCTTTCTAGCTAATGCTAAACGCAAGCTCAAACCATCTGAAAAAGCCGGAGATACTCGGTGATTTCCCTCTCACGATTATTCGAGACGCGCATGGCAATTATAGCCGACCGTACAGATTCAGGGAGCAAAAAGCCACCTTTGACCATCACGTCCGTTCGCTTGCCAGTCAAGGCCGAGATGGAAGAAACACAGTGCTCTTGGAAATTTTGAAAAAGTAATTGCTTTGCTGAGCTCGTTCGTTGGCCGTCCAAGGCAAATCACGGATCCGGACCATCCCTATGCGGGGGCAGAAGGCTCAGTCGTTTTCCATAATATGGAAGCAGTTTGTGGGTGAGTCTTGCGATTCCATAGGTATTGTGTATCGCATCTGGATCGATCGTTCCTCGAGGGAGAAGTTGCTACTTTGAATCAATAAAGAAATCATGTCGAAAGAGGAGTCGAAAGATGTGCCAAAAGAGGGATTCAAACATGTCTTGAAGGTCGATAGAATGTTCAATGAATGATAGTATCATATGTCTATCTAGTTTTCACTACAGCTCAAGCGAATGAAGAAAGGTCTGAATCATGCTTACAGGAGGTCTATTAGGTACGATATAAGCTCTCTTTTACTCCACTGTAAATTGCCATTACAACAGGACGCACCAGGTGATAATCACATACACTTGGTAAGGTTAGACTAAGAGACAAGCAGGCCGGTGACTGGAATGATTTGGCAGAAGAAAATGGACAAGCTTTCCCATCTGTAATCCCTTCAAAGTATCATATCATTTTGCGACCCCTTACAATCCCGAATCACCTAGTTTTCCAGCATTTCGGTCATTGGTTTATCTCTGCGCTCATCCACAAAACCAATATCTGCAGCCGCATTCGCCATATTATTGACCCCAAGCTCGTCTGCAATGCGCGCACGGCGGAGGTGATCCTCTGCGCTGACCTCATCTGCGAAAACGGCATCAATCTCCTCGAGTGTCAAGCCCTTCAACTCTGGCAAGATGAAATAGACCCAGAGTAGGCCAAGCACACAGAAGCACATTAAGACGATGAAAGTCTTGTAGCCAATATTCGAGATCATGACTGGCGTGACCTCTGCGACAGCGAAGTTCATGATCCAATTCACTGCGGAACCAATGGCAACTCCCTTAGCGCGGATATCCAGCGATGACGACTCGGCAGTGATGATCCACCCGACAGGTCCATAGGGTAGTGCGTAGTTGACTATGTACCAGTAAATAAGGAATATAGCGGCGTTGGCAGCATTTTTATGCGCTCCAATATTTTCACCGTAAGTAGCAATCAGGGCAGCAATAATAGCGTGAGAGATACCCATATTAGCCAAACTCCAGAAAAGCATTGGTTTTCGGCCGACTTTGTCTACCATAAGCGCCCCTGGGATCGTGAAAACGAACATCAGGGTACCCACTACTCCAGTAGCGAGTAATCCAACAGTTCCGCCAGAAAGGCCGACTTCCGCAAAAACAGTTGGTGCGTAGTAGATGATTGCATTGATTCCTATTCAGGTCAGCAAAATATTTGGGTAGCTACCAATGGTGTTGCCTTACCTGACCATTGGCCAAACGCTTGAACACCAGCGCCGAGACCGACGCGATGTAGAAGCACCTTTGTTGTGAATATCCGCTTATACTCTGAGACTTCAGTGCGCCAATTCTTCTTCTCGGTTCCATAGCGCAATCGGGAAGCCTCACGCTCTGCATAAGCTTCAGCTTTGAGCGAACGATATTCGTACTGAACCGTAGAAGCTTGGGTCTTGTGCACGAAGACGAGCCAAAACGGCAAGACACTCGTCTTCTTTGTTAACTAGCATGAGCCATCGAGATGAGAACGGGAGGAACCATGAGCCGATGCAGAGGACGATAGCTGGGACCAGCTGGAGTGCAAGCGGAATTCTCCAAGCGGCACTAGATTGCTCTGGGCAGGTAGTTCCACCGATGTAATTGGTGCCGTAGCCAATCCAATATGATATCATGATACCGACTAAAGTAATATTTGTGAGTAGGGGCACAGCACATTGAAGGTGGATCGGCATAACTTACAGCAAATTGCTACTTGCTGTAGACCAACCAGTGTACCTCTAATGGACGCAGGCGCAAGTTCGGCATTGAACATAGGCACGACGACGGAAAGTCCACCAACCCCCATACCAGCAAACCAACGACCAGCTGGAATATATTTTTAGCATTGCAGATAAAGTTCAAACAGTGTACAATGCCACTTACCGTAAATGTATGCGACATCGGAGGTCGCTCCAACCTGAAGGGCGACACCTAGCATGAAGACAATGCACCAGCCTGAGATGGAACGCTATTTGATATTAGAGCCTCTACATATGTGTTACTGTGACGATAGACTCACCTTCCTAGAATATTTGTCCGCAAGTGGACTGCTGCTCAAAGCTCCGATCATCGCTCCCAACTCTGAACGTAGACACCATTAGTCCCCTTTTTTTCATCCAAATTCGGTTCTCTAAGGACAACGCACCCAGAATTCCGGTGAGAAGGGCTTTAGTAGAAGCATTGTTAAGCTAAAGAGCATATTAGTTAAGTTGATTGCTGAATTTTCATTCGGCGTTAAGAACTCACAGTGCTTGCAAAGCGATGCTCAAAATCAGCCATAACTTGGACCTGGCTGAATACACCCTGAATGAAGAGGAACAATTAGCGCTTTACAACCTGAGCGGTAGCATAGATGACATTACCTGATTGTAGCCATAGAGGACACCTCCGAGAGAAGCAAATAAAGCCAATCCCAAGCATCTTTTGTTTTGCAGCAGCCCAAGCACACCAGTAGGAGTGTGAATCACCTCAGCGAGGCCAGTGACGGAAGTTCTTCTTCCAGAGGAAGCCTCCATACTTGTGGTAGTTTTAAGAATGAGCCTTGTCCTGTATACAACTTGCCCCACGTATTTCATGGTATTCACCGGATACCCCATGCCTTTTATATTATGCTTGTTATTCAAGAGTTGGCTCATCTACCCCAGAACCCCACAAATTTGGAGACGCTTATTCCTATTGAGTCAAAGTACAAATTCGGAAAAATTTACGGGGTACTGGACCCAATGTCAGCAATACTCCATGGGCTGACACGGATTATTCCGGAGAGGTGGATCTCACGAGGTAGGTCTTCCTCGCTCGATCCTAAATAATGTTCGGATAAGCTCTCCGGCAGATGATTTCCCCATGAGGTCACACACTGGCTTTGTATTTTATCACAGGCGATAATATAAAGGCTTCCTATTGTGAAGGACTGTAGTAGCATTGAATCAATTGTACAATGCCAGTATGCGGTTTACAACATCTTAAGGAGGGAAAAGGAAAATGGGCGATCAGTTCCGTTTTGGATAATTCTCGAAGCCATGGTAAACTCCCTTTTTTGCATAGGCCTCATAGAACAAAGTTTCTGTTCCTGACTGCTATTTATGTGTAGACAAGACGCGAAAATCCCCTTGGGAGGACGCTTTCAGACCGAGTTAAGTTTCAAGTCTCCGCTCTCTTAAATTTCCTATTTTGGATATAGAGCTGTTCCCGGAGGTTTCGCCCCCCTTCTTCCACTAAATTTCCTATTCTAGCGATAAAACTACCACACTGGCTTGAACCCAAACAGCCTTAGCCCGCTTAACTGCATTGCGTAATTCAAGGATATTGATGATATGAGATAACGAACTAAACCATTCGGCCACTTATGTTATTGCTGGACTCCATTCCAAAGAATTTGAAAAACTTGAAAATTGAATTGTAGAAAAACCCAGTTAAGCTCTGTCTGTACGAAGTCCCGTTTTCTTCCTTTACACCCTATGTCTAGGGTCAAAATCCGTCCACATCGGAAAGACCCTCTCCTTCGGCAAATGAATATGTGGAAGGATGATATCGTAGAGAACCCGAAATCCTTCGCCACTCAAATGGAGTGAGTCGTGAAGCAAGGCTCTTAATCCACCTTCCTTGCCATTTTCCACAGTCCCCAGCCATGGCCCACCTGGCGTATAGTCTTGCGGGGTCTTCGCTATTGCTGTATCCGTCATAGCTTGCCATAAATCGATAGCTACCACACCTTCCATCTCTTGAGCAAGCTCTCGTACCTTTTCTGCGTACAAGGCAGTGGTCTCTGACCGCCTGGATGGCTCAGAATATCCCCACTCTGTATCAAGTTCCTTGTAATGAATGTCATTCAGTGGTGGAGGAGTAATCAGACATATGGTGGGATCGTGCGCTTGAACGTTAGGGTGTTCAATGATCGATTTGAGGTTTCGTTTATACTCATCAAGTGGTACATGTTGAAACGTGCCGGGCAGAGGTATACAAGCGTCATTGGTGCCGAGAAGGATGAACTGACGAGACTTAGTATAATCCTAGGCTACTGTTTGACTCTCAGATACGGCTTACCAAGTATGCGATTCTCGGCGAGGACTCGGTTGGCGGTGGGATGATCTTGGGAAGAAATTTGGAAACGTGGGCAGTGTTGTAGCCTCCAAGTCCGCGGTTGACGACGTCAAGATATCTATTACAGTCTACCATGCCGATGAGCTCATTGCCCTTGTATCAACTGTGGGTTTATGCCGATCTCACATGTCTGGAGCTCTGCGTGGAAGGAAAAGCCATCTTGTGTCTCTATAGATGACTCAATGAGCGAGTCACCGACCAAGACAAGCTGTTGGTAAGGATAGTCGGTCTGTAGCTAATCTTTAGCTTCAGGGGTCATCAGAAAATAAGAAGGAATCGCCGCTTACCTTCATAATTGCAAACCACTGCAAGTTATAGGGGAGTCTGTATTCGCACGGAATTTATCACGTCGCAGGTAGGAAATGCGCCGAAACCCGCTGGGCAATGTTTCCTCGAAATTGTCGTCCACCTATTAATTTCGGCCTTACTGGTTGAGAGCGTGGTGCTGATGCTCTTTGGGGGTGAAAATGGACAAGAATAGAGGTTTACGACAGATCATCATTTTATATTGCGAATCGGCTTCTCCATTGCCTGAAGCTTGAAGAGTCGGGCAGATGTTGCTCTTGCTAGTCCAAAAGCCAAGCCCCGGGACTCCCCGCGGACTTATTCTGGGAATTACCACAAAGTCCTTCTCTTGGGCGTACCTGCTCTACTGAGAAAACCGATTGTGCCGCGATTCCCCGTCACCTATTGTGGCCAGATCTTTCTCCACGATCAAAGGCACTGCGCTTCATGTCTAACCACTCAGGGTGTTTGTTTAAGAAAATGTTCGCTACCTTCGGGTTCAAGAGGTCCAAACCACACCTCCGCCAAGTATTCGTTCCCGCCAACGGGGATTCACGGACCAAGTCTCATTTAGGAGGCCAATCTGTCCCTAAACTAAACATTATATCTAGGGGTTAGGGCTGTCTTGAACGATTAACCTCCCATTTATCGAGAAATCATTCCCGGTTACCCGCATAATGCGCTATCTTTATGCCATTTCCACCACCGTAGGATTTAAAAGATGGGTTGACCCGGCTCTCGACACATGAATCACAAAAAAAAGTTGTATTCCTTCAACGTCGTCTGCAGCCCACGAAACGCAGGGCTAGAGAAATCTGAACGCTATCATTCCACTGCTCAAGACCTTTGCTGATATTGTGCAATCATTCTATCCTCGAATAAACCCCACCAGGACATATCACCATGTCAGAAGACTCTCTACAAATTGTGCCGGGAGCTACCTGGACGGCAGTAAGCATCTTGTCTCCTTATAGTTATCAATCTGTTGACAGAGTCAGACAAACACGGGTCTTCATATTCAATCCCACGGTGCCGGACTCATTGAGGTCGACGGTGTCTACTATATGATCGGAGAGGACAAGACCCAAGGCACCTTTTTCCAGAATATCAATGCGTATTCTTCGACAAATTTGGTGGAATGGACGTGGGAAGGTGCATTGCTCACTCGAGCCAGCGATGGCGACCTGGGCCAAGAACGAATCGTCGAGCGACCGAAGATCATATATAATGCACATACAGCCACATACGTGATGTATATGCACATAGACAACGCTGACTATTCAGAGGCGCGGGTTGGAGTGGCGATTTGCAAGACTGTGGTAGGAAGTTATGAGTACAAGGGCAGTTTCCGCCCGCTTGATTGCGAGTCTCGAGATATTGGTCTCTTCAAAGACGACGATGGCTCGGCTTATCTTCTAGCAGAAGACGTATGTTTAAAATGCCCCAATGATAAACCAGAACTAACACTTTGCAGAGAGTCAATGGCCTCAGAATTATGGCTCTATCGGATGATTATTGCAAAGTCATCTCTCACGTTTACTGCTGGAAAGAGTGTATCGAATCTCCAGCGATTTGGAAGAGCGATGAGCATTACTACATGTTTGGCTCTCATTTGACTGGGTGGGATTGTAATGACAATGTAAGCCATACATATGCAATATTCCGCTGCGATACTGAAGTATTCGCAGGTTTATAGTTATGCGCCCGCGTTAAGAGGGCCCTGGTCCCCATGGAGGGAATTCGCAGACCTTGGATCCAAGACGTACGAGTCCCAGATCAGCACCGTCTTGCCGTTCGGTGATATGGCAGTTTATCTAGGTGATCGATGGTGCCCTTCAAACTTGGCACAGAGTACATATGTCTGGCTTCTCTTGAGTAAGAAGGGACATGAAATCTATATGAAAGACCAGACTTCCTGGACATTGAATCTCTCATGTCAGAGAGAAAATGAAACTTTACCAGAGGTTCACAACGAGATCGATAGCAAAGTATTGCCTCAATCTGGATTCTCATGTCATTTGGCCAGCTCATCCAATGCACGCACAACATTGCGGCTAAAATACACCAATGCAGAAATCCAGAGCCAACAAGGCACAGTAACTGTCAATGGCGTGAGTCAGAAAATCGACTTTTTACCTACAGGAAGCCAAAAACAGGGTATCTATGAGGTTAGTGAGAGTGTAGTTCATTGTGAACTCGGGGCTGGCCATGAAAATGTGGTTACAATCACAGAAGTAGGCACCCACTTGAAAATACTCGAGGTCATAGTTCCAGGGAGCAGCTAGCTGAATCCGTCCTGAACACCAAATTCTGATTTCAGCTGCATTATAAATGAATCAATTTCTTTTTTTTGATGAGAAAATTCAGATTTTTTGCAGTATTTAACTCTCATCATGCTCGTGTCAAATTCTGAGCCATTCAAAGCCATGCTCATAAACCTTTAGTACTTCAAACCTAACAACAATGCGCTATACAAAGCTAGTAAACTCAGATTTAATGAAAACAAGATGTTCTCGGCAGGTGCCCGCTGCATACCGTCGCCCGTTTCCTTCTATATTGGCGAAAAGATCCGGAGCAAAGTCTTACAATATTCTCTCAGAAGGGCCGGCCGTTCGATCCAGTACCGGTAAAAATGGCTCTCGCTGTAGAATATGTAGCGAGATTTACCAAACAGCTTAAAGGGCTCACTAGAGCAGCAATTGGCTGGAACATTCTATTCAAAATATCTTTAGCGGAGGCCTAGTCTGTCCGCCTAATATCCAAGACCTGCCCAGAATACAACCCTTTAACAGTAAGTATATGATTCGTAATCCAGATTATGAGAAGCAGTAGAAGTAGCACCGTGGACCATACTCTGAAGGTCGGAGAATCCATGATCATACCCAGCTGCACAGCGGCATTTGTATATACACCCTATATAGCCATGAAAATGATTAGTCTCATCACTGCTGATATATGAGTGCCACTGCAATGACATACCCAACGAAAAACAAGAGCCCAGGCAGAAAGCGTATAGTGTGATTGTCGAATACCTCCTGGCTGGGAGACAAATGTATGCACGATACTGATGATAGCAAAAACCCACCAGAATGTCCCATATCCCCAAGCCAGCAGACCGGCGAACTGACTTGCAAAAGCGATTGATTTGGCAGCCTCTGCAGTCAAGAAGGTACCTCGATCATATCCCGCGAAGGCCCCTCGTGAAACTGCCTGGCCGAGGATTTGTAAAGCAAAGCTTCCCTGTCCAAATGGGCCACACAGGATCATATCCTGATATATCTGTTCCAACGGCGGGAATGACCTGTCAAAAAGCCTGGTTACAAAGACATCGTTGAATGCCATTGCTAGTGCAAGTCCGAGGCCAACTTCAAGGTACGAGACGATAATGACGGGGACCTGTAAACGGTCGCTGAGAGCTCCATATCGACATATGACTCCGCCACCAGCAGCCGAAGTCAAAGCTGCAATTAATGGGAGTAACACACAGGGCGTGACTGCCTTGACACCCGGTGGCTGGACTTTGACGGGTGGCTGGACTTTGACGAAAACATAAGGGATTCCCATGACTGCGACAACTGCCATCGCGGTGTTGATCCACCAAAGGATGTATGCGACAATTCCCCAGGCCGATCCCCATTGGCGGACGAGGACAAGAGCAATCATTTGAATGATTGAAGTGAACGCGATTGATATGCTAGCGAGGCATGCGGTCTCGATTATGCTTGTGCGGAGCACACGAGCAACATGTCGAGGGTAGATGAGAACTCGTAGAACATAAAGGGATACTCCAAGTATGAGCAATACGATAGTGTAGATCCAGAAAATGACAGATATGATTGCCAGTCCTCGAAATTGATAGCCTAGCCGACGAAGAATCAAAGACAGGATTCCAGTTCCCTGGGGAACAAGGAACCATTGCGAGGAGAAGTTCCACAGTGCGTGGGAGATAAGTGACGTGGGTGGTCTGTCTACCTCAGTCTCTATCTCAGGGTTTTGCTGGGCGCCATCTTTAGGACCTGGATGATCCAGCGACATCGGGGGCTTTTGTTCGATCAAGCAGCAATCACTCGGTGACGATAATGCTGCTTGAAATATCCCGTATCAGTGCGGATATAGATGTAAGTGTCGTGTGATTCGGACACGATGAGTAATGATGACGATGACGGAATCAGTGAGTCAAAGGCTATCTACTATTCTGAGAATCAGCCTCACAATCAGAAAAATTAGCATATCACAGCACCAGGGCATTCCGAAGAACACAGAATTTGGTGGAGATTTCCCCCTCAAAAGATACTGGCTGTTCAGTGACGTCAACCGGAAGACCAGCGCGGCTACTACTAGGAGCAGCCGCTTGATACATGACAGAATTGCCTTTAACTTTGTCGGGAAAATTACTAATGCCCAAACATGAACTGCCTGCAACTGAAAGGTTTAGATGAGGGAACTATGACATCCTTGAATGCTGATGGTATATGAGCGAATCAAATAAACCAGCAGAAGAATCGTTTTCAAGTACATATGGACTAAGTACGGAGGCTAAGCTTTAACCCCACATTTTCCCTATACCATATCCTTCTAAGTGAGCCCGGCCCGGCACGACTTTCGAAATATCTCCAGTGTATTTATGTATTTACGGGAAATCAACCAATCGGGTAGATAGAATAAGCATTGCATGGATAAGTACACTGGAGATTCTGAGGTTACGGTCAAGCCTTACCTTTGATATAATTTTTTTTTCATAATAATTAGTGGTAAGTTCTATATGGTAAGTTCCGGATCTCCTTAAATACCTTCGATCGTCTCCTTTCCTCTTTCTCTCCTTCTCTCCCCATCCCCAGCCGTGGAAAGCCCCAGCGCATCTCACACCTGAACTTGAAGCGCTGCACCCCTTCGGCTTCGTCGCAAAGCCTATGGGGGTACGTGGATTCTTCGTCTTCAGCGGGAAAACGCAGTCTCTTCGATCCATATTGACAACGGGGCTCAGGCGAGCTAGATTCTGATTCTTGAAGGGCAGAATATCTAGTACTTCCCACGGGATCCTGACAGCCGCGCCGCTAAGTACCTCGCTATCGGGGGATCACAAGTATCTTATGAATACGAAAACGGCTGGGCCAAAGTGGAGCTCTACGCAGGCGACCTTTTATAAGTATCCTATGCTTATATACACGTACCTGGCTAATTGTTCCTGTAGTATCATGCCGCCTAGCTGCCCCCATGCCGTCTTTATTTCGGAGGATTGTCTTGCCGTCTGCGGCTTTTTCTATACCGCTGCATAGTTAGGTCCGTCCCTCCGTGGGCTCGCACTCCAGGAATCCCGTCCTATGGTCTACAGCGAAGATCTTTAGCCTACCTTTTATGACCTTCTGCAACGTGGGCTCGATAACCTCGACCATATTTATCCCTTGGAGCTAAAAGGCGATCAGGAAGGCAACCTAGAAGGAGGCAATCTCTTGACATCGATGTCAACAGAATGACTCGCGAGTATCTCGGGCTAAGTTCCCCTTCCCAAGAAAGGCACCGAGCTTGCGAAGACCCTAAAGAAGATCTAGAAACGGCTCACGGATAAGTTGGCGAAGAAGTGATTCTATTAGATTGAGTTCGTCGTGGCTAGCGAGTTATCTGTTACATTGATAGCTTCATGATTTTATTGACATTTATGACTATCTTAGTCTGTCGTGCTTTGTCCTCTTTTCCTTCGTTTTCAATGATCCCTTCTGTTTTGGTAACCCTATTCTATTCTTGACCCATATCCTTTGTCGCGATCGTGATACCAACTACGCTCTAAAATAACTAGGTCCAAAGTATACCACGAGGGGGTTGTGGGGGTAACTGTGAGTGAAAGGTAAAGGGTGGAACGGAGAGGATATGTGACTTGACTCAATTACGCAAATTTGTTGCCCTATCAATGACCGCAGCGTTGACCTAATACAATGAAGTATAATATAGGAATATTCAAAGCTTTCTTGCTTCAGGTGACTGGAAGCTATCCTCCGTAAAATGGCAGACAAAATTTCCATGAGCTCGACGATAACAAATGCTGTCACAGCGTGTACTTGAAGAGTGGAGATCGATCTCCCATCTTAAGAAGTTGTTCATCAGTGTATGTCTCACGAATTTCAGTCTCAGACATCCTGCTTCTTCGTTTGTTGGCGAACATGAATGAAAGCTCCAGAATGGCAGCCACAAGAAGACCCGATAAGCCAAAGGCCAATGACAACCCGAAGCCAGTTGGGTAGGTCGGGCTTTCACGATCAAGATACATGTAGCTGCCAATGATGCCACCGGTATTGCCAATGCAAATGATGAGCGCACTTCCGATTGCACGGCGTTTAGAGGGTGCCAGATTGTTTATCGCCCATGATGTCGTGGCTGGATAAGTTGGATAGATACCCATACATGTCACGACAATTGCAAAGAACCCAGGCCCAATATTGGTCTCCAGTTCGCCTTTGAGACCAATGATAATAGCATAACCGATAATGATCAGTAGCAGTGGTAGGGCGACAAATGGCATGCGCCAGTAGTACCGGTCGGCAATTTTGGAGAAAATAATAGCGCATACAGCACCGGCAATGTAGGGAGGGACAGTCATAAGCTGCGCATCTGTGTTCTGGAAACCCATTGCGCTCGTGATAGTGGGAAGAGTAAACTTTGTCCCTAGTGAAACGGATTATTAGTAGCAAACCCTGCCTTGGTAAGATAGATCACGAACCGTAGGCGCAGGCGGATTGGCACATCATAATGTAAGAAAACAAATAATTTCTCCAATTGAGAATCATGTCCCAAATGTCTCTCCACGTTGTCTTTTCAGCCTCGTCCTTGAATTGCCCCCCTTCTTTGATGAAGTACTGTATTTCGAGATATCGGATCTCATCTTGATCAAGCCACTTACCAGACAATTTTGGGGAGTCGATAAGAAAAAAGAAACACAAAACTCCCAGTATAACAGTGAGTAAGCCCTCGATCAGGAAGATCCAACGCCAGCCTTCATAGTCGCCCACACCATCCATTTTACCAATGCCAGCGGCGAGAAGACCGGAAAATGCACCGGATAGCGCACTTGCACAATAGAAAGTGGCAACACGTGTGCCTAGGTCCTTGGGCATGTACCAGAGCGAACATAAGTATACTGCACCGGGGAAAAATCCAGCTCTAAAGCCCCACATAAGCAATCAAGAGAAAGGATCAAGTGGGACAAGGGAGATAGATGGAGGTAACTGGACATACTCGAAAATTCCCAACAAGAGTCGCACCACCAATAAACCCCCAAAGTTTTGGACGACGCCGGTCAAAGTCATAACAGTTCCCCAGCTAATAATCAGAGAGCCCAAATAGACAGAGGGCCGCGTGAAACGCTTGAGTAAGATATTACTCGGCACCTCTAATTACTGGTCAGTGAGATAGAGAATGATTTCCCTGGCTTACTCACCCAGGAGTACGTACGGGATAAAGAAGAGACTAAGCGCAACATTGTATTGAATGCCACTTAGCCCAAGGTCTTCTGCTAGTCCCAGAATTTTTGCATTGCCAATATTTGACCTGTCAAGATGAGAGATCAAGTAGACGACTCCAAGCATAGGTACGAGTCTGAGATCAACCTGCAATAAATATATTCTTAGCTTCCTCCAGGTCGAGAGTATTATGGATCTTTACCTTTCGCATCAGTTTTTTCTTGCGCTCCGCAGAGAAGCTGACATAGAAATCTGCATCCACAGAGGAAAGACCAAGCACCTGAAAGTTGTCGATGGTGGTAATCACCGCGCAATTCTCCACGTTCTCGGTGCTGGGCAGCTTCTCATCAATCAAGTCATCCTTAGTGTGAAGTCCTAAGCGTGATGCGGACATACTGCTAACGGCGAGGCCGAAATTCCAGATAGAAGGAGAAGATTTATGAAGATAGAAAAAGAAGCTGAAGTGCGGCGGCTGCCTGAATTATATACATGTGGTGTGGCCAACAAAGACGTACCTCCAAGGTTAGGTTTGGAGTTCAATTCGAGCTATATTACTAGCTTCCGGGGTTGACTGCTAACCTACTCGGCGGGTGATACACTTAGTTCTGTTCATTGCCTGTAGCTCTCCATGAGTAGGCTTGCGGGGATTACGGTCCGCTCAGGGGGCGGAATAGAATAATATGTGGTCCTGTGCCCGCTAAGCAAGGGAACCCCGCCCACTTTCCAAGGATTTAATAGAGCATCGAGAATTTCAGCAAATAGTGTTTGCTTTTAGTGCTCGGCAACATGCCTTTTCGCCGATAACTCCTTAGAATCGGAGATATGTGGATGGTATATGCGGACATGCATACATCACATGAAGGCCATGACGAGTTCATAAATAGGGGATCAGGAAGTAATCTTGGGTCTCCTTGACGGTATTGGCCATTTTAATTTCATTTCGACCGAACGAGTCCCCACTACTGTTAATTCTTCTGTCTTTGCACCCTACATCAGCGACGAATTCTACCTTCTGAAGATTTATCTATCAAGTGAATCGACGCGATGAGTGACCTCAGCACTTTAGACCGACTTTCTACGCTCGATACCAATTCAGTCTCTGATGCATTGGACTTTTTGAAAGTAAAAGGAGCCACGTACGGCCTTCGACCACTTTGGGACTGCCCAAAGGTTGTTGGACGAGCCAGCACAGTGAAAGTGGACCGCAAATCCGATTCAAACACTACGGCTCACCCTTTCAGTTCGGTTATAGATGCGGTTACGACAGATGACCGTATCCTCATTATCTCCGGTGGCATTGAGGGAGTCTCGTGTTGGGGAGATATCATTGCCAATGCCTCAAAACTAAAGGGTATTCGCGGAACTGTTATTGATGGCATGTGTCGTGATATTGACGGCAGCCGTGAGGCCAGCTATCCAGTCTACGGCCGCGGCGTGACTATGATTAGTGGTCGCAATAGATTAGTGCAAATTGAGTCTGGCACAGCGATCCAGATACAAGGTGTCATCGTCTGCCAAGATGACTATGTGATTGCGGATAACTGTGGCACAGTTTTCATTCCAGCCAAATTCATTGAGGACGTCTTGAAACTAGCCGAGAAGATAGCCAAACGCGAGAGCCTCATGATCGAGGAGATTCGAGCTGGTAAGCTGGTTTCTGAGGTCATGGACGATGCGCGATTTGAAGCTATGCGAGATGAGATCTCTGCAGTGGCAGCAGCAGCTACGGCACAAGTCTGACCATCCGTTAGAGTAATGGATGACATGACCTATCATCAGCAAGTGATAATTTGAGGGTCTGCATAACAGAGAGATGTGGTCGAAGAAGATCTTTGACAGTTTGTGCTATTTTACCATTGGCCTTATCTATTTTCTCATGTTTTTATTAGCATAATGGATAGAATCAATACACTTGTTTCGTTTCTGTGTTTGCATGTTTGTTCTTCTTCCGGGTTTCGACTATAGATACCAATTGCTACTTCATCGAAGTAGATTTTTAGTTTTCTTCTTGCCTTTAAATTTGGTAAAATTGGCCATTTTGCCTGTGTACTAGCCGTGGATGACTGTAAGGCTATGCAGTCTCATATTTGATCGCGGCTTCGCCCAAGCATGCTTGGCAGGCCGCCTTGGCCGAGTACAGAGCCTGTCTTTGACTACGCTCATTTATTCCTTCACCTCGCCTCTGTACCCCATTTTAGCTTACGCACACGTGGAACGGAAATGAAATTAAATCAAAGTGCTCACTTATGGGTCAGATGTAAATACTCCCTTTGCAAACCTGCTTGGTCAAAGACGGCAAGAGGGCTGCACGCCGAAGTTGACACGGAGTGCTTGAGCCCGTCCGACGGAGTGACAAACTCCGTGTTAGAGTAAACTGCAACTAATTATCCGTGTTGTTCAGCAAGTACGGCCGGATCGTATTTCACGCTTGAATGAGCCATTCACAGGTCATGTTGTGCGGGTCCTAGAGCATGCCCATCAGCAGCGCCCAATGATCCTTCGAGCATTTGACAGCCGTGGCACAAGATTACGCATCCCACACTCGGAGTACCTCAATGAGAGCGATGGCGATCTCCCATGATGTACCAGGCACGAAGGACCAGAGACTAGGATGTAAGGGCGGGGAAGTCAATTGCGGGGAAGTGTAATGACCCTGGGCTAAAATTTCACCCGCACTATGACTGGTAAGACGCCAGCCTTTTTGAACTTAGATTCAGTTTGAGTCTAACACCCACCTCCTGATTAGCGCTTCAGCCTTGCCAGCCCAGAAAATATCAGGCAAGGATACCTCCCGAGCCAACAAATACGACGAGTCGGGATGAAGGAGCTTGACGATACTCACGCAGTCACCACCGATGCCGAAAGCTTGAGAAGGTTGAGTGAGGTTTTTTGTTGAGAACTTGAAACGAGCGAAGTATTGCGTTACCCAAGATGACCCGGGCATGTGAGTTCTGTCGCAGACGCAAGATCAGATGCGACACAAAGAAACCTACCTGTTCTACATGCCGGAATAGCAATAGGTTATGCATCTACCACAACGGCCCTCAGAAGCAACGTCCTTCACGAGCACGAATCGAAATCCTGGAGGAAGAGAAAGCAGAATTGGAGAGTGCCCTGGACTATTTGATGAACGCCAATGAGACCCAAAGATGTGCTCTACTCGAGAGTGTAAGAGTCCAAAACAGATGGGAGTCGACCGACCGAGGTACCATAATGGCTGCGCCGTCATTGCAGCAGCATTGCCACGAAGTTGCCCATGCTGTCGGAAGCCAGATAGATCAACCACCACTGAGCGGTCTCGGATGTGTTCGATCTGTTACGAGATCCCGAGTTGATGACACCGATGATGTAAACGGTGCAGACTTCAACACCCCGAGGAATGAAGGGAATATACAGACAAACATTGAGAGTGTCGTTTCCCCCAGCGAGAAAAACAAAGGCTGTACTACGGGGGAGTCTAATTTGAGAAATGGAAACAACCAAGTCGGCGATGGCATTTTCATTTCAACTTCGGTGGTTCATGTTAACAGTCCAATGCAAGCTGTGGACCTCGCCCGTTCCCATGATTTGCAAGGAGTATCAACAGAGTCGCTAGGGTACCAGTTAATTGCCAATGCTGCAATGGAGCGACAGCGGGAACATCGACTCCGTCGTTTGAAATTCATAAGGGGAATACCGGCGGATCTGGCGCTTCATCTGCTTAATCTTCACTGGAGCAGGCAGCACCATACATTTCTGTTGACGTATCGGCCGGCTTTCATGCGAGAACTGGAACATGGTGGACCATACTGCTCGGATCTCTTGCTGTATGCTGTGTTTGCGTGTGCATCCAAATTCTCCGAACGGCCAGATGTGCGCAGTATCCCTGCCGACCCAGGGACAACAGGTCAGCGGTTTTTCACTCGCTGCGACGAGCTCTTAATGGGCGAGGGCTTGCTCCTTCAATCGAGTATACCTACTGTCATTGCGTTGGTTATGCTTGGGTCGACATTCATCGCTAGAGGTATGACTTCCAAGGGCTGGTTATATACCGGCTATGCCATGCGTATGGTGTACGACCTGGGTCTGCACATAGACTCGCAAGAGGCCCATAGACATAATGCCGAGGATATTGAAATTCGGCGACGTGTCTTCTGGGGAGCTTTTGTGTGCGAGAAACTCCAAAGTCTGTACCTCGGACGACCTCCTACAATCAGACTTCAGGATGTGCATGTCTCACAGAATTTTTTGGATACTTTCGAAGAGCTAGAGCCGTGGGAGCCCTACGATGATACTGCCATACAAGGCACAAGTGATAGTACGGCCTTCCCTGCAGTGGCTTCGGCATATTCGGTGACCGTCTTCCAACAACTCTGTCTACTCTCTCAAATCATGACCCGGATCATTGACAAGATATATTTTGTTGGAGCTACTGCCTCGAAGACACTTCATGAAATCCGCCCCCTCGACGAAGCCTTAACAGCATGGTACCACGACCTTCCAGCTCATCTAACTTACGAGCCCTGGGCGACAGATCTGAAATGTCCACCCGATACGGTTGCACCAAATCGTATAGTAATCTTGACAACTTATCATGCGCTTATCATTCTGTTGCATCGGCCCTTTACCACAGCACCTAGAAGTGGAACGAGCAATCATAATGATGCCTCTATCATTGGAACATCGGCTTTCTCGTGGATAAGATGTACGAAAGCAGCACGAAATATTACTAGACTTGCCTTGAGCTACAGATCTATCTACCCGTTGCGCAAGTCTAGCTACTTGCTAGGCTACTCTGTTTACGTCGCATGTACAATTCACGTGCTCAATACTGCATCCCTTTCGACTGCCAGCGACAGGAATGCATTTAACGAATCTTCAACGTTGCTTACCAAAAGCTTGAAGTGCTTGGATGAACTAGCAGTTCCAAATTCGGGAGCTGCCGATACGGCGCGTATTATACGGAAGCTTATGGCTGCCCGTGGTGTCCAAGAGTCACCAAGTGAGCTATCCCTCGTAATAAAACTATCGATTCGATAACCTTTTGTTGTAAAGAGCTGATACTGACGGCTGCTTGTTTAGCTCCAGCAGATTTTCAGGTTCTGGCACTTCCTCAATCCTCCGACCATGGTGGACAGTTTTCCAATGGCTCTCCAATATATGACATGGAACAGATGCAACCTTTCGTGGATATTTTTGATCCTGGTCAAGACTTGCTGTTCGGGTTTATGAATGAAAACTTGTCTCTTACAAACTTTGAGATGAGCCTACACCTTGAACAAGAGGACGAAAGATGACAGGATGTGTGTAGGGATGGATTGAACAAGACAGCTAGATACATAAGGTGCCCTTTTCTATAAGGATTGCCCACAAACCTTTATCATAACCAAAAGTATCCCATTGAGTCACTGGAGCAGATCAGGCTCCTCTTTCACCACCTGGTCGTAGTACGGCTGGAAAGCCAACCACATCTTATTTGAATTGCCACTTCTCTTGTGCGCGAATTCGGCCTCTTCATCGGGAATATACCTTTTCTCGAAACCAGGACACACTGCAGCATTCGCAAGCAACTGCGCATGGCAGCACCGGTCTAGCGCAATAAAAAGGAAAGCTGCCTCATCGACCGTCTTACCGCACGTTATCATGCCATGGTTCTGTAGAATGACACTGCGACAGGTTGGCCCCAGCGCGTCCGCGATACGGTTACCCTCCTCAGCCGTGAGCACAGTACCTCCGTAACGTGGGTATACTGATAAATCGTTATAGAAACGCAGCGCATCCTGATAAAGCATCTCGATTGGGCGGCCAAAGCAACTGAACGCCTTACCGTAAACACTGTGCGCGTGGCACGCTGCGTTTAGATCTGGTCGTTTGCGGTGTATAGCACTGTGAATGGTGAACGCTGGGCCGTTGATGGCCTTGTGTGCTCCTTCCGGAAGAACATCACCATCCTCACCGACGAGTACCAAGTCGCTGACACAGATCTGTGAGAAATGTGTCGAGAGAGGGTTGATCCAGAAAGTTTTTGGGTTGCCTGGATCGCGGAGAGAGATGTGACCAGCTACACCCTCGTCGAATCCCTGCCTGGAAAATACTCGAAAAGCGGCCGCCAGGTGTTGCTTCAGGTAACTGCGGGTTTCGTTGATGTCATCAAATACTGGAGGGCAACGCAGATGCACTTTGCCCTCTTTGTCACCCAGGAAGTGCACGTCTTGCCGCCAAGTTGAAGAGATGGCGGGACAATCCGATTCAGAAACTTTTCGTTCCTCTGTCTTCAGATTGACTTGCGACCTTCGGTGTGCAGGTTCTTCGGTAAATGAAGCTGGCGACATGGTATTTGTTCTGAGAATATAGCAAATATAAGAATATAGCGAGCTCAAGAAAGGCTTTTAGATCTTCTCACAGCTAATTATTAGCACACTGCAACTTATATGTGGCAAAAGAGAAATAAAATCGGAAAAATATCCGAAACTACAATTCTGGTCGAGTTTAGATCGTCCACAGGTTGCAGGCGATGGAGAGATGTCAGATGTAACCAGATGCACCCGCGGAGGACAGGCAGCTGTTTCTCTTGACCATTATGCGGGACCAGCACCAAAGAACCAGCTGGATCTACATATTCCGCTATATTCGTTACTATAGTTATGTATATACATCGATCTTTGGGAATAGTGAGGGTTGCCTGGGATCCAATCGGCACGCAGAATGCGATTCCCCTCCACGGATTGAGGCGGACCGTAACTTTCCGTTCGGAGCAAGTCTAGTATGGATGATCATTTTGCCTTGAGTAAAGGGAATAATTGAAGAGATATCGTAGATTTTGAACTTTAATCTACAATTTGCTCCTGTGGCACACCGGCGGAGATCAAAGGTCTGGCTCCGCGGCAAGTTAGCGATATAAGGACGAAGCTTTACTTCTTATGAGCTATAAACAATTTCCCTTTCTAGTATCTTCGGACACACAAAGGCTGCTATATAAGATTACACGATTTGAAATTGTCAACCTCAATCTCCCTCAACCTCGATAACACCTGAACTTTTCTTCTCCTTGAACAATCTGAGCTGCCTTTCTTTTGCCAGATAGGCCATGGTAATTGCACGATTGCTCATTAGGCTCTTGAGAGACTCCCATTCCTGGTCAGATAGGAGTGTTTCACTGGGTAGCTTCGAGAAAATATCCGTTGAACGCGTTCGTGAGGCGAGCCCTATAGGGTAACATCGAAGGGTAAATTGCCCACGTTGTTCTAGGCGCGGCTGAGAACTTGCTGCCTCTAGCCACGCCATCCCTTCTAACGGGCGAGCATTATGTGCTCCCATTTCACCTGTCGTATCGTCTTTCCTGAAAGCCTCTGTTGGCTGCTCCGTTGGATGAAAGTCATCATGACAATTCAATGGTGGCGGATCGGGTTCGCTGGTGCTTGAACAGGTTTTTGGTCGGAAAGGGAGGTCGGGCAAGTCCCTAACAATCCACTCATTCAATATGGTATGAGGCTTCGTTGAGCTCACACCCAATGACTGCTTCTGTCTCCTTCCAGTCTTGTCCGAGGCTGCTGGCCGGAGGAGAACCTTCCACGGTTGGACTTCACGTTTGCGTTTTCGCGATGATGGATAAGGTCGCTTGAAAGGTCTCTCATGAGGGGCACTCTCAATCAAAGCCTTATTGTGTTGAAGCAGTATGCGCTTTAGGTACTGTTCAGAGATTCCTCTCTTTGATGCTTCCAGGTAGAACCGAACAGTTTCCCCCTCTGGATTGAAATCATCCATGACACACGGGCGCGCAGCGAGAAAATGGTCGTGGGCCGCCTCCATGTTTTGCTTTTCAAACTCAATTCGGCCCATCCAGTAATGACAACGGGCAACCGAAAGCTTGTCCTTTGAAGCCTCTGCAAGGGTAAGCGCTTTCTGTGCCTGTTTTCTGGCCTGCCGAAATTGATTGTCGGCAATTTGGTTGATGACTGTCACAAGGGAGAGAGAAACTCGCAGGTTTCCCAACCTATTCCCGAATTCGGTCGGTATTGAAGGGGTCTGATTTATCATGACCATCTTGACCACTTCAGACTTGTGTCGATGCGTATCTTGCAGGTTGCGCTTTATTTCTTTGGCCTTGTCGACCAGGTCGCTCGGTGTGATTGGAACATAATCAAGTGCATCAGGCATGCTCGAGTGCTCATCTCCAGATGGATTCAATTTTTTAGGTGCACTGTTCCTTTGTGGCGAAACGGTGCCAGGCGTGGCTTCGGCCATATCGGGAGGGTGGACTGTGGACTGTGGAGCTTTATGAAGAATATGGGGGAAAAATCTAGGTGATCGTAAACAGAAGAGAGAGGAATATCTGCTGAGGTGTCGGAGCAGTATGTTCAAAATTTTCGAAAACTAGGTCTTTACTCTCTGAGTGTGGTTCCACGAAAAAGGTGCCCCCTGATAAAGTGAGCGCTTCATTGGGCTTTTAAAGTCTACCCATTAGGCCGACAAAGAAATTTTTGTTTCTTTGTTAGGTCGCTTCTTTATGCGTCTTGACATGGCTTTTCCAACGTGGTCATCATATTTGTGATTTCTTTGTTTTCTCCTACCATGTGTCAAGTTATGTACCGGTCATTGTTATCTCACTATGGCTCATATTTGGTCATGGCTGGGCGTCTACGTCATCAGGGCAACTTAATTTCGGCTTAGAAAAGATATGCTATCAGATTGGGCACCAATTTAGCCTGAATCATCCACACCAAAATAAGGCTGTGAATTAATACTAGTCTCATCAGATTGGGCTATCCATGCCACGCGGTCAGGCGCGAAGGGCCATGATACCTAGAAATCTGATTGGCTATCTAATTGGATCTGGAGATCTTCACTTCTTAGATCGTATCAAGCAAGCGACCGAGACAGATACTTAACTGTTTATCTCTCTCCTACACAGGCATAGTCTCCACCTGGGCAGTGGTTTTATCAGTTCTCACTTTGTTAAGTAAATTAGCGCTGAAACCTAAATTTGGTAATGTATATTTGGGGGGCGCTTGCGAACAATGATAGTCAACCTACTTAATCTTATGCCTTTGATGAAAGTCAGTAATCGCCAGAAGACTATTCTAGAAGCATATAAAAGTAGAAAAAAATTCACCAAACTCGGTACTGACACGGGTCGTCATCAACATCCGCTGGAACTGGCAGGTGCTCCCCCAGGCTGATCATAGGACGAAGAGAGAGAGAATCCGACGCACCATCCTCGCAGGCTTGCTGTCGAGTAAATTCCACAATAGCCTTGATTTGATATTCCCGAGCTTTGTGACAATATTGTGGATGTGGCAGAGATCTCGAGAATGACCAGTAGGCTCTTTCAAACCTCTCCGTTGCCATGAAATCCATCGCCTCAATGAAGAATGCAGTGCCAACAATATCCTTATACCGGAGCTGCTGAACTTCGCTTCGAGTGGAGACATAATTCATCACACGATCCAATTGGCAAAGAGATTCATGGTACTTACCGGTGGCATACAGGATAGCTGCATGGAAGACCCGAGAATGGAGAATTTCAGCTACTGATATACACGAGCTGGCCATGAGCGAAGTCTCCAGTGTACTCCGTGCAGCTTCAATATCTCCAATTTTCCAAACTTCCTCTGCATCTTTAAGGTAATCATTGCCTGTGCATATCCAGATATCATCGATCCAGTTAAAGCGCCGGTCGGCCTCTGAATTCAGCAAGGCAGCAGGCATCTCAGAGAGATCGTCCTCCAGCCGCAGAGCTGCATAATTGAAATCTCCCACATGCGACTGAGCATGTGCGAGAAGTAGATCGGACTCTGCAAGTCTAGTCTTGAGATTCTTGATCTTTTTATCTGCTCTTTGGAGCTGTAAAGCAAGCTTTGAATTTGCTGTGGCAAGAAGTTCGACATTCCAGTCCGCAAGTTGCTCTCCCTTCTTTGCAGAGTGACCACTGCACAGATAGGAGAATAATCTAGAGAACATGATGCCGAGGCAAATGGGGAAGGTAGCCTTGAGGGTAAGGGCTTCTGGACGTCTAGGTCATGGAAGGTGATCGTTATATTCAGGAACTCCTAAGCCTTTATATAATCAGCAGATCCGGAAATTCGCTGCTTCGAACATCAGTGACACAAAGCGAAGATTCTCATAGACAATCGCATTCTTTCTGAAAGCTTTCAATGACCATTGTTCATCTTTTTTGTGCCTCAAAATAGCCTGTATTGTTGCATTTTAACAGATGCTCAAAGACTCAGCCCGTTTGAGAGACTGATATTAGTTAGTTTGAAGAAACCTTTGTTACCAGCCTTCAATACTAAAAAAAAGGGACTAATGGTTCCCGGGGCTTACTCTTGTGGATATAGGTAGCATCGATAATATCAACATACGAGATCATACGAGGGTGAATCATTCGAGTGGATCCAAAATAGCGCGCAAATCGCGCTAGAAACCAGCAGGCCCGATCTCGATCGGACGACCACAGTGATAAATTTGTCAGCTGTGATTATTGTTCCATGAATGAAGTCGCTCGGTGTTTTGATTAGTTGGCTAAACTTGGACTTAACTTTTGACTAAAGCCACAAGGGAAATCCACCAAGTGCAAAGTGAGCAAACAGGCCAAACCAAGCGCTATGACCTCAGCGCGTCGTGAAGCTCTTTGACCCCACACCCGCGATCGCCGCGACTGGAGGGATCGGGACAATGACTGGGGCAATGCAAACACCAAAGTGGACATTCGCGACGTCAGACGGCAGCACACGGCTGATTCAACCGGTCCTGGTCCAATCTGGTCCAATCTGATAATGCGGATCCGCGCCGTAACAGGAGTGACCCTCGATCTAGACTTGCGGGGTTTCCTTGATGCAAACATGTTCTACGAGACAAAACCGGGTCTACGCGGGCCAATCTGACTGAATTCTTATGATATTGCTCTGGAGCTTGCAAATGCAAAAATGTCAAATACAGTAAGGTCTTATGTGGGTGCCTTTTCCACGGTCTTCTGCGCCCCTCCCTCGTGTAGCCTGCCTCGGGATTTGACTGGTCGTGACTTCTTGTCTGGGTCGTCCTTGCCCCTGGTGTTTGGCGATGATTCGTCATAGAGTTTAGCTCTATAAGCTGCGTCCGAGGTACAACGATTGCCAGGATTAGTTCTTAAAACCCTGGCCTTTCCCCTCTCTCAACATTTGCACACGTGTTTCATTCATTCCAGGTATGTTTTCCTCACTCTATACTTTTACTCTACTCCGTGACGTTTGCTTTGCGAGAGATAGGCTGTCGATCTGCGCTCATCCTTCATTTTCTTGCAGTAACCATCACCACAATGTCTCCAACAGCACTGAGGAATGTGGACGCAGTCGAGATTGTCGATATCCACCAGGATGACTTGGAATTCTCTCTCGTGGATGATTTGTACAAAAGTCTGAATCCTGAAGAGGATAAACCACGTTCATTCCCCACGCTACTCCTCTACGACACCAGGGGACTCAAGATATTCGAAAAGATCACTTATCTGGACGAATACTACCTCACAAACGCGGAGATTGAGGTTTTGACAATACATGCAAAGAGAATCGTCGAGCGGATACCGGAGAATGCACAGCTGGTGGAGCTTGGTAGTGGGTCTGTTGTCCTTGCAACTCCAGATCCGTGGACTTTGATGGACTGCCCGTGAATGGATCACTTTGGCCTTGCACATTTCTAACACCTAATTCTTAGAAATTTGCGCAAGATCGAGATTCTTCTGCGGGAGTGTGAACGGGTGGAAAAGCAAGTGGACTACTATGCATTGGATTTATCACTGGTGGAGCTACAGCGGACTTTCTCAGAGATCTCACCTGAGGGCTTCAACTATGTCGGGCTCCACGGCCTCCATGGAACATATGATGACGCTCTCTTATGGTTGAAGAACCCAGAAAACCGCACCAGACCAACTGTGGTTCTCTCGATGGGGTCATCCCTGGGGAACTTTGATCGTGCTGCAGCCGCGGACTTCTTGGGTGGCTTCTCCAAAGCTCTGGGTCCAGCAGATTTTCTGCTTATTGGATTGGATGCTTGTAAGACTCCAGAGAAGGTTTACAGAGCTTATAACGACTCTCAAGGTGTGACCCAGCAGTTCTATGAAAACGGACTGGCACATGCCAATTCGGTGCTCGGCTTCGAGGCATTCAAGGCTAGTGAGTGGGAAATCATTACCGGATACGATAAAGTCAATGGCCGACATCAGGCCTTCTACTCACCAAAGGTCGATGTGACTATCAATGATATTCAGATCCCGAGGGGAGAGAAACTCATCTTCGAGGAGGCGTATAAGTATGGCATTGATGAGCGTGAGGAACTCTGCCGCAACGCAGGGTTAATTTCCCAGGTTGTGTTCGGAAATTCAACAGATGATTATCGTACGTATATGAGGTTTCGTTTTCGTAAATTGAGCGAGACTCACATTTGCCAGACAAGAGTGACTGACTTAATCAATTTTAACTTCAGATGTCCACCTGCTCTCACCAGCCTCTTTGAATATCCCTCTGCAGCCGTCTCAATACGCAGCTCATCCAGTCCCGACACTTGAAGACTTTCAGTCACTATGGACGGTGTGGGATGTTGTGACCAAGACAATGATTCCCCGGGAGGAACTTCTGTCGAAGCCTATTAAGCTCCGGAATGCACTAATTTTCTACCTCGGTCATATTCCTACCTTTTTCGGTATGTTCACATGCAACTGTTTCTGCACAGTTCTCGGGCTAACTGTGTGGGATTTAGATATTCATTTGACGCGCGCTTTGTGTGGAAAGCCAACCGATCCGAAATACTACAAGCAGATCTTCGAGCGTGGCATCGACCCCGATGTCGAGAATCCTGAACAGTGTCATGCTCATAGTGAAATCCCGGACGAGTGGCCGCCTCTTGACGAGATTCTGGACTACTCGGAGCGGGTACGAAACAGAGCACGATCCATTCTTGAGGAGGGATCCGCCATCCGAGACCGTTGTCTCGGTGAAGCTCTCTGGATTGGCTTTGAGCACGAGGCAATGCACCTCGAAACCTTCCTTTACATGCTGCTTCAAAGCGAAAAGACTCTTCCCCCGATTGGCGTGGAAACACCCAATTTTGAGAAGTTGGCTCTTGATGCAAAGGAAAATGAGAGGCCCAATACGTGGTTCCGCATCCCACAACAATCATTCACGATTGGCTTGGACGACTCCGATGATAATGTTTTGCCGAAGGATTCCTTTGGGTGGGATAATGAGAAGCCACAAAGATCCGTCCATGTACACGCGTTCGAGGCTCAAGCTCGACCAGTCACTAACGGAGAGTACGCCAAGTATTTGCAAGCGGCCCATCTGGAAGAAATGCCAGCATCTTGGACACGTATCCACTCTGACCAGGGTAATCCAATTTCGAAGGGATTTAGCGAGTCACGTCAGAGCGCACCCCAAGACTTCATGGACAACTTCGCTGTGAGGACTGTTTTTGGTCCGGTATCTTTGGATCTTGCACAAGACTGGCCGGTCATCGCTTCATACGATGAACTGGCTCGCCATGCCAAGTGGACAGGGTGCAGAATCCCCTCCCACGAAGAGGTCCGCAGCATTTATCTTTACGCCGATCAGCTTCGAGGAACAGGAGTGCGAAGGATTTCCAATAGTCACAGGTACATCTCCATGAATCTTGACATTTACCCCATGTGAGCAAAGCTAATATACCATATAGCAACGGAACTAATGGGACCTCTCATGGAGTCAATGGCACTTCCAACGGAGTCAAGCACATGAATAATGGAACAACCAAGACTCTCTCTTCAGCACAGACGTCAGTATTCCGTGCACTTGATGGCTCCAATGTGGGTTTCCAGAATTGGCACCCCGTCCCCGTCACGCCAAACGGCGACAAGCTCGCCGGGCAGGGTGATCTGGGTGGCGTTTGGGAATGGACCAGCACACCACTTACGGCACACGAGGGATTCAAAGCCATGGAGATTTACCCCGGCTACACATGTAAGTGATATAATATAAACCATCATATGTAGGCTTTATGCTCACAGATATTCTAGCGGACTTTTTCGATGGCAAGCATAACATCATTCAAGGTGGCTCGTGGGCAACTATGCCCCGGATCGCGGGCCGGACTACATTGTGAGCTCCTTTTTCAGAACCACTTTGAAGAAGATTTACTAATTTTCTAGTGTGAATTGGTACCAACACAACTACTTGTACGCCTGGGCAGGAGCGCGGTTGGTGCGTGATGTGTCTGTGTAGTTGTATCGGAACTGGAATGACTTAATTTAGAGGGGTCTTATGGATGTCATGGATGGCTAGCCACTTCTCATCTCCATCAATACAGCTACTTTAGTAGCTCAAATTGTCCCATTAAGCCCATGGCATATGAAGTAGTTGGTAGATTCTTACACGATTGCGTGAGAGACTCGTTCAATATCGCACAGCGCTAAGCGGACTCAATTGTCGCTGTCATTGGTTGCAAAAGATAATGATGGCCATGAGAGTAAAGTGAAATCAGCCACGAGATATGATATATCCAAAACAAACCGCTTTGAGGGCCATATACTAGCTATTTGAACGATATCATGATAAACAAGTCTCAGTGCACGGTCAAAATGGGCGTGAAGAACCTAAAATCCCCTACTAGGATTGGTAATCTGAACGAGGAATGAATCTTTCAGCGTAAGGAAGCCCCCAAAGCGGCAATCCCTAGGTCAAAGTGTGGAACTTTCGATCAATGGAGTCAAGAATGTAATGTCCCAATTGCTCGGGATGGGCTAAACGAGGATTGGGGGTACCAGCATATCTGGTTAACCTTGCGTTGCAAGGAAACATTTCCCCCAATACGTGCCATTCGACGCCCAGTCCGATTTCAAATCGATGTCAAATTACGATGAAGCTATCGTGGCCCCGGTTGGTTACTGAACCCACAGATTCGGGAAACTCGGCAGTTGAGATGATAAGGTTGGTTGCCTGGTACTAGGAAAATGCCCGTCGATAGTGTCAAAGTTAGGTGAAATTACCGCTTGGATCTATTTCAGTGCCACCAGGTTGAGCTTTTGGATCGTAATACTGTTGACGAGGACCTCAATATCGTACCGCAGCCCCTTGTATGCATCGCCCCGGTTCGGAGTTAAGCCTCGATCATTAGCCCAGGCTTCGTTTGTTGCTACTAGGCTCGAAAGAAGGCGGGTCTAAGACCAGCCCTATATTACGGTATTCTTGCGAATAACATCATTTCTGTACAACCGTTGATTTTATTTACTTTAACTTTTTCAGCTCTGTATTCTTCTACTCATCACGCCCGTGCCAATTCGTATGCCGAAACTGCCGAGTTTTGTGAGGTGTTCTTCAGCGCAACATTGCTCCGACGCAAGGGAGACGAGCACCTCGAAAGATACACGACCCTTTCTTAGTAATAAATTTCAATGTACGCAAGGACTTGGGAATTTTGAGGTCGGGTCTCATTTCATGTGACAATGCTGACTGGGAGAAGTCCATCGTGAATTGCTCAAATAAGAAATAAGACTGTGTGAATTAGCCTTGTCTTGTATCTAAGTACAGTGGTTGTTACCGTCATTGTCAGTAGAATGCCGTTCTGACTACTTGATACATACGGTGCGTCATTTATCGTAAAATAAAGGAGCAGTATTAATTGTTATTGAATATCCAGGGTAGCTATAATCTACTTTGTACCTATAAGATGGATAGCAATACATAGTAATGTAAGTATACAGGGTGCATGGTAGCTTTTGAAGGAATAAACAAAGTACTCGAACTTGAAGGTAGCATAATTGTGGATTTACAGTAGATACACTATAGGCTATATCACACATCTCATCCAGTTGGTATTGGGCTGTCTGATCATCCCTGTCAGTGACGAATCCATGATCGATCGACACGACCGAGGGCGATTGATGATCTATTTTGGCATCCACCCAGATTGACGCCAATAATTACGTGCCAGATGGCGCAGGACTTCTGGCTTTTTCGTCACATATTCAAAGCAAGTAATATTTCATACGGGTATGTAGCTGAAGAGGACTATGTGGTTCTAGGGTGTAAGGTTCCCTTTTTCGTCCCCAGCTCAAAAAGACAGGTCAGACAACACAACGGGGCTGTTCGGGACCGAATTGCCGGCATTTGTAGGCATTTCCACCAAACCTGTTTTTTCTTTGCTTTTTCAGGCACGTATCCGAGCAAACGACGGGTCGAGGCCGGCTCGATCGAAATGCGGCGCTGCTAGATTGAAACCTTAAACGTCGACATGGGTGTTGCCCCCCTGGGGCCAGGGCCAAGAATGAGGTATGGGGTTTCTGGGACACGAGGCACTCCTTCGATCCTCCCTTTTACCCTTTTCGGCCAGTCCTCTCCACTATTGCGCTCCACTGGATCTCAAGTGGCTCGCACGACTGGGGCGTTTGGCTGCATTTTCTTCTTCCCTGCAGGCTGCAGGTCATTATGACCTTGCTGCCTGTAAGTAATGAAGGACCCGATACCTATAGATACGCCGTGAATTCGGAGTGCATACTTCCGCCGTGTCCCGGATCAAAGAAACCGTGGCAGTGCAATGGACCAAAGCGCATGTCATGAATGGTTCCTGCATGGAAAACCGAAATAGTCACAAAAGACTCCGAAGGTTCGGGTTGTCCTCTCTCGCGATCGTAGCCAATCCTTTGCTGTTCAGGAGTCGAGGGTTTCCCCAAAGCGAGAAGAAGAGTTGGCCAGCCCGCCACTGCCGCCAGGGAGAGCGTAGAGTGTCTACTAGCTGGAATGTGTCACAGACCCATCAAAGGGATTTTTGCATGGGTGAATCCTCCCGAGCCTGTCACTGACTGGCCCTAGTCCATGCCTGAGGAGGAGTCGGCTGTCGCCCAGTTCGACCTGTATGAGCGGGGCCGTGGAGCAATTCGTCCTTGACACGCCGTGGATAGTATGGATGTGCATACTGCATGAAAGGCTCTGGAACTCGGCTCCGGGCGCTCCACTAGGGGTGTATCTTTTTTCTACTATATGTACTCAGGTAGGGCCTCATTTAAACGGTTCTCTTTCCCATCCAGCGCATCAATGACTTAGCGCATCTGCAGCTTTTTGTTTCTTCTGTTTCCGTTTATAGACCTACACCGTCGCCAGTCTCTCGTTTCGCATTTTGTCCCTCGTTGTGTAGCATTTGTTTCATCAGCCAGGGCGTTGCCCATTCACGATTCACGTTTCTCGAAGACAAAGCGATCAGTCTTTGTACCAAGACATTTCAGCCGTTTTAAGCCGTCCCCGAAGTCATCGATACTGGACCCTTATATAAAGCCACCGAATATTCCCCAATCCGATCCGAGAACCGGACAGCCACTTCCGTCAGAATGGAGTGTTTTCGACTGATCTTCCGATGCCTGAAGGCACCGTTTGCTCGTAACCAAGGAAAGATTATTGAGATTGTGAGTGCATGAGGTATTCCGCCGACCGAGCGTAAATGTGGCTAACAATGATCTTTGTTGCAGGGACCTCCCACCAACTTCCGCAAAGAAGAACTGCCTGCGTGTTTCTCAGATGCCGAGTCAGTCTTATCACCCACTCAAAATCAAACCGAGCGACCAATTCTGACCTCCCAGCCACAGCACGCTGACGTCTCAGAACAGCCGCGAAACAACGATGGAGAAGGACGAGACAATGATCGAGGCGATTCCTCGTCAGCCATCCGTCAAGGAGAAGATTCAGGGCCATGTCAGGAGAATGAGCGTCCGACTCTCAAAGCCCGCCTCCGAGACCGCATGAAGCGCTCTCGCTGGTTCAAGTCGACACCAACGACCAGCCCTGAAAAGGCAGTCACCAGTGAGATGGACTTGTTCGTCACGACGGAAGAGAACCCGAAGGAGATATAGGTGGGAAATTAATATGATCGTCAAAGCATGATATGTGAAAGTCGGGGGTATCTCATATTCAAAACAAAAAAGTCGGAACATCATTGAAGCGGGATTTCTTGGATTCCAGATTGTCGTTTGCAGGACCACTTTGGATAACACTGTTTGTGGAGGATGGGTCCTTTTTCATGTCGGAGTTAGAAGAGGTGTTGGATCGCGATGGCTCTGGTAGCTCGTCGAGGTCGTCGAATAGCATTTGAACTCTTGACTTGAACCCGCTAGCCGGCGCGGGAGTTACCCGCGCCTTCTCTTGCTTTATTGTAGGCATGCTGTGTATGCTTTCCCTGCTATTTCGAGGATCTTTGGGGTGAGCGGTTCTTGTAGGGCCATGCGTTTGTAGCCGTTTCGACTGGGCTATCGTGACCCGACGGGTCCGCCCATCGAGGTCGTCGTCTTCGTCGGAAGCAGTCTCTCCGTCCATATCGAAACCATCATCTGATGCTGTCTCTTCATGAATGTCGACGATATGCGCAGCCGCTGCTCTTGATAATGGAGCCCCAGCTACAGCTCGGTCGCTGTTAGAGCCGGCAGCTTGTCCAAAGCCCGCCGCAGCCCTCGTAGAGGATTTCAATGAATGCGTACCGACCAAGGTGCGCGATTTCCTAGGGCTGGTCATAAGCCCATGAAGATGTGTCCCAGCCCAGGTATCATCATCATCCTCAGAATCAGCTTTGTCTCCTTCCGGAACACCTAGTTGCGCCAACCCAGCCTTTTGACGCGCAGCGAGCGCGTCGGCCTCCTTCTTCCGTTCTGCTTCCTTCGGTAACTTTGTTCTGCCATCTGTCGGCCTCTGAATTTCATTCATCGCGTCCGTGTTCTGCGCTTTCGCTTCTTTCTTCCGTCGAATGTATTCGGCGTAGTGTAGATGTTGTGTGAATGATTGAGCTATGGCGTAGAACTCGTCTTCAACCATAACCCATGCATCGTCGTGGTCCAAGCCTTCGATTAGGAACCTACGACCTCATGATTAGCGCCAGCCGCCATGATTGTGGGGTATTGCAGCTCAAGACGCACTCTTGGGCGGGACAAGCTCGCGCGGGCGAGGTAGGTGGAGTTTGAGCTGCACAATGTGTATCTTGGTTAGCGCAATCCCAAAAAGTTTTCAAATTCCAATCACATACAAGACCTAAAGAAATCCCGCTTGTCGGGTGATGTGGGAGGCTTTCTCGGGGTAGCGTCGTCGTCGTCGGGCGTGCGCTCTCGTTTGACACGCTTTCGAGGAGTAGACTCTCGCTTTACCTTCCCGTCAGTACCCTGATTTAACAACCAAGGCAGAGTTCTCGGCATGGTGCGCCTTTGGTTTAGCAGTTGCGAGGATTTTGCGCGACGCGCTCCGGCGCGGAGAAGATGGGGAAGGAGGCTCTGATAGGCACCGATAAGATGAGGTCACCTCCCGCTTTGGTTTGGGCGTCGGGGTCAAGCAGAGCACTGGAATTATTCAAATCAAAAGGTTGCTACACAAGACTAAATAAAGGAGAAAAGTGTATGGTAGATCTTTCAATTGATATGGGTATCTGATCTGATATGAAAGATCTTGTTTATGCATAATACAGAGCGATGAAAATGATTCCCTCAACGCCGGCTGGGGTCATAGCCCTGAGCCAAGGACATGCCTGGAAACGCCTGTGCAAGCCGAAATTAAAAAGAAACGCCAAAGTCTTCTCGACCGCTAATGCCATTCTATGTCTCGCCCGGTCGCTTGCTGTTGCAGCTCACGATCTTCACTCGGTCCGCGTTGATGGTAGTCTGGTTGTCGAGTTTGAACTGGACATCCTTAATCAGGAATGTCCAGACCTCGTCGCAGAATCGGTACGTATCAAGGTGGCCCTGTGTAAAGTAAAGAAGAGGGAGAGAAAGTTAGCCCGCCTGCGCTATCCAAATGAACGTTATCTCCAGCCACCGCCTTGATCGTCTGTCCAGGATGACTCCTTCGACGAAACGAATGTACCTTGAACGTGAGTCTGGCCCGAACCTTCTCGGCCAGAACCTCGGTGACCACCTTGTCAAAGGTGGACAGGATCTTCATCGCGAGCTGGGGCTCGATACGGCCCTCGTTGATCAAGTCGTCCAGGGTATCCGTCAGGGACAGGCCGAGGCTAGTCAGGTTCCAGTCAGTCCCCAAATCAACATCCTGTACTGTTGTGGTGATCATCATACCTGCTCCCACGGTAGAGCTCGTAGTATGATTGTTGTGCGGCCATAGTGAATGCAAGATGGGCCTGTTGGAGAGGAATGTCGAAAGGGCAAGAGGAGTGTCTAACGCTGAGTTGCCTGGGCATGGTCGATCGCGGGGATGATCGCCCACGTGAGGTCACGTGACATGGCCGTTCCTTATCGCGCATCTACGTCAGTCTCGATTCAACTAAATGAATAGCTTCAGATATCTTGTCATGAAGCGTTTCTGGTACTCTTTAATCAATGCCATCCCCAACGGAGCTAAGTCATCTTATGAAGACTCTTTGTAGAGGGTGGATGTCTTCCAATCATATGCATCACCTTCCCTACAGTCGTTCTCTATCCTCAAGTACCTCCTCAGCGCTAAAAGGTACGTCTCTATTTCACATACGATTCACTCAGCAGATATAGCTCGCTAACTTGTTTCATCACATCCATAGATACTTTAAAGAAACCTTCAAACCAATCTTCCACAAGCACGAATAGCGAGACCCCTACAACAACCGACAAACAACCATCGAGCTCAGTCAAGACCAAAACAATTGCCCAAGCCGATGCAGAACTTCGAGAACGCTTAGAACGAATGTCTGGCGATGGAGGAGCGGCAGGCATTGAATATGAAGATGGAAAACCAAGCGCTATGAAACGTGGCGTGCGCAACAATATGTTCCGATTGATATGAGCTATTGCAGGTCCAATCACCTTCATCAAGTCCAAAGCGAAAAAAAAAGTACATGCTGGATATATATCGCGGCTAGGGCTATTAGACTCCGAGCGGCATGTCTGGCCCATCTTTGCCAAGACATATCGGAATCGAGTGGGCATGCACGGCCATCGCCGCGGAAAATAATACAATCTGGTCCTGCGAAGCATGGATGGTTTCGGCGATTGAGGACTCCATTCAATAGCTTCACTGGACCAAGCTTGCCTCCCGTCGAGCAGCTATGAAAAGCCGTTTTTGAAGATCCCCGTGCATCACAAGCCGGGACCCGCATTCCACGCGCCTTAGAAACGGCCTAGCATTCCCCATTACGTCCGATCCACCACAGAGCCACGCAAGCAAGAGCTTTAGGTTATCGTGCGTGTCCATATCATCCCCGAGGGATCTGATTCAGAGCATGCTCTCGAGACGTTGTCTCCAAAAAATTACATAACAGAGCTCACGTCCTCTCACCGCAAGAACCTAATCAATTCATTTCTATGAGCGGGATGGAACAGCGATTCGCAGAATAAGCCGAACATTGCCCATGGCCCAAAATCGTAAAGCGTAACAAAATCAATATAAGTTTCCCTTTTTTTACTTGCCGACAACCATGCCAGCCAAAACACCTGCACCGATAACGCCGCCATCAGACGCTTCTCGCAAAAAGACCGATTTTCCTCCTTGTTGTGGACCCGTGCGCATGATCAAGCGGTCAATATGTTGTTGGCACATCTCCTTGAACTGCGGGTAATGTTGAATGATGCCGCCCGTATAGGCGACGACTAGCTCTTCAGGGCCGGACTGCCAGTCAGCAGGAAGTGGTTGGAGAACGGGGACAACGTGGCCGTGGACACTGTTGCCGGGCGTTGCGATGGATGACGGGGTGGCTGTGCTGCTAGATATGGGGACGTCTCCGTTGCTTTGTGGAGAAGCAGCGGCTTCGGGGGTGTTGGCGTTGCTGTCTTCCTTCAATTCGATTTCACGGCAGCAGGCCAAGAGGCCGATTACGGCCGCGGCGATCAGTCCTGCCGATCGCCTTTGCACTGCTCGTGCGATTCTTCGGAATGCACCGGCTGTTCGCGTATCCCAACGCCAGTCGCTGCTCTCGGGTGGGGGAAGCGATTCGTTCAGCGCCTTTGCAAGGTCTTGGTCTGATCGGGCCTTCGCTACGTTGTCGGAGATATAGGTGGTTGTCAGTGCGTACTCTTGAACCAGGTTCGCGGGTAGAATTCGCTTGGAGAGCCCTCCTTTGGACGTAAGGTAGTCGAACAGAATCAAGCGAATCAATTCACCAATGTATCGACCACCAGTCATGTACTCGAATGGCTGAAATCCGGGACGTGCGCACGCTCGATCTAATTCAACGTCCCATTTGGTCGTAATATTGAGCTCTCGTAGTGGTGGCGCAGCTCCAGAAATGGTCCATTCCGTGTTAACAATAGTCTCCACGGCATTTGGATCCATTGTGTTAACATTTTTGGCTTTGGATTCGTGAAGCTCGGTCAGCTTCATCGGAATGGTCGCATTACATCCGGTGCCAACAATGATACCCATAGCGACTCGACTGTTGGGTAGTTGTTTCACTTTGTAAGCAAGTGAAGCCAGAGTCGCAACCGTGTCGTTCGTAATGGCCTGGATCTTTAGCTTTGGTAGAGCGAAAAGCTTCCGGCGCTTGGAAGAAGGCTCTTCCTCATCATCCGGTCTCCTGGTGTGCTTTTCGTATCCATTGAGAAGAATGTTGCGAAGATCGAGGTTAGAAGTAATAGCGAATCCCTTGCCCATGGGCATCAGCGTTGCCTCAGCTAGCGATTCTTGCCTATGAAGAAGTTAGCACTGGGGATACCAAGACGAAACCGGGTAATAGATTGTAAATGCCTTCTGCATTCAAATCCAACCCAAAAAGATGAACTGACATGATTGGGAAACTGAAGGTGATGCCCATGTCTAATTCTGCTGGTATGTCCTTCTTGGTGGCATCCGACGTGAGACTCTCGGCTACCACTTCAGCAATACAGTCACCAATCCACGAGAACAAATCCTCTGCTTTGTCCTTCTTCAAGTGCTCTTGGATTGGCCAAGCCCGTTCCAAAGTGCGCTTGACCCGTTGTCGCTGAGCCTTGCGAATGGTGTCTCGTGACCTCTCCGAGGCATCTGTAGGGCGGGAATCTGACTCCTCCACTTCGCCAAGCAACTCAATAAATGCGACCCGGAGATTACTGCCTCCAACATCAATTGCCAGATATCGGCCGGTCTCTTGACCAGTAGGAAGCTGAGTTACTGGGGTCGGTAAAAACTGCTGATCGGACGTCAAGGCCAGGTGGCGGTAGGTTTCGGAAAAGCGACGGGCCAATCTGTAGAGCACTCCGTCATCCAGGCTAAGAGGTGATAGAAATTCGTCTAATTGATGGTGAAACTCGAGATACTCTCGCTGAGACGGATCCATCTCCGAACTGATGTCATGGTCCTCATCTTCGATCGCCTCCTCGTGCATGATGTCGCGATCCTCTTCGTTGTCCTTCTCGGACGATATTGAAGTGACCGATGCCATTGTTTTAGGATACTCTTGTTCCTAGGAGTGGAGTTCAAACGCGCTTTTCGGAGCGCAGGCAAGGAAAGATACGATAGAACGGTGTTTTCAGGGTCCTAAACGAGCAATTTCAATTGCCCAATGACGCCGAACGAATGTTGGCGAATAAATGAATAGCAAGTGACAAAAGATTGTACCTTTTAGTCGCAGCACTCCGATCTTAACCGTGACGTCGGCGACCCTGGAATGTTAAAGGAAAGCGCGCAATCAAGACACGACCGCGCAGTCTAATGGCTTGAAGGCGCAAGGGCCAGAGACGGAAAGAAGCGCGCGTAGCGGGGCTGGCGGGCTAAAAATAAAGCGTTGGCGAGCTTAGATTGCAGGCGCAGGGACTGGATCCAGGTTAGCAAGGTTGCAATTGAAGGTCGATCGTGGTGACGCGGTCTGCAGGATAATCGAGGGGAAGGTGGAACATAGAGTAGTATGGACAAGCTGGGATAGCGGGACAGTGGAACAACTACACAAGCCAAGGGCTAAGAGTGCGTCGTGGGGGGGGCTTGCAGGAGACAAGCCGTGACGATCATGCTAGGAGCTGGACACCGAAGGGAGAATATGATCGACCGGCATGATTTTTTCACGTACCCTGGTAAATTGCTGGTATGCGGGCGCAGATGCAAGAGGGAGAGAGGGGAAAGTCGTCAGGTTTCGGAGAACTGGCAGATGGACGAAGCTTGTTCGGCAGTTTTGGCCAGTTGGTAATTTCGGCAGTTGAGGGAAGCAAGAGAAAAGGCGCCGGAATAAAGAGAGAAAAAAAGAATGCAGGGAACAGAAAACTGAACAATCAGAGAGGAATTTGAGAATCTGGCCAGGGATCGACCAGGGGAGAGAGCGAGGTCGCTCTATAAATGGAGAAGAGTATCCCTGGAGGGGTGCCTGAGGCCGAGCGGTGTGGGAGAAAATTGGTGGGGAAGAGAATCACTTCAAAGGTATAGAGTTCACTTTAGCAGGAAATCAAATGCTATATATCAATCAGAGATACGTTCATCCGGCGGCAGACAGAAGAGGTATATACAAGCACGGCTTGAGGTCGGGTGGTCGAAATGGGTTAAATGATTCAACGAGGAATGGTCGACAAGGCCAGGCGCTGGTGGAGCCCATTACCCACTTTTGGATGGAGTCCAAATTGCCGTGCTTTTTGGGTTTTTATTTTTTGCCTCAAGGAGACTGGGGGTCCTGGGAATAATTATTATCAAAAGAGAACTTATGCGGGCTAGCCAGTGGTATAAAATGTCTACCAGAGCTGGAAAAGAAGCTAGGAGACTGGATAAAGTCTGGAGAATGACCGGAGGACCTATGAGAAGTAAATAAAAGACATACCTCGCAAATCAATCACGGATAAGTAAATAAAGAAAGCGCGGTGGCTCGGGAGATGCGACCATCGGAGGACACGAGGCGATGTGACGATGTGACGCTGTTCTTTTTCCGGGGGTGGGCAAGTTGGAAATCCCGGGATCTGGTAGACGTCGATTGGATGATGTATCATGGCATCTCGCATTGAAACACTTGAACTGGAAGGGCTAGCTATCGAGTTATCTCACCACGATCGAGGCTGTCTGGGTTAGTATTTGGATAGCTTCGGATTTGATGGCCGGTTGAGCCGATAGGTGACCATAGGTGATTATAGGAGACTGACTAGCTATAGCAGGACCTATCATAAAGAGCTTGAACTAGTACTTCATAATAAGTGCTAACTAACTACATACTACTATTACTGGCAGCTGCTGGCAGCATAGCAAATGGAAAATGTCTATCTATGCCCATGAGTACCTCGGGCTTCTAACCAATAATCTCTCTAGTTAACTATTCTATCTTCAGTAAGGAGCATTATGCTTGATCCCTTCCTGTCCGGCCTAATCGCTGCCCTGTGATCGTGATCTTAGTATTCCCTCGAATAAGAAGAATTGACCTAAACGACGATCGCGGTCGGAGATGTTCCACTTTGCCTCGCCCTGACAACCATACAACCCCTCTCCATTTTATAACGGGAACTATGTAACCCTACCCGGACATCTGACGCCTCGAGCTGATACACTTTTCCAGCTCGGTTAGAGAACTCGGCTACACTTCCAATATTTCTTCTCCCCCCGCCAATCCAGTCTCTATTTTCGTCCTCTTGCTAACCGCCATTTTCTTGGCTCTGGCGAAAAAGAAAAAGAAAAAAAACCACACGAGAGCGTTTGGACCAACGGACGCACGGCCGCGACTCAAAAACCCCAAAGCCATGCGGCAGCCCAGGGTGTGGGTGGGGCCCTGCGATCACGGTTTGGAAACGTGCCAAGTGATCATTTCTCCCTCGCGCCATTCGTCGAGGCCAAGGTCTCTTGTTCCCTATGTCAGCCACTATGAGCGTCGCTCATCCTGCCTACTGCTGGGCAAACGGGTGCTGATCATTATTTTTTTTTTGAATCTTCCTCGTTGATGCGGTTATGCCTAGTCCTCGGGAATAACCGTGTGCATCTGCGTATGCCTACTGGCCAGTCCATCCAAATCCCCCCTCCAAAGGGCCTCGATCGTTCGCTGGCGTGTCAGCCACCAACGTCCGTAAGCTTCCTACTGGAGCGGTCCAAACTCTCGTATGGGCAACAAGCCTGGGGGGGGGTCCGATGGGGGCTGCCGGAGCGGATCACCTGCTCCCCGTCGTCATCATGAATCCGAGGGGGAGCTCCGTGCTCCGCATGAACGAACGTCGTGAGCCTCAACGGCAAGTGTCCATGTCTGATAGCGCTAGACAAGGCTGCCTTTCGGGTATTTCCACGAGGGCTTGATTCTTCCGAGTTTCCCTTTAATCTAAGGAATCAAGGCGCTCCCAGAATACGAACTTTGGAAGCTTGGACATTGGCGCCATTTTCTGGGGATAGGTCTCCGAGATCGGAGCCAAGATATGATTGTACTTGTACGGAGTACTTGCATGCCAAACGACGTTCTCAGAAATGGTCCGCAAAATTCTTACTGGCGGGTTAGCGTGTCGGTTATGGAATGGTGTGACTGGTCGTGGTTTGGTGCCTGAAGGGCGTGAGATCATCTTGTTCATCCAACCGCGCCATGCGTCTGGAGTATAGATGGGACAAGGCCTCTACTTTTCGAGTCGGCAGATTGGTCGAATTAGGTCACCGAGTAATGATCTGGATGGCCAATAATGGGCATGCAGGCCTGCTCTAGCCAACCAATTCTGGCTTGAGATAGATATACTTGTACCTTGATATCTAATGGGGAAAGTTGTCGGCTGGTTTGTTCCCAACAGGAAGCTCAAAAGTGGCTCCCATCTGACGCGGCTGTTTTGATGGCTTGGGCAGCACGTCATGGCCTCATTGAATGCTACTGTACCTAAGCTGGACACCTGCGATAGCTGTGTAGACCTTGACTATATCGGGCGATTGATCCGAACATTATTCAATTGTTCTCCGCGACCTGCCAATTCAGTCGATGCAGGACCACAATGTGGGAGCATCTCAAGTTTCATAACTTGACTATACTAGTTATATCCTAGTGACTCTACTTAGATGCCTTGCGTGCATAAAACCAATCACGACTTAGGGCACACCGGACTTGTTCCGTCCGCATCTCGCCCCCGAAGTAATGCCGGCCTTGACACTCACGTGCCGGCCTTGGCTCATTTCAAAGACTTGTAGTATCAAAGAGAAGTGGTTAGCTATATGAAACATCAAACAATTCTATTTGATGGATGATCTTGATTACTAGGTCTTAATCTGCAAGGAATCTAGATTGAAGGCTAAGCATTTTCATGGATCGCTACCAAATCTGGCTTGATAAAGGTACTCTATTCCACGATTCTGGCTGAAGTAGTATCTATTTCCTCTATATGCTCTCCTTTCTAGTTAGATCTCCTAGCTACAAAAAGACTATGAAACCATGTATCCGTTGCTATAGTCATATCAATCTGATTATCAATTGTTTCCCCAGGCCGCTCCCCAGATTGGCGCCTCAGGCATTAATAACTGACGTAATCCGATCAGCCTCCACCTAGGAACCCGCTCTCCAGGTCATGTCACACCTCCAAGATTGATGTTGGCTTTGTCTGACTCTTCAATCTACAACCAACGCAAGCATGGCGACGCTGCCTCTTCACAATGAAGATGTCTCTGAGGGCTCAGAGAAGCCCCGGTGGGCTAACCCACACCCACGACCCAGCCGGAACACCATGATATGGCGCTACTTTGTTGTTGTTAGCTTCCTGGTCGGCTACTATCTGCTCCTCAGACCGGTCGAAGCGCCGTGCACGTCGCCTAGCTGCAACTTGAAATGCGATACTACCGCGTGTAGTGCACCGGATGCTTCCATGGACACTTTCACATCCCCTGAGTCGGACCAGTCGCAATACGAGAATATCGAACAGGAGTCTTACGAACAAGCCCCTGCGATTCAGCGCCCTCTTGTCATCTCCACAGAAGTTGCAGAAAAGAAGATCCCGCTTGAAGCACATATAATGAGCAAATGCCCAGATGCTAAGGATTGTCTGCAAAAGTTGGTACTGCCAGCTATGGAGCAGATTAGTGATAAGGTCGACTTTAAGCTCTCCTTTATCGCTAGGTAGGTTCTTCAACCCTAAGCTCACTCACTATAGTACATCTCTAACATCTTCATATATCTAGCGTATCCAAGGAGTCATCTGAAATCGAGTGTATGCATGGCCCTGGCGAATGCATTGGTGATATGCTCATTCTATGCGCTGCCAACCTACCCTTCCCTGCGACGACCGATGAATCACTTTTGCCGCAATCCTATCCCCGTACACCTATCATTCGATCTCTAGGCTTTGCAAACTGCCTTATCAATGGCTACCAATACATCCCAGACCGCGATTATATCCACGAGTGTGCAATGGAGCACGGTATCGATTTCGATGCCTTGAACAGATGTGCCAGCCAACAAGACGATATCCCTGGCGGCGGGGGCCAGGAGAAGGCACCACTTAGTGGTGCTGTACTACTGCGCGAGTCGGCCCTCCACAGCTCTGAACTAGGAGTTAGAACCAGCTGCACCGTTCGCCTGGACGAATCAGTCTGGTGCATTCGTGACGGCGGCGAATGGAAGGATTGTGTTCAGAATGGCGATGGTGCTAACCCCCAAGCCCTTATCGACCGAGTCAATCAGCTCTGGGAAGAGCGAAATTGAACAGCCTTTCGAACAATCTTGCTGTGATACCCCCTTTTCTGCTATGAACGAGTTTATGATTTATCTTTCTTAATACAACATATAGTCTTTTGCTCTCTTAGTGATCTAACAATATAGATTGAGACGGTTTAACCTATTCTACCTATCGTATGGAAATGCCATAGCCTATCTACAGCCTGCTCAATATAACATGAAGAGGTATCCAACGAGGCACTGAAGCGATGGAAATGGCAGCATCGAATAGGCTTCTCCGTGATATCAGGCATCTTCCCAATCTTCACTTGCTGAAGCAATATTTACCTGGAAGGCAGACGCGTCGCCAGTGAGGTCTAGCGCGACTTGTGAATCTTTTGGCAACGGCCTGTTCCTCAGTTGCTCTCTCTTCCCCGTATCCCTCCGTCTTCTCTCCCCCACTCGCCCATCTCGTTCCCCTTTAACCTCATCGATTTTCTCCGCGATTTTTTGCAGACGCTCGCAGTAACCCTCATCCCGACGTCTGTCGAAACGAGAGCCATTGATACTCGGTTGGTTGCGTTGCAACTCGATCAGAGCGCCAAGTCCCGTAATCGCTCGTCTGAGGTTCTCTCGATTTTACACCCAAAACCGCCACTCCACCACCCCCTCCCTGATCATGCCGTATCCGGGTCTTGTCGCGGCGATGCACTACGCCTGGGCTGAGGTCACCGAACCCAGCCAAGTTCTTCTCGCAATCCTCGAGAATGAGGACAAAGCTCGCACCTTGTACAACATGGTCGAGCGGCAGTACAAGTTCATCTCTGCCGAACGCTCCGACGACGATGAGCGTGGCGAGATGACCACCTTCGACAAGGTGCTCATCGAGATGTGGCACGAGGAGCAGCAGCTCCAGAACATCGGGCTCCTCGAGTTCTTCCTCGAGGAGTACTTGATGGCCAAGTCGGTGGACACTTACGCCGAGAAGAAGGCCCTCGTCTTTGCGTACCTGGAAGCTGGGGCGCTTATCGATGCAGGTTAGTTTCCCCTACTCGCTATGAGATAACTCTGATTTCTCGCGGATTCTAACACCACCTAGCTTTCGCCAACCGTGATCAACTCGAATTGGTCACCGCGCCGGCCGAGACCACCGCCAATGAAGGTCTCACCCAGCAGGACTCCGCCCTGGAAAATCTCATTCGAGTTTACCAGGAAGCCAAGGCACGCGTCTACTACAGTGACGCAGACAAGTCGGGCATTTCCAACAAGGAAACCGACAAGTTCAGCAATGTCCGTTTCCTGCGGGACACCGCCGAGAATCTCTGCCGGCACATGAAGGCTCATGGCCATGAGTCGCACCCGCTGATGCCCGAGGTCGAGAAGATAGTCGACATCAGCGCCAAGCACGCCGAGCATCTCGCCGGTGGTCGGAAGCGCGTCTTCGAGGCTCCCGAAGATGAGGACTCTCGTCCTGTCGGACATCACTGGAGGCGGCAGCGACGTGAGTCTGGTCGCCACAGCAAGCGGCCCCGGGACTCTTACCGTCCTGACTACGAGAGCCGGCGCGACCGCTACGAGCCGGATGATCGATACGATGACCGCCGCCACGGCCGCGACGATAGCCGAGATCGTCGTGACCGACATGACAAGGACAGCGACGAGGAGGACCGCCGCCACGAACGCGACGACAGTCGCGATCGCCGCCGCCGCGAGCACTAAGTCCATCTGATGGACAGCTCCACCTGGATACACGTTGGCCGGTGTGGTCATACATCGGCTCGAGTGCCCAATCGGTGATAACGACGTCGACGATTTCACGACCGTACGACCTGCGACGTTTTCTTTTTTTCTTTTCAGAAAGGATGATGGAGGATTGCGAGATATGACACAATCTAGCGACACTCATCATTCTCTGCGTGTATTTTTTTGATTCTCAGATATCATCGAATGTTTCTCAAATATCATCGATAGCTTAGCTCTATCTCGATTTCATTATCAATATATTCCGCACCCGCCCGTAGTTGATAGTTCATACTTTGTAGTTCGCTATGATCGCCGCTTAACCCCATTGGTATTCCCCACGTGCCCCTGGTTACATAATCCAACATGTGCGCAGATCAAGTCATCTGCAGAAAGTCGGTGGCCGCCGCATCACCTGAAGAAGGGCCCCATATCCCGTTCGAATGGAGAGTCTCGGTCTAGAGAAAGTCTCATAGCACGCAGCGACAGCGACCAACGCGCTCTCTTTGCGCCCCAGCGGCCGTGAATCTCTCCCCCGAACACCATGGCCGGTCTCCATCTGCCCCCGTCCGCTGCGGGGAACGCCTCTTCCTCCGAGTCCGGCTCGTCGAACCCTCGTTTCACGCCTGTTTCCAATGGCTCTGAAGAGGACTATCCGGTGTCGAAACCGGTGAACTCGCCCGTCGGAAACCTACGCCTACAAACCAATTTCGAGGATGGGATGGACGCGGGCGGGTCTGTGTCTGATATCGAGGAGGAGAATAGATATGATTCTGCGGAGGAGCTTGAAGGGAAGGATCGCAGGGCGCAGTCGAGGCCAAAATTCACACTGGAAGAGGAGAGGGAGGTGTTGAAGGTCTTTGACAGGAGGCTGGTTCCGTTCTTGGCACTTCTCTACTTGCTTGCATTTTTGGACCGTTCGAGTGAGTATCGAGAGATTGAACCATATTAGGTGGACCATACTAACCATTGAGTGCAGATATTGGGAATGCCAAAATTGCAGGGCTGCAGGATGACCTCCAGCTTTCGTCTGGCCAATATGAATGGCTACTCACCGCTTTCTATATCACTTACATCCTCTTCGAATGGATGACACTGATGTACCGCCTGGTACCTCCGCATATCTACATCTCTCTGTGTGTGTTTAGCTGGGGTTTGGTGGCATCTTTCCAGGCTCTGGCAACCTCCTTTGAAGGTCTTGTCATCCTGCGTGCATTGCTCGGCATTGCCGAAGCAGCCTTTGGCCCGGGTGTTCCGTTCTACCTGTCGCTATTCTACCGGCGTGATGAACTTGCTTTCCGAAATGGACTTTTCATTTCAGCTGCGCCGTTGGCAACATCCTTTGCTAGCAGCTTGGCCTGGTTCATTGTCAAGACTAGCAGTGATGGCCCTATCTCTCCGTGGCGTGCCCTTTTCCTTGTCGAGGGGTTTCCTAGTGTGATCGTTGCTGTATTCGCCTGGATCCTCATTCCGGATTCTCCAGGTCGTGCTCGATTCCTTACTCGCCGGCAGAGGGTGGTGGCTCGGCTTCGCATGGAACATGGCGAGCCTGACTACCAGCAGTCTTCTGCCAAGCGCTTCAATTGGAGGGAGATTTTGAAGACGGCTGCTGATCCTAAGGCATACATGGCCGCTGTGAGTTTACTTCCTATTGCACATTCTTGAGAACGGTCTTCTAACCTATCTACAGCTCATGTTCTTCAGCTGTAACGTTGCCTTTAGCTCGATGCCGGTGTTTCTGCCGACTATTATCAAAGAGTGAGTAATACCAACTTCCAAGTCCGACCCTGCCAAGCGCTAATCGTCCACTAGTATGGGCTACTCTTCTCTCAACGCCCAGGCTCTCTCTGCACCACCGTACCTGGTCGCATTCGTCGTCGTCTTAGCTACAGCATGGGCCTCGGACCGCAGTCGCAGTCGTAGCCCTTACCTCATCGCTCACGCGCTCATTTCCTCCCTCGCATACTTCGCCATTGCCGCAACAGGGTACTTCCAGGCCCACTTATCCACCGAGGTAAACACCTTTATCCGATACATCTGCGTCTACCCAGCTACGGCCGGGTTCTTCTCCGCCATCACACTGATCATCACCTGGTCGATGGACAACCGTGTCGAGAAGGAAGGCAAAGGTGCCAGCATCGCTATTCTGAATATCATTGGGCAATGTGGCCCCCTCCTAGGTACGAGGTTGTACCCCGAGTCCGACGGGCCGTGGTACATCCGCGGTATGGCAACGTGCTCCTTCTTCATGGTGCTCGTTGCAATCCTGGCGCTCGGTCTTCGACTTCTCTTGCAACGAGCCAACCGCAGGACTGTAGATACCTTGTACCAGGCTGTTGATCAAGCCGGGCCTGCTCATTCTGGAGAGGAAAGAGATGAGCTTATGGGAGGTGGGCGGAGAGATGATCTAGAGCATCATACCGGTGATCGCCGGCTTGTTTATATTATTTGAAGCATGGATTTGGATCGATGACTATCATGTTGGGGGTTGCATATATTGAGTTTTAGCGAGATTCGAGTTATCATATTATATTGCGACATATATCTGTCTACATTATACCAGTGAAAGGCTTCTATGCAATGTGTGAATTATACCGATGAAGTGGATACCTGCATGTCTAGAGCTCAGAAGTGAACGAAGGAAAGGCTTGATGCAATGATTAATTATTGCGATCCCTCACTAGATAACTCGTAAACCTCTATGTAACAGAGAAAAGCGAAAACAAAAAAGTGCAACATTCCGAATGTAAAATTTTGGTGTTTGGCCTTATTAGTGATCTGGTCCTCGCATACACCTCCAGGTCTGGGCCAATCGCCCGAAGCCAAGTATGCTGCAAAACGAAGAAGCGAGGTTCAGCTGCTGAGTTAAACCGAATGCAAAATATGTACAGAGAATGGAAACACTCTCCACTTGCACGAGTCTCCCTCAGAGTCTCCGAATTATCTCGTGCATTCCAAGCCCTCCCCGAGGGACCGAAGTTGAAAACGGATGCTCATACACCCAGATACCCAACACCACTCACCAAGCAGTATGACCACCATCAATAATCAACGTGCTCCCAGTCATAAAGCTGCTCGCATCCGAAAGACAAAACAGCGCCGAGCCCCGGAACTCCTCAGGCATAGCCAACCGACCAAGCATATTCTCCGCCTCCCACGTAGCCCGCGCCGCGGGATTCTGCTGGAAAACATCCTCAACCATAGGCGTAATAATATGTCCCGGGCAAAGACTGTTCACACGAATACCGTGACGACCCCACTCCATCGCCAGCGAGCGAGCGAGCTGGATAACGGCTGCCTTGGAGGAATTGTACACGGGCGATGTCATACCCTTGTTAGCGATGAGGCCGCTCATCGATGCAACGAGGAGGATGGAGCCTTTTTGCTGGTAGTTGAACATTTGGCGGGCTGCTGCGGTGGCGGAGTTGAAGACGCCGTTGTAGTTGATGCTCATTACGTCGTCGAGGGCTTGTTGGGAGTGTTCGAGGGCGGATTGGAGGTGGTTTATTCCTGCGGCGGCGACGAGGCCGTCGAGACGTTGTTCTTGGGCGGCGATTGCGGCGAAGGTATTGTTGACTTCGGTGTTGTTGCGGACGTCAATTTTGATGTATTCCAGGGCGCCGCCGTATTCTTCGGCTTTGTTTTGGGCTTTGAGGAAGTCTGGGTGTGGTGTTTCGAGACGGTCCAGGGCGTAGACTGTGGATTATGTTAGTTTTTGAGAATTTAAATTTGTCATATCAGAAATGAATGCATACCCTTTGCGCCGGCTTCGATCAGGGCTTCACCCATTGACAGACCCAATCCACGACCGCCACCGGTGATGACATACACGCGGCCCTCCATGTCAAACTCGCGGAATCGATTGGCATTGCGCAATTGCTTCTTAGACGGGAGTTTGGTCTGGATGTGATCCGGGTTGTGGGAGATATTGTGGATATCGTGTGGGTTGAAGGCGCTCTTGGTGCTGGAGTAGAGTCTGGTTGAAGAAGAGGCGAGCACTTTGGGGGCAGCAACCGCCGCGATCACGAATCGAGCACGAGCAGGGGTGAATACTCGAGAGATGCCGAGAGACATGACGTGTGACAAATTAAAGGGAATATAGGGGTATCTTTGTGCAAAGAATTGATAAGTGTAGCTGTTGAGTAGGGGTCAGGTTGTCGGGTGTTTGTATAGAACAGGGTATGATGCAACAGAACACCACGAAGTATACAAATTATCAGAAACAGACTGGTAATATATCAGGTAGAATCATTTCACATTGTTCTCGGGGAAGAGGGTTTATATGTCTAGGAAAGCTCGGAAGGATACTACCTGGCAGAGTCTACCGAAAGCGCAGTCTCAAATGGAAGGGGCTCTGAGCCGACGATAAAAAATCCGGAAAATGAAATTGATAGAAAAAAAAAATAGCAGTGTCCCGCGTGACTCCTCGGTGGATTTGCCAGGCTGGTTTCACCATGAGTCAAGATCTAGACAAATCGACGGGAGCATCCACGGTTTTAGCAGCTTGCCACATCAGCTCCAAGCTACATGATGGGACGGGGGACGTGTCGATAACACAACCCCAGTCGCTATGAGACAAAAAGTATGGATATGGGGTTGGGGTGGAACAAATGGAGCAAGGTAGAGTACAGACACGCACTCCCTTCTCCAATCCATCCATGATCCAAACAGCAGACATCGTGACCTTTGGTGGATTGCCGAAGACGGTAATTCTTCAAACACTTCGATGGAGTGGCCCACCTAGGCGGGTCCCTCGAAGTATGCATGGCCGATCTGCAGCGGGTTTTTCCAAGACTCCCTTGCTCGCACTGGTTATCCTTGTTAAGGGACCGAGCATCGAGGCTGAGTCCCGGCCCCGGGATTGTAGCCGTGTGGCGGGTTCAACTAGACAGCCTCGATGGCTTTCGATACCTTGATCCTCTAGGATATAGAGCCCAGCCAACTAGAGGCTCGGGATCTCGGGGCGTCAAGATATCATGGAATTTGACCCTGCTTCTTGCCGACTAGATGCGGTTGTGAGATCTTGCTTGAGTCATATCACAACTTGCTTCGGGCTTGCTATTATGACTGGAGTGGCTACCGATGATCCGATGATCTCCGGCATCTCCATGTATAGCTTAGGTATTGTCGAGCCCTGGGGGATGGCTCCATCACTGGCGGGGACATAGTGGGAACCCGAACCACAGATCCCGGCGTCTGCAGTGTCATCGTCGGTTCCACCGGGGAAGAGGCAAAATATCCGAAGGATCGTACATATTGTCCTGTAGAAGCAGGTCAGTTGACTCTCTCTCATCTGTGGGATGGTTGCCCAAGGACTCCACGGCAGGCTCTGGATATTTTTAGGCGGGGGGAACGATGGCTGAAAGAAGTGGATGCCGTGGATAAGCATACAGAAAGTCCCACTGGAAACAGGAGAATCAGTGGACCAGCACTTGTACGGTGGACAAGGTGGAGAGGAGGGGGAAAAGGTGAAAACCAGCCACTGCAGTGCATCCCCGGGATGTCCGAAATAGGCAATCCTGGGCTGACCCGGCCATAAACCGCCAAGGGATCAGACTTGTTCATGATAGAGAGCTTAAAGTCCTTCAATTAGTTCTCTTCAGCCCATTGAGAAAAAGGGCAGTTCTTTGCGTACGGTTGACCAATCTTGGTTGAGTAAATTCAAAAGACAGAATAGTATACGCAATCCATGATAGTTCGTACCCCAGACTCGGTCTTCTTGTGCTTACAATAAGCTTCCGCCACCGCCCGGAACCGCTATAAGGCGTCGGACCCGTAAATGCCACGTCCCTATTTAACATTTAACATTATCAACCCGCCCGGGAGCTCCTTTTTTTAGAGTACTTTTGATTTTTCACGGCTGTAGCTTGGCCTTGAAACATCTTATAAGGATCGTCGGATCGAGTGAACACCAAGACGATCTCGAACGCCCTGGTAGATTGCGTGCCTGGTCAGCTGGACACTTTGTACGGTTATGTGTCTACTAACATCGTCACATATTGAATGAATAATGTAGTCCGTATCTTTGACTGGATAATCGATCGTCAGGCTTCGTGATAAGAGACGCTACTATTGCGAAAGGCAGGGACGTGCTTTCCTTCTAAGCCATCGTGATAGGCCCTGTAGTCTACTGTGTAACTCCATCCCGAGAGGCAACCCCGGCCGAAGGATACGAGTATGAATGGAAGAACGGATGAATGGTTCTCGAAGGTACACATGACCCTTTCTTCTATCTTGCATCCGCGGATGCATAAAAGTCAATTGCCCCGCATGACTCCCTGCTGATAGTATTCTTTTTCTGTTGTAACGCCTAATCCGCCAGATTCCCCTAAAAGCAAATGGTATTTCCCATGCTCAATAATCATAAGAATCGTAATAATGTCAAAAATTATAAATCCAGAACGTCGATTTCCCCAGTCTCTTATCACATACGTCCAAACTCCAGGTCCGCCAGACCAGGGGACAACGTAGCACCACGGAGACTCCCAAAGTCGAGCTTCATCAACAGTCGGTCCACACCCGCCGGTTGGCGCGGTACATAGTGGTGGAATCCGGGGCCTGTGCTTCCCTCTGCACGGGTTCCCGGCCAGGCCTGGCCCATGCCGAACTGCGTGGCGGGGCCTAGGCCCTCGCCCGATCGACGGTCGTCGATATCGCGGAGACTCGAAACGAGGTCTTTCATGCCGGCTTTCACGTCCTCGCACGTGCTGCGCAGGTCTTGCCAGACTTCGCGCTCTTCTTGCGCGTAGTCAACTAGGGCATCGACGACGCCTTCGTCCGTTTCTAGGTCCATGTTGCGTTGAATAGTTTCGAGGCGGATCACAAGAGCCATGAAGCGGTCCACGCTGGTGAGAAGGGTGCGGAGGACGCTGGTAAATGCGGTTTCTGTGAGGAACAGCGATTGAACCAGAGTGGAGAGATGGCGTCGGTGTGCAACGGTCAATGCTTCGGGGTCGTGTCGGCCCATAGATGGGGGGCCAGCGTTGGAGGTCGGTCGACTAGATACGCGGTCTGGAGACGCTGCACGAGATTGACGCTGCTGTTTTGAAGACGATGCGGTCCCTGGCCGAGAGCCGGGCGCTGAGCCCGTTGAAAGTGACGGCCCTTCGATCCACTCCCGCAGATGCTGCCAGGACTCGTGGACAACTTCTCCCTGGAAGAAGCTGCCAATCTCCGAAAGTACAAACAAACAAGCACTTGCAGTGGCCCAGATTGGACGCATTTGTCGGATACGGGTATTGTCCCTATCACGACCTTCTCTCAGCTTGTTTTGGCCGAATGCACTGTTGCTTCGAGGTGGTCCCCATGGTGATGGGTGATTCCTCCGGAGGGAGGTTCTTTTCCATAGGTCGCCAAGGCGTATTTGAGCACGCCTGATGCCCAGCAGATAAGAGTGGATCTTGGAGTAAACGGCAATATCGGAACTTGACAGGAAGAGATCCAGGGGCGCGCGGACCTGGGCTGTCAGGCATGTCGGTGTAGGGAAGAGAATGTCTTCAAATGAGACTCTCGAGATCTCTGGGATTGTAGTTGAGCTTTGCGACGGGGTCATTGGACGGCCGGATTTGTTGTCGCTGATTGACAAGCAAAGAAGCTCTCGCGCAAGCTCTAGCTCCTCATCTGCTGGATCTTCTTCTTTTTGTAGAGAGAACAGCTCAGCCCATGCTTGGGCTAGGGCCGTCATTACATCGCCTTCTTTGATGAGGAGCCCGGCAAACCCTCCAGATTGAGCGCGAGCGAGGGCCCCTCTTCTTCGGTTCTCCTCAATGCGTGAGTCCGCATGGGACACTAGCGCCACGGCAAATTCGCCTCGTCCCAAGAGAAGGAAGTCGTGGAGTAATGTAAGCATCTCCAGGATTCTCGGAAGAGGCAGCAGTTTAGATAACGTCGATTGCGATAATGACAGACGGATCCAGTCTACAGCCGTGGAAAGCTGAGTGGATGATATTGGCGACTTGAGCCCGGCAAGATGTGCTATGTGTTCCTGATAGAGGGTTACTGGGGCAGTTGAGATCCCTCCCGAGGTCTTCTTCTTTGCGCGGACATGATTGAGTGATTTCCCAATGAAGAGGATCGACCCTGCTGTTTGTGCTGACACGAAGTTTGGGAGCAATTCCATGTGCATGCTGAATTGAGCATCCCCTTCTTCAGGATCGGAATCTTCTTGAATGAAAAAGTCGCTTTTGCCGTACATGGGCAAATTCCCATATAAAATCCACATAGATAATTGCTTCATCCATGCCGTTTCCGCCGCGGTTGCTAACTGCACGGCCATGTCTTTGATGTCCAGATATCCGGTTTGAGACTCGGTGCGCAAGTGATTGATAAGTGCCGCCCCCGTGCAGCCATAGCGTGAATCTTGGAGTTTGTTCTCGGGCTGTATGAATTTGACAACCTCCCAAAGCCACTCCATGCGCCGTGTCCATGGCGCGAATTCGCCCACGATGGTGGACAGCGGGACGATACCATACCCGCCAACATATCCGCTGTCTTCCGCGAGAATTGCTTTCTCCACCTCGAGGACCTTCTTCTGAAAACTGCCCAGATGATTTGTAACTATAGCGGTGGACACTGAGCGACAGATCACGGACCTATGCGCGGACGATATCTGAGAGGTATGGGCTCGGAGCTGCGCGTGCAGTTGGCTTAAATGGGCAATAGATCGGAGGAGGGCTTTCTCCGGAGGTGCGAGAAGGGATAGATCATTTTGAGCGAGCGCATCTTTCCCTTGTGAATGGCTGAAGAGGGGAGACGGCTGGCCGGAGAGCGAGAGGAGGATCTCGTGGAGCATCTTGGCCTCGGCGCTCTGTCGCGATCACGCGGATAATTGTTAGCTTCAATATTCCCATAAGGAGTCGGGATATGTTGTCAGGTCTACCTAGTAGATTGGGTGCTGTCCTCTTCGGTGTCCTGCCTGTTCCAGTATAGTAAGCCACGCCCTAGAAGCTCGAATCGACACATGTGAAGGATAGGCGGACTCGAGGCTTGGGCGCGGAAGAGAAGATGATGCAATCGGGCGGGTTGACCGCGAGGAAAGTGACTGTATGAGTCTGGGTCATTCAACAAGCCCGGGTCTCAGCCATCACCATCGTTAATACAACGAGGACAACCACGAACAAGTTGCGACGCACCAAATTGCTCAACCAAAGCTCGAGTCAACTAAACATCTGCGAATGTTCTCCGAGCCGCGGGGTGCCCGACGCGCCGATTAGTCATCCGCAGCTTGTCCCTCTTACGTCGATGAACCGTCCCGCCTTCAAACTCACCAGCTGTTTCTCCCTTGCCTCTCTTCTTTTCTGCAATCAAACCGCCTTCCTTTTGTTTTGTATAGCTTCCGCCTCCTACCTTCCTCTCCCAAGTCTGCGCTATCTACTTCAACTCCTGCCCCTGCCCTGTCTGGTCAAAGATAGGTACCTGGTACGCTTCGAGTTGCAACTTGTTTTATCCGCACTAGTGGAAGGTCTTGCTCACTGGGCAAGACTTTCACCTCCTGATTTTCACCATTCCTTCCGATCTTGCTGTTCGTGAATCGGCTAAGCCGTCAAAGCGCAGAGCGTCTGAAGACGACACCGCCGCTCGGCCTCAAAAGAAGACCATGACGGTATGACATGATCCCGCCGGCTAGAGACCGCCGAAGTGCCGCACGTCCACTAATACAGCTTCATTATCAGGACGTTACGATGCATGTCGAGAACCCCCAAGAGACCGTGGAGTTGATTAAGCAGGGCGAGATCGATGAGTCCCTGTACAGTCGGCAACTGTAAGACTACCCAGACCTACCCACCTTCCTGAATACGTGCGATGGAACACCGTATCTAATCGCTTCTTCCAAGGTATGTGCTTGGCCACGAGGCCATGAAGCGCATGGGTTCTTCGAATGTTCTCGTCGTTGGCCTCAAGGGCCTGGGTGTGGAAATTGGTAAGCAATAACGACAGGTCACGCTATACTTGGGTAAAATGAGTGGCAACCCCGCGGGCATTTGATTGACAGTTACCTTCCCAACTCTTTAGCCAAGAACATTGCGCTCGCCGGTGTCAAGTCTCTCACCCTTTACGATCCCGCACCGGTTGCCATCGCAGATCTCTCCTCCCAGTTCTTCCTCCAGCCTCAAGATGTCGGCAAGCCCCGCGCCGAAGTCACCGCCCCACGAGTCGCCGAGCTCAACTCCTACGTTCCCGTGACAATCCACGAGGGCGACAACCTTGTTGGTGACTTGGAACAGCTGAAGCGCTACCAAGCAGTGGTCTTGACCCAGACGCCGCTGAAGGAGCAGCTGGCGATTGCGGACTTCTGCCACAAGAACGGTATCTATATCACGATTACGGATACCTTCGGTCTGTTCGGTTATATTTTCAACGATTTCGGCAAGAACTTCACCGTCGGCGATCCTACTGGCGAGGAGCCTGTTGGTGGCATTGTTGCTGATATTGCTGAGGACGGTCTGGTGTCCGCCTTGGATGAGACTCGGCATGGCCTGGAGGATGGCGACTTTGTGACTTTCACTGAGGTTAAGGGCATGGATGGACTGAACAACAGCGCTCCCCGCAAGATCACTGTTAAGGGCCCGTATACTTTTAGCATTGGTGATGTCTCCGGTCTCGGCTCCTACCAGGGTGGTGGTCTCTTCCAGCAAGTGAAAATGCCCAAGTTTGTTGATTTCCAGCCTCTGTCGGAACAGATCAAGAAGCCCGAGCTTCTTGTCTCTGATTTCGCCAAGTTTGACCGACCCCAGCAGCTCCACATCGGTGTCCAGGCTCTCCACAAGTTTGCGGAGACCCATGACCGTCAATTCCCCCGCCCGCACAACGACAGCGATGCTCAGGAGGTCCTGAAGATCGCTAATGAGCTTGCGGCGGCGGAAGAGGAGAGGGTTGAACTGGACGAGAAGGTTATCAAGGAGCTCAGTTACCAGGCTCAGGGTGACCTGAACCCGTTGGCCGCCTTCTTCGGAGGTATCGCTGCTCAGGAAGTTCTCAAGGCTGTCTCTGGAAAGTTCAACCCCGTGCACCAGTGGATGTACTTTGATTCTTTGGAGTCTCTGCCCACTTCGACCACCCGCTCTGAGGAGAGCTGCAAGCCCACTGGTTCCCGTTACGATGGCCAGATTGCAGTCTTCGGTAAGGAGTACCAGGAGAAGCTCTCTAACGTCACTCAATTCCTGGTCGGTTCGGGTGCCATTGGTTGTGAGACCCTGAAGAACTGGGCCATGATGGGTCTGGGTACCGGTCCTAAGGGTAAGATCTTCGTCACGGACATGGATCAGATCGAGAAGAGCAACCTGAACCGGCAGTTCCTCTTCCGGCCCAAGGACGTTGGTCGTCTCAAGAGCGAGTGTGCCTCTGCTGCAGTCCAAGCTATGAACCCCGATTTAAACGATAAGATTGTGACCCTCCGTGACCGCGTCGGTGCGGATACCGAACACATCTTTAACGAGGAGTTCTGGAATGGACTTGACGGTGTGACCAACGCTCTGGACAACGTTGATGCCCGTACGTACGTGGATCGCCGTTGCGTCTTCTTCCGGAAGCCGCTTCTTGAAAGGTAAATCAATCCATCCGGAAAACATTTGAATAATTACTAACTGTATATAGTGGTACTCTTGGTACTAAGGGCAACACTCAAGTGATCCTACCCTTCATCACCGAGTCTTACTCCAGCTCTCAGGATCCCCCTGAGAAGTCGTTCCCTATGTGCACACTGAAGAGTTTCCCCAACCGTATTGAGCACACTATTGCTTGGGCACGCGACCTCTTCCAGACCTACTTTGTCGGTCCTCCCGAATCGGTCAACATGTACCTCTCGCAGCCCGACTACATTGACCAAACTCTTAAGCAGGCTGGCAATGAGAAGCAGACCTTGGAGCACCTTCGTGACTTCCTGGTCACCGAGAAGCCCCTGACATTCGATGATTGCATCGTCTGGGCCCGCCAGCAGTTCGAGTCTCAGTACAACAATGCTATCCAGCAACTTCTTTACAACTTCCCCAAGGACTCCAAGACCTCTACGGGACAGCCTTTCTGGTCTGGTCCTAAGCGCGCACCTACCCCTCTCAAGTTCGATAGCTCCAACCCTACTCATATCGGATTCGTGATTGCTGGTGCGAACCTCCACGCCTTCAACTACGGTATCAAGAACCCTGGTGCCGAGAAGGAGTACTACCGTAAGGTGGTGGACGACATGATCATCCCCGAGTTCACTCCTAGCTCGAATGTGAAGATCCAGGCTGACGACAACGAGCCTGATCCGAACGCCCAGCCTGCTGGAGGCAACGATAACGAAGATATTCAGAAGCTCGTTTCTCTTCTCCCTTCGCCCAAGTCCCTGGCCGGTTTCCGTCTGCAACCTGTCGAGTTCGAGAAGGATGACGACACCAACCACCATATCGATTTCATTACTGCGGCCAGCAACTTGCGTGCCGATAATTACGAGATCCCCCAGGCGGACCGTCACAAGACCAAGTTCATTGCTGGAAAGATCATCCCCGCCATTGCCACCGCCACGGCTCTGGTGACTGGTCTTGTTGCCTTGGAGCTGTTCAAGGTTGTCGATGGCAAGGATGATATCGAGCAGTACAAGAACGGCTTCATCAATCTTGCGCTGCCGTTCTTTGGCTTTAGTGAGCCCATCGCCAGTCCCAAGGGCAAGTACCAGGGCAAGCAGGGTGAGGTCACCATCGATCGCCTCTGGGACCGCTTTGAGGTGGACGACATCCCCCTTCAGGCCTTCTTGGACCACTTTGCCGATCGCGGTCTGGATATTACCATGGTCAGCTCTGGTGTCAGCTTGCTATATGCCAGCTTCTACCCTCCTTCCAAGGTCAAGGACCGCCTCCCTCTGCCGTAAGTTTTACCGTTTCTACGTCTTTACCCTACTATAAGCTACAGTGTACTAACTCTGCACAGGATGAGCAAGCTCGTCGAGCACGTTAGCAAGAAGCCCGTGCCCGAGCACCAGAAGAATATCATCTTCGAGGTGACAGCCGAGGACCAGACCGAGGAAGATGTGGAGATTCCATACGTCATGGTCAAGATGAGCAAATAAATAAAGGACTCGTTGAGACTGTTACATTAGAAAAGAACCCCCTTGTGGTGGCAGTCTCTTCGGGATGGGGAAGAGCACATTCATGATGATTACCAACGAACCAGCTCTATGCGATGCTAGATTTCCAGTTCTCGAAATTCCAATTGCTTCCTTTGGTTTTAATAGCTTAAGTAAAGTTGAGTAACCGCTGCCAAACCCTACCTAGTTAAGACTACTATTCTTGGGACTGCCTGAGTAAATGCTTTGTCAAAGCTGACGGGGCCCGCTTTCCATAGAAAGATGAGTAAGCATCTCGTCATGGAAACGCATCCCCCGCAGTTGGAAAGCTCGTCGGCTTTCTTTTTTTTTTCTTTTCTAACCTCTTCCTTGGCTTGATCTCGTATTCCTCTCGACGAGATCTATAAAGTCAGCTACTTCCCGCTGATGCTATTGACATTATTGCGCTCACCAGCACTATTCACTCTTCCACGATCAGCTCTCCGTGCGGGGTTCTTTGCCGCTTCTAAAGTTCCGTCCTTCTCCACAGGATCATCACGAAAGATGGCGGTAAGCGATGATAAAACATGCCACATGATTTACCATTGACCTATTTAGTCTAACTGACTTGACCGTGTATAGACCGGCAACTCGGCTAAAATCACCGACTGGGTCAACCCCAATGACAAGTCTGGCGAGTTCAAGCGCCAGCAGTCTGTTTTCCGCAGCTTCATCTCCCGCGAGCCTGGCGCCGAGTTCCCTCCTGAGAAGGGCCGTTACCATCTCTATGTCTCTTACGCCTGTCCCTGGGGTATGTTTGAAAACCAATTGCTATCAGAACTCTTGTGGGAAAGGTACTAATGTCTTCTAGCTCATCGCACTCTGATCACCCGGAAGCTCAAGGGTTTGGAGGATATTATCAGCTTCTCATCTGTGCATTGGCACCTCGGAGAGAAGGGTTAGTCCTTTAGTCCATGATCTCTATTCGTCTCAATCAATTGCATGCTAATTGTCAATCCAGGATGGCGCTTCGCCACTTCCGACGAGAACCTACCGGGCGAGAACACCATTCCCGACCCGCTGCACAAGGACTTCACCCACCTGCGTGATATCTACTTCTCCAACAACCCCGACTACACTGGTCGCTTCACCGTCCCAGTTCTCTTCGACAAGCAGACTGGCCGGATCGTCAGCAACGAGGTAAGATCTCCCTCCATATCAAACCTCCCAATTGCTTTCCCCCCAGCTAACAAACAACCCTCCCCAGAGCGCGGAAATCATCCGCATGCTCTACTACGAGTTCGACGACATCCTACCAGAGGAATACAAGAAGATCGACCTGTACCCCTCAGCCCTCCGTTCCGAAATCGACACCTCCAACGAATGGATCTACAACGACGTCAACAACGGCGTCTACAAGTCCGGTTTCGCAACCACCCAAGAAGCCTACGAGAAAGCCGTAGCAACCCTCTTCTCCTCTCTGGACAAGATCGAAGCACACCTCGCCAAGCAGGCTTCCGTCTCCCCCTACTTCTTCGGCAACACCGTCACCGAGGCTGATATCCGGCTGTTCACGACGATAATCCGGTTTGACCCCGTGTACGTGCAGCACTTCAAGTGCAATATCCGTGATATTCGGTCCGGTTTCCCGGCTATTCACCGCTGGGTGCGTGGGCTGTACTGGGATCTGCCCGCGTTCAAGGATACGACGGACTTTGAGCATATTAAGAAGCATTATACCAAGTCTCATAAGCAGATTAATCAGTTTGCGATTACCCCCGTTGGACCGCTGCCGGATGTTCTGCCCAAGGATGAGGAGGTGAAGGCTGCACAGGCTGCGACGTGAGATACTGGGGAGTAAATGATATAAAGCCAATATGGATAATGCACAGTTATTGAACGAGACTATTTGAAATGCAATTAAATTGAATATATCATCATATAGCCTCTATCCAATATCTCTAACCTCCTCAAGACTGTATCTAGTCGGCAGGATGTTCAGAAATGAAATTTAGTAATTCTCAATATACACAGGAAAAAAAACAACGAAGAAAAAGACCCAATGATAATGCATGGAAAAATCCACATGCCTCGACGCCTTGCCATGCTTATGTTTGAACATATAGTGTGGGAGTATGGTAATCCCCCAGTTTGACTCTGTAGCAAAGCACCTGCTCAGGTGGAGGATGTCTCACGAATGAGAAAAAAGCAACGCAAACGAGATAAAGCCAGAGCTAGATGCAAGTGATGTGGCAGTGATATGTGCCAGATATTTGAGCTGAGGATAAGATGTATCCAATTTGGAACAGAGACGAGCTGTACCATTATTTAGTGACCTATTTTGCGGGTATCTTGGGCTGAAATGGCTCTAAAAGGGACAATGAAAATCGAAAAGGTTTAGCGGGCCACGGGCGGCGGGAGGAAGAAGAAAGGAATTGAAGGTGAAGGTGAGCGATGGGCGGGTTGGTACAAGGGTATCACACTTATTTCAGGCCGAGCATCCGCTTCGAGTTCTCGTAGACCACGTAGCTGATGGACACGGCCGGGGCCACCTTGAGAAGGTTGGGTGTGAGACCCTTGTAGAACCCGCGCGGTCCCTCTGCCTGGAGAGTTTTGCGGGCGACATCGGTGATGCTGGTATATGTGGTCGGGTGGAGGACGGTGCCCTGAGCTTGTAGACGAGTTCGCATCACATTGAGAGGATAGACGACTGACGCACTGAAACCGCCGCTGATAGCACCGATGGTTCCAGTCAGGAAGTTGTTCAAAGTCACGTCATCCTCATGACAATGGTCGATGCAAGCTTGGCGAGAGACGAGAGCCCGTTTTAGGTATTCGAAGGTAGTCAGGTCAATCGCCGCGTAAGGGAACATTCCAATGAGGCCAAGCGGCAGGCCACGGAAGAACCCAAATAGCCCATTGGCGTTGAGCACTTTCTTGGCCGTGGCTATGATGAGCTTGTTTCCTCTCAAGCCACCTTCGACAGTTGAGCACTGCATCCGGCTGGAAGAATTTGTTAGCAATTGTGTATTTAGGAAAGGAAGCCCTGTAGCATGCTCAACTCACAATTTCAAAGTGTCAAGAGGGTAGACGAAGCATCTGCCAGGTTCAGTCAGGAAAATCTTCATTTAAACCGTAGTCCAGAAAAGAGGATAGCATACTGGGCTACCATTCCACCGATACCACCCGACAAGAACTGTGATGTAGGCCGAAGCTTTTTAGGATCGTTGTGTCCTTCGAATCGGGCGAATGCTTGTTTGGCCGACTATATCCGAAAATCAGAAATGGCAGAACTCAAAGTATCACTATTCATTAGCTCACCTCGTAGGCTCCGAATTTGATCGCAGACTCTGGCATCACCTTCAAGACATTCAACCCGTTGCCTATATGCCGTCAGATGAATGGTACCCTGAGTTAGCTATATTAGAGAAACGTACCAGCAAACAAGCTTCGGATACCGCCAGCCCGCCAAAGCTCCTTCAGCGCACCAGTCAAGGATTTTGACGCATTCCCTGCCGCCGCCAAGGGAGCACCGTCCTTCGCCGCGCGAATCGCCGTGTCCTTTGTCCCCGTCTGGGCGATAAGATAGACTTTGAGACGGTCAAGAGGGGCAGTGGCCGTCCTCGAGACAACGCCTGCGATACCGCCCGCAATAAAGTAGCCTAGTTGAGGGGTATTCTCGGTCAACTTGCGTTCATAATAGCGGAAGGACATCCACATGGCGACGGTCTTAGGGATGGGCAGCCACTCCAGCTCAAAGTCACCATCTAACGAGGCATATTCATTCCCGAAAGCAGTGGGCGACGTTGTAGCCGGGCTGGTGATGGTTTGCGCGAGGGCTGAAGGAAGGAGAGAGGCCAGCGCGGGCAAAGAGAGGATATTGTACAAGAGGCGCTGGAGGGTCAGGAGATAACGAGTAAGAAATATGTGGTCTGTACCTAAACCCTGCAGATCATTGATGTGGACATCTCCTTCCGGGTTTAGATTGCCCGTCGCCGTGTAGTATGACAAGACGGCGCGTAGGTCGGACGTGGAATGCAGCGGTAGGAAAAGAAGGAAGTCCCTAAAGCGGCACACGAGATGAGGTATCGAGTCAGCTGGATTTCGTTCACTTGGGCTCCGGCTCGTCAAGGTATCTCCTCCACAAGCAAACCACTTGATCGAGGGCAGTTGTTCAACGAACCTCCATTCCGCGTAAGTGATTACCCCGTCATTGTTTTTGTCCACCTCGGCAAAGAAATGGTCAAGCTTTGCGCTCGATACTGTGACGCCGGACTGTGCAAACGCGCTTCGTAGCTCTGTCTTGTCGATTTCCCCATTGTGGTTGCGATCGATGGCCTGGAACATCTGCCATAGTCCGGACTCGGTGTGGTCGATAAATGTTCGGAACTCTGAGAGGAAGCAGGTTAGGGGAAGACTGATCTCAGAGCACAGATGCGCCCTCGATTTGGGAGTAGCAAGGGGAATCGAAGCTCCAGGTGCTTACCATTGTAGTCTATCTGGCCATCACCGTTGGTGTCGACATCATGCAGAATGTTGCGCAGCATATCATCTGCATTTTTCAGAGCTAGTAAATGCGACCGCGTCAGTCGGGAGCTTCCGGCACGAGACCCGATCAGAGATTGGGGGGGGACAAACTCACGGTGATCGATCTTCTTAAGGCCTTTCTTTAAGCCAGTCAAGTCGATATGACCCTCCTTGCGCGTGTCCAGAGATTCCCAGAGCCGAGCGACTCGTTTGTCGCGCTCATCTTTGGACTCGCCGGGTGCCATGTTCGGAGGAAAATTGTTATCGAGCACCCGGCATTATTCAAGGGAGCATGACCAGGTATCTGGAGTGAAGGCAGGTGAAGGGATGCGAAAGGGACTCCCAAAGGGGCGGAGTCTGAGGATCTGAGGTCGGGGAGCATAAAAGTGAAGAGGCCTTTAACCGGTGGGGTTGGATCTCAAGGATCAATGAATAATGCGCGGCCGGTCATTGCTGGGACTGCTGGAGAACGACGCCATCATCGGGCACGGGACCAGGGCTGGGCCCTACTAACCTCTTTGGGCTCCTCCTGCTGGCCTTATCGAACTGCGAAGTCCGAGGTCCGATCTATACAGCCCGCTTCATTGCTGGTGAAATGCGTCTTATTACATTCCTACTCCTTCCATAGTTCTTCTACTATGGCTGCCAACTACTGGGCCTCGACTCAGCGTCGTCACTGGCTCTTCACTCGGGAGAAATTGGCCGAAGTTCGGGAGAGACTCCGAGAACGAGATAAGGTCACCCATTCGCAGTTTCCATTACCAGACCAGCGATTACTGAATATCTACTTCAATCAGCGTAAGTATAGCTTTTTTCTGATGCCACATTCCATGACTGACTCGCTATAGAACTGATCAAATTGGGCAAGCGCATGTCCACCCGCCAACAGGCCATTGCTACTGCCCAGGTATATCTGAAACGGTTCTATACCAAGAATGAGATTCGCCAGACCAATCCTTATCTGGTTCTCACCACGGCATTCTACCTGGCTTGTAAAATGGAAGAATGCCCCCAGCACATCCGCTTTGTAGTGGGCGAGGCCCGCGGTTTATATCCTGGTACGCCCTACAACGTCAATCTCTCGAAAAGAAAACCATATCCAACTAACTCATTCCTGCAGAATTCATCACGCCAGATGTAGCCAAGCTGGGCGAGTGCGAATTCGCCTTGATCTCCGAGATGAGCTCCCAGCTCATCGTCCACCATCCATATCGGACCTTGTCGGAGCTCCAAACCGAGTTACCCCTCAGCTCGGACGAGGTCGCCCTAGCGTGGTCCGTTATCAACGACCACTATCTAACAGACCTACCCCTACTTCACCCGCCACATATCATTGCTATCATGGCCATCATCGTCGCCGTGGTCTTCAAGCCTTCTCACCCCGGTAACTTTGGCAACTCGGCACAGTCAGCCTTGGCCGGAGCGATGAGAGACGGTGGCGGCATGGGCATGCTAGCCGCGTTGTCGGATAAGCCTGGCTCTGGTCCCCCTCGCATCCAGAAGCTCGTACAGTGGCTGGCAGAGAGCGAAATTGACATCAAGGCCGTTATCGAATGTACCCAGGAGCTTCTTTCCTTGTATGAGGTGTGGGAGCAGTACAGTGAGAAACACTGCAAGGAACTGATTGGACGCATGGTGAAGAGCAAGAATTTGGATAAGTGATGCCCGTGTGGACATGATATATACATTCACGGGGTGGCGTTTGGTTTCGCCGATGATGGTTCCTACGATGTGCATGAGTTTTCTTCTATATGGCGTTGGTTTTGGATTACGAACTTTTGCATTCTAGCGATATTGGCATCGAACACGATTTACCTGCGATGGATCCTACCATCATCCTTATCCCTGCCCGGTGGCAGTTAGACCTGTGCCTCAGTAGAGGAGCCCAACATAGAGAGGTATTTAGAAAATATCCCGACAATTGCCAGCATTCTGTCACAGTTCAGACATTGAAGCTAATACTGAGATTAAATATCGCCTGAGATACCTAGATATATGCATGTATCAACTCTAGCAATCACGACTACCAGGGATTCCCTGGTGGAGTTTATGTCATGCAGAATCAGATCCTAGTTAATGGGTCCACTACATTTAAGCATCGATAACTGTAAATTGTAAATTGTTCAAGATGTCCTGTGTTAGCAGTAGGCACAAGAATAGCTACCATGGACGATTGTTGACACATGGCTAGATTAATTTCTCCCTGCTAGGCCGTTCAAGTACAACTGTAGCTCTAATGTTTACCAAGTAGACTCCGCAAACCACATCGCAAACTAGACCAAGTTCCGAAACCACTCCGAATCGGAGCTAGGGTTTGTTGATGTACGCACCGCCACCCCCAAAACATCAACATGGTCGGGTTCACAACCGAACCGGGGCAACCAAACCGTGTGGCCCACGCCCTTGCGTGGCAATGTCTGGGGCAGGCATTGGGAAAGAGGATCCCCTCACAACTACTGAACCGAGTTCTTTCATCCTTTCATGCAGCGCTCAATCACACAGTAAGATCGGAGCGATTATTGCATGTCCTGCAGGCATCGAGGCGTGGAAAGTTGATGTGTCAGCTGCATGATTCAAGCGTCGAGCAATGGTGCCTGCACCTGGTCAGCTTTTGTAGCACGGGCGCTACGCCCACCTCATGTCCTTCGAATCACCAGAATATAACCTGACACAACTTAGCTGTGAACTTAGAATGGTGACTTTTCATGCCCTCTGCCCCTAACTCTAATGGTGGGTATTCATTAATAGAGGGGGCGACTCCCCCGGGAAGAAGCGGTGTAGGGCTGGGAAGTACTCTGGTTAGTACTGTAGCATTGGCTACGAAGGTACCAGGTACTTGAAGTACTCAGGCACGGTTGACTCGGGTCCTGCGTGGGTTCTTACGGGGGCCAGGGAGGAACACGAATCAATGCAACTTAAACACGAGGAGGCTTGTCCAGTGTCAAGGAGGTGTTACATGTGGACCAGGGTAGGAAGATGTTCCAGCAGGCGCTTACGGTATACCTAGATCAAGAACTACGCAACTATGGAGTTGCTATATTAATCACTACGGAGGGCTACTATCCAAGGGCCAGGAACGGGGTGGAAGCCCAATTTCCAGGACCTACGAGGACCCGCATACCGATTGCAGGCAATGGTGGAACCAGGAGGGTCATCTTGGGTACTCAAGGTGGAGGGCAGAGGACTGGTGACTCAGATGTTATGTACCCAGGTACACTGATGCAGACAGGACTCTACTCTGTGCCTGAGGAGTGACAACACCGACCCAATGAAACCCCCCTTCCGAGAGTGCGGACGTCGGCCACAGAACCCCCCATTAGTTGTTCTGTCTTCGAAGCTAGCCCGCAAATCGTAATGATGAGCTCTGTCGCTCTGGAAGGAGCGTCAGATCTCACGGTGCCAATCATGAGAGGTGGTGGCGGGGAGGGGCCATGCAAGCCTGCACAATCCTGGACAGAGGTGTAGCGTGGCTTATCGAGAGTGCTTTGCCCACCGATGGTCTCTGCGTCTAGAGGAGATGTCGGTCGCAGGATTGGGAAATTCATATGGGGGAGGGCAGACGATCAACGATCAGCAGCCACAGCCGGGCCCTACAGGGACGGAGAATGTGCCTGGACGGCTGCCCTGTGCTGCGGCCTACCCAGCCCTGCATCGCCTGCAGCAGACTAAGACGAAAGAGCGAAGTCGAGGATCGAGGCCAAACTTTGTTAACCCCCAGCGAGAGTTTTTTTCTAGTGAGGGCCGGGAGTTCGTCGCCGGGACAGCCGTATGCTAGGACCGCCGACAGCAGGTCCCAGCACGGGCTGTGTCACTGTCAAGAACATGGGGGAGATGGGCATGGCATGCCTATTCCGGTTGGGGTTGTGGCTGGGGAGAATTCATTTCGGCGATCTTCCAGCGTTGAGTGTCGTGTGAGTGGAGCTCTTTCTCTTCTCTAAAATTGGATCGTTGTAACAATCATCATTGTCGCCCTACCACCGAAGGATCAGTATGGAATCATGACCGATGGTATGTAGAACAAGAAGGGGGCGAAGGACGAGATCGTGATGTCCAAGAGAGAGTCATCGTCATGGCCATACCTGCTATGTGCCGTACTGTTCCTTTGTACGGAGTACATACTGGTGCTTCTCCCCTGCGTACTCAGGCAGAAATACCGTACTGCAGCGAGTTCGGCCGGATCTCCTCCTAAACCCAAATAGGTTTAGTTTCGCATTTGTCGACGACGTCACGGACCAGTCAGTAACCGCCCAGGGGAGCGGCATTTAGCAGTGGGCCGATTAAGCTCCATCGCGACGTGGTGATTGGCGGTGATGTTGCTTCTTTGCCACCGGCGGCGCTCGGGCGGGTTTGGTTGGTGCGTGACCTTTCGCTAGCGCTGCGAGGGAAAAGAGGGAATGACCGTACAGTACCGTCTATTTTACATTGATCAATAGATTACCTCCTTCCATTCTCTGCCTCGAGACTCGACAATACCAAACGTGACAGTACTGTCTTCTCAGCCCCAAAACACCCCTCTTTTTTTCCCTCGCCTCCCTCCCACAGACTCTCTCCTCCTCCACTCCAATTCCAACGCTTCTTCTCTTCTTCTCCCTTCTCCCACTCTCCCGCTTTTTTACGTTCATCTCCAACCTTCCAACTGCCTACTTTCTGACTCGCTTTCTTTTTTTTATCCTCCTCTCCAAATCTTCCAATCTTCTTTCCTCTTGTCTTTCTTCGGGTGCTGGATTCTCCCTCGATCATCCATCATGTCTGCCTTCCTGTACACCCACCACCACCAACAGCAACACCACCAGCAACATCACCCTCAGCATGCCGCCCAAATGCACTCCAACAACCACCATGGTCGTACCCGCCGTGGCCCCAAAATGGCCCAGCAGAATGCCCAGCGTCAATTCCGTGGAGTCAAGAGCATGCGGGAACTTGCGGAAGCCCCAGCGGTGACGGCCTTCCGGGCCAGATTCGAAGCCGGTCGCTCCTTTGATCTCGATGACGACTTGGAGTTCTGCCCCAACCTTCTGACCGATGAAGATGTATGTTGAGATGAACGGCTCCTTTTGCGACCGTCCCCGTGCCACCTTCCCTCCTATATCACCCTTCTGTTGTGGTTCGCTCGTAACCGCAAGCACCCCGATCAAAGCAATGCTCCCTTTCACGGAGGATCGTCGGCGGGCCAGTAGCAGCAACAACAGCGGCCATAAGACACCCTTTTTAAAGTCAGATCCCGTATTGACATTCGATCTCGCAGTTGCACTCTATCCACTCTGCTTCGTCCGACCGCTCCTCGCTCTCCAGTGGGTCGCCCGACACCTCGCCTCTGCAGCACCAGATCCAGCCCGTGCAGCAGGTCACCCCGGCGATCTCCCTTTCTCCCGCCTCGACCAACTCCTTTGTCCACGCCAGTGTCGCTGCCAACCCCAATCATGTCAATTTCCACCAGCCTGCTGCCAACCGGACTCGCAAGGTCATCCCCATCATCAACCCTACCACCGGGATGACCATGACCAGCCCTCCCTCGTCGATTTCCCCGGCGATGATGCAGGCTGCTCAGCGTCGATGGTAAAGAGACCCCGATCGAGGTCTTTGGCCGAAAAAATGGTGCTTGCTTGCGAGCCCTTTTTTCCCCTTGCCCTAGCGGCATATGTCTCTGCACGTCATCTGAGTTCCAAGTTTTGCATCATCGCGCGGGTCCCTCTAATCGCAGGTCTTAATAACTTCTTACGTTGCATTTTTGTCTGACATGGCTATTTTGCATCCTTCTTTTGTTCTCTCTTTTCCGACACGACCACACTACTACCTTTGGAAATATCCCATTTTTTCTACGACACGGCGAACCTCCTATCTTCTACCAAAAAAACCCTCTCAAAAACACTCGAAAACTCTTCGACGAAAAATCCGGCTTTGTACATATTACACCACTACGCCGCCGATTACGACCATCTTCGCCTTCCATCTAGATCTTTGCGATTTTTTTCAAGCTTGTTGCGAGCGACGGCGCCCTTGCGATTTGAAACCCTTTTTGCATCCTTTTCCATACGATACCTGCGGTCTCTCAGGGAGGGACCTGAAACTTCTATTCTTGGGCCTGTGTTCATTGTTTATTTCGGTTGGGCCCGCCGATGATGTTTAGAACGTGCAGTGACTTGCTACTTGACGTACATGTCGCATTGGGAACCCGGAGTTGGTTTTTTGTTGCCTCTTTACAGGGTTGGGAAAAAGGATGGATCGCTTGCGAGTGACCTTTTACCCCGGCTCGCCCTCTCTCTCTTTTCTTTACCTTACACATACGCTGTGACTTATTTCGACGATTTCCTTGCTTCTTGGACTTTCTTGGGGGTTTGTTTTACTCATGGGGCGGGATGGATATCACATTTTTCAAGGATCTAGAGGCGGAAACGATACACGTCTGCATTGCTTGGGCACTGTTGAAATATCTGGGATTGTTTTTTGGTTTTTGTTGCACCTTGTTGACCTTTTTTTCCATTCTCGTTTATCTTATTTTCCCTATCTTTTTTGGCTTGTACATCGGTTTATGGGGATGGGTGACATGCGAATACTCATTGCTTCCTTGCCACGGGGTGCAGTGGCTGGTTGGGGGTTTGGTTGCGCAGCGAAACCATGGGATGCGGAGTTGTTTTCTGTTTGAAATCGATATCCTGGGGGTCTTCTCGCGGAACATGCGATAGACCATATTTGCGTTGAAAATGGTTTACTTTTTTGTCTATGTCTTACATATTGATTCTACTCTGGTATTATTCATTGATCACACTTCTCTCCATTCGTTTCTCTTCTGCTATCTCTATCTCGTCTACTGTTTCTTTTCCAAGTGGAGGACTATTTTGCCGCATGCTTTTCGGGCATTATTCCAGACTATCGTCTCTCTTCAATGGCACATCTTCTTTGTCCATTTATCAATGACTTTGTTAGGTATTCTCTTGTATAGCTGTAAATATGATTCGACCCGGTCTGATCTCGTTGCAGTCGACATGCTGCTATCCGTCATCGATGCAAGGTGCAGCGGCCACAGTACGTGATCCATGATATATCGCGGCAAGTAGTGGCTATGTTGCTCGGGTTTCGGGAATCATATCCACTGAACTGCCTACCTACTTGGCAATGGGTATCTTTCTAGAACATCTCCTTTACTGGAAAAGACAATCTCATTCCTCTGCGTCACTGGCAATGATCGTTCTCCATATATCATGATGTCATTACTCGAGCCCCAGCATGGCCGAGAATGCTCCATCCCAAATACGCGACAGCCTTAATCAACGCAATGCTCTAAAAAGCTCACTATTCATACCGAGTATATTGCTAGCAAGCCCAACAATCAGTCAAGATACTCTAGTGTATGATGCCTCAGTAGCATAAATACTGCAAGTACTGGAATAGAAACCTCTGCAATCTCCACCAACCTCATATCCGCCGGTCCGTTGTTCGCCATTAAGTATCGCTGACGTCATTCGTAGAACAGCGCTGGGAAATCACGAATAGAAACAGAGGAATTGCTGAGTTCCCAGTATTCCACGGTCTATTTAAAAGGATTGATTCTCCCCGCGTAAGCTGTGTTAAATTTTTGACTGTTCTTGCGGGGAATTCCATCATCTTGACTGTCCCATATCCATCGACTTTTGCCGCTCGACTTCCCAGCTACGCTTCTCCTGCTTTCCACCAGCTAGGAGACAGTTCACAACTGCAATTCTTCACAAAATTACCGATTCTCAACGCTGCCATGTCCTTCCTCACCTCCGTTCGGGCTAGCTCCCGTCGCGTTGTGCCATCGAGCTATGCTCTTCCCTCCATGTCTAAATTCCACACCTCGGCGCCACGATGCACTCTCAAAGAAAGCGATAAGAGTGAGTGATATTTTACCTTCCACCATCGACACCAAGATACAAAGCGATTCTATTATCTTCTTCTTTCCACAGTAGCAACACCATGACATGACTAACCAAGATACTATCCAGACCGTGACGACCTCTCAGGTCACTACGAGACCCAGAAAGACCAACAGTTGAAGAGCCAGAAAGCCGGACAAGGAAAATGGAACGCTGAATTAGCGAGTAACAGTGAAGCGGATGTTCGTTTATACCATCCCCGATGGAACAGAGATGATCACTGGGCTAACCTGTCGTTTCAAACTTAAAGGTCAAGGCGGATCGAGGAGAAGTCGAATCCTCGGATAAGGCTTTCCAGGAGTTGCAACAGAAAACCAAGCGTATCCCCGAACAAAAGTGAGCAGGTACAGGTTATGACAGAAATTCGCATTGGAAAATGGCTTTGGCGGAGTGTTTACACGGATCAATTTCCGTAATGGTTCCTGGCTGTTCATGAGGGAGGCCGATATTCTATCCCAGACGAAATTGCCGCCATGTTTCTTTTCTCGATTCTACGAATGAACTTCATTGAATAATGAGGGCGCTTGTAATGTGGCTTAAGTAGCCAGCTCGATTTAACCGATTGTCCTAACGCCAAATATCACAATCACCGTAAGCCATCAGAAAGGTCATAGAATTGTCCATTCCACCGAGACCCGAAACGCCCGCTCGCAGTAGTTAATCATAACAAAGAGACCAAACAAACGACCCAACGTCGCTATCATTTCAAGATAACAATCAGGATAACCAGAATAATGATCAACCCGATGATGGTCATCATACTCCAATTATCGCCCGCCTTGCGTCGGATCCGGTCCAGCCGCCGTCGCGCTCCGTTGAGTCGGTTCTGATGACGCTCAACATCACCGTCCATGCCCTCCAGTAGCTCAACGTGGCCATCGAGCTCATCTCCAATCTGGATACTCAGTTGGTGCTGGCGTCCAATAGACTCTCCTAACTGATCGAGTTGATCATCCTGTTCGCGCATCACTCGATCGTGGTGCAGATAGATTTGCTCGTTGGACATGTTGGATTGATCAATGCGTGGGGGTGATGGTTCATCTCGGTAGGGTCTGAAGAGATTTTGGCGATTCCGATCCTCCTCTTCGTCGATTTCTTCCTGGACGGCCGCGGCAGCCGCCGAGTTATCCATAAACCGCACCGATTTGGAAGGGGGATGTTGTGGAACGGGTTGTTTGAGATCGGGCGATGTCGCGGACCGATGCACAGAGTCCTGCGTCGGGTCTTGGCTAGATGGGGCGCCGTCTGTGCCGTAGAACTGGGAGGAGAGGTCTTGAAATTGGTCGTGGAGGGGGCCAAGCTGGTCCTTCAAGGCGGCAGCGCCTGCGCTGTCGTTGGACTCTGCCAGCCGTGCCTGTTCGGCTTCTACGGCTTGGATGCCCGCTTGAAGGGACTCCAGCGACCGAGAGATCTCGCCATCTTGCGCATTGGGTTCGAGGTCGAGGGAAATGGCACGCTGTCGCTCTAGGAGGGAGAGCTTGATGTGATCGGCGAGGAGGAAGAGTTGGGATGGGTTCGTCATGGTGGTGTCAGACGGACGGCACCGGGGAGGCGAGTCTGTCTTGAAAGGGGCGGGTGATGGAATATCGGGATGCTGAGAAACAGTATATGCTGCAGACAATTTCAGATGGATGGTAGCACAGACGACGCTGGTGGGTGGAGGTAAGACGACCGTCGCAGCTGAAGGCAGTCGTGGATTCCAAAGCACAAAGCCCCCGAGTCCCCGACATGCCCGGATCTACTGCGTACCCGCCCGCTTTCCGCCTTTGCCTCTCTGCCTTCCCCCCCTCCGCAATCCTACCTTCTTCATTTCCCCTCCATACTTCCTCCCTTCTTTTTAAATCTACCTGCCCTGCTATCAGACTCAGGAGGCGATTTATTCCCTATTGAATGATCCCCATTTGATCGTCACCCTTAGGGGTCCTGCGTACCTTGTCAACGACCTCGGTATCTATATCCCGCATTACTATTACCCAGCATTCACAAGCTGACGCCGGAACTTCTGAGCAGCAACGAAATTAGAATAAAACCCGCCCAAAACCCCTCGGAATCCTTTGCATGGGCCTTACCTAAGGCTGACATACCTGCGCACCATGGATATTCAAGACTTCCTGGCTATGGAGGCCAGCTCCGACCGCGACGACTTGGTCGATCTTCGCGCCCTTGATATCGTGTCCAGCTACGATTCACACCTAATGTGTCCGATCTGCCACTGCCCCTTCGTACAGCCTGTGCGACTACAATGCGATCACGTTTTTTGCCAAAAGTGCTTGGGATCGGCCATCACCACCTTCCGCTCGGCCGATTCGGACGAGTTCCCGTGTCCCTCTTGCCGCACCCCCACCACCCGAATATCGACCAACGTACCCCGCCTATTGGTCAACATGTGCGATGAGATTCAAGTACGGTGTCCGTTGGCAGGGGAAGGCTGCAATGAGATTGTCCCGCGAGGTCATGTCCAGTCGCACGTGGAGAAATACTGCGGTTATCGGCTTGTATCGTGTCCGGATGAATCGTGCGGAAAAAAGACCCGGAAAAAGGATCTCCAGCCGGAAGAACGTTGTATGCATAGCTATTGTCGCTGCGAACGCTGCAACGAGGATGTGATGGAGCAGGACTTTGCCGAACATGACAGGGAGCTCTGCCCTAGTCTAGAAGCGACTTGTGATGATTGTGGAAATATTGTCCCACGACGATCATTAAAGAAACACGTCGAGACCTGTCCGGACGTTGTGAGCGCCTGCGCGGCATCTCAGTATGGCTGCTCGGTCAAGGTCCGACGTGCTGATATCGCGATGCACGAACAGCAGTGCCCGCTGGTCTCAATAGGACCATATCTCGAAGCGCAAAATACGCGACTCAACTCTCTGGAGTTAACAATGCGACATCTCCAACAACGCAATGAGATATTCGAGGACGGAATGGCCAAGATTAAATCCACCCTTGTCGAATCTTCACGAGTGAGCGGCAGTGATCGGAACGGTGGGAGATCCGCCACCAATGGAGACAGAGACCGACAATCTCGCAACGATGCAGACGAATCTGCAGACCCCGCAAATTCATTCTCATCCCACACGACTCAATACCTTCTCTCGCTACACGAGTCTCTTCGCGAAGAGGTCACTCAAATGTCACACGCTCTCACAGACCTCGATGCTCGTGCCAGCATGACCATCATGAACGAGTGCCTCCGTATTAAAGAAGACATGGCCCATACCAACGCCGCCCTCAACAGCGTGCGCATGCAGGTACAATGGCTCATGAATCCCCGGCTCCACAACGGGACTCGAGCGAATGGAATGCGCACCAGCGCAGCTAGTAACGAAGCCACGCGCACGCAATTAACATCCACGTCCGCGCCGGGCCCGAGTGGCGGTGCCGGTGCATCACTGGGGCCGCTTCGACCTCGACGACCTAGCGATAGCGGGCGTGAGGGAACTAAGCTGTGAACGGGAAGGAATTGAATCTTGTGTTTTAAGCGTTGCATTTCTCCAGGCTGGGATGTGGAGAGGGAGTATTGGGATTGTCTTTCTATTTTATGTATCTCATAAGTGACGATGACTGGGCTGGCCTGTCTCATGGCAATGGATTATAGTGTACTTTGGTGCTTGCCGCTTATCATATCTTTAGCTTGGTTCTGTCAGAACCGACGATTAGGGGAGTAATGAACTACTATTACCATGACCTGCTTTGACCAACGTAGGAAGAATTGTTCTATACCCATATTCGTACAGAGTTTTCGAAGTACCAGCCACTGTCCTACCTACCATGAATCATGCGAGTCGATTTACTTGTAAGGCTACAACCGCGACTACGGCCATAAGACCCGTCTTCACGTTATGACGCTCTTAACTTTCTCCTACCTGCTCGTTCCGTTGACGCAATGCAGCATCCGCGCCCTAAGACGGGTAGTTAATATTTCGTCTTGCCAGCTACGACTATAATCATCAGGAGACTCAAGAGGATACACTCATTCCCGAAATATGCTTGACCAAAACACATTTAATTACTCTTTCCTGGCTCCACTGATCAGGACCTTAGCGCAGATCAATCAGATAATTGGGCGTTATTGAGAAATAAGACTCGTTCTTAGTGGTAAATGAGTCGGGTCGGGTCGGGTCGGTCCAATTTCTACCAAGTTCTACTCCAAGAAATACATCGGATCAAATCGAGTGTTTGGTTCAAACATTCTAGTCAACAGGCTGATTCATCTTCTCTCGTTTTATAGGTAAGTAGATCCTCTAATTAGTAGGTTGCATCGTTTTACAGATAGGAGGAAGCGGATCGCGGCTCGAATAGCCTCCCACCAGGTAAGCAATCGGGTCGGAGAACTGAGCGGGTCGCGGCCATCATTAACCACGGTGGTCTTTTCAGCTATTCTACTATGTAAAGTACCTTTTTGGCCCCTTGGTGAGTCATTGCAATCTGTTACCATTGAAGGGATATGAAATCACACTACTGACATGGAATAGATCCAATCGGCTTCGTGCGTCCTTCGCTCTATCAGCAAGGTGAAGGGCTATAAATTCAAGAACTCCCCCTTCACAATGACCTAGGCTTCGAAACTACTATCGAACAGATAGACCAACCATATCTTTCTTCCACTAAGCCAAACCTTTTTGAAAAATCCTCAGTCTATTCGCAAGCACTCCACAACAAATGCGCGCTGAGCCTTAAACGTAACTATTCATCCTGCGCGAGATCTCAATTCCGATATCCCGTCTCGATCGTCAACCCAAGTGGAATTTTTGAGCCCTAATACCGTGAATCAATCACAAGTCATAAGCTCCATTCAATACGTTGAGTTGAAATCACCGAGTGCTGCCTCTCTCGTCTTCGAGTATTAGTCGCGATGCCAGACAATCAACTCTCTTATCTCCAAAGCTACCCCAACGCCGAAGGATATTTCGGCCGGTTTGGGGGCAATCACTATCCACCCGAGCTTCGGCCAGCGCTGGAAGAACTGGCCAGCTGCTATAAGGAGCTTCGTCAAACGCCAGAATTCCAGCAGACACTCAACAAGGCGCGAATTGGACTTCAAGGGCGACCGACCCCGATACATTACCTCGAAACTCTTTCGACTCAAGTCGGGGGTGCTCAGATCTTTATTAAACGAGAGGATTTGAACCACACGGGTGCACACAAAATCAATCACTGTGTTGGCTTCGCCCTTCTGGCTAAGAAGATGGGCAAGACCAAACTGATTGCTGAGACCGGAGCCGGCCAGCACGGCGTCGCGCTGGCAACTGCGGCTGCCTATTTTGGCCTCGAATGCGAAGTCCACATGGGAGAGGTGGATATCGCCAAACAGAGTTCGAATGTCGGTCGTATGCAGCTGCTCGGCGCGCGCGTGGTACCGGCAACTACGGGCCAGTCCACGCTGAAGGATGCTAGTGATTCCGCATTCAATGCGTATGTAGAGCAGCATGCGCACGCTCTTTATGCGATCGGTTCGGCTATCGGGCCCCATCCCTTCCCAATGATTGTTCGAGACTTCCAAAGTGTAGTCGGTCGAGAGGCTCGCGAGCAATTCATGTCTATAACGGAGGGAAGCTTGCCCGAGCATGTCGTTGCTTGTGTCGCAGGTGGTTCCAATGCGATGGGTATGTATTCCGGCTTCATTGATGATCCCGAGGTTGTTCTGCACGCAGTAGAGCCTCTGGGTATATCTGACGAGCCAGGCAAACATGCAGCGACACTAGCCTTCGGAAGACTGGGAACTTTGCACGGCGCTCGATCAGTTGTGCTGCAGAAAGACGACGATACACCTGCTAGTGTCTCCTCTATAGCATCGGGACTCGCCTACCCCGGCGTTGGTCCTGAGATTGCGATGCTCCATGAAACTGGTCGTCTTTCCATCGCAGCAATTTCCAACGAGGAAGCCATCGACGCATTTTTCCGCGTGGCAAAATTCGAGGGCATTATCCCTGCGTTAGAGAGTGCGCATGCTTTGGCGTTTGCGATCCGCTTGGCTTTGCAGCGCCCTTCGTCTGAACGGATACTGGTTAACCTGTCTGGACGCGGTGACAAAGATGTTGACTATGTGCTTGAGAACTATGGGACAGGTGCCTAGCTATTCCATTCATGTTAATTTCACTCGAAATTGAAATCGGTTTGACAAATACACATTCAATAACTCTTGCAGTATTATGGTGCCTTCAAAGGTTTAATCGTTTCAAAATCAAAGCGTATAGTAAGCTCTGTTACGCGTACCGTATGGTCGCATGTACTCCGTACTAGAAAGTAAATGAACACAAAATATATGTTCTGAAAGTTCCTCATCACACTGCATGGAGTGCTGCTTTGGCGTCGCGCCACCAAGGGTGAGAAGGGTGAGGGCGACGTGCATAGGGTGAGAACTCGTCTAGGTCAGGCGATTATCGCACTGGCCCTTCAGCTGAATTAAAACTCGTTTTATTAATGACAGTGCCTTAACTGAATTTTTCGCTACATGAGATGTATCTTCCATGGAATCAGCAGAAGTCAGTGTCTCGCCACCCTATCACGTTATCACGTATGCGCAGGGTTATTGCGCCTCGTTCTGCTAAATTCGTGGAAAGAGATGGGAATAATATGTTTTGGTTTCTAGGATTATTCATATTAATTAAGAGTGATCGTTAAGCGCCGATGATTAATTTAGCGGCGATGCGTTCATAGTAGATCTGTAGTGTAGTAAGACCCAAGGGTATCGAAAAGGTTCGGACCGTCACGAAAGAGGAGCCATTGGAGTCTCTCGTGTTCACATTATCATGAGATAACTTTCTTTGTTTTACTATATCTCTGGGTTTAGAGCCAATATCACAACCTACGTACTTTTATTTCTCTTAAATCCTGATGGTGTAGCAATACATTTACAATTCTGTGTCTGACTACCAATTTGCCGGCCTATAAAAAAGATATTCAGATGTATACTAATTTGAAGCCGATCCATGGTCAAACAGTTAGATTTCCCTATAGCGTACTATGTTTCTACTAACAATCCTGAACTTGCGTGTGTGGCAATATGGTGTGCTTTCTCGTCAAGCCCCCACGTCATCTATGCACCACTTAAAGAAAACCTTTAAAGACTCAGCCCGCTTAGTTCTGCTAATAAGTCCTGGAAGCCCTCGCAAAGAACTTTTCCATCGGGTCCGGCGAGTACTGTGGTAAGTGCAGCAACTTGAGTCTGATGAATGTGGCATTTGAGCATAGCTTTCTTGTTCGATCTGTATGATGAAAATCTGTTGACCATGACAAGGATCAAATTTCTGAGAAGGTCCGTGTAGCTATCCCTGCATTAACTGTGGCTGTTAAGATACGTATTTTAGCCAGTGTAAGCACGGGTTGGCCCGGCCAAGAAAAGGAATGATGGGTAAAATGCCTGAGGCGCAAGACGAAGCAGCGAATAGATTGCTTACCTCCGTGATAGTACAATCCTGGTAGGTCCTTCTTGACGCCTGAGGCTGAGAGGCGTATGGGCGCATGAGGGGCTGAGCAGTGCAGTGGCTCTTCACGTGGTAAAGTGAGGGGTGTCTATGGTCGTGCGAGGAGGAGGGCGTCCATCCCACAACTTGGTCACTTGGACAAGAATTCTCTCCTCGCCAATTTTTGCTAGATCTTATCACTATCTTTTGAGGCGTTTTCAACCCTGGTCTTTGATTTTGACAGTAGGCGGGCCTACCAAGCTGACCAGATAGCGCGGCTCAACCAACCCAGGGGGGAAAATAAGAAAGATGGAATCTGACTCGAGACCCGCAAGAAATACCAATGATTCACCGTTTCCCAGAATCAGTGATCGCAGGCACCTTGTTGCCATGAAGACCGCTATTCTGCTCTTCGTGCTCTTCCTGGCGGGCCATGTTTTAGCTAGGCCATTCGGCCCAGTAAGCAACTATGCTCGAGACAGCGCCACTAGCTTGGCTGGTACCGAGATCCTGAAGCTTCCATTAGTTATCAAATTGATTGAAACATTTCTGGCGATAATTTCGGTTACGCTGGCTGTTGTGGTCTACGGTCTCTTGATACGGCGAGCATCATTGATGTCGACGGCATCAATGTATCCTTGCCGCCCTATTGAAACTAACATCGGTGAGCTTCTGCGTCGAGGATGGCCCAGTAGCAGTCAAGATAAGCCAATTCAACCCGATATATCACCTAAGGTTGTTATGTCTTGCCCAGGCATTATCTATCGCATGACTTGCTAAACTTATATTAGGTTCAATTATTCTACCTGGGGAAAATGCTCAGCGACAACAACCACGGGCGGGTTGCGAAGGGCATTCAACAATGCGCCGCTACGCCAGAAGGTCCGGCAGAGCGTCACGCTATGTGGCTGACTAGTGGCTCTCCCATAACTAGAAGTGTCGTTCAACTGCTAGTATGGGAATGGGCCTCCCTCTGGCTGATGTTCCTGATGCTCGCTGGGACGCTGATGTACAATGGATTTTTCACGAACGAAAAGACCATCGATAGCTATCCACGGCTGGCTGTTACTCTTATCTACGCGGTCTCCTACCTGGTCCACTTCCTTTATGTTTGGTATATCTGCTTAAGCTTTCTCTCCAAAGCAGCTGCCGGTGCCTCTTGGAGTCTCCTGGAGAGAGCAAACTTTGCTGTCATTGACAGTCAAAAACTTGATCAGTCATCAGATGCAACTATAGAGCTCAAGGGTATCGACAAATCCAGCGCTGAATACGTGCCGACCAACATTCGCGCGGTTCTCCACCATAGAAAGGACGAGATAGTGCGTGATGATAATTCCATCGCTAAACTACGCTCAAAAGAGGGCGGGAATAAAGAAGAGCAGGGGGAAGAGGACTTGAAAGAAGTCTCTATGGCACTCAGAACAATTTCTGCAGCTCAAGAGAATGAAAGAACCACGACTAGAGAGTCTGCAAATAACGCCCACGACCGAATCGTTTCCAACAGTTTGCTCGTTATGGGCATTACGGTGGCCTCGGCCTTTTCCTCTTGGACATCTTTTCAAACAACAGAAAATACGCCAAACAATTTCAACACGAGTGCAATTGGGTCCATGGCACTCCTGACCTCTCTCTCGCTAGGCGTGGCGGCTTTGCTCAGCTCCGCCTTACACCTCAGCATTATGGACTCTTCATTCTGGACGATCTTATCATTGAAAGAGATAAAGATCAATGGACAGGCAGTTGATCACTACAAGAAGAGGAGGCGAAAGCAAGAAGATCAAGCTAATTTACTGTCTTTCACGGAAGGAACCATACCGGTATCCCGTATTAGCTTCTTGGACATCGTTGCGACGAGCTATGGTGCCAGGAATCTTCTCAAACTTTTGCTTTTCGGGCCTGCATACAGTCTGTTGCCCAAGAAAGAAGACCATGGACGAACCTCTGCGGAAACTGGGTTTGATTTCCGGGTCCGCGTCCGCAATATGACTGTTCTGTTAACAACTCGAGCAACAAATGCGCATATGAGGACGAAATACGGTGACAATATGGAAGCCATTAATGTGTGCTATATTGACCCGGATAAGAAGGTACGTATCTTCATCCGCAACTCTTGCTCGAGGATTCTATATTCAATTGTTAACGTTACTATGGAATTCACTATGATAGCCATTGACTCCGGATAGCGTCTGATTGACGGTGGATGCTTTGCAACTAATCTCGACCTGTAATGAGAGAATCACGTGAATAGGGATGGTATATCATCAAGTAGTATTATCAATTATTCTAATCATTACTATGATATTGGTATGGGCAAGGGATGGCAAATATTCTCCATGTGCTTCTGTAGCTCTCCAGGGATAGTGTTGAGTTGGAATCTCCTTGCAGGGTAGACGAGCTAGACCTTGAGATTCTTCACCCTGGGTTCGACCTTTTGTCCATTTTCTCTGCCAAGAATTCTCTAGTAGACTGACGATCAAATTCAATGCCGTTTCCTTGCATCCTAATAGGTGAACATTCCAGCGGCCTTCTCAAGAAAACATTATTTCACACGATTGAACAAACGTCAATATTCTTGGTTCAGCAGTGAAAAAAAGTCAAGTCGACGGTGTTTGGACACGGTAGGCACTACCTCGTAAGAGGCGTGGTTCTGCCACAAGCACTGACGTTCAACGGGGCACGGTTAGAAGTTTCAGATAAGACTGAGATGCGCGGTGCAGTAGATGCCTCAATGAATCGGCGAGAGGTAAAATTTCTCGGAACTTGTTCCATTCAAATAGTTGGCTGCATTTGCTGTCTCCTCCCTCAATGAGCCTTTCCACGGATAGGTAACATGGCTCTGCGGACATATCTATGGCAAACGGTTTTGATCCGCCGAGGAAGTACAGCAACCGACGGTCGCCAACTGAGACTACCCTGCGCGGCTGTCACACCGGTTCCATCATAGCTGGCCTTTCGCTCTAGCGTTGGGGCCACTGGTGCGGCACTTGCCGTCCCGGGCGCTGATGACCCCCTTTCAGTTGCCGTCTGCGGAGGTGACAAGGGATCACAGGTTGACTCTGCTCGTATCGTGGTTGCTTCACTTTGCGAGTCGTCCGTTTGAGGTGGAGTCTGTTGCAGAGGGATTTTTGTACGGCGCGCCAGCGGCACAGGATCTGCATCCTCGAATTTCGCGGAGATTCGCTGGAGTGCAGCTGTAATGCGATCGTGAGCGGCTTGTTTCTCTGGTGACATGATTGGGGGTGTGAAAGCGGCGTCGTCTGTGGTATCCGCATTCTTTGGTGCAGTGAGATTGATCGGCGGTGATTGATTCATTTCTGGCAGGTCGTCTTCTGGGACTTCATGAATAGTCCTCACTCGCTGCGTCCGCCGTATGCCTCGGATGTCTTCGTCTTCTTCTTCAGACTCCTCGTTGTATTCGTAGTATTCATCATCTGAATCCTCTTCGGACGATTCATCCCAGTCCGAGTCGTCCGAGTCCTCTTCAAGGTCACGACTGAAAAAGTTTTCAATATCTCTTCTGACATTTTCTTCACTTTGGTCCTCATCGGCGTCCTTGGCAGATGCAACGACCTCGGTATGACCGGAGGGTGGTAATTCCTGCGTCTCACGGTACTCCATAGCCTTGCTCCGAAGCGACGCAGTTGCTGTGTCTTGATCCAGATAAGACGTTGCCATTTTCTGCATATGCAAGCTGTGAACTGCCCGGTAGGCCTGTGAGACAAGGTCCATCACGTACGTCGCCGAGGCGGCTCCATCAGGATACTTCGCGGCGTGGTCGTATACTTTCGCGCAATGCAATTCAAAGGTCTGTGCAAATTGGAAGACATCTTTAAACTCGCCACTCACAAATGAGGGCTCCGGCCATTGGGACTCCATGATAATGAGTTGTGGAATAGGTGATTGTAGAAGGATAATCTCGAAGACGCGTGAGGTACAGCTTTTTGACGCGTGAAGCTCGGCAAGGGGCGCTCATTTCGCGTCAACCCTAAGCTATGTAGGCACAAAGAATCTTAATTGGCGCTAACCTAATTGAATTACTAACCTATACTGGGATGAAAAGTAAGGTTGCTTTGTCTCAAAAAAATTTGCCTCGAATATTGAACTCTGTATGTAATTGCTTGAAACTCAAGCAACAAAAAAGAAATGATCTCAGGTTATTTTTAGGAATAGCCGAACGCGGGGGTCGAACCCGCAACCTTGAGATTAAGAGTCTCACGCTCTACCGATTGAGCTAGCCCGGCAGGGCTGGTTGAAGAGCAAGCAGATTTATGGCTACATAAGGGAAAAGCATAATTAGGACTTGAAAGGCTCGGGGGTCGAGGCTATATTGTGTCCAGTAGGTTAGAGAAGTTACACACAGGTATTGCACGAAGTTTGGACTACTATGGAATTCTTTCAATTGATTTGGAGATATGTGACTGGTCGTCGGATTCACTGGATTCTTGACAATTTGGGTGTGCGCTTGACTTGGACATATATATCGAGGCTATCAACCCGAGGCATATAATGAGTAACACGGCCGATCGCCGTTGTTGGTAGTCGACAAACGGATCCTACGTCCAATGGCCGATAAGCCAAGGAACATGATTTTGAAAACCGAGAAAGTATTCATCGGCGTCCAATTGGGTGCGATAAGAGTCATATTTACTTCATAGGTCTAGGTACAGTTTGTCTAATCTTAACCAATAGCCGGGCCGATTCCCGACACCCCGTCTCGAGCTTCAAACTCGATAACTTGAGAAACAAAACACTGCCAATCTTGATCATGACACCCACACTCATCACAAATTTCATAACCTCATAAACCATCTATACCTTAGGATTTCCCCTCTACTAGGACTTTCAACACATGTCAACCCAGAGAGCTCTTCAATAACCATGACCGCCCTGACCATGTCCCTGTTGACCATGATACTGCGAATGCTGCTGCTGGTATGTCGTAGTCTCATGTCCACTCCCAGAGCCAGCCTCATCATCCTCTCCAAGCTCTCTCCTCGACCCATGCGACAAACCACCGGGAATGAAGTTAGAAATGGTGCTCTCAAGCTTGTTCAGATTGGACATGCCAGGGATGGGCAACTTGGAAATCTTATCCCAAGGCAGGCCAGAAGAGCTTTGTCCATGGGATCCCGAAGGTTGCTGGTGCTGAGACTGCGGCTGCGAGAAGAATGACTGAATGCCACCAACGGAGAAGCCATGGCCATGGCTCTGGCTCTGACCGTGCGTTTGACCATGGGCGGCGCCGCCCAGAGCAGCGAATCCGCCCTGGCTACCGCCGTGGGTATGCGGGACGCCACCAGTGTTGCGACCAGTTCGGACACCTTCAGCACTGAGAATGTCGTTGAGATGGGAGCCACGATCTTCGCGGGAGTGGACCCAGTTTCCGACAGCCTCGAACATCGTCCGGTGAGCTTCGTTGTGCATATCTCGGAGGACGGGGTGGTGGAAAATGCGCATGCAATCCTCGAGAACCTCGTGCTCCGGGACGTCGATGTGTTGCCAGGCATACAGCACGCGAGGAGCAACATACTTCAGAATGGCGGAAGCAACCTGTCCGGCTGGCTCGTTCAGGACGTTGGCGAAGTGGTCCTTTGAGAGAAGCGAGTGGGTGGGATCAGTGCAGTGAGGATCTGTCCACGGCTCGTATTGGTGCTTGCCAGAGGCAGTAATGACGCCTGACGATCCGCTCTGGAGAGACTTGGAGGCGGCGTTGATAAGAGGGCGGATGAATGGCGCCAGCAGCGACATGATGAACACGGTGAGGGTCTCGGTGATTTTATCAATGATGGCCTCCAAGCCTGGAATCTTCTCGATGACCGCGTTCAGCTTCCGCACGACCTTGTCACGGAACGCCAAGATAGGGTAGATCTTGGACACTGTCTCCTGAGGGTTGAAATCAGGCATGCCCTCAAGACCAGGGCCCGGTGCAGCGCCACCAGTGGTAGGGTGGTTCGGATCAGGTGCGCGGCTTTGCCCAAAATCGTCTGTCTGCACGTATCCCGTGTGAGAACCGCGAGAACGATTGCTTCTCTCCTGGGCCTCGGACTGCTGTTTCAGATGCTCGGCCTCCGCAACCAGGTCTCGCGTACCGGGGATCTTGCCTAGGAGACCAGTAAGGGAGTTGAGAGAGTTGCTGGCCTGGGCATTGTTCTCCGCATCACCAAGCGCCATATCCATCTCGTTGACCTCGGACTGCGTGAAATGATCGGTGGCCTCACCGAGGACGGAGTGGAAGAAATCAACCATACCAAAGGTTCCGGTCACCAAGGGGAAGACCTGATGTCCCCGAACATTGCACTGGGTGGCCGTGCCAGTGTGGGGGAATACATTGTGGTATCCCATCTCGCGCAATGCAAGCTCGATGTAATTTGAGTGAGCCGCAAAGTCCTCGAGAGTATGGAGGCCCTGTCCCAAGCACCGAAGTGCCTCGCATAGATCCTCTTCCTTGCCCTTGTGCTCGCCACCATTGGTGTACATGCGCCCGTAATGAATGCTGCGGCTGAGACTGAACTTGACAAAGGCTGTACTAGTCGCCCAATCGCCACGCTCATTCGCGATGTAATTCTTCATACCAGTCTCCGGATCGATGTCAAGCTCGACCTGACGGATCGGGCCTCGCAGGCGCTTGTCAAACTGGCGCGCATCTTCGTTGTCGGCGTAGTCTTTCGGGTTACTAGGACAAAGGCGTTAGCTGAAAACAAGGATGCCAGGTTCATGAGAGGACGCACTCAATATGCTCTTCCGGACGGTAGACCCCCAATCGTTCCGAGGTAACTTCAAATTCGCCAGTCGCGTACCCAAACGTCAGGAACGAGAGGACCCACACAAGGATGCGGATCGTTTCGGCTTGGAGGTTCTTCAGGGTCCCGACATCCATTGCCTGCGAACTGGTGGGACTCTGTTAGCCGAGTGCCACTGCACATTTTCTTACTTTGACTGCATAGTCATGGGCAGATCTCACTAATCGCGCAGCCAATTTCCAAAGTATACGCGCTTGATCATGATAGATGTCCATTTGTGACCGGCGATGAACGTAATCGTCTTCAGCATATCTTCAATATCGCCATGACGCCAGTTTTTGCCCTCGATGGCCGAGATTGAAGCGATGTCTAGAAAGATTTAGCAGAGCTCGAACTTAAGAGACGAGTCCGACTTACTGCCAGCTCCGAATGCATGGACCTGTGGAAGTAGCACCAACAGCAAGCACACGAGCAGGGCGGGGGAGCCCGCGCGGAGGAGGGGCATGGTGGGGGAGCGCTGATTAGGGGAATGTGTAGGAAGAAAAAGTGAAGATAGGAGAGTTATGGATAGTGTCCAGGGTCTCACTAACTGAATTAGTAGAGGGAAAAAAAGCAAAAAGTGAGCCTGGAAAGCTGGCTGAGCCCAACTGTCTCAGCCCCAAAGCTCTTGGCAGAGCGAAGTCTGCGATCGCGATGACGTCCGATTCGCGGTGCGACCGTTGGGGGCGATGCCCAAAGCTTAACCGGCCAGCCTCGGACTTGAAGGATACACGTGTCCGTTAAAATTTACTATTTTCATTAAAAGGCTCCAGTGTAAGAATTCTATAGAACTAATAAAGAACAGCTTCTGTTTGTTTTCGCCGGTTCAGGAAGATTGTGGGGTCTCCACCCTTTGTGGTAACTCGGTTCAATCGGAGTAGTAGAGTATCAAGTTTCTTGAATTATTGACCACCCGTTTGATATCCTCCAATATAAAATAGCCAATGTACATAGCCAAGTTACATGTCCAGACTACGTATCAGCCTTTGACCGCAATTGGCTTCCTGGACGTATCGAATGGCTCAATCAGGCAATGCTGTCAGGATCATTCGTCAAACCTGGCTGCACTACTTAAGTGACTTCCTTAGGTTATCTAGATTCGAACGAATATTAGCTCGCGTCCATACTAACCGACATGAAAAACTGCATCGAGCTGATCAGCTCGGAGAGGAACGTGTGCCACTTTGATTGCATTGGCCCAGAGATCTTTATGCTCCTCCCATGCTCATTGCATCGCTCTTACAAAGGATTATGGAATCAGGAGCCAAGGGTGCCAGTCCACCCTTGGAAGAAGCAACTCTCAACTCGACTCTTCATCGAAAAGCTGAAATAAGCGGGTAAACTGTTTCTATTTTATGGATAGAAATACTTCATGCCAAGAGTGTGAAATGTCAAGTCGAGGGAGTCCTCAACGATACACTGTGCCTGCGTATATTTCAGCACGGATATAGTAGGTCACGTGCGAAGGAAACAAACAAGAGGATTTGGGGCATTCGCAAATTCCCAAAAGTTTGTGAGACATTGTCCAGGAGATGCTGAGTCACTGGAGTTGGGAAGTATGGTCAGATTTGATTTTTGATTGTACGAAAATGAGGATATACAATACCGGGCCAAAGCCTATCAATTTGAACAAATGGTGGTGTTCATTTACGGGCGGAAAGGGACGCTGAGGACCTTGTGGGTGAGGGTGAGGACCTTGCGAGCAAACCTCCTAATTTTCGACCAATGACTGGGAACAAATCGACTCCAATACCTTATGGTGTAAAGAGATGTAAATAATGCTTGTTTAACCTTATTTTAACCTCTATCCACCTATTTGAGGGTAATGTACACAAGCACGTTACCCATTTGGTGGTAAAATCACCTTCAATCGACATGTAGGCTGGACCTAACCTTACTAGAGTCACTCTATAGTCGCTCCTGGTATTGATGGACCTAATAGAAGGCTACTAGTCTTTGTAAAATGACAATCAGATAAGAAATTTCAAACAATGACCTATCCAAGTACTTTGGCGTCAACTATCCTTTACTCACAAACGGTATACCACTCACAGACTCCTTGTTTAACACAATTTGGGGCTTTTTGTGTCTCGATGAACTGATATTAGTCAAATTCAAAGCTCTCCTGATACAAATTTGTGATCTTCTGATATGCTGTATAGTTCTTGCTGCCACACTGAATGGGGGCATTTAACCCCAAGTTTCTGTTTTATAAGCGCTCCTAATAACCGTAGTTAGTAGACTAGTAGACCTACACACACCGCTTTTCGGGTAGACCTGCCAAGGGTACTTACGGCCTTTTGGAAGTCAAGCGCTAGGAATAGAATGGCAGCATTATTGAATTTTGTATTGAAGTCTTCCACTCGCTATTTGATTTTGTCCTTTATCTTTGAATCATATTCTGATTTTGAAATACCAAAAATCAAGAGCGCCCACAGAGACAGCTAACTGAATAGAATCAAGCAAATTCTTGGACAAGGGGTAGCTGATTTTTCCCTTTCCCACGAAGACGATAGGATGTACTCTAAGTGTCGAAGAAAAAGCCAAGACAAATATCGGTCTACAAGATCCGTGTAAGACAGGCATAGTTGAGGCATTAAAAGCCGGCGAGAAAATCTGGAAAGAGATGGAAGGTACCTTGGTGGGGATTTCTGTTCAGGCTTTGGTGCTCCAACCAATAAATGCTCTCCTTTCATGACAGTTCGGGGCTATGTCCACGCCAGCTGAGACCTTCAAATCTGAGCCCCGAGTCACACCAAGGGAAAAACTGATAAAAGGTGGCCTTGCCCCCTACAGTCCTCTCTACTTCCATTTCTGCCACCAAAAATTGTATGTTGTCCTCGACCAGCACTCAACCATGACGCTTCACTTGACTCAGTCTAAGCGGTTGCAGATTGTGATATTTATCTCTCTATGCTTCTTCATAACGGAAATTTCTAGTAGCAACCCTTACCACCTTTTATTGTCAATTCTGTGCGGACTTTTCATGATGAGTTGGATTATACACGAGTTCCCTTGCCCTTGTTGCCTATGCTTTCCACTATGTACTATGAGCTCTCTTCCCCTCTTTTCCCCTGGATCCTTGGAGACTGATATGCCTACTCCAGTTAAATGATCTGATTGGATTCATCGTTGCATTTGCCGCTTTGAAGGTAAGAATCTCAGTTTTCAACCAGTATTCACCGTCTCTAACACAAACCAGATCTCCGCCAAAAAGGACTCACCTCAAGATCTGTCCTTTGGCTGGCAGAGATCCCGACTTCTCGGTGCTTTCTTCAACAGCTTCTTCCTTCTTGCGCTGGGCGTTAGTATATTCCTACAATCCATAGAGCGTTTTGCGTCTGTCCAGGGTACGTTGCCTCCCACCTACCCAAGTCATCTCCTGCTAATACAAATGTAGTTGTGGAACAGCCTAAGCTTGTGCTTATTGTCGGCTGCATTGGCCTTGGTCTCAACATGATCAGTGCCTCCTTCCTTCACGGTTTTTACTACGATTTTAACTTACGTCGGCCAGTCACTTATTTGCCCTTCTTTTTAGAACACGACCATTCCCATGGAGGGACCCAAGAGAGCACAGCAAACGCGGAAAATGGAACAGAGGAGGTCAGGACATATCCCCCCAAGCATTCCCCTCAAGCTGCTTTGCTGATATATGCCGAGGCTCGCCTAGGTCCCTGCCTTGCACCACAACCATCGCCGCAAAAATGCCCAACTATCCTGCAAAGAATATGACTTGGGAATGATAGGTGTTCTGATTCATGTGGTCGGGGATGCCGCAAACAATGTTGGCGTTATCATCTCCGCCCTGGTGATCTGGCTCACTTCGTCCCCAGCTCGCTACTACGCAGACCCTGCTGTCAGCATGGCCATCGCAGTGGTTATTCTTATCACATCACTTCCATTAGGTACGTATCACCTAAAGAGCAACTTTCCGCCCGAAGACTAAGCGATGCGTTGTCTAGTGACGAACTCTGGCAGGATTCTCCTTGAGAGTGTTCCAAACGGCATAAACCTCGATGACATTAAACATGATCTTGAATTGGTGCGTCATAGTTCCGTAATTATGGTTCCAATCCCAGACCTAACATTCACGATGGAATTAAGATACCGGGTGTCCAGTCCATTCATGAGCTACATGTCTGGCGCCTGAACCAAGAGAAGGCAGTAGCATCGGTTCACGTCGCAATCGTGAGCGAGCCTGTTTCTGAATTCGTGAAGATTGCAAAGATTATGAACGATTGCTTCCACAGTTATGGCATCCATTCGGCTACGGTACAACCAGAGCTTGGATCGCCGCTTGCATCCGCAGATGCTAACTATCAGAATAACTGGTCGCGGCTATGCCAGGTCAAGTGTGGCTCTTCTTCGTGTGATGTTTTAAACTGCTGTGGTTAACCTATTATTTGAATATGGGGGCCAAAAGGCCCAGTGGTAAATATATCACACTGAGATAATGTTGGCGTAATAATATAGTAGCTTGACGGTGGGAGTTTCGAATGTAGTAATGAAGGAAGGAGTGACCTTAAAAGACAATGATTAGGGGGTCATGTTGAAGAAGAGGAAGATGGGGATGATATGAGTAGATCCACTGTTTCTACTTTACATGCTAGGAGAAAAATGTAGTAAGACAATTACCGGAGAGTCAAATAAAAGAGAACTCAAGTGATTTCCTACTTTAAATGGAGAAATTTAGCTGCTTATGCTGATGCTGAAAGCCTCCTAAAGCTCATAGAAAACAGCCAAAAATTTACAAAGCAGATTAGGCCAAAGGCCCGGCAAAAATAAGTCATTCTTGGTCCTCACAAAGACCGTGGCTTACTTCTGGAAAGAATCCTATCCCTGTCAATGATACGTAGCCCCGATAGTATTGCAAAATTTATTGGCTATGGCACATGGCGGGGACTGTCTAGCTCGATATTTGCGGGATTTAGCGGGCTCTGAAGGAGGGTCAGGCGAGGGTTATAACCCTTGCCTTCCCCCTCTCCTGAAAGTGTCATATCTCCTCCTTTCTCTGTTCTGGGATTTTCTATATCAAGTTTTGATCAGAGTCTTCTTCCATCAGAAATTTTCTCACTTTTCAGTACTGAAGGTGTTGAAGAGATACAAAATGTCTGGTTTTCTGGGGAAAGTTGCGGATCAACTATCCGGGCAAAAGCCATCCCAATCTTCCAGCGGATCCTCGGGACTCGTACACAAAATGATGGATGCCTTGACAGGCCAAAAGCATCCTCAAGACCCCCAGAACTACCCACAGATGTACGGAAACAATGCAGCAGCGAGGCCATACGCCTCAGAAGGTGAGTTTACTATTCGAATTATACGGCTGGCGCGCTCGCACAAAGTCATAAGCACTGCATGTTAATCTACCCTAACAGGCTACCAGACAGGCCAGTACACCCGCCCAGAAGGCCAGGGGCACTATGAGCCTCGCTATGAGGAGGGACACGGGAATTACGGCGCTTCCAATGGTGGCTTTGGAGGTCACAACAATGGCCCGGCCAATGAATCCAACCATGGATACCCTACTGGTGATGGAGGATATGGTGGAACTGTTGGTTATGGAAAGGAATATTCGTCCCACCAGCCTGGTTATGTTGGACATGATGCATCCGGTGGGTATTCGAACCAAGTCGAACATCGGAGGGAGTATCCCCAGGGTGGCCACAATGTTCCAGGTAGCTATGATGGTCATGGCGGGTACAGAAATGGACATAATGGCCCAGTTAACTATGGTGCCTCTCACAACAATCGTGGTCATGGTGGCCATGAAGGAGGGCACGGTCAACATGGCGGAACCTATCGCGGTGGTCACTAAGATGGCGAAGGGCAGTCTGTAACTTGTTGGGAGATAGGTTCTAGCTAGTATAAATGAGACAGTTCAGTCAAAGAGAACTCTGACCTCCATTAAGCTTAAGCCATTCTAGGCTGAAACCGCGAGTTGTTGAATATTCTTTAGGTCTACGTGAACAGTCTTCTTCTGCTGCGACTGCTTAGACCAATCGAACTGGTTTGAAATGGAGCATTGGAAACATAAAAACATTTGAAAGATATCAGTTGTTCTCATGTCAGACTAGTATCTATTTCCAAATTGGACAAGGTCAAGTTGCGTTTGAAGAGCCGAACTTACTTCTGTCCTTATCCGAGTTACCCGGCTCATATAACCGGGATTTACCTTCGCTATAACTTACTTGCCGCTCGTTTCTCTTGCATTGGATGTTGGCTAGGCATATTTTGGTCGAAAATCTGGACTTTTTAACTGTGATTAGTCATTTAAGTTCTCCCTCCATAGTTAACTATCTCTCTTTATTAGAAAGCTGTACAATGGCTTCGGTTGTTTACGATCACCACGTGTTCTCTGATTGCTCATTCGTTAAGCCGGCGTCTTGGCAAATGCACGTGACTTTGAGAAACTGAGCATCAGCTTAACGTTTCTTGGCAGTCACTTTGGGAACGAGAGGGCTTGTAAGGCAGTGATGATTACCACTGATCAGAATATCTCAAAAGATGTCAATGCCTAACACCAAAATCTTTTTGAAACGCTCCTGTCCTTCTCTCAATTTCTTGTTGAGTTCTTAGCGAAGCGACTAGTGTTTACTTGATTCTTGGCAGGATGCTGATTGGCGGTTGAAATGTGGGGTCGGCTTCTGTTGCCTAAGGCTGCCTAGACCCTTCTGGCACTAAGCCCCAAACCAGACTAGAACGATTATTCACTTGATAATATTTAAACGACATCAAGTCTGCTACTGTGGTCCACGGAATTCATACAGCACAATTGCCATCTCTTATACATACTTGATTGCCCATTTCTGATTTACATTGACAATGGCTTCCACGTTGCCTTCGCTGCCAGTAAAGCACCACAACTTCGTGCAGTATATTCAATCGCATCTGGAGACACCAATTGAGGATCTGGTCAAGCCCTACAATGACTTTGATGCATCTGCCCGAAAGATCTTTGCTCAAAATCCATCACATGCTTTGGTGAAGGACAACTATGCCAACATCGTTCCCCTTTTCGATGCCACGACAGGCTCTACAGACATCCGTGTTCGGGCACGAGATCTCAATTCTGAAACCCCTGAGCAGAAGGAGAAGTATATCCTACCTATTCCCAATGACAAGCGCAGACTAGACGGCTCACATGCTGTTGTACCATCGTTGTCTGAGTTCCAGAACAATTTTGCTCTCTTCACCGAGGGCGCATTGAGTGAGCTGGACTGGAGTAACGTCGTTGCTGCTGGCAGCGCTGTTGTAACATCTCTTCTGCCCGTGCCAGAGAAATATCGCAATTCCAAGCGAGGCCTCCGTCAATTCTACCACGAGGAGTTTGCTCCGGCCTCAGACGTCGACTTGTTCTTGTATGGCTTGACTGAGGAACAAGCCATTGAGAAGATCAAACACATCGAAGACAAGATCCGTAATACGATCTTGTACGAGACGACGACTATCCGCACGAAGAACACTATCACCATTGCATCACAATATCCTACACGACATGTGCAAATTGTTCTTCGTATCTACAAGTCGGTAGCCGAAATTCTCACTGGATTTGATGTGGACTGTTCCTGTGCGGCCTACGATGGCCAACAAGTCTATGCGTCTCCTCGTGCCGTCGCCTCTTATATCACGCAGACAAATCAGATTGACCTGACCCGCCGCTCTCCATCTTATGAGAATCGCCTTTCCAAGTACTCCCACCGTGGATTCGAAGTGTTTTGGCCCCCACTTGACCGGTCAAAGGTCGATCCGGTACGCACTCTTATGCGCCGAGTTATGATATTTATTTGAAGACTGACATTTGAAAAATAGACCATTTTTGAAAGAAGCTTCATGGGGACTGAGGGTCTAGCACGACTCCTGGTTCTCGAGAAACTCCCCAAGCCGGGAGATCGAGACACTTATCTGAGGAAGAGACGCGAAGAGCGCGGGCGTCCTCCTCTCAGCCTCTACCTGCGCCGTCGCCAAGGAAAGGAGTTGCATGGGAACATCAAAGATGACTGGGAAGACGAAGTTCCAGAATGGCAAGAAGAAGACCAAATCTCGGACTATCACACATTTGTACGTGTGCCATTTCCTGTCCGCCTATCTGCCTGCTAACAAAAAGCAGACAATTCCCTATGGCCGAAGATTCAATGCAAAAAAGATTGAGAAGCTGCTGTACACAAAGGATCTGCTTCTCAATGCCCAGTGGAATCAGAAAAAGGACCGCGAGGTTTATCTTCATCGCCACCCTGCCTTCTTCGGTGAAGCTGAGCATGTCATTGGCGATTGCTGTGGATTCTGTCCTCAGCCCGTCACTGACGAAGAGCGAAAGGTGGCAGAGGAAGAGAGCAAGATTTATATCTCTGGCAAGATCAGCTTTATCAAGGATGACCCCGGTCGGCAAGAGATTGGCAGTTTCAACCCAATCACCGAGACCGACTGGACAGGTATGAACCGGAAAATCACGCTTGGTTTTAGTCAAGGCGCTGACGAAAAATGATAGAAATGGCGTATATTGGTCGCACTGAGTTGCTTTGCCAGGCCATTGTGTCGCACGACCTGGAGGCCGTGAAGCAATTTCTTGACCAGGAGGACTCGGATCCAGACCGCCGAGATTATACTGGGCGCACTCCTCTGCAACTGGCCTGCATGTCTTCGACACCGGAGATAGTTCAATGTCTTGTGGACCGTGGTGCGAGGCTCATCGCTCGGATGGCCGATGGACAGACGGCGTTGCACCTGGCTGCCGCTCGTGGTGCTACTGAAATTGTTAGCATTCTGCTGAAGAAGAGTAATGAGAACGAGGAAGCAGAAAATCAGAAAAAGGACGACCAGAAGACCACGCCAATGGACATTGATAGCCCGGAAGATGAGGATGAAGACGACAAGGATGATGCTTCACGTACATCTGCTTCGTACGTTAAGGTGGACAAAGAGGGCGGTGACGAAATGTCGCCCACCTTCGACACTATTGAAGAGAACGACCAGGATCCAGATATATACGACATTAACGTCACTGCATGGGACAATCTCGCATCGCCACTGCATCTTGCAATTATTCATGGCCACGTGGAAACCGTCAAGGAGCTCGTTACTTCCTTTGGAGCCGATGTGTTGATGCCGATCAAGATTACGGATGACTACAGCAAGCGACCCAAAGCTGCAATCTTGACGCTGGTGTTGGTGCTCGCTCTGCCCTTGGATAAAGCGAGAGAAATGTCTCAAACTCTCTTGAAGCTTGGCGCTTCTCCTGCCCAGGGCGATACTTCTCATTACACCGCTCTTCACTATATCGCACAATCCGACTACAGCGAGCTTCTCGACGTCTATCAAGAGCACGATGGGCCAGCCATGCAACGGGCCATCAATCACATGGTAGTCCAAGGATACTGGTATAGCGCAAGCTTCTCTTTCACCTCCGCTTTGGTGAATGCGTTGTGTGCCAAGAACTCTGCCGGGGCAAAGAAGCTGCTCGATATAGGTGCAACGCCTACCATTGAGCTAGCTGATTGCTTGAAAGCCCTGAAGTCACAGATGCCTGATGCAATGCGTCATGGCGCAGATCAAAAGCTTGCGGACAAGACTCCGAAGCAGCCCCTCATTTTCGCTATTGAAAACGATCTACCGTTGATGGCTATTGGCCTCCTGAAACGTGGTGCTGACCCGAACATCGAACATGAACGGAGACGCGACTTTTGTGAAACGGCGCTTGACTGCACGAGGCGGTGCATGAAAGAGTTGGAGAAGTCGCTGAAGAATGAAAATCCCACACCCCGCCAGTACGGGATCCCTGATCCCGTCATTTTCGAGCAGGAAGAGGGCTCTTATCTGGCTGACTTCCAAGAGGGGACGTACAAGATGTTTGCAGCAAAAGGCCTGCTGAAGAAGGCGAAAGAAGATAACAAGGTGGCTGAAGAGTACGAAGAGCGCCTGAAGAAAGAGGCATCTGAAGAGAAGCCCGGTGAGGCTGAGAACCGGGAGGCTGTCACAGAGCTGATCAAAAAGTATGAGCTGCTTATAGCAGACTTGTTGTCAAGAGATGCAAAGACTTGGCAGGAGCTTCACCCAGGAGAAAAACAGGATCCTGGATTCCGCCAGAACAGAAGAAACCAGCAGAAGCCGAAACCAAAGAAGACATTCAAGATTGAATTCTTCAATTCAGCTGCAAGTCTTTCTGATGTCGCACGTGGAGGATACGAAAAGCTGTATGTCTGCAACATCCAAGGGAAACAAATAATTACTCACTTATGAATAACAGGTTTGAAGCTGCATGGAATGGCAATCTCGACACTATAAAGTCTCTCACCCTTTGTATGTGGGGACCGGCCAAGGATCAACTACCCCTGCGGATGTCCCAAGTCGATGCCTCGGGGCTGACCTGTCTGCACATCTTAATTTTGCGGGGTCATCTTCGTGTTGCCAAGGCCATATTGCAGATTCTCCGGGTCCAGTACAAGGTTAAGGAGCCAAAAGCTCGGCGACACTTTGAGATGGATCTCGACTCAGATGGTGAATCCGATGACGAGGGTCTCAATATTGTCGGCCATATTGTGGACGAGCAGTTCACCTACGAGAACGTTGGAGAAGTGGCTAGTCAAGTCGAGAGCGAAGTCTCGCCGCGCAACGCACTGGAGCGAGCATTACCGCTTTCTCTTTTCTTGGACGAAGCACTTCCCAAAGAAGACACCTTCCGATATGTGGGGATGAATCATTGGAGCGCCGCCTCTTTCTTGAAAATAAACACCCTTTTCAAATATGCCATCTTCAAGAACGATCTCCCTCTGTTGGAATGGCTCTTGAAGGCTGGAAATGAGTGCGCAAGAACTGATCCCTCAGACAAGACGGCATTCACCCTGGGCCAGCAGGAGCTCCAGCTTGCGATGATTCTGGGCCATACTGAATGTCTCGGCATGCTCATCCAAAGCACCGCCGTCGGCCTTCCTTTGCTCAAGATGAGCAAAGATTCTGGGATTGCCGCCAAAGAAGAGCCCCAATATTATCAGGGCTTGTCTATCCGCGGTCAGAAGCGCAAAGATTGGGCAGATGCTGGGCGGCCAGATAACAACAACTTCGCTCAAGGCAGTGATACCGGCCGTCCACCTGTTCTTATTTCTGCCTTGCAGGGCAACATGGCCAGCACTGAGTGGCTTCTCGGCACTGCACCCAGCCGTTACTACTTGGAGTATGTTAATGCTCACCTGGACGACGAGAACGTCCAGAGACTGTCACAGTCTAAGCTTGGCCTCGAGGCATCTGTGTTGAACTGGCTACAAACCCGAAGTAAGTTTTCCAATTTCAGGACGACGAGGCCTATTACTAATTTGGAATACAGACAACCTCGTGCTTCATTGCGCCGTAATGTCTCGCCCTTGTGAGGAATCAGAGCGACTGGTTCAGTATTTGGCAGATCATCACCCCGAGTGCCTCGAAGTGAAGTCATCCGAGGGACACACTCCTCTCGCGCTGGCAATCTCCTATCACCGATTGAGCTTCGCGCGCATCTTGATTAAAGCCGGAGCCAACCAGGCCGCTCGCGATACCGAAGGATGCAATCTTCTGCACTTGGTGTTATGTTCCCTGTCTGGCAGCACTGCCAGACACGCGGACAAAATCTCTCAATTGATTGACCTGATGGACAAGGATCACGTCTCGAACATGCTTACTCAACGTGCCGGTGAAGGATCACGAACACCGTTTGCACGCTGGTTGCACAAGTACCCCAACTTCGACTTCTCCGTCGAAATTCAGCCCAAGGTCCCCAATCTGCCCTCGGACCAGGAATCCATCAGCTCAATCACTAAGCTGTTCCTAACCCTGGGAACATCCACCAACCACAAGTTCCTGGAACTACTAGACGGCGCCGGAAATACCCCTGTGCATGAGTGTGTCAAGCGGGGCTTCTCTCAAGTCCTGGAACCGATTCTCGACCACCGCCCTGATCTTCTCTACCGAGAGAATGCCACGGGCAGCACGCCTCTTGAGATGGCAGTAGACGCATGGGTGAACGAGACAACCCGCACCGTCCCGAAGGTTGCGGTTTCAACAGATCGCTGGCCCCAGTGGCAAAATCTTACTAACCGTCGAACGGAGTGGTTCATCAAGAACAAGGACTGGAGGACCAGAGCACAGATGATGGTTGAGGTTTGTCAGAAGCGGGCGCAGCAGAGTTTGCAGAAGAGAAAACTCGTGTCTCTCTTTGAAGCGAATGAAGTTGCTAAACGGTTGGCTGCGAAGGGGAAGTCTGGTGGGGACGATGAAGATAACCGGTATGATCGGAATGGACGTCGGAGAGACCGACGGGAAGAGGAGGCGAATGAGAAGTTGGATGAGGTTGCTTTGTGGGGAGGCTGGGCCTCGCAGTGGAAGTGATCACTGCCTTGAGACGTTTTAACCAAGTTTGTGAGAATATACGAGTCTATTATAGGACCAATTGACTGCATACCATGAGTTAGCCGATTCGATTGATAACTCCCAGACTAATAGTATGAACGACATCATGAGTCCAACAGGCCTTGATAACCTGTCTTCAATATATACGCATGGCTTTCTTTAGTTACTTGTAATCTCAACCTCGCACCGGTGCAGTTTTGGCGTGATGAGAAAATGATTCTCGAATTCCATGGACTCATCGGTCGTGGTAGATGACAATTTCAGAGCAGGACATGCTCTGAATAGCAGCACTATAGAGAATGCCATTTCTAGACGGGCAAGATGCATCCCAAGACAGACTATTGATTGGCTTAGATTTTTCAACGGGGCATGATTTGCTTTTGAAATTCAACCAACCTCGCGACCCTGCTCCGAACGGCATAAACAATTCTTTCATCATCTGCGATGGTTCGTTCCAACGTTCTGGGATAAATCTAGAAATCTCTAAGCCTCGCCAACTAAAATAAACTGGGGATTTTCTTACCGAAAAGGGTGTGGAAATACTGAAGGATCTCGATGCAGGGTATAGGACTGGGTGCTCACAGTCATTCCCTCCGGGCAAAAATGACCGGCAAGCGTTCGTCCACCCTTGGGGACACGTCTCGGCTGACTGCCTGGCGCAGCACCGTACAGACGTAAACCCTCTTCAATAATTTGGTTGAGATATTTAGAATTGAGCACGTCCTCTGCCGAAACTTCATGCGGTAGTTGACAGATCTCTGTAAGCAGTTTTGTCTTTGACCTCTGGATGCTTGATGATAGCCCATATGATGTATGTCGTTGTGACTGCCGTAGTATCACTCCCGGCAATGATGAGGCTTGTTGCCTCTTCTTCAATGTCATACTGTGTTAGAGTATTGCTTTTGGTCGCTAGCATCATCGTGAAAATGTTAAGTTGGCTTGACGCGTCGGATGGAGAATTATAAAGCGGCTCCAAAGCCTTCTTTCCGTAATTATGCATTCTTTGCTGGCCGTTCATTATGAACCAAAGTTTGGGGATAGGGAGTATCGTGGCAAGCTTCATAAGTAGTGATAGCTCTGCACGAATCCCCGATATCATCATGACAGCTTCCAGATCATGCACATATTCATTTTTCTGGTAGAATACCATTTTAGCCAATTGAGATTCAGGCTGAAAGAAATGTCCTGGGACTTACCACTTCATGGCTAAGCATATCAAAAGACTCGCCGAAGCACAACTGCCCAATAACATCCGTGGCCATGAAAGTAAACCACATCAAGATATCCGCGCGGCCAGCCATGGCATCTCGATGTATCTTGCTCACACATAGCTCAATCTTTTTCTTAATGTTCATTCCTCGTTGGATGGTAGTAGAGTTTGAAAACGCTTGTGAAAGTAGTCTTCTCCTGGCTGTGTGCTGTGCGGGATCTACCATTGAAAAAGTAGTAGGGCTCGCTTTATTTGCAAACTTAAGATACCAGTCTGTTTTCGTAAACCCAGATCCAATCTTGTGAACCAGTCGCACAGCGATGGGGTCTGAGATTGAGACTTCATTGGGACCGACACGTACAATAGGTCCTATTTATTAGAAACAATCAGATAAGATCTCTCCTTTAGTTAGGGAAGGGGTCATCTTGTAAAGGCAAAAACTGAAAACACCGGTTTCAAGCGTGGTCAACGTTCTTTACATACCAAACTTTTGGTGCAAGGCATGTATATAGAAGATCTTTCTTCCTGCCATAACATGCGATTTGTGCACCAGAGTGGTCAATCGATTCACGAAGGGTCCTGGAACCCCTCTTAAAGGGTCCATAAATAATTTCGAGAGGACCTAGAATTTATCAGAAGCCGCATGATAGATACAGAAGCATAGTACGCACATGTTTGACGAATAAAAGGACTGCTAGGGTCGCAACGACTAGGAAAATTGCAATCATTGGAACGACCATCATATGTCAAAAGAGTTCGAATCGATCTGGGCACGCAAGAATTATGAGCACTGGATATCGTTTGGGCAAGTCACTAGGCTACTTTATAGATGTAAAGCCCAGGTAGCTTCAACCAATAGATAATCGGACCAGGCTCAATATTGCGACTCTAAAATTTGCTGTGCTGCAAGTGAGAGCCACACGAAGCTAAAGTAGCTGATGCTTTTGGGTTCAATGCACATACTTCGAAAACTAGGTAACATTCCCTCCCCACTCTCCCGCAGAATACCGCCGCTTCCCCCACCCTCTTTTCCGGCTTCCGTACGGCACAGAGCCTTAGAACCGCCCCCCATTTCCCCCATTTCCCCATTTTCTCCGCCTTCTAAACCTCCCGCTGCATACCACTGCCTTAGCTTTTTACCCCGCCCTTATTTCCGGGTTCTGTGCATTCATCCGTAATGCGGGGAGAGATCACCAAAATTTGATTCCGACTGGCACGACAGTCTTGTGGAGGTAGTCATAAGCTCGTTCAATAACTTAGTTATGGCTAGCTACCATTATTTGTTCCGATGGAGACCATGTAGCCAAGGCTACCCTTTTTCCGGCGCACTGTAGTAATTTTACCTTCTAGCGCTATCTTTGACCAAGAAAGCTCCGCTTTTCGTTACCTTCTCTAGTCTGCTAATGACTAGCTTTTTCTAGTTTTCCCGATGAAATTCGTTTGCTCGACATCTCCTTCTCTAAAAATACAGCACTTGAACCCCTTGAACCGCTGGCCTGCTCGTTACCAGATAATACGCTTGACATGCCTGATGGATGTACCTCGTCAACAATGTCTATCACGAATTATGTGTAAATAAAGCCTATAATAGGAGCGCATTGCGGTTTGAGCTATTGAGGCAGGCTTAGCCTAGTGCATGCTAAAGCTAGACAACTGAACTATAAAATGCTCCCTCAAATCATCGCATGCTCACATCATTCGTGCTCTGAAACTGCTCTAAATGAATGGCAGGATAACATGGCTTGGGTATTCCCCTCCAAAATGTATCTTGTGTCTCCCTCGGTTCTTCACTTCCAACGGGGGTATCTCTGAACCATCGCGATACTCGGCAATAAGAGGAAAGTTTCCTGAGATTTGTACACTGATCGACTCCCCCGCCTGATATTCAATTCCCATCGCCCATATACCAATTTCTAGCTTCACGACCGTCCCAGGTGTAATCTTTTCTTCACGATCATGCGGATGAAAGGGGTACTGGGGGTGCAAAGACTTAGATTCATCGATGTTGCGATGCGAGGCACGGAGAATGCCCAGAGGACCCATATAGAGAATGACCGCCGCCTGATCCTTTTCCTCGATATCTTCTATGCGAGCCACAGGTGCGCGATGCCATGGGATATTTAAATTGAACATCGGCTCTCCGTTGCAGTCCAGCTTCCTGAGAAGCACGTACAGGGTCAGGTCATCAAATTCATCACAAGAGACGTAGATGATCGCTTTTGGAAGCCCAACGAGCTGTGTTTTCTCCATGAACGTGTGATTGAAACTCACAAACTCCTGAGAGTTTCCTTCCGAGTTGTATGAAATGTGCCCTTCTTCGGTTGGAGGATTTGCTGAAAGCTTGTTTTGCGATGTCAAGTATAGCTTTCGATAATCTGTATTCGGTACAGGATAGTCCTCCAAGTTGATGGGATAAACAGGGTCTTCGTTGCCAAACTTGAGGACTGTCATCCTGACTTTTGGAGTTCTTTCCCAGTCATTTTTGATTCCTTTAAGATATCGATCGAAAAAGTCACCCAACTCTTGAATAGACTCAGGCACTGCCCAGATGTCATGCCACTCTTGTGTAGAAGTCCATCGAAGCCAAACGTTTGGATTGTCGACTTCTAGGTAACCACGTATAGCACCCATAGTATGCAAAGCCGTAGAGTATGATGCTGTAATATATGCCGGAATATTAATGTTCTTGATGTTGGCTCTTTTGTCTTTCCAGTAGTCATTCTGCAGAGGAGAGCGCTTGTACATCTCGGCAAAATCTTCCATGCCATGTCTACCCCGGATAATGTGTTGAGTGATAAAATCAAACAAACCACTATCCCAGGCTCCTCCACGTACAAACTGTTCTCTGTACAAATCGGCGGCCCCTTCCCACGGTGCAATCGCTTTGAGAGACGGTGGTCGTAGAGCAGCGATAAACCACTGCACAATAGCTAAGTGGGAATTGCCTGCCAGTCCGATGTTTCCTGTACACCAGTCCATTCTCGCCAGCGACTCAATAAAGTCATAGCCATCCTCGGCCTCTTGGGACCCCATAATGACCATTGAACCATCAGAGTCACCAGCTCCACGTGAGTCGACATTCACAACTGCATACCCTCGCGCACAGAATGTTGCTGGGTCTGGAGCCTCAAACTTTGCTAGGCCGCTGAGCTCATCTTTACGTACACCCACCCTCCAGGGGAGGTGAACTAAGAGACCCTCACTATTGTATTTCTTTCCAAAGGGGCTCCACGCAACTATTGCCGGGATTTTATTGCCGGGACCTGAGTCTGCTGGTCGGAAAATATCGCAGTAGAGGGTGCAGCCGTCGCGGACCTTGACTGCCACATCATGCTGGACAAGTATATCACTTTGTAGCGGCATACCATCAATTCCATCCCACCCTTTTGGCAAAATTTCGACTCGCGGTTCAAACCCCTTGTACCAGGGCCCAATTGACGGGGACTCAATAGGCTTGATAGCTAACTGTAAAGGTAATGGCATCGTGTATTGATTTGAAATCAGATCCTTGGAGTTGGTTCGAAGGAGAATTCGGAAGAAACGAAGCTTTCGTCGCTATAATTGAAAATCTATAATCGGTTATCTTATTATGAATTTAACTTCTACTATTCAATTTCAGCGATCACATCTCCTAAAACCCAGGTCTCTCCCCTCCCCCCACCATATCCGCTCATTGATTCAGATGCAGACTCTCCCCCCGTGTATACAACCTGGAAGGAATCGAACTCCCAATTAAAGACAACCCCATAATCCTGTTTCTTAGCTTAGTGGAGTGTATTAACCCCACCCCCGACATTCTTTACCTTGACCCCGCACTTTTTCATCTAATCTTGATCCTCCTCATGCCACGGGTCAGAAACTCACCCACCTCACCCGTTCCGGATCTTGTTCTCACCCATCCTTCCCCGCTATACGCCTATTGTATAACAGTCTCACTTCCAAGCGATGATCCCCTTAGAAAATTTTGGTCATGGTAATCATGGAAAATAATAGCTAAGGTTATAGTGGTTCCCCTCATCTCTTGTTGTCTTTCCTCCACCGGAATGAGACGGCCGAGATGGCCGAGAAGAAACAGCTGAAACTAAACTCATCACGGTGGTAGCGATTATGTTTTAAAGTATTCATTCTAAAGCCATTTTCGAAATACTTCTTCTTTGATTTTGAGATTTTCTGAACACCTAGAATCTCATATTGTCTTGTCTCTAACTCCGTTCAACTCTCTCAAGCATGGCTTCCGTCGTGATTCCCAGCAATGCAACCGAAGCACCCTCTCTGCCAAGTTTGAAGGCCAGTCATGAACAGACGTACAATGACTGGCGCGATGATTTCTACCGAGATGGCTATGTTGTGATAAAAGGCGCTATCACCAGCTCGAGGGCCCTTGAGTACAAAACAAAAGCTATGGACTGGCTGAAGTCTTTTGGCCTGGGTCTCGACTATGATGACCCGACAACATGGAATGATAAACATCTTCCATTCAGTGTCAAGGGTGGCATGTATGGTAAACATTGTGCAGCTCACGAGAAGTATATGTGGGATGCCAGAGTGTGAGTATTTTTTTTATCAAAGCACCAACACGTAATTTATCATGCTAACTTGTCTATAGCGAGCCAGGGGTCATGGAGCCATTTGAGCGAATCTGGGGAACGGACAAGCTCCTCGTATCCTTTGATGCTATCAACATAACCCTACCAGGACGCAAGGATATCAATTGGAGCCCATGGCCGCATGTTGACCAGTCGCCAGAAAGAAAGGGACTTTCCTGTGTTCAAGGAATATTGAACTACAGTCGAGCGGGCCCAGACGATGGGGGTCTTCTGTTGATGAAAGGCTCCGCCGCCCTTTTTGACAATGAAATATTCCAGGAATTCTCTCCGGAGAGGCCGAAAGACTGTCCAGTAAAGCATTATGACTTCTTTACATTCAGCAAAGAACATGTGGCCTGGTTCGAATCCAAAGGTTGTGAGTTGATCAAAGTCTGTGCTGAGCCTGGGGATCTCATCTTATGGGACTCCCGCTCCTTGCATTACGCCGAGTTTCCCCGCAACAAGAATATTCGTGTCATTCAATACGTGTCGTACGCACCAGCCGCTCTAGCGACACATGATGATTTGAAGAAGAAGGCAGATATCTTCAGGAAGTTTGAAGGGACAACCCATTGGCCTCATTGTAATATCTGGTCAAATGGAAAACACACAATTAACGGGGAAATAGATCCTCTAGAAAGAGATCAGCCTTTGGAGTTACCGATCATCTCGCAAAAACTTTTGCAGCTGGCGGGGGTTGAGCCCTATGACTGAAAAATTCTTGACAAGCAACGATGATATTGTGACTTGGGTTCTTCGTTCTTCATGGCTTCTGAATATTTGTCTTTTAGGAAACTAGCAATGAAAACATTTTACATAGCAGAAATTTATTGCCTGAAAAGAAGTCTTACGCTTATGAGGTGTGTGTCGTAGTGTGTCCACATATAAGCATGGATTATAGAGCTACACTCGATAGATTATGTTCCTAAAGTTATTAGTTTGGAGGGAAGTATCACTAGAATCAAGATTAACCCATAATTATCCATGCTCATCTTTTAAAATATCGGCATGGAGGGCAGAAGGCAAAAAGCATCAGCTAAAGTTCAGAAGGGCGAAGTCCATTCTGTTGGTAGTGAATCAATTTGATAGCAATAATGGGTAATCTATTCCGGTAATCCACATTATCCAACTTGAGTTCTTAAACGCAATTTTAATACCCTTATGGGATTTTTAGATAGAAATGCTTCTGCTAAACTATAATTCGTGAGATTTGTAACGACTTAGTTGACGCTTGCCGAGCTTTGATCTTTCATATTCGCCCTTTTAGGGTATCGTGCTAGGCAGTAGCGGGCACAACACTTATTCGGAGATTCCGTCATCAACTTGAGTGTGGCACTGCCGGAGACGTCGTTATAGAGCGAACAGATGGACACTGAGAGATGAAAATTCCGGAGTGTTCTTGTATACACCCCACCACTCCACCCGGCTGAACTACAATACCCCATACAACAACGACGAAGCTCTCCACCAGATTCCGATCACCCAGCCCAAAATCACTGCTAGAGCTCTCTCGTTTCATAGATAGGTGCTTCCCAACATCACCTTCTCCAACTATCCTATAATGCCTTGTATTGTAAGCTAATCCCAGCTTCCGGCGGATTAGCGTTATAATTTGCCTGTGGGTCCACCATATCTCTATACACACTTCTGGAATATCCTATCAAAGAGATGCCCCACAAATTGGGCTTGGTTGGAACAGGGGAGATGCGTGAGATGATGATCTATCCCCGCAATCCCCCACACTTTCCGGCACCTTCCCCGCATAAACCCCCAGTCGGGACACGAAGATCAAGAGTGTCCACCTATCAGCAAGTGATAGTATTCTATTCCATTTGGAGAAGCCGTGGAACTTGGTGGTGGATCATCTGTTGATTTTGGCAGAATAGTGACAAAGATGAAGAGCTCTTTGACACTGTTAATCCTTGCATCGGCATCGCCTTACCATAAATTGCCAAACAGAAGGCCATATATACTTGGGGTTAGAGAAGCTCCAGTTGAGACCATAATTCTTCTGGCGTAACTTGTTGCCACTAGATCTATTATTACTTCTCGTGAAGATTTCAGCTATTCTCAGGCAGTTTGCGATATCTACTCAGATCATAATGGCCTCCAAGCCTGATATCGATCATGTCGAGACGGTAGAGGTAGGGTCTGAAACCCCTACCCCAGCAGGGACCGCCCGTCTACTAGATGATGGCGAGGTCCGTCTCATTCCTATTCCAACCAGAGATCCCTGTGGTGAGCCTCAATACTGTCGTAGTCAAAACCATGCATATCTAACTTGAGAGGCAGACCCCTTGAACCTGCCCATGTGGCACAAAATAACCATTCACCTAACAGTGAGCTTTTGTGAGTGACGCAAATTCTCGGATTATCAGACAAGATTTAACCAACCGCCCTTCTAGTTTCTATGACTGGAATCCTTCTCGTCAGTGGCATGGGTGCTGTCCTGCCATTGATTGCGGCTTCCTACCCAGACGTCAAAAATACCGCAGATCTAAATGTCTATCCCACTTTGTTTATGGGAATAGGAAATTTGATTGCCATGCCATTGTCTCTGGCCATTGGTCGCCGTCCCGTTTATCTTTTCTCATCACTTCTACTCGTTATCGGAAGCATCTGGTGTGCTTTCGCCCCCGACTTCAACAGCCACCTCGCTGGAAGAGACTTTTTGAGTTTAGGGGCTGGTCAGAGTGAAGGCCTTTGTGTCATGATTGTGCAGGTTGGTCTCTCCTTAATTCTCGATTAGACTTGATCTCATTGCTTTCTCAAGGAAATGTTTTATCTTCACCAAAGAGGACGAGCGTTGGCTTGGTTCTCCGGAATTACTACCGTGGGAAGCACTGCCCTAATGATTGCATCAACCTTTATCTGCACGGCATGGGGTTGGCGATGGTGGTATGGTGTCTTTGGCATTCTGAATGGGGTGGTCCTGATTTTTTCTGTTCTTTTTGTCGTGGAGACTAAATACGAACGGTCTCCCGAAGCTCTTCGTAAGGGTCCTCCTATATCACGGCATAGTATTATACACTAACATGGAGCAATTTCCAGGTGGCGAGATTCCATCTTTTAGTAGATCCGACGGCCTCAAAGGCAAAGACAACGACTTAACGCGAGTGACTACACGACACCTTCCTACACTCGACGATGTGAATTACTCACCACGAAGCTTTATTAGCGACCTCAAACCTTGGCAAGGCCATTCGGAATGGTCAGCGGCTCTTATTTGCTACAAGCATATGGTACAGATTGCGCTCTTTCCTCACATCCTCTGGCTCATCTTGTGTTGTGGTGCGTTCCTTGGTGTTTATGTTCTCTATGCCTCAGTATTCTCAGGTATCCTCACGTCTGTTCCATACAACTTTAGCTTTGAGGTGGTTGGGGCAGTCATGGCCGGCCAAATTATCGTCTGCTTTGTCTTTATTCCGGTAATCGGGTATGGGACGGACCATTTAACCAAATATCTGAGCAAACGCAATGGTGGAATTGTAGAGGTTTGTTCTTTTTCTCTCATAGACTCAACGCGGTTTGCTAACGGTGCATCAGGCGGAATATCGACTTCTCCCATTAATCATCCCATGGCTAGTCACTATCGCCTCATGCGTGATTTTTGGGCGTGCGGCTGCCGACCCATTCCATTGGCACTGGGCAGCAGTCGTTATTACGTATAATTCGGAGTATATTGGCTTCATGAGTATTGTGCTCTCTTCGTTTACTTATGCAATTGAAGCCCACCCAACCCGTGTGGGCCCCTCGGTTGTCGTGTTATGTGCCATGAGAGGGTTTATCTCTTGGGGCCTTTCCTGGGGTAGTTTACGGTTTGTTCAGAGTCAAGGATATGAAGGTGCATTCAATATATGTGCTATTGTCCTTGGTATTCTTGGAGTAGTTGGAATTCCAATCTACTTCTTCGGAAAGAAGCTCAGAATCATTACACAAAGATGGACTTAGCAATCAGAATGAATCTCAATATTCAGGTTTAAGCCTTAATGATATCTTATTTTATATAAATTTGAATCTTAATAAATATTCGATCGTAAGCTTTCCTTTAATAATAAAACAATCTTTTTTATAGAAGACCTAAAATTACTATAAACATAACTTTAATCTAATCTAGCTTCTATAAGAAAGCTTTATTAAATTTAACGCGAGATTACTTTGGATCTTTAAGCTTTAGAATTAGAGTTAAAATTTTACTCGTAGAGAATGCTGGGCGTGAATGTAGATCCATGTTACAGACAATTTTGCTAGCTTGGAATAGAGCCCGTACAACGGTTGACTCCCATGTGTCTCCGCAATCTCTTTCTTCTCATCTCGCTTGCATTCGGCGAGTTATTTTCCTCCCAAAAAAGCCTATGATTTCTCCATTCGTAACTCTCAACCTCTTCCTGTGCCCCATACTTGCGAAGAAACGACACGATCTCTTTGTTGCCCAAGTCCATCGCGAGCTGAAGCACTGAACCTTTCTGTCTAGACGACTTGCTCTTCTCAAACCCCTCAAAAGGAACATTCACATCTGCGCCGCTCATTACTAGCAGCTGCACCAGATGGGCGTGGCCTGCATTCACCGCATGAGCAAGAGGTGAAGCAAAGTGCCAAGTATCCGCGTAACCCTTAGGATGATGTACGTCTGAGTCCTCCAAGTCATCGAAGTCCGGATGCGTTCCACGCGCTAAGAGAAACCTAGCAAGTTGCCCATCCTCCTGCTCCGCGGCTAACGTCAGAGCCATCGTTTTCTGCATGCAGGTACTGTCGCTGATGACAAGGCTCGCGATTCTTTCGTCCCGTCTCTTCACTGCCTGCACCAGCACACACCCCATGGAAGATCCGGCATAGCGAGGGCGCGCTCCTGCACTCAGGAATAACTCTACGAGCTCCACGTCCCCCATTCTGACCGCCAATTCTAACGGCTTTCTTATGTCCACACACACCCCGTAGCTGAGTAGAGCGTGTATAGCCTCCATATTTCGCTTCTTGATCGCACACTCAAATGCATCCCTGAGCTCAATCTGGCTTTGCCATAGTAAAAACGACCCGTGCTCCCAGAGAAGGCGCATCATATCCAATTTCCCAAGGAGCACGGCGAGCTGCATCGGGGAACCAACGACCTTTGCTAGGCTTCCAGTAAGCCGCCGCCCCGACAACTGATTCGCGCCCTTGCGAAGTAATCCCTCGACAAGCTGCACGTGCCCATGGACAACGGCTATCTCGAGCAGCGACAACCCCTGCTGGTCAATCATATCGACATCGCAACCTTTCACATTCAATAGAAACTCGACGATATCCACATGCCCGCCCTGAACTGCCAGGCACAGCGGGTGCGGCGGTGGCACCGGGTCTCGAAACCGCCAGTCAACTCTCACCCCGTAAACAGTCCGTCCCGCAGGCTCATCGATGATGTGCATCCAGGGGGCACGCGGGGGAATCTCCGACCCGCTCTCGAGAGATTTCCGCATCGTTCGCATCAGGCCATGTTGCGCCGCCCAGCGGACTGCGGCCGCACCTCCTCCGGCGCTAGCAGGCTGGCCGCGCGTCTGCTGGGCATCCTGTGCATATAGCAGCAGGTCGAATATCAAATGGAAGCGGCGGTTGGCGCGGCACAGTGCGTTTAGCGTCGGGAGTGATGTGATGTCTTCTCCAATTTGCTGAAGTATCTCCGTCGGAAGCGAGTCAAAAGGCATTGCTGTAGCGGTAAATGCAAATGGGAACCGTAGTTCGGTGTTTGGCGTACGAGGAGTCGGCTGCGGGTGGGGGAGATTGGAGGTCAGGATTAAGCTTATAATAAGGCGCGGGGGAGCGAGTCAAGCTAAATTGGCGCCCACCTAGTCCTTGTGGTTGGGGCACTATGTTTGCGTCGGTATTTTGTGAATGAAGTATTCGACCAGTATCCTCGATCATTTTGTCGCAGCACAGCAGCCAATATCATTAAAAAATGAATATGATAATACCTATGGATCTTTAGTAATGAGCTGTAAGCATGCGTGATAACTATAGTGAGACTACAATGTATCCTGGCACGGACCCTTTGAATCAAAATCCCCACGGGCGATGTCAAATTACTCTTGAGGACTACCTTTTGATCAACACGCGGTACTTATTTCACGCTAGTGCCATTTCGATTGCACCTGTTGACCAAGATACAGCTCTACTATAGCGATGCTCTTGAGATTGTGACTATCACTAGGCATAGATTGTACCTGTACTCCGCTACTGAACGAGTCCACGCACCCTAGTCAGACTGTCAAACGTGGCTCTCCTATACCTAGCAACGATCTATATACATATATAGTTAATTGCTGAAGGGGCCGTTATACGCACACCAGCCTCCGTTAGCTAGCCTTCGGCTTTATGAAATACCCGCCCAGCATTAGGCAAGGGCTTCATCGTGCTTCAGGCAACCATCATTACGGCGCTATTTAGAACCCTCATCAAGGGTTCCATCAACCTTAAGGGCCTTAGCATCCCCCATCAAAAATAATTCATCTAACCCACGCCCTATAGGGTTAATTCTACTCAGTGAGCAAAAGCGGCGAGAGTCTGAGCACTAAAAGGGAAAGGGAAATCCAAGACCTAGCATAGGAAATCCGTCACATGGGATCACGATCTAGGTGATCGTAGACAACATATTTACCCTTTAATTGTAACGAGTTAAACCAAATTCTTACTATCTGCCCTTTTTAACCGAACTTCTACCCAAACTTAGAGAGGCGGGGTGACTAATTCATCTTAAGGCGTCAGTTTTGCCGTCATCTAGAATACACAAGAAGCTCCCCGCGCGAGTCTCCGAAAGCTTGATAATGCCCCGGGACTCCGGGGTTCTAAAGATGGAGCGAGATGCGAAGAGCGAGATGCGACGTCGGATAAGATAATCACACCATACAACAACATAGTACTGTACTTACAACCCACGAACCCCACGTTATCGAACCCCATACAGTAAAGAGTATTGAAAACTACCGGCCCGGTTGAGGATGACTGTGGAACAGTGGAGAGATAGTCGGTTTAATGTGGAGCAATCGGAATTTACTTGGCCCTGAAAGCTCCGAGTGCCCCAACTGGCGCTTGATAGGCGTAAAGTGTACTTGATAAACGACTAGAGTCGCATCGGATCAACGGTAACATCGGAGCTTTGCCGACGCAGAGCCCCCTCAAAAAGAATTACTGGGGAATTACCGCGTAAGAAATGTCACTGTAGTACTTTGTATATAACTGAAAGTCCCCGCGTCGCATCGCGTACCCCGCAATCTCATCATTTTTCTTCACTCATTCTTCCAAACTGTCTTATCTACTTTATAATCGCATAGCCCACCCTTTCATCCTTTCCACTTCTTTCCTCACCAATTGTCTCCACCACCAAACACAATTCCAACCACCATCTCAACCATGTCATCCTCCCCGCACCCTAATCTCGACGCCCTCCAACGTGACGGCTTCGTCGTCATCCGCAACCTCCTCACCCCCTCCGAAATCAACCACTACCGCACCATCGCCACAGCAGCAACCACCAAAACCCGCACCGGCGGCTGGCCACACTTCCGCACCGTCCCCAAACAATTCCCCCCTGGCCAACAACTCCACCCCCAGCTTCAGAGGGCGGCATCTGGGGTGTCCAGCACCTGCTGCACCCCGAAATGCCGGGTCGTGAAGACTTTGCCAAATGCTACTTCTCCGAGTCCATCCTCGCCGTCGCAGGCGAATTAATGGGCGTTTCAGCGCGCACAGGCGAAGACGAACCCCTCGTCATGGAACTATTCAATCTCCTCGTTGCGCCGGAAACAAAGGACTTCGAACTACGCTGGCACCGCGATGATATCTCCGAAAAGGCTTCTGCGGAGGAAGAACTCCGCCAACTCGCTGCCAAGTCGCCTGGTGGTCGCCAGAGTCATGCGCAGTATAACTTGGCGCTATGCCCGGACGCCTCGTTAATTGTTATCCCTGGTTCGCACCGTCGTGCCCGCACTGATATCGAGCGGAATGCGGATCCGTACGAGTCCGTTTTACCGGATCAATTGGTTGTGCAGTTGCAGCCTGGTGATGCGGTGTTTTACGATAGTAATATTCTGCATCGGGGTGTTTATAAGGGCAAGGCTGAGGGCGGGGAGGAGAGTCGGTTGACGTTGCATGGAAGTTTGGGGTTGAAGGCTGCTGATGCAGCGGATGCGGAGTCGAAGAAGGTGCGTGCTACGGCGGTGTTGCAGCATGGAGTGGGTGCGTGGGTGAACCGTGAGGATGCGGCGTTTGGTCTTGGGGAGAGGCCCGAGAAGATGAGAGCGAATTTGGTGGCGATGGGGAGTGGAGAGGGTGTTGGGTATTCGTTGCAAGGGTAGATGAGACAAGAAGGAGAGGGATTGAGTTGTACATTTTATTAGAATCCACACAGAATGCCAATGTGAGATGATTGATGAACATCCATTTGCTTTGCATTGTCTATTCCAGCTCTGCTACTTAAAAGTCTTAAGACCGGATCTAGAGATCAAAGGGATGCTATAGACGTTCTGAATTATCCAGTCGATTGGACTTATTTCGTATTCTCAGTCTGTCTATATATAGTAGTCACTTGTCCTGTAAGACTATATGCTTTCCACCGTTTAGCAGCTCGTCTATCTACTTCGTCCACTGCCCTCCACAACATGCACACCACTCGGCAAACTCAAGATCTGCCCACTCTGCAGCAACTCACAGCCCGCCAGGCTTCCTTGTCCGCCGGACTCCGTCAGACAATCCCCATTGGCATTCTGCAAGTGACCAGTGATAGCGTGTGACCAAACAGTACCGTCTCCACGTTTACAATCCACAAGCTCAACACTCGATCCCTTGGCAGCCAGGCACTTTGCTGGATTCGAAAGCGGGCTCACAGTCACTTTGGTTCCCGAACCAGAGACACTCCACACCTGGGTATCGGCAGCGTTACAAGCATCAAAGACAGCGCCAGACGAGGAAGCGGTCAGACAGTGTCCAGAGACAGTGTTCAAAACCATCCCTGTCGGGGTAACCGAGGTACAGCCCCGGCCAGGAGTGATACGGTAAACTGCCGTGGCGTGGCTGTCGAGTGATACATCAACAGAGTCGTGAATAGTGGAGGTTTTGCCCGTCCAGAGATCGCGGGCTTTGTACTGACACTTGCTCTGCAGACCCAAGCGAGCCAATGAAATGCTAGTCTTTGCAGAGCTTGAACCAGTATTCAGCACGGTAAGAAGCCGATCCCCATTCGCCAGCGAGCGAGTCAGTACATCAAAGGTACCATCACGACTGACCAAAGCCGCTTGCTGGGCCAATGGGTCCTGATCAATGGCAATCAAATCCTTGTTCGAAAGGAACTGAATCTCCTCATCCGATAGATCGGGGATATACGCGCTGATAATCAACGGCGCACCAAACGAAGCCCACAGCGCAAAATGCGAGCGCTTCTCAGCATCCGTCAAACCAGGGTGATCCGGGATCAAAAAGTCCGGATCATTGTAATAACCAGGTTGTTGGTATCGCACGAGAAGAGTCTGATAGTGGTAGTTCACCATGATACTATCCCAAGCACTCCCCTCACCCACATAAACAAGAACATCATCCGAATGGCGAGCCAACTCCCCATAATAAGGGATCCAATCCATAACACTCGCCCACTCAGTCTTATTCTCCGAGAAATAAGCCGGCGCGGACTCGGAGAAAATCAACGGATCCTCCATGGCACTCAAAATCTGATGCCACTGTCCATACCGAAGCTTATACTCCTCTGCCATGGACCTCCCCTTCTCGGGATAGACATTACACCCATCAAGTTTGAGATAATCAATTCCCCAACTCGAAAACGTCTCTGCATCCTTCTGCTCATACCCGTATGAACCGGGATACCCGCCGCAAGTGGCGTTGCCCGAGTCCTCGTAGATACCCAGGTGGAAGCCGTGCTTGTGCGCGAAATCGGCTAACCAGGGGATACCGTGCGGGAAGAGGGTTGCGTTCCACTGCAGTGCACCGTCTGCGGCGCGCTCGTGCGTCATCCAGCAGTCATCAAGATTGAGACGATTGTAGCCCGCGGCGAGAAGACCGCGGGATACCATGGACTGGGCGGTGTCGGTGAAGAGGGTCTCGTTGAGATCGCATTCAAAGCGTGCCCAGTTGTTGAAGCCCATTGGTGGAGTAGGGAGGAGCTTGGGATCTTCCACTGAGGCGTGGACAGATAGTAAAGGGAGCATTAAGAGACTCGCCATGCGAGCTGGGACCGCCCAGCGGGTGGTGGGTGGTGGTATCATGGTTCGTTGATAGATGGAATTGAAGATGATCAAATATAAGCGGAGACTATGTGAAGCTTAGGAAAGCTGATGATTCTGATTTCTGATCCTTGCTTGATAATTAGCAGACCAGCACACAGACCACGCCTTATAAGGTCGAGACTGCAGAAACTCCGTCGCAGTTCCGGCTGGAATGTTTGCTTCCCCGCACTGTTTTTCAAAGTACCGCAGGTACCGACAGATCGACGCGAATCATACGTCGGGGCAAGTCGCATCTAGAGCGTTGCGACGGTGGCATTTTTGATAACGGTATTAAGTGTTTTTAGGCGAAGTCAATTGATTAGCATCAAAGACGTAGTTGGATTGCCGATCGAAGCTACATGAAGCTCTACTAATCGTTGGGACCTTCTTGTTCCATGTTAGTACTTGCCCCTCTTTGCTGTGTTGGATCGGGTAAATAGGAATCTGCCGATTTATCATATCTGTATTGTTATCTCTTGAGGAGAATCAAGTAAGATCAGGGCTAGCTGGTTCCCGATCGAGTGTTGTTAACTTCCAAGGTACTTGGCTGGTTGTTGACAAAGCTTAGCACTAGTTACTCAAGAAGAGGAGGCGTCGGGCTGTGCCGCTGGTGGAGAACTAGACCGAAGATAGAATGACCAAAGAACGATTGGCTCATATGGAGATTGTATAGAGTTGAGTAGCTTTACCTTGGCTATAGAGTAGTATTGATATTACCAGGGAGTCAAGAGGTTATTCTTGCCGTCAACTGTTTAGTTTCTGGGTCGATGTATTGATATTCTAGCTACCTAGCCATCCATCGTCGATCCGATCTACATTTCTAGCACATGCTATGGGAGCAACGGGTATTTGTTAAAACTGGTAGTTGTTTATTTCATTTCTCTATCCGGTCAGTGGATAATTACACAGGTATATCTATTATAATCGATTGCAATGCTACCAAGGCCGAGATATGTGAAAATAGTGTACATAGGATACGCTTTCTACTAGACTGCTTGGCAGGGAGATGGGCATGTCCGACCGAGTATATCGTAGAATTACCAATTTCTCAATGGATTCCTCTATTCAATTCTTCCATTGCTAGTCGCTAGTATTTACTACATCGAGATAGCTACAAACTCATCGCACTCTGGACTGGTTAAGTGTAGAGACAAATGCTCGGAGCAGACACATAAATCCACAGAAAAATGCCAAGAACCAACGCTTACTTTTCCATTGAATGACTAGCGAGCAATACATAATAGATCCCCTAAGATATAGGAGCATGATTCATGCATAATCTATGATCTACGATCCTATATGGCACGGGAATCGAGTTGCCCACTTTTCTTATTGGAGCGGAGAGACCGAACTTTTGTCTAGCGACGATCGGCATGGCCGGACTCTGTGACCGATCACATTTTTCGGAGGAAAGTCTCGAAGAAGAATCCGATGACGAAAGACTGGGGCTGAATTGAGATTCTGCATGACTGAGTCAGTCTACTTGTTAATTCTTCAGCCCTCGTGGTGCTCAATTATTAGACCTTAGCAGTAAGGCCCAGGGGTGCGAGATCTGAGAGTGGAGAAAATAGGGCCCAGTGCTTAGTGAAGAAGGACAAGCCAATCATAATTTCCGTTAGCTTCGTCCCTTACAATGGTTTAAACTGAGATGGACCCTCCCGGTCGGGTTAGGCCTAACGGTTCACGCTTTGGCTGGCTGGTCGGCGGGGGAAAATGCTGAACTTTTAGGTCTCGAGACCCTTTCGGCCGGGGCCCTTTTTTCTGGGCTTTCCCTCCTCCCTGCTCCCTCCAACTCTCGAGGAAGGGATCTGAAATGCAACGAAAATAAGACAAACCTCGATGGACCGACTGTGTCCAGCTATTCACCATGTCTCCGACCGAGACCAAAGCCAAGATTCGCCCGCAACAGTCGTGCCTCAAATGCCGCGAGCGCAAAGTCAAGGTATTTCCCCGATTCTTCCCCTCTTGGAGCGAAACCCCCCGCAGTCATTCTCCCCAAGAAGACGTGACACAAGAGAACAACGAGATGCAAGATCACCCAAGCTAACCAGTTCTTACCTTCATCAAGTGCGACCGAAATATCCCCTGCGAGGCCTGTATCCAGCGCGGCATTGAATCCGAATGCACCTACCTCACCTCCCCCGAAGATCGCGCGCACATCAGCCAAGCCGAGATCATCGACCGCCTGCGCCGCGAAGTCGCTCAACTGCGCACGCAATTGAACCAGAGCTCCGCGCGGGGTCCTAGCCCCGGTCGTCGCGACAAAGTCTATGCGCGCAGGAATAAGACCGCTGGGTTGCGCGGGAGCTATACGGCTGCATCTGGACCTGGATCATCTGGGTCTGGGTCTGGCTCGCGATCTGCGACGGGCTCGGCGGAGCCTACGGAGGCGGGTAGTTGGGCTGGGTCATCGCCGTCGTCTATATCTACGACTACGAGGACCAATTCCGTGACTGTTACGAGCCCGGATAGTACTGGTAGTGATAATGGTGCTGGTTATGTCCAGCAGCATGCGTATCCGGGGTCAACGGCGCCATACGGGGCGCAGATTGCCGAGGTTGATATGGCGACGGCGACAGACAATACGGCATTGGGAAATTGTATGTTCCACTACACTTTTCCATCCATCCCTGTCGTGCATTCGCGATCGCGATGTTCCTAGCTCTTCTCTTTTGCATTCTTTTCTTTTTCCAATACTGACTACCCCATCTTATCAGATCTCAATGACGACACAATGGCCCAATATCATGCAGGCAACATGCCAGCCTTTGCGCCTAAGCTCCCTGGATCAATCTCAATGCAAGGTCTCCCATCACAAGCAATGCACCCCGCGCCCGACGAAGGACTCTCGGGGCTGCATATGTACGGCAACCGGAATAGTCCAGGCTACGACCCGGGCCCTGCACATGCACACGCGCAGTCTCACATGGCCAGCTACAGTCAAGGCGGGAACTATAACCAGAATCTATACGATTACACCAACACGAATACTTTCAAGCATGACCCCTCTCCAACATACCCCCAGCCCTGGAGTCAAGGGCATTCCTTTCCACAAGCACAGTCACAATCACAAACACCGTTACAACATCAATCACATCAGTATCCCGACTCGACATACTACTCCTCAGCCATGAATACATTTCCGCACATAGAACCCACCATACATCCGCACCCGCACCCGCATTCCCATTCCTATCATACTACAAATCCAACACAAACTTATTCACCACCCACCCATCCAACCGAATACCAAACACACGCCATAAACTCCATCCCCGATTCCTGGAAAGGACCCGATAAACAAGCCCTCCTGGAAACACTCCTCGAAACAATCACCAGTTGTGACGAGGAGCGAGTCGCCCAAGTCGTCGCTGTCGTGCGGACCAGCGAGACACCCGAAGAAGCTGTTTCGGGGATCTGCCAGGTTTTAGGGATTGGGGATGGGGCTGGTTCTTCCCTTATGAGGTGATGATTGTTCATGATGTGTCCGGGGGGCACCAGGGATGTTCTGGGCGGGACTGACTATCGGGCGGGCCTGATACCCGCGATGATACTTGAAGACGAGCTCCTCAATGAGTCCAGGCCATTGGCGCTAGATACGTGCTCTGCCGTTAGGGGTTATGCTAGGTGCCCCGGAACTTTGCCAGACTACAATCACCCTAGCTCTGAATTTCTATTTCTGTGCTGGAACCGTGGATTTACCCGGATATGTGAAATAGTTACGAACTTACGAGACCACGAGTCCATGAAATCACTGATTCATGTCATCTTTTTCTGATCGCTAGACGATGAATTATGTTAACCCAAGACGTTGGCCAAACCCTCAATTTTCTTCACTTTCGCATTCGCGAAATGGCCTCTCACCCTCCCGCCATGCAATTCCAAATTCTCAATGTTGATAATATCAATATTCGATCCATGCTGCGCCCCGATATACTCCAGAACTAATCTTGTCCGCGGACATAGATCAAAAAGGCGAAAAATGCAAAACCAAGAGAAAACAAATCTAATACACAAGTAAATGCCTTTATACATTAAAATTCCGGGAATCATCACGCCATAAGTCATTAAAAGGGTGGGTATAAAATCCAAAACCGAGTCCATCGATCTTATCGAGATAGGCTCGGATTCCCCCTCGTCTCATTGTGTCGGGCCATGACCGTTCATTCCGAGCGGTTTTTGCCCGTACACGAAATGGAATCGCACGTAGAGGTGGAACTTGTTGCTGACTAGTTCCGCGCGTACTTTGTCCATGTACTCTTGTGCGTCTTGGTAGGAGAAGCCTAGGACGCGGGTGAAGAGGGCTAGTGTGTATGGCTCGACTACCTCGAGGATAGTCACTTTGCCGACGCGCCCGATTTCTTTGAGACGGCGGTTTTTGGCCCAGCCGCCGACGGGGCACTAAATTAAACCAGAGGGTTAGCAATGAAATTGGTGAGAAGGAAGGGAATATTCGTATCTCATCGCACGTCCATCTGGTACTCTCCCGGGAATACCGCCCCTAGCAGTGTAGTACTCACCTTGTAAATATCATCCCGAGTATTCACAAACCCCGCATCCACCAACCACTCCTCCAACCTGGAAGCCACATTCATGGGTTTCCCAAACTGATCACTCGCGCGATTCAACTGATCCTGCCAATCCAAAATACTTGTCGCACTCTCATGCGTCCCATCATCGCTCAACACGAGCGTCTGGAACTCCTGCGCCTCAAACCACCCGCCCGGTTTAAGATGCGTAAACGCCTGCCTCAATAACCGCGGCCAATCAGCGATGCCCCCGCCCAAACTCCGCGCGTGAATGTAATCAAAGGGCTCCGTGGGGGGAAAAGTCCAGTCGGACTCGGCGTCGTCGATGAAGAAGCGGCAGTTTGGAGGGGCCCAGGAGGGTTGGATTGGGGAGAGGTCTGTGCCGTGGATGGTGGTTGTGGGGAAGTCTTCGGCCATTTCGATGGCCCATTCGGCGGTGCCAGTGCCGATGTCGAGGATGCGGGTTGGAGGGGTGTGAGTGCGGGTGAATGGGGCACGGTACAGGTCGCCGCCGGAGAGGAGTTTGAAGAGGTGGTGCATTAGGGCGAGGCGGGCTTGTTCTTCTTCGTCGTTGGGGAAGGGGTATTGTCCGTGGCGGTAGGCGTGGTAGCGGCGGCCATTTTCGTAGGAGTAGTCGCGGACGGAGGAGGCGAAGGAGAGATTGGAGTCCACGAGGGTTTTTGTGTCGAAGAGGGAGTCATCGTCGCTGGTCTGGGGATTGGAGGTGTAAGTGATGGCGGGAAAGGCGGGGGAAGGGAGATGGAGATGGTTGGCGGTAATTTAAACCAGCTCAGAGTCTACAGTGGAGAGACATTAAAGGAAATTGGGAAAAGCTCACGTCGATTTGAATGCGCTCGTAGGGATTTGGTTGGGACATGGCCTGAAGGGGGTGAAAGAACGAGGAATCCGTGCAGCCACGCCCCCGGCGAAGAAGAATGAGGAGGAAAGAGAGAGTGTTTGAGAGAGAGAGAGAGAAGAGGGTGAAGCAATCCGGGGAAGCGAGAGAAAAAAAGAAAAAGGAAAGAGATGGTCAGTGCAGGGAAGAAAAGAGAAAGGAGAGATGATCCAGTCAGATATTATTGATCACAACCCCCCACCTGACGAACGAGGCTGATTCTTCGGCCTTCTAGAGTTCGAAAGGAAGTGCCAGCGAATAAAGAAACCCAACCCCCGGAACTTGTTCCAGGTTAGTTCCCCTCAAGATTTCAAACTTAAAATCGTTGAGCAATACCGACAGAGGGGATGCTGGGAACCCGGCGAGTAAGAAAGATGATCCATCGAATCCGTCGAATCCGACTAGTTCCTTGGACTTTCACGGGAACCCCGCAGGGGAATCCCGAGGGGCTGGTTAAAGTCACTGGAGCAGACACCTGGTTTACCAAAAACCGGATTTGAATCATGGAACTAGATATAATTATTTAGCTAAGTCCTAGTTCCACTCTCGATTCAGAAGAACTCTAGCAGTATAGCAATATTAAACTCTGGATGTAACCAGATCCAGATCCAGATCCCGAACCAACCATTCTCCCAAACGACAAGCCAGCAGCAAGCCAACAAACTAAGTCAAGTTTGCTCCCAAACATTCCAGCCCAAACCCCAATTTTCCTTTTTCCCAAGTTTTCCCATCCCCGGGTTGGGCCCAAGGCCTCGGGCTCACGGAAAGACGGGGCGGATAACCATAAATCATGATTGGCTGCTCAATCCATGGTTGCAGCGGCGGGCTTGACTCGTACGGGGCACTTGGCGAGGGGAGCGTATGATTCAGGGTGGAGACATACTGCACACGTACATAAGATGGAGAGAAACCAAGTCATAATAACCCTTGGGCTCGTATGAGCGGTACGAACACTGAATCAAAGTATCGGGGCCATACACAACGTCAAATTTCATTATTCACGGACAGCTTTCCTGGATGATTATCTGATCCACGAACTGATCCATTCTTTTGCGGGAATGAAACCCATACTAGAGACCACTTCATACAGTAACTATTCTGTACGTCCATAATCCACATATGCGACTTTCCCAATTCAAATCCTTCTCTTCTTACCCCAACGCCTGCAGCTTAGCCTGCTCATCGGCCGTCAACGCCGCAAACACCTCCTGGAATCCAGGTTGCTGTGATGCCCGTCGGAAAAAGTCTGCCAGGAACGCTTGCGTCTCGTCATCCCGACGACGCACCCCAAACACACTTTCCGATCCACCCTCGCCAAAGCTCATCAACTGTTGTTTGGTCATGCCCAATCCCAGATCCAAAATCTGGCCCGGCTCATCTTCCCAGTCATCATCGCCGTCGTCGCTCGCCGCGTCTTCCAATGCCGCTGCCTGTGCAGCGTCGATCTCCTTGTTGCCCGAGGCTGCGGCCAACTCTTCAACCAACACCTTGACAATTTTCAGAGGTGCGGCGACCGTGGTGTACCGGTCGGGATTGGCGCGGGCTTGCGAGCGCGTCTTGATGCGGCCCGTGTCGTTGATGATCAGGTCGCCCTTGACGGGGACCTCGGACAGCCGAGGGTCAGACAATTCATAAAGGCGTGCCAGGGCAAAGATGTTTTGCTTGATTTCGTCGTAGCCGGCAAAGTTGACCGAGTTCTCGAGCCACTTACTCAGCACAACGACTAGTCCGCTCTGTCCGCCGAGGTTCACCTGCGCCAGGAAGTCCACCACCTCCCGCGCGCTGATAAGGGTCAGTCGTGCGAACACCAAGATCAAACTCTGGATGAATTGAGCTTGCTCGGCAGTCGCCAAGCGCTGGGCGACCGCCTGGAGGAGCTGCGGAAGGTATGGTCCCAGGCGCTCGGAGCCAGCACGCTCCACCAGCTCGGCGGCTAGCTGGCCTACTTCGGTCGCGGCATGGTCGTCCACAGCCGGGCCCAACAGGCGGTCAATGATAACCAGAACGACCTCAATGGCCTGCTTGCCAGACTGGGGGTCGTGCCAAGCGATAAACTGCGTAAAGTCGTGCGCGAGCATATGACGCACGGCCTCGGTCGCGGGCCGAATCAGCTCACCCTCCTCTGACTCCAACAGGAGACGGTTGAGCTTGGGCATGACAGTCTCCACAAAGCCGGCCGGCATGGGCTCGAGGCTGCGTTCCGCCAGGGCGCGGAGCAATTCCGCCGCGAAGAACGTCAATTCGTTCTCTTCAGTCAGGTTGCCCACGTCGATGGCGCCCATCAGCGAGGGGAGGACCTTCTCGCACAAACGAACATACGCATCCGGTCCATGCTCGGTGATCTGATCCACAATATCCTCAAAGGCCTCGGTCACGGTCATTGTGAGCTGGAAGTTCTCGGCACCGCTGCTAGCAATGTTGAAGAGCACGTCGATAGCCAAAGATGACAGGACAACAGATGGGTCGGCCATGATGGTATCTCGGAGGGTCTCCGCCAGGGTAACCTTGAGGTCATCGGCGTCAGTCTCCTCGCGTAGGTCATGTGCAGAGACAAACTCGGAAATGGCGGAGATGACGGTCGTCTGGAAAGGGCGAGCAACGCTAGCTGGCAAAGAGGGAATGAGGTCTTGCAGAACGCGAATACAGGCCACCTTGACCACCTCGGAGGGGTCCTCGGCAATAGCTTTCAGGGCAGCTTCCAGGTAAGAGATAGTGTTCTGCTGGAAAGTCTCGCCGGCAACCTTGGACAGGGCACCAGCCACGAGATAGCCTCGTGCGCGCAGCAGATCCTGCTCTTGTTGAGTGGCGTAGTGGACGAACTGGGTGAAATGAGTGGCCAATTCCTGGGAGATTGGCTGGGAGACCTCGCCAAAATCACGAAGGAGAGCATTGAGAATGTAGAGGCCTGCCTCACGGGACTTCCACCTATTCAAAGGGTTAGTATCATACAATTGTCTCCGTAGTATCGGAGAACGACTTACGAGGCAGAGCTGTCGGCGAAGAGGGTATTCAGGTGTGCCGAAATACCTTCAGCCGCCTTGTCTTTAAGCCATTCGCCGACCTTGATAACCAAGTCCCCACTGCAAGTTCTAGGAGTGTAGTTTGCGGTAACTGAGGTCTCCTCCGAGAGGAAGAGGTTCACGTCAATCTCCCACAGACCTTCCTCTTCGCAGGTAATTTGTGAATAGCTACCGGCAAGCTTCATGATCTCTGGTACCCATCCAGATGAGCTAGCAGCAGCGCCGGCGTTCTGCAATTGTTGTGCCAATTCCGCTTTCACGGGCGGCGCCTTCAAGAGGGCTTGGATCAGATCCAGTTCCTCCAGGATGAGGAAATCCAGCGAGTAAGGAAGACCATCAACATCTTCCAAGCGTCCTTGGCGTTCATCCTCGATATAGAAATTTTGGTAAATGGGTAGAGCATTGGAGAGCTCTGTCCAGACAGTCGAGAAGAAGGTTGGACTCTGGGCGGTAAGAAGTCCGGGGAAGACCATGCGGATCTTCATCACAGTCTATACGAATCAACAACGCTTTGTTAGCCAAATACCCAATTCAGAAATCCCGAGTCCTCTCCTTTGTAAAAATCATACCTTTACAACTTGAAGCTTCAACCCAACAATACCACGCCATTGCGATGGAATCTCGCCCACTTTGTTTGCTTCCTCCGGGCTTGGTGGTTGAGGCAGCGGAGCCTTTAACGTCTCGACAAAGTATGGTGACCATCCGCTCAGCACCTCATCCACAAATTGCTTAATCGCAGCCTTGTGCTGCTCCAACACCATTTCCAATGTATCAAAGCAGGAGCGGAACACCGCCACGGCAAGGGCCCGCAGCATCGGGCGACGGGACTCGGACGTTGCCACGGCGAAGAGGGACGAGACGAGGTCACGGGCAACATTAAAGAACTGCTCATCACTGAAACCGGTATCCACAAGATCCAACAATACCTTCAGCGCGCCGTGCAGCGCATTATCACTCGTCGCAGGGTCATTAATCACATGGAGTAGTGTGGGCAGCAGCTCTGGCCAGTCGTCAGGGAAATCTGCACTGGCGATCTTGCTAACGGCATAACTGGCGGAAGCCTTGACTTTGCGCTCGGGGGTCTCAACGGTAGTCGCCAGCTCCAGCAGCGCACGGCGGATTTGAGCCTTGTTCGCGTCGGTGACGAGCACCTGGCCGGTGAAGTCGTCAAGGTTAGGGGACCAGGAGGCACCGATGAACGTACGGAGGACGGAAAGGGCGGATTGGCGCAGGTTCACGGGGACGGACTCGTGCGAGGCAATGGCTGTGAGGGAGATGGGGAAGGATTCGTTCGAGTTGAGCTGGGCCAGTTGGGTCTCCGCGGCTTTCCTAGCATCTGCCCGAGGCGACTGTGTGTCTGCCAGGAGCGACAGGAGTTCTTGCTCCATGGCGAGGCGAGTTGTTGGTTAAATTGGTCTCCACCGGGTATGTGATCAGGGATGGGAAGAGTGGCCCGTCGTGAGGAGAGGTGAAGCCAACAAGTTTGCGCGCGGCGCGATAAGGAGACGAGGCTCTGGAGGGGCAGAGGCGGTCAATCGGAGCTTTAGTACGGAGTATCGTTAAGTGGTTTATACCACTCACGGTAGAATGTAGGATTGGCTCAATATTCTGCTTTTATGGAGTTTAATTTCTGTGATCTCATATAATTTGCTGTCTTTTATCTCTCAAGTTTGCGCTGATTGATTCATCTGGTTCTCGTATGCTGGCAGACTCGTGGAATATTTGTTTGGAAGTGGGGGTGCCTCAGCATTCAGGTACAAGCCCAAAATCAGCCACACAAATCACTAGATGAATTATGCATATTATAAATGGCAATTCCTCCCTATTCCGGGACCGAGGCTTCCTAATCGAATTCCATTTCCTAGTCAAAAGACGGTCTGTAAAGTGGCTAACCTAGGGATCTACAGACTGATTAGCTGATTGGTTGAACGTGCGAGGGATGAGCTTTTACGATGATTCCAAGGCTTTATGGCGTAGGTAACGAAGTCTCATGACCATATGCATGCGTGCATGAACGTATGTTGGATTTCACAGCATATATCCGACTCTGCGGTGGTTCTTGTGGTTGGTGCTCGAATAAGTACGGCGAACGATAGAGGGGACTTTCCCAAAACTCCTAAATCCTACGAGTACCTTTACCGCTTCTTCCACCGTCCTATATGCTCTACCCGAAGACCCCAAAATCCTCTTACATAGGTACGTACGTACGTCTAACTATGTTGCTTATATATATCCTAAATTACACAGGTCGTTACTAAAGCGTTATCTATACCCCTATTTACTAGTATTATATATACTAACATGGGTGATTTAGGAGATTAGCTAACTATAAGATCCTAGGTCTTGAGATTAGTCTAAGATTAGCTATAAGATTATAGATTATATTTAAATTTCAGCTGAAGTAATATATTAGTTAGTTAATTTAAATCTATTTTAATCGGTTTCCTATAGCACAGTCGCTTTTCTATAGGGGATATAGGAAATGCATAGATTATGTAGGACAAAGAATAGCTGAAATGGAGATTCTGCCGGGTTAAAAATCGCTAAGAGTTTTAGGAAGTCCCCTCTATCGTCCGCCGTAAATATAGGCCGACTGCATAGTTCCGAGCTGATCTCAGACAGGGTATTTATTGGCTAGTATTAATCTACATTTCTACGTTTTCAGTCAGTATTGTCAGATTTAAAAAGAATCCGCTTCGACGGTAGATAGAATAAATATTGGCATTAGCTTTTTATAACACTAGTGATTCGCACGCTACTAGAGAACCAGCAAAACTCCTAGATAGCAATGACGATCTAATGATCCCTCCCCCGACTGGTTTGAGCCTTTCAAGTAATGATGTGAGATTCCAGGCAAGTATAATCTTGTTCAGCATGCAAAAAATTGAAATGAGAAGGGATTAAGTTGCTGGATACACTCTACAATAGCCTATTTACAGCCCTTCCTTCTTTTCTTGCCCCAATCACTCATCTTCACAAGCCACACTGCCCTGATCCCTAGTGCTTGTTGGCCTTCTTGATGCTCTTGACGTGATCAGTCACCAGGATAGTATAGTTAGCAGTTCCACGGAAGATAGTGTATCCATCATCCGGTGAAGGACCAGAAGAAAGATTGTCACCATATTGCCAGAAAGTATCACCTGCAATGCCCTTTGTCTTCAACGCAGTCTGCTGCCAAGGGGCTTCGGAAGATGCATGCGCAAGGGAGCCGTACTCCTCCAGCAAGCATGGTTTTCCGGCCTTGACACAAGCAGCACCGTGAGCTTCGATCCAGAGGTTACCCCAAGGATCTTGCTCACTCCCTGATTATCAAACAGTAGATGTCAATAAGAGATGAATTATGGACATGTGGTGCAGACTTACACTGGCTAGGATATAGATGAAGCGTGCCAAAATCGATGGTAGGAATGTCGAGGTTCTTCTCAAAATCCACTCCCTCATAGTAGGTGAAGGGGTAAGTGCCGTCCGATTGAGTAGTGAGACCCATTCCCTCTGAGAGCGGGGAGTGTTAGAGGTCATTCTCCTGCCATTTCATTGTGCCAAGGGACGTCTCTAGTGCACTTACCATCTCCAATGCAAACCATTCTGGCAGGCTCAAGGGACTTGATAAAGGCGCTAGTACTCTTGACCCAATTGTAAATCACACTGGTATCGCATCCACGGCAGCGAGGCTCATTGGCAAGCTCCCAAGCAAAGATAGCCGACGATCCCTTGTACCGAGAGATAACGGCCTTAATATATTCCCGGTAAGACTTTTGAGAAGCCTCATCCGTATACCAGGACGTCGCGTTACCTCCAAAGGCCGTATTGTACGCAGCAATACCGCCATAATCACCCCAGTTATTGACAAAGTTGACGATAAGCTTGACGTCGTGCGCTTCGGCGGACTTGACAACGTAGTCCAGACGCTGCAAGCCATCGGCTCCATCGTTAATGGTCGACGTTCCATTTGAGATGTGATGGAACCAGACGCGGCCGTCGGTGGGGATCTCGTTAACATCGTTGAATCCCCAGACGCGAAGCACCTTGAGACCGGATTGCTTCAGATGGCTCATAACCAAGTCCACGTCGGAATTGCTCTTGAGGAAGGGGATCCAATAAGAGTTGCTGCCAGCAAAGTAGTCTGCCTGGCCGTCGATCACGAATCGCAGACCATTACGGCTCGGAATTGCAGCTTTTTGATGAGCATCTAAAACCGATGCGTCAATTCAAAATCTTTAATTTGAGCAAAAGTTTCTTCGGCGAATTCAATTGATAAATTGCATACCTTGGACAGCCCGTCGATCCATAGAGTCGCCAATGCTGATGGCATGGCTAGCAGCGAAGCCAGCCCATAGAAGGAATTTGGCTAGTAAAACACGTCTCATTTTGTCAATGATAAAAGTTTATGTCTCTGGGGGCGAGTCTAAAGTTCAGATGAGGATGATATCGAACTGGTACAAGAGAGGAGGAGACTCTTTATATGCATTTTCTCCAACCTCGTGTTGCAGCACTCCCCAAACCCCCAGGCTCATCGACCAATAAAGCAGTCCTCATATTTCAAAGGGCTAACTAGACCCCACACGCTAAATTCTCCGGGGAAGCTCGTTTCGAGACAATTCTGAGTTGCCTGGTTCCTTGTCAGGGCCGTCCCGTTCCGCTTTGGTCAAGGGATGGCGGTGCAAGCAAATAGTATGTTTGGATCTAGCTGAGAGACATATCTTCGCATTATAAGAGCTTGCCAAGCGACAATTTTATAGGGCAATTTCTCCGCAAGAAACTGGAACGAATTGTAATTGTTTCTAATACCTTGTGGCTCATTTAATGACGCTTTTGGCTCTCGATCTACCGTTCCCTTCTAGATCATACTGTATTCTATTGCCATAGTGTGAGACGAAGAAGGAAGACTGAATATTGATAAAAGCTATTGGAGGCGTCTAAAATAAAAGAGATTAAATCACTGAGTTAACGCACACAGGGGTAGACTCCTGTAACCCTCATCTAGCGATCGTATACTGGCCTTGCGAATAGTGCCCACAGAATGTTAGGTACGTCGCTTGAAAAGCCCCAATGGTCTTTTCCTCCAATGTTGTGTTAATCAGGTAAGGTATGGATGGCATCCGCCAAGTGTCACTTTCGACACGCAGTCAAGTGAACAAGATCGTGGGTAAAACAATGGCTGCGAATACCCCGGATTTGCGGAGACCTATTCGCCTCTGCAGCTTGAAACCCTGCCCTGAACCTTTTACTCTATCGGCTCAGGGTAGCTGGAGTATTTTGCACGTGGGTGATTATCACAAGGGTCAAGTTTTGCGGTTCCTCTCAGGGTCTAACCCATCTAGTGAGTTCAGCTCAAGCTTTTACCCGATCGGGAAACTGAGGACTCCCCGCATCTCCGCTTTAGACGCGGAAAACGAAGGGGTAATTACTGCCCCTCTATATCCGTCAACTTTTGAGTGAATATAGGCGATTGAGTTCAAATACATTCTCGGTGCCCTATTTTGCTGGTTTCCAAATCTTTCTTCTCCTGCAAGATAGACTGGGAATTTTGAGGCATCTCAACCATGTCAGTCAAATACACCTCTAGGATTAACCAGAGCCAGCACTATCCGAGAACTGAACCGCTATAGAAACTTATATCAACGATGAAAATATAGGTGAGCATTGCTCATGTAGTCTTATTCTCCTTTGGTTATTTAGTTTTGGTGGCGAGCATGAGGTTTAAATCGGCGCGCGTTGGCTACTAGTCGAAAGTTCGGCATATCTCAGCTATCACATCACCAATTACTTCGGGCAGATGTGTTATAAGACCATACCTAAGGCGATATCAACACGTTTCTTCATCATTAATCACAAGCTTTGTCAAAATACTCTGTGGGCCGAATTCTCCTTGCATGTCCATACCGGTTGAGAACCTACTCGCTATCAGCCCTGGCCAGGGATAGACTGATACGAAAGTGAGGTTTAAAGGCTCTAGCTGTAATATTTAGGCGTGTATTCCCCATTCACCGGGTCCGTTCCGGTAAGCGTCATCCTTTAACGAGGTGTAGAGCCCCTCTGCTCCACTTCAGCTCAACACCCGGGTGACTCCGAATTTACCGAAAGAGAGCAAATCAACATGTTACGTATTTTTTTTCGCTCTAGCAAAGTTATCGGATCATGTTTTTGATTGGGACGCATAGGTGGAAAATGTAGCGAATTCTGTAATATCCATGAGCTCGGCGACTCGCTCGTATAAACAATTTGCGTAGGAATCACATTAATTTAATTATCTAAACCCCAAGGGTACAGTAGTACCCGATTTGAAATCGCTCAGGGTCGTGCTCAATTCTACTCAGTAGTAGATAACTAAACCCGGTGAGCCAAGTGTAATCGGAAATTATTCAAGATCCTCTTATGTAGGTTCCTTGCAAGTACATGTCTCTACATTCAGGTACTTCAGGTACCCCTCCCTCTCTTATTCAAGTGTCTCACTTTAGGGTAAGCACTACGCCAGTGGTCGGTACCTGATGAGACAATTCCGGCAGAGCCGTGGGCACCAAGATAAGCTTACATCTCCCGCTGGGTTTACTCGGGTATGGCTTGATTCTGCTCGGCTATACCCCGTTGGGTGGTGCAATACTTTCCAAGGTTATACTCTGGCTGGTTGAAAAGTGTTGTGTGGTTCTATGCTCCATTTATTGCATCTGTGTGTGTACATCCAACATCTACCCGACAGATTAGTGTTGTACTTTTCCCCATTTTATTTTCTTACCTTCTTTTTCGCTTGGCTTACGATGATCGGCCCTCTCGCCGCTAAGCGTGCGACGATCCCTCCTACCAGACTTAGTGACGCGGTGGGGAAGAAAACGAAGAGGCGAAAAAGGGCAAAGGAAAAAAAATGTGCGCTCTGTACCGCCCCCAAGATGACAATATTTTGTGGTACTGTACCCTGAGCATACCCTTGGGTATGTGTATCAAGGTTAACTTTTTGTTTCCCACCGGTTTTATACTTGGTTCTTCTCTATCTCAGAAGCTCGTTGTCCTGCCCATTTCGAGTCCATACAAGTAGCACTTTTCAATCAATAGCAAATAATAGAAATATTGATCTAGAAGAAAGTCATGTCCATCGATAAATAGAAACGAAAGAGGCCACCAGCATGTACAGTAAGTATGGGAGTATTCGAAAAGCGAGGTTCTGCAAGGCCCATGACGCAACCACGTGACGGGGGCCAACCTTTCCACTGGCATCTTCCACTCCTGCTCTTTTCCCCCTCCGCCAAATCGGTACATTGTGAATCTCTTGGTCGAGTCAACGCCATCGGTTTTGCGATTTATTTCACGCCCCTACAACATCCTGCTGGGACAAAACTGAGCTCATTCTTGCCGACCCTCTCGTTCCTCGGCCCTCAGGGTTTCCATACCGCCCCCTCCCTCCTTCCTCTCGCTTTAGCCCGCCCCTCCTCGCCTTCCCCTCCCTTGTCCCTTACCCAAGAGGAATCACAGCGACCACACTCCTTCTGTTATTCGGGATCGGCGCTCAGGGACTTACCGTTATTCATCCCTCATGCTCTGAGGGTTTATCTTTTGTCGTTTTGTCCACCCAAAGTACGTACTTCTTCGGTTTCCCCCCATCAAACAAACCCCCTCTCTCTTTCCCCTCCACCGCCGACTTTGATATCCCGGTCTCCACTCTATTCTCTTATCACTCAAAACACCCTACTCATTTCACCCTTTCCGATTGCTGTCCACGTTGTTGCACAATCCGCCGGTACAATCGCGTCGGCCGACTATCGGAGAGCGGAACAAACAAAAAGCTCCCCTGACATCATCAAACCCTAATTCTCTGCCACCGAGTCCCCTTTTTAGACACCCATATTGACTGATGATATTAGAAAGGCAGAGCGATGGTTAGCTTCAGGGTGGAACATCATTTAGATTCTTCGAGACTCCGTCAAGATCAACCCTCCCGTGGAAACGACATCGGATCGTTCAACGACAATGTCAATGGCCAGTGAAACCAGTAGTACCACCACCATGACAACCTTTTCCGCCCCGGTCCCTGCTACCAAATCGCTGCCCACCAATCAGTCAGCGCTAGCGGCCTCTTTCACCAACTTCCTTACGGTGTCCGTCCACCAAATACTGTTCCTGCGCTCCGTCTATCCACGCGCCACATTCCTACCGGTACGGGCATACAACTATCCTGTCCGCCAATCGCGTCACCCCAAGGTGTGCGACTATATCAACGATGCATCAATCGCAGTTGGGACAGAGATTTTGAAAGGCACAATCACCGCAGTCAGTATCATCATTTCATCTCTGCGCACAAACCAGCCCCTCGAACGATATGCCTTTGATCTCTCGGGATTCCCTCGCGCTCCATCTGGAGAGGTGAACACTACATTTGAGAGCAGAAATGAAGATTCATCCAATGCAGGTGCCCCGGGGGCCCCGCGCCAACTTCCGTCGATCTCGAGGCCCAGTTCCGAGCTTGTCTGGCCCGACTTGCATCTGCTTGTGCCCGATTGACACCCCTGCCACGAGACGATGAATTCAGCTTTACCGTATGCATCGAAGTTCGCGAGGATGCTCTTCCCCCGGCAGGAACTACCAACGAAGAACAAACGTGGATTGTGGCGGAGCCCGGCAAGGTGCATTTGCGATCCTGTACCGCTCCATACTCCGTGTCCAAGGTGCGAAATGGGGAGCCTCAGCATCAGCAACCATCTCCCCCGGTCTCGAATGGCCGCGCCAAAACGGTGCCGGTACGACGAGTGGAGGCTGGAGAATTGCGCTTGGAGTTGTGGGTGGAGGAGGCACGGCAGAAATTCGGCGAACCGGTGGACTCAGAGCAGCCCCCTTGAAACACACGCGCTTTCAAAAAAGAAGACCTTCTTTGAGCGCATAAAAAAGCCTTGGGGGACCATATTTCTTGCGTCATTCCCTGGCTTCGGGGGAAACTATGTTGTTCCTTTGTTCATTGGTCTACCACCCCGTCCCCTATCATCCTCCACACGACCATGCCACATTGCCGCCACTCATCCACCTTTTCACCTTTTCTTACCTCAATTTCAGTCTCATTCTTGATTTAGCGTGACCAATGATCGAACATATATGATGGACGAGGGAATTAAGAATTGCCTTCCGCAAGAAAGTGGCGCAAATACATAAAACGGGAAGCGGGAGATATTTGGGACTCGCATGGCATTTACTCACATAGATCGGGTTCACATCTTTTTTTTCTTCTTTTAGCTTGCTCTTAGTTTTTCCTTTTCTACATTCCTCTCTAGGATACTTTTGGTCCTCTTTTACGTTTACGACACTCGTTCTTTCCTTCTCTCATTATTTGACCTCACTTCCTCGACTTTCTTGATCATTGACGGTCTATCACATTAGCATATTTCCATGCCGATCCCTGGGTTTTTTAACACTCCTCGTTGGTCTTTTTTGCTGCGGTCTGGCCTTTTCTCTTTTTTTCTTCCATACCAGCCTCATGTATCTCATTCGTCTCCTTTGTTGAACTTTTCAACTACATGAATCTCCAATATTTTCTTCAGCCAATTGCCAGTTCAATAATCTAGTAGCCATTTCTACATAAATCCGGCTTGCCCTCTTGATCCAGTACGATCTACTATACCTTTCTTTCTTAGTTTCGTTGTTCATACCCAAGCCTGTGTTCTCCATTATGCACTATCCCGTGGCAGCTGCTATTCAACCCGGGTTTGCGGATACCATTGTTTGTCTTTCAAGGCTGCAAACGCAAAATATGCCCTTCTTTCTAATCCGGTAGATAGTCATTCGTCTACCTCCTTTAGCTTGATGTAAAAGATTCACTGTATTAGGTACATCTTGCTTTATTGACTATAAGCCCAACTTCTCTATCCCCCTTTCCTTCTTCCTCACTAGATTCCCTCCACTCTACTTCTCTAGCCAGTCTGAAATCTCTTCATCCCTATCTCTTCTAGATGGCTACGGCGGATCGACCCTCGGGTTCTCTTCAACCTCAACAGCAGCAGCCGCCTTCGCAGCAAAATTCCATGTTTTCTCAGCCAACAGCGGCCACGGATAGCTTGCAGCAGCAACAAAACCAGGCAGAGTCCGGACTCCCACCCTTTCCACCACACCGTCCATCATGGACCGACTTGACCGGCCCAGAACAAACTGTGACTGGGCAACCACAGCAAGACTTCCCACGAAGACAGCCGTCTTTCCAGACGAACCATCCAAAGCCAGCAATTCCAAGCCAACCACTTCCTATACCACCTGAATCGCACCAGCCGCAGCCGCAACCGCAACCGCAACCACAATTACAACAAGCTCGTTCTCAGCATGGGGCGCCGTTAGCTCTACCGGCGGAAGCTGTCCTTGTCCCGCATACCGTTGGACAAGTGGGATCACATGTTTTTCCCATTGCTAGTGGCCAATACCAGATTCGAGTAATCTCATACATGGAAGTGTTGATACCCATGATTCCTTCTCCTGCTCAGCCATCGTCTCAGTGATTTGGGAGCTGAATGAGAGGCGAGGCATGATATTCGTTGGCTTATCGGCGTGACGTGTGCTGTTTCCCTTGTCGAGATCGAGTACTTCAATGTCTGGCAAATTTCCCGTGATGTGAAAAGATTTGGGTTCTCTATCTGGAGACCCACAGATGGTTCATGCATTAATCTCCCTTTCTAAGAATTCTATTTCAAAGACCATAAGTTCTCGTCAGTTTCCAAAATTCTGACTATCATATCGTCAGCTGTAGACACCACTAGCTTCCCGTCCCGCGAAAAGGCCATGCCCCTTTCCCAGCCTTGAACCGGCCCCAACTTGCCGCAGGCTGTGCCCGTGCTCGTAGTCCAAAGTCGTATTGATGAGTCGTCCGACGCAGAGACGACCAGTTTGCTGTCCGGAGAGAAAATCACATCTTTCACCCAGCTCGAATGTCCCTCGAGGACCGTGGATAGAGTACCCGCTCGCCACAACCGTGCTGTTCGATCTTTCGATCCAGTGGCTACCATCGTGCCGTCTGGTGAAAAGTTCACGGCCCGCACATAGTCAGTGTGGCCTTCAAGTACGGCACGGGCAGTACCCGTTTGTATATCCCAGATGCGAGCCGTGTAGTCATCGGAAGCAGATGCCAAAAGCTTCCCATCCGGCGAGAACTTCACCGTCCGCACCCAGCCAGTGTGGCCGCGGAAGACTTGGATGGTGTTCCCAGATGCAAGATCCCAAAGACGGACCGTTTTGTCGTCCGATGCCGACGCTATCAACTTCCCGTCCGGGGAAAACGCAGCCGACCTCACACAGCCGGAATGGCCTTGAAATGAACGGGATACGACCCCCGTGCCGATTTCCCAAACTCGCACGATCATGTCGTCGGAGGCGGAAGCCACCCGCTGGCTGTCTGGTGAGAAGGAGACAGCCCTGACCGGGCCGGAGTGCCCTTTGAATACTCGATATAACGAGCCCGTCGCCGTCGTGCCCCAGACCCGGACCGTGGCATCATTCGAAGCCGAGGCCGCCATCGTGCCATCCGGGGAGAGGGCCACATCCCAGACCCAACCAGAGTGGCCCTCCTGGAAGGTGCGACGCGGCACTAGCTTGACATCTGGAGAGTTGGCGGTTGGAGTCTGCATTGGTGGCGGCAGTGACCCCCTTTTCCTTGGGGGGTGAGGACGACCCTCGTGACCAGAAGGGGGTGGAGGGAGTCAAGATAAAGTTGGAATATATTATTTTCTCGGAGTTGAAGGGGTTATTTTTTTTATGTTTTTTTTTTGGACTCCTTCGGTGAAACTTGAAATGGTTGTTTTGGATGGTGGAGATGGTCGTCGCTGACACAAAAAAATGGCCCAATTCCCCTCATTTTCTGCGCCCCTCTTCATTTGAAGATTCCCCCTCCATGCAAATTGCCCATCACCGATGTCATCACCCATTAGGTAAGCGGGCCTTTCCAACCTTCCACCCCCACTATTCCGGATCCCGTGACCTGCTCATACCCTACTCACCGTTGACACATCACGTGATAAACTCACATGACCTTTCTTTGTGTCACATGACTCTTACTTTATCACATGATCTATTTCACTTATCCCACGTGATCTCACCCATCAAAAATGGAGAACACTTCCCCCCTTCCTAAGGGACCCACCGTTACGTCAACGGCAGGTCTAACCGGTCTACAAAACTAAAGTCTGTTCAAGCGATTGGAAAGCCACTAAAAGAACATTCTGATTTGCAGATTAAGCCTCCTCCCTTCCCTTATCATGGCCGCTTTCTGTCGCTTGCCCTCGGCTCGGGGTGACAAAGAGAAACCCCCGTCGGCCGCCGCTTTCCCATCAAGCCCCCCGGCCCGGATGATGATGATGAATGAAACGCGCAAGGATGGAGCCAATTGAAGCGGGGACGAATCGAACTGGGATCGGAATTGGTGTGTGTCACAATCTCTCTCGACTTGCCCGATCCTGTCCACCCCTCTCTGTAGGGTGCGTAGGGCGTGCCCCGGATTGATACCACGCCGCCGGCCCTTACCCGTGGGCCCTCCAAGGGCGGTTCCCTATCCACTTTTGAACCTGCCGACCCCGGATTTCTTTTTGGATGTCTCTTTTTTTTTCTCTTGGTTCCTTTCTTCATCTCCTGTTTCTCGTTCAAAAAGAGAATACACTTCGTCATTCCTATCGGGTGCTCTGAACATGATCGTGGAACGTGAAGATATGCAAGGAATTTGACGATTTACTACATACACTTTCCGGTGACATTCCGCTCTCGTGACCAAGACTGTACGCCGATCTATACAATTGGTTCGGCTACTATTCAGTTTCGCCTTCTCTATCCGAAGCTCTAAATTGGCGGGAAAGAGTCGCTCGTGGAGACCTTCACCAACGACCTCAAACTACCTACTCAGAGAGTAGCTCATTCTCAAAGAAAACCTCATACAGTACAGCCACTACTTCACCATGATTGCCGCAAATGTTCCTCACCTCCCAGACGGAGACTCGCCAGATTTAATCTTGGTCCCCGCCACTCCCGAGGAGCGCATCGCCTCCATCAAGCTCAACAGTATTGCCTGGAAAGGTCCCTTGGACGTCGAAACCTACATTGCGCGTGAAGATCACCTCTACAGCCAACGACTTACCCGCGATGGGCTCACCTGCTGGATCTTGGTCGACGGTACCGAGCCCGAGGGCGATCGCACTATTCTAAGCTCCTGCGAAACCTACCAGAAGAAAGCCCTACTCGCACATGACGGCCAAGTGGAAGATGTATCCACCCACGGCATAGGAAGTGTCTACTGCAGGCCGGAGTTCCGGGGCAAGGGTTACGCAAAGCGCATGCTAGAAGAGCTCAGCCGGAAGCTTGATACGTGGAAAATGGAAAAGCAGCCGCGAGGCAGAGCATTGTTTACTATTCTGTTCTCGGATATCGGCAAAAAGTTCTATGCACAGTTTGGCTGGCGGCCATTCTCGTCCTCACACATGGTGTTGCCGGCTCGGGCGAAGGGGGAGCTTTCCAATGGAGCGACAGGGAAATGTGCCACACGGGATTTATATGCCGAAGACGTCGACAAGCACATGTGCAACGGTACGGTCATTGCCAATCTGTGTGAAGAGATGCGGGTTGCCTCGAAAAAGTCACAGACCGCCACCGTGGCTATCCTGCCTGATTTCGACCACTTTGTATGGCACTGGGCTCGTGAGGAATTCTTTGCACAGCAGCTCTTTTCACACCGCGCTCCACCAACCATCAAGGGCGCCGGGAATGACGATGCTCGCGTATACTGCGCGTGGAATCGGAACTTTGGCGAGACACCCGAGGACAGTGTGCTTTACATCTTGCGGTGGGTGTACGACGAGCCCACATCACCCGAGCAGGAGCAAGTGTTAGTCCAGGCGATGGCTGGTATCTTGCGGCGGGCACAGCACGAGGCAAAGGAGTGGGGACTGAGCACCGTCGAGTTCTGGAATCCGGAACCACTCCTACAGAAGGCTGTCAAGGTGCTGGATCCCGATGCGGAGGTTGTGCACCGCGAGAAGAGCAGCATTTCTAGCCTGCGCTGGACCGGTGACGAGCACGGGCTTGGTCAGGATGTGGAGTGGGTCTTGAATGAGAAGTATACTTGGTGCTGATTTAATTTGCTTGGGTATCATTTTCGGGAGGTTCTGCCATTTAATGATTTCGGTCATCTTGTCATGCTCGAAGGCTCAACTGCGGAGGAGTCCACAACATGAACTACTGGGTGGAAGTCGTGACATAATTCTTTTAGAGGGTGCCTGGCATTAATAGATCAGGTCACTCCATCAATGACGCGACAGCGCATTTGATGTTTTGCAAATCAGCGGCGCTTTTGATTTTTTAGCAATTCATGCCAGTTTCTGGTCGTCTTCGCTTTGGCAGCTGCAGCCGGTGCAGCGGCAGAAGTCTTGCTGACTTGCTGCCGTTGCGATGGCTCAACGAAGCATATCGTTGTAGGATCGGGGCTCTGGTAGGACCCCGGCTGTAACTTAGATAGAGCGACCTCGTCTCTCCAGGATTCTGGAAGACAATCTTTCCACTCACGGAGGAAGTCGCTCCGCCCGGTTGCTGATGATGGTGTGGGTGCTGTAGCAGCGAGATATATTTCGCCTACCCATTGCGTACACTCGGCCTTGTCAAAGCTCGCCCCTATATAAGTATCAGATTGACCGAACGCGGATCTGTAACATCGAGCCATTAACAACTTACACTTGATTTCGTCAGCCAACGATGGCCGCTCGTCTTCCACGCAAAGCCTTCTCGCCACGGCTTCAAGGAGCGCCCGTGGGAATGGCTCTGAAGCATCATCGTCGTCAAGAACCGACTTCCACAGGTCCCCAACAAGGAACTGCTTTTCCAGGTCGATTCCTTGTAGAATAGCACCCTCCATCAAGCGCTTCCACACATTCAGCCGCATCCGTGCCGAAGGCCTCCAGCATACACCTTGCTCCTCGTCGACAAACGCGCAAATCTCCGTCCAGCCAGCTTCGCACTGAGCCGAGGAAACGGGAACATCCACAAGCACACGATCTCTCATTTGTCTCGTCTCAGCCGGACCCAATGCGCCAGCCCCATTCGAAGACTCGTCCATAGCGATATCCCCGTCATCATCGCCGCTCCGTTTTTCATATAGACCCAAGCTCTTCTCCAAGAAGGGTACTGCAGAGAACCCTCCCGGCGGGACGTGTAGTTCCAACGTAGATCCGCACTTCGCAATTGCTGTCACGGCCTCGTCGGGAAGATTTAATGTCCCGCTCTCGCCAGCCTCCTCTTCGACGACTTTGATGTCTGCCCTTGAGATCTGCCCAAGACTAGGTCGGAGGATGTGGAGAGAGTTTGATGATTGGACTTGACGGATACGGTATGTTTGCGTAGGCGTGCACAGGTTGACATATTCTGGGGCACTGGGATCGACCACGGCACGGGCGAGTGCGGCAGAGGGGGATTTGAGCTCGAGCCTGGTAAAGCAATTTCTGTCAGAGATTATTTTGCGATAGTAATCCAACCAGATAGTTTCAAGCAATGGATTAAGCGCTAGGTAGGCCTAGATTTAACGCTTTCCGAGCATCATGGCATGGAGTTGTCCACTTACGCTGGGGCATCCTTGGAAGACAACAATGCCTCTAATTCCGGGGTAAGCTCCAATAGCCGGAACCCCTGTTGGGGGTGTGTATTCGTGAAAAGAATACTCCGTGAGTCTTGAGTCGCCATTGGAACGAGCGAATGCCTTCGAATGCGATCTGCAAGAAAAGTCGATGGGATGCCAGGAAGGAAACGCGCGGGGACGCGATAGACACGCGCTCGGCGTGCACGGACCGCCGTTTAATGGCTGGCCTACCGATCAAACTTCTCGACTTGGGACGAATTGATCGCAATAATGAGTCACGTTTGTGCTTCTCGGGTGTTTTCGAGTAAATCTGAGTTGTAACATGGGTTTTAGGCATTCCACTGCTGTGGTAATGCTTACTTGTTTCAGCGCTACATGAACCCTTTTCGGGAAAAGGCGGACTTGATGCTTACTACATACGACTGCGAAAATCATACCCTTACATTTATGGATGATGATTCATGCTGCCCACGAAGATTTATTGAAACAACGCTAAGCAAATGCCACGATGGTGAGGTTCATGAAACAAACACCACACAGCCTCGCGCTAGGCATACCGACCAAGGCCCCCCAATCAGCCACACCAACGAATTGGAGACGATCGAAATTGCTTGCCCACTTCCTTAAACGAGCCTCTAGAAACGAGTCAGCCAATCACAACAATCCAAAGCTACGATTCATTTCCTCATACTTGTTCTTCCAATATTTACACTCAACTATGCTATGCTCTCTGGCTAGCATTTGCAGCTATTTGATACTAATGTTCTATAATTATTTCAGGCAACTAGATATGGTTGTTTGCAGAGTCATCGACCATCATGATCTTTACTTATAAGAAAGCAGTCAGTCTACAATATCCAGCAATCAGAAGCACTTTGTTCAATTCCTGTACATCTGTGACAGCGCTCCTTTCCATAGATTCTTGTCTCCAAAGATTTCCAAGTCAATATCCTTTTGTCAGCAGAAAGATGCGACCGGGCTATCTTTTTATATTATGGTCTTTACTAGTGACATCTCTCGCGGTCTTTGCAAAGCCAATTCAAACACCCGCACCGGTATTTGGCCTGTCACCTCGAGATGTGACCGCAACGACCACGGCAAAAGCAACAGCCACAGATCCAACATCGACAACAACGGAAACAGGATTTCACTTGACATTGAGTCTGAACCTACCCTCCAACACTTGTACACCCACTGTTGCACCAGACAAGAATGGCTGGGTTCCTGCTTCGCAATGCAACGCCCTCTATCTCTACTACCCATCTTTCGGCACAGCAATTGCATTCACCATCCTCTTCGGCTTACTCACGATGGCGCATCTTGTTCAAGCTACTATCTACAAGGCAGGCTTTGCTTGGGTCGTTCTGATGGGTGTTGCATGGGAATGTGTTGGCTACATCACCCGTGCATTGAGCACACGCAATCAACAGGATACTACGATTGCCACCATTACCCAAATCTTCATACTTCTGGCACCATTGTGTAAGTTTTCAGTCCTCGCAGTTGATTCATGATTACACGTGCTGATTCTTGACCTTTGTGATAGGGGTCAACGCCTACTGCTACATGGTTTTAGCTCGGATGATCTACTTCTTCATACCGGAACGTCAAATCGGAATATTTAGGCCCTCGCTTCTAGCAACAGTCTTTGTCTTCCTTGACTTTGGCTCCTTCATCATCCAAATTATCGGCGGCATGAGTGCAAGCCCAGGTCAATCCAACGAAGAAGTTATGAAAGGAATCCACATATACATGGCAGGCATTGGGATCCAGCAATTCTTCATCATTTGTTTCCTTGTTCTCACCATCCAGTTTCACAGACAGATGTTGCAGCTGGACCGCTCGGGAAGATTATTCCCAGAAAAGCGGCGTTGGAGACATCTACTGTACGCTTTGTACGGAAGTCTTTTGTTCATTACAGTGCGCATTATCTACCGTCTGGTCGAATTTTCGGCTGGTGAGACAACCGCAAATCCCATTCCTTATCATGAATGGTATATGTATGTATTTGATGCGGTGCCGATGCTCTTTGCTATTGTGGTTTGGAACGTAGCACCACCTGGTGCGGTGTTACAGGGCCCTGATGCGAAGTTACCGCCCAGTGGATTGCGCAAGCTTCTTACTTGTTGGAACTGTTGTAATTTGTGCGTTTGCTGTGGCTGTGCGTGCTGTTGTCGAACGTGTAGGAAGCGGGAAAAGAAAAGGATGCAACGGATTCCGGACTCAGGAGGGGAGGAGATGTTGCCGCTGAGGGAGACTTCACCATATCGTTAGTCAGAGATATTGTTATATAGAAGTGACTTGAAGCGTTGTTAGAGATGGTTTTTAATCTTTCTGTTTGAACTCTTCTACAATAGTCGCGTAACCTTTTACTACCTACCAATATCAAGTCCAATCTCTTAAATCACCCACGTTATAGTATATAATACTAGTAAATAGGGTTATAGATAACGCTTTAGTAATGAGCTGTGTAATGTATAATGTAAGCAACATAGTTAGACGTACGTACGTACTTAGGTAAGAGGATTTTGGGGTATTCGGGTAGAGCGTATAGGACGGTGGAAGAGCGGTAAAGGCACTCGTAGGATGTAGGAGTTTTGGGGAAGTCCCCTCTATCATCCGCCGTATAGACGGAGTCACACAGTGCGTGTCCCTTGAGCCTTATAACCTCACTTGCCACCGGCAAAAAGACTTCGTTATTCGCGAATTACTATAGTAGTTCTGCAACGGCCTTCTTGACACGTCCAGCGAGACTACTATACTGTTGTCTATCTACCAGATGCTATGACAGATGTATCGTATAAGATCTAGCTAATACCTTACACGATCTACTCCCTAGCTAGGGTACTATAGCTAGACTATATTAATAGGCATAATATAGGGATATAAGGGTAGTACGCGCCCCCTCCCCACTGATCTACCGCGCTCTTGATCCTACCCCCATATGCCAGATAATCTCCCAATTTGACACAAATCTAATGAGAGCTGCTAAGGTATCGCGAGATAGCTTCTCGGCCGTTAGGGCCTCGGAAAGAGTCCCGTTGGGAGCTGTACTCGAGGATAATGCATCTCTCTCTCTCTCTCTCAAAGCTACCGACACCACTAAATCACACACTATCGGGTTTGATAACTTCCCCAGCACTTAAACTTTGAATTCGTCATTTTTATTGATCAATCGAGCTCACCAGAACCCCCAAATCCTCCGGCCGGGTTTCATTCATACCCGAATCCCGCCAGGAACAACACCCTTTAATAACAACCGCATATGTACTTTTCTCATGAAATCAGCACAAATTACGGTTCAGATACCGGATTTAAAAGTCAAATAACCCCTATAAATGCCGTGGGATACCATCCTCATTATCGTCTCTGGTTGATAGTATCCTGTCCTGTCATTCATACACCATGGGCTTCACATCCAACCTTCTATATTTCGCACTTCATCCAAACCACCTAGGAACATTAATCCAATGGTATCTCTATTTATTTAATACTGAGAAACTCACCGACAAGTACTCACCATTTCAAACAGGACCCTCCGCCACCGCCCCCAGCACCCAAAAGACGAAAACCATAAGACAACAACAGCGAAAACTTGCTTCGCATTCCTCCACAAAACAGGCCGCAGTTTCAGCCCCGTCGTGCAAGACCTACACCCAGAACTCGCATTACCAGTATGCATCTTCTATCTAATCCTACGCGGCCTCGACACTATCGAAGATGATCCCTCGATTCCGCTCGAGGTTAAAGAGCCGCTTCTCCGTGACTTCAAGAACGTCCTTGACAAGGATGGTTGGAATTACACTGGAAATCGCCCAGAGGAAAATGATCGTGAACTATTGGTGCAGTTTGGCAATGTTATTGTTGAGTTTAAAAAGATGAAGCCGGTCTACGGGGTGATTGTAAGAGATGTTACGGCGAGAATGGGGGATGGCATGGCTGATAACGCGCGAAGGGCGGCTGCGGGGGCTAGCAGTATTGATTCTACCGCGGAGTATGATCTTTACTGCTGGTATGTGGCTGGTATAGTTGGTGAGGGTTTAACGCGTCTCTTCGTCGAGGCCGGGCTCGCTGAGACAGACTTACTCAAGCAGGGTCTATATAAGCCGATGGGTCTTTTTCTCCAAAAGACAAATATCATTCGTGATATCCGCGAAGACTGGGACGATAGTCGTCGTTTCTGGCCGGAAGAGATCTCGTCCAAGCATGTCGGTGACTTTGAAGATCTATTCGACCCTGCGAAGCAAAGTGCTGCAGTTTCATGCAGCTCTGAGATGATACTGGACGCTCTGCAACATGTTTGCGATTGCTTGTCTTATCTTGCTGGACTACGGGAACAGAGCGTTTTCAATTTCTGCGCTATTCCGCAGTGTATGGCTATCGCTACGCTGGAATTGTGTTTCTGTAATCCGGCACTTTTTGATCGGAGTCTCAAGATTTCCAAGGGCGATGCACTGCGACTGGTCGTTGAGGCTAGTCGGGGGATAGAGAGTGTTTGTTATGTCTTTTGTCGATATGTTGATCGGATTCAGCAAAAGATTCAATCCGGGGACCCTTGTTATTTGAGAGTCCACGCTGCATGCAAAGAAGTATGTCTTCTTCAACCGGAGTAGTTGGGTCGAAATATCTAACTTTTCTTAGATTCAAACATTTGCCAAAGCGTTAGCAACTCAGAGTACTGATGGTGTCAGTGATACGATGGATGGAAAGACTCTCGTGTCCCAGGAGGGACTACCTCGGCACCAGTCCAGCATTCATCATAATACTCGGTCTGTCGCTAGGCGAGCGTTTGCATTTTCAGCAGGCATATCGTTGTCAGTGTTAGGAGTCGCCTGGGTCATCAAAGCCCGTTTGAACGCCGTCTGAACTATGGCCAGAGAAAAGAATCTGTAACAAACATTGTAATTTTCATTCAGAAAAACCATATTGCTAGCTCCAATAATCACGCCCTCTAATATGCTGTCTAGTATACCATGCAAAAAAGAAAACCACCCAGTAACACTGACCATATACATTTCAAAAGCATGAAAGACCAAACCCCCCCCCCCCCCCCCCCCCAAAGACGAAACCAAAAGGGCAGCATGTCTGCATCGCGTGTATGGCAGAACAGACTCCAATTTCAGTATAACGAAATGTGTTGAAATGAACCCCGTGAAAGAGGACCAAATCCGAAGACTTTTTTTATCGGTTAAGACAAGGTTGCTCTGAAGGTCACACCAAGTACCCCGTGTCATGCATACTTGGAATCCAGCCAGCTGGATTTGTCGAACTAGAGCCGACGGAGCAGATGAATGAAACAAGCGGTCTGTCCACCCCTAATCGAAGCGTAACCGCTCTAAACGTTAGAAGAGCCTTTTGCAGAGTCCTTGGCAGGATGAGCGGCAGGACCCTCTTCGGAACCCTTGTCAGAGCCTTTGGCGGCGTTGTGAGCCTTGGGTTCGCTGTTCTCCTTCTGCTCTTGGAGCTCTCGTTCACGTTCTTCCTGCTCACGGGCTTGACGCTCTAGTTCCATTTCCTCCATGTGGCGCAAGTCGTCCACGCTGGGCTCGTACAAATGCCAGATAGTGTAATGTGGGAGTCCAATCACGGAGAATTTCATCCGTTTGGCCATCTAAAAAGACGGTTAGCTGGAGGAATGTGAAAAAGGGGTGTATTAATTGATCTCACCTTCCCAAAACCCTCGGTCTCGGCGTGCTTCTCAAAGCTAAAGGCAGGGAAATGGACACCGGCGCGGAAGACCCGGGCCTTTGCCAGAATACTGACACCACCAATACCATCCAACTCCATCTCCATATCCGGGTCTCCGAAAGGATCGCGAAGGTAGGCCAGATGGGGTCGCCATGTTGCGTATTCGGCATATCCCTCCACAATCACGGCGTCCTCATCTAGCGTCTCGGCTAATGCCAATGCGGTTTCCGATTCTTGCCACGAGTTCAAATCGTATGGCTGTTCTCCACCGAGCCAATCTGGGAGTGGCCGCCACACATCTAGAGAAAAAGGTTAGCATAGTTCGCAGTGAATTTCTCACATGATAATAGTCACGTACTCGGAACCGTGACATCCTTGTTATGCCGCATCAAATCCTCGATAATCGTAAACGGTGCCGTCTCGACATCTGCATCTCTCCAGTAGACCCAGCTATGGGTAGGACGCAACGTCGCGCTAAGCAACCAATTCCTCGCCTGAGCCATCAACTTCCGCCGACTCGCCTGGGCCTCGAAACCATGCCGACTCTCCACATCCTGCTGCACCTTCTGACCAAAATCTTTCTCGATGACGGAAATCTCGCCAAAGTTCATCTTCGGATCCGGATCATTCTGCACCTCCTGCAGCATGCGCGAGAGCATACCCAGCGTGTCATCACGCGAGTCGGATACCAAGAAGGCCAGGTCGATCAGGTTGTGCGGGTAGGTGAGATTTCGTAGGTGCGAGAAGAACATGGGCAAGTGGGAGGAGGCATCGCGCAGCGGAGTTAGCATGAGGACACGTTCGCCACGCTCCCAGCCTTTCTCCGTGCCTTGGACTTCGGAGAGATCATAGTACCGGACTGTTTGAAGCTGGAGATCCCCCGAGGGATGTACGAGGCCGAGGGATAGGGTTGGAATGATGGCTGCGCGCCAGGATGGAAAGATAAAGATCACTAGAAGGAGTGATACCCCGCCTAGTAGGAGTAGTCGTTGGAAGAGCTGTCGTCGTCGGCGGAGGGCGGGTTGCGAGCGAGGTTGGAAGCTACTAAGAATTATCACGAGACTATGTTAGTGACGATTGAACATAGGAGGGATGCCGTTTCGATCAGCCATCATTTTTTGGCGATTGTCGCGACCCGCTCCAACGGGGTTCGTCATGCGCGCTTGGGAACGTACCGATTGGGCGAGATGGAGAAGTTCTTGGGCCCTCGGGGGTAGGCTGAATAGCCCTTCGGAGAGGCGTAATGCCTGTTCATTGCGGAAAGACGGGCAGCATCGAGTACGAAGAGAGATTGAAGAAGCTATTGCCCTGGAGGCTAGCGACCAGTCGTCGGGAGAGTCTCGAAGAGGCCAGCTCGAGATGGGATGAGGCGGTGGAGGAATGAAGGGAGATCAACAATGGCAGAGAAGGCGCGGGGAGGGGAGAATGGAAAAATGAAAATGAAAAGCAAGAAGATTTGAGAGAGAGAAGAGAACACAGGAAGGAAGCTGAATTGAAGTTGAAGGTATCTGGAGATTCGCAGGACTGACTGGCGTGTTTCCAGTCGGGCCGATCTGAGCGTTTGGCCCGAAACGACGAATCCGGTTGGCTGTTTGCAGCCACCAACGACAAGTAACTAGTTAAGTAACTACTATAGTTTAGTTGGAATGGAAGACAAGTCCATTGTTATGTACATTTAGTTTCTCTCCTGTAGTGTGGTATACGTAGTGATGTCGTCTTTTTGTACTAGTCGTACATTAGTTGATCTCACTAGTCTGTAGTACGTCAGACATTTTTGAGCCAATCGGCATCTGCCACTTTTTGTGTACAGTAGTTGTGGACTTTCAAACACTCTCCAAACATCATCATCATCAACAACCCCCCTGTTGATCTTGTTGATCCCCCCCCTCTCCTCCCTCTTCAATCCTTAATACGTCGTCGGTGCAGGACTAATCGACACGGGCGATCCCTTCGAACTCCCCTCTACCTGTCGCATCATCCGCACCAACAACGATTCCATCGTTGCACCTTGGCGAAGTGTCCCCAGGACGGATGCGGCCTCGTACTCACCATCTAGGATAAAGTACCTCTCGGCCTGCTCCACCGAAGCCCGACGGAATGCGACTTTGGCGATCGCCTTGGCCGGAACACTGGCCTTGTTGATCGAGCTGCGCGATACCATCCGCAGAATCGGTCCCAGCCCCGACCGCGTCTGATGTGCCACCCGTACCGACAAGGGGGCCCCTGTTCTCAGGTGGCTTTCCCCGGCCATACCCCCGGGATCTAGCGTGAAGATGTCCAGCGCGATGCTGCCAGTCTATAATTGGGAGCTTCTAGTCAGCATTTGGCTTCATCGCGGGAAATGAGAGAGCGGGGGTTGACCTGCGATCGGGTCAGACTCGAAGAACTGAACTTACACTGGCCAGGCTGCGTCGCAATGCATATAACGCCACGCTTGCAAGAAGCTTGCTACTCCCGAATCGAATATTCCCTTCCTTGGCACTCAAGATCGTCCCCGGCGGCCGCGTATCGCGCCCTTGCTCACGGTCGAAGAAATCGAGCCGACCTTCTGACGCTGTGGAGCAGCCGATGTAGATCACTTTCGCGCCTCCGTCGGGGGTTCCATCGCCTGCGCGGAACGCCTCGAGTAAGCCGACTGTGAGGAAGAATGGTGCGACACAATTGGTCTGGTAGACTGGGTCATAGCCGTCCAGGGTGAGTTCGTCGACGGTGTACGATGCAACAGCGGCGGAGTGAATTAGGTTGGAGATAGGCGGGATTTCTCTGCTTCGTACTCGCTCGATCGTCCGATGGGCAAAACTAGTCACTGATTGAAGGTCGGTGAGGTCGAGACTGAGGATCTCGATAGATCGGGGCCCAATTTGTCGGATTCGTGAGATCAAGTCCCGGGCATCTTGTCGTTTGGGATGTCGGGCTGTGAGGAGGAGATGTGTAAAGGGTTGTGTCTTGGCGATGGCCACGGCGATCTCGGATCCTAGTGAGCCATTTCCTCCGGTGATGATCACGGTTCCCGTTAGTGACCTCCCCATATCACTGTCGGTGTTTGTCGTTTTTGAGTCCGTTGAGATGATGCTGTGGATCTGCGGAAGGGATATTCTAGAGAACCACTGCTGCAATGATCAGATAGGCGGGTCGAGTCGCACCCCGAAGTGGTTTAGTCCTCAATAATGACAATATAAGGGAATGTAGGGAGGGAGAATCGAAAAGCTTAAAAAGGGGTATATAGATATTGAAAAGCCCAAGGGGGAATCCAAGGCTATAACCGAGTGTGAAAAAAAAATGAAGAGAAGAAAAAAAAAATCCACCCATGCCTCTCTGACAAAGACGAGCTATATACGGACTACGGAACCGCGGGCCTTGTAGATCAGAGTCTCCATCTCTTCAACCTGGAACCAGCGGGATCAAGGTTGAACGCAGTTGGGCCAATGGTTTTCAATAGGACATGAAGCGGTGTCAGTGTCGGCATGTCTCAGCTCACGGCTGAGGGGGCCTCCTTCAAGAAGACAAAAGTCGAGTGGATCAATCAGATGTGGACACAGACGACGTGCTGCGTTAGTGCGGACGTAGCGAGATGCCAGAACAGTCTCTGGGCGGGAACAAACCCATCCAAGTGGACACTGGGGACGCCCTATCCCCCTTTGAAGATAAAAATAAAAACTGGCTTTATGATAGAGTCGAACAGGGGCTTCCTTTTATCCCTAGTATAGTGGTAGGGTTTGAAAGGGTAAGGAGTTTTAACATTAGGTATGAACTCATCGAGTATACTACGGTAGTAACAGTTCTTTGTCGAGTCCACCACTATATTAAGAATGCTGGTAGGTGGCTTTCGGCCCGATGGTGTGCTTCCATGTGGCGCGCTGGAAAAGTCCATCTTGGGGCCTTGGCAGATCTCGATGGCCACATCATCAACACGAACCGTGGAAGGATCGGCACTTCAGATTGGCCCTAACGAAGGTTTCCGATCCGGGCGGCTAGTCCTGTACAAATTTCTGGTAGTCGGTTAGTTTGTGTTGGGCATGGTCTTGAACTGCCGAGCAATAGTACCTATACAGTTGTTGAAAAGAGCAATTAGGCCGACCCAGCTAGTTTAGCCAAGCTTGCTAAGTTGTTACAGTATACTGACGAGCTAGCCCAAGCGACCCGGTGCTCTAGTCATCGTTTGACACATCAGCAGCCGAGATGGCGTATGGAGAAGTGGGTAGTAGTACATATGGTGCTACGGGGTCTCCGAGCTGTACAAAAGGACCCCTAGTCAACAACGAATAATGCATAATACTTACTTCGACCCCACGCTGGGGTTTCGTGTGCGTTCGTTCGTCCCGACTGGTTCATCTGGTTGGTGGCTGTTGAGTTCCTTGTTGGAGGGCCCTTTCATCAATGCGACCGTCTTGGCTGCCTAATAATCATTCTGAGGATGAGATTCGATGATATTCCAGAAATATAATTTAACCATAACAATAAATTTTTTTTGTATAGCAGCACATACTGTAATCAGTACTATCATGGAGAGAAAAGCAAAAAATGACCTTGGCGCCGCCAAAAATGGGAACGGGGCTGGGAGGGCTAGGGATGATGTCATTCCGTTTCATCTGATCGCAAGTTGTAACATACTCGAAGCCAATGGAAATTGAATTCAATACTCAAAAAAAAAATCGGATGCTCAACTACAGTACTAGTGGGAGGTTCATTCTGAGTTTTCACTAAAGACAGTACGTTGACAGCCAACTTGATCGCGTAAATTAGTGATCGCCATGGTGGAGAAGTATGAGACCACGAAGATTCCCAATGCTTGAATAATACATCACCAAGTAAGTATATTTACTCGCGCGCGACTAGCTAATGCCAATTACGCCGAGATATCAACAAGAATCTTGATATGCTGATCCTTTTCGTGAATAAGTGCCTTGAATCCCTTCTCAACTATCTCCTCCATAGGAATCGTACTGGTGATCATAGATTGTGGCTGAATTTTGCCTTCATTTCCTCATATTAGCACAGGGGGAGACATAGCATTAAGGATTTGCAACAAGATATACTCACCCGACTCAATAGCACCAATCACACCCGCAAAGTCCCCTTCATCATACACCGCCGCGCCCGCGATATGCTTCTCCCCAAGGACGACAGCGATAGCATCCAGAACGGGCTTCTTCTCCCAGAGCGAGACTATAACCGTCGTCCCACGCACCCTAGTTCCTGCCATGGCAGTATCAAGTCCCGCCTGAACACCGGAAGACTCAAAGGCAACCGAAGCACCCTTGAAATCGCCAGTGATAGCTCGTATCTCTGCAACGGCGTCTACCTCTGTAGGGTCTAGAATGTGAGATGCCCCAAAGGTAGCGGCGAATTCGCGCCGTCGTTTGGAAACTTCCACCACGATGATTGTGTCGATTTCTCGTGCTCGCAGTACTTGGACGATTGCTAGGCCGATTGGGCCTGCGCCGATGACGAGTGCGGTGTCGCCTTTTTGGAGAGGGCTCCGATTGACGGCATGCCAGGCGACGGATAGAGGTTCTACCAATGCTGCAGCAGGAGTTGGGTTAGTAATCGGTGAGCAAATATTGATGGATATCTTTTGTTGGCTTCGCCTACCTCCGATTTCTAATGGAATTGATTCAGGTAGTTGGATCGCATGCTTCCTATCCACGACGATATGATCGGACAGACCACCGGCACTCCCTGGATATAACGGTCAGTACGTTTCAAGGATTCCAAGTAGTATGAAATTGAGCCAGAAGGGTGTACAGCTAGAGATATAATGCTCCAGGCTTTGACACCTACCACTATATCTAATGAACCCAAGCTGATCGCAGCAGTTAACCCGCCCCATTGAGCAGGACCGACAGGTACCGTCCGACAAATTAGGCTTAACGGCGACCTTGTCACCAACTTTGAGATCCGTCACATCTGTTCCAACTTCTTCGATGATCCCACTGAACTCATGGCCGAGCGTAGTAGGGAGTTTCTCGCCGGTGAGCGGGTGTGGAGTTCGAGGTACTGCATGTGGACCACCCATATACTCATGAAGATCTAAGAAGCGTCAACAGCCAAGTACATTATTATCGAAGAGCTGGAAGCCTTCATGGATGGTGACTTACCACTACCACATATACCGACGAATGCTGGTTTGATCTTCGGATGGTGAGAAATCCAAACCCCCCGTGGCAACAACTAGATTTTTAATGTCCCGACGTACCTTGACTTGTCCACTTCCACATACTGGCTCTGGCACATCATCTACTCGGACATCTTCTCTTCCATGATAGCGAACTGCTCGCATATTGGTCAGCGTCAGTTTGACTTTGCACAGGCTGAATTCATACACAAATTCAATTTCGCCAGAAAAGCAGCCGGCCTTAAAAGGGGCTGTAAATAGGGGAAATGGTCATCGGTTACACTATTTTCTGTCCGAGGTCCAACCCCGCATCTCCCCATGGGGTAAGACGAATAGTACACATAACAATGAGAGTCCCACATTTTCGGACACGGCTCCTGCGGAACGAAACCGTCCTCTCTTCGATGAGCCTTTGACAGGGATCTACGTCATAGAAGAATAGGCGAAAGAGCAATAAGAAGATGATTGGCCGTCATAAAAGATTCATTCATTAAAAGAACAGCTAAAAAAACAAAGTGAGGAGCTTCATTTGCTCTTTCGAGTCAGAAGCCCCTTAAGAGCCTCCGTTTCACCTTCCAACTTGGATACCTTGAGTCTCAACTCATCCCTCTCCCTCCGCATAGCCTCCAATTCATCTTCAAGACTCTTCATCCGGTCAACCCGTCTCTGGCGACATCTCCGCGCCGCGAGTGTGTTCATTCTCCGTTTTTCAACGCGAGATGAGTCCACGCGGGTCAGGACGTCGTCACCCTGTGAAGTGGCAGGGCTAGATAGAGATGTTGAGACGGATCCGGGAATCTGGGAAACGGGGGAAGCATGCGAGTATCCGTCTGATGAAAGAATTAGGAATGCTATCTTGAGATTGCAGTATATAGAGAGCGTCTCTTACCCTGAGAATTGGACGGACTGGGAATGAGGGAAGGGGGAAGAGGTCGAGGCTCGTTGGATCCCGACTCCGAAAGCGAACCGAAGGTAGAGGGTACACCGTAATCCCCGTCGTTGACGGTCACATGAACACTGTCAAAGCCGGAGGTATAAAGCGCAGGAGGGTCGATAGGTAAAAAGTTCCAGTCGGTATTGGCAATGGACAGATGCGGCTCTGCCCAAAGATCCGACTCTTGCGAGGTAAAGGTATCAAAGGATTGACTGTAGGGCGAAACCGAAGGAATACATTCCAACGGAGGTGCCAAAGAAGAGAAGGAGTGGTCTTGGAGTTGGTGTTGACTAAAAGAGTGACTAGACCATGGAGAAGAGTCCGCGAGGCCGTTTGAGTGATGGATCGAGTTGCTGAGGCTGCCAGAAGAGTACGAAGGTCTGGAAAATGGCCGCGACGCTGGTGCACGTGCTTGCCGACATGGTTGGATGCTTTAGTCGGGCCTGAGCGGGCCCGTGGCGCGTTAACTTGAGTTCTTGAAAGTGTAGCCCGGGAGTCCTAGGGGACTTGGAGGAGATGGGTTGAACTCGGTCACAAAGGCCCGAGGAGTGGTGTCCTGAGGAAGAAACGTTGGAACGAGGGGGGTGGTCGTGTTATATCCGGTAGCCAAGGGGGCTTGGAGGGCGGAGGGGGGCTTAGGCGGACCATCGAACACTTGGATGCAACGGACCCCCCACCGTTGCTGTTTCTCTGATTGGCCGTTGATAGAAGACTCATCGTGACTCATTTTAGTGCGTGTCCAATTGGCCTATCACGGCAAGGATTTACTTGAAGTGGGGCCAGTCTGGTACATGTTGAGTGGCACAAGTCTGTCAATCCGGAGATCTCCTGAAGGAAGAATGATAGTGTGGCGGATCAATTCAAACATCTTTGCCTGAAAATTCGGGTCAATACTGACATACAGCATGTTTTTCCAGTATCATTCCAGGGGTTGATGCTGCATTATATTGATTAGGTTCGTCGATTGACCCTGCTCACAGCCCCCGAGTCGCCCCCATTCATGCATGATCTGACAAGCATTTGGGCGTAATACTTACGGACACATCAGTACTCGAGCGAAAGTTGATGGAGGATTCTATGATATTGCTGGTATGAACATCCAATGCCATATAGTTACTGATGATCTCAATGCTTTTCATGATAAGACCGAAGCGTAGGCTTCCACAAGAGAACCCATTGCTAATCTACAAGCATTGGTCCTTGTTGTTTCCTTGAGATTCACTTGTTTTACTTGAAGTATTTGATACCAGGCTTGAAACCACAGCCAGGGTCGTGTTCTAGGGATGAGAAATGACGTAACCTGTATTGCGGAAACAGATACCCGCCCGGCTTAGAACGCTAGCAATTTGAGCTTATTTCGAAAGAAGATGAGACCATATTCATGTTTTGACAAGTCATTAAATAGTTGCATTTGCTACCTATCATCAGTCAAATGTGGACTCCCGCATGAACAAGCTTCGCCGTCGAATTTCGGCTCCCTTGAGCACAAGGACGACCGGCACGATGGAAAGTGCTACTCCTACAAATCCCAGCAAAGATCCAGCCCAACCGAACCCTAAATGTTCAAAGAGCGCTATGGATGAGAGTGGAAGAAGACCACTCATAACATTCCGGCCTAGCGAGGTGGCTGAAAGCGCGGACGCGGCATACCTCTCATAGGCGTCTGTCAGGTAGTTGATCACCGTCATCAGGATAGAGTATATCCCGACACCAGTGCACCCAATTCCTAGTGCAGGTACGATCCAATGAATTGAACCATGGCCGACACTACCCCAACCGTACCAGAATAACCCCCCAGAGAAGAGTAGGCTGCCTGGGATGGATGTATATAGTCGTGCCTCTGGGATCGGTTTACCAGGAACATCCGCTTGCGTGTTCCTCTTCGCAGATTGCCGGTACATAGCATCCTGAAGTGGATTGCACGTAAAACCAATGATTGCACCGACTAGTATAGAGAGTTCGACGAGGCCGACATTGAAAGCACCCCACTTGTAGTTCTCATGGAACGTGAGGTAGACACTGTCGAAGAAGAGGAACAGAATTCCCCAGGCGAAACTAACCCAGAGTGCAAAGAAGGTAACAACAGGCTCCTTGAGAAGCATTCGGGTTGGACGCGTCGAGGAGACTTTGAGTCGTTCCCATGCGCCAGGCATTTCAAGCTCGGTTTTGGTGTAGATCGGTCGACCCGTTTGCTCGCGTAGCTTTTTCGCGCGTTTGGCTAAAATAACATCTCCACGGGTCTCATATAGGATAAAGTAAAAGAGGGGGATCAAGGCCACTGCCCAGATTATCTGGCAATAGAAGATCCTGTGAGAAGTCAGCCACTAGATATTGGAAGTGAATCCGTTGGAGGAAGGAACATATAGCCTCAAATTTCATACCATCTCCATGAAGTACCGATACGGATTCTTTGCAACCCCCCGCCGATACACGGTCCAATAGAAATTCCAGCCACGCCAGCAAAAACATACAGTGATAGTGGACGACTGCGAGCCACACTGCCACGCCAGATATCGCTGATAGTGCCTCCGATGATGTTAATTGTGGATGCGGCTGCACCCCCGCCGAAGAACCGGGTTACCACCAAAGTAGCAAAGTTCTGGGCAAAAGCCGATGGAAAGAGACAAATTATGTAGATAGTATATCCAAAGGCGTATCCAGGCATTCGGCCCCACGATTCGGACAGTGGGACGAAGAAAGGTGGTAAAATCGCGGCTCCCATCTGGAATGACATCGTGGCCCATTGCAGGTTGGGGAAAGGCTGACTCTGGACGTGGAACTCCTTAGATATGTGAAGCTGTCCACCACTGTAGGATCCAGCTGGTATAGCAACAAGAATAGACCTGTTGATGTTATTAGCTTCGTGATAGGTTGGGGGTTGGAGATCAACTAACATGAAACACGTGGTTATCGTGAGCACCCATTTGTATGTCTTACTCCAATTGAATCTACAGTAATCAGGTATGCTTTAGAAGGGCTCCAGTCGCAGTACACTTTCAGTGAAACGTACGGATTTTCTGGATCATCGGGGCCATCCCAGTAGTGTATTTCAGCCTTTCGATAGTCTGGTGGTGACTTAGGGGGGCGGTGGAACAATCGATAGAAGCAAGACCGATTCCTAGCGTGCAGTGAGACTGGTTGTCCTCATGGAATTTTGAAAAGCTTTCAATTTGCCTATGTACCGCAATGAATCGGTTTGACTTGCACTCTCATATCCAGTGCCTCCTGGAGAGATGTACCCATCAGGATCATTCATTGGGAGTTTCTGATATGCATGTAACCTCTCCAGAGGTGAAGAACTGACTCTAAGCGCTAGAAAGAAATATCTAGCGAATTCAACATCAGGACATGGGAGATATCTTTTTTTTGTTAAGCGATGAGCTATTGGGACCCTCGGATGCGACTCCGAACCATTAAGTTGTGACTTGGTACGCGAAATGACGAAATCAGCAACCCCCCGGCCACGATATCCACGGCTTCAGCAGCCGAAATTCAACATATTGTGAACAAATTGAAAAGCCCACCCTTTGAGAGCAGAAAATATGGAGTTTAATTCAGGTATAAGGGGCTCGAAAATAGAGAGAGTTTTTGAGGCTCACGGGTTTCAGCTTACAACCAAATTTTGAGCCTTATCAGCATGCCGATTTGCAGGTGGATGATATACGCATGAAGTCATTTCATGACGGATCAGATAACAATCTACCTGAAATCTGGCTGAACAACAAAAATATCAAGCTTGACTCCATCCCCGGACCTATCTACTGTGGTGAGTGTTAAGAAAAGTTGCTATTGATTACCAGCTAGAGCTACTCCCTGTAAACAGACTAACCATTCGGCTAGCTTATCGACATCTTCCAGGAGTCTCTTACGCCGGAGAACCAGTAGCTGTCGCAATTTTAATGAGAATATGATCGGAGAAGCCTTAATAGAAGTGCCGTAGTTGACAAGTAGTAGTCAGCTAGGAATTTCACTACAGGAACGGGTCAAAGTAGGAAGGTAAGAGTCGGGAAGGCGTATGAACCGTAACAAAGGAGCTATCGATATCTAAACTTGGTAAGATATTCCAAGTGTGGAGTATTCCACGCTATAAGAGCTTTAGTAGAAGGTTATTCTTATTCCATTGTACCCTAAGTACTGTAGCCCTACGAGAGCATGGAAGGGGCATCGGCTGAGTCATCAAGATTGGCCCCAGCGCCGGCAAGAAAAGGGAAAAAAAGGGTGAAGCTTCACGGCGATCGCGTGAGCAAGCTTAATCGAAGAATACAATTGCTCTAACAGATCCCATTCTCCTTGGGATCCCAATCGTCAAATTGTCTTTCTTCAGGTGTGCGAGCCTATTGCGGGCCCGAAGGACGACCCCGCGGGTCCCATCGTTGACACCGATCCGTGCCCCTCCTCGAATTTCTTTTCTTCCATCTCCTCCACGCGCATTCACCATGGCGACCGCAGCTGCCCCCGAGTCCTCGCTCCTTTCCCTCCTCTACCGCTCGTACCCGGCCGCCATCTCTCCCGATGCCACCGAGCCCGATTACCTCCACGCCTCTCCCAAGATCTTCCCCACGGTGAACTTTGGTGAGGCGGATGACGCAGAGATCAAGTCGTGGCTGAACACCGTCTCTGGCCTCAAGAATGCTCAGGCCAAGAATGATGAGGCTGTGATTAGCACCATCCTGGCCCAGGTGAACACCCACCTGGCCTCGCGCACCACCCTACTCGGTGCGAAGCCCTCGGTCGCTGATATTGCGGTCTATGCCCTTCTCGCTCCCATGGTCGAGAAGTGGACGCCCGAGGAGCGGACGGGAGAGAAGGGCTATCACCACATTGTTCGTCATGTCGACTTTGTGCAAAACTCCAAGCTCTTCGCTCTGCAGATCCCCGAGGAGGAGAAGGTCGTCATCGACGTGAACGACGTCAAGTTCGTGCCCAAGCCCGTCGACCCCAAGGAGGAGAAGGAGCGCAAGAAGCGTGAGAAGGCCAATGCCCAGAACCCCGATGGTGCTGCTGCCGAGAAGCCCCTCGTCGTCGGCAAGGGTAAGCCCGAGAACCCTGCCGCTGCTGCTGCCGAGGCCGCCGCCGGTGCCCCCAAGACCAACAAGAAGGAGAGAAAAAGAGAAGAAGGAGAAGCAGCCCAAGGCCCCCAAGGCCCCCGCTGCCCCTGCCCTTCCTCCTTCGCCCTCTATCATCGACCTGCGCGTTGGCCACATCCTGCGTGCTATCAACCACCCCAACGCCGACTCCCTCTACGTTTCCACTATTGACTGTGGTGACGCCCCCGGCACCGACAACACCTCCCTGGATGAGGAGACTGGCAAGACCGTCCGCACTGTGTGCTCCGGTCTGAACGGCCTGATCCCCCTCGCCGAGATGCAGAACCGCAAGATCGTTGCCGTCTGCAACTTGAAGCCCGTGACCATGCGTGGCATCAAGTCCTCCGCCATGGTTCTGGCTGCTTCCCCCCGCGTTGCCGAGGGTGAGGACTCTCACGCCGGTCCCGTCGAGCTCGTCAACCCCCCTGCCGATGCTCCCGCCGGCGAGCGTATCACCTTCCAGGGCTGGTCCGAGGGTGAGCCCGAGAAGCAGCTCAACCCCAAGAAGAAGGTCTGGGAGACCTTCCAGCCCGGCTTCACTACTACCGAGGACCTCGAAGTCGCCTTTGACAGCAGCGCCGTTCCCGTTGCCAAGGAGCAGGAGGGCAAGCCTGCCCTCGGCAAGCTGGTTACTGCTTCCGGTATCGTGTGTACCGTCACGAGCCTGAAGAACGCTACCGTGCGGTAAAGGGGATGCTCAAAGGTCGCCTGGATACATCATACAAAATCAAAACCAATGTCACTCGATTGCATACCCACGAGAGATGAAGAACAAATGGCAAAAAATGAAACCCTTTATAGTACCGGTATAGTTGTCCATATGTTAAACGAGGAATGAATTGCTTCAATTACAGTCAGCCATCTTTTATGGTAGGAGTCTCGATCCGGTCGAGGGCGATAGGTATAAAAGAGGCTTCGCTTCTATGAACAAGTACATCTACAATATGTGCAAAACAGCAATAACCCCTCCTTCGCAGATTTGGTCACCATTATCATCCCCTAATAGAATTTCACAGTGTTCACGAACGCACACCTCTCATGAAGGCGACGCAAAGCCCAAAGACGGACCTCGCTGGTCGAAAACAACGAACAGAGCCTTGAGGAACACATCACCAAAGATCTGCAGACTCGAGCCCTGATTCGACTGGATACCGCCGTAGCACACTATGAACGCAACGATTAGGTCAACTCACTCGACATAAAAGTCCATACTGCAGGAGACTCACCAGTTTCACCAGTCGTCGTATTCTTCCCAACCTCCGCAAAGCTCACCAACGAGCCGGGAATAGTAGCCTGGTACTTATCACCCAGCGCAACAGTCAAACTAGGGAGACTGGCCGAGCAGGGGTAAATCCAACCGCTCACACTACTGGAGTACGCCGCGTTCTCAACCTCCTTATAATAAGCCGTGACAACCTCCGGGCTCACCAGCATAAGCGAAGTGCCAGTATCAGCAATAGCCTTGGGCACCTGAGTAACCTTCTGCAAAGACCCACTCCCAACAGCGAAATAACCCGCGTCGAACTGCCAAAATCCGGCAGACGAGTCAACGCTGACATTCACCAGGGAGCCGGTATACTTGCTGGAATCGACTTTGCCAAATTCGTACTCGCCCACTCCATCGCTGCGCAGGCGGGCTGTTAACACGGGCTCCTCGAGGTCGGAGGCGATGTTGTCGAAGAAGGTCTTTTGCGGGCCTGGGTCGAAGGTGTTGATTGAGGAGAAACCAAGACCGACTAGGCCGTTGGAATTGGTGTCTTCGACGAAGGAGGAGGAGACGGTTGTTGGGAGACCGAAGGTTTGGCTTGTGACGGTTGCGCCGCCGATGTCGACGGTGTCTTGGGCGAGACCGCCGGATGCAGATGAGGAGTCGCCGTAGCTGATTTTGAAAGTGCCGCCGTCGACTTTCTTGTAGGTGCTGGACTTACTGGGGTCGTAGACTGTGCGGTTCTGGGTCATGGATGATGGGAGTTCCGAGTTGAAGACCCACCTATGAGGGGGGAGATTTCACGTTAGTGATAGTTTCTTCAATGAGTAGACATGGAGCATGATGACGTTCAACATACATATCAGCCGATCCGGTATCAAAGTCCATGGTAATAGTTTGGCCACCAATCGTAACGGGCGAGACGAATTCAACATCACCTTGCACCGAGGTCGCACTGACGGCGCCAGTCTGATCAGGCTCGGCGGCGGTATTTTGATTGGTATTCACCACGGAAGTCTTGAGGTCGAAGGGCTCAAAGTCGTTTAGAGTGATATTGCTGAAATCAACGGGCGTAATGCCGAATTTGCGGAACGCTTTGCGCAATGCGGTAGGTCCGTGAGGAACGTAGTCACTACGCTTGAGACGTTCGATCTGGAAAGACCTGCTTTTCCGGGCCGGACGGGGAGCTGGCGCAGCCAATGCATCGAAGCTCAAGGAAAGGAATAGTAGAATCGAAAGGATGAGATGCATCTCGTCTGATTGAGCGACTCCACAGGAGGTGATCAAATCCCGATAGTATCAAAAGATGGGAATCCCAAAAAGAGGGATGAAATTAATGAAAAGAAGGACTCAGTAAGCCACCAGGGCTAGAAAGAGAGGATACGGTCTATACTGCAGCCGGTAAGAATGAATGCGATTGTTATAAACACCACAAAGGAGCGTGTGTGCCTTGAAAAAACAAAAGGCTGCAGCCTCGACCGTGCGAAAGACAGCAGGCAGAAAATGAAAGTGAAACAGGCAAACAAGAGAAAGTAGTAGAAGAAGAAAAGGGCGAAGCAACGAAAGAAGAAGATTTAGATGAAAAAGAGAAACAAATCCATCTATCAACAAAAAAGAGAAACACTCCCGACAATCCCGAGAGGAAAAACCGTTGTAGATCTATAAAAAAGGGGACTAAAACAATTAGGCAATAAGAAAGCCCTTGTTGACCACCACCACCAACCCCATCACAAAGGGCACGGTGTATACGTACTGTGGGCTGCGTTAGCAGCTGTAGTACGTTTCTAATTTTTGGCCACCTTCAGCACATCCCACCTATCAGCATCGCAGCAACAGAGGCAGGCCCTTGGCCTCTTGCTCGGCGCGCTACCAAGCCAGCGCCATGGATACGCTACGACGGGCATTGTGACAGCCAAACCTCCCAGTCAGGGGCAAAACTCCGGATAGGGCTACTTGCAAAGCTCGGCGGCTCATTTGTCTGTGACCGTGCAGTGTCTTGGGGTGTTTTGGATGTCCGGAGTGAGTGGGGAACACCTCCTGGGCGCCTCAAGGGCTTTTGACAGGCGAGACCACTCGGCGTCGGTAGTTAGCCTATGCAAACAACTACGGAGCATAGCTTCGTAATTCAGCCAACCACGCTAGCTGGAAAGTTAGCCTGTTGATCCTGAAACAGTTCGGTGCGGGTAGACGGCCAATGAGCTTACTCCCAGGCGTTTCCCCTTGAAACGGTGGGGAACCACGGAGATGGTTCAGTATGACCTATCAAGGACCAAGTCGCTCTTTGTCATTACCAACCACTGTGTGTTCCCCCTGTGACTTGATATTAACAGGTTCACACTCATGCCTTGTGCGTTCTTGGGTTGCATATCTGATGTTCCCGTTGGGCTCGACCGAACCTCTTCTTGGTCGGCGCCAGCCGAGGTGACTCTGCGGGCCAATCAAGTAACCTTACTGGGTTAGTATGAGCTGTCACTCCACAGTTAATATCGACCGGAGAATGCTGCGACAAAAAAAGAAAGACACCAAGAAGAATAAATTACTCCATGGACTCACCTCGGGCGACTAGATAATTCCGAAGGTCTGTAATGCCTTTTCTTTCTATGTAGGTCTGGACTCTAATCCTGGTCGATGCGCCGCCGATCGATGCCGGTGTTGCCGGATCAGCGTCTATAGATCAGAGATCTTCCAGGATGATCGCACCGGTTTAACCATATATTTAACTGTTTCGGGTAACATTTATGGAATCGGAAAGCCCCTGTGGCCTCTGAGGTTGGGTGTGGTTTACTCTCGTTTTGTTGGAGGCTACCCTCCAGTATAAAATCCTTGCCCCGGTAGTTTCATCCACGCTATTCAGGCGACAGTGCAAGTCAGGGTGTTATATAGTGCTCTACGCATCAACCAGAGTCACTAATTTTTAACGCGAGGGGAATTATTTCAGAAGTACGAATACAATAAAACCCGATCCAGAGCGTCAAATTGACGTCGAGGACACGATGTTTGAAGGGCGGGAGATACTCGGTAAACTATTTGTGACATCGGCATATAAGCGACCGCCATACTCGCCGTAGACAAGACCCATCAATTCAGAAGCAACATTTCGGTGGTAGTATGGAGGACGGTAAGTGTTTGCATTAAAAGTATTAGAAGTCTCGATTGATACGGCCGTTCAATATGGGGGCCATACGAGATGCAACGTCCCATCGCGGGGAAAAGGTCAGCAAGCAGCCAACGGCGCAGTCAAGTCGCGTAACTTAGCTGTAAGGACACAGAAAATGGAAGGGTTAATATGATCGATGGAGATGGAGCCCACATCGATGAATATGGTGAGATCGTATTTATAAGGGACCTAAGGCGGGATTAGCAACTACTCAACAGTCCATTGCAAGACAAGCGCATCTTCATTATAGGGGGGTCTATTTTGCATATAAGTTAAGTAAGCTTGGCCATTATAGATATATGGTTAATGCAATAAATTACCTTGGTAGCTAGGAAGGATCAAGTTCATGATTGATCATAAATCTAGCATTATAGCATAGTGGTCGGTTGAGGTTTGGATGAAAAGTAGACTATATTCAAGGATATACGCACATGCAAAACAGAGCTAGTATTAGAAAGTAGGCAGGAGGGTAAAGTCTCTTTAGTGCTTACTACGCAAGATATATATAGTTATACTCTATATATAAGTAATTATACGGTCGAGGCGTTAATACTAGGTGACCCCCAGCTCGAGAGGGGAAAAAAAGATATATAAGATATATAGGCCCGAGCACTAAGAGATCCTCAAGAATCAATTAATGTTATTGCCTTGTTGGTGACTTGAACAAGAGATTGATTTGTAATGTACAATGTTGCCTTTGGCACATCCCACCCTATAACCAACTCTGTTGGAGCATTCGGAAATTCTGCCATCTCCCACCTGGCCCTTGGCCTCTTGCTATTGAACTGTCCACTTATGATCTCTATCCCTTTAGAGTCAACTGAGCCTCTTTCTCACAGTAGGTTGAAGCGGGAAGAATCTATAATATGCCTAGCTCGGTGACTGGGACGGAATTCGGTACATTCGGCACCTTTGAGCTTTATTACACTCACCCATCACCCCAGTATATATCCAAACGTTTGATCTCCTCCATATGGCCTGCTAAGTCTGTAATACTATTGGTCTTTCCTTAGCCCCAAGTCCTCCTCTGATGGTCTATTTATCGTGTTCTTCGACCTCTCTGTTTTGGCTAGACTTTTGCTAACGCACTTCCTCGTTTACTACCCTAATTCGTTATAATATATGTACGTATGGTCGAGGACATGAAGTAGGTCCGTGTGGAAACTCCAACCCACTCTATGTAGGCAAAATCTGGGAATCCACACATCAACTGCCCGGGTGGTCTAGTGGTATGATTCGCGCTTAGTATGTCACCCTCAGAATCATAACCTTCCATCCAATATTTACTAACAGCTTCTCCAGGGGTTCACCCAAAGCATTGACTGCGCGAGGTCCCCGGTTCGATCCCGGGCTCGGGCCTAGTTTCTTTTTTTCTCTTCATTTCCTCTCTCGATCTATCTTCCAATCTTGTTTTAACTTTGGATTTTCTTTTGTGCATGGAACGGTCGAAATTCCTGGTAATCACGTGATGCATAAGCCCTAACCCCCGTGGTTGTTCTCTGTCTGGTCTGGTCCATAATGCTACGCTGGTTGGAAGGCCTGAGTAGCACAAAGGGATATTGTAGAGCATGATTACCAGGCTTAATTTTCCCTTGTTATCTAAAAATAATATTGTTTATATTTCAACTACCAAAGAAGCTTACTTGACTTCATATAATTAATTACACCTATAGCAAAAGCCAAGCAATTGTCCACTAAAAGACAAAAGCGAAGAGAGGAAAACACTGCAGGGGTTCTGGACAATAAGCTGCTCACTCCCTTAGTTTATTGGGCCCAAGTCGCTTTTCTTATTAGAAACGAAGTATTTATATTTTCCGGGAATGGAATGTAACCCTCAGTGAAGACCCGGCCGACTATATAGCCGTACTGGGTCGGAGATACACCCTTCCCTACATTCCGAAGTCCAGGCATGAAAAGACTAATTTATATTCCATTTGACCCTGTAGGTTATAATGCCCTTCTACGACCGCTTCTCATCCATGAAATAGCCTGGCTCTACATCTTCGCAGTGAGACAGTATTGACCTCCATGGTATGCCTATGCAGCGATCGGTACTCCAAGTATATGAAAGCTCCATGGGAAGGTCCCAGGTCTGTCTCTCTACATCTCAGAGTCTTTACAGACGATCTGTATCGCTTGCTGCTCAACTCTAGATCCAGACAGGAGAGGAAAGTGTAACGACATAATTATACATAGAGTAACGCAATGTTTTAGTGTCATACTCTTAGAAGTGCCTCAAGATGAAGAAAGATACGGACTCAAAACGAAATCCAAGTACCTAAATATACAGTTGTACTATAGAATTTATCAATTCAAATTCTTCATTAGAACGTGTATTTCCATGACTCATTACACATAACTAAGAGATAGCATGATCATTAAGTTACAAATTTAAGCGCGCTGCGATCCACCAAGGGTCTTGGATCCGTCAAGGTCCGAGTCCACACGAGGGTCAAGCTTGTTAGCCATATCACTCTTGTGAGGACCAGCAGTCTTCTTGTGCTCAAGGCCACTGCCAGCGGTGTTGTAGCTGCTACCCGCACCGGCAGCGCCGGCACGCTGAGCCTCTTCGAAGGTCTTGGTAGAGGTAGGACCGGCATTGCCAGAGATGGGGATCACACCGGCACCGCCAATGCTGCCCTTGTGCACATCCTTCTCGAAGCGGCCGCTGTGCTCCTTGCTGAGGTCGCTGTCCACGCGGGGGTCAGCCTTGTTGGCGAGGTTGTTCTCGTGGGGGCCGGCGGTCGAGCTGGCAGGGCCGGTGGCGGTCGAGTGGGTGGCAGCGTGCTGAGAGCGATCTCCCAGGGTACCGTGGTGGCCGGTCAGGCTGGTCGTGCCGGTTGAGCCAAGGCCGGTAGCAGCGGTGTGAGAGCCGTAGGCAGCACTGTTGTCACGGTCGCTGTCAACACGGGGGTCGACCTTATTGGCAATATTGCTGTCGTGAGGGCCGTGGTTGGAGGAGCGGTTTGACTCGTGGTGGCCGTAGGCGCCTGCAGCAGCACCGGCAGCAGCCCCAACACCCAGGCCGGTAGAGTGGCCGGTGGAGTGATGGTGGGAGCCGTGAGTGCCCATGTTGCTACGGTCACTGTCAACGCGAGGGTCCATGGTGTTGGCCATGTTGCTGTCATGAGGGCCGTGGTTAGAAGAGCGAGTAGACTCGTAAGCATTGGCGCCTGTGCCAGTAGCCATGCCGGAACCGAAGCCGGTAGAGGAGGTGTGGGAGCCTAGGCCAGTCGAGGTAGTACCAGCGGTGGTGTAGTGAGCACCGTGAGTGCCCAGGTTGCTGCGGTCACTGTCCACACGGGGATCCATGGTGTTGGCAATGTTGCTATCGTGAGGTCCGTGGTTGGAGGAGCGAGTAGACTCGTAGGCATTAGCACCAGTACCAGTAGCCAGGCCAGTGGAGCCAACACCGGTGGAGGTAGTGTGAGCGCCATATGCAGCACGACCATCACGGTCACTGTCGACACGAGGGTCGACCTTGTTAGCCATGTTGCTGTCATGGGGACCATAGTTGGAGGAGCGAGCAGAGTCGTAGGTGTTGACGCCAGCACCGGTGACTAGAGGCTGAGTGGAAGAGTGACCAGTGGTCGTGGTATTATGGGTGTTCAAGTTGCTGCGGTCACTGTCGATGCGAGGGTCGGCGGCATTGGCAATGTTGCTGTCATGAGGACCATAGTTGGAAGACTTGGTCGAGTCGTGGTGGGTGCTGGAGGACTTGTCACCGTGATCGGTGAGAGCGTCTTTGACCTTGTGGATGATGTTCGACATGATGTATGAATGTATGAATGGAGAAAATGTGTATGAAGGAAGAGTGGATTTGTGAAGAGGTCGCAGAAGAAGTGTTGCTTTGAATAGTTTGTTTGATAGTGAAAGACGGAAGTTCCCAGCAACAAACGAGAGTATATATAAGGCTTTGACAGCTCATGACGCTATCAAGCCCCCGAATCATGATAAGAGAGATGACGTTGTATCATACAAGGATATAGTTGGCAGCATCAAGAAACGGCGCCTTGTTGATCCGTTCATCTGTTGAATTGTGGGGAAGAGGCAGCTAGTGGCAAGGAACCGGGCCGCGATGTCATCGCGTAACGTCATACCCGACCGCCACTTACTATACTACTTCGACAACTGATCACCATCAGCCCTATACCTTATGCATGAAACAGGCTTAGATGAGAAATGAACGGCGATTGAATATTCTAGTTAGTTCTAGTACGATCGAAAATCATGACCCGCGAAAATTGAAGGGTCTATACTGTATACTAAAGTGGTTGCTCTCCGATGCTCTCCCGCGGCATCTACAAAGTGCTACAATCCACCTGAAACCAGCGTACCAAGGGTCTCATGAAGACCGTCGATCATTAACAAAAAACTGGAGAGAGACCAGGGAAACTACGACATAGTACTTCTGCTAAAATTAGATAATAGAACTGAAAGTGATAGCCGTGCCAAATTGTACTACCCCACTATGCGGAGGATTAGATCATAAGCAGGCGAAACCGGAACTTTCAGCCACAGTTGAGCTGCTATTATTCGTTTCCAGCGAACCTCTCAAAACCGGAATCTAGCCTTAATCCCTGAGCTCGAATCACCCTCTCATGGATCTGCAGCTTGGCGACCGTAAATGATGTATTACTGTGTAGCTTCGTCTCCAATTATAATTTGCAACGATGATCACTTGCGCTCGAGACTGGTCGATTCCATGTCTCTAATGGAGCGCACACCATTCCGTAGCTGGACATATGTTGTAAGGAGCTAGGTTGCCATGTTTTTGGCATCTCAGGCATGAAGGCCCAGTGGGAAATACCTCTAAAGGAGGATAGCTGAATTGTGGCGTAGCCTTGAAATGCTAGCTCTCGACCCATGGATGATACGTTGGTCTCAAACATGTTTGCCCGATGATGAAGCCCTTGATTCTATATGGTAATTGTCGGTAAATGCTCTGCAAGCTATGACCGCAGAGCTCGAAGTGGTTCACCCATATTTTGAGAACCGGTGGAAGGTTTGCGTATACATGGTTGCGTAGTGCAATTGTGCATCCTCCACCCAATATATCATAGCATGAGAATGCTGCTAAGATGAGCGAACCATCTTTTCTGATATATCGAAGTAGCCTAGTAAACTGTTCTAATTTTCAATATTGTGCAGTGCACCGGGTCCCTTGTATGTCCTATGCGTAGTCTAAAACTATATTCTGCCTCTCGGTACAATAGAATGTAGACCATACGAGTTGTATCTGTCGATGGAACATCACAATTAACTGAACTCAAAGCTTGAGACCATACAGATTTTGCTGATATTTTAGGACTGCCGTGCATATCGCACTCACAAGATATTTATCGCAGTTGTTGGGTAACTTACATTCACCAGTTAAGCTAAGGTAGTCCTTCTGCTTTATGAGGTATCCCTTTCCACCAACGGAGCTAGCCTCAGCCGTGTGCCTGGAGACCCAATACACAACACCTAGAAGTCCAGATTGAAGCTAGAGATGATGCACGTAGTTAACTAAAATGTGTTCATGACATACACTAGGAGTAAAGGCCTTTATTATGTCCTAGTAGGGGGCGCTTGGTGTAGAAACTGAACAGAAATATTTCTTGCACAGCTTTTACAGGTCAGTTAGTCCTCAATTGCGCTATTATATATCCAGGCTTCTAGCGGTCTCGAAAAGGAAGCCAGACTGTTAACATGAAATATGTTAATATAGCTCTTTCTTTTCCTTTTTAGGATTCTTCAACCCAAAAGTATCGAGCCTCTACAATGTTCAACGGGAAAAAATTGAGTCACAAATGAAGCTCGGAGAATTAGCAGGGCGGATCGACGCTCAAATGCATGCACAATTGCTGCACCAAACAGTTGAATTAAAATCGAAATCTGATCACCACTAATTGAAATTTAATTGTATCAAATTGCCGCTCTTAATAGGTCCTAAGGTTGCTGCTATTAACTCCGGGGTAAGGCAATCTAGATACATGGCCGATATCGGCCTCCGAAGTATCCTGTCGATGTATATAAATATAGAAAAGCAAACCAGCAAATTAGATACATCCTGAGTCTATTTTTAAAATATGGAGGACTTCAAAGGCGCTTGTCTCTGTCGAGGAGTCCAATTTACTCTGACTGGTCAACCACACGGAGTGTTCGCCTGTTACTGCACCCATTGCTCTATCAACGCTGGGGGACCCAGCCAATTTGTTAGATGACCGTTTTCATTTACTTATTCTCTACTTCTGCGAAGACAACCAAGATTGACGAGACCAAACTGACTCCAGATTAGGTTGCCAGGTTCACTCGCACTCAGCTCCACATCCAAGACCCACAGAAGCTTGTCTCCGTGTTTAGTATCACGTCCGGCACGGAGAGCGGGCATGCCAAGGAGAAGCATTTCTGCAAAATTTGTGGATCTACACTATGGACTGTTCCATTGAAGCATAAAGGGGATGTGGTTATTGTCCGTACTGGTCTATTGGAGAATGGGTCCGTGGGAAGGCGTCCAATTCTGAGATTACGCTAACTATGTTCTAGTTTGACTACATTGACACCAAGCGCCGAAGTATTTACAAAGAATAAGCCAGAGTATTTCGCGGGTTGCTCGGGTCTACCGGAGTTTTCTGGGATGCCAAATCTCAAAGAATAGGGTTCTATTAGCTAGCTTATCGGTGGATGAAATTCTTATCGATTGAATCTGACATTTCGTGCATTTGGCCCCTTGATCGAATCCTCGAAATAATAGGTGACGGAACCTACCTCTTGAAGAACCCCCACCAGATCTTGCTGCAGTTGATATTTTACGAATCGTGGGGGTAGTTAGTTCCAGGGGAAGTACTAGCTTAACAAGTTAAATGGCTGATGGATATTCTCAAATGCTCGTGTGATTCATGGTATCAAATAAAAATCTATATCCAAACGCCGTTCCGTCGAGTTCGCCTTAGCCTCATGCAAAAGCGCTGTAAAGAGAAATATATCGTAAATGAAAACCCAAGAGAGACCTCAACCAACCATTTCCTCGGGAAGGACATCATCTGGGTTCTCCCCAACCGCCTCGCCGACAGCACGGACAACACGCTTGATAGCCTTTGAGGCAGGGCTATCTGGGAAGTTGTCCACAAAGCTCTCGCCGTAGTCGCAAGCCATACCCACCCTAGGATCCAGAGGTACAGCCCCAAGGAAGGGAATTCCCATCTTCTTGGCTAGTCGGCGGCCACCACCCGTGGTCTTACGGAAGATCTGGGATTCGTGTGTGCAGTTGGGGCAAACAAACCCAGACATGTTCTCCACCAAACCGAGAATCTTAATGCCAGCCTTGCGGCAGAAATCGATTTCCTTGCGAACGTCAAGCAGAGACACCTCTTGCGGGGTGGTCACAACCACAGCACCATCGACGCCGGATTCCTTTAGTAAAGAGTTGACGGACAAGTGCTCGTCAGAAGTACCGGGCGGGGTATCGACAATCAGGTAATCGAGCTCGCCCCAGTCCACGTCCTTCAAGAACTGCTTGATCAAGCCGTTCTTTTTTGGACCACGCCAGATAACCGCATCATCACGATTGGGCAGCATGAACTGTACGCTCATCGCACCCAGGTTATCCGTCACCCACACCGGACTCCAGCCGGCATTGCTCACGTGAATCGTCTCCGTCTCCACGCCCATCATTTTGGGGATAGAGGGCCCGCAGATATCGGTATCCATGACACCGACGGTCGAGTCGGGGTTCGCAGCGAACGCATGTGCCAAAAGGGTGGTGAAAGTCGACTTGCCCACACCTCCCTTGCCAGATAAAACCAGGATCTTATGTCGTATTTGCGAGAGACGCTCGGTTATAATTGGAATATCAGGGTCGGGACCTTTGGGTGCGGAGGCGCAGATTTGTTGGTTCGGACAGCCAGCACAGGCATCGCCTTGGCCTGCTTGTTCGGATTCAGGACCGGGACAGTGCTCTAAGATTAGTGTTAGAAGGGGGTTCACAACAGACTTTGTCCACACGATCAAGTACGTACCTGGCTCTGGGGCCACCAGGTTTGTCGGCGCCCGTTTGGTATGCGCAGTGAGGGAGGCCTCCACGGCCGACTCCTCAACGAAAGGGGCCATCACTAGTCAAGGTGTGAGGTTTTCGAGAGAGTGATCTGGCTGGAGAGTAGTCCAAAACCCCCCGGTGAAAGATGATCAAGAAGATAATCGATGGTGGCGGAGATGGTGCTTGATAAGCGGGGATGACTAAATTGGAGACGCCGACACCGGGATTGGCTGGGCGGGGTTCTCGAGGATCCACGTGATCTACATGATGCCCCTCTTAATTATATTGTTCCTTAGTTTGGGATTGCTCATATACATACCTTTACGTCCGAGTAAATGGACAAAGATCGGTTATTCCATAGATCTACAGTCTAACAATCTTCACTCCCTCCCTTTTTTTTGTTGCGTATGCTTTTGCCTATTTTGGCCCCTCGGGCTTGTAACCCTGGAGTCATTAGTATTCTTATGGACATTTCGACCACTATGAAGTTCGGTGGTTTTATTCATCAACATCAACACTCTTTTTCTTCTCACTTTTGCATTACTCATTTTTGGTTCCATTGCTCTCATTTGCCCTGGCATTTTTCCATAGCTACATAGGCCATTACTGTTGGTACACTACAATCTGGCTTCTGGAAAGCTATTCTTATCTGGTCTGCCTATCTCAATCTCGGTAATTAAGACGTATAATCATATATGATATCCCATGCGACAGCAAGTGGCGTGCCCATATTTGGCACTCATGGCTCTGTTTCTCGCGTTTCTATCCTAAACTGATTAATGCTAGAAATTATTAAATAATTGGATATTCACGAACAAACTACCGAACAATTGACTCGAGTTATGTACAGAAAATCAAACAGGAGGATACGCTCGTAGCCAACGGGCAAGTTCACAGTGACCTTCCTTTTCCGCGTAATCCGCAGCTCGATCACATACTGTCCTCAGTGCTTCTTGTTCTCCATATGCGTTTAGAAGCAATTGCACCATTTCCAGATGGCCGCGCTCTGCAGCTCCATCAATTGCCTTTCTCCCGTTCTTTGGTGCAGCTGGCGCACATACATCTGCCCCGCATTCAAGTAGTCGTACAGTCATCTCGAGCATCCCATTGATGGAAGCTGCTTGAAGCGCAGTAACACCCGAGTTGAGCGCTGGTAGAGCATTCACATCCGCCCCATGTTCCAGGAAGAGATCGGCTATCTTTACGTGATTTTTCTTGATGGCCTCTTGAAGTGCTGTTCCATATCGTTGGCCCGCATGAGCATTAATGGCAGCACCATGGTCGACCAGAAAACAGCAGGATTTAATATAACCCCGACCAGCTATCCGTTGAAGGAGAGTGCTTCCATCCGTGGAGCGAGAATCCAAATCTGCCCCTGATTTCATGAGAAGCTTCATAACGTCCAGCAAAATTTCTTCGTCGTCATAGACGTCCAATGTAGGTAATACATTCCATCCGCTCTGGGTCACTTTGCAATGAAGAGGCGATGACAGTGACCTTGTTGTCTCAACTATCAGTTCACAAACATCAAGGTATAAGTCTTCGAGGGCAATTTCTAGCGCTTCTTCCCACCCAGAATAAATTTTCAAGTCTTTAACATTCGCAAGAAGGAAGTTAATGAGGGTAATATCTGACCCATGCCCTATTAAATATATCAGGGCGCTTTGCGACTCAGCTCCATAAGAACTGGCAGTTGCAAGAACATCGGCACCATGTTGCACCAATAGATTCACCATCTCCTCATTACGGTTGGAGATAGCCCAGCCAAGAGGGCTCAGCAGCTCTTCAACAAAACCCGCATAGTCCTCTGATTCTAGTACCTCAAATGGAGTGTCATCGACCTTTGCACCGTGTTTCAAGAGGAACTCAACTCCCTCGAACCAGTCCATACTGGCAGCCGCTCGTAGAGGTGACATCAGATCACAGTCCCCAGTTGGATTGACATTTGCGCCATGTTGCACAAGTATCTCGAGAAGCGGCAGAGACTTATGCTTTGCAGCAACCACAAGAGCGGTCGATCCCATCTCAGTTGCTGGGGCGTTGGCATCTGCTCCAAGGCTAATCAAATCTCTCACCAATCCGATATCGCCACGCACAGATGCAGCTTGGATGGGTGTCAATCCTCCCAGCGGCGACGGGGCTACGTTTATATTCGCCTGGTGAGCAAGCAAGAACCCTGCAATAAGAGGATGGCCGTTCAAACATGCCGCCTGTAACGCAGTCATCCCCAGCTTCGCTCCTGCTGGAGCATTGATTTGCGCTCCTGCGACTTGAAGCATTGACAAAATCTTCCAGTTTCCACTTTCCGCTGCCCCTTGAATTGCTGTTCGGCCGTTGAAAGCCGCAGGGGAGGCATTGACATCAGCACCACTTCTCAGAAGAAGTTGAGCCAATTGAAAGTCGCCCAACCTTGCTGACATCTGTAAAGGTGTGTCGCCTATATCTGGTGCTACCCGGGAATCAGGAGCAACTCCCATGAACAGCAAAAGTGTGACGATGTCCACATTTTGACATAAAACCCCATATTGCAGGGCAGTATATACTGTACGCTCCTCATCATACCTAGGTGTAAAATACAGTGGCCTATTGCGGTTGAACCGGTTTTCTTGCCAGTGGCAAATGACTTCAAAGTCAGGACGTATGGAGACTGGGCAAGCCATCGCAGATGCTCCTTTCTCCAGCAGAACTCGGAGAAGAGCAAGATTGTTCACTTTAGTAGCAAGCTGAACTGGAGTTTGACAAGCCATCCATTCTTTGTGGTTGAAGAATAGAGACCATCGATGATGCCGTAGAAGTTCAACATTAGGGACGTTGACGTCCGCTCCAAATTGGACGAGATATTTAGCCACCTCCAAGTGACCCTGCGAAGCTGCGGCTTGCAAAGCTGTCCCGCCATACCCAGGAAGGTAAAGGTCAACTCTAGCTCCCGCACTCAGAAGCAGCTTCACGGCTCCTAGGCTACCATCCCCTGCTGCATCAATCAGAGGGAACCCAGGCTGCTCATTCGTGATGAGGTTCTCTGGATCGGCACCATATTTGAGGAGAGTTCGTAGAATCGGAAGGCGGGATTCCCACTCAATCTTCCATAGCCAGCGATTCTTCTTGACCTTAGGTGGGACCCCAGCTTTACAGAGTAGCTCAACCATAGCCTCGTGCCCTTGGCACACGGCCGTTGAGAGGTGTTCAGCCCAACGTTGACTCTGAGAAGAAACATCCTGTAAATGGGCCCCGCATTGGATTATACTGCTAGCAAGACGCATATCTCCGGACTCAACTGCGCTGCAGAGGACTTTTCTTGCGAAAACGTCCCTTGAAAGTGACCCCGGCCGACACAGAAAAAGGAGGATATCAGCACCACATTTACCAACAATCCAGTCACAGATTACGTTGATGTCCCATCCACAGAGTAAGTTGTTGGTTGACAAAAACACGAAGTGTTTTAAGAATACTCCGAGGGCCGAAACAGGAGACTTATTCTGTAGTGTCTTCAGCCCGTTCAATGAACCTTGAGTCTCCATATTTTCAGGCGGAAGATAGGTATAAAGCTCGCTGTGGACCTTGGAGAGGAATGGCGAGCCAAGCTGCGGCAGATCGATGTTGGATTGAGACGAAAGCCCCTTTATGGCCAGCTCCAAGGATGTGTCAGGGGTTGAGTAGGTGATGCTTCTTTGGAATCCTCCCGAAACTAGCCATCTCGTCAGTTTCCAGCACTGATGATGGAGACGATGTATATTCAACATTTTGAGTATGATTAAAGAAAGACACTAGCAGCGCATTGCGAAATAGGTTGTAAGTAGCAGCGAAGGACTTACCCAGTGCTTGTATTTCCTGCGCGTAATCGTACCAAGGAAGGTTACGAAGAAGGAACATGCGAGATATGCCAATTGACTCTACCATGGGCGTAGAGACAGTGATATAATCTGGAAGAACAGCTTTTTCAGAGCTGCACAAACTCCTACTCAAGGGAACGTGCCGTGCAATTTCTTTGTCGAGTTTTTGACGTGTGATCTTGCGGCCGTAGAAAGCGAAATCACTATCTTTGCCCTCTTGGCTTCGCTTTCGCTTCACAGAGGAGACAATGGCCCAGTCACTTCCAGAAGAATACTTCCTTATGCCCCACGATCCCAGCTTGCTGTTGTATTGGTTTACACTGGGAGCAGCCATGACAACGTTAGATTTCGGTTATTCAGATGGTCGTCCAGGAGAACTAAAATAGTACCTAGCTCGAAATCCGTATTTCTCTTCCATATGCTTCATTGTCCGGTCCAATGAATGTGCCAAATAGAAAGAGATGATTTCTTCCTTGTGTTGATTCCATACATTGCCCGCGATTCGGGGTGCTTGTGCTGGCATTGTGAGAGAAGGCGCAAAGGCAGCCTGATAGTACAAATTTCGATTTCAGCCACGAGGGATTGCTTGGAGAAGAATTTTTCTTCCTGCGGCGCAGCCATCTTTATACCCCGGTCGCAGCAGTGTTCAGCTCGAGGCAATGTCATATACCTGATTGGCTGGTACCCAATTCTGCTTCAGGGGCGCTACCCCGATACAAGACCGACTTAATGATTGGTTGACCCCCAAATCCGAGGACGGAATTTGGTCAAGGGGCACCAACTCGCGTCTCGTTGGGGCTGCTAGGGCTAAGTACGGTGTACAGCTGTCTCATTTACTTCTTCTAGTATATTCATTTATTTATTCCTTCTCTTTTTCTCGTTTTTGTTTTTATACAAAAGTACCGCTATTGTGCGGTTGCCACAATTTGGTTTTCTCACCTGTTTCCCCCAGGATTTTGCAAACCTACAGAAGCCAGAATCTGGTTTGACCCCTAAAATATATAAATTGAGTAGCATGGAGCCGTTGATAATTCTTCAAAGAGCATCCAAGATGCCATGGTCGATAGACACAACACTATCATTGATTTCGCTTTTCGTCACTGGAAGCTCGTCCCTTCTTGCGATCTGGGATCGCGTCATACATGGTCCCAAGAGGACTTCTTTCAAAGGTCAGGCCTGTGGAGCGCTCAGAGCAACAGTAACCAACTAACCAACCGGCCTCCAGATTCCAGCACCGAACCTTTGGTCGCCAGAGGGCTACATCAGCCGAACAATGCCGACCTAGGAGTTCTACTCGAGTCAGGGCTCTATAGCCAGAGTCTTCAAGCACAACTGGTTTGTCACCTACTAAGCAGGTTACTTCATTTCCCAGAAAGAATCTAACACCACCTAGGGTTCTAAGCCAAAATTGATTCGCACAACGCGATCGGTGTAGTAAATTGTGCATCTGTGGCTGACAGATATTTGTTCCGGTTTTATCTGTAGACTTCACTGGGCTGTGCCAAGGTTGACGGGTCGCCTGAGGCAAGCTTAGAGGTGGAGAAGGGGGAATGTAGGGAGCCTCATTGTTTGTGTGGCTGTGCTGTGGTGTGCTGGGATGGATTTGGTCAAGCTATGTCGTGGCAGTCTCTTTTGTGTAGAATAGGAAGCCGTCCTCGAGAGATATCCGGGGTTAAACTATATAGATTACTGTCTGGAAGCCAGCCAGGGGTTACGCGGACTCTAGAGCTAAATAAACCAGGTTTCACATTTTGGGCGATCAGATAATCTTCATGGACAGTGCTCAGCTGCGCCAATGAAACATGTATACAATTTCCGCTCTGTTAAATACCACACGATTACGGTAAGCCTAGTGGGCAACTTGAGAGAAAAGGTTCAGTGTTAGTGTCACGGAGATTTCCCATGAAACCAACTAGTTATTGTCGTCGTCGATAAATCTCGGGACTATTGGATTGCTCTATTATCTATTCGTAAATAAATCAGCAATAGACATGGCCTCGGGTCGCAGTCCGTTTAAGAAGACCGAGAGAAGAAGAAAACCGATGTCGTTGAAAAGGAAATGAACAAAACCGACGCGCCAAAAACTAACGCATAAAACCCTTTTGGTGATCTAAAGAGACGAAGCGCTTGACGGCTCTAGGGCGAAGTGCGCTGAATATAAGCTACAGTTGATGGGGGTTAGGGTCTCTCTAAGAAGTAGAAAGGCTAACTTGATGTTGAGATGAGAGGATGTCCTAAGGCCCGCTAAGGGACATGCGTTTTGTGGCCGCTTTGAATTATTACTTTATCCCTCTATCTATCTGAAGACTAACGTCTATCGTCTGATGACTTAGGCTGGAATGTTCTTCGAGTCGGATATTAAGAAGAATTGAAAGTAATAAAATGCTATGAAATCGACTTAGCTATTAAACAAGGGCTCTCTTCGCTAAGCATGGATCCTTTCCAGATATCACGGATTTTACTTGACTAGGCTGCCGGTCGGCTGAATGGCCATGCCGCAGGTACCATCTTTTTTTCATTCGACCTCTGGCCCTGTGAGAACTTAAGCCACGGTCGGAATCTTGATTTTGCGTGCCCCTAATGCAAGGTGATCAGCGTGTCCGTGTCCTAGCCAGTCCCAGTCGCTTCGATTCCTGCACTGACGCACTAATTTATGCAGTCGGAGGGTCAGACGAAAAGCGGGGGGTCATACCTGCCTACATGACGATACGACTGGCTTATAGGAGATGAACAGAGGGGGCAATGCAAGAATTCAGTATGGAACTATTCAAATGGTTGCAAGTCCAATATCAATCTTGCGCATTGACAACGTTACTAGCACTACCGATGTAGGTACATATGCGGGCGAGCGGAGGTTGATATACCTCGTGGAGACTGGTGAATGTTCTGGTAAGGATGAAGATTCGCTACTTTATCTAGCAGGGGAATGCCAGCGACTTAACGTAGATGCTATGTATGGTCTTTTCATTGTTGATATCTAGGAGCAGGGTCCGGACGATGCCGTGGGCCCGCTCCGCTGGAAATTCTCGCGCTTATCTTTCGCTGGGACCTGATTGTGCAAAATATGTCGTAAATAAACCATCTTCAAATGTAGGCCTCGCGTTCTCTCGAGTCTCTCTAGTCATTGTGACTGGCGAGGCGCGGATCGCATAGCAACCCATGGAAGTAGTGAGTTAGTGTCAATCCCTCCCTGTACTCTGCAGGATAGAGAGATGCACGAATGATCTGGTATCCGCACTTGCCGCTGGACCTCTCTCCCCGCGACAGACCCCGCTAAATCAGAGGAAGACGGGACAAGAGGGCTGCGGTGTGTAACCCATCGCTGCTGCACGAGCCAGCCGGGGCGCGACGAATGGGCGTGGAGTAAAATCGCCGAGAACTTGACGACACCACAACTGCATAGTATCGCGACTCGCGAGGCGTTTGACGCCAGATGTGCGAGGAGCGAGCCAGGTCGGGATTAGTGTCCTGGGGAGGTGATCGGGTCCCGTTTCTTTCTCTTTCTGCTCCGTTCGGGGGGCCCGCACTAACTCTCGTGGGCTGCTCCTATGGGAGAGTTAACGTTGGCGTCGAGTTCCACACCAACAGGCCAGATTTTCTCGCATAAATTTGACCGCCCATCTTTCTTTTCTCCTTCTTTCTCTTTCTCGCTCGAATTTCTCCAGAGACTCACCTGGCTAACCCCCGTAGAGAACTAGGTGTGTGTGTGTTGACAATACAGGGTAGGTATAGCTGACCCGACTTGGTGGGCAAAGCGGATGCAAACAGAGCAATTGTTTGCGACATTGTCACATGCTTCTGTCGTCACAGGTTCACCTCCCAACATTTCCACTTCTTTCCTCAACAACATCATGGACCAGGGCCGTTCAACAGGTGCCCAGCAGCCCGAAGGGCTGCGCGAAAGAAATGTCCCACGCCCTGATTCAACTGGGGGCCGCGATGCTCTAACTGCGACCGGCGAGTTGGAGGCCAAGGATGAGGCTGGCAAGGACAAGAAGACTTTTGGTCGCACTCCAGATGGAACGGGTAGGTGTTCTGTTCAACTTCCAATTGATTACTGCCCAGTACTTCCTAGACTTTGCATCGCGATGGATTAGCGATGCTTGACAATCCCTTGAGACCCGGATGGAGATCCCCCATCCACGACCCTGCCGCCGTTGTGGAGCTACCCCCCGCTAACTTGGAATCCGTCGCGTTCTTAGTGTTCACGGTGCCCCAGACCCATGACATGGTCTCTCAGCTCTTGTCGCCTTCTGAGCCCAAGAATGTGGGCGATTTGGTGGTGATAGCGCTACTGGCCATCCATATTCTACTCCTTTGGTCTCTGCCCGCCGGTGCAAAGATTCCCGTCTTCGCTTTCATTTACCTGTTTTGGCGGGCGGCGTACAATGGAGGAATCGGATGGCTGCTCCACAACCAGTCGCATCACAAGACACTGATCCGATGGGCAGAGAAGACAAAGGTATTCGTCAACCCGGCCACGGGTCAGAACCCTCACCCAGCTCTGTACAATTGGATCAAGAAAGAGCTCGAGACCAAAATCCCCGAGGATTACTCCTTCGACAATGCACCCCTTGAATACAATACTTGGCTTGTCTTTAGACGTCTAGTGGACTTGATCCTGATGTGTGATTTCACTTCTTACTGCCTCTTTGCGATCGCCTGTGGCCACCGTCCCGTGGACGAGAGTATCATCATGACCATTCTCCGGTGGACAGCGGGCATCGTGCTCGTTTTGTTCAATCTCTGGGTCAAACTAGATGCACACCGAGTAGTCAAGGACTATGCATGGTACTGGGGTGACTTTTTCTACCTCATCGATCAAGAACTCACCTTTGATGGCGTGTTCGAGATGGCTCCTCACCCCATGTACTCGGTCGGTTATGCGGGATACTACGGAATCTCTCTGATGGCTGCCAGTTATAAAGTCCTGTTCATCTCAATCATTGCCCATGCAGCTCAATTCGTGTTCCTCATCCTCGTCGAGAATCCACACATCGACAAAACCTACAATGCGCCACCACCCAGAAAGCGATCAGAGTGTGTTGATTCAACCTCCAGCCTTCCCTTGGATACGGACACTCCGAGAGCGCCTACTCCGTCCGACGATATTCTTCCCAATGCGACACCATCGTACTCGGCCAAACCTCCCCCTTCGGTTCATAACCTACTGGGGCTGAACAACTTGGATCTATATAGAACCACGGACTCGTCAGTCATGCTTGTCCAGCTGCTCGTATTTGCAGTCACCGCTTTGACACCATCTACACTGAGGTATCAACTTCTTTTCGTGGCTAATGCCGTTGTGTGGCGGCTGTGGTACTCTGTAGGCATTGGGTACCTGCTCAACAACCAGTCTCGCAACAAAGCCTGGACCCGGCACTTCCTCAAATTTGGTGAAACCCCCCAAGAGGCTTGGAACCAATGGAAGGGAACTTACCACCTCAGTATGATTATGTGCTACGCTAGCTTCATTGCTGCTGCGTGGAAAATGTACACGTTCCCGAGCGACTGGGGCTATGGTCTCGTCCTGTTCCGCCACGTTCTAGGTGCTGGCTTGATTAGCTTGCAGATCTGGACCTCGGTCAGCATCTACGATTCTCTGGGTGAATTCGGCTGGTTCTATGGTGATTTCTTCTTTGATGAGTCGCCCAAGCTGACCTACGAGGGAATCTACCGCTTCCTCAACAACCCCGAGCGAGTTTTGGGTCTCGCCGGTGTTTGGGGTGCCGTTCTCATAACGAGCAGCGCCACGGTTACCTTCTTGGCCCTGTTGAGCCACATTCTGAGCCTGTCTTTCATCCAGTTTGTGGAGCGCCCTCATATGCAAAAGCTGTATGGCCGTAGCCTTCGTCAGGATGGTGGCGTGGTTAAGAACCTTAAGAAGTCTCTGCCGCCTTCTCTCAAGCAGCTCCACGGAAGTGTCGACAAGATGTTCGACGACTCGTTCGAGTTCATCGAGGAACTTCTTGACAATGCTCGCCCGAAGCTTGCGGCTGGTGTCAACACGTTTGTCAAAGACACCACCGCTTTGTTCCAAAAGTATCCCGCTCGCATTACCATCTCCCGCATTGACGCCGATTTGGCTGGCTTCAACGTCTCCGACTACTCCCTGTCAGTCGAAGGTACTGACGCCAAGTCTCTCGACGAGACCGAGCAGGGGAAGGGTCGCGAGGGCGCTAACGCGCGTATGCCGCTGGATCGCCGAGGTGATCTCAAGAATCTGTCATTCGAATACGGTGCCCCGATTAAGGTCAAGTGGACTGCGCCTCTTAATCATAGCAAGAAGGACTGGGTCGGTCTTTACCGAGTCACCGACAACACCTCACGAGAGGTTACCCGTGTGTCCTCCCAAGGCCGGTGGATTGCCACCAACGAGGGCTTCTATGACAACACAACTTGCGAGAAGGGCATTGTTACCAGCGACGTGGTTCTCCGCTCCGCCGAACAAAACGGCCGTGAGGGCCATGACGTTGCCGGAGGCGAAATTATCTTCTCTGGCGACAAGCTCTTCTGGACGCAGGGCACCTTCGAGCTTCGCTACCACCACAACGGGCTACACAACGTCATGGCCATCTCCAGACCGTTCGAGATCCGGATCCGCCGCTTTGCCGAGGATGATGTACTCGTTGACAGCGATGGTATTGTGCAGACTGCCGTTGAGAACGCTCTGCTGCCGGTTGTCCGCAATTGTTTCGACCGCGATCCCGAGATTGCGCCGGAGAATGTTGAGGAACAGTTTGGCAGTCTGGTCGAACGTGATGGCAAGTTTGCCAAGAGAGTCGTTTTCGCCGTCCACCAGATGTAAGTCTATTTCACGTCCTAGTTCGTCTTCGTAACTAATCACGGTCACAGGTTCGGTGTTGAATTGGCGCCCGAGGTGGTCAAGGCCGATGGCAATGTTTTGAATCTTGCCTGGAGAATTTGTAATGCCAAGAAGGTTCTTGTAAGTGAAATGGTCTTTGCCTCGTCTGTATGGAGACTATATCGGTCTAACATATCCATGCAGGCTCCCTACAGCATGTCTCGATCGAATGGCACTACAACGCCAATCGAGGGCAAAGAATAGAAACGGAGCATCGGATCTACAATTATGTCGAGAGTCACACAATAATTTTGGACATGGCGAAGGAAGAGAGGGTTTGGCGTTCGTTTCCTGGTTGAGATCACCGGCACGTTCCAATTGACTTGCAAAAACAAAAACAAAAACAACATCAAATATCAAATATCAAATATCAACGTTCTACGCATTTTCAAGTGTTCAGCGAAGAAAGGAAGAAATCAACCAAAACATGAGGGTGGCATGGCCTTTTTTTTGCTTCATGACGACGATTCCCCGGGTTGGTTTAGGTGGCTGGTTGGTGTTTTTATAATTCGTCTTGCCCGAGGACCAGAGAGGGATGAATAGGCTTGGTGAATGGTCGGGTAATTGACTTTTGCTTCTTGACAATGTCTTCTATTTTCAGTATTTGTACATAGCTTCAATTACAATCGATTGCTAGCTTATGAGGGTTAAAGGGAATGATCAAAGAGAATATTTGTAACATTTTTTAGTAAACTAAAAGTATTCAAAAAATTTCTTACACAAGTATCGGACCTAGACTTTGCAATCGTCAGCATGATTCAAAACATGATCGATAAAGTGAAAGGCATGAATAGCTCCATATTGCAAGCAAGGCAAGTAATCAGTCGAGCCAGTTTAACTCATCCCATCCTCTGCCGTCCTCCCGAACCAGACTGTCATCCAAGACGGACAAGCAGCCCAGCCCGAAAGAGCCGACACAAGTCAAGCATAGCAGTACCAAACTGTCAACAGCAGAACCAGACGCCGACTGAACCTACGTCTGCCGGTGCTCCACAACCTTCCTCCCTGATGCGCCCAGAAGGGTACAAGAGGTCCAGTATTTGGGAGTCGGAGAACGCAGATCGACGCCCTGGCCCGAAGGCACCGCTGTAACAGAGTGGGTGCGTACTCGAGAGGCGGTTCTCAAGAGAGATCGTTGAATGGATTGACTGGGTGTCATCATAAAAGGGGGAGGGAGTGTTTCGGAAGAGAACAAGGGCAAAGGGAAGGAAGCGCATACATTTTACAATGGGAGAGACTCGTTGCGTGATTGAATCTTGATCGACTGGAAACCCTTTGAAACTGTCAGCTTGAAGTCCATCGACAGCAACGATGTGAACAAGACAGTGACATGATTGGAGTAGCATCAGGTGTTTTTGGTAAGGTATTTTGTTATCTTCAAAAATTTTGCAGAAGCAGAACTGAAAAAATTTGTTTCATCATGCTAGGGGTTGAGTGTGGGAAAAAAAAAACAGAAAAATTCGAAGCTTACCTGTGGAGAAGATCCAGTGCAGCCGACGCGCTGTGGTAGCTAGGTCAGTGGTAGAAGAAAGCCCTGCTTGAATCAAAGTTAGCTTGTATGCCAAAGCCAACGAGATTGATGTGAAAATCATTGTTGTAGAAGGTGTCGATCAGATGGTGATGCATGTTTGTTCATGGCCCATTTATTTGTCACCGGAACAGAATTTGGGTAGTTTTCAATCATAAGGACGGGGGAAGAGGCTGCATTGAAGCAATGAATAGTAGGTGGTACTCACAGGAAGTTAGTAAAATGTGGTAAGTAGCAAGGAAAATCCTGATTGATCCTGGCGAGCGCGCCTTCATCATAAAAAGGGCAGGTCGCCCAGGACAAAAACAACCGGGAGAAGTGTGGAAGGAAGAGAAAGCGAAGAGAGAAGAAAAAAGCTGAAAAGCTAGCCGGAGTGGGTGGGGTCTCAGGCAAACACTGCAAACACGCAGGATTTCCGCTTCTGGGCACTTTGACATCTCCATCTCCGAGAATCTAGAGATCTTTCAACTTCCAACCTCAAGATTTCAAGATGATGGCCGACAGGAGAAGGATCAATGGGCCTCCTGGTGGCACAAGGCCAGCAGTATTTGCCTCAAACCTACAATCTGGCACGAGCGCCACAGACCGCGCTCAGCGCCAGCGACAACCTTCCGAGCTACGGAAAATCTGTATGTCGCCATGGTCCTTTTGCCTTGCAATGGGTGGTGACTTCAGCTAACAAGAGTGCAACAGTCCTCAAGACTGGTCTAATTCCCACGGCATCGGGCTCTTCATACCTCGAATTCGAACCCTCAGCATCTCTCGCCGCTGCTCGCGCCAATCCCAAATCTCTGATCCCGCCTTCGTCAGCCTTGAAGCTGGCCTGCACAGTTCACGGACCTAAGCCTCTGCCCCGATCTGCAGCATTCTCTCCGAACCTTGTTCTTACAACACATGTCAAATACGCGCCTTTTGCCGCACGCCAGCGCAAGGGCCATATCCGCGACTCCAGCGAGCGTGATCTCGGAGTACACCTAGAAACCGCTCTGCGTGGCGCAATCATTGCCGAACGCTGGCCGAAGAGTGGTCTTGATATCACAATCACAATTCTGGAAGCTGAAGACGACCGGTGGTGGGGAAGTGCGCCGGACTCGCACGACGCCTCGTGGGGTATGATGAACGTTCTTGCTGGCTGTATCACTGCTGCTTCGGCCGCAATTGCTGATGCTCATATTGACTGTCTCGACCTGGTGGCTGGCGGTGTTGCTGCGATCGTTTCGGATGAACCTTCTGGGACTTCAACGGGGGTTCCCAAGCTCATGCTGGATACTGACCCTGCTGAGCATCGTTCTATTCTATCTGCATGTGTTGTGGCATATATGCCTGCTCGGGATGAGATTACAGAGCTCTGGCTGAAGGGTGACAGCTCCAAGGCCTCCCTTGAGGATGGTGATACTCGGACAGGTCATGAAGCATTGATAGACGGTGCTGTTGATGCTGCCCGAGGAGCCCATACCGTCTTGGCTGAAGCTGTACGGGAGTCTCTCCTCAGAACCGTGGGCCAAGCTTAAAATAACCATACCAAATTTAATGAAGAAATAATGAAGACCTCCAATTCAGAGACCGGTCACGTGTCCACGTAAGCCCTCAAAAAGTGGCATCTATACTGCTCGCATCGCCATTTCTATCAAGGCTATTGCACATGCTTTTCGTCCAATACCGTCGTTTTGTGATTCTGCTTAACGACTAAGCGCATCTTGTCCACAGCCATGTGATACAGATTGTAGCAGCTGTCACTTTTGTCGTTATGCTCCCTCCGATCTTCCTTGTTCTCCCATCGCCCACCCCATCGCCCTCTCCATCACCCACGTTTTGTGTACACCTGCTTTACATCAAAACATCCTCATACATAACCCTCCCACATACACCACCACAAGGTATGTTAATCCTAAGCTATTGATCCCATGAAGCATGCTCACGACCCACTCGTGCTGAAACTAACATTCTGTCCGAAGCACCAGCCCGCCATGGCCGCCCCGAGCGAGAGAAGGCGAATCCTGAACAGGGTTCTGATCCAAAACCCTTTCGATGATGCGGAGAGGCCAGGGCTCTGGATCTACTTGATCTGGATCTGTCTCACTGTCCGAAAGGATAGACAGGTAAGTTTTGGATGCTTTGCTGCCCTGGTTATGTACCCTCACTACTGGGAACACAATCTTTCTGACCTTTCGTCTCATAGCCCGATTACGAAGCCGTGGCAGAAGAGACCGGCTACCCGGTCCTCTACCTTGAGGAAGCCTTCCGGGAACTGTCACTACACGGTGACAAAGTTCGGATTCTGGCTAATGAGGCCATTGCCCAGAAGGAGAAAGAGGACGCGGAGGAGAAGGATAAGGAGAAGGATAAGAAGGAGAAGGATAAGGATAAGGAGAAGGAGAAGGAGAAGGAGAAGGAGAAGGAGAAGGAAGCGGAGGCGTAAATAGCCTTTGTCATTGCTTTTGTTATTACCCTTTTCCTAGAAGCGAATACCATCCTCTCTCAGCTTCTAGCATTCATTTTCACAATAGCTAAGTAGAGAGATGCGTGCATGGCCCGCACTTTTGCACAAATTTGAGAAATCTTAGTACTTTTTTAAATTCGCAGTATATGGAGTAGACCGGGGCATGTGATTCAAGCCTAAAATAGATGTATGTTCTTTCTTTCCTTCTCCATCTCTTTTCCTAATCACCATTAATTACACCCACTCACCTTCTACTTCATCAAGATATCCCTTAGGTACGTCATGACCTGATGCATCATCTACTGCCCTTCAGACCTACTAAACGACTCCTGATATCTGTTACTAGACCAAAATGACCTCCAATTAACCACACGAAAACATCATAAAGCCGAGTGACACTTCTCCTGGGCGTCCCGTCAAAGCCCATCAAGGAATCACCGCCAAAATGGTGCTAAAAGATGCTACCAGAGATATCCGCTTCCTTCGGCTCTGCATAAAGAGTCAAGAGAAGGCCAACGGCCACGTAAGTCATACATTACCCACAGTTTCCGGCGAGATTATTGTGGCTTTCGTCGCATGTTGCTCAAATCTTATAGTTGTTTCGTCCCAAAATGTTGCCTCCTTGGACTAATGATCCTTTTTAGATCCACTTTAAGTAAGTTGCCGCTGCTTTCAGTGTCGACGAGGAGGAAACCCGCAATCGATGGGGTCTGATGAATGCCGCCCTCCAAAAAGAAGAAGACGAGATGATGGCGCAACTAGCTACCCTAGCGGTCCCTCGATCTATCGACTAGAAGCACGCAGATGAGCCTATGAATCAACCGGAACCAGGCTGCGGTGATTGAATCTCAGAAAAATAATGAGCGTGAGACTTAAAGTGCCTTCACGAAAAACAAATCTGCTGTACCACCAGACCTTTGCCAATGGTGGAGGTACATGGATGTGATCTATATGCTGGGATCGTGGCTCCGAGCAGTAAAAATACAAGATAATGGATTCAATCAGTAATCTGCAACCTACAGCTACATGATTCGGTCAAAGCTGTAAGGCAGCAAGTAGAATGAGAAGGAAATCAGGAGTATTATATAGGCAACGATATCTAAGGGAGGCTGAAATTATACAAAAGCACCCTGAGATGAGCGAACCTCTTCCTCGACCTCTCCCCCGCCTCGCCCTTTACACACTCACCTTCCTCCTCTGAACCACACACTTCACCCTTGAGATCTCCTTGACTTGTCCTATCTCCTCTCTCTGTTCTTCCACGCACTCCATCCTCTCTCTTCGGGCGACGCACTACAACTGCATCTCCCAACAAGCTGTAAGTACTCTCTATCACGCTGATGTACATTTCTTCTTTGAGAGATGGACTTACTGATGAAATCAAGAAGCTCCCAACACCTACATCATGGCACCCACCTCCCGAAAGGCAGCTCCCCGGGGCAGAGTGAGCAAATCCCAGGCCGATTCCAAGAAGGCCTGGGAGGACAAGCTGTACTTCCTCTGGCTCCACTTTCAAATAAAAGATGGAGATAAGGTCTGTAGAGCCCTTTGAATTTATAAAAGAAGATCAAATCAGGCTAACGAGATCATCATTCACTCCAGCCCAACCACGCCGCCGTCGCCGCCAAGCTGGGCATCAGCCGTGACGCTGCGGTCAGGCGATATGGCCAGGTCAAGAAGCTCGCCAAGCAGATCGAGCAGTCCAAGGCGCCAAAGGGCAGCTTTGGTTTCGAGGATGAGGACCTGAACAGGGTCTTTGAGGCGTTGGAAACGAAGTACGCACACGAGCTGGTCCTTCGCTAAGTGGCGTGAACAGCCTCACCGAGTCCATCGACGGAGTACAAAGACTTCCCGGAGCACATACAACCTTGTACATTATTCACGGGGTACACATCATGGATCATGGGTTTCAATCATTACTCTGGTTTCCTAAGAGTCCGCCCGTGTCCATAGATGTCATGACCGCCATTGTCGATAGCTCCGCACCGTTTATGGAATCCATGTGAATATTTTCGGGTGCAACTCAAGATATTGTGTAGGCCATGATCAGAATTCATATTATCTGTAATACTTATCATAAACCTTCTAGAATCCACTGCGTGGCCTACAAGATGTAGAATAAGGTATTGGTTCGGGTCACGTGAAACGCAGGACCCTAACGTCCGGAATCCGCCCAGTCAGTCTATCAGTGGTAGAACTGTAGATTGGATATACCAATTGAGAAACAAGGCCTTGATATTGTTTTCTTACTCAAAGCTATCCAGCAGTTCTGACTTCTTCTGTAGCCCGATAGCCTTAACATCCAGCCTCTTCAATATCGAGCAAGCATACTTCATTGGGTGGGCGATATGTTTGATATAAGACCTTAGTTTCCCCGTCTCTACCTCACAGTTGTCACGACCCCAAAAGAACACTGGTGGGGTTTTCCTCTACGTTGACCTCACGACATATTCCTTCGCTGGAACCTCCAACCTCACTCTTACCAATATCCTCTTCGCAGTCTTCTACCACCTTTCGCTTACCCTACATCGAATCGAGTTCACCACAAAGTCGTCATCTGTCTGTTCATCCTTGCAACTGGCATAAACATTCTGTCCATCAAGATTTATTGACAACTTCCTTCTTAGCATCAGAAACCAAGTGACCATGTCTGGCCGAGTCACCAAGGGGAAGGCCAAGCCGCGCAAGGCTCCTGAGGCGAAGTTCGACAGCGATGATCCAACCGATAGCAACCTCATGCTTCTATGGCTTTGTATGAATAACATGAGTGCAACCGGGCAAGTAAGTCTGCTTTAGTTATGGATGTTCTTTCTTTTGTCACTCCTACTTATACATCTACAGGTCAACATGGAACCTGTTGCCTCGGCGCTCAATATTACAGTCAATGCTGCAAGGAAGCGCTACCGTCGCCTTAAGGACAAAATGAATTCCATGATGGTGACCCTTGAAAAACACAAGGGGTCAAAGGCTGCGTCTGCATCCAAGCCAGCCCAGTCGGCGAAGCAGGGTAATGAGAATGAGGGGCAGAACAACAACTCTGAGGAGCCTGCCGAGGACATTTAAGGCAAGCGCCCATGGGCGCACCTTACCTTGCAGACACATTCCCATGACAGCGCTGCAGAACACACATATGTCTTGATTCAACGGGTGTGGTCTTTTTGTACATGTCTTTCGATGGCACGTTTGCGATTTTGCGGACGGACACAGTCTTATGCACACGATAATACCCTTGTATTACATACGGCGAGAAATGTGCAAGACATATGCAAAAATAACTCAAGAGTCCATCCACTACAGAAAGAATGTAGTTATGTCCGTAGTCATAGATTGGAGGCGTAGGAGAGTGGCGTAAAAAACAAAGAAAGTAAGATTGGATGCGGCGATCACCTAGTGGCCCAAGCAGGTTCAAGCTAGGCCCGTGTTTCAGAACAAAGAACTGCTGTGCAACATGTACTGTACGAAGTACTCACTAGTAAACTGTACTTCTGTAAGTCTGGAGGGGCGTAAAGTTGTAAACTATATTTTCTTTTGCAGGATTCACACCATGACTGCACCCCGCAAATAGGCTTACATTTGGAATTTTGCATAGATTGTCTAAGTACTTACAGTGCACTCCCTACAATAGTACAATGGGCAAGCCAGTTGCTGTCAAAAGTACGCTGATCGGGCCAGGGACCCATCGTCATCGGAATCGATCGATCGAGAATAGAAACGAGATTAGGGTGCAGCTTGAGATTCCTAGGTTGGTGGAGCATATGGACTTTTTGCCAGAAGTAGCAAGAGAGGCTTCAACAAGTTTAACTCGAGTTGTTAGTAGGCTCCGTAGAATAATAATGGAAACAGACGACGTATGCTTCATGGAAAACCCCGTTCAACCAGCATCTATGACTGGCTAGTATGTATACTCCGGAGACGGGATTGACAGCGGAACGACTCAACACGCCAGCAAAAAAGGGGCAAAAGATCTTCGTCAACACTTTCTCCATAGACCCCTCAACATGGACCTACCTTCTCCGCTCTAGGCACAGAGTTGTTCCATGGATAGAAGCGGATCAAAGATGCCCCTGAGTAGTAGAAGTAAACCTCTGGAGCGCGGAAAAGGCTCATCGGGCAACCGCCGCTGGCCGAGAACAGTAGTAGTTCGCATTCTCCTTTCTCCCCCCATCAACCACGAGCCACGAAGGATTCATTCCCGTCAAAGAATTAAACTTCATTTCCCAGAATCTCAAATTTGGATTGACTTTTTCTTTGTTCCGGGAGCTTCCCCTAACGCGCCCGAGTCGATGGAGGGGGGGGCCCATTTAGCGCGCCAGTCGTCTAGCGTCCAGGCAATCGGGTCGTCCAGGAAGCCAAAATTGGCACTCGGTTCACAGGCTCGTGCCGCTAAGAACGCGATGGGTCCACGGTCCTGCTTGTCGATCACATCGTCACACCAATCACTGCGCCCACGGAAATTGGGGGGCTCCAGCGGGCTACTAGTCCGCCCACTGGCCTCGGCCTTCTTCCCACTACGGAGTACTGCTGGTAAACTCGGCATTTGGTCCCCATTCACAGGATCACGTTGAGATTGCAAAAAAAAATGAACGCCAGTGCGAAAATGGACCAGCCGACGGCCATCTCCCGGACGAAGACTCCGTCCTAACCTGCCAATTGCACGATTTTCACGGGTCGGCGGTTGGGGAGCATGACGAATTCTTCTCGTGCTGTTCGTTGGTCCCCAGTCAAGGAAATAAAACGTTCTGTCATGTGGACCCTCTGGCTAGGGCCCGCAACATCAGCTCACAGCCTATGATGCAGCCTGGACGTTGACTCCGAAGAAGCTTCTACTAGCTGTATACGCTTGTCCCCATTCGAGGACCCAACTGACGAAATTACGGCAAGAAAAAGAAAGGAACATGAGAAAAAAAGACCTCCTCGTGTTGGTCAGGGAACGACTCGTGTGTCCCTCAAGATCGTATCGTGTGCGTGGCTGCCCTCAAGGCATCGTCTGAGTTTACCAAAACCAGTTAAGAACGGCAGAGGGCCGTTCATGTGTCAGAGGCTACGGCAAATGGAGCACTCTTAATCTTTTTATTTTAGCGTTCGAACCGTCGTGCCGTATCGGCCTGGCCCCATCTGTGCCACTGCCCGCGGTGACGGATCATGGAGAAGACCGGACCACTTCCTTCCCCCTGATCCAGGCACAATAATCCAATCGGTGATGGATCTGCAGGCCGACCACTGGACCAGGCAACTCGCTGCTGATTTCTTGTTGCCCATGGCCGGGGTGTGAGCTTCGACTCTTTTACTCCCTTCTCCTCTTTCCATTCTTCCTCTATTATGCTCTCTTGATGGACTTTGAACCGTATGACGGTCTCTCAATCGTGAGCTTCAGGGCTGTCATGACTCCGCCTGTTTAGTTCTTCACGGCGGCCGTTGGTCTAGTCGATCCACTTTCAATTTGTTTAGTTTGAGAGTTTTTTTCCCCTTTGCCTTTCGACGTCACCACGGGGCCCTCTCGTGCGCCCCCCAACTCTCTCTTTCTCTCTCTGGTGGACACACGACGCCCTTTTTGCGCATCAGATTGATTACAATATATTCAAGATGGTGGCTTTGAAGAAGCTTTTTCAAGCTGAGCGGGCGCCATCGCGCCCATCAACCGGTCTTGGGCTCAATGGAATGGAGTCGGATGAACCATACTTTGGCACCATTGAAACACCCACTCGAAGCAAGTTTCAAAGCCTTTTGTCTGCCGCTCCTCCGTCGCCAGCACTGCCATCGCCAGGTTTGAGAGCATTCCAAGCACATGATGTAGCACATCATTTCGATCAGATCGAGAAACAGTTCGAGGATCTACATCAGCATCTAAGTGAACGACCGACATCTTCTCAATCGCAGTTCCCGCCACCCGTACCGGGTCTCTCTGTTCGCAAGGATCCCAATGCTCGACACATCGATCTAATGGAAGCTATTGCTCCCCCAGAGCAAGCCATCGACAGCGATTCCCCAGTCGCATCGCCTCCCACCAGTCCATATAACGAAGATGTTGCAGAACGAAACATGACCAGGTTCCTTCGCATTCAGTATCGCAGTGGACGTGCAAGCTGCCGGATATTTTCCGCCCTGTATCAAGAGGATGTTGCGGACAGAAACATTGCAAAATATAATAACGCATCGCGCTCACTTTCGTCATTAAGCTGTCGCTCTTCTCCTCCCGCGCCTGGGAGGGTACGCAACCTGAGCCCCGATGGTCAAAGAAAACGCAATCCCAGAAAGTCCAATTGGACATCGGATGGCGATTTGCGTGCTCGGTCTGCCTCTCCGGATAGTACCTCTGGTACTTCGTCGCGAAATTCACAGGCGGGCAGCTTGCTTCGCCAACAAAGATCAGCGCCTAGTCTGTCCCCCGACGAGGATGGAGAAGAGGCACCACCTCCCGTGATCCAGCGTTTGGGCGTCCCTCCTGCGCACAAGCAGGGCAAGCGATGGAGCAATACTCCATTGCCAGATAGCCCCACACTGCCTACTCCCATGAGTGACGGCGGCAGTGGCAGCGAGAACCGCCCGGAGAGCTCTCCAACGCCTAGGGCCCCAGTCACAACAACCCGAAGCTCATCCTTGACTGCAAGGTCATTATCTCCTCCTCCTTCATCAGGTTCAACTTCTCGAAAGAACGTGCGAGATCTATCCATCAATACGGAGCTAGCCGTCCAAGGTCGGCCGAAGATCGTGCACCGCGCCATTCAACCCCCAACGCCCTCGACTCTTGAGATGAAGCGGGCCCCGAGTATTGCAGAGGTTATGCATAGTCCTTTGCCCGCGCCAAGCCCTTCACAACCCTCCCCTCGGTTCAAGGTATCGGAGATGATGGACTTGTTCAACAAAGCCTACATGTCTACACAGGCCATCAGCCCCCATCCTACGTATGAGAGTTTGCAGGATGCCATTGTCCGCGAAATCAATTCTCACGAGGCGTTCAAGAAAGTCCCCGTTCCTGACGCTGGTCCCCCATTCACTCCTTCTCCGACTCATGAAACATTTGATAACCGTCCCCGGTCCGCACGCCCTGGATTGAGCCGCAGTGCCTCTGCCGGGTCAATCTCCAAAATCATGAGAAAAGGCTCCTTCAGAAAGCACAAGCGAAATGCCGACTCTCGCCAGAGCATCTCTACAAGCATTTTCCGCAAAGCCTCTCCTTCTCCATCTCGCCGGCGACACACCGATGCCCCAGCTCCCTCCCCAGGTCTCCTTGCCGACATCGAAAAATCACAGGAAACTGCCTCCCCAGAGCAACTGACATACATGGATGTCCTATACCGTGCTAGCAACGACAAGCCTGGCACTTCCAGCTCTAAAAGCCCTCAGCCATCGCGGAAGCGCGGACGTTCGGATTCGACCTCCAATCTCTCTGCCATCATCCGTGCCAACAACTCAGACAGACCCCATACCCCAGGTCCCCTTGGTACCATCTATTGCATGAAGGCACACTCGAATTCTTCCAAGGACAGCCAGGGTAGTGGCTCGTTTGAAGAGAGTGACGACGATATTATCCACCTCCCCAGCGTTGTTGCACCTCCCCCGCGTGTGCAGATCGACGCTGTCGATGATAACAACGTGCGCTACGTGATTGACTCCGCTACTGCTACCGATGCGCAAAGACTCATTAACTGGCCCCATCGCTCTCGCCGCAACAAGTCTCCTGCACCCACCTCGGCGCCTTGTGAGAACAGCCTGTCCCCGCTGTCCCGTGCTCGAATGCAGATTCGTGGCGCTCGCTCCGTCGAGACCTACTGAATAGCAGCGAAACCATTAATTTGCTGTCTATTTCAAATTGGGAAGACCTTCTGTTCTTCCCGCATGATAATGACGTTCTCATGATACCTCAACCCCTGAAAAGCTTGTCTGGTCCCTTCGGTGTCTGTTTCTCTTTCTATAGCGATTTTGAACCTTCGACTTGAGGCGTCTTCTCTTGACTTGGAAACTCAAGCCTTTTTCTTTCCTTTCTCCTCCCCGCACACACCCTCTCTCTCTCTAATATCCGACCTGGTTTTTCACCTACTACCTCACTCACTACATCTCATAGCTCTTTCCTACTCCTACTATATCCCGTCTATTCACTCTAGTCCTTACTGTCTCCTATCGCTTGTCATCATCGGCCTACTTTATCGTCGATCGCCCGCCAATACATGTGGCTCCTCGTTGTCTTTCCTATTTTTACTCTGCCTTACTATAAACCGATAGTTATTGGTGTGCATCTTACGGATGGCGTTCCTATCGATTGATCTGCAGACTTTGTCAATATTTGTACTATACAGCCAAGGCAACAAGCCTAACAAATACGCATTATTTTGTTACTCTTATACACATGCTTCTTTTGGAATCGCAAGAAATCATTTGATAATTTTCTTCAATATTCGCGCCCAGCCCACTAGTGAGACCATGTGACTTAGGGATCTATTTACCTAATTAGGATCGACAGCCTTGCGAGTTATCCTAAGTCTGGCAGTCCAACAAGGCTGTGGATTGCGGGGATCAGGAATGTGGGGAAGGATCTCTAGAGCCCTAGACCCGTTCCTTCGCGTCTCAATAGTACCAGCGCTAATATAGGCAATACTATTTCTGAGTATAGGATATCTTCTTTAATACAAATGAAAAAGGGAAAATGAAAAATGAAATACGTTACTCATTTCTGCTCATCGGCTCATTGTAACTAACCACTTCCGTGTCCGTCCTAACACAACCTCCTTTTCCAGTCCCAACTCCACAACAATGACAGGATGCACGAGGTATCTTGGATGGGACCCCTGGTTGGTAAACCACTTCACATGTAGGGGTCTGAATGATTTTTACGATGGTGAAAAGCTCCAGATTCAACTCCACGTTCTCAATAAGAAAGGAGAGAAAGAAAAACTACATCTCCTGCTCTTGGAAGAGCTGAGATGAAGATTTGCATGGAGGTCAGAGGCATGACCAGTCGGCTTAGTAGGAACGGCCGAACATGCACCACTTCTCGGCGAAGTTGGAGCAGCTGGGGTTGATACACTTGGTAACACCGGGCTCGATGCCCTCGGGCTGCTCGAAGGGAATGCACAGCTTTATTCGAAAATGTCAGCATATCTCCACTAGAACTCTCGAAAGATTGGTACTTACACTCTTGCCACCCATTGAAGGCGCCTTGGCATCGGCGACCTCGCCGGACTCCTCTTCGGCCTTACGAGCACTCTGGGTCTTGATAGATTCCTCACAGTCCATTTGCAGACAGAAGGGAACGAGGCAGAGCTATGCAAAATCAGTGTCTGATTCGATCATTAAGGGGGAAGGGGGGTGTATCTCACGTTCTTAGCGTTCAGAGCAGGGGTAAAGTCGTCCCAGTTAGTAATCTGAGGGCGGTGGGCCTTGAACTCAGCATCGGCGCGGTTGTACATGTCGGTGTGGATAGTCTCGAGGAGGGCAGTGGTGCCGCTGACCAGGTCGGCGATAGGAAGGGTGGACTTGCCATCCTTTCCGGGGATATCACGACGGGCAGTGGTGACGAAGTGGCCAGCAGACTCGCCAGGGCCGAACTCCAGACGGAGGGGCACACCACGGAGCTCCCACTGGTTGAACTTCCAACCGGGGGAGTAGCCTTCACGCTTGTCGCTCTGGACACGGACACCGGCAGCTTCGAGGACGGTGACCAGGCCGTCAATCTCAGCGTAGAGCTTCTCACGGTCCTCTTCGGTGCTCTTGGCAGTGATACCGACGGGGACGATAACGACCTGGGTCTCAGCCACACGAGGGGGAAGGACCAGACCCTTGTCGTCACTGTGAATCATGACCATAACACCAAGGGTACGGGTCGACAGACCCCAAGAGTTCTGCCAGACGTAGAGAGCCTCCTTCTGCTCACCGGGTTTGGCGGAGGGGTCCTCAACGGTGATGTTGAACATCTTACTGAAGTTCTGGCCCAGGCCGTGGGAGGTACCACCCTGGATACCACGGCCAGTGGCAGGGATATAACCCTCAACGGTAGTGGTGTAGAGACCACCAGCAAACTTCTCCTTCTCAGTCTTCTGGCCCTTGACCACGGGGACTGCAAGAAGCTCCGAGTAGATATCGGCATACCAGTCAAGAATCTGGAGCACTTCCTTCCGGGCAGCGTCCTCAGTCAGGTGAGCAGTGTGGCCCTCCTGCCACAAGAACTCACGAGTTCGCAGGAAAGGCTGGGGGTTCTTGAACTCCCATCGGACGACGGAATTCCACTGGTTCAGACGCAGGGGCAGATCACGGTGGCTGCGAATCCACTTGGAGTAGTAGGGGTACATAACAGTCTCGGAGGTAGGACGAATAGCAATCTTCTTCTCGAGAGGGGTCGAGCCACTAGAATAAAAGATCACGTCAGTTTACCCTCTTGCCCAAAAATCATTAAAGAAAGGAATCCATACGCATGGGTCACCCAGGCGACCTCAGCAGCGAAGCCCTCAATGTGGTCCTTCTCACGCTGCAACACATCCTCGGTAACGAACAAGGGGAAAGAGCAGTTCTTGACACCCATCTTCTTGATCTTCTTGTTGAACCAGTCTTGAATCTCCTCCCAGATGAAGTACGAAGCGGGCTAAGGTAGATATACATTAGTGATGGGGCACGCGACTAGGAACAGAGCAAGATGAAATTACCTTCAAGATGAAGCAGCCCGACACGTCATAATAGTCCAGCATGTCTCCTGGATGCGGATTAGCAAGCATTCTATCTTATACGGTGTCCTTTCTTACCCTTAGTGAGAACTTGCTGGTACCAGTCAGGGAAGTTCTCCTCCTTGGACGCATCGATACCGATCAAAGCAGCACCGTCAACCTTCTTCTTAGGGGCCTTCTTGGCCTCCTTCTTGCCCTCAGTCTTCACACCAGCAGCGTGCTTCGCAGCCTTCTCAGCCTTGGCCGCAGCCAGCTTGGCAGCCTTTTCAGCTTTCTTCGCGGCGTTCTTAGACTCGCCCGCCTGGTTATCGGCGGGGTTCTGAGTGCGATCGGGCAGGGTTGTGGGAGCAGCAGCGCCCGAGGCGGCAGCATCGGTGGGATTCTGGCTAGCCATAATGGTGATGAACGAGCGCCTGGCTAGTAAAAAGAGAGTAGGCAAGACTCAAGAGCAGAATGGGAGGGAGGAGTTATTCGAAGTATGACTCCGTCAATAAAAAGTGGGATGTTATCTGCGACACCGCCTCAGTGCGGCAGAACTTTTAGCGTGGCCTCCGACCAAAACCCCCCGTCCACGCCAGCAGAGCTCTGTCATCGCACCTGAGAGCCCTGTTATTCGACTTTAATTCGCCATGGCAGGCATCTTCGAGGCTCCGCGGAATGCGGATACGCTTTGTGAGTCCTCCGACCCCGAGGGTCATGGCATCGTGCTAACGCAGCTCGCACACAGTCTTGGGTGGGCAGAAAATCACCGGTGCCGACGTCCGGGAGCAGAATGGTATGTTCAGCACTCAACCACTTGAGATAAATTGCTCTCGACTGACAGCATGCAGTTCTCGCGACCCAGGCTATTTCCAATGTCATCAAGAGCTCCTTCGGTCCTTCCGGCTTGGACAAGATGATGGTGGACGACATAGGGGTATGGAAATACTGGAGTACCCCGCAGGTTTAGAAAGCTCCTTTCTAACTGCTTCTTGTGAGAATAGGACGTTACTGTGACGAATGACGGTGCTACCATTCTGTCCCTGCTGGATATTGAGCACCCTGCGGGCAAGATCCTGGTGGACCTGGCCCAACAGCAGGATAAGGAGGTATGTATCCTATATAGCGTTCCGTGGACATCTGATTTTTTTCGTCTGTTGCTAATTTGTCTCTGGTTAGGTTGGCGATGGCACGACTTCCGTTGTCCTCATTGCTTCAGAGCTTCTGCGGAGAGGAAACGAGCTGATGAAGAACCGGATACACCCCACGACCATCATCAACGGATACCGCCTTGCGCTGCGCGAAGCCGTCAAGTATATGAACGAGAATGTGACAACGAAGGTGGAGAACTTGGACAAGGACAGCTTGATCAACATTGCGAAGACTTCCATGTCTAGCAAGATCATTGGTGCGGACTCGGATTTCTTTGCGAACCTGTGCGTGGACGCTATGCTGCAGGTCAAGTCAACAAACCAGAGGGGCGAGGTCAAGTACCCCGTCAAGGCCGTCAATCTCCTCAAGGCTCACGGAAAGAGTGGTACCGAGTCGATTCTCGTCAACGGTTATGCTCTGAACTGCACTGTGGCCAGCCAGGCTATGAAGACCCGTGTCACCGATGCTAAGATTGCCTGCTTGGACATGAACTTGCAAAAGGAGCGCATGAAGCTGGGTGTTCAGATCACCGTGGATGATCCCGATCAACTTGAGAAGATCCGCCAGCGTGAGGCTGGAATCGTTCTAGAGCGTGTTGAGATGATCCTGAAGTCCGGTGCCAATGTCATTCTGACCACCAAGGGTATCGACGACATGGTTCTGAAGGCGTTCGTTGAGAAGGGTGCTATGGCTGTCCGCCGCTGCAAGAAGGAGGACCTTCGCCGCATTGCCAAGGCTACTGGCGCTACCCTTGTTAGCACCCTGTCCGACTTGAACGGTGACGAGAAGTTCGAGGCATCATACCTTGGTCACGCCGAGGAGGTCTCTCAAGAGCGCATCTCCGATGATGAGTGCATTCTCGTCAAGGGCACCAAGGTTCACACTTCTGCCTCGATTATCCTGCGCGGCCCCAACGAGTTCAGCTTGGACGAGATGGAGCGCTCTGTTCACGACTCGCTCTGCGCCATTAAGCGCACTCTGGAGAGTGGCAGCATCGTGCCTGGTGGCGGTGCTGTGGAAACCGCACTGCACATCTACTTGGAGGAGTTTGCTGTCACAGTGGTATGTTGCATCTGGCTTTCGGTCTTCCATATTATCGATTCTAACTTTTCCTTAGGGCTCCCGCGAGCAGCTTGCCATTGGCGAGTTCGCCCAGTCTCTGCTGATTATCCCGAAGACCCTGGCTGTCAACGCTGCCAAGGACTCATCCGAGCTTGTCGCTCAGCTCCGTGTCCGCCACGCCCTGTCACAGCGTGTGCAGGATGGCGATGCCAACGAGGAGGAGAAGGCTATTGCCAAGAAGAAGACGTACCGTAACTACGGATTGGATTTGACGAAGGGACGCGTTCACGACACTCTGAAGGCTGGTGTTCTGGAGCCCAGCATGAGCAAGATCAAGCAGTTGAAGAGTGCTGTCGAGGCTTGCATTGCCATCATGCGTATTGACACGATGATCAAGCTGGACCCCGAGCAGAAGCAGGATGATGGCCACGGCCACTAAATGTGCTGTTATGTTTTTGCTATCCCCAAGTTCTTAAAAATCACAGTAATTGGATGTTACATAGAAATGAAAAAGCAGTAGATGGGGCAACCCCCTGCTGCAACTGCATATGTATGAACAAAATTGATCAAATGGGATATCTACTGTAAAATATAGATGAAAAAGAAATTCTAGGCATGGCAATTACTGCCGCCTCTCGGCCATCAGTCGCCGATACTCCTCCACAATGTTCTTTCTCTCGCTGGCCAATTCCTCCCGACGTCTCAGACTACCCACGGCGTTCGGCACATTGGCAACATCGACTCTCGCACCACCGCGAACCTTGAAGATCTCCCTCGGCTTCGTCAATTGCGGTGGCGCCGGCGCGACTTCAAACGGATTGGCCTGTCTCTCCTTATCCCGCTTCTTCAGCTTCGCCCACGGGTCCGGGTCATCATCACCACTGTCCTCGGCACCATTGGCCTTCTTTTTCTTCTTGAGGACCTTCTTCTTAGCTTTGCCGCCCCGAGCCTCGGCCTCCCACTCCTTCAGAATCTCAAGCTGCTCTTCCATCTCGGCTTCACGCTCCTCGCGCTCAGCCTGCTCCCGCTCCTTGATCTTGGCATCCTCCTCACGCCAGCCCGCTTGTAGTCGTCGCAGATGCTTCTCGTGCTTGGTCATCTTATGGTCGCGGACCTTGGGCGCACCCGAGTTATTAGACTTTGTCATCGCAGAGAGCGGGAGTTCACGGTCGACACGCGCAGCAAAATCTGCCAGCCTCTCTCCAGGCATAATCTTGGGCATCGCTTTCTTGGCTTCCTTGTCCTCGGTGGGTTCGGTCTTTTGAGGCTTAGCCTGCGCGGGCTTCTTTGACGAATCGTCTGGGGTATCTGCGGCTTCTCGCTTCCGCTTTTTGTTGTCTTGCTTCTTCTTCTCTCCGGTCTCCAGTCCCGATGGGCGCTTCCCCGTGGCAGTGTATTGCATCAACCGCTGGAACGCCTTGGGGGTGTCGTTATCGGAAGCATTCTTGCGTCGGGAAGTCGCAGGGCCCTTGGGAGGCTTTCCTTTGGTCTCCTGCTGTGGCTGTGGCTTCTTTCCAGGCCCGGGCTTAGGCTTGGATTGCTGTTCGCGGGCCGGTAGTGCTTTTGCGATCACCGATGGCGGGAGGTCGAAGTGGCTAGACAGGGAGCGATATGTTAGATTAGGTCGATAATTGGGTAGGTTTGATCAGATATTAGACGTACGAGTCATCCCTCTCACGTCTTTTGTGCTTGTGAGGCATTTTGAGGTGTTGATGGTGTCCAACTGTTGAAGAGCGGAGTGTTCAGCGGAACTTTTTTTTCGGGGCGATCGAGTTTATCAGCCAATCAGTGTCTTATCGCATCCGCTCCCGGGAACTATATATTCTCCTCTACCTACACGGTTTCCCACCCGCTTGACCTTTCACTTTGGGCTCTCGTCCCCTTGATCAAAATGCATACCTTTAGCAATGTATCCTCTTGTATGCTTCAAGACATGAGACGTGACGGTGAGCATAATTGGGGCTGCTTCCTCTACCGCACCTGTTACTACGACGATGATGCACGATGGGAGAGTTTAGAACGTATATAACTAGCTAGAAGGACTCGGTAATCTTGAGCTAACAGAAACACACTTCCTTCATTAAACAAGATTCACAATTATAGGCGTCAAACTGGTGTGGAGAAATTTGTACTATTCCTATTTCGGGAAAAGCAAAGGAATAAAGCGGCAGTGTGACGAATAGGAGACTCGGTTGGGAAGTACCGCTAAATACCACACTAAAAACGAACTGCTGAGGACCAATTAATTCGGCCTAACCCTGTTCTTACTAACTATCCAGAAATATTTTGAAACATTGAGATTGATCTGTATATTAGATATAACGAAGCAAAAGTCCAATAAAAAACCCCCGGAAGATCTGAGGTACTCGCAGGGGTAATCGTGTTTGACCCAGTACCTCTCCCAACTTGGGCTTAACTATGGGTGATTGGGCCGGAATGATATCTTTACGTTAGGTATCTTGATGTGTTCGTGCAAGTACAGACTCGGCAAATGTCCCCACTTTGTCCCTCTTTTTCAGCTTGTTGGGCACACAGCTCACCCTTGCTCTTCCTATAGCCATCGAGTTTCTGGATGAGCTGGTCCTGATTTGAATGGAACTATCACGACTCGCTTAGTTCAAAGACAAACACAAGGCCAGCCAGCCCGCCTTGCTATGTCTCCTGCAAGAATGATTGTTGATATAGAGTTAACTGAGGAACTGCAGGTAACCACGTCACGAACTCCCACAGGAAATGGGGCGCGCGCTAGTGTTCAGCCAGCCTTCTCCAGATTTGACACAGGTAGTTCAGAGTGAGGATTAGCGTTAGGAAATGGCATCTCCTGGGCCATCGGATTTGCCAACTAAGCGAGCTCTCAGCTACCGGGTCATCATAACCGATTGGATGTCATATCACTGACCGCAAGACAACCTGTATATAGCGCAGGGTAAATCCGCCGCGAGCGAGTTTTATCATGTTCGTTCTTTAGAGACTCTCGCATCAATAACTTCATCTTTCCCAAATCTGTCTACATATCACACCGTCTTTCCTACAAAGTTCGTGCCGAACCTACCTAGAAGACATGAAGAGAGTTTATACTCATACGTTTTATCACAGATGACCATCACGCTTCTGATCGAGAACAATTACGGAGGGTCGCTCCAAGCCGTCGAAAAAACCGTCTGGTACTCGGAGGCTGGTGGTGAATGGAGCGGAGATGGCAATGAGCATATCCTTACGCTGGGGTCGTGGCGGGGCTCTGGTCTCATCCGATTCAAAGAGAATAACGGGCATTACTTCAGTGTTGTTGTGGGAATCGGGTATGCTCAAAAGCCGTGGTGTGATGTCCAGGTGAACCTCGCAAACACCGACACTGGAGTAAAGCTTCACCCGGAATACTACGGTGGTAGACTGGGAAGTGAGAGCCATCGAGAGATTACGCGCACCACTTCAAGCGGGAGGACGGTGAAGCTCACCTACAACGGGGGTCAGGCTGTTCTTGAGTACTCATGAAGAATGTAATTAGAACTTTTTATAGTAATCAATTGCCGGCGATGCAATATTGATTTGATATTGCGAAGTCACTTGTTTCTTTCAGTCATTGTGAGCCTGGGACAGGATACTTCTACATCGAGGATGTTGAATACGTCTTGACCGGCTACGTGTCAAGGCTAATTAGAGGTACAGAGGTCCATTCAGCGTGTGAAGGGAAGATTCGCTGGATCAGTGGCAATCGATAATAGGATATGTTAACTAAAAGGAAAAATAAGGTGTATAGGGCTCGAGCCAGAGTGTCGTGTTTATTGAGCCTGTTTACCCAGGCACTCATTTCTAGACGAGCTTATTAAGTAAACCGGGATAGGTGCTGAGGGTGTGGATAATCTTAACTGTATTCTGCGTCCACTGACTGCTAGTATGATAATTTCCTACTATAGATCCCCGGTACCGTCTACCTATAACATGGCTTAGCAGGCTTTATATCCCTTAAAGCTCGTGCGTATGATCATTATCTAATATACGAGGATACCGGGAAATACTAAAGAGAGATGAGATCTCTTGATAATAGTGTTTCAAATAGTGATTCATTAGAACCAACACGAGAACCAACAGGTAACCCCGAGAGATGCAGTAAATGTAAACGGGTATGCCGCGCTAGAAAAAGAAATGCCCTCCCGAGCGCCAGAAGAATATGCCCACGCCAAGAACAACACCATAAACAAACACCAGCAGTATGCATAAAAAACGTAATAAGGTTGTGAAGACTTCAAAAATCATTCGTCTTCATCATCATAGGAATCTGTCGTGGCAGCCCATCCGCACTGCCAGTCTCGACCATCCTTTTGGCCCTGGGTTCGAAGCTCACGAGCTTCGGGCCCTTCGCGCCAGCATCGGGCGAGGTAGTCATCGCCAACGGTAATCAGCTCCCCATTGACCGTCCAGGAAAGGCCGGTGACTTCCTTCTGGTGCCCCTCGACGAGAGGCGTGCCAGATTCGTAGATCGGGATAGTATCTTCGAGTCTTCCAGACAGACCCATACCGGAATTGGTGCGACGGAGACCGGATCGAGTTGTAAAGAGAGAGGTTCGGGTAGGGGGCAGATCATTTGAATAGGTCTTCACAGGCGACTGCAGGAATCGCTCATCGGTAGGAAATAGAATCGGACAGTGATCGCTGCTACCAACTGCCAACATCTCTGCACGGTCATCGGAGGCTTTGCGCACCGCGAGCTTAACGTAGAAAGTGGAAACTTGAAGTCGCGAGTGGCGGAATCCATAAAGGGGACCCAATCCTTCTTTGTCAGAGCCACCCGATCGTCGGGGATGAGCATGGTTGAGGGAGAGCTCAGGTGCGTGCCCAAGCACCAAGTGGGAGGTCGAGTATGTGTACACGGTTCCATCTCGACAAAGGGTGTATAGCCTTGCACCATCCCCACCGAAGGCCATCGATGTTAGGCCAAATCGCCGATACTTGATGTGACTGTCGGGCTCGCGTGTGGTGGACAACGGAAGAACGGGTCGGCCACGGCGGTTATTATGCGCTGTCCGTAAATCCCAAAGTCGGACGCTGGCGCTAGCCTCGGATGCCGTGACGAACAGATTTTCCTGACCAGGGGGAAGAAAAGCCAGTGAAGTGACGGTAATATCAGTTCGACCGAATGGAGGAGCTTCTGATTTATCCAGAGCAGGCTTTTGCGGTGTACTGTATGCGTGGGCGCCGTGAATGGTATTGAGAACATGAGGATACGTCATCTTGGGAGCTGCTGAAGCATTGGAGGATTCCGTTTCGGACTCTAGTGAGCAGCGAACCTGCAGTGATGGGCGCTCAAATCCCTTGCATCGAAGGTCCCAAATATTCACATTTCCGTCACGGCTGCATGTTGCGAGAACCTTGTTGTTAGAAGCGGGTTGGAACTGGACTCGCTTCACCGAGGACACATGGTTCTGCAAACAGTGGATGGGTCGCTGAGTAGTCATGTCGATAATCAAGGAGGTCTGATCTCCAGAGGCGGTGGCCAGTAGTAGGTCATCGGAGGAGAATTCGAGATCCATGATCGAATTCATATGCGGGCGGAAACCTAGATATGCGCTAGAGAATCCTCGCTCGTCCTCTTTGGAGGAATCTAACAGACGAATACCGCCCTCTTCATCGCCAACGGCAACTAGTGAATTTGCTTTTGGTAGTCAGCACCTGGCGCAATCGCTCCACAAGGGTGCGCTCCAAACTTACTGTTGCAGGAAGCATTGCAAAAGGGAAGTGCTAATTGTCCATCATTGGCATAGCTCGTACATGAATGACGGTCTTCTGGTCGCGAGTGAAAGTCGGATGTAAGATCTTGCCACCCTATAGACATGTTAGATTGGAATTCTCGGAGCCTCGATTAGTCAAAACAAACCAGCCCCTGCAGTCGATCGGATAGTCAGCCTGTTCGCACGCGAACCCTCAAGAGTTCGCATGAAGAATGAACCAGAGGTTTGCAATACGCGGGATCGGCTGATTGGAGAAACTGGACGGCGTTTGGGAGGACTAGTCGGCACTGTTTGGGTGTTGCGGCCCCTCGCGATCACAGCGGTCACATCGATATCTCGAACGACGGCTCTTTCATCTCCCACGGGAGACCGCACACGGACTTTCTTCAATGGAGAAGATTGCAACGGGGATGCCGCCGAAGAGAACGAGTGCTTCCTCTTTCTGCTTGGAGTGCGAGGGAAATCTTCCGGCAGACCATGGTTAGGGCTTTGCGCACCGCCGGTCTTCGATGATCTGGTAAAAGCGGGACCGAGGCGATTGACAGCTGGCGAGGTCAGCGCCCGGAGGGCCTGACGGCTTGTCTTCACGTTGCTAGCATTATTTCCGCTGTTCAATAGGGATCGTGGGGTAAAAAAGCGTCGGAAGGATCGAGGCGTGACCGTAGGCGGCTTTCTCTGTCGGCGCCCACCACCCGCTTCGGATGCGACAGAAGGTGGGGAGGAAGGTATCTCTTGGGACGAGTGAGGAAAGATAGGCTCTGATCGGGGTGGTTCAGGAAGACCAGAAAAACGGTCCATTGTGTGCTCGATCAACCCAAAGAGAGGAGAGGGCCTGTGGCGGGATACATTGGGTGTGAAAAGATTCGGCCCAAGGGGGTAAGATGGGAGGAGCGGGTCTGGTCGTGTTGCGCGCATCGGACGTGACGCGGAGCGTGTGGTTCGGGTATTTGAGTATTTGACACCTGAATTCAGGCGCCAAGGCCAAATGTACGTGACGAAATCGCATTATTGTAGGCCGAGATTGATTGTAGTCTACTAAACTCAATGATCCTATTGTTCTAACTGTATTGATTTGAATTATTATTTAGGGCTAGCCTGGGGAGATTGACCAAACAATGGAAATACTTCATGGTAGATTCGAGTATGAAAAGATGCGCTCCCAAAAGGGCAAATATTAGGGCTTAGTAATCTCGAAGGGTCCACAGCCCGGTATTAGTATATCCTGCTAAAATAATTAACGCTCTCAATAATCAAGTAAGTATCATCTGTACTCTATAGGGCATCCCACGTAGGCGTCGCCGCTTTTATAGGGGCGCTCAGAGTCAGACTCACCGAGTAACTTAATGTAATTACAGCCTCAGGCTCGTCAGATTTATCACGTGACTGATCAGTGAGCACTCACTCACTGATGGTCACTGATACTCCCTCGAGTTGTCTATTGAACACCCAGTCTATGTTTGGTCTTTTGATGGCTCTCATTCTCACGATGACCCTCTTTTTGAGGCCCACAAGTTCTATCTGCCATACCAGCGCTAAAGAGAAAGTGTCCTTGGTTTATTGAATAAGAGTCATCTGTGCCCGAACATTGCCGTACAAATTGAAGCTATATCCCCCTCTTTCTAACCCTTTATTATACGGAGGGTGTTCTGTCGATCGGGGGCTGCATGCTTTGCTCGTTTAATTTGTATTATTCCCTGTGTACCCCTACTACTTGCTGCGTTGTCATTTTGCTATTTTGTTGAATAATGGTAGAGGCGTAAGTCGACTACTTCAAATCTGCGATTTTCAGGGATTGAATACTGACGACAAGTAGCTATGTCGGGCAGCCTCTGGACTCCTAGCCAAGGGATTTCTGATACAGCTGTCGCTCAGGCACCTCGTGATAGAATATCTTTGTAGAGGGCGCTCTGGTCTCGACTCGGAGATCATCCTGAAATCAGAGCAACTCTGTGATTATCTCTTGCAGTGGGGAAGCAAGGCAACAGTCGCAGACTCGGCTCCAAGGCTCAATCAGTCGGTTTTACGGTCCTCTGTAAGGCGCATGGAGAGCACTGCCCATTGCTGCCATGAGCATTGATATTGGCGCTCTTGTCTGACAGAAGCTGCGAGACCTCCTAATGAACTTGATAAGAAGCAGCCTGGAGAGCATTGCCGTGACACCCTGAGCATTGGCATTGGAGCCCTTTTATAGTAGTAGCTGTTAATTAGGTATCTTAGAGCGTAACTTGCGGGTTAGTTGTTTTTTTGGACGCTCGCACACTTCTAAATCAGGAAGTTTACCGGGAAGAAGGCTGTATACGGGAGGCTAGTCGCCTACAAAACTTAGCCCGGTCTTCCTTCCTTGTGTAACCAGCCAGATAGACTCCTTACAGATACAGAGTTCCTGTGATAATATGGCAAAGTCCTGCCCATCAACTTCTACCAATATCACATTATCAATGAAATCACCCAAAACTAATCGTAAGACTAATCATGCGATCTTCATGATATAAAACCAACGAGATCAACAATATAACCATGAGATTGATAAATACGATCTTTTATGTACCGACCTCCGGTAATTGTTTTCTCAAAGATATTCTTTATGGCATAAGTACGACTTAGGTCTCCGGCTAATCGCAAGACTTAAAACTGGTGATACCATGACCAGGAATGCGGCGGCGAGATGGTGATTGGTATCAACGGGAATGATAACGCTTTGACTTTCACTGGCGTTGAGAGAACAGGCAAGCCGCAGTGGGTATCATTCTGGTATGAGAATATCGATGATTCCAGTTTCGGTAACAATCCGGGCGGCTCGCCTGATCGCAAGGGCAGTGATTGGGATATCAAACGCATCAGCAGTGTCACTGTCAACGGAGATACTTCTAATGTGCAGTCGCTCTACCAACACGACACGAATAAGGGAACCGTTCTCTCTACTCCCCTTAAGCTGACCCTTAAGAAGGGCAAGAACAACACCATCAAGATTGGCGGATTGTCTAATGGCTTCGGTACCCAGGGAGCCAGTATGGCTAAGATTGTTGTATATCCTTCAGAGTCCTAGTCCATTTAGAGAAATATTGTAATAAGAGAACTTTGCAATTGGATTATGAAGTATTATGGATCAGATCAGGCATTATTAATTTTCTTTCTGTCAATACGATTTTCTCGTCCTCACCTAGATTTGGAGGATTTTTAGGTCACCCGTCGTGTCAAAATGGTCAGTTCAGCTACTTTGAACATGAATGATGTAATTAAATAGAGATGCCTTAATATAGTGTTTGAGGAATTTGATTATATGTAGCATGACCTCTTTATGCCGGACTTGATCAAACCATACATCTTGACAGGGTCCGTGCTCCGTACATACTTGTCCAGACTCGTAGACTCCGTCCAAAAAGGCGGTCCCCACTTAATTCTCACCGCCTCTCATTCTGCCACGGATTATCGGATTTTTCGATTTTTTTTTCTTTGCGATACAACGAGAATCCTCAACCGTGTACGATTCGGTCTCGCCTACCAACAATGGCGCCGATCAAGCGCAAGGGGAATGCCCCCGAAGAAACGGCTACTCGTCAGCCGCAAAAGCGCGCGAAGGTTGGAGCAGAGGACCGCAAAACTGACTCCAAGCCCAAGGATACCGCTCCTAAAGCTTCGGAGCTCTCTGTTCTCCGTGACGATGAGCCGTCTTTCCCCCGTGGTGGCGGCAGCGTTTTGACTCCTTTGGAGCGCAAGCAAATTCAGATCCAGGCCAACAAGGATGTTCTGTTTGAGCAGAAAGGTGCTAAGAAGCCCGTTCGCGAATTTGCCGACGATAACGACGACGACGAAGATGATGAAGATGTGGAGATGGAGGATGCGGACACAGGTGCTACTGCCAAAAAGTCTCGAAAGAAGAAGTCAAAAGGCAAGAAGTCTACCGATAAGGAATCTTCTGAGAAGGAAGGTGTGCGAATTGAGGGCCTCAGCTACAAGGTATGGGCGGCGTTGAAAAAACACTGCAATGAGTTCTCCGGCTGACTATTATAGCGTATTGTACCGGGATCCATGATTCTCGGACAGGTTTCCAGCATCACTGCCCACGACGTTGCTATCTCTCTACCTAACAATCTTGTTGGCTACGTTCCTCTCACTTCCGTTTCGAAGGTCCTGGACGACAAGATCGAGAAACTTCTGAATGAACAAGGAGATGATGACGACGAGGAGGACGACTCTGACGATGAGATTTTCGACCTTAAGGAGCATTTCTATATCGGCCAGTATCTCCGAACATACGTTGTTTCCACCGGTACCGAAGCCACCGAAGCTGGAGGTCGTAGCAAGAAGCGCATTGAGCTGTCCATCGACCCCAGACAAGCCAATACCGGACTCTCAAAATCCGATTTGGTCATGGACTCGGCTGTCCAGGCTGCGGTTGTCAGTGTGGAGGACCATGGTGTGGTTATGGATCTTGGCATCGAAGGATCCGATCTGAAGGGTTTCATGTCGTCCAAGGAAGTCGACCCTCGTGTGGAGTATTCCAGCATCAAGGAAGGCTCAGTCTTCCTCTGCATGGTCACCGGTCATAATGCCAGCGGCAATGTGGTCAAGCTCTCCTCCAAACTTCAGTCTTCCGCCTCGATCAAGCACTCGCACTTCCTCAGCGCCGCGCCAACCATCAACTCCTTCCTTCCCGGTGTTGCCGCTGAGATTCTCTTGACCGAAGTCACCCCGAATGGCATGGCCGGAAAGATCATGGGAATGCTCGACACTGTTGTTGATGTGGTTCAGTCTGGTGCTGACGACGGCAAACTGGACCTGGAGCGCAAGTGGAAGATGGGAGCCAAGATCAAGGGCCGTATTGTCTCCACCTTCCCCAACTCTGAGCCTTTCAAGATTGGTTTCTCGATGCTGGACCACGTTCTCAAGCTTTCCTCTGATAGCCGTGGCCCTGGCTCATCTGATGAGGCACCTGCTGTCTCCGCGATCGTCCCCGAGGTCACAGTTGTCAAGATGGACTCCAGCGGCATGGGTCTGTATGTCCAGATTGGCGAGACCAAGCACATTGGATTCGTGCACATCTCCAGACTTTCAGATGGCAAGGTTGAGTCCATCTCACCCGAGTCGGGTGCTTTTAAGATCGGATCTACTCACGAAGCCCGTGTTGTGGGATACAATATGATCGATAACCTTTACCTTCTCTCCTTCGAGCAGTCGGTCATTGAGCAGCCATTCTTGCGCCTTGAGGATGTCAATGTTGGAGCTATTGTTAAGGGAAAGGTCGAGAAGCTGTTGATCGGTGCCACTGGAATGGACGGTCTCATTGTTAGCCTGGCAGACGGTATCACTGGACTGGTCCCTTCGATGCACTTTGCAGACACTCAACTCCAGTTCCCCGAGAAGAAGTTCCGTGTGGGTCAGAAGATTTCCGCCAGAATTCTTTCTGTGAACCTCGATAAGCGTCAGATTCGTTTGACCCTGAAGAAGAGTCTGTTGAACAGCGAATCCGCTATTTGGAATGACTACAAGGACATCGTGGCTGGTGCCCAGTCTCCCGGTACTATTGTCAACCTTCAGCCTCACGGTGCTGTTGTTCAGTTCTACGGCACCATCCGCGGCTTCCTCCCTGTTTCCGAGATGAGCTCGGCTTATATCAAGGATCCCGCCGAGCACTTCCGCCTGGGCCAGGTTGTCAACGTGCACGCCCTGAGCGTGGATGCCCCCCAGGGCCGACTTGCCGTCTCTTGCAAGGACCCGTCGACCTTTACTGAGAAGTACGGCCAGGCTTTCGAGGATATTCAACCCGGCTTGCTTGTCTCTGCATCTGTCTTTGAGAAGTCTGGTGATGACCTGCTCCTCAAGCTCGAGGATTCCGACCTGGTCGCCCGTCTCGATATTTCGCACATTATCGATGGTTCCCCCTCAAAGCAGAGCTCGACTCTGTCTAAGATTCGTGTTGGCCAGAAGCTGAATGAGCTTTTGGTTCTGGACACCCAGCGCGCTCATCGCCTTATCCGCGTTTCCAGCCGAGCCAGTCTGAAGAAGGCCGCTAAGCAGGGACACATGCCCAGCAAGTTCGAGGATGTCCAGGAGGGTGCCAAGGTGACTGGCTTCGTTCGCAACATTACCCCCGCGGGAATTTTCGTCGAATTCCTAGGTGGCTTGACTGGTCTCGTTCCCAAGCGTCTTATCGATGATGCCAACCTTGATCAGTCCCAGTTCGGAGTCTCGAAGGGATCAAACATTACCGTCCGTGTTCACGAGGTTGACACTGACTTCAAGCGTTTCATTCTGAGCCAGAAGGCTGCCGAGACTACCAGTGCTACTTCTAAGAAGACCAAAGAGCCTGTTCAGACTAACGATACCCTTGCCAACCCCGTGGATGAAGACCTCAAGACCATGTCCGACCTCGCCTTTGGCCGGGTCGTCCAGTGCAAGGTCGTTTCCGTCAAGGCTACTCAAGTCAATGTGCAGCTGGCAGACAACATCCAGGGCCGTATCGACGTCTCCGAGATCTTCGACAAGTGGGAAGACCTCAAGGACCGCAAGCAGCCCCTCCGATTCTTCAAGGCCAAGCAGGTTCTTTCCGCCAGAATTCTCGGTGTCCATGACGCCCGTAACCACAAGTTCCTGCCCATCTCCCACCGTAGCGGCAAGTACCCCGTCTTCGAACTTTCCCTCAAGCCCAGCTTCATCAAGGCTGCTCAACCCGAGCCTCTCAACATGGATCAGGTCAAGGTTGGCACTTCGTGGATGGGCTTTGTCAACAACGTTGCCGACGACTGCCTCTGGATCAACCTCTCCCCCAACGTCCGCGGCAGACTGCGCTTCATGGATGCGTCCGATGATCTGTCTCTCCTGACCGACGTTGAGAAGAACTTCCCTATTGGTTCCGCGCTCAAGGTCCAGGTCACTGCTGTCAACGTTGAGAAGGGTCACCTGGATCTCTCCGCTAAGCAGGGCTTCGACAAGCTCTCCTTCGGAGATGTCTCAGTTGGCATGATCCTGCCTGGCCGCGTGACCAAGATCACTGAGAAGCAGATCATCATGCAGCTTGGCGAGGCTCTCGTCGGTGCTGTCAACTTGATCGACATGGCCGATGATTACTCCAAGGCCAACCCGACTGTCTACCACAAGAACGAGGTCCTGCGTGCGTACGTCATTGCTGTCGACCCAGCCAACAAGAAGATCTCCTTGTCACTCCGTCCCTCCAAGGTTCTGAGCTCATCCCTCCTCGTGCAGGATCGTGAGATCGCCTCCATCAAGGAGATCAAGCCCAATGATGTGATCCGCGGATTCATCAAGCGCATTACTGACGCTGGTCTCTTCGTCGCCGTTGGTCACGATGTTACTGCCTACGTTCGTGTCTCTGACCTGTCCGACTCTTACCTCAAGGAGTGGAAGGACTCTTTCCAGGCCGATCAACTGGTCAAGGGTCGCGTCACCCTGGTTGATGCGGAGCAGAACAAGCTACAGATGAGCTTGAAGGACTCTGTTCTCGACCCCAACTTCAAGGCCCCGATTACTCTTCGGGATCTCAAGGTCGGTCAGATTGTGACCGGTAAGGTCCGCAAGGTCGAAGAATTTGGTGCCTTCATTGTCATCGATCGCTCTGCCAACGTTAGCGGTCTCTGCCACCGCAGCGAGATGGCCGAGAAGCGCGTTGAGGATGCACGCACCTTGTACGACGAGGGCGATGCTGTCAAGGCCAAGATTGTCAAGATTGACTCTAAGGCTGGCAAGATCTCGTTCTCATTGAAGGCCTCGCACTTCAAGGACGAGGCGGACGAGGAGAGTGAGGACGAGGACATGGAAGATGATGCTGGTGGTGTCGAGCTCGGCGAAGACGAGAGTGCTGATGAGGACGACGATGACGTCTCCATGGGCGGCGTTGAAGTCGAGGCTGACAGCGAAGAGGAGGAAGAGGATAGTGACGATGACGAGTCCATGAATGGCGCTTCCAAGGACGGTGGTCTCGGCGCCAGCGGCTTCGACTGGAGCGGCAACGTTCAAGATGAGGAAGCCGGTGCTGCCGACTCGGACAGCGACGAGGATGAAGATCAGAAGAAGAAAAAGAAGAAGAAGAGCAAGCCCGAGATCCAGGTCGACCGCACCGGCGATCTAGATGCCCACGGCCCTCAGACTGTTGCTGATTACGAGCGTCTGCTGCTGGGTGAGCCTGACTCTTCGCTGTTGTGGCTCCAGTACATGGCCTTCCAGCTCGAGTTGGGTGAGGTGGAGAAGGCCCGGACTATTGCCGAGCGTGCTCTCCGCACTATCACCATGGGCCAGGATTCCGAGAAGCTGAACATCTGGATTGCTCTTCTGAACTTGGAGAACACCTACGGAAACGATGATAGCCTCGAGGAAGTGTTCAAGCGGGCTTGTCAGTACAATGAGCCTCAGGAGATGTACGAGCGGATGATCAGCATCTACATCCAGTCTGGCAAGACCGAGGTATGTGATAGACCCGTTGTATCCTTAAGATTTTATATGCCACATATACTAACCCCATCTCTAGAAAGCGGATGAGCTCTTCCAGACCGCCATGAAGAAGAAGATCTCTACCCAGTCGCCGAAGTTCTTCCTGAACTACGCCAGCTTCCTCTTCGATACGATGGCTGCTCCCGATCGTGCTCGGGCCCTGCTGTCCCGTGCGCTGCAGTCGCTCCCGGCACACACTCACGTCGAGACGACCTCCAAGTTCGGCCAGCTCGAGTTCCGGTCTGCCAATGGTGACATCGAGCGTGGTCGCACCGTCTTCGAAGGCCTGCTGTCCTCGTTCCCTAAGCGCATCGACCTGTGGAACGTGCTGATCGATCTGGAGATGAAGGCCGGTGATGCCGAGCAGGTTCGCCGCTTGTTCGAGCGGGTGCTTGGACTGCAGCACAAGAAGGGCTCCGTCACCGTGGACCCCAGCAAGAAGGTCAAGCCCAAGCAGGCCCGCTTCCTGTTCAAGAAGTGGCTGGCCTTTGAGGAGAAGCTAGCAGCGGCCGAGGGTGGAGATGAGAAGATGGTGGAGGAGACCAAGGCACGGGCGGCGGCCTATGTCAAGTCTCTGCAGGAGGAGGAGGAGTAGAGCAACAGGCACAGTTTGCTCTAGCTCTTTGGTCTGGACATGTTGAAAATTGGTTTTGATTTTTGTTTAAAAAAAGATCGGGTCTGTGTTTGTCACATTATCTTCGTGAAACCCGTGGGTGTTTGGGACCATTGCATTCGTTGTATATAAGCGCTATGACGCAGATCATCCATGAATTCCTTATTTTTCCGTTTATCCTTTACCCAGTGATGTAGCGCATGATGGCCAGCCCTCCGGTAGCATATCACGCCACAGAACAGCCCTCATTGGCTGAATGGGAAGATGCCGAATACAATGAGAGCCAAATCCATCGGCCGTCACGTGCTATAGCATAACCTTCACTTTCAAACCTGATTTTGTTGGTCGGAACCCCCTTAACGGCCACACTCGATGGGCTGTGTCTGTTCAAACTTCTACTCAACGTTCTACACGATCGATTCTATTGCATTCTTACCACCAATTAAAGGCCGCTGGGTCTTATTGAACTCTTATCATGTCGAGTCCCCCGACCCTCATCTTCATACCAGGTTCCTGGCATAGACCGATATGCTATGACCCGATCATTAAGCTCCTGGAGCCCAAGTTCAAATGTGTCGCAGTGCCTCTTCCATCAACAGCACATAACCCCGAAGCGAGTTTCAAAGATGATCTAGATGTAGCCCGAGATGCGATTTCCGCCGAGACAAGTAACGGACGCAATGTCGTTGTTATTGCGCACTCGTATGGCGGCATGGTGGGCAACAGCGCCATTAAAGGCTTTACAAAGCCAAAAGACGCTGATGACAGTCCATCAGGATACGTCATTGGTCTAATTCTCATAGCCTCTGGCTTCACCTTGACTGGGCTGTCCTTTATGGATCCTTTCTTCGGTCGTCCGCCGCCGGCCTGGCGTGTGAATAACGAAACTGGCTACGCCGAGCTCGTTACTTCCCCACGGGAACTGTTCTACCACGATCTGCCAGAGGACGAGGCCGAATACTGGATCTCCCAACTCACGAGTCAGAGTCTCAAGGCGTTGTTTGAAGGCGGCGAGTACACTTACGCCGGGTGGAAAGATGTGCCGTCTTGGTATATCGGGACTACGGAGGATCGGGGAATACCAGTGCTGGCTCAGCGGATGACAGTTGGTATGGCGAGAGAAATGGGGGCTAGTGTGGAGCATCGAGAGCTGCAAACGAGCCATTCGCCTTTTCTGAGTCAACCTGTGTTAACGGTGGAGATCATTTTAGAGGCCGTCGATGCATTTAGCCACTCAAGGAGCAACAAGCCTAAGCTGGCCGTTGATGGAGGTGATAAGGCGATAGTTGTGCCGGGTACTGCCCTCTTTAAACCTTTGACATGGTTCAAATTTGGACTGCCGATGGCCTTTGGCCGTGTGTTGGGCAGATGTATTCTTTTATTTAACTGGGGAAGAAGGACGTGGAGAGCCACGTTCCATTGATTGGCATCACAGTATTTCGCGGCCTTGGCTATTTCTGATGCCGTGAATCTATTTCTGCTGCGCAATACATGGATAATCATCTTACACCGCCAGAGGTCGATGTTTCTTACTTGGATTTAGGTTTTAACCTAGTTAGGAACAGTACATAAGCATATAGCTTACTCATGTTTCGTGGTTTTACGTTATTACCATATATAATCCTGGAACAAGTCTTCCGGCATGAAAGGCAATCCCGGCCAGCGCTGTAATCTAAGGTTGTAGATGCGGAGATCCTCTCGGGATCTTAGCAACGAGGTGGATCCTTGTACATCTTAGCTGTAGTGGACGGAGCCTATCTGAGCTCTGGGTGTCTGCATGCGGACCCATGCGGTGTTCCTCGTGGACAGAAGTATAGGAAGTATAGCTGGAAGTATACTCCGCAGTGAACCAAGTATCAAGCTACAGTTCTCTTTCGAAGATACCAACCAACAACTGAGTGTCCCTGCGTGGCGTCCATCGGGTGATCTCGTTGGTCTGCCAGCCCAAAGAAAGTGCGGTCGTTCCACCCAAACCATCCAATGGGTGACCGCAGCAGCACGGCATGGCTGGAACGTTTGGACGCAAAATAGCCTTTGCCTCTGACCTTTTTTTCTCCTGCGGCACTTTGCAGCGAGGGCACTGGCCATTCGTAGGGTTGGGATAGTGAATTGGTGACTCTTAGCTTGCCGATAGAGGGGGAGGGGTTCAACCACGGGCGCACTCTCACAAAAATCCCCCCATCATCGATTAGTCGTCGAGGCCCAATATATACAATACCTTCCACCTCCCCTCCCCATCATGAATCTTTACTTCGTCGTGTCTTTCTCCAACTCTTTTACTTCCCCTCTCCACCCTGCGGATTACAGAGACCCCTCGCGCCCGCAATGGGCGTCTCTTACCAGCCGTTGGACATGACCGGTCCCAGAGTCACTTCCGAATGTCTACTCGAAGTGCCTTTCGAGGTCTACACCGACTCACCTCCATCTATTACCGTGTCGAATGCTCACATTAACGCCGAGAGAGTTGCTAAGGGCAGCGCTACCGTGCGAGTTGAAGCGATCCCCCGCGCAAAGGTGGGGCCGAGCATTGGGAAATGGCGCCAGACCCTGGCGGCCTTCATTCGGTCCAGATTTACGACTCGCCTGGCTGATCGTGACGACGCTTTACCGCTGCTTTCGGAGGACCAGCCGCTGCAGAGGAAGAAGCGGTCTTGTCGGTCGAGTGTGGAGCGCTGGTTGGTGCGGGGATTCTTGGGGGTTTTCGTCATGCTGTAAGTCCGCCTTTACTGTACTACGGGGAGCTAAGGGAGGTGTGGGGGGAATTTCGGATCGATGGAATCTACGAATCAATTATGGATGGTCGAGGCCAAATCATCAAATTAACGCCGAAACTGACAATTCGACCCTAGAGGGATTATCCAGTTCATCTCCATTGCCTGCGGAATCGGCCTGATCTTCTTCCCGGACGAATATGACCGCGCGGCACGCTTGTTGATGCAAACCAGCGAACAGACCAACACCGACGACATCGCCCACTGGCCGACCGATTTCACGCGCGAAGTGATTCCCGTCGGCTGCCACTCCCATAATGATTACTGGCGCCGGGTGCCTCTCTTCTCTGCCCTACAGGCAGGCTGCATCGGAGTCGAGGCCGATGTCTGGCTCTTCGACGAGGAACTGTACGTCGGCCACACACGATCTGCGCTGACGAAGCGCCGTACCCTGCAATCCTTGTACGTCGACCCACTCGTGCGCATTCTCGATCGTCAGAACCCGGTTACTCCCTTCCAGCGCACGATCGATACACCCCCGCACGGGGTCTTCGATACAGACCCCGGCCAGAGCCTGGTCTTGCTGATTGATTTCAAAACGGATGGCGCGGCAACTTGGCCCGCCGTGGTGAAAGAATTGGCACCGTTGAGAGACCGGGGATATCTCACTTTCTTTAATGGGCGCGATATCATCCCCGGACCCGTGACGGTCGTCGGAACGGGGAACACGCCATTCGACCTACTCACCGCAAACACGACCTACCGGGATATCTTTTTCGACGCCCCACTCGACAAGCTGATCGATGATCTGGGCCTGGACCGCGGCCAGGTCGGTGCGTACGTCTCGCCCGTGAAACGGTCCACGGGAATGGGCCAGGGTCTATCCGGGATGCCGGACAGTATCAACGCGCACACTTTCAACGTCACCAACAGCTACTACGCCTCCGTCGACTTCAAAAAGGCTGTCGGATTCCCCTGGCCCTTCCATTTCACGGAGACCCAGATGGAGGCTATCCGGCGGCAGGTCCGGATTGCGCATAGCCATGGACTGAAAGTGCGATACTGGGGGTTACCGAGTTGGCCGCTCAGTTTGCGGAATCATATTTGGCGGATCCTCGTGCAGGAGGGGGTTGATATGCTCAATGTGGATGACTTGGTTGCTGCGACGAAGGGGGACTGGAAGATCCGAATCTTCGATTGGTGGTTCTAGCCATGATGAGGTTGTTCTGGCGGCGTTATGGGGGAAACGAGATCTCGATTTACGTACATGAGGAACGGGACTGGCGTTTAGGGTTGGGGCTTTTTTTGATGACATTTTTTAAGATACCTTATGCGCCCTGATAGATTTTACATTTTCTTTTCTCTCATCTCTCTTTCGTTTCATTCTAATGGATGTATGGTGGTTACATTTACAGATGGCTTATTTCAGAAAGGTGTTGAAAATCAAGATTCATTGAAGCAGTCAAGCTTTTTTGTGGCTGCGATGCAGGTTGTGGATAAAGTAGTCCCTAGTTTATTTGGCTGAGCCAGGATAGTCCTGGTCTGCCCTTGCTATATGGCAATGCTGAATGACCAAACGATGATGCAAATGCTAAAAAAACAAGTACAATGAATATCACAAAGACAGACCCTGATATAGGCCCTGGAGATGTACATGCCACGGGGGCCCATTGGGGGGTATCATCAAACGGAGCGTACTGGAAACTCCAGACGCAGATGGAGGTGATGGGATTTGTTGAAACAGACGCAAAGGATGTTGAAGAGATAAACAAAATCAAAGGCAGAAGAGGGCTTCCTCGCCGAATTCACGGATAATACTGCCTTCTTCGCGAAGGAGACCTCCGAGCCAGTCCTTGGCTGTCTCGAAGTCCTTGGCGCCGAACTTGACCAGGACGAAGCCGGCGCGCACGCGAGCTGCCGTCCAAGTGACATCGCCCTTGGTACTGAGCGACGGCTCGGGTGCCGTCGATGGTGCCGATGAGGCCCAATTCCGGCTGCCAATCCGGGGCTGGGAGTTGAACTGGTGCATGAGGTATGTGCCGAGGCTGTCGAACACCGGGCCTGATAGGATCAGCGTACCCACAACTCCGTGTGGGCGCGTGCGTTCCTGAATGACGTTCAAAGGCACCAGGCCGGCCTGCGGCGGTGGCGTGTCAGCGCGGCCAGAGTGGCTATTTAGCCCACTCTCGCCGGCTTCCTCGTCAGAGTCCTCATCTGAAATATCGAGGTCCTCGGTCTCATCATCCAAGATGACCGAGTCACGCAGCAGGAGCCGGCTCTTGCCCGTCTTCTCATCGGTAGCCCAGACTTCGTTACGGCCGCGCCAGAAGCGGAAGTTCCAGTTTTCTCCGCGTGACGTCCGACCTTGCGTAACCCAGTCCAGAACACACAGACTGCTGCGCTCGTCACCCTTGGCGGCGGCATCGACAGTGAATGTTTGTACTTGCGCGTAGCGACTGTTCTTGAAGGGGACGGATGGGTCGGGCAAGTAGCACAGCGCTGCTTGGCGACCGATTCGTACGTCCAGAGATTGTTGACTCATGTCGGCGAGGTGTTGGTTGGCCGGCATTTGCTTGCGATGGCCCTTGATCAATTTGATGCCATTGGCGTTGCCGGGCTCGGTCTTGAAGATTTTGGTGCTCCCTTGCGGCGTGGTCACTACCATGCGAGTCCTCGGCTCGAGTTTGATCGACACCTCGATATGATCACCCGGTAGTAGACCACCACCGTAAGTAAGAAGGTAAAGGTGGACCGGCCTTGAAGGACATGAGCTCGACAATGCAGAGGACTCTGGAGTCGGGATGAAGCCCGGGGCTCTGGGGACGAGCTTCAATGGGTATTTGTAGGTGAGAGTGGTGAGGGTGGGGTTATTAGGTGGGAGGAGGGAGAGGACGACGGTGCCTTGGCCCGGCTTCGCGATGGAAGACTCGAAGGGCGAGCGGATGGGCATTGCTGGTTGTCGCATGATGCCGGTTGTGTGTAAGTTGTTGTGTTTTTGGTGAGGTAACTTGGGGAGAAGAAATGGGGAGTCAAGAGGAAAAGAGGTGGGTCGGGTGAAGGCTTATCAAGCTAGAGAGGGGCGGAAGGGGAGAATGAGCCAAGCCAGCATGAAATGATGCAAAAATGTTAGGAGGGAATGGTGGCTGTGACGCTCTGTAGCATGATGCGCATGTGCAGAAACTGAGTTTTTTTTTCCTTTCTTACCCCGGACTCTTGGGATCTCGGGGGTTTTAAGTGGAATATAATTTTAGCCCTGGCCACGCTGGGGCGATGATGGCATTCATTAGTCAATGGCGCATCCACTCTTGGGAGGTTACCGTCGGTGGTCGTGGCCCAGTCGTTGGCTCCAGCAATTCCATGGACAAGCACGATGTGTCAAGCGGGGGTCTCTCATGACTTGTTGGCTCCGTCAGACCGAGCGAAGTGGACTGAATTGCTGCGCCGAGAGGAGTTTTTATGACACACAAGATCCATGGATCTTCGCACTAGCAAATGCCCAGTAAGTCTCGGCCAAGTCGGCGGCTTTGGACTTGCCCTATGGGGACCCCCGCAAGCCGCTCAAGAGGTGCGCGTGACCGAGATTATGTCATCTTGCCAGGGGCGGCGCATTCGGTTAGGTAGTTAACGTGGTCGGTAAGCGAGTGGGCCATGTAAGCGAGCGGGCCACCCAACCAGAATTTCTACACATTTATCGATATATATCAACCACAACTCCTTTATATTCATTATTCTCTATTTGGACAAGAATTCTTCTTATGCCCTATTTCACTGCAATTGCCGCATTTAGGTAAGGCCCTCGGCTTCGGTGCCGGTATACCCTGCGCTGGTGGCACTCGTGGACCTGGTATGGCCTGAAAAAAGGCATTATGAGCTTCCTCGAGCTCCATTGCTTCTCGTACACTCAGACCGTCATCGTGAGCTATCCATCTAGTTGTACGAGCACGCTTTTTCTTCTGTGTAGTATTTTCCTCGCGTAGCTGCTTATTTTCTTGCTCGAGAAAGATACCGTTTTGCATCGCGATTTGACAGCCTTTAATAAGCTGGTTTAGCGCGGCCTGCGACGGCGATGGGGGACTTTTCGAGCGTCGTTTTAGGAAAGCTTTAATTGAAGCTGCTTGCTTATAAAGCTCGTCCACGTTCGCGGGCGTATGGGGGCAAAAAGCGCTTGCTTGACTACCGCGGCTTGAGGGCGGCGTAGGCGTCCGAAGTTGAATATTGAGCTTTGATAGCACTGGTTCGGGATTAAAAGGTACTAATCCTGCTGCTCGGAAGCTATTTTGAATCGTCTCTGATTTAAATGCGTCGGTACGAGCTTGTGGATAAGCTGTGAGGAAATCAAGCTTGTCGATATGGCTAATCCCGAGCCGCATTTTCTGGCCGACTAAACCACCGTATGCGCGCTTTAAAACCGCGAAACATCCGATATCAAGCGGTTGTAAAAGATGCGAGGAATGTGCTGGCATACAGATCGGTATAATATCGTGATCCGCGCAGATTTGGTCGAATTCTGCTGTTAGATGGCTTCCGTGTCCGTCGAGGACTAAAAGTCGATATCTTCCGCGCGTACGACTATTTGTCGACGGAATAAATTGCTTTTGAAGCCAGCGAAGGCCTATTTCGTTAGACGTCCACCCGTTCGTACTAACTTCGAAGCGCCAGTCGTACGGAAGATCTTTGAACCAGGCTTGATTATATTGCTTGCCCTTAAAAATAAGCGTCGGTGGAAGTGCCCACCCCGAAGCGTTAATTGACTCGATTGCGGTTACCCACTCGCGGTTCCCTGGCTGTAAAACCGATCTCCGACCGTAGTATTCCGCTCGAGTAATCACTTTTTGATGCGCACAAAGGCCCATCGCGAACCCAGTCTCGTCAAAGTTATAGATATCGTCCGCGAGGATACCGTATTGCTGAATCGTGGTTTGTACGAGGTTAAACCACTCTTGAATAATCTTTGGATCCTCTTGTAGTGCTCGCTGGTAGTCGTATCGTCGTGAAAAGCGAGATTTAAGGTCCGGATGGCGTTGGATAAAGTTATATGCCCATTTTTCGCCGACGGTTTGGATAGAGATAGAACCACGCTTCGCGAGTAGCAAATTAGCCATTTCTCGTACATGAGCTTGTGTAGGGGCTGCTCCACGTCGATCTAGCGATAGTATCCGCTGCTGAAGTAGTTCCTCTTCGATCTCTGTTAATTTATGAGAATTTGCGCGAGATTCAGCACGGTTTGTAGTACCGCGTAGTCGACGCGTGAGCGTATTCCGGGGAACTTGAAACTGGTCTGCAGCCTTCCGAATAGAGCCGATTTCCTTGTTGTTTATAGCTTGTACAGCTAATAAGATGCGGCCCTCTTGTTGCATAGCATCCTGGCTTAACCCGGCGCGAATTGGAGGCATGGTGGTGGATAGAAGATAGATGAACGTGGTAGGACGCGAAAAAGCGGTTAGGTGGCCCGCTCGCTTACATGGCCCACTCGCTTACCGACCACGTTAACTTCGATGGCCTGAATTTTAGGGTGTTAATAATCCCAACATAGTCAGTTGATTCCTCAGGCCATAGTATAAGGCGGTAAGGCATTCAGGCTGCAAGGCTTCCAGGCCATCAACCACGAGGTTACCAGGCGCTCAGGCACCCAGTCGCGTCGCACCTCCTTAACGTTTCCTCGAGACCCCCGCTCTTTTCGTCTATCGGGTTTCTTTATTTTTCCCCGGACGATCGATTCACGCACCCACTCTGTCATGCAGTAAATCTGGCTGCCGCGACTCTAGATCTTTCCCAACATCAACCAGAGTCCCCCTTTTACCGGTGTGCCCATTCGCCGGATCCCGTTTGCTGCCGTTGCACGGCGCGTTCCACGGAGCGCGTTTGGTCCTAACGTACGTGTATCCCCAACTGTCCATTGTTCCCTCAGCTCTCCATTCTGGCTGACACAATTCTTCTTGAATCCTTGCAGTCACTTGAATCTCAATCCTACACACGAATACACACAGCCTCTTCATCATGGACGTGGACAACCCAAGTAGCCCGGCGTCCACGCCCGCTGAAGACCGACGCAAGTCGGGTCGCATGACGCGACGACCCGAAGTCTTTTCGCAGAGCAACCACTCCATCCTCGAGGCTAATGCCAGCGGAAAGCGCAAGCGTGGCGACGCGCTCGACCAGTCAGACAGTGATGACATATCGGAGTCCGAAAGTGACGATGCGGCCGACGAAGAGGCCGACGAGGAGGAACTGAGAGAGAAGCGACGTGCCGCACGCAAGAAGAACACAAAGAAGGCCCCCGCCAAGAGAGGTACACACGCTGCGAAGAAGCCCAAGGTCGCGAGCAATGGCGTGGGAAGACAGCTGGCTTTTCGACCCGCAACAAACGGTCGACTGCCAACGTCGCGTCCCCGCAAGATCAAAGTTCGACCCAGCCTGGCATCTGGTGAACGGGGATTATATGGTAAGTACTCCTAACCAATGCACGCAGAAGTTCCGTTTAACCATTATGTACAGCGGATGTTTTCGGAAAGAGCAACAATGCGGAGACGGCTGCTGCCCAGTGGCTGAGTCAATATCAAAATAACCCCGCAGTGGCCATGCGTGACTTGGTCAATTTTATTCTTCGATGCACTGGAGATGACTTGGAAATCACCGAGGAGCAGGTGGTAGAGGTGGACCATGCGCCTGAACACATTACTGAGCTACAAGCAGTCTACATTGCGCACAAGATCCCTGATTATCCCCTCGTTTCCAAAGAGAAAAAATACCGCGCATTCCAACCCGTTCTCGAGGAGTTCTTCGCCGCATTGATCCAAACCTTCCACCACTCCTCGATTCTATACACGGATGTGGCTCTGCTTGAGAATATCCAAATTTGGATCTCATGTATCTCCACAGCTGGCATTCGGCCATTCCGACATACGGCAACTATCATCTCACTAGCCATGACCACTGCATTGTGCGGAATCGCACGCGAAGTAACGACTACGGTAACGACCTCCCGCAAACAGCTCGAGAGCGAGAAGAAGAAGAAGACCGTCAACAAGGGCCGAGTGGAAGCAATTCAAACAGCCATCTCCGAAGGTGAAACAAAGATTGAGCGTCTGGACGAGTTCTTGCAAGATGGATTCGATACTGTCTTCGTCCACCGCTATCGGGATGTCGATGGCGTTATTCGGGGCGAATGCCTGGCGTCTCTTGGCAGATGGATCGCGACATACCGAGAGATGTTCTTCGAGGGCCAGTACTTGCGATATCTAGGATGGACCCTGGCTGACGTGGTCGCGCACACCCGGCTGGTAGTTCTGACGCAATTGCTTCCTCTCTATGAGAACAAGGATAACATTGCCGTTCTTCACTCCTTTACGGATCGATTCCGTCCGCGCATTGTGGAGATTGCTGCGCAGGATGCCGACATCAATGTCCGCGTGGCTGCAATTGAGCTGCTGAACCACCTTCGTGAGGGAGGATTACTCGAACCTGACGATATTGATGCCATCGGTAAATTGGTCTTCGACATCGACCCACGGATCCGGAAGACCGCAGGTCGCTTCTTCGTTGCCAATGTCCAGGACGCATTTGAAGCGTCGACTGAGGAGGTCGCGGATGAGATGAATGATATATTTGCCGACGACGATGACGAGGATGAGTTCGAGACGCCCAAGCGCTCGTGGATCAAATTCAAGAATCTGGTGGATATCTTCCAAGCTTATGATGATCATGGCGAGGAGGAGGCTCCTGAACAGACCACAGCTCGCGGTGTGCTTTCTGGAGCACCTGCAGATTCACGATTCGTTCTGGCGACCGAGGCTATTTACCCACACATGGAGGAACTCTCTCAATGGCAGTCCCTGGCTGGTTATCTGCTGTATGACCACTCGCAGATTGAGGATGAGCCGGCGGAAGATGATACTGCTGGAGTTTTGCGGACATTGTACAAGATGAATGAAGGACAGGAATCAATTCTTCTTGAGATTCTATGTGCCGCAGTCAAGCTCCGTGTGCTTGATGTTGCAAAGTCCGATATCGACAAGCGCGGACGCAAGGTCAAGGCGCTAACTGCCAAGATCCCTGAACTGCAGGAGGAAATTTCTCATGGTCTTGCTCAAATCATTCCTCAGCTTCTGAACAAATTCGGATCCGCACCCGAAGCTGCATCTGCCGTTCTGCGTCTGGAGCATCTAGTGGACTTGGATACCATTCAAGACCTCCAGAAGGATGCCACCGCCTACACATCGTTGCTGAACGACATCAACAAGCAGTTCCTGACTCACTCGGACCAAGATGTCTTAGCCGAGGCCAGCGTTGCTTTCCTGCATGCCAAGAGCTCTGAGGAAATGCGTGAGGCTCTTGAGGGTAAAGTTCAGGAGTTGTGGGACGATATGATTGACACACTCGGTGCGCTGTCTCGCAAAAAGGATGTCCAGGCAGCCGCCTACATTTCAGATCCCACCATCACCGACCTTGCCAACACTGTTACACGAATTTTCAACCTCTCTACAATTACCGACTGCACAACTATCCTGGAGACGGTACCAAAGGTTCACTCAAAATCCAAGAAAGACACACTCGAGGCTCCATTCAATACACTCATCCGTTTGACCAAGCGTGGCATTCGCAAGCCGGACGAGGATGAGGATATTGCCAAAGCCGAGACTGAAGTGGTAGCCAACAGCATCCGGACATTGCTTTTCTATTTCATGTGGAAGGTGCAGGCTCTCGCAGCTTCATTGAAGGAGGGGAAAGCGACTTTCACTACGTCATACTTCGAATCTCTCACGAAGAGCCGTGAGACCTTTGCCTCTGCCCTTCTTCCGATTATGCAGAAGCGTGCTGGCCTCGACGATCTCCGATTCACAGCTGTCACAACGTATCTAGACCTTCATACTCTCTTCGGCACTCTTCGCAACATCGGTCAGGGCGTCGGGAATGATGAGGATGTTCTCTTCCAAGCTCAGAGCCTTGTGCACGAGATTCCGTCAGAGGGTCAATCTATCGTCGCCAAGATCCAAAGCAGTGCCGAGCGCATCTTCGCTAAAAAGTCCAACCGCGACCTTGAACCCGCAGAGGATGATGCGCCTGCCTCTGAGGACGAACCGGAGGATGACGATGAAGCGAGTGACTCTGATGATGAGGCCGTTGCCAACGAGCGTCTACGGAGCAGCATGATTGCGGAGCAGCGTCTCTGTGAGTTGACGGGTAAACTCGTTCTAGCCATCATCGGCCGCGTGATTGATGCCTCTGGGTCGAAGCGCGGCTCCCTTAAGAAACGACTCTTGCATAACAAGCACGGCCTCGGCCAAAATTACCGCGAGGTCCTGTCGTACCTTGAGGAGCGTAAGCCTCGCAGCGCGCCACGCAGCAAGGGCAAACAGTCTGCGAAGCCTGATGCCGGTGAAGGCGAGGCACTTACGACCAAGAAGGACTTCAAGTCTGCTGAACGCATCGACGAGGATGAGGACGAGGACGAGGAGGATGGGGACGACGCTGATCCAGTGGAGGAAGATGACGAGGAGGATTTGCGTACTCGCGGTCTCGTCGATGAAGATATTGACCGTGAGAATGAAGAGAATGAAGAGCTTGATGACCCAGCACCCGAATCGGATGAGGATGAGGTGATGGGCGATTAAGTCTGCTGTCTGCAGAGCTTTTAAGTGATTCATATGATGAGGAATTTTGCTTTTGATAAGCCTTTGATATTATTCCACTGTCTCCTTTCTACCTTTTTTTGTCCTTTCTAATATTCCCGATGTTTAAATTACATTCCTCCCTGTACCACATATGCACGAGATTTTGATTCTTATTTGCGAATGATGGCCATCTTTCGCATACAATGTATATGTATTAAGATTGACTGCGTCTCCGCCATGAATTGATTCTGCTATGATTCGGCACAACCAAATGTATCATTCTTACAAGTGCAACCTAGTTTTATGGTTTAGCATGGAGCAGATACTCAAATACGACAGGTTGGGCGAGTAACTTGATCGTGTAACTGGAGGAATAGTTGGTATCTGGTAGTTGGGGATGGTGAACTGCAAATATACTGAGCAGCTTCGATCTATTATAAGCATGCTGAGGGTGGTTAGCTACCTAATAACGTATGCATGTACAGTAGTAAAATTTGAAACAAGAGATGGAAATAAAGGCCTAGCTGGATAAGCCTGCTCTTTTTCTAAAGATCCTTCGGAATGTCTTTCTAATCATTTTTCCGGAGAACCCTAGTAACATCTCAAGGCTTATCTTTGAAAGTATGAGTGATCAGATGATTTGAAACCTAGTATGGTCCCCGGGGGGGGGGGGGGGGGGGTGGGTTTCTAATTGAGCCTAGCATCGTAGCCGTACCAGTGTCACGAAAACGCCTGGTTCTATAGTGCTAAAGTGGCGAGGTACATACCGAAGAGTCACAGCACAGCTAATCAGCCAGTCAGCTTGCCCTAGGGAATCCGTTTTTGCTTCAGTGCTTGTATATAGTCTGCCCAATTGTGTACTCATAGTAGTACATCAATATACAAAAACAGTAGCCAGGACTTATTCGAAACTATCCTTTATCCGTTATTAAACCAGTGCCAGACGCTATTAAGTCGATGTTCCCAATATCTAGGCTAATTTTTGGAGTTAATGGGATATAACCCTTAAGCTCACAAAGGCCTCCCTATATGTATTAACCTTGCACTAGGCTTTCCAGATTTTTTATAATTCAGAACCTTAGAAATAAGGCTATCAACCTCGGTGTAGAACGTATCTAAACATACGTGATGAGTTCCTTCCTAAGAAGGAAGGAACAAGCCACCTGACTTTATACCTTTCCCTTCTACCCTTTTGTCCCCTCTTCTACTCCTTGCTATCCTCCTCTCCATAACCCTCTCTCTTCTTCACTTCGTCAACCTCGTCATATTCATTATATTCATTAAATTTATCGACTCTTTCGACTCTTGCGACTTTGAATCCCTCTAAACCTCCAGGCCTTCTTGATCGCGCCCCCTGCATCGAATCCCGGACGAGGCCTTAGTACCTTGCTCACTTCCTTAACTGCCCACTATTATCGAGGTTAACAAGCTTCGGCCACTGAAATCGCCGGGCAGTTTCTCGGTGTACTATCGCTTAATCTGACGTGAATACTTCTCGTGATTTGGCCCACCTCTAGACAAGGCCGGAGTACCTCGCCTTGCACACCATCTCTCTCGAAAATTGTGCTAGTTCTTACTCAGCCTCGCTCCGAAGTCCAAATCCCAGTTTCGCGGAGTCTCTTCTCTGCCTTCCGATTCGATTTCACCTCGGACACCACCTCTTCTGCAGAGATCAATACCTTGCAAGCTGCCCCTTCCCTAGGTGCTTTCTTAGAAAGGCCTTTTTCAACTGTCATTGGTCAGCCTCTCAGTACTAAGGCTTTTCGGTATCTTCCTTTTTTCTTGGACTAGTATCTGGAAAATGCTCACCGGGGTCTTTAGGTTGTGACCAGCTTCAAATTTTGAACAACGTCAGGATGTGACTATGTGAACGAGACGGACCAGCGTCGAGACCAATAGCGTTGAGACGGCCCAGTGTCAGGATGTGACCGGGGTTAACAAGATCGACCAGCGTCGAGACCGATAGCGTCAAGATGAACCTACGTGGAGATGGCCTAGTGTTAGGATGTGACCTAGGTTATCGAGAATGACTTTTGTTGAGTCTGACCTTTGTCCAGTCTGGCCTAGTGTCAGGGCGTGACATAGGTTATCAAGACAGATCAACGCTGAGACCACTAGCGCCGAGGCGGGCCAGTGTCAGGATGTGATCTGGGTTAACAAGGCGGACCAGCGTCAAGATGGACCAGCGTCAAATTGTGGTTAGTGTCAGGATGTGACCAGTGTCAGTACCAGGGTTGTCGAGACGGCCCAGCGTTAGGATGTGACCTGGGTTGTCAAGATAGACTAGTGTCGAGTCCAGAGTGGATTGACCTGTGCACCATCGATCTGTCCGCTTTATCGGATGGTCATTACCGATTTCCATTGCAAAAGCCTGGCAATTATCGCTGCGGGGGCTGCCTTCCTGTTGATGGACTATTCGACCGTTGCTCCTTTTTGTGCTGTTGGGCTTTATAACCATGTCCGTATGTGGTTGTCTTCGGCCATGTGCAATCCGCTGTCTATTTGAGTGCAGTCTCTATGACCGGCCGCTTTTCTGTGTCTGAGCGACTCTTTGTTCGCTGATTTATATACTCCGGCCCTTCAGGTTTGAGCTCTCTTTCGTTCTAGGGCTGGTTGCTATCTTCTGTGGTTTCGTTTGCATCATCTTGTCTGTTCTCCTCGCCGTCTCTATTCTTTCAAATGGCCGTAGGTCTTCTCAATCTTCTAATGCGGGCCGATGCTGACTTCTTGGGAGAATCTTTACATTGTTAGGACCTCGCATCATATATACGCCTTTTCGATACACTTGTGCCGATGATACACCACGACTTATTTTCAGTCCTTATTGCGGCCCACCTGAAAGACCACCCTGTCCAAAAACTTCGAAATTCAAATGCAATGGCAGAAACCAAGGCCAACTATAGGGAGGATCGAACAATCGGCTCTACACACGAAACCTCTCAGCGATGCGACCCTCGAGACGCCAACAGGCTATTCTGACGAGAGTGTGAGATAATTTTTTGATGTTGGCTCGGACGCAGCATAAAAAGGCCAGCAACTTCCGCATACAATGTATACGTATTAGGATTGCCTGCGTCTCTGCAATGAATTGATTCCGCTAGAATTCGACGCCGTGGGCATGACATCATGGCTACGAGTATGTGACACGCTGTAATCTCCCCTTGAAGTAAAATTCAACAGATCACCATCTTCAAATATCCTCACTGGTATTTCGTTCAAGCAAACATGCCATATGCGTATCAAAGCGAGGGCGTCGTGTCAGAAGAAGAAGGTGCAGGGACGTTTCTCGCGCACCTTCCCTCTGACACGCCAGTTTACCGTTACGATAAACAGTGCGTTCTAGAGAGCCTTTACCCTCCTTTCTCGGTCGAGGATCGTTTCGTCGTCTTGAAACACTTCCCGGCAGGCAGACTAGCCAAACACGAGGAAGAATTGCCAGGACGCTGTGACTATTCGCCTTCACTTCAGATTCTCATCCTCACAATGCCCGGTCAACCACACGAAGAAGCGGCGTCTAGTTTCGAGGTGATACTTATAATACTCGCACGAGAGATGAAAGTCTACGGACGGATTGCGAATTGCGGAGCGACTCGTGTGGATAACCCCGATCGAAGCAAGCAGGCAGACCGATCCTGGAAACCGGCCTGTCAAGAGAGAGAATTCCCAACGGTGGCATTGGAAGTTGGGTTTTCAGAGACTACTGCAAAAATCGAAAAGGATATTGCTTGGTGGATCAATGGATCAAAAGGCGAAGTCAGAATGGGGATCACCATCGACATCAAGAGAAGATCTCACAACATTGAAATCAAATCCTGGACTCCAGCATTCGAACCACCACTACGCGATATCCATATCACAACCGGTGGTCGCCAGGTTATTAACAGACGTATCACAAATCCCCCGCCACCTCGAATGGTCCAGCGAATTCTCCTGCGGAGAGGGAGAGATGGCTCTAGCCCTACGATTGAAGGAGACTCCTTAACCATACCATTCCGTGCACTGCTGTTGGATGCGCCAGGAGAGGGCGAGGGTGATTTCGTGTTGACAGTGGATATGCTGCAGAATTTAGCAGAACGTATCTGGGATTCGATTGACGACGCTGAAGCCATCAAAGCCCAAGAAGAAGAATGAGAAGAAGAAGGAGAAGAAGAAGGAGAAGAAGAAGGAGAAGAAGAAGGAGAAGAAGAAGGAGAAGAAGAAGGAGAAGAAGAAGGAGAAGAAGAAGGAGAAGAAGAAGGAGAAGAAGAAGGAGAAGAAGAAGGAGAAGAAGAAGGAGAAGAAGAAGGAGAAGAAGAAGGAGAAGAAGAAGGAGAAGAAGAAGGAGAAGAAGAAGGAGAAGAAGAAGGAGAAGAAGAAGGAGAAGAAGAAGAAGAAGGAGAAGAATCGCCGTGCGCGATCAATGCAGCAGCGTTAGGATGTGACATAGGTTATCAAGGTAGACCAGTGAAAGAAACGCCGCACATCACTTCGGGTTGTTCAAGGGAATCCAAACACGTATAAACTTTTTCAAACAGAGCTTACGGGATCATCATATTCCCCAAGAAAATGAAGCCGTTTCAAATACCCTGGAAATTATCAAACGGTCTCCATGATAGGAAGACGGTATTTAAGAATAAGGTTGATGGGGTCGGCCTCGTCTACTTTCCAATCACCCGGTCATTACGAGAATGACATCATATTACAAAGAGAACAAGGGTTCATTTCTCGATAAAAATGACGAAGCCAGTAGGATTGCGCAAGACGCAAATATTTTTCAAGTAGCCTGCAAAGAGATTCTACAGAACATGGCGTGATCGTTGAACCATACTTCAGACAGGGTCAACCATAGCATCGACAGAGACATCCAACTCTGGGAAATGCAAGTAACAGCATCTACCGAAGAGAGATCCGCCAGTATCAACGCCCCTGCTGGTGCTCACAAGGGAAAACCATGACCTAAGAAGGGAACACCGGATCTTCGAAAAAGGAAGTGACATTAACATAAAGAGGAAATAACCGATCCTGCAAACAAAATACGCCAGTGTATGAGGATGCTAAAAGGGGGGGGAGGGTTTACATGACGGTGAATCTTTATCGTGAATCAAAATGGGGGCCAGAGAAATTGAGAAGGGGGATGGGATGATCATGACAGAGGAAGGCAACAAGGGGATGGAGAGAGATGGACAAAGCCCCCGTCATTGCTATAGAACCATGAGGGCATGGAAATAGAGCAGACCGGGAAAGGGACCGAGACGGGCAAAGGGGGTTGCCTGAGCAAAAGACTCTGCGACTCAGCAGGATCGGGCTAACGAAATGATGCCCAAGCCTAAACAACGGAGATGCAGAAAAGGTAGCACCAGGTGTGAATAGAGCAACAAGCGTAGCGAAGCATGCTTAGTAGCGGGTGGCCCCGACTCCATTTACATATCCATGGAGTCAGCACCGCTGGCGAAGTTGAATCCGCCGGCAGGCTGCTGCTGGCCAGTGCCGAGAGTGAAGCCAGCCTGGGTCTGCTGAGGAGCCAGCTCGTCGATCTCACCAGCGGCCTCATCCTCATCAGAGAAGTACTTCTCGATGATGTTGTAAGCCTTCATGTAGATCTCCTCGTTGGCGTTGTTCTGGCAGTCGTGGATCTTCTCCATACCACCAGCCTCCTCAATGAAGAGAGCGTAGCGGTTAACACGGGCGTCACCCTGGCCAGCCTCCTTGTCCATCTCACCGACCTTCAGGATGTTCTCCAGGCCGTCCAGAGCAACCTGGATGATCTTGTTGTCGGGGCAAGCAAGCAGATCGCAAAGGGGCTTGATACAGCCTTGAGAAACAAGGTAGCGGATCTGCTCAGGCTTCTGGAGACCACCAGAGGTGGCGTTGGAGATCGCCCAGCAAGCCTCCTTGCGGGTCTTGAAATCACCGTTGGCCAAAAGGTTGATAAGAGGGGCAATGATGCCAGCGTCGATGACGGCCTGAATCTGACTGGAGTTTCCGGCGGTGATGTTGGAAATAGTCCAACAAGCCTCCTTGCGAATGCCGTCCTTGGTAGAGCTCAGAAGAGAAAGCAAAGCGGGGAGGGAGCCGCAGTTGATGATGACCTGGGTCTGAACATCGTCACCGGTGACTATGGAAGAAAACAATTAGCACCATCGTCAGACTGTCTATGAATGTTTGGGGTATGAATTACCAATGTTGCCAACCGAGCGGAGGGCGGGAGTCTGAACGGAGGTGGAGGCATGCATGAGAAGCTCCACGAGGCGACGAGGAATACCCGCCTCGATGACAGCCTGGATCTTGTCGTTGCTACCGTCGGAGAGGTCTACTCTGAGAGTTAGCGAAGCGTCACACCATAGAGAGACTTCAGGGGATTCATACAAGAGATGGCCCAGCAAGCATCGATCAGCACCTCATCATCCAGCATGTAGATAAGCTTGGCGAGCACGGGCAGAGCGGGGGCAATCTAAAATGACCGTTAATAACAATACCTCAAGCTCATACAGTTGCGCTGGAGTAGCGCCGCAGGGTGAACATACAGTGTTCCAGTCAGGCTGGGGGGTCTTGCCACGGCAGAAGTTGCTAAGGGTCCAGGTCGCGTTGCGGAGCATGCTCAGCTTACGGCCATCGTTGATGAGGTTTAGGAGAGGGCGCAGGGCACCAGCACCCAAAACGAAATCGCGGCAGTGAGGACTGTCACCAGCAATGTTTCCGAGGGCCCAAACGGCCTGCTCGCGAACATCGGGCTCCGGGCTAGCGAGGAGCTCGACGAAGATGGGCACAGCACCAGCGGAGATCACAACCTATAGCATTATTAGCGAAGAGCTCTCGAAGGAAATTTGGATGTCACGTACTTGAGTCTGAGTAGCACTACCGCTAGCAATGTTTGTGAGGGCCCAGGCAGCTTCGAATTGGACCAGAGTGTGGGGGGAACGGAGGAACTCGACGAATCCTAGATGGCCAATCAGTATTCTGCTACCGAGTCCAAGGAAAAGAAAAGGCAGGTAGACTTACGGCTAACGACACCGGTCTCAATAACACGCTCGATGGGAGGGTTGCGCTCCTTGGAGAGCAGCTTGCGGAAACGAGTGGTGGAGCTGCGCAATGTTAGAAATTTTTGGTCCAACGAAAAAAGCTCTGTTTGATTGTGTACCTGATCTGGTCCTCGACGGAATCGGAGAAGACACCCTTCACCATCAAAGGGAGCTCGACGTTAAGCTAAAGAATCCATAATGTTAGCTTTTCTGGTGTCTAGTATAGTGGGGTCGTGTGTAGTAATGGCCCGGGTTGGAGGGGTTGGCCCCATAGCAACCGGGCGGTGAAAAAAATTCCCATGTTGATGATCGCATCATACAAACAAAGGGAGTATTGAGTGAGGGCGACCGTTGAGGAGCAGGAGATGAGAACCCGGTTCTGATACCCGGGAAGCAAAGAAGCCTCCAACGTAGAATCCAAGCTCTTGGGGAGGGCAGGGGAGTGGAAAAAGAAAAATAGAACAACTAGAACTCACCTCGCTCTCGATAGCACTGGCCTCATCATCACTCTCAGTGGCGGCAGCCATGCTACCACCAACGCCAATTCCTCCATCGCGAGTCACAATACCACGTCGCTTAGCAAGACCCTCCTCGCGCTTCTGCTTGCGAATCTCGATTTGCTGCTCCTCGCGGCGGCGACGGAGCTCATCGGGGCGGAACTGGTTCTTGGCCTTGAACTGCGTCCGGCGATGCTCGGGAATATAGCGTTCCGCCATGTTGTGTGTTGTAGAAAGGAGAAAGCGCGCCTCTGGGTTTCAGTGTTGAAAGAGGTGATGGGAATGGGCGCGCAGGCGATGGGGGGTAGGGAGGGTGAGGAAGAAGAGATGTGGGGGGGGAGAGGAAGAGGAAGAGAAAGGATTCGTGTGGGAAGGAGGGGGAGTCATGTGACGACGCTCCCCGATATTTACTCTACACGCGTTTGTCTCGACAGCCATCATTCATTTTGGCTCAGAATTGATTACAAACTCTTATTGACTGTCGATTATTTGCAGGGATTCTCCTTCCTATACCTAATTTGACTTTTTGTTCAGGGCCAAAGAGGGTTGTCCGACTGGGTCAGAATGGACATCCACTGAGAAGCTGCACCATACAGGAAGTGGCTGCACATGTTCCTGGAACAAAGACCTTCATTGGCAATTGCAAACTTCTGAAACACCTATTATTGACAATAAACTGTCTCATAGGTTGAATCCAGCTCAATCATGGCATCTTCAGAGCTGGTGGACATCACCACCGCCTGCTCTCGTCGGGGCTATATGACCACTGTTGGTGTTGTGGTGGACGTTTTGCCACCCTATCGCACCAAAGGATCGTCGGTCTGTGTCACCTTTACTCTCAAAGACTGTCACTTTGATCAACCATCCTGGTATGGAGGTCTTAAAGTCAAATACTTCAACGACAGCATGGACGCTCTTCCCAATGCCCAGCTTAATGATGTAGTTCTACTACGGAAGATCCGAGTAGGTGTCCCCTTCCCGAGCATGGTTCAAATTTCCCATGCAAAGCATAAACTAATTCGGTTTTTTCCAGATCAACATGTTAAATGACAAGCCGACTGGGGTTGCTTCTCAGCATGACCTTGTCCAGTGGGCAATTTTCCGGTCAGATCCAGATCCCAGCTCTAGTCCGTCTATTACAACGGGCCCCGTTCCTTTCCCACTCAAGTCACTGGAGAAGCAAGCGGCCCTGATGCTGCTGGATAAGATTGCGACGGACACACCAGCCGCCATGGCACAGACAGTGCGGCGAGAAGCTATCCCACAGCAGCCTTCTCAGGTGGTTCAAGCGTCTATGACAACTCCAAACATGAAGAGCGGACTACCACTTGAGCTGATTCAAGACGTGCAACCGGGGCCTTTTGTCCAAATACTCGGTCAAGTAGTCAAAATCAAGACCTACGATAGCGAGAAATGCATCATGTACCTCACCGATTACACGTCAAATGAAAATTTGGTTGACATCAAGAAGGATGACGAAGACGATATGGGCGCTGAAGGAGATACCTACGATTATCTGTCTCGAAGAAAGAAGAATTGGCCTGGCCCTTGGGGTAAGTTGACCATACAAGTCACCCTATGGGAACCGCACGCTGCCTTCGCTCGGACGCATGTCAAAGACGGCCAACTTGTGCTTCTGACATACACGCGTATCAAATCCGGGTATAATGGTGGCATAGAGGCTGCTGTACACCAAGATAAACGGTATCCAAATAAGATCCACCTGAAACTCATTTCTAATGACGATGATCGCGCTCAACACCTCATGGAACGACGAAAGGAATACTGGAAAATCCACGGAAAGCCCAGCGAGGATCCAAAGAAAGCTTCCAGAAAGAAGAAGAACGAGCAGAAGAAAAATGAAGAGAAACTGGAGGAAGGCCAAAAGCCGCTGTCATTGCCTGCACCTCGAAAGAATACCAACCAACACAGTAAGTTGACTTGTCGTTCAATGCCCGAATCAAGGTATTCTAATTGCTAATCTCTTTCGCACTAGTCAAAACACGATCCTACGAGGTCCCTTCCCGCTCTATAGATTACATTCTATCAGGGGAATCACACATCAATACAATTCCCGGGGGCATCAGCTACCAACTGCCTTTTCAAAATGTCTGCTATCGTACCCCGGTCCGCGTGGTTGATTTCTTCCCGCCGAAATTGGTAGACTTCGCAGTACAGGTACCAATGGAGTCCATATTGGCGGGTGATGATGGTCAAGCTCCGACTAGTACTCCACGTATGGAATGGGAATGGCGATTTTGCCTTTTGGTTGAGGGGACGGAGCCTTTGAGGTCAAAAGATGAAGCCCGTGCGCAGATGAAGCTTTTTGTTACGGGCGCAGAAGCCGTACATCTACTGAGCCTTGATCCTACCAAGTAAGCAATCGGCGCTCAGATCGCTGGATAACTCTTAACAGCTACTAACTACTCTTGCAGTCTCCGTCTCCATTCGACTAGGTTAGGAGAGCTCAGAGAAAAATTGTTCATTCTCTGGGGTGACCTTGAAGAGCTCAAGCAACAACATGCCACGACTACTGGTACGGACGAATACTGGGCTCCGGCTAAAACATCCTCGTTGCCTTTCATGTGCTGCATCAAAGAATATGGTGTACCGTGTACTCATCCACTCGATCCCGATGATATGGCACTGGATGAGCCCGGCAGGCCGGGCTGCACTTTCCCCGACTGCTTCGGATGGGAAAGACGTTTCACCATGTTTGGGACGACAATTCATTCATGACTACCAGTACTTCTGCATACACTGGCGTAATGGGAGGCGAGTTTTTAGGCTGTACATTGAGCAATTGCCACCATCGTGACATCTTACATGAAAGATACCGTAGAGTTTCCACAATAAAAATGTATCAGATTCTTGGCATAATAGTAATACAGTTCCAATTAGCACCAGTGCATTATGAGATAAACCAATGCTCCAGTACCCATATGAACCTTCGGAACATCCTAACCTAAACCTCATCCTGCAAGGAATATTGATGAATTCGCAGTGGTGATTCAAGTTCATCCGGTACGCCAGTCCTGATAACTCCAAAGAAAGAAAGAAAGAAAACAAAAAAATGGAAATCTCATCGACCTGGAGAGACGTTCGGCAATTCTGTGTGAAAAACGCCCCAAAAGAATGAATCAAGAAAGGACGCCATTTGTAGGTCCGAGAGAACGCCCACGCCCAAATAATGATAATTCCGGGTGAAGACAATAGGTAATATTTGTTCTGTGTCACAATCGTTCTGCAGGGACACGCATGCATAACCCACACCATGATTTGTAAAAAATTGAACCCTTGTAGTGTGCCCTTGCAGAGACACCGCATTTGATAAGGAAACACCCCCTGAAAACCATGTCCAAACGGGTGGCATATTGTATTTGCCAAAGATCTGTCGAATGGGCACAGAAAAAGTTCATTCGTAAGAATACGAAACAACGGTCATGCAGCTACCACTTAGATTTTGGTCACCTTAACGATGTTGGTGTCAATACCGTGAGCAACTGGTTCAAATCGGCAGCTGTCGCCACGGAAGCAGGTCTTTTTCCCAGGTTCGCTCTGGGGGCAACGATGACCGTAGATACACTCGGGATCATCACACTCCAGGCCAAATCGGCAGGGAGTCATGCGAGCGATGGCAGTCAAGATGTGAAGTTCTTGCTTAGTCAACTTGCGGTCATGATCATGATAGCAGAACTCTTCATTAGGGCACTCGCCCAGCAGGAAGTGGTAATTGCACAGCTTCAGCTTCTTCAGGCGATTCAAATCATCACGAGGAATGCTCTTGAAGTCAAGTCGATCCACACGTTGCCCGTACTTATTGCGCTCCACCGTCTTCGGAGCCGTTGAGCCAGTTGGTTTAGGGCGAACCACTTGCTGGAACTCAGGAGGATTGTCGATTGGATTCGGAGTCGAAACTGACAAAGCGACACCCGAGGCACTTGTATTGGTGGATGTCCGGGACAAGGCTGGAGGATTTGACAAGTTCGAGAATTGTCGAGAGGGAGAAGGCGTGAGCACAGATCGCGTAGGCAAGGTGCTCTTCCAAGGAGCGGTGGCCCACGCGGGTGCCATTTTGGCAGAGCGGAAGACGTCCGGGAAATTGGCGATGCGATATGAATTCTTCACTACATCCAGCTCCTTTTCAAATGCGACGCCCTCCACAAGCGAGACGCGGCCCGTGAGGTCGTTGTCTTTTGACACATCTTCGAGGAAGAGAGCATATTCAGTATTGGACGGGCAGCCGACGAAGATCTGGTGGCAGTGGCAATTGTATAGGAAGACTTGGAAGGTCTCTGCACGGTGGAGAATAAAAGCAGATTAGACGTGACTTCAGAAGTAATGTAGCGAAGATTGATCCACAAACCTTGAATTTTATTGTGCGCACTGTTCTTCCCAGATCCAACATCCACGATTTCAGAACACGACATGGTCTCGTTGAAGCCTCGAATGAAGTCGTGGATCGCGCCGGGATCTGTAAGAATTCCGTTGCGCGCGCACTGCTCCCCAAAGCCTTTCGCATTCAAGTAGATCTTCATCATTATCTTCGGGGTCGTGACGCTTGGGAGGTTCGACTTCAAATATGAGTGGATCGCAGCGTAGAGCTGGTCTGCGGCGTTGCGACCACCCTCTTCGCCGGCCTGCAAAAATTCATCCTTGAAAATTATACCCTCGCCGTCAAGTAACACGACGACAAAAGGTTCTCGGTCCTGGAATGAACCAGCCACATATCAGCGCATGCTCCTGGGTGTCATCCCGCCACGCGCGCTCACCATAATAGTTTTGATCTGGGATATCTGCTGCATCAACTCCATCTCGTGTAGCTGAATATCCCGATTGAACCGGGTTTCGCGTTCATGATCGAGTTTTTCCTGCGCGAAAGAGGCCTCTAAATCGGTCACTCGTTGAAGGAGATCCTATCGTAGAGCAAAGCTAATTATTAGCTTCTGGTAGTGCGGAAAGAAGGAGGAAGGCGCCTACTTCGATAAGCTGGTTCTTTTGCTGGTCCAGCGTGCCCAGCTGGCGATATCGCTCAAGGTATGGTGATGAAGTCATGGTCGGTGTTTATCAATGTGAGTCCAAGAGATTGGTCTGAAGTGGGTGGTAGAAAGAGGAAAGTCGAGAAAAGGTGAAGATTGGGTGATTGGGTTCTTCAACAAGAGGGAGATAGCGATAAAGTAGGCAGGCGCTTGCGCGACGACACGGCGGTTAACCCTTTCGAGATGAGGTTGTCGCGAAGACTGATAGAGAGTAGTTCTCTTCCGCAAGGTCTTGCAGAAGATGAATGTAACTTACTATGTCTTCGAGTTAATCTCGTTCTTTGTCGTTTCTAAAAAAAAAAAAAATCTGGATCTTCAAAGGGAGAGGACGCGATGCTGAGTCAGCTTCCCCGGTACCGAGTGGACCTCCCGTAGCTAAATTGCAACGTGTGATCACCCCTACTTACCTCTTACCTTCCTCTCGTGTACTCCTCCTCTTTTCCCTCACCTTCGATTCTCCCGCTTTCAAGATGACTCGCTTTGGATTCCTCTCCCTGGCTCTTCTCTCCCTCCAGGCCTTCGTCGGCACCGGCTTCGCTGCTGTAAGTTTGACCTGGATTGCTCGCGAGACTGGTGTCTCAATTGCGAGAGTTCAAATGGTGTGGAGACCCTCAATGGCAATTGACTAACATCAATGTCTTTTTCTCACATAGGATGCCGAGAATGTTGCGGAGACTGAGGCTCTCAGCCTTGCCGTCTCGGCAGAGGCCTCTTTCCCTGCCTCCGAGATCTTCGGTGTGAAGCTCGTCAACGGTCACCCGACCCAGGCGCTGATCGCTTTCACCAACGATGAGTCGAACCCTGTTACCGTCAACTTCGTGGGTGGCAGCCTGTGGAGTCTCGACGAGCAGAGCAAGAATGTTCGCAACCTGACCGCCACCCGTTACGGTGTCGAGATCCCCGCGAACTCGAAGGAGAGCATCAGCTACAGCTTCGCGACCGAGATGCACCCAGTGGATATCCGTCTGAACATCGCGGCCATCATGTCCGACAGCGAGGGCCACTTCTTCACCGTCCAGGCCTTCAATGGCACTGTGAGCGTGGTGGAGCCTGAGACCAGCATCTTCGACCCCCAGATGTAAATGCCACCCGACCCCATCCCATCTCCCGCTTCCGATTTATCTGCGATCAATTGACACTAACCGTGAACCATAGCATCTTCCTCTACTTCTTCCTCCTGGCCTGCTTCGTCGGTGTCGTCTACTTCTTCTACACCGTCTGGATCGCTCCCTACTTCCCCCAGAAGCGCAAGGGTGGCAAGTCCGGCGAGAAGAAGACTCCTGCTAAGCGCGAGATTGTCGAGGAAACTCCCAGCCCCGCTGTCGCCTCTGCCACTACCTACAACGCTGACTGGATCCCCGCCCACCACATCAACCGTCCGGAGGCCCGGAAGGTCAAGGGCAGCAAGTCCAAGGCCCGCGCGTAAACCAACGGTATGCGACCAGGAATCTTTAGTTGATGATGAGGGGGGAATTGGGGACGAGAGAAGCACAAGGCTTGTGTCTGAAATTCTGTCGAGGCTAATCAGCGGCGATGGCCGTGGCGCGCACGCTGAGAACTGCGCTGCGCGCTTTCCGTCTGTCTGTCTACCGCTGTGACGTCGAAGCATGTACATTTACAAATAACACAAAATTGGCCCAGTATAGCTGCCTCCGAAGGTCATTCTTGAAGGACTGCGGAGGGATGATTTACAATTTGAAAACAGGCTGGTCTCTTTCTTGCAGCGGACGTGGTAGTCTGCGCTTGGTGACCCCGTCAGTTAGAGCGTCTTCCATTCTTCGAATTCCTCCTCTAGATGTTTCTTTAGCTCGACAAACCGGTTCCCAAATTGTTCACCACAGCGCCAGCAGACGAAGTCCTGTTTTAGATAGCCTTCCGGCGTTGGTTGCCGCCGCCTATCGTCCGCCGCCAAGGGGAAATCGTCAATGGGCACAAAAAATGGCGTAGAAAAGCTATTGTAGTGCTTTCGGTGTTTCAGCCGCTCGCTATACCGGTCTACCGCAATGACATGGATATGTAGATGGTTCATTGACGGGACTGCATGTACACCGCACATAATCTCCTGCTCCCAATCGCGTCCCGGTGGTAGTTCGTCTGGAGGCGGGTCGGCGTTGAGCGCTGCCCGTCTCGCTTGCTCTTGCGCAGAGTCCTTGCCATATTTCCGTCGCAACTCGCCCGCAGCTAGCTTGCGCAGCTTCTGTGTCTCTGTCTTGACCTTGGCGAGGAACTCGGGGTCCTCGAAGGCCTCGAATGGGTGGAGACGGGTCTTGGTTTGGTCGCATGGGAGGAGGAGCAGGTGAAGTGACGATTTGGGGAACATATCATGGATCGCGACGAAGTCATCATTATGGTATACTACGACGCTGGACGGATATGACTCTGGCTTAGCGATGTATGCGCCCAGTCCATCTCGGGCTCCGGAGAATGCTTTGCGGCCGTGTGGTACGTTGCCTTTGGAGGAGCTGCTAGGCGCGTGTTTCGGCTGCTTGTTTCGGGACGAGAGGAGTTCGGTGACTATGAGAGGTCAAGTTTAGTATCATCGCGTTCGACTTGAGATCAAGCCCTGACTCACAGGCATTTCTCTTCTCCGCTGTTGTAGTCTGCTCCTTTGGAGACTCGATAGCTTTGTTCTGATCTAGATCTTGCTCCATCTCAGGCATGATGGGCGAGTACCAAGGTGAACGATCACATGCACAGCAAAGAAGAAGAAGAAGAAGAGAAATAAAACTCCTCAAGAGACCTTGTCAAAGGCCTAGAAGACGGCTCCTTCTCCGAGACTTACAAGCAGTAGAAAGTCCGACTTCCCAAAAGTCTCCCCGCAATCCGCCCAAAGCGGTTTAGTGCGGGACAAATGACCGAAAAGGCCCAAAAGCTCGCCGCAACGCCTTCTCTCCAGCGCCAGCGACAATGGGCCCCAAGAAGAAAGCCGCCGGTCCCGGTGGCCCCAAGCCCGGCACCAAGCAGGCCAAGGCAGCTGCGGAGAAAGCAGCTGAGAAGAAGCCCGTCGCAGAGGAGCCCAAGAAGCCGACAGTGAAGGAAGTGATTGGCGGCGCATCATGGACAGGCAAGCTGCCCGTCAATATGTTGTCGGAGCATTGTCAAAAACAGAAATGGGAGAAGCCGGAGTATAGCATGGTAATTTAATTCATCTCAATGGCTTTGTGTTGATTGACTATTCTTACATGGGAGCAAGCGCTAATTGAGTGGGAATTGCATCTACAGATTCAAACTCGCGATGGATATGTGTCGGCCGTGACGCTGAAGAAAATAGACGCGAAGACCAAAGAATTGATTATCCTGCCTCCCATGAAACTACCCCCAACGCATAAAGAGTTAGCTGCCCAAGCGACGGCCCTGGAAGCTCGCCATTTTGCCGCAGCCTTCGGCCTTTTCCGAGTATGCAACATGCGCAACCTTCATATGATGATGCCACCAAAATACAAAACCCTGTGGCGAGAAGAGTTTGCGCAAATCAAAACGGCCGAGACAAAAGAGGGCAAGGGTTGGTTATACGAGGCGGATCCATTCCTCGCCAAGCAGGAACGTGAGAGTGCAGCGGCGGACTTGGAAAAGAAGAAAGCAGAGCGTGCAAAAATGCAGGCCAAAGAGAAGGCCTCCGGGCCGGAACTTGGCTTGGGAAGTGGTGATGCCAAGGGGAAGCGGATTTGGTCGCAGGCTCCCAAGGTGGATATGGGTACTCGCATTCGACGCGAGATCGAGGGCCTTTTGCGGCAACATACTGTCTGGAATGTATATGGGGTGAAGATCCCCGAGCAGGAGAAGAGCAGTATCGTCGAGGAGTTCTCCCGCTTGGGCTTCCGCCGCAGCCACGTTGAAGAGGCCGTTGTGGAATGCAAAGACCGCGAAGAAGTCCTGGAGTGGCTGTTGGTTTACGTGCCCGAGGATGACCTGCCTCAATGGAGTTTACCCGAGGGATACTCGGCCGGCGTCAGTCTCGCCGCTGGTGATCTCGCTCGAGAAGCCAAGATCAAGCGCCTGGCCGCCATTGGCTACCCAGCAGATCTATGCTCGCAGGTGCTCGATAGCAAGAGCGGCGATGAACTGGCAGCGGCAGAGTCTCTACAAGGAACTCTTGCACATGGATCCACGTTCACATCCGCCTCGATCCCCGAGGGTGATGCTGGGGCTTGGACGGAAGAACAAGAAACCCTCGAGGCCATCTTTGGCGAGCGCTATGTGCGTGTGTCCCCTCGAGTCTGCGAGATCAAAAGCGAGGCCCCCGAAATTCCCGAGAACACAATATTCCGCTTCCAAGAGCCATCTAATCATTATCCCACGGTGCCTCCGATCATTTCAATCCAAGCAAAGGGGATTCCGGCATATATTCGGCTCAGCGCAATCCGTCAGGCAGTGCAGTACTCTGAGGAAAACTTCTCTGGAGAATCTATGATTTTCAACATCCTGGATTGGCTAGAAGTCAACCTCCCTGCTGTCATGGATAATCCCGGTAAACTCCGCGATATCTCTTCAGTGACTTCGTCTGCCGCGACAGAAACTCGAGACATTCCAGTACGGACTTCGCGTAGACAGCGGAGGGGTATTGATTGGAAGCCCAACTCCCCGCAAAATCAGGCGATCCGTGAAGCGTGGGAGGCCAAGCAAACCACACCGGCGCAAGTTGATATGTGCCGAAAGCGAAAGGCTCTTCCTGCGTGGAATACGCAAGAGGATATTATCTATGCGGTTGACAATTACCAGGTGACTATCATCTCCGGGGAGACTGGTAGCGGTAAGAGTACTCAGTCGGTGCAGTTTGTACTGGATGAAATGATCAGACGTGGACTCGGAGGCGCTGCAAATATCATCTGTACTCAACCACGCCGAATTTCAGCCCTTGGACTTGCAGACCGAGTCAGCGATGAGCGGTGCGCAACTGTAGGCGATGAGGTTGGATACGTGATCCGTGGCGAGTCGAAGGCCAAGCAGGGTGTGACCAAGATCACTTTTGTGACGACCGGTGTCTTGCTACGTCGGATTCAGTCCGGCGGAGATGCAGATGGGAATGTTGCCAGCTCTCTAGCTGATGTCTCGCATGTGGTAGTTGATGAAGTTCACGAGCGAAGTTTGGATACCGACTTCCTCCTCGCTTTGCTTCGTGATGTGCTGCGCCATCGCAAGGACCTGAAAGTCATTCTGATGTCTGCTACCCTCGATGCAAATATCTTCATGGACTACTTTGGTGGCTCAAAATCCGTCGGTCTAGTCAATATCCCCGGGCGTACATTCCCCGTGCAGGACTACTACTTGGACGATGTGATCCGAGACACTGGCTTTGCTCCTGAGTTGAGTGAAAGCTTTGAGGATGAAGATGATGCTCCTCAAGGGGAAGCGTCATTGGGCAAGGCACTACGAAGTGTTGGAATGGGCATCAACTATGATTTGATCGCATCAACCGTTCAATACATTGACGACCAACTAGGCGATGAACCAGGAGGCATCCTGATCTTCTTACCTGGTACTCTGGAGATTGAAAGGTGTTTAAATGCAGTGAAGAGGATTCCCAACGCCCATCCACTCCCCCTCCACGCATCTCTACTTCCAGCTGAGCAGCGCCGAGTCTTCCAAAGCCCTCCCAGAGGCAAGCGCAAGGTCATCGCCGCCACCAACGTTGCTGAAACCTCTATCACTATTGAAGACGTAGTCGCCGTCATCGATACCGGCCGTGTCAAAGAAACCAGCTACGATCCGAAGGACAACATGGTTCGTCTTCAGGAGGTCTGGGCATCCCAGGCAGCCTGCAAACAGCGCCGCGGTCGTGCAGGTCGTGTGCGTGCCGGTATATGCTACAAGTTATACACCCGCAAGGCCGAGTCCAACATGGCGCAACGGCCAGACCCTGAGATCCGCCGTGTACCACTCGAGCAGCTCTGTCTATCCGTTAAGTCCATGAAGGGTATCGACGATGTCGCAAACTTCCTAGCGAATACCATCACCCCACCAGAAAGCATCGCTGTTGAAGGCGCGCTCACTTTCCTACACCGAGTCGGCGCCCTAGACCACGACCGTCTGACAGCTCTGGGTCGCTACCTCTCCATGATCCCTGCGGACTTGCGCTGCGCGAAGCTCATGATCTACGGCTCCATCTTTGGCTGTATGGAATCCTGTCTCACCATTGCAGCTATCTTGACCGTGAAGAGTCCATTCGTCTCTCCGCGTGAGAAACGCGAGGAAGCCGATGCTGCAAAGGCTGCATTCTCCCGCCCCGGCGATGGAGACTTGCTCACCGACCTTGCCGCGTATCAGTCATGGACCGAACGGGGCCGAACCCAGGGGTTTTGGCAGACGCAGTCCTGGTGTGGTGCGAACTTCCTGTCTCACCAGACGCTACGAGATATCTCATCCAACAGGGCGCAGTTCGTAACCTCGCTCAAGGACGCAGGCGTTCTGCCTGTGGATTATAACGAATCTGCGATAGCACTCAATCGCAACGGCGCGAATAAGAACCTCCTTCGCGCACTAATTGCAGGCGCATTCCAACCGCAAGTTGCCCAGATCTCGTTCCCGGATAAGAAGTTCGCCAGCTCGGTCACAGGTACTGTGGAAGTTGACCCCGACGCGCGGACAATCAAGTACTTCAACCAAGAGAACGGACGAGTCTTCATTCATCCGAGCTCGATCCTATTCTCTGCACAGGGCTACCCCAACGCAGCGGCTTACTTGGCCTATTTCACAAAGATGGCGACAAGCAAAGTATTCGTTCGCGATCTTACCCGTAAGTCTCCACCCAATTTGTTACACTTCATCTTCCTACTATCCGTGTATATGCCACTAACAAGTCCTGTACAGCATTCAACGCCTACTCCCTCCTCCTCTTCTGTGGCTCAATCACCCTCGATACAATGGGCCGCGGTCTAATCGTAGACGGCTGGCTCCGACTACGTGGGTGGGCCCGCATCGGTGTGTTGGTATCGCGATTGCGGACGATGTTGGATGAAGCACTCCAGGCACGCATTGATAATCCAGCGTTGGGATCAAGTGGTGGCGCTGGGGATCGAGTTATTGAGGCTGTGAAGAAGCTGATTGAGCTGAATGGGCTGGATCAGTAATGGTATTTATGCATCAAAATTAGATTATATAAAGAAAATAATGCGTACGAGGGTTGCGTCGGCGCTTAAATGGGATGAATTGCATCAACGGGTTTTGAATAGAGCACGTAGAACTCTTCCTTATCATTAACCTGATACCTAAGAGTGACTGGAAGCCTACAAAGGGTCATCACCCATCGGCTACAATCAATCCTAAAGCAATATCAGCTTGCAATGTCTGCGTAGCAATGAAAATTACGTGAGCATAGAATCATCGTACCGAGTAAAAGGACAGTGAGCTAGATGAAAGCATGTACGACAAACGGAAACAGCATTCGACTCGTAGAAAAAATTATGGTAGGATAAAAGAAGCCACAAGAAATCATATTACGCCATAAAAGAGTAACGCGGAAGGGGGACTCTAGACAAAAGGGATCGTCATTAAGGCAGTGAGCTCCTGAGCGCCGAAGCAGTCAGGAGAGGGGTAGAGATCAAGATAGCCGATATCAGACAGGGGTGAATGCTGAAGTACTCATCAACAAGAAACGAAGAAAGGTAAGCATGTGGTATTTATCATGAGAATGAGGCGAGATGACGGGGGAATAAGGATATCGAGAAACGCCGAGGGAAAAGCAGACCATGTGCGTAACGCCGTCCAACCATAAAACTCCCCGCATGGTGTCAAGTCGTTTCATTTAGAGGTCGTGAGGCGGGTGGATGGCGGGGGTGGGGCGAATTGTAGGTGAAACGAAGAAAGTTGGCGAATGAAGAAGGGAAGATAAGGTCATAAACGCCAGTAGATGTCCGGTTTCCGTAGTCACTCCGATGGTCATCCTTGGGATTGTGTCCCGAAAAAAGCAATACCGATGCACATAAGAAACAGGAAAGGATGCAGGGAGTGTGATGTGCTTGCACTGTACAAGCAGGGAGAGGACATCCAGGGTGGGAGATTGGAGATGACCTTAGTAGTTGGCCAGGCCATCCAGCCGGTTACGGTCGTGGAAAGGAGTGGGTCGAGGCAGCTTGAAGCCACCCTTGATCTCGGTCTCTACAAAGGTAGAGGCACGCTTGAATCGGCGATCCGAGTACTTCTCATAGATCGCCAGGTGGTGACGCTGCGGGTCCTCACAGCACTCCAGCATGATCGACATGACAGGAACGAGCTGCGCATAGAGGTAGCCACTGTAGTGTGCGTGGGCCATGGTCTAGCGGAAAGCAGGTTAACAGGTGATCGTGGGTAACGAAAACAGTTGAGAACTCGAGGGTTAAAAAGAGAGACTTACCCAGCATCCCTTTCGCAGCATCAGAAGGGCGAGACAGTGGGCTCCCGCACTAACGAAGCTAGGAGGAGTGGCAACGAAGCGTTCATCCATGATCGTCAGTTCCAGGAAGTACTTGGCGACAGTACGGGTCTCGAGATCATAATCGTCGGCTTTGCTGATACGTCGCAGGAAACTCATGGGACCCGGCCAGCCGAGGTCATAGTTGAGGATATTCAGCATGAATCGCTCCGCCTTAAGGATTTCGTCCATGGTATAGCCTCCATCGACCATGTAATGGATCTCCGCGATGGAGGGAGACGTGATCTCCTCATACTTTGCGGCAATGTAGATGGCGGTAGCACCGACTAGCTGGAGCTTACCAAGTGAGACAATCTTGTGTGAAAGGAACCTATCGATGAGGTTGACACACAGGAACAGTGTCTCGGGGAGCAGTGCGAAGCGGAAGTGGACCTGCACCAGCCAGTCCATGAGGACCGAGCGCATCGACCACTGGATCTCAGCCTGGTTAGCCATGTAGTCTGCCGTGGGCAACATGGCAATCTGTGATGATTGGTCAGTATCCAATGTCAATTTATAGTTGATTGGAATAGAAACTTACCTCCTTGTAGCGCAGATACTCGAAAATCTCCGTGCTGTATTCAGCAACCATGCTTGAGTCGTAGAAATCTTCCTCGATTTCTTCCTCGGTCTGATTGGCTTCAACGAATGATTGAGCATGCAGAAGCTCACGCTTCATCGCAGCGGTAGCCCGGGGATAGATCAGGGTGGTTGTGCCACCGGTAGTATTATCGGTACGAGAGAGGTAACCACGGTGCTCTTCGTCTTCTGAATCCTCAACCTCCGACATAGCTGGGCCAGTGACGTCCGGAGCTCGATTATCGTATGAACCATCGAACGATTTGGAAACCGGAATTGGAAGAAGTGCGCGGGGCTTTCCCACATTAGCCGCAGCAGGAATAGGTTTGGTGACCTCCGCCTGCGATGAGACCATCTCACGGCTCTGGCGGCTATGTTCAGCGGTGTGCGCCTCGGTGGTAAAGCCCTCCGACGGGACGTCAAAGTACTCTTGTTCCTCCTCGTCCTCATTCTGCTTGACGAGGTTTTGTTCGATTTCCTTTCCATTGGGCCGTTCGTCGCGGCGAGCGGGCTGAGTGGTGACGATTACTTCCTTGGATGTCTCCTTCTCGACAACGGGCTCCAGCTGATCGCGGAAAACCACATTGGTATTCTTGGCGCTATTCTTTATCGCAGTAACATGGGCTTTGCCGGCAGGGTTTACCGGCTTCGAGGCGAGAGTGTTCAAGAAGCCCTTCGCGCTCGACATCGACAGAGGGCGCTGGGCTGGCTGCGAAAGGGCAGGTTTGGTGTCCGCGCCCTGGGTAGCAGGCTTGCCAGGCACAGCCGAATCCTCACGGATCGGCTGAGCATTGCTCAAGTCGCCGAAGGCTCGGCGAGTGTTGACATTGCCGTTCTTCGCGTTCTGGGCCATCAGGCTCAGCGCCGGAGTAGACTTGTTTCGTTGGTGGATTGCCTTAGTAGCATGGAAAGATGGCAGCGCATTTTCGTCGCCGCGGACGCGAATTCGCTGCGGCTGAATCATCAAGTTAGCACTTGAGCAATTTGTTGGTGATTGCACGCGAAAGACGGGATCCTTCGAGTGGTTATCTGCGATGCGCTGCCAGGTATGCGAACGAGGATCCACGCCCTGAACCCTGGCTGGCGATCAACTCGTCATAGCAAGGTCGACGCAATGAACACTCGAATATAGAGCAACAAGATCAAGTAAACATACCTTGGCATCCATCTCGCCGGTGCCCAGGGTAGATGGCAGACAGAACACGTTGGTTGGTGATGTCGAAAAGGGCTTGTTTATGTTTTGCTGTGTTGAGACGAAAGTCGAGGGGAGAGGACCCGCTTCGCCTTATTGGCCAAACTCAGCAAAACAAAACACGGCGGACCCGCTTATCTAGCACAGCGGCCAGTCAGATCGTGTATTCCAAGCCGTATAGTAAATACAGGTCGTCGCCAGGGCGAAGCAGGGTATACTCGAATAGACTCACCCACTGACACACGCTGTTTCCTAATGATTGAGGTTGAGGAAACTGGCAGGCGTCACTGTTTGTGGGGACGAGGGTGACGGAAAGAAAGAAAGAAGTAGAAGGAGGAATCTCAGCGCGCAAACATGAGGCCTGGCAATGAAGGGATGGAATTACTGCACGTGATCAGTGTATTACGGCAGAGTGTGGACGGTGTAAAGGCGGTGTCCAGGACGGTGTAGTTTCAAAGACGAAGTTGTTCACCGCCTAGGGTCTGATCCAAGGGTCGGATGCTTATCGGTCTTATCTATGACATCATACCATCCTCGTCACGTCTCCCACCATATACTCATTTTATGATTTTCCATTCTCCCCTCCACAAATCGAGGACGAATTACAAGAAAATCAATCCTGGATCTCTTCTAAACACTAGTATTTGATTCCGATGATTTTTACTCTCGTTATCTGAATAGTGGAGACACAATCACCCTAAGGGGATAAATGTGGCTCCCAACGCGCTAGTACGCGGGCCCACGTGACTCTTGACCGCTCGCGGGATGGAGCGGTAAATGTTTCCAACAGCGATTCGATTCCGCCGATGCGTAGATTCGCTGGTGATGGCGATCAATTTAGCATCATTGTGCGTCTCTTCGAGGGAGCCAATAGCAGCTCGTGTCAAGGATTGATGTATTCCATGTGCCTGCTCTGCTCCTTAGCCTGATCAACTGCCCTAACCCCATTCAACAATCAGTGGCCCTTGGAGAAAGCCGGGATCGGGGAGGATCTTAAAAATGGAGACTCGACAGACATTCGGTCTGGACAAGCCATTTCGTAACGCACGTTCCGCCCTCCGGCAATTCTGGGCCAGTCACCAAAGTATTTCATCCACTCATTATGGAGTCCAAGAAATCAGTTTGCAATTCCTGCACCACCACCGCCCAGCAGGGCGTCAATGGAGGACCACTCGATCCGCCCGACTATCGCTCCTCCATGGAACTAGTTTCGAGGCCACTAATTGAACTTAGTTATACCTTAGGTACTCCGTAGTTTTACTATGTACATGTTACTACAGATACAGTTTCGCTTCTTCTTTCAAGAGGACCCTGCGAGTCCCGGACGAATACCTTCCACAAAGTCTAGTCTGAAAACCTTAGCCTGAAGCTGCCCCGCCTATAGGGAGTTTTACAAATGCGCTACAAATCTAACCCTTTTTTTCCGATCCTTTTTAGCCTCCAAATACCAACCCTTCTTGAACCGGTCCCGAGGAGGGGTAACCTCAGCCGGCGCAGATCATGCGAAACAAGCCGTCATGAGCGTCCAGTCATGCGATGCGGTGATGTGCCCACCGAGAGTATAGGAGTGTAGGAGTGTAAAAGCCCCAAATCCATTCTTTGAGAGGGTCGCATGTCCTGTCTCGTGTCTTGATTAAACTGGATCTTCCTTGGCATTGAGCGCCAACTGTCAAACCTCCTCTCCCATCTTTCCCCTCTCGCCTCCTCCTCTCGGAACCACCACACCCTGCACAACCCCGCGCTTTACTATTTTTTCCTATTTCAAGGCATCGATCGTGTCGCGATATTGTAATTTAGGTCTCTAGCATAGTATATTTGCGATGCGACAAGACGAAAGAGCCGAAATCGCATCGGGTCTATCTACGTCTCCGTGCCACACAGATCGTTCTCTCAGTTGGTCAGGTACCCTCCATCGGGGTCGATCAAGTATAAAGGCCTGAATGAGTATCCATCTTTCTAGATAATAGAACAATTGCTTTCACAGCGACTTCATTGGTCGCGATTAGTATTCGGTCGAATGCCTCCGTCCTTCGAGGGGGCGACCGGGTCAACAGAGAGTGCCTGTGGTGTGCGTCGCCTAAAGTAGCACTAGAAGCAGATCCACCGCCCAAAGAAAGCGATAAAACCTCGATCGCTTGAACTGGAAAGTATTTTGATATCATTTATATTGAATCAGCCCCAAGTTGGTGAGACAGAGCGCTCGGCGCAATGGTGTTATCCGGGTTGCGACAAGTGATGCGCATTTGCGAAACGATCCGACCTGGAGGAGGGAGCTATCTGGCTCGCATCGGGATTAGTTATGGGGGTATAAACGAAGAAGAACTAGATCGCTGAATAGTTCAAATCTACATTTCTATCAAACTATAGCTACTACAAGGCCTTAGGAGGCAGACCCGATGGAATGTGATGGCTGGACCGGGCGCCGGAAGCGCAAATCGCCATGTCACCGGCCCAAGACAGCCCGTTTTCTCGCTTTAGGTGAAACCCATCGTACGCACCTACTGGTCGAACCCTCGTCAACCTTCAACCTTCTCCTCCTTCTATCCCAGTTCGACTTCCCTCCCTCCCTCGCCAACCAATCCTCGTCATTATTTGGGTATCATCGTCCTCCGTTGCCCGTGCCTCTCCCCGACTCGTTCCTGAACACTGGTTTCCTTCGTTTCGGCTACTGGGCCACCGCTGACATAGCCCCAGCGCTTCGTAGAGTCAACCACGACAATCCCCTCGTCCACACTCTTCCACTCCACCCATCGACCTTTCCTCCACCCCGTCTTGGATATCCCACATCCCTGCGACTCGGTTGGAATCAGGGTCATTCGTGCTAGGTATGTCTATAACCCTCCTCCATCCTCTTCCGAGTCCTCGTCGCTGGACCTCTCTCCCCAAGCCCGCTTCTCCCCCAGGTCGGCCGGACTCGGCTAGCGAATGACCATCCATCCATCGTCTATCGCATCTAAACCCATCTTGAATGCGAATTCGAACTGCTGGAATGGCCATTGTACTAATATTCGTGGTCTTCTCTCCTAGGTGAACCGCCGCAGTCCTCGTCCCGGTTCATTCTCGGTTCTGGTGTTGCGACAGACGGATTCCCCTCCATTCCCATCGAAAAAGCCCTGCGTCCACCTTTTCCCAACATCATCAACCCGAAAGTGGTCCATCCACTTGTCGACCTTGCCGAATCCTAGAATTGTGGTAGGTGAGATGGAAAAACTTCCCCCTCTCCCACTGCCTCTACACTTCAGACCCTTCCTGTCGCTTCCCCCCGGTCATGGGTCCCGTCCTCTCGCTTCCCTTCTATCATACACGAGCAGTGGGTTGATGCAGTCATCGGTATAGCAAGCAGAGGCCTCTCTCTCTACTTCCTTTTCTTCTGGACCTGCCCAGCATGCAAGCCGCTCAGCTTGAAGGGCTTTCTGGCCTGGCTGAACCGGCGGCTCTGGCGGAGGTCTCTTCCCGAGATCAGTTGTTGAGGAACCCGGTCCCCAAGAACGTCGCCTTCGAGCTTCTCCTGGATGAGAACTCCAAGGTGCGGGCCCGGATTCCGATGCGCGTGCAGATATACCCTCATGACACTACCGATTCCATCGTCACTACGGTCAAAAATTTCTATGGCATCTACGATGGCACTGCCAGTGGAGTGAGCTTCGAAGATGAACATGGGACCACTCTCATCGCAAGGTATGAAAACTTGAAGAATAATGGGACTGTATATGTCAGAGTCATTCCCATTCAATCATTTGGGGATTCCTGTTACGGCGGCTATCCCACAGAGCGCAAGCGCCCTAGCTTGGGCGAGCCGTTTCAGATGACCGACGGCATGGTCCCCGTCATGGATCAGCCATCGCGACCATCCTCACGTCTCGCAAGGAAGCGCAGCACCTCTCCCTCGAATCGGAGTCTCCGCAGCGCTTCTCAGCACAAGCAGGGTTCTCGCAGTGGTCTGAAGAGTCGCGGATCCAGCCATGCCGGGTATCCCGACGAGGAAGGTGGACTAAGCGACAGCGAGTCCACTTACAGTCGCAAAGCACGCGGCGACACCTTCGCCAGCTCCGACATAAGTATGGAAAATATACTTCAAGATGGTCGTCGCAAACGACCCAAGTTTGACAGCTCGGTAAGTAGAAAATTCCCCCCCATTGCGCCTTTGCCTTTTTTTCTCTCTCTTTCACTTCTTCCGGATTTCCATTTGTGTATTTTCAATGATCGCTTGTGTTCTAATACCCACTCTTTTCTTTTAGGAACTCCCCCTCTTCGCTCCTCCCCAAGTCCCCCTCACTACCTCAACCTCCTCCATCTCTCCTCAACGTCGCTCGGTGGGACAAGAAGGCGCTGGCTCTCCATTTGCCCGTCCCACCCACCGCCCATATAACTATCAGCAAGCGCTGCCGTCGCCACAAAGCTATGGACACAGTGAATATGGCACCCAGTCAGGGCGCAATACTGTGTATGCGACACCCATGGTTCCCGACCATGCGCATCGAGTGCCGTATAGCAATTCCGGTGCGCGCGTGAGCAGCCATGGCATCTTGCCGACCCCCGACCCCACCATCGCAAGCTGCATCTCCGATGAAGATGTCGCAATGCAATTGATTCGTCTAGGCGATGCATCGAACTTCTCTCATGGTCGCACATCAGCCTCAACGCTCGATGATGCCTTCAGTGGTGTTGCCGACGCCGCTTCTTCCACTGGCGCTACGAGCGACGGTGAAGACTTTAGCGAAGAGGAGGATGACCTTCCTGCTCGTCGCAGACTTGACTCGAGCCCGATGCTGCCACCTGGCGCTATAAAGCGCCACCATAAGCGCTTGGATGATATCCTTCCCAGCGCGGACAGCAGTGATCACAGCTCTGATGGCATTGACGATGGCATCAAGAGCGAAGGCGAGGAGGACGTCTTGTATAAAGAGTTTGCTCCCAAGGCAAAGAAGCCCAAGAGCCGTCCAACGTCCGCCAAGGCTCGTGCCCCCAAGCCATTGGCCAAGCAGACCAAGAGCAAGAGCAATCTTGCTACCGTGCGCAAGCCGTCCGACAAGTCCACGGCACCGGTACCACCTCTCAGCCCAAGCTCCTCCCGCAAGGTGTCTGGTGGCTCTGTCAACTTTCAGCACCAGCTTGGTGCCGATGAGGAGGATCTCTCTACTAAGCCTCGCTGCCAACGCTGTCGCAAGAGTAAGAAGGGCTGCGATCGCCAGCGCCCTTGTGGACGTTGCAAGGATGCGGGGATTGGCATTGAAGGCTGTGTCAGCGAGGATGAAGGCAACGGTCGCAAGGGTCGCTATGGTCGTCACATGGGTGTTCCTGTCAAGAAGAACGCCGACGGGGTAGAAGACGAGGGACATGAGCTGCCACCGATGCCAGGTACACCTCTAGTCGATGCAGACCTTGTGGACAAGAACAAGAAGAGGAAGCGCTAGTCGCCCTCTTCATCTCATATCTTTCTTGGAGTGACCTTTCCTCTTGTTAATAGGACGGGGTTTATTGGGTTTCTAACACTTTACCATTTACAACTTATTTCTTCCTCGGATGTTCTCTCTCTCTCTCTCTCTCTCTCTCGAAGGGCCATTGGGCACCTACGAGTCTCACCAACCCTCCAACATGGCCACTCCCTTTTATCATCCTCTCACCACACTTTCCCTGATTTGACATCATCATCATCATCCATACTAGCGTCGGCTGGGAGATTCAACGCTCCTTATCACAGCTCCCTACCTTCCTACACTCTCTTTTTAGGCTCACGCCTCATTCATACAAAGTCCAGCGGGTTGATCTGTTGTTTTTGTGTGCCTATCTCTTTTCGGCGTCTGTGTTTGTGGGTTACTATTTACCTAACTTTTCAGTTCTTGTCACTTCCCATTCACTCCTTCAAACTCGATGCCACTAGTCTTCTTGTTCATCTTTGCTTCTGCTTGGGTTTTTGTTCGTTCTGTTTGACGGCATGGCGAGGGCTATGGTGGCCAGCATGTACTGCGGATATATAACTACATCCGGTGTGAGCGGAGGATGCAGGCGCTGGCACGGGCTGTATAAGATGTCATGGCTTTTTGTTTGTGGTTTTAGTCGTTTGGGAATGAATGCAAGCCTTTGTCAATAGTTTTGTATTCCACTCTCGAGCTTCTGTCTCTATTTCAGACTCATCCCTCTACTTGTACTTGGCCGCTTCTATGGACCAATATCACGTGATTGTAGTATACAAAGGCGGTGTGGCCAGGCAGAAGGCCCCGCAGCATTTTTGACTCCGAAGATGACCGCAACTTTTTTTCTTGGGACATTGAAAATCACTACCTTGAAGTTCTCGCCTAATTTCTGTCGAATCACCTTGGTTTTATAAACTCTAGCTTGATTCTACACAGGAATACCAGTCAATGCTCTGAGGAGCTCATAACACCTTCCTACCTCTTGAAAAGCGGGACGCCAGCGGCGTCTTGCCCGCGCAACGAAGCACACGATGCCTCCCAAAGCCAGCGCTCGTCGCGCAGCTCCCACATCGGCAGGCGCGACACCTACCTCTCAAAATGCCACCGATTCCAACACAACTCCCAGCGCAACCCCCGGTCCAGCCGGTCGTCCCGTACAGCGCCTACAGTCATTGAAGAGTCGCAAACCCTCTGGGAGTATCCCTCCAGCAAGTCGACCACCCTCCGCTCTTGGCGGCGAACAAGCAAAGCCGGTGATGAAATACAAGCCCAAGGCCGTGATGCGCCGAAGCAAAGAAGAGCGTGACGCGATCGAGAAGCGTGAGCAGGAACGGCTTAATGAGCGATTGCGAGAGGCTGCGGCTATTCAGCGTGGTCGTGGGAATCGTGGTGGTCGCGGTGCTTTCCGTGGTCGTGGTGGACCGATGGGTATGGGTGCGAATGGACCTTTTGGATCTGGCTTTGGAGGTGCGCGGCGGGGTCGCGGTGGCGCTTCGGGTCCTGGTGGTTATGGTGGTGGTGCTCGGAGCCGGTTCCGATCTGGAACTAGTGGTGGAAGTCATGGGATGGATTATGACTCGGATGAGGATGACGATGAAGGATTGCGGGTCAGCATTGACCGGATTGGTCTCGAGAGTGAAGAGGATGAGGACGAGGACGATTCACGACAGATCAAGGGCAAAATGCCAATTCGCTCGCGCGATGGCTTGCGGCCTGTTCGTGTGACTCGTCTTCAGCATGAGGAGCGGGTTATCAGTGTGAATATGGAGTCTAGCACTGCCAGAACGGAGGAGATTCGTCAAAAGGCCGAAGAGGCCAAGGTCGCAGAGGAGAAGGCCAAGGTTGCTGCTACCCAGCCGCCGGTGGAAGAGCCTCGTGTGAAGCCGGAACCTGTGGACGATGACGATACTCCTATGGCCGACGTGCCTCACGATGATGACGGCTTCCTACCGACACAAAAGCTCCGTGTCCGACGAAAGGTGTCCAGCCCTCGAGACATTGCGACACCCGAACCGGTACAGCCTGAACCCGAGCCCGTCGAGGCATTGCCACCCGTCAAAGTTACTCGAGATCCGCGGGAACTTCTCCGCACTAAGGAGGAGATTGATGAGTACGATCGTCACCTGGAGGATCTGAATCACGTCCGCACTCTACTATACTACGAAGAGATCCAGAAGACCACAGAAACGGCACCCACCGAAGCCGAACCAACCGCCGATGGCGAATCCGCACCGGAACCCACCACGGAAACCCAGGACGAAAACGAGGAAGAAGAAGATGTTGAAGATAAGACCACCAACCAAGCACTACTGGGCCAACTCTTCCTCATGCAATTCCCCCCAATGACCCCCAACCTCACCATCCCTGACGTCTCCACATCGCAACCCTCCACCGACGCAGCCGAGAACCAAGTCACCCGCCAAACCGAACCCCAAGTTAAGCCCGAAGCCGATGAAGTCCAAGTCGTCGACGAAAACGCTACCGAAACAGCAAAGGTCATCACAGCCGCCACAGACTGGGCCCTCCCTGCCGGTCGCGTGGGTAAACTGAATGTACACAAATCCGGCCGGGTAACCCTCGACTGGGGCGGTATCAGCTTTGACTTGGACCGCGCGACGACGGTGGACTTTGTGCAGGAGGCGCTGATCGTGTCGAGTCCGCCGGAGGAAGAAGATGGGGCGCCGCCGAAGGATGATAGTGAGAATCGGGTGTGGTCCATGGGTGAGCTCTGTGGGAAGTTTACGGTGATGCCGAACTGGGATGAAATGCTGTAATGGGGTTTTACATGGCCTCGAGCACTTCCAGTTGAAACTGCGGTGGTACCGTGGTAGGCATGCTTGTTCATTCTCGGCGTTGGTAGATGGATTGGGATTGAGCTATGAATAAAAAGATGGATGTTTATTGGTTGCAGGGAACATAACTTTTTTCCACTGTCTATAACGTTGTATTGTAAGACTGGTCTCATGATCAGTATTCATCTCATACTTTAAATCTAAAGTATATGGTCGAGTAGACGGCCCGTTGAAGATAACCCATGGATGATTCTCTTGATGTCCGGAATAAGCTTTCTTTTGGCGCTCTGATTGGTCGACTCGGTCCTGTGTCCCACTTTAATTCATCCCATCTTTTCTGGAACATTATCCATAATTTTTCTACAGTTGTCGAGTATAAGTACTTCAGGTATAAGAATTTAATTTACATTCTAAAAAGCAAAGTAGTACCGACACTCTTAACTTGGTCAGGGATCCCTCGAGATAATTTGTGGTTGGAGATTTTACCCAAGAGACCTGAACAGGAAAATACATATATCTCTGCAGGTACGTTACAAGACATAGTCCATATATCTGTTGAATCAACTTAACCATGTAGGCCCATGATATAAATTGTTCGAGAGTATAGAACTATACCTATGGAATAGTCCAATCTCAAGCTCGATCCATTTATCTCGCAGGATAAATGGGTAGGGCTGGTGCAGACTCTTCTGGACTACTGTACTCCGGATAGACTGGGCAGGAGTTAGCCGTGATATGGGACTCTTACAGTATTGTCGCTTTTGTATACCTATCCCTCGCGATTAAGGCGTTAATACCAAGTACCCTAAATATAGTATTTGGTGCAGTGAACAGGCGACCTAGCGAGGTAGACGACCCTTACAGCGCGCCGTGCCGTGCCGCTGGTCGGGGCTCCTCTATAGCAGAGGCACGGAATACATGTGAGATGGACTTAATTATAGCCAAGACTTGAATATTGCCAGCGAGGAGTGGTATTATTACGAGTGGTGTGGTATTAGTATTGAGTGTGGCTGGGAGGCCGTGACGGGCCTTGCCTACCGAGACCTGCAGGGGGAAAACGGCTTCGGGCAATCACACCATCGCAGTGGGTGGTGGAATCATCAGGGTATATTGGAGTGTGGTGATCGACGTCGAGTCGTACGGAGGAGGTCTAGCCATTATACAGGATTAGTATACGGAGTACTCCGTTCGTAATAGTAATAGTGATAGGGGCTTTCTCCTGCCAAGGCCCGATAATAAGAATGAAATCCACCCAAGATGGCCAGTAGTCTAGACCGGGGCCTATCTCGGTCGGAGGAGACTACGGGATGAGAACTATACAGGATAGAGTATAGACTAGTCGGTAGTTCCAACTTCCCTGAATTTTTGGCACAGAGGATGAAGCTGGAACTGCGTCGTTGGCTGTCAAGAAAGGTAATTTTATTATTTTACCAGGAAGCCAGGGGATCCAAGTCCCATTGGTTCCAGTCCAGTTTCAACTTGAGTTGATCACCAATCAGACTCGATGGATATCAAGTGGCGTGTCTCCACGGGGCTAAGAGTCCCTGAAGTTCCAGTTTCTTGAGGCGACCCGTGGCTCGTCCAATGAAGGGCCCGCCCTGAGAATTGCTTCATCACCAGCTTCTTTCTTTTTTTCTTCTTCTCTTGTTTTGTGGTGTTGTTGAAAGAGTTGGTGATTAGAATATCGCACAGAATAATATCTTCAACTACAAATTACCCCTGTGATCTCCCCTGAAGTCAAAAAGCAAAAAAGCAAATTCAAGCAGAGAAACAAAGTTTCCAAGCCCGTGCGGCTCCCGTGAATCCATCCGGACCGTCACTTTTTTCTTCCTTTTCCGTCTTTTTTTGGCTTTTGGCCCCCCCTGATTTCTTCTTCAAATCCGCCCCCCCTAAAACCATCCACCTCCCTCTTTCTTCCTCGCATTTTCACCTCAAAACTTTGGAGTATACATAGAAAAGGGTCCTCTCCATCCTCATCCTCCCTCGCCCCCCTATCTCCTGTTGCCTCGCCAACTACCAACCTCCCCCCACGACGACCCGCACCTCCTTGGCGTTGCTTGTTTCGCGCGCAGTCCTCCAAACATCTCTTCTCCCCCGCCACCACACAAGGACGATAAGAGAAAAAGAAAGACAACCTTTTCCCCCGATCGGAACGGACACATTTCTACATACCACACACTATGAAACCCTCAACTGTCTTCCTGGCGGCTCTCGCGCCCGCCGCCGTCCTCGCCGATTCACTTCCTCGCGCCAATGTCGAGATCGCACACAACTCCAATATTCTGGCTCAGCGCTCGCCTTTTGCCACGATACCGGAGCCTAATAGACATCAACAACGGAAGTCCATCGTGGATTCGGACGCGACGATAGTCACTATTGACAAGCGCGAGGCTAGGCATATCCTCCAGGCTCGCAGTGAAGGTTCACTGGGCCAAACGCCGTGGATTGGCATGGCGATTGGCTTGACCTGCACGGCGCTGGCGGCAGTGATGCTGGGATAAGCCAGTGATGTCGAGTCTAGTCTAGACTGCGACTGCCACCTCTTCTTGGCGGTCTTCAATATCCTCTTCTTTTTCTTCTTCTTACGCTTCCTTTCGACTTCTCCACACCTCAACTATTCGATACCTTTGAACACTCCCGACACGATACGTGAAATACGCGCCCTCCGACCTAAACTTTTGATTCCGATTCTACAACATTTTCACCCCGAACCTTGATCCGATTTCTTCTCATCTCGGCCCGGGAACTTCTTCACGCCCCTCCTTGCCTTTTATCACCTTTAATCCTTCGATATTCTTCTCCTGCTGCTTTTGGCGACATTCAGCGACTTCATCTTTATACACCTTCATCTTCATTTTGACTATACATTTTGCATCCATGGCCCGGGCTATGTCTGTGTTCTTATGCGAGAGCCCGGGCATGGGGATTCTTTTGAGCACTATTGCATTTCCCTCGTCTACTATCCTTGCCATCAGTCGACTGCATTCATTGTAATGGTGGCAGATAGGCTGGACGGGGGAGTATAGAGATTGCATGTTTGTACATGATACCTACCCTACATTACTTATCTTGGGGACGCTTTGTTTATATGGATACCGATCTTGGGGCCATGATTGAACCGTGGACTTGATCGGATTTAATGTGTGTATATACGAGAATTGATGACACACTTTTTTTTCCCCGACTTTGTCAAAAGTACTTCGTAGTAGTAGACATACTGTGAGGACAAGTGAATCAAACAATACTAGTCCAATGTAGTATTCCAAACCCACAGAAACCCCTATAGGTCTATCCGAGTGCAAGCACGCAGGTTTCTTTGTTTGTTCACCTCGATAGCTCACAAAGTACTCCGTTCAAACTACATACAATATGGTACTTCCATCCCATCAATATCTACCAACCCTTTCAGCCAAGACAAAGCTTAGTACATCTAATTCTTTCATTCAAGAAGCCACCACATCCTCCAGCCCCCAAATTAACTCTAATTAGCCCCCAACACGGGGCCAACCCTCGACTCGGCCATTTTGCTTGGCTGAGGCTGAGGCTGAGTTCAGCCCCCAAAACCACCGACGCCCGACTCTCCACACCTCCACCTTTCTCCAACTTGTTTCATCGCCATCTTGATCTCTATTTCCATCTCTATTCTGTATTTGTATCTGCATATGCATTTAGATCTGCAAAGTGCTTGTTACCTACCCTCCGATAAGCCACCAAGAACGGAAGGATACGGAGAACGACTAATAACCAAACTCACGTGCCTCGAAAAGACGCACGTATACGGAATCCCACGACTCTGCCAATATCGGAAAGGGCTCTGATCTTCGCGGGAAGATTATCGCAGAGTATATCATGACTCAATATCCCGAGTATACGCCCGTGTCCTCGCTGGGCCGGGAACTGGGTATTATGTTTGCGTTTATCGGGGCTTGTGTGGTGACCATGGTTATTTACTTGGTTATTTGGAGACGTAAGTATAAGATTCTCATGTTGTGTAACATTCTACCTACTCTATTTTTCCATATTAAGGGTAGAGTATTGTGGATTTTTATTTCTATCATACTCTCATCGATATTCTCGTCTACTATGCATACTACCTTTCTCTGCTAAACTTGCCTCTTTCCTTTACATGCCCACCCAACACCTGTCTATCTCAATCCACATACCTTATACGCTCATACTAATGTTCAACAGGAGTCCAATTCCGCACCCAAGAAGAAGACCTCGCCCGCCGCAAAGCCCTGAAAAGCCGCACCGCAGCTCTACCAGATACCCTATCCACGACGAATGGGCTGCATTTTGATAGGAAAATGAGTGCGGTTCCGGGTTATGGGGGTGACCGTGTTTATGAGAAGGTGGTTGATCGATATGGAATATCTGGGGATCGGGTTAATGGGTTGGGATTGGGGATGGGAAGGAAAGGGAGAGGGGATCTTTTGTGATATTAAGATATGGGGATGGGAGGGTGATTATGACTTGATGATTGGATGTTACGCTTCAATGACGGATTATGAGATTGATGATGGGCGTATCTTTTGCTTCATACTGGCTATGACCGGTATCAGGGTTTTGATATTGGAGTATTGGCTTGGTTTGGACGAGTTGTATTTGTTTCTTGTATCTACTGGCATGGGGCATGTTGAATATAACTTTACTCTCGATTACAATGATATAGACACCTATATAAAAGGGTATACATCTACGCTCCAATATGATACAAAGGGTATAAAATCTACAAACATCCTCACCCACAAACCGGCTCATCAAACCCTCTAGTCCACAACAAACTCCCCATAATAACCACCAAAAATCCCAATCCACCCATAACACTAACAACCCCATAAAAATACGCATGTCTCCTCTTCGCAACCCCATTCAGCTCCGCCACCCACGTACTAATCGTCGTCAAACTCCCACAAAACCCATCCATAACACCCTGCAAAACCTGACACCCCGTCAACGCCGCCGGCACCACGGCACCTAGACCAGAGACATGCTGCAAATCATAGCATAATCCTTCTACCACCGTGCCGAGCATGTTTACCGCAAACGTCCCCAACGGGAACGAGGGGACCCTGCTATTCAGTAGCATGGATATGTAGAATCGGCCCAGACACCCCAGTGGCGCGAATACCAGTGCAAACACTGCTCGTCCGCGCCAGGTATCCGCGCCGTGTCGGTCCGGTGGCCAGATCGCTAGGAATACGGCGCCGAGCCAGCAGCCCCAGGCTAGAGGGGCCATGACACGGTCTACGACGCGGCGCGTCAGCGCGAATGGCACGGTAGGCGTAACCCGCGCCAGACCCAGCGCGAGATGTGCGCCGAAAATCAACGCTGATAGACTCAGCGACACGGTGAGTAGCAACACAGCGACGAGCGCCATGAAACTATACCCGCCATTGCGGGATGCGATTCCTGCGCCGGCCGGTAGAGACGGATCTGGCAGGGCATTTGCCAGCGCGAGAAAGACGTCGCGCATGAAGCTCGAGAAAGAGGTACAGCATCCGCAGAAGCCGGTTGTCAGGCCGATGTAGAGTGGGATAGTCTTTTTCACGGCTTTGTGGTTTTTCGCATGCTGGGCGGCTTCGTGGGTGTCTTTTGGTGGCGGGGTCGTGGGTTTGCCCCATTCTTGTTGGAAAAGGTTCTTGTCTTCGGTTAGGAAGCCCATTATTAGACTACCCGTGACGTTGGCCCAGAGGACGCCCGTCACGACCGGGGCGCCCGTGTAGAATGTTAGGGCTTGGAGGCCTAGGCGGGCGAGGGTGCCGAGGAGGGAGAAGAATATTAGGTAGGAGATTGTGTAGAGTTGGGTTGCATGTTTGGAGAGTGGTTCGGAGGGCGCTTTGCCTGCTGGCGCTGGTGTTGGCGCAGGCTCTGGCGCGACGGCTTCGGGCTCTTGCTCGGGGGAGTACCATCTTTGCCGGTGGGAGGAGACTGGGGAGACGGGTTGTGGTGCGAGAGTTTCGGTCAAGGCTGGGTCTGCATCTTTCTCGGGGTCTGCAGTGGTTCCTGAGAGCTGCACGGGCGTCGGTGTTTGAGCTTGTATGGGCGCGACGGCCTCGTCTCGGGAGCAGGGCTGCTCTGTTGTATACCAGCGAGCGCGCTGCGGGGGGACGCGTTCGACAGGCTCTGGGGCCATAGTCTCGGTCAATCGGGGGTCGGCATCTTGTTCAGAACCTGCCGATAGCCTGGGGAGGCCTGACTCGGTCAGAGGCGCCATGCTCGAGCTTGGAGGAGAGGTGAAGATTGATTCTCACAGCGCGAGGAGGAAAAATGAACTAAAAAAGTGGAGTTTGCGGTGGAGCTGATAGCGCGGCGATTGGCAATCGTCATCGGTGGCTATACTCGGGGCATTACAGAACAAGGTTTAGTAGACATGCAATATAACAGAAGAGAAAGTGATTATGATTAGATTATTCGGATAATAGTCGAGTAAGTTGTGATTTCTTTTGTCAAAGGTTAATAATTATGACAGTCGTGGCTGGAAGCTCTGCAAGTACAAGCTACAAGCATAGGCAAGCTACAGAACCCAACCGAGGTCCTAGAGGGGAATACCTGTACTACCATAGCTCCAGCACCCAGAATAACTAAATTAGCTAGCAGAAACTAAAAAGCTGCAGCTAATTCCTCCCTAATGTCACATTGCCAGCCGACAATAACCCCCAAGCCAAGCGGGGGGGGGGAAGATAAGGCAGATAAGAAACACCGCTCTCTCCGCTCCTCCGCATCCTTTTTAACTAACCTACACCTCCTCATTCATATACTCTTCCTTCTTTCCTATTCCTCTTCTCTTCCTCTTTATCAATCTTTCCAATTTTCAGTTACTCTGACAATGTCTCTCCCATCAAACGTCCACATCTCCACCCACCCCTGCCTCCAGGCGAAGCTCTCTCAGCTTCGCTCGCAGAGCACCACCCCGCGCGAGACAAGGGCGCTGGTCGAGGAGATTGCATCTATCCTGGGTGTGGAAGCTTTTGCCCAGGGACTGACATTGACAAAGACCGGCACTGTACGTTTATTATCTTGGAATAGAGCCTAAATAAGTTGCTGTTGTCCATTGTCTAACATGGCCAACCCTACAGGACCGCACCCCTCTCGGCGTGGAATACGAAACCTCCAGCATTGACCCGTCAGATCTGGCTCTGGTACCTATTCTGAGATCTGGACTGGGTATGGTTGATGGTATGATATATTCTTCTTTGCTATATTATTTCTATCATGGGATATCTATGATATCCAACATCCACTTTACCCAATACCCACCCTTATCCCCATTTCCCCGCCCAATCTCCACTCCACCCAACCACCAAACAAACATACACCAGTCCCTACGCCTAACAACTGCTCCTCCCCCTCACAGCCATAACATCCCTCCTCCCCACCGCCGTCCCAATCTACCATCTCGGCCTCTTCCGCGAACCCGTCGGCCTCCAACCAGTAGAATACTACAATAACCTCCCCTTCCACAAATCCGCCCTCTCCCCTTCCAGCCCCGCTTCCACAAACCCAACCACCAACACCGCAGCCTCGACGCTCGCCGTTCTTCTGGACCCCATTATCGCGACGGGTGCCACCGCCGATGCGGCAATCCAGACACTCCGGGACTGGGGCGTGCAGCGGGTTATTATGATTAGTGTGTTGGCGAGTATGGAGGGGGTGAAGAGGGTCGCGGAGAGTTGGGAGGGGGTGCAGGTTTGGGTGGGTGCGGTGGATGAGAAGGTTAATGAGAAGGGGATGATTGTGCCGGGTGTTGGGGATATTGGAGATCGGTTGTTTGTTGCGCTTGGAAAGTAGAGGTAGAATGAGGGAAATGGTTGTTGTTTACTTGGAAGTCAAGAATGGGGTTATTAGAGGAGAGAAAGAGACTGGGGATATTTCGGATTGACTCAAATTAGTATCGAACTATAGCTCCAACTATGAAAAGACAAGGTTGAATTCAATGAAATGACTAAACAAGTTGAACCCTTTGTCCTACGTTGCAAGTGTCTACAGTAGAAAAGCTTATCCCCGCCAAAATGTTGTATTCATCAATTACGTATAGTACATGGAAATAAGGTAAAGATAAATGAAAAACCATCAAATAAACATGTGCAGGTGAAACCAAATGCTGAACCAAAATGCCGAGGAAAATCCAATGTGAAAAGAAAAACCAGATTGCAAGCAGATCGCAAGGCGGGGGGCCAAGACATAGCGCAGTATCAAATCACTCAAATCAAGCAGATGCAATCAAAAACGAATACAAGCGGTCGAGTCGACAAGCACAAAGCTTGCTCCCTTTAAACCTCCTTGGCCGGAAGTATAAGAGGAAGAGACGACGACGCGCAAGAAAAGACAAAAAGACGAAAGCGCGAAAACACTCGGAGAAAAAAACCAACATCCAAAAGGTATCAAGAGATCAAAAAAAGCTGGCAGATGGACTGACTGGGGGCACGATTAGGGGCTAGAGTTTGTCGCAAAGCACAAGGCAGTCAAAGATGATAATAAAACTCCATCGAGTGCGAGACGAACACACAGGTCCAGCCAGGTGTCGAAGAGGCAGAGCCAAAAAAAACAGCGCAAAATGAACACCACACCGGACTCCCTGGTTGGAAAACGAGGAAGGGAGAGAGACGAAACACAAAAACGAAAAGATGCAACCCAAGATAAAAAAGCAGAAAAGTCAGGAATCACCACACGGGCGTCGCGACGGCGGTATCTCCCAAAGCCAAAGCCCAAAACACCCCGCCTAGCCCATTGGCATTTATCCATTCCTGAGTTTCCCATGTGTCCCAATGAAAGCGTCCAAATAATGAGAGTAAGAAAAAAAAAGCCCGAAAGACTGTTTGAAAATAAAGTGGTCGAAGAAAAAAAAGTCAAGGAGAGTGGAGAAGTGATTAATAGGCGGTGCCGACGCTGGCGAGCGACTTAGTTGGCACCGCGTGAATCGGCTGATCCTTTGCGACACGCAGAGAATCTTCATAGCCGACAAGAGCCTGGGAGTGCAGCTTGAATGACTCGCCCATCAGCTTGGTAATTCTATAAAAACGTATTAGCATCAATATCCAAAATAATCACGGGGCAGGTGTATGACTTACCCCCAGACAACTACGCCGTCAAGGATGTTACCCCAAACACGGGCGACGGTGGAGCTGAGTTTACCAAAGGCATCGATGGCGTCATCATCAAACAGATTCCGCACCTTGTTATAGATGGCCAGTTCGGCCTCAGTCGCCGGCTCGTCGTCATGTTCCAGGCGGTAGAGCCAGAGACTCAGGATGACCATCAGATCCAGGCCGCAGAGCGGGTGCTCGACACTCCAGTTGGTGGCCGAGGTCTTGGCAACCCAGTTGATGCCCTGAATGGCGGCAATCTCGATACACTCGAAGCATTGCTGGACAACCTTGTTCATCTCCTGCGAGCGCTTGACCTTCTCACGGGCGACGGTCATAGCAGCAGCCACCTCATAAGAAGAGTGGTAACGCATGGCCTCCTGGATGGACTTGAGGTCGACTTCCAGGCGGGCACGAGTGTTGCGGTAGACCGCCATCGAGTTGAAGATCAGGGGGTGACCCTTCTGAGGAGTGCTGAGCGGGACAACGATGGTCTCGGGCTCGCAAACGTCAAGGGAGCTCTCCCAGGTTTCCAGAGCCAAGCGAAGCTTGTACTCGGTGACCACATCCTGCAGAGCCTCGAAGCTACGCTTGTGGTTCCACACCTGGAGGAACAGGGCATTGATCAAGACACGGGTAGCGAAAGCACTGTAGCGAGTCTGCTCGCCCTGGAATAGGAAGTCGTGAGCCTCACGGACGGTCATCGAACTGGCCGCGGTAATGTTGCGGCGCCAGGTCTCATCGTCCGTGGCATCCGAGTTCCAGAGGGACTCAGATGAAGGCAGCTCCAGGTTGTCAAACTCGTCGAAGCTCATCGCAGGAGTGTGGTTGAACGTCAGAGTGAGCATGCCGAAGAAGATGTACACGGCAAAGTAGGTACGGCGGCAAGACTCGTCCTCAATCCACTCTTCGCGCGAAGGATAAACGGTCTGGCGAGCCTCGGTGCGCAGCTTGAGCTGGTACCGGTTGCCAGCGACCATGTTGGCCAAAAGACTCTTGATGGAGCAAGTCCACTCGAGACCCTTGGGGTCACCACTCCAGCTCTCAAAGACCATGTTGAGCAGAGTGCTCTGCATCAGCCACAGAGGGCACTTACGCGAGTCGAAGTTCTCCTTGTGTTGCAGGAATTGGTTGACAAGAACCTTGGAACCGACGTGCAGCATAAAAGCATGGTCCCGCTCAAAGGTGTACAGAGCACCGATTGACAGGACAGCAAGGAGCAGGGGGGTTGGAGCCGAGGTAGGCTTGAAGGACTGCTGGTGGAGGAACGGCAGATGGGGGTGGTACAAGTTGAAGTAAGTTGACAGGTACCGGTTCAGAGCGGCCGTGGCTGGGATCTGGAAGTTATCAGGCAAGGCACCGAGGGTGTCCGCACTCTGCACACGCTCCACAACCAAACTGCGCTCCATCTCGTCAGCGATTTGAGGGGCCTTGGGGAGGGTCAAAGCTTGGCTGGGTCCAGGAGAACGGCGGTAGTTCACGGGGCTGACGGGGCCTGTCATGGAGGGATACGGGGACAGGGCATTAGGGGTAGAGTTTCCAGACATAGGCAGCGAGTGGGACATGAGAACGTCTCCAACGGGGCCGTGACGGTCGATCAGAGTGGGCATCGAACCGGTTTCTGCGGGGGAGATGAGGGTATCCCAAGGCATCTGGGGCAGAGTGGCGTTGCCCGACAGGTACGGATCGAAGGAACCACGCCCAGGCGAAAGGGACTCGGAGCGCTCGGAAACCTGACCAGTCACTGCTGCTGCAGCCTTATGTTGGAAATCTGTCATCAACATGGCTGCAGTTTCAAGATCGACCATACCATCACTGCTTGCCTCGATCTGTTCCAGCGTCGCCGGGTCGATCGTGATTGAGGGCTTGGAGGGGGCTGACGAGGAGGGCTTCTGCACGCCTCCGTTTCCACCACGTCTGCGACCTTCCGCAACCAAGGGGATGCCGCCATCTTTGGCGTGCACGGTACGGTCATGGCGCAAGAGAAGGTCACGGCGCACAAAGGTACTCCGACATTTCAAACACTTGAAGGGCCGTTCTTTCGTGTCTAGAAAATCCGGTCAAGTTAGTTGAGGTGCAATGGGATTTTGATTTCTCCTACGGTCTTCTTCCCCATAGGAAAGTAGAAAGACGCGAAGGGAAAGAAGAAGAGGCGTGGGAACCACTTACGGGACCGTTCATGTCTGCTGCGATGTTCACTACGGCTGAAAGCGCGATTGCAAAATTGGCACTTGTACTTCTTCTCGGGGGCAGAAGTCTTCTTGGCCGGCGAGTTGCTGGCCGTCCCGGGAGCTGAGGGAGCCATGTGTAGATATACTTGTTCGGGCCGATTTTGTCTCAGGCGAGGTTCAAAGTCGACGGCGATGGTATCGTCCCCTGAGTAAGCTCGCACCGGTTCTGTAGGCGTGTCGACGACAGGAGTTCGTTGGGGAGTCTGATCATTCCTTGTAGTGGGGGATCTGATGAAAAACCAAGATCGAGAGGGGTTGCGTTGTGGTTTTTGGGTTTAAATGGCTTGTGGGCGCGAGTTGCGAAAGTGGGAGTCCAGCCACAGGCGGACAGCGGGGGTAGGAGGGGAGGAGGGGGGATGTATGAATAAGTAAAATATCAATAAGAGAATAAGAGAAGGCTCTGAAAAGAAATAGGCGGAGCGTTAAAGCACCGCTTTGAGGAGGGGTTGAGAGGGAGGTGTTGAAGGTGGGAGGAGGGGAGGGGAAGAGAGGAAGAGGAGGGGAAGAAAGTGGATGAGGAGAAAAAGAGGAATTCGGGAATTCTGGGAAAATGGGATTTTGGGGGGGGGGGGAAGAGGGCTGGCTGGCTTAGAAGGAGGGGGGGGGAGAGGAAGTGTGAGAGGGAGGATGGGCCGTGGGCCCAAGCATCGCTTACAGAGGGGCGAAAAGCGGGACTGCCTTAATTTTACGTGTGGGCAAACGATCACTGGAACTGGGAAGCTCACAGGGAAATCGGGATTCCCTCCCCCCAAGAACTCCCAGCCCCTCGACGCGATCCCCTCCGGCCACGCACTTTTCCTTCCTCACTCCACAGCCCATCCTTTAGACTCTTTCTTTCGCGTCTTTCTCGCGACTCGCCATTTCTAGTTAGTCCCCCCTTTTTACCATACAGATTCGACTCGTAATATTCCCAAACGCAAATCACTCGGCCCTAGTCTCGAATAATAGTTAGTTTCGCGACAAGAGATTCGACCCGATCGAAAAAAAAAGAAATAAAATAAAAAAGAGCCCACATGGCTTCTTCCGACCTTCCTATCCACTACAACGTCGGGACCGCCGGACGTTTGTTTCTCGAGCGGGTCTAGGTTCAGATGAAGTGATGCGATAGCTAGGACGGAGTATATAGATATAAAGTACGGAGTCGGTAGTATGGATAGTGAAGTATAGTTAAGTATGAAGTATATAGTACATAGTATACTACATACACAAAATATAGATGTGATTATCTATCAGAGGGGCAACAGAGATCAGATGTTTTCCCACCCCACTAGAAATGACAGAGCATAAAATGCTTTGTTCTGGCGAGACAGGTATACAATCAAAAACAAATTGCTAAGAAAAATCAAATTCTATACACCCAAAAAAAAGCAATATTTGCCATCCAGGAGTTCAAAGAAAACGCAACGAACTCGTCAATAAAAACTTAGAAAGGGACAACGTGAAATCGAAAAAAAAAACATGAAAAAAAAATGAAATGAAAAAGGGACAAATAACGATATCGTCTGCGAGGGTAGAGAAAGTGGGCCAATAACCCCTCGCTCAATCGCAGGGCTTCGATGAATCTCGCCCTCTTCAGGATCCCTTTGTTTATCGACGATAGAAATGTGTGGCTGGCATGTGAGGCGAGTTAGTGTCTTTGATCGTGGCACCCTGCGGACGAGTCGTCAATACTCCGGGTACTACGGAATACATTGAATGGAGTACTACAAGGGACAGTACTCAAAGCAGGAACTATGATTCCGACTATTGATGATAGCCGCATTATTCATTCGTAATAGTTTTGAACTCCTGCTACGTCAAGGTTACCTGAATCTCGACTGTATCTTGATCGCATGTCTACCCCGCCGTTATCATGTCATCATGCCATTTCTTTCCTATCGTGGCCCTGTTCGGTCGCAACCATGGTTCACACCCTCCACTACCCCTCTTCTCTGCCATCTGAACCCCTCCTCCGATCGGCATCATACCGTTTGGCGGGTTCGGATCGGACCTTTTTGCACATCACATTCTATACATATTTCTTGAGTATACACAACACGGCCTGTAGTAGTGATGGCGGGCCTTGCAGTCGCATTCGTGACACGCCGAGTCGGACGCAAGTTGAGAATGAGACAGGGGGCCCAGCAAAGGGAGACAACAATTTGCCAGGTTTGCCCAGGTATTTCTGATAGACCAGTCCCGGCAGAGCACTCGGAAACCAGTCTTAATCTAGAGTCTTGAAGGGCAATCATTTCAGTTGACTATGTAAAACTTGGATCCCCTACGTCTTGTATGTCGACTAGTCAATTTCCTTACCATCAGGCAAGGTCTCGATCGGCTCCGCCGTGAATCCTGTTCCCCGCCGCCCACTAGGTGCATGTGGTGGTGGGCGGGATCGCCCACCATTCAACACCACATGCACCACCATTCCCTTTCTGTACCCCCCTCTTCCCACCATCATAGCACTTGTTAGTTTTAACTGGGATGATTAATCAAACCCTTCTTTAGTTATTAGGAGCTATCCTGATGTGGTCAGATTATTATACCAAAAAAATGGAGAGACCCGAATTCACGGATGGGCCGGACAAGTCAACGCCACAGGCTACCGTCGTCTCAGCTGGAAAGTGGTGGCTATGAACCCAGTTGTGCCTCCGTGTCTCCCCCTGATTGACAGATCGGTCACCCATGTCTCGCCCCGGAGACTGACTATTGGGGGTACTCCGGTTTCGTACTTTTGACATGACCAGCCTGGACGGGTCTTGAAGGCTCTCGTTATGGCCCCGCTATGTGGCGGTTCGACTGTGCCACGTCCTTGGCTTGGTAGAGTCAGCTACCAAGCCGCAGCTAACATATGTTTGACTGGATGTAAAAATATTTGTACCATATGGTCATTTTCTTCTTGACGTGGTCGCAGTGACGACTCCTACATTGTATGACTCGTTATGTCTGTCGATGTGCTGACGATATAGTATAGTTATCGTGTACTCCGTCCACCCAGACCTCAAGTCCGTGTTACGTCGTGCCCCTCGAGACATCAGCTGCCGGGCTGCAGGATGATCTGCACGCAAGATGCGAATCGGGCGCTCGTCGTGGGAATAACATCATCTGATAGAGGCTGCCGGCTCTTACTACTTCGGGTCAACGTCTGCCTTCGGGAGAAGGGGCACTTGAATCAACACACAACCTTGTGAAGTCATTTTATGATCTATGACAATCATACAAAACAAATCCAAGCTATCACGTCCCTATCCTTCATCCATCGATACTTCTCCATGTACTCCGTATACAGTATCAACTCTTCATTCTCTCCATCGGCAAACAAGCGATAGACTCTCGGGGCCCACTCAATACAGCTACCCAAACCCGTCCGCGTGAGCTGGCACGTACACCGCAAACGAAGAAACCAACGCGCGACCCGTAGGATTCGTGAATTCCCGGCGTGGGGCCCTGCATCATTGGAGCCCGACGATCCGCTCAGACGCGGAGGGCCGCGACGCGGTTACTTGGGAAACGCGTCTGGCGACGCCCCTCCATTTACTCGAGAGTGGGGGGTGGAAGAAGAGAAAGATTGGTCGCCCCGGCACGGCACAGAAATAGGTGATTGATGGTCATCGAAATCGCATTTTTGTTACTCGACAAAAGGACCAGATGTGGTGTTTCGTACCTATCACCGATCAGGTTGGCTTTATTTTAGGGTTTGAGATACCTCTCCCTGTCCGTGAAATGATTGATAGCCTTTAGATTCTTCAGAAAAGTACGGAGTACAGTAGTACCGTTCAATGCACCTCTACTGTATCTCTTTTTCCGGAGCACTAACCCCTCCATCATTGAACGCCCTTGATAGTAAAATACCGGTTCCCCGAGACTTCCGCGGACAACCCGGATGATCATCAACGCCTCAGCAAGCCTTGATCCATGAGATGCGGTGAACCGGGGAGCTGGTGCTTTTCGCCATGATGCCCTAACTAGTCAGTAATCTGCTAAGGATGGGAAAAAGTTGATTAGGGTCTCCTTGCAGAGACCCGATTCGACCGGACGGAGGATCTTTTTGAATCTTTGGGACCTTTAAAAGGTCCAGGATTTCGATCCACTTTCCGATGCAGCGGACCGACCCCGTTTCCAACGTTCTCGACCTAGCAGGAACACACTACTGGACTCTGCAGTAGTCCAAAGTACTTTTCTTCCATAGGAAATTGACGACTGGTTGAGCGGTGACTTGACCGCCCTGACGAAGACCCAAACCCCCAAACATTTTACCGCCAATCGTCCCTTCTGCCCTTTTTCTTTACTTCCTTGCGTCCCACAGGTTACGATGCTGACCAGTTGATCCTCGTTGAGCCAAGATCCACGATCCACCCATTCCCAATCCCTTCAATCAAAGGGCCGTTCAACCTCATTCCAAGCCCCGGTACTCAATAGGAAGCATCCCGTGTCCATGACTAAAAGTCTCAGAAACGGGTCCCCCTTACCCTCCATCCACCATTCTGGATCGGCAAAAGGGATCGCAGTATCTGAAAACTCGCAACCAGTTAACTTTCTCCCTGCTATTAACTCCATAGCTACTTAGTTTATCGGCCCAGTTATGAATCAGCCTGACTCGCCAGTTCCCTCGCCCCAAACCCAAAAAGAACTCCACCCCGAAACCCACCAGTGCAGTTGTTGGAATTTCGGAAACTGCTTCCCCGGCGCCGGCCCCTGAACTAATGTCCACCGGCCTGCCGGGCTAGCCTTGGCTGGGTTCCAATCCAGCGCGTCCATTGTCCCGACAACTCCCTCGCGCCGCGCGACGGGGCCAGCCAGTGTAGCCACAGGGCCAGGGCGGGCACTCACACTGCACGTAGGGAGGGGGACCCCCGTTGGACTCCGCCGAGGTTGCACGCCAGGTCGGTCTGGAATTTCATCTTGACGGGCTGGACGGATGTCGGTGAGGGATTGATCATTATCATTGACTACAACCCCAACGCAGTTGGCGAGTTGAATTCGCCTGTTCCTTTCTTCGAGGTTACAGATCGGTGCCTCACAGGGATGCGATGCTGCCCATCATCAGCTTCACCGCTACGACACATGGCACGCCAGGATGGATGCGGGTGCACGA